TTTTTTGTTTATAGTTGCAGGCTGAGAATGTTTGGAGTGGGAAGATGAGGAGATTGTGGTGTTGATGGGGAGATATGTTGGTTGGTGTTCATGCAGGCTTTATATAGTATTTGGTCCGTCGGAGTTGATGGTCGTCGATTGGGGGCCATTGTATCAGGTTCGGGGATACCGAAACCCTATGTCTCAGGACGTCGATCCTGTGCCGGACAGCCGTCAAGGGTGACCACTTAAAATGCTTGTTTGCATCAGCTACTTAAGGTTGTCTCACAATGGCCGCACGGGCAGGCGCTAAGTGGAGGCAACACGAGGGGACTGGGTTCTGCGGATATCGAGTTTGGAGCGGTTGGTAGGGTTCTCATACGATATGATGTCTCATCTTCTGCTATGTTAGTATTGGGGTTTAGTGTTTGAAGGCTTAATCTACTGCATATGAGTTGTATTGTGGTGGCACGAGGCATCTCAGGGGTTTCCATGCTGTGGGGCCAAACTTCCTAGTTAGGGCCTAGCAGCCACATGGCTTAAGGCTACTAGCTTAGTTCCTGTGAATCCTCATGTTGGAGTCAACGGGGAGGTTCCGAAGGATGCACTTAGTGTTGCACAGCGAAGCTGGTGAAGAATGACTATGGAGTACCTTGATTAATGCGAAATGAATACAAGCTCTGGAGATAAGGGGTGTACGCTGCCTTGGGATGCCCCTGGGATTTTGGTGAATGTGGTGTCATGTCCTATATCTAGGTCTGCTTTGCTTTGCGAACCCCAAGGGGAGGGGGAGACGGAGATAGCCGAGTATCCATGATTATATTAATTAACATGTCTGTATCAGGCCATTAGATATTACATGATCCACATAACTAAAAAGGTGCTCCCTCAGTAAGTAGTCCTCCCTCAGTAAGTAGTCATAATCATAACGCATATTACCAACAATCACACCTTCATCAAGTCAATGGAGCTCGTTCCGGGGCGTTCCCATCAGCTCACTTATCGGCCGGTTACTGTCCATCTCCTCTATACCTCCCAGATCAGAGTGCGAAGGCAGCTCTGCAATCAGAGTCTCGGCCCTGGACATGCGAGGGTCTGAGGGGACTTTCGCTTCCTCCACCACCATGGGGGATGCTGCTTGGTCCATGGTCGGAAAATGTCCCGAATCCCTCTCTTTTCGCAATCGATGACGGTACAGGAAAGCGAGAGCCCCGATGATTGCAGCGATCGCTAGCACTCCCAGTGGAACCCCGAGACCAATCCCGACTTTCTGGGCAACAGTGAGACCAGTCTTCTGGGCAACAGCGGTTTGTGTAGAGAATGCTGCTGATGTTTCGGCCACCGCAGTGGAGATGGTGCTGGTGCTGGTGCTGGTGCTGGTGCTGGTGCTGGTGCTGGTGCTGGTGTGGGTACCGGTGCTGGTTGTTACCGAAGTAGACGTCGCAGTTGCAGTGCTGGTAGTGGTCGTGCCATAAAAGTTGTACGATACCGGTGCAGGGTCATCATTATAGCGCTTGCTGACGCCGAACATCTCGCTCGTGAGGTTTGGGGGATTGGGATTGCCGTTAAAGTCCAGTGGCGCAAGCTCAAAGGCGCATCCAGACTCTCGGTAGTTGTCGCGGGTTGCATTCCAAACATAGCTAAAATCATTGGTGACATTTACTGTAATGTTAGTCCCTCACTCCAGTGCAGTGGTCATAATTATACTTACATTCCAGCGCAACTGCCGAGCTGCACACCTCGTACAGAGAAATGCGCGATGTGACCACATTCCAAGACACATTGACCAGGTCTCCCACAATGAACTTATCCTCGGTTGATGTCGGAAAGGTAAAACCCTCTGCGCGAACAAACCATGCATCTTGCAGAGCAAGCAGAAGCCATACGAGGCATACGATCCTGCCCAGATAACCCTGGAAATACATAACGACGGCAGCCAGAAGGTAGACAGAAGGACAAGCTTTCGCGGAAGGCCACGATTGTCCGGGGAATCAGAGCATTAAGTTACCATCGCATTTCCGGGCTCAGCCTCGCAGATTGGTGAATGTTCTGTTTTTATCTGGCGGGAAGGCTAGCACCTGCAGCTCGCCATTTCTTTGAACGGAATCAGCCACCCTACGCGGATAGGCCATATCCTGGTAGAGCTCGGTCAAGGGCCGATCAACGATGCCCTAAAGGGTCTAAGTCGACAGGGATTGCATGCATAGTTGCCAGTTAGCGCTCACTAGCTACATGATGCTCCAGCAACCATGTCTGGGGTGTTGGGATGGCTGGTCATGGGATACGGCTGCGGTTTAACTAGGATCTTTCCAGGTGATAGCCAACTTTAGCCTTGGCGAGTCCGGTGGTAACCCATCTCGACCTGGATGAGTGCTTCAATCCTTCCACCACTGGTGGACTTGTTGGAACAGCTATGTGCGTCTTTCTTGATTCGATAGATAAGGTCTAGTGCGTTTCTCTTCCGCTTGTTGCCGGGGGACAACCACCCAACCATTGTAACTCAATGTTGCTATCATTCCCTAGTCAGGCCATATTAATGCAAGGCCGTTTATGCACCAGATTCACTGGTGCATGGAGATAACGCAGCCAAGCTGCGGAGTGATGTACCAGGACCATCACCATCCATATAACAGGTTTTTTATTTCCGGCTCGCATGAGTATGTGGGAGAGAGAGATATGTAATCAATCGAGTTGTTATAGTAAAGAGGGGGTAAATCCATAGCATCACGGTAGAGACCACAGGTAAGCTTTCAGTGTTGGGGGCGGCCCAGTCCGCAGGGTAGCATCGCACTCCGTAGGAGACGGTCGGACTCCGGCGACTGGAAGGTCCTCTGGTCTGGAAATAGGCACTGGGCTAGCTTCATATGGAAGTAGTGTCGCGATAAGGCAAAAATGATGATTGGACAGAGCGGACAGGCAACAGTCGAGCTGCCTTAATCGGTAAGCGCCCGCAGGCAGACTGTGATTAGTCTGTTCTGCTGCACCACACGGATGTTCATCTCCGTTGTTAACAACCGGAAAGGAGAAAACAAAAAATGGAGCTGCGGGGAATCGAACCCCGGACCTCTCCCATGCTAAGGGAATATTATACCACTAAACCACAGCCCCATTTGTTGAAAGTTTGGCTGCTTATTATGCTACATGTGCCTAAGCGTCCGTGGCCTATGGTAATATTGGTCCCATGCATATCCATCTTGGACTTATGGTTCACAACACGTATACAGGCAGGGAGGTGCGAAAACCAACATCTGATTGTCTTCATCATCATATATAAATATACCAACGCCTATTGGCGCGCTCATATGAGGACCGTGGTTAGATCATCAGGTTCCATCTGAGTATTCACTTTTCTATATATTTACAGAACAGTACTATCCTGTGATTGTTTCCTGACACCAACACATGTCAATCACAATCACCCCCCACTACGTCTATTAAATCCATAGAACAATCAACTAGAATACAATAACAGGAGCCAAAATTTATGCCCTATAGCCGGGAACATGTCTAGATCTATAAGCGGCACTTGGCACCTTTATCTCATGCAAGGGATCAGACACCGCCATGCCGCAAACATTGCAATCCTGGCGGTCATCCGCTTCCCAACGCCCTACAGCTCTATTAAGTATTAAGACCACGAGTTCCCCACCCAGATAGCAGCAAACCACTCGTCACAATCACAATGCTGCTGTTTAGCCTCCTACCCGCAAGTGCCGCAGGCTTCCTGGGTATAGCCTCTCGCTCGACCCCGGACCTAGCCATCACAGCGAACATCACCACAACTACCCCAGGGCAATTACCCCAGAAAATAGACATCCACCACCACTTCATAACAGACATCTACCGCCAAGGTTAGTCCAATACCCAAATCCCCCGTCCCCCTACTAACCAAACACCCCCAGCCGTCGAAGATGCAGGCGGCGACCCAACCGGCCTCCCACTCCCCAACTGGACAATCCCAGACTCCCTCAACGACATGCAAGATAACGGCGTCCGGAAAGCCATCTTATCAGTAACCACCCCAGGGGCAATCATAACCGGCAACAACGACACCGCCCGTCCACTCGCCCGCAAAATCAACGAACACGCCGCCAGCATCCGCGACCAATACCCCGAGCAATTCGGGTTCTTCGCCGCACTGCCCTCCCTCCTCGACACCGAGGGCACGCTGGCTGAAATTGAATACGCGCTTGACGTGCTCAAAGCCGACGGCGTTACTGTATTTACTCGCTACGGCGACGGGGACTATTACCTTGGACATGCGGAATTCACACCCATATGGAAAGAACTCGATGCGAGGAAAACAGTCGTGCATATCCATCCCACGATGCCTGTGGATACGAACTGGATTGATCCGATAATGCCGCCTCCGATGCTGGATTTCCCGGCCGAGACCACCCGGACAGCGGTCGATATGATTGTGAGTAATGTGACGAGGGAGTTTCCCAATTGTCCGAAGGTTCTTTCCCATGCGGGGGGGACGTTGCCGTATCTTATCTCCAGGCTGGCGGTGACGTCGAGGGATACGATGGGGGAGGTGGGGCCGTATGGGAAGACGTATTTTGAGTTTATGGAGGCGTTGAGGTCGTTTTATTTTGATCTGGCGCTGTCGAGTGCACCCGCGGTGTTGAATCTGTTGTTGGATTTGGTGCCGCGCGAGCATATTATGTATGGTGAGTATTGTGGGGTTGAAGTGTGATAGATGGTGGGTGGTGCTAATGAGATTTAGGGTCCGACTTTCCGAATGCGCCCCCGATTAAAGTGGCGGGGTACCGCGAGAATCTGGATGACTTTCATATGGATGAGGAGCTGCGAGATATGATCTATTTTGGGAACGCGCAAAAGATACTGACAAGACGATAATTGCCAAGTGTTTTCCTGGGAGTGGGGAGGACAGGGCACGGTGCCGGTAATTGTTGGGATGGTCCACCAGCTGTAAACCGAAATTTATTACAGCCTAATGTTGTACTACGTTACTAGTTGACGCAGCAATTATTGAAAAAAATGAATGTGCAGAGCCAATCAGAGGTGCATGCAGATCTCAATGCGCATGTAATCCTACACCCATCCGAAGAGGTTAGAAGAAGAGTTACACATAAAAAGTACTGGAGTAACCAACATAATCCCTATTATCCCAGAACCTTATTCTCGTTTCACTAGCACTGCATCCGTGGATGCAAAGTGCAGCGTTTGACACATCGCTGGACACAAGATCCTGTTGAGCCTGGTGACACCCACACCGTCACACAGTGTGTCTCACAACATCCTCGACATTAGTACCACCATGTGCAACTTGGCCAGGCAAGGTTATCCATACCAACCAACAGCCTCGACCCCAGCATCAGCTCCAGTGCTCCCGCGGAAGTTTGTACGAGGCCATCAAACGTGACCGGAAATGCTGTGCTACTGTGGGTGCATCCTCGTCCTCCTCGGGCTTCTTATCCAACTGCCGCAATTCGAAGACCAAATTGCCATCGACAAAAAGTACCACACTGTAGCGATCTGTGGAATTTCTGTTCACCACTCGATGAAGACTGCTCTTGTATTGACCACCGGTGATCCTGCTCATCATTTGACCCATGTTAATGACGTATGCGTTTCTATCCGCAGGCACGCCGATCCATTCCCCCGTCTCCTGGTCTTGCACTTCCAGCCCGGCATGACCGTCCTGTAATAGTAGCGTGATGGCACCAAAGTCTCTGTGCGCACTGATGCCCAGCTGTCGATTCTCACCATCTTCCTGGCCTAGGCTTGGCGGGCAATGTAACAAACGGAAAGGAAATATCGGAGTATTGGCCTTGAAACCATCCCAGAAATGCGAGTCGTAGGGCATAGTGGCGGTCACAAGATCAAAAACAATCCAGGATAACTTTATCATAGCTTCATAGTATGCTCCAAGTGGTTTGCGGAAGGCTTCGTCGGAAACATTTTACACCAATGATATGAGACTAAATGATGTCACTAAATTAAGGGAGGAACAAAGTTGAACAGGGGATATGGTCGCATACTAGCTCATCTATATACATGCAACCCCCTCCTCCACATGAGCTAGAAAGCCATCTAATACTCAAACACCTCCCCGACCAATTTCTCACTCAACTTCCATAACTTCTCCACACTCTCCGAATCCCACGTATAATCCACCGTACCACTAACCGCACTATTCTGCAAATACACCGGTGCCTGGTCCTGCAAATCCGGATCCAGCGCCGCAATCAACGGGGTAGCCGCAATCTGAGTAGAAGTCTTAAACCTAGGCTCCTCGAACACAAAATCCTTGCCAGTATTACGCTTCACAAGTGGGAAAAGGTCCACAAAATCATCCATAGTGAGGTTAACACCAAGGTTAGTGTGCTGGTTATAGCCTGGATGGGCCGCAACCGCCACGATCCCACGGTGCTTCAGCCGCTGGGTCAGCCCATATGCGAACAAGATATTGGCTGTTTTTGCCTGTCCGTATCCTGTCCAGTGATCGTACTCTTTGCCCTCGGAGAAGTTCCAGTCCTCGAAGCGAAAGGACGTGATGAGGTAGGCAGTGCTGGTCAGGTTGACGACGCGGGCGGATGTGGCGGCCTCGAGGGCTGGAACGAGTAGGTTGGTGAGTAGGAAATGGCCCAGGTGGTTGGCGGAGAGGTTTAGTTCGATCCCCTGCTTGTCTAGGGTGTATTCCTTGATGGCCATCACCCCGGCACTGTTGACGAGGACGTCGATTCTGGGGGCTGCGGCGAGGATCTCGTCTGCGGCGCGTCGGACGGATTCGTGGTCGGTGAGGTCTATCTGTACTGCTGTGGTTTTGATGGTGTTGTCGATGGCTTGGATCTCATCCAAAACGGGCTGGACTTTGCTGAGGGTGCGAGAGGCAATCAGGATATGCGCTGGCGCGGCTTTGGCTAGAGATGTGGCCACTTTGTTGCCTATGCTGAGCTTACTGGCACCGGTTATAACGAAGGTCTTGCCCTCGATATGAGGGCCAAAGGCCTCGATGACCTGCTCGCTGCTTACGAGGGCGTCGAAGATGGCCATGGTGGATGTTAGAAGGAAATTCTAGGTGGGAGCTCAAGGCAAATGGGAATGTGAGGAGAGGGTTTTTTTGACCATCAAGTCAAGGACAGCGGATGATTCTTATAGTAATTAGGATATGCCTCAGATTAAACCGGTGACTTCAGCACGCCCAGATCTAGGAGACATCATCTTGACGATAGAACGGATTTTACTCTTTGAATGCTAGAAAACATTTGTAATCGATGTTTTCTCCGGTCTTTTCTCCGTAATCTCCGATTTGCTTATCTCCATGGAAGGGTTGGGAGGTAGCCTTCCGTATTTCTAATCAATCGAGCAATACAGCATCATGTGCAGTTGTCTGACATATGAACATAATGATAAGGTCAAATAAGTGGCACGTATTTCAACAAATGGGGCTGTGGTTTAGTGGTATAATATTCCCTTAGCATGGGAGAGGTCCGGGGTTCGATTCCCCGCAGCTCCATTTTTTGTCTTTTTATCTTTTCATTATTCCCTCATGTTATTCCCAATTTTTCTTCTTATTTTCGTTTGCAAGTCATGAAGATTCAACATTACGTCGTCAACTACCGTCAATGTTTCAAGTTCAATGTCAGGTGACATATCAAAGAATTTGGCTTTGTTTACCATTTCCCGGTCCTCCCTTTTGTCATCCCTGTTCAAAGGGCAACATGGCGGAATACACACAATGGAATTGGCAGCGCCCCTATATTCTTTGATTCATAATGATCGACTTCGGGTCTTGGCATCACTTACTGGGGAGGTTTCTTCGGAACAAGGCATTTGTATGGTTTCCTGTGACGTGTCTGTCCTTTTCCCAATCTTCAACCTTCACCGTTCTGAAAGTATCCTGATAGAGAGCTAGCAAAAACCCGCCGTTTCCAGCTGGATATGCTTTCAGATCAGCTTGTTGAAAGTATAAACATCATATTCTCTGCATGCTCCTAGTGTAATCAACATAGTAGGGTGAAGCGGCGTGAGAGAAAGTGCATAAATAAAGCTCGAAAATCCCATCTCCTAACACTCTACATCACCCTCTGTTCTACACCACCCTTCCCAGACCCTTCCCAATTCTAAACGACCACCAAGATTTCACCATGGCTAAACTTGTGCTCTGGGGTGATAATTTCATCCCGGTCCCAGACCTGAACATCAGACCAGGTGGTCCCATTGCCCTCGGAAATATCATCATGGATCCCTACAACCCCACCGAAGCGATAATAGTATGCGACACAAAGACTCAGGATTTTGCAGATGAGTCCAAGCAAGATGATGATATCTCAAAAATGACAACAACATTACCTTGCATCCGGAGCGAGCTCAAGTACTCATGCTGGACAGCCACAGAGTTCCTGAAGCTCAGCTTAACGACAGAAGATTGGTACCGGACATATGTCTCCGATGGAATGCTTGATGGCTATATCAAGGAAAAATTCCACGACCCAATGTGGTGTGAAGCATTGGGTGTCAACAAGGAATGGCCCACAACCGCCTACATGATTACCGGGCTTCGAGTCACCAAGCGTTTTGATATTAGTACGCAGCGGAAGGAATGGGTGACTCCTGGACTTTATCAGGTAAATTGGGAGGAGCGCCATTGGGATGCAGATGAACTTACACTTCTGGATCGGTCGAGGGAAATCCCGTGGAAGAGTGCGCGGAATTGTCAATTCCATGAGGATGAGGGGACCATCCTGGCTTATCAGCTCTCTCAGATTGTCGTGAAGGGGTGGTTTAACAAGGAACTCAAGTTGCACAAGTATCGGCCCAAGAGACCGTCTTTGAGCGGGATGATTGCGATGGTGGAGTTTAGCGCTGATGAGAAGGAAGGTGTTAAGGAGAAGGATTGCTATGAGGAAGAGATTAAGGAAAAGGTTTATTACGACCCTACTGACTTGGATGTGATCTTACTGGACTGAGGTCTATGTCGGTTCCATGGTTCCATGTGGTACTGGTTATCTGATTTAGCTTCTTCCTAACTGCTAATTCTTGGAATCTCCTAATGGGAATTGAATGTGATACTTTCTGGAATGAGACCTGTAGAAAGAACATACCAGCAGATTAAAATGCCTGATGTATTTTATTTAGGCCTAGCTGTAATATTCACTGTCAGACTTAACCATGTCTTTGGTAGTCTCCTGTGAGGTACTCATGTGGTGTTACGACACGTATGTTCACTTCCACTTTGACCTGAGCACCAACATTCACTAAAGGTTCATTGTCTTAGTAGATGCCTACGATTCCAGGGGATTCGAAGCCTGTATGTAGAAAATGTCCTATGTGGTAATGCAGAACACAACTACTTCTATGGGAAAGACTCTATATCTGCGTGTTTAACAAGCATCCTGTCTAAGTTAATTATTATTCATTATTCCCTAGATCGTGAGTACCAGGCCCACCGGATAAATCTCATTCTGAACAAGATAACAAGGTATCCTCATTACCACTTATGAAAAGCCCCGTCAATTTTAGGCCATTCCGCACGTCCATCTATTAGAAGAAGAGTCACTAATGAAAGCATAGTTTCTCAGACACATCGGAAAATCTCATAGGAGAAGCCCATGAAGAGATAGCAGCCTATCGAAAGCATCCTGTGATTGAGAGCCTGGCATGGAATTATCGGAACATCCCTATATTGGACTGCACAACATGCCACGATGAGCACTTTCGTATGACAGGAGGTTCCCATACTAACACAGGCCGGAAATCAGCCATGAACTTAAAAACCATAACTCTGCATGGATTCAAAGATGGATTAGCTTCCGAGGCGGCTTCAATCCCCTCATCCATGCTTTGTTGCAGTTATCAACAATAAGGCCTCCAAAACTGTCCTTACACGTAGCTGGCAACTCCCGACACTTTTTGGCCGAGACTACGTCGCACAGGTCTTTCCAAATAATTGCGTCACTCTTTCTTAGATACATCCCTCATATCCCCTCATATTGATGTCATAAACGCAATGTTCGTATGAACAGGTGGCTGTGCGACGTGAGCATAAATAGAGCCCGAATAGCCCACCTTGCCCCCACCCAACACACTCCCACTCCTCTTCACATTCTCCATCCCCAAATACATTCCACACATTCCATCACCTTCATCAACAACCACATCAAACCTTCATCATGGCCGGTGAAAAAATCTTGAACGAGTGCATCTGGGATAAGTTCTGGATCCCAGTCCCAGCCCTGAAGCCAAACTGTATTGATTTCGCCGTTGGAGACATCATCAAGGATCCCTTTAATCCCACCGATGCCATTCTAAAGCACGACCAGACATCCCAGGGCTGGAATATTGGAGTCAACCTGCTCGGTATGACAGACAAGAACATCAGGATCCCAGATCCCTCCAAGCTATCAGGCACCTCGGCAATGACCCCCCCGACCGTCAGTGAAAAGCTCGACAGACAGCCCCCAGATCTCTCCAAGATCCCCACCAGCCTCAACTACCACCTCGAAACCCACAACCAAATCGCTTTCAAATTTGTCCCGTGGATTCACCAAAAGTTCGAGGCTTCAAAAGCCTGGGGTGAGATGGAGTCCCGGCCTTGTTACCTCATTAATGGGATTAAGGTTGCGAGGGGGGTTGAGATTCGTACTGAGAACGGGGGGTCGGAGGGTGGTTCTTCCTCCACTCGTTGTTTTTGTTCCGACGGAGATGTGATTCTTGCGTATAAGGTGGCTATCGCATGGCGGGAACCCGGAACTGTGTTTTTCAAGATGCATGATTATGAAGTTGATGAGAGGACTATCATGAGCAAGGTGGGTGTTATGATGGAGGCGAGCTGCGAGGAGGAGTCGAAGAACGAGGCCTGATGAGAGGATTGGCGGAGTGGTGAGGGCTTCGTGGATAATGAATTACGGCCTATCCCTATTTTGTTATGCTTGCATGTGGTAAATTGGCAATTTTGGTGGAAATTATCTAGCTTATTTTGGTTGCCTTCGTTATGATGTCGTTGTGTCTAAAGAAACAGAACGTGATGATTCTAGAACATATACACGTAATGACCAATAGACCAAACCGATATACCGCTGATCTCTGGAGAACAGATAGAGAAGATGTCCCAACATGTATTGTGTATGTGTATTGTTTTAACGTGTATCGAGAGGAAGACGGTGCCAACCTGCAACCCTTATACTAAATACATGATGACCTAGTAGCTATCCACCTCGACGCCTCCCATGGGGCATAGGACTGTCAAGCCAGGGTCGTTACATACATCAAATATCCAGAAGACAATTTCTAGCATGAGAAAGGAATTAAACCCTGATCGGATTCTTCCTCCCCGACCTGTGGGATTAGGTAAAATAACTTACTCATAGGATACTATCAATCATGTAGAGATATTTAGTTTATCGAGTCTCTCTGTAGAGAGAAAAAGGCGTTAGTCCTCTAGATCTGGAAGACGGATTAGAAGATAACAATATGAACAAAGAGGATGTGTTTCTCTTAAGGTGGAGTTGTGGTAGTGGCAGGATTCGACAGGTGCACGTATAAGAAATGGGATAGAACATTAAAAACATCAAGGATCAATAGGGAGTCCTTGAAACTGACTATCTTGGCTTTATAACAGGGTATCAAATATCAAGGCTGGCAGCTAAGTGTGTTACCAGCTATGTAGACGCTTCCCGTTAAAGCATGAATATAAATCCAAACGCCGCGTCCCAAGCGATACATAGAGATGTAGTGGATCTGAGGATTGGTTTGCCCCTGAATATCCTTTCAGAGTTTTTAACAGCAGGCCATCAAAGAAATTGACATAAATACTGCCGAACTGCTAGATCTGCGAACTGCTAGATCTGCCCACACATCTCCATCTTCTTCATATCCCCCTCTACACTCTTCATACTCTCCCCATCACTCAAAAATCCACCATGGATAAAAACCTTATCTGGAGCGAGTCCTGGCTTCCCATTCCGAACAACGATGCATGGAATCAATCAATCAAGATTGGACTAATCTGCACAAATCCCTTTCAGCCCTTCCTAACCGCCCTAACGCTTTCTCCGCCCGCTGAAACGATTTCGATTGAGACTGCTTTTTCTGATTCTCCAAACCCCGGGCATGGTATCGTCGATCAGCAAAATTCTACTTGTATCCCTTTGCCGTGAAGAGTGTTGAGACTCACACTTTGATGAGTCTAAGTTCTATCCTGGACTGGATTGCGCGTCGAGCTGAGCATTGGCCAACCCGTACTGCTGGTGATGAGCCTAGGTACATTATTACTGGCCTCAAAATCGTCAAAGAACCTCGGCTTCTCAGTTCCAAGCATGAAAACGGACAGTGTTATATCTGCAAACCCAAGGCCGGAGAACAACCAGAGAATGATACATACTTACATGGAATGGGTACTGTATCCTATCAGGTGATGGAGATCGTGGAGAAACAACGACTGGACAAGGTGACGTTTGAACTGCGTAAAGTAAAAGCCAGGCGTGGAATTATGGGCAGAGTGGCTCGTCTGATTGGAATGTCCCGGTCTGCAGTCGAACAGTCCCTCTGAGTAGGCTTGATACATTCTACCATGATTGATTATGGTAATTGAAAATGGTCATGCTATTTCAGTAATATGATGCTTTTATTGATGGGAATTTGAATGACATGAATTGGAGAATAAATCGAGCAGTAACAGGCCTTAGCCTAGACAGCAATTCAGCAAAGTACTCCGTATTGGCAGAGCCATTTACCCCCCTGACCTACACCCCGTAAAGAAATACTACAGACTCTACATACCACTCCTCACACGCACGAGGCCATGTCTTCCACAGAGCTGAACAAGGCTTGCTAACAACGACGTTGTCAGTTTCATCTGAAGACATCTTGACCACAGACTCTCTGACTAAGGCCAGCAAGAGAAAGCATTATATGTTTTGCGAAGGAGACATTTTTCATTAACGTAATCGGACACCGAGCCGGCGCGACACCGAGCCGCCGGCGGTCTGCCGCCGCCTCGCTGACTGCCTCGCTGGCTGCTTCCTGAGGCCATTCAACCATTAAGAAAAGGCTATATACATTGATTCTTGTTGTTTTCATGAGGGCATCTTAAACGATTGTGTCCTTCACTTCCACATATACTGCAACGGGCAGGCCGATGTGTCCTGGCCGGTCTTGGTGCTGCAGCCTCAATTGTTTCATTTTCTTGTGTCTGAGCTATATTAAAGCCCTCTTGGCCTGTTAAAGTGCCTTTATACTGTATATAGTGACGTGAGGCTTTTGCCTTCCCTTTCTTACTTGCTTGTATAGACTGGAACTGCTTAACTTGTTGTTGAAGCAGGACTGCGTTCTGCATAGACTGTTCCGCAGCCTTGATCACTTTTTCAATAACTTCGTGTGAAACTATTGACGCCAGACCTTGATCTGCAAGTTCTTGTAGTTCTTGTCTCTGTCTTCCAAGCTCATACAAATTTGCAGGCGTTTTCCCGAGATAAAAAGACTGATTAGAATGTGATGATGTCGGTGGAGTTGGTGTTTTTAGTTGAATCCGTAACGTTGCAAGCACTTTTTGAGGATTAAAAGGAACGAGACCGGTGGCACGGAACCCACTGAGTATATTGATATTGGAGAAGGCCTTGGCGTGTACACTGTGATATAGCTGTAGAAAATCAAGCTTTGTAATTGATTTCTCTCCATAACGAATAGCCTCAGATATACGCTGACCATATAACTTCTTTAACGGCCTAAAGCAAGCAACGTCAAGCGGCTGTAGTTTGTGGGACGAGTGGGCAGGCATATATAAAGGAATTATTTTCCGAGCTGTACAGAACTGATTAAATTGCTGAGTTACATGGCTGCTGTGGCCGTCAAGGATCAACAAACGATAATCACCAACAGTTTTTGAAGCCGTATACCGGTCAAACACGTTCTGAAGCTAGTCAAAGCCAAGCTTATTGGTAGTCCAGCCATTTTCGCTGACACTCAGATAATAAGATTTTGGGCAGACTTTATACCACGTTGATTGATGATTCTGCGCTGCAAAGATAATCTGCAGTGGAAGTACTGTTCCTGAGACTAAGATTGCAATAATTGAAGTCATCCATTCGCGGTTTTCTGGTTATATACACTTGGCGCGCGATTCTCGTGTTTCCGAGCCACAGATTACATGAGCAGTTAAAGCAACTCCCATCTGGAATCCAGTTTCATCTATATTCCATATATCTTCATCGAGAATGCCATATTTTCGGACTTTCTTGCGATCGAGGTCGAATTATCTCTAAATAAGATAAGGATCCTCACATTTAGCACGTTGATAGTCATACTTCGACGTGAATTTGGACGTCAATTCCGGATGACGTTTAATAAAGTGAGTAATCCAGCGTTCTGATATAGTATCATGCTGATTTGGCTTCAACTTTACTTGATAAAGCAGCTGGGCAGAGAATCGAGCATCGCAGATTTTAAGAGGCAGTCCACGGTAGGCCATATCAAGAAGCCACTGCTTTAACGTGTTTTCTTCAATTGTAGATAGCTTCCTACAATTAGCATCTTTTTCAGTACGTGATTTGATGCCATTTAAACGATCTTTAAAAGTGCTTATCTTGACGTCAAACGCGGCAGCGCAAGCGGCCTTTGTAGAGAATTTCCCACTCTCAAAGGCCTTGACGGCGAGATTTAAACGTTCGTTTGTATCGGCCATATTGATATACGAAAAGAAACACCAAGGAATCACGATAATACTGCGAAACAGGGCGGTTTGGGCGAGTTCTTCGACTTCAAGATGTTGAGGGTGCAAGACGCGGCGCGGCGGCGGCCGGCTCGGTGTCGCGCCGGCTCGGTGTCCGATTACGTTATATAGTCTATCCAATCAACACGGGTACTCCGATCCAGTGCGATCAGCCAATCAGCATATCGCAACTAGCGCTGATGTCGAGAGAATCAACACGACAGCATGCATGATGAGGGGCCACAATATCCGGGCTATTGATAGCGATTGCTGGATATTAATAGCCTCAAGATAGTGTGATAGTAGCGCGCTGTGTAATCGAGTCCATGACACCCAAAGCCTTCGGTTAAATGCAGGAGTATTTTGATACGCGCCAGCCTTGCGAAGAATACCCCGCACGAACTATGTCTGAAACATTGAGTCACACATTTGTAGAGCCTCTATGCGGCTGTGGATCCATCCAATAAACGTGGCCTGGTTTCAATTGGCATTTCTATGCGCCACGAGATAAATCGTCCCGTTTATCGATTGAGACTCGCTGGAAGCCTAAGCGCCCTGAATGAGGTATCGACACAGTCGGGGTTTGATCAACCATCGTCGGTGGTCTATCGGCGTCAATTGAGCAGTTCTACAACGCATATAAGTCAGTTCTTTCTCGCCCTCAATATGGATTCTACAACTCATTCTTCTCACTGTTTTCTATACTTCCTCATTCATTCCATATCCCCCATCTTCGTTCAAAGATCATATCCCGATAGCAAATTTTCCAATTTATCACTTCCCCTGTCCATTACTCTACATCATGCATCACCGGGTGTACACATACGTCCTGGCCCCAAGATGGGACTTCCGTCCCGATGGCCCCATCGCCCTCGGCAACATCATCGTCGACCCATTCAGACCTCACCGTGTCCTGTCCAAGCCCGATCCGTCAATCCCAACGCCCGAGATCGAGACAGTAGTCGAAACCGAATGGGAGCTACACCAAGAACGAGAGCTTGGCATGAAAACAAGCATCTGGACCCACTTCCTTCAGGCCATGGGAGTTGACCTCGGTCTGGAGAGCACCAAGTCCCTCAGCGCAGAGTACAGTGTCGAGTCCCTGACAACGAGCTACTTCAAGGAGCAACCCTCTCCGGAAGAAATTACCAGACGAACCCAGGATCCGAAGATGCGGGAGTTGATGCGCCTCGATAGCCCATTCTCCAAGCCGGTCTACATGGTCACGGGGATCAAGATCGCGAAGGGGTTCCGTGCATCGGAAGGCCACTCTCGGTCTAGAGAAGTAAATGGTGGAGTGTCTGCTGGCACTGCGGGCACTGTCATTGGCGATGTCACCGTTGGAACGGACAACAAGATTTTCGTCAAGCAGTCGGACAAGCGTCAGGGCAAGAGTGAGAATGACATTGTTTTCGCTTACCAGCTGATGAAGATTGTGCCGAAGGGGTGGAAGCGTAAGGCTTTTGATATTCAGGACTTTTACCCGAAGGCGGCTGTGTTGCTGGACAATGCTGAGGTCCAGAATGGTGTGGATGTGTCGTTTGCCACGGCGGCGGATTTTGCGGAGTGTGACCATATGGAGGTCAAGTACAATATGGCTGAGCTTACTGATAGTCATGGCACGGTTAAATGTGTTACTGTCCGTGGGTAGGCTGGGTGCGGCTTGAGGGGTTTTTCTGTCAAGTAGTGTATGTGCCAATTGTTGCTTTTTGTACTCTGATTGTTGATTCTGGTCTTGTATATCGCTCTGATTTCTTTCGATGTACCGTCGTTGCCTTGTTTTCGTGCATTCTGTTATTATCCTATATGAAAGAATCGAGTACTTGCTTAACTGATACTACTCCGGGGAAGACCGGGGTTATCGAACATGACTCAGACATATGGTCAGGTAAAAGAGAAAGAAAAGCACTGTTCTAGACGACTATCCAAGGGTTGCTCTTCAAGCGCTGTCTTCGCACCACCCCACTACCCTCATGGGCCAAGAACACGTCGGGCACCGGATTAGGACTAGGCGGATCTGATAAAGCGATCTTTATATAATGACTCACGATAAAGGAGCAATTCACATCTTACATTTTGATATCTCCCAGATTGTACCCAATTCTATAGATCTCATACTATTGTACATTTCACTCATCTGGCTATATATATACCTCGTTTTCATACAATCGACACCAAAACAAAATGGAAACACCATACACCTCCCCCGCGAACCCTGACTCGCGAATAGTCTTCTTCTTCGACATCGACAATTGCGTAAGCATCTACACTCTACTCCCAACCACTCAAAGTCCACTTCACTAACCCACCCCCTCAACCAGCTCTATTCCCGAGGTACCACCATCCCACACCCTTTACCCCCATCTACTAAATCACCTTCCAGCCTGCAACGTCCAAGACCAAATGAAACACCTAATCCGTTCGTCCTCCCCTCCTCCCTCAACACCCACCCATCTAACCACACCCCCACCCCGTAGGCCAATTCTTCATAACCCACCTCTCCCTAACCCCCAACGAAGCCCGCACCCTGCACCAAAAATACCACCAAGAATACGGCTTCACCATCGACGGTCTCTCCCGGCACCACCAAATCACCCCCCTCGTATTCAACCAGGAAGTCGACGACGCCCTACCATTAGAAAAGCTAATTACACCGGATCCTCAACTACGGAAACTCCTCCTAGATATCGATAGAACGAAAGTCAAGCTGTGGCTATTCACAAACGCCTACATTAACCACGCGAAGCGCGTTGTGAAACTCCTGAACGTGGAGGATCTGTTCGAGGGAATCACGTATTGCGATTATGCCGAGGTTCCGTTGGTTGGGAAGCCGACCAAGGAGATGTATGAGAAGGCGGAGAGAGAGGCGGGGGCGTTGGGGACGGAGATGTGTTATTTTGTTGGTATGTCCTTCTGTTTTTCATTCTTGTGTGTTATTGGGTTTGGGACTGATAATTCCAGATGACTCGTACATGAACTGCAAACAGGCCTCGGAGCGAGGTTGGAAGGCGATTCATCTAGTCGAGCCTATGCTATCCGTGCCGCGGACGCCGGCATCACCGTACTTGATACAGAGTCTGGAGGAATTGAGGGTGTTGTTTCCTGGCTTATTCAAGACTGTTGTGGAGTAGTCCACATACGCCTTCTCTCATATTGTATTTATAAGATCCCCAACTCAATATGGCCCATAAGCCTCCAACGGATTAAACCCCCTCCTCTGCTCAAACAACTTCAAGATCGGCTTAAACAACACTCTCCCCTCATACCTCTCCATCCTCCCCAACCGTTCCGCCTCCGCTTGCCTCTCCACCGTCAATTTCATCTCATTCCAAGAAACCCATTCCCACTTTACGCATTTCTCCGGCTCCATGACCTAGCCCACATAGTCAACATTCATCCCTACACCCCACCACCACAAAAAAAAAAAAATAAAAAAAATAGGAGACTTACCTTCGGCACCGCATCCTCATCCACAAGCCTACACCCCACAAAAACAGTAACGTAGTGTTTCCCCTCTTCAAGCATAATATTATTTATAGCAGTCAGGAACCGAATATCGGTTACTTGGAGGCCAGTTTCTTCGAGGACTTCGCGCGCTGCGCATGCTTCAAAGGTTTCGTTGAGTTCGAGGTGGCCGCCGGGGTGGCCCCATGTTCCTATTCATATTAGAATGGTGTGACGGGGATACGAGGGGACATACCCGCGCCCAGACTTCCCTGGCGTAGGCCGAGGATGGTCTGGCCGTGTTTGTTAAAGACGTAGACGGCGACGGCGACGCGGATTGTGCTGGGTGTGGTGGGTTGGGACATGCTGGGATTTATATAGTTTCTGGGGCTTGTGGGGGAGGTTGTTTTATTTTAGGCTGTGGAGGGATGTGTCCAGGTGCTGTGCTAAGGTTGCGTGATTGGTGGTAGAGGGGAGAGAAACATGTGTTGGATGGAAATGGGGGCGGGCGGTGACTGGCGGGTGCGGATGGGGGCGCCAAGAGTTGTGGTTTTGGTGGCAGAATATAAAAATATAGCAAGGAGTGTTATAATCATATGTTGTGAACATACCAATATGTAACATATCATTTGCAAAGAGCCTTCTAAAGCTCTTGGGATGGACAGAGCAAGCAGAAGCACCTCGCTTTGAAACATTCCCATTCTAGGAATAATTCCATTCTAAGTTTATCCACTCCTATCCGCCAACTTCTTCCGAAGGTAGTAGAATCCCACGCCAACCAGCCACAGCGAGATCAAGATCACTGCCTGCAGCGGGGCAAAGACAGCACCTCGCACCACCACAAACCCACTGACAAGAGCGAAGATGATCGGGATAGCAATGAAAGGCTTATAAGGCCGACGCAGGTCCGGTTGCCGGAATCTCAGGATAACAGCCCCTAGGACAGTCAGGAAGAAAAAGGAATACTCTCCCAGTCCATTAAAAGTGACAAGTGCGCGAAAGTTGCCGAAGAGCAAGTACGGCATGGGTAGGAGAGTAGCCAGGATGGTCGCGTTGATGGGCGCGTCCGATCGCGCGCTCGCGCGGGAAGGCGGTTCCGGGTCGGGAGGCATCCCCACGTACCCGAGCACCCCCAGGGACCGGGGGAACCAGTCCAGCTTGGAGGCGGCCACAATCATCCGACCGGCCACAAAGGAGTTTCCGAGCAGAGAGCCGGCAACAACGAGGCAGATTAAGATTGCAGCGAGGATACCGCACACGGGGCCGAGGAGGTGCGTGATGGCGGTCTAGAATCGTTAGAGATGATGTCATCGAGAAGGAAATACGTACCACAGCCACGCTGTCGGTGGTCGACACGATCTTCCATGGGAGGAGGATATAGTAGGCAGTGTTAGCTGCAAGAAAGCAAAGAATGATGATGGGAATGGCGGTATTGATGGCGAGCGGGAGCTGACGGGCGGGTGCAGAGAGTTCTGCAGTGATGTAGATCGCCTGCAATTGTTAGTCCACAACACTCCATCTAGATTGACATACTCGCCTTATCCCAACCGGAATAGGCCCAAAGTGCCCCATACAGCGCAGCAGAATAATACCCAAGCGATTCCCACCCCCCGATGGAGCTCCAGTCGATCTCCCGACCGTCCGGGGTCCAGGTGTTTCTGGATCCAAACCAGGAGTGGTTGAGCCAGTCCTTCGGTCCGGCATCTCGATTGATGCCCGACACTTGCAGGATGACGACCACCAACCCGGCGATCACGATGCCTGCAATGGCGAGAAACTTGGTCGTAACCGAGAAGCCGTTCAGGCGGGTGCTGACCTTGGTGCTGATGGAGTTGGCCACCCCGATCGCCAGCAGGACGAGGATAGACAGCAGCTTATGGGAAAGACTCCCGGCCTGGTCAGTCACGCCTGCCGCAGAGAAGAGACTTTCGATGAACACGATGCTGAGGATGGCGAGGGTGGCGGGCATGACGGCAATGATCCATGTCCAGGCCGCCAGGAAGCCGAAAACATCACCGAAGATGTATCGGAGATAAGGCTGAACGCCTCCTGTAGAGATAATCAGCTCAAGCCTATATCTGTATATGAGGCTACGGACCTTCGCCGGGAATGGCGGTGCCCAGCTCGGCCATGGTGCTGGCACCCGTCCAGGCCAGCATTCCCCCCACCAGCCACACGATCAGCGCGACTCCTGGGGATGGCACATTGGTGTCGATGGAACCTGGAGAGGTAAAAATGCCACTTCCGATCACAATACTGATGACGATGCCAAAGGCTTCGATGGCTCCGAGATTCCGAGTGAAGCGGCCGTCCTGGGCGGAACTGGATTCGGGGCCGGGTTCCGCCCCTCGGGAGTCAGCCAAGAGCGGCCGGTGAATATCCTCCTCGGACCGATCGTGGGGAGACATGGAGAGCAATGAATCGTGGTTGATGTGTGGATGGGTGGTAGCGATGGCAAAAGGTGGAAACCGCGGAAGAGGGGACGAGGCTGGGGGGATCACGCCATCCCCCATGCATCGCGGGCGGTGAGTTCCTCGCAATCCGGCCTCCATCCCTCATCTCCCTCAGCCTTGGACACAGACCTAGTCCGAATTCTGATAAAACAGCCGCGGACAGACTTGATGCATATATTTCCGAACGCGGTCGGTGAGCATGACCGCCGTTGATGCACTAAACAAATTGGCGGCCAGGTGAATGACAGCCCATGTGGAACTAAGGCGATCTAATAGTATCGGGATGGTGGGTATCTGCAAGGAGGCCTGTGCTCAAGTACTGTTTCGAAGCGCAGTCCGATAGCTGATCCTAAAGCCATCAACTACTTAGAACCGACACCATCAATTGCACGGATTGCCTTTTGGTCCCTGCAGCTACCTATTCATCGCCGAGAGTGATGAGTGTCACCATAACGGTCCGCGGATCAGACTTTGGGGCATTCGGGCCGGAAGCGGGACGGGGAGTCCGAAAAGCCGGGCTAAGTGGTTAGGTTTAGGCTACCAGGGATACTCCCAGCAATGGCAGCCTACAACCAAAATCGCATATATTGGTCTTGGAAGTTGATTCTTGCGAATCCTACCACAACAAACTTTCTCATCCTTTCTAAGGATCTCTAGCGATTGTGTCGATGCACAATCTATCCCAAAGATCAGCAATCGCGCGTCACGAAACAAGTTCGAACGTGCTTGACAATGACGTATACACCTCCGGGCTGGACCGAGGATCGACTTCGCGTCGCGACTGTGGATGATCTGCGCCAAATACCGGAAGACGTAAGAGGTGTCTCTATTAAACCCAGTGGGTATACTCATCATCTTATCAGAGACTCCATAAGATTGATGATGAAATACTCGAGAATGTCGAGGCTCGCAAGATTGTGTGCGAGGCACAACACAATGAATACTACCGATTGGAACGCGAAAGAAGAGGCCTACCTCCTGCTCCCCCAAAGCCTCTCTTTGAAGAGTCAGTCGATGCGGTAGTGCAGGTAGTAGAAAGAGCTGGTTTTGATGACTTCGGTTTCATTGTTTTTCGCGCGGACTATTCGGATGAAAAATATTGGGACAAATGGCAAGAGCTGTTTCTCAAAAGGCTGGATGATTCGTTGGCTCAGGCTAGCGGGGGTAGGAGAATCGAGGACAAACTCTTTACTCCGATATTTGATGATCGTGATTCGATTAATGCAAGTCTCGAACGCATCCAAGAGTAAGGTGGTTGCTCCTACCGGACTGTTGAAATATGTGCCGTGACTGATATTGTTTGGCAGGGCATACAACAGTTATGATGAGAATGAAGGTGTCCCTCCAGGCCTTGGTACAGGCATGTGTCTGGTTGTTGATAAGAATGCTATGGAATCGCTTCTTAATCCTGTCGCTGGCGAAGACCCTTGGGTTATTGCAATGGATCTTTCCTTCGATCACAGCCGTGAGGTCCCGGAAGGTGAATATCCAGGCTATTTCCGGGTTGCTGTGGACTCGGTAATACCAGAGTTTTATCCATTTGTGTCCATAATGACACCGCCAGAACTTTGGGCTTCAGCCAATCCGATATGGGTGTCTGCCTACTAGCTAGGAGCACTTCTTCTGCAGGACGAGAGTTGGAATTAAACATATCATATAGTCGGCATTTGCCACTATCCTGGAAATTTCTTCTGTCATGGACTGATAAAAACATTGTTTGTGGGAACAAACCAGAAAGACATCGCATGATTACAACCTGCCCATCTTTTTGGACTGTACCTACCGGTGACTTCAATTCTATCTAAATAGTGTAATATATCCTCTCAGTGGATCGATCGACTATTACCTTGACAGCTGTGCTCGATGATAAACCTATTCCATGAAACAACAGGAGGTTGGAGGCTGTGGCTCTAGTTCAGAGATATCTGTCCCAGATTCTTTGATCTGATGACACTACACATCCGATCTCAGCAACCTCAGCGACCTGTGAAGCCTTCAACTCTACACATTGAATTATCAACTTGATGGATTCCAAATCTGCTTCCAAGATACCCAACGTGAGTCACCGTGAACTATGCACACTCAACCCACTGTGGAATCTCCTAGCAAGCAAAAACAGACAAACACTCGCTTAAGATCTCGTGATCTCCTACCCTACGCAGTGAATACAATCCTCTACCATCGCACACAGACATACCAATCTATACAACTCTCAAACCTCACGCCATCGTCGTCACCCCCAACACCATCATCTCCTACCCCCCGCCAACAACCATGTCCCACTACACGCCCCCCATCATCCCCCCAAACCTGATCACAAAACCCTCACTCAAGCCGCCATCACCACCAAACTTGACTGGCTCACCCACCAACCCAAAAGCGTTCTCTCCCCCTCCCTCTGCGCCCAACACAACATCACCCTCCTCCCACTGGACCTCTCCACCAGCCACCACGAAACCACCAACTCCACCACAACGCCCCTATTCTTCAACCCGCTCTCCACCGAGCTCCTCGACCGCCACCCCGTGAACCACGCCCACTACGCCTTTATGGACATCGCCTCACCCAATTTCTACTCCATCCGCGACTACGCCTCCATCCGATCCGACCAACAAGAATCCCACCCCCTACACCGCTTGGCGGAACTCTCCCGAAAGTTCGAAAAATACATGGACCTCCTGCCCCGAGTTACCCTCCCGAGTGGCGAGCTAGGGTGTCTGGCCCATTTGACAGATTGGGATTTATCATGGTACACCCCCGACCCTTTCCCTACCATTCACGTTCCAATACCGTACTAATATAAGCTATGTGGTGGGTGGACAGGGAAACCGACAACATCTACGCCGGCACATTCATCCACGACTCCCATCCCAAAAACTACTTTTATACCGTCTCCCGCATCTACCGATATCATGATCGCAGATACCCGCATCTAACTATGCTAACTCAGCATTGGTGCTTGGAGGATTGTCCCGAGGATCATATCATGCGGTATGAGCTTGTTGCGCTGCTTCAGTCGATGAGTTCACGAGTTACCAGGAATGCGTTTGATTCGGATATTACTGTTCCTGTTTGTTTTACCTATTCCTTTCGTTTTTTCTTGCATCCTGGGTGTGTGGTATGTGCTGATTGCTGTTTGGTGGTAGGCGTTAATGGTATCGTTTATGAAGCCTACGCATGGAAGGATTCTGCAGGCGCATATGCATGATGATGAGTTGGTAGTTGCGCGAAGCCCGGTTTATAGCTTTGAGTCGATGATGGTGGCGCCGTTTGAGTTGTTTGCAAGGTGGTTTTTGGGGACGCCTGTGGGGGTGGATTTGGGGGGTGGACGAGGGAAGAAGGGGAAGAGGTGATTGGGGATGAGAACTGAGGGGGTATGGGGGTATGGTGATATGGGATTGGGGATGGTTGTGGGGGTTGGGTGAAGACGGGATTTGATGTCGCTGTGGTTATGGGATACGTACCAAGGAGGTTGCTGTGGGCAGATGATATTTAATCTATTAGGGGTGGAATAAGGAAAGCCACTAATTTGTATTCAATTTTAATGCGCTAGAAATCTCTATTCATTTATATTGTGAAGACAATCGGATTAATTCCACAGTGATCCTCATCATGTCTTCCACCACTGCATATTCTACCAGTAAAGGTCTCGATCTCCAATAAAATGTCAATATTGCTATGCAACATCGTGGTGCACGCCTCGGAGTAGCAGCCTCACTTTGTGGCTGCATAGCGCGGACTCGGTTGGTGGCCTTCTCTCCAATTGAGACACAGCCAATTAGCACCAGTCGATAGCTGTTCCAAAGCCAAACGCTACATCTAATTGAAGCGAGTCTCGCGGGTGTAGGAGCCTCGAACTCCTCAAGTACCTTGAGACCAATCCCGAGCCGTCCTCAAAGCTTGCTATCGCGGTCGTGCTGAGGCATTCTGTGAGTAAACAACCGGCCCGAATATGCTCGATGCGTACACCATCGATGCCAGTGCAGCATTCTGCCTCTAGCCTACGTATCTCGAATTGCTGGATCGATCAGCGACAGGACCGAGCTCACTCCAGTCGAGGTTGGCCCCATACCTCTTACCTCTCCGAAGCCTTTAGTCGGTCTGTCGATTTGAAAAATTCACGGGGTTTGTTGTTACTGTGACTTGTGGTAGAGGCTGAAGATGCCTCATTTAGTGTTCCCATCCTGCCAGTGGTTAGAAATAGGATGCCCTTGTAGTATTCAACTTGTAAAAAAGTGCCCGATGTCAACAACGATCCGAATTCATTTCATATGCGTGGTTCTCTAGCTCAAGGCCACTAATTGAGATTAGAGCATATTGCTTCAAGCCGACTGTCTCCCGCATGGAAAGGGTCACAAAGATCATTTTCTGCACGGCCAAAGAAGTGAGAGAGGAGCGACAGCAGCAAGCTAAAAGAGAACCCGAGATCATGCAGCTAATTCGAAGGGGGGAAGCCGAACAATCTAACGAGATAGCTGCCATTCAACACTCCAATATTGACTTGGAAATGGTTCTGAGCAAGGATCAATCATTGACCGTCAGGGTTCAAGGACGTATAACTACATTATGCCCGCTTTGGGTTGGATGTATCGCGACCATCCTTAACTCCTCGTTGTCATTGCTAATCTCCAGTCCTGTGCACTCGAGAGGATCTCCCCTCTCCCATTCTGACTGCGATGCTGAGAATGACGAGCGTATTGACAATGGAGATCATGTCACATTTCCCCTGCAGCGTGCATTCTGGAGTAAAACGACATATGGGCTGGACCAAATGGTCTGATGTGGTCTGTGACTGTACATCCCTCAGTGGCACTACGCCAACGCTACATGTGATTCTCGGCTTTCAGCTCATGAAGTTATCTGAAACATATAGAGGTTGCAACTTGGGCACTCTGTGACATTATCATCAGCAAATGCGTCAGTTCTCGCCCGAAAGCAGTACACTGCGTCATCGACGGCGTGGCCTGCTTTGAGAAGATCTCCTTGTGAATTCGTCATGGAAGTGACTGTTGACTGGCTCCAGTATGTTGTAGGACATGAAACCTCAGAGGCCACCTGGCAAAGCAGCAGGCAGTTTTGGCAGAGAGTAGACGCTGAGCTGCCCAACACATCATTTTCAGCTCTCATCGCCTCAGTTGATCTCAAGTCGGTGTAGAGGTCGTATTTCGCGTCAAGGCCGACAAATCATCCGTTTTGAAAGCACCCCCGGATGATGAAACAGGATGACGAGGATGAAGCCTATGACGAAGGCTAAGATGAATGTTATCCGCTGGAGGGGTAGCATATGGAGATGGAATGATGCAGGGGGTGTTTGTCTTGTTTGCCGTGTGGCAAATGCCAATGCTTGGCGGAGACTTAGTGTGGCTTGGCGGGCGTTTTCAGTGCCGCTTAATCATCCGCTCGGGGCCGATTCCTACCAAAACCGGAAGGCCAGGCCGACTCATCGGCATCGCTTTCGCTCCCAGTCGGACATCAGCCACACCCATGATGGAAATAAACCACCGAAGTGACCTATGACGGTGATGATAGCCCTACGGAGGGGTAACCAAAGGTCTGGCCATTGTGGCTGAGACGATAAATCCCCTTCTACCCCCCTTGGCGCCTCCTAACATAGGCACTAGCCAGCCCTGTGCTGAGCAGAAGTGGGTCGAAGTACGTATGCTTTCCATCCACTTGTGGCAACCACCCTCACCGGAATCCATACAAACCCCAAGGGAACATTTCTCCAGCAAGCACCAACGAGACGTGGTCGACTCGCATCGTGGTGCATTCAACGCGTACGTCTAGGTTTCGTATTTCCATCATCTCTGGTTCGGGCAATTTCCCGCTGTCCCATGTAAGGAACAGCGAGATCCGAGCGATCCAACTCCTGAGTTAAACCATGGCACGATGGCGCAGCAGCGACTCATTAGCGTCATAGTGCCGATTAGCTCTTCGATAAACCCCATCGCGCGATAGGCAGCATCGTTCTGCGGAAGTCTATGTCGTCAGTTGCAATGTCCAAACTGGGGAACGATCCCTCAACGAGGTCATCTGTTCCCAAAATTATCCCATTTCGCTGAATATGGACCCTATGTTGTCCCCACATGTCTGGCCACGCCTTCCAGGGCCCTGGGTATAAGATCCCCCACGATCTCGCGACCCCTCACTCACTCTATCTCACTCAATATCCTCAAACCAATTCCTCAAGAACTACATCAGCCTTACTCTTCCATCTACCATCCTCACATCTCTCAACATGGGTCTCTTCCACCACCACCACGAACACGGTAACCAGCACGGCCCTGGCGGCCATGGTGGTCCCCAGGGCGGTCCCGGCGGTCCCGGCGGTCCTCACGGTGGTGGTCCCGGTGGCCCTGGTGGTCCCGGTGGCCCTGGTGGCCCTGGTGGTCCTCACGGCGGTCCTGGCGGTCACGGTGGTCACCAGGAAGGCCCTGGAGGACATGGCGGCCCTCACGGCGGTGGTCCCGGTGGTCCTGGCGGTCCTGGCGGTCCTCACGGCGGCGGCCCTGGTGGCCCTGGTGGCCCTCACGGAGGCCCTGGCCGTTGGTAAATCCCTGACGGACCGTAAGTCGAGGTATGCTTGATCCCTATTCATGATTATAGCCAAGCTGACTGATGGGGTATAGTTCCGCAGATGATCGAACCTTCAAATTACTCGAGCGAGTGACTGTTGCATTGATTCCACGTCGGATATGAACCGTTTTGTATATACTTTGGCAGTGATATCACAATCTGATACTTTTCGTGTCGTCGGACTTTGGCGTGGTTGGTGCAATTATTTCCAAGATATAGTTTGTTTGGTGTAGACTGTTGCCCATCCCAACCACACCTACACACCCCTCAAAACCATCTCCTCATAATCCAGAACATGCAACTTCCCCTTCCCCCTCCCCCATCCATTCCCCAAACCCCCTTCCAATCAACCCTAACCTCCTCCCACATAACATCCCTCACCAAAGCCCTCCCCACCCCCTCCCCAGCCACCAACCGTCCCAAATTCCCCATAACACTAAACACCACTCCCTGAAAACTCGCCCCCTCATACACCCTCCCCTCCTTGGGCCCATCATACCTATACTGAATATCCGACCCCTTCGACGGCAACCCCTCCCCCTTCCAATTCCCCATCAACGACGGATACGCCGCAATACACCTCAAATACCCACTCTCGCACAACCTCCCCAACACAACATCAAACACGATGCCCTCGCCCGCCGGCATGCTTTCCTCGGAGGGGGCAACCGACACCGCGGCGAGGATTTTCTGCGCCGCGGTAAACGTCACTGCGTACGCGGTCGAACATACCCCCATGGTCGATTTGCAGATGATCCGGTTATGTTTGATATTGTCGACGAGGGGGTGGATGGCCGGCCCGGCCCAGTACGGGGGTAGGGCGTAGACGGGGACGGAGGTCGGGTCGTTGGGAAGGATATAGAAGGGGGTGGACTTTTGACATTTTGTTCCGCAGTGCCCGAGCCAGAGGAGGTCCCAGGTTTGGCCGTAGGGGGAGTGGGTGGGACGGGACTGGGTTTGGAGGGCGAGAGCGCCGAGGGCGAATTCGTGGAGTTGCGATTTCAGGGTGATGTCCCAGTCGACGTCGTCTTCGAGGATTAGGGCGGTGGAGATTCGGTCGGAAATGATTCTGGGGGTTGGTTAGGATGGGTGTGGTGGGGTGTGTTTGAGGAAGGGGGGGGGGGTGTAGGGGGACCGTTGTATGGCGTTGACGTGGGCGCGCCAGCTGCCGATCTCGCCGGGGAGCATGCGAGGTCTGTCGGGTTCGTCGAAACGCTGGGAGGGGTTAGTTTGATGGGAATGGTGGTATGGAGTGGAGGGGAGGGGAAGGGGGAAGTTACTGGGGGATAAGCTTTAGGGCTCATATCTTCGGAGGATACCCCGTCGATCCAGTCAACGCGGAACTGGGTGATTGATGAGGCTAGGACGATCGCATCGCGTTTGTCTGTTCGGCTGGGTAGGTTGATGCAGAAGATCTTTTCGAACTATATTGCCGTCGTCAGCGTTGAACTATATGATCGGTGTTCTGGATGGAAACTAACACCAAGTGTCTGGTTTTGGATGGCGGCGAGACCCAATCGATCGGACGAGCCGATCCCATGCCCCAGTCCACCATACGGGGCATCAGATATGATCAGCAGCGTACCCCATACCACGAGCAGCAGGATGGATGCTAGCCCAGCATAGAGGGATTTCCGCTGCCGATTCCGCACGAATGTCAGAGCGGGAGAAGAACTGGGTATGTTCAATCTCAGGGAGCCCATGGTGGACGGTCAAAGGACATAGACCTGGGCAGAGAAAGAAACAGACAACCCCGCAAGCCGAGTCCATGATCCGGGGCTTCCTAGATAACTGGCGATGGTAAAAGGATGCCTATTGAGGGAGAAGTGGAGATGTCGTGATTGGCTTGCATAGTCGGCGCTTAATCGAGGGCTGTGATTGGCCGACACCATCCACTAAGCATAATCACAGCGCCAGGATCACGTTCCCCTCCAGATCACGGTCGCATTCGATTCTCATTGCGTGGATGATCGGAAGAATGGTTCGCCGTCATCGAAGTTGGGGTGTCGGCCATCCAAAGATACAGAGCGCAGCAGTGACTCAATTGCGCTGTATTTGGGTGCGGGAGCAAAGAAGGACGCACATCAGGACTCTTCCATCGCATTTCGTGGCTCAAAAAACTGAATCGCTGCGTTAACCGTAGACATGCAGTGGTTTTCGAGGCAGGGCTCGGTCGGCGTAGGATCGCAAAGTAGTCGATAATCGTCGCAAACAAGTTGGGCATCCAGAACTGGAGGGGAATGAAGTATGAGACTCCCAGGAACTAGGTAGACCAGACTGTTAGGCTTCAGGCGTAGCAACAATTCACCGAGGAAAACCCACCTGTTTCCTGCTCGTGGATCAAGGACCGGAGATTAGAAACTGCAATCGGCATCCCAGCCTCCTTTCGATCGAAAAAAGGTTAAGAGCCTGTATGGTTGTAGAAAGCGTGTCATCGGTCAGATTCGAGCGATTTCTGTTTGTGCCAGATAGCCTAAAAAAGCTGGCTTACAGTGTAGTGTATCGTCAGACATTTTCTCCAAATCAGACAGAGTTTTCATCCGAGGGGGTGTATCAAGTTCAACATGGGAATAGTGAATGCATTGGCTGTAGAGAGAGAACTCCAACAGTGCCGTGTCATCTGTGGGGTATGCCTTCTCAGGGATGGGAAAAGGGCTCACCCAGTACTTCCTGACCTAACCTATGGTTGATGTAGGCGAACCAGGGGAGGCAGTTTTGTTCGAGGTCAGCAGTCCTCAGGTTCCAGGGTTCTTGTTATTTTGCATTATCCATAAAGCACCAGCAATCGGCGGAAAGGAAAGGCAGACCAGAAGGCTACGGTGTAGTGGCTCATCGATATTGCTCAGGTGGTGGGCAGGGGACTACCATTGGCAACCTGCCCACCACCTGTGAACACCAGGAAACTTTCGGTCCTGGATGGAGATATTCGGTGCTATGCTGAGGCGGAGATGCTCGGTGATCAAAAAGCCCCATGCAGGCATGGGAAAGATCGGTCGTTTGCTTGTGGAAGGGGTTAGCCTGGTCTCGTTTTAAATCTGACAGGTGCGACATACGGAAGACACATACATACTTACCCCTCTGCATCTCTCGTAGCAAACAAATGCGATCCGGCAGGTTTCGCTGGGGGGGGGGGGGAACTAGCCCTGCCAATGCCAGGCTCCACTTGTGCTGTCTGCTCAGGGTCGTTGCGAAACATACGTCCTAGCTCTCTATGCACCCAATATTTTCATTCGGCTGGACGGCCCCCTAAGCAAGTATATTTCCAACCCCCAATCTTAGGAACATGGGGTTTATGACTCGGGGTCTGTAGTCAATGGACATAGACTATCTCTACATGGTCCAAGTTGGATCAATGCGCATACTTGTAGACAGACAGAAAGCTTGGATGATTATCAAGATCCCATTGAAGCTATCCAGACACCTAGCAGCCATTTGAATGTAATTCACAAAGAACTAGGCAATTCCAGCTTTCCTGCCAACTATCGTCCACCGTGTGAATGCCCAATATGCCCCTTGCTGAGTTTCCTCAGTCACCTCTGGCATAATCCGTTTCAACTCCTGAGCCACCACCGCGTTGTGGCTTTTGCGGGCGACCAGTTCATGGATCAGTAGATTACACTCGTGCTTTGCGACGCCCATATACGGTGGGGCCTCTTTAACGTCCGACTGCACCTCCTCCAGCCCGAGTTGTTCGAAGATCATTGGAAGCCTGGGGACCCAGGTGGAATGGAACCGAGCATCCTGTCCCTGGCTCACCTTGATGAGTTCCGTGAGGGCTGTGACCTTACACTCCGGGTGGGTTTTCTCGATCCGAAAGGAAGACACATCAGGCTCTGCCCATTGGATATAGCCGCCGGGTTCTGTTAAAATTAGAGATGGGAGAAACGTCATGAAAGGTAGGGATCCGCACTTAGCAGTTCTAGAATGTTGCGGGTAACTCGTTCGGCTTCATTGTCCTTCAAGACAAAGGAGAAGTTCCGGATGTGAACAATATCGTAAACTCCTCGCAGGTGATCTGGGGTTTCAGAAAACACATCGTACAATTGTAGGGTCACGTTCGACGGCAAGGTTTTCGGCGGCGGAGTGGCGCCAAACGAGATATCAAGACCATCTAGAGACACCGTGCTAGGAAGTCGACGGGCCAGGTCCGTCAACCATATTCTGTTTCGTTGTTAGTGATTATCCTCGTGATCTGGTCATGTTCGGCTCACCCTGTACCGGTACCGATATCGGCAATCCTGAGGTTCCGGTGGTTCGTGGGTATAGTAGGGTGGATGTGATAGCCAAATAGCTCGATCCAGAGATAGTGCTGAAGATTGATGCTTCGGTCCTCATTAGCAGTACGTACGCCTAATACGTTCTGGTCATGAAAGTATTGCTTGGTCTAGACATACCGGTTGTTATCGAGGAAGTCGCGAGTGAAGACGTAGTCGGGCGCAGCCATTGTATGATGCACAAGGATTGTACCTGCGGATGTCGATCCACTTCTGTTAGAGAATTATTGAAATGAAAAGGTGAGATGAATAGTCAGGGAGCTGAGGTCCAGTATTTAAGGGGGAAATGTGACCAGCAATATGACAGATTCCGATTGCCTGGGGGATCATAAAATGGCAGTTTCATATAACTCTCCAACGGCGATGGGGAACTTACCTTGTATTTGTACGCGAGCTGCCGATAGGAGGCAAACTAAAAGATTACCACGCCGGGTAATAGCATCTACCTATTCTAAGTCATCCAACAACGGATTATTCATGAAACTGATACAACTATTTCATGAAAACTTGGGCGTATCTCAGCCCTTCACGCAAAAGGATTTCTGAGGACGCAAAGATTCTAGGAAGCGCTAAGTGCTGTACTAGCATCATGCAGACCTCCTGCAAGTGGAGGATTGGTTGACATTGCCGGTTACATGGGATAATGTAAGGCTATAGCATACCCCTGGCATGATTATTCTTAGATCGGGACCATGGTGTGATTTACGTGTGACAGAACTTACCGAGAGGCTTTCTGGCCCCCAGTTGTTAGTCTTAGACATGGTATGAGGGAATTATCATGCCGCATATGCACTATCTGCTGTCAGAGATCGTTCTGGATGCACTTCAAAGGTGATAGTGCTAGTGCAAGAGACTGAAAACCCAAGCCACTAGGCTTAGAACTTGCATCACCTGCCAGCTACTTCGTGGGAAGCTAAAAGGTGAATAGATGGAGATTTATTTTTAGATGGTATGTCGTAATGAGCTTGAAATGCCTAGAGACTGTAATTTTCTACCTTAATTAAATTTGTACTCCATATGACATTCATCAGACACAACGTATCCAGTCTTGTGTACGATTGTGGCCACATCATTTCATTTCACTCAGAAATCAGTATATTGTAGGAAAAGATCGTAAATTTGCAGAATCACAGGCTAGACACTCCAAATCCCAATATTCGCCCTTTCAGGTTACCATACATGCGCAACTAGCCATATTTTTGCTGATCCTGTTACACTGGTCTTAACCCGTGGCCAGCTACGGGTCATTATGGTGAGAATGCAAAAGTATTAAAGGCCGTGTTCGAGCATAGCGTTGTCAATGAAAGCACCATTTCCAAAGTCTTCTGTATACGCTCATCCAAAATGTCATTCTTTGATATTCAATTACGCACCGCCATCGTGACAGGCTTGCTCTCTCACTGGACCTTCTTTATCCATGGGGAGCGCGATCTAGCAGCAGCGAGTATTGCTCGCTTTCACTTGATCGTAGCCAGTCTAGTCACCTTTCTCAATTGGAGACTTGGGGAATTCCCTATCCGAGATGCTTTCAGGCAAGCAGTGGTCCTTGTTGCAGCATATGCTGGGGCGCTGTTCACCAGCACCTTGCTATTTCGGATGTTCCTCTCGCCATTGAACCATATAGATGGACCCCTCAGCCTACGCATAACCAAATTAACCCACGTCTGGAAGCAGGCTCGCTATCGAAACTGTGAGGTTCTTCACGAGCTCCATCAGAAATATGGTGATGTTGTACGCACAGGTATGTCTCGGGTCATTTGTTCCCAAGCTGTCATGTTGACTCCTTTTCAAGGGCCGAGTGAAGTCACGGTTTTCGGAACCGAGGCATTCTACAAAGTCCATGGGAAGGAATCCCATTGCGCTCGCGCTGCCTACTACGACTTACTTCACCCACTGGTTTCCCTGGACACTACCCGCGACCCTGTCATGCATGCCCACAAGCGCAAGGTATGGGACCAGGCGTTCAGTGTCCGAGGTAAGTTATGTCGGCGTTTTCTTTTGTAGCTCGAACTAATTTGCCTGCGTAGCAATGGAAAAGCTCGAGCCTGTGATCTACCGGAAAGCGGATCTATTGGTGAAGCAACTGCAGAATCAAAAGCAAAATCCTGTCGACATCTCCGTCTGGCTCGAATACTATACATTCGACCTAATGGGAGAGTTTGGTCTAACGATCGACTTTAAGAACCTTGAGCGCGTCCGGCCACACCCGATCCTTACGCTGTATCATATGGCACATCGCAGTCTGGGACCACTTGCAGCGGCACCATGGATCAAACACCTTCTCATGGGTATCCCGTACATTGAGAGGATGAAGTACTACCGACAGTTCATGGACTGGGCTACTGCGGAGTTGGGACGAAACATCAACGTAAGAATGATTTGTGTGTGTGGTTTAATGCCGACTATAGGGGATGCTGATTTTCGGAAAATAGGAAGTCGACGGAGACCGAACGGACATCATCGGATATGTCCTTGATGATGCAAGGCAGACGGGTGGCATCGAGGCGAACTGGCGGTTTGTGCTCGGTGATTTCGCTTTGGTGATTGCAGCAGGCAGGTGAGACTATTCCGAATATGCGGACAGGGAAGAAAGTCCAAGGAGGCTGACAATGTTTGTGGTTGCAGTGATCCGATGCGACAGGTGCTCGCCAACCTGCTGTACTACTTGGCGCGCGAGCCAATCCACCTGCAGCAGATTCGAGAGGAACTTGGCTCGATCGACATGCGCGACTACAAGGCTCTGCAGCAATCACCCCATCTGAATGCATGCATTTATGAGACGCTTCGGTTAAATCCCGCGGTTCCTTCGTCCGGGTTGCGCCTGGCGCCCTCCGAGGGCTTGGAGGTGGCAGGGAAGTTCATCCCGCCAGGCACGACGATCGCAGTTCCCCAATACAGCCTTTTCAGGGGTCGGTCCATCTCAGTTCCCCCCAGGATGGGACGGAAATAATACTGACGCAGGCCCTATAGATGAGCGAAACTTTGTCCGCCCCCTCGACTGGATTCCCGAGAGGTTTACGAGTCAGCCTGACCTCATTCGGGATAAGCAGGCATTCATGCCCTGGAGTGCCGGTAAGTCTGGCTTGAGCCGGCAGCATAGCTTGAATTTTCCGGGGCCATGAGCTAACTACCTTGCCAGGGAAATACGCCTGCATTGGCAAAAACCTGAGTCTCATGGAGATCCGCGTGGCGGCAGCCTTGATCCTGACCACCTTTGACTATGAGTTCGCACCAGGCGAGGATGGCCAGCGTATCTTTAGTGAAGCTGCGGATTACTTCACCACTACCCCGGGTCCATTCTACCTCGTAATGAAGAATCGGGGGGCGGTATAAAAGATGCAGCTACGATTTTGGCGGGGGAGGGGGGTTAGGCAAAGGGCAACGGAACGAGACGGCCTGTAGTTTAGCACCAAGACAATCAAGACTAGTACGTTAGGGGATGGAAACCGTCGGTACCCAACTTAGCAAACGGTCTACTGCTTCGGATGATCTCATTGCCCTTGTTAGGGAAATCAATCCACAAATGAAAACCCGGCATGGCCTAACTAGGGTAAGGACAAGGCTGACATCGTGCGGAGATCTGTCCCACTCGAGTCAACCGCGGCGCCTTATTCGTCGGCCGCATGTTTGCTTAAGTGCGGCAGCCGACGAATAAGGCGCCGCGGTTGACCCGTCAGCGCTAAGAGCAACAAGAGTCGTACTTACTGGTGTTCCTTCAACTTCCCCTCTCCTAAAGGCTAAGGCAGGCCAATCTTACAAGTGGGGCGGCAGGTCTAGACTTCCGGATACTCTGGGTTGTGGGCCCCGGCGAGTAGGAGGGGAATGAATCAAGAACCGCTGATTGAAGACCAAGATCCAAGGTTCCAGTGTAGCCAATCAATTTCAATTCCCTCAATATACTTCGAACATCTTCCTCAACACCCACCCAGCTAAAACACCACAAGGACCCTCTACGCTGCAGTCACAATTCCATGCACCATATCCACCAGCTCCTGGGTCCGAGTAATGGTCGGACAATGACCCGTATCCACCTCCAAAGTCTTCACCTGCCTGCCCTCCGCCCGCATGTTCTCCACCATGACCTTCTGGTAATCCCAGGGAACCGTCATGTCGTTCAGGGTGTAGACATACGAAACGGGGATTTCCCTCCACGCACACTGCCCGATTGGCTGATAGATCGGCTTCCCATTCCACCGCTTCAATCCCGCCACATACGCCTCCAGCTCCTCCTCGGAAAGCCCCGGACCAACCAACAGATTCTTCGGATCGCGATCGAGCACCGTCTCATCCTCGGCAAAGTCGAAGGCGATGGGCATTAGCGCCTCGTGGCCCATGTCCTTGACCATATCGAACATGGACCTCCCCTCGGTGAGGGCATACGCGCACACATAGACCAATCGGATCACGCCACCTGGGAGACCATCTTTCTGTCGGGTCTCTGCACCGAGTCCGACCAACGCGTCGGTGCCGACCTGCCCGCCGTACGAGTGCATGATCACCACCACGTTGCGTCCCGCCTCCGTCAGGCTTTCGACATAGCCCCGGATCAGGGTGATATCGGTGTTGAGGTCGGCATTGGGGGGGCGGGCGCCGTTCATGGAAGGCAAAGACGGGATATGGACTTCATGGCCGAGGGCTTTGAGACCCGAGGCAAACTTGCTGTAGGCGGCTGGGGTGTGCCACGCTCCGGCAACAAACACAATTGCAGGGGTAGTCATGATCCTGAGGTGGTGGAAGCAAGATAATAAGAAACGATTCTGGTGCGAAGACGAAAAAAGGAATAAAAAAAAGAAAATCCAATAAGGAAGCCTGGAGAGTTAGATTTGAAAATGGCTTGGGAAACCACGATTGTTGGAGGGAGGGACGAAGGGGGACTGTCTCAAATTTATGCCATTATAACGGCTTTTTTTGGTTAACGAATGGCCTCCCTGTCGAGGATTAGAGCGAGCGGACTTCCTTTCTCACTCCTCTCTTCCAACGTAGTGGGGCGAGATCCGCGCTGGGCAGGGATGCACAACACTCCTCGGGTTTCCTCGGGCACTGCCTTATCATGATATGCAGGTTGCTGGACGCATGATGCCCGATTGTTGTGCCTTGTACACCTAAACTTGCAGGGATGGGGTTGAGCGGCAACGGACAGGTGCGATGACTGCAGTCCACTGACAGCCTTACTGCATGCGACTGATAAGCCGTGTGACAGCGTACTTCCTGCATAGCCACTAACTCCTCCGGGTCGGGACTCCCGACGAGGCCATCTGTTGCCTGCTGGCCCAGGTTGCCCTGATCGGATGCCACCTCGTAAAACAGTGCGCCAGCAATACGCACGCGAAATGGTTGCATGGTTGTCTGTGATTGAAGTATCATCTAAGCATTTGTGATGTCCCCTAATTGCTACACTATATCGTTTGCACTCAATGGCCAGAACCCAGAACATAACAGGCGCTGCAGTTACTCATTTTTGTGATTCAAGTAGAGGAATTGAGATTCATATAGATCTATGCTAACCATGTCCACATACACTCTACCGATAATCTAGTAGTAAGGAAGTATTTACCCAATGTTTCCTGTATCGTAAAGCTAAAAGTTCCGTCCCCCGCTCATCACAGTCCTCACACAGTCACCAATTATATACCCTCGCCCAAAAACAACATCCTCCCTCAAGGACCTGACCGATTATCCCACTTCACCTGCAGGTCAGTCTGCACATGTACAGACCGAACATCTCCCAACTGGAAGTTTTCACTAGGACACCCGGCCTCAATATCGGTGTATAGACCCTGAGTCGAAGACGACTTGGGAGACCTGTTGAAACGACCGTAATCAAAAAGGAACTTTTTCGCTGACGGGACAAGATAGGCATTGGATCTTTTGCTGCTGCCGTTGGTGTCGGAGCAGCGCTTCAAATACTGCACCAGGCCAGGAATTGTCGGTAGACAAGCGCAGATAATGGTCATGTTTGTCTCGACCAGGGTCCAAATCCCAGGTGTCGTGAGCGTACCTTGGCAGGTTAGCTCGATATCAGTCAATGACAGCGACGGGAACAGAACTTACAGGTCAGGTCGTCCATGCTGACTGTCGCTAGGTAATATAGACGCACTATACTCGTAACACAAACACTGTACGAGATGTTAGTTGGGAACAGCACCATCAGAATATGATTACTTACAATCCACCTAAACAAAAGACCAAAGAAAGGAGGAGTTTACGTTGCCTCGTCTGATGCAATCTCCAGACAAAAGGCTGCGGTATACACAGCAGAGTAAAGTCAAGCAGGATATTAGCAATACCCATGGCAATCCAAAACGTCTTGTCCTTAATATTCGTGTGTGGAATCCACGCCTTCCACTGTGCGTCGATCGGGTTGGTGGAGAAAATGAGGCCGCCAACTGCTGAGAACCAATATCCGGCAATAAGAGCACCCAAGGCCCAGAATACGATGGTAAACAGACGTGACACGGCGAATATGCGTCTGTAGAAGAGAAGGATTGATACTTTTGCCAGCGAAACACTGTTGTTGTACAGTATGTTGTTTGCAAGAGCAATCTATTGGGTTTGTGAGTAGATAAAACGGCTATCAAGGGCTGTGACCTTACCTGGAGATACTTTTCCAGTGTGTGGGCGTCATATTGGGCTATGTGGTACCCAGCTCGTCCAACTATTGCGACCACAACCGTCGTAATCATGAAGCCGTAGGCAAAGACCAGTGCTCCCAGGCATGCCCAGTCATCCCACTTCACGGAAATGGTGAGGACTCGAGAAACAAACCGGATAGCCACCGACGCGGTAGACAGGAATGTCATCATTGCCCCAACGCCAATGAAAACCACATAATGAGGGCTGATCTGATCTGGCAGTGTATCTGCTGCTGGCTCGGACGCCATAGTCAGACGTTGGATCAAAGATCAAGTAATCTTAGGGAAGTGAAAGTCAATGAAGCAAATCGACGACAATGTTGGGTGATAGTCTCCGTTCTCATGTCAGAATCTCTCCAGAATCTTTTATTGGAACGCTCACGAGCAGATCGACTTGGGGGACTATGGTCCAACTAAACGACCGCACCAGAGGGGCATAATCGGAGAAAGTCAGGGAAGATGCCTGCAGATCTATCACGCGATGTTGATCAGATTATTGTTTGTCACTCCTAAGTTTTGGGGGAGGGGCTGCGACAGACAGCGCAGGAGTTGTTGCTTTCCTGCATGTAGGAGTGGACGGGACGCTGCATGCTGACATGCAAAACCAGATACCGCCCCCAATCAGCTTGTATTAGCTACGTACTATCCAAAAAGCCAGGTACATCGGCAAGTGTCCCTTGCATCCTGGTAGTATTTTTGGCTAGTTCATGTATCTAGTGACATACTAAATGTATCTGTCATAGCCCCCGCATGGTAGCATGAGTCTGAAACATACACAGCCGGGTTTCTGTGGGCTATGCATCCCATTACTATCACTGTGTATGAGATTGATAGGGCGAAGAACCATGTACGTAGTAGTGGGCAAGGCAGACTGGACCCCCTGCTCCTAAGCATCCAGTACATCATCAAACCAATATGAGGGTTACCCGTCGAGGTATACATATCCCACGGCTTCCACCATACGGCCTTCGATATCACCCAGCAAGACTTCAATCCAATGGCATCCATTCACCAAGAGACCTCGGGCCAGAACGGCCAAAGCTCGACCAGCAATGGCGGACCCCATCCCATTGCCATCGTGGGATTTGCATTTGAATTCCCCCAGAATGCGACATCCGATGGTTGTTTCTGGCAGATGCTTTGCAAGGGAAGGTCTGCCAGTACCGAATTTCCCAAAGATCGGTTAAACGTTGATTCTTTCTATCATCCTGACGATTCTCGGCATGGCACGGTGCGTATCTATACATGCCATCTAGTGGCGAAAGCGAGGCATATTAATGACTGATGAATTCGCTTAGATCCCAGTCCGGGGAGGAAACTTCATTCATGGAGATATAAGAGCTTTCGATGCTCCATTCTTTTCCATCACACCCGGGGAAGCAGCCTGTATGGACCCGCAGCACCGACGCATGTTGGAGACTGCATACCATGCGTTAGAGGACGGTAAGTAACAACATGACAGTAGAGGCAATATTTATGGAAGCTTATGTACCGCCAGCCGGGATACCCATTTCGAAGTGCTCGGGATCGGACACCTCCGTCTATACGGGGTGCTTCACGAACGATTATCAGAGTATCCTGCAGCAAGATTATGAAGCAGAGCAGAGACACGCGGCTATGGGTATTGCTCCGTCGATGATAGCGAATCGAGTGAGCTGGTTTTTCAACTTCAAAGGGACATCCATGAACTTGGACACCGCTTGCTCAAGCAGCTTGGTTGCCTTGCATCTAGCATGTCAGGATTTGCAGTCTCGCACTGCATCAATGGTACGTTATGAAGCTCCAGACGGTTCAGTAATGCAATTTAATAGAAATAATTTGACAGGCCCTTGCTGGTGGTGCAAACCTTGTATTTCACCCCAACTTCATGAAGATTATGTCTTCATTCAACTTCCTTTCTCCAGACAGTCAATGCTGGAGCTTTGATGCCCGGGCAAGTGGCTATGCCCGTGGTGAAGGAACCGTGATGGTCGTTCTCAAACGCCTAGACGATGCCTTGCGGGACGGCAACACCATCCGCGCTATTATTCGAAACACTGGCTCCAATCAGGACGGCAGGACTCCGGGAATCACTCAGCCGAGTTTAGAATCTCAAGTCGAATTAATTGAGCGCACATACCGGCAAGCTAACATTGATATGGGACCGACTCGGTTTTTTGAAGCCCACGGGACCGGCACACCAGTGGGTGACCCAATCGAAGCAAATGCCATTGGACAGGCGTTTCAACACTGCCGAACTGTCGACGACCCGCTTTATATCGGAGCAGTGAAGGCCAATATAGGCCACCTGGAAGGAGCAAGTGGTTTGGCAGGCCTCGTCAAAGCGCTCCTTGTGTTGGAAAATGGCGTCATTCCCCCAATTGCTGGACTTGAAACCCTCAATAGAAGTATTGATCCTGAAAAGCTGCGGTTGCATGTGAGAGCTTCATCTGAGATTACGGGTACACGAGCTGTCTATCGCTAACACTGGGTGACCCTCTCGCAGTTCCCGAATAAAGCTATCCCCTGGCCAACAGCGGGCCTTCGTCGAGCATGTGTAAGAATTCCACTCTGCCCTGTCCTTGTCGCCCATGCTTACTCTCTGTAGGTCAACTCGTTTGGGTTTGGTGGTACAAACGCGACAGTTATCCTGGATGATGTCCACCACTATCTGGAACTGAATGGCCTCCAAGGATACCATCGGACGCAGCAGTTCCCGCCTGGCAATCTCTTGACACTTCGCAATGGACATACCTTTCAGCATACTCTTTCGGTTTTCGCAAGACAAAATGGCGAGATACCAGACGGTCCCCTAAGTCATGGACTAGCAACCGAGGCTCCCAAATTGCTGGTTTGGTCTGCTGCGGACAAAACGACCGCCCAAAAGTTATCGGCAGCATACCACGATTTTCTTAACGAGCAATCACCTGATATATTGGCATTGTCATATACGTTGGCTGTGAGAAGGAGCCACTTCACATGGAAAAATTTCGCAGTCGTCGACCCACAAACGAGTCCATCCTTCATCGACCTGGGGCCTAGGGATCCAATCCGGGCTCAAGATAACTCTCGCCTTGCTTTCGTTTTTACTGGCCAAGGAGCTCAGTATATGGGCATGGGACGAGAGCTTTTCTCTTTTCCGGTATTCCGGAACACCATAGACCTTCTGGAAGACTGTTTGGTGAAACAGCTCGGTTGCTCCTGGTCCCTGCGGCGACTTCTGGAAAGCAATGACACGATCGTTCCGGTTGATGAACCTGAGTACAGTCAACCTATCACAACCTGCCTCCAGATTGCACTGGTCGATCTGTTGGAAAGTCTAGGGATTACGCCGGCCGTCGTTTTGGGTCACTCCTCTGGGGAGATTGCTGCAGCATATGCGTCAGGAGGGCTGTCGCGCTTCTCAACCGTGAAGGTAGCTTACTATCGAGGCCTGCTATCATCCCAATTGGCTAGCAGGAAAGCCAACATGTCAATGATGGCTGTTGGTATATCCAGGGAAAACGTAGCACCTTATCTTGACCGAATATCTGAGCTCGACGGTTCTTTAGACGTTTCCATTGGATGTGTCAACAGCCCACAGAGCATCACTTTAACTGGCAACATTCAAAAACTCGGTGTGCTCAAACAATGGTTCGACGCTGATTCAATATTTGCGCGGAACTTGCGAGTTCCCATCGCCTACCATTCGCATGCCATGAATGAGATCGCTGATGACTACCGCCTCGCAATTGGAACCCTGGAGCCAGGGGCAAACCCTCACTCTGTGCTCATGATGTCATCAGTTACTCGGGATCTTGTAACTGGAGAAGCCCTCACCGATGCAAGCTATTGGGTCCGAAACCTGACCTCTACAGTGGAGTTTGATGGAGCACTCTCAAGACTTCTGGTTCAATCAAGCCAGCGGCCCCGAAAACAATTGGGGCGCAGTACTCCGATAGATCTTCGTGTTTCCCAGCTCCTAGAAATCGGCCCACACAAGGCACTTCAAGGACCGATAAATGAGACGTTGCGCTCATCCGCCAAAGCTGATAAGCCAGGGTATATTCCGCTCCTGGTACGGCAACAAAATGCACATCGGTGCCTGTTGACGACTGTTGGAAAACTCTACTGCGCCGGATACCCAGTTGATATCCTATCAGTCAATGGCGTCGAAGAAATACCTCAGCCAATGCCTCCGAACATGCCGCGGTACCCTTTCAATCATCAACATACATACTGGAAGGAAGGGCGTCTCAGCGAGAACTTTCGATTCCGCGACACTGCTCGACATGAATTGCTTGGAACCCGCAATATTGACTGGAACGCACAAGTAGCGCAGTGGCGTAATATTATTCGGTTAAACGAGCTTCCATGGCTCCGCGATCATAAGATTGACGGTCAGACTATATTTCCAGCGACAGGTATGGTGGTAATGGCAGTGGAGGCTTTGCGACAGCTCCTTGGCCCTACTACAACCATGACCGGAGTCCAGATCCGAGATGTAAGCTTTCTCCATGCGATCAGGTTCACGCATGGAGCAGAGCAAGTCGAGACGCAGTTGACTTTGTCCAGTGATTCACTTCCCGGGACCCTGAGCTGGACACAATTTAGACTCTTCGTGATAGAGAATGGAAGCTATGTGGAATGTTGTCGTGGATTCATTCGATCAACTGCGGATCAGGAATCACCCCCGGCAGACAATTCCTTCACAGCTGGACGAACGTTTGAGGATTGGATCTCTTGTGTTGATAACGCCTGCAAATCACCAAGAGACCGTTACAACATGTCAACCGGAGACACTGTTGAATATGGGCCTTGCTTCCAAAATGTGGAGAACATGCGAATTGGGGCCGGAGGTGAAGCTGTAGCCGATGTGAACATGAACACATGGAAGTCAAATGCTACAAGCAGTGAATGGTCCTCGAAATACACCGTTCACCCTTGTACGATGGATGGTCTCGCACAGCTTGTCGTCCCAGCCCTTGCTGAGGGACGGGATTACTTGCCCACAATGGTTCCGGTCCGTGCTGCCAGTATTTGGATTGATTGCAGTGAGCCATCATTTCTGCATGAAGGGAATATCCTAGCTCTGGCCAGATGCAGCATTCGTGGCAATCGCCTGGCCACGTCCGATATTGTTGGGGCAGTCAAAGACTCATTGAGGCCGGTTTTGTGCATCAAGGGTCTCGAAACCACATTCATTGGCACTGCTTCTTCTCTTAATGAGAGCTCGCCTCGTCCTCTATGCACCAGGCTCCTCTGGAGACCGGACATTAGTATGATGAGCCATGAACAGATAGCCGACCAGATGACTCGGGACAGACCTAAAGAGCCTCCAGAAGCAGTAAGCCAATACGAGACATTGGTATTGGCCATCTCATGTTTCGTCGAGGAAGCCGTTCAATATCTGAAAGAAACACCGTCTCTGACCATACCATCCTACCTCCGCAGCTATGTCGACTGGATGAACTACCAACAAAGATTGCTGCACAACGGGGTTTCCCGCGCAGCAGTTCAGTACTTTCTGACTAATCCGAATGCACGCGAGTCCCTGAATGCTGAGGTAGAGCAGGCTGGTGTGGAAGGCCACTTTTTCATGCATGTCGGACGTCATTTGATTGCAGTACTTTCGGGTGACGCTGACCCCCTTGACGTGATGTTCCGGAATAAGCTGGCTGATCGCTACTATGAGCAAATGTTGTCGAGTCCCCATCATGCTCACCCTGCTTCGGTATACATCGGCCACTTATGCTTCAAAACCCCTTCAATGAACATCCTCGAGGTCGGTGCCGGTACAGGTGGGCAGACATTGCGAACTCTCGAAACCCTTGGCTCCAATGGGGTAACAAAGTGCACAAGATACGATCACACGGATATCTCACCGGGATTCTTCCCTCGAGCCCAGGAGAAATTTTCGAAGTATGCCAACATTATGCAGTTTCGGGTTTGCGACATTTCCAAGGACCCAGTGGCTCAGTCATTTGAAGCAGCAAGCTATGATCTCATTCTAGCATCCCACGTCCTGCACGCAACAAGGTTGGATGACTCACTCAGAAATATCTGGAAACTGCTCAAGCCCGGCGGGAAGCTAGTTTTGTTCGAAACCACCAATCCGGATGCTGTTCATATTGGATTCGCGTTTGGTCTACTCAAGGGCTGGTGGGATCCTCTCAATCATGAAACCCGCTCTATGCACAGCCCATGTCTGACAACTATGCAATGGGATGGCCAACTGAGAAGAAACGGATTCTCTGGTGTCGATATTGAAGTTCCCGGACAGGACAGCATGGAATGCCGCTATAGTAGCATCATCATATCCACTGCGATTACTGAAATTGGTGGAACTTCCAGCATGTCAGACAACGTTCTTCTGGTCAGGGATCCGGACGCAAGACACCAATGCCAAGTTGCGGATACTGTTCAGAATCGTCTTGCTGCATCGGTCTGTAGCCTTGCAGAGATATCCGAAATTGATGTGAATCCAACCACGATAGTGATATCCTTACTGGAATTGCACGCGAACCTGCTGGATGGCATATCCGAAACTGACTACGGCCTATTGCAGAGACTTGTGGCCAAAGCGAAGAATATGTTCTGGATTAGCCAGCCAGTCTCGGGAGAGCAAACACCACAACAGCATCTGGCAGAGGGGTTCGGACGCACACTAGCATCTGAAGACTCGACCCGGAAATTTGTAACACTCGCTCTGGAGTGCGCCCAATCAAATGAGCAAGTTTCAGAGCTCATAATAAACCTAACCAAGCAAATCGGGTTGTCATCGATAGACAACCTTGAGGCGAATTACTCGGTGACAGACGGTACTGTCTGCATCCCTCGTGTTGTTGCATACGAGACCATGAACGAGCGAGTCTCTCAACTGCTTAAGCCACGAAGGCAGGAGTACTCTCCGCTTCGCCCCAACACGCGGGCGTCCCTCCACCTGGGCCCTCCTGGGGCTATTCACACACTAATGTATCGAGAGGATACACTAGATCGGTTTCCTCTGGAAAAGGACGAGCTTCTCGTCCAAGTTAAGGCCTTCGGCCTCACATTTCGGGACTATCTCATGGTTTCGGGACAACTGGATCAGCTCGATCTCGGAACCGAATGCGCCGGGATCGTTCAAGAAGCAGGTAATCGAACGGGGTTTAAACCTGGAGACCGAGTATGCCTGATTGGCAAGCAGTTGGCACGCACATATGTTCGCGCCAAAGCCGCCAACGCCGCTTTTATTCCCATGGGAATGAGCTTTGCAGAGGCCGCTTCATTGCCGACATCCCTCTGGATCGCGTACCAAGCAGTGGATCAAATAGCTCGGCTCGAAAAGGGCGAAACAGCCTCGATCCTCCAAGCTTCCAGCAGTATCGGCCAGATGATGATTCAGCTAGCAATCAAACGAGGCGCGCGTGTCTTGGCGATGGCAAGCACAGCTTCCAAAAGAGAGTTCGTCTGCAATAGGCTTGGTATCCCTGCGTCGAGCGTCTTCTCTAGTTGTCAGTCTTCGTTGCGCAGCAAACTGTATCAGATTACTGGCGCACAAGGAGTTGATGTTGTCATTGGTTCCCTAGCTGATTGCAATTTGGACCTCTCTAAGTGCCTCGCTGCCTGTGGCCGCATCATTGACATCGGTCTGAAGGAGAATGCAAGCACAACGATGATGGGCCCTGGGGGTTCTGTCAGAAATACGACACAAGCATCCCTTAGCCTAGTGAGGACTCTCCAGGGAAAGCCTTCTGTTGCTTGCCGGGCCTTTCACAATGCTATGGGGGTGTACCTTGAAGAGCACCTCAAACCCCCGCAGCCTCTGAATATATATGCAGCTGGTGAAGTGGGAGCAGCATTTGAAAGCTTTCAAAAGCTTGATATTGTTGAAAAGCGAGTTATTGAACTGACCGAGGGAATGACTATTGAGGTGTGTCCTATGAAAAAGAGACTTGCACGCATTTGGCTGACAGTTTCAGGTGGACTGCATGAACGAACCTCTTTATACTTTTCCGGCTAATGCTTCATACGTCATTGCAGGAGGGCTTGGGGGGCTAGGTCGAACTTTTGCGCGATGGATGGCGAACAGAGGCGCAGGCTACTTGATCCTTCTATCACGCTCAGGAACGAAGGATAACGCCTCTCGAGAGCTTCTGAATGACTTGCAGGCACAAGGAGTATTTGTTGCCACCCCGAAAGTGGATATCAGCGATATCGTCAGCCTGAGAGAGACACTCACTAAGCTCGAGAGAACTATGCCACCGATACGAGGGTGCATACAAGCGACGGTGGCTTTGAGGGTAAGTATCGTTTCTCACCATCTGCAAATAATAACGGCTGCAAATATCTGATTATATGACTCCAGGACAATCTCTTCGACAAGATGTCGTATGAAGATTGGGTGGTTAGCACAAGTTCGAAGGTAACTGGGTCATGGAATCTCCACCAAGTTCTTCCAAGAGACCTAGATTTCTTCGTGCTCTTGTCATCGCTCAACGGAATCTTTGGAAGTCGGGCACAGGCCAATTATGCGGCTGGTAACACATTCAAGGACGCCCTTGCCCTTTATCGACTAGCGTGTGGGCAAAAGGCAGTTTCTATTGATCTAGGCTTAATGGTTGCTGAAGGGGTAGTTGCCGAAAACGAATTCCTGTTGGCCTCAATGCGCCGAATAGGACATTTGATGGAAATCGCTCAGGAAGAACTGCTCGCCCTGCTGGATCACTACTGCAATCCCAATCTACCACTACTCTCGGCTGACGATGCACAAGTTCTTGTTGGGGTTGAGATGCCTTCAGCGGTTATGGCAAAGGGATTAGACCTCCATCATTCGATACGCCGGCCGATTTTCAGCCATTTGTTTCGAATGGGGGTTTATGGAGTGTCTAACGAGCCAAACAATGGAGCTACTTATGTGGGAATCGACCGTCCAGCTGCACTCAAAGCGGCTTCCTCGCAAGATGACGCCGTTGCCCTTGTCACTGAGTGGACTGTTACGAAGGTCAGCCAGATCCTTGGACTCTCAGCATCAGACGTTGAGTCAAGCAAACCAATCCATGCCTATGGAATCGATTCTCTCGTGGCTGTTGATCTAAAAAATTGGTTTGAGAGAGATATCGGGGCCAATTTCACGGTCTTTGATCTGATGGGCAAGGCTTCACTAGGACAGTTGAGTCTCATAGCGACACAAACTAGTCGCTATCGTCGTTGATTTGGGGGTGGGGGGTTGTTCAAGCGTCACTCTTAGTCGTGTCTCCTTTAGCCTTCTTCGTTGCTTATTTTTCCTTGATCAGGGGATGTTCGCCTATCGACTCATCATCCAGCAAGCCAAAACCTACCTATTCATCAAATATCCAGCGATCATTGTATGGATAGCAGGTCCAAGACATCGAAACATATGCATGTGCATGTGAGACTTGCGGTGAGTTTGACCACTGCGAAAGATTTTCAAGTTGGCTGTAATGGATGTCTTTAATCTCGATCAATTCTGGGCTACATCCCTGTGAGCTGTGACGTATGGCTGAAGCACGCCCACAAGCGCTAGTCCTCTTAAGCTGCAAGTGTTTCTGTAGCGGTTCCACAATCCCACGAAGATTCGTTTGACAGTGTGACTAGGTCGCTAGTCGATGATGCGCTGGCTGGTCTCTGCACAGACTAGCCACTCAAGTTATGTTTTTCCACGTTTGTTTTACAGATAAACCAGCAACATCTCCACGTGTGAAAACTCAACCACTGGAATTAAGTGTCGGAATTAAGGGATCGACAACGTCCCGGGCTGACACGGCAGTGGATCCGTGGCGCCCTGAGCCTTCTCGAATTCTTTTCGGCCCGTTGTCGGGCCCGATGTGAAAAAAAACCTTATCGGGAACCAAAGGTTTCCCGTTTTCTTTATTCGAGGACATGGACACACAGGTCATAAAAAAAGCATGAGACAGAGTATAGAAGACATCACTTTCACTCCATAGCGAGAGAGACCGCAAAGCATCCGACACTGGGCTGGATTTTCAAGTTTCGACATGCGGACTTGCCTCGGAAGTCGGGAAATATGCGGTTCGGAGGTGGATCTGGTGGACCATATTTCCCGTGAACATTCCCTGAATTGGTCTCCGCAGGCCCGTTGGCAAGTTTTCGCCAGGTTCCCTGGGATTCCACCAGGAAACCGTTACCCAAATGGAATCACAGCCGTGAGTGGTTTTGGTTTGCTCGCCTCAGCATTAATAATGCCAGGGCAATAAGATAGAAATGGGGCCTTTATAAGGCACATCGCGCCTTTTCTAGACCTCGATCCATCCATATTTCCTCTAAAAAATTATATCTTTGTATCTCCCACAATGAGTGTTACGTACGACGTTTTCCGTGGCTCTGCCGAGGGCCGCATCGTTGCGGGCAAGGCGACGTCCACCCTCCAGCACAACGAAGTCTTCATTGAGACCACCCACTCTGGTCTTTGCGGTACAGACGAGCATTACCTCAAGTCTAACCAGGTGCTCGGCCACGAGGGTATCGGAATCGTCAAGGTTCTTGGCCCCGGTGTCACCTCCGTGAAGGTTGGAGATCGCGTGGGATTTGGGTATACCCACAGTGTCTGCACGTCTTGTGACCACTGCGTTACCGGTACTTTCCCACAAGCCGAATTGTACTCCCGCAATAAAGACGATAGCTAATTCTTATCCAGGTTGGGACCAGTACTGCGAGAACCAGAAGCAATATGGCTTCCACGACTTCGAGAACGGCACTTTCAGTTACGGTGCGGTCTGGGACGCCAACTGCGTCTACAAGATCCCCGACGGATATGACTCAGCCTATGCTGCTCCCCTCATGTGCGCCGGTGCCACTGTGTGGACTGTCCTGACCGAGTATGGCCTTCGCTCGACTGACCGCGTGGCAATCATGGGTATTGGTGGTCTTGGCCATGTGGCCATCAAGCTGGCTGCCGCGATGGGCTGCCACGTTGTTGTTCTTTCTAGCTCCGAATCTAAGCGCCAGGAAGCCATGGACTTTGGCGCCTCTGAGTTCCACGTTTTCCGCTCCGGAGGACCCGTTCCGGAGGGCTTCAAGCCTGTCAACCACCTCTTGCTTTGTGGAAACGCTGGTGTCGATTATCCCTCGTAAGCTACCCTTCTGCTGCTGCTCCTTGTACTAGATGACTAACTCCGATGCAGTCTTATCCCCTTGATGGCTATCCATGGCACAATCTACCCGCTGACTGTGGCTTTCGAGCCTGCTCGCGTGCCCCTGCTGAACCTTGTCTGGAAGGGTGTTCGGATCCAAGGATCGCTGGTGGCCTCTCGTCAGAGTATCCGCAGCCTGCTCGAGTTCGCGGCTAGGAAGAAGGTCTACCCCACCATCATGAAGTTCCCGTTGACCACGGAGGGTATCGAGGAAGCGATGCAGACTTTGCGGGACGGAAAGATGAGATACCGCGGCGTGCTGGTGCGTCAGGAATAAGCGGATGGCCACGATTTTTCTCTTTTGTTGAAAATATACCATTAGTCACGACGATAATAATGCAGATATCACTTACTCTACTCCAGTTGTATGACTCGATGGCTCGAAGCGACTCGAAGCTGTGGACCTTAGGCCAGACTGACCGGAAATGCAAACCCGCCGGCCGATCGGGTGAGTCCCGGAGTTTCGCCGAGCCGTGCAGTCAAACAATGCAGACAGGGCAAACAGGGCAAACAGGGTAACCACGGTTGAACCTCGGCCTGCCTCGGCCATCATCAACGGAGATCATGCTGCATATCCCGGTTCATAAAATAGACATGCCTAATTCAACAGTTGTGAATCAACTAAACCACATGTGGTTGTGAAAGCAGGCGGGACATGTAAACCTTTTCGATGGGAGAATGAATGATTATGGCATACCAGTCTAAAAGATGCCAGAATCGGGAGCAACTTCTCGCCAGGCATCAGCATAATCAGTAGCAGTGAATTCTCTTGCTATGCTCTTGCTGTCAGCAGTAGCATCCGCACGGATACTTTTGCAGCCCACATCCGAAGAAAAAGCAACCCTTGCTATACAATAGAACAAGAGCATGACTACATACTATTGCGGTACTTAAAAGTCCTTCTACCGGCTTATCCTTCCAAAGATTTAGTGCTGTGGGGGGTTGCAGATAAGGTGAGTACCCCACTGAAACCCTTAGGCATCGATCTACAATATGGACAGATGAGACCCGCATTAAGTACCAATTTGAATTACCAACAATTCTAGTTGTGAACTGTTCTCACTCTTACTCCACTAAGCTGCCCCTGCTTCTTTTCATGGTTCTTCCTGGTATTTTTCAAAGGTTCGTATTCGATCCACACCTCTAGTGCTTATTTTGGCCCTCTTCCTTTGAATGGTAGGATTAACTATGTGACTGTTTCCATCACCTAAAATCTATGGCACATGCACTGCTCCTTCGCAAACATCAATATGCCTACATTTCATACAATTTTATTTGCCGCTATGGTCTGGTCTTTTTCACGTGAACTTTGCCTTAATCTGTGTATTTTCAATCTTATTGCATCCAACGTCGGTCAATTTAGTGGCTGCACAGATCCAGCCGGCCTAGATATGGTCTATTCGATGTGTAATCAAGCCTTCTAATTCATTAAACTGCTACGATCGCTGCCTAAATGGTACTATGTGACAGGGGGCCTATGCAGGTTAGTCCATTTTTTGGAAAGAATGTCAGGCTTTCTCGAGGCTTCCCGCTTTTCTTTGTTCTCAGCCTTGTCTCTAACTACCTATATATGGTGGGGAGTTCCCTACGAGATTGGCACATATTTCTCATCATCTTCTTCATCTTCTTCATCTTCATCTTCTTCATCTTCTTCATCTTCTTCATCTTCTCCATTTTGCTCATTCGTATCTGTGTTACAAGCCATCCGTCCCCGGCACTATCTTCTGAAAATACATACCCAATCAAGCACATCATGGCTCCCACCAACCCCGCGATCCTTATCATTCCTGGTGGCTGGCACGTCCCGGCCTCCTACAGCAAGCTTACGGACCTCTTGAAATCTTCGGGGTACGACGTCCATGTTCCCGCCCTCCCTTCCATGAATGGTGTCCGACCCCCAACCGCCGATCTGGAAGCCGATACTGGTCTGTTCCGCGAATACACTCTGAATCTAGCGAATGCTGGCCGAAGTATCATTGTTATTGTCCATTCCTACAGTGGACAGGTTGCAACCAATGGCCTCGCTGGCCTGGGGGCTGATACTCGTGCCCAGCAGGGTCTCTCAGGCGGAGTAGTCCATATTCTCTCTCTGTGTGCCTTTTTACTTCGAGAGGGCCTCGGCATGGTTGATGTGGTGAAACATTTTGATCAAGAGGACTTGATACCTCTGGCGTACGACTTTGACGAGGACCAGACAGTCTTGGACCGCTATCCGGAGCTCCGCTTCATTAATCCGGATTCCAATGACAGCAAGGAAGAGGTGGAAAAGTACTTGGGTACTCTCAAGAGGTGGAACGGCAAGTGCATGTACCAGACTCTAACTACAGAGCGGGCTGCCTGGAGAGACATCCCAATAACCTATGTCTATACCCTTCGTGATGTGACGATTCCCACGGAGTATCAGAAATGGATGGTGGAGACTATGCAGAAGGAAGGCGCGAAGATTGAGACTGTTGAGCTGAACTCGGGCCATTCGCCTGTTTTCAGTAAGCCGAAGGAGGTGGCTGAGATTGTGGACACTCTTGTCGCTCGCTACAGTAAAGAGTGATGTGGCAGATGGGGAAACTCCTGTAGCGAGTTATTTTCTGTACCCAGGCAGTAAATCGTCTTATGAATTATCAGAATAACCTATGAGAATGGCATTTCAACGCCTTGGCAATTTGAACCACGGATGTAAATCCTTCGTCATTACTACTCAAGCTCTTGAGGATCCTGCAAATTGTACACGTATTAACTCAAGTCTGTACCTCATGGCATCTTCCTCTACCTACCAAGTACTAGATAGGCTGGGCCCGTGCCGCTTTAGTCTCTGCCTTAGGACCGAGCTGCCCAATCCCCGATCCCCAAGTGGGGCTAGCCATCTTGTCTTTCTCTATCCAAGATCTTGACACCCCTCCACTTCTTGTAGGTGGATTTTCTGGTGATCCCCTCTCCTGGCTCGTCTAGTGCTTACATCTCCATCTCCACTTTCTATTATTGGTGGTGATTTACGCCTCATAAAAATGCGGTATTTAATCACCACAAGGAAATCGACATGGCCCCATGTAGTATGCACAGCCAGGTATCGAGGTCTCACTACGCTAACAGCTCAAACCCCAACTCAGTGAAAATTTCAGACAAAGAGGAAAGAAGCCTTGCTCCGTACGTACTCTCTAATTGGCCCCAGATACTTAGAAATTTGCATTATCCGTACTTAGTAGCTTTGGATAAGGTGCCTTTTACTTACCTTGGGCAGTAATCGGGTGGATATTAATGTAGAAGGTAACTTAGATAGCTTTGTTTTGTTGGATTCACTCATAGGCTGTCAATATATATCCAGAAATGAAGCCAAGTTGCTGGACAGAGTCTGCTTGTGGTGCTAAGTATTTGATGGAGTCTTCGATGGTCGGGGTGGGTGGTGGTTATCCAGCGACAGTATATATATTTGGGATAGTATAACGAGTGAACAAAAGGAAGGGACCCCTACTTCGAGGAAGCATTGTAAATAGCAAAACTGGAGTACGAGTTTACTGCTCAAGCCACAGTAACCACCACCTACCCCCAGGAGCAACATTAACACCCAAATGGACATAGTTGAGCGTTTCTAGAAATGGACGAGCAACACCCCTTACTCTCCGCACCCAAGGAACAGTAAAACCGCCTAAAACAAGAACGCAATACCCAAACCAAGAACAATACCAAAACCAAGAACAATACCAAAACCACACCTTAGAGACAGAACATCCTCATCTCCTACAGCCATAAACCAAAACCAACCCAGAACCCCGTCCTTCACCAACACAACAACCAGCAAGCACAATACCACATCCCCCCTATATAACAGAAGCTCAGTGCATCTACCAATAAGATGGGCTTGTGGTTTAGGGGTATGACGCTCCATTCGCATTGGAGAGGTCCCGGGTTCGATTCCCGGCGAGTCCACTTTTTGTTTTTCAACATAGCCGTCTACGTTGCCCTCATAGAATATAAAATAGCAGGGAATTTTCATAATCATTCCTCGATGGTCTAACGGTCATGATTTCCGCTTGTCAATCCCTCTCGGGAACAAGCGCGGGAGACCTGGGTTCGACTCCCAGTCGGGGAGATATCTTTTTTTTGATTTTCTTTTTTCTCTGTGTTTTATGTCCTGGATGTCTTCATTTCTGTTTTTTCTTGTGGGAAAACTTTCTCGGGGGTTTCAATGAATGAGTGTTGATTTTCGGTAGCGGGTCATATCTATACGTGACGATAGGAGCAACAGAACAACTGTCCGCAATGGCTTTGGTGCATAAACCCGCATCGTGTATCTTGGCACATGCGCTCATGTATTTGATGGTTGTCTCATAGGAAGGCTTACTTGGTGGGAGACTATCCATCCTGCGTACCCTTGTGAATTTTAATCCATATGTTCATGTTGATTTTCAATCCTGCCTGAAAGGGTAGGGAACGTCAAGAGAAAGCCCGAAAGTTTGATAGAGAAAGGGAAGCGCTAGGGTACTCATAGATAGCAGTGAGGGAGAGACATGGGGGGAATTGAGGAAACATTACAAAAACAGAAAAAAACAACAGATGAAAGAATAAGTAAAAACTCTATAAGCTTTGCAATCATCACAAAACATCCCAGCGTTACCACACCCCAAACCTCCTTCCCAACGTGTCATTCTATACCAGGTAGTGAGATATGTCAATATCGGTCTCTATCAAAGCACATCCCAACGTATTCAATTGCGATAGGTATCCCAAAGACAAAAGCCTCGATGCGCATATTCGCTCTGAAGTAAGTGACACAAATGGATAATTCCACGAAATCGCCAGGCCTTGCTTTTCCAGACTTGATGACTTGATCCCATCTACAATCTAGGCGGCGAATGCATCGTACATCTAGTTGTTGGTCAGAAAATGGGAAAGAGAAAAAAAAAAAAAAAAAGGAAAAATGAAATAAGGGATAGGGGCTACCGACCATTTTCATAGGCTGTTGCAGGTGCAAGATCCTTCTCAGAGTCGTATATGAATAGCTCACTGTCTTCATCCTCGGTTGCTATCTTGTAGGGAAGGCAAAAGTTCGATGTCGCATGGACTGAAAACTTGTCTCCCTTGAGTGGAGGATGTCTCTGTTAGAACATGTTACCCTCTCAGTATGAGTGTAGAATGCCTACCTTTCCAAGAAACCAAAGCACCTCGGGTCCATTACCAAGGCCCTCCGAGAAATCCATATATTCAATATTGGAGACCCGATTCGCGATTCCGTAGTGATAATAAGAATCCTTCACCAAACGGATGTAATCAGATGCCCAAAGGGCGGCTCCAGTAGCTATCGTACTCTCCCTAGGTCATTCTATGTCAGCTAACTGCAGACGACAAAGGAGTGCGGGGGTATTACGGGAATTTGAGTCGATGGATTGGTTTGTAAAGGCGTTCAAGACCTCTTTCGATACGGTCAGCAATATATTCCGAGTGTGTAGACTTGCCAGTTATAAAGATGTGCTGAATGCTCGTTAGTGCTTCATATAATTGACCGGATAGGCTGTGTTTATACCTCAATAGTGCGAGAATGGGACCTCCAGCCTGCAATAGCTATCTGTTGGCCCAAAATAGGTAGTGCATCGATGGTGAGGTGATATTGGAGCCCGAGCATGTCTGGGCTATTGCTGTAATATTAGATATCGTTATTCGAATAGTCCATCGAGAATCAGACTCACGCGGGAAGTTGGGCCTTGACCTCCGCACCCTTGCTAGAGTTGGTGAACCGACGACTGGCGGACTCGCAGTTGCTAGACGCGTTGGTTCCTAGCTCCAAATCTTGAAATCCCTCTACGAGCTCGTCGGACAAGACCTCATTGGAGGCCTGACAAATTCTGGCATTGGTGCATAGCAGCTCTATGTAGGATTAGACGGTGTCTGCGTTTCTAGATAACCTTGGCGAAAGAGACTCACCTGTATGTTGAGTGAGCGCTCGACAGACCGCAGGCTTTTTCTGCTCGACTACAAAAGTACCGATATCCTGGAACCTGTAAGCCGGATTGTTTTCTACCTACTCTTTGAAATAGGAGACTAACCAATGTCTCACCCCCTAAATCACAGATCATGACCGCTTGGCCATTCTGATAATAATGTCAGTAAGATCAGCAAAAAGAGGAGTGGGAATTAGTATTCTAGGCACATACTTTCACTCTGTTATTGGGGTCAGCCAAGATCGTCGTCAGCACCGCTTCTGGCTCGGTCAAAACGAGAAAATCGTTCCCACCCCCCTGTTGGAAACCTGCCAACAGGAAGGCCTCCCTAAGTGACACCACGGCATTCTTCGACCAGGTAGCCGGTACCGTAAAAACCAGTTGAATGGGTAGCTTTTGTAGAAGCATATGGTTGCAGTAAGAATCAATATAGCGTTCGGAATGTTCGCGAACAAGCCTCAGGAAGTCCCCGACAATTCGGATGGGAGACCTGCCTCCAGGCTGGCGAAAGATACCAATGGACTGGTCCCAGTTGGCCTGGGCTTCAATGACCTTGATCCTGACAGTCTCCTCCAGGAGGAGCTTCATGCAGGATACCGCGACATGGTTCGGCCCAACCCCCAAGCCCCACGTAATTTGGGGGCTGCAGTTGTCTTCGGGGTAGGCGATACGGCTGGGAACGAGGCGAGAGTAGACCCACTGTTGCGAGCTGGAACCAGGCCATGAATCCACAAATCTGACATCATTCTCAGATGGATGTCGGAAGGCAACGACTAGTGCAATTGATTAGTTGCTTCTCCCAAGTAACGCCGGATAGAGGGGCGTCTTACCAGTATGCGTCACACCGAGGTCAACAGCCATAACGATTTTCTGTGCACAGGCCATGATCAGAGCAGTGCGAAGTTTGGATGTTGGAATATTTGGTTCGCTAAGTAGAGGTATCAAACATGTAGAGCTGGGACAAGGAAGGGTGAAAAAAACGACGCTGGTAATATCGCAGAGTTTCCGATCCACAGGATTCGATAGCTTTTATATTATTTTTTAGAACAGTAGACAGTAATTAAGCCTGGCCCGATGAGTGTATCCTTCCGATATCGAAACATGTTATTTCGGCATTTTGCATTGATCACTTGGAAAGGCATCGAGCGCTAGGCTCTTCAAACGAGTAGACCGCTGCATGTCAGTCAAGCAATACGGTGACATCCTAAATATCGCTCAGAACAATGCCAGAATTTGAGACAAAGGCCGGATAGATGAGTTCGTTGTGTTCATATCGGCCCATTTCATGTTTGGTGGCGGCTTCAAGTCCCGTTGGGCAGGAACACAAATAACACGGAACTACAAGTGATTGAAGCGTTAAGATCGATGTACAAGTAAAAGTGAACAATTGGACTGGGAGGAAAGAGACGAGCTAGGACAGGATCTCCAAGATGAACTGTAAGCGATTCCTCGCATCGACAAGGGCGATGCCCTATTGTACGGCAGGAGCCGACGTTTGGTTGGTGTTTTCCTAAGACGGGCCACAGCCTTGCTCATGACCTTGTCTGTATGGGCACTATTCACGCGTGATTGTTATTGAGTGTTAGCAAACGGTGTTTCCTGGAATGACATATGAAATGGTGGTGGTGACATGACTCGAACAATGTCTCCGGTTGATAATAGACGAGCCTTCATCATGGCCATAGAAAGTTGATAAGATCAACCAAGACGAATTGATCTGCATTCATGGGAGACTACATGAACCAAAAAAAGACGAGAACCAGGACTAGTTTGCTCAGCGCTAACGCGCTTTGTTAATAAAGCGATATCGCACAGGAAACGCCAACAGAAATACCAATACTACATAAGCCCCTCATTTAGACGGCAACACCCGCTTAAAGGTTTCGATGGTATGATTCCAGACCTTGCTGGGAAACTCCTTGCCCCGATAATCGGCCATCAGCTTCTCCCTGGTGGCATTGCTTCCGTCATAGGCCAGTATATATGATCCTCCCCCGACTTTGCCAGTCGACGCAGCCGCCGTCTCCACTCCTTCAGCCAACGGAACACCCGAGTGAGATGGATCCTTCGGCGCAGCAGGTGGATAGGCTGCAGATGTTGAGAGGAATAGATTCCTCTCGCCGCTTTCCTCCAACGTCATAGAAATCGGACGAGAAAGGATGCCGAGAACCGACCCGGCGAAGTTGCCAAATGTAGACTTCATCAAGGGGCTTCGCACAACTCCAGGGAAGGCGTGAATAAAACTGATAGTCGGATTGGCGGCGGCGAGGTGCTCGATGGCTAGAGAGTTCAGGGTTGCGGCGTATGTATTCGATTTCATAAATGTCCACGACTTGGTCAGGTCGAAATTTTCTTCTTTAATCGAGCCTTCCTGACCCGCGGCTAGGATGGAGACGACCCTAGCTGGGCCCTGGGAGGCCCTGAGCAACGGCAGGAGATTGTTCACGAAGCGCATGCGGGCATAATAGCGAAGGACATGGTTGTTGTCCAGGCCCTCCTCGGTGTCTGTGTGAATGCCGTCAGCACCATTTGTCAATAATCGTTCATCCTACCATTTTTCGAGATCGCTAGATGGCCGGTGGACATGAAGAGAAGATCGATTTGCTTTTCCCGTTGCTGGATTTCCGCACAGGCTTCATCAACGTTACGCAGCAGTGAGAGATCCGACTGGATGAAGTTGAAGGATCCCTCTGGGTTGGAGGCACGGAGTTCTTCCAGTATCCTGGACCCGGAAGCCCCATTTCGACCAACCAGATGGATGGTGGGCTTCTTCACAGTCAGCGCCAACTGCTTGGCCGTGGCCTCTCCGATGCCACTGGTGCCCCCGACGAAGACGGCGACCATGTGTGGGCGACCAGCGCCCAAGGTCGTGTTGGATTGACGGACTTGACTAAGAGTGGGCATATTGATGGAAATGGACAAGATAGGTGGTTGTTCTTCATGTACCTGATAATATCTAGGAGGGTGGAGTTGTCGAGCTGACTGATGACGTGCACCTGACTCATCCCCAGGGAATGACGTAGGAGATCAGCTTCACTTTCTAGTATCCCATGCCTTTTCATCATCGATCCCTTCCATAGACGGTCTTTACACCCGCTTGTACTACGCTTCTAGATCTTTGGCCAACCAGCAATACACTCAGCCCACTTTTCATAACGTCTCCGTTATTCATATTCTGTGTCTGGTAGTTGGCGGGCGCAGTCTTGTCTGAATCGTCCTTTACTGATCCCATCGAGACGACACTGTCTTTGTTGTCGTAAAAAATGGCCAGTACGTCTTTCCCGGGGTATGTCGGTCTGCAAAAGTTAGGGCCTAACCTCCTAAGCAATGTCTCGAATACTCACCACCCAGGAAAGAATCCTTATTACTCGTGCGGACAGCGGTCCCGTATGGCGCTGTTCTCTCAGTGATTGCAAGCCATGAAGGAGGGGTCAACATACCTATCAAGGGAATATTAACGCCAATCTGTCCGACATTGACACAGCGTTGAAATGTATTTGCATGCTTCCCACTTGTGGTGAAGATAGAGCACCCGTTACCATCTGCAATCAGGTTAATCTTTCATGTCTTGCACGCATATCCGCCGATGCTTACACTTGTTCTGATTGATTAGATCGATGGCTTCTTCCAGAGTGTCGACTTCCATGCAGATGAGCACCGGCCCAAATATCTCCGCCTGATAGCATTCCATGTACGTCTCAACCTCGGTGAGAATAGTTGGACCCATGAAGTTCCCATCTGGATAGCCCGGGACCTCAATGTCTCGGCCGTCCAGCAGGACGGTTGCTCTCTCTTCAATCGCTCGCTGTATCATCCCACTGACATGTGTTTTGGCAGCTGCGTCTATCAAAGGCCCCATCTTGGACTCCTGATTACCTCCGCACCCTACCACCATCGACTGCGCCAATTCCACAAGCTTAGGAATCCATTCCCTCGTTGTGCCGACGAATACCGCCACGCTGAGTGCCATGCACCGCTGACCCGCAGCGCCGAAGGCACTTCCTGCGATCGCAAAAAGAGTGGGCATCATATTTGCATCCTCTAGGACAACCCCATGATTCTTGCCTCCACACTCCGCTTGAATTCGTTTCCCTGCGGCCCTTGCAAGATCATGAACCTGGCCAGCGGCAGATTCGGAGCCGACGAAGCTTACCGCTTGGACGGAGGGCTGGCTCACAAGCATCTGGACGGTAGATGGACCGCCATGGAGAATATTGAAAACCCCTGGGGGGAAGCCAGTTTTGAGGAATGCCGCAGCCAGCAAGGAGGATGTGGTTGGGGTTTTTTCGGATGGTTTCAGGATGACGGTATTGCCAGTAATGAGGGCATACGGCAGGGACCAGAGGGGAATCATGAAGGGGAAACTGAAGGGTGTGATTGATACACACACGCCCTGTTGATATGTATTAGTGAGCTGTTGGAAAGCCCCAGCATCGCACTTACCACCGGCTCGTAAAATGTTTGCAGCAATGTCGCGTCGCCTCCCAGGAACATACCGGCCATTTCAGGCCCGATCGAACATGCGGCGTGTATGCAGTCTAGACCGCGAAAGACTTCTGCATCCGCATCGGCTAATGTCTTGCCAACCTCTCGTGACAGACAGGTTACCTATGGCAGTCAACAAGACAGTCATTGTCAGTGACCCATCTCTGCATGGATGGCCTTACAATTTCTGGTGACATCTGTCTTAGTACATCCACCAGTCTCAACAGGTGTTCCCGCCTAATCTGGAATCCCATACCAGCCCATCCAGGTTGAGCATCTTGTGCAACCTCGACGGCCCTCTGTACTTCCTGGAGAGTACTACCGGGTACCCTACAGAGTAGACGTTGTGAAACCTGTCGTCTATTTAGTACCTAAATACAGCCTAAAATCACCCAGCCCACTTACCGGATCTAGAACATTCGTCCAATTCTGCGACCTGGACATGACTCGTGAGTTGTTGATGAACAGATGCGTGATCGTCGGCGCGGATTGCGACCGTGGTGATGATTCATCGCGATCCGATCCATCAAGTTCTCGGGATACCGTTCCGGCACGACTCGATCGGGAACTACGACTGTCACGACGAGACTTATCTCCATGATTCATCAACAGGGACTACCTCGCTTATCAGGGGTCGAAGCAACGTACATCTGAGGTCCGGCGGTGCACGTGCCCCGACGCTAAGGTATCATCGCTGGAAGCGGGCGAGGCGGCGGAGAACGGCGTGAACCTTGTGCGGGCCGAGGAGGCGCTTGATATCCGGGGCATGCTTCAGGGGTGCTATCGACGAATCATAGATAGATCGATGATGGTGATATCTGTCGAAGTTCGATTCCGGTGCTCCAGCCTCCAAGCCTTATCAGGTTGGGGCTCAACTGGTCCGTGCGTTGGCTGATAAGCAATGCGGCTACGTAACTCGTCTGGATAACCGTCGCTTCGACGGAGCGGTGATTGGCTGGCATTCTTGTTGCCTGATTCTTCAGGCATGATACCATCCTGCAGCCGGTATAAATCTAACCATTGCTTCAGTCATGCTAAGCACAGATCATACCCAAATTCTTACTATCGATCGTCAGATCAACCTGGGATTACCATGCCTTTCGTCAGGGGTTGACCTCATCAGGGCACATGATACAAAGTAGAAAGTCCCTTGCAGATGGGTGCAACAGGTCATGCTCGAGACATTCGGGGCTCATACTGTGATTAAGATCAGGCAAGTATATTAGCCTGAAGTAATCTTGATAACCTGAAACACAGATCAGCACACACCGTAAATTGGCAAAAGCATCTGCAGAGATACTAACGTTGACATCACCTGAATCAAGACAGATCATGATCAAAAGTAGACGGTCTAGCAGACTGCCTGAGAAACTGCATGCCAAGCTCGGGCGAGTCACACATGATCTGATCGTTCGTTTTGCCGAGGGCCAAGGCAAATGGTAGCTTTCTGGCTTGAAAGCTGCCTCATTCTAACAAAGACCTGTAGTGTTAATTAAATGTGTTTTGCATTCTTTGCAGTGGCCGCATAGTTTCGCAGATGCCTTCCCCGCTGTTATTTCCACATACCAATGACGTAGGAAATCCGTATCCCCTACAAGAGACAATCAACCTACTGAAGCCTTCTCTTCAAGCAACAACTCTTTAAACCCATCAAAAACCCATCAACACGATACCTTATACTCTTCTAATCTCTACCATCCAACCCAGATAAGATAAGATTAGATCCTCACGCAGACACCAGCTTATCTTATCACCATTTCCGCACCGCAACCCCCCGCCCTTTCCCTCCGAATTTTCAATCCGCCTCTCTCCTTGATAGGCGCAAGCGCGACTAAAATAAACACCGCTCGAGACTAACTCCAAGCTCCCTCGCCCTATTATCTACAGTTTATATCCCGCCTTAACTACAGCAAGTCCAAAAGTATCCATTTCAGTCACTCAAACCTCACCACACCCGCTGCAAAAAATTTCACCCAAACCCAACCCGAATCATGGAATCGCACATTTCCGCCCTAACCACCCAAATGGACCGCATCACTGTCCTGGACCAGGACCGCGCCCTGCTTAATCTCATGACCATTATCCGGGACCGAAACACCAACGATCGGGAGTTTTCCTCCGCGGTGGAGAAGATTGTGCGTCGGTTGATCACGTCGGGTGAGTGATTTGCCTTGTTTTCCTGGATTAATTATTGTCAAAGAATATTGGGATCTGATCACAAGGATAGCATTGAACCACGTCCCCGCCGAAGAATACACCATCACCACCCCCATCGATAAACCCTACAAGGGAATCCGGTTCACAAAGGGCGTTTGTGGAGTGAGCATCTTGCGCGCCGGAGCATGTATGGAGCAGGCATTGCGGGATACCTGGACGTGAGTCCCCCAACCCCTTTTACAAGAAAAAAAGAGAAATAAAGAAAGAAAAATCCACAATATACATCATACTAAGAAAGAAAACAGAGGCCGTCTCAGTTTCGGTAAATTGCTCATCCAGCGCGACGAAGAAACCAGTATCGCCAAGATTTATTATTCGAAGTTGCCGGCGGGGATTACTAATGATGGTTTGTTCACCCCAACACTACTTTCAGTCTTGTATGAATCATAGAGGGAATTTTCGCTAACACGGGGATGTGATGTAGTTGTCCTGCTCCTGGAACCCATGCTCGCGACGGGCGGATCGGTGATCAAAGCCGTGGAGAACTTGACTAGTCATGGGGTTCCAGAGGAGTCGATTGTGCTGGTGAATGTGGTGTCGTCGAAGAAGGGCCTCGAGGTGGTTTCGGGGAGGTTTCCTGCGCTGAAGATTGTTTCGGCAGCCGTGGATGCGGAGTTGACAGGTCAGAAGTGAGTTTATCTCTTCTCTCTATTTTATTTTTTCATCTCCTCCCGGGAGATTTGTTGGAGAGTGTTGCTAACAATGGAGTAGTTATATTAGTCCTGGATTGGGGGATTTCGGAGATAGGTATTATGGGACGTCTTGCTAGGGTGGGATCAAATTTGAGGATTGGATGGGATGGTTAATGGGAATTTGCATATAGCTTTCGTGTTGCATAGTTAGGGATATGGTTGATTTAGGTTGAATGGTTGCATTGTGCATAGGGTGTGTTTATTGTTGTGATGGGGAGTATAATATCATTTCTTTATTGTGATTACTGATGTTATAGTAGCATATAAATTTACTCGTTTTATGAATTAGGTTGTATACTCTTAGAATGTGTTTCTGCTAGTCCGGCTGAAAACAAACGCTTTATAAAGAGACAAAAAGACAGAGAAGTATTACCGATAGAAAAATACCGAAAGAAGATCTGAATTAATCTATGTATCCGAAAATGTAAAATAAATACGAAGGCTATGAAAACCCCATAATACAGTACTTCATGATATCGTCTTGTAAAACCCACTATATTAATTCATCACATATCTAATCAAAAAGCAGTCCCATAAAGCCTATCCCCAATATCCCCCACACCAGGCTGAATATACCCCTTCTCATCAACCTCCGGATCAACCGCCCCAACCACAAACCGACTTCCCTCCGGCCACACCGCGGCAGCATGACCCAATCCCACCGGCGTCGATAACATCGACAAAAACGTAACCTTTTCAACACCCCAATCCCTAGGTCCATCATCAGTACACCTCCAACACCCCAAGACCAGAACACTTACTGCAAAATACTAACAACCGCCGCGGCCGTACCCCCCGTCGCAATCAACGGATCCAGAATATAAGCCTGCTTGATATGCGCCGGCTTCAGCGGCAACTTATTATAGTACTCGACGGGCTGCAACGAAGCCTCGTCTCGGAATATGCCCATATGGTAGACGGCGGTGTTGACATCGGCGGGGATGTTGTCCATGAAGCCATCGAACATGGACAAACCGGAGCGGAGGACCACGATGACGGCTACGGTTTCGGTTTCGGTGGTCTCGATGTGTAAGCTCTTGGTGATCGTGGCTGTCATGTCGCGGATGAGGGAGCGGACTTGGGAGGGTTTGAGGGTGCGTTGTCGGAGTTGGGAGAGGAGGGATGTGAAGGTTTCATTTTGGGGGGTGTGGACGTTGGAGGGGAGTGAGATGGTCATTGTGATGTGTTTGGGTTGGGAGATGGTGGGTGGAAAGTGAATGGTATGTTGATATTTGAGGGCATGATTGTGGTGGCTGATGAAGCGGTATATATACATGCACTTTAGCTAGATATCTGGGAGAGAAATTACATTGTGATGGCGTTCTCCGACTGTTGATGCTGTACATCGGTTATCGGGGCCGTATCAGATAAGATACTCTATCAGCCGAGGAGATAAGCCCCTTCTCTTCCCCGCTTTCCTGTTCCCCTCTTTCCACCCTTGCATCCTCCAGAGAATATCGAGTCTCGTTCAAATCTCCCCCTTTCTCTATCGTAATAGCTTTCAGAATCAGTCAGCATCTACAACTCAGTGAGAACCACCATGGACCCAAATATCCAACACCTGCTCGGCCTAGAAGCTGTACGCGACCGAGCCCGAACCGTCTTCAGCCTCGCCGAACAAGGCAAGCTACACCACTACGATTACCACCCTGAGCGCCTCGACGCGACGGTTGACTACGTGGTTGGTATCATCCAGGTGAGTACCTCATAGTCTAGATAGCTATAGAAACACAATTAATGACTAAAGCGCGACTTTGGCCCGGACCGCTACGACCAGATCCCTCCCCACGGTCGCTGGCAGCACTTCGACGTCGGCGGCGTGCCTCGGATACAGAAACTGATCGAGCGCTGGGATGCATCAGGTTACGATGACAAAGAGAAAGTGCGGAGTCTGTTGGATTTGTTCTTCGTGTCGGTGCTGCTGGATGCCGGGGCGGGAGATACTTGGAAATTCCGGGAGCTTGAAACGGGTGCCGTATTCAACCGCAGCGAGGGTATTGCGGTCGCATCGCTGTATATGTTCTTAAATGGGGATTTTGCCAGTAAGGGGTCTGAGAGAAAGGATGTGGTGCATGGTATGCAGTGCTTCAGACCTTCGGTTTAGAAATGGTCACTGACGAGACGAACAGGTGAGGCCCTACGAACACTCGGAGTGGACACACTTCTTCGCGGCTTTCAGGTCGATGAAAGTAATCCACTCGTAGGAGCTGCTGCACGGGTGGAGCTTCTCCAGCGACTGGGTGAATCGTTGACAAAGCTCTCGGATATCTTTGGTTCCTCTGGTCGTCCTGGTCACATTGCAGGTAAATGCATCCCTCCCATCTGCCTTTTCGTTATCTAACGATGGATACAGACTACCTCCTCGCTACCAGCACCGGCAACGAGCTCGACTACTCTCTCCTCTGGGAAGTTCTCCAGAAAACCCTCATTCCCATCTGGCCCTCCGACCGAACCAAAGTGTCTGGCCACCCCGTCGGTGACGCCTGGCCGCTCGCCGTGCTGGCTGAACATTCCCAGCCCTCAACCACATCTACAATCCAGCCCTTTCACAAACTGACCCAGTGGCTCGCATATTCCCTCAAAGTCCCATTCGAGCGAATCCTATCGGTGAAATGGAAGAACGCCGAGTTGGGAACCGGTCTCCCCGAGTACCGCAACGGAGGGTTATTCGTAGACATGGGCGTTTTGACACTGAAGCCGGAGGCATTGGAGAGGGGACTGCGTACTTCTGGTGAGATCCTGCCGTGCTTTGCGGTCGGAGATGGCGAGATTGTCGAATGGCGGGCTATGACAGTTGCACTGCTGGATGAGCTGCATAGACGGATTATTAACAGTGGAAAGTTCGGCGATGTGCAACTGACATTGCCGCAGATGTTGGAGGCTGGGTCGTGGAAGGCTGGACGGGAACTGGCTGCGGAGAAGAGGCCTACGACGAAATCGAGTCCGATTTTGAATTCTGGTGATGGGACTTTGTTTTAATCGGGAATACATAGTAATAGTCAATAAGAGTTATGTTTACTAAGGCTACGTTGTGTGCTCCTCAGTAAGAACCGCCTAGATTGCTGTGACTCTCTCTGTTGAGATTCACCTTAGATGAACATGACGAATTCGCAAGTCAATACGACAGAAATAACACCAGATACTCTACATTCTATCCTGACTGTCAGCGTCGCAACGATGGACTAGAGATGGTAAGATGATGAGATACCAGAGATAAGATTAGACAAGATAAGCCGCACTGTCTTATCACCGCCTGTGATTGGCCATCGGCGATCCCCAGGTCTACTATCAGGGGAAGATCCGATCGTATCGCGATCTATCTGAGCCCCTGGGAACGATAATGGGGCATGCCAATCCCCCGCGTCCCCTTTCCCAGATAGTCAGACACCAGAAGTATCTTATCGCTTATCAGCGTACTCAGCATTTCATCCTTTCACTCCGACATACGGTCAAAAGAAGCATATATAATCAGCGTCCCGTCCTGTCAACAAAGTCAAGTATCACGTCTCATCTATCCTCCATCCGTGGCCGTTTACTTGGTTAATCTTTTACACACACCCCCGCAACCATGACAACAACACAACAAACCAGCTCTCCCTCGGAGCACTACAGCAACCGCATCGTCGTACGTTCTCCCTCCCTTTCCCAAATATAACCCCCCAACTAACACACACCACTCCAGCTCACCACCTACCCCAGCCAAAGCGTCGCCAACCCCATCCCCCTGACCTGGGGCGCCTCCTCCCCAGCCACCCGAGGCCCCGTAATCGTCTCTCGCACCAAAAACACCCTCAGCAAACGCAACGCCATCGGCGCTCACGGCGGCAGCTACTCCATCTACACGGCACTAGCCATCGCCTCCGGCGACCTGGAACCCGACTTCAAGCCCAACTTCCTCAACACGCAACCCACATTCAACTTCCCGGCGCAGCCCGCATGGAGCGACCCCAAAAAAATCGTCTCCATGGACCCCTACGGCCACGACATCATAAAACACTACTCCAGCTACCTCTCCTCTGGAATCGACGTCCGGCCCACCATCGCCGTGACACGAGCCACCATGCGCGTCTCCGAAATCACCGAAGCCATCACGCACAGCCGCATCCCCATCGACGGATCCATCGTGCTCAACAAATCCGGCGACGTAAAAGTCACCAAAGTGGCCGTCGAGCCGGTATGGTATCTCCCCGGGGTTGCGGAGCGGTTTGGCGTCGAGGAGAAGGATCTTCGTCGTGCGTTGTTCGAGCACACGGGGGGCAGTTATCCCGAGTTGATTACACGGCCCGATATGAAGGTTTTTTTGCCCCCGATTGGAGGACTCACGGTTTATATCTTTGGGCCGCCGGAACGGGTCTCGGATCCGGAGATCAAGTTGGCGTTGAGGATTCATGATGAATGTAATGGGTCGGATGTGTTTCAGTCGGATATTTGTACGTGTCGGCCGTATTTGACGTTTGGGATTGAGGAGGCGATTAAGCAGGCGCAGGGGGGTGGGTCGGGAGTGGTGATTTATTTTCGGAAGGAGGGGAGGGCCCTCGGGGAGGTGGTGAAGTATTTGGTGTATAATTCGAGGAAGAGGGGGGGAGATACGGCGGATAAGTATTTTCAGAGGACGGAGAATATTGCGGGGACTAAGGATGTGAGTATTCATTCCTTGATGAATGAATTGAATGGTGAATGCTAATCGTGGGGGTGTGTTGCAGATGCGGTTCCAGGCGTTAATGCCGGATATTTTGCATTGGTTGGGGATTACCAAGATTGATCGCATGTTGTCCATGTCGAATATGAAGCATGATGCCATTGTGGAGCAGGGAATTCCGATCTATGAGCGGATTCCGATTCCGGATGGTGAGTGGTTTCCTTTTGGTGACTTGTTCACGGCTGACTGACTGGGTTAGATATGATCCCTGAGGACTCGCGTGTGGAAATCGATGCCAAGATTCACTCTGGATACTTTACGACAGGCCGACAGATCACCGAGGATGATTTGAAAGAGGTCAAGGGTCGGGGTTGGGAGTCTTGGGAGGATGTTACGGTGAGTTGGACCCGCAGGATGCAAAGACGAGGCTGACCGATTTAGCACTGATAACACCTGTATTAAATCAGTTTAGAGTTTAGATCAATTTAATCGGCCATTCTAATTGAGTTTGCGCCACGTGTAGTGTGAAATGGTATCACGCACAGATTATCTTTCGTGTTATCGTGCCTGTAGATTAAACAACGAGATGAATGCATTCACTTCAGAGGCAGAGTTGCTTTTCTGTAGGATCTCGGATAAGCCGAATAACCGAGCATAGAGAGGCATAACCCACCACCATCGAGCCGAGGTTCCACTCGCGCCATGCGGTGCCGATATCCGATCTCGCCCTTCAGTGGCCCCGAACACCACAAAAGCAATAATGTAATTCCTTTTCAGCATCAGCTCAACGTACCTAGTCTCTGATTTCTGTTTGCCTCTGGATTGGAATGCAATCGCCGCTGACTCAACTTGCAGGTGGCGGAGATCTGGTAACAGGGGCAATGCAAGGGGATTATTGCAACAGTGGGTCAACAAGGAATCGCGGGTTGGCCCGTCGGTTTAGTGCGTGCCTGGCCAGTCTCAGCCCAGCTGAAGAGATTGCAATCATTGATAAATCAAGGCCGTCGCTGTCGTGCTTATCGTGCCCTTTTACCCATGGGTCTGTCTCTCGTTAACCCCACCGAATGTTGTGATTACGTCCAACCAAACGGTTAAATTAGAGGCTGAGACTTCATACAACAAATAATATTAAGAAAGGCAACCGGCTATGACCACCGACACGGAAGATGCCCCCAAAGGGCTCCCCCCCGGGGTATACCGGTCCCAGATCCCCTTCTGGCGACTCCTCACCGACCAAGCAGCCATCACCCAAGAAGTGCTGGAATACGAATTCCCCGGCAGCGGCACCGACGACGACCCTTACGTGGTCTCATGGATCCCCAATGACAACCGCAACCCCATGCTGTTCAGCCTCGGCCGGAAAATTGCCATCACACTCATCGTGGCCTCATGCACCCTCACCGTATCCCTCACTTCCTCCGTCTACAGCGGCAGCATCAGCGAAATCACCGCCTACTTCTCCGTCAGCTCCGAAGTGGCCACCATCGGACTCTCCCTCTTCGTTCTCGGCTTCGCTGTAGGCCCTCTCCTCTGGGCCCCCTTCAGCGAAGTCTTCGGCCGCCAACTCCCCTTCTTCTTCAGCTGCATGGGTATGGCCGCCTTCTCCGCGGGCTGCGCCGGCGCCCAAAACATCTGGACCCTATGCATCCTGCGCTTCTTCGCCGGCGCCTTCGGCTCCGCCCCCTTCACCAACGCCGGCGGCACCATCTCCGACATGTTCACAGCCCGCCAACGCGGCCTCGCCCTCAGCCTCTACGCCGCCGCCCCCTTTTTGGGGCCCGCCATCGGGCCCATCATCGGCGGGTTCCTGGGCATGCGCGCCGGCTGGCGCTGGGTCGAGGGCTTCCTTGCCGCCCTAGCCGGATTCATCTGGCTCCTCATGACCCTAACCATCCCAGAGACATACGCACCACGTCTCCTGCGTCTCCGCGCAGACCGACTCTCCCATCTCACCGGCCGCGTCTACCGCAGCAAAATCGAGCTCGATAAGGGCAAGATCTCCCTCCCTCGACTCCTCAAACAAACCATGTCCCGACCCTGGGTCCTTCTCTTCCGCGAACCCATCGTCCTCCTCTTCGCCCTCTACATCGCCATCGTCTACGGAACCCTCTACATGTTCTTCGCCGCTTTCCCAATCGTCTACGAAGACGTCCGTGGCTGGAACCCAGGCGTAGGCGGCCTCGCATTCCTAGGCATCATGGTCGGGATGATCATCGGCGTGGCATGCACCATCCCCGCCAATCTCCACTTCATCAAAACCCAAGAGAAACACGGGGGCTTCGCACCCCCCGAGGCGCGTCTCCTCCAATGCATGCCCGGCGCAGTAGCCATCCCTATCAGCCAGTTCTGGTTCGCGTGGACGGACGGCCCCTCCATCCACTGGATCGTCAGCATCATTGCCACCGCACCGTTCGGGTTCGGTGTCATTCTGATATACCTAGGAGTGATGAATTATCTGATTGATTCGTATACGATCTATGCGGCGTCGGTGCTGGCGGCGAATACGGTGCTCAGGTCGGTGTTTGGTGCTATTTTCCCCATTATTGCGACGTATATGTACGATAGAGTGGGGATTCATTGGGCCCCGTGTATTCCGGCGTTTTTGTCGTTGGCGTGCATGCCAGCCCCGTTTTTGTTTTATAGGTTTGGGGCGGCGATTAGGACTAGGTGTAAGTATTCGGCCGAGTCGGAGAGGTATATGCAGAAGTTGCAGGAGAATGTGGGGAGGAGGTGATATCATAGATATCTTGATAGATATAGAATAAACTACACTGGCTGATACAATCATACACTAATATCAATAATCAGTTCTAATGCATCTCCTACCCTAACTTCCCTCCCCCCAAAAATAGTTAGTTCAACACTCAAACGCCTCAAACACAGCATCCCACCCCACCTTCAACTGCGCCTTTTCCAAATCCCTAGCCCTCCTCTCTTCAATCTCCTCCATCAACCCCCCACCACCACCACCACCACCAACATCCACATCACCCCCAACCCCAACCCCCACCTCCTCCATCACCGGCGACACAGCCCTCTTCTCCAACAACCCACAATCCCTCAACATCCTCTCAGGCGGATACGTCCTCCGTCCCTGCTTAAACACATACCTGGATACACACGCCGCAAACACCCCCCTCTTCCCATCCCCATCCCCATTCCCATCCCCATCCCCATTTGCAGGTGTCCCGCAATCCACAAAATACGAAACCAAATAAACCCACTTCCCATCCCACGACAACACCCTCGAATGGAGCTCATACGCCTGATAAGGTTTGATCTCTCGACGAAACACGCACTGCACGCCACCAAGGATCATGACGATGGAAGAGGCGGAGATAGGACGGAGAGAGACGCAGGAGCCGAAGAGACGGGCGCGCAGACTGGCGTGGGAGATGTCGATGTCGGTGAAGTAGGTGGAGTTGGATTTGTGGGTGTTGTAGTCGCATTCGCTGAGGGGGGAGCGGGTGGTGGTTATGGTGGGGTGGAAGAGGGGGTTTTTTGTTCTGTTTGTGTGGGGAGTTGGATATGAGAGGGGGTTGAGGTTTGGGAGGAGGGTGTGGAAGATGCGGAGCTGTGGGTTTGATATGTAGGTTAGAGGGGGGGGATTACGGGGAGGGAAGGGTGGAGGGATTGACGTACGTGCCACACCCACGGGAGGTTTTTGTAGGTGGTTAGGAGGAGGGTGAGGAGAGTGAGGAGTATAGTGGTGGGGTCTATGGTGATGGTGAATTCCATGATAGTGTGGTTGTCTTTGGAGAGATGAATATTGGTGGCGTGTTGGTTCAATATTTATGGTTTGTTGGATGTGAGGTCATCGCTTCTTTGCATTCTCTCGAAATGAGGGGTTTAGGTTTGTTGTTACCTGTCTCGGGGAGGAGAAACTGGATGGAAGGCGGTTGTGGCTGGTTTGATAGGGCATGTGGCCGAGTTTGAACCTAGTATTGACCTAACCTTGGGCCCTGGATGTTTGGATATTCAGGTGGAATGAATGTTGGGTTGTTTTCAAGTGATTGTCTGCGTTTGAACAAAATTTTGGTCGGTGATGTGAATGACTACAATGACTGTAGAATACTTGTAGGCCAATGAAAATCTAGATGTTATGGAGTATTATACAAGTTTTTGACATCCATCAATAACCATCGTCAATGCTAATTATTGCAGAATAGACATGACGTCCATGGCGGCATTGAGAAGTAAAAATCCAGAAACCTGACAAATTTTGATGAGAGTTGCCCGCCGGTCATCCACAATCAGCAGAAAATTGTGCACTATTTAGTCCCATGCATATTAAACCAGATGCGCATGAGCCAGATCTTGCATAACCAACAAGATACTTAGCTGTAGTGATTGCTGGGATCTGTACCACTCCAATGCAGGGTCGCGGGTATGCACCCCAAATTGACCCTGCACCTATGATCAAGGATGACAGACAAGGTATTCACGCAGCTTCTCAACAATCAACAAATAAATTATCTAAGACTTCATCCCCACTAACAAAACCACATCTCACGCTAACCCAAACCCAAACCATCCATCCATCTCACCGACCAACCCATAAATGATAAAACTCTTCACCCTCCCAATTCCAAATTCCAGCCCCCAAAATACCCCACACCGCCCTCAACCCATCCAGATCGACACATCTCATCCTGTCACGCCAACCCAACCATCCCAACTTAACGAACTCTAATCCACAACCACCATCGCCATCAACGTCAAGAAGCTTCTCCCCGATAAGCCTCCCCCATGAACCAAAAAATTGGTCCCCGACGTGAGGGATGTTGCCCGATCGACACAAATAGCGTCGGACATGCACGGGCGTGACCCACCCCCTCGAACACAAGTTCCTTCCTTCATCCACCATCGAGTTCAACGTGATCATTTAGGTCCATTGAGCCCTACATCCATTTCCACCTATGAAACCTGAAACAGTAACGATTGTCCGGAAGCAGCGGAATCTCCCCCCCTTGATTGGTCGATGTGGTAATTTCTTCTCCTCACTGATAAGATGGATGACGGTGACTCGTCCGGACGCGTCTTGGCAAGGACAAAGATGCCCCGAAGTTTGCATCTGGAGTAAGCGGGCCCGTGCCGATCCGATAAGTGGGTGGGAAGCGGTGTGATTGGTGGTCGTGTTTGCAGGGAGGACATATATAAGCCTGTGTTCCGTACCCAGGGTCCTCCCTGCAGTACACAAGCATCGCCATTATGTCTGTTAATCTGGATGCATACACGCCCGCCGAGGTCATCGAGTTTGTTGCCCGGGCGGGCGCCGCCAAGGGAAACATGCGTCTCGATAAGGTGTTTTTTAGCGCCGTCTCGGCGGGATGTCTGCTTGGATTGGCGTGTGGGACGTCGTTGAGCACGAATACGAGTTCGTGGTTTCAGGAAAATGCCCCCGGGTTGATTCGCACGATTGGTGCGCTGGTGTTTCCGTATGGTTTGTGTATGATTATTTTGACGGGCGCGGATTTGTGTACCGGGTCGTTTATGGTATCCATCCCTTGCCCCCCTACCACTCTCACTCTCACCCTATTGGAATGAGAATGGGGCATACTGATGATAAAGATAGTATACTACGGTCGCGGCCCTCCAGCGCCAACTCCCCTGGTATAAGATGCTCTTGCACTGGTTCGTCACCTTTTGGGGAAATCTCTGCGGTTCGCTTTTCCTGGTCGCGATTATTTTTGGCTGTATGTCCCCCCTACCCTAATCTTCCCCTCCATACCCAATCTAACACAAACCAGACGGCGAAGTCTTCTCCACCGACCCCTACAAATCCGAAGTAATCGCCTACGCGACCAAAAAGCAAGTAACTCCGCAGTTCCAACAAATCTTCCTCCGCGGCATCGGATGTAACTGGCTCGTCTGTTTGGCATGTTACTTTGGGATTCAGGGCCGCGACCTCGCATCTAAGATAATCGGTATCTGGTGGCCGATCTTTGGGTTCGTGTCGTTGGGGTTCGATCACGTTGTGGCGAATATGACCTTCATTCCGTTGGCGATTTGGTTGGATGCTCCGGATATCACGGTCGGGTTGTATATCTGGAAGGGGATTATTCCGACCCTCTTGGGGAATATTGTGGGGGGTGGGTTGTTTGCTGGTATGTTTACCTTTCTCTCTTGGTGGTTATTGTTGAATGGAGGGATGTGGCTAATGTGGTGATGGTGATGGTGTAGGGGCATACTATTGGTACATGTACCTCTTACCCGGAGAGACTATGAGTCTGGCTGCGTTGCGGAGACGACAACAACAACAATCTGCGGGGAGTTCGGAGGTGACGGCTACAGCGGGCGGGAAGGATGATGTGGAGGCGTCTGCGGGGGTATTGGAAAAGACGGCATGAGATCGGAAAGTGGATAATTGGATGGGATAGTTAATGTGATGTGTGTATACGAGAATAGTAACACTGCTGCACCTGCATCAGGCATCCATGATCGACGCCCGGTCGATTTACGCCCCGGCCAATCATTACCCGGAATGAAGGGGTCGGCTGTGCTGTCCGCTGCCAAGATATCCCTGGCGGTTTCAGGCATCCATTTGTCACGGAGGTTATATATCCCTGGTGTTGCACTGGGTTTCTTGTCTGCTTGATTGAACTGCATACTATTCAAATACTCATACTCAGATAATCATGGCGGTTAAGTTCGAGGATATTCCCCCACCGCTTCCACCGCGACCGATAACAATCTACACCCAACCCATACCACAACGCAAACAAATCCAAACAGAAACCTACCTCGACACAGACAAAGACACAGACATCAAACCCTCACCACAACAACAACCATAACTACACCATCTCTAATCCACAACCAAATAACAACCACCATATTCCCCCGCCCCTCCACCATCCTCCCAAAACCAATCGTCATTCCCCGTAAGTCCCTCCCCCTCCCCTTACCCCCTTCCCACCACCAAACACAACTAACATATAATAAACAATAGAAACAGCCCACACCTACCACGGCCCATCCACCGCCCCTTCACCCGCGCCTACTCCCCCTCCCTAACTTCAATCTCCTCATCCGACTTCCTCACCTTCCTCGACGCCCTCAACACCGTCTGGCTCGCAAATCCCTACATCCAAGCTGCCGGACAAGCGGGGAACCTGTTATCCTTTGTCCCGACGATTGAATTCCAGCTCATCGCGCTGGGGATTCAAACCGCAGCCGAGTATGGATCTTTTGTGGTCTCGCAGATCCGAACGAGAGAGTATCTTCGGCTTGCGAATGAGAGGTTGTTTAATCCAAAAGGTCTGAGGGTTAGGGTTTTGGGGACGGGGGAGGTGTGTAAGCTTCTTGGGATTGGGGATGGGTTGGAGTTGCCGCCTGTTTTTAGGGGGGATGAGGATGAGGGTTGGGAGGGAGAGGGAAAGGAGGGGGGTAAAGATGGGGTAAAGATGAAGGAGGAGGCAAGGGGGGGTTTGATCCGCGGCTACGGCGGATGGAGGCGTTGAAGGACTATGTCTCTCCGTTGGTATACGAGGAGCGAACAGGACCAGTGGACGGGGATAACTGGCTGCGCAGGGCAGCCGGGAAACAAGAGAGGTGGTTTGCAGAGAGGCAGAATAACCTGCTCATTGGACGGCAGGGGAAAGCGGTCAAGGGGATTGGGGAGGCGGAGGTGGCGGAGAAGGAGTTGTTGGGGAAGATGGAGGAGGTGGAGTGGGAGATGGAGATGGCGAGGGGACGGGCGAAGGAGCGGTTGGAGGGGCCGTTGGGGGAGTCAATGCAGGGGAGGGGCATTGTGCGGGATGATTTGGACAAGGAGATGAAGGGTTGGAGAGGAAGATGGAGAAGTTGGTGAAGGAGAGGGAGAAGAGGGTGACGAAGAGGATACAGCAGAGTGAGAGACGATTGCAGCGGGTGGAGAAGAGAGAGGCTAGGATCGCCAGGAAGGTTAGGTGGGTGGTGATTACGGGGGATGATGGGGGGTTTGATGATGGGGTGTATGAGGATGAGTATTGAGTGGAATTGATTCTTGGTTTGTTTAATTGGTTTTTTTTGGGGGATGGTGGTTGCTGGGAAGGCATCACAGAACGTATCGGAAGAACGGGTTCTGCTTGTCGGTGAGATCCTGGAATGCTAGCTTGTCGCGCTGGCTCTCGTCGAGGTCCAGGGCGTCGCGACGCCGGTTCTCCCGCCACAGCACTATGTAGAGTGCTGTCGCGGCTGCGATAGTGATGCAATAGCAGATCACCATGCCCTTCCACAGCTCTGGATAGTGCTGGTCAACTGTCTTGCTGTTGATTAGCTGCGGTCCGATGATGTTTCCAACAGTGTAGGCGACAAAAACTGTGGATGCCATGACGGTCTTCTTCGTCGCGCCGGCCACGTTGCTCGCACCAAGGGTGATGATGAGACTGACGACGGGTCCGAAGAAGCCGGTGATGGCGTACCCGACCACTGGCGCAGCAGGATGGTATCCCCATTCGGACTTCCAGATCATCACGCACCCGGCGATGACTGGGAGACAACAAGCAATAAGCATGGGGATGCGCATGTTGGGGACGCGCGAGGAGATGTATCCGCAGAGGGGGATGAAGATAAGGCAGATGCCGCCGACGGGGAACTGAAACAGAATCGAGTCGAGGGTATCATAGCCAAAGGTCAACACGATCAGGGGACCGAATCCTGAAATTGCTCCGTTGATGGTATATCTAACCATGTCAGCAACACTCACTACCACGGCAAATCACTCACGCTGCAGCCATCATAATCGCGACAAGATACAACTTGATATCCAGGAACGACTCCACAATCTGATCCTTCTTGATCACATGGCAACGCACTCCGGTCTGACCCCGACGCAGACGCTCCACGGCCACAACCCTCTCCTCGTGAGTCAGGAACCATGCCTCGACTGGCGAGTTGGGCATGACGCAGCACCACAACCCAAAGAGGAACGTCAGCGCACCAGCACAGATATAGATATACTGCCACGGCCGCAGACTCCCGGAATCAATCTGTCCAAAAGCATAGTTGAGTGCACTACCGATAATCGTGAACCAACCGGTACCCGAAAACCACCACGCTTGGCGCAGACTCTGCTCTTGCTGAGTATAATACCCACTGACGACCGTCATGAATCCGGTGGGAATGACACTTTCCACGAACCCTGCCATTATCAGCAAGCATACAGAAGATGACCGAGAGAGGAAACATACCCAGGAAGAATCTCTGCACAAACAGCCCCTGCCACGAGGTCACTCCCGCCGTCGCAGCACAGGTAACCGCCCAAAGCATCACCACAGGACCCAACACCCGCTGGATGCGAAACCGCTGCAGCACAAACGTCATCGGATACAAGCCCGCCATCATCCCAAAGTAGAAGATGGAGGTGGCCCAGCTGAGTCGCGAGGTATCCTTGGTGGCCGGCGTGGTGGAGTAATCCATTACCGAGAGCTGCAGGTCGGTCGTCATGCCAAACAGCGACGCACTGCCCAAGATAGCCTATTATGATTAGCTCGATGAAATGCATGCCAGGTGGCGGAACGAACCTTATCCCAGTAAACAAATCCATACCCTACAGGAGAAGTTAACAATGCGCCGGGCAAGAATTCATCCAGTTTCATCCATGAAGTATTTAGGTAAATGGATATTCGCAGCGCAGATATCGGCAAATAAACGAACCAATTAACATAGCCGGCATGAAAAATGCATCAATCTTGCGCAAAGCTCTTTTTTCAATTGCGGGGTCAATCTCCCCCGCTTCGTCGCTGACTACAGCCCAGGCGACATCCTTGTCGGTTGCTGCACCAGAAGGATGAATTTCCTGCTGGTGAGGCTGGGAACCAGCGCTGGGGACTTGGATCATGATTTGGCTGCTGTGGGTGTGTGGGTGAAAATTTGGATGCGGGATGGAATGTAGATCTTGCCCGCGATGGTTGGTGGATTGATTGTCTTCCCGTTGGTTTAAGGTTTCGGGTAAGTGCCGCTGTCTGCCCACAATGTCATTTGAGCAGAATTGTCTTCGACGAGGATGTGTTGAATTGCACAGTTGATATGAAGTTGTTGGTTTGGATGATGGTGATAAATTTGGCCGGGACACCCCTTTGCGTGTGGAGGGGTATCAGGGTGTGAGTCAAGAAAAGTATCATCTCGGAAGACTGTGCTCCGAGTTGAATAAAGGTGACTAGCTATGAACTGTTATGGTTTCCTCAACAGTAGACAGGCGTGGGGGATCGACTACGATAGAGATATCGTCGTACTTCGTAGAAAACAGCCCCTTTGGGTATTTATTATTTGGTTGCATCCTCCGTACGGGCACGCAAATCCCAGACTGATGGTATACTAGATGGCTGCTCGCATGGTAGGATCTCTACTGAAAAAGACTGACAATATGAAGATTTGACGACTGGTAATCGGTTGATGGTTGGAGAAAAGTGTCGAGTCAACCCCGAGAAACCACGTGCGGCCACATGATGGTAGACACCACCAGATCCAGGCAGAAACTCGGGCCGACTCAACTGGTCAGTTGGCGCAATCAAATCTGTACCGGTAATGGTATGGTAAGGAAGGTATTAGTGGGACAGAATGCGGGAACCTCCACTGATGAGCCGGCCAGCTACCCTCCATGGGTGGATAGGTTACACATGTCCAACAGAAGGCGATGCGCGATTTTCCATCGATAGATGCAGCATTGTTTCCTCCTAGGTGATGACATCACGAAGGGGAGGCACGGAAACCAATTCCTGGCAGACCGATTGATAACATGGCCATGGATCAAGGAAATTCGCCTGCGGGCTGATCGCGCCCGCTGCCGCCGATGATTGGTGAATCGAGAGCGGCAGCCCTGAAAGCGATCCTGATTCGCATCTGGGCCTTACATGGCGCATCAGACTACCCCGAAACAAGCTGCAACCCCCCAGCCAAGTAGATTAAAACAGACTCAAGACGTCGGGATTTGTCCGGGATTCGCAGCACAGTTCTATGCTTTAGGCACCTGACCAACTCGCCGACCCGATGTGCTCTCGGTGAAAGTGACGGAAGGGGCAACTCAGGCGAGCACAGTAATCTACAGCTGGCTCATCAACCTCGTAGGGCAGGAATGGCACGTTGTGGCAGGATTCGGATCCTCGCTGGGCAAGAGGTAGGTACCGATGTAGCTAGCAGCGGCGGCAACGCACTGGCCTGGCGCTAGTGCGTGCAAACGCACAGACGACGTGGGATGTTGAGTAGTTCAACTAGCCAGCCTGGCGGACGCGATGCGGGGGCACACCAGGGAGTCATTCCCATCGGAAAAGTTCGCCGACCGACTAGATTCGCTGTTTCTCTGTGAGACCGGAAGAAAATTCCGACCGTCTGGCAACGGTGACACGTCACACGTCGATCCTAGGGATATCGGGGTTTAGTTCTACGCCGGCTCCCGTGGTCCAAGGCACACCGGATCCGAGATGGGTCTCTATCCAAAACAGGGAACTGCACGCAGTGGCTGATAATAAAGGTGGTTCATTAGTTCGTAATAAATTATGATTCTAGTTGGCCATTCCCTTCAACCCTCGGTTGAACTGCTTCCCTTCGCGTCGTCCTCCGATGCGGCCGGATCTCGGCGCGACTGTGAGATACTCAGGGTATCCCATTTGGTCAGAAACTGGTCCATATCGACATCGTCCTTGCGAGCGGAGCCCTGACGCACGACCGTCGTGAAATGCGGGTAGAAGCTGCTGAATTCCTGGGCGTCCCTCTCCTTCCAAGCCAGCGTCTCAAAGTCGGTAAACAGGGCGTCGGTTTCCTCAGGCAGCACCACCTGGGTCTGATTGGCCGACAGCTGGATCATGCGCAGGATGCCCTTGGCCAGAGGGAAGCGGCGGGAGAAGGCACGGGCGATGATGCACAGCTCGATGAAGGCGTTGCGGTTGGCGGTGGTGTCGAGCGACTCCATGAGGGTGAACATGCCGATGCTGCACCACTGGATGGTGGAGGGCGCCATGCGGTCGATGCCCCACTTGTCGCGGTGGACGCCCAGCAGCGCCGCCACCCGGCGGGCGGACGACAGGCACAGCTCCCGAGCATACCCGGCCAGGCCCGCCTCCAGGCTGATCTCCTTGTTGGACCGAAGAAACCCGAAGATCTGCATCACCGTGGTGTGGTAGAACATGCTACCAAGGGGAGAAGAAAAACAATGCATCAGTAGATACCCCTGGCATGGTGGAGTAGACACACTTACTGTAGACTCAGGACGTGTGGGACCACCGCCGCCTCGGCACTCAAGCAAGGCGGCAGGTGGGCATACCAGCCCTGCATCTCGTGGTAGATGCTCTGGACAAACCCGACCCACTGCGACGGGGCCACTTGGTGTTCCACATCGTGGAATCCCACGCTGATCCGCGTCATGATGCAGCAGAAATCGCACCAGCGATCGAACACGCAGTTGTGATGACCGCGAATGCCTTCTACTTCGCGGGGGTATGGGTACCAGACATCGTGGGCGTCGCCATGCGTGACCGGGATCCGTGGCCGTTGCGGAGGGCGGAGGTTGAGATGCTTCATCAACGACACCGTGGCCGTGCTGTCAAATTGTGGGTTAGTCAATCCTTTAAACTAGATCGGGGAACCTACGATGCCATATTGAAGGCCCCCCAGAGCGTGCGGTTGACGATGTAGTCGAACGGGTCTGCTGGGTTGGGCGGATGCCTTTCGGCGTGCTCCTCAGCGCCTCGCATGGCCAGGTCCAGGTACATCCAACCCAGCCGGTCCTTGCCCATCAGCACCATCCTGTCCCCAGCCATTTAGTATATGGCCCGCGTGATCAAGCGATTTCCAACCACTCACCGGATAAACAACACCAAGAGCCCTTGGATGGTCGGGATTTTCGACCCGCCATCCTCCTGTTCCAGCCGTCGACGTGCTTCCTCATAAAAGTGGTCGCCCCGCGAGAGCGTGTCATTGGGGGTGGTGAACACTTCCGCATAGTCCGAGTAGTACTACCACCGTATGGATGTTAGTTCTATGGAGAAGAGACGTCCCGGTAAAATCGGATACACCTACGCAGGCCTCGGAGAGAATGGCGTTCACCAAAAAAGGGGAACAGAATCGACATTTCAGGTTGCCAGCCTGCATGTCGCGAAGAAACGCGTCCTTATCCAGCCAGTCGAAGAACGGATAGGTCCAGGTAAACCACAGCGAAACGAGATGCGACACGAGGTCATCATCGGCGGTCACCTTGGTCCACGGCTTGGCGGGGACCCGATAAACCGGGCTATCGGCGAGCCGGCGCACATCGAGCATGCGACGGGGCGCTCGTGAATGAGACGACTGCTCCTCCTCGTCCTCGGACGGGCGAGAAATCTGATTCCGGAGCTCGCGCAGTTCGGGTGACAATTCAAATTCTTTCGGGTTGAATTGTTGCGCCAGGAAGATCTTCAATTCCTCATAGGACGCGTTGCTCCGGATCAGATTCAAAAGCTGTGCCAGGCGTTTACTCTCGCTTTCCCGGAGGGCATCGATCAGTCGTACCAGGGTTTCCTCGGCTTGCTCCAGACGTTCCAGCTTGCGCTTCATGGCATATTTGCGGCGCATGTCGGCCATCTCGTCGACCACACATGGGATGCCGTTGTTTGTACAGTGTTGGCATGGTGGATCGCCTCGGCACTAGAAGGAGGTTAGCGGACGATGAGGCTCCGATGTGATGGCACGGAGATACCATTCATGACGGACGGGCTTGCAGAAATCCCACCTTGAGCTTCTTCTGTTTACACGCCTTACAGGCGGTGGTCTTGTGTTTGCGCCCCTGGACTACATTTTCCGGAGCTTTCGATGACGATGGCTGACCAGGAGCTGGGGCTAGGACACGCGAGGACTGCGACTCGGACATATAGAGAGGTGGCGAAACGGACAGGACGACTACGGTGCAGTCGTCTGGGGAGAGGTGAGTGGCAAGGAAACAACAGACCTCGGTGTGGTAGTTGGGGGGTGGCAATTGGAGAAACTACGATGATGAATGGATTGTCCGGAGCAGTCGTGATCAGAGTTGTGGGAGTGATTGGTAGTGATCGTGGTACTACCTAAGTGATAGTGCTCGAGGTAGATTTATTTATATATGGGAAACAGCGGCCCAATGCTGGATGGTCGAGGGATGCTTTTCCGGGCTCCATTCGGGTGCTGCATGGCAAAGTCAGAAAAGAAACGACAAAGAAAACAGGAAAGGGAAAAAAAAAAAAGAGGGAAAAAGGGAATTCACTGAAATTAGAATAAAGAAAAAAAGGAACCAAACAAAAACACAAGGAAAAAAAAAAAGGAGGAATGAGAAAAATAGCAGAGCGCGAGGGGGAAGCTTAAACGACGGCAGCCAGTCAGCGACAGAGAAGAGGACGGTAATATTGTTCTGGAAAACCAGGCGAGACGGCGGTATTTCCGCGGGGCGCTCCAATTGCGGCCAGTACCCATACAGACAAGCCTCGCGACTGCTCCAGTCTTGGCCAGGCCTGTCGCTGGTGGCATTTTTATCCGCCCAATCAAGCACCCCGCGCTAACGCCAATGAGGGGGCTCCGTCGGCCACCAGTGTCGGAGTTGGCATACTTCATTAGGCTGAGAGCAGTCAAGCTGCACCGCACCAATTACCCATCTGAGGGATTACGAGGTACGCCATACCAAGGTTTGACACCAAAATTGAATTGCCCCCCCCGTAAAACTGGTGTCAGACCTGTCTCGCCCGCCCTTTCTAGTCTAGCGGACCATGCTGGTAGCTGCTGGTAGCTTCTGGAGTCTAGGACCGCCAGTACCACCAGTACCATACTTGAGCATCGTCCCGGGGGCTCCTAGTCCCGGTCGGGACGATGTGCCTTGACGGTTTTACGGTTCCTGTTCGTTCACCAGCCCCGTGATGGGATCCCACACATACACCGTAACCTTAGTACCTGAAGTACCCGAGGCCAGGCCGAACTCTGTCATGAACACATGGAGCCTGTCGGCCAGTCAGACGGGTGGGTACGGGATGCATCCATCTATCGGCAGTGGCGACGGACGGTACGCTACTACCATAGTATGATGTTGGGATCACGCCTGCAGAAGATTTGGCCAAGCCCAATTATCGAGACGCTGGCGAGGGGGAAACATTAGCCAGCCAATGTGTATTCAGTCAGTACTGTGAAGTAGCTGCATGGTTGGGTGGACCTGGTCGGCATTCCAACCTTTCGCCGGGGTTCCGAGCGAATCACCTGACGCGCCGTCCGCCTGCGATCGCAGCCATAGTGCCTATCTTTAAGTCTCTTAGTATCGTCAGATGTAATTATGAGTTCATCCCACCCCCTCCGTGTGACATCAACTAGCAGGAACCGGATGGATTTACGGAACTGTTTTCCAGACACGGCGCCCATGGCTCGGGACATCGCTCATCCACCCAGGCAACTTCTGAACTCTCCGTACCTCGCCTCGCATGGGGTGATGCTCACGCATTCGAGGGGTATTGCCGAATACGGGACACGCAGACCCAGACATGCACGACGACATCCACACGTCTCGTTTGACCGGGTCATCAGGTGGCGATGGGAGGTTCCAGATCGTCGTCCAACAACTAGTAAATACCCCGTCGATGGTAGTGTTTCCCCCTTCGTGGAGGGAATTTGATTATACCCATTTGGGATGGACACGCATGAAGGGATAAGCCTGACATCTCCAGGGCTAGTGATCAGGGCTTGCATGGCCCTAGCAAACATCACGCTATTTGGACCTCCAGACGGGCCCAGACCGAGATCGCGCCCCCGGAAGATTAAACTGTAAAGAAATGACAAGGGAGTTAACGATGCCTCCGAGATAAGCGGGTGGAATTGGGTAAATGGTCGAATGACCTTACCGGCCGGGACTACGGAGGAGGCCGTCACCCGCTTCCCAGTTCCTAGCTCTCAGTTCCCACACGGACCGTGGCATTATTACTATTATTATGCCAGTGGTTGTTTCAGGCCGTAACCGGGATGGACCTGCCCTGCCCGCCGCCAGCCTGGATTGGATCCGCCACTGGAGCTGGAGCTCGGACATCTGGGAGAATCTGGCTTCCAGGCGATAATTCCGACCTCCAATCAACAAGGTCTCAAGTTATCAGAAATGAGCCAAGACGGAGGGAGTCCTGGGTGGTGCCCACGGTAAGTGTAACGAGTGACAAGTAACGAGTAACGAGCATGATCGCCAGCCGAGAATTGGGCTAAACCACGCACAGCCGACAGACACCTGAGCCATCAAGCTGCTGGATCCAGTAAGCCCCCCGGATCATGTGAGAGCCCGACCACGGTCATTGTTTGTTCTTTGTTTGCTTCGGATCTCTCCCCTCCCCTCCCATTATGCATCCAACCCATCACTCACTTCTTTCCAGAGCCCGATCACTCATCCTTCATCCGGGCGACGCAGGTAGGGTCAAGGGTGCGAGAATGGCACCTCTCTCAGTGGACACAATTCCCTAGCCCCGATTGCGGGCCCCGACGGCTGAGTCCACGTCGCCAGGCCAGAGAAATAGGTGAGGCCCAACCCTGTCCGACCAGATGCCAGCCTGGGCCTCTCGGATAACATCCGGTCGCTGGTTGGTTGCAGTACCCGGCTGCGCCTCTGTTGGACGGTTGCACTGCAGTCAACTGCTTCCCTGCAGCTGGGCGTTTTCCGCGGTCATCAAGGTCTAGTGCAGCTGTCATGCCTTGTAGCTTACGCAGAATCGACCGTTCCAGGCAGGGCTGACGGACTTTTTCCAGGCCACGGAACATACCGTGATCTGGCGGCAACGAGGTCTAGATCAACAACAGGTAAGCTCGATCACTCCCCCCATCCGTACTTTCATTTCCTCGCTAGGCATGATTGGGATGCACCGAGCATGCTCGGATTGAGACTGTTTGATAGGTTAAGCCAATCACCCGCGCACAGGGGAACAATCTTTCGCACTTACCTGGCAAAGAGGTAATTCCACCCGGCGTGACCATCCTCCCATCACCTCGTTGGCATCGTGCGAGAACCTCCATCCATTATCGACTCCGCCACGATACTAGCCGAAACGTCGGGATCCTGTCATAATTCGTCGCCCTTCAGGCCTATCGGCATACCACTGTCTTTCCCAACAAGGACGGCCCACTTTCCCTCGACCGCTACCACTCAATAGAACGGTGGAGCCCAACGCGAATTCTTCAGATTGGCCAGCTTGGCAAAGAGGTCCGAATTGATTGAGAGGGCAGGCGGTACGACCGACAGGATCGAAGCACTCAAACACGCGGCTCCATGAACGAAGACAGAAAGGAACAAACAAACGAGCTGAGTAAGATGTCGGGAATATCCGGACTAAGGATAGACGGCCAGGGTGTCATAGTACTCTTGCCTCCTGGACGGCTTTTCCGAAGCGCGAATATCGCTAGTCGTCGAGTTGTCCCTTTCGAGCTGGGACTGGCGCTGACACAGACTGTAGTCTGCCGTGAAACTCCTGACAGTTTGGTGAAAGAGTAGCAGGGCTTCCTATAGGATCTGCGGTGCAGAACCCCAGCCTCGATCTAGCGTCCTTCTGGAGGCAACCCCGGATTAACCACACACTACCCTATGTCGGAAAACACGGCTCAATCAATTGCAGCTGGCGACGTGTAGATTCGGCCCTCCAGTTGTCGATCATGGTTCCTGCAAAGGTTAACGGTCTTATACGCAGGGCATACATGACTCCACGTCGAAGGATGTATACTAAGCATAGGGGATACCAATACTGGTGGCCGCCGTTGCTTATCGGGCGAGTGCAAGGCTGCGACAGGACCATGTCGCTATCGCTGCATTTGTGAGGATCGAAAAGATGGGAATACCATAACAAGTGGGCGATCAGCGATAATGCTTTGTTTTGTTCAAGATTTCTTTCTGTACGCTGGCGTCATTGCAGCATTGGTCCACCATCCTGGATGCATGGGCGGGGACGCTCGAACTTTGCGACCGTGGGAACTGTCTAAAGTTAGAGCCGTCTCAGACGTCATGCCAATGCGACGGCGGATGTCATGATGAGACAAAAACCTTCCAGCATCTGCACGTGGAGTGTGGACGGACAGGGAAGGAGTTCTACGCCGCCTTTCCAATCTCTGGGGATCCGGAAATGTGTTGCGGTGGCCACGTCGCGCTTGGATCGGTCGGATTGCCACATGACGTCACGGGCCTCTGCCCTCGCCAGCCATTTCCCCTTTGGGAAGTCGTGTTGCCATCCACGATCGCGTCCTCGGCAATGCTCCTCGCCAGTATCTACACAGCAACCCTCTCTCCGGGCAAAGGATGACAAGCCAGCATTCAAAATACCGCCCGATCAACGAGCTATAGCGCAATCGTCTTCTATGGCAAACTACCGTAGCGCCACCATCTGGGGATCGAGGCCTACGGCTCTTAGTGTAGGCTTGGCTCAGCCACCCGTTCCAACGAACTTGACTGCATGAACAAGGCACTAACTCCATGGACTCAAACAACAAGCTGAAACAGACATTCTTCACCAGCGACCCAAACCGGATCCACGCTCAATGCCACGTGTTTTTAACCCCCACAACCCTGGCGCAAAAAGCCACAACGATCGATCTCCACCAAAAAGCCGCATCTAGACCCGTGGGGTCAGTTGGACCATCAGGTTGTTCTTTTCCCATAGCGTCCACGCTCTTTGCTTCTCCCAACCTATCGATTCCGGAGCCAGGGTCAGATCAAAGTGAAAGAGGACCTTGGCCAGGATGAGTCGCATCTCATGATACGCGAGGCTTGTGCAAACATTAGACATGATCCCAACAACACGTGTGACACTAGACAGGGGGCCTCACTTTTTGCCCAGGCAGTTGCGAGGGCCGAAAGAGAATGGCTGGAAAGCAGCCTTGTTGTCGCCTGCAAACTCAGGGTCGTCAGTCCAGCGGTCAGGGAGGAACTCATCGGGCCGGGTGAAGTTTCGCGGGTTGCGATATGTGGCCCAGTGGTGTACGGAAACCGCCGTCTAAGCCCTCACATTAGTCTGAGACGGGAATGGAGTGGGGGGGCACCTACATTTCCAGGCATGTATTCGCCGCAGATTTCCATACCCTCCTTGGGGGTGACACGAGGCATTCCCGAGGGGACGGGCGGGTACATTCGCAAGCCTTCCTCGATGCACCGGTTCAAATATTTCATCTGTGCCAAGCGGAGCATATCGATATCCGAGTCCCGCTCAAAAGTGTCTCGAACCTCCTTGGTAATCTTTTCCAGCTTGTCGGGGTTCAGCAACAGCTGGTAGGTGAGGCCGCTCAGGGCCGTGGCGGTGGTTTCTGTGCCGGCGACCATGAACAGCTGGGAATTGGCGTACATCTCCTCGCGACTCAGACGTAGGGAGTCCTTCTGTGCCATGATGAGACCCCAAATATCAGGTCGGTCGAGACTCTGATCCACTCGCCAATCGACCCGCTCCTTGCAGGACTGATGATGTGACGCTTGCCTTTGTTTCAGTGACCGGGGAAGAACCTGGTTGAGCAAAGAGGAGCACCATGGGTAGTATCGTGCGACACGTTTAAGAGTATTGACCTTGACGCTGGAGAAGATGGAGGTCACCCATCCTACGTTGCCAGTGCCTGCCAACAGATTGAGGGGATCTCCAAAGGTCAGATCACCCATGATGTCGAACGTGGTCAGGTTGTACATCAGAACCATCTCGATCTTTGCTTTGGGGTCAGTTTCGACGATCGCTCGGAGCTTCTCGATCAGCATGTCCGCGTAGTGGGCGATGAGTGGCTGCTGCTCGCGCAAGGCCTTGTCCGAGAAGGCATGCGAGAAATTGCGACGGAAGCGCGAGTGGTCAACAGCTGGGGCGCGGATGATGTCCGGGATTCCGTTCAGAGTCCGGCCAAAGAAGCGTGTATCCTTCTCGGTGGACTTCTTGGTCGCGCTCGCGTGGCCGTAGATACTTCTCCATGCCTCCGCGGACGAGTAGCTAACCTGGTCGGGGGAGGTTCGGACGGCGTCCCCATAGACCAGATGGAGGTTTCTCACCCAGGCAAGCTCATCTCCCGCGAGATAGTGATACATATGGACCAGGCGGGTGACTGCCGCTAGTTTTGGTCCTGGGAATTTATGTACAGGGTTGATGAACCACTCGTAGAAGCATTTTCCCGCGACAAACAAGAAGACCTAGAACAAGTACCGACGTTAGCAGTTGGAGAACCTGGTCTGGGATGGACTGCACCTACAAGGCCAGCTGCCAGTGGAAGGTAATGCCCATCAAGGGTCTCTGCAATACGTTCATAAATCATCCTGAATGTCAGGGGTAACACTCAATCACAGTCAAGCGATCTTAAGGAAGGGATTGGCCGCGCTGAATGCAGACCACCCTCTCCATGGGCTCACGGAGGGTATTTATCCCCTCGCTCGACCGGAGGTGTTGCACGGCGATACAATCGTCATCCCGGTTATGTCCTCGGGGACCTGCACAAAGGCCACGCCGATGCTGGACCAAGCCGGCACACGACCCGCTGCCCCCCAATGCTGCATGAAAAGCTGTCAACCGTGAGAGGTCTCGGCCGCAAGGCGAAACACAGACCGATGCAAGTGACGACGCCCGGCTCTGAAGCGCCGAGCACCGAGCGCCGCGCAGGGAAAGACCCAAAGCCTCCTGGACGCGTTTGGCAAGACATCTTGCGTCGAAGGCGCGGTTGGAGCCATGGCCGACCGGGCGGGGAAGCTGAAGAGTGGAGTCTGTGGTGCCTTGGTGCGATGGATGGCGTCGAAAGAGGGGCCGATTGCCTGTCGATCGCCGAGAGACATCCTCGTGATGGATAAGCAGAATAACTCAACTTCCTCTACCCGGCATGCCGCATGGGATACAATGGTGCTAGGACCTCTGTCCGTCGGCTACCTCTAATGACATCAACCCAACGTGGGGAGGAAGAAAGGGAGAATCCAGGGACGTGGATGGAAGGAGCAAGTGTTGTCACATGCCATGAATTGTGCTGCTGGCCTGTGCACAGCACCGTGTCAATGATCGCTGCAGATTGGTATAATTAGCAGGCAAGGGATTGGCCTGCATGTGTGCCGTTTCTTCCGGTTGTCAATGGTCGAGCGGCTGATTAGTGATCCCAGATGCAATGCACCGTTGCAGGGATGTCATGTCGTCAAGTGTGTAACCATCCAGCGGTGAATGGGATTGTTTTTCCCTCCGATCAATAGTCTGGTCCGGGGCTTGTTGCTGGCCAATGTGAGTTGAGAAGCTCTGCTGATCCCCCTTTAAACTCGAATCTAAACTACAAGCAGCAACACATCGTCCATAAGCCATATACCACTTTACATCGGGCTCGACATGCTTTCCCACCCCCTCGGATCGGGTACACAGATGAGGTCTCGGTTGACCGGGACGGAGCACCAGCTACGCATAACACCGCCACTTATATACTCGGCGTCATCAGCTTCAGCGGCCAAGCGACGTAGGATCGATTACCTTTGCTTAGTGTACAGTGGATAAGCACTTTAAAGGCACGGAGTTCGTTGGTCGGGAGTGCAGTGATGTCAGTCAGGCTACCGACCTGGGAAGTGGAGCTTCGGGCATGATAGGCTATCACCGGGATTGAGTGATTATGAAAGCGGGCAACGGTACTCCGTACTTTCCAATGGATTCGGGTTCATCAACGGTACCCGGGAAGGATCAGGTACAAATCCCTCGGCGTGGATCGGGATAAACTGGTGGGGTTTTGGCGGTGATTGTTGATATGTGCATGTGAAAGGATGGATGAGCGGTTGCGTTGCTTCCTCGAGATCATCTGGACGAAGACGGTGATTGTTTCGCTATCTACGGAGAAGCTGTTCTGGAGCATTTGAATCTGGCTCTTGAGAATATCTTGGAATACTAGACCAGCGAAAGGTGGTATCTACCTCAGCACAAGCCCCCCTTTCCAATGCCACCCACCAACACTCCACTCGCCTCGTCAGGGGGTGACCATCCAGAACAAGGCAGAGACCGTCGACGTAGGCAGCCAGATTCCCAACCCCAACCTTTTATTTCCTGGCCGACAAAAAGCCTTGGGAAGTCAGAGAGTTGAGGGGGAACCGCGAGTCGGATGGCCCCGGGCCTTCCTAATCGGGTCCGGATGTCGGCATCCCTGGCCCGATCGGGGCTAGTGCTGTTTTCCCTGTCGATCATCATCTGCAGCTGCGACTTTCGACATGAGCCTTCGACCTTCTCCTCTGCGTCATCTGTCTCTTCTCCTCTTATCGCTGGCCATTTCAACGCTTAGCTCAACGTCTCCCCTGTTGGCCATGTCCCACTCACCTCTCACCAGCACTGTCTGGCGATCTGTGCACCACCCCCATTAACCTAATCCATACACAATGTCATTGTACATTGAGTGATTTCCCTGATATGACGCCTGTGGCTCGCAACTAAGCCACGGGGCAAACGGAACTAACCCTGGCAGCCAGCTCATCGCCTGTCCGCTTCCCCGTGCGGGCGTGCGCCTGGCTGTCCTCTTCCCTTCATCCGTCATCGTTTTTCAATCCTCGTTGTACCTGATATCCAGTTTCTCGATTGATTCAACACCATTGAGTGACCTTGAAATTTCGTCAGTCTTAACAAGAGTGTGGTGATGATATCACGAACCAGAGGAGCCTTACATTGCCTGAGACTATCGGCTAGTATGGAGGTTGCCCGGGTTAGAACCCAAGAAATCGGGTTCGCTGGAAAGCCTAATCCAGTGGATGAGGTCCTGCAAGCCCGTCTCGATGCTTTTATTTTCCAAAGCAACATGAGCCTTATACGGGCGGGAGTTCATGCTAGTGCTCGCGCAAGGCGTTTGGTTTCTTTGGTTTCGTGGCCCGTAACCGCTCTTAGAGGAAAACGATTTCTGGCTTAAAAGGGTGGCCGCGCTTATGTCCCCAACCGTCAACACCATGAACAAAGGCATTCGGTCAATGACAGACCGTAATACTAGTAATGGCCCATGCGATCTTTAGAAGAACAATTTGATGTCAATAAGAAGGTGAATCGGATGACAAAGCGCAGAATCGCTACTAATAGCGTCAAATACCTCCCCAGAATCTTTAGCAGAAGACCTCGTGGTACAGTTATGTCCCCACTTTGCAGAATGGTCTGGCTTTATCCCGAGGGGCCATGGCCAATGTTTGCACGGCGGAGAATCAAGTTCGTCAGGAATACCAATGCAGGTTCCGGAAAGACGGGAATTCGACTGACAGTGGAAACCTTGGGCTTTATTTTCCCCTCGGTCTTCGGCAACCGTCGCCAGCCCTGTCAGGAGTGACAGCATAATCCTTTACGGTTCGGAACCTCTCCCTTGCGGGGAGGATATTCAGTGTCCATCCCAATGGCTCTCTCCGATTGGTGAGAGCTATAATTAAGTAATCCTTTATTGCGTGAGCTATTCTAATGCTTCCTTCCGACTCTAGCCGTAATGTCTGTTCGATATGTCAGATAATGCTCGCTAATCATTATCGCCTAGTATCCAAGTGATCTATATACTGTGACACTATACTAATTACAGTCATTGTCACCCATCCAATGGCCCGAGAATCACTCAACCCACCCTCACGCAGACCTTTGAGAAATGTTTCTGGTCGTCCATATACCGATATGCATCAGCGGCCTCCTCAAACCCAAACACCTTATCATCCACCACCGGCTGCATGCCATGTTTCTCAATAAACGCATTCATATCCTCGAACTGCCTCCGGGTGCCTAATAGCACCCCTCGTGCAGTGCACAAATTAACGAGGCAGTCAATCAAAGTATTGACATTTCCATCTGGAGCTCCCCCCAATAAACCTGTCATGGCAATCACGCCTTCCGGCCGCACCGCTTTCAGCGACTGTCCAGCAGTCGACAGCCCACCCACATCAACGACAAGATGCACACCCTTCCCATCTGGTGTGAGCTGTTTCGCAGTCTCGCCCCAGTTCGGATCAGCCCGGTAATTGAGTACATGATGAGCGCCGGCCGCCTTGAGTTTCTGAGCTTTTGCCTCAGAACTAGTCGTTGCAATTACCGTGGCACCGCAAGCAAGTGCAAACTAACCCAATGTCAGCATGGCTCCTCCACCTTATTGACAGGCCGAAAATTAGAATGATGAGTACGACGAACCTGCAACGCAATAATCGAGACACCACCTGTCCCCTGCACCAAGACCACATCGCCCTTCCTTGGGGCCCTCGACTCCAACCCAAAGAGAGCATTCCAAGCAGTCAACCCCGCACAAGTGAGGGTACTGGCTTCGAGAAAAGAGAGACTCGGTGGCATTTTTACTAGGGCAGTCTCGTGAAATACACCGAATGGACGGAGGGTCCCATCGACCTGTTGTCCAAGTCCACTGCCGATGTCTGCGAACGTGACAGGCTCGTTTTCGGGTTTCTGAGGAACCATGTAGGTGCAGACTTTGTCGCCTGGTCGGAATGTTTGGACTTTGGGACCAATGGATTGGACAACTCCTGCTCCGTCAGAAGCGGCCACAATGTTGGGAGTGATGGTGAGGGAAAAGGCACCCTGGATGGCCGTTAGCTGTGGGGGCAGGTTGGAGGGTAAGAAAGAGCGATACCTTGGCGATAGCTAAATCGCGGTGGTTGAGAGATGCCGCGTGAATGCGCACTAGAACGTCATAGTCACCTAAGGAGGGAATGGGCTGATTTGGGACGGATCTGAGGCTTTCAAGGCCATTTTGGCCTTCGAGGATCCAGGCTTGTGATGTCTCCATTTTGTCGTTGACTAAGTAAAGTGAATTTGGCTTAAAGCTTGGGGACTGGGGCAGTTTAAGTACTAAAGGTGGGGTGAAAGAAAAGGCCGGGAGACGGGGATAATAGGGCAGCACAAATCATAACCGCCGCCCAGGAACTGGATCCCTGATTCAAGTTGGGTTACGACAGTTGGAACGAAAACTAACTCCGGCATGATGGCTACCGGCTAATGCACATGTCACTCACTCCCGATAATTGGTGTGGGGATTCTGAATCATGCCTAAGCGAAGCAAGGGGGATCACGACTCATTGACAACCATGCTGGGGCGACTCTGACCAATGGGATATCAAGGTGGCGTGACCCCTAAACCGAGTTGATCCAAGTTTTGAGGCCAAACTCAATTGGTGTGGCGATTCGGTGAGCAATTTGGATTGTGATTGATGCGTTTGACCCACTGTATTAACGGGTCGTTTTACCATTCTGGTCCTTCACCATCAGGGGCAGTGATATTTGGAGGGTGAGATAATGAGTTAGCGGACGCGATATCCATACCTGTCCAGAGCGACAGTGGAATGTCGGATACATATACGCTGTTCAAGTTATTGCCACAACCTACCTCGCTTTGGGATGAAACACTACTTGTATCTGAGTAGCATTAGATACTCTATATCCCCACTGTCACGATCCAAAACCAGTGACTGTATCTAGTTCCGACCATGGATTCCAAGACACCAGCACTAGAGACATCTGTACGTATCAACTTCGAATTATCAGATCGATGCATAGCGAGATAAAATTGCTGAGTTATTGAGATACATATCCCTGGCACAATTCAGTGGATGCTAGTTCCAAGATGGTCCCAAATTGATTGATTCAGCAGTCCTTAGTCCACCTTTCCTGACCTGTCGCAAGCATAAATGTATATTTCCAGGCGGTGAGCAATTCCGAAAACATTGCCGCCAGAATTTGAAGTCGACAAACTCCTTGAGCTTGTCATAGCTTTTTCTTATGCTCTATCAGGACTGTTATTAACATATCATTAATACTGATTATGACCAAGATGCGATAGCCTAATACTATTCTGCAAAGAATAATTCGTGAAGATGTGTATAGTGGGTCCGGGATAGCTAGATTGTCCAATCGGGTAAACTAGGGAACTAAGGGAAGAAGACTTTCTGTCTAGGTAGGAATATGATTGGTTCAGATTTGTGCCAAGCCGGCAGGGGTGAAGCCGGAAACGGTTATGCCGGCAGTGCACCTCAGTGATGCATTTTGATCGAATTTTGAGGATATTCCTATGGAGTTGGACTAATATACATCAACTAGCTAGTGTACATCTCAAAACCAAAGAAGATATTGTAGATACACCATCCAACATACAACCACTATCCCACATAACGCACACCACAGACTCAAGCATGATCAATCGGCGACGGCCCCGCCTCAATCGGGTACGTAAAAATATAGTTCGGTCCATCGGCCATCAATCCATCACCACCAGGTCTCATCTGCGACGCCGGCAGCCACAACTTCTTATCAGCCGTCACCCACATCAGATCCGTCCACAGCAGCACCTCATCCTGGATGAGAATCGTCGCGCGACCCTCGGGCGTAACCTTCCAAATAGCCAGGAGATTCGTATCACTAACGTAGATGTTCCCCGCTCCGTCGATAGTAGTTCCACCAGTACTGGGGGTCAATGCGAACGGTTCCGCGTAGTCGCCCAATGTAGCCGCCAGAGTAGCGTTGGTGAGGGTAGCGTCAACGTAGGCCGTTTCAATACGGTACAGGCCGCCATTGCAGGGCTGGTAGTAGAGGTAGACTCCGTCAGGGGAGACTTCGATTTGGTCGAGACCAACGGAGAGGGTGCTTCCGGCTGCGCCGTACCCGGGGACCAAAGTGCCGTTGTACATCATGGGGAAGTAAGCTTGGGCGGAGGAGTCGTTGGAGAGAACGCGCACGCCGGTGCCGGTGGTCATGTTCATGACGAGTAGGGCGCCGGCGGTGTCACTGAGGTAGGCGACGTCGCCAGCGGCATTGAAGCGGACGTCGTCGATGCCGCTGGTCGAGGCTTTGATGGAATCGAGGTAGTAGAGTTTGTCGACGGCGTTGGTGGTGAGGTTCACGCCGACGAGCTTCGTGGAGCCGTTCACACCCGTGGAGCCACCGTCTACTAGCCAGTAGCGGCCGTCGGGGCCGATGCGAGCGCCGTCAATGCTGACGAAGGTCTTGCTAGGGTCCGAGGTCGGGTCGCTAGAGTTGTACGAGTTCCAAGCTGCGTTGGGGTAGAGGACGGTGGTGTTGTCGGCGAGGAGCTCGACGGCTTGTGGGGGGAGGGTGGTGGAGTAGCGCTGGGAGAGAAATTTGCGGCCATCAGAGGAGATGCTGATGCCTTGGGTGGCGCGTTCGAGGGAGTAGGCGAGTTCCAGGCCGGGGGTCTGGCTGGTTGCGGCGGCCAGGGGGGCAGTGAGGCCCAGGAGGCCGAGGAAGAGGGCTGCGGACATGGTTGTGCTCGAGCTGGGAGAGATGAGAGGGACAGCGAGCCTAATTGATAGATGGTAGGGGACCTGGCCAGTGGCTTTTATATTGAGTCTGGGGGTTGGATAGGAGGACATCTCCGCCATGCCAAGCCACGCCAAGAGGAGGCGGGATGCAAAGAAGGAGCCAAGCTCGAAAAAGCTTAGCCTCCGCATTCTTCACCGTTTCAACTGGCCGGATCGACATCCAGAGGGATTTCCACGCGGCTTGAGCAGGTTATGACTGCATCGGTGGAGTCGCCAGGTCGATTCGATGGACTTCTAGGTGCTTCCGGATGCTCGCGGTGCGGAGGACATGATGGTATGTAGTAATGATCCGACCCTGGAGAAGCTTGTACCAGCCAGATGAGGCCTTGGTCCCACTGCTTGCGTGTCTGGCACGATGTACATGGTCAGGTAGGACATGCGCGATTTCAAAGAGTCAAGGATCAGGAAGGATCTTTCCACCTGCCCCAAAGGGAAATGATGTGCAAAGGATTGCTAAGGTCAATCTATATCGCCGACTTTAGCAATGCCAAGCCATCAAAGCTGAAGACACCTGATGGTATACGGATCTCTCGGAGACAATGGGCTGATAAAGGGGAGAGGCTCCGATCTTGGCGCAGGTGATGGCCAAATACTTCTGAGTTGTCGGTTTTCTGCAAAAGAGAGTGCCACAAGAGTCTTCCACCATTCCTTGCCAGAGCATCAGATTGCAGAGGCTTGAATACTGAGATAGGGTAACGTATCCAGGCACTGAACAGTGTCAGTAAAGGGACATGTCTCGACGTTAGATCGGCATTTGGGGAAGCCGCGAAGCCTCCATCTGCCAATTGAATTTGCCTAAAAGACTACCCTCACCTGGCATCTTGAAAGCCATGTTGGGACCTTCCGTCAAGGCGTTCGGAGCATGTGATATGATGTGTCAGGAATGTTAGCTCAAAGAAATCGAAGAAAGAGATGATGTCGGGGCTACTTAGAAGGCTTCGCGTATCGCAAAGGCCACAACAAGACAGAGGGCAACGCGATTCTACAGGTCATCCCCGCCTACCAGGCAACAAACCCCTTGCAGTATGATTCGCTATACTGACCGAGGTCAGATAAGACTTTAGGTCAAGGGAAACTTCGCTTTCGCTAGACGACCCGGTGAGACCATGGGTATGACATACTGACAAGGTGCCAGAGAACTTGTTGGGACATGTTTCTCCGTCTGCTCCCCAGATAGATGCGATCTATCGGTTTTAGACTTCTGGTCAGAGCTTTGACAGGCCTGACCGACAGCAGTGAGATGGCCATGAGGGTGGAGATTGGAGACCGCGGACTCGCAAGTGTCGGTCATCATAGATGGACTCATCCGGGGCCATCCGATTTGTGGGCTGCGTTCGTAATTCGACCTGGCTTGGAATAGTGGCTTATCGCCGGCAGGGATGCGCGCCATGGTTAGCGCGTCGTATAACGATCCATAGCGACCAGACAGCAATAAATTCTTTGTTCACGCGTCTTGCACGCGACTGTTGAGCGACTGGTCACATTTAAGTCTCCGTCCCCTCCCCAACGGCCCAGCTCATGCAAAACAATTTCTATCCCAGACATCCACCGCCACAATGCCAGCACCCCCATCCTGGAACCGTCTCAGCATTGACCAGGCCGCCTCTCAGGCTTATAAGCTCTTGGAGAAGAATTGGACTACACGGAATATTGAAGGACTCAACAAAGTGCTTTCTCAATATGAACGGCTCCTGCCTCATGCTGCCGTGGACAGCCCCGGAAGATGTACACTGCTCTACATGATTGCCATGGCATTGACCATTCGCTATGAGGTAACCATGGCGTCCAAAGACATTGAGAACGCAGTTACATACACCCAATGTGCGCTGTTTTGGCTCCCCGATGAGCCAGTCCTTCAAGCAGGATGCGCACGAGCCCTTATCTATCGGCACCAAAGTACCGGGTTTGACCCAGATCTTGATCACGGCATTGTAGACCTTGAAGACGCGATGACCTCTCCTTCATGGAATCGTGCTCAACAGTGCGAGAATGCATCGCTCCTCGTGACGGCATATACACTGCGTGATCGTGGCGACGATGACTTCGAGAGAGCGTGGTCATTAATGAGCAAACTTATCGCTGGAATGCCTCTTGACATCGACGAACCTTTGACTGATGGCTTCCCAGAAACAGAGGAGGAGGTGGCGAAGCTTCCCCAAAATCATTCATTACGGACAGAGGGATGGATCTTGCTTGCTCGCCGCACAAGCAGCCGGTATAACCGGACGGGGCAGATCGAAGATCTCGAGACAGCCATCTTGGCATTGGAAAGCGTGTTGCCGAGGCTGTCGCCAGGGGATCACGTTTGGCGTCGCCTTGTACAGCAACGCCTGGGCCAGGACCTACGGTTGATATTTCAGAAAAATGCCGATGTTGCTGATATCAGGGCAGCATATAGACATCTTATGAAAGCTATCCGTGCGCCTTTGCTGGATGAGTTCGAAAAGGTCAATCTGTTCGTGGAGCTGTGTCAAGTCTTGATCTGTCGGCATGGAGCAACCGCAAACAAAGATGCGTTCAACCGAGGGGTCGAAATCCTGGAGTCTTTGGTCCCATTCGTGAGACACAAGAAGGGCTTATGTATGGCCAACTTGGGGCTTCTTTATAGCTATTTGGCTAGCGCAGAGAATCTCTGGGTGCAAGATGCCATCTCAAAGACTGAAAAAGCGGTGGCTTCAATAGGCGTGACAGACCCTGTTCGGGCAGGGCTTCTCTACAATCTAGGAATGCTACTGCTGGAAAGACGACGATGGGAACAGGCCGATGGAGGGGCGGGATTGGGATGTATGGTCCAATGCTGTCAACGCCCCACAGGTAGCCCGTTGGCTCGTGTTCTCAGCGCGAGGAAGGCGGTTGAGCTTTTGATATTGGACGGCCATTTGGAAAGAGCCCGTGAAGTCGCCCAGATGGTGCTCCACCTCCTGCCGTATGCCTTTAGCCGAGATCTCGAGCGTCAGCATCAACAGCGTTCCCTCAGGGAATTCAAGGACTTTGCGAGTGATACCTGCTCCATGTTGCTGAAGCAAGGCTATGCTGATGAGGCTCTCATTACAATCGTGTTCGTGCGGGATATTACCAACCCATACATCCTTGACTGTCAACGGAACCTGCCCGACTTGAGTCAGAGTCATCCAGAATTAGCGGAGGAATACGAGACTAAGCAGGAGTTGTTTGCTCAAACTGCTCACGGCGGGGATATCGGAATCTCTGTACGAGGGAGGCGCACAGCACTCCATCAGCTCCAAGAGTGTGAAGAACGAATTCGCCAACAAGCGGGCTTCGAAGACTTCCTCCGGCGGCGGACCATCCCAGAGCTGATGGATTGCGCCCGGGATGGACCTATTGTTATTGTTAACTGGTCACATATCAGTTGTGAAGCTATTCTTATCATGTCGTGTGGCATTGATACCGTCCCTCTGCCAGACATGATGTCTGAGGCTCCACCAGAATCCAAGCGACATCTTACTCGGAACGCGAATATAGGCAGCGATGCTGAAGATGCGGACCCGAACTACGATGAGTCTGACCGGGAAGATGATATTTCTTCCCTTACAAAAGAGCTATCTTGGCTTTGGGGTACCTGCGTCCACCCAATTTTGGAAACGCTCGCTTCCCATGATGCAATATCCACCACGGGCGATAGAAGTCGGGTTTGGTGGATGGGAACCGGAGCTGCCAGCGGCCTTCCATTTCACGCTGCTGGGGAGGACGACGAGGATAGTTGTCTTCACCAGGTAATCTCGTCCTACGTACCGTCTATCAAGGCACTTCAAAACGCACGCGCAAGGGCGGCAGAGCAGCTAGAAAGGAATCACCGATCGTCCGTCCTGGAGATCATGATGGTTGAACGATCTGAGGATTGCTGGGCAGGAGGGATGAATCATGATGAGCAGGATCTACTACGGGCAGAGATAGCAGTCATTGTGAGGGATATGGGAAATATTCGTATGGAAAACCCACAATTTAGGCTCACTAGCGGTGGGGTTGTGCGTTTCGTCTGCACAGGACATCCAGACCCTCAAGATCCTGCACATGATTATTTCCTCCTTGAGAGAGAAACTGAATCGGGATCAGTTACTGATGGAATCACCATATCCACGATCCTCAACAGAAAGCCGACACACTATAGATCAATTTGCTCCCCACCGGAAATAGTGTATCAATCCATAAACTCCCCCACCAAGGGTTTGATGGATGAGCTACGCTCCACATGTCCTGCTCATGTCGTTGATTCCATGTGGCCTTGTACCGATGACACATACAACGAGATACAAGAATATTTCGCCATTTCGGATCCTACCCGGGGGGTTGCAGAGGCTGTTCGAGATGCCCTGCTGGAGACCAGGGATGAATTTGGGCCTAAATGTCCAGCCTGGGTAACATTTACTCATACCGGAGCCTAGACTGTGTCTCTGACTTTCTATTATGTTTGCTGTCAGACATTTCATATTTTCCACCTCGAGCATATCTCGGAATCAAAATGATTAGTGTTTATTTGTATTTACTTGGATAATTATCTGTGTTATGTTATTCTTGTGTTTTTACGTTTAATCCTACCCAATCCACTTTGACATTTAGTAAGAAATTCCAATTACCATGTAAGAGTAAGCAATCGTGACAGAGAGGATATCGTAATAGTGACTACATATGACATCCAATTGACTATTGGTGCCAAGGACAGTGATTCTCTATTCCTGTGTTACCTCCATCAACCTTTCCTTCCTTCTTTCCTCCAACCTATCCATCTCCCACCACACCACCACATCCCATCATCTATCTTGCAAAATGACCACTCCACCATCTCCATCAATCAAAATGGCCACCAAAGACGACACCTCCACCCAAATCACCACCATCTCCAATCTCAAAGACACCTCCATCTCACCCACCCTCTGGTACCGCCTGCACGTCCTCATCTCCGACCTCCAGAACTTCAACAACCCCACCTCCCAAACCCGACTAGAAAGCATCACTGATCCCTCCTTCATCGTCCCTCCATACTTCTCCTCCGACGAAGCCAAAAAAATCAAACAGACAGTCGTCGATACCACCGGCAAGACCTTCACACAAATGGTGGAAGAAGGCCTGAATGAGCGACTCGAATGGCGCCAGAAGAAACGTATCGAGAGTGGGGATTTTCGCGTCTGCGCGGCTCACGATCTGGCTCCTGTTATGGGGCGTGCGTTGGGGATTGATTTGAAGATGTTGGAGAAGGATAAGGCGTTTGGGAAGTTGGTTGAGCAGAAGGGGTTGGATTTAGGGGAGGGGGAGGGTTGGGGTGGGTTGAAGAAGAAGTCGTTTGAGCCGAAGAAGAGGAGGTGATCTTGCTTTTTTTTCTTTTTACCTATTTGCTTTGGTTTGAGGGGTTGCGGGTTGTTTTGCTCAGTCTGAGGGATGCAGAGGTTTTGAGGGGGGCATAAGCTCGAGATATTACCCTTTTCGGTATGATCCTGAGGACTGATACTTGATGTATCTTGATCCAAACAATTCAACATAATATACATACAACCCATAAAAGCAGCTTTCTATATCTCCTATCGTACATTCTCGGCTTATTATTCATTCCCAAGAGTGGAGAGACATCATCCACCTCAGGACCTCAACCTCCTCATCATCTTCCACCACAAAACCTGCGCATAAACCACATGCAACTCATACATCACCCACGGCAACATCCTCCAATCCCTCGTAGACCGATCTCCCCCAGGATACATATTCATACACTCTACACAAACATACGTAACCCTCGCTTTCTCCTCCGACACCCTCTCTACCATAAACTCCTGAAAACCCCCCTCCATCAACCGCCACGGCAACCCAGCCCTATCCACCGCATTTACCAACCCATCCGGAAACTTCCAATACACGACAGCGCCCGCTACATCCCTCCCCTCACCACGAACAGTACTCTCATTCGAACAAAATTCCGTGACAGGTTTAACCGCCTCAGAGGGTAAATCTCCAGGGTGAAGTGTCATCCCCTGTTTCGAGGACCAAGTACCTAGCAGAAATGCACCCATGGTTTTTGCCCTTCCGAAGAGGTGGTGGCCGGGGGTGAAGGATAGATAAGGGATAGATCTATCCAAGAGGATAGTTTCTATTCCCGTGGACCGGGCAGAGAGGAATGCGGAGAGGAGGGTTTGTGTTAGGTCGTGGGTGGAGCTTTTCGTATTACTATCATTGGGTGATTCGAGCTGGGAGATGGGTATTTCGGCTTGAAGGGCGACGTAGGAAGGGATCCAGTGGGATTTGGGCCCGCCGGACCAGCGGGTCAGGAGCGGGGAGGATTTCATGCCCCATGGGGTAGGGGTGGGGGTGGATGTGTCGGAGGGGGTTTCGAGGAGGGTTCGACAGGCGCTGGATTTGGGGAGGTCGGTGATGGGGATTCGGGGGAAGGATTGGTCCAGGTGGCATTTGGTGAGGTAGGCGGTTAGAGTGGTGAGTGATGCTAGGGAGAGGATGGATGTGAGGAGGGGATGGCGGTGGATGAGGGATCGCATGGTTGGTGGTGGGATAGGGTTAAGTGGTGGAGGTATGGTGGTTGGGTCATAACATGGAAAATGAGGTCTTGGTTAGAGTTGGGATGGGAGGAAGGAATCTGTTCCTCTATTTAATGTAGGTGTGAGAATGGATTGGAATCATAGAAGTTGTGAAGACTAGGACAGGTATTAGCATTTATAGATCTGCATACTACTAGAGGATATCAGCAGGTCGGGTAAAAACGGAGGGTGACATCAGATGAGTCAGAAGGATTCGGAGCCATCCGGGATTTGCCTAGCGTGGTCAGGCGGAGTTTTCCCGCTATCAGATCCTAAACGCAGGCATGATTTGCTATAACTATAGAAGGTGGCTGCCAATTTGTCACCGGGCATCTAATCCATCGCGTTTCATACCCCGCCTTGTCTGAACGTCAGGCTTTGGTTGGATCAATGCCCAAGATTCTAGCACCCGCCTCATACTTGGTATAGTACAGTGGTTGTTGCTGGAGGAAGAAAAATATCAGTGACAGGTTAGATGTCGGATCCTCGCTAATTCATTCACCATTTACAACAGCTGATCTCTCGGATCATCGCCCCTCCACTCTGCTGTCCATTGACGCTTCAGCACCTTTTTTGCCCCTGATTGCTCCAGCCGCGCTGCATCCCACATCACATATCCCCAGCTCCGGATCGGATCCTCCATATAGTATCCAAACAGGTTGCTATAGGTGCCCCGCCACATCAGCGTCCACGCCAATGGGGGGTACACATCATCCACCCTGTCTCCTTGAAATGGCAATGGGTCACGCCTTTCCTCCTTTGAGTCTCGAGGAGAAGGGTGCTGTCTGCGCCGTATGGTCTGCGCTGACTGTCCTAAGGCTTCATGTTCAAGAAAGCTGCCAGCAGGCCATGAGATTCGATCTTGCATGGTCGACACCAAGTGCTCATGATCCCTGATATTGCAAAAGACAGTGTGTAGTAGCCTGAGACCACGGGAAATGGTGCCATAGAGCAGGCTATGTCTTATCCCTAAAAGATTACTTCTGTTAAATCGGGTCCAATGTTTCATCTCATAGGTTCGACCGATATAACAATGTGATAAAAAAAGAACCCGATACTTACAGCTGTTATCCAGATCAAACGCACCATCTGGGGTTGGAGGTCGCTGGCCATCGAACTTGGGGTTCTCTTCGTGCACATCCCAACGGATGTCGTCGAAAATCTGGTTGTACTTTGCTTTCGCGAAGGCATAAATACAAACAATTTCCTCTACCTCCCAGGGTTCGAATATCGACAAGAATACTTTCAAGATGCTGACTGAGTCAAACTCCGACCTTGGGCTGAATGGCGTCCCGTGGCAGCCGACACCAAAGAGGTTACAGCAGAGCTGGAAGCGATACATGGAACGTAGTAGTCGTAACTCCTCCGTTTTGCTAAGCGATGCATCACATTGCCGCACCTCGGGTTCCTGCGCCAAGTTTCCCAGTGCCCAGACAGCATATCTCCGTACAAGTGGCTCAACGATCGAAAGGTGGAACGTCACCATGCCTAAAGCCTCGTCCGCGGTGAGGTCTTGGCTCCATGCTGAAGCCTTAAACAAGGCGCGACGCTCTTGATAGAGATCAAGGAGTTCGATGACTGCCTCTGGATTGCGTGTTTCTGAGAATTCGGCCATGCCAGACCTATATGCAAAACATGCTTCGACAGCGACGCTTTGCAATGTCACATCCAAGCATCTGGGGAGTAAGCGCCAACGGTCTGCAAGGTACTGGCGATGATAAACGGGGGACGCGTGAACTAAGGCTTGAAGCCCCCGAAGCTCCAACATGGACATGATGAGATAACGAATCTCGGGCGGAAGGGTTTCTAGGGGCACATCCCGAGGCGGACCGGTGAGAACGGACTGTCCCGGGGCTGTGTCTGAGACCGATGATGGCCTGGGGCGTCTAGAGCCATTGGTGGGGTCAACTGGCTCTGTCCTGGATAGCCGCAAAGAGCGCTTCAACTTTGAGACGATTTTCCTCATGTTAAGGGATGGAGACGATGACCATGGGATGATGGATGACGGTGAAGCCAATTCCAGGTGCGGGCGCGGGACAATAATCAATGTGGCTGCTGTCCAGTTCGCGCTATTACATCAGCTCCTGCAAGGGCCCCTTGGTTCCTGGCCTGGCCTGGCGGCATTGGAAACGACCGCTTGATCCTCCGCTACTATTTTAGGGCTCGGCGGCTATCAAAATAGCCACGAGACACTTACATCCAGTGCATCTTGGGATGTCGTCGAACCAGTCCATCATGCCTCAATGACACTGAGACGCACTATGCGTCAAGGTCAAGGGTATCATGGCATATCACCGCTCTCATTTAACCACGAGCGATTCGTTTGGTCTCATGTCGCGCCCTGTCCATGCCGGCGAGGCTGGCGGCTCGACGCAGGCTATCAAACTGGGGAAGGATATGGTCGTTGATATATGAGATGAATAGTAGTTGACCGGTTACCGGTTGCTTGCTCTGCTTTGATTTCTTCTATACATGTCCATCTGCCACATCCAACTAGCATATCCAGCCCATATATCATTTACTGCTTGCAACCACCCCTGGTAATCCGCCTTGGAATACTTTTGTTTTCATTTCCTCTAGACTTTTTTTACTACCACCCATATATTCCGCTTTTCTTCACCGAAATGTGCATCTCGTGTCAGCGACTCGGGCGATGACTGCCAAACTGCTCTGACAGACGTGGTCCAAGGAGCGTCTCCCCTCCGGCCCCTCCTCCTCGAATCGTAAGGAATACCCTTCTCTGATTTATTGTGACAGCTCGATATAGGCTGAACTCCATTTCCAGGTTCCATTGGCAAACTATCCTGCAGCTCGAAGGCCAATTAGTGTCCGCTCGGATAGAACCAGGCAGTCAGTGCGATCATCTGGCACAGGCGAGTCGGCAGTCTCAACGGCATCAATCGATTCGGCAGCCACTATCAATTCCGTGCACTCCCTTATGTCCCTGGTGAGACAAATAAGCGACCAGCTTTACCCGAAAGAAACGCTTGTGAGAGATCTTTGGAATTGGCTGGCCGCCGTTGATCCCGTCGCCTACCGGCGAGAGATTGCCTTGGCAGCCTAATGTTGTAGCAGCCTACAATGAATACAAGCGACGAGCCTCCGTGCACTCATCGGCCCATCAAGCTTCTTAGGCTATTTCAGCCAAACCAGGTATAACACCACGCCTGAGCAGCACCTAGAGCGTGCAAGACTGGCCGTCGCATGGGGCGAAGCCACCTTGAGGTACGTCAGTATCATCACATGTGATGAGACGATAGCTATACACACATTTGTGTCACTCGACTGGCCAAGCTAATTATTCTCAGTGTGGCCGAGGGACGTCTCATCTTCATCGAAACCTACCGAAATGCGTACAGCTCTACTCAGTCAATCAGGACCCACATCGATTCAGGAAGTGATGCTATCACAAGTGGAAGGAATGCTGTAGCGGAAGCAAGAATCAATTACAACAGTATGAGCACCCCCAAAATATCTCTAATGCCCATCGGACAAGAAGGATTGGCTAACTGAATTAAATGCGATAGAGCTTTGGGTTGCATATTCACGCGCAGCTAATCCCGATGTCTTTGCATAGTCTATTGTCCTGGTACAAAGGAACTGACCCGAGCCCTAATCAAATCGTCATACTCAATTGCTGGGGCTTGCCTCTAGAATCTTGGCAGTAGGCAGTGACTGGCCAATCTTTTCTATGTTTTGACTTTGTTGCATGGTTTGTTTGTTGGAATGCGTTACATGTATATCTGCAATTGTCTTCCTAGTTATTCGCTGTTAAACTCCGTACACTATGCGATTTATCGAGCACATTTTTCAAATTTATTACAGACCGTGTAGATTGATGGCTAATAGACCTATTGTGGTATGTTGGATTTTGGAACTTGAAGCAGGTGCTGTACTTACATCAGATATCCGTGAACGCATTCAATAAGGCTTGAGAGATTGAAAAGTGTCACGCCGCGCTGGAAATAGGAAGGAAAGATTATCGGATTGATCTTGGAACTCTGGGATTTCTGCAGCCGGCATTGAATGCGAGTTCAAGTATTGTTGACGAGATTTTATCGCCATGCATTGCTGCCCGATCTACAGCTCTTGTCTGAGCAGGTACTCACCCCACACTTAGATGTCTAATCACTTGAAACCGTAATGTCACTAAGCTCGTCTTAGCCTAAATAACTAACTAATCTCTTTATAGACTAGACTGTGCCTAGTGGATTTTATTCAGGGACCGTCCATGCAACTCCGCCGCTTTCCCTGTTTTATTCCGCCATTTGTGCCCAGGAGAGAAAAGTCTAGACCCTTGAGAATCCTTTTCGCTCTAGCTTCTTTCCAAGAAAATCGATCTGTCATTTCTTCGGCCTCTTTTCGACATACGATGTGTGCATGATCCTGCGAGGGGAAATGGTAACATTCTCCCGCCCATTGCCGGCTCGAGCTTGGTAGGATAAAAACCTGGCAGGATACCCACCTGGTAGAATTTATTCTGGTGGTCGATTGTTTATTTTCAGATTCCTTGCCTGCCCCTCCTCAACCGCCCGAGCTTCTCATTTCCAATTTGCTATTCTTGTCACGCCATGAGACCCAACCTACCCTCATTCTTGCTCACTTTGGGCACTATAACCACTGCCCTCGCCACGCCAACTCCCACTACTCATTCTGTCAAAATTACCATTCGTGATTCATCCATCTTCACCGAAGGCCTCGCAGCCGTAAGCGCCAAAGTGGACATCCTCGATGCCAACATCCTCACCTACCCTGGCGGCGACATTTCCAACATCACCGCCGGGGCTGCGGGCTTGATCACTACACTCCTTGCCGAGACCAAAGAGATTCAGTCGTACTTTCTAAACACCACCGAAGCGACGGCAGTCATACCCCCGCTGGAGGAGCTTACCGTGCAATTTGCCACCGCTGTGAACAATTATATCAGTATCCATGATCTGATAAAAGTCGCCGATGAGGGATGGTATATCTATTCGCAGCTGCAGGAAGAGCATACCGCCGCTTTGACTTATACTGGGAGCGTCGTGGCTCGAATTCCCGCCGGCAACTTGAAGGATGCTGCGAATGCGCTGGCCACGAATATTACCGACACACTGCAGACGGGGGTGGTGGCCTACAAGGATATTGCGGTTCGACCGACACCGTATCCTAGGGCTTGAGCCTGTATTCGGATAGGCTCTGCGGTTATTCCGGAATTGCGTTGGTATGCAAAGTGGACCGCTTTGCCTAACCCTATATCACGTGGCTTCGTCTTGGTGTTGTCCGAATCCATGCTCATGCGACAAAGCAATGATTGTCCGAATTGATGTATGTACATGTTGCATGATCTGTTATACTATACTCATCAAGTTTATTGTGATTGCTTGAACACGCCAGTCGACTTACTCTTCCCAAGCTTCCTGTTTTGAGTTGAGTGTTGTACTTTTGCAGTACCAACTCCTTGCCAGGTTGTTAGATATTATGCCTGATTCACAATGGTCAACGCTGCGAGACAGGGATATAATGCAGTAATCAGGGTCCTACTGCCAAACACTGGACCCTCGGTACCAAGTGGGTACTGTAGCCGGTCGGAGACCCATCCAGAATCCTTGGTAAAGCTTGACCGCAGCACCTTGAAGAAACAATAAGCTGCCACAGAGCGTGGCAAACATATGGAAATACCCGTTGATGGATCCAGGAATTTCCTCAGTCCGTTGTAGCCATGTTTGCAACGTTATCATCAGGCACGTGGTGGCTGTTCCAACCGATCAAGTCCACGGGTAGCTGCAAAACATGTCTGTGCTCAGACTCACCGAAGACTGGATGATCTTAACCAGACGGAAATAGACTGAAACGTGTCTCACTCGCCTTTGCATCCAACCAACAATATCGGCTGTTCAGGCCCGCCAGTGTCCACCACTTGCCACTTGTTTCACAATGTTCTCGAAGACTTCCCTTCCAATGACATAAATCTCCCCTGGCTCACTTATATAAGTGCACAAATCCCACGTCTTCCAAACCATACAGCAAGAACATCTTCATCATGGCTTCCCGTTCTCTTCTACTTGTTTCCGCATTGGCGACAGCCGCTCTTGGTGATGTCCTGGACCTGGATATTAAGGTCCGAAATGGATACGTACGTGACTTGACTCCGAGTGTTGTTCCCATGGTTTTATTAACGATAGAAGAGAACCGTGGAGGTAGACCTCGGAACCCCAGGCGGCCCCTTTGATCTGCTGTACGACACCGGATCATCCTCTCTGTGGGTGCTGGACGGCGATTGTACAACGGAGTGTGAGAACGTGAGCGGGTAATACTTCCCTCAATCTATTTCCCCAAGTATGTCCTGACCATCGTTGCCAGCTATTCCCGACACAAATATAATCTCACCTCGACCGGCGTGAACCTGATGGCGAACGACACCAATGACTACAGCGGAGGCACCATCACCGGCTTCGCTGCCTCGGATATCCTCACAGTTCCCAACACTAACGCGTCCTATCGGCAAAGCTTCGCCGTCATCACCGACAGTACCTGGGCGGATTTGGCAGCCGATGGATTCATTGGCATGGCATCCAGCTCCATCGCATTCAAGAACACTACCACCTCCTTCGAGCAGATGTTGCAGGATGGACTGTTGGACGAGCCACGGTTTGGCATCTACCAAGGGACCGGAGTATCTACAATGGACGAACCCAATCCCGAGAATAACGGTGTCCTGACCTTCGGTGGCAGCCACGAGGACAAGTATGCGGACGGTGAGCTGCAGTGGATTGAGATGCTGTCCCCATTTGAGATCTACAAGACACCTCTCCAGGGTATCCAGGGACACAATACCTCCAATGGTCAGAACTACTCTAGTGATCTCTTGAACTGGTACGGCGATGTTATTTTCGATACTGGTGAGACCCTGCTCTATCGCCATACTATCACCCTCACTAATGATACAACCAGGCGCCGGAACTATCAACATTCCTGAGGACCAAATCGAGGCTGTGTATGCCGTGACCCCATTCTCATATGCCAAGATCTCCTCCGGATACCGCCCTCTGTGCTCTGAGTTCAACGAGACATGGTCCGTCTCGTTCACTCTTGGATTTTACGGCGATGGAGTGACATTCAACCTGACTGGCGACCAGCTGGCTGTTCCGGGCTACCAGGACGATGACCACTGCTTCCCTCCTTTCATTTCCTGGAGCAGTCCCAATACCCTCATTGGGCAGTACTGGTTGAGCAATTTCTACTCTGTCTTCGACTGGGGATCTTTTGAGCAGGAGTCGTACAATATCCGTATCGGCCTGGCACCTCTGAAGAAGGAATATCTGCCGAAATTTTAGTGCTCTTGCTAGGGCACAGTGGAGGCACACCGGCCAGGTCAATCCTCCAGCGTCTGCTAACCGCACACCTTGACTCTTCATCACCATCTTAGATATTGCTCGCTTCACAAGCAGAAACATACTGTCTTTAATGCTACATATAATCACCATATAAAATTCTATAAGCAATAAGCCCTTGCTGAATAGTTGTACAAGTTCTTGTGTATAAATCCCTGGATGAACTCAAAATAAGTATGTATGAGTCATTGTATCAATGTGGATACTATAAATCCCCGGAGATCTACAAAATTCTTACCACATATCTATGTATAACTCTATATACAATCTCCTATTATATACATGTGGAATCTATACAATAAGTATTAAAACTCTGTAAACGATCATTATTGTCTCACAGCTTGCTAAAACAATCGACAAAGAGTTAAAAATATACAATTAGCGGACACTATGTAGTCAGCCTGGCCAGCATGCTTAGTTCATCCCTCATCATATAGACCTTACCATGAGTATAAACAGCATCGATAATCAGACAAGTATCCAGTCACTTCAGAAACCCCCAAAGATTGTTCAAACTCTCCGCAAAAGTAGGATGAGCAAACACCGCATCTTGCAACTTCTGATAAGGCAAATTCCCCATCATTGCCGTCTGCACCACACTCATCAATTCACCCCCCTCAGCACCCAGGCACGAGAATCCCAGAATCAATCCAGTTTCCCCATCAACCACAGCCTTCATAGCACCCCGTGACTCGTCCGTCTCCAATGCTCTAGCCACATAACTCATGGGCATCTGCGCTGTCAATATCTTCTTGTCGGGGAACTTCTCCCTTGCCTCATACTCATGCAACCCAACATGCCCAAACTGCGGATCCGTATACACCACATACGGCACATTCCGCTCCGCAATGGACATCCTCGATCCCTGATCCTTTCCCTTTTTCTCCAACAACGCCGACCTCAGCACCCGAAAATCATCATAAGAAACATGCGTAAACGCCGGCGGCCCCTTCACATCCCCAATCGCATAAATCGACGTCGCAGAAGTCCTCAGAAACTCATCCGTCACCACATACCCCTTCTCATCCAACTCCACCCCGGCAGCACCAACATTCAACCGCTCCGTATTCGGCACCCGTCCCGTAGCAAACAAAACATGACTTGCCCCTTTCACCACCACCACCTCCTCCCCCTCCTTCATTAAAATCTTAACATCAAACCTCCCATCTTGCACATCCACATCCCCCACCCCAACAACCCTCCCCCCCAACATAACCTCCACCCCATCCTCCCTCAAAACCCCCTCCAACAACCGACTCAACTCCCCATCCTCCCTGGGCAACAACTGCCCCCCCCTCTGCACCAAGGTAACTTTCCCTCCCAACCTCCTAAACAACTGCCCAAACTCCACCCCAATATACCCACCCCCCACAACAACCAAATGCTCCGGCACAGTGCCCAATTCCATAATCGACGTCGAATCCAACACCCTCTCCTTCGCCACCCTCTCCAACCCCTCCACCACCGCCCCCGCAGCCCGACACCCAGTATTAATCACAATCTTCTCCCCACGAACAACCCTCTCCCCCCCATACCCACCAACAACAAGCATCGTCTTGCCGTCCACGAAACTAGCCTCACCCATGAGAATCTCCACCCCTGCATCTTTCAACTTTTTCTCACTGCCCATCCTGAACTCGTTCACGATATCCCTCTTCCGCTCCCGGACTTTCTCCATAATAACCCGGACTTGATCCCCCCCGTCGCCATGCGCAGACACATTGTCACTAAGGTAAACACCAAACTGCCCCCGCCTTCTAACCAGATCCGCCACCCGCCCAGAAGCAATCATCGTCTTGGTAGGCGTGCACCCGTCATTTACGCAGCAGCCGCCGATGTGTTCGCGTTCGATAAGGGCGGTTTTGGATTTTGGGTTGGCGAGAGCGAGGGCTCGCGCAAGTGGGGTGCCGCCTTGGCCGGAGCCGATGATGATCGTGTCGTAGGTTGTGGGGGTTGTGGTGGTTTGGATTAGGTGGTGTTTTAGGGGGTGGCGGAGGATGGGACGGTACATTTTGTTTTGTTTCTGGTTGAGGTTGTTGGGTTGGTGTTGTGTGATGAGGTGGTAGGTAGGTAGGCAGGTAGGTAAATTGAATGAGGGTTTGGGAATGTTGGAGGAGATGAACAAAGAGGTGAGATGAGGGGAAAGAGTAAGCCTTGTCATGATTAGATCATATGTGCAGGGTTGTGGTATTGGGTGAGGAGATGAGGCCGGTCTAGATCGTCGGGATGAGGGTTGGGGCTGCGGATGGGTTCCGTGGTCATGTTCCGTTGCATTCGTTGGAGCACTTTGTAAGCAATAACTCTACTATACGAATTCTACTATATTGAATTAGACAATAATGTCTGAAAGGCGAAGTATTAGATGATAATGAACAGAATATGGATTACCGGAAACATAGGAAATGTCCGTCAACATACGCATGAATGTCGGAGGATACCTCAAACGTGTCAAGGAATACAACACTGGAATATCGGCATCAGCAAAAACATCAGTCCCTCGACCCGGAATGGAACCAGGGATTTTCCGGTGCCAATGAACCATTACAGCCGGACGCCAGAACCAACTAGACCATCAAGGGAAGGGTGACAAAGCCCGTTGTCATAAATCGATAAGGAAATGCAGGTGAAAAGGAAAACACCGTCTTGGTGTATCCAGGCCAGGCATCGACAAACAATGCTGGTCTAAGTTCAAAGAGAAATCGACGGGAAATGCCCTGATATTGAATAAAATCGACAGTTTCCAAGTTTCGGGCCCCGCCTCACCTGACCGAGTCACCCGGTATATAGCCAGCCAGTTGGCCAGCGTATCCACTCATTCAACAGCAACATCCAGAACATACTTCACCATGATGAGTCTTGACAGGTTCCTGACCGAGCTCGTGCTCGAGCCAATGAATCACATGGAATATAAGATCGATGTGTGTTCCCTTTCCGAGACCAGTCATCGGTACCACTCAATCGCCACTACTCACTTCTACAATTATTTCAAAAACGTCGTCTTCGAATCAGACTTTACACACCACGACCGCGACGTCCTCCACTAGGCTGCAAGAAAGGGAAAGATAGCCTGCGTGCGCAAGTTACTCCAAGTAGGCGTCCCCGCTACACCTCCACACACGACCAAATGGTATCGGAACATCCCCCTCGAATCTCCAATTGCCTTTGCAGCAGCTCGTGGCCATGAGGAGGTTGTTCGAATGTTGTTAGACTACGGAGTCGATCCAAACCCCCTGTTGGGTGACTCCACGGCATGGCAATTCGCAAACCCGCTCGGGGCCGCGGTGACACATGGCCACGAGGCAATAGTTCGGCTGCTGATTGACCATGGTGCGCAACTGGAATTTCCCAGACAGATAATTAACATTTTCCAGCCCTTGTCCACGGCAGCCTTTTATCGTCAGACTGCGATGGTGAAGTTGCTCCTAGAGCATGGATGCAATCCCCTCACTCGTGACTATCAAAGTCAAGAAGAAATGGTTGAAGGTTGTGCTTGGACGACGGCGTCTCCAAAGAGTCTAGAGACTCTGCAATTGTTTATTGATCATGGTGTACGGCCTGACTTTTCCGATCCTGATTTTACCTATCACCAGAGCATCAGAATCGCTTTATGGGATGATGACATCGCGCTGGTCAAATTCCTGTTCGATCATGGGGCTCAGTTAGAACTGCCCACGGATCCTCAGTGGGAAGGTGTATTGAGCGAACCTCAGGCAACAGATATTTTGTACGAGATGAGTACCGCAGCGGGCAAATTCCCGGACTATGCACCCTTGCTGCTGGAGAAGATCAAGGTGGATGAAATCATCGAAGAAGGGACCCTGCAAACCAATTTCTCCATCATGATGGGTGCGGCAACTGGTGGATGCGAGCATCTTGCGAGACGTTCGCTAAACATCGACTGGGTGGCCAAATTTCCCAACGTCGAGGTTGAGGATTGGAGAGACTTCCTGAGCGATTGGCTAAGAACTGCTGCTAGACTTGGCCACCTCGGCATTGTGAGGCTGCTTTTTGATCATGGCGCGAGTACTGATGATACCAGGGGCGAGGGTCCGCCGATATTTTCTGCAGTGACGCGTAAATGCCCGGAAATGGTGGAGCTATTTTTGGATCGAGGGGTGGATCCATTCGTCAAAGAACTTCGTGGTAGCTTATTCGACAAAATCATTGTCCAATGTGCAGGGAGTGAGGCATGTTTGAAAATGGTCCAGCAATTGGTGGACCGGGATCTCCTTGCACCGAAAGGGACTGATATTGCCCGTCTCATTGCGCGGGCCGTGCGCGGAGGAACCGAGGTCTTCAAGCTTGTCGTGGACCATTTGGGGATTGCGCTGCACCCGTCTAGCTGGCCCCTGGAGAGGGCGTTTGTTGAGGCAGTGAAGAAGACAAACACAGAGATCATGGAAATGTTCCTCAAGGCGGGGTTTGATCCTAATTTCAGGCGGTGTTCCACGAAGGTAGAAAGCTATCTCGCTATGGCGGCAGAAGCCTGGGAGGGTCTTAGCCTCCATGAGCGAGCAGTTGACCTCCTCTTGAATTACGGGGCAGATATTAACTGGCGGAAAAATATACATGATATGACGCCCCTTCTCTGTGTCGCATCAATGATGAGCTATGGCAGTGAAGCGAGACCCGTGAGGCTTTTGTTGAAAAAAGGTGCCGATCCATTTTGTTCCTATAAGGACGGGGAGACCCTGCTAGAAAGAGTGGCCAAACTAGGAAATCTTCCAACACTCAAAGCCATTTTGGAACATTTCGATGAGCAAAATACGCCGTTCTCTCGGGTAAAAGTCATGGTTGAGAAGGCTGTAAGCGAAGCAGGCACCAGGATGAGTGCTCAATATTCGTGGCGTTGGTACTGGCGCAGGGTATATCCTTGTCCAGGAGATGATACTCCCTTCTAATTGTCAGGCACATGAGTCTATCCTCTCGAGCTGTATGCGACCATGTCCTTTCTGATTGCTTGCTTGGAACTTACAGCGTCTGACTGTCCGGCCTCATTTTATCCCCATAGTACTTACCAGATCAATCGAATAACTGAATCATTTACTTCCTTCCTCCAGACAATGAATATGCATCGTAACCTACCTAATATATCGACTAAACCCTATACTAACCATCCAACCCCATTCTCCAACCTGATTGGCCCTCTCAACCGCCCCACCCGGAGGCGGGGAAAATTCTTCCCCATCGAGCAAATAACCAGGAACATCTAATCTCCCGTCACAACCCCCAGGCATCCCATCCCAACCATACCATGCAAGAACTCCCCATCTCACCCCGGGGCATCCTCTGGCAAGAAGACTTCATCACCCCCGAACACGAGCAACAGCTCATCTCCATCTTCCGCCATGAACTAGACTGGCCCGATCGCACAGGTCGCCAATCCCTCCACTACGGCTACACCTTCGACTATAAGACCTTTGGAATAGATCCCGACATCCCGTACAAGGAGTTCCCGGACTGGTTGAAACCGCTCATTCCTACAACGGAAAACCGCCCCCCGGAACAGGTCTGTCTGCAGTATTATCCGCCGGGAAGTGGTATCCCGCCCCATGTAGATGCGCATATGGCGTATGATCAGCTGTATGCGTTGTCGATGGGGGCGCCGGTCATGATGCAGTTCCGGAAGGGGAAGACGGAGGAACGTGTGGATGTGGATTTGACTCCTAGGACGATGATGCAGATGAGGGGGGATGCCAGGTTGCATTGGACGCATGGGATTAAGAAGAGGAAGACGGATACGTTGGCGGATGGGTCGGTGAGGGTGCGCGAGGATCGGTGGAGTATTACGTATCGGTGGTTGAGGGAGGGGGAGTGTGAATGTGGGAATTTGGAGTTGTGTGATGTGGCGCAGAGGAGGAATGGGGTGGAGAAGGAGAAGAGGTCGTTGAAGGAGTTGGCGGAGAAGAAGCTCCTTGAAGAGGGTGTTTAGGTGAAGACCATGTGGCTTGTTGGAGCATTTTCATTTTAATTATGATTATTTTATAGCCTCGTGACTGTCTGAACCGGTTATTGTAACATATTATCTTTGCATATAGACAGGGGTGGGCCGAATATGATATATTGGGCAAGATTTGCCGACCTATCGGGCCCGGAGTCAAGATATAAAAAGCAAACATTGGATGCCCAACCCCGCAGTACCAATTATATCCCTGTTGATACAGGTGGGTACACGGCTTCTTCATGTGGTTGGATGTACGGTGCATGGTAGTGTGAGCACTAAGCTGATAACTGCAGAAGAACCAATTGGCCCGACCCAGGTTCCAACCTGGTCTCCATAGGTGGGGTTGAGTGACAGCTGCCTTTGCTCTGACGTGTCCTCGGCAGTGGGTGAGGCAGACGAAGCTTCTTAATACTGGTCATTCCCCGAAACAATGGGTCTCTGGCTCTAGACCATCCCATAATGTCCGGGTTATATAGTGCACTCGATCCGGACAGAAGAGAAATCCGCCTGTTGGAAATCTGTCCCAACGAGGATGAAGAAAACCCTATACAGGGTATCCTCCGGGTTGTGTCTCTCGATGACTCTCCGAATTTCGAGGCACTCTCATATGCTTGGGGAGATATCACCGAGCTGACGAATCTTACAATTAACGACTGTCCCTTCGGCATATCCAAAAGTCTCGCAGTGTTCTTACTGCGACTTCGTCAGCCGACTGAGACTCGTGTAGTTTGGGTTGATTTTGTCTGTATCAACCAGCTGGACGTACTGGAAAAGAACACCCAAGTGCCTTTGATGAGCGACATATACAAGAATGCAAGCCGGGTGATTGCATGGCTGGGAGAACTGTCAAATCCAAATATTGAAGATACAGTTGCTTATAACGATGCAATGGAGGGACGGCATACTTTGAGAAGTGAATACTGGCTTGACCTCGGTGATAAAATCACCCTGACTGAACGAGAGAGACAGGCCCTATACGACGCCTTGGTCAGAGTCCTTGATGGTTGTCATGACCTGCTAGTCAGGCCCTATTGGAAGCGATTATGGACATTCCAGGAATGGCACCTTCCGAAAAATGAGCCGTTGTGTCTGTGCGGGAAGCTGTCTTTTAAGTTGGGAAATCTTGGGGTGTATTTATCCCACTCCTCCAAGCCTTTTAGTCCAATGTATCAGTGGTTTGCGATTATGGACATAGCCTGGAGGCTCAGCGAAAAAAGAAAAAGTGAAAGAGAGGATGACGGATCAGAGATGAATCTGCAGCCACGACTCCAATCTCACGATGTATGGCTCAAACGTCTCGAAGAAGTTACGCTCATCGTGCCTATGGATTTAATCGCGCCGCATTTCTTCAGAAAACATGATCACTGTGATAATACTTTGACTGGACTAGTCCTTGCGACAATTTCCCGCCAATGCAGCCACCCACACGACAGGGTGTACGCTTTATATGGAATGGCTCCCAAGGCACAGCAGATGTTCCCTCCAGACTATAAGAAATCAATGGATCAAGTCATGCGTGAGGCGACAGCTTTCATGATGAATTATGAGAGTGCCGAAGCGTTCCAATTTTTCGATCTTTGTTGCTCGAAGTCTCTTCCATCCTGGACGCTAAGCATCGACAAAATGGACCTGTTACGTGTTCGACATGTACTCAATAACCTCTGCGTCAACAGTAAGCCCAAGAAGACGCTTTACTCAGGGCCAATCATCTACGCCCCCCGTGTATCAAATGATCTATCAACCCTACACATCGGGGCCCGACCACTTGGCCGGATCACTTCTAGTTCTCGACTTCCCTCTGAACCGGCTGACCTTTTATCTTCATTGGATGCTTCAGATACAGATTCGCATTCAAAAGATGGGGAAGGTGTCGCCAGACATCCACTACTGAGCGCCGTATATAACTATACTAAATGGACGTCGCCGCTTAGCATGAGTGACTTCGTTGAGCTCATAAAGTCATCAAAAACTAAGACCCGAGATTCATTTCTGGCAGAGGTTCAAGAAATGATATACAAGAAAGCTTTACTCTATGATGGCAAAGCTGGAGCATCTGTCTTTTGGATCGACTGCGGTGCTGCGTTTGAAACTGTCGGGATAGCTGAATGTGATGCTCAGAATGGCGATCAACTGATACTTCCCTGTGGGATTGGCCAGGTGTTTATCATCCGAGAATGCCCCGATACACATGACGATGTGGCGATGCACTACAAGATTGTGGGAAGGGCATATGTGGAAGGAATTGGAGAAGAGCTGGAATTCCAGATAACCACTTTGATAGAAAGGTTGGAGGAAATGCCTTTTGAGGAATACTTTATCTGCTAGGGTACTTTCTGGTCCTGGACATCTATGAAAATTGTGTCAATGCATCTCCAGTATCGTTTTGTTCCAATAAATACCGGCTTAGATTGGATTGACAGTCGAGTTCCCGCCCTTTCTACTCGTGTCCACCTCAACAACAATCGGCTCCCCATCATCAGGCACACTCTCTATTGAAGAGATTGCATACTCCCCGTTCCGCTTTTGCTCTCTGCAACACCACATTAGCAAAGCCACTAAAACTGGGTATTTCCCCTACCTTTTATGTATAAGAGTCGCCGCAATAAAACCTGCCCACAGCAAAAAGAAAAACGCAAACGCGGCTGGCCACCCCTTTCGCCATCTCGGTGCACCATCAGGACCAGCAGTGGGGAATAGAAGCAGCGGGACCCAGATTTGAAACGAGTAGCCAAATGTCATCATTGCGCCCTATTAAATCAGTCTCAATTCATTCCCTGATGTGGACTGAGTGGTAGATGAAGGCATACCATAATCAGCGCACGCTCTTCAGAATCATCCTTGACGATAGTATTGACAGTAGAATATAGAATCGGGCTTGTACATCCTGCTGCGCCGAAGAGGTACCATGCGACGAACCTGAAGCAATCAGTAGGGTACAATAACCAGACCAGCATTCTACTTACTTCAAACCCTGGGGAATATTCCAAATAATCATGCACAGTGTAGAAAACATACAGCATGCCGAGGCAATCGTGTATATAAGCCAGGAGGGATATATCGCGGCAAGAGTCGTTCCTAACCACGACGCAACGATATTAATCGCATAAGTCACAGTCGGTAGCTTATTAACCTGTGGCACCGAGTATCCCTCAGCCTCCAGCCAAAGGTTCATGTATGATGTCGGATAAGCAGACATGATCATACACCTAGATCATGATGTAAGCATCACGTCTAAAAGAAGCAAGTAGGAAACCCACGCATAGCACGAAATGAAAACCCAAATATTCCAACGCTTCAGCGTACGTTTGAACACATCAATGCCCAATTTCCCAGGACGGCGGATGTTGGCTCTACGCGCTCGGTCTTTAGCCAAGGCAATATCGTCTTCGGACAGGAAGAATGGTCTTGGTGAGTCCGGGATTCCGGGAAACACAAAGAACCCGATTATAGCGACGGGGATTGTGAATATGCCGTCGATGATGAATAGCCATTTCCAGCCGGGCATACCTGCTACTCCGGAGAGATTGGTGTAGGCGGCAGCTTGCAGATACCCGCTGACCATGGTGCCGAGGGCGTTGCAGATGAACCATGTGCCAGCTCGCTTGAATAGTTCGGGGCCTGAGTACCAGGAGCCTTGAATTTAATCAGTAAATCTATGTCAATGGAGTGGTAGGGGGCATACCGAGAATAAAGTGCGTTCCGGCAAACACAGGGGCTTCAAACATGCCGACGAGGAAGCGGAGTGCGTAGAGCTGGCTGACATTTGTTACTCGGCTCTGTGCAAAGGTACATATTCCCCAGACGATTTCCAGAGATGGGAGTAGCCATCGTGCTCTGCTTGGTTAGTATAATTTCCTCGTGGTGTGTTACTGAACATACAATGTGGGACGAGACATCAAAAGCAGACCCGGCACTTGGAAGACCACATAGGCAGTGTAATAGCACACGTTGAAGTAGTTGAGTTGGTTGCCATTGAGATTGAAATCCTCCTTGAGTCCACTGACATATGCATTGCTGATGTTGGTTTGGTCTGAAACATCAGCTTAGGGTGTACATAACAAGCCAATCGACATACCCAAGTACTTCACAAAAACTAAATACGTCAGTGAATGCCTCCAAAATGTCAGAAATATCTTACAGCAAAGACAAGCAAACACAAGAATCGACAAATCGAGTTTAAAGAGCAACCTGTACGTTTAGCACCCAACTGATGAAAAACCAGGTAGATAACCCACTTTCGCTCATTGGTCGGATAATCAGACGGATACCAATTGAACACTTCTTTCAGCAGCCCCCAAGCGCCCAACGTCTCGGCCTTGGCAGATTTCCCAGACATATTGATAATCCGTGCCTGTACACTCCAGGCAATAGTCCTGCAGGAGCATGTTTAATGATCCGTGGAACAATTTATCTGATCCGTCGGTACTTACTTGACTACCGAACTCGGATGTCGAGATATTGTTGACATATTTGCCATTCTGTTCTTTGCTGTCATCATACGCCAGAACAAGATCTGATAGGGTTACTCGGCCGTGTTAGCTGCAGCACACAACATCCTAGTGCGGGATGACGTGCCTCAACCCTGGAACAACCCCAACCTAATCAGCTCTTATCTTTACATGATTCAATCATCGTGCAAAGCACGGGCTAGACCCTTGCTGAGACGCGAGATAAGGATTGCGTGCTTTGCGGGCCATCCATCGTCAATCACGCCGTGCGGGGTCGAAGTATACATCGCATTGACCCTCGAACATATTTACCCTGGCATCCCAACTCTGAGATCAAACCATCAGTACTACATACATTTATCTTGGAGCTATTTGCCAACATGCCCGCCAGACTCATCGACAGCTATGACCACGTCCCAGTGACCAAGGAAAACCGTAAGCATCTATCCCGATATATTCAATTGACAATACTAACAAAACAGTCGACTGGGCCGAGCTCATCACCCTTGATCTAAGCCAGTACGAGCAACCAGGAGGAAAGCGATCCCTCGTCAAGCAGCTAGAACACGCTGTTCGACACGTCGGTAAGTAACCTACCATACCCATTCAACCCTCGCTTATGTCAAATGCAGGCTTCTTCTACGTTAAAAACTTCAACATCAGCCAAGAAGAAATCGACCGCCAATTCGCTCTAGGCCGAGAATTCTACTCCCTCCCTCTCGAAGAAAAGCTCAAGTACCACAACCGCGCTGATCTCGACCGCGGCGAGTACAACGGCTACCGACCAGCCGGAGACAGGGTGTAAGACCTCCTACTCGGTGCTAAAACAAAACAAAAAAATACCAACATCTATAGCCTCGGAAACGGCATCAAAGACAACGTCCAAGTCTACAACATCCCCAAATTCGACGGCTACCACAAACGCCTCCAACCCCCCGTACTGGCGGACAACATCCACGAAATCGAGACCTTCAGTCGCGTACGCACCCACCTCCTTTCCACCCACCCAAACCCCACACTAACGCACCCCCCAGAAATGCCACACCGAAGTAGTCGAAAAACTCCTTCGCCTCTTCGCCATCCTCCTCGAACTCCCCGACGAAGACCAACTCGTCCGCGACCACCTATACGACATCAAAGGCGAGGACCATCTCCGCTACATGCACTACGCCGCGCGCAACGCCGAAATCAACAAGAAAGTCGGTGGCCTGTACTCCCCCGGCCATACGGACCTGGGCACCGTGACTCTACTATTCCGGCAACCTGTCGCGGCCCTCCAAATCCTCAACTCAGAAGGACAGTGGAAATGGGTCCGTCCTCAGGATGGAACCATCACGATTAATACGTGCGATGCGTTGACGGCTCTCACTGGCGGGTTGATTAAATCGAGTATTCATCGTGTGCATGTGCCGCCTGCGGATCAGGCGCATGTGGATCGGTTGGGGGTGTTGTATTTTGCTAGGTGAGATTGCACCCATGTAGGTGATTGGATTTAGAAGACATGTGTTGATGGTGTTGTAGGCCGAATAACCATGTGGTTCTGGACCCGATTCAGAATAGTCCGTTGCTTAATCGGCTGGGACTTACTCGGAATGTGTTTACGGAGTTGGGTCAGCATCTTACTACTGAGGAATGGGTGAAGGTGAGGCAGACGCAGCAGCAGAGAAGGACCCAAGAGGCGAAGGTCTCCGAGGATGGGAAGTATAGTTATGGGGAGAGGGATTTGGAGATTCTTCCGGGGTTGGATGCGAAGGTGTATAATTAGATATGGAATCCTGGAGAGTGGATTGAATAAAGGTCCAGGTTGAGGATCTTCGGATAATCAGTGGCAATCAGCAATCTTTGTACATGATGTGGGCCTTGTTTGAAGAATATATCCAGAATGTGGAAGGCAACTCAATCGAGCGGATACTATTTTTATCTGCCGCTCACCCAATCGGGAGGTGGACCTCGGCACGAGACCCTGGTACCTGAGGCAGGATAATTCATACGGCGGTAAGTATTTGCCGGTTAAATATCCGAAAGCGGTAGGCGGGGGAAGTCCTTAATATCTTACTGACTGAATATGGTCTGACGTTCAGGGTCGATGTGACGAGATAGAGGTAGGCAGCATGTGGAAGCAGATGGTATCATGTTGGGACACCTGACTTCTACTGCAGTAGTCAGAAGAGATATATCCTTTTTGGTCTGCGTGGTGTAGCTTTGACAAAACATAATAAATTCCATGCTGTTTGTTCTAGAGGATGGCTGGTGCAGTCCAACTGCTAGCTTTGGTACCACCTACAGCCCAGAAAAACACCCGATGGTGGCTGTATCAAGTCGTGGTTTCAATATACCCGCACCCTCGCATTCCTTCGTGCCCTGTGTCCCAACAGGCGTATTATGGCAGGGTGCCTGCCATGCGCAATCGCTGCCGCCCAAGGCGTGTCCCCGTTAATATCCATGGAAGTAAGATCGGCCCCACGGTTCACCAAAGCCTCCACAGCTGACTTGTGGCCATACATAGCCGCCGAGTGCAATGGGGTCTGGCCAAGGTTATCCCGCGCATGTATGTCAGCCCCGTTTGCCAACAGGGACAGGACTCCAGGCATAATATCTATGGGATTTTTGCCTGCACTCTGGAAGGGACGCTCCTTCAGTGATTTGCAATCCAGTCGAACTGCATAGTGCAATGGCGTTCTTCCGTCAACGTCTTGCACATTTGGATCGGCGTCTTTCGTCAGAAGGACTTGGATGGTTTCGTTCGCACCATGTATGCATGCGTTAATGAGAGGCGTACGATCTCTATAGCCCCTCGGTTCAGGATCCGCACCGTGTTCCAGTAGCAGTCGGATCACCGGGACATTATGATGTATACCCGCCAAATAGAGCGGCGTGCTGCCCCTGCTGTCGTTTTCGGTCTTCGCTTCAATATCCGCACCGTTCTCTAGCAGCGTCTCGATAGACGCAGTGATAGTAGGATTGGTGACTCTAGCCGCAAGATGGAGGGCTGTAGAGCTATCTTCAGTCCTTGCGTCGACACACGCACCGTGGTTTAGCAGTTCCAATAATACCTCGGGTGGACCGAGATTAATATTACTAATAGTGGTATGAAGCGGCGTCCTGCCCATGTCGTCTTTAGATTCGACATCTGCACCTCGTTCTAGTAGCATCCTAACTGCTGACAGATCTCTCATCAACGCCGCAGAATGGAGTGGTGTCATATCATTGTCATTCCTGGTTTCAATATCTGCACCGTAATCTAGCAGCACTCGGGCTACATCGAGATACACGAGTGAAATCGCGCAGGCCAACGGCGTCATGTTCAAGTCATCTTTTGCTTCCGTATCCGCACCACGTTCCAGCAGGAGCCGGATATAGTCCCTACTCTCAAGTTCAGCTTGAACCGCATCATGGAGCACTTTCAAGCCATGTTCATCCCTGGATTCGATATCCGCATCGTGATCTAGCAGCACCCGGACAGCATCAAGATTCTCGCTCATAATCGCGTCACGAAGCGGCGTGCTGTCAATGTCGCGTTTTGCTTCAATATCCGCACCGTGTTCCAGGAGGAGCCGGATAACGTCTGGATTATCAGAGTGAACCGCACAATGAAGAGGTGCGCGGCCGTGGCCGGGCGCCTTGACGTTAGCCCCTGCTGCAAGCAGTCGCTCGACCACAGCTTTGCAGCCATGCCATGCCGCCTTCATTAATGGGGTTTTTGCGCGCCTGTGTCCTCGAGCAGAGAATCTGGTTCGACTCCCATGTCCAACAAGAGCTGTACAACAGGCTCGATGTTGTACAAAATCGCAAATGAGAACATGCTGCTTATATGCTCGTCATTGCGCACGGAAAATAGCCTAGCTATCCTACCCCCAAGCGCAGAGTCATACCAAGTATCTCGTTCATAGTCAATGCCGAGCAGGATCTTGATGGTATGCCATCGGCAAGCAATTCCCGACACGCTGTGATCTGCGGGGCATAGGTCTTCAGTGAGGAGATGTAACGCCTCGGCCAAATCTTTGCAGTCCGAATTTTTCTCAGTGTGTCGTTCAGATTCAAAGTTTCTCTGTAAGCTGTTAGGAAGGTTGCATGGGGAGGAAAGAGGTCGAATTTTGGAGGCCCACGAGGATTGCACTCAAGATTGGTCGCAGATCCCTCCCTTCGAATAGAAGGTGTAGCTGGCGGGAGGTACGACGGAGTCGTAATGCGTCATCGATATCATCGAATTGTTAATATATGAGGAGACAAATCTGAGGGGGGATTTCATCTAGCCTTGCCATGTTGCGATTGATACGAGAGGTGATCCGTGAGATGCGTTGAATGCTGGAAGCTGCAGCGAAGAGATGAACTGGCCGGGGGTCACGTGGCCACAACCCCAACCATTTCGTGTGACTGCAGCGAGCAGTAGGACAGCACGGCAGTCCAGTGGAATCTGGCGTTCCCATCTCTCCGACACAATGCATAGCTGTAGCTGCAAGCTTAATATTGGCGAAGAGTCGATAAGAGTCGATAAGAAGTGAGTTTGTTGTGGAGCCAATGACATCCGTGAGCCATACCGGCCATCGGGCAAATGAACTGCGACTCGATGTGTCAGCAGAAACTTGAGCATCTTTTGAGTTCCTGGAAATGGTCTGCTCGCTGTGAAATTCCAGGTCCTTCATGCTGTCTGTTCAAATATTAACCAGATATATCGGACGCTGTTGGGGTCTCAGCTATCCTCGGAATAGAAATAGGTAAACAAACCAAGCAGCGGGACAGGCCAAAAATTCACTTGATTTGGACCAACACAAATAAGCCTTTTTCTTGGATCCCATTAAGCAGTCTGAGCGTAGTGATAACAAACTCTGTCTTGGTTGCGTTCTCCGTTCATACCTCCGCACTGCTCTTGATCGTTTTTCGCCCTTCGGATTGGATAAGAAGTTGCGGAGATTTGTCTTGCATCTTGCGATCAATTATAGGTTAGATCCCTTTCAGACCTAGAATAAAATCTGCTACACGACCATGCTAGATCCATCTCCGTGGGAATCTGGACTCCATTGAGATCGGAATAGCGATGGGACAACATGGGATTATTCGGCTTGAGTCTCGCACCAACCAGAGGCAGCATCATTGATCAAAGCCTGATTGCCATTCACGTTGTAGTTCAATAGGGTGCAAACAATCCATGCAATTTGCTCATGAGAGAATATGGAGGCCTCAAGCCAATCAGAGACAAAGCGCCTAGCATAGACGTAAGAAGCTTCGGGTAGTTAGTCTAGCCCACCAAAATCACCTAGACAGGTAATGCTATCTCATGATCTCTGATCTCTCTGAATATGACAAGCTTGATGCCTAACGGAGGCTTCCACTAATGCCATTTCATATTGCCCACCATAAAGAGCAAGATCAAGTATCCCCGAGAATTGCGTTCGTAGCTTGCCACAAAACGAAAAATTTTTTCTTGGGGTGGATTGTGTCTACTGAGCGAGATCTACAAAAATGGCATATCCCGACGATGTTTACTTGTCCTCCAACCACCCTTCTCGATTCAACGAGATAAATTGTATGACGATGAGCTGCAGGTTCCTTTCACAGCTCATAAAGGCCCACCTGACACACCACACAGCGGAACCTTACATTTCACCACGGTTAATTCCCGATGTATTCGGAAGTCAGCTTAGGATCATTCCCTTAAACTCAATAATCCCCGCCTGCAGGCAATTCACTTGCTAATTTACCACGATATATATTCCTAGGCAACACCCCTCGAAACATAACTTTTCCCATCACCCTCCACCTCACTTTCTCTTACACCAATATCTTCTCAGATCACAATTACCATCCTACCTTCCATCATCCATTTCTAAACATCAACCATCATCAAAAATGGTGTGCACTACCATCCTCCGCCCCAACCACGTCGGCATTACCGTGTCTTCTCTCGCCGACGCCCTTGCCTTCTGGAACGAGGCTCTCGGCCTCGAAATCGTCACTCAGTACACGAGCCTAAGCACTGAACCAAAAGATGAGCAGGTCGAGACACTGATCGGTGTCAACGGTGCCAAAATTAAGCTCGCCCATGTGGCAATCACCAAGGACTTCCTGGTGGAGCTCATTGAATACACCTCTGCCTCTGCCTCTGCCGAAGAAGGTGTGACATTCAATAGCAAGCCTAATGTTTCGGGCGCCATGCATCTGAACGTGCAGGTGAAGGGCCTGGATGGTATCCTTGAGAAGGGAAAGAAGCTAGGATGGAATATTCTCGAGGGGGCCGGCATCATTGATGTTCCTGGTAATGGGGAGAGTAATCCGCCATGCAGGGTTGTTCATTTGCGGGGCCCTAACCAGGAGATGTTGGAGTTGCTGGAGGTGAAGGAGGTCAAGGAGGTGCCGGTGGTGGAGGAAATGCAGGACGTGCAGGAGACGCAGAAGGTGGAGGAGATGCAGGACGTGCAGGAAAAGGAGGAAGTGCAGGAGGAGCAAAAGGTGCAAGAGGTGGAGGAAGTGAAGAAAGTGCAGAAGGTGGAGGAAGTGGAGGAAGTGCAGGACCAGAAGCCGATGGACAAGGTGGATGTGCTTGTGGAGGTGGATGATCAAGTCAAGAAGGGTGATAAGACTAAGCCAATTGAGCTTGAGTAGTTAACGGATTGATGTGAATCATCGTCGTGGCCTTGACATGATTTGATGGTCTTTTCAGTGCGTTGGACAGTGGTCTTTACTGGGATGTATGGTTGTTAGTCTGTGAAGGAGAGCAGGAGGACAAGTCACTATGGAATTCCATGGAGGAAAGCAGGTAGTGCAGTCCGAAAATTCATATATTATATAGGGCAAGTCGTAGCCGTATATTGTAGAGAGGCCTCTGCCTCTGTAGGATGCTTGCTGTAAGTCATCACCTCTTCCGAACATCGGAGTCTCCTTCAGGGCAATGTTCTACACCAATTTACCCGGAGAATACCGCTATTTCGGGTGAGCGTATCGTTCTGTCTCATACGCATCAGAAGCATCATCAGGGCACATCAGTCTCAGAGCCATTCCGCTCTGCTCCAACACAATGGCGCTTGGATGACTAGGCCGATTCTGGTACCACTTGCAATGAAGTGATTGAAGCAGTGTTGAAATTGGATGTACAAATCCTGGTGCGGATCATCAACGTACTGTATGGTAAGATCGTCCCTACACCCAACGCTGTGAGTGCATGTGAAGTCACAGGAGAAAAGAAATTGGCATCAAAGAACGCACATACTGACACTTTTGGGGTATTTGGCCGAAGCCTGCCCTATTAATTCCCTTAGTAATTATCGGCAAGTATAGACGTGCACGATGCCTGCAGCTTTTGATCCTGTGCCCCGTGACCAACCAAGTGGCCTATAAAGCCAGCCCGCCACTATTCAGGAGATCCTTCGACCACAATCCAAAATATCCTACGGTTTTTTATACCACCATTCACCATTCAGATGGATAGTGATACCTAAGTAGGTTGAAGTAGGTCGAGTAGGGATCCTAAAGATACACCGTACCGTACTGTCCTAGCTCGAACGCGAAAATTACGCGATCGATTGTATGATACCGCCTCCCACTAAATGCTGGTGCCAGCCACTTGCTTTACCCCGCAGCAGCCGAGGATCCATCCCCAGCAACAACAGACGATGCTCCCCAAACGACAAGCCATTGCGCTGGCCACCATCACTACCTTCATCCTTCTCGCCACCATCTTTTGGACCAATCCATCCACCCTATATCCAGTTCTCCCGGATCAATCACCCCCTAAGATGTCAATCACACATCTGGTTCTCTTCCAATTCAAAGCTGACACGAGCCCCAAAGTCATCAGCGAGGTAAACTATCCCATAGAGGCATATATCCTCATTATGACTAACCCAGCCACACCTGAAATCAGACATGCACGCGAATGCTCGACTTAAAGGACAATTGTATTCATCCCACGTCGCAAAAACCATATATTCTGGCTGCATCGGGTGGACAGGATAACTCTCCAGAGGGCATCCAAGTAAGCGCGTTCCAGATTTCTGTCCTCTGTATAACTATGAATATCCCATAGCTAACCATGTATCTCGGCGATGGAAGAATGGAATCACCCACGCTTTTGTGGTGCAGTTTGCCACGGCGGAAGATCGCGATTATTACGTGAAGCAAGATCCGGCTCATCAGGCTTTCATTAAGAGTTTGGATGGGATTGTGGAGAAGGCGCAGGTGGTGGATTTTACGGATCGTGTTTATTGAGGTGGTGTTGCTTGGTTGAGTAGTGGCTTTGTTCTGGTGTCTGTTGGTAGATATAGATGCTTAGAGCATATGGGATAGATTAGATTGTCATGATAGCTCGTATTATAAGGCGTGGATATAGTGGCCCGTATCCCATACATCGACCAGCAATACCTTCGCTGTCCCAGTTAATCTCAACAATAGACAGAATGACAGCAGCCACCTTGCAAGACTTTTGATAAGAAACTACTTCTATGATTGCGACTCATAATGATCAACATCCGTAGCTACTGACCCTAGGAAATTTGGGTGTACCCTTGCCCACTCCACCGTGGATGCTATAGATTCATGCTAGGCCCGGGTTAAGGATGGGGTGGGTTGGGCTGGGGGGTGAACGAGCAGAAGTTTCCAGGTAAGCAGGGGGTTCGAAAAAATACTACTTCTTGGGAGGTTTCTTGTGGACTTTTCGAATGCGTAAGATGTAGTTGTATTTGTTGGAACTTATTCACCTTGGAATTGTTCCACTAACCTGAGAGGTATCTCTTTTGGTCTAGTTGGGGAATTCTATCCGTATTTACTATTGATTGTTGAGTACCATTTCCTTATCGCCTTCCTCGGCTCTTCATTGTGAAGAGGTAGTTATCTACCTATCCAGCTAAGCTACAGCACCATATCTGATATATAGCAATAGTCGACCATATCAGCCATGCTCTTGTTACATGGCTGGCCAACCTTTAAGCCCCATGACGAAGAAGCAATTCAGCGCCGAACAATGGATCAGTATCTATGCGGCTGACAAGGGTCGTAACACGAGGTATATCTGAGGCAGTGACTGCAAAAAGCCATAGGATTGTACGTATATTCACTGTCGGATAGATGACAGCAGGACGACCATGCAGGGAACAAAAAGGCATGTTCTGCGGATCGTAGATAGGATAGATTACTGGAAGCCGCAGATACGTCGGTGATTTCGCGCCCGAGCCAGAAAGGTTATGTCTTCATGATCAAGACGAAACGCCGTGAGATGCTTCATGAGACGCTCAAGAGAATTGATATAGTAATAAATGTGTGGTAACTTTCGAGTTACCTCAACATGATAAGGCAGTCGATTCATGAAAGAAGGCATGCTGCAGAATTATTTCCTGCAAATGCGCATCGCCCATGCAACATAACATCGGCCAAGTTGCGCAAAAGATTGAATTTTGGGAAACCTTCCACGTCCCTGACAAGTTTAACCATTATAATGTTCGTTGGAGCTGAACGTTGGTTAGATTCGAGGCATTGTTTTCTCCAGAACATCCACAGCACAAAAGGCATACTTGAAGTTCATGCCCACTGTTATGTGTGTAACGTTTGCACCGTCTCTTGGCCGTCGAAGGTCTTGGTTATTCTTGTAATATATGTAATCACAGTAATTGAATTCCCGTCGTAGATGGGGGCAATTTGACTTTCTTGCCTGTTCATCTTGCCAATCAGTATGTCCTTTTGCCGTTCTAATGTCTGCGTCGGTTCTGGCGACCCGGATATGCCACTTCTCAGTGTCTCGATGCGTACCGAGGCAAGTAGATAGCTATGGCAATTGTCACCACCTCCAGTGCCTGCCTATATATATGTTGACCAGGACGCGCTTTGTTGCGAGACTTCCTGCTTCTCCTAAATATGGACTGGTGTTTTCGGTAGCTGACCCAGTGGTAATCGGCATCATCTGGGATATCCGCCCAGAATATGAATAAACTCCCGGTCCGTCCTCACAAGACATGGCAAAGGACACAGTCACCCAAACATAGGGGATCTTCTTTGTCCACCCGACGTTTCAGTTGTGGCGGGTTGTACATGGACATGAGATCGGCAACTTCATCCGTATTCAATTGCTCCACTGTTCATTGCATGGACCTGACATCGCCAGGCCACGCATGCCATCAACTCTCAATTCTAGTCGAGCGTGGAAGTTGTGATATCCAGGGCCTTTGCTCATCACGATGCTGTAAGTGCCAGACGCGACCTAGTTGATACATTTGTTCTGCCGAAGAGGATGCGAAGATAGTAATGTTATCAAGTCACCATGTGTCTTCTGATCGGTGCAAACTATTTGATCTCGAGGTCAAGGAAAGCATCTTTGAAGTTCGACACCAAATACCGACGAGAAAATCCGCGAAGGAATGATATGGAGATAGAAGGAATGGGCACCCCTTGCGGTGATCTATCATGGGCTCAACATGTTGATGCACCACGAACCATGTGGGGAGGAACTCATGCAACCAAGGAAACGGTTACTTGCAGTAAGCTAATCAATAACCCAGACCCTAGTATCAAACGTGATTTGAAATGCGTTTAAGGTTTAGGAATCGAACAGCACAGCTTCAGGGCTGATCCCATGTTCTCGTTAGAGCTTCATATTGAATCGCATTGGCTGCCTGACAGGGCGCCTCCCTCTTCAGCATCTTCTTCAATATTCTATTCAGAATATCCCAGCCATCCTGATTGCATGGCTTGAGTTAAACATCGCCGACGTCATCCTTCCACCATGACCTAGGCGCCCCAGGTTGTGATTCACTCAATTCCGGTAAATAATGATATTTTCCATCCAAGATGAGCAGCGAATGATAACAGCATCGAGAGGGTCCGGTTATCCTTAGGTCTCAACATCAAAATGCGCTCTGTCGAATACTAGAACATAAGGTAGGTTGCTCCGGGCCGACGTCCTTCTAAGACTTTCCTATGATGCGAGCTGCTGACCATCAACTAACTTTGCGTCGCACACACGAAACTATCCACCATCTGATAAATGTAGTTCCAAGTTACTTAGAAGTCCTCCTGTAGCATCGTTCAGTTGTGACGTCCCATTATCCGCTTCAGGGAAGGGGGTACCAATATTGAGGTCCAGCCCCCAAGGTTATACCCGAAGCCAGATCAGAGTGTGAAACTCTCGGTCTGGACGATAGACCAGGAGATCATAATTTGATACCCCTGGTCTGATCTCACATTCCAGTTAACTTTCCCAGTGATCCTACCGAGATACCTGGTCTTGCGTAACAGCCCCACCCTGCCTGGGAGACATGTCCTTGCTGTCTGACGTTCGAACCTGAGATATACATTCCATTCCTATACCAAAACGGTAGATAAATGCTGGCAGAGAGCGAGCCAATATACCTTCCGTCGTGCGCATCACTCCATCAGATACGCGTCCATTTCCATCTCCTATTGGACAGAGCAGAAATTATTTCACAGGCCCGGTCTCTGATATGTTCTGCACAGGACCGGCACTCGCAACCCTCTCCCACAAACAGTGTCGCAACAAGCGTCGCCTGACGTTCCTTGGGTGGCTTTCGATGACGCCCGACGGTATAGGCGACGAGATCAGAGGCTGGTAGATCGGGTGTTCAAGTCCATCCATGGAAATGGGTTGATAGTACCACAGCTATTGCCTGGAACACGACATTGAAGTGGTCACATGTCTTCCACCTCCACCCCATTCATGAGCCCTGCATGACCCTTTATGAGAGAAGCTGCTTTGCCGCTCTGCAAGTACCATTTGCTTGCAAATGAGAGCGAAAGCAAGGATGGGATATGATTGCCTCCAGGAGCAGTCAGCTGAGATCTTTGCCCATATCAGCACCGATGATACCACAATATCGACGATTGCATGACTCCCTAGCATCGCCTGAGCCACTTTTCAAACACTTTCACAGCATATAAAGACCATGTACTGTATGATGAGCCAAACCGCCTTGATTTGCCGACTTAGAGTAAGAGTCGACCCGCTGGAGATTACGTTGGAGAGGAAACATTGTAACAACGGGTAAGTTGTGCATACTCGTATATTCGTTCCTGTCTCGTTTTCTCGGAGAGTTCGTCCGAGCTCTCCTATACATCAGGATATGTCATCCTGGCATCGGAACCAGCTGGATGGAATGTGATATCTTCCGGGTTTGGATAGCTGACTGGGCCTAAGCGTTTTCATGAACAATGATGCACGCAGTGTTCCAATCTCATACACATGTTTATGCGCGAGATTTATGTAGTTGCTGCAGCAACCCAGATACGCAAGCCATAGAGTAGCCTGTTTCCTGGCTACTTTGTTCCCCGGTATTGTAGGCGTCCATTGTATATCAGCGATGCGGCCCTGGTCAATCTCGTCGAGCATGCCACGCAAAACCTGTCATTCCTGGTAACCGGAGCTCACACTCTGACTTTTCAGGATATTCGGTGATTGTTTTGAAAGAAGATCACCCCGGATCCGGTTGTCGATCGAGCTCATCAAGAGGAGGTTTGCATAATTTGTCTTCAGAGCAGGTACAAACACCGCCGCAAGGGTAGATTTTCCCTGGTCATATCTGGTGGCATTTACACCAGGGGAGTCGCACGGGAAGCCATTCCACCTGCTGACCATAACTGGAAGGCTCGGGTTGTCTTCATTCAGAGGGTTCCATGTTCTCTGGGAAGTTTATCGGGTTGATGCAAGCTGGACAATGAAACCCCTCTCTGATGTAGTCGTCGGGTCGGATTGATTTTCTCCCCGAACGACGGGTGGCCTTCATCTGGCACCATTCCTGGACATGTGTCCTGTGAAATGATGGAGCATGTACATAGCCTTTCTTGCAGATTCCGGTTCTCACTATCCAGGGTCCAAAAGTCAGTTTTCGAGAAGGCCATGGCCATTAAGTTGTGCCACCAATATTAACAAGAACAGGGACACTGAATACATCAAGGTTTAACGTCCACCTTGCTGAGTGTGGATTTCTTTGGTTATGGCGAGGCTATTCCTAGAGGATAAGGTGATCACAGCTTACGACTGCATAGGAATAGACGATTCCTCGGTGGCGACACACATCCGAGACATTGATTGTGGGTGAAAATATCTCAAAGATCCTTTGTACTCCTGGCTCAATTGGCAGGATGGGAATTGGATTGGCAACGTGGCAGATATACTTCCTCCATATTGCCACACTCGAGCCGTACTGCCTGCAAGGCCAGTCCCAGACCATCCTGGCATCACAGCCAAATCTCAGATGTTGTATAACCGTAGCGTTCATAACGTCCGACACTGTCATTTGTTGTGCGATTCTTCCGTCGGCACCCCTGCTCAATAGCACTCGGGGAGCCAAGCTTCATAAAGAATACCCACTGGATGGACGAGCTCAAAATATGCTCCAGTCTCAATCCAGAACCACGACCGGGAGCTGAAACACATCATCATGCCCTCCCTTTTGTCGTAATCTGCAAGCTGGTGCATTTCCCACGGATACATGTTGAGCTTCATCGGCTCGATTTCACGACAAAATCAAACTGCGATATGTGGCACATCCGTCTTGCGTCACTTGGTCACAGGAATAGATTTGTGGGGTATCTATGCTAAACTGGATTTGTTGCCAGCGCGCCAATAATTCTGACGGCGGCTACCATTGCTCCCTCTATGGGGCTTTGTTATCCAGTAGCCTCATCGGTTATCATATTCATGGAATGTAATATATAGAAGCATGCGGTTAGAGCTGGTGGAGAAGGAGTCATAGAGTCTCTGAGTCCTCTCCATCAGTGTGGGGAAAATAAAGATTTAATGTCATTATATATATGGGAACATAGACTGCCGCGTCGTTGGGGGAATGATTTGAGGATGTTTGGCTGGCTGGCTGGGTGAAGGAAGAGAGAGGAATGGACGGGGGAATGGGAAGGGGTATATATAGGTGTTGGAGGAGAGGAAAAGGAACTTCCACACGGGTGGTCGGAAAGGAGTCTGGCGGGTTTGCGCACCTTTCGGCTGGCCGAAGCCGCTGCTCTAGATTGTACCCGGGGGCCCGGCCGCGTTCCACTGTTACTTTCCGTGGAAATGCCCTGCAGTAGGAATCCTGAGAGTTCCCTACATTTCTGTGAACTGACCGAGTCATTGGTATGAAATAGTAGGAGTTGAACATCGAAGCTCTTGGCATGGCCATTCTATTTTTGGCACTGTGACAAATCGATTATGCTTATCTTTCCTCCGCTTATGAGCATGCATAAACCAATTACAGCATGCGCAAGTAGGGCACAGATGAATAAAAATGATAAAGAAATCGTAGTCAAGTCAGGATATTCAAATCCAGAAAGTTGGGGCAATAATGACCTAAGAACGGCGGCGTACATTGAGCCATTCTAAAATGGTCCAACTTACCAGTTGACGCACATCAACAGAATTCCACTACAAACAACCCCAGACGCAATCAGCAGACCCCCATCCTTAGGATTCTCCCCAGCCGTCCCCGCAGAAGGGGACCACACCCCTCGTAACCTCAACCCCCTCGGATAAGCCTGGCCGCAGTGCAGACGCGATTACCGAGCATCCAGGAAACCCATATCCAGGTCCGAGAAATATCCACAGGGGTGTCATTTGCCGATGCCAGTTAATCCCTCTGGGTTATCATCAACTGTACCCTCCGAGTCGGAAATCCATCGGAAACCATTCTACACCATTATGACTACACATACTAGACTGGTGAAGGAATCATTGCCAGTAGGCCAGTGTCACGATCATACCACCCAAATTCCGAATGGCATGACACCGGCAACTGACCCCCAACACGGAACCCGGATTCCGACGACGGGGAGAAAAATATAAAGCAAGCCGAGTGGGAAACGTGCCGAGTATAGGTCGGATTGGTCAAGACAACGACAGGGGAGTAAAGTTACGTTGTCTCCCCGTGGGGGAGAGAGGCTGAGCCCCGGTTTACGTTAAGGTTTCTTGGTTGGATGGACCAATCAGATGCAGTATTTGGAATAATGACGTCATAATCCTTGATCTATCTACATGATTCTGCTCACTCAGCCGGTAAGTGAAACACTAATGCCCCATGGGAATTGGCTTGTCCGCGCTCCTCATCCGCTCCTCGATGATGTCTTTTCGCTCTTTGCGCAGCTGACGGGCGTAGTTGACTCCGAAACCATGCTCGAATACCTCTTGCACTTCTTCGAGGACTAAGCCAGATACTTCGGGGTAGAAGAAGTAGATCCACACGTAGGAAATCCCGCAAATGGCGGCGTAGAATCCGAATGCACCGGAGAGGGTCATGAATTTAGCCATGGTCAAGAAGGTACTGGAGACAATGACGTTACTGCCCCAGTTGGAGCAGGTCATCCACATGGTGCCCATGGCCCGCACTTCAAGTGGGAAGAAATCCGTGCTCATCCAGGCGGTGTTGCCGACAGATACGCCGTAGAAGACCACGAACCAGATCACAAATACGAGCACTGCAATTGCAGGGCCGGAGACGCCCGGGTTGAGTGGCTCCAGGGTCTCCATGTTGACCGGGATGAAGTGGATCGAAACGGCGACGGCCACAAACCCCACCGCCATACCCCAGACAGTGGAGAGAAGTAACCGTCGACGTCCCCAGCCGTCCACGACCATCATATTCACCCAAGTCATAATAAAGTTGGTGCCTGCGACCACGAGACCCACGGCCGTGGAGTCATCAAACCCTACCAAGGAAAACAGCGTCGACGAGTAATACATGAGGGCATTGAATCCGCTCATCTGTGAAATAACCATCAACCCACAGGCACTGATCAGCGCGCGTAGATTGCTGGGCACGGTATGCAGTTTCACGATCTTCGACCACTTGCTTCCCGTCTCGTTGATCTCGCGGGCCTGATCGCATGCCACGCGGATGGATGCCAGCTGCGCGTCGATCTGCTCGTTGGTTGCAGCGGCGCTGTAGATTCGGCAAAGCACGGCACGGGCTTCCTCGTTTCGCCCATTGTAGACGAGATGGCGCGGCGACTCGGGACAAAACGGCATCATAAAGCCGAGGATAAGGGCTGGAAGTCCGCCCAGTCCGACCATGTAGCGCCAGCCGTGACTGACGTCCGCAAAGGCCGCTCCAATGGCATAGGAGATGATCTGTCCCCCGGTGATGGACATGTTGTTTAGCCCGATTAGACGGCCGCGCGCCCGGGAGGGTGCGATCTCCGCAATGTACAAGGGCACAACCATCGCCGCCGACCCAACGCCCAGGCCCACGACGACTCGCCCCACGCTCATTTGTGCGATCGTGTAGGCGGTCGCTTGCAGGACGGAGCCAATCACAAAGAGAACACACCCGAGGTAGATGGCCATTTTGCGGCCAAACTGCGCGTTTGGGTTAGCGGCTGTTTTGCTTTTTCGCGACAAGGAGATGGATGGAAGAATTGCTTACTCGGTCTGCGGTGTTGCCGGCGAAGATGGCGCCGATGAAGGCGCCGCCAGAGCACAGCGAGGTGATCATCTCCTTTTCGGCACTGGTGACTGGTCGATTGTTCAGGTCGTCCTTGAGGACCACCAGCACGCCGGAGATGATACCCGTGTCGTAACCAAACAGCATACCCGCAATGGAGGCTGTGAAGGCCACCAGCCATACGAACCAGGTGATGGGGAGATCATTGACGCTGGTTGCGAGAGCGTCCTGATTCGGGGCATGGTCGGCGACTTCGATGTGTTTGGCATCGGAATCTTTGAGATCCAAGCTAGACTTGAAGTCTTTCTCGGAAGCCATGGTGGGTAAATTGGAGGAATTGGAGGAATTGGAGTGAAAGGACAATTGGTTCTGTCTTTTCCAGAGCGACCATCCCAAGAGAGGTAAACATGCAGTCTATATACTTACCAATGCATGAGGTCAGACCTATAGCGAGGCTCGACTATACCCTGACGAGGTAACCTAATGGTAGATCGTGGAGTCATGGATCCAGTCAATAGCCGAAAATGCGGGGTGGGTGTCCGGGGAAAGACCGTCGTGGGCCAACTGCCACCTCAGACGATGACGCTCCATTCTTCGGCGGGTTTTGGACGCCCGGCTCGATGGTTGGCTAATAGTAGTAGTCGGTTCGTTGCACCCGATGCAACTGACTGCATCCTGGTTGGTCGGTGGCGCTGCTGCCAGACCCAGTTCCCTGCCAAATGCCTCATCCGGCAAACCCCATCCAATATCCTGGTCGCGGCAACCAAGTCGGAAGAGTGTTTAGCACTCCACATCGATGCCAGTTGCCGCTCGTCCGGATTGTTATAATATGGCTTCATGAATTGTCCAACTTGAGAAAAGTGATGAGACACTTGCATGCACCCTGGGCAAACAGAAGAATGCCCTCGTTGTTTCCGGTTTGGGTGCCCACCGGCCTGGTCAGACTTTTCGCCCCGGTGGTTTGCCACTCGGTGGTCTAGGCCGTAGGTCTTCACCGTGGGTTACATTCCTCGGGTTCGGAATGCCATGTCGCCTTGCAGCCCTGAGACCTAGTCTCCAAGCTCCATTGCCGGGCAGGTAATTGTCGAAGACGGATACTGCCGTCTGTCCAGGGATGACGACCAATGGAAGAACGTAGCAGGGCACCGCATGATTGATATCGGGCTTTGCATTGTCCTTTACGTTAGCCTTCTATGAACAATCAGAAATGGCCTCGAATTTCCATGCTCAACGACCAGAAAACTACACTCACCCGCCTCCCACCCCTTCCGGGGACATTACAAAGCAGCTCTCGCGCATAGGCAGCGGCGACCGCAGCGGCGTAGCCATGCCACACGTTGTTCTTGCGGGAATCACAATAATCTGAGATGCCCCGGATGACCAAACACGGGAACCCGTGCATGGCCCCGGCCGCCTCCGTCTCGAAACAGACAATCCCGTGCCGTTGCGCCAGGCGATCCCTCACCACGCCGTCCTTGATTAACTTCGGCCCTGATCCGATGATCCCTGTGTGAACGGTGATTATGGGGTCATTGCCGTCATCCTCGTCTCCCAGAGCATCAGAATCATCCAAACAACGGACCCGCAGGTCACAACCGGCCTCCAAACAGGACAGGCCCGGTACCTCGTGGTGATAACCCGTGGCATAGAGAAAGTCCTGACTGCGACCTGGAAAGTCATATCTTCTCAATCCCCGAATTGTGGTGTCAATCCGCCTCAAATGCTCCCTGACAGGATCCACTCGCAGCCGCGCCCGCTTCCTTTCGACCACCTGCACCCCTTCTAACAACTCCGCCGGTGGCAGCAATAACGATCCACATTTTGCATAGCTAGACCATCCATCAGACCATTCCTGAAAATTGGCATATTCAACAACCCCAGGGGTGCCCATGTCAGGCTTCCCAACCACCACGTCACCAAGATGAATCCTCCCTTTATCTGTGACAGCCGGAACACCTCCACCGATCCCGACTAAAACCCCGAAACGGACGCTGGGAAAGGTTCGACGCATATGCGCGACGGCCGCTGCGGTCGAAGTATTCCCCGTTATGGGCAAATTGACGATGACGATGTTGTGGGTCGCGATACGGCCGAGGGTGTAGTGGTTGGGATCGCCGAGGGGCTGTGCGAGGGGCGGATGTTCCTCGTCTAGCATGAGGTACGCCGCCGTCAGTTCGACTTCGAGAGGACTTATCCACGCGATGGTATAGGACTTTCGAATCAATGGCATCTCTTTTTCTGGATATCATCGTGTGTATGGGAGCAGGTTGAGGGTGGAGCACAAGCATTGCTTTGAAGTGGTGCAAGCGGGAATGGGTGGAAATTATGGCAAAGTGGTAAGCGCCTAATCTCCTGCTGAGTTGGCATGGCGCGTGACGCTGGTGTGGATGATTCGCCAGACGTTTCACCTCCATATCTGCAGGTCGACAACAATTACAGTGAAGGTACTATTGTCTACCTATCAATTCTATGTAGGTGCTCGAGAAGCCCAAGTTACCTCAACATATCCAGGTTCTTACGCAACATTGATATAAAGTCATCGGTGCGATCAAAGCTTACTCCGACCACTGACATCCATCTCAGGATCTTCCCAGGCCCGCTGGATAGCGTTCCAATACCGCAGCTCGTTTCCCATCACCAATCCACAATGCCGACTGTCCTCAAAACTCACTCCCATGACGGAATATCCCTTTTGTCTTGCGTCGTTCATATGCCCCTCCACATCCACCCAGGGTATCATATCGTCTGTCAGTGAGTAGAGGTACAATCTGCGCGCCTCAGTTCCAAAAAACCTCGGATCATTGAGATCCACTCGATAGTCATCTATCGACCGCATCAAACCGACGGTCTGCATAGCATGCGCTATCCGCGCGGTCGGGTAAAGAAACGCGGTTCCGACGGCACGGCCAGGCTGGGTTGTCGGGAGAGCGACGGCCGCTGCACCGTAAAGTCGCTGGAACGATGAATCTCCCGGACAACAATCGAATATCATTAGCTTTAGTGCGGACCTGAAATCCGCGCTTTTTGTAGTTGTCATTGATCGCGCAAGCTGTGTGATGGTGTTACACCCACCGTTGGAGAATAAGTGCAAGAGAATGGTAGCATCAGGGTTTGCCTGTAACACCCGGGTGATCAGCTCCCTGGCGGGAGCCAGATTCGGGTCGATTGAATGAAGGGATCGGACGGTAAAGTCCCGAAAGCAGGTGTTGATGAGCAGGATTGCGGCGCCGGGATAGCACTGGCGATAGCCGGTGGTGTATTTGGATACGCGCCGGGGCGTTGCGCCGCCATACCAAGTGCACAGGATGATCAATGATGGGTGTGTTACAGATGGATATATAGCCGAGATTCCTCATATCTTCCCGGTGGGCAACACGAGGGGGTAAGCACTAACCTGCTATAGTATGCTTCCATATAATTCCCGACGCCATTGCCCAGAGAGAGGAATGTTGTCGTCGTGACATTCTTCCACCGATTAATGTTGACCAGGGGATTGCGGACCGGACCGGAGTGGAGAATATCAATGGAGTAGGATCGGACAGCATTTGACTCCTGTCCAATCGGTCCCGACCAATATCTTCTTCGGGATGGTCATGATCGTTGATTGATAATTGTGATGGCTGACTGCAAGCTGCCGAAAATTTCGGAGCGAAACCTGCCTGCAAGTGCAATTCTCGGAAGATGCAGGCTTGTCTTGGAGATGCCATTGCCACCCTGGAATACGATAGAACGACATGCGTGCTCTCTTCCGGCCCCTCTCCTCCAAGGCTCATCACCATGATTACAATCTTTGACGCATCTTAATTGTTCTGTATTGATGGGGAGAACCAGTTCCGGGATAGACGCATAAATGCAGTGCCGCATTTCTGTGGGTTGTGCTGCCTCAGCCATCAGGCACCACTGGCTTGGGTTCTACTCCCCGCTCCAGTCCTCCAGTCCTCCAGTCCAGCTCCTCTCACTCACATCTCTCAGCCACCACCATCATGTCTGGCATCTTCGGCACTATTCAATGAAAGACATCATGCTGACTGCGGGATTCTCCTTTGGCGCCGCTAATTCTGCAGGAGATGCAGACACAGCCACCCCTCGACCACCCTGGCGAGGCTGACCGTCGGCACGTCGGGCATTCCTGGCCCAACGACTAATCGCTGTCTGTCTCCCACTCCCACCACCTGCACAGAAACAACCTTCAAGGTTCAATTGTGTAACTACCCTTTTTGCTTGGAAGAACTTTACCTCGCATGGAGCATAACCACCTGCACCTTTGTGAGAATCTTCCGAAACGGAGAAAACTAGACCATGGGGAAAGTACGAACGAACTCTCTCACGGTGACTACACGGTCGGCTGGGTCTGCGCCCTTGCCCTCGAAGCAGCAGCAGCCATGGCCATGCTGGACGTTATCCACCCGGCGTTGAGCACCCACCCGCGCGACAGCAACTCGTATACCCTCGGTTCCATCGGGAATCACAATGTCGTTATTGCCTGTCTCCCCGCTAGTCATTACGGCACCACATCATCCGCAACGGTGGCTAGCAACATGTTCATCAGCTTCGGGTCGATTCGTCATCTACTCATGGTCGGGATTGGCGGAGGCGTGCCTTCCGCATCGGCGGATATCAGGTTGGGGGATGTCGTGGTCAGCATTCCAACCCCACGTTTCGAGGGCGTTGTGCAGTACGATTATAAGAAGACAATTGGAGAAGGGCGATTTGAAAGAACGGGAACGTTGAATAAGCCATCCACCTCGCTTCTGACAGCAGTCAGTGACCTACGTGCGGAGGACCTTCGCAGTGGCAGCCAAATTCCGGTTCTGATGTCCGAGATGTTGGCGCGAAATCCACACATGACGACATCATACACATCCCCCGACCCCCAGAGAGATCTTCTGTTTGTTTCAGACTATGAGCATGACGAACGACAGCCAACTTGCGAACTTTGCGACCGAGACAGACTTGTCACCCGGTCGATGCGCGGTGATGATCGGCCGGTCGTCCACTACGGTCTCATAGCATCGGGGAACCAGGTAATCAAGCATGCAAAAACCAGAGATCGATTGGGAGCAGAGCTCAACATTCTGGTTTTTGAGATGGAAGCAGCCGGATTGATGGACAACTTTCCCTGCTTGGTTATTCGAGGTATTTCGGATTATTCCGACTCCCATAAGAAAAAGGAATGGCAGGGCTATGCGGCTGCGACCGCGGCTGCATATGCGAAGCAGCTTCTCGCTACGATAAGCGTTAGCAGCCCCAGGCATGTTTCCAACGCTGAAGTTGCCACAACAATTAGCACGACCGATCATAGGGCATCCATCATGGATGCTTTGCGATTTGATAAACTTGAGAGTCGACAAGCCACGATTAAAGCCGCACATGCAAAAACCTGCAAGTGGATCCTTGAGAAGAAAGAATACATGGACTGGTTGGACAGAACCCATTTTTCCGAGCATCGTGGCTTTCTCTGGATCAAAGGCAAAGCAGGAAGTGGCAAGTCGACGATGATGAAGTTTGCGTTTCAGCAGGCTCTTTCATCAAGGCACGAAGGGACGGTGGTAATTTCATTCTTCTTCAATGCGAGGGGTGAAGACTTGGAGAAGACAACGTTGGGAATGTACCGATCCTTGTTGTTCCAATTATTCGACAATGTTCCAGAACTTCAAGGTCTTCTCGATGAAGTTAGCTCGTCAAGTCGGGAGGAAAATCATTCCTGGAGCCATACCATACTTCAGCACCTCTTTCGTCGGTCAATAGCATTACTCAGCGGTCGACGCATCACCTGTTTTATCGATGCGCTTGACAAATGCGAAGAAGAACACGTTCGCGTTATGATAGATTACATTCAGTCTCTTGGGAACTTGCGATCTCGTCAAAAATGCAACTCAATGTCTGCTTTTCGAGTCGCCACTATCCCCACATTACGGTAGAGAAGGGGCTAGAATTGGTGCTTGAAGATCAGGAAGCCATGCCGATGATATCACCCGGTACCTGCACACTGAACTGAAGATTGGACGGACCAAGCAAGCTGATCAGATTCGAGACGAGATCCGAGAAAAGGCCTCCGGAATTTTTCTATGGGTAGTACTAGTTGTACAGATTCTAAGGCGTGAGTTTGAGCGCGGTCGCTTGCATGAGCTACGCAAGAGATTTTGTGAGATTCCGGCCAGGCTGAGCGACCTTTTCAAAGACATATTGACCAGGGACACTGCAAACATGGATGACCTCTTGCTGAGTATTCAATGGATCCTGTTTGCTAAACGACCGCTAAAGCTGGGCGGATTCTACTACGCTATACTTTCGGCAAACCCAGACAACCTAACAGATGCATGGGAGCCTGGAAGCATCTGCCCAGACGATATGTCACGCTTTCTTCTTGACTCTTCAAAAGGTCTGGCTGAAGTAACAAAGTCCAAGGACAAGACGGTTCAGTTTATCCATGAATCCGTGCGGGATTTCCTATTGAAAGAAAATGGCCTCCGGGAACTTTGGCCCGAGCATCAACATAGATTTGAGGCTTTAAGCCATGACCAATTGAAGAAATGCTGCAACAATTTTCTTCAAACCGACTGTCGCAAACATATCCCTATGGACGAAGATCTACCGTCCGCGTCTAGTGAAGACGCGCGAATGTTGCGGCAGACTCTTGCAGAGCAATTTCCCTTTCTTGAATATGCGGTGCGCAACCTTCTCCACCACGCGGATGTAGCGGAAAGGGATGGGATACATCAAGAAACCTTTCTGCGAGATTTGGACTTCTTGGGCTGGGTACGCTGCAGTAACGCTATCGAAAGGTATCAAATTCGTCGCCATACACCATCTGCAAGTCTTCTCTATGTTCTTGGGGAATACGACCTACCCAACCTGATCAGGACGGTGCGCAAGAGGAAATCATGCATAGACGCAGCAGGGGAACGCTATCGTCAACCCCTATTTGCTGCTATGGTGAACGGATGTGAGGCTTCCGTGAGGGCGCTTCTGCAACCGGATGAGGCCTTCCGAAACATCGATGGAGCCTATGAAGTTGCCCAAACCCTGTACGATAATAGATCGGGAAATTTCTCAAAACCTCAAAGGATGTAATTGTCAGAAAGTATGACTCCTTGCTATCCTTTGCCGCCGATGCAGAGGGAGGTGGGCTTTTCCTGGCAGCGTGCCATCATTGTCATATGAACGGGGTCGAATTAGGCAAGTTGATATTTCAGGCAGCCAACGACGAAAACAAGCATCTCCTACAATTTATGAGTATGGCCTATCCATTGGAGATTCAGACCTACGTGAGGGACTCTATTTGTGGAGACAAAGCCATGTTTGGGTCAACGGTGAACGTCGATGTCTCCGGGCATATATTGGCTACAGGCTATGTCGATCCCAATGCACAAGATTAGAAAGGGCAGAGCTTTTTACACAGCATCATAGCACACGGTCAACAGTCTATCTTCTACAACCTCTTAACTACATGTCAGGCTGATCTGAATCTTCAAGACAATCATGGCTTTACGCCAGTACACTGGATCATTCGATATGGACAAGAATCCATGTTCAGCCATCTGCTAAATACACATCAAGTTGACTTGAATCTTCAAGATAATGATGGCCTTGCACCAATACACTACGCTATTCGATATGGTCAAGAAGCTATATTTAGTCAACTACTGTCTACGGATGGTGTTGATTTAAATTCTAAAGATATTAATGGTTCCCAGCCGATACATCTCACCATTCAGTATAAACAAGAGGCCATGCGCAAGAAGCTGCTAGCAAGAGGTCGTATTGAGGTGAATGCCCGGAACAGAAGCGTCAAGACACCATTGGTCATGGCAATTGAAAAACGCCAATATGCCGCCATGGAGTCACTATTGGAAGTGGAGTGTACCGATGTGGATATCACTGATATTCTGCACAATTCCTTCCCTCCTAGAGTATCTTCTTGTCACGAAGCTATGTTATAATTGCTCATTTCAACTCGCAAGGCTACTCTTAGAAACGATGAGTGGAACATCTCGCTCCAGTACGCAGCAGTCAATAATTGGGGTGGAATTGTAGAGCTACTGCTCGCTATGGAGTGGTTGTTTCCACGCTTGACTATGCCTTGTTCAGAAGCAGTATGCCTTTTTGCCGCGTCATGTGGTTATACAGATATCCTCGATAGGATCCTAGCCACAGGAAAGGGTGACCCTGATGTGAAGGACCCACAAGGAATGACACCGCTTGCCTACGCTGCCTCTAGAGGCCACACGGCCATTGCCAGACAATTACTGTCAATGGCAAATGTCGACCCTGACATGAAAGGACCAAGGGGGATGACGCCACTTGCATATGCTGCATATGCAGGCCATGCAGATATTGTCAGTCATTTATTGTGTGCAGGAAGAGTTGATTCTAATTCCAAGGACAATGTCGGATGGACTCCGTTGTTCCAAGCCACCATGAACGGTCATGACGATGTAGTTCGGCAGCTACTTGAAACAGGAAGGGTTGATGTGCTTTCAGGGGATGTTGAGGGAGAAACTGTACTTTCAAGGGCGAAGGCTGCGGGTAGTGAGAGGATTGTGAAGATATTGGAGGACTGGTTAACATTGACGGCCACTACCAATGGGGTTGTATGAAGAGTAATGCGTTTTGTCACAATTCTTTCCTATCCTTGTCTCCTTCGCAATGGATCTTCTGGAGATCTTTATCATGGGTTGGTATTGTTTTCAAATGTACTCTTCCTCACTTATATCTTGACTGGAAGCCAAAGATGTGCCTTGGCAGTAACGGACAATGTGAACTTGAAGCCTCAAGCACTCTCAGGATATAAACCCTTCCCAAAGTTCTATGGCGCAACTACCAACTCTCTACCTCTTAAACCCTCCCACCACCTCCACCAACTTCCTCAGATTACATTCCCTTAATCTCACCCTCCATCTCAACCCTTTCAGCCCCCCGGCTCACGTTGAATCCCAGGACAGGTGGAAATGCCACAATTGCCGTCTCACAAAATGCACCGTATTCTCCAAACACACCGCACCCAACGGTGTCATCTTTATTATCTGCCCCGAAATACCTCCTCTCTTTGATGCACACGTTCGCGTCCCGAAGATCAAGTCTTCGCCTTCCCTCAGTATTACTGCGGCGAGGGTCTTCATGCGCCGTGTGATCATCTTGCGTGAAGCGTCTCCAGCTATAGTAGATCAGGGGAAGAGGTTCCGGACGGAGTGCGGGTGGGTGGCGAGGGATGGCTTCGTGGGTTGGGGTAGTGATGGCCCATTTTGAGCGGCATTGTTTTATGAAAGCACTGAAACAGTGTTAAGCCGATTCTGTGAATTGATGGTTATATTTGGCCTGCAATGGCAAAAGATAGATCTGGGCATCAACTCACGGTCAAAAGATTGTGCACATAACCGAGCAGTTGCCATGGGGATGATGATTCCAAGAAAAAGTAGAAAATCAGATGACAAACTGGGGAATATGGGAACATGTCGAAGGCAGTGACTCGACGTATTTCCGTCTGTTGGGATTATTCGTTCCAACAACAGTATGTCTTCCAGAATATCGAGGCCTAATATTATGCTGAGATATACTTTGCTTCGGTATGCATGAGCCTGGTCCCCTCATGGAGAGTGCACAGATGTATATTCGCCCGCCGAATAAGTCGAGAGATGACGTTGCACCATCATCCAATGTAGCGTCTAGCTGAGGCTGAGTTGTAATCTCCATTTCACTATACCGCAATAATCTATTTTGAAAGACTGCTTAATAGATCAGTTCAGTTGACTCCATGCCCGAGAATCAACCATCCTCCCGTGCAAGTCCTCTAGACCAAGCTGATGACGGGGCAAGCGTGGCATTCACTCAAGAACAAGAAGGCTCGGGGTTTCATATTGCAAGAGACTCATTGGAGGATCTCCTACAATAAGATACCTTTTCACGCGGGGATATCCCAGAGATAGGGCTACCCGAGTCAGCTACGGAAACTTCCACAGACGGTGATAACGTAGTGGACTGGCACGTAGCGAGTCTAAGGGCATCTCAATCATCACTGGAAGCAGTCTTGCGACTAGGAACTCCAGTGATACCGTCTAGAATTCCTCTCTACTCTTTTTCATGGTCATCAGTGTCGATTATATCAAATGGTTGACAGTGAGCCACTTACGCCGTCTGGAGATTCTCTGGGGAGTAATAGATGATATTTCGATGCCTTGCAGGAATGTGTAGGACCGGCATATCTTTGGAGCGATTTCTTCATCTTCGCGTTCATCTCAGTGTGGCTCTCTGCTTTATACAATCACGCGTCCTACTGGACCAGGCCGAATATATAAAGCTTGATGTGGATTTGACTTCCGAGCACCCGTTCGTGCCAGTGGCAATGGTTACATGTGAAGCTTACTTGTCGCCTGCATTTCCACATTTGGCTCACTCAAGCAATTGGTATTTTAGTTATCCCTACTTCAATCTTCTCACCCAACCTCTGTTACAGGCCACCTCGGGCTGTTGATCAACCGAGTCAATCACAAAACCGGCTACCAAGTGCGGGGAAATTGTCTGTCCAACCACGCAAAATTCCAATCCACCAATACCATACAGACCCTGCTCAGCAAGGCACGCTCACCGGTGCGGTTTTGTCCACCGCTGGTCACATAAGAATAGGGCGAGATGCAGGTCACCAAGCAGGGAATGGGTGGTCAGAATGCGTTTTTTTCATCCCCTGCTTTTTTCGGCCTCGACTCTGGCCGTGGGGCCTGCATCTCTTGGGTCTGATGTCGAAATCCTACTGCATAATGATTTGTTAGGTATGAGGCGATGTGATACTCAGGCAGAATATGGCATTGACATGTCTGCTTAGAGGCTGAAAGCCCGCTGGCGAATTCCGGCGTGATTCTTCTGGAGGACAAGACTTTGCAGGAAGGAATCCACGCCTGTGAAGCCCTCGGGGAGTCGCTTTGGGGCAGGCCGCCATCGACGCCAGCTGACATTAAAGCTGATTTGGAGTATCTTCTGTACAGAGGCGACTATGATAGGCAGCGGAGTTTCTGGATATCCCCGACAAACAACACTGCCAGGACGATCAGTCTCAATGGGACCATTGCGACAGCAGATGCTACCCATCGGTTTCCAGTCCTCTGCACACAGAACGCCCCTTACTCGACAGAGACCTACCAGAATACGAGCAGCCCATACCAAGTGACAGTTCATGCCAATAATGAGTACTTGACAGGGTAAGACGTCCCCTCCTGGTGAAGATTTCGCTGACCAAGATAGCTTCCGAGACCATGTCACGTTTCGCTTCATCGGGATTCGCTTCGCTACGGAACAGAAACGTTGGACGTATCCAGTGGCATATACCGGAAGTGGTGGAAATATATCTGTGTTGGAATATGGCTCGAACTGTCACCGGGACATACATGGCAATGAAGAGAATTGTCTGATCCTGAATATCTGGACGCCATATCTGCCCAGTCTGCCTACCGAAAAGAATAAGTTGAGGCCGGTGGCATTTTGGATCCACGGGGGCGCCTTTACCGGGGGTAGCCCTAACGATGCCTACTATGATGGCGGCAATCTGGCGTCCAGGGGTGATGTTGTCGTGATAGGAATCAGCTACCGGCTTGGTACACAGGGCTTCCTCGCTTTGAATGATGGCAAAACCAATGGGAACTTTGGGCTCGCCGACCAGATCGCCGCCCTCGATTGGGTGCGTCAGAACGTCGAGGTTTTTGGAGGCAATCCAGACCGCATCACCATCTTTGGTCAATCCGCCGGGGCAGCCTCAGTACGCGCTATGCTTGCCTCCCCCAAGGCCAAAGGAAAGTTTGCCAGTGCGATCATGCAGAGCAATCTTGGTGGGCTTGCTTATGGCACCACTTATTCCCAGTACTATACTATCGAGGAAGAGATGCAAATAGCGGGCAACTCCATCCTAGAGGAGACCAGTTGCACGGTCGCATCATCCCCAGTCGACTGTCTCAGAAACTTCACTGCCAGCGCCATCACCGCTCTGAATACCACGGCGCGGTACCTTGTCGTTGATGGAACATATCTGACCAGTCCTGGGCTGGACCTCAGCCGATCCACAGAAGTCCCCCATGTGCCTGTGATGATGGGCATCATGCGCGACGACGGCGCCCAATTTATTGACTATCCCAGCGCAGGTGAGAACATCAGCGCTTTTCTGACAGAGAATGACCTACCCTCATCTGTTCTTTCAACCGGTCTGTTTCCACTGGCCACCGGTCCCAATACCACACTAGACGTGTTCAACACGTCTGCCCGGGTAGCAACAGACAGCATGTTCCGATGCATCGATGAAGCGACGGGGTATGCGGGCGTCACGAATGACATCTTCCCCGAGGTATACTTTTACGAATTCAACCGGTCGTACGAACTCGCGTCGCAAAGCCCTAATGGACGGGTCTGCTACGCACCTCCGACGGCGGAGTATCCTCACGGCGATCCCTCGTTAGAGTACTGGAAATGTCATTCAGGGGATCTTTACTATATGTTTGGCAACCTGCGACGGTTGGACCAGCCGTTCCGCGATGAGTATGAACTGCCGTTTGAACAGTATGTGCTTGACTCATGGGCCAGCTTTATTCGCACTGGGAACCCGACGCCGGACCTGGCCTTGCTCAAGGCACGAGGGTATGTGAATGCCAGTCAGGTGGTGCAGGAGAGTGGTGCATGGCGTCCGTTGAAGCAGGGGGATTACAGTCTGAGACGGTTCCAGTGGCCACCATATCAGGCGCCGTTTGATGAGACGGAGCAGTGTACGGCGTTGAATCTGTCATTGGGCTATTATGTGTAGCACTGCTGATGATTGGATTGCACTATCCTGTTAATATGGAGCCACTTGTAGCTGTCTGGATTGATCCAGATGACTGAATCTGTAGCTAAGAATACCAGCCAATAATGGTCTACGATATAGGCTGCGGATAAACCATTACCCTTCGCCTATTCCACACTAACTGCTAGTAGTAATATCCAATTCCGCTAACCAATGTCAGCTAGCGTAGGCGGTGACCAGCCACCGACCGCCCCGACATACTGCCCGACTTCCGCATCCGGGCGTCAAGTCTGGATCAGCCTCGACTTCTTCTGCTCAGCACACTCTGGATTTCTATTGCCATCTCTCATCCGCATTCTTTCTACACTCCTACCACCAATCAACCTCACCCAGCTACTACAAACCCAATTAACCAGTAATCCCCCCCCCCCTCACCACTACCACTGCCACTCTCACTAACACCCCCAGCTCACCACACAGACTACAGCACCCTCATCACCACCACCACACCCACCACTCCTAACTCTACAAACAAGATGACCACCCGCCCCCTCAGCCCGCCCACCTCGCCCATCGCCCGCAAACGCACCTGCGCCCCATCCCTCCCCTCCTCGCAACGCCTCTGCCACGACTGGATGATTGTGCAAGGCAATGTGCACTACGCGCGCGACCGGGCCCATTTCACCACCTACCGGCCCATCACCCTGCGCCTAAAAAACAACATCTTCAATCCGACCGAAGAGCTCCAAGTGGCCGGGATCGGGAGCGTGCAGATTCCCGTGGTGCGGAATCTCGAGAACCCGTTCGATACGCACACACTAACGCTAGACAACGTGCTGCATATCCCCGAGGCGGTGTGTAATGGGTTCAACCCGTTGCTGTATGGGAGTAGTATGTCGTGTACGGAGACGGCGTGGACGGGGGCGGATCGAGAGGGGAGGATGATGTGGGTGGCCAGACCGTTTCGGGGGGGTGCGAGGATGGTTCTGGGGGGTGGGTTGTGTGGGGAGGGGGAGAGTGAGATTATTGAGGGGAGGTATTATACGTTGAGTTTGTATGTTAGTCCTGAGGAGAGGGGGGTGATGGGTTGATTTGTTTCTTTCTTTCTGGCTGTGTGTGTGTAACTAGTGGTGTAGGTAGGTGTGTATGTGTATGTGTATAATAGGAGAAATAAGACTTGGAGACAGACAGACATGTGGAGTGCACGTGGAGACTGAACACATCCGACCTGCCTAGGCTCGACCCTGCAGCAGCCTAGACTGGCGACTGGCCACTGTTTAGCTGCCACTGGCTGCCCCCGACGGTCTGTGCGGTTGGGCTGCAGTGGATGCAGTGGATGCCCGAGCATCGGTGAGCCCACCCGAGAGCCAGAGGGTCCAGTCCATGTGGCGGTGGAGAAATAACTCGCGACATATAGGAGCAGCAGCCAGCAGCAGCAGCAGCAGCAGTGGTTGGATTCATCGTATGGGTCATATGCGCTTCGCTTAGGGTTGATGGTTAGATTACCCCGGATCCTGCCTGATTCCACGGCAATTCGGGCCGTGCTCCGTGGCAGCTTAGCTTCTGTCCTTACTCCGGACTCTCCTTATTTTTAATTAGCTACGAGGGAAACCTAGCTAAAGCTTTGGTTAGTGTGTCAGCCCACCAACCACCCCGACTTTTGCCATACCCCGGATTCTCTAATCCCGTTTGGATACGGGGCAACACCCTTGCTGCATCAGCCGATCCTATCACATCCCCCGGCTATATTACCGTTGCATCCGCCTTGCCCAGCGAAGAGTATATATTGCTGCTGTCCCGTACGTACCCCTCTGATCCTCCAAGCATCCATCCAAACTCACCATGGCCGAGAAACCCGCCGCCAGTATCCACGTGGAGAACGATGAGCCCGTCAAGGAAGTGGCCAATACTTCTTTGGCGGTGGTGACGTTCGACAAACCATCGCTATGGAGTAAGAGCATGTTCAAGGTGCCTCCCCTCTCCCTTTCTATTCGAAACTCGAATCAATCTAACCGATCATGTTGGTATAGTTGTATGGTTGCATCGGCGTCGCCATCCTCAACTCCTGCATCAACGGCTACGATGGATCCCTCATGGGTTCCATCAACAGCTACGCCCAGTACCGCGATTACTTTGGTTTCGATCCGACTGAGGGAACCCCGTCTACGGGAATTGTCTATGCCATTTACACTATCGGGAATATCGTCGGTTCGTTTTGTGCTGGTCCGTTTACTGATTTCAAAGGTATCCCCCCCTGCAATCCTACCCCCTTCTCCCCCCTTCCACACTAACAATCCCCTCCAGGTCGAAGAGTCGGAATGGCCCTCGGCGCCATCTTCATCATCGTCGGCACCATCATCCAAGCCACCTGCCACAATCTCGGCGGCTTCATGGGCGGTCGATTCATCCTCGGATTCGGAGTCGCCATCTCCGCCACCGCCGGACCCGCCTACGTCTCCGAGATCGCCCACCCGGCCTACCGCGGCGCCATGACGGGTCTCTACAACGTGCTATGGTTTGGCGGCGGTATCCCCGGAACCTTCATCCCATGGCGAACCAGCCAGCTAGAGGGAACAATGAGTTGGCGGATTCCTATCTGGCTTCAGATGGTGTTTTCGGGGTTGGTGTTGGTGTTTTGTCCTTTTATTCCAGAGGTAGCCTCCCCAATACCCTTCTCGTTACCCACTTGGCTTTACATGAGAGAATTAGGGCTAACGGTGATGTGGTATGACGGTATAGAGTCCCCGCTGGCTCATATCCCGCGACAAACACGACGCAGCCCTAAAAGTCCTAGCGGAGTATCACGGCAACGGCGACCGAAACTCCCCCACCGTCCAACTGGAATACCATCAAATGATCGAGGATATTTCCCAGACGGGGTCGGATAAGCGATGGTGGGATTATCGTGAGTTGTTTAATACTCGCGAAGTGAGGTATCGGTCCATGTTGGTGATTATTATGGGTATCCCCCCCCCCCTTCTTCCCCCAACATTCCCCCTCCCCATATCCCCATCAAATACTAATAAGAACGATAAATAGCAATATTCGGCCAATGGTCCGGCAACGGCCCCGTAAGCTACTACTACCCACAAATGCTCCGCGGGGCAGGAATAACCAGCAACAACACGCAACTTCTCCTGCAAGGACTCCAAAACGTGGTATCGTTACTGGGCGCCGTCTTCGGAGCCCTAATCACCGATCGAATCGGGCGCAGAACCCAACTCCTCACATCCACCACCATCGTGGTGATTCTCTTCGTGATCGTCACTGCTCTCAACGCCACGAATGTCGTCGATGGCCCTGACGGCACCCCCATCGCCAAAAGCGGAATCGCAGCGCGAGCCCAAATCGCGATGATTTTCATCTTCGGGTTTGTGTATTCGGCTGGTTGGACGCCGAATCAGGCTATGTATCCGGTTGAGTGTTTAAGGTATGAGAGTCGGGCGAAGGGGATGGGGATGAATAATGTATGTCTTTACCTCCCTTTTTTCTTTTTCTTTTGTCTATCTCATTGATGATGATGATGATGATGGGGCTAATGTGTGGTGATGGTGGGGTAGTTCTTCGTCAACATCGCCTCGTTTTACAATACTTTTGTGACGGGGATTGCGTTTACGGGTGCCGGGTGGAAGTATTACTTCCTGTTTATATTCTGGGATACGATGGAGGTGGCGGTGATTTATTTCTTGTTTGTGGAGACGAGTAAGCGCACGTTGGAGGAGTTGACGGTTATTTTTCAGGAGAAGAATCCGGTCAGGGCGTCGTTGAGGAAGAGGGTGGTTGTTGTGGAGGATGGGGAGGGGGGGAAGGAGGTTAGTAGGGTTGAGTAGATGTTTTACTTCGTGTGTGTGTATGGGGGGAAGGGTGTGGGAGGGGGTATGGTAGGTAGGTAGGAGGTATTCTCTATAAGCATGTTACTGTTGGATCGAATTAGGGCTACCAGTCAGTACTCCGTATATCCATCCCTCCCTACCTATCACAAAGAAATAAACAAACCAACAAACGAAAAAAAAGTGAAAAGGGTATAGAATCACCGAGTAACAATCGTCTCCCTCACGACTTTAATCCCCCCTCCACCTACTCCACTCCCTCTACTCCCTCCACTCCTCCCATCCACACTCCCCTCCCCATATCCACCTCCATATTCATCCACCCCCAACATCCCCACCTCATCACTCCCCGTCCCCCACTGCGTATCCGGCAACGACAACGGATGTCGAAACTTCTTCCGCCTCTTACTATTCTCCGTGGAATGCAAATCCCCCGTTCCTTCAGATAACGGATAACTCTGGGTACTCGCACCCCCCTTGGTAGAGATATATAATCCCGCTCGACGAGCAAGACGCCGACACAGCGGATAGATCATGGGTATGTTGCCGATGATGACGGCGACGAAGGTTTCGCGACATGCCCAGCGGCCGGCTTGGGCGGCGCCGTTGGGACCGGCCTTTTTGTATACAAGATGGAGTCGTTAGTTAGTGGGAGATGAATGGTTTAGGGTTGGATGTAAGAAATGGGGAGGGATACCGTAACAATCAACACACACCGAAGAATCCCCGCCGCCATGACGAAGAATCCTCCGCTGAAGAGAATGATGAGTTCGAGTTTTTCGCGCCAGGGGAGACGGGCTTTGAAGAGGATCTATAATTATCAGTATAGTGTTTGCATTTGCATTTGCATTGGTAGGGGGAAGGGGAGGGGGTTACAGGAAACGGAATCGAAATGAGATACAAATCCGTGACGACATTCAACACCACCGTCACATATACATCGATATGCGAGACAGCTGGTTGGCAGTAATTGCCTGGGTCGGGGTAGATCTGCCAGTTTTTGTGTAGGGGGTGGCAGCCGAGTAGGATACTGAGGATGACAGCGAGGTAGGTTACTCCGATGAAGATGTAGCCGATGCGGATGCGGATGTGCATGTTGATTAAGCCGGCTCTGTTTCTCTTAGTATTATGTTGATTGTATTGGGGGAGATGATGGGGGATACGTTAATCTGGAATAAAACACCGCCATGCACGACTTCATCAACCACAACAACGTCGTGTATAATGACCATCCGAGCACTTGGGTTTTGGATCCCCCCACTCGAAGATGATATTCATGGGATGATGGCGATAGAGATGCTCGTTCAGCATCACTCATCGAGTTATTCGCTAGTCCCATCCACCATGCACTCACACAGTACGCGGCCCCTGTTTCTAGTCCATATACCACCTAATAAATCAGCACACATCACACACACACACACACAATAGAGACAATAAGAGTAATACCCCCGCCACCGGCATCAGATAATCATCCAGCATGAAATTCTTCGGCCCCGCCGTGACCCATCGTGCCACGACCCGGAAAATAATCGTCGTGATGGCAATAGCCAGGAGGGTGAAAGCCTCGACAACAAAGTCATCAGCCATGATACCACACAGCACAGCACAAGAAAGAGAAAATCAGTACCGATCTACAAACATGGTCTGAACAGCTAGTAGTTAAATAATTCCCCTCGCATATTACCTACAGGCCCAAGTGATCGGTTCGGGTCCGTGAGCTCCCGACAAACCAATTCACCCATAGTTCGAGCTACTGCAGTCTGCAGAAGTACGATCATCATCAGCTCCATGCGGTCGGGCCATTCCATGCCATGCCATGCCAGGCAAGACATGGTTGGCGACCATGCAGATCGCCATGCAGAAGTACCTACCTACCTCATCGACTCAGATTTGGGTCGATCGCGGGGAAGTCGGACATGACAAATCCTTCGTTTCGGTTCGCTTCGGGGTATCAATTTACTATGTTTAATTTTGGGGCATTCCTCGGAGTAATTCTCGACGAGTCAATTAAGCTCAGTGAACAATGCACACCGACCGACCTGTCAATTGACTTGGCTGAAGTTTGTGACATTGACGCGGGTCGGCTCTCCACTGGGTGGAGTAACCCTAACAACTAGTGGCGGTGGAAGTAATCTCGTCTGGGCTTGTGACTGGTGACTAGACACTAGGTTAGATTGGAGGGATTTAACGGCTCGGGATTACTCTTCCTTTTTCCCCTCACGGGAAAGACGAATTGACCAGTTAGAGTGAGCGTGGTGAATGTAAGGGGGGTGTGGCGATCGGCACACTGCCAACGGTGGCCCGCGGGTGTTATATTTATCTTACTTATATGGAGGTGCCGATCCTGTTTCTGTTACTACTTATCTACTTGATTGTTAATTCTGCTGCTACTGCTGCTGACTGCACGGGAGTTGATTCATCACCTGCCATCTGCCATGGAGTCGTTTGACGTGATTATCGTTGGCGCAGGTACCGCCCCTCCACCTTCCCCCCCTATCACCACCATCTATACGATCCACCACACACACAAAACTAAAATAACTAACCAAAAAAAAAAAGGATGGCACGGCCTCTCCGCCCTCCGCACGTACCACCACATCCACCCGACCTCCACCATCCTGCTAGTAGACAGTTCCTCCACCATCGGGGGCGTCTGGGCCCAACACCGTCTCTACAACGGCCTCAAATCCAATAACATGCTTGGCACGTACGAATTCTCCGATTTTCCCATGGACAGTGCCACGTACGGTGTACAACCGGGGGAACATATCCCCGGCACAGTCATTCAAAGCTACTTACAACGCTTCGTGGAACATTTCCACCTGGGGGAGTTTATCCGGTTGGATACTACTGTCCTGAATGCGGATCATCAAATCGATGGGAGTTGGATCCTGACCACCTCCCTATCTACTTCTACATCCCCCGAAAAGACGCAGAAAATCAAGGGGGACAAGCTGATTCTCGCTACGGGGTTAACATCAACCCCCTACCTCCCCCCTCTCCCCGGCGACAAAACCTACCCTAACCCCCTCATCCACACCCACGATCTCCCCTCCCACCAAGAGACCCTCTTCCAACCCAATAGAAAAGTGACCATCTACGGAGCCACCAAATCCGCCTGGGACGCCGTCTACGCCGCCACCACCTCCGGGGCCTCCGTCACATGGATAATCCGTTCTTCAGGACACGGGCCCTGCTGGATGGCTCCGCCCTACGTGACGCCTCTGAAAAGATGGCTCGAGAAATTAGTCACCACTCGTCTGCTCACATGGTTTAGTCCGTGTATTTGGGGCGACGCGGATGGGTATAGTCCTATCCGATGGTTCTTGCACAAGACTTGGATAGGACGGAAGATCGTTGATGGGTTCTGGGGAATTCTGGAACAGGATGTCGTTGGGTTAAATGGGTATGAAGGGAACGCTGAGACGAGGAAATTAAGGCCGTGGATTGGGCCGTTTTGGGTGGCGAGTGGACTCAGTATCTTGAATTATCCGGGGGATTTTTTTGCGCTGGTTAGGAGTGGGAGGGTTAGGGTTGTTGTTGATGAGATTCATTCTCTGGGTGGGGATGGGGGGATTACGTTGAAGGAGTCAGGGGAGGTGATTGAGTCTGATGGGTTGGTTTGCGCGACTGGATGGCAAGTAACTCCCAATATCACGTTCAGTCCCGTGGGGATTGATAAGGAGTTGGGGTTTCCCTGGGCGGAGGATTGTATTCCGCGGGTGATGGTGGAGAGAGCGGATGAGGAGATTCTGGCCCGGTTTCCGAAACTACGCGATGCGCCGAAACGAGAGGAGGTTGTGCCGGTTGGTCAAGGTGCACCGGCTACAGCTCGCCATCCATTCCGTCTGGCCAGATTTATGATCCCCCCTGCGTTGGCGAAGGAACGGTCTGTGGCGGTGTTGGGCGTCGCCATGACGATTAATACGGCGTTGGTGGCGCAGGTGCAGGCTTTGTGGGTGGCGGCGTATTTGGGGGATCGGATGGCGTTGAGGAATGGGGAGAGATGTCCGGTGGATTTGAAGGAGATGGTGTCGGGGAAGGGGAAGGGGGAGGTGGATGTTGATATGGTGTGGGAGACGGCTCTGCATAGTCAGTTCGGGGTGCATCGGTATCCCGGAGGGTTTGGAAAGAGGAATCCCGATTTCGTGTTTGATGCGTTGACGTATGTGGATTTGTTGTTGGGGGATTTGGGATTGGATTGTAGTAGGAAGAAAGGGTGGGGGGTCAGGAGGTGGTTGGAGCCGTATGGGATGGAGGATTATAAGGGATTGGTGGAGGAGTGGATGGCTGGGTTGTAGTGGTGAGGACATGGGGATGGACATACCATGCATGTATTCTGCCATACTACACTACACTACATGCTCATTCAAGCTCAAATGCCTCAAACACCGCAACGCCTCCCTCCACGCGCTCGCCCAGAATCTCCCCTGACACGCCCCCGTTCCATCGGAAGTAATGCTTTCCATCGCCGGCCACCTGCACGGTTCCCTGCACCTGTAGATGCACCCCCGACATCACCACCTCCACTCCGTAGCTGGTCTTGGTGTGGCGCTGCTGAATGCTGACAATGTCTGCCGCGCACCCAGACTGTACCACCTGTCCGTCCCGTGCCACGTAGGCGCTCGCAATTGGCACGGTCGAGTTGACCCCAGGCTGGGTGTACTGCATCCACACGATCGAGTAGGGTCCAACGTGTGCGTGGCCCCAGGACCAGGTGGCCACCATGCTCTGGAAGGGTCGGCTTCCCCAGTTCTGATTTGTCAGATCATACACACACACAGAGCGAGAGAAAGAAAGAAAGAATAAGACAGAGAGGGGTAAGAGAGGGGGCTACCTTATCGTGATACCCATAGCCCGTAAACTGCACCGGATGGCCATCGACCAACAAGTCCACGACCGCATGTGCATCAGGAACCAGTCCCACCCATCCCAGATATGCCCCCAGTTCCAGCGACAGATTGAACCCATTAGGCGTCGAACAAGGCGACAAAGGTGGCGTGAGCTAGTCCATTAACACTGCACAAGTCCAAAGCAAGAACTTAGGCAGACTCACTCTATCAAGTTGGATCCGCCCACTCACGCGCGATCCCTCCCATCCAATCCACGCCTCATACCCCGTCGCCCGGCCCATCCACCCCCCGGTATTCTCCCAGATGCCCGAGCTCCGGTCCTGCTCGCCCATCACAGCAGCATCGCTAGGCACCACCTTGTCCACCACGGTGATGCCATTCGGCAGCGTCGCCCAGACATAGGTCAGGAGCACTGACGACGGGTTGGGCGGCACAAAGGGAAATGCTATGGTAGTCGTGGTGAAAAAGGTGAGCACCACCGAGGCATTAGGGTTGGACGATGAGACCGCGTCAAAGTACCACCATTCAAAGACCGTATCGTTAATGGCTTGCAGCTTAGGCGCCGTCAGATCCGACAGGTCCGACGTATTGGCGAAAAAGTCGACGTCCACCGCATATTTGACGGGCAGTGGGTCAATGGTGCTGATATACTGGCCGGTGGTCAGGGCGGCCACGAGAAGCGCAATCCAGGAATGCATCGTGAATGCGGGATAGCAAGATGCCAGACAAAGGATCGGCGGTGCCAGCCGGAATAGGGGTATTTAAGTTGATTGGCGTGGCGTCGGAGAAACGGGGTCGGAATAGGAGTATCTCCAGCTCCAGCCCTTCTTTCACAGGTCACTCGTGCCACCAACGCAATCTGAATCACAGCCAATGAAAATTCAGAGAAATAAATCAATCAATGTCCAAATCCATACACGCTGGCCAACGCCTCTACTTACATACGTATACAATAAACAGGCTTCCGACGCTGATGCCATCCGTAACAATAAACAATCCGGTCCGACCCTGCCGCGTGAAGTGGGATACACAAATCACATCAATACACACTCGATCCGAGTCAAGCTGGGCAATCAAATACAAAGGACCGTCATCAACTCCGAAACATGCGTGGCCACCCAACTTAATGGTGGCCATTCGATTCATCACTCCTATCCTCCTCCTTGACCGAGCTGTGCTCGGCCGACTTGGAGAGGCCGCCATCCGACCCGTCCTTCCCACAGCCCTTGACAAGGATATGTCGCTACTACCGTTAGCTGTGTCACATTCCAAAGAGCGAGTGGACTCACCTTTAACGCGTCCTTGCGCGAGAAGCTCTTGTCGCAGTGCGTGCATGGGAACGGCTTCACCGACAGGTGGATGCGCTTATGTCGTTTGAGATCATGGTTGCGGTTGAAGCTCTGCGGACACTGGTCGCACTTGAAGGGCCGGTCGTTGGTTGGACCCGGGCCGCCGTGGCCCGGATGAGGTGGGTGCCCTCCATACAGCTGCTGCATCTGCTGCAGATTGGCAGCGTGCCCACTGTTATACCCTGCCAGCCCCGGCAGCCCGGCTGGCTGGTTCCCTGTCATGGACAAGGGACCGTTCGGGTTGTTCACATTCGACCACACTGGACCGTTCATCGCCGGGAGCGAATAGGACGCCCAGGGACCCCGCTGGTAGTTCAAATGGTGCGAAGGGTGTGGATTCGAGGCCACCCGGCCCGGGGGCTGCTGCATCCCGAGCCCCGTCTGTCCGTACGGAGAATATCCGCTTGGCGAGTTGGTTACCTGCTGAGCCGTTCCGTACGCCGGTGCGGACGAGGATTTGACCATGTAGGGGTCGTTCGAAGGCAAAGGATGGGGCGACGGCGCGGGATTCGGCAGTGGATGGACTGAAATCATGGCGTGTGGGATCGAGTGATGCTGCAGGCCCCCCCCAGAAGAGACGGGGGCAGAAACTGGGATTGGCTGTTGAAATGGGGGCAGGTGATTCATCTCGTATGCCTGGGGCATGTGCTCTGAACCCGGCGTTGACGTGGCCGGGTTGCGATGCAGGGGAGTCACGGACGGAGGAAAGGTATCTCGACTGGAATAAGGCACACCCGAGCTCCACGACTGACGCGCTGCCGTCGCCGCCCCGGAGGCACTTTGATATGAGCTCTGGCCGGGCCAGTAAGGGGCCAGCTCCGAGTTGGTCGACACGCCCGTGGTGATTGCCGAGTGCGCCGTGGTGGTGGGAATGCTGTCGCCGCCGGACTGGGTGGTCACCGGCGGAGTGAGAAGGTTGCTGACGCTCGGGTTGATGTGAGGAGGATTGCTATGGTGGGTGGTGTACTTGATGGCGCCGCTGGTATGGAAGGGGGGCACCGGGAGCTCGAAGCTGGGCAGGGTCGGGGCCGCTGGACGACGCGAATTCAACGGCTGGGGGGCTGTCAGCGCCTCGAGCGCCGGGCCCATGCCTGGCGGGGGGATCGCGAGGGCAGCCAGGTTGGCGGATGTCTCGCGCGAGTAGTTGGAGGGGAAGAAATCGCCCACGACCAACGACGAGGGCGTGGTGAGGGAGGAGGAGAGATGTCCCGGAGGAAAGGCGACGGAGTCGGATGCGAAAGTACAGTATCGACTGCCAGACAGGCCACCGCCGATGTCTGGAGGATCCAGGAGGGGCGATCGGATCGCGATCCGCGATCTGAGACGGAAACGAGGGTGGTCCTGGGAGATCGACCGTGGGGATGCTCAACGAGGTACCACCAGCGCGTTTAACCGGCTGTCATATCCTTGGACTCGACAAGTATGGTGATGCGACTCGACAGGAGGTATGCGCAATGAGAATGGTATCAAGACAACCGCATGGTCTTTCATGCAGACCAACGCGCTGTCACGCGATGCACGGGCAAACAGATCGAGCTTGATTGTGAAGGCGTAGTGGAACTGAGGCGGGATCGCAGTTAGAGAACCATGGACGGGAATAGCGTGGCTGCGGAGAGAGAGAGAGCAGGGTTCAAAATGTGGTCACGGAAGAAACAGGCAGGCGGTAATGATTGTATTGTTTGTGTTGGTGTTGGTGATGGTGATGGTGGTGGTGGTGGTGGTGATCGGAAAAAGGCGTGGGTGGCTGTGGAACTGGAGATGAGATGAGATGAGGTGAGGTGACTTGAGTTGAGTTGAGTCGAGAAAAGGAACTGTCCTGAGATGAGGCTTGAAGTAGGTGGGCAAGATGACGGGAGAAAAGAAGTTCGTCAGAAGAGGGGGAAAGTCAGGGAGGGAGATCTTTTATTATTATTGTCGATGGAGTGAATAATAAAGGACTGATGGGGGAAAATGGGGAGGACCAAACAAGCCGGGAATGGAGACGTATCCAGACCAGTCCAGCGCCGGGTCTGGCCAGCGCGGGGGTTGAGTTCACAAAAATACCAGGGAGAACATACCCACCCGGACCATCTGGCAGAATAAGGATTGGGATTTATATTTATATTTATCTTTTTATTATTGATTGATTGCATTATTGAGGAAGAGAGCGAACGGAGGTGAAGGAGACCCGGGGATTACCCATCCTCGACTCGTATTATTTATTTTGATTATTATTTATATTTATTATCAACTCCCCCCTCCCCCCAAGAGCAGCAACAGAATAATAATAATCATAATCTGCTCTCTTCCCATCATATCATCAGCCGACCCCCATCCATCCACTCAGCCAGCAAGACTCGAGGGAGTGGAGCCCTCCCTAATCGGGGCTAACCCCCAACCGAATTTTCAGCAGAATGAATGAATGAATGACGGACGGTGTTTCTTTTCTTTTCTTTTCTTTTTCTTTTTCTTTTTCATTTTCGTTTTCGTTTTCAGCTTGTCCGTTTTGGGATGTATTTATTTACTTCCACTTTCTTTTCACATTTAGTGTTTTTTCTTTGCTTTTCTTTTATTCTGCAGCCGTATTAACTCTCCCCCCTCCTTCAGGACCCCCCGACAAGCCCCGGACAGGGCCAGGACGTTCCGCCGGTAAGATTGAAAGGAACCATTGGCAACAAACTTTCCTACCTGACTGAACCTTAGCTCTTAGCGGTCACCCTGGAAAGGACCTCCTTAGTGGAATCCATAATGGATCCTAGCCTAGCCGGGCTCGCTAAGACCAGCCAGTCCCAGAGTCCCTCGACGCCTGATCACCAACAACGTGGTTGACAGGGCTCGTCCAGGCGTCCAAGCTGGTCCCGTTCCACCATCGCCGCTGCCCACCACGGTCGGGGGGCGACTCTCGGTTAGTCGGCGACAGACCTACTTATCTACGGAGTACTCCCTCCCCCATCGTACTACCTCGTACATATTATCTACATAGAACATCCATCCAGAGATCCACGGATACAGAGATAACCATCATCATGCGATGGTTCTCCGCCCATTCCAATCCGCCCGATGGGATGCAAGATGGCCACGACAAATGGAATCGGCCAGACCCTCTCTGCAGGCGGCCTTGACCCAAAAAGGGCCCGAATCAATGGTGCCAGAAAACCGGTTAGTACTTCCCCTACTTCTCTGGGCTTAGTCCTTCCGTCGTATTGTTCTTCCAGCCCACCGTTTACTGTGCAGTTCTCACGGTTCTGTATGGTGTACTTTGTATTGTACGTATGTACTTCTGCCCGCACAACCCCCTACTCCTGACAGTACACAGTATACCTACAATGTCGCGATCAGACTATTCAGTACCAGTACTTCGGTTAGTGGTAGTCCGTATAGATAGGCATGTGGAGCGCCTCCCGTCTGGACGATCGGCCACCCCGACCCAGCAGGGAATGCTGTCCGCTGTTTCCCTGTTTGGTGGAGTTCAGAATAAGCTTAGCCCTCTGCGCCGGGGAGGGATCAGAGGGTCTCCAGATCGACGCTGGATGGGGATGGTCGGGAGAATTCTTTGCGACCGAAACTAACACGGATCGAACTGCGTCCACCCAGGGTTAAGCCGTCCAGGGGAGCCGAGCCAGACGAGCCAGCGAGGGTGGACAAAGTGGACAAGATGGACAAGATGGACCAAATCACGAACAGACCACCAGAAGGAACAAATCAGAAGAAGCAACGGCCGAGACCAGAAAAGGGGCAGGCAAGCGATCGTTGCTCCTTGCGTCGAGGAATGCATGACAGATGCCGGGCGGTGGAGGGCACAGCTGAGGCTGATCGGGTCGGGGCGACCAAAGGAGCGTTCCTCTGCGCTGGTAAGCATCATAATTATTAGAAGCATTATCGGCAATAATTAGTGATTGACTGTTAGATAGACCACAGGGCATAGATGATACCTAACAGTTAGTTGATGATGCCGGAGAATTCCTTTGTACATAATAGTAGCTCGACGGGCAGCTCCACCGATGGAACATTCGATCTCCATTGATCCATTCATCCCCCCATCCATGGACAATCCAGTGCTGTGTAGGTACTCCAGCTGGCTCAGAAGTGGCTCGTATCCATCGCGCGGCTTCGTCGACTGCTCTGGCCGGGGCTTCTGCTGCTCGCACGGACATGGCGTGCCGGCCCTCCTCCCAAGTCCTCAGTCCTAATCCATTCTCCGCCAAAGGCAAACGGTCCCTGGTGCGCGCCCACCATTCCATGGGCGAGGTCAGCTGTCGTTCCTGGGACCCTGGTTTGACTGGTTCTGCTGGGGGGATTCTGCTGGGGGACCCCCGATTGCTGAAGACGAGATTCCAATCAGACGCTCCCATTCCTCCGAGGCCCCCAACTTCCAATACGAGATGGGTTTGGCAGTCCTGCAGTCTGCAAATTCCCGGGGAGGCAGTACCAAGCGACAGGCAGGGACTGGACTCGCCCGAGTTTGGCCCATCCATCCATCCATCCTGGCCCATGGACGCCCATATCGCACTGTCGGGCCATTGGTGGATGGCCCGTGATACCTCCCAGCTGGAGGTCGTACAGCAGCCATACAGACGGTACTAGCGCCTTGGTGGTGTGTCGGCACTGGCTGGCTCGGGCGTCGGGGTTAGCCCGCTATCCCTATCTGGGCCTTAGCGTGGTCTGTTTCCCTCCAATGTACCCCACCTGACTTGCCTGGCTGGTCCGCCTGCATCTTGAGTCGCCGGAGCCGACCACTCAGGCATCTGGTCTTGTAGGTAGGTAGTAGACACAGCTGCTTCTGCTTCAGTACTTCTACCATTGTAACTACTCCGTAGGAATGGAGTAGTCCCGTGATATTCTTATCGGGCGGATAGAAATGCTTGATGCTGACTGCAAGTGCTGATGTTGCTACTGCTGCTGCTGCTAATGCTGATGCCTCGCGACCGTCCCCATTCTCCATCCTCGCAGTCATCCTCGCAGTCATCCACCAAGTCAACCTTAATCACCGCCATCCGAGACGGTGTCAACCTAACAGCCGGGTTTAAAATCAACCCGCTGCAGAAAGGCAAACTGCCAGTCCTCTGGCAGTCATTGGCCCCCAGGTCCCAGGCTGAGACGACCCGTGGATTGGCTGGTAAGCAAGCCTATCAACGATGTCTCAGGAACCGCTAAGGTATGGCGACGGGGTTGCAGGCTACTGCCCCCTTGGGTAGCACCTGCGTTGATGGACGGCCTCGTCCGTACCGACCGACCGTAATCGCTGGACCCCAACGGTCCACCGCATCTGGCCTCTCCCGACGGGAGGCGCGGCCAGCACCAGCCTGTCGGTATTGGCGGGGGTTTAGGGGTCGCAGAGATCGAGGGCGGTGGCGCTCTATCAGCATCGCTTTGCTGCCTCTTATCGTCCAGCCATATCGTCCGTACACATGCCCGGTCATGTCAGGCCCTGCTATGCTATGCTATGCTATGCCATGCCATGCCATACTTTACTGCATCCCCCCGGCAATCTTGCAAGGGGTCTCGTTTTCATTACGAAAACGATCGTTCGGGGGCAAACAGCTCAAGGAAGGATCAAAGCTACTCCTGTACTCCGTGCAACCTACGCGGACAGGGGTCGATGGGCCAACAGTACGGCATAGCCAATGTGATCTATGCAGCGTCGATCGAGCACATCGTTATGACCAGTCCATTCACCTGCCTGCTCTCCTGAGTCCAGTGCCGTGGAGACTGCAAGATAGTCAGCAGAGCTAATTACAGACTAAAGTTCTAGGTCGTCTACCTAGCCGTTTAGGAGTCGCTACTGGCTAGGAGACTGGTTAGGGTGCATTGGCCCCGAAAGGGTCTGCTCGGACGTTATCCGTCTGGAAGTGACCGTGTACTCCGGAGGACTGATGTCCAAGTCTAACCAACTACACCGTCTTCTCCGTGCTGCCCGTGGATTATTCTTACGTGCTGCGGCCGGGCAGTCCGATTGAGGCCAAGCGTCGGGCTGACCCATGGTTAATTCCGATGTTAAGTGCGATATCGACCAGTTCACTCGCAGCAAGATCTGTGCAGAGGGTATTTTCACACCATCTGCCCATCTTTCAGTTTCAGCCATCATCAGCAATCATCAGCCAAGCTTGTTTATACTTTGGTCACCGGGGGCCAAGACAGTTTCCCCTTCGGGCTAGTTCCGCGACCGGATTGCCAGCCTTAGGCGGCGCCTTAGCCGCTCGGCACTGACGAAAAAAAGAGAAACATATCTTCGAGATAACAAATCTCGGACGCTGTCCGCCTGGCCCCGTTGCAGAAGGTTGTACACGAGTGTATCAGATGTTGCCGATGCGAGAGGCTGACACATTAACCCCTCAGTTGCACGGCAGATGAGTGCTGAACCCAATTCTCCTCGCGAGGGCGATTTGTCATGCTCCGACGTCTTACTCTCGCCATGGACGTATATCAGGATACGTTATAGCAACCATACGAACAAGGCTAAATATATTGCTCAGCGAACGATTTGGCAGCTCACGCTAGAGCGCGCGATGGATTCGGGCGCTTCCGTCATCCATCATCATTATTGAGATTCTTGTTTACACTTTACTCCGTACGGGCCTCGTATCAGCCCAGGTGATAGATAGAAGCGCGTCCGGAACGAGCGCAAACTCTCCAGAAATAAGCATTGATCCTCCGTAACCCTGAGGCCAGGTCCTTCCTGTCCTGGATGACCTCCGCGCCGCGCGGCAGCGGCTTGGGCCAAAGGCTACGCAAAGCTTGAGGCGGTTTCACTTTACGAACCTTGAGCTATCCGCCCGGATCCTAGCTCAACTGTTCCAGACAGTTGTTTGTTGACGGCTTCATTCGGGGACAGGTACTTTGTGTGTTTGGAAGTTGCGGTCTGGGAGGCCCATGCCCCTTAGTCATTCCCCAGCAGGCCAAACAGGCCCAAGTGAAGAGAATGACTCGACCTCCCCGCTCTCCCCGAACTAACGCCTTTAGCTTGAGTAGCTTCGCATCCTCCGCTGTCGCATGGTTAACGTCCGGTGGTGGCATGCAAGGCGCCCGTCACGGCCAGCAATGCCTCCAACCGGGGGCTACCGACATGCATGTCAGCCAGTGCTCCGCTTCGCTTGGGATGCCGGGCCAGGAAGGCGCCGTGGCCCGGCAAGCAGTTCGCCACTGGCGCATCCATTTCATCCGAACAGCCTTAACCTACAGGCTGCTTAGCTTCGTGTGGAGACTAATACCTTTGTCTGTTGACCGTTCGCTGGGATCGCGTCGTCCCTTATCAGGCGATGTACATCCATAGTTCCTCCCCCTTTTCGAGTCAGGTCCAATGATTGCAGTCTGACGGATGGACCTAGGTAAGAGAAGGCCTTCACATGCTCGCGTCGAGATAACCGGCCAGAATGGAACGGTCGGGTTGTTCCCCTGAATCCCCAATGGACAGTGGACAGGGGACTATAACGGGCGCGATTATAACATTCCCTCCCTCCCCAGGACCTATTCCCTATTCCGGAAATGGCAATCAATCATCGAGGCAGAGACAACCAAACTGTCAATCACATTGCTGAAAGTGATCCGTGCATCACTATCATTCGATCCCAGAGCGATTCCTGAGTCATGATGTGTCCAGTGCACCCGTCGAGATATATATATAGCGGCTGGGAGTGAACTGACATCCGACACCCTACTATCAGTCGGTATCCCCGCTGCGGGATAAATATAGGATAAATATAACGGTCTATTTCCGTCTAGTCCATCCGGGCCTCCTCACGGATAGCCATGTGGGAATGCCCATCCACCGCATATAGATTTACACGCCATCCTGGATTAATCCATCTACCCTGTCAATCCATCCCGGCAATAATGGCAATTTGGCATACCTCCATTAGCCCCCGGTTGGTGCCATCCTCGGACCTCTCATCCTTTGTGCCCCCCTCCCTGCATGTTTCAGATCGTGCACTCACCGCCATACCCAACCGACCCCCCTGAGCCCAACCACGACGGAGTACGGAAAGACTTTTTGAATTTTCCAATAATCCATCTGGTGTCCCGGATGAGGCTAGGACAGGCGAATTAATGATATCCTCCGTACGAGCTTGGCGGTTTGGCATTGGCTGGCCGACCCAGGGATGCCCGAGGCTGCCACGGCCTGTCCAGGCTGCCTGTACTGTACCGTAACGATACGGTAAGGGCTGGGCGATCACGAGACCGGCAGCTGCAGGTCACCGGCCAGGCCAGGCCGGTCTAGACCCTCGACTGGCCCTCCCTCATTTTTCTCGTCAATGGGGGGTGAAATGATGGGAAATTAGAAAATGGGAGGAGGAGGAGGATGAAGGAATGCTGGGGGCGGGGTTGGCCAGGCCACATGCCCGGGGTCGGCGGGAATGAAGGATGCGGCGCCGTCGTGGCTTCACATGGCTGAGGGCTTGGATAGCTTATTTGCATTGATTGGATTCTATCATCATCATCACATGGAATCACTCCTCCTCCACGACATCATCCTCCTGGTACACATCATACTTGTATCGACTGCCCGGGTGATCTGCCCGCAACTCTCGCTGACCCTTACCAAACACCTTCTCGCGCGCCGTCAACCCCTCCTCGACATTTTCCGGATACAACCCGCGCCGGCGCAGTTCTGGAATCAACAGATCGACCACCTCCTCAAACGTGCCAGGGGTCGTGACATAGCCCAGATTAAACCCATCCAGGTCCGCGTCACGGATCCAGCGCTCCATTTCATCCGCCACCGTCTGTGGACTACCAATCGCCACGGGTCCCAATCCGCCAATCGCCGCCTTCTCTGCAACCACCCGCGGTGTCCACCGCGGTACATCCTCGCTGGTCGTCGTGAACGCGTCCAGCATGCTCGTCACCTTGTGTGCCTCGAGCGAATCCGCTGCCGTGATATCCTGATCCAGCGGGATCTGCGAGATATCGATTCCCGTCCACCCGCTGAACAGCACAAGTCCACCCACCACCGACGCATACTTCTTCACCTCTTCATACTTAGCCCGGGCCTCCTCATCCGTCTTCCCGATAATGGGCGTGAACGTCGCAAAGAACTTGATCGACGCAGGATCCCGTCCTTGCTCCGCCGCCAGCCGCCGGATATTGGCCACTTTGGGCCGCAGCACCGCGGGCGAATGACTCGACACGAAGATGGCTTCCGCGTGCGTCGCGGCAAAGGCTGACCCGGCGGCCGATGTGCCCGCCTGGAAAAGAAACGGCGTGCGCTGCGGCGACGGGTCCACAATGTGTCGCGTGTTCAGGGAGAAATACTTGCCCTTGTGGTTGATCTGGCGCACCTTGTCGGGGTCGACGTAGCTGTCGGTTTCCGGGTTTGGTGAGAGTGCGTCAGGTGCCCAGGATGCTTCCCAGAGTCTGCAATGTGAGCGCATGTCATACAGCCAGAGCGATGGGAGACATACTTGTACAAGACGCGCAGATACTCATCCGCCTGACGGTATCGCTCATCGTGTTCGATCGGACTATCAAGTCCAATGGCCTTGAAAGCGGCTTTCTTCCACGACGTCACAATATTCCACCCGATTCGTCCGTTCGTCAAATGATCCAGAGTAGAAAATCGCTTCGCCAGGAGAAACGGCGGCTCGAAAGAGGTCGACGATGTGATCCCAAAGGCCAGGTTCTTGGTCACTGCAGCCATGGCCGAGATGGGCTAATCAGTTAGTCCTGAATCCACCGTCCCTCTGCTAGGGGGCAGACATACAATAGTCGGATCAGTAACCGGCCACTGCGCAGCCCGTCGGATACACTCATCCAGCTTCCCTTCATACGTATCATATCCACCATACGTATCAGCCAGGAACAGCGCATTGATACCCCCGCGCTCAAGCAGCTTCGCTAAATCAATCCAATAATCCAGCTTCCGCTTGGTAGCAGATTTATCGGCGGGGTTCTACTCTCTCTCTCAGTATTACTTCCCTCTCGTTCACCAATGCCGAATGGGCAAGCCACTCACCTTCCATTGTCCAGGCGATAGGTGGCCCACAGTGGACATGTCAAAGGCATTCAGCAGAATTTGCTTCTTGCCCGATTGGCCATTGTCGGTGTAAAAGTCGCCCATTGTGTCTGTTTGACGCTGCGTTGTGGTCCATTGCAGCCCACTGCTAGCGGGTATTGATATAGCTGATTGTATAACCCCTCACTATCCCGCCATCGGTCGTCGGCATGGCGTAACTGTACATCCAGAGGATATTATTCGTTGTTTCCCCGCACACAATGGTGGTTATCTTGTTGTGGTGCTCCGATGACCGGGGGGATGGGGATTCCACCATAGACGGGCGGATTGCGTGACAACCGATAAGATCGTGTAGAGGCAGGCTATCTACTACTACGTAGCTATGCCAGTTGTTTATTTTCACACCTGCCATCTCCACTTTATTAGTAAATTATGTATCTCATCTACATAGCTGTCACTTCAATCCAAATAAATATAATCCCGAGCATGGCCTATTTACCAATGCCCTTGATACGAAACCCCCTACCCACACCACCCTATTGTCAGTGAAGCCATACAGATCCAAACAGACACCCACACTTTCAATAGTAACACCACCATACTTTTAATCAAAAGTCCAATCACTTCCTAGTGCAGTAAATTTCCCCAAAAAAAAAAAAGAATACTACTAGTAGTTAGAGAACCAATCACTCTATTCCCAAATAAACCAGGACCACACCAAACACAGTTGGTTAACTCGACCAGCCCTCCAGCCTTATCCGATCGGAAAACATCCCATTTCATCCTGTTCGAATCTACCAGATATAAATGTTCCAAAAGAGTGGGGTTTATTAAGGATTGGATAGGTGAAAATTGTTGTTGTTGCTGATTTCATGTTCCGTACTGGGAGAGAATAATATATATATATTTATGTCAATGAAAGTGGAAGTTGTAGATTTCTTTTCTGTCTTCAGTGTAGGAATATTTGTCAAGAAAATTCTTTCATATGGAAATGGAAATAAAGCACTTATTTTCCAGGTGCTCGTGGTTTGGGTATTATCGTTGATTGTTCCACGGAAACGGAAACGGGTTTACCTGTGCTACGATAAGCAGAATTGTTGTATTTCGTTTAGTGGCTTGGAGAGTTTTCTTGGAGCAGTAGATAAAATGTTATGAGGAAAACCGAAAAGGGAAACAAGAAAGGAAGAAAGTTAGGCTCCTCGGTCAGTCAATAGGATCGTTTCCATCGTAAATTGCTGCTCGCAGATTAATGATATCTTCAAGATCCACACCTTTGCATAATCTACAGTGCTTATCTCAAGCTCTAGCGCTTTATGTAAGGCTGAAGGCAAGTTCAGCTTTGATCTGAGGCATTAGCTTGCCGTTCTGTGTTTTACGAATAGCTAAGTCTTCTTGGGTTGTTGGACGCCATCTGGAATACCTTGATCTTCGCTGGGATATCAGGGTTTAGACGAGAGTTCATGGTCCTGATTAGTTAGCAAGTCCCAAGCAAGAATGATGAGTAGCATGTGTCAGCCTGATATGAAAAAGTCCGGCTGGACGCCTTAAGGGCCCCCATTCCTAGGATAAGGCTGGAATGTGGCGTACCATCTGTACCGTGGGTGCCTGTGACTCAAAGCCTGTCTCACCTGAAACTCGACACTTGAGAACAAGGAGGCGCCCGAAATGCTGTGTAACCGCTTATTGAGGCAGACATACGGGCTATCATGCCACAAGGTATTTTCTAGTAAGCCAATGATAAATCAGTCTCAGACTCAATCTTCAAGCTGGAAATGTTCCTTAAAAACGACAAACTAATTATGTCTCTTGCACCGAGCAAGACCTGATGCAAGCGTCTGATACGACTGACAAAGCACAGAGATGTTACGCTGTTGCTGCCATCGTAGTTTCCTATTTGCAAGTCCTTCAGCCATCTAGACTTCCTACACAGCAAGCGTATTCGGTTTAGAGGAGAAATGATCAGACTTGTGGCCTCCATCGCCGATTGAACGCTGAAGCACTTGGTAGAGTCGGTATAAGAATTTTAACTCTGTGGGGAAATGAACCCGTATCGTAGTCAATTCTGTCCCGGTCGTCAGTCCGGCTGGACGGGATCTGAGTTTAGCTTGGCATCAAACGCATTCGGGGCTAGTCAGTGTCGCCGATGATGTCGATTCTCGCTCTGTCGAGGTCCAACTCCCAACGGACGTCAATGGATATGGTTCTGGATGGTCTTTGGGGTGTACCGGCCAAACAGAAGCCTCTACACTCGTAGTTTGCTGTTGTCGCACCACAGTCGATAACAACTTCTGCAGCCAGCACCTCCATTTCGATACGATGGAGCTCTGCCGCAGGCTCCGCAAGAACTTTGGCATTGAGGGCAAGCACCCAGCAATGATGCCACATGCGAGCTCTGGTAGAGTCCATATACCGGCCAGATAGCTATAATAGGAAATGTTGTTCGTGGCGTTGAGAAGGAGCACAGTATATACCACCCTTACCACGGCCGAAACACAAGCCCTAGACGCTATTAGCACGGTTCAATGTATTCCAAATTATGAGGACGTACGTCACACCGAATAGAAACACGGTCCCGACAGCGATCCGTCTGTCGAGGGCCACATGCAACCGCCAAATGCGGGTCTGTGGTAAGATGACAATGGTCAAGTCCGATATGCAGTTGACGACGCCCGCAAGGACATTCAACAAATCCATGTCCAAGCACGATCCTTCAGTGATTAGAACATCCCAGGCCTTCGACAGTGGACGGCAGGAGAAGATCTCGATAAAAGTGCTGATGAAATAGAAGACGAAGTTGGCCCATATACAGCAATGGCAACTCCAGTAAACGTAGTCTCGGGTCTGTCCGAATATCTCCAGGAGCTGCAGAAATATCGAGAGCTTGATGAAGAAGATGCATATTCCATACAGGATGGAATTGACATGAAAATACTAAGACAGTTTAGCACCATGACAAGCAACCATGCTGTAATACCGAGCACTCACGTAAAGCATCGAGATATAGTCCTTCAAGCGAAGGTTCCACTGGTCTACGCCGGGAGCAGCAGCACTCAGTCCCCAGGCGGGTCCAAAATATCCCATGAAGAGTGCCTGGTATATTAGACAAATTGAGCCTGTTAGAAAGAAATGTAGAAGTCCTCACCCAGGCTAGCAGCATCGTATCTAGAACAGGTCATTTACAGCTAGACAGATTGTTCGGGCGCATCACGTACAGTCGGACAGCCTCATCAGGCCGATCAAAAAGACCTTGGTGTATACGCGAAGGACAACCGCGACAGATGCCAGGGTCCAGAAGAGGAGGAGGACCGAATGCCCGGCTACAAGCAGGTTTGGAGGATCGACCAGGTTGGAGGCTTGTCCGGGAGGAGGAGGGCCAGCTGGGCCTTCGAGGAGCGCCTGTCGCTGTTCAGGCGAGAGAGTACTCATAACGATCAGGAACCATTCAGGAGTTAATCCTAGCCATGCTCTTCGAGTAGCGAAGCATCAGCGACGGGGTGAGATAAGTTAAGTATGGACCTTCCGCGAGGATGCCTGTGACGCAAGGCGACCCCGCTCATGCCACACAAGGCCTTCCATCGCTCTCTCTCTCACCGCCAACAATGTCCAGTCAGCCTTGCGAGCAGCTGAATATAGTATGCATCCCAGGTGTTGCATAAGGGAGGGGGCTGAGGTTTGAGCTGTAAACAAGTCTAAAAGAGTGCCGAAACTCGAGAATGCCCTTCCGATCGATGAATCATCTCAGTGGGTCTGTCACAGCCGTCAGGCTGGACCCCTGAGAAGCCTCGAGATGTTTTGTTACCAAAGCCCGGATAAATCCCCAGACAGCCTATGCAGTATTGTTCTCCTCATTGACAGGTTACTGCGATGAAGCTTTGCGGGTAAAACCGGGATTGCGGGGGACAGCTCGGATGACGTCGTGGTCGGTGGGGTTGCACGATCGGCTCTTTTCTGCCCCAGCTTCTCTTCTCCCTCTTCGCTCTCTTCTCTCCTCTCATCCTTTTGCTCATCACAGTTCCGGACTCGCTCAATTCATCTGTCTCGTTGTCCCTGTGCGTCCATCACCTCTCTGGTTCCACTAATATGTTCTCCAGACAGCGTCTGACTCTCCCATTGCGAAGGTCCTTCCTCACGTCCGTCACCCCCCTCACCAACCGCAGTATTCGACCACTTCACTGCTCCTCCGCAACCATGTCCGGTGTCAACAAGGCCTGCTGCTCGTAAGTGGACATGTCAATGGCTAGAGCCAGCGATTGCCTTCCATGCTCACCGTGACTAGCATCCCCCCAATTGTCGCCAAGGGCTACCAGGCCAAGGGTGAATACAAGACTATCAATGGCTTGAAGACTTGTATGTTGCATATGATTGAAGCAGGCAGCCCAGCTAATTGCTCCTTACAGATGTCACCGGTCCCGAATCCGCCACCAAGGCCATCCTCGTCATCTACGGTAGGTGACGACCCCACCCCGACCTGTCCAAACCCCGCACTAAGAACTATCCACCGTCCAGACATCTTCGGTTTCTTCGATCAGACCATTCAGGGTGCCGACATCCTGGCCACCGCTAGCGAACAAAAGTACCGCGTGTTTATTCCCGATTTCTTCCATGGCGAGCCCGCCGATATCACCTGGTTCCCGCCCCAGACCGACGAGCACAAGCAGAAACTGGGCAAATTCTTCCAGACCAAGGCCGCTCCGCCTGAGAACCTGCCCAAGATCCCCTCTATCGTATCGGAGGCCAACAAGCTCGCCGCTGGTGGTGGTTTCCAGTCCTGGTCTATCTTGGGTTACTGCTGGGGAGGCAAGATTGCGACCCTGGCCTCGAACCAGGATAACAAGGTCTTCAAGGCCGCAGTGCAATGCCACCCGGCGATGCTGGACCCCAACGATGCCACGAGCGTCAACATCCCCATGGCGGTGCTGGCCTCCAAGGACGAGAACCCCAAAGATGTGGAGGCATTCGGCGCCAACCTGAAGCAGGCCAATTACGTCGAAACCTTCTCGACGCAGATCCACGGATGGATGGCCGCTCGCTCCAACCTCGAGGATGACGAGGTTCGCAAGGAGTACGAGAGGGGATATCGGACGGCTTTGGACTTTCTCCAGAAGCATGCGTGAATGTGCCTACCATTCTGAATAAGGAAAGAGTACTAGTTAATTCAAAACGTGGACAAATTGTCAACGAATGCGCTTCCCTTGTAGGTCTTCCGATCGAGCTCTTTGAGGTACTTCGTGCCGCCCGTCCCGATGGGGCAAGATGGGGCGACCGGGCCATGCCTCCACTTTCGGATGGCCGACGTCATCGGATGATTGGCGACCCCCGCCCGCTTTGTGTTGTTTTGTCCTCCGCCGCCTCCCTGGTGGTATCACCTTATCAGTGGACTGATCGCTGCTGGACCCCATATACCTAGACCCCTTTCTCTCTCCTCTCCGCTCATCTGCCCCCTATCATTATCGCCTATTGTTATCTGAGACCGCAATGAATGGGAATACCAAGCCAGCGTTGCAGCTTACCTGCTGGACAGATTGATTAGACTTGGACAGAAATACTACACCCCGTCGCCTGCAAAGCCAGAATGTCGTTTTTCTTCGGTCGTCGTCATTCCATCTCATCCGCAGCCCCGGCCCAGGCCGACAGCCTTCCGCGGAGTGAGAGAGGCAGAAGAGCTTCGGTGCCAAATCTTGCCGATCACAATTCGGGTACCCACCCGAAAGGCATGATCCATGATATCTTCCGGAAGCATCGGGGGGACTCAGGAACAGGTTCATCGGGAGCTGTACAAACCACTAAGACGGTACGCGTCGGATGTCACCAATGGCGTTTTGCTAGGTCGAAGCAACTAACATCATCCATTAATCCCAGGATGAGCATGCAGATTCCCACCATCGTCACGATAGCGGCGTGCATGACTCGCCGGGCGAACATCATCCTGGTAAGGTCAATACGCCGCATAGGTTGCACCATAATCCGTGCCCGTCGCCCCAGAGCCAGCTCACCAAAAAGGATGTCGAGACGATATTCTCGGGGGCTCCATACTTTCTGCTAGAAAAGGGAAAGCACGGGCTCTGGTACCCACAGATAATCTTTCCTTTCGACGATCACGATCCTACAATTCAGAATCTCTGGGACAGGCGGCCACTTCCCCATGCCTCATACACACTGTGCACCCTCCACGCACATCTGCCAGTGCCGGACGATTGGGTGATTGAGAGGGAGACACCGGTTCATCTCGGAGGTTGGAAACGAACCGAAGCTCCAAAGCGGGCGACATTCGACGTCGGTGTTCTCGAAGTGCCCAACATGCTTTCGGTAAACGGAAAAGACCCCGGGACCATCGGGTTCCGCCATTTCCTTGAACTCCCGGTTGCCGATTCAGCCCTTTACATTAGCCCCGAAAGACCACGGCCGTGCGCCGAGCTCCTTCATCTATCATCTCTGCCGGCAACAGAGGCATATGAGCTGATGGGACATTTTAATGATTCGTATGCGCAGTGCTCAGATGGTACCATTCACGATCGGAAAAAGCTGCTCTGCGAAGGTCCTGTTGCCTGGAAAAGGATCGGCGTTCGCGATGTTAACCTCCAAGCCTTAGTCGAGCGTCTGCAGGCATTGAAGAGCCTTCGCTACGAAATACTCCACGGGGATGTGCCCAAGACGCTCCTTGATATGGAATCGACACGCGAGTTGTATAGTGGCCTGTTCAATCGATTTCTGTATCCACCTGTTCGGTTTCTGCTTCCGGATGCTGGTGACCCTCACAGTCTAAAGGCTCAGATCAGAGCTTTGACAGTAGTGCTAGCCACTCCAGGAGCGTGGCTTGACTTCAGTCTGATCGACTGGCGCTTGCATATTGGACAAGTCCTGTTTGAGAATGCTCCACACGGGGACGGGGATTCGCTCGACCCTTCCAAGTCTGATAAGCCCTGGGTTCATGCTGGTATCGAGCGCAAGTGGTTCCTCGTCCAGATGCTGCTCGCTGCAGAGCTGCTTCTGCGTCTAGATGCCACCGTTCGAGTGGGAATGCTACAGAATTCTCGGGAGCTAGATATCTCAGTGCATGACGTGTACGACTTCGACCGGCTACGAAACGGAAAGCTGAACTGGGATCTGGTAGTAGTACGTCGTTTTTTGGATAGTTTCAACTTCACCTACAACTCGGTTGATCCTGGTGTCTCATCTCCGACTGAATGCCCTTCACATAAGTCAGTTGACAGGCATCATCATCGTTCATTCTTTGAAACCTTAACCCACCGGTCATCAACGTCGACAAATCATGGCGAGTTAGCCTGGAGATGTCATCTTGTTCCTAGCCATGTTGACCAGCAGCTCAACGGACTGTTTGTCTTTGCTGAGAACCTCGGCTGGCCACGGCTCGCCGAACTCAAGAGTGCACTGCGATCCAAGCTGGAGGGGCAGGGATCTGACCAGAGGATCAAAGACGCATACACGGTCCCTCTGAGAAATTTCCTGCCAGAAGGGTATTCGGCATCGGGTTTGAAAAAAGAAATGTATAGCCGATGTCCGTCTCGCCGGTTACTCCTACTTCATTCCTCTGATGATACATATCCCCTAGACATTGGTGGCTGGATCACGCGTAGCTGGCTCGCGGGCTTGGTTATCCCCGGCGAGTCTATCAGTCACCTTCTCATGGGGACGATCTTGGAGAATGATACTGACGCGATGGTTACCCTTGGACCGGTCGCTAATCTTTACGGTGGATTCGCCTACAATGGAAAGACCTGGTGGAGCAAGAAATGCGTTGTTGGTCGAGTTTTAGCAGGCCAGGGGGGTACGAAGGTTTGCTTGGCCTGGCTAGCAAGTTGCATAATCCCAAAAGACTCGCAAAACGGGCAACCGTTGGACAACACGTGGTTTGAGGTGGAGGTGAAGGAGCCACCTCGGAAATCAGGCAAGCCACGCATCAAGCATGGGAACAAACTCTCGTTCGACTCGACGCCACTGGGACTAGGGGAGCTAACGAGCGGGACCTTCTTACTGCCAGTGGATGGGCCATGCAATAACTGGTCAAAAGCGAAGATCGACTTCCAGGACCTCACCTTCTCAGTCGACCCGAAGCGGGCGCAGTCCGGAAGTAACCGCCTGGCAGTAGCCCAAGAAGCATGGGCCAATTTCACCCTCTCCAACACTTCGAGGGGTCCTATTCCAGTCTCTTTCCCATTAACGTATAACGTGCGATTCGTTTCATCCCACGAATGCCGCCCGCCAGGTGGATCGGTTAACTACCACAATCGTACGGGTGCCAACGAGAGCGACTTATCGTCATCATCGTCCAGCCATGCCTCCCATAGACACCATCGGCTGCCTGGTCACCCGTTGCACCGGTCGTACGGGTTCAAGTGGGTTTCACTTGACACTTTGACGGAGAGCACATCGTCCTCCGAGGACAATGGCAACGGGCTTGCGAAGGAAGAAATCCTCATTCTAGATGCGCGGGGTTCCCACAATAAAGAAACCTTTGCGCGAGCGTGGTGTGCGTCTGTGGGGCATCATGCCATCATTGGGAAGGCTGGCCGGACCTGCGTGGCGTGCTGCATTCGGGAAGCCCGGGCATTGCAGGTGAACATTGTCATCCGGATCGGGGACGGTCTTCTGACGCCCGCCTCGTCGATTCAGGTGTTGTATGGTGGGGAATAGTCTAGATTCAAGATTGCAGGATAGAAGGGGGCGGGTTGTTCCGTTGCACGCGCCGTTTGTTGAGGGGATTCAGGTAGTCTTAGGTAGTAGATGGGCCGTTCCAGACTTGTCCCGGTGTACGGTATTGATACGTATCTGGTCGTTTGTTTGCTCGCTCTTCATCACTCGTGTAACCCTCCGGGATCCAAAATACCTCATCCCACACCCTCTTCCCTCCATCCCGCTTGCCATCATCTTGTGGAGGGTTCGAATTATAAATAGCTCCAACTCCTCCGGAACTTTCATCTTTCCTTTTCATCTGGATCATGCTTCGGACAGGCCCTGCGCCTGCTCGAGTGGCCGTTATATATATACCACGGCTCTTACCACCTATTCACAATGTGGTGTACCTGGGATATCAGCATACGGTTTAACTGACCCTTTCATCAAAACTCTTATGCTAGCCTTCTTTCATGATGCGAGCCCCAGGGTATGTCCCTTGAACCAATCTAACACATGCGTGAACAAAGCTGACCTACCCGAGCTACTCCAGGCCAGAAAGTGCCTGCTCGCACCGTATTCCTTACACTGCCCTAAGGACATTCCCCTTCACTCAACCACTAGCCCAGGATGAGTGGCACCTCGGAATCGGTAGACTTCCTCACGGCCTACGATCTAATAACGGAGGCTTTCCCTGATATCATCGGCACCGAGAAACATTCGACAGGCACTGGAATCCACAGTGTCTCTCCTTCCATCGAAATGGCTTTCCCTGTCGAACATCATGTGGCTATTCACAGGCTAATCCATCGACTCCAAACCCTCCGTCTTGTGAATGGATTCTTCTGCAATGTCGCCTCCCGTATACTGTTTAGCACCTGCCTCATATACTTCACTACAGACCAGCACCACCCCTTCTGTGACCTCGAATACCTCCAGCGAAGCAACAACGCATCCTTCATCCGCAATCTAGTAATTATCTGTCGCCACCCAGCAAATACAACCCCTACTCACCACCTGCCTCCCTCGTGTGACCCAAATCCGCCGTCTCAAACTTTAATCCCCTGTCAAGGGCACCCCATCCCAGAACACTCTCGTGTCAGCTTGTCCAGTCTCGAAATACCAACAAAGTCCAAGTCTGGAGTTACGATCTGATCTACCGTCCCACAGCGAGATCGACGTGAGGTGGTAGTGTAATCAATACACTACATCCTTGCCTAACGCACGATTCTTCCCAATGACCGTCTCATCTGTTTTGCGTTGACACTCGTACAATACTTGGCGAATCCGATCTTGATGCACAGATAACTTATCGCATAGGCTTATGTGACGGATAATAAGAACTATTCTCCGTGTGGATCTATCGAAAAGGCGACGGCGACTTTTTCTAAGCCACGATTAAACCACGGGCACGAGCACATTCTCAGATATCGGTCAAGCCATGGCAATGTTTGCTGCACTGCGGGTAATTTTCCCAAAGGTCGGATTCATATGATCGTATTGATTGCGTCCCTGCCTCTCCGCTGTGTATTCTCCTGGCATCGGACTACATGCTCGAGAAAATGCAAACCGGCGTATTCCAGAGCTGCGTCACCTCAGATGATGCGCATTTGAACAAATCCCCACAGTACACTTCAGCTCTGGAGATATTAACGACACTTAAACGGATTCTTTGCAGTAGTGTTTCTTGTGTCTGCAGGTGTCTGGCTCGAGAACTTCGACTTATGCGTCACAGTGATTACGCACGCCCCAGTACAGGTCGTCACTACTCACTCACCATCCGAACTAGAGGCATGCAGCCGTTTCTCAGGAGTACTATTATTCGCAACAGCTATCAAAGCACTCGGCCGTATGAAACAACGCAGTAACCCACACTGGGTACGTCTATATAAATGACGATTTATCAGCCTGAAGTGGACTAGCCACATCCACACAATTTTGGTCGTCTTCCTGGTGGCGCGCCTCTTCCCAGAGCTGGAGACCCTCGAGGACATAGGTTCTCGTGGCCGTACTCTGTTCCACGATGCCCATTTGTTACATTGCTTCTGCTTTGTCACGTTTCTGCCCGCGGTCAAACAATCCGACGATTCATCACCGTTCTGTCCCTCGCAAACCGGCCTGGGAAAAGAAGAAAGACCCTTTTCTCAATATATCTAGTCTCTCCACCTTCTCAGATCTTGCTAAGAAGAACGTTTCTTCCACTGGTCTGCCGATTACATTCGCAACAGAATACTCGATATTCTGCACGATGTCTGGGGTCCCTTCTATGCCCAATAGAACCGCGGCCAAACCAACTCCGGAGTATATGTCAACGAGCTCAATTATTTCCCGAACACAATATGGAACTCATTGACCAATGGACTCTCCAAGTGCACGAGATTAAATAAAGACCAGTTGGTTAGCAGAACGAGCAAGCATGAACGAGGAGTTTAGCACTGTGAGCTTGGAATGTCTGTGGGATATCCTCGTGGCTTTCCTTGATGGGTCGAATGGTACAATAGCTTGCTTAACGAATGGCCACAGCGGTTAAGATGCAGTTCAGATGCTTGTCCCAATCATCCGTGGAGAAACCCCGTCTATCAGAGAGGGTGTGGCATTCCAAAGGAAGACAAAGGAGAACTGTCAAATCTTCTCGACAGACAGAACCGTCGCACTGGATCCAGTAATGCAACACTAAGAGCACTCTTCCAGTCAGCGAATATCTCAAGCCCTGTGGATATTCCTCTCTACTCCTAAACATAGTCGCTACGCAGTGACCGTATAATCGGCGAAGTGAACCCACCGAAGATCAGTGCCGAGTTGAGCGACCGTGGGAATGATAGCCACGCACTTGATCTTCATTTTCGAGTCGATGCCACGACACATCATGATCCTCATCGAAGAGCAACAAAATGCAGCAGCTGATCTCGCGGCCGAGTCGCATAGGCGTAAGGGCCTCCAAATGTTGCCTATGCGAGTGCCTTGTAGTCGGTCGTCTTGATCCGCATACTGAGATTCACATGGTCTCAAGTCGGTGCTTTTATTCAGACACGCATTGGAACAACCATCAACGTTCTATGGGCAGTATGCTTGAATACCACTCGATGCATCGTGTCTATCGGGCTCTGTGGCAGTTGCAACTGTACACTGATCTGATCGGAGCTGGTATTTCGTCGCCGGATGATTCCAGAAACCTTGTGGATCAGTTTATGAGCGCCTAAAGTTGTCGCAAGGATGTGACAGCCAGCAGGGATCTCCAAGCACACCCTAGAAGCTGACCTCATCATCCATGCCCATACTGTCATAAACATTGACGACTAACAACCTGATTTGCATGTGATTTACGCAATCCGAGAAGGCTACGAGCCTTTGCAGCCAGAGAGAAGGGATGTTTCAGGAAAAACGGTCTGCACCACAGGATCGTAGACGCGTGACGCTCAGGACCGAGTCCTCGAAGTTGAAGTCGATAACCGAGCAAAGAACATACTCTACCAATTCGGCGATGGGATGACTCGATACCCGTTCTTGACTCAGACATCAGTGCTGGCAGCAAATTTACCATCACCCGAACCCTCAACTTCTTACCACGATGACTGAAATGGGGAGCTATCCAAGCCTCGAGGCTTATGCGATGATGGCCATCGACCATCTTGCCGAGTCGGACAATGTCTACCCTAGTCAACGAATCACCAATATAGGGATGAGGTTGCTTGCTTCCATGCCCGTGCTGATCCAACTCTTGAGGAGCCGGGACAGTTATCCCCCAGCGGATATTTACTTCATGTGAAGAGTCCCCCGAAACGTCGGCCGGGTTCTTGTTGAGTCCTGGGCCACCTTCACCGTTTTCTGCGCGCGACAGCTGTTCTACTGGGTTTACTCTGCTCACGGGCTTATTGGACAAGGAACGGAATGAGACCTTGAGAACTGTGTAGGGTCGATCTGTGAAGTGGCCTCGACTTCCTTGAGGATGATGCCGATGCCCTTCTTGGCTCCGAGCCTGTCGAGAAAAATTGCACTGGCAAGACACAGGCCAAGCGCAAGTGTCTGGTAGGACAAATGAGCCTAAACATTCCAAGGATTTACCGCACAAGGGAGAAGCCGCTCTCGAGATATCATTCGCACCACGAATCTCTAACTAGTACTGACAGAGCCACACGGGCAGTAGCGGGGCCTTGAAGCACACTATACCACTGTTCATGACTTTCACCTCATAGGCGTTACCTCTCAAAGCTCCCACATTACTATTCCGACTTTGCTGGGCCATTATCCAGGTTTGGCGAAGAACCCAGATAGAAAGTCCACTCCGTCACGGAGAACACAGCCGGGTCCTCACTATCAACAACCAAGCGCCGCAGCTCATCGGCCTTCTTGTTATCTCCATGTTATTGTTCCTCCTGGCCAGTATCCCCAATATTTGCGGCCCCGTCTAGATGCTTTCCTAGATGACCTAGCCCATGGGACCATCTCCCAGGGATAATAGCGGGGGTATACCTATCTATATACGCCTTCCAGCATCAGTTATCCACGGGGAAACGATAATCTTGTTTGATTGGCGTCTGGAATTTCCGGCATTCACTGCCCTTCCCACTGTCTCGGGGTCATCACTGGCTCATAGCGATAATATCGCTAACCGAAGCGATTGTGGTGTTTTTGGAACTTTCTTCACTCTCACTGAACGGGAACACTTTGCGCACGATGTTGTGAAATTATCCGCTCTATCAGTTACATCCATCATCCCGACTACTAAGTTCCCTCAAATCCGACTTGCCGTGTGACTGGCTGACCTCTACTGCCGTCATCGCTGCCGCCAAAGACACCCTTTGGAATCACATGTTTGCTCAAAAGTCCTTGACTCAACCACAAAACATTTCGGCATAGCCATACCAAGCACAGTATATCCATATCTTCACCAGGGCTATCCTGAGGAATTGACAGTGCCCTGTCTGTTGATAAAAGGAGATCATCACGGATCTACTCAAACTGAACCAGTTCGCTACCAAGTCTAGGCCCGTTCTCCGTCGTCTATATACCACTACCATAATTCTTCTTGGGTTGTCAACCTAAATAGACATATAGCTAGCTACTACTACCATGGCCTATATATCATCAACAAAGTCACACATTAATCAAGTCCCAATTGCAGAGCTAAATAGTACTTCTCCCCATCTTCAAATATATAAAGCCATTTCCTATCTAATCGAAACCAGCTTTTTAACACCTACTCAGCCCATATTCATATTCCCCAAGACCAAAGGCTCCGAACCCAGAACATCATGCTAAATTCCCTTCTACCCGTTATCCTTCTTCAACCCTTCACCCATTCATTCAAGATTCAACCTCTCCATAAACTATCTTCATCCAAATACCCACACCACAACGCACCAAACCAGAACGAAACCAAGATGAAATCCAATGTTGTATACTCCCCCCAGATTTTGGATACATTTTAGTCATCACTTAGTAGTCAATTTTTATGTTGACGTTAGAAGAATAGGTTAGGTATACTGTAATCTTTTAGTTTTCCTGTTTTTTTCCCCCCTTACAGGTATATTCACTATAGTCAATATGAAGATCTGTGCGAAAGTATGAAGTTGTATGGATTCCCGAATGGGCATGAAATCTACACGTAGGGGTCAGTTCCAGGAGGGTCATTTGGTTGTTTAGCGGAGGCTAGGGAAGGAGGATGTTTATGTTTGAGGACGGGTTGAGCTGGGTTGAGTTTTGCTAGCTCTGTCACAGGGGAGTTCTGGGGTGTGGAAGAGCAAAGGAGGTCTGTGCATGTATTGTATGAGAGAGAGAGAGTGGGGGGGAGGGGGGATATGGACTGTTGTTCGAGGTGGATGGCAGGTGGGTTGCTTGGTTGATTGGATTTCTCTCTCCCTCGCTCTGAGGGTTGTATACGATAATTTGTAGCTACTTCGGGATGATGCTTTTCTGGCTTTGTTCAATAGAAAAGTCATCTCGATATCACTATGGAGATAGGAGGGAGTACATTTATATTTGATGTGGAGAGGTGTAGAACCTTTAGAGGGAAAGGTTATCTCATGCGAGTCGTACGGAAATACATATTTTATTGTCCTTTATAATTCACAAAAATAACAGCAGAATGATTACTACGTTACATCAAGGTCATTTCAATAAATATTCAAATCCATTCTGCAAGGGGATTTTGAACAGACCTGCATGTGGAACACGGTTAGCTGTAGCTAGGTGAGTGTCTCTACATTTGCTGACGATAAGCAGTGCAACGTTAGAATCCTAATGTAAGCAAGACTGGCCGCTAAGCCACGGATAGAGAGCTTTCGGCATAGCACTTCTGAGGGATCTCGTTATGTTCATCCTCATCATCTTCAGAGATAGGCGAAAGCGGTGCACCCATTCGAGTGTCTCCGTATTTCGTAGGATACCCCCATCAAACAAGAGATTCCATCATCTCTGTGTAGTTTGAAACGTTGATATCCTGGAGCTTAGTGGCCTGAACCTTGAGCGTGCCCTCAAAGTAACCGTAGAGGATTCGAACTCGTGCTGGTCGCACAAAAGAAAATACGAGGGTCTATGTGCCTCAGTAGTCTTGAATCGATAGTAAGAATGGAAATAGCGAACCGGAAAGATGACATGAATTCGCAATGTCGGGAGCCTTGGCTTATTTGCCATCGCCAATATTTCTTCTTCTTGATGAATCATACCACCCAACATCCAGCTAACGAGCATGGTCAACTCGGAGACGGATGGACGGCAATCTGCTGTGAACTCGTCTTCATGGGCTGACATTGTGCGTTGCGACGCACACGGGTTCATCACTGTCATTAGCATCTGGTGAGACTGAAGCTTGCTGTGTGACTCAATGGCAATTCGCATCTCGAAGTAGCGGTCACATCCTCGTCCCCTCTTCGACTTGCCCCGCCTAGGAGAGTTGTTCGTTAGCAAGTTCCCTTCACTGAAATTCTTGAGTGACATCGGCGTCTTACTGGATGACGTGCCAATCGGATTTGCCCTGGATGTAAAACAAATGGCGTCTCATTATCGTGGCAGGATCCTCAGGCCAGCCTCCTTCTTGGTCTCCAGCTGCCTTAGAGAAGCATCTGGATTGAATATCCCCATCCTGGACCAGGTCTCGTGTGCTTTTCAGAAATTCCCGACTATCATCCAAAATGGGCATGAAGTATGGGACGGCCGAAGGAGAGTATAGCTTCCCGGAATGAAAGTCAAGGTCAGACAGCTCTATGCCCTGTTTTCGAAGCTGTTCCCCTGCGAGAAAAGTCTTCTCAGTTCTGTCCAGGTGCTGCAATATTCCCCCGAGTTCGTTCTTTCTCCTCTTAACGTCGCGGAGGCAAGATGACAACCGGAGGCGGCGGTTAGGACGCATGTTGGAGAGAATTCTAGGACAGCCAGAAGAGCAGAGGTGTTTAGTAGATGAATCAGGGAAAGCCAGTTGGTAGGAGTGAAAGCTAACTAAAATTTTGGGTGCTGAGGTCAAGGATGCACGTCAGGCTGATACTTCCATGCGGTCATGGCTCAGTCACAGAGCCTGCGCAATGACCTTGCTCATATTCCATGTTGATGCAGGGTTTGCAAGGGAGTCATTGCCAGACTTTTCTCTCCATTTTGTAGTCTGTCCCGCCGGGCTTGTCTTGCACGGTGATCGGAGAGATATCAGGGATGGATTCACGGCCAAGGTCGAGCGATGGAAGATTCACACCTTCCAGCCAAAAGCAGCCGGTCGATTAAATCGGGATGGGATCGAGGGAGAAGGGATTATTGCAAACCGGGGATCGCCTGAACTTGCGGTCAACGAGGCCTACCCGCATTGGTGCTAGTCGGCATGGATTCGCGGGGCACGTCGAGAGAATCCCCGGCCAGAACACAGACACAGACACAGAAAGCAGAGGGCACGAGGAGTACATGAGAAAGGGAGAAGAGATGTGAGGAGACGTGGTACTCGAGTGGGACGTCTCAGGCAGCAGTCAAGGCGGCACGTCGCCGCCATCTTTTCCCCAACCGGCATGCTACACCAGGCTCGTTCTTGACCATCATCCACCGTTCCAACGCCTGACAAAGGCAATCCCAGAGGCCGTACACGGACGCAGTTGGTCATGTGGGTTCGGGGAGGTCGTACGATTACCAACCAACAGTGCTCTGGGAAGCAGCTGACAGATGGAGAGTAGGGGGAAATGGCGCAACGAAGGTGATACAAACCTCTATATTCCCCTCTCTTCATCCCCCCCCCCCATCCTACCAAACTGACAGCGGACGCTTTCTGCTAGGATCTCGTGTCTGCAAAGCCGCTATGACTCCGACGTCCAAGACCAATCGCGACCGCAGCATTCTACAACCCAGACTCACTGGGACAGGATAGAAGATGATATACGAGCACGAGCACGAGCACGAGCACGGAGTATACAAGATGCCAAGGATTAGAGACACCTTTCCAGATCAGAGTTGGCGGCCTTCCAATCGGCGTACTCCTTACAGCACACAGCACCCTAACCCCAACCTACCAGTAGGTAGGTATGCAGTGACGGTGTCCTCCGTGCCCATACCTTACTATGAGTGGAAAGTACAATAAGCCAGCAACCAGGCTAGCCCTTAGCTCGGCACTCCCAGGGTTAGAGCAAGACCGGCCTGTTTCATCCTCGCGGGCACTTATCTCGAAGCGGGCATGCTCGACTGGGGGGTCCGGCCCTGTGAGTCGAATGTTGGCTGTGGACTGGGGTCCTTACGTGTCCTGCCTCGAGCTTGCCGATGGAAATAGTGGGCTGGTAGAAGTCGGTTAATGAAGAATGGCTAATGCACCTGATTCTTTTAACAGGAGACTTCTCTCGTTCCTGCTGTAGGGGGTGTCCGTGCTGAGAGGCAATATCGCCCCGACGCCCCTATTCTTTTTTTTTTGCTTTTTATGACCGTTATGGGTGCTCGATAAGGGTGCGTTGCATGGTCCGCCAACCGTAAGGCGCCGGGATTGTTTCATCAGTAGGCAATCCTCTCTAGGCGCTTTTTGGCACCCTGCCGTGCAGGGGTGCGCGGACACCCTTTCTTCTTCTATGTCACAGTCAACCGATCATTGTTCCTCCGAGGAACTACTAGAACAGGATCACAATGCGATGAGTGGACACAATGATCTCCGGGCCGAAAGAGACCCTTGCGATCGAACAAGCAAAACGGGTGAAGCTCGGAACTCGGAAATCCGCTCAGGGTCTGTTTCGGACGGATAGATCACACGGGGGATCAATGAAAACAATAATGACAATCTGGGATGATGATGACTTGCTTACAGCAGTGGTCCGTTAATAATTATGAATAGGACATAATTACTGCATCGAGCGCGAACTCCGTCGATTCAGCTCGATCAGCACTGGGCTGTATAAGTCCGACGGCGCGTGATTGGCCCCAACGGGTTGCAGAGTCCAGATGGCGTGACCAAAAGGTGGGTTAGTCCAGTCGGACCGTCGATTCCTACCTTCTACCTATGTCCTCCGACCACTGGGGGGGAGCAACATTGTGGTCAGTCTGACAGGCTGGGAAGCAAGGGAAGCATTCCATATCGTGACCGAAGTGGACCAACGACCGCGCCGTCATTAGGATGGATAAGATGCACCACTCGGAGAATTTTGACGCATGGCTCTCTCGTGGGGAGGGGAGGGAGAGGGGGGAATGGGAGCGGTGCGACGAGGCACCTTTTTAGCTGATTTAGTCCCTGCAGAAGCCGGGGAGAGGAGAGGGTGCAACTCTTAGTCAGGAGGTGTAGCCAACTCCATTGTTCTTGCCTGGGTAACCATCCCTCTATCAAACATCTACATCATAGTACGACTCCGTGGAGCGGACCGCGATGATCAGATAATGGATGTATGATAGGGCAGAGCGTTGATGAATGAGGCGAACTTGTTTCATGTTCGATACGAGACAATCCCACTCGCAGCGCTAGGGCGGAAAGGATTCGAGACAACTTCGATCTTCGCCTCTTCGCTTACGTATATCGGCTGCCCGATCCCGCTAGCGATGCAGAGGCTGACCAAAGTAGCAATATCCACGCGTTTAGTCTCAAGCATCCATCCGGACCTCCCTACGGTCTGCCTGACTATCTTGCTCCAAGAAGGTCAATGTACCAAGGATGCGATAGATTGGAGGCTGTTAGTATCCTCAGTTAGATTTCTCCCACTCCGAGTCGTGGTATGGGAGATATTATCCGACAATCCTACCTCTTGGCACCTAAAAATAGCCATCCTGGGAGAGAAGACAGCGTCATTGTCGAGGAGGCTTCGACTCCGAAGGGAACCAACCGTCCGGAAAGTATTGAGGGACGCGGGTACGTAATGGCCATGAAAGTGTTCGGTTCTGGTTGTGCGCAAGAATTCCGAGCTTTGTTGTTCCTGGGAATCGAACTAAGGTCGGAACCGGGTTTATCCATCCACGGCTAGCGAAGGCTACTAATTATAATACAATATAATCTGGAGGTTCAAGAAGACCCTGAAAGGCCAAGCAATCTGCTTGGATTAAAACCGGGTGCTATGAAGCTGGCTAGTGGTTTGTATGCATGTCACCATCCCATGGTTGATACGCCATGCAATCTATATCGCCCATCCCTCGCTCCTTGCACGTATGTCCCTCTCTCTCGAAGAGGACAGGTGTACTATTTTCTTTCTTTTAATTTAATTTATTATTTATTTTTCATATTAGGCCTAAAGTAGTAGCCCTGTGGCAGTGATCTTGTCATCGTACCATTCTGGAAGTAGCTCCGAATGCGACGTTGACAATTGCAATGGGGTCTGTCTGTTGAGATCGACTGCAGACGCAATCCCTTACAGAACACCGCAGTCGGCCAGGCCAAGCCCACTGGCCACACTAGGATTGAAGATGTGATCCTTAATCATACCTTGGCCTAAAAGGCCCACCTGAGTCTGACAGATCTGGTCTCTTTGGTTCTTTTCCTTGCTGACGGAGTATATTTCCAGGGTATATGCAGGTACGATTGCAGCGTGGACGTGGGTGAGGACGTGGACGTGGATGATGTGGGTTGTGGGTGTGTGGGTGTGTGGGTGTGGATGGGCTGGGAAGCGCCGTTACTGCTGCTGCTACTAGGTACTATTATCACTACTGCGGCTGTTGTAGGAACGATTCCACAGGCGAGGGAGCATTTGCTGAATATCACCTAGTTCAGTGGAATCCGATTCGAGCAAGATCACAGTCACCCAAAAAAAAAATATCGAAAATTGCGAGAAGAATTAAAAAATCAAAAATAAATGAAGCCCCATGCCCATCCTCATTAACGCATCTGTGGAATCACCAGTGGGATTGCTGGAATGTGCAAGTCAGGATGACGATGATTAGGCCCCTGCCCCATGCCCTGCGGCGGCTCACCAATCAACAAAGTCTCCGCCGGCGAGGATGACGACTCCAGGGCTTCTCGAAGCTCAGCAAACTTCGAGTCTCTGTTTCAGCTGGCCGCTAGACTGGTTGGGGAAATCTGGGCACGGCGAAATCCTTTCCCCGCCCAAAGGGGAAAGTCCCTCGCGCCCCAGCGCCGTTGGTTGGCTGCCGGCTCCGGCCAGACCCATGCGGTCGCCCAATCGATGGCGGCCGTCACCCTGGCCCCAACGAGGAGTTAAATTTAAAACCACGCTCTCCAAAAATTCTCAGTGGGTGAGGGCCGGGATCCAGATTCCCCAGTTCTTCAAATGATTGACAGGTCTCAGCTATCAGCGTGTCTGCCCCCTGCTAAGCCCAATGGGGGAGGGAAGAACGCATGCCTCCATGGGAACCCCACCCCCCACTACTACTAGGAGAAGTCTGGGAGTGGTCTGGTTACAGGCGTCTGTCACAGACCTCTGGGACCATGGGCGAGAAGGGTGGGCGATTTGGGAGGACCCAGCTGGGGGGGTTAGAGGGATCAGGGGTATTTTTTTTCCTGTCCGCACCAGCCCAACCTATCTCCTGGAGTCGACTCTCCTCTCGAGGTACTACTCCGTAGGTACCAACCAATGCACGATGCACACGCATGCTCCGGATGGTATGATATGGGGGAAACTTTTTTCTTCTTTTCTAATTTTTATTGGATTTCTATCTTGTTGGGTGATTTTTGACCAGTACCCATATCCGATGTACCTTAGTCCCTGGCAAAGGTACCTACCACTTGGGACTTACTGTGTCATAAGATCACCAATCCCACCTTCGATGCCAGGAACCGAAGGCAACCCAGCCCAGTCCCTTCCATGGTCTCTCCGGGCTCCTTCGATTCGACAACCTTAAGATCCCACACAGCCACATTCCATGTGACGGCAATGATCCCTGCTAATATGCTCGAATACCGCCATCACCCTTTTCAGACACTCGTCGGCCTCTGCCCACCTGGTAGGTTTGATGAGGTGTTTCAATTGGAGAATCGCCTCGTTCCATACTAGTAGTATGTACCTACCTACCTACCTACTACTAGGGACTGAAGGGCTGAAGAATGCCTGGCTCTCTAGTTCCTTCCTCCCTCCCTCCCTATCGACCAAGTATGTTCCAAGTCAGGCAGGTCAGTAGTAGTAGTACATAATCAATCTATGATCAGTAAACCAGGTACCTCGGAGGTATCAGCTGGGGTAGGGATGAGGCTAGCCAGTCGGGCAGTCCGACACAGACCTCGTTAGTACTACTGACTAACTACGGAGCACTTGGAGATGGTATCATCCTCAGGCATATTAATAGCAAAACACACCCGCCTGGTGTTTCAGCCTGGGTTAGTAAAGGCTTGCCCACTTGAGGGGAGCTAGTCAGTAGTCCTCCGACCTGATTCTTCAGCACTGACAGTACCTTAATACGGGGGGAGAGATGGGGGACATCCTCCTTGGGCGTTATTTAGTAATAATGGTTGCGAATAATCCACGCATATTAGATTGATCTGGCTCTTCGTCATCGCCGGCATCATCAGCACTCTGTCTCATACCTCTCCATACAACTGACTCTCACACTGGGCCTGCCCTGTTCCTGGTCCTGTTCCTGTTGTCTTGTCCCTTTACTCCTTTCTGCTAATTCTCCATTATCCACCGACAACTTCTTCTCTGCCTTCCTTTTTCTTTGCTAGTTTCCCCCCCTCCCCCCCCCATGGTCACCCCCATGTGAATTCACCACCACGGTTGTTGAATTGTCCTAATAACCTTTTTATTTTATTTTGTATTTTATTTTTCCCTGTCTCTCTGGCTCTCTGGCTCTCCCTCCCTCTCTCTCTTATATTTCACGCATTTAATTTTTTCTATCTTTTCTTTTTTTTCTACTCTCTCTCCCTCTCTTTTTTTTCGGTTTTTATTTTTTCTCTCTTTCACACCTCTGATTTGGCTTTCACAGCCCCTTTCTTTGCAGTCCCTCTGTCCCCTAAAAACCTAACTTGGGGGGAAGCAGAAAATCAGACTCCTATTGCTGGTACTAAGTGATCCCAAAAATAATAATTCTTATTCCTTTACCCCCCCGGGTCGAAATTTAAATCCCAGCGCGCGCAAAGTCCCGAGATCCTAGATCCCGAGAAACGATACCACTACTGCATAGTGGGCGTGCCCACTACCAAACGGAAGTAGGTCCTCCTCCGTATTTCCCTCCTGCCACTACTCCTCTTACTACTCCGGACTACTTTACTTCCTTTGCGACGGTCCACTACTTACAACCTCTCGACTCGACCATTCATTCACCTTTTCTCCTCTCGTTGCTTCTCTTTCCCTCCTTTAATCATCCTTTCGCCGGCCCAATCTTTACACTTGATCATCATCTTCAATATCATCATTATTTGCATCTGCACCCGGCTTCCCATGCGTTCTCTCGCATGCGTGTGCTTTTCCTTACCTGCATCGTCCGGGTTGTTTGATCCCTACTAAATACCTAATCATCCCAATCTGCAGGCCGGGTCACCGTTCCCCTCCAACCATCAACACACTACTGTCCTGTCCCGAAATCACCCTCTGCCACACCTCGGCCTTGGCTACACTCCCACTTGGAACCCCCCTCGACGACAGCAACGACGCGACGAGCAAAGTACAACATTATCCAACTATTTATTATTTAGTGCACGCGCCTTGGTCGAATTCGTCGGAACGAAACAATTCGAAGTTCTCGTCGTCTGGTGTTGCCCGCATATTGTTACCCTGCGTGCTACGGATCGAGTGTGGAGTTTCGCAGTGCTGAAACGAAGGACTCGAGTTACCTACAACGACCATCGCTAATCATCAGCGCTTCTGATTTCGGGGCGAAATCGTGCCCGCTTTCCTCACTGTCCACTTCGGCGCATTGCATGACCCCAACCCCACCACTGTGGTTGAACCGTTGATTTCGTTGCGCGACTGGGCTGTCCGATCAAATCATCTGTCCCTCGCCAATCCCCTGTTCGATTAATGCGCCCTTAGCCTAAGGGCTTCGTCTTCTTATAATAATCTTTAGGGCTATGCCCGCGGTCGTCGAGGATATAATACCAACCAACAATTCAGAAGGCACAGTCATGGAACCATCAACTGCGGACAAGAAGCGCAATAAGCTTGGATATCATCGCACCTCTGTCGCATGCGGTAAGCTCGCAGTTGCTGGTGTTTTGTTCTGCATCTATACATTGCTCATTCTTATTACGACAGTACATTGCCGGCGACGAAAGATCCGATGCCTTGTTGCAAATGACGACCCTCAAGGACGATGCGAAAACTGTATCAGACTACGAAAGGAATGCCAGTTCTTCCCCGTTGACCAGCAACCTCCGATTGAGAAGAAATCCCGCCCCAGTTCTCGCTTGGAAACCGCATCGACGGACCCATCCACTGCCTCCTCTTCGCCTCCGAATGTGACTGGGGTGGAACAAACCGAGCCATTCTATCCTTATCAACCCATGCCATTGGGTTCCAATCCAGATGTGGGAGCTTTCAATGCAGCCACCTTTTCTGGGAATCCAATGGCACCATTTCCTCCAGGTGTGTAGTGATCCCCGGCGATGGGAAAAGTTGCGAGATCTCAGATGTGTTGACAACCGTATGAAACAGATCGCAATGTTGGTGCTGAATTTGTGCCGCCTCCTTCAATCGATCCCTCGGTGCCGTGGGACGAGTACACGACCATCTCAGACCCGCAATTATTAGCGACAATGTCGGCGGGGAAAGCGATGATGAACATGCCCACGAACGTGTGGGGTCCGACACCCAACCCCATGGCGCCAATGCCAACCACCGCGCCCCTACCAGGGACGCCTACCGTTCCCTCGCAGTCACAAGGCCTAACACAGGCACCCACGTATGCCATGCAGCCAGACGGAACTGTCTGGCAAGTTCCCACGCAGCGGTCGATGACATTCTCCGCCCAACCTGCGGAAATGGCGATGGCGTATGCGAACCAAGGTCCATTCATGCAGCCATCGCCTGCAGAACTTAAGAGGAGAATGACCAGTCCAGCTCAGTCGTTTCCCGGAACTCCTATCAACCCCCAGAGTCCACCAGCAGCAGATCTACAGGCGGTTTCCGTATCATACCCAGGACAGCCAGCAGCCATGGGCTTCAACAACTGGCAGGATATGAACAGCATGTCCCCTATGGGCATGGTCCAGTATCCGATGTACACGAACGATCCGGCCCAGCAAGCAGGCTTTGGCAGTCCGCCGCCAATGGGCCACCCGGGCCACGGACATTCCCCCCAGTCATGAGCTGAAGGGGGGAGATGACGAGCATTTCGAAAAAAAAAGCATCAACGGATCTGTTAATAATAAATACCCCGTGCTACGTCTTTCATCCTTTTCGTTTCTTTCCCATATCATTCCATCCATGCATATACCTTTACTTTACCAGCTGGACATTAGCGGGCGCAGAGGATCTTGGGCGGTATCTTTATCCTTTGTTTCTTCCATGAGACCCGATCCCTCTTGATTGAGGTGTCATCCTTTTACGTGCGCGATTCCAGGGGCGAGATTAGATTCTCTTCGCTCCTCGTTCTTTTCCTTCGCCATTTCTTTTCTCCTCCTGTTTCTATTAGCTTTGGATATCCACGGCGGGGTTCACGAGCTACGCATCCAGCCACCAGCGGGACAGGTGTCTGATTCTTGGTTTTAGGTGGCGTTACCGGCATGGTTCAGTCTCGTACACCGATGATGGCGCGGTCATCCAGCCCGCATCGAAGACCAGTCTGGACCGACCGGGTTCTCATGATTTCGTTTGCTTTACCACCATCCCCCTGCCATCACCCCCTCCTTTCCCCCTGTCACTGGCGGATCGATGGAAAGGGTGGACCGGATGGGAGTCAAGCTGCTATGTTTGTGTTTTTTTCTCTATTCGCTTTCCTATTGACATAGACTACCTCCATAAACCTTCCTCTATCTAGTACCCAACCACATGGAATAGAGACGGGCAGGTGGCTGCCTCTTAGCTATATCTCGGCCGGTGGCATGTATCAGTTGATTACTAGGTTAAGCTCGCACGAAGATGGCGTCATGCCACGTCGTTGGAATGACTGTTCCTTTTAGTCCTTTGGTCCCTAGTATTGGCACTCAAAGTATATTCCGACCTGCCTTGCATACATCAAACCACACAGAGAGAAGTCGCCCATTACAGGCGCTTGCTTCTGTCAACCTACAGGGCCCCATAGGATCTGGAGTCTTGCATCCATGCTTTCTGGTTGCTACTAGAGTCTGGTGGAACATGCGTCACCGTGGTGCGATAGAAGACGATTCCAAATTGCGATGATCCTGTAATTTTACGGTCGACGCGGGGCAGTCACTGCACATCCACTTGTACGACCGACCCCCATTACTACTACTACCCAGTACTACTCCGCGAGGCCGTGAAGATAGGCATGGGGGCCTGATACGCCAGGCCGGTCGGAGATGACATCATCGAAGTGACGCGATCTGGCCGGGTCCCGATTAGGTCGTCACGAGTAGATAGTGGATTCGTTTGAGTAGTTTATCTCTCCGGCTCTCCTCCGTCTGTCTCAACACTGATTTATCAGACCTACGCAGCTCTGGTTTGTTTGCTGTGATCCTTTATCGACCATCTATTGTCAATAAGTGTGACAGCAGATTGCTTTTTCCCCCTCCCCTGCCACTTTACCGATAGCACGGCCACACCGACGCGGTGATTGGAAGACATCACGATCCTGGCCAGCTGCAACGGCGATCTCAAACGAAATCTAAGCAGCTAGATGCCACCTGCTGCTTATCCTGAGCACCCCCGGACCAAACATATCTTCGTGCTTGATTGAGACCGATAACCCTCCCGACCAGCCTGCCAATAATAGGAGCAATCTGCAGTGCTCCTTATCACGCTGTAGGATTTTCGTGACGGGTTGGGATCGGAGCAGACCAGGAGAAAGTATATTTGCTCCGAGATGATAACGGGCCTCTGATAAGACCGGTCGGGGATCGAATTGCCCAGAGATTTGGGGGAGAGCCACGCTGGAATGCGGTGTCACTGCCCATTTCCTGGGTGTCGCACTGGGCTCCAGGCTGATTCCACCTGGTTATACTGGTGATGAGTCACCGATTCTGCAAAATTGTCACCAGTGTCGTGTGTGTCTGAGGGGCAGTGTGTGGGTGTGGGTGCGCCACCAGTGGTGAGTCTGGGGTCCGATAATGCGGAGAGCAACAGCCTCACTTTATTAATCTTGACAATGGCCCTGATAGTCACATCAGCCAGGCTGATAACAGACGTCATGCTGCAATTTTGATTGCCCCTTGTTGGTGATTGCAGGCGCCCAAGTTACCAGGTTCACTGTCCGCGACGTGACGTGTCCGTGCCCTTTGGGCCTTATCTCCAGGCTTTCCGGGCGTCTCGACGGCGAAAATATGCAAAGTTATCAGAATGATTATCGCAACTCTTGGCCGATGGTCGGCGAGGGTCTCTGGTTGACCGAGGGTACTCCTCGTTCAGTACAAAACCCGGCGCTGCTCCCATTGGGCTGAGACTCCTGATCTTTTCGCCCAGCGACAGGGACTGGAAGAGCCTGAGTTGACCGCCACTCACTTGCGATGCCTTATCGTGCTCCTGTGGGGTGCTGAGTGTGGTTGTAGAAGCCAGCCAACCCTTGGGCGCTGAGAGCCTTTTCGACACGGAATCATATATAAACAGTGGGAGTGGAAGTTGTCGACACAGTCAGTGACTGTTGGCCTTTTTTTTTAATTCCCTCTTTTCTCCCCCAGTGTCCCCTTGTCCTCTTCTTCACATCTTCAGCAAAACTTGCGTTTCTCCTCGTTCCTCATGCACGGTCGGCTCCAAAGACTTAAGAGTGGCCGTGTGTGTGCTGTGGATATTATTAACCTCGACTCCAGTGCCCCGTTTCTGCTCCAAGCTAACTCCACGCCCTTCCCCGTGCCGACCCATCGGTTCATGCTAGCAGCTCTTGTATACACCCACTTCCTCTTAGATAGGGACACCCTATTAACACATGAAGACACCCTTTTCACGCCGCAGCCTCTGCCTTCCTGCATTGCTAGCCAACCCCCCTTTCTCCTCGGTCGCATCAGATCTACTCGCGAGATCCTCTTGGCCGCACCAGTCAGGCTCCATCAGGCAATCCTTCTGGGTAACCGATCATCCGCTGGCATGCTGGCACGTCTTATTGCCACAGACTCTGCACCTTTGATGCGGGCAGAGCAGACTGCAGGGGGTTGTGTTGGATTGGTTTGCCTGGAGTTCCGGCGCATCCGCGGCAGCCGCGAGAAATCGAATCGTTCCTAGTGTGGGGGAAGATTCTCCTCACCATCGACCCTGATCAGATGTAATTTTTATGCTCGCGACCAACATCCCTGATGCATTCCTGATGACTATGACCGGTCTTTCTATGGTCGCTGGCTGGCTGACAGCGGCGCATGACGCTACGATCCACCTTCAAACGAAAGAGCGAAAGAACTTATTGAACCTTCAGCAGACTGGAGACTTCCTGCAGGGAAATGGGTGGTCAACTGCCGAGTCTGGAGTACGGGGTGAAGGTACCCCCAATCATACCTCTTACGACTACCTACTACGGGCCGGATGTCCTCCGGGGGTTTCCGGGGGTTTCCGGGGGTTTCCGGCTGATGATGACGGCCCAGATCGTCCCCGTAGTCGATGATGCGGTATGTTGGTTCAGGTAGTGCTTGACGTTGCCTGATTATGATGTTGCCTGATGGGAAGAGCTCATATCCCCTCCTTTATACACTACTATACAGGGATCCTTGTTGGTGACCCCTTGAAACTGACTACATTATTGAGGGTGTCCTAGATCCATCCGGGTTAACTGTGGCGGACCCGGAGCTCGATTTGCCGGCCAGCAGATCCCAGACACAGGCCACTCTTAGCGACGGTACACTTACTTGGGCCGGTTAGCCCAGGCACAGACTTGCGCTTCAGAGGACCGATTTCCTGTTCGAGCGTCCCGCCGGAAGGTCGACGCTGCATCCGGACCAAAAGGGACCAGTCCGACCGGGCCAGAATGGGGGTTTGCGTGGCGGCGTCTCAGGCATTTTCGACACGCGGATGATTCGGATTGTTGACGACAATAACCGAGTCTGATAATGACTTGGAACGAGCCTTATTGGGTGTGGCCGTGGACGATGAGGTAGTAGGTACTACTAGGTAGGCAGGCCGAAGCTTGTGTCGATCGAATACTGGCATTTCCCCGACCAACGGAGTTAAGGCCGGGCGGGTGAGTCAGCCGGATCCGTCCACACGGCGCCACTCGCCCGTTTTGCCTTCCTCCCAAGGCTTCCTGGCTCTGCCCGTCGAACTCTATTGCTTTTGCCACGCCCCCATGACTGGCCCTTTCACATGTTAGCTGACCCTTTGCTTGCTTCTGGCTTGCCCCGTGGTGGCCACTCTCTTCGCTCGTCGTTGCTGCTGGTACTTTTGACATCGGTCGCCTCACGGCGGCGATCTCGACACCCTAAGTACATGGCACTATTATTCTGTCGCTTCAGGCTGACCCGATGGACGGCCATTGGCCCCGATGACCAAGGCTCATTACATGCTTATCTGCTTATCTGCGGACTCTTATCTCCAGGGCATCGTGGGTAGCGTGGGACACCGTGATTATCGAGCACTAGTGTGGTGGACCTCGCGGTTGTTCCTCCCGTGGGGCCGAAACGTGCTTGAGTCTGAGAATCAGTACGGAGCAATCAGCAACTACCGCTGGAGTACGGAAGACGGGAGTTGGGTAGGAGACAGACTGCCTGTGCAGCATGCAGTGGCCAAGCGACTGTCCTGTGCTCGGTTGCCCTTCTCATCCATCAACCATGATCCATTCCCCGGCAGGACACCCACTTGGACCGACCAACGATGATGGCTAACGGTTTCCCTGGACAACCTTGTCCAGACTTGGCAATATCTTATACGCCTGGGCCCTCAGCCGTGTTATAATTAACTGCTTACTATGACTTGCCACCGCCAGGGGTTTGGGATAGACTGGGGGACGCCTCTTGCACCGTGCTTTTGTCCACGGCCGCGTGCACAGTCGTTACAGGAAATAAAAGATGGGTCCCGAAGATGAGCCTGATGAGCACCGTCGTCATCGCTGTCGTCGACCGAGGTCTCTCACGAGGTCTCTCACGAGGCTCAACCTGGTCATCACGACACGCCAGGACGAGGCTGTGACCCGGCTACTGCATCATCGTGTGCTGTAGCTGTACGATTAAGGGTCGCTTCGGCCAACAGAAGATGTGGCCAAGTTACAGAAAGTACACAGTACACCGAAATGCCAGGAGGACAGACACAACGAACTAGGGTCATTGTGATTGGAGAGGGCCAGCTCCCCTCCCGGGTTGAGACTTGAGTCAGGGTGACAAAGGGACCCCGCAGCCACGGGTGGACCCACCTACATCAAGATGAATCGTGGATTTCGCCTTGATTAATATTCCTGAAATTCGGAGTGGGACAAAGGGAGGCGATGAGGCTGTAGGGAACTAGGGATTGCTTGTAGCGGCAGTGCCTAGTGGCTAGTCCGGCTGGCGTGGTCTGTCGAGGTCAACTAGTCCATGCTTGTTACGGACTTGAAACGCGCGTGACGAGACCGCCGATACGGTAGCCAGTTACCGGCTCATACGCGGATCGGGTAAGATAGGGAATGGGAGGGGGAAAAGCCCAGCTCCGGTGAGCATCCCGTAGGTAGCATAGTCTGGGCAGGTGCCAACCTGCCAGCTGCCAGCTCTGGTCCGGTTGAGTACAGTAGGTAGGTTAGGTAGGTAGGTACCTGCTTCATCGGCCTGACTCCTGCGCTCTTCGGTTAGCTCTCTCGCGTGGAGGAGAGGATCTAGTATTCCGACCAAGCCTCTCAGCAGCCAGCACGCCGGGTTGGCAGTGGGCTGGCCCGGGAGGGACCCCCCCCTCTTCTCTTCATCCCCCCCGGAGGACTGGACAACGATGGACGGACTACTCAAGTCCACCGTGCTCGGGAGAGGACAGCAACCTTAAATCGGGCAGTCTGGACTGGACGGTTGTCAGCCATGTGCCTGACGGTGGCCCATCGTCTCCATCCCGCGCTGGTTGCGGACCAGCCGACGAGCAATGGAGGGGACTGCCCAGTGTCGAGGACTCGGGGGTCGTCCGGGCCAGACGGACAGCCCGATGGTGGACAAGTCCCGCCCCGCCGCTAGCGCCAGTCTTGACTCTCGAGGCCATCGGGACGACGCCCTTGGTCGTGGTGGCTGGTCTGTCATATCCATCTTCGATCCCTCCTAGGCTCCCCTCTCCGGAGGGGGGAGGGCAGGTCCGATGAGCGGAGCTGGTCCTAGCCTGTCGATGCGGTCTCCGGTCAATTGCTCAGTCGGGGATCCTGCCAGACAGAGTGAGAGACGCGGTGTCCTCTCCTGCAGGAGCGTCCAAGTGGACACGCTCAATTGACCATCGGGCCGATGGGACAGACCAAGATGGATCATGCATGCAAGCGCACAGTCCAAGCTTAAGATTTGATTCTAACAAGGTATGGGTTAAGGTAGTGACTAGGGGCGACTATCGTGCGCTCAGATCCCAGCATCCCAAGTGATAACACCGGTTCCATATGCACTTCGGCCGACGATAGCATGCTTTTGTCCAGCGAAGCATCATCCCATCCCAGCCCATCCCAGTCTGATCCCCATTTGGGCATGGGGGATGATATCCCCTCCGAGGATTTATCGGGAGCATGGGGTCCAGGAATGTGGACGACCAGCTAGGGTGAGTCGATAGGGATGGGGGGTCTCAGGAAGTCTAATCCCGAGGAGGGTCGGGGAGCGCGCTGGCCCGAATACCTGGGACGTGTTCGTATACATCCGCGAAGCAGCAGGGGCAGCAGCAGGTATCCCGGAGTTTTTGCGCGTCGGATTGTTTTACCATAGGCTGCGACCGCCAGCGACGGTCGGCCACTGCCCGGGGTTGGCGCGCCGTGATTGGTGGGGGAATCCACGCCAATTCCTGGCACCGAAGCAGGATCCGGATCAGTCTGCTGCGTCCGCCGTTAGTCGTCTAGGCATCTCCTTAGTCCCAAGTCCCCTAGTGTCGACCGACGCTTGGAGTGTTTGGAGTGTTGGAGTGTTGGGAGTGTTGGTCGGGATGAATCCGTAAGGTGCACAATGGGATTGTGATCGACTGGATGGTCGGTGGCAGCAGGTGAGGATGGTGCGTGTCTCGGGTCTTTGTTCGGGAAATAGGCCTTGAAGGTGCTAGTCCTGCGTGTCAGTCAGTAGTCAGTCCGTCCGTCAGTCAGTCCATAGTTGGACTGTTGGAGATGGATGAGACGAAGTGTTGAAAGAGGGCATCAATTAATCTAAACGGGCGGCGCTACTGCAGGATTAGTGCTTCGAGAAACGCCAAAATAACAAGCGGCGCCACTGCCCACGCCGCCGTCATGGTAATACGTCCGTATGCTTTTATACTGCCCGGACTGGACCAGTCCACGACACCCTGCTGCAGACCTAACCCCAGCAGCATGGAGGAGGGGCAATCCGTTGGAGGTTGGAGGCGTGTCGAGTGGTAGTTGTATAAATATGGTCGGCGTGGTCAGAGACGCTGCGGGCTGCAGTGTATACATACATCTCCTCCTCCTGTTGCTGCCACCGGTCTTTGTTGATGGCCTCGAGTTCGAAGGGGACCTTTCCATCGAATTGAATTGAACTGAACTGAATTGAATTTCCCAGTCTCTTACGGCGGGAAGCTAAAAATACGGCATCAGGCCGACGAGCAAATCAGAGGGGGTGCGCAAGTCCGTTCGTCTGGTCCGGGACGAGGATTGTGACTGGTTCTGTTTCTGCTGGAACTCACCCACCCGTGGATGAATGGAGCAGCAATCCTTCCTTCGTCGAATGAATGACTGTATGATTGATTGATACTTACTTTCTGAATGAATCTCGAGAGAACGAGTGAGTACCAACCCACCCACCACCCTCTTCCAATCCTCTCCCAGTTGCACGTCAAGACTGATTGATGGATGGATGGATGGAGAGGGGCAAAAGACCGTGTCTGTAATAATTAAGGCCCGACCTTGACTGGATTAGACTTAACCGCGACCCTCCACTCTGCCACTCACGGTGCCCACTTTCCACTCTCCGGCTCCGTCATCCATCGCATTCTTCAATTCCCACGGCCTCTTATTATTTCTCTTCGGGCCTCCCCAGTCCTTCCTCCGTCTTATCTTCTCTCTTTCTTTTCTAATCTGGGTGGTTGCCGTGATTTGATTTGATCTGATCTGATTTGTCTGGCCTGTTCCGGGATCCTCCCCCCCCTTCCCTCCTTCGTCCTGTTTTTTTCCCCAGAATCAGCCTTTCACCGCGTCATGTGCATCGGGAGGGTCTAGCCCCCCTCGCCGGTCATCAACATCATCATCATCATCATCATCAGCACCCTCCTCATCTGCCATCCCCTGCGACCTCATCCGTCCCCACGCATACCAGACACAGCATCAATTCAATTCAAATCAAGCAAGAGATTTTAAACCCGAATAAAAAGAAAAAGGAAAAGGCAAAGGAAAAGGAATCGACCCCGTTGTCAGATCAGCTGCAAAACCAGGCATTTGCAAAAGGTACGCACATCACCACCACTCTGGACACCCTCGGACGGAGCCCGCCGCAGCAACGGAAGGGGAAAGGGAAAGGAAAAAGAAAGGAAGACCCAAGGAAAAGCCGGGGGGAATGCAGCCCATGCAGCCACCGCATCTTGGATTTAGTTTTGCTGCACTGGCCTGAATCGCACCACTGACCTGCCCCCGATCCTAGCTCCCGTTGTCTGCTGCACTTGCCAGTCCAGCATCCTCATCCTTCGTCCTGCTGGGACTTGACCAGAGGCAACTTATTTTTATTTTCTCTCCCACCACCACCAACCCCATTGGCATCGGGTCCCTCCCACCTTTTGGCCAATTTCGATATCCCATTGATTATTATTGCCCAGGGTCCGACGGCCTTGCTCGTTTACGGCGGGTAGCCTGGAATTCCTCGTGCTGCGGGCACCGGCCATTCTTCTTGTTCGGCTTCTTCTGCACCTCCCTCAGCTTTCCTTCACTCGTCCGCCCTTTAATCTTTCCTCTCTCACTCTCTTTCCCTCCCTCCCTCCCTCGCCTCTTATCTCTCTCCGTCCCTACTGTGTCCCAGTTCCCTCCCCCTCTCCCCCTCCCTCCCCTCCCCAATCTTTCCCTATCTCTTGGGTCTCTGCACCTCTTATCTTTAATTCTTTTTTTCCCCTTTTCTTTTCTTTTCTTTTTTTTTTTTTTAATTCCCTTTTCGAATTCGGTGACCCTCTTTTTTTCGTCTCCGTCGCGTGGGCCCCCCCAATAAGACGACGTCGTCGAACCACCACGCTCAGCCCAACGCGCAGTCATGTCCGGGTTGACCCTGGGGGGAGGCGTGCGACCGACGCAATCCGCAGCCTTTGCCTCGCTCCAGGATTCCGCCGACGCCGACCGCCGCTCCTCCACCACCACCACTAACCCCCTCCACTTCCCTCCGACCTCCTCCCAACTCTCTGACGATTTCTCCTTTGGCTCTCCAATTAGTCCCGCCGATTCCTCGAATGCTCAGGACAATCTGCTGCAGGACACTTTATTTCCTGAATGGAAGGCCGGCCCGCCTCGAGGTCCCTTTGACGGGACTGATGAGATGCAACGGAAGGACCCATTAGCGACTCAGATATGGAAGCTGTATTCTAGGACCAAGGCTCAGTTGCCCAACCAGGAGCGCATGGAGAACCTGACGTGGCGGATGATGGCCATGAGTTTGAAACGCAAGGAACGGGAACGTGCTCAGCAATCTCGGTAGGTGGAGTGTGTCCCCCTGCGGTCGCTCGATGGAATGCTGATCGAAGTTTGTGTGCGTCCTAGTCTCTCCGCTCGAAACAGCCTCTCCGGCCCCAGTGGCATTGCTCAACTGCGCTTGTCCGATCGCGAGCCGACCGTGGCAACCACCTCTACCATCACCGACCTGACCTCCGATCCCATGAACCTCGACGATTTCATTGTCCCCTTTGAGTCTCCTTCCGACCACCCATCGCCTCAAGCCACGAAAGGCGAGGCAACGTCGGCTGCGATTCCCATCAAGTCTCGCAAGGACCAGGTGGCCGAGTCCACCCCGGTGCCCGCCTCGTTCCCCCATCCACCCCAGGACCAGCGAAAGAACAGTGAGTTTGGCTACGTGCCCCGCCGGGTCCGTAAGACGAGCATCGACGACCGGCAGTTCTTCAATCTGCAAGTGCCAACCCGCAAACGCCCGGCCGAGTCGTCGCCCCAGGTGCCGCCCGTGTCGAACGCGATGCTGGCCCACGACCCGGATCTGTCGGGCGGTGTGCCCGACTACACGCTGGATGCGTCGTCGGCCTTCGCACTCCATCATAATACCCATTCCTCTTCCCACCAAAACCACACTTCTCCGGGCGTGCCGTTCGGTCTGGATACCTACGGCCTGAGCGACGACCCCATTCTCACTTCCGCCGGCCCCTACCAGACGCAGTTTACTTTCTCTCCCACCGAGTCGCCCATGACGTCAGGCAACCCCTTCGCCAACCTCTACGCCCACACGCCGGTGGCATCGTCCCTCAACTCGACCGATTTCTTCTCCCCACCGCCGTCGGGATACCAGTCGACGGCGTCGACGCCGCAGCCGGCCTACGACGGTGAGCATTCGATGTTTTTCGATATGCCGTCGGTGGATGCACGCACGCAGCGGAGAGTTCCCAATTACGTGTCGCACCGCACGTCCAATCTTTCGGCCTCGCTGCAGCCGCGATACATGTTCAACCAGAGCCAGGATCAGTCGCACCACGCCGGTAACCACTCGTCGTCGATGCATTCGCCAGGGTATCCCATCCCGCAGCCACAGCACGTGGATCCGTCCCAGGTACTCGGTCCGAGCGATTTCTCGACCGGAGCGTCTCATGCGGCCATGTTCAGCTTTGGGGCCGACTCGGACAATGAGGACGACGAGGGCAACCAGTTTTCCGACCGGGCGGGCTTGCCGATGTCCGGTGAGTTGGATGATGGTGCCGATATGAACGGCGGGATGCAGTGGGACGCCCAGTTCCCTGGCTCATTCCACTCGCTGCCTGGGTTCAGCGCACAGCACCGCAAGCATGTGACGATCGGGTCCGCAGACATGATGGATACCCCAAGCGAATGGCAGGGCACCAGTCTGGGCCGCACGCATGGATCGGCCGCCTCGGTCAGCGAGGTGCGCAACCGCGAGCAGGATCCCCGGCGGCAGAAGATTGCCCGCACGACGTCGACGCCCAACACGGCGCAACTGCTGCGCCAGAGCATGAATGCGAATACCTCGCACACATCGCCCAACACTCCGCCGGAGTCGGGGCTCAATAGTGCGGTGCCGTCCCGGCCGGCCAGTCCGGGCGGCTCCAAGAACGGCGAGCAAAGCAGCGGCCCGACCACATGCACGAACTGCTTCACGCAGACGACCCCGCTGTGGCGACGCAATCCCGAGGGTCAGCCGCTGTGTAACGCCTGCGGGCTGTTCCTCAAATTACACGGTGTTGTGCGGCCGCTCTCGCTCAAGACGGACGTGATCAAGAAGCGCAACCGCAGCAGCGCGAACAGCCTGGCGGTGGGCACATCCCGGACGTCGAAGAAGTCGGCACGGAAGAACTCGGTACAGCAGTCGACGGTTACGACGCCGACGTCGAGCCGGGCGCAGAGTGGAGCGACGTCGTCGGAGTCGCCACCCGCGGTACCGGGGGGAAGTTCGTCGAACAGAGCTGCCGGCGTGATCCCCATCGCGGCGGCACCACCGAAGGCGAACCCGGCAGCGAGCTCTCCAGGCCAGAGTCGGGGATCCTCGGTGCAGATGGCGCCGAAGCGTCAGCGTCGGCTGGAAAAGGCCACGGACGCGGAGGCGGCGGATGACGCGAGCAAGTCGACCACGTCGAGCGGACGATCGAAGGTGGTGCCGCTGGCGCCTGCGATGCCGCCAGCGGCGGCCAACCCGGCCAACCACAGCATTGCGGGCGGGCAGGGGGCCAGCCAGGAGTGGGAGTGGCTGACTATGAGTCTGTAGTCGGAGGCCCTTCCAAGGAGGAATCTTTTCTTGTTTCTGATGTTCCACGATAGACATGACCGCGCAGCAAGGAGTTCTCGCTAGACGAGCAGGAGTTGGTAATATGACGGTAATGGTCTGCGCTGGCTGGCGGCAGGTCTAATGAGTGATGCGATTTCGGTTCTATGGGGTTGCTTAGTACATGTCTAATGAAGGGGATGGATGAGCGGGAGGATTTTATTGTGTTTTGCTTGATACAATCGCGTCTGTCCGGATCCCAGCCTTTTGTGTTTTGTCTGTTTCTGCTTGTGTTTCTGATGATTTGAGTGTCTTTTCTATCTTTCCTTTGTCTTTGTGTTTGTTTGTCGAGGCTTGGGACCGGGCAGAAGTGCGCATCTCATTGTTTAGAGTGATCTTTGAGTTTATGAAGTGCTTTGTGCAGCAATTGTGATTATGAATAGTCTGTCAGTCTGACAAGGATGATCAATGTCAATTTGAATTCTCCGTCACTTGCATCCCTCCTTTCGTAGACAAACACCAGCAGCAGCTCAACCATCATAGCATTCCTACCCCAAACCAAAACTGTATCGCCGTCATCACTCCCATAAAGTGTACCCCAATCCCAGCAACAACACAAACATGCCAGACGACATGCGAATTAAAAACCTCGGCCCAGAACGACTCCGGGAACCACCTCTCGGGAATTCTTGACTGGAGCAGTAAGTAGCGTTAGCCCTACCCAACGAATAGAAACCAACATATCACTTAACCCAGAACCCCAACACATGAGGATGCACCCTCCACTCCCGGATAAAACAAGTGTAGGTAGGGAGAAAGTAACGAACCAAATAAACCCCCACACCTAATATGAACACCACTCCCTCAAGCATATACCACCCAACACCTACATCCAACAGATACTCCCTTCCGTAGATACCATACCCATGGAAGATAGGTATTAGTGCCGTAAGCGCAGTCAGAACTAACGATAGCACTCGTAGGTTGGCGTACTCCAGGGATTGGTATTTGGATGTGAGGTGGGTTGCTATCGGGAATGTGGAGAGGATGAGGATCTGAGTTGTAGGCAGGCGAATTTGGGTTGTTAGCTTGTAGATATAGTGGAAGTGTGATGGAATGAGTTGAAACATGGAGTGTATAGTCTGTGTTGGTAAATGGGTAGGTGGGTATGTAGATAGGTAGGTCTGCATTAACTCACAAAAGAGATATATCTCCAACTTAGGTCCTGTCGATCATAGAACCCGAAGTACAGGCCCGTGGTGTAGCTTGCCACGATGAGGAGAATGATTCCGGTGTAGTCATAGCGGAGGAATCGGTTTGCTATGGCTGGGGGTGTGTGTTCGTGAAGGTGGTAGGTTGTTGAGAGGAGTAGGGTGGTTGTTGCGGCGAGGAGGTTGAGGATGAGGATGGGTTTTGCGGGGGTGGAGATGAAGACAGAAGAGGGGGTGGTAGTGATGGTGATGGAGATGGTTAGGATGAGTAGGACGAGGGTCGGGATGAGGTGTGTGTATATTGAGAGGGTGGCGGGATGGAGAGTGAACCAGAGTTGGGGGACAGGAGGGGGGTGGTTGGGGGCAGAGGCGGAGGTGGGTTGCGGTGGGGATGGGAGGAGGAGAGGATAGAGTGGGAGTAGAGGTGTGGATGTGGAGGCGGGGACGGAGAGTGGATGACATGATGAGAATAATGAGTGTTGTAGAAGTTGTCGAAGGTGATGGTGGTGGAAGTGAAGATGAAGGTGAAGATAGAATTGGGTGGTGCTGGTGTTTACACCGGCGACTTCTTTGTACGTAGGGACTTGCTGTATTGGGCAGATGATGTGTAACGCCCACTCAGACAGGGAAGATCCAGCACATGGGATGCTTGTCTCAGTAGACTGTATGAAATATGCAGGATTTCAGTAAAGCTGGTTTGGATGTACATCTAAAGACCATCGTGGAGTGAGTGTGTTGGGGTTCTGCAATTGGGAGAGTCGAAACAAGCTATAGCATGCTTCCATCTGAGGTATGAACTCCAGTGTCTACTCAATAGAAATAAGCTATCGATTGCCCATCCTCATGTCTATAGCTAAAAAATGCTGCTCCAAATAACCCCCAAGTCGCCATATACTACACACCAACCAATCACACCCCGCCGGTCACATGACACACGTGACCATATAAAAATTCCTCCGCAACATGCATACAACGACATCAACTCCCAGCACACCAATCCACATATCTCCATCCTCCTTCCTTAATCTCCCATAAAACCCTCATATACACTCCCTCCACACCGCAACAATGGGTTCCAGCGCCAAAAAGAAGAAGGAGAAGCGTCAGGACTTCCAGGTACCCCCATCCCCTATCCCCCCAATATCACCCACACCACCAACATACTAACCAATCCCCAGAAAGCCAAACTCAGAGTCGGCAAAGCCAAAGGCAAGCCCGAAAACTTTACCGACACGAGCTTCAAGACCAAGGGTACATCCCCTAACCCCTTTTCCCCCCTATCATGCCCACCAATTCTAAGAAATGATATACAGGTATAACCCTAACCCAACAATCCCTGACATTAACCGCCCCTTCTACCCAATCCCAATTCACACATCATGTCTCCCTCCTAAACTCCAAGTCGGACGCTCAGCGCCGCGACTCCCTCGCCCACCTAACCACCCACATCACCTCCAAACCCACCTCCCAGCCCCTCCCTCAACCCGTAAGCACTCTCCTCCCCACCCTCTCCCCCCTCATGCTAGACGCAAACACAAACGTGCGCACCCAACTCCTCAAACTCCTCCGTGCCCTGCCCCCATCCGACGTGGAAGACCACGTCGTCCAACTCATGCCTTACATCCGCGCCGGCATGACCCACCTGGCGGCTGATATCCGCGTCACTGCCATTGAGGTGCTCTCGTGGCTGGTTGAGATCGCGGGGTCGGCAGTTGTCTCGTGCGCAGGTGGCTGGATCAAGACTCTCAATTGCTTTCTCTCGGTGTTGGGGTGGCATACGGAGGAGTCGTCGAAGTGGTCGTCGACTCGGGCTGCGTTTGGGAAGGCGGGTGCCAAGGGGAAGCCCATGGTGAAGGTGTTGGGTGTTTTGGCGGAGTTTTTGGAAGCGGGGATTGGTGAGGAGGATGAGGATGTGGTGATGGGGGTGCCGAGGTGGAGAGTGGATATGGGAGCGGCGATGGAGGGTTTCCAATTGTGCAGACCGACGTGCATATGATGCCGAAGACGGCGCAGCCGTATGTGTATTTGAATTTGTTTGGGTCGCCGAGAGATGAGGAGGGGGAGATGTATGAGACTAGGGAGGAGAGGTTTCGGGTGTTCAAGAGTCGGTTTTTGGTCGCGGTTGAGCGCGGGGTCGAGAGTGCGAAGCAGGATGGCGGCGAGGTTGGACGGGCGTCGTCCGCTGTGAGTAAGGTGTTGAAGGAGGCCAGGGGCGTCGATTGGGAGGGTTGATGGGTTGTGTTCATTCTGGCGTTGTGTGGATTGTTTTTGGGTCCGTTTCTTTGTCTGCTACGGGTGTATGGTATAGATTTGTTATATTGTGTGTGTGCTATGTGCTTGATGATTAGATTAAAAGTATGACTATTTATACTTTGGTCTTCTCCTGCATGTTATCAAACGTCTCCTCCGAACCAGCACCAACATCCTGTCCATCGTAGATCTCCTCCGCCAAAACAGCCCTCTCGATGAGAGCGTGCCGGGGAGGGAACCACCACGACAGCCCGACATAAACTACGGTGGTCCCTACGAACCCCAGTAGCCAACCGAACTGGTATGGGTGGACCCCCACTCCCACCGAGATACTGCTGTTGACTGAGTTGATCAGCCCCGGCAGACTCGGCACCACGCCGACTATGAACGCGACGATGGCACGCCAGTTCACGCCCCACTCGGAGTACTTGTATACTGGGTTGTTTGGCTGGTATAGAGCCAGCGTGTCGTACTTCCCGCGCTTCAGCAGCCAAAAGTCCCACAGCATGATCGCCGCTATCGGTCCCAGGAAGATCGCATACGCAGACATGAAGTTCATGAAGCTGTCCGCAGATTCAAGGATCTTCCACGGCACCAGAGCCCAGGACAGAAGGCCGCAGATGATTTGCCCTCGGCGCAGGTTGACATGCCCGGGGAACAGGGCCATCAGATCGTTAGCCGCTGAAATTGAATTCGCGGATATGTTGACACCTAGAGAAGCCAGGGCAAATGAAAACGCCGCAAAGAAGCGGCAGGCTCGGCTAGACCAGTGGCTGATCAGCTCGATCGGATCCCATGGGATAGACCCGCCATAACGGGCGTATCCAGCGGAGGAGGCGGCGATGCCGATGAATGAGATGAACGTGAAGACAATAGGCAGCATAGGCACGTATAGCAGCTGCCATTTGGCCGTGACACGCGAGTATCGAGAAAAGTCGGACTATTGCTGTTAGTCTTTGCTATCGTGCAGATTGCGTAGACATACCTGGTTCACACTGAGCGTGGCATAGTTGCCAAGAACCGAAGTCATGCTCGCCAGGAATACCCAACTGTACTGTGACCCAGAAACGGTCGCTTTCTCTTTGAACATTGTACCTCCGCCCTCGGCCACAAACGCCCAGATCAAAATCGCAATCCATGAGATGGGAACCAGGACTGACTTGACCACAAATAGCCACCGCACTTTGTTTGGGTGGATGCAAAGAAACGGGAGCTGAAATAACCAGAAGATCAAGTACCCAACCATGCCATTTGTAGTAATACCTTGATCCTCGGGGATCTCGTTCTTCACCTTCAAGAAGCTAGGCCAGATGGCTCCGATCATCGCCCGCACGGCATTTCCACCGTTGACATTCTGGATGGCGAACCAGAACAGTGCCAGAATGACTCGAGATATGATAGCAACGTATGACCCCCAGAAACCCCAACTGGCTCGTGCAATCACGGGGAAAGGAATATGATAGAGCGCGCCCACGGCGCCGTTAGCCGCGATGACGAAAGATATGATGAAGAAAGAAATGGCGACGATGATGAGCGACTCGCGCCAGCTGAGGCCTACAGCCAAGATACTGCTGGCAAACTGCCATGTAGCTGCGTTGAATGCGTCTGAAACCCAGTACGCTGTAGATACGTCAGCACAGGCAAACGAAAACAAGGGAAGGGGGGGGTCGTACAGATGAAGCTAAGCGCCCCCCATTTCCGACGATGGAGAGGAACCGGGTCCAGATCAAGGTTGGTCCAGCGAGAGCTTCCATCGGCGAACGCAGAGCGCGAGTGCGCCACCCGAAGATGAGGCCGTTCGAACTTCATACTTGGTTCTCCACACCCGTCGAGATGCAATGGATGAAGTTGGAGGGTCAAGAACCATCCGATGCAAAACTGCGGGTAAAGAAGAAAAAGCAAATATGGCCGATCGAAAGCAAGGAATACGGTCGCACAAGCTGTGCTGGCCCATGTGCTACAATTAAGAAAGCTGCAGACTTGCAATCATGACCTACAGCCCATCTTTTCCAGTCAGATAAGCATGATAAGCACCCCAACGGGCGATAGCTACCGCGCTACCATTGGATGCCAGGGCGAACAGACTCCTTGACCCTCGATAAGACGATCGGAGAGCGGAGCGATCCAGACGAGCTGGGCTTCCTTTATGTGATAAGCGATCAGCATATCTCGTATTTTGCATCGAATCATCCAACTTGTTGGGCTTGACGTCAGGTACTGGCTCGATCCGCAGAGCTTTCAGCCGATCCATGGTTCCCTGCGTTTATCGAGCGTCAGCATTAAGCTTACCCCAGTGGAATGGAAATTGAAGTACGGAACCCCTATCCATGGCCTGGGAAATTTCTTCCAAGTTCACCTCTCCTTCTAGCGTGCTTTTCTGTCTTTGACCTTGGTTCTTGGTGATGTGCTGCAACCCAAGATTCCCACCCGTCAGAAAGAGGGTAGCATTGATGAGGATAGCGATTATCGAGGCTTCGTAGCTCTGGTGAACTTAATTAAAGCTAATATTGCCCAGCTAGCAATCGTGGCGAGTCTGAAGGTGCGATCTAGCTACTAGATAACATAGTAGTAAGATAGGTGGATGAGGAGGGGAGAGTGGAGATGGCAGCTTAGTCTTACCCCTCCTGGCGGCCTTGCCCCCTCAGGCTGCTCCCCGCCAACACCAAAAAAAATCCACGTTGGACTCTCCCATTCAACACATACTACTCAACATGGTTTTCGGCATTACGCAGGCTCGTTCTCGCTTCCCCGCCTTGAATCAGGAACAAGTTTTCCTGGACAATGCAGGTGGGTATTGGCACCGCTTTAGGCCGATTTAACTAAACCGAACGCAGGAGGCAGCCAGGTGCTGGACTCGGTGATTGAATCGTACGTCCTCCAAGGCTTAGAGCGTATGTGAAGTTTGCTAATAATGTGCAGCGTCACCTCTTACCTCTCAAAGACCAACGTTCAACTGGGCGCAACCTACAATATCTCCAAGGTGTCAACTGCATCATATGGTCATGGCTACGAAGCAGCAGCAAAGTTCATCAATGCAAAGCCGGAGGAGGTATGTCGATCATGCACTTTAGAGTACAATTCTAACCCATATAGATCAGCCTAGGGGTCTCCACGACCCAGCTGCTGCACAACCTCTCCACTGCACTAGACTTTCAGCCAGGGGACGAGCTTATCGTGTCAAAGTTGAACCATGAGGCCAACTCAGCCCCCTGGGACAGGATCGCGCGCCGTTTGGGCCTGACCGTCAAGTGGTGGGGAGCTGCAGACCCCCGCAATCCGGTTTGCGATCCCAATGATCTGAAGCAGCTAATGTCGGAGAAGACGAGGCTCGTCGCGTGTCCCCATGCTTCGAATATCACTGGAACCATCACAAACGTCAAAGAGATTGCAAAGATTGTGCATCAGGCCCCCAGGGTATGACACTCTTTCACTATAGACAGGTATCATCTAACATGCAGTAGGCTTTGCTTTGCGTTGACGGGGTTGCTCTTGCTCCACACCGCCAGGTCGATGTTAAGGATCTTGATGTTGATTTCTACGTGAGTAGCAGCCAGCTCGAAGATTCACAGGGGCTGATCATGATAGGCATTCTCGTGGTACAAAGTTTATGGGCCTCATATAGCCCAGCTGTACGCTGCATCACGTATCCATGATCAGATCAACCCTCTTTGTCACTACTTTAAAAGCACAGAGACCCTCGATCTGAAGCTGAACCTAGCTTCGGCCAATTACGAACTGACGCAAAGTATTCCACGTGTTCTGGATTATTTCGGCCCCGATTTCTCTGCCACATGGGATCAAATGGCCACGTATGAGGAGAAGCTGCAGAAGATCCTTCTTGACTTTCTCAAAAGCAATGACCGCGTGACCATATATGGCGAGCCTTCTGCGAATAAGGAGCTCCGGGTCCCAGTGATCAGCTTCACCGTGAAGGGTATCAAAAGTCAAGCTCTTGTCGAGGAGGTTGAAAAGAGAAGTCCTTTTGGCTTCCGCAGTGGACATATGTACAGCCATCGGTTGATCAAGGACATCATTGGTCTGGGTGATGTTGAAGATGGGGTTGTCCGGATCAGCATGCTGCACTACAATACCGGTTAGTTTCCATCTAAAGTCGAGGATGCAATGCTAATGTAGGCAGAGGGCGAAATTACTTCACTTGTTGAGCTGCTGCGCGAGATCATTGCAACGATTTAGAATCTTCTGAGAGCTACATCGACAATGCATGAAAGGGTCTGGTCCTAAAGGGCCAAACCTGTGGAGATGCATCGTCCTGCGGTCATATCATCCTCCACAACCAGCTTTGATTAAATAGACAACAGGCAGCATCAGGTAGCAGACCAGTTGGACTAAGACACTGCTGCCTTGTTTGATATAGTATCCTAGTCTGAGAGACTTTTGTCAAGTACCAATAGCCAATATCAACGTCATGAGTAGTGCACGGTTACTCCCTAGACGGACCACTAACCATTCATATCAAAGTGGATATTTTGGAGGATTCTTTAGCCCTTATATGTGAATATCGTATAAGACACGATATGTTCTAGCCCCTTGAGTACACCGATATATTGCTGACAGGGCCACTAACTCAATTAGTTGAAGTGATTATAAAAGCAGGTTATGTAACCGGTCAATTGCCCCGCGCTTTGCTTCCACAACACCCCAACAGCTCTCTTTTTTGCCTAACTTGCAGCTTGTTACAATGGCACTCGCTTTTAGCGATGTTCCCTCGGGTGCGAAAATCACTCCAACTCCCTTTCAAGTCCACGTCTCGGACGAACAGATCGAGGAGCTGCAGTTATTAGTGAAGCTATCGAAGGTTGCCCCTCCCACTTACGAAGGCCTGCAGCAGGATCGTAAATATGGCATCACCAATGAATGGCTTGCCACTGCCAAAGAGGCTTGGAAGGATTTCGACTGGTGAGATCCCCCATTGCCAATCAGTGCAGACCAATCTAACCAGTGCAGGCGATCTGCGGAAAACCATATCAACAGTTGGCCTCAATTCACGTATGATATTGAAGGCATAACCATCCACTTCGTGGCTCTCTTTTCCAAGAAGGATGCAATCCCTATTGTTCTCATCCATGGCTGGCCAGGCAAGCATATCTAGCCTACATATACCTGCCGAATAGAATTGACCCAGACAATAGGCAATTTTCTTGAGTTTCTCCCAATGCTGTCGCTCATCCGAGCGAAATATAGCCCTGAAGACTTGCCATACCATTTCGTGATACCCTCGCTTCCAGGGTTCACGTTCTCGTCTGGTCCTCCATTAGACACGGATTTTGCTGGCCATGACACAGCCAGGGTCATCAACCAGGTGATGCTCAACCTTGGGTTCGATGGTGGTTATGTGGCACAAGGCGGTGACATTGGGTCAAAGATCAGTCGCATACTTGCAGTCGATTATGACGCTTGCAAAGCTGTTCATCGTGAGCATGTTGGCCTTAGAGATTCCGTGATGGTCATCTAACTTCCTATTAGTGAATGCCTGCTTGATGGGCAAGCCGCCCAATGTACCGGACACAGCCATCACTGAAGCAGAAACACAAAGGCTAGCTCGCGCACAGTGGTTCGCTACCTATGGCTTAGGATATGCTGTAGAGCAAGGCACTCGACCCAGCACAATTGGCAATGTGTTATCAACAAACCCGGTTGCTCTGCTCTCCTGGTAGGTACTCGCGTACGATATGATATGCCAGCGTCATCTGACCAAATGTTACAGGGTTGGAGAAAAGTTCCTCGACTGGGCTGATGAGCCCATCCCCTTGGAAACTATCATCGAATCGGTGACTCTGTACTGGTTTACCGAGACGCTTCCTCGATCTATCTACCACTACCGGGAGGTACGTCCAGTATTAGTCCCTACCTCTGCGAGACATTGTCGCGACCGTACTCATCTTCATCCTAGAACTTTCCGCCGCCCGAGGTTAGGCATGCCGAAGATCCCCGATGGTACATCCGCAAGCCGTTTGGATTCTCTTATTTCCCGAAGGAGCTTATACCTGCACCACGCGCTTGGATTGAGACAACGGGCGACCTGGTGTTCTGGAGGGCACATGAGAAGGTATGCTTTGTCTTGGGCCTGCTGGAAACATCTGCTGACGCTGCACAGGGAGGACATTTTGCAGCGCTGGAAAGACCGCAGGAGATGCTTGATGATTTGACCGCGTTCTGTGAACAGGTATGGACAGAAGGAAAATAAGCTGGCGCCATCCTTTCCGTGGATTGTCGACAACATACTCCGTAGGGAGCTCCAGTCCAATAGCGGTCATAACAAATCAGACGCTAGGATTCGTCTCGGATGTAGTTATATATCGCTCATAGTAAAGGACATCACTTGAATGGACGCTCACCTAGCACGTAGGAGGCGTGGTTAGCTGAGTTTTCACTGCAACCGGATTGGATCCTTTCCCATGGAGTCATGATGAGACGATCCTCGTGCCTCCGTACTTTCATACAAAGTTTGCACAATCCCGTGATGGGTGGTATATCTCCGACCCTCCTTGCCTTCATCGTGTGACCTCATCCTTCGCTAAAGTCCCCCTGGCCAGCCAACACCGCACATCCAGGAGCTGATACGAAAGCCAGTCATCCATCCATCATCCCGCCCGTGGTACCTCGTCTGAGGGGGGTACTCCTGTCGTCCGCATGAGCCGGCATTAGCCTGCATCCTTCATGCGTGGTTCCCAAAGAGGGGAAGTTAAAGTTCTTTCCATCCTGTTCTAGACGGCGCAAATGTTTGCTGCCTCGCCCGTCGCCTGAGGCAGTTCCCCGGAGGATTTGCTGTCCAGCCGTATTCCGGATACGCCTCTCCGCCATGATTTGCTACTTTGAACGCGTATGGGCGTACAGTGGTACTTTTTGTGACAGGCTTTTGGCTTTGAACTTTTGACTTAGGTTGCATATAGTGTTTCCTCTAGCAGGGTTTTTTCCATGCCGGTGCCTTTATTGCGAGGCTGGCGTTATCCTATGCACTCCGATAATATAGTTCTGACCAGGGCAAGCAACTGCCGGTTGAAGAAAAATATATTTTGTCGCAAAGCCTGAAACATTGCCAAACAGACTTTTGGAGAGCAAAACTCTGGCTCCTGTCCACCGAGTCTAAACTGATGACACGTCTGTCACCGGTTGTAACTTCCCGGACCTTCTCTCCCTTACTCCGATGATCGTGAGGGATCGTCCAACAACCGACTTCAGCTGGAAGATTCTAAAGGCCACCAACTGGCCGAATAGGCATTTCATCAGCGACAAGAATCATTCAGTCAGTCAGTCAGAATCAACCCGACTGCCGGGCTCCCCCGACTGCCGGGCCAACCAGCGGGTTAACCAGCGGGCAGGGGCATCTAATTCACCGGGCAGCCCGGCACGGAACTGATCCCACGTCATTGGGCGGTGTGGCTCCACCCCTCTCGGGTTTGGCTGGCTTTTGCACTTGTCGCTAACCCGAACGGTGTGATGGCCGGAGTATCCCACAGCCACCCACGCCATGACTCAGTGTACGGGGTCTGCGAGTAGGGAAGGTCATGGGATTTGTCACCGACAGCGTCCAGCCAGCCCTTTGATTGATAGTATTAGTTTTATGCAGAGCCAATAGGCATGTACCTATTCTTAGAGGTCCACAGCCTCCCTACCAGCCTACCCTCTCTACAATCAGGTACAACATACCTACCTGGGGTTCTTGGTAACCCGAATCCTTGAATCCTAGATGCAGCATTATTAATTTATTGCATGGAACTATGACTCTTCGCATAGGGGAGTACAGAGTACGTGATTCTCACCTAAGACCCAGACTGGTGGAATGGTGGGAGAGTGGAGGAATCATGTGATGCGGTTATGTACTTGTGTTATGTACTCCTAAGTATGCATGAGCGGGCTTAGTCTTGTCCCTCTCCATCATCGTTCAGAGCTGGATCCTACCTACTCCCAAAGGAAGCTGTACCCCGTAGCATCTGCTTAGTTGCTGCTGTATTACTTCATTTCTGGACATTTGACCCTGGGCCTTGCTGGGTCTTTGAGGTGGATACGGCTTACTTGTTAGTCCATACTGTGATGTGGTTAGTTAGGCCAGGAGTCGGTAGCCTCAGAGCTACCCCGGAAAGGCAAACCGCAGTAGCTTATTCATGATCATACAATCGGCGGCTGGGCCAGAGGATTGGTTGGATATAGCATCGTCTCCGGAGTAAAGACGGAGTCCCATACGGCGCTTGTCGACGCTGGGTGGCTGTCACTGGTCGGTTCCTTTTCATTTCTGCTGCCTAGACTCACCACCCTGGTTACCTAATCTGACTGCGACCGGAGTGGTTCCACAGCCAGTTGTTCTTTTTTGCTCCAGCACGGTACACAATACTAATACAGTGAGTGAGTCTCTGTACGCGGTCTGCATCAGGTCATGTTCCAATGCAGGAAGAGAGGTCGGTGATCATGTCGCATTATTATTAAGATGAGGATCCAGATCCCTCCATGCATAGCCAGCAGGCTGTGTTTGTCCGGGTTTTGTTCGAACAGCCCCATCCATCATCCATCCATCCATCCCCCTTTCCACGTTTAGCTACAACAAGAATAGTAGTGAAGCCCCCGAAATGACGACGCCAGAAATTAAGTAAGGCAGGGAGATCTCCTAGTCCATGTACGTGTCACTGCCTCGCCTGGCAGCAGAGTCTTTCTCACCCCCCATTCTGACGATGGTGGCGTGGCTGGCAAATCCGCCCGCGGTGGTTGGCTGACCAACGGCATTTTCTCTGGGCCATGGACGGAAGCGGCAGGCCTCTCTCCCAATGAGACTGGCAGGCACAGCGAACGAGGATCAATATGCAAGATATACCATGACTTATGTTACACATCGTAAACGAACGGGTGTTACACTCGATCGTTGCTTACCTACACACATACATTCTATCCATGACAGGCCGGTTTCATGCCGTCGTCTATTGGATTATGCTTATTTCCCTAATGATACATAGTACAGACGTCAACCCGCTGGTCGATAGTATTGACTGGCTGTCTGGGTGCGTACAACTCCAGCTGCGTACAGCAGTTGGCCGAGGCGGTTCTGTTGCAACGGGATGTCTATCAGGTATCTCTTCCACGGCTAGGGTTGCCGACAGGGTAGGACAACTGCCACTGTCATAAGCACCTAAATACGGAGTACTGTTTTCAATGATAACAACTGATAGGTAGGAGTATTGTTGGGTCGGTTGGGCGATAAGTTGCGGAATGAAAAGACCACTTATCGGACTATAACATCAATCGTGTTATCATCCCGGTAACGTTGGATTATCTATCTATGGAGATGCTTAGGGAAGGGCTTCGGCAATCGCTATATCTGGAAACGGGAGTGTGCTGAGTCTTAGTCATGCCGATGTGAGAAAAAGCAGAAAAAGTTGCCGGGCTGGAGTAAGAATGCGGAACAAGATTATGAATCCAACATAAAAGTAAGAAGGCAGGGTCAGCGGACTCCGGCTACCATGGACCTGGCCAGCGGAAAGGGATTCATTCGCCTCCTTTAGGACCGGGTGGTGAATAATAATGAATAATGAGCAAATGGAGAGACAGAGAGAGAGGCGAAAAATGGGGGATGTGGAAAGGCACTGGAACCAAGACCAGAACCATGACCAGAACCAGAACCCGAGACCAGAGACCAGAACTAAAACCAAAACCAAAACCAAACCAAACCAAAACCAAAACCCTCCATGCCCAACTCGGGGCCCAGAGTTGTCCAGTAGGGGCCGTCCTATCTCGGATGGGCGTGAAGAGTCATCGTCCCTCCACTCCATCCGCTCCCGTCCTGCTTCCGATCATCGTCTGCCTTCCCCTTCTATTATTTCACTACTTACTCCGGCTTCTCCCTCCCTACCAGCAGGGCTGACTGTTCTTCACTGCCTCTCTCTCTCCTCTTCACCCTTCCCCTCTATACTCCCTCCCTCCCCCTCCCTTCACACTCCCCTGTCATCTCTTTCTTTCTTTCACTAGAAAGGAAGTGTGACTAGATAGTGAGAGTCATCATATAGTGCCTGGTTGATTTGCTTTCCGCGCTGCTGGTTTTGTCCTGTTCTTCCCGTCGCCTCTCCGCTCTCACCCTTTTTCAACCCATTCTGAAGAAAAAGCGTGGTCCCTGCGCCCGCTCACATTCAAGAACAAGTTCCGCCACTCTCGCCACTGGCTCCGGTGAGTAACTATGATTTCCTTTTTTAAGCCCGTTGACTCCTCCGTCGTGCCACTCGCCTCCGGCTAGCATCAGGTTGCCATCTCTGCCTAGATACGCTCTAGTCTGGCCGCCGCCCCCCAGTTAGTCATTCCTCTATCGCTCCGCCCTCCGTATAGTCACCGGACAGTTGGACCCTCTACCAAGTTCCCTGCCAAGTGAGATCCGGAGTAAGAGTCATAGGCGAGCGCTAAAGCGGAGAGATCCTCCATAAGATCATTGCTGACTCGTTCCTTCTTCGCCTTCAGCCTGTTTGAGCCTCGTCTACCTTCGTCTACTCATCTGCTGCCTCCGATACGACTGCTGACTGCCTGGACAAGCGCCACGCCTGCTTGTTGACAGTCTGCACTTTAAACCTCAGCGCCACCGCGTCTCAAAATGTACCCTGTTGTTATCAAGTCTATTGTTCCGATCACCTCTGTTGCAGACTCCTCAGACATTCAAACCTCCGGCAAGACTGCTGCGTTTGTTTAAATAGCTTCAGCTTCTACAATCATAGAGCGTCACGTTGGCATCCCACGTGTTTCTCTGGTTACATTTGGCTTGATCTATTTTGGATTCTACAACTGGTGATCGGAACATTAGACGGTGAATACCCTTCCTATCCCGATTTCCTGACACGTACTACTACTGCTCGCCCTCCTTTTCCTACACCCACAGCTCACGCCCGACTTGCCACCCAACATTCCTCGTGTTGGATGATTCCTCTGTCGCTCTCCTAATCCGACCTACCACACAAACAACTTACTCTTAACAACCTGGCGAACTATCGCTATTAAGGGTCTGCCGTCGCCTGCGATAAAAAAGACGGTTTCTTGTCTTATCGGCTACTCGTTCACGGTTCACGCACAACGGTTTATTGAAAAAAAAATCACGGTTTATAACATCACAGTCCCGCGCCATATCTACTCTTGTGAAGGAAGGTCTAGCACACTGTCGCTAGCCCTTTGGATGACCATTTGAGGTACTTCGAATCTTTCCTATTTGTTGAAGGTATTCAGGTCGCTCGACTGTACAACATCCCGGATATGTCAGGGATTGACATCTTGGGTTTGAAGGATCCAAACCCGAACACCCAACTCAGAACGGCCTATGCGCACCCGTATGCATCGTCGGTCTCTTCCTCCGCCTCCTCCTCGTCCTCTTCGGTCTTCTCGCTGGATGGCGTGTCCACCCAGAGTTCGATCTCTTCAACCTCGACGAACCCGGTTGATGTGATCTGGGAGAATGATGGCGAATACCAGGCTGGAGGAAGAGGGTTTGCCGCGACACACAGTGCGCGTGGTTGTTTTAGGGGGGGTGTCCCCAAAGTCACTGATCCTGCGGTTCCGCCGGAGTTACGTAAGCATCCTCGGCGGACCAACAATTCGATCCAGTCGAACGGCGTGTCTTGCGCGCGGCCTCCGCCCTGTCTCTTGCGACAGTCGGAACGCAAGGTCAACTTTGTCGATAATCTTGTCGGTAAGTCAGGGGAAACCATCCGTTATTCAAATGTTGTGATCGAGGTTCAGAACTAAGTACACCATGAAGACACCGCGTCGCAGATCGTCGAGGTCATCTGGCCCCTGTCGGCTGTCTCCTTGCGGAGTGATTCGGCGACCGGATGCAAAGGCGTCTTGCCTCTGCGGACGTTCATCCAGGAGACCCTCCGTCGCTCGCGCACAAGCTATAGCACACTTCAAGTGGCGCTGTACTACCTGATCAAGATCAAGCCCCACGTGCCGAGTCATGATCTGACGCAGGACCAATCACGAGGCAAGCCAGTTTGCCGGGCCATGCAGTGTGGTCGGCGCATGTTTTTGGCGGCTCTGATCCTCGCATCCAAGTATCTACAAGATCGGAACTATTCCGCTCGTGCCTGGAGTAAAATCTCGGGCTTGAACACGCTCGAGATCAACCAGAACGAGTTGATGTTCCTTGAGGCGGTGAACTGGCGCCTTCATATCCCCGAGGCCCTTTTCCAGCGGTGGACGGATATTGTCTTGAAGTTCACCCCCGGCGCTGGCATGGCTTTTGCCGACGGGCAGTGTTGGCGTACCATTATCCACAGGCTCACCCCCGACTTGAAGGATTTCGATGTCAGCCCTGCAACGCCTTCGAGCATGGAATCGTTTGGGCCCCGCTCGGTGTCCGACTCTCCGTCCCCTCGTAGCACCACGTTCCGCAGGGATCTTCCCGGTCTTGCAACGAACGAACCCCTCAGCTTGCCCTCCATCCAGGAAACAATGTCGACATGTGGTCGTCCTGTGGCGTTGGAATCGATCTCTCGTGGAGAGACGTCGCTTCCTTCCCTTCCGTCATTGCCATCCATGCCGCGACCGGCCATGTTGCCCACACCCCAGATGACCCCACAGTCAAGCATCGCCTCCACTCCTGCAGTGAGTGCTGGTGGTATCCCTGCGCACCGACGGTACTTGCAGACTGCTATGTCTGAGACGCAAAACATGTGCACGGCGCGGTCGATCTACGACCAGCGCCCGTCGCTACCGCTTTGCCCTAAGGCTAGCACGTTCGATGGCTACCCCAACCTGGTGCGTCGGTCATCTTTGGCACGAAGTGCTTCCTCTGCATCTTCCCCCGATTCGATGGTCTCGGATGTGTCGACTTTGTCATCGCGATCCTCGCGGTCGTCATCCATGTCTTCGAATGCATCCGGTCCTACCGGTATGGCTGCTTTGCCTCGCCTGGCTGTCCAGGCTACGCTTCGTTGCACTGGTAATTCTCTGAAGGAGGGCCGCAAGAACCTTGCTATCACATCACCTATCGATGAAGGGGCGCTCGGAGACATCTTCAGCTCCCCTGAGACTTATGGCGGTCCTCTCAGCCAAGTCCCGGATTTGTCGGGTTACTCCTTGGAGCCCCCGGTGGATCTCTCCTCTGCCCACGAAGCGGCGCAGAGCCTTTGTGAGCTGTCCGGTGCTGTCCCACGTCTCCAGCAGACGGCTGAGGAGCGGGGCATTGGCCAGCGCTCGTGCCGCAAGCGTGGTCGCACCGGATCTGAGGATCTCTTGTTGCAGGGCCATGTCCGTCATCTCATCAAGTCCAACACGATTGCTGAGGGTACTGTGTTGCCTGATGGAAACATGGCTAGTCTGTACCTCAAATCTGATCCTCGCCGTTCGCAAACCCTCACGGCTGCTCAGTTGAGTGCTTTGAACTACAACGTGCCGCTCTCGGGCCCAGCTGGCATGAAACGTGCTTGCTGCGGGAGCGAAGCCAGGAAGATTGCACTCAACCCAACCATGCGGGCAGACTACTAGAGCTAGATGGGCTGTCTACTCTCATTGTCTGATCTATATCCATGTGGATGCCATTCATTTTATTTCCTTCACGGAAAAGTTATTCCATTCAACATCCATACCAATAATTCTATTCTGACCAAATCTTTGATCTCGTCGACCGAGTGAGACTGTGGTCTCCTCGCAACACAGCAGCGGAAGAGGCGCAAACTGGTAGGGAAAAGTTTTGTGCGAACTTTATCTCAGGTGATTCACGCGTTTAGGGAAAGCAAAAGTCGTCGTCTTTGTATATACCCTGCAGCTGTTGTTGGACCTGGGGCCAGGAGTCTGCGTGGACTTTGCCTTGTACAGTGGTGCTGCCGCCGGCGGACTGCTGGTGTATGATGTACGTTGGGGTGGTTTCGTTGCTATCTTTTACCATTTCTCTGTCCACATTTGCCATATCTATCGTTATTTATTACTACCTGTCATTGCGGCACCGGAGTGCGGTGGGAACGGTCGGGTCTGCTTTTTTTCACATGTTTTTTGCCGTGCATTATTTGACGTTTGGGATCGCGACGGGCTGATGGAACGCATATTACTATTACCTGCGGAGTTTACTGGCAAAACGATGGATTTCCTGTTCTTCAATCACTGATAGGTAGATACTAGGCGTCAAGATCCTGTGGCTGCTCGAGAGCCACCAATATGAAGATGTTATCTGATGAGGATCTGTGCTGTGCCGCGTGATTGATTGAGATTGCCTGATCGGACCCCACCCTTGGTAACGCAGTCGCAGCCTCGCCCGTGAACGGAGCCTGCGCTTCCGGACGGACGTCTTTCGGGGATCGACTCGCGCCACTGTGACTCACCGCAACTATGATGCTGGGGGTGGTCAGCCGGTCGTCTGGATACGGCCGGGCGTTGTTTGTTCGCGTTGTTTGTTCCCGGTGAGTCACACAGCGCCTCTCCCGGCCTCAGGCAGCCAGGCTAAGTCGGACAGAGCCGGAATCATCGGATGTGCCCGGGAAATCACCTGCCTCTTTGGGGTCTAGCATGACCGGTCAACTCTGGCTTAGCGCCATCTGATAAGATCAGATCGTGACCTGGTCGGGTGGTCTTTCTTCCCCTCATTACTCCTCCTTTTTCCCGCAAGCTCTTCTATGTCTCCCATCCATCAGAGCTGGTCCCCTACCTTCCATCTTCCTGAATCTGACTACAAGCAGAATTACCTCACGATGGCTCGTCCACTCGTCACCCTCTTCTCCGCCCTCATGCTCTTCGGGCATCTCCTCCACGTCGGAGCGAGCCCTCTAGCCGAACAAGCCCCTCTCACCGATACCACCAGCACCGACATCAGCACCGACACCAACACCGACACCATCACCGACACCATCACCGACACCCTCTACCCAGACCTCTCAACCGACACCACCGCCCCCTCCTGGTTCACCTCCACCCTTCTCGCCCGCCGTCTCCTCGCCCTCTCCACCACCGGCATCGCCTCCACCATCTTCCCCTCCCCTCTCCCCTCCACCTCACACGCACCCCCCTCCGTAGCCGGCCACTCCATCTCCCTAACCGAATACCTCGCCGACTGCGACGCCCTCCTCCCCACTCCCCCCGGTGAAGAAGGCAACCCCACCTTCCTCGCCCTCCGCGTCGCCACCACCTTCCGCAACACCGCCGCAGGCTCTAACATCTCCCTCTCGCTGGACTGGTGGTCGCACATCAACGACACCGCCCCGGTCTTCCCGGGTTTTCCTCTCTCCCAGGCTGGACTTCCCCGCGTCACGTTATTCGGGTACATTGAGCCGTTTGAGACCCCTGTGCCAGGGGAGGTAGAAGCAGCGTTGAAGAAATGTTATCTGCAGAAACATCCCGACGCGGAGGTGTGGTTGCCCGGGAAGGAGGGCGCCCCGCATCAGAGCTTCTGGGCGAGGTTGGTCGTGACCCAGGTTTATTGGATTGGGGGGTTTGGGGGGTTGCAGCAGATTGGATGGTTGAATGTGACGGAGTGGAAGGGGGTTAGGGAGAGGGGTAGTGAGAAGGGGATCGGGGATGGGAGTGGGAGGGGGTGGGCGGATGTTAGGTTGCCTGGGGAGAGGGAGTAATTTGGTTTTACATACCTATAGAGGGGAGGGGGTGGTGGTGTGATGACGTGATGATGGTTGTGGTTGCGGGTGTGGATGTGGATGTCAGCATATGGGTTAGTTGAATATGAGATGCCTATGCTATGACTATGGTATCAAAGAGAGACCAGTGCCAGGTCATATTTCATGCTGAGTTCTCGGCTTGAAGGCCATCTAAACTCCCTTTATTTTCCCCTGCACAATTAACAAACACGTGAATCGTTGAGTCCAGGAATTCATATCCGTATCCAGGCTGGCGAGTCCACACGTAGGACCCCATTCTATGCGGAAATATTTGACGATCGAAAGAAAGGAAGGAAGGAAGAAGAGATCGTGTTATACCTGAAGCAGTAGTTGATATTTTGCTAGATACAAGAGAGGAAGAGGAGGAGAGATGGTGTTCCCCGAGGGGCTGGTGGCCTCGTATCTCTAGTAGGCAGGCGCGGCGGGGGTTGCCGCGCATGTACCGCACTGCACAGATGCTTGGGGCAGGCGCGGAGTACGGCGAACACAGCACACCCACGGGCGTCTGGGTTGATTTGTATACATGTCATCGAAGAAATATACGACTGATCCAACCTGATGTTGTTTGAAACTCGGTTGAGTTCCGTCTGGAAGTATGTGCAAGACCAGTATTGAACGCTCATCTTGAGCTTGAACTTTAAACACCAGCTAGCTAACATAGAACATACTTCCTGGCCACTAAAAAGAGCATTTGAAATAGGCTTTAAGGATATGCACAAAGCTCACGCCGCGTGCTCCGGTTCTCAATACCAGCATCAGGAGGTATATTATCAAAACTTGTTCAAAAGAACTGCAGCACCAAACGACGCTGTATCGTTGTGGTCATTGTTCGTTTTGAACCCCTAGAGCAGGTACACTACCATCTCATCAGCAAACCAAAACACCCCAATTCAAGATCACAACAAGCCACTCTGAAAAGATGGATCAAAGCAGCTGATATGTCAAAAGTCAGATTCACTTCCAATATGGCCCGAGTGTATCAATAACACTTATAAACAGCTACTGCAGTGTGTCTTTCCACATCTCCGATGTGTTTTCGAACCTCTAAATATCCTTTTTTCTGGGTAATGTTCTAACCACCGTCTAGTAAATCGCATGGATGAATGCGATGCTGTTAACGATATACCCAAAAGAATTCCACGGATCCAACAACCGCAACACCATACAAAAGTCAAAGATAAGGTAAGAGTTAGCACCCTCGCCCTAAGTAAGTACTGCAGCACCAAGCATCGCAATCGCCCATAAGGCATGTTCGCTGCACTGACATGTCAAGTTGACCCAGACGGACAAATCAGACAGGTATGTCGTGCCTCGAACGTGACGGTATAACTAGGCGAGGAGACAAAAGCCAGCTTGGTAGCAGCCCATTGCAAACTCTTGCCGGTGTTTGATTTGGTGCTAGATTCTATAGCGTTCAATAAACGTCCCTGGCTGTGAGTTGGTTGCGGATTCGTCCTTCTCAAACGCCGAAAGATATGTCCCTATTGCAGACAGCTTGGGCCTTGGAACTGGACCGGAAACTTTTACTGCTGCAGCATAGACGTAGCTCTTGCCGTAGGACGTGGCCTGACCCGCGGTCTTCTTGGCCTTGGCAGGAGGGAAAACGTATGGGATGATACCGTCATCCGCCCTGAGGAAAACGGACTCTACGCCCTGCCAGGCGAATGTCATCTTCACGTCGAAGTACCGGCGGGGGATCTTGTTACGGAGGTTATTGCGCGTGAAGTCGCTAGTATTGTCCGACACCGGAGCGAAGGCCACGTGAAGGCTATGGGCAGTGTCAGTGTCCCACTCCACCCTCTCGTTAGGGACAGCTACAACAGGCTCCTCAGATGATATTTTGCAGGGGTTACCGGTGTCTCTTTCTAATAGGTCCCAGGAGTAACCGCGGAGTGTTGCAGGTCATGTTTTGAAACACGTGTATGCTATTGTATAACCTAACCGGAGAACGTCCACTCAGGGTAGTTTATACAGTACTGGTATGTATTACTGGTAAAGACGGAGTCAGTGTTGCCTAATCCAAGGTACCTACCAGCATTGTGGGCTTTATCCTTACCCATATTGCTCCTCACAGCCTTGATAGCATCGGTGGTAGCGCTGCCCTTGGCTTTCTTGTACTTAATGCTAGCCATCAGCTGCTCAGCGAAGGATGAGCTCTCAGCATCCTCTCTCTCCGTAGACATATACTCAGCTATTATAGTAAAGGCACTAGCCTCGACATCGGAGAGCTTTAGAGAAGTGCTAACCAGTGCAGCCGCTATACTAGCCGCTGGAGTCTTAGACTGCGACGCCAGGCGTTGTGCCCGAAGAGACCCGGCTTTCACGGGTGTAGGTGTTGCCGGAGCAGGCATCTCAGATGTAGCAGCTGCGCCCGTAGGCTTAAGCGGAGGGGTCTCTGGAGGTGCCGGTGTCTTAGCCCTCTGCCTTGTCCGCCGTATCTCTGCCGGGCTCATAGCCTTAAACGCATCAGTAACAGTAGACGGTGCTCTAGACTGCGAGGATACGCTCTTCGTCTCTCCAGGGGTAACGCGGGAGTATGTAGCCGGGTCCTTGGTTTCTGAGGCATAGCTATCAGAATCACCACCCACAGTACCAGATGCAAAGTGTATAAACGTAGACACATTATGTGTAGCCTTGCATATAGATATAATAGAATCAGACAGCGTAGTAAGCATCTGAAGAGCTATCTGCTTAGGTATCACATTGCTTTTAGCATTGCTTTCAAGCATAGCCACAAACTCTGAGTAGCTGCTAGCCACCTTACGCCCATGCACATCAATGCTAGTAAGATCCTTCACCAAATTATCCCTCTCCTTCTCCCTGGCAGCATCCTGTGCCTTGCGGCTGGCCATGATTATAGTATAAAGTCCACGACAGAAGGATGTCCTACCGAGTGTACACTCGGGCGACCGCATGTGCACGTAAATGAGTTGCTTTCGGTGTTATGGTGACGTGGTCTATACCAAGTTTGGGTTCTGACTCGGGATTGGTTCCCGGTTCAATAGTTGCTCGTTCTGGTATGCAGCGAATTCCTCTATCGGATGTCTTTGGAGTAGGATGTTTCGTGTGTAATACATCAGCGAGTGATTGGTCCTTAATGATATTCCTTTGGATTCGTAGGGAAATAGGCCATCCTTGGCTGCAGAAGCAGGCACATAAAAGTTTATATCCTGAGCAGCGCAGCGCATTCGTTAAGTTGAGCACAGGTGGTCCGGTCATCTGCTCGAGTATCTCAACATAGGCGACCAGGTCTTTGGGTCATTGGATACGACATCGGCCGACATGGGCCATACACGTGGAGATTGAGATTTTCAGAGTCACAGGAGTATTTTCAAATCGCTCGAACGTCCTGGTGTCGCTCATTCTGACCCTTTCGGTGTCTCCAGATTCGAGCAGACAAGCATCACTCTGTTTTCGTTACGTAGCCAGAATGTTTTGACTCTCTGGTTAGCAATTGGTCAAAATCACACCATGTGACCGACATGAGTGATATCAGAATGACCCAGTGGTCTTGATTCGGAACATCTTCTACCATGTCTCTCTGTCGTAGACAGAACTGGCTTGCTATGCAAATCAAAGCGCACGAGATGAAAATTGAGCCACGCAAAATCACATATTTCTGCCTGCCTCTGGTATCTTGATCCTTAATGTTGAGATAAGGAAGTACTGTCTTCGACCAGTCAAGATCGACTTCGAGCCTGAACGATTTATTCAGGTGGAAATCGTCGATACCAAATAAATTGCCCTTGTAATTCACAAAGCGAGAATAGGTCATCTCATCAGGTTAGATGGATACCGGCTCCCACCCCATATTGTACTTTATATAATCCTTCGTGCGTATAACCCCATATTTGAAAGCGCCGACAAAGGACAACTTCCAGATTCGGTTCTTCTATCGCAGGATGCGATCCCAAAAGGTCACGTCACACCAGGCTAGCATCGACCTGTCTATTTAATAGAGCAGGAGACAGTCCGGCAAACGAACAGACGCCTATGATTGGCTTGTTTTTTAGCTATCTCCTGGTCAGGCTTGCTGCTGTCACTTGCGCCAGAGGCACTTTAGTTGTTATCATTGCGATTTCTGACAATCCCATGACCATGCCTTTTTGATGGGATATGTCAGGGATGTGTGCCTAAAACAGTGTTAGGGAAGTGCTTCAGGATATTGTAGCCTCCAGTAAAATTCTCCGCTTTGGATTTTGGCGAAAGGCCAAGATTTAGATTGCTGATGACTGTGTCTGTTCGTCCAAAAATGATTTGATTTTAGAAATCTGCTCGCCTTAGGTTGCCGCTAAAAATGCACCGGCTCTTAAATGGGTTGGGGTATTGGGGCCAATGTCAACAGTATATTGGTTGACGGACAGTTGCAAGCACACGCTCATGTGCAAGGATGTATAGGTTCCATCTGACTGATCGTGTCGACGCTAAGATAAGGAACTATATTGCATGTTGGCTCAGGTTCTGCGAATGATTCCCTTCCATCATCAACATATAGTAGACAATGTCTCAAATTGGTCATCGCAACTCCTTGCTCAGGAACCATGTATGCCATGGTCACATTCTGTAACCCGGCATTTGTCGGGTCCAAGGTGGAATCCCATGTTTGTTCGAATGTTGTGATCACACCATGAGGTTGTAGCAATCGACTTCGCCTGGAGCTCGTACATCCATACCTGCAGGGTCGATCCGTGGACATGTTGAGGGATCGATAGTCTATGAGTCGATAGGTTCTCATGCTCCGGGAATCCCGACAGGAAGATCAGGGCACAGCGACAGGAATGGACCGGCTGGCGAGCCCGAATCTCACTCACGGGTAGTTTTGGACTTACCGCGGAGGCGAGGTCGAGAGAGGGCCAGGCAGGAGACAAAGCCGTGATGCAGCTCGCGAGAGGACACTGTACACCCACCCGCAGGAGGACAACTCACTCTTTGTTTTCGCGGCGACAGACGCAAATTCGCTAGCACCAATGTATATCAGATGGCTCATGTTTGCTGCGCGAGCTATCAAAGTATCTGGCGGTTGCTTCTTTCTGAGGCAGAGCGGCTAAGGGCGAGGCATGTTAATAGTTCTTGTAGTTGCTGGATCCAATCCCAATTTATGAAGAATATATCCAAAAAGTGTAAGAGATCCTGACCAGAACACCACCAATGTTATTTCTCCAAACTTGGTATCCCATACCTAACATCCCACTGTCTCGGTTTGCCCGATAAATCTTTGCAGACATGATTGATGCTGAGTGCGACAACAACCCGTAGACACGACGCAGTCCTGATTCCTCGCGGGTCCACGCAACAAAGCCGTCCTTTTCCAAAGTATGTAGATCCCTTGGGGGAATTGGTCCGTTGGAAAGGATTTGATATTCGAAAGGTTGGTCTTTTCACGGATTTAGGACGCTGGTTTGAATCCTATAATCGTGGATCTTTCTGGCAGCATCCTGCCTATGGAAATTGTCGTTGGGAGCAAGGAGACCAGGTCCAGGATTCTCTATAACCGGATTGAGGCAGCAGAGAATATAACACCCTGACAGAGGGCAGGATATGTCATCCGAAGCATTGATAGGACGGTGTATGGACTCGTATATAATGGTGGGTTGGCCGGTTCAGGAGGAATGCTATGTGGCATCCTTCTCCTGAGATCCTGGTGCAGTGGCATAGCCGCTGACATTTGGAGAAGACGGATGGGAGGGGAGCAAAGCTCTTTTTATAGCTGCCTAGGCGGGATGTTGTGAAGCATACCGGGTGAATCCTTTCTGCTATCTCCTGGGATTTATTATCCAGGTGAATCCCGAAGCCACTTCATCGGCTGGCGCAGTGCCGCCTTGGATGGATTACCACCACTATTCACAGCATCGAAGTATAGCAATCAATCGACATCCCTTGAATGGCCAGAGTATACCAATTCAACATCATACAGTAAATCTACCCACAATTAAACGTATACATTCAACATACACAAAGAAGGTAACTGCCGACCCCCTACATCAAACACAACCGGGTATATCCATCATCCATCATCCATTCAACAAACGGAAAAACCCACCCCCATTCCCATCCAGGATATCGAGGGCATTCATCGCCCCCTCCCTCCACCACCACCACTTCCCCCCACCCCATGCGCCGCATCATGCACCACACAAAGCAAATACTTCCGATCCGGTACCACCACAATTTCATGTCTCTTCGTTCTTAACCTCAGCAGCTTGACTTCATCATCTCCCTCATCCCTATCTGACACTCCGTCCGCCTCTCCTGTAATCCCATCCTGTCTCGGCGCTTCCCCGTCCTCCGCGCTCGCCAGCGACAAACTCAGCTCCGACGCGCTAGACACGAACGCAAAGATACGTGCGGCAAGGGCTTCCGCTTGCGACGGGTGATACGGTTCGTTTTGTTTCTTGGGGGGTTCGGGGGAGGAGGGGGGTTCGACGGAGTTGTCGTCCGCGGAGGCGGTGGGTTGGGGGCTGGCACGGGGCGGTTTGGAGGCGTAGAGACCGGTGCTTTGGATGATGGAGCCGTCTTTGCGGGAGAGAATGAAAGTGGATTGGACGCCGGGGCGGGAGGTGAGGTGCGAGAGGAGAGAGGTTACATGTTGGGGGATCTGGGTTGTCTGGAGGGTGGACGACTGTTAGATTATTCGTGAGAGGGGATGGGAGGAGCGTACTGTTGTTGGGTGCGCCATGGTTGTGTTGCGGAGGTTAAGCCGTCGGAGAGCGTGGAGGTTGTGAGTTTCGGGTTGCTGAAGAATCCTGTTATGGCATTTCTGGTCTGGGTTTTGATATGGTGGTTGTTTTGGGCAGCAATTTCGTGGAGGGTGTTGGTGGTGGTGGTGGTGTTGATCAACAATTCTCCGGAGCAGTGCTGGTCAGGCCGCCGCTGCGTGTGGCCTGCGGCTCTCTCCCGCGGCTGGCTGGCTTGCCTTGGATCTACGCACGCAGCCAATTACACTACATTTGTCTCTAGCTAGTATAGACTCCTATTCTAGAATATTCATTCGCCCTTGATTATATCCTGATAAAATATTGATGATCGTTCGTGTTATGTAATGAATTCATAATTCTCTTTATTGCCATATCATCTTTTTCCATGATCACATGGACGCGAAATCGAACAGGAAAAAATAGAATGAAATCAGTAAGAGAGGCAACGACTATGCGATGTTCTCTCTTCCCAGATCCATCTTGCCTGTGGTTAGAAGCTTCATGAAACTTTCCCATAAGCCTCAACTAACCTATGAGTCCAGCTGATCGATGCGCTTCAGCCAAACAAATTCGTACGCTTTAATTCATTCGAAAAGAGCCCTCCCTCCCTCGAATATCTGCTGTTTTGCATGTAGCTCCGAATCCTTGATTCCGGTTTCGCTTCCATGCGTCAGGGAGTAGAGAACGATGCTTCCAACATTGACTTCCTGCACGCGCCCCAAAAACTGGAATAAACAATCCTTCAGGCACTAATATATCTCGTATCATCGCTGTGTCGTCCCTCTCCAGATATCTTGTACCGAGCATACTTTAACGTATGAACCACTCCATTTCGCTCAGTTCGCATTAAGTCCTCCCCTGCATGACTTCAACGTGCGATATTCTGCGAGTTTCTCTTATTCAACAACATCATATCTCCAGTCATAGAGCCCTATGTTGTCTTCATATGCCAGGTAACAATGCTGGTATCAGCAAAGATGTGCATGGCCAGGTCAGTAAGTAGATTCGAAAATACTTATACAGCTAACCAACACTATATCTCTGGCAAATGACTTTCTCTTACGTTCAGGTAGTCAGTTAAAAGATGTACTTAGTGCTGCCTGCAGCTTTCCCTCATTAGGACGCCTCTGGTTTTCCTTCTCTTCTTGACCGTGAGCAGACTTGGCCAGGTTTCTTCTGACTCAATGTCTGCTGATAACATGGAGACTTTGTGTAATGCAATCTTCCAGAGGAAAAAGTCAAGACAAGACCATAAGGCCATCATTACCCGCAGATACTTCTGCGGACCCCTAGAATCCCCTATACTCAGGTACACCCTGGGAGGAGGTGGGCAACGACCCTTGTAAGGACTCACTTCCTTACACTTTGCCCCTCTGTCAGAGGAATATGTGCCATATTATTACCCCTAGATCGCGCCATCGATCAGTTGATATACCTCCACGTCAGCCATCCCAACGAATATCGTGACGAGCATTCCGTTCCACGGATCGTTGATAAATCGAGTATAAATTAATCGCATCCTTCCCAGCTCAATGGTTTTGAATGATGAAGAAGACGTAATGATGGTCAGCAGATCGTCGTAAGGATTATTCTTTGGATTGTTTTGGATATGTATATGACTAAAAGTGATATATCTGAGAATAGTTGGATGAATCCATCTCCTCTATCCCATTGCTAGTTGACGAATCCAGCTCAAGGGAACGGTATGAGCTAACCTGAGACCGGTCGTTAAGGCTAGAGTAGATACTGAGCTTGCACAGAGAGTTTTGGCAGGTTGTATTGTAAGTTAGAAAGCTGAATGGCATTGATGGAGTGTGTGATCCTTTAGTGTGACAGAGAAGGTAGAAGACGAGCTTGAGAGGAACGGATATGTAAATTTAACAGTTCAGATTCAAGTTCGTTTTGAGGTATGACTGCATTGGGGTTGATGGAGGGAGGTTACTTTTGTAATTGGAGTTGAGGGTTGGGTTTAAATTATATATATATATATATAGGGATAGTAGTGGTGAAGCTGAGCTCATAAATTGGACTTGGTGAAGTTCGGTATTGATCTCCCTTCCAGAGGGAGTGGCCGGTCGTTATACTAGGGCTCCTGGTAATGTACTAGGGCTCCTGGTAATGAGATTGGTGAAGATGCTACAATTAGCGGTATCTTTCCTGATAGGTTAGTATTAACATATTAATGATTATCATATCCTACCGTGTCTTAAAATTCTTCACAACTGCCAATTAGTTCGTATTTGAATGTTACAGGGGTCTACTCTACTCAACCGTAGGCTGACAGGCAAGAGGGTTATTATGTATGTTATGTTCTACTTTGGCAGATTGCAGTTATGCAGAAAATATATTCACTCCCATTACAGTCAAAGGTCAAACAGCAAAGTGGTATCGTCGCAACAATCAGACAACAAAAGAGACTTTGGGAAACAGAGAATGACATCAGAAGCGAAAGTCTGCATCCACCGGGGATGCACGTAATGGATCATCAGCTTATGATCGGGCATTATAACGAGCGTAATAGAAAGCATTAACAATGGTCAAGAGGAATCAGGGAGCGCCTAGGATCTCGCCGCGTCCGACTTGTCGGACATCCAATCAAAATCCATATCCTCAATCATATCCTCCAACTCCCTCACATTGTCACTGTCATCGGTGTCGTAGCTGCCCCGTCGGCTAGATTCCGGGCTAGCAATCCAGCTGGTTGGCCGATAAGGAGGCTGTTTTCTGCGGGTGTGTCTGCGGTCTTCAGCCATAGACTCATCCAAGCTGGAGCTGTGCGTCGTAGATGAAAAGGAGCTTCCCGTAGCTGGTGTCGTCGCTGAAGTAGACAGGGAGGTGGCCGATCCCCCAAGCACGCTTTCCAGATTGTCCTTGACGCCCACATCCAAAGCTGCAAGCAGCGCGGCCTGGAGGACTTTGTTCTGTCGCTCAAGATGCGCGATGCGCTCCTCAAGAGACCTGATCACATGCGAGGATTGGCGGTGGGAACTTCGAGAATCCTGAGAATGATAAGTGCTGTGGGACAGATGCGATCGGGGCGAAGACCGTTCTGAAAGACGAGTTCTGTAGCCTCTCGGTGTGAAGGGATACCCATGGTCGGAAGAAGAATTTTTCGTAGCGCGCACCTTGTGTGACGCAGGTTCAGTCAATGTGAGAGGGGCGGGTCGCATCCGTCGGCGTTTGCCAGAGGGTGGACGTGCTCGATCCTGGTGCACGCTTGCGCTAGTGCACTCGTCATCGGAAGATGGGATAGGCATATCTGGGTAGCTCACAGAGCTCTGCTCTTTAGTCCCTCTCCCCTGTGAGGACGCGACGCTTCGAGTGCTGCCACTCCGACGTATAGGAGCGCCTGTGTTGGAAACAGGCACCAGCGGTGGCCCAGTCTCTCGCGCGGATGCTGCACCACAGTTAATAGGTGTGGTGCAGTATCGCCTGCCAATAGACTGGCTGATGAGGTGCCTCGACGGATTTGACGGTGGAGGAGAGACAGGAGGCGGGGATGGGGGATCCGCAGAAACTTTCCTCTGATATCGCTTGTTGCGACCAGTCGGCTTTTCTGTCTCAGGCCTGGGAGGTGGTGCCTCCCCGCGCTCCTGGGACATTGCCTCCTGTGGACTCTTTGCAGATTTCGAAGGCTGATCTTCTTCCGCCTCCTGGGGCGTCTCTGAATCTCTCAGGTAGAGGCGGCTCGCCGACATGTCTCTCATTTTCAAGGCATGAACTCTCTCCACCCGACTCTGCCCTATTCTCACGGGTGGAGCAGAGTTGGACATGGCCGATTTGCCCAACTTAGCCGATTCATCCTGGGTGCTGGCTGCCGAACTTTTACCATCCAAAACCAGTCTTGGTAAAGGCGTAGACTTGCCAGAGGAGTTGCGGTCATTGATATCAACCGCTGAAGTTGACTCTGGTAGTGAGGGTAGAGGCCTCATCGGTGCTGGGAGGGGGAACGCATCGATTGTACACATGGGCAGGGATGAAGGCCGGCGACAACCTTTCTTCTGCGGGAATTTCTCGCCCACGGGGCTTGCCATAGGCTCTTTGCCTGATTTTCCAGCATCAAAAGAAGCAGACCGTATGGTGTCCGACACCTTCTGAGTAACACGATCCTCCTGCAGAGACACACTATCGGCGGGTTGGGAGTATTCGGTGTTCAAATCGGTGCTAGGAGCAGCAGGGAGAGGTCTGTTGAGAGCTAACGGACGGGCATTGGAGATGCGCCAAGCTCCTCGACTCGGATTGCGGGGGGGAATAGGGTTGGGAAAAAGCTTCAGAGACAAGGTGGTTTGACTTGTGGGGGTTGACAAGCTTCCGGACGAGCTAGAGGATGGGGGTTTATTAGCTGCTTCTGAGTCGAGCCTGAGACCTGTCCGCTTCGCATCTGCATCTGACACGAGACCAGCCTGCGTCGTGTTAGTCTTGCAGATTTACTGAATCGCGGGGATCCACCCACCTGGTCTTTGTGTATAGAATCCAGAGGCATTACATCTGATTCTTGCTCTCCACAGTGTTCAACCTGAACTCGCATATTGGTGTCTGCCAAATTCTTCGGTTGAGACGACTGTTGATTCTCGGATTCAGGTGTATTGTTTGCGGCATCAGCCGCCGTAGTTGGATTTCGGTTCACTCCCTGCATGTCAACTTTGACATCCTTCGCGGGCGTTGGTGGCTGATAAGGAGGGGGGTTCGCGTCGTCGAATCGTGGAGGGAGAGATACCGCAGCCTCCACCAAGGAGGTCAACTCCCGTAGATTCAGTGCTGAGAGATGGTTTGCTCTGATCTCTTGCCTCTCCTTCTCAAGTGGGTCCGTCAACCAGGGCTGTCCAATGCTTTCTACGTCTCTTCGGGAATTTGATTTGAAGCTGAGATTGGAAATAGACCGGGAAGAAGATCTGCTGGAGTCGAGGCTCTTTTTGTGGCCTGATCTCTTAGGTGCGCTGGGAGGAACGGGTACAACAGACGGTAGGAACCCTCCTTCCTGGAGTGCAAGCAACTGTCGTGCCGACTCCTCCGCCTTGGTCTTGGGGTCTGTGTTCTTCCTCTGGCGTTGAGCGAGTTGTCGAAGACGTCTCTGGCCTGCTTTTAGCATCTCACGAGCTCCAGTGGATCCAGTTATTGGGCTCTGCGCTTCGATAAACTTTGCGAAGTCGGTGGCGTTATCATTTTTCATGTCGGTAGCTTCTGAGGACGGTACGTTGTCCCGAGATTGCCATTGTTCGGATGTCAGAGCAGACATGGCGGTGTATCCACTCTTGGGGGTATGGGAACTGGGCCGACCAGTTGGGACGATGGGACTTGGTGCGACTAAGCCTTCATGGAAGTCGTCCTCCTGCTGCATGGGACTCGCAGCTGCACGTCAGCTGCTCGCTATACTGAAAATCTCCCGAAAATGGTATGGAAGTTTGATGGCAACGGCGAGTGGCAATTGACGTTCGCCGGGCGAATGAAAGGATGGTCTCGTAGTTTCTCAGCCGCTGCAAGGACGGCAATAGGGTGTATCAAACGGGCAATGAGGGCATCAGGGTAATGGGACGAGTCCAATGGGTCCAAAGGAGGGTCCTAGAAGATGAAAAAGCAAAGCGGAACAATAGCATGCAATTGACGAGGCATGCATGTATGTACAGAAGATAAAGGATTGGAGTTGCCGGTGCCCGAGGGAGACGCAATCTATCCCAACAAAGAAGAAACAGAAGACCCAGGTGAGGAACGGTGGAGTTTATGAAGGGCCCTGAAGGAATCTCGAGGAGCTGTCAGGCCCTTGCTGTGCGCCGGGGTGACCCTAGCAGGGTCTGACGGCCTAACGATGTCGCCTCCGTATGCGGAGTCGGTGCATCATCGAATGACAAGCCTACCTCTTTCTCGATAGCCTGGATGATAGAGTTGGATCTAGATAGAGCGTTACTCGACCAAGGGCCGAGTGGCAGGCACCAAGGGCCCTACGCAAAGGAGGAAGAAGGGGGGGCAAGCAAGGCTAGTGGAGTCATTATTGGTTGAAACACCAAGGGAGGGGGACACGGCGAGCGAGGAAGATCACGAGAAGAGAAAATAAAAAATAAAATAAAAATAAAAAATAAAAATAAAAAAGAGCCGGCGAAGACGAGGGATGGGAGGGAAAACGCAAAAACAGGAAAAAGAAGAAACGTCGAGCAGCGATCGAGTCCGTGCCAGCCGCTCGATCGGGGGAGTTTGACAAGAGGAAGCCAGACTATTTGCTCGGCTGGCCGGTCCTGTCATAGTCCGCAGCGCATCGCGGATTTTCGTCATCCATGTTCCTGGGATCGTCCGGCGGTCCTGGGGCCAGACTAGGTCGCTAGCTCATAGTTAGCCAGCTGCGTACCTAGTGCCAGTGGCTGCTCTGGCTGCTCCCAGTCAGTCAGTAGTTGGATCAGACCCCTGTCAGACGCGTCCGACCAACAGGAACCAACCAAAGCCATTGGTCTATCGAGTAGATACCGAGTATCCAACTAACCGTCTGGGCGGGAAGGGACACCAACTCCTGCTGGTGCCTGATCGGCAGCAGCTTCCAGTCTCGTGTGACGTTGAAACTTGTCGCAGACTGCTCCTCTTCAGAGGCTGCCAGCGTGTGTCCTGCGAACCGTTACAAGCAAGGGATACCCGACGGGATGGAGGGGAACGAAGGTCTTAGCTCTCCTCCGCCTCCTTGGGAGGGGATCGAGGGGATTCAACGGCTGGCAAGAAACGAAACGACCAAGCGAGAGGAGGGGGGATATGTGAGGTATCAGCTGTGGATCATCCTCGCCGTAAGGCATGGTGGTTAGACTGGCCAAAATTAGGGGGGGGGGAATCAAAGGAAAGGGAAGGGAGGGAGTGAGTGAGTGGAGTGGAGTGGAGAGAAGAGAAGGGAATGTGACAGATGCACAGACACAGACCCGATGGTGGTGGAGCCCGATGGAGCTGCCGAACCACTCGCCAGTCGCCAGTCGCCAGTCGGGGCCTCGGGTTGGCTTTGGAACACATCACATCCGGAGCATGGCCGGCCTTTCTCGACCGCGATCGGTCATCTTTCTTCTCTCTTCTTTTCATGGAATGAGAATCCTTCTGGCTAGTCTCCTTTCCCTCCGTTCACTTGTCAAGTCATACAGAGCTGACGCCCTTGCCGGTCCATCCCAGCAATTCGGGTCGATCATTACGATGGAAGCCGGAGATTCTACAATCTGAAGGCGCCTCAGATCAATAATAATAGATCCCAAGACGGTAGAAATAAGGACAGTGCCCCCCCAGCCCAATCCATGGCTGTGTCGAAGATCAATGTCGACTGGGCAAATAACGGATTTGGTGGTGTATATTATTATTAGTAGCCAGCCTACCTCCGAGAGCTGACTATCGAACGATGGAGGGAAAAGCCAAACAAAGAATGAGCCGCGGAATAAGCACCAGTCCTATCTAGCTGTTGTCCTCGCTTCCTTGGACCTTCCGAAGATCATCAATCAGCCTGCCCCTGATTCTTCATCCAAGAATGGGCCACAGTGCTGTCTGGGACTGGCGACATGTTTGCTTCTCCGGCCCGACTGGCAGGCGAGCATGAGCAGAGGGGGCAAAACATGATAGATAGACCGGCAGATGGTCAAACCGACCAGCAGCAGCCGACGACGGGGGACTGCATCACGACCGAAGAGGAAAAGGACTGGAGAGAAGGTCCAACTAGCGGCCCTCCCTTGCAGCAGATAGTTCATGCAACGTCCGTCCTCAGGAACCAGTCTTCCTTCATTCGCAGCCTTCACGATGACCGGCTGAACGACAACCGTCCGTGTGTCCGAATAATTCTCCGATCGCACTGCGGCAAGGTGGGCACCTGCGTAGTGCTGCTCCATCATCCAACTGCCTCCTCGGCGGTGCGCCGCAGTGCTATGGCAGTACTAGGTAGATGCTACGGACTACATAGATAGAAGCCGAGCCTCTGTTCATCCGTCAGAACTCAGAAGAACCGATCTTTGTGGCCCACCTAGGAGACTACTCACATGCCCCGTCGGCCCTTCGGTTCCGTCCGATCGCGGCCAGAAGACAGGTGGATGGATGAATCGATCTACGGACAGACGGATGGACTTGCGACAGGTCCCAGCACCCAGTCGGCGTCTATTCCTTCCACCCATCGCGGATGTCTACGGGTCAAATCAATCGCAATCGCAACTGCAGGCTCGATCTATCCAGTCGGCTTTTACGTAGCTTGTCGTCATTGCCCAGGAATATGTACTACCAGTGGCGACAGCAGAGCCCCTGAAGCCAGGACACTGGGCTGAATGTCAATCCATACCTCCAAGATGCCCACATGCGAGATGGCATCACCCAGGGAGGTGACAGGAGGAAGACAGAATAATGATGATCATTATTCTCCGACCAACCTGGTCCCCGTCCAGCGCACCTGCAGTTGACAGTTAGCTCACAGTGATACGTGCTGCTACCATGAACAAGCAAATAGTCCATGCCTATCACAGCGGATAGGTCTCTCGTCTGCCTAAGGCGATCTCAAACAAGGGCCTCGGCTATCCTGAAAGGGGCAAAGGATAAGAGGCAAAAGCCAAAGCCTGGGGGGTATTCAGGTCTAAGGATGTTGCGGACACGCGGGCTCTTCCACCCTTTCCACCACCACACGTCTTCTGCATATCATGTAAAAGAACAAAACAACCCCCAACTAACAAAAACACCATGGAATGCTGGCTTTCCTTGAGATCTTCCAGAATGCCATATGCTCGCGAGCCTTGGAATCGTAACCCTAAAGAGAGAAAGTGTACATGGTGGAAGTGCTACATCCAAGCAAAACGTCCCGAATGCAGATACAAAATGGAATAGAAGGAGAAACGGCGCTGAAGGTCCTTCTATGCTCGCTCATATGCATGCAAGTGAAGGATCAACATGTCATGCTGTGGGTCATTGGACCCATGCAGTGTATGATAAGTCTCCCAGAAAACAGCGAAGTCGCAAGATGTGCCCAACGGCCATGAGGCATCGCACTATCTATCTCCGCTTTGGCCTAATGAATGGATCGGCTTCTTTTTTCTTTCGCATCGGGGGAGGTCGAGCGCCATTCCCGGGTCTTGGTGGTCCAGAACGTGGGTGCGGCTACACGCGAAAATAAGTCAGTAAGTAGTGTGTCATATGCTAAGATAGAGGCTAAACATACGCTCTCAGGTCCACGCCCTGGTCGAGGGTCGTTGAAGGGTTTGTCCTTGTCCAGAGGGGCATATGCTGGGCCGTCCCGTGAGGGTCTTACCAGTCCCTGCAAGAGTGGTCAGTTGCCAATATCAGAAGCAAGTGGCAGCCATTCTTACCTCTGTATTTGAAGGAATGTTAGCATCGATTCTACGCCGCGGACCCTTGGGAGCTCCGGCTGGTGGAGCGTTTGGGTTATGATTCCGCGGCCGCGAGGCCTTCGAACCATCTGTTGGCGGCGAATCTTTGCGTTTCCGCTTTCCCGGGCCATTGCTATCATCGCTTGGCGTAGCCTGAACGATAGGTACCTTTGGGTCGTGTCCTCCAAGCTGCCTGAGTCGCTGACGTTCTGTTCTTTGCTTTTGATTTTGTGTACGATTGTGTTCTTCCCGCGCAATTTTGGACCTCTCATGTTTTGGCAGTGTCTTAGTGGATCGGCATTCGCGTGAGACATGTCCGATCTGTCCGCAATCCACACATCGTTGAACCGAACAATAGAACTGCGTATGCCCAGACTCCCCACATCTGTAGCAGGTGCCTCTAGTTGCCTCTTTTGCATCAATGTTGTCACAGTGGTGCGTCATGTGAGCAAAACTTCCACAATATCCGCACGTGCGGGTTTCATCCAGGCCATTGGCACCGCCCGATGGGCCGTCTGGAGGAATTGGGGGAGTGTCTTTCCTGGAGACTGACACGGACGAAGAATTGTCCGCAGATGCCGATGAATGTCGGGAGATAGGTGCCGACGATGTAGCCCTGGATGGCACAGCCGACTCTTGTGCGTCTGCATCCAGCATTTCAATGTTCTGATACCCGGTGAACTGTGGCCGCTGAAGGATCTTGAGCACATCGCCATCCGTATATACATTCCTTCGGCGAGCGTCTTTGATTAAACCACCCCAAAACTCGCCTTGGACCAGAGATTGCGAATTTCCAAGAACCCAAAGGGATGATTTGGCACGTGTAAGACCGACGTTCATACGGCGAATATCAGCCAGGAAACCTATGCCCTTATTGGAAGCTCGAACACAAGAGAAAATAATCACTTCGCTTTCTCTTCCCTGGAAAGCATCTGTAGTGTTGAAATCGATCTTGTTGAAGATTTCGTTGCCATACTTGGCAGCAAACTGTGTCTTCAGCTCTCTCAATTGACCCTTGTACGGCGTAATGATACCAATCTTTCTGTTGAAATCAAAAGCGCGGAAATCTGTCATCAGACGTTCGTACAGCTGCATGGCCACCCTAAGCTCTGCTATATTGATCAAGGAGTGGCCCTTCGCAGCACTTTGGTGAAGCCCTTGCACGTCGAAGAAGCGGTATGGGCTGAGTAGTTCACTTTGATGCCAGGGGCGTGTGCGAAGTCGAGCCATGTTAGGGCCATCCTGTAGCTTGCCATCGTAAAATGCAGCACTCGGGAATGCACTGATTTCAGGATGCATACGGTATTGAATATCCAGCAAGTGCACATCCCTAGGGTGGTTGGATTGCATTCTGACGAAAAGACTTTGCTCGTATTGAAACTTCGAAGCAACTTTTGACAGAACAGTCGGTGGTAATTGTTTTGGATCACCGACAAGGATGCATTTAGAGCACCCGTATTTCAATGGAATCAGGGCGCTGAGTTCGATAGATTGCGCTGCTTCATCGATCACAACTGTTTCAAACTCGATGCTCAAGTTCTGGAACATTTCGTGACCACTTCCACTAAGGGTTGCACAAATAACATGTGCACCATCGATAATCTCCTGCTGGATGCGGCGTCTGGTCAGTTCAGCATCCCGGGCTGCTGAGTGGTTTTTATCTCTGGCGCTATCAATCTCCTGGCTCAGTTGCGTCTTTTTCTTCTTCAACAGATCGAATTCACGTTCCAACTCTGCCGGTACAGGCAACCCTTGTGCCCTGCACTGGTCCATCCTGGCACGGGTCTCTTTGAAAGCGGTGTCAGCAGCTTTGTGCTCCATGTAAATTTTCTGCAGATCCCGCTCCCCATGATCCTTGCGTGCAGACTGATTCAATCTTTGGTTGACCAGCTCATCCAAGGTGACATCAAGTACATTGCTGTTGATGGCATCGCTTCTTCCCAAACGAATAACAGAGAGCTTCTCCTGGCGACCATGTATCGTCTTGACACCTTCCTTGAATCTCATGACTAACTCATCAACGGCAGCGTTACTGGGAGCACACACAAGTAGTTTCTTAGATGTGGTGGTTCTCCCACCAATAGGGTTGGTGTTGTTCATCCCCCCTGGCCGTGCAATGGCAACGCCTGAATTGCCGAGCACGCTACTTAACAAGGCGCCCACGAGCGCCACAATGGTCTTTGTCTTTCCCGATCCGGGTGGTCCTTGTATCAAAGTAAAAGCATCATTATCCAGTGCGGATTTGATTGCTTTTGCCTGGGCAGAATTGACGTTATAATTGTCTGCAATGGACTTGAGACTGGCGTCCGAATAACTTAGAATCGGCGATGGCTTCGCCTTGACAATCTCTTCACAGAGATCATAATACTGCAAAGCCATCAAAGCACCGTATTCACGCTCAAGCGGTGTTAAAGATGTGATTCTTGCTCCCCAGATTGTGGCCCCAGGTCCAAGAGAATTGATGAACGGATTTCCAGGGTTGACTCTATAAGAAATTTCGACGGTTCCCTTCTTCCTTTTGATACCAGAGACTCTAGCCAAACAATGAGGTGCGGATGAATCAATGGTCGGTGAGCTTGCTTTGGAGAGCAGAACAATGTCAGCTTCACCCAGCCCAAACTCCTTGGCCTCCATAGCTGGTATAGCCGTGCTGACTTCGACAAATGAATCTACAGACAGCCGTGTGGCAACTTTGACCTCAAACGGCTTGAATGTACCCTCCTCCTTTGAAGATTGAAACCCTTGCCATGCCTCGAGTATCAGCAGCGGCTCAAAGGTTCTTTGATACTCAGTAGGCTCTCGGAACGCGTTTGAGACGAGAGTATAATCAGTACGTCCAGAGTTGGGTGGAAGATCACCGTTCGCAAAGAAGTCCCAGGCAAGGATTGTACGGTGCAGAGAGGAAAGGTCGGGCGCAAGGCGTGCTCGCATATCTTTTGCAGAGCGCAGCTGCTTGATTTTCTTGACTGGACCTTGTTGTTTCAATGACATCCGCTTGCTTTCTTCATAGGCCTTGACAGCATCGGGCTTCCTTGATTTAGGGCCAAAGAGTTCTTTGTCGAGCTCATCTTCGCTTTCTGATTCAGACTCTGACCCGGACGAAACCATCATGCTCTCAGCAGGAGTATGGTCTTTTCCTTTAATTCCAATTCCACTAAGCCCAGAGCCCTGTTCGGCTGTTTGCTCAGCAACACCCAGCGCTGGAAGACTCTTTTTCAGTCGTGCTAACTCAGCCATATCACGCTTTTTCTTGGCTTCCCTCTCCTTCTCACGCTTTTCACGGAAGGCTTGAATGGTGACATTTGGCCTTAATGGAGCTGGAGACGGTCTGGGAATCGCTGGAAGAGCCTTGGCTGCTTTATCTGCTTTTTTCTTGGCCTCAGATGCAACCCTCTCTTTGTTGAGCTCAACTGATCGAGACAGCTGTAATAAGACATCATCTGGGACGCTATCATCAAACTCGTCGGTAGGCTTGGGCGGACTGGGAGTGGCTGAGAGGTCGGCTGGTTTAGTGAAAGCTGTGATCATACTTTGCTTTTTGAGGCTGGCGGTCGAAGCGGTAACGACAGGCTTCTTATAGTAGGCTTCCAGAGCCCGCACAAGCTCTGCCTTTTCCCGAAGGGTCAATATAGTTTTGATGGAAGAATTAACTGCCACGCCCTCAATGAAACTTAAAGCATCCTGCTTTACAGTTGTTACACTTAGTTCCCCTAAACGCCGTAGAATCTTAGACACAAGTCCGACCAAGGTTGTTGCTAGGTATTCATCTTTCAACCGCAGCCATTTCACCATCGCACTCATTGTTGTAGTTGCAGATTTGAGGAAATTCTCACGGGCAGAGCCCTCTTGGTTGGGGTCTGCATCAACGACAGCGCTCAAAAAGACCCCATACTGACTGAAAAGAAGATCGGCGAACTGGATGGTATCTCGGCAAAATTCTAACATGACGGCCTTGTCATTTCCTCTTAAATGCCACGATTCCGTTTCATCGAATATTGTAGTCAAGGCTTGCCACAGATACTCCCAAAGTTTCTGGAGTGAAAGGACTTCCCTGCGGTCAGCGAGCTTTCGCGTTCTCAGCATGCCAGTTTGGCTGTCACAAAGGATATCCACAATATCTGTTCCTGTGTGTATCATCCTCGGGGCAGAAGCAAAAGTCTTCATGTTCGAGATTCTTCGGAAAGACCAGCTTAGCCCATACATGGTTGTAATGAAGAATGACTGCAGCAGATGTGAAATCGCATCCCTTCGAGCGGACTGGCCGCTAACATTCTTGATTAGATCAACGGCAGATTGATAGGTATTCAGGTCGGCTGCAAAAAGAGCCGAAATCAGAGCACTACTAGTATCTTGACTCTTGAAAAGCTCGTCAAGGTGCTCGGGTCTGAAATCCGCAAGGCGTTCGATGATTTGGCAGGAAAGGTGAGTCAGGTGTCCATAGATAACATTGAAGTGTGTCTTTTCTGGACTAGACTCTCCCTTTGTAGGGAACTTCTCCAGGCCGACTAGCGGTAAAATTCCGAGCAGGGCTGACGTTGAAAGGGCCAAGTTATCTTCATGCAGATGTTTGACGACTGCATCCCAGATCGTAGCGGAGTAGGTACTCACGCCATGTTGAAGTGTGTTGTGTCGGAGTATGACTTCATAATCACTTTTGAGAGACTGACATTCAAGTGCAAGCGTGTTGCGAATGACATCCATACACAGAGAAGCTATCTCGCGCTGACGACCCTGCTCCACTGCAAACTGGGGAGGTTTGAGGATTGTTTCAATATTCGCACTTACGACACCCAGAGTTTCTGACAGAACGACACGCTCCACAGAGCCTCTTGATGACTCGTGGTCAGTAAAGCTGCGAAGAGTATGAAGTAATATTGCCAGCCCAGTATTGAAGCAATGATAACGGGCGAGATTCGGAAACCGCACATCTTGCAATCGGACAAGAAGCTGTTGAACAAGGGATCTGCAAGCTGAGGGTTGGTGGGCACCTTTGAGTGACGACATAAACGGACTAATCCACGACAGCATATCCTTCATAGCGGATTTCTCGAATGGCTCACCCTCAGTAGCTTGCATCAAAAAGGCATCCAACTGAGGGTTATAGAACACAAGTTCGATTAAAGCTTGAGGAGATATCGTCTGCATCGCATCCCAAAAATCGCCTGGAGCCTTTTCCAGAAAAATCTGGATGGTGTTCAGGAGGAAGCGCAGCCCGGGAGATTGTATACCGAGGTGGTCCACGGAGAGACGGCAGGGGTCGATCTCAAGAGCTCGTAAATGATGGGTAATCTGGTCCTTGTCCAGCCTTCTTACTACGAGCTGCATGCCACGCCACAGCCGCTGGATGACGGCTACCTGCGTTGGCTGCTGGGATGCTGTTCTCAGTGCATCAAGAAGTCCTTCTTTGACTGCCCAGTCAAACTCCATGGTAGTTGGAGGTCGGGAATAACGCATCCAAGAGTGGATAGCCCAAAAGCTGCGATTCTGGTTTGGGTCGAACAGAAAACGGGTGACGGCGGGAATGTAGTCGGACACCTTTAGACTGCGCTTTGTCTGGATTAATCTGAAAGGTTCATCAAAATACTCCTGCAGAAGGCTGCCATTACGGAGCATAGCGTCACAGCTCAGACTTTCAAATATTGATAGTAAAGACGCACGATCCAGCACATGAAGCCCAATTTCCTGAGACGGGACTTCTTTTAACTTGGCTGTTGCAGATGTTAGATTCTTTGTAATCCGTTTGATATCCCATTCGTCAAGCATTCGAGAGAATTTCTCAATATCCTCATCATCATAGTTTTCTTTGAGCTGTTCCATGAGCCATATCTTCCCTGTGTAGTATTGCTTGATGCAGAGGTCGCACTTTTCAAGCGAGTCGTCTAACTTCCTCCAGATCCAGTTCTGCAACTCCTCGACCCCCTCTTGATTGTACGCCAATATCCGCATACATGATAGAAACTTCTCCTTGCGATTATTGGCCTCCGACACCAACTCCGCAACAGACCTCCCTGATTCATCTACCTGGCTAACATCATCATATCGCGCGTGATCGTCATCGTGTTGTCGGGGACATAGGATATGGACGCGGTCGGGGAGCGATTGTAGCTCTCTATAAGCACCAGGGTTACCAGCCGTCAGCAAGGTGTCATAGAAGAAGTGGAGATTTACTCACCCGACAATATCCATGAACTCCATGGCTGTGTCTCAACTGGTTGAAGTGATCCGTGTCCGGGAGGCTACAGCGCATTCCTCTAATCAGGTAACCGGTACGAGTGCAACAAGAACGTGACCAATATAGTAATATCCCTAGCAACAACCCGATAAGAGGATTATCTCAAAGTATCCTACTGTATAACTATGGCTCCCCGTGGCGAAACGCTATACAGACGCTGGCAGAGCTGGGAAGTTTCAGCCCAAACAAATCACCTATGGGTGACGGGTGGGAGTGGAAAGTGTGAGTGCAATGACAGGCCCCTTCCGTTCGAGTGCAGAATTAAATAAACACGCTTAAGTGTGCAAGCAGCACAAGAGATTAGGAAGGAAGAATGGAAGTCGCAAAGACTGCAAGTCAGTTTAGTGAATACATAAGGACGGAGTAAATCGGCGCAGTCCCTGCTACCGACATGATTGGAGGATATGGAAGGCGGTGAGACATGCCGATCGCCCACTTTACGCGCAAAGACGCGCCTCGGGTCAGCCTGGCATCGGCTTTCACCTCCTTACTCTGGTAGAAAGGTAGGACTCAGGGCCCGGGTGGCACAGCCTAGTGCAGAACTACAACTAGATAATCCCCCATATGCGGGCACCCCGCCATGCTCAGATTAGAACACATCTTGAACTTGTGGAAGTGATTTCCACATCAGCAGTACTCATTGAGCTCTTCAGTAGAATACATTAAACCCATGACCTCCACCCCGCATATGATTCATTTCCACGTACCGGCTTCGAAGTACTAGACCATCCAAGAGAAACATAGGGTGAAATGCTCGAATCTGGTTGTAAAGGGGGAGAGAAGGAAAAGTTTGTTGAGTGAACGCGCGTTTAGAAGAAAAGCTTTGTACAGGAATTGGAAGGAGAATGGGACAAAATGAAACCCTGTGCGGCGTATTGTCGCCATATAGCCTTCTAGGGAGAAAGAACGAGACAGCTGGGATGGATCCCAGGAAATGTAAAGAAGAAAAGGCAGATCAAGGAAAACACATGTGCGCCGAGCCGCCAACCGAGTCTGAACCGAACGCCTTCTATTGGGGAATATGGGGAATTTGCTCGTCAAACAGAAATGAGTAACAGATAGATTGCGTGGATGAAAAAGCAAAGCCAGAGTCATCAAGGAAAGCATTGTGAAAAGAGGGTGGGGAAAAGAAGGGTGCGGATGATGTCAGCCTATGTACGGTCTAAGATGTGAGACGAGATTATATGGCATGAAACGGAGGGTCGTGAGGGCCCTTAAGAGGGCTATGCGGTTCTGGGGCACCAGCGAGCGATGGCTCTCTTGTCAACGCACCGGCTGAGGGGTAGTCATGGGCCACCTCAAAACCATGTTGTACTCTGTCAAACGAATGCCGCGTTCGTGCTGGACGGACATAGTCCACTGGTTGTGGATGAGGCAGTCGCGTCGTATCGAGGCTGGATGCATAATTCGTCCCATTGCTGCCCCGTGCTCGATGAGTATGAACGGTTGGAGCAAAGAGAGGCGAGTAAATCTGCTGCTCGTCTGAAAAGGGATCCTGCTTGAAGCTGGGTTGGATAGGCTTCACAAAGTCTGAAGACGTCGATGATTCATCACTGAAGGCTGTAGATGCAGCAGCCGTCGCTGCTGCCCTCGGAGGCACGGTTCCTTCATACTGGTCTAGGTATTTGAATTTGCCTTGGGAGACCTGCTCACGAATGATGTCGACGTCGAGGGGAAAGAAGACCTTTTGGAACGCTTTAACAGTAAAGCGCGGAAGAAGACATATCGTGACCGTCAATAGCAGCACAACCCAAAAAGACAGGGCGCTGTACATTTCGGCCCCGGCATTGAAAAATGTGGTCGACGCTTCCATTGAGGAATATATGCCAGTCCAAAGAAAGATAAGAAGGGAGCTGACAACATTGATCAGGACTGTTAACCAGTCCCACCGGTAGCAATTCATCAAAATATATGTATTGCTGGCGATAACCGCGCTAGAACCCACGAGAACGCCCATACGCGTTCGGTCATTGATGTTCAAGCCGTTGTGGTGCACGAAGGTAGATGGGCTGTACAAAAGGTATGGCATGAAGAAGCAAATGACTGACTGATAAAAGCCATCAAGCATATAGAGCCTGCCTCTGTTAGCGTTCGCAACTCGCGGAGTGAAAGGACAATGTCATACCAGAACTTTAGTTGTGACCATTCCTTCTGCTCGATTCCTCTCATGTATAACTGGGGCACCGCTAACGAGACTTTATCATCAACATCCTGGTCGAAGATACCCATCAAAATGACAGGCAACGACGTGAATGCGACATTGACTAGAACAATGTAGGTATAGTCGAAAAGGTAAGACCCATCGAAATCATTGTAGAATGAGTACCAGAAAAGGGCAATCGTCCAAACCAAGTTCTGTGAGTCGGTCAGTTACTGACTAAGAGACTAGAAAGGAGAAAAAGCGGTACCTTATAGAAGAAGTTCGCAGTGGTTTCCGCCATGCGTCTGTATGAATACCTTCCATGGACCAAAACAAGTCGCTGCAAAAACCGGAACTGACCAATAGCATAGTCAGAGGACATGGCTGCTTGACTGCCTTCTTCACCAAGTATACCAACACCAACATCAGCCTCTTGGATCATAGCAACATCATTGGCACCATCGCCGATCGAGAGGGCCATAATATTAAGACCATTTTTGACCATTCGCACGACGGCCGCTTTCTGTGCAGGACTGACACGACAGCATAGAACGGATTTACACTGTTTGCATAGAAGAAGAAACCTCTGCTTCAGATCGTCACCAAGCATCAACTTGAGTGTTTCGCCGTCAATAACAACAGCATGGGTTGCCGGTGGTGGCGTATGATCTTGACGAGCGGCAGCAAGTTCTGCATCGGATCCTGTCAGTCCAAATCGCTGTAGCTGGTTGTCGAGTTCCTGCGATGCGCTCTGTGGCTGATCTCCGGGGATATTGAACACTATCAGCTCCATATCGTTATTTAGAAGATTGCATGAGTAGCCAATGTTGATGGCTGTTTCAACTTTGTCGCCAGTGAGAACCCATAGTTTGATGCCTGCATCTGCTAGCAAAGAGATAGTGTCCGGAACGCCATCTTGCAGCCTGTCCTCAATTGCTGTACCACCTATAAGCATAAGATTCCGCTCTATATCACTTGCCACTTGCTCAAGCTTCTCTTCGCGATCTGTAAGCGCGGCGGCAGCCATATCATGTTCCTTACTCCATGCCTGATATTCCTCTTCACTGAGCTCTCGGTCTGCAACACACAGAGTTCGCAGACCTTCGCTAGCGAACATCTCTAAGTGCTCAGCAGTCTTCTTACGGAGCTCCTGCTGCTTGCCTGGAGCCAGGCGGGAATAGATGATACTGTCTGCGCCCTTGCAGAAGAGTCGAATACTGCCATCAGGCATGCGGAGGATTGCACTCATCCTCTTTCTTGTTGAATTGAATTCCAGGGTATTGAGGACAGTGTATGTCCTCTCTTCACCCAGGACATTTACGATGAGATCATCGTTTGAGCGACCAAGGAGGGTAAAGCCACAATCCTTAGCTGTACTGACTAGAGCAGCCTCGTCTGGCGATTGTGCTTGAAACTCGATTTGCGGAGGATCGCCCGGGGTATGCTCAGTAATAACTGTGTGACATACTGCAAGGGATACCATGAAATGCTCTGTTGCTTTTCGTTGTTGCTCTCCGGCCTGACCACCTAAATCCGCAATGTAGCTTGGTGCTATGAAGGTCAAGTCTTCTTCACGCAGATATGGATTGTCATACATTTTGCGAAGCAGGCCAACCATATTGACTGTATCAGCGGCAAGCTTTTCGCGCGCTCGGGCGGCTTCAGCATCGGCGTCACCTCCTTCTCGTCGAACAATGCCAATCTGGGCTTCCGTAAACGCTTCACCATATGAAACCCCGTTGACAGTACACTTTTTGAAATCCATAACGTTCTGTGTGAGCGTGCCGGTCTTGTCCGAAAAAATGTATTCAATTTGACCGACGTCGTCCGAAATATTCCACGACTTTGGGATACACGACATCCCCAGCTTGTCGTAATACATAAACACGTCACTGTGGATAAACACGGCTTGCAACGTGCGAACAATTTCAAGGGAGATATAAAGCGAAATAGGGACCAAGTTTTGGAACAAGATGACCGCAACCCAGAAGGTGATGAGGCCAGTAACTGCCGGTGTGCTTCCGTAGGACCCAAAGTCGAAGAAGTCAAGGGATGCATCAGGTGTACCCCAGGCGACTCCGTTGCCGATACCGCAGATAAGACACATGATGAATAGGATGATGAAGTTGATGATGACGTTCCAGTTTAGATCCTTAGCAAGCCGAGGCTTTTTCGAGGGAGTTACTCCCGAGTTCAGCATGACCTTTGTCTCCTCTCCGGTGAAGAGAACAACTCCAAGAGCCCATTCGGTGTTTCGAAGGGAACAGCCACGGAGAAGCATATTGTTAATTGTTATCGGTTCAACCATCTCCCTTCGGGGGGCATCTGAATAGCTGGAGTCACGCTGTTCCCAGCGCAGAGCACCATTGTAGGCATACAAATTGGGATGCGGAGCCTCACTATCAATCACGAATTCGGATTTTTCGCAATCCCTAGCATGTCTGACTTGACGACCACAGTTAAGGGCTTGCCGAACTTTCAGATTGGTTTCGCCATCCAGGCTTTTTGTTTCCACGTAGCACGCGCCATCTGGGTCGGAAGTCGAGAGCAATATAATATCGGCAGGGACCTGGTCCCCATTGTACAATCGAACAAAGTCTCCAACTTGTATGTTCTTCCAAAAATCGCGTTTGAACCTAGCGTTTCCCAATGTCTGCTTTGACGTATCCACCACGCTGCCAGTTTTGTGGGGATGAGTGGCAGAAGGAGCGGGTGTGACCAGGCTGTCCCGAGCCAGTTTGTCTGGATGCAAGAACTGATCGTGGTCGGGAGTTGGAAGTGGCCAGTCGGGGCGTGCTTCAGGAGCTGGGGATGAAACAGGAGTCATCTGGATAGCATCATCTTCTTCATGCTCGGAGGACATTGAAGCCCGCGGTGATACAGTCGTCATGAAGGTCAGGCGTCGATTATCTTGAACCGGTCGTTGAGCTTTCTGTTTCTTCTGGACGAGGCCCTTCATCGCTCTGTATGTTGTGACAGTCGCCCTAGTACACGCTTTCTTGAACCGACGCCATAGAGAGACATGATCCTCGGTCGAATTCACGTTGCTCCAATCTATTAAGCGATATACGGGCGAATTGTTAAGTTCATTGTCCAAGACCGTACGCCGGAAGTCTTCAATGGCATCTTTGATGGAGGTAAGCACGACGATGACGACTAGAGGCACGGTATTAAGAGCGGGGTCAGAGACGCCGAAGATCGAGAAAAACTAGAGCATGTGATGAGTTATTCCGGTACTCTAGACCATGGCTCGAGGAAAGGGGCATACACTCAGGATGATGATGAAGAGGAAATAGATATTCGCAATGTTCTGAAACTGAAACCAAATGTTTTTCGGGACGAAAGACAAAGCCGTATATTTTGCAGTTCGGATCTTGTTTCTGGGGTACGCTGCTTTGGGGCGGCCATCTTCGTCTCGTTCGCTTTCGGGAATCGGAATGTTAAAGTAGATGCGTCTGGTGCCAGACCCCGTAGGGCTGTCCGTACTTGATTGCTGTGAAGTGGGGGATTTCAACGATGTGGGAGAGGTAGCTGCAGCTGGCTTCGGTATGTCCTCTTTCCCGTCCAAATTGTTCTTATGTATGCGATCCATTATGGAGACGCGCTTCCGCATGCCGCCTGGGCCGGCTCTCCGTTGAGTTGCCCATCGTTGACGCTTTGTCGGTTTCGAGACGTTGCTGCTGACCTCCCGAATGTCGCTACCACTCTCAAGAAACTCAGCGCCCAAGTCGATTGAAGCCATTTAGGCTACTGTCAGCCCTATTGGGGGCATAAAATGGGCAAAGGTGCTGTCTAATCCGATGAAAGGAGAGCATCCGCAGCGACGAGCTGGACCCCGGCAGCGCAGCCAGCTCGCGAATTGACTCGGTTATTCTCGTCGCAAGTTCGGATCGAATGCAGTGGAAATCGAGGGGTCGTATATACAGTGTTCTTCTGCGCGATTAGATGGGCGTGCGGTTTATGGTGGTAAGGCGCTTAAGCAGATCCAGATGGGATGAGAAGGAATGGAGTGTCAATAACACCAAGGGACGCCGAACGCAGCGGCAGTGAGGAAGGCGAAACGAGCGGAGGGGGAAAAGATCGAGGGTTACTGAGGATTGAGCATCCGTATGCCATTAACGAAAGAATGTCCAAGGCAAAGACGACCGAGAAGAAGGAAAATCAGAAAACTCATGCACAAAAGGAACCGGTCCTTCAGAGGCAAGAGTAAGAAAGAGGCTTAAGGACAGCGTCAGTTTCTTGGAGAGCCGGCCGACAATCCCTCCTGGAGACCCGGGGGAGGCGACGGCCGTGTATTACGGGCAGATTACGGAACCTGCCATAAGGTAACGTTCCAGGGGTTTGTCAGCTCTGTATGGTAAGCATGCATCGCAGAACTTTGTAAATTTCCCAGATTAACCGGCTGGTCGGGCCAGCTCCAATCAGATGGAGTTCTCATTCATGTTTCATCTACATGGATGCAGTACTACTCCCCGGGCCCCCGTCAGGTACCTGCCTCAACTCTCAAGTTCCCCCCCTTGCGATGGAGTATACATCGCGCACTACTATGGGGCAACCCCTCCACCACTCTGGTCCTGTTATGAATTATGATGCTGGGAAACCAAGGTAATTTTCGTCTCTTGGGGTCCCTTCTGGCATGGAATTCGGAGGTTTCTAATAACCGAGTTCACTGCAAGGTGGAATTTCGGACCGGATTTACCAGCCTCGCCCTAGACTGCGCATGGTACATAATAGCCCACTGATCAGAATGGAGCACTTACGATAGCTGACTCTGTACTCCGTAGGTATCCCAGACAGACCCATCTGGAACGGAGTTATCGGTCCTCCGTTTAAGTAGGGCGGATTTCGGGTTGCGCGAACGATTCCTATATTTATACCTACCTACTCTCTGGCTCTGGGTTAGGTACTACCCTTCGTGCCATCTCGAAGAGTTCTTCGCTTGTGCACCAATCGGATGCCATGGCAAATGATGGCATACCCAGTTGCACTCTGGCATGTCATGGAGCTGATCTCCCGCAATGCCAGCAATGATGGATTCCCCCCTCGCCTAAAGGAGGGATTGAACCGCTAAGATGCAGCAATGCATCAGTGGTCAAGATACCGGCGCGTATATCAAAACCGGACCATCGGACGCCTCTCCATGGAACGAAAGCTGTCGCACTGGTAGGCAGGTTTTCTTTCTCCCGTACCTTTGGGGGGCGCTTGGGAGTCTTGGACGGAGGGTCGGGACACGGAGCCTGAAACAGACTAACAGCCGTCCGGGACGGCACATGCTGATGCCATCCGTGGATAGGTCCACCTCACGGAGCGCGGAGACTCGGAGGTACCGCAGAAATCTGTGCTAACTGCATGTATATTAATCCAACGGTGCTTCTAGTCTTTGCATTGTAGAATGCACATGGACTGTGCATGGTCTAGCACCAAAGGCCCGGATATAAAAGCATCCGCCTCCAGACTCTCATGATTCCTTCAAGTACGGATATATTGTTACTTGACATTTGCGTCCCTCTCTAATAGGTCACGCTCTCTTCATATCCTCCCTTTTTCAGTCTTGGCTGCTGATGTTAGTGGAGAGGCCAGATTTCCTGATGCAGTTTGGTGTGGTTCCATACCTATTGCGCGTAGTCCCTGCTAACCTTTTCTCTTTACGGAGGCTAGCAGAAGATCACTTGAAACTGCCTTTGTATGTGTTTCATTCAGTGAGCCAGATCTCATCGCTCATTATCTATTCGACAAGCAACATTTGGTAGAATACGATAATGGACCACATGTATTCCACAGTAGACATCGATATGAGACCTCTGCTCGATCTGTATTTCAAAAAATCGGAGCATGGTTTGATTAGTACCTACAAAGTACAAATTTCCGATCACTGGGACTTCCGCTCTGGACGGGATGGGAGGTAGATTTGTTACGTACGTCGAGCTCGGCTAATTCACCATGGTTCTCTCACATTTTGTAATACGTCACGACTTGCAAATTCGCATTACAGTTTGGCTGACCTTGGTGGTATTCTTGCCCATGCCCGAAATGCTGCCCTTTTTGCATAAGATAAAATGGAAACCGCTGTTCTTCCTTCCTTGTTCCATCAAGCTATCTCGCCCCTTCACTCTCTTTGTGGCTGACGGCTTCTAAACAAGGCTGATATCAGCCCGCAGCAGCAGTGTCATCATGGCACAGCCGACTAAATGGTAACCTGAAAGATAAACGAGGGAGAGAGAGAACCAGCTAAGCCTCGCTATGTGCGCCGTACAGTGGCCACAGGATTCCAGCCTTGGGGTGGTCGAAAAGAGATATGACAGATTGGCGTCAGATGGTCAGATCAACCGTGAACCGGTGTGGGGACTCCAAAGTACTTTAGAGATAGATCTGCACTGCTTCCCACCCCTGGACCGCTCCCAAATACGATCGGGCGAAAAAAATCTTTCTGGTGTAGAAGTGATGTACGGACTATTGACAAGTTAACCAGAATGGTTTCCAAGAAAAGGGAGTCAGCAAAGCCTTGAGGGAAATTACCATAGGTATCTCTTTGGCCCCAGTTGTATGCAATGAAGATATCTAGCTTGGGGTCTAAATGGGCGGGCGGTTGGAGAACATCAACGGGCGGTCGAAAATCCAAGCTGGTAATCCTTGGAACCATCAGCAGACCCAAAAAGATCGCGGATACCCAGTATGTTCAACCATTGTTCAAGATACGATGTCCCAGACGAAGCCAAGGATCGAATCTATATCGGAATATTGGGCCCTCGGCCCCTACATAACGGTTATGGTGCATAGGGAAAGCTGACGCGCCATCAGCGAACCGATGCGGTACATCACAATCTGGAAAGGAGATCGACCTATGAAGTAGTATGTACCTACCACACAATAGTGAAAGCAGTGAGTAGCTGAGCCTGGCAAAATGGCCAGGCAGCCCGGAAGTGGGCGCCTCCTAGATAGATACTAGTCCTGATTGCCCAGGTATTCAAAATCAATAGTTCGATACCCGTCACTTTCCTGGCGACTATTCTGGTAACTCAATAGACTGAGTGCTGACATGGGATCATGTGACTTCGCGCATTGTTTCCACGCGCCCTACGTGTCTAGCAGAGGCTAAATGCGGAGATCCACCGAACAAAGCATGCGGGTCATACTCTGCAGCATATCATATCCCCCTCCAACAGAGCGCCCGGCATGCGAAGCATTACCAGTTTCTTCAAGCGTCCGGATTTCTCAATAGCCCACCGAGATCCTCAACCTAAAGATCGGGGCGATGACCCCGCTTCAGCCTCTCCGACGTCCCCGCCCGCTGAGGCCCCGTCATCCCTCCATTCAAATGACCCCTCGCTGGATGATCCGGGGTCTCAGCTGAACCTGTCACTCTCTCAGTCTATTAAAGATGATGACGACAAAGTCGATCTTCTTCATAGCTTCCTAAGCACTGGATCTGCAGCTAAAGATCCGTCCCCAGGAACCACTTTCAACTCTTCACAGCGTGTTGTGAAGAAGGGGAAGGAGGTCATAATCAGCTCAGATGGCGAGGACACGGATTCGATCAGCTCGATTGAGTCTCCGGATGATATTCTAATGAACATTGCTAAACCGGTTGACTCATTTCGTGGCAATGAATCATCTAAACCAGGAATGTCCTTACGGGACCGCAGTGTGAAGGACCCCAAATCCGACAAGCGGTTTGGCTTCCCAGCATCGGCCCCTAAATACAAGAATACACTAGACTCTCTTGTTGTCCAAGCGGTCGATGATAACGAGACTGAAGCTGGCATTGCAAAGTTGAGAGCTGCCTTTGAGAAAGAGGATATGCGAAAGAACGAGAAGCAGAATGCTATGGTACATGGCTCAACTTTGCCAAGCACAAGGCTGAATGAGGGCGTTCTGGCTTCAGCTTTGGGTGACCAAGATGACGAACTGGGGCTGCGACGTCTTCTCGACGCTGTCCGGAGAACCGAGGCCCTTGACCTGGAGAAATCTTGGCAGTTCTTTATTTACGAAAGCGAGTTGCCTCCCGCACTCGAGTTTCCTAGAGATTGCATTGGAGAAAATACTTTTATGCGTGGGCTACGAGGTTAGTATTCTAGATCCACGCCAAATCACCTAGATACTGATACGCTCATAGAGAGACATTCGCGGGAGCGCGCATTCCATTCAGGCATCGTCGACTTCGCTCTATCGCGGTCATTCTTACCGGATGCCCTGATCTCATGGATCTTCCAAGCTGGTTCGTTCAACTCCCCACAATGATAGTTTCACTACTTACTTTCTCACACAGTACCTTCGGAGACGCAGGACAGCATCAGGCAAGCTTATTGCAGAGCTTTCAAGGTTAGTTATCTTGATGTGCGAATATTATGTCTGACATGTTTGGCTGATTGTCTCGAAGCATGCAAATGCAGAGCGTATCAAGACCCTCATAAGGCCGGACGACCTCGATCGGGTCTTCCAGCAGCTAGGAGCCACTCCAAGCGCATTGGCAGTTTTCGAGACTATTTTCCCTGATGCACACGTTACCAGTACGTAAATGGGTGGATCTCTAACACCAGTCAATGGTTGACCCAAATAAGCAGCATATAATGTGAAAACTAACTCCCCACGTGAAGGGGCGCTGTTGTCAGTTTTTGACTTACTTTGCGGGGCAGCAGAACTGTAAATATTAGAATGCCTTGTCCTGCATATAAGTGCTGATACCCGTTCTAGATTTGCAGACGATACTCGAGAACGCGCATTGAATCTTCTGTTCCGTCTCACTCTCGATGTATCCCTGACCAGCAATTTCCTGATCTGCTCTGAACTTGAAAGAACCATAGTCACCATGCTAGAGAGCGCCCCTGAGGATACGGCGGACGATTTGGTATGTTCCAGTTCTTTTCTATTCTTTCCATCTTCATCTCTCACTAACCTCACCAGGCACTGCATGTCAGCACTTCTGCATTCGACACCATCAAAGATGCAACATTGCAAAGCCGTCTCCTTAGACATATACTTCCAACTTCGGACTGGCTCGCAATGTTACGGTGTCGCCTCGCCGTGTCTTTTTTAACGGGCAGTCCTTTGCCGCTCAGTGAGCCGCCAGAGAAGGTTCTCAACGTAGAGCGAATAACCAGCATCCTCAATCAACGGCGGTTCGATCTGAAGCGGTATAAAAGCAAAGGTCAGAACGATTATGATTACGGAGGACTTGGAGCTGTTACCGTTCTCCTCAACATTGCCATTGATGCTGGACGGTGTGAGGCAGGGTTTCCTGACAAAGAGGCCGAGCGAAAATTCAACGCTGCGGTTGATGCCCTCGCTGATCGGCTGAAATTCATATTTACTTCCATTGAGGATTCAGGTGCTTCTCACTTGAAACGGACACTGGCGAAGGAAGCTATAGAAGCTCTTCACTATCGAGTTATATATTCTGTCCGGTCAAAGCCGCGCCCCAAGAAGTCGATTTTTGGGGTTCCGGAGCCACGGAGAGAAAATAAGGATGTCTTTGCTTCATTCACGGCTGTGAAGAAGGACGATGATGAATTACCTATTCGGGCACATGAGGATGAGCATTGAGATGTCGATCCCCTTTAGGGATCCTTTGTCTACCGTTACTAAAACTGGTGAGTGGCCCAAGTTCGTCAAGCACTGGGGCTTACACCATTTGCAGGAGATGGGCTCAGATGGCTCTATTGTTGCAAGGTCGGAGTCTATGGATGGGTGGTATGGGGCGTTGGCTTGAATTTAGACGTGGTTATATCTACAGAGCCCTTGTTTGGTTTACACTTGTAGTCTTGTTATATTCTTGATACCTTGCTGCTGAGTAGTGCGGATACTATCAATATGATCTTATAGGTTCTTGTTGGGAAATTGTCATGAGAAGGTTGGACGGACTGGAATTCATCTACGCATTCTAAATGATTATAAAAAGTCTCGGGGTTTACCTATATCTGCATATCAGTTCCTCCTTACAATCACCCAGAAGAGGATATATTTTAACCCTTACCCATTTTTAGAACAAAATGATAGAGAATGAAGTTGCCATTCGAATTCTGATGGACTCCCGATAAACGAATTGAAGGACTTTATACAAGGCTATGGTGCTCTCCTAGAAAAGAACCGGGGTACATAGATATAATGGCTGCAGCAACGACGAAACAGGTTCAGGTATTGTAGATTCGCTTGGCAAGAGACGCGCATATATGGCCTAATCATAGAATCTCCGGTTGGTGTTCTTGCCGAACAGCGTCTCCCTGACGGCGGGCAGGGCGTCGATTTCGAGCAGGCGCAGCCGCTCCTCGAACGTGTTGTTAATCTCGATCTTACCCTGCCCTCCGATGATGACCACACCACCAGCACTAGATTCGAGCGTTAGATGGCGACGATAGAGGGGAAACAGAATAGGTGTAACTCACGATCCCTCGGGCAACGGCTCCTCCTCGTCCAGCTCCGCGGACACCTCCTTGCCGACAGTCTCCTTAAATTCCTTCTCGGCATCCTCGATGGCCTTCTTCACAGTATCGGTATCTTGCTTTCTCGCTCTAATAGCCACCTTCTCTTCGTTGAGAGCGTACAGGCCCTCAAGGACCAAATTCTTCAGCACGGTCTCATACTTCTCAGCATCCTTGGCTGCGATACCGGAGATCTGGTCACGAGCCTGCTGGAACAGATCGTCGAGGAGTTCCTGGCGCGCAGAGAGGACACGGAGCCGAGTGCGGTTGGCAAGGGTAGAGCGAGTGATCTGCTGGGACATGGAGGCCTGCTTGAACTTCTTCTCGTACTGAGTGTCAATGGAGGCGGTCTCCTGGCGGACGAGCTTAGACTTCTCAATGGCGAATTCCTCATCGGCCTTGAGCTGGATTTCACGGGCCTTCTCCACCGCTTCCTGCCGGATGAAGGCCGTCATCTTGCGGAGCTCGCCCGCAACCTGGTTGTAGATGGTATGAGCTCGGGAGCGGGCATGCATTATCCCTGAGCGGGAGGACGACGTACCTGGTCATCGGAAAGTGCATGGCTTTGCGACATCTTGACGATAGCGTAATTCTATAGATCGAAGCTGTAGAGGGGAGAGCGAAGGGAGATGCGGGGAGAGGACTAGGAAGAGACAACGTCAGTTCGAGCTTCCCGATGCGGAGGTGCCTTCTTGGGGGCGGTCAATCAATCAACGTCAGTCGCGCTATCTGCGTCTGTGCTGCGCCCGACAAGAGTCACGTATCGCGACCGGGGGATGATTCGAGGTAGTCAGGGCATGTAGCACTAGTACTCACCTGAACCGGAGGGAATGGTAGAAAGGGAGGGGGAAGTGGGGGGGGGGAATACAGGAGAGGCAACAATGAGCCAGCAGCAACAGCAGCAGGAAACGTTGCACTTGGCGGATCAGCAGATCGATCTACTTGGTGTTAGTCCGGCGACTCTACCACTTGGCGGCCGCCCAGGAACTCGTCGCTTTCCCGCCCGCTCCCCTCTGCTTCTTCTCCCCCACGGCCCTTTCGTCGGTTCTGTTACTCACTCTCACCTCGTTTCTACGTCGGTCTCGGACAATGGAGCCGGTCCTGCCAGCCCTACCGTATCCTGTCTAATGCGTGTCTGGTCTTTGTCCCCCAGCCCAGCGACCAATGCACGAGGATATCCGAGATGGGTAATCTTGGTGACCTATCGCCCCAGGGGAGTGTCGCGGTGGGTTCCTCTTCTTTCAGTGATCTCAACTAATTCGCCCCGAGCTACTGTACTGACTGAAGCCTCGCTCCAGGTTGGGGTGATTGTCGGGTTGATCTCGACCAGTCTCCAAGCTATCGGACTGACCCTCCAACGCAAGTCGCATATCCTCGAGGACGAGAAACACCCCTACGATTTACGCCGACCACCCTACAAACGCCGGAGATGGCAGGTACGCTAGTGATACTCCTTGTTCAATGCATCCGGAACGAGCCGACATTGCTGATTTCATACAGTTGGGCATGCTGATGTTCGTCGTTGCGAACATCGTCGGCAGTACCATCCAGATAACTACCCTCCCGCTCCCGGTGCTTTCTACCCTGCAAGCTGTCCGTGTCTCCCCCGAGCTAGGTAGTATATACTCGACATCGCTAATATCCTCTCGAATAGTCCGGCCTCGTTTTTAACACCATATTCGCAACTTTGATCCTGGGTGAAGCCTTCACCAGATACTCTCTCGTCGGTACTGTCTTGGTCTGCGTCGGCGCGTTATTGATAGCAGTCTTCGGCGCCGTGGGGGAGCCAGCGCACAGCCTCGATCAACTTTTAGAACTGCTCCAGCGTCGAAATTTTGTTCTTTGGATGGCAGGGACGGCCGTACTGGTGCTGGTCATCTATCTCGGGTCCAGGCTGCTCAAGTTCCTGGTCTCACCGTCCCGCTCGAAATATACCAGCTCACGCGGTCCATATAAGCCGCATTTGCAATTATCCCATGGACGTATTCGACTTATTCGGGGTCTATCATATGGCATGATCAGTGGAATTTTGTCGGCCCATTCTCTCCTTCTCGCCAAATCAGCTGTGGAGCTCCTCGTTCGCACGGTCGTGGATCGCGTCAATCAATTCAACCGATGGCAGTCCTGGGTCATCCTTCTCGCAATGATCGCGCTTGCTCTCTCCCAGCTTTTCTATCTACACCGAGGCTTAAAGCTGTGCAGCACCAGTGTCCTATACCCCTTCGTCTTCTGCATCTACAATATTATAGCCATCATAGATGGCTTAATATACTTCCAACAGATGTCCCAGCTGGCAGGTTTCCATGCTGGGCTGATATCATTGGGAACGATTGTCCTACTGGCTGGAGTCCTCTGCCTGTCTTGGCGGCTAGAGGTTGTCGACAGCCATGCGGCTGTGACTGTCGGCGGGCCCTCCCAAACCGGGCTGGGCCCTGGAATGGCAGTTGTCGAGGAACATCCGACCTCTCCGATTGATCTAAGATTTGAGGGCCAGGAAGATCCGGAGCGTGAGCCTCTGTTGCGCAGTGCTCCTCCTCGAAGGAGCCCTCATAAAAGAGCACCCAGTCTGCCTCTCCTGCAATCCGACTCCACCACGGATCTAGATTCAGCTTCTATCTGGGCTGAGCTCGATGACTCGGATTACGATTATGCTGCAACTACCTTGCATTCCCCACGACGTACTCGTACATTTGGAGACCCGCTCTCAATCCAACCAAGAAACAGGAGCGGTGGTACCACCTTAAGGGACAAGCTCCTGCGTGGACCGCGTCGCTCCAGCACCATCCCAGTCAATCAAAGCACCTGGAATCCGCGAAGAGCACCCTACGCTGTACCCCCCGAGCGTCGTAAACAACGGAGAACATCGGCCCCTGCTCCTGAAAATCGCAGTCTCCTTCCCAAACGATCGAATACAACTGGATACGGCACCCAGGAAGATCGCACCGATGCTCTAGTCTCAGGGAATCGTCGTCGCGAATCCTTCACCGACCCAGATCCCTCCGGCGGGTATTCAAATCTCCTCGCAGGTCCGAGGAGCACCCTCCGCGGAGCCTGGCGAAGCAGTCTCCGATACCTTGCCCAATGGACCGGCAGCCAAGGAAGACGCACAAGCTCATCCAACCCAGTTTCCGACCTCGAAGCCAGTCCCAACGGACACACAGAATGAAAGCATCTATTCCTGCGCCACCATACCCATACCCCGGCCCAGCCATACCCACTAGACCCACCCACCCCATACACTGGCAACCACACCATGGATAACCCCTTTCCTTTCAACCAATGTACAATAACTTCATACTACCTATTTATCTATACACACATACATCGACCCATCTACTTGACGGTATACACCCACACCCACTGGTTTCCCCTTTTTCCATTCTGATATCCTTCCCACAACCTGGACTTGGAGTCGTCAACAGGCCAGAAGATACAAGCCTATCGTACTCTCTTTTTCTCATGTTCACTTTCTTTCTTTCCTTCTTTCGTCATGGCCCTGCCTGCATATTTCTGCACCTATAGGATTGGATCGTCATGTCACGGGACAGATAGACAGGACTGTTTTGGGTCACGAGCTCTGGATACTCGAGCTGGCACGCACTTTCATTCCGCCTCGACTTCATTTCCTGTCCTTCCTTCAGAAGATTTTGGGTCAATAGATTGGAATCTTGGCCATAGATGGGAGTCAATCTTTGGTTTCTCTGGACGATTACCTGGGTAGATGTGTAGATGATGAGTTCACTCCTCACTGGGTGATGGGCAATCACTGATCTACTGTATGTACAATACCGGTATTTTGGAATGGCGGAATGGGGTAGCAGAGGGACGAGTAATAGTTCCGATTTTCTCCATACCATACATGACATACTTCTTACCCGATGAAGGTTATCAATCCAATATCATATCAGTTACTCAATCAAATGACCCCATTGGCGTTCCGTTCGTACCCGCCCCCCTTCTGCTTCCGGAGCTGCCATGTCAATTTGCCCGCAAGCCAGAATCATTGTCGAAGGGGTGGACAACGGGTCCGAGGGCAAGAGAGGGGAACGAACCTGGAGCAAGGGGTGAAAATCACATGGGCAAATCAAGGAGATCAATTAGTCAACGCATGACAAAAAGGACAATTTATGAAAGGACAAACAGATAACCACTTCGCCAGTAAGAATCGAGCAAGAAGAAAAAAAGAGGAAGGTAAAAGCACCAGAAACACCGCCACTTCCACCGTCGTCTAGGAAAAGGATTAGGAGATGAGGAACGGGAGAGAAAAGCAATTAATAGCCTAGGAACCCAGATCAGAGTGTCTTGCATCCGTCATGATTCAGTCGTCCAGCCCGGCCTTCGTTTTTTCCTTTTTTATTCTTTTTCCCCCCTTTTTCGATTGGCTGTTTTTTGGCTTTTCTGGTGAGAATCTTCCGTGAAACAGGACAAATAGCAGGAGGGATCTTGCGAACACCGAGAGCAACGACTCAGGTGCCTGTAAACTGGAACCTAACCGGATCGGGCTATACACAGATTACAATAAGACCATCTTTCTGTTCTTCGTTCTGAGTGGCGCGGTGGTATACGATGCAGACCGTTTTTTAAAGTATCAATTATGTGTGGTAACAGTTCGTTGGGTATCAAAGGAAGGCCGTAGAGGAGAGCTGCACGCGCTGAAGTTGACTAGGATGCGAACAACTGTCTGGGCCCCTCAGGTTCTTGGAAACGCGGCATCAAGACACATAACCACCGCTTATGCAGTGGGCTGGTGCTGGGGCGGCATCCGGTTGCCCACGGGCATGCCGGGATACTGCCCTCCAGCCTGCTGTTGCTGCTGCTGGAGGTTCTGGTAGTATGCCATTTGCTGTTGTTGCTCATTGGTCATGTAGCCGGGGTGCATACCGGCGGGACGGGGGATATTCGACTGTTGGGGATTAACATTGCTGTGGCTCACATCCTCGGGCGTCTCCGCCGGCACCTCGGGCGCATCGACGCCATTCTCGTTGGTAGTAGGATCCGGAGCATTAAGGCAAGCCTGGGATGGAGAAAGATTGAGTCAGACGGGTTGGCCGACTCCCGAAACGCAGGACCAGAGCATCACACTCACCTGGATGAGGTTCTTGCCCTCCGCCTTAGTCACCAGCGGTTGGAGCTTCGGTGTGGTGAAGGTATACACGAGACCGGTCTCGGACACGACCAGGAGGAGCACTTGGGTACCTGTGAGGACGGAGAGCTCATAGGCCTGTTTTGCGACCGCATTGAGGCGTCAGCATCGACGTGGCGGCAGTGAAACCACGCAGGGATGGTGGGCACGATCATGAAAAAGGAGGACAGGAACACAACACGACAGGGTGAAAGGCAGCGACGGGATTGAAGGCGAAAGCGAAGGGAGAATGAGGCTGAGACGCGACAGCACGCACCTTCTTCATGATACCCGCCTTCCGCTTGGAGAAGGTGATGTGGCGACGCGACTTATCCTGGATGAACTTGATCTCAATCTTTCGGCGCTCGCGACCGGGCTTGTCATCGTCATCGTCGTCGTCGTCGGCGCTCATGCGAGAGCGTTTGGTGCCGCGGTTGTCAGCGGCGCCGTTACCGGCGGCCTGCTGCAGGTCGTCCTGGGTAGGAGAAGGGTTCTCCTCACCGACGGCAGTGATGTCGGCCATGATGAAACAAGGGCAGATGGAAAGGAGGGGGAGGGAAAGAAGCGATAGACAAAGATACTAGAAGTGAGGAAAGGGAAGATTCTGGGGAGCGTGAAGACGAATGCCCAAAGAGGAATGATGCTTTTGAGGGGGAGGAAGAATGACCAAATCGAGTAACGCGTTTGCTTCGCAGGGTTTGGGTTCAGGACGAGAAGGAAAGAGAAACGGCGACGACGACTTCGTTCGAAGAAGGCAAAGTGCCGCTGCAGACCAGGCAGGCGGTCTGTCACGTGTCTCTGACCGTACCGTACCGTACTCCCCGTCCCCCCGTGGTATTTGCCCGCGCGCCTCCTCGAAGCCCTCCCCTCGGCATGCCCTCTGTTGCCGCGCCCTCTAAGTACCTACGTCCTCTCCTCTCCTCTTCTCTCCTCTCCTCTCCCCGTTTCCTTCGTGATGCCGGCATCCTGGAGACCTTCCTCTCCGGGCACGACGAACAAACACCCATCGGTTTCTTTCCTCAACCCCCATCACCATCTCATCCCCCTCTCCCCTCCCTCTTCCCCCTCAAACCACCGGTCCCCCCCAATCTTTCGGTCACAATACAGGCTTTGTCCAGACCCGACGGTGGGGAAGGACTCGGTCTTGGCCCGAGCCACTATTGGCCTAGCCGCAGTGAGGCATTGGAGATTCGATACGGCGGCCAACTCACATTCCCCACCCATACCGCGTAATATTACGGAAACGACCCCCTCCCTCAGGGTCACTTTCCTCGAGCGTGAACCACGGCGACGCTGAATCGAGCAATTGGGGAAAGCTTAGTTGACCCTCCACAGTCCACCTTCTCTCCCCCGAGCCATGGCCCATGGCCCATGATTCACGCTGTCGGAATCACACACAATGTCCTTGATCGAGAACCACTGCACCGATTCGCCAGGGCCCGTCGATCGATTATCTCTGATCACATCGGGGCATGGCTGTGGCGGCCAGCATTCCATCTCGATCTCCCGTGTGTCTGCCCGTGGATTACTACTAGGGAAGTAAGTATAGGTAGTGTATCTACGCCGTACTGCAGTAGTAACCCGGGCACTTGGCCCCCAAACCAAACCAAACCGCCGGGCGTCGTTGGTAGTGAGTAGGTACCACCTAGTGGTGTACTTAGTAGTAGGCAGGGCAGTGGTACAGTATTTTCAGACACGCAGCCCCCTAGTATCTAGCCGTCCTGTGTACTTGTCCATTCTCCGTACTATTGATTGATCGATTGATTGATCGGTCATCCTAGACTATACAGACATACATACCTACGGACGGATGCATTCATGCAAACTCGGATCCGACGAAGGGCCTTGCAACCTAAGTATCTAACCGGTTTACACTGAGTTTGACGCCCACACGATAGGGTTTCGGTACTTACTACCACTCTCTCATTGCAAGGCCCGGAGACGGTCTCCCTCCATCACGCAAACCCCAACCCTGGATACGATAACTATATATAGTAAGCAGGTGAGCCAGCAGGAACCCATCAGCAAGGACAAGCCCAATTATTTCCCTCAAAACCAATAGAGACCCGCCTGATAGTGATTATAACTGCACCATCTGCATCAATGTATATCAATCAATCAAACCCCTCTTACCTCCCCACGAGGCTCTTCCCTCGTGCGGACTGAGCAGACCTCTCTCTCTTCCCCCCTTGATAGTAAAAGTACTCCGTAGATGAGTCTGGCAAGGCCACCCTCATTTACTCCCCAGCAAAGCCTCGACCAAACCCTCGCTACACGCAGCACTGACCATACATCCTACGGTATCATCTGCCTAGAACCTTAACCCACTTCCAGATAACCTTACGGCCCATGAACCAATCCAGAAACTACCTAATCCATCGTCATTCTAAACCCAGCCGCAGGGATCCCTTTCCCTCGCGAAATACCTAACCAAGTGCCTGCATGATATTAATTAGTCAGGACCATCGTCCCAACATCCTGGAATCGAACAACCCCCGATCAGCAAACCCAACCAAGCCTGCACCACCAGCGTGAGCATCCAAAAAGGAAAAAAAGAAAAGAAAAGAAAAGAAAGGAAAAGAAAAGAAAAGAAACCGGTTCCTTACCACCTGCAGCTTCACGCGCCCAGAAACCTAACTTTCTTCACCTCATCATCACTCGTCTCATCACACATGAACCCCCCCTTCCCTACGGGCGATGATAGGCCTGTTCATTAAACCTAGTCAAAGCTTTGAGGCGGTCTACATGTAACTATGTAATTCTCAGCCCTGCAGGATCTACTATTGACTCTATAGCGGACATACCCACATACACACTACTTACCTTCCTATATACGGAGTAGTAGGGAGATATATGTTACACACAACACCACCACCCTCCATCAAAATAAGCTGGTGTGGTGCATATACCACCCATTACTAACTACCACTACTAGTATCATATCGACATTTATCCGTTTACACTCAGCCAGTCCAATCCTCACCCTCCTCTCTTCATCACCACTGAATACATACATGTCATTCAGAGAAACAATCTATCTACACACCACCATCACCACCACCATAACGACCCTGACCATCCCTCCAGTCCAATCCACTCCACACAACTCAAGAACGCATCTCGTTTCTCGCTACTACTACCATCCGACCCTCCTCCCCCAACTCCCCCCACCCCCCAATCATCACGATCATCTGTCTCAGTCAGTCAACCAATCATCCATACTGTCCCCGCAACCACCTCGGTGGATAAGCAATCAAAAAAAAGACCCGGATTGCGGGCGAGAATAATAAGCCGGGTGAGAGAGACATCCCGAAACAAAGACCGGGTTTGAATATAAATACCATGTGTATATCTGTTTTTTTTACTATTGGATTGTTTCAAGATTAGGTAGGTAGTTACTTGGTAGGTAGGGAATCAGCCGGTCTCAGACATGCCATGCTTGCCGTGTATCTACTATCTAGTGAATCGGGCTCGATGAATCAATTCGACTCTATGTGAAACATGCATCAAACCAAATCACGCAATCAGGTTACCGCCCTATTACGAATGCATTTTTAGTTGATCTAGTCATGTTGTCCCCGTGCGTGTCTAATGCTACCTAGGAGGCCCCAAATCTAAGACTTAACTCGTGATATTCTGCCATAACGACAAATGCGCTAATCTCCAAAAGCAAGCAATCGACCGCGGCTCGGCCGGCAAATTCTATTTTTACAAGATGATGCAAGAAGCAGCCTCCACGCGAAGCCAGCAACTGGAAGAAAGGAAGGATAGGAAAATGTCAGATCGTGAGCGAGATGCCCCGGGCAAAATCCCCGAGGCCGTAGCCAGGTATGCTCTTCGCTGAAAACCACCAGTGCCGATCTTTGACTGCGCCAATACAACGCCGGGCAAATGATCAATCAAAAACAGAGGGGCCGAAGGACTCGGGTGCCGAAAGCGATAGTGTCAGACCACTTTCACTTTCTAAGTACCCTTGCCGCCATTGAAGTTGGGGTTGTAGTGTAACAGGAAGATATAGAGCAAAATCACGTAGAACTTTGTCAAGGAAAGGATAAAGGAATGGATTGAAGAATGTGCAAGAATCGAAAAGCTTCACGAATCCCAAGGACCAGCCTCAGTATCGGTTGTGAGGTCGCTCATGTGGTGGATAGTCAAGGACTTAGTGATGTTGTTTCCGGACACCATAGTCGTGGATGCCGGCACCACCGCCACCCTTGGGGCCGAGCCAGACGATCTCGATAACGCTGTGGCCTTCATCTTCTTCGCGCACATACCACTGGTGCACATTATCACCAACCACGTAAGCGTCCCGCAACAGCCAACGATCCTTGGTGACACCCTCCTGATCCCGGTTGCGGAGGGGTCCCAGGCGCGCCTCGTAACCCCGGGGATCTTCCTCCCAGGTCTTCTCCGCGTGGTCGAAGTTGATCGCATCGTCGGGCGTGTTCTCATCGTAGGTGTACTTGACGAGTGAGTATCCGTTGGTGAAGACCCAGAAAGTGCGGATGGAGCGACCGGTAGCGTTGTTGACAATCTCCTCCTGGTCAAAGACCCAGCGACGAAGAACGGATCGGCGACCCGCGGCGGCGGCCACGGTGGTCATCTTCACGACATCCTTGGAATACCAGCTGTTCCAGTGGTGCAGACTCTCGATCTTGCGACCAGACTCGTAGACACCGTCAACCTCGCCCTTCATATCCATCTGGTACAACGAGGGCCAGAGGGTAAGGGGAGTGTCTCCGTATCTCTGGATGCATTGGCCGAGCTTCTGGTCACCGGGCTGCTCGCCCCACGACTGGCATTCATCATAGTATTCATCCAGGACATCGAGAAGGGGCTTGGAAACAAAGACACCAGCACCTCCGAAAGCAATGTGGCCGAAAGTATCAACCTGCCAGCTGGCCTCAGACAGAGCACCAATGTAGTGCTTCTTGCTCACGTCGAAGAGCTTCAATTCCTCGGCAATGGTCGACAGAGACAGGAAGAAAGTGTCATCATCAATGAAGCTGACCCACTGGGTCTGAGGGCGCTTGGTTTTGATGTGCTCCGAGAACGCCTGCACCAGACCGAAGTAACGAGCAGTGAAGTCCAGGGGAGACTGGATCAAAGTCAAGTCCAAGCCACGGTTACGGAAGTAAGCCTCCTGCTTCGGGATGTCGTCGTCCGACTCCGGAACAAGCACGATGATACCAGCCTTGGTGTTTCCGTAAGAGTACAGCAGAGAAGGAAGTAGACGGTCCAGACGATCAGCAGTGGTAGCCAGACCGAACAAGAGCTTATCGGTCTCGTCCACATCGTGGTCAGCAGCGACGTTGACGTCGATGATCGGGGGGCAGGGCAGTGACGCTTCCTCGTTCTCCGGCGACACGATCATACCACGCTCCATGACAGTCATAGGGGGAAGAACCGGGATTTCGATATCCTCCAGCGAGTTGAACTCGGTCTTGGGGCTCACATGGTGAGGACGGAAGTAGGCACGGGTGTAGTTCTTGCGAGGAAGCCATTCGCTGAAAGGCAGAGGGGGCAAGAGGCCAGGATCCACGTCGCATGCTTTAGACGGGGGAGGCGTTGGTTGCAGCTGGATCTGAGGAGAGGTCGATCCAGCGACACGGTCGACCGGGTGCTTGAAGCGCAGGAGGGCAGCCTGGTCGAAACGTTCGACGCACCAGAAGAAGAACCCAATGGAGAAGAGGGCGATCAGAGGGAAGACCGTTTTGACACGAAACATCGGCATCTTGGCGGTAGTATTATGGTTATTCTTGTTCTTGAACATGTAAAAGGTGTCAGGTCGGTGACGAGATTATTAGATTTGTGTGATCGCTTCAAAAGGACGTCAACGGAAAAAGTTGTCGTCACCGGATCCGTTCTCGGAGACCGTCAGGTACGAAGCGAAAACTGGACGAAAAGGTGTTATAAAGAGTGGAATTGGCAGATAGAAAAATGATCCTGATAAGGAAAATCTTTTCTATTGCCAGATAGACTGTCAACGAGAGGCTGGCAGCGTCGAGACCTGCGACACGGTCACGGAAAGGGGTGGTGAGGCCCGCCGAGGAATTACTGGGCCAAAAAAAGTCGCAGGAACGGAATCCCCCGAGGAGAACTGAGGCCCACGAGATGGGAAGAAACGAAAGCGCAACCGGACGGTGCGTCCAGGGCCTAGGGGAGAGCTCAAGAGGAGAGAGGGGAGGTGAAAGGATGAGGTGGTCGCTGATTGTCGAGGCGTGAGGATGTAGAGGGAAAGGGGGAGAGGAAGAAGAGGAGAGGAGAGAAGGAGGGGGAGAAGCGTTCGAGAAGTAGACAAGATGAGGGACGAAGACAGGAGGGAATGCCGATTCCTGGACCACGGGTTGGGCTGGGGCCAAAGCTCCTCCCAATGGGTAATTTTAATCTGCAAATATTAAGCTCAACCCGTCTCTGAGTGGGTGGGTTCGCTGGGTTTCCAGTATAAGGCGAACGGGGCGACGGAAGGGGGTTCGGTTGGTGCAGTGCTTGATGCTCTTCTTCTTCGCAGCAGAGAAGAAGTAGGATGTTGCACAGCAGGAGAAGGTAGGGAATAAAAGAGAACGAGAGAGAAAGTGAAGAGAGAAAAGGTGGCCGGATTGGGGGAGGGGGAACAGAAGGAACCCGATCATGATTTTATGATTTTATAATTTTATTATTATCACAGTGGAATTTACACCACTGTGATGCTTAGTGTTCTTATGCTCGGCCTGTTGACGCCTCCCGCCGGGTGCCAAGTTCCTCTGCTGCGTTACCTTTTTACCTCGAATTTCCTATTATTGCCTTTGCTTGTATTCTTCCTCGTCATCCTCTTGTTTTTTTTTGTTTTCTGATTTTCTTTTGTGAAGAGTCAATTCATTATTCTTCTTCCCCTGCCTCCTCGACAGTGTGCAGGTAGATAGTCCGCTGCCGTCCACCCACCCACCTTTGATGCCGATCCCTGACTTGAAGGAAGAATGTCGATGAATGGATGGAGGATGGATGGATGGATCTTCGCTGCTCCACTCGGCCGGTGGCGGGTAATTTTCACTTTTGCCTTTCGGACCCTGGCGAACTTGCGATACGGGAACGGCGGTTCTGCATTCCCCGACGCGTTGACAGTCGTCGTCCTCCATCACGATGCTTCCAGCCCTTCCACCGCCCACGTCTCTTGAAATCATTCTGTGACAGTAGATCCTGAGAATGCCCGATACATCGAATCTGGATGGTTTACAGATCTCAAGAGTCAATGCATTTCCCCAGTCTCCCCCGTCTGCGGTCTGAGGTACATGCGTAGGTGCGTATCTCCGCCTCGATCTTTCCGATACCACATGTACGTCCAGAAGTCCCTCCAGCCAGAGTCAACTGATCAACCCTCGGGGAAATCGTGAGAGTCAACCGAAATAGAACATCGTACGGGATTCAGTTTAGGCTTTTTTCTCCGGCTCTTCAGCCTGCCATCTACCCGGGCATTGAGGGGTTGGGAGTCGTATTCCAAGCAGATATGCTTCGAGGCTTGCGTCGACCCTCGAGGGGACTGGCAGTGTAGTATACTTGGTGCTGGAATCCCAAACAGCTGATCCCCGTTTCTTGTCTATTTCAAACCAAGCACCCGTGTTACAGGATGTCGTATGCTTTTCATTATTTCAACGTCAACGGTAAGCATGAGATGACAGCTATCCGCTCCAGCTGGACACCCTCCACCAGACATTCTCGGAATGTTCCAGTAGATGGTCGGTCTCCCGCTACTATTCTTATCACCGACTGACTGACTGCCTTGGTCCAGAGGAATACTACTCCGTATGGCAGTGGTTCTGTGCTGCCCGGTGAGCAACCACGACGCCATCGCCGACCGTAATGTATCCACATCCACATCCATGCCATGCACCTGAGACATTCAAAGCCGTGTAATACTCTGGGGGAACCAACCGAGTGGCCGGTGCAACAAAAAGGATGGAAACTTCGATCTGCGCGGTTGCCCGCCGGTCCAGCCAGTGAGCGAAGACCCTTTAGGGGCTCGCGGAGGCCGGCTGCCCCACGGGCCGCGTGTCCTTTCCACCCTCTCCTATTCTGCCATTGCAGATACACTATAGATACCTACACTACACTGTCCTCCGTATACCTAGTGTTAGCGCATGCCTCGACTCGATCAGTTGGTGTCGTCTTCAGGTGAAACTAGGGTCGTCATGGTCACCAAATGTGGGCCATTCAGCTTGTTTGTGGAAGGAGCACTAACAGACTAACAGTCTAACAAAGACAAAGTACATACCTACATCGCACGCCATCCAGCACTATACAGTACAATGTTTAGCTCTGACTAGGGTCGGCAGCATTTACCTCAAATCCAAATCCATGTGTCGGTTGTAAACTCTCAGATACGGATCTTATGGTTCTCGTTTTTCAGCCCCCTTCGTTGCCACGTATTAGAATTAGCGATTAAAAAAAAGAAGAAAAAAAAAAAAAGTCCTTGGTCCCAGATTCCATTTTCTTTGTATAGTGCCGCCACTCCTCCACGAGGCCGAAAAGTGGCAAAAAGGTGGCCGTGCCGTTGAGCCTCATGAGTGGACATGGGCTGACCAGATTGCCTCCAGACTTCGGCCTGTACCTGTTGGCCCTGTGGTTGGAGTGGTCCCTCGTCAGCTGGTCCAGCCACCCAAATCTCACTGGAAATTTTGCAAACCAAGAATCTACCTCCGACTCAGCAGCCCGTCCGGACGCGCGTACGCCGTCCCTGATACTTTCCTCCGCAGCTGGGCAGCCTGTCATTGATGGATTGTCATTCTGCGGCCGCGGAGGGGTCAGACTGCAAGTGGGCGCATAGAATCATGTTTGCGACATCGTTCGGGCCAATGCCAGGAATTCCCCTTTAATCGTCTGCGCCATCGTGAAGATGTACTATGTAAACACTTACACCATTCCAACGGTCTTTCCGTCAGTCAAGTCCACCCACACGGGAGCAGGAGGGATCGACATGCTCGTCGTTTCGCAGTGACTTGGACACTTCGCTAAAAGACATTGCCGGGCAATTAAGCTTGAACGCCAGCCTTGGCAGCTGTCACACTCACACGATTCGATGGACCCTGACACTCTGTCAACCTTCTTGCATGAGATGCATGATACATCTGTCCCGGCTGCGTGGAGTCCAGCTTTCATCCAGGTGTTTCCTGGAGACCAACCCGGGTCAGTGCAATTCATTCGCCAGCTGGTCGTGAACCAGACCGGATCGCAACGCATGAAGAGGGCGGTCTAACCTGCAATGAAAGCCCCCTGATCTTCATCGAGTATCCATGCCCAGAGCCGAGATGCCAAGGCACCAAGATGGCCTCCGTGCTCTTTAGGGAAAGATGTGCGCCCGATCAGGTCGGCCGTCTGCTTGCTTTTACCGCAACTGGACTCAGTGGACTGGATGGAGTCGATGCCAGAGGAACAATGACATCAAAGGAGGGTCCTGTTCAGGGTCCAAGGTGCCCTTTTCCGAGGCCGGTTCCCGAGGAGAGATACTATGTACTAGATACGGAGCGGCAGTGGGCGTGGTTCCTTGTTCCTCGACTCCCTACGCTATACCTTCCCAGTCCGTACTCTTTTCAAGCTCCCCATGAACGGGAGGGAATTTTTGAATTGAAAAAAAACCTCTTTATTGAGCATGATTAGAGTCTAGTCTGACGACACTACCGTATAGCACCCATTCGCTTGGCAATAGTGTAGTTCACCAGTGACCTAACTACTAACAGAAACCTTCGAGCCTGATAGGCCAGTTGGCCAGGAACATGCAATCGGCCACTATCGCCAACCTAATCAAATCCAAAAGCTTGGAAGACATTGGCCTTTTTGAAGTTCAAAACCAGTCGAGACCAACCTCTCCTCACGAATTAATCACAGCCAGTCAACAGCATACATGATGCCATATGCCATCATAATAGACATAAATTACCGCATTCTCTAAGTATTATATAGTGAGAACAACCCCGTCCACGTAACACTACCCCATAACCCAACATCCAAGTAGTAATACAACGCCCGACACCACCCACAATTTTGCAATACACACCCCGTTTCATACCATACACAATCATACTGCATAAATACTACCTAATCCCCTGAACCCATCAAAATCAAGGCAGGTTCGGACAATCTCCCTAAATCTAATAGGTAGGTAGGGCGTGGAAATTAAGCGATATTAAAGTGAGCACAGATACCCGTGCACTATAGGATCTTAGTCCCCGATAGAGCGTTTCGGGTCTATCAACGGGTGAAATGAATTGTGGGTAACATATCTCAAACAATTAAAAAAAAACTACCTATCTACTGTTTGATTTTCTGTCGGTCTGACTGAGGTTAATTATCATGTCTCAGTATCATCTATTAATTCCTTGTTTTAAGCTTTTGAATCGCTTGTGATCATGATGGGTTTGTTGTGAGATGTTGATTAAGGATCTACAGGCAGGCATTGGATCTGGATCAGATGATGTCCGTTTATGATTTGCTTATCGGGGGATTTGAAAGGATTCGGAATTTAATCTTAAAGGAATAGGTTAATTTGGGTTATCGGCCAGTTAGACTTCAGATGAAGGGGATTGTAGTGTGTGCTAGATTTGCTTGTAGATTAATTCTTCGGGATTTGGTTGTTGGTTTTTCTTTGTTGATGTGTGATTATTGGGGGTTTGGGTATCCTGTAGAAGAGTTTTCTTTGTATGTTCTCCTGATTCTATATTGCGATTGCTAGATATGTTTCTTGGCGAAATCGTGGAAGTGGTGTGTTTCAATGTGGGGAGTTTGCGCTCGTGTATGTTCATGCATCTATTGGGGTTATCTAGTGAAGTGGTAGTTAGATACTTATGTGGATGGGAGTCTGTGTCTATCCTGAAGTGGAATGTATAAAATACTATACAGATAAGACTGAATTGTTGTACAAGGTAGTACAGAGTAGATGGTAGAAATATATATTACTGCTCTATCTGTTAGGTATAATGCTGGGTCTTAATGAGTATAGGAATAGGCCATGAGCTATTTAGTTCACCCGATCCAGTTCATTTGGCATTATGGAGGGTCTTACCCACCGTGCTGACGCTGAATGTCCACCAGTATCTGCGGGAAAATGTGAATACATCTCAAGTACAAAGCAATTGCATATTCTATGGCTATTTCATTGAATAGAGATTATGCCCGTCACATCTCCTCCAACTGCTTGGCGAATTCTAGAATTATCTTACTCAATTCCTCCGTAGCCGACAACTGCGCACTATGTCCGGTTTGGATCTCCCTCGTGATCCACTTCTGTCCAGTGGCCTGCACCATCGCCGCCTGCGCCTCGTAGGGAACCGCCCGATCATTGACAGTATGGATATAAGCGATGCGATCCCGAAAAGCCTCAGTATCCCAGCTCGCCTCGGGACAAGGGCTCTGAAACGAGGTCAGTCCCTGAGGGAGGGCGGATTGGCAGGCGGCGTCGGCGAGGTTGGGAGACACATCATAGAATAAAGGAGGCTTAGGGTCGTCACAACGTAGCACGTTCGCCTTTTCCTGTACGGATATTGTTAATGACTGGAGTGAGAAGAAAGCGAAGGGAATACATACGTCGGCATACATGTGCGGCGGTAGGTGTCCACCAAAGTTATCTATCACGCTCAGGCCATCACCTCCGTGGGGGAGGATAGTTGCGATGAAGATCTGGCCCAGTACGGCAGTGGTCTTGCTCTGGGCAGCGCGATCAGCCTTTCCCAGGCCGCAAGCTGCTGCGCTAGCAGGCATGCCGCTGTAGGAGTGACTGATGAGGATGATATTGCGCTGGCCGACGTCCAGCATGGGGAGTAGCATCCGTGAGCGGACGTACTCGGCATCGTCTGCTGCGGTCACTGGTTCTTGGGCCCCTATACTAGGAAGCAGAGCGCTGAAAGCCCCGTAGCCTGCGGACTGGAGAAGATGAAGGAGATAGGCATAGTGAGCTGGATTCTGGGATGCGCCGGGTACGAGGACGAAGACGGGTTTGTTGGAGGCCATCGCGAGGGTGAGAGATAGAATGAAAGATAGAAGTGTTATAGAAGTCGAAGAGCCTGGGAGAAGTAAATACTGATGCTAAAAGGGAGATGTTGCGGGTTAAATACTTACTGGGGGTTTGATTCCCCTCTGACCAGACTGAGGTTGAGCATTCTACCTATAGACCAGCATGTCCTAGGTATCTCCACATTGGGTCTGCTCAGATGTTGTTGAGAGCATAGATTGGATACGCATGTTGGGCATACTTTTGTTTCATTGGGTGGCTCGTAAGATCAGAGTGCCGGTAGTGGATGACCCCCAGAGGCTGAAGTCTCTCGCTTCCGGGCAATCTTACTGGCCCTCTCGTCAGATCAGCGCAGACTAGTTCCTGCGGGGAATAATTCGAGGGCAGACAGGATGGTCTAAGTACTTCCTAGAACCATCCGAAATGATGTGGGATACTTTTCATCGCATGTCCTATCCTTTTAGCCGAGTGTCAATAGATACGGAGTAGAAGGTTCTCAAATTGACAGTCAATTATATCCTGATATGGAATACATCTGGAAAAGTGTAACATGATGCCAAGCCACATGCATGAGCTACAGCTGGTGGCATTGAGACACGAGACGCGGGAAGGAAGAAATGCAAGCTACAGCTCCTTCAATGTGCTAATCAACCCGTGTTACACTGAGCTCGGAGACTTATGAAGGGCTGGTCGCACAGGGAAGTGAAACACGGTGTGTTTGTGTAAACAAAGCATGTATGGATGCGAATATGGGATGTTACACATAGGGACTGTGCAGCAAGACGGGTGCATGACCATCTGCTGGGAAACAAAACGAAAACTTGAAACGGTTTGCTAAAGTCAAAACGAAATATAAGAAGGATGAGGCAGACGCCGTCGTAATACATTATCATCGAGCATGTCTATCTAAATCGTGGCTACAGGATATTTACATGCGGGTTGCTCTACAACCACGCATCATTCCTCATCATAAGCGCCCTCTCGATCCTCGAATCTCATGAACTCGTGGTCCGCAGCCTCATCCCCCATAACCAGCTCCCAGGCATTCTTGACCATGTCAATCAGGGAGTCGTCAAATGCAAGGTCAAGGCTAGCAGGTGGGAGGCATATGACGTTCTTCGATGGACGGGTTATTCCGGCGACGTGTGAGCCGTCTCGGCCCAGCTGCGTATAGCGGAGGGACCAAAGAACCTTCACGTTCGGATCGGCAGCTGACTGAAAGAGCTTTTGCACAGCAGACTCAATCATCGACTGCCCCTCGGGTCCAGGGATGCTGACATTACTATATATGACGGCTGGCTAATAATTAGCAATGTGTCATAAGACAATGCAATTTGTAAAAAAGAAAGATTGTAAGGCTCATGATCAGATTGTAAAAGTTTTCGATCAACGATGTATCAGGCAATGTAGATAAGTTTTTGAAAAAAATCATCATATGAGCGAAGGGAAGGGATGGCGAAGAAAAAGTCATAACTCACATTGTCCAGTTGGACACTCGCCAGTCTCGCTGGAGTGGACTATAGTGTACACCGGAGGCGAATCATCTGGGCAACCAAGAGAGCTTCCCGGGAATACCACTATCGCTCCAACAGGGACTGGTCCGCCCTCTGCTGTAACGGGGAAGAGACTTGCAAGCGAAGATGAAACGACAGAGATCGAACGGGCCACTTTGTCACACTCAGGAGAAGGGCGAGCTTCCGCGGGAAGATCCCAATCAGAACCAACCACGAACCGGGTTTTAACCAGTTCATCATTGGTCAATTGGACTTGTATACGTCCATCGTCACTGGGTTCTTGCTCGGTGGGATGATCGAGCGACTTGACCCCGGTGTTCAAGACATACACACCACCACCTACGGCAAGGGCACGACATCCGACCTGAGAAATCTCAGAACCACCGCCCCATTTCACCGAGAGAGCCCCGAATCCGGCGCCAAACACACCAATCGACGACAAATGTCTCTTGATACGCGGGACGGCGTACTGTGCAGATGTCTGTTGGGGAGATGCCTGTGACAGGCAAAGTGAGAGCAGTGGGCCATGGAGCTCGGCGGGAACCTGAAACTTCGTGGCTAGATACTCAGGAAAAGGTGCCGCAAGGCCTTCCTCTTCCAAGGACGATGTCGGTTCATCAGACAGATCTCCACTCTGCTGAGCCTGACCTAGGTGACGAAGGAACTTCATCAGAGTTCGCTTCGACTTCATACTGATCACGTCGTCCGCAAAAACATCCTCACGACTGCCAGGGACACGGTAGAGACGACTACCATCATCTGCCTCAGGTTTGTATAACCACCAGCTTCCAACCGCTTGAAACTCCAACTGCCGGTAGACCTTCGACGACACCAGAGTGGGTAGTAACTGGGATCGGGCGTAGATCAGCTGCGGCGACAAGGAGAGCGTATATGATCGAGAAGCTGAAAGCTGACCGGTGGGGTCCGCTGAACTTTCCGAACATATACTAGCGTTTTCGAAGGGGAGCTCCCCGGTCCCTAGCTCACCCACGAGTCAGCAGGTGCCTTGGGGTCGCCTAGACTAGGGAGCTCCTACCCTCGTTCACTTTAGCAGCCCACTCTTCGGCCTCCTGAAGGCTGAAGGCAGCCTCAGGACCACCGTAGTATGGATTCCTGTCAACATGGAGCACGTTCTTACCTGACCTGGAAAGGGCCCTGGCAAGGGACGTTAGCTGTAAGCAAATACAGCATTAACTGGAGGACAGCTCACAGAGCCAGCAGTGACTGGGCCAATCCAGTGCCAGAGATTGTCACATCCCATGGGGTATCCGCCAGCGATTCCATTGTGATGACGACTGAACTGCAAACAAAGACTAGATGGAGGGGCTTAGCGCTTTCTCGAGGTTTGATGAGCAAGCCCAGCGATCATCACGTTGGGTCACAAGCTGATAGACACGTTTGTAGCAAGACTTCCAGGCCCATGGGTGTGCGACCAAGATCATCCGGCTCAGGGACGAAAAGAATTTCAGAGACGAAAAAGAAAGCGACGGACACGCGAAGAAATACGGGACCCGCACTGGGGCATCACGTGACTACCCTCTACCTGGCTCATGGAGGCTTCGGAGTGATTAGGCAAACATTGCAGGTTAGCATGAACATTAATCATGGCATCCAAAGCTCCTAAGGGTACCGTAGCGATGTTTAATCAGTTATTTAGAGCCAAACTATAGCCTTGAGCGTTGAAGAAGCCCAGATAGTTGCTGGTATCGCCATAGGTGACCTTATACGGAAAAATGTGGTCTTTCTTACTCAAAATCAGAATTAATATCGCCAGACCCGGTAGTCTGGCACATCTGAGGAGCTCCGAACCTACTGCTGGCTTCGAATAAACCTATAGTGAAGAGTCATACCTGCATCTATATCGATCTTGAGTATTGTTGCCTGAGGCGACAAGAAATAGACTAGGCCTAAAGCAGCTAGGCTCACATAACGGGAGCCGCTTAAGGAGGATTTCGCCCACAACAACAGCTCTTTTCTTCTTCATACCACTCCTGGTGCTCTGCACAGGCATACTGCTGTCATATAGCGGTTTGTCGTCTTGCACAAGCCTTCACTGGTCTTGTTGTTATGGGAGTGGTAGATAGACATTTCACTCTGTATCTGCTGCTCTGGATGGTTACATCTGATGGAAGCGGTTCGTTTTGCAGTGATACATTCCACATCTCTAATCTGTAGTCTGCTCGTCTATTTGGGGCCGTATTCTGGCGTTGCAGACATCAGTCCAAGACTATTATAGCTTTTCCCGGATCTAGCCTCGCTGCTACGTAAGGAATGCGTGTCTGCTCATGCTCTGCGATGCTTCGAAGAGTGCAGTGCGCCAGGCTTCCCGATACCAATGTCTGCTTGCCTGCCCCATGCCTCTACCTCGTCTCGTGTAGGTGAAGTCTGGTGTTGCTGGGATGCTGAAATGTAGCCCTTGGGGCTGATCTGCCCATAACCGTGTGGTCCAAAGTCCATCACTCATCTCCCTCCACAATTCTGGCACGAAGGATCTTAACCTCGTCCATTGGCCGGTCTTCGGAGTTGGTCTTCACGAGCCCCATGCGTTGTATCACTCTCATGCCGCTCTTGACGCGACCGAAAATGGTGTGCTTCCCGTCCAGCCATGGTGTCGGAGCAAGTGTAACGAAGAACTGGCTGCCGTTGGTGTTGGGTCCGCTGTTCGCCATGCTCAAGATCCCAGCACCGGTATGTTTGAGACCCGGATTGATCTCATCCTCGAATTTCTCTCCGTAGATCGAGCTTCCTCCTCGGCCAGTGCCGGTAGGGTCGCCGGTTTGTACCATGAAGTTGGGAATAATGCGGTGGAAGATGACATTGTTGTAATAGCCTCGTTGCGCAAGCGTCGCGAAGTTCTTACATGTCTAGATGGTCCAACTGTCAGCACGAGGCATGAAAGTGAGAATTGGGTGAGCCGAGTAGTTCTGTACTGACCTTTGGCGCATGCGCATTGTAGAGCTCTACCGTGAACGAGCCCTGGGCAGGTTAGTGGATCAGGCTGACGCAGTAGTTTTGGATATCCATACCATGCTCGTGTCAAAAGCCACATCAGTCGCCATTATGAAGTCTAAGAGACGGGTATCGAGTTGATTATGGGAGCTTGTCAAGAATTGTCGTGAAGGGTGGAAGTTGAGCTTTCCTCTGGCGCGGCGGAAGGTCGGGATCCAGTCTTGGCATCCGATGTTCCATGAATGAACCGTTCCAACAACCCCTCTCATAGACATAAAGTGATAGGTATTCTGCACGCCTAACCTGACCTTATACTTTGACGATCTTGAGACACCATATCCCATATAGATTTACAGTTATTCGCTTTCGGTATCTAAGGATGGAAGATGATGTAACGACGGACATGGTATCATTGCATGTAGCATTAGCCACTTTCCAGATAGAATATTGATCAACACTGTTCAAGAATGTGTTTCACTTCCTCCCATCTTTGCGCGGAGACGTCAACCAGCGCCTTCAACTCTTTTCCATCCACTGCCCACCCTCCATTCTTCTCCATCTTCACGATAACTGTCTTACCCTTCCCACCTTGCTCCTTATCAACCACAATGCAGACCCGTTCCTGTGTCAGTCCTTCCTCATATCCATCAGGATCAGCCAGAATCCACCTCCGCTGGATACCCTTCCTGGCACTTTCCTCGATTTTCTTCTCCTCCTCAGCGTCCGGGACAATAACCGCCCTCCACCCAGCCGCCGCATCAGCCTCAAACACAGAGAACGAGCTGGCAACAGGCAGACCGCGCAAAGACAGCCTTCGAGACTCGGAAACCGCATCTGAGCATACAACCATCTCATTATCAACATCCCACCACGCCCTCGGCAGCTTCGTGTCACGCAGTGCAGCCAACACCGCAGCCCAAGCAGCATCAAATGGATTTCCGGCCAACGAGATAATCATGATATCAATGTAAAGCACCCAGAATGCCTTGATCTCCTTGTCCTTGCCGACCTCCTCCCCGCGTTCCGTATCCACATCCATCTGCTCGGATTCATTGTGCCGTTCCAGGTCCTCTTGCCCCAGATTAGGCGGCTGGTACCAAATCCGTAGATCCTCCGCGCGAACCAGTTTCGTGCTATGCAACAGGTTCAGGATCTGGTGAGACAGGGACTGCGCTAATGCCGACGGGGGTGCGCCGGGAATAAACCCCGGTGCGCAGCCGGTGCTCAGCGAAAGGTTCGGCACGAGAAGGTTAAGTTGTTGGATGTGCGATTCGTCTTCAGGATCCTCCTCTTCGTTGTCGTCCTGAGTAGGCTTTTGGGTGGGGTTGGTAAGCTTCCGACGCTTGTTTGTAGACGATGATGAATGCGACACGCTCCACGAGGCGATGTCGTCTGTGGGGAGGATTTCCGCTCGGACGCCGCATACAGCGGTCGTATCGCCCACTCTTACGACTGCGCTGCCATTTGTGTGAGTCAGGGAGCCGGTGTTGGCGGAGGTGACGCGGAATTGCGAGGGGGCGCGGCCATTTGCTCGGATGGAAGGCTGGTTGCTCGATGCGGGAGGTGAGAGGTGGGCGAGGAGATAGGCGTGAGGTTGGAGTCGGGCGAACTGCGAGGGGGGAAGAGTGAGGGAAGGGGGGACGGATGGCGCTGCAGAGGCCATTTTTAAATTGCGGTTGGAGCCGGTTCAGTGACGTCCGAGCTGATCTGGTGTAGGGATTCTCAATTGAAAGAAAAGTGGCTTTCTGAGATTGCCAGTCTGGATGAGGAGAAGTTGGCTGCCGGACATTCGCATTTTTCTGCGGCAGAATCCGGGCATCTATCGGGGCGGTGAGGGCGTTGGATAGATCGACGGTAGTACTCTTATGACAGACAACCTGCAGTTATCTGTGACACATCGGGTATACATGATGTTGAGCTCGAGTCATACTCAAGCTGCATTGGCCATCAATACTTCTTATGCTGCTTTACGGAGCACAACAAATACGGGAACCATACTGCAAGACAGAACAGAGAGCATTATGCCCGTCAGGGATAGGCTGCCATCTTCTACCTAAGAGAATGAGGCAATAATCCACGCATGCAGAAGTAGCATGACTATGAATTGTAAGATAAAGAGCTAAGGACGTTGCATTGCTGGCTTTGTTCCTTCTACAACTCCAATGCAAAGGCCGCAGGCATATGAGATATATAAACCCTGTTATATATGTGGTAGTCTGTACATTCAACCATTCCTTTCTCATTGACACAAGCTTCGTTTTATAATCGTCTACCCAGGAACTGATCGCAACTACTGCATTTCAGACATAACATGGTTGGAGAGATGGAAGAATGCTGGCAGTATTCCCAACTCCGTGTCAATCGAATGAACGTCACTCCTCAGGGTGCAATGGGTGAATACTTAGACATACTGGTGCCACCCCTGCAGTGTGCTAGCATGCTATCTGATCAATCTGATATGATTTCATATACCAATAAGAAGCTCCAAATCCGTGAGATATCAAGAGAATCGCGAAAATCCACTTTGGATATTCATCCAGTGGCGACGTGTTGGGGGACGCGTTCAAGTGTTTCGGTGGGGGTGGCTTTTGGATTGTTCTAGAAGGAGACATGCATTCACCAAGAGGCCAGACCCTGCGGGATGGTATGCTAGGATGAAAGCTAGTTCGGGCACTGCTTGAGAATATTCGATAATAGGTTGATTGGTCTAATGTAGACGATGTATATACACCCCGAACATGAGCGGACAAGAATCAAGCTGGAAAGGAGGGCAGTATGAGGATCTATCCTAACGGACTGGACAATGGTAGGGGTATCAAATGATGGTGGAAAATTCAAAACGCCAAAACAAGAGACAGAAGCAAAACGGAACAGGGAAAGACGGTATCAGTGCTTCTATGCTTCTAATGACAAGTGAAAGAAAGTCATAGCCGCTGAGGCTCATCATCTGCCTTGCGCTTCCTGCTCACACCCTCGTCGACTTCGAGAAGCTTAGAATCTGAATCCCCGAAAGGTTGTACTCCATGATCTTCCTCGTCATCCTCGTCTTCAGCTTCGACCTTTTCCCAGTCTTCATCGTCGTCTCCAGGGGCCTTGCGCTGGTCTCGATCCTTGTTGCGAGCAGAAGTGTTCCCCTCGTTATTCGCATCCGTCCACTGGAGGACAAGTTTGACTATTCTTGCCCCGGAAGGTTTCAGTCGACGGTAATAATTTTCCACGACCCCATCTTCCACCTTGAACCCACGTGCAACGTACCACTTCAGCCCTTCTTCGTTGGCCTCGTGGACATGGGCTGTGACGGTGCGAATGTTGTAATGCCTTACCAGTTCTGAGACTTGCTGACCAGATTGGGTGTCCGAGGAACCCGAAGATGAAGACCCATCTGGCGAGAAGAGTAGCGAATTAAGCAGTGACGCTGCAATCCCACATCCCCGATACGGAGAGAGAAGGTGTAGGGTCTGGATGTAAAGATTTGTCGGCTCCGAGTTCGAACGACCTTGCAAAATTCCCGCGGTAGTGGGCGGTAGCCGCTCCAGTCGGCACCTGATTCCTCCGATGACTTTGTCAGTCCCTGTCGCTGGCGTCTGCAAGCTTGTCGAGGAAGGTGACGCTGCGGAGGCGGGCGCGGCAGCTACCGGATGATCATGGTAGACGGCCACGCGGGACAGCGACGCGATCACGGGATCCGTGATCATGGCTGTGTAGAAAGAATTCGGATAGCGAATGGGAAGCAACAAGCCCGTGATCCGAGTGAGGGAAGGAATGTGAGCTGTGCCCACCACTTCAACGGTAACATGCGGGTGCGGAGTGGGGTGGCCTGATGCGATGGGATTTGGGTATGCAACCGCTTGGAAAGTCGAGTCCCGGCCTGCTGGAGGCTGAAATTTGGAAGCCAGGCTCACAGTATGGGAGCCCGAGGTGGACGGTACGACAAAAGGGGGCGGACATTTGGGTGGCCTAGGGTGAGTGTTTGTAGACGAGGAGGTTATCGACGCTGGTGCCTGAGGGGGAGACAAAGGTGGAGAAGTGGGCGCTTTGGATTGATGCACCTTTGCGAAGAACTGAAAGGCCATGGTGGATGTTGGAGCAAAGGTGATGTGTAAACAACGCTGGAGAGGTGCTCTGCTTCGTCTGGAGCAAACACTATCGCATAGAAAAGGCACTCCGAAGCGCCGTGAGGAGAGAGGAGGGGAAAGAGCAGCGCGCAACAAGAGGGGAACCCGAGACACGATCCAAAAGCGGTGGACGAAAACGGCGAGAGAAACGCGGAGATGCGATAAGATAAGATCGGGCGGTCGGACGAGTTCAAAGAGGCAAAGGCCAGCGCAAAAGAGCCTCTCTCCACGTCCTCCGATCCAGGATTCCCCCTGGTGCTGCACCCTCACTTGCCGTCTTGGTCTTATTTTTTGGCTGCGTCACACGTTCCACTGGGCTCTCTATATATATGTCTTTTCATCGGATGTGAAGCCAGGTAAGTTGCTCCCCCCTGGCGGTTATGGCCGTGCGCGCAGTCCGCTGATTCTCCCTACCGTGGGTGTTTCCCGCCCCCCGGGTCATAGACGCCATTCACTCCCGCCAGGCAGATGGGCTCTACATGCTATTGTCCTTGTGTGTTACTTCTTTGAGATATATTCCATACTGGGAATCGGCCGTTTCCTTTATTGCTTCCTTTGTTCGGACCAACACGGGCACCAAGAGTCATCTATTACGCCATTGTCCCCCCATCCGCATCCGTTGAGCGGCGACCAGCGAACTCCGACTCAGATTTTCCTCGAACTTCCTGCGCAGAACTACATGGCGTCATTGTGTTGATATCGGTGATATACTTCGAAGCTGTGCAGAAGCGACCGTTGTCTCGTCTGCAAGTTCCGGTACAATTGGCGCTGTAATTGCTCCTGCATAACAAGCACAGGTGTGTGAACTGTTGTCCCTGACTTTGCATATCTATCGGTGGCACCGCTGTGTTATCTCGTGATCTGCAATACTATACTCGAATCACCGTGCATGGACACCTCATGCCTGGCTATTCCATATACTCCGCGTTGTTTTTGAAGTTCTAGGTCTCCGATTCTAACAACCTTCAGTCTACGAAGGACATCGTCGAAATGGGTGAGCCGAATGGAACCGGAGAACATGGGAGTTCCTTTCCTCCAGGAACGCTTGCGAAGCTGGTATGTTCATGCCCGGGTTATAATTGGCTCCAGATCAATGGCGTCCTTGGATCTTTCATCCATGAATGCTGACAACACTAGACGTGTGAGATACTCGACGACACGTTCTATAATATCATCCATGATATAGTGGCCAAGGTGCATCGCGATGAGAAGGTCTCCCGTATGCGCTCGGCGGTGGTCACTGCAAGGCAGAAAGCCGACGAAGAGGCCGCCAAACGTCGTGAAGAGAGCGGGAAGCCGGCTGGAGCATTCAAGCCTGGCGATCTCGATTTCGAGGAGCTCAAGGATATCCATGTCGAGACCGACGCAGCTGTCTTCGATGAAGGCAAGGTTTACCTCAAGGGGAATCCTCTGCAAACGACGAAAGAGATAATCTGCCCGGACTGCCGATTGCCTCGTCTTTTGTACCCGGTGACCGGCGTTGGGGCTCGGGCTCCCCCGGATCCGTACCGAGAGTATTGTCAGAAGCAGCCGATGATCAGCAAACCCGGGCATGATGTTCATGGTAACCCATTCGCGACAGATAAATTGAACCCAAAGAAGAAGAAACAGACGAACACGTCCAATACACCTGCTTCGAGCCCTCCCACGACACCTGACAGTTCCTTCAAACAAGCAGCTCCAGAGAAGGTGTCATTCCCGACTGTGAAATGCCCCAACTGTCCGAGGTACTTTGTGGTGACGCGTGTCGCGCAGCATTTGGATAGATGCTTGGGTCTGTCAGGGCGACAGGCCAACCGCAACAAGACTCCGATGGAGAATGGCGCCAGCACACCCAGTTCAGCCCCGCCCAAACGCCCACTCGTCGACGATGACGCTCCAACAGCACTCCCGCCGAAGAAGAAGAAACTAGGAGCCCCGAAGAAACTGTCTGGAAAGAAGCCACCTCCGCCCAGCAAACTTAAGAACGGGTTGACACCCGATATGGCCGCAGCAAGCGACGCCGCTGGTTCTGGTGATGGAGATATCAAGACTGAAGCGAACGGGGACAATGCATAGGCTGATCTTGTCTTCTCTCTCATTTTCCCCCCCTTCTCCTACCTTTCTACTTTCCCCTTCAACCTTTCTCATATTGCTTTCTCGCGGACATGTGGATCTGTCTGCATTGGGGACGAGACTTTGGACATAGTCTCCGTTTGCTTAACGATATTGACGTAAATACCCGGCATCACGGCGTCAACGGGAACTTACCTTAGTACTTTCGAGTCGAGAAGTCTGGGACATGCTTGGCATCATCTCAAGCCTTTCGCTATTTTCTTTCTCGACAGGTGTTTTCTGATTTCTGATATTATTGATAGACGCTTATGCGGTTGCATGTACAATACTCTGACACTGTCAGCGCGGGGCCCTGCAAATCAATTGGATTATTCCAGACTTCGTACATATCATGATATGGGTGAATAGGGCGATTGCAACTGGTGAAATGGCAGAATAGACAGTTAAGTCTGATTTAATAGCAGCCACATCCAAGTCCATGGAGTCTCTGGATCATACTAAGGCATAACAGTTAGTGAATCAGGAACCCTCGATATAATCGAGGTCATGATTCACCTTAACTAGAAGCGAGTATAAAGGTTGAAGCTATCTACACGCGAAACCATCTCGACAAGACTAACCACCAACTTGAGATCAGCTACCATATCGTTAAGCCAATCTAGGATATATTAGCGGTGTTCAATCACAATCTACAGACAATTTACGAAGCACAAATGGCGTACTGACTGCTATTCTCAGCTTCTTCAATGTCCAGTTTTCACATTTATCAGACACGATCGATGCGGTGTCTAAGTCAGGTTCCAATACTCACGGAAATGACCATCGAAACTGAAGACATTTGCAAGTTTAACATCTATTCTAAAGTTTACCACGAACATACCAAACAACTAAACGAACAACCACTGCCATTACAACCACGATGTGTTGACGAGGAAATATAGTTGTCTCCAGAGGATTACAGGGGTCTATACCGCTGGTATGAACGAACGGATAAGAATAGGGTTAGTGAGCGTTAGCTCAAAGCATGATATGCATTGGGAACGAGAACTCAACAGTACTCCCACCATATTCTACATATTACCCCCTCTCGCCTCCTCCCCTACACCACTTGTGCTTGGTACGTAGATCGTTATGGGGCTTTTATGATATGAGGATGCCCTCATGGAGGGGGAATATCCTGAAGATAAATACCTGACAGATAAACGGTGGCTATGAGAGCGATTGGGCTACGACACATAGGATTGCATGCGGAGAGATCTCACGGAAGTTCAATGAAAACTCAAGAGACCGCAGGATCGGATTGATTATCTCAAATGGCGCCTGATTTACTTTGGCATTGATCCTGGGAGCTTGGAGGAGCAGGGGTGAGTCAAGGAATGAGGGAGCATCCGCATAAGAGACAGGGACGTTGCAGTGTGGATTACTGCGTTTCAAATTGTTCCATTTTCTTCTGTCCACGATAATATCTTTTCTCCTTCTCCTTCTTCTTTCTCATCTTTTGGGGGACACCGTTCTGCGAGGCTTGTTGTACTCGAGGCTGACATTTCTTTCTCGGGCTAACATGCGGAGTATATCAAGGAAAATGAGATCAGTTGCGGATTGATATACGCTCATAAGAAAATGCTTTTCTTCACCGACCCTTGACATAAATTTCAATGTGGATGAGGCTATTTTGAAGATCAACGGTACGAAGTATCTATAAGGAGAATGTCGTCGGCCTTCGCTGACGTGCAAGAGGAAGGTGGGCAATTGCATCTTGGAGCGTAAACTCACCTTGAATATGATTTAAACTTCATATTAAGATGTCACTAGGCATATCATGTGTATGTACTGGTATTAGTGTAACATAATGAACTATATCGTATGGTTGGCTGTCATGCAGATTAGGGCTGCTTTGTCAAGATTCTCAGATACGTTCACTATATTAAGTACACATGGAAGGTGAGTGGACAGTGGTAATTGAAATCATGTACAGGAGAATACCGATCTATAGTAGACTTATATGTAATGTATCTTGGATGTTGTCTTGGTTGTATAGGAAGATCGCGGCCTGAAAAGTATGGCCCCCGCACCCCATCGGAATCATCCGTCGTCATCCTCTCACCATCCACTTTCTCAACACTACATCCACCATGAGCATTCATCTGCTCAATCGCCAACCTCACACAACCCCTCATCGTCTTCCGAAATGAGCAATTCCGGTCTTATCTCCTGGGGTGTCCCCCGACTGGCCCAACTTCTCCCGCTGGACGAGGAGTCGCTCACGCAGATCATCACCTACGCCGCCAGTCTTCCCAAAGAAGAAGGCGCCGATCACCTCAAAAACCTCCTCGGCGACTCGCCCGCCGCATTGGAATTTATTGCTGCATTCAGCTCGCGACGAGAACCTCCACGATCCGAAGCGCCATCGCCAGCTCCCGACCGCGCATCCTCCACAGCTAAAAACAACTATTCGGGGACGGGATCCAAGAGGGGCAAGAAGTCGAAGCCACCACTTCACAGCGCCGGGCCTGTACGTCGACCTGACAATTTCGGGAACGTGACGGGCGGCTACAGAAAGGAGGACCAGGATGAGGATTACATGCCTGTCTCGTCCAGGAGCAGGCAGGATGCAGGCACGAGAAAAGGCGCACAGGATACAGGCCCATCTCCGCTGATGTCCTCGCGCGAGGCATCCGCTCCCTCGTCGCGGAACCAATCGCCTGCGCCGAGACCAACTCCAGCCAAGAACCCGCCCTCTGCAGCTGGCCCGGTGATCTCGGATCTTTTGCCGAACGTCAAGTCGAAAGCGGCCAAATCTGCCTCTCGAACGGGTGGCAGTACGGCGACCGGTTCCTCGTCCAAGGGATCGCTAACTACGAATAACATAAATGATCTGACGGCTGCCATCGCCGCCCTGGAGGTATCTACGAATCCGACGCTGAGCAGCGGCGCCCGCAAATGTACCTGCTACGCTAGCATACACCCCCTCTTTGACCCTGCGCCGAATTGTCTCAACTGTGGGAAGATCATTTGCTCGCTGGAAGGGCTGCAGCCGTGTTCGTTCTGCGGAACGCCGCTACTGTCGAATGACGAGATCCAGAGCATGATCCGGGAGCTGCGGGCGGAGCGTGGACAGGAGAAGATGCGCGCACACAACGATAGTGTACACCGGGAGGGTGGATTCGGTCCGGGCCTAGGAGCACCCAGCAAACTAGACGCTGCCAAAGCGCATCGGGACAAATTGCTTGCGTTCCAGGCACAGAATGCCAAGCGGACGCGTGTGGTTGATGAGGCGGCGGATTTCGAGACTCCGAATGTTGCGTCAACGCTGTGGATGACTCCTGCACAGCGAGCACTGGCCTTGAAGAAACAGCAGCGGATTATGCGGGAGATGGAAGAAAAGGCACGACCGGAATGGGAGAAGAAGAAGACCATCATGAGTCTGGATATCAAGGGAGGAAAAGTGAGGAGGGTCTACCAGTCGGCTGAGCCCGCGGAGGCCGGTCCTTCTGCCGAGGAAGAAGCAGAGGCCAAGGCAGAGGAGGAGCTTGGGGATGGGCACAGAGATAGCAGCGGCAAAGCATTCAGTCACAATCCTCTGCTCGCAGCCGGAGGACTGTTGCGACCGGTCTGGAAGCCGGCAGAGGGCGAGCAAGCGGACTCGGGACGCAAGGAGCGCAAACAAACCTGGCGGAGAGTGCAGGATGATAACGATGACAATGAGCAGTGGATTCTTGACGGAGGCCTGCACGGGCACACCTGAGACAGCCGGACTCACCGCCCAACGGCCTGACTGCATGGCTAGCCGAGCAATACCGAGCGAGGACTCTGTAGTGCATGTGGATGGTGACGGGCTGACTGATAAGGTGGTTTTGATGCAGCGATTGGGCTGTCGAGACCATAGCCATCACGTCACCAGGATGGCCTACGATCAGACCTGGATCGATAAGCAATGCCCTCGGTAATGCGGATCAGGCAGAGGATTGCACAAAGTGATCTATATCCTCCGATAGTCACCAAATGACGTGAGACGATGTGTAGCATGCACATTATAAATGAAGAACCAATAGATACATAGCTAATCCTACGAGACCACGACCACCACAACATAGTTCCAACAGACCTCTCCACAAGGCAATATAGACATGCGTACAGCCAGATGTGTATACCTACCTACCAACACATCACCCGTAGGAAGATAAGATACCCAGTAATGAATGAACCAACAACCCTCGCCACGATGACGCCTCACGAGCCAAAACAAAATAAAAACCTCCCCCGTCCCATGGAAGCCACTTCGTACCCCCAAACGAGGAGACGAGTGAAGAGGAGGGGCAGCGGAAGCAGCCAACGACGCCCGTAACTAACCGAGCCAACAAAGGCTATAAAAAGGTTGAAATCGCTCTCGGATCCCCGGGGTCTGGATGAGACACGGACATCAGGATAACCCAAACAACACAGTATCTGGATCGTCGGTCTGATATCGGGACCCTTTCGTCATCGTCCGTTCCGCTTGCGGCCATTTCCCTTGGTGCATCACTGCTCGGTTGGCCGCGGTTACCCTCGGGCCTTGCTCGACGTGTATACCTAGTACTCCCGCCATCCTTGTCTTTAGTCTCGGAGTTGAGACCATTCGTTGTTATTATTACCGCTTGATATAGAGCGGGGGTTATAATATGCTTGCGCAGATTGGCTGGGAGGTGCTTTCGGTTGGGCGTGTGGGGTGGGCATTGGGGGTGTTGCTGTTGGGATTGGTATGTTGATGCTGGACAGATATGGAGGACTAGGGGACTATACTGTACAAGGGTCTGCAAGCTAACAGCTCTAGTCGTTTGTCTACGCCGTCTACAACCGATTTTTCCATCCTCTTCGTCGGATCCCGGGGCCCTTTCTTGCCTCGCTCACTCCCTGGGTCCAACTCTATCATGGCCTCCAAGGAAACCGACATCTGTGGCTCTATGCTCTTCATGAGCAATACGGCTCCCATGTCCGGGTCGCCCCCAACTTCGTCTCCGTAAATACTGCCCAAGGCCTGCATGATATTTACGGGCATGGCAAACGACTTAAGAAGGCCGACTTCTACAATGCCTTCCCCGCCATCAAGGGCGTGTATAACACCCACAATGCTATCGATAAGGTCATGCATGGTCGGAAACGTCGTGTCCTGAGCCAGGCCTTCTCCGATCATGCGCTGCAAAGTATGGAAGACGTGATGCTGTTGCATGTCCGCCAGCTGTGCGCCGGCCTAGCACATCCTCAGAAGACTGGCCAGGTGCAGGACATGGGTCGGTGGTTCAGCTACCTCACTTATGATGTGATGGGGGAGCTGTGCTTCGGAAAGAGCTTCGACATGTTGATTGAAAGTAGTCGACGACGACTGATTGAACTGGTCGATCGGGCTGCGAACCGGCACTATGTTGTATGTCTTCACCCATACCAGTAACATTGAGACTGCTGACACGTATCTAGTGCGGGCTTTGGATGCCCTTAGACCGATGGCACCTGGACCAGATCTTCATCCACCGACTGACCAACGACCGTTGGAACTTCATCATGAACTCGCGCGTGGAGGCGAACAAGCGTGCCCAGGAACGTGCGCAGGCCGGCCGCGACGCCAAAAAGGACTTCTTCTATTACCTGCTTAACGCACGGGATCCCGAAACGGGCCAGGGTTTGACGACACCGGAGCTCTGGGGCGAGGCGAATGTGCTGATGATCGCGGGGAGTGATACGACGTCGACGACGCTGGCGGCGGCGATCTTCTATCTGGTGCGCACGCCGCACGCGATGGCGAAGCTGAAGAAGGAGATTCGGGAGAATTTCGCGTCCGTAGAGGATATCGTGACGGGGAGTAAGTTGAACGAGATGGTGTATTTGAAGGCATGCCTGGACGAGGCGCTCCGCCTGGCGCCGGCTGTGCCGGGGGTGCCTCCGCGCGAGGTGATGGCGGGCGGAGCCTTGGTCGACGGGGTCTTTCTGCCGGCCGGCACCGATTGTGGGACGCCGACGTACTCGATCCACCGCCAGGCTTCTTATTACCGGCTCCCCGGAGCCTTTCTGCCCGAACGGTGGATCGAAGGGGCGATCTGCCAAACGGGCTTGGAGTCCTGGCAAACTACACGCGAGGACGTCGAGGTGGCGCGTCGAGCATTCTGTCCGTTTAGCATTGGGCCGCGGGGATGTATCGGCAAGAGCATGGCGTTCATGGAGATGCGTTTGACAATTGCGCGGGTGCTGTTCCGGTTTGATCTCGAGCTGGCCGATCGTCGGGGCGAGGATGAGAGCGGGCATTTCGCCTTGGTTGACCACTTTACCAGTGCAAAGGAGGGACCCGATGTGCTGGTGCGAGCTGCTTAGTTTCTTCCCTTGATACTGTTCATAGGTATTATTACTACTCATCCCGTTGAAATCTTGTAGAGAAAAGTACAAGTCGAATACCAAAGACTAAAATAAAAGTAAGACATGCAAAAGGACACGTGCCCACACGTGCTGCTGCTGTTGCTGCACCTTCAGAACCCAACTCAACTATGTGAAAGACTGATTGATGGCCATCACCACCCTCGTTGCTTTCCTTAACAGATCCATATATTGAACCTATCCGATCTTTCCTATTCCATTTCCACCATGTCCACTCCTTGACTCCACTTGACCATCCCATCCGAACCCATCCCATCCCATTCCACCCTGAACACCCCAACTCCCCTCCAGAACATACCTCCATCCCCAACCCACCCCAGACACAGATTCAAGTCAATAAAAATAAAGAAAAAGAAAGAAAAGAAATGCCCTCCCCTTTAACAACCACCTTCATCCAATCGACCATTCTAAACGCCATCGCCAACATCCTGGCCCAGATAATAGATCATCACCGGAAATCCGTAAGCCTATCCTATTCCTATTTCCCCCCTACCCCTTCTCAATACAATACAAAATAAGAAAAAAACCCCAAAACCAAAATATCATTACCACCACCACCACCACCACCAACAACACCCAAAATCGATCATAATAATAATAATCCTAACAAAAGAAATCCTCATTCACCATAAACACACCCGCCGTCCTCCAATTCATCATCTACGGTATCCTCATCGTACCCATAAACTTCATATGGCAGCGATATCTAGAAGACAAGTTTCCGGGGGCTTTATTGTTCAGGAGAGCGCCTACTACCACCACCACCACCACCACCTCTCCAAATCGGAGAAACAAAAATGAAAGAAACGGGGAAGTATACATCTCCATTCCTCTTTCCACTAACAGCACCGGCACGCTGAAAGAAAAACCCTTCCTGCCTCAACGAAGACTTGGGGCTAGCAGAGCAGGAGGAAGAGGCTGGTACAACTTCCTCATGAAATTCCTCCTCGATCAGAGTATCGGCAGCGTGATGAATATCGTGTTGTTTGTGGTGTTGATTAATTTGCTTAAGGGGGTGAGGGTTGTCGAGGTGGTGAGGTTGGTGGAGATTGTGAGTATATTTCTCTTTCCCTGGAATATTATGAGTTGAGGGATGAGGGGGGATGGGTTGGAACTGACAGTATGTATATAGGACTTCAAACCTATTATGATAGCGAGACTTAAGTATCGGCCTCTTGTGTCGATGCTTATGTATACCGTTGTGCCGGTGGATCGACGCGTGGTGTTTGGGAGTGCCTGTGGGGTTATTTGGGGGGTGTATTTGAGTTTGTATGCTGTTGTTTAGATTCCTTTTTTACTTTCTTGGTATTTTGTTGTTGTCTTTGGTTGATGTGGTTTGGGGTTGTGTTGGTCGTGGACAGCAGGTCAAGTGTTGTCTGGTCTATCTATTGGTCTATCTTTCTGTTTGCTTATCTGTCCGCTTGGTCTGGTTTGCTGTGGGCTTGACAGCTTCATATACTCTCTTGTATTTCCTTTTGTTCTCCTTTTGTAGCGTGGAGATACCGATACCTTGTCTGCTTCGTATTAGATTATCTTCTGGTTCGATCTATCTTCTGTGTGCTAATTGCTACATATAGCTAGTAAAGAAAAGCAAAGCTAAGAAGCAGTGAACTACGCAGCTACGCAGCTAGGCAGCAAGCAGCACGCTATGCAGCCGTCGTCTCCATCTTCCTCCCCCTCACTGAAATCCACTCAATAGGCAACGCCCCGAAAATAGCCAATGCTCCCATCGCCACCCCCACGTAGAACGTCGTCGTTACGGCCTCGTTATACGCCTCCAACACCGCCGGCAACTGGTCCGTAGACACCACCTTTCGTAGCATCGTCGCACCAGCCTGCACTACGCTAGCTGCGTCAACACCCGGCACCTTGGCCAGGTTCTTGTGCAGCTCGTTCTGGAAGACGTTCTGCGCCACAGACACGAACAGTGCTCCACCCAGTGTCTGTGCGAACGCGACGATTGCCGTCGCGCTGGGGATGTCCGTGACGGCCAGTGCAGCTTGCACGACCATCATGGGCTGCTGCATGCCGAAGCCGGCTCCCATGCCTAGAATGACTTGGTATCCGATCCAGTGGCCGGCCGATGAGTCAACTGTCATGGTGGAGAGGAGCCCACCGCCGATGGCAAGGAGTGCGGGGGATATGAGCATGAATGGGGTGTAGTATCCGAGTGTGGAGACACAGGCACCTGCTACGATGGCGAAGATGACGACGCCGAGCAGCATGGGCAGGTTCATGATCCCGGATTTGGTGGCGCTGACGCCTTTGATGGCTTGGAACCAGATGGGAAGCTGGAGATTATTAGCGGGAGTTTGGGGGATATGAGTAAGGTGGACGTACATAGTAGATGAATACGAAGAATGAGCCACCAACGCAGAAGCTGAACAATGCAGCCCCCCAGACGTTCCGGTTCTTGATCAGCCGCGGAGGCACCGTGGCTTTCTCCTTTTCCAGTCCCTGTAGCACGATGAAGATGCCAATGAGCACTCCAAACAAGACGAGCAGGGCGATGATGCGGCCGTTATCCCATGCATAGGTCGTCCCGCCCCATTGCAGTGCTAAAAGGATGCAGATAACCCCCGGTAGAAAGACACATGTCCCGGGTATATCGAACTGAGACAGCTGGTCCTTGATCTCCGAGTTACTTTTCACGGACCTGGGCGCCTTGAAGAACAACACAATGAAGAAGATGGTGGCACCGCCGATGGGAAGGTTGATGTAGAAGCACCACCGCCAACTGACGTGGTCGGTGAATGCACCACCCATCAAGGGTCCCGCTACGCTAGCAATCCCATACATCGAGGTCATGGCGCCAGCAAAGATTGGTCTCCATTCCAGCGGTGCCGTCTGCGAGATAATGAGCATGGCCCCCGAGAATAATCCTGCGGCCCCCAGCCCAGCAATCGCCCGTCCGAGAATCAGTGCAATTGAGTTGGGAGCAGCTCCGCAGACTAAGGATCCGATCTCGAAAAGCGTGAGCCCAACCAGGTAGATCCATTTGGTCGAATAGAACGTGTATAGTTTGCCAAAGGCCAGTATCAGACAACAAGAGGTAAGGAGGTAGGAGCTGCCGTACCAGCCCACGTCGTCGAGGGACTTGAACTGGTCTGTGATTTTGGGGATTGCCGTCGCCAGAACCGTGTTGTCCTGCCGTGCCATCAGCAGTTGTTTATTGTATTGTAGAGGTGATACTTACCAGGGCCATGCAGAAGATCGACAGACACAGACCACTAACTATCAGCGCGAGCCTCCACGAGGTAGGATACTCTGGCTGAGGCTCGACATTATTGCTATGTCCCGAGTCCGGAGCTTTCTCATGCGCGCCATCTGTGCGTGAGTGAGCGGAGGCATCGCGCGCAGAGTCGACGAGAGTACTTTCTCTATCCGTCGAGTGCTTCCTGGCTGAATTGTTTCCTGTCCCCATCGATCTGAGTGGTTTCATCTCAGCAGAATTCTGCTGCATGTGAGTATTGACAGCGCTCATGGTCACAATAGTATCCTTGTGTAGATGTCAGTCCAGCTTCTCGATGCCAAAGGCCATATACAGGTTGCCCGGGAGAGTAAAGGTAAACAACAGTGGTATGATTCCCTGCGCCGTCGTATAGAGACCAAGTGAATAACAAGAGAGGAGAGGAAAGAAAGGAAAGCCCGGGTCACGGAAGAGCATGTTGCCGGCCTGGCTGACGGGAATTGTCGTAATGAAAAGGCTGTTTGTGTCACCGTTTCGAAGCCACGCCGGTCAGGCCGACAGACTCGCCTGTCCCACCCCTTGCTTGCATCTCCGGGAGTTAGGCCATTTAGTGTATTTTGTAACCACACTTTGCAAGGTCGTGTAGGCTACGGATATTCACCGGACGGTCAGCGTGACGGGGCAATCGAGGTCACACTGCGCGGGGGCTGCTTCTGATATTCTTCGGCATCGGCAATATTTCCATCCGGTCACGATATCGATGCATCTGGATAGCCTTGGATTACATTGTGCGGAGATATCAGCATGACAGGAGACCTGAGGGAGCGTTGGGTTGGATCGGATAATAAGATGTGCCCCTGAGGCAAGGTGGCGGCTGCATCTAGACTAAGTCCCTGCACGCTGATCACATCGCTTAATTCTCCTCCTAATCCACCTAAGCAAACTTTAAGTGAGGTAGACTAAATAAAGCCAAGCCAGGACGTTATTGAATTATTGCCCGGCTTGAGGCTGCTCCTGTCTGAGTGGCGGCAATAGCACTGCTTTGACTTTCATTCCATTGTCCCTTTGGTTGGGTTAGAAAATAAGGCAGGAATCGATCCAGACTAACTACTATTAGCATTTTTGGATAGGTTACAACAAATTTGGCTATACTTTAAAGTAAATAATCATTCGATTTAGGATATATCCAGTTCCAATAAGCTGTACAACGCCGTAATATCAAATACCCAAATCTCCTCCCAACCGCTCTCAAACACCTAACCAATATGAAAAACTCCGACCTACTCGCTACTAGGAAGTTGCATCAAGGCCAGCACCGGCACTATTGCGCCTTTCGCCGGGCATCTTCCTTGCTAGCAACGAGGGCGATCAGAGCAGCACCCACACCGCTGCCATCCTTGGAGATACCAATGCGGATCTTCTCATTGCCGGCTTCCCCGACCTCGGGCACTTCACGGAGGGCGTCACGCATATATCCTTCAAAGTTGGGGTAGAATTCAACCAGACTGCCATCGACACCAATGTCCACGAGATCATCCCTCTGCAGCTTGCCAGTGGAGATGAGAACGGCAACCAACGGGACGGCACTCAGACGAGCAGCGCGCTTACCGATGGCATGCACAACGGTCTGAATCGCCTTGCAGTCTGCGATGCTGGGGCGTTGAATCCGGAGATGATCCCTCAGAGCCGTCTTGATTTGCTCCATGTCCTCGGTCTTGTCGGCCTCGACCAGACTCAACAAGCTCGTGTCGATGCCCCACTGCCGGTACAGGGACGACTCTTTGGGAACAGATACAGTAGACTCGCTAGACTTGAGGAAGCCCAGGGATGGGTTGCGGTACATGTCCAGCATGACGCGACGCAAGATCTCACCCAGGAACATACCTGAGACGCGCTTCTCGAACATCTGGATGCCCGGGTTGTTACTATCGGCATCCAGCTGTTGGTCATAGATGGTGTTGGGCAGGACGCTCAGGTGGTTGTCGAAGCTGCCCCATTCGGCGTTGATGATCATCTCACCGGTGGTCTTATCATATGACGAGTGTTCGATGGTCTGCAGCTTGGTGATCCGGTCAAGCTTCTCAACATAGGCCCCGTTGGTGCCCGTGCCGAAGATGGCGCCGAGGAAGGTACCCGTCTCGCCAGGAGAGGTGTATGAGCGGGCCATCAAGGTTCCCACGGTGTCATTGACCAGGGCAGCCACGCGCACCGGGAGTTCCAGCTCATCGATGGCGCTCTGCAGCAACGCGCAGACGTCTTGGCCCACAGCGTCGGGAATGTTGAACCCCTTCGTCCAGCGAATCAGGGTACCCTTGTTAATGCCCAGCTGACGTACGGGGAAACTGAAGGTGAAGCCCAAGTCGAATAGGTCCTCCTCACAGTTACCATTCTTCTCGTTGCGGCGACGGAGGTGGGCTTCGAAGTGTTCGTTGTGGTGAATGCGCAGGAACGCCTCGATCTGGCGGGCCAGGAACAAGAAGAGATCCTTGGCGGTCCCTGACGCCATGGTCTCGCGAGGAATCATAATCTTGGACTGAGTAAGGGAGAAGGTGGTGTCTCCATGCAGATCGATCGAACACACGCGGAAGTTGGTGCCGCCGAGATCTACTGCCAGGTACAATCCCTGCCAACGGGTCAGCTGCCATGCTCCGCGGGGTGATGATTGGCTTGGATGTTACCTTTTCAGTGCCATTGGGTACTGCGGTGACATATGTCGGGATCTGACTGAGGGTCGTGTGCTCCTTGGACAGACCCTCATCGATCTCGCGGATGTATTCCGTCACTCCGCGCCGCACGTCGGCCGCGGGGTAGTCGAACTGGCGGGCAATCCGCGTAGCCTCGTCCAACAGAGCAGATGACATGGTGATGGAAATGAAGAGATATGTTTATGAAAGAGATATGAGAAGAAGAAAAGAGGCACCTTGATGTGTGTGTTGTGACAAGAAAAATAAATACAGGGTGAAAAAGACGTGGTGGTAGGTGGTGTTGGGGTGGTGGGGTTGAATACCAGCAAATGAATACTAGTAAGTAAATATGGGAGGGACCAAGGGACTTTGGACTCTGGAGAGATCGGGGGAGGGGGCAGTGATGGAGGAGGGGACCAAGAGAGAAGGAATACGAGGTCAAGACAAATCTCCGGAATGAGGATAGAATGATGAAGGGGGATGACAGGCGTATTAATACTACAAGATGAAGCCCGGCTCAAATCACGTCGCGCTGGAGGGGTTGATGAGGTCAGTCCGACGGGCGAAAGCCAACGGGAACGCCGGGTTCGCCGGCTTTGCCAGTCGTGGCCAAAGGACGTCTGCTCTTCCCCCTCTCCTCTTCCGAGTTCTTCGCGTGTTGCCGATATCTGCCCCCTACTTCCCTACTTCCCTACTTTCCCTGTCCCAGGTTTCTGACTTAGTGCCATTCTCTCCAGTCTCCAGATGCTACTTCTCACGCTAAGTGGCCCAGTGGCCTGCAAGACGGGGTTGCGACGAGTCGGTAGCGAATCCGCCCGCACTATGCCATGACGCATGAAACCGGATGGTGGGGTTTCAGCCGTCATTCACCGGTGAGTGAGAAATGGTTAGCAGCGAAGGAAATGGAAGGGGGAGGATAGGAGGAGGGGCCCAATGCCACAATGCCATTCTCGTGCTTGGCCCTCGCGTCATGGGGTGATGTTGGCCTCTCCGGATGCGTTCGTCCGGGGCATTGGGGAAGCTGGAGATGCTGATTGCTGACATGAGCAGTCAGTCACGCTGTGCCATGTGGGAAACCACACAATGGATTCGACGATTCACCATGTCTCCCATGGTTGCTGGCTTGGTTGAGACGGCACAGCGAGGTGTCAGTCAATTATGGTCAGGGGTTTCGACGTAACCTTAAGTAACAGTCCCGCCATGCAAGCAACCGCTGGAGCAGACTGCCAAACATGGCCACAGCTGCTTCATGCATGCTGCAGTACTCCGTACCATTGCGAGATTTCTTCACCCACCACTCAAAGGCTTCATTCATCCTTACTAGGTTGATGCAGTCCCTTTTCAGCTTACAGGGGGCTATTTTCACTGCGTCACCCAAAGACTCGACTATTACAGTGAACCTCTTACAATGAATAAAGATTTGCCGGATGTCTTTACATCCGAGCTTCCACGTGAGTATGTGAATACGATGGAAAGAAGGCAGCAGACCCTTGAGAGGTAAATCTAACTAGCAGTCCCTATCTCAGGGAACGACTACATGTTCGACAGATCCTGTAATGGCCAACAGCTCCTCATCTCCCCATGAACGGTTCTCTAGACCCGTTACTCAACCCTGTAAACAGTAGGTATGAGATTCAGAACAACCACCACTCAGCAACAACCATACCAAACCAAAGTAAAGCCTAACGATCTAATAAACTTTACTCGAGCCAATCCCCGGCATTACCCCGGTCAGCAGCTGCATCTCTACCCAACACCAGCGTCCAAGAAAGTAAAAGCGCGGCCAAAAACGGATCCCTTTTGACTCCGTGACTAATCCAGTAGTATCAGGCCTGAGGCAGAAACATGCCAGGCATCAAGGCATTAGACATAACATATTCAGGCATCAACATTATAAGGCAACAAGGCAAAAACAAAGGCACTGACTAATCCACGTGACCCGGCGGAAGTCGGCTTCAGAAACAACGATATGCAATTCCGTCCGGACGACCAGGAATTGCCCTCTCAGTTCTCTCGGCGGCCATTGCGGTGTTCCACTGACTTCGCCCCCTCTCCGCTCCGGCCACAGAACCAGCCAGCTCAGGCAGAAGTAACGGACACGAACCGATCCCCGCACATCATGGGCGCCGGCAGCTCCAAGCCCGCGGCTTCGGCCAACTCGCACGTTTTCTCGAGGTAGGTCGGTTCCATCTCCATATACATATTCAGATCCTCCTTCTGGAATTGTGAGCTGAGATGGGGTCGTGGACGCGCTCAATGGATCGTATCGGACCTATATCAGTCCGGTCGAGATATTGATCCTCACGGATGCCATGCACCACAATCATCCAACCTCAATTACATCACATAACTCAGACAAGTGAACAAACCCCAGCTAACCTCAAGAACAGTTCCTCCCCCGTCCAATTCTCCTCCAACTTCGTCGAGTCCCTCCAGTCCAACACAGAGGTACGTACCCCCCACCCCCAACATCACCACCACCATCAGCACACCACCTAACAAACCATCACGATGCAAACAGACCGATTCCGCTCGCTCCCGCTCCCTGGAACTCCAAATCCAAGCACGCGTCTCCGAGGAACTCGAGCGTCTCCGCGCCCGCGAACAGCAAACCCTCGCCGAGATCGAGAAGAAGCTCGCCGAAGTGAAAGAGACCAGTATCACCGCCCCCATCACAACCAGCAGCGCGTCGTACTACCCGCCAGGATCTTTGGATCTGGATGCGCCCCGGATCCCGTTCGCGGGGCGCGAGGCGGCTCCTGTGCCCGTGGAGGCGGTGCAGGCGGCGCAGCCCATCAACCGGGAGCTGTCGCGGGAGACGGTGAACAGTGAGATTGAGGAGTTGCGGGCGAAGTTGGAGGGCCGGAAGAAGTTGGTGGAGGTGGATGCGGGGATTGAGAAGGCTAGATCGGAGGTGGTGAGTTGTTTGAGGTTGCATGATAGGAGGCCTTTGGATTGTTGGAAGGAGGTGGAGACGTTTAAGAAGGAGGTCGCCCGGTTGGAGGAGGGCTTTGTGGATCGGATTGTTGGGTAGAGTAGATTCTATCTATCCTACGATGATGGGATCTGATATAAGAGGGGTTTGGGGGTGGTGGTTTATGAATAGAGTTGACTGTTGATGTAGTGGTGGTGGGTGCTGCTGCCTCCTGGTGTTGGCCCCGTCTTGTTGTGCATGTTGTCATGTATATGTATACCTAGCTTGCTAGAGAAGGTTACTAGCTTTTTGTTTCTTGGGTTCGGTTGAGATTATTTTGGCTGTCTATGTTGTGGTTGTAGATGTGTAGGTTCGGTTTCAGACTGCTTCTAGAGAGTACTTTTATGGAATTGATTCCCTCTATCATAAATCCAATCCATCGAGACACACAGGGTATCATGTCTAAAACAAGCCACATTATTCGTACACCGTTATACAAGCTCCCAAAATCCCAATCGTCCCACAGTTTCACCCGCACTCCGGATGATACACATATTCCTCCCATTGGTTATGCCCTTACTCGAGCCCGTGTTCTTCGTCACCTTTGACAACTGGATGGATCCAATTCCCGTGCCCTTTCCTTCTGCGAGGTTGTAATTGCCTGTCGTGATGAACCCGATTAGATCTGCTTCAGTTGGGATCGGCAAGTGATCTTGCCGGGCATCTGCATCGGCGGACGGGGCGATGAGGGACGCGGCGAGACGTTGCCGGGCCTCCTCATTACTAAGAGCGGAGCCACGGGCTTGTTGCTTCTGGAGTTGCTTCTCGGTATCGTCGGGCTTGTTGGATGCGAGGGAGAGCCATTTCTGGCGAAGTTCGGGATCGGTTGTTGGGAGACGGTAGATGCGGGCTCGGGGGGTTGGTGTTCCGCGGTTGAGGAGTGACAATTTGACGGTCATCAGAGCTGAGGCATCGGCAGTGAATGAGGGGCATTTTAGTGCGCTAGCTGCCAAAGATGTCGACACTTGGTGGATGTCGATCGGTGGGTGAATGGCACTGTCCTCAGGTTTGGTCTCAGCCTCCGAGGGTTCTTCATTGTCCTTGGTACTGCTCTCTGTCGGGCCTTGAACGAGCCTCTCCCAGTCGCACGCCCATCCCCGTCCTACCTCACCTTTCTGACCATTTCTCAGGTCAATGCTCTCGTACTCAACCCTGCGGCCCTTCGGGCGGCGCTCCCACTCTTGCTTGGCTTCCTGCCTCTCGCGAAGGCCCCATTCCCAGCCAGCGCGGATACCAGGGAAATCACCAGGGAACCAAGGCTCCCCTGACTCGAATGCGAGTTGCTGCTGCTCTTTCAGTCCTCCAAATCTCGGATTCCCGCCACTCGAAAGCGGATAGTACATCAGTGAGTACCAGAAAGGAAGCACGCACTTCCACGGAAGGAGGACTGTCCAGCTCCCGGGGGCGTTGCTGTTCTTGGTGTAGACACTGGGTCGACACGCGAGAGCAATCACAGGTATCTTCGGATCGGTATCCTTAGCTGGCGGACGTATTCCCATGCCAGCTTCAGTGCGACGCCGGTTGATAGCCTTCTGGCTAGGCAGCTGGCGCGCAGCAGCCAACCGGGTGCGACGGTCGAAGAGAGCAGGAGCTTCCTGTGTGTTGTCCGGAGACCACGATGAGAGCAATATAGCCAGATCCTGCATCTGTGTGTCGGATGATGGCGGCTTCAGAGTCTTGGGCGGAAACTCAAGGCGAGGATCAGATACAGAAAAACCAAGAACGGCATTCTGGGGCAGAGACGAAGGATTCGATACCCCCAGGAGAGAACTCCATGTAGCCTCCGGGCTGTTCGCTGGAATATCCTTCCCATCCACAGCAACTGGCTTGAAGGACGCGAGCAACGCCTCCATTGCTCCTGGACCGGTGATTTCAATGCTGCCAATCTCGAATCGCAAATCATCCACCATGACAGGGGGATTCTGTTTTTTCGAAGCGCCCAGGAGTGCATTCCACAACTGCAAAAAGGCAGACGGGTGCACTCGCACAAATATCTTCTTCCTATCCTTCTTCCTCTTCTCCTTCCCTGCATCATCCGCATCAACCATGTCCACATCCTCCACCTTGGCCTCAGCACACCGAATCAGAGTAACCGGCGCAATCGGCAGCTGATCACCCTCCAACTCATACATCCAAGCCCGCAAGCACCTCGTCCCAGCCCTCCACTTCCTCCCCTTAACCCCCCAAGCATCCTCCCCATCAACTCCAACAGCCCTCAGCACTCCCTCCAGCGCCTCCTCTGTCCCCTCCAACTGAACGGTAGCCATATAACTCATATCCCAAGCCACCGCGCCCCTAATCCCTCTCGCCCGATGCGTAGGCCTATAACTCTTCTCCGTTGGCGACACGGGCAACGCAAACCGCCACAACGGATCCTTCGAAGTCGTCATATGAGCCCTCTTCGCATGAAACATATGCGTAGGCAACCAAGTCTTGCACCGCTGGCGTTTCTTGAATTTCGCATCCGGCGGTATCGGTCTCGACAATGTATTCTTCTTGATCTTCGGCACGCGAGGCGCAATCTCAAATGCATGACTCCCGGACTCTTCCAACGTCTTCCGGGTATTTTTATCCCGCTTCGCTTTCAAAGCCTCTCGCTTGGCTTTACTCTTCTTGTTCAAGTTTTGTAATCGGCGGGCTGTTTCAAGTCGAATGCGCATCTGCTCGGTCGGTTTTCTCGTTCGTGATGATACCGTGGGCGTGTTGTCTTCGAGCATCTGGAACAGATAATCATATCTAGTTAGAATATTTTGTGGCTACGATAAAGCAAAGCAACCAGTGCCTGCTCCTGCTTCCACCCGGAGAATCATCATATTAATAGCAAGCATACCTCTCTCTTCGCTCTCGCCCGTAACCTCTTCGGAACCCTCTTAACATTATGACTGGCTGTCCGTCTTCGCAGCGACCGCGGCACTTTTTGAAACGCACGACTAGTCAGAGCGGACTTCGATCGCTGCATCCCTGACTCCAGGGACCGGATCTCGAATTCCCGGGCCTCTACATAGGCGGCTACATCGAGTTCTCCGGACGCAGAAAGTGCAGCATCGGCCGCTTGCACGGCGAGAGAGCGGGCATCAAACGTTTTGGCGCGCTTGCGGGCTGCGGCGGAGCCGTTCTGATTGCCCGCGAAGGCAGGCTTGCGCTTCGAGGCTGGATTGAAGGCCATGATGGCCGTGGAGGAATCGAGATTCCGAAAGTGGAAAAAAAGAAAGGGACGCTGGAGGTGGAATATAGCTAGTTGCTGATGGAATCGTGAAATTGGATGGGTTGGTTTAGCGCGTCAAGTTCCCGGCCGACAGCCACCCCGACGCACAAAAGGCACGCACCAATGACAGCAGCCGGCAGCCACTTCCCAGCAACGCTTGGATTTCCTGGCTGTAGATCGCTCAGGCCGGGGTAGGCTAGCTTGTCCTACGCGGTTTAAGGTTATTTATTTGCCTCCGGGCTCGATCTACTGACATCATACGAGGGGAAGAACGGTGTTTGTCGTAGCTTCGTACGTTGATTTCTTTTTATCTAGTGGCAAGTCTAGTTCTAACGGTTCGCCTTCTCAGGTCATTACCCCACTAACAGAATGTCAACGCTTTCTATCAGACCCCTGCCACATCTATCGTTCTAAACGACGCGTTTACAGGTTCTTGAGGATGGTCTCGGCGCTCGAGAACTGCACAATAGTAAGCAACCACTCAATCCGTAACAGCACAGTGTATAACTAACCTCGAGGTGGTTCTTAGCGGGCTCACGCTTGGCGTAGGTGACCTTGCCGTGGTCGATGATGATGGCGTAGCGAGCAGTGCGGCCCTCCTCATCAGCCCAGCCGAGGCTCTTGGAGAAGCGGGCCTCGGGGTCGGAAAGGAAGAGCTACAAAGTAATTAGCATGTCTCCATTGAGTAGAAGAAAGGGTTACATACGATGTCGTCGTTCTTGACCTGGTTGGCCTTGCCCCAGGCGCTCATGACGTAGGCATCGTTGTAGGCAAGGACGGCAACAACGTCGACACCCTTGGCACGGAGCTCAGGGAGCTTCTCGGCATACTCGGGGACGTGGCGGGCGGAGCAGACGGGGGTGAAAGCACCGGGAAGGGCGAAAAGGACGACCTTCTTGTCGGCCCACTCCTTGGAGGCGTAGTAGTTGATGGGGATACCGCAAGAGGTGATCTCGCCCTGCTCCTCAGTCCAGGGGATGTAACTATGAAGAGTCTCGGGTTAGTGGATGTACATAGAGACGGGTGATGATTATGTTGCTGCCAGAGGCAAACGACCACAAAGGCGGACGGCGTGGAGGGAGAGGGGCAGAGAAACTCACGAGAAGACCACGTCAGTGGGGAAGCTGTCACCGGGGTTGATTCCAGACATTGTGATGAGATTGAGTGGTAGTAGCGAGTACTAGAAAAGTTGAGAGATGGGAGAGAGTTGTGGATGAAGAGAAGTTGAGAGGGATTGGAGATGGTTATGTAGGTAGGGAAGAGAGAGAGAGGGAAGAGACGGACGGGGCAGGAGTCTGTGGCGGGTAATATATAGGTTAGCTTGGGAGAATGGTTCCTGTCGGCGATCGCACGCGTCGTGAGGGCCAACGAATAATGCGGCGACGGCCCGCCCAGGGCGCCATGAGGTGATCCGAAGCAGAAGGATACCGAAACCTTTCGATTGGCAGGGCTTGGAGGGGGAGTGTATTGTGTATTATCAAGAAGACCGCCCGAGACTGAGGCGCCCCGCCATCCCCCCACTATCATTGCCCGTTTCGGCCCTGCACCACTCCCGGCTCTGGCCACCATATCTATCTAGACCCTCCTCGGTGACAAATCCCCAGGGCTGTTCCTGTGCAATGGTTCTACTATGACGGTACATGGTCGGTCGCTGCAGGGTTCATTCAATCCTGAGTATTGCCCCTGCAGGACTGCCTCAAACACCCTTGGAGTTGGAGGATGGATCATGAACCCAGACGGTCCAATAGGCCCAGATCTCAGTAAGCGTATTCGGTAGAATAGTAGTAATCTTCTCCCAGTTTCATCGTACTCTCCCTCTCTCTATCAATCCCTATCAGGAACGGTCGATCTGACAAACAAAGACGGCTCTCGCCCGAGTCTACATAGTCCAATCCTCTGTCATTTCCAATACAATGCCAGCCCCTGACCCAACTCCAATCCCTCCCAAGTCCCAACATATCGCTAATCTAGACTGCTTCCCTATCGATAAGCTTAGTAAACGACCATTGACACCAGGAAATCAATCAATGCGTACGACCCAACCCTTGACGTAAATCTAGTTGACAGCCTCAAAGTAAAACCGATAGGGACACGCCAACCTTCATTTCCACATCAATCGCCAAAGGTTTTCATCAATTCATTTGAGTTATCAACGTAGAGCCACGACACCCAACCAAATACACCCATCAATTGGTATCGAACCTTATCAACCCTCGATATCTTCTGCTCAACACCTCAGGCACCGATATAGACACCCCTCCATCCCACCAGTCAGACCAATCTCCTATTGGCTCAACGCTCTAAATCACGAGAAACTAAACCCACCAAGACCAATATTAAGCCAATCACAGCCACTTTCCCACCCTCGCAGAGCTGCTCCTCTTCCTTCTGCCAAGCAAGCCACTACGTAACCCGTTTACCGGCCGTCAAGGGACCTTGGTGCTTGGTGACCACTATGCATGATCCCGAAGATTATCCCACCCCCACTGTTCTTTGGAAAGAATGGTTTGGTTCAGCCATTGAGAAGGACATTTTCCGCAGTCAGGAACATGTTAACCATGGATGCGATCATTGTATCGGTATTGCCACTGGATTGTGATGTGTGATCAGTCGGCTTGTGTCGGACCGCAGAAACGGATGATGGTATCCGAGAATCTGATAAGATTTGCCAACCAACCATAGGATGTTACGGAGTAGGAACAAAGTCGCCCTCCGATCACGGAACTTGAGTATCGGGACTATCATCATTAAGATTGGACCGTACAGAAGGCGAATGGACTCTGTGATGAGTAACATATCGCCGATTTCCCCGCCATTCCTATGGATTACCTAAGGTAGGTGAGTCTGGGGCAATATACCAGGATTGATTTCCCCGCCGCGATTATACATCATCCAGGTTCTAGAAGGCATGGGTGGCTCGCCCCTGATGATGGACAGGGATTGGCCTGCATCTACCTAGTGAGTGCTTAGGTAGTCCGAGGTAATTAGATTAATAACACTATGGCACCTAAACAACGGGGCATCTTTTAAGAAGAGACAGCCAATATCCGCAATAAGAACTGGTCAAGTTGACGTTGTGCTTGCAGGAGCATTATGCATCAAAGGCATAATATTGTCCAGCACATTGTCCTGCGCACTCTAGAGGTCAGGGCCGTCTTTCGGTAGTGACTGCCCTCTCCAGTGTAAGCTCTAAGCACCCAACAGATTGCGCACTTCTCCCAGTGAATGCAAAGCTGACATCAGTGCTGTGTCATCTGGGGTCATAACCTGCTGTTTTTCATTTACTGGAATATGGAATGGGAGCTCCTCTACCTCGCAGACGGTTCCGGGATCCGGGAGCTCGCCATTGTGGAAATACCGCCGAATTGCCTTTGCTGTGCACAAGGATGGGCTACTCAGTGAGCAATGCTGTGGCATCAGGCGGTCATTAGTTGTCTAGTAGATCAACCGTAAATGCAAAGGACTCACCCCGACGGAGTTCTGCTTCAGCACAATTGAGTCAACGAATCCGCGAGCCATCGCATGGGCGCTGCTGGCACGTCAGCTTTGCTATTTCAAGAGCTTCCCGGAAGTAAAACAGACTTTCGTAGCGGTGTTACTGGGTCATAGGTATTTCCGATGAATAGCAACGGATGTGACGTGTTGCCTATGAAGGGCCCTTGAAGTGCGCGCGTCCGTCAGTTCCAGATTCTGAATACAACGTCGTGGCGTCTGGACTTACCATCATAGCGCCATTCAGGCCGCGTCTTCAGCCTAATACAAGACATGCGGATCTCGGCCCACATATCTCCAATAGCCTTACTTTGCCCCCGGAGCGTATGCCAATAGCTTCGGAACACGTCCTTGGCGATTCCATCGATACCTGGAGCGTCTGTGCAAATGACGTTTCTTCCAGCCTCCCAATCGCTTTCGCCGGGCAGTTTGCAGTTCTTGGAAGAGGGGTCACATGAAGACCGCCCAGTCCATCTCTTGGTATTGTATTTATAATCTGCGAAAGAAGTCCCGTTGCCGCGCTCGAGATCAGCCAAGACTCGGGCGACGAACTCAAATAATTTCATAGGGCTGTATAGGGATTCCACCACCAATGATGTCAAATCGCTGCTCGTTATTATGTCTGGGCCTCTGCTCCTGGAAGGAGCCACCGCAATAGGGTCCGATGTAAGATTTGCCAGAATTTGTTCATAACGAGATCTGAGATCTTTGGGACTACCACCACCATGCGCAAACGGGCAAGAACTTGGCCCGGCCGTGTGACAGTACTCGAAAAAGCTACCAAGGGCTGCGTCTCCATCCTGTAAGTTAGTAAGCCACATGCCCGAGTAATAGTCATCGGCATTACAGACGCCATCTATCACAGCACGGCTGATGCGATGAGGCTGCATGGCTGCAAACGTGCTACCCAGGAGTGTCCCATAGGAGAAACCCCAGTATAGAAGTTTTTCTTGCCCCTTGTTCCAGCGGTTCTGCATTCTGATAGCTTCAAAATTCAGGGAAGCGTCGATAATTGTTGAGAGTAGCCTCTCCGTTTCTCGCTCACGCCACTCTCCATGGCGCTCAATGAGCTCAACCATATCCGCCACCACCGGCGATGTATTCATAAAAGGTCCTATCCATTCCTCGCCCTCTGAGTCCTCAGCTCCTAGTTGGCTGCAGCTCATACCATAGGCCTCGAATCTTGCCCATCGAGTATCAAACGCTCTTTCAGAGCTTCCCAGCAAACCCTCTGCGTCCGATTGCAGTGTCCACGCTTTTCTCGCCATCGGGTCAGGGTAGCAGGAAAAGTTAGGTGTTGTATTATTGATTCCCCTTGGATCAAAGCTGACGATATCGAAATACTTTCCCACAGCAGAGTTTGCACTTGGTGATTCTGCGGAGTCAACAATTGTCTGGATAGCTTTCCCCCATCGGAAGACGAAGTCTACTCCGGACCCACCAGGGCCACCTAATTTTGCACTCAGTATAGATACTATAAAGTAGACAAATGATCTTTCTCACCGGGATTTAGAAGGACAGCTCCACCATATCGCGCATCCGTGACAGGTACCTTTGCGGGTATCTTCATGACAGCCAAGGCGATCTTCGATCCTTTGCCATCGGTGCGATTCCAGTCCATAGGAAGTTCCAGGCGGGCACATTCGTGACCCTCAAAGCAGGGATGATATATAAGCTGTTTGGTAGGCGTGATCTGGTGGGATGTATTAGCACCCGACGATCTGACAAGATGAATTCACCTACATCTTCCCATTTGAAAGGAGTATCATCCGAGAAGGGCTCTGGCAACTGTCGCCCAATAGTCTTGCTTTTATAGAAATTAACATATAGTTGTGAGATGGCAAATGCGGCCAGGGTGAGTAAAATGAAGAATCGAATGACTCGTTCTTTGAAATGCTGTGGCCTAGCGGACAACGCTCGCAAATTGGGCTGCTGCCCCGACACTTTTGAGTCTGGGGGCGCCATATTGGCACTATATGATTATGCGTATATCGGAGAACTAGTAGGATTCCGTCGTTAAGAAAAAGAATCCTGGTTGCAATGGAAGCCTTCGCAGACCCTTGATTGAAGGTAACATGGCGCCAGTTATAATTTATATCAGTCAAAGTCAGCACTTGGATGGCGCAAGTGCACTTGCCTAAGTGCCGACCCTAGTTTGGAAGGAACCCATCGTTCCTTCCGAGCCAGGCATAGCCATCGAAGCGTGTTCTGTGACTGGTGCTTTCCCCGCCGATAAGCCGGTGCCTCGCAGGATGCTAAGTATCTTTCCCTGCGGAGTACCGCTCAACGCCGCCGGTTGTGGAAACGGCGATGCATGTTCAAATTTCGGTAAGCTATTAGCATCCCAGAGAGTCTTTATTGCTCTCGGAAAGCCAAAGATGTTCGTGTTCGAGTTTGGATATGTTTTTGATTAGCATAAGTCAGTTTTAGAATTCATTCCGATCCGCAGATTATATATCCCCTAAAGCTTCACTTATACACCGAACCTACTAGGATCGCATTAAACCAATACATATGATCCCATTAGTAAATTGGCTTACTTATGAGACGCCAAGAGATTTCCGATTTCCGACAGAACCTGGATTGCGTCTGCGTCTGTGTCTGCGTCTGACCGAAGGTTGGAGCCTCTAATGCCACGCCAAGCCCTCTTTCACTCTTAGACCCACGTGATGTCTACTTAACGGCTTATGTACAATAATGAGTCAACCATGACCTTCTCCAACCTTCCCTCCATCTCCAACTTTGGGCAACCGAGTCGAGATTTTCCAAGAAGACCCAAGAAACGATGGCTGACGTTAAACCCCCGTTCACGGAGGAATCGGCGCGGAAGAAGGTCAAGGCTGCCCAGAACCTATGGAATACTATGTAAGATCTTCCTCGAGATTTATGAAGCTTCTGTATGGGGCCTAGAATTTGTCTGGGTCTTGCAATCTATCGTCATTATCTATAGTACTGGTATGAGGGATCGAAGGCTATTATGAACCCAATATTCCATCCCTTGCTTGTAACTTGGGCGTCTACCGTGTTCCGACCATTCTTCTCATGTTCTGCTGTGCCTCCGATTCTGAACGACATTCTTGAGAATTTCTGAAACGCTTTCACTATCTGAAGTTTGCTATCTTCTTGGGCACATTCATCTACGTACTAACGAATTATACTCGCAGGGATCCCATGCGAGTTGCACAGGCTTATACGCCCACATGCATTTGGCGTAATCGCACTTCATTCTTCTCCGGAACAGAAGGGATTATTGAATTCTTGACAGCCAAGTGGAAGCGCGAAGCGAACTATAAGCTGCGAAAAGAGCTATTTTCCTTCAACGATAACCGCATCGCAGTGCAATTCTGGTACGAATACCAAGATGTTGAAGATGGTCTGCGCTGGAAGCGATGCTATGGTCTCGAAGACTGGACCTTCGATCGAGAAACAGGAAAGATGTGTAAGAGAATGATGAGTGGGAACGACGTACTTATCGGTCCTGATGGGAATGGGGAGGGAAGATGGTTTGTGGAAGGTGTTGATCTTGAAGACGTGGAAATTGGAGAGGAGCATTGGTGATGGGTAGCTTCTAAACCCCTGCACGCTTGGAGCTGCTGTCGTTGATTTGCCCAGCAGGTACATATGGTTCATAGGTATTCGTGGGGAATAGAAGAGACGGCGACAGCGGTTGACAAAGTATGGAAGAGGTACAGTGGGTTCCATCTTACGGTTGCGTTTTGCTTCTGCCTGGATATATTCTGACAAAATTGGAAACTCTATAATTTCTGCCATTCTCAGGGCTAGTCAGGTAGTCAGTTGATTAGACAGTTGGCGCGTGGTCGGGGTGTTGACGGTGCGCGGAAGTCGATGCCAATCCCGCCCTTTGTCGAATGCCCCTCGCCCATCCAACTCGTAGTATGAAGGAGCATAGTTATCCCTGCGCCTGTAGCTTCAACCCAAGACAAGGAGTAGAAGACATGGTTGCTCTAGGTATTTGACAGGCCGGGCGGACGTGTTGCGACTGGCAAGTGCAACCCTGGTCCCCCCTGTCTTCGTGCAACAAAGGGGGGAATGTAATGAGGTCGGTCGCCTTGACTTGCGAAAGATCCCAGCCACCTTCTGGGCGAATCTTTCTCCATAATGACGTCGTTTCCGATCCATGGGATCTAGGGGATTTTGATGATCTTGGGGGCATCGAGGAGAAGAACAGGCTTGGCTAATTTCAGGTCAGTTAAATAAGAATTCAAGTGCCTATGCTTACGAAAATGTTGCGACATGCTCACCTTGGACCATCTCTCGCTGAATGAAATCGGACCACCCCGTTTCTTCGACCGCGAAGGTCTCGGTGTTGACCGAAGAGCAGAACCGCCAGGTTGAGGGCCGCATTCCAAGCCTATTGCACCCCAATACTGGCGGGTGCCCGGGAGGGTGAAGAGGAATCCCAAGCAAAACAAACATCCGACAGCCATTCCACAGGCCCGTCCTCTCTGGCGTGGTATGCTGCAAGAACGGCTCAGATGTCCTGTTTGCTTGCTTTGACCACCGCGCATGGGTCGGGGAAGCATGCCGCCAGGAAATTACTGACACCCCGGGAGATTCATCTGTACTTTCAATGCCCCCCTCATCCGACAGCGGCAGTCTGGATCTAGGTGTGACCTGTGGACATTATCGCCGACTAGCCTTTCTAACGGCGCTACATGGGGCATTGAAAGGACAGGCAGCCTAGGAAGTATTACCACGAGAGCAAAAGGGACCGGACAATAGGCTATTCACAGACACCCCTCCGCTATTTGTTACTCGCGCAGACGGTGCATGTTCCTTAGTACTCACACCCGCGTAAGTGATTCATCCAGCACTCCATAGATTCCCCCGCTGAATGTCCCTGTCATCCTCATGCTTTGATTGGTATACACTTTGGAATCGATCCGTTTTCTGACTCTGTGAGGATTCAGCCGGGACCATCGAGAAAATACCGCCACTATCCATATGCAGACGCGTTGATAGCCCACCTTGCTTTCTGCCTGGAAGACGGGGCAAATGGACGAGATAACCACTCTTCTCGCCTCTCAGACAATGCGGACGCCCCTGACAGACGCGACAGCAAGGGTAAACAAGTGTTTAACCCCGATTACAGAGCGCGAAGAGCAAATGAGACAAGCACGGCTTCAGATGACATCGCCAGTGCCGATGTCCATCGTGACAAGCCCCTTAGCCGCGAAAGGGAATGCAGAGATCAATTGCAGTTCACCAGCTCCAGATTCACAACCCGGGACCAACCGGAACTCCACGATATCGGCTGCATCAATCATCTCAAACCAAGGGAAACGGAAAACTCACGTGGGACCATGGCAGCTTGGAGAGACTCTCGGCAAGGGGGCGAGTGGCCGTGTGAGGCTGGCGAAGCATTCGGTTACAGGGCAAATCGCAGCGATCAAGATTGTGTCGAAGAAGTCAGCTGCAATAACGCAAAGTGCGAGTATTGCGGGAATGGATAAGAAGGCAGGTCGGTTTGGAGGAATAGGGCCGAGGCAGATCCCGTCGGGCCTTGAGCGCGAGGTTGTGATTATGAAGCTGATCGAGCACCCAAACGTGATCAATCTATACGATGTGTGGGAGAACCGGGGAGAGCTGTAGGTGATATCAGAAGGCGAGATAAGGTTATAGCTAATCATGCCTAGGTATCTTGTCCTAGAATTTGTTGAAGGCGGAGAATTGTTCGATTACGTCTCACGAAACGCGCCTCTCAGAGAGGAAGAGGCGGTGCGAATATTCCGACAGATAATTGCCGGGCTTGGTTACTGTCATCGCTTCAACATCTGTCACCGAGACTTGAAGCCGGAGAATATATTGCTAGATCGACAGTGCAACGTGAAGCTTGCTGACTTTGGAATGGCCGCTCTTCAACCAACAAATCGTTGGCTTGATACGTCCTGCGGAAGTCCACATTACGCTGCCCCTGAAGTCATAGAAGGCAAGACATACCTTGGGGACAAAGCAGATATATGGAGCTGCGGCATCATCCTACACGCATTACTAACTGGATTCCTTCCATTTGATGGAGGTGACCTCCAGTGCACCCTCAACCTAGTGAGGCGTGGTGCTTTCGAAATTCCCAAAGGGATTAGCCGGGAAGCTGCAAATCTCATCATACGCATATTGGAGAAAAACCCAGATCGTCGGATTAGCATGAAAGAAATTTGGACGCACCCTCTACTTACGAAGTATGAAAAGCGCTATAAAGGGACAGTGAACCATCATGTGGGCCCTCCACCGCCGTTGTTGCCGCAAGACTGCGGTCCACCCATCAGTAACAGACAGGATATTGATATCGACCTCCTGAGAAACCTCCAGACATTATGGCACGACGCTACCCCGGCAGCGATACTCGAAAAGATATTAGATCCTGCGTAAGTCGTCTCATCCCTTGAAGCTCACATGTCATGGTTAGGGATCGATCCCACAGCTAATCAAATGATTTGACTTAGCCCAACCCAAGAACGGATGTTTTACAACGCATTGGTGAAATTCAGAAATGAACAGTTAGAAAACTATCAGGGTCAAACTCTCCAATATTCTGCCAGCGACTACCACCACATTTCAGCGCCGGAGCGTGTACCGAATAAAAGAACATCTCGTGTGAAGACCAGTTCAACGAAATGGTCTCAGTTTCCAGCTGTGAGAGAGACAGGCATAAGGGCCAAGCATAACGAAGAGCCGAAGTCATGTGCCACTGTCCGAAGCTACGATCCGTTCAGGTCACCGCAAGATAAGTACGCCAAAGAAGCGAAATACGCCCAAATCACCGTTTATCGAAATGGTGTGGTTGAAAAGACCAAAGAAGGGCCCTTTGAGACTGTCCGGTCATTGAAACACGCTGCGAAGGGTGAGATGGAGTACGAAGACCTGGAATGTCCTCCAATCTCACCTTTCGTGGTGATGCGTGACAAGAAGATTAAGGTCAACTCTGTCAGATCGTTCCAGTCGAAAACCCCCCTATCAGGGTCTCGTCGAGCTCTATACGGTACATCAACACCTCGTTCTGCCAGTTACAAACGCAATGTATGCTTTCACCACACTCGAAACCGCTCGCAAGGATCTATGTCTGTCAAAATGAGAGTTGCCCGGGCCAAAGCTCGTGACCTCAAAATTGATTCCAGTGAAAGTAGCCTGGTATCGGCATTCGAGGATGATCCATTTTCCGACGCACAGGAGAGCCCCTCATTGCCGGCTCAGCCTACCGTTGTACGTGGTGCTGCTGTCACGATCAAGAATTGTCCTCAGATGAAGAAGGTGCGAAACAGCGACATCATATGGAAAGACGATGCGCGGAAGGTATCCCATGAGCTCAGTCAAATATGTGAGGAGGCTTTTAATGGCAGCTCACTGTCAACAAATTGCACCACCAGTACGCGTATTGGTTCCGAGACGCCCGCCACTTCTGTGTCAATGGCTAGCCCTGAGGCATCACATCAGCAGCTTGCTTCCCACAGTTTGAATCACTCTAGCATGGACACGACACCTACGGCCAGATTATCGCCAGAGTCCTATACAGCTGCAGAACTCATTGAGACTCGGCGTAGGTTCATTGAATATTCTCTTCAGGATGAGTCAAAAAATACTCGTTACTTGAAGCCAATCATAGGACATCTTGATCGTTTGATTGAGCAGGATGAACTGAGAAGACGCGAAAGACTTGAAAAACCTCGACACTACGCCAGTTCGAATGGAAGCCAATTTGTCCAGCCATCCAATGAAATGCCACAATCATCAGGAGCATGCGATAACGCGAGCCTTGAACCTGGCATTCAAAACAAGGGTAAATACAAACAAGATGGTCAGAGAGTCACCTCACATTCGACTGTTGGGAACAGTTCGAACCGTTCCAGCCGCGATGGGAAACGAACAGTTCGCATGGTCCCTCAAAGTTCCCTACAGTCAATCGACCACACCAGGGATTTGCACATCCGAAAAAACCGCACCGTGCTTCCCGGGGGAATTCCAGAGATGTCCGATGCGGACACAGCACAGCTCGACAGTGAACAGTCTGCAATGCTTACGCGTAAATTCGTCTCTGTCAATTCTCGTCAAAGTCGTGGTCCTTGTGAATTAGATCCCATCGAAGAAATCCCGGGGTCTCCCAGACGGAGTGGTACTCGTGCTTCAGAAACCAAGAAATGGTCATGGTTTCAAAATAGGTCCCAGGCATCTAGTGACAGGGCGACGAGGGCTTCTATCGACGTCCAGCCTATACAACGGAGTTCTGCGACTGTAATCAGACACGAAGCTGGACCTTCAGAACCAATGCCGGGGGGCCAGCCAGACAACTACTCGGGGAATCGAAAGCAGTCGTCCAATAAAACTAAAGGAGGATTCTTCAGAAGGCTTATGGCCCGACGAGCAAGCAAAAGTAGTCAAAACCAAGACGCAGGTGAGTTCCATCTACCAGTTAGCACAAGTTCCAACTCATCATGGACCACAGAACCTGACAATCCAGACACAAATCCCTTGCTCCGACGCCCTCTCGAAACTGGGCGTACATCAGACACAGAATTTGCCGATAAACCTCTTCCACGCCCACCACGCAGTGCAAGAAACCAGAATTGGTTCGCTCGCGTCTTCCAAATCAAGCCCGCCTCCCGAGTAGTAGCGCTAAACACATCCACTACCAAAGCGCGAAAGTTTATACACAAGAACCTGCGCGAATGGAAGAAATGGGGCATGGAGGAGGTCTACCTGGACAAGGACAAACGCGTCATTTACGGAAGCGTGGGTGAAGTCAATCGTAAGATGGCCAAGTCCCATTTCCCATCAACCCTAAACTAACACGATTGCAGTACTCAATCTTCGACCTGTCGAATTCTCCGCTGAATTCTGCACATATCTCGAACAAGGCCGACAAGAGAACCTCAGTCTTGTCCGTTTCAAACAAGAGCGCGGAGCAGCCTCGTCGTTCCACAAGGTCGTCGACACCCTGTATCTTCTCATGAAGGGCCAACAGATGCTCATGGAAGACCCTGCTCGAGCCAAAGAAATGGTTCGAATCCTAGACGACTACCTCAATCCCTGAAGACTAACACAAATACCTCTCCCTTTCTGCCTCCTCACCCTCCCACTCATCCATCCCTTCTGGATCATTCATTCTGGAAACCTAGCTATCAGGACTACCATCTCACCACCTATTTGGTTCCTTATCCTTCCCTTTGACGTTGCATATAACCTTCGAACAAGTTTAATCGACATACAGGATATCATGATATTGTCCATAATAACTCACCCACACCATGCGGTCTTCCTCCGCCAATTCTTTTCATTTTCCGAGTCATCCTTTTCAGGCACCTAGGCTCAGCATCAATCCACACTACACTCGCTTGGTCTTTCCTTTCTTTCTACCCGGCCAAACCCACACGCTCGTTGGCTTCGCAGGCGTTTCAGTTTATTTTCATGTCATTTATTCCTTCTTACCTACCTAACATGTACTTTGCACTATTCACCACTACCACTACCACAGCAGCGTTCGTTCTTTCTCCTTTCAAGCTTTGAAAGTGTTCCATCGGTTAGTCAGTCATTACGCACACTAGTTATTTCCTAAGTACACTCACACAATCACTCATTCAATACAAACGGTGCTTCTTTCTGTTATCTGATTCAAGTACGTTATATTACCTTCCTTTCTTTATGTCTCTCTGTGTCTCTTTTTACTCTTTATGACCCAGTATATCTAGTGTAATCCACTTAATGTAATACTGCATTGCACTTGAGCTAGAACTAATATCGCATGTTGTAGATGACAGGAGGTATCGCATGCGAATGATTCTATGTCTTGGGTATACGTAACAAGACAAGACGCGATGCATGATTGTATTCTATGATATGATACGGAATGGAGCACGAGGCTTGTCCGGCCACGTTTCGCCACAAGAGCTGGGTAGGGTATAGATGCCCGAACCGGAAAGAGCGAATCGAATGGTAGTCATTTCGGGTCATGTGTAAAATTACTACGGAAACAGGATACACTGCCAACACGGATCTATCCGAGACGCTGGAAATCCAAGTGCGAGGTAAGATTCCAAGACGGCTAGATAAGATAAGAGACCTATTAGGCAGTATAGGTGTTGATACTTGACTAGAAGAAGAAAAACGTGAAACCATCGCATCTGAACAAACAATATGCACAATGCAACATAAAGATCAAGATCAACACGCATAGAACAGAACACTGTGATTGCAAGTCATAAAGTTGATCAGACAGCCTCCCAAGTATGATAGAAAAGACAACCAGAATTGCAAGATAGAATCGACACGTCAAACCAAAATGACCTCCTTTTTCGCAAATGACGGCATAGCACCTCCCAGGGACGAGCAGTCTTAGGGCAGTCGGCGAAAACCAGACATAATAGCATGAACGCAGAACAGATAGCCACCCGAAAAGTAATGAAACACTCAAGAAAAGTAAACCACCGCCAATAGCATTGAAAAAGCCTCATCACACATATTCCTCGAAAGAAATGGAAATGCAGCAGAAATCCGCACCGATGATTCGCTTCGTAATAGCTGACGAAGAGGCAGCCGTTGCCAACAGATGAATGAGAGACTTCCAACAAAGCTCCGTGCCCAGATGATCCCAGCTGAGCTCGCTTGACTCGCAATGCATTCACTAGATGAGGAACATATGATCAAGAGTGTGATCTCCTGATTTGAGTGTGGGAGTGGTCCGCGAAGACCATGGTGAATGCATGAGGCACCAGACTGGACCTTGGCGAGATATTGAACAAAAAAAATAGAGGTAAAAATAAAAAACCGACGAGTAGGAAAACGTCATTAGTAGGTCGCCCCAAGTAATTTATAAACTGTGATGATGTCTTTCGGAAAGGGGGATGTTGTAGATGATGAAGTAAGAACACAGTGCGAGTTATTGACCGCCAAGGCACCGCAGCTGTTCAATGAGAGCCGCAACATTGACAATCGTATGTGGTGGTCAACCAAGACAGGCATCCTCGTACTTTAATCATGCAGCTCGTAACTCTCTTGCGTCTCGTTTCCATGACCTCGTAGCCGAATAAACATGGAATAAACCTTGCTTCTTCCTCCTTTTTTTCCCTCCGTTTTTTATTGCTTTTTAGGACCTCCTTTCGCTCAGAGTGCTGGATTGTTCACCGCTTCCCATGACATATAACGATCAAAGGTGCATTTTGGTGTCATTTGACGTGGAGGTCCAATGACAAAATGTAGCCTCCAGGAAATCATCATATGCGTTGCGCTTCAATAGTCCGCGTTCTTGGAAAGGGGCATGATCCCCGTTCAGACATTGCACAGAAAAGCCGTTTCCCTTGTCTCATCTAGTCTTCTCATACTTTGACGAATACGTGGCAATGACACTACAACCCAGGCAATGGGAAGGTGTAGTGTCATCACGCGTACCTTGTTGAAGTGTGTGACCAGCACACAAGCCTTGCGCGTCAACCAACGTCGAACTCGACCCTGCCACCGTCTACTCCATTTCAATCTCCTTCCATCCCATATTCATCAATCCACCCCGATCCCGATCATAAGCAACCAGTCAATCGGAAGCTCCATATTCATTCCCGAGTATTATTGGTTCAAGACCCGACGATTCAATGCATTGAGCATATCACTATCGGTGCTAGAGCGACCTTGGCCCTGATTCTGGCCCTGACCCTGACCTTGTCCTTGTTCTCCGGGGTTTAACATGTCACGCACATTGAGCCCACTGCGTGACGAACCACCGGGAGTGGACGTAGGTGGAGGGGTCATCGCACCTTGGTTGGAGTGCATGGGAGGATAGGGTGAGCTGTGGGGAGACGAGGAATGACGACCGTCGTAGGGGTAAGTCGACTGCGGAGAGGGACGCCGATCATGTTGAGGGGGAGGATAGTAGGGGCTCGTCGCACTATATGTCTGATACCCAGACGCAGATGTTGCGGGCGTTACCGGGGCAAGATTTGTAGGGTCGGGATATTCGAATCCGGAGCCTGATCCTCGGCGACCAATGGGCCTCTGTCACGAGAAATGAGTACGAGGAAAGAAAGACTGGTTGCGAACAATGTGAAGCACTTGCGACTTACATGATCCGGAGCTCCATTTGCAAGGGGAGGAGGAGCATTTCCATAGGGATGCTGATACATTCCTTGCGGTGGTGGAAGTGTACCTTCTGGTTGCTGTTGAGGTGGAAGAGGTTGGCCATGAGCGCCATAGAGCATCACCCCGGGAGCCCCAGCGCGTCCTTGGTTCTGTGCATTTCGTAGGTGTGGGTAGGCGGCGTGGGCGGGCACAAAAGCTTGCGCCTGAGACGAGACAGGTGTAAACATGCACTCCTGGTTAAAGCGAATGCAGTTGCTACAACGTCCATCCTGCGAGCTTTCGAATCCCGAGCAGCGGATCTATTGGTTCCAACACAGCGATGTCAGCGGGCAGCAATTATAGCACGGCCTCATCGAGGGTGCCAATCAACAAGGTTCATGCCAAAAACATACCTTCCGTCTGCGGCAGTAGCGACACGCGATGGCAGTCCGCTGACGAGGGGCAGCAGCTTGATAGACTACCTGAGGCGGCGGCGGCGGTTGGGCGTATACATCTCCGGGTCGGTAGGAACCCGGAGGCGGTGGCAGACGGTATGGATCCTGCGGGGCCTGGACATGGGGGTGCATAGCAGCCATGTTTGGCGGAGGCGGATATTGTGATGGGGGTTGGTATTGGTGATCTGCAGTTGGGGGGTACGAGGCCGGGGGATATGAGGCCGGAGGGTACGAGGCCGGAGGATACTGAAGGTGAAGAAGCAGTCCAAGGTTAGCCAATGGCTTGTTGACGACAGACAAATGATAGCACAATGGAAGAGCAGAGAATAAGAGACGATGACACGAATCGACAACAATGGGAAGCGGAAATGCGAAAGTATTGTGGAGGCAAAACAATAGCAGCAACGTACCGGGTACTGAGAGGCCGGCGGATATTGAGCAGAAGGATTATCCTCAGGCTGTTCAGGCTGACTAGTATTCCATTGAGGCGGTGGTGGATACTGTCCCTGGCGACCAGGGTCGGTATAATCGTTGGGATTGCGGTACGGGCCCTGCCGGTTCGGGTCGCTGTGATCGTTGGGGTTGCCGGACATTGGTAAAGCGAGCGTGCGAAAGGAGCTGCTTTAAAAAAGACGGGACCGGGCGACGGTGGAAAGCGCGCGAGGACAGATGCAGGATGATGTGAGTCGAAAGTCACGTCCCGCGGGTCGTTCAGCTAAGTAGGCAGGCAGGGATGTGTCTCCTTCAAGGTTTGTTCGAGAGCGCGGGCCGCACGGGGAGAAAGCGTATGTATGATGCCGTCTGTTTGTTTCTGTTTTGTATGTATGCTTCGTATGTATGGCTCAAGGAATGGAGGGCCGTATGTATGTAAGTAGTATGTAAGTACGTATGTATGTACGAAGGCGAGGGTGGGTGTAAGGCGACTAGGATGTCGATGCGGAGTCAAGCCGGTCAGAAAGTCGACCAATTCAAAAACAGTTCCAGCTCCCGTCGGGTGATTTTCGAAGCTAGCATAGCCTCGTGGTCACGCTCAGCCGAAGACGGGGGAAGGAGGGGGGAAGGAGGCAAAAAGGAAGGAAAGAACCAAAGAGGATCTAATCCGCAGAGGGAAGAAGCCGAGGAAAGAGATGAGCGGATAGGCGAGGGAGGAAAAAGACCAGGGGGGAAGAGGGAGGCGGTGGAGGGAAGAAGGCAATTAAGAGGTCGAGGTGGTCAAATTTAGCAAGGGTGGTCAGGAAAGGATGGTAAGGGGGGTGGGCAGGTAAGGGAAAATAAAAAAAGAATCGAAAAAGAAAAAAAAGGGACAAAGAGAAAAATGGCAAGGACGTAAAAAAAAATAAAGATAAAATAATACAAAAACAATTTAATAAAAAAAAAAAAAGGAAAAAGGAAAAGTGAGAGCCTCGGGGATTTCAGTTATGACGTGAGCGTTGAACACTGAGGGGCTCCAATGAAGGTGGTCCGTAATATCAGCCAAATTAGCAGAGCTGGGTAGGACTGGTGAATGAGATTCAAACACCACAGGAATTTCTAAGACGCAATGGGAGAACACGATGGCAAGAACAGGATATCAGGAGGCAATGTAAGGATACCTCCGTACAAACGAAGGGAAACAGAGAGCTTTAAGAGAGCACTCTGCTCGGGCGGAACGCGTGCTACTACTCCGTTATAAGAATGGTGGTGGGAGTCAGCCAAGCAAGCTGAAATAGCGTCTCCAAGGCCTGGCGGGAGCGCAAAGAAACTGTCAGTAATGATCAAACATCAAGGGATCAAGGGCTACGAGGAGAACAGGGTCGAGCCTGTTGACCCGTAGCTGTAGTGAAAATCCCGGGATCTTGAAGCTGCCAACCGGCCATGTGTGGGCTTGTGCGTACAGTACAGCGTTGTCTCTCTTTCCCCTCTTTCGTGCCCTTTCCTTTTCTCGATCCTTCTCTGACGCAAGGTCAGATAAAAAGACGATCGAAAGCCACGCAGATCTTGATGCCCAGGATTTTCACGCAGACATGATCTCTGCAGGGGAAAGAACAACGGGGTGACAGGGAATCCTACCTAAAGAATCGGAGACCGGTACCTGTGACACCGATTGAATGCTGGCTGGCAGGGATTCAGAGGATAATGTGTTCTATGGAAGCTGGACGATGAAGAAAAAGGCAGAGAGCCTAGAAAGCTAACGTATAGAAAGGGGGGGGAAAGGCAAAGTGAAGAGATTGGTCGATGCACACACATGGATGGATCGGAAACAGGTACTAGTGAAAGGACGAAGACGGAAGAAGGCTTCGATGCTAATTGCTAAGGTTCTACTCCGTACTGTCTACTACTACGTATTGTGTAGCAGTAGTGTCTACTCCCGCACCCCGTCGTTTCCCTTTCTTTGCCTCTGGTCATTTTGTACTGTGTATCGCCCCGAAACCATGATCCATCCATCTAGCGTGATGACTTTTTCTTCAATCATAAGAGTCGATTGATTGATTGACTAATAACCCGACTCCATAGTTGATTACCTCCCCCGAGGAAAATCCCAGCGCGAAGGAAAAGCCCACGCTGGTTCGCTGGGTCGCCGACTCGCCGGTCCGTTCGGGAGGCGAAAAAGGAAAAACGGTTGGGTCAAGCGCGTCAAAAACGACACGAGACGCAGGGTGCGAGTCCCACGGCTGGCGGAAGCGGAAAGGCGGGAAGATTCGCGATGGGGATTCCCAGGGAATGCACCAGGTCGTTATTTGGGTCGACTGGGTCCCTGGATACGATGCGGGTATGAGGAGCGAGGACGACTCATGGCGACTGCGATCCCGACTTATTACTACACAGTCCTACTAGTCTACTACTACGTATTAATTTAGAGGCGGAGGCGATCTAGTATCTTGGTGTCCTCATCATTGGTTCTGCTGGAGAATATCACCACGCGGGCAATTAATTTGTCGTCGGTGCTAGAATCACCATGGAACCCAGGCTCCATCGCCGGCAGACAAGGTCAATTTCCAGGAAAATTGAATCATGCGATGGGAGCCAGTTTCCTCAATCAGCGGGTCAATATTTGGGGCATTTACGTAGTGAATATTGAACCTCACCAGCAGCAGCCATATATGTGCATGGCTGACGAAGAGAGATGCGTGGTGGGTGGGAAGGGAAGGAAAGGACCCCAAAAAAGAGAGTTGGAAAAAAAAAAACATGTGGATGGATGGATGGATGGAGTAGCGGTCATGGAAAGGTATAGCGCAGAAGAACGGTCCGCAGACCAGGTGGACCCTGTCTAACACGCCAGCGACCCATAGATATGGACGGGGACGACCTAAGACGCAGCTAAAGTATTCGCGGTTCCATGGGGATCAGCTGAATCGCTGTAAGGCCCTCGGGTTGGGCGTTTGGCAGGCCCCGGCGACCGCACGAACAGCCACTACTGTAGAGTCTAGAGCCTGAAGAGGGGCGTAAGTTTGCCAGAAGGCGCAAGTGACGACTGATGACGGAGGGAGGGTACGCCGGGACGGGTAAAGGCGCCGTGACGGAACTCCACCGACCGCTTCAAGTCCTTCCGTCTCCAGTTGGGGGCTTACTTTCAAGTATGTACTCAATACGGAATTCGATTTTCGGTTTTCTTCTTTCGGGTTTTCTGTTCTTTTCTTTCTTCGCTTTTCTTTATTCTTCAAAGTATTATTAGTTTCTTTTCTATCTTATTTTTCCCTTTTGAGTCTTCTTCGTCTATTTTGGTTTCTCGTTACCCGGCACTAAGGACATAGATAGGCATCAGATCTAGTATGTATTATTTCCATCGCACAGGTACGATGTGTATGTAGCCATATAGATAAAGACTACAATGTATGGTGCTTGGCCCTTATGGCTGATTTCACATGACCACTACTTCTATAGGCGTTGGGACATCCCACTTACAGCACTTGTGCTTTGGTCTGGTACATAGAACCAAGATAGGAACTGCCTGCAGTAGTCACAGGTACACAGTTGGCACAGTTGGCAGTTCTTACTCCGCTTGTTTAGGCCAGCCGTAAAATACCCAATGCCGAACACTGTATAGATAGGTACTACCTACTCCATAGTAGTACAACACACCGAAGCATCCTGGACCAGCTAAGACGCTACTACCATACTTGAGGACACTTGGACAATTCTATTAGCCAATGCATCTCAAGGCGTCTGTCCACTGACTCGGGGCATATTATTCATATGCCACGTTAATGCCAGCAATAACAGAACTATCTACCAACTAATTGAGCAGTACTTACTACATCTCCACAGGTAGGCATCTAACATGGCCCGTATGTACAGCCGGTGTCGATAGATAATGATAATCCAACATGATCCAGGTTGAGTTTGGGGAAGGGACATAGTAACTGGCTCCACCCGGGTAATGCCCGAATCTTTAAAGAAAGAGGGGCTGACGGCCCGTGGATGGCAAATGCTCGTCGGAGCCCTACTAGGTACAACCGACTGCACATCACTAGTCCTTCGTTATGCTTGCAGAATATTAATAATCATCAACAGTTGCTAGATATTTGCTGGCTGCTGCATGAGTACTTTCCTCATTTTGGTCACACTGCGTGCTGACAGAAAGGTCGGGATGCATCCAATGCAGCTGAAGAAGTTGTGTTTTAAATTTAAAAAAACAAAACAAAACAGAAAATGTGGAAGGAAGCATGGGAATCCAGCCTTAATGTCCCACTCTCCTGATCCCGTGTTCCTTTGTCCTACCCTCGATTGATTGGGTCTGTTTCTCTCCGTTTGGCACACACCCAAAGTCCCTCAGTGAGTCAACATATTTTGCTTCCTTTCCCCCGTATCCCATTCTTTGACGGGGCTACTTATTAGGAAGGTGGTTCTGCATTTTGTTTGGATCCCAATTCCCAGAGCCCTGGTACTTGGGCGGGCAATTTGAAACCATGGTTGCTTGCGCAGTTAGTGTACCATAGCTCGGAGGCTCGGAGCAGGGCATCGGTGCTCCCTCGAACTAACCCACCAGTAATTCCCTCCTCAACGCATCTTTAACTTGTTATTGAGATTGTCGCGCCTTGTTTGCTGATACCTCAGTGCTCCTTACATACAGACCATGACCGGATGACCAGCGCGGATTGTGCCGACACTGGAGAGGGGACGGACCTACTCCGTACTTCTTTACAGTTTACACAGAGCAGTCATCAACTGCAACCATCTCCTGCGACACGGTCGGTAAGTACTTCGCAGCTAATAAGATGGCATTAAGTCACCATGATGCATGACTGCCTGGCTTTATAAGATCGCGCATGCGAGGAACAGCCCTGACCCTTACTTCCCAGCTTGGCCGCATCCTCTCCAGAGTGCCGTTGGCTCGTTTGCCTGTGGACTGTGGGAAGATGCCATCGTATGGTTCTCGTACTATCATACCAGGTACATACCGAAGGAGGATACATACATAGATACTCCATACATACATACGTACATGGTGTGCTCTGGGCTTGCGCCGGCCAGGAAGGGCACAATATGTATGCTTCGCAGTAGTGCCCGCGTGCATGCAGCGGCTGCCTTGTTGTGGTCGGGGCTCTATCAAACACTCCCTTCATTGATTGGGGCGGCGGTGCTGGGGATTCCTTCCCACCGCGCTCCTGAACAAGCAAACATCTGCACCATCTCAATTCTTCACGATCTGGTCGCTGATATGACTCGTCACCCCGCGGGAGCTTGCATTCACCTACCCAAGCTAATCATCATGACAGACCAGCAGGAGAAATAAAAAAAAAGAAAAGAAAAGAAAACAAGGCCCCTGCTCGGTGGCTGCATAAGTTACTTGTCGGTGGCTCGGTGCACTCGGTCAAGCAATACCTGCCACCTAGTTTTAAAGAAAGAAAGGGCCAGAGAGTCGATGAGGGGCCGTCCTTTGACCTAGGATCCCTTGCATACCTCCGGCTACCCGGAGGCCATGTATCAAACGGTACGGTCCAACCCGTCCGCAGGGGTTATCATCAATACTAGATGCGACTCAGATATGCAGCTTGTGACTCGGGAGGAATTGTGCTAGTCATTGCATTGCATGGACCACTGCTCCAGCGTCTCCCCGGTTCCTCGTTCGCTTGCTAGCCTCGGGGTTGTAAGTGTATGTGTGTATGCATGCATGCATGCGTGCATGATCCATGATCCAACAATACTCGAGGATGGTCTTCCGTACCTGGGGTTACAGAACCAGCATTGTTCCAAGGTCCATCATTCGGGTTACCTCAGACATGTACGGGAAGGGCCCGGACATGCGAGATACTCCCGCGCGCGGGTATACCGCCCTTTGCCCCGACCGGACGCACTTTCTTGACGAAATTGCGATTTTCAGCCAATCGCAAAAAATGTCTTGCAAAGGGGGATGCGATTGGGTCGCATGTCATGAGACATGGTGGCATAGGGGCTTAGTGTGACCGCGCTACCTGGTCTAGTACTATGATTTAAATACATCGGTACTACTAGTCACGGGTACTCAAGAGATCATCAAGGTTTATCTCCAGCCATCGCCGAGCTATCTACTGCGGATCAGCTGCGGGAATACCGTTCTCCTTGAAACGTCGATGGAAGTCCACAGGTGAAGCACAACTTGACCCAAAGAACAGATTTGCTGGGCATACGGTCCGAGGCGCAGGTCTATCCATGTTTCATCCTTACTTCTATGATACCAGACAAAGGCCAGAGCGGGCGGGAGTGTGGAAAAGGGCGGGAAAGGAAAGTAGAGGTGGCGTGAGATAAAGAATAGCATTTCAGAAGAAAGAAAAAAGAAAAGAAGAAGACTGAAATAGGGCGCCACACTACTAGTACTCCGTACAATCGGTGAAAGAGGCAAACCCCGGCCCCTCTCATGGCCTCGTTAGTCGTTACCCAACTGGTGGTAGTACTCCGGATGTAGATACGTAAGTCACTAGGTAACGGCGTTTGGGGGCCAAAAATAAGAACGGTGTCCTCTAGACGAATGATAAAGAGACACACGCCTCGATCGAAGAGCACTGGAAAATGGAAAACGATCAAGTGGAGAGCCCATTACTGGGCTAAGGATGTCCCCGCAAAATCCGCTCGTTTTGAGGTGGGTACGAGTGATGCAAGTCAGTCCAAACTCCAAAGGTTAAGCGACAGCCGCGGCGCTATCCCATTGGCGTAGAAGAAGCCCTTGAGTTACCGACACCTCGATTCTGGTTGGGTCCAGCAGGGAAAGGAGCGCTCCGAACCGTAGTCGCACGGCAGCTGATTGGTACATGGCGCGGGGGCCATAGCACTCAGCCCGGTGAATTAGGTTCCATTTTTCTCCCGGCTCACGGTAAGCGGTACGCATCATCAGTGGTTGGATCGCTCGGAGGATGTTCGGTTCCGGCGATACCTTAAGTTACCGTGCGGTGAGCGGTATCTATGCGTACCGAGAGTCAGCCAGTGCTGCGGTCGCAACTCGCAACGTTGCATGCTATTGGGTCGGCGGGGCCGCCAGTCTCTGGTTCCATGGGTCAGGCCTTCTACTGGAACTGGCAGGAAGGCATCGAAGGTCCCGGCCACATGGAAGGATGGAGCAGATAATTAAAGTGGCGATGGAGGAGTCCTCGCGCTGAGGGATAGTGGGTTCATCCTCATCTGTGTCTCGTGTGTCCTCCGTCCCTATGGAGGAGAGTGGAGTATTACTATCGATACTGTCGATACTCGATACACGGGCGGAATGGATTGGGCGGTGAGCCTGGATACCACCGGGATTACCGTCAGCAGGGCGCTTCCATCATCGATACATGGTTACAGAACCCCCTCCGTCCGAGGGTTGGTAACAAATGGTGCGGCTCCAGCGGTCACGGTGGGTATGTACATCCAGATCACCAATGTGTCGAGCTAAAAAGTGAAAGCGCTAAATTGACATGCTGGGAAAGCCCAGTCCGGTCCTATCATGTCACAGCACTCTTGTGTCAGCACCTCACCTGCCGCTTCAGGCATCTTTATCGGTGAATATTGTGGCGGTGTCGAGCGCGACATATGAGGTAATCCTTGTTGTACAGAGTCGAGTCCTATGGCTCTGGAAGGGACTTGAAGAACCTTTGTGCGTCCTTGTGCTTTTACCCTTCAAGGCTGACACCAACAGCGCGTGTCTTGACTAGGTTCACGCATTCGTTGTAGAAGTCTATCCCTTGGTGTTGGTCCTGGAACAAAGAAGACGCCTCGAGTGACCTCCTGGCATCAAGTGGTCAATGAAGAGAGGGCCGTGAGAGGGGGTCTTACATAGTAATACATAGTGGAGAGCCCTAAGTTTCCCGGTGCTACAGCCTTGGGACCACGCCAGACATCATCTACCATGGCCCGATCGGTGGCACTTGAAAATAACTTGCATTAGCGTCACCCGGTCCAATTTCTGTCGAACGGAGAGAGCAATGAGAACGTGAGAATGGTACAGCGTAGGCCTAGCACCACCGTTTCTCGGAGGGATGGTGACCATGTCCCGGAGCCTGGGACGGCGTGCGGGGTCTGGTGACATCTCCGTCAATGAAGTTATCAACCGGGTCGGTTAAGATCCTTGTTTTATGTCGCAATGTCCGAGGTGGTTTTGAGGGGAAGGAGTTACAAACCGGCGAATCTGACAGACAGGCAGACACGGCTGCACCCACTGGCACATGGGAACGGCAAGGGAGCTAGTCTCTAGGCCTCCATGAGTATGTGCTTAGTCGAAGTTAGAAGACGCGGCTGGCAATTGCGATTCGCTGTGGAGGCACACTCATCACCACTCTCATCAGAGACAAGTCCAAGCATCTGCAACCTAATCACACTGAGATAGCACGGCCAAGTGCGAACCCCTTTCTGTTCCCACCCTCCATAAGCGGCTGAGCCCATTGATGACTGATTATCTCTGCGTATGAAGAACGAGGATTGGGTGCAGTTATCATCGATGTTGACGAAGGAAGCAGCAACATGACATCAGTCGACGGATCGTGTGACTCGAGTAACTTCCGCTTTGGGAAGGGGGTGGAAAAACAACGTTCGGAAGGGTTGTGCTTTTCTTTGTGGTCGTCATCAATTATAATCAGCATTATCATAACCATCATGTTCATCATCATCTTTCATCCACTTGCCGGTATTGCCTTCAAGCTGTAGGGTATGTGACACTGAAAATACGCAATACGAGCGACCGCCCTGGTAGTAGTTGAGGATGATGAGCTGTCATGAAGTCCAACTGATAACAAGAAAGTTGACACTCCAGCGCATAACAATCACCATCTGGACCAGAACGGGGCGTCAGCAGAACAAGAATGCCGGAATTGCACGGTCGCAAACGGAGCCGGGGATTGGTGCTGTGACCTGGATGCAGAGGCGCTTGTGTCAGGGCGTTGGGCAACCAGTCCTCCTATCACCGTTGCCCTGCTAGTCATCTCCTGGTCATGTCCACGACGGGCCGCCCCGACTCCCGCCGATCTTATGCAGGAAGTGTAGTGTGTGCGAGGGCCATGCTATTCTCAAAGTCATCATTATCATCATCATTATCATCATCACGACTATTAATTCAAACAAGACGGATGCTGGGGATGGGTGGTGCCGGCAACTGCTTCAGATTATTTTGCACGGCCCGTCCGCTCTGTCAGGCGAGACCTAACAACTCGAGCCTTCCATTTACAGACGACTACTCCGTACACGTTCTTCTGATCTCAATTGCCCGTCGCGCCTTCCTCCTTCTCCCTTCACCCTTGTTTTTTCTTTGACGCCTCACCCTGGTTTTTCTCTTCTCAACCTTGGTTTCCTTTCTGCACATTTCCTTTCTATTCTCATTCTGTTCTGCCACCACGGTGGCGAAATACTCTTGTCTCGCACACAGTAGCAGCAGAAACAATACCCTTCAAGGTAAGATACTCTCAGATCCTCATCCAATAAGGTCAGTGTAGCTCAAACCGGGATATTTAGATATCGTGTAAGGTCTTGCACTTTCACCGTTACCGTTTCACAAGGTGAACTGTCAGAGCCTGGCCAGCCAGCCAGCCAGCCTCACTTTGCCTGCGACACATAATACCTCCTCCTAAGGGGATGGGATGGCTTTGGCTGGGAGGCCTGAGGGTAGAATCTCTTTTTGATACAGTACAAGCGGATACGGAAACGGAAATTCCCAAACCCAAACCGAAACCGAAACGGCGGTCGAAAACGCTGTAATACCAAAACAGGTAATGACGTGGTGTTACAATTGTGACATTGGGGGCGTGCCAAGTGACTGATTATTCTCTCTAGTTCATTAAAGGACCTTCCATTTCGGTCGTTACCCTTCCCTCTGCTTCGTCCCTAGTCTCCCTTGCCACGTTTTTTTTCCGACCCTCAGCGGCCCCGTGCATTGGCGTCCGCGTCTTTCCGTTGCCGCCAGAACCCACCATCACCTGCGTGGTGGGCTTCCTCAGGTTGTCGTGTCTCCGGAGTCTCCAGGATCCTGCTCCTCCACCGCACCTAACCTCGAGTCCCTTGGCTGCCAGCAAGTCCATGGTTCTCATGGTGGCTGGTGATCTCGGGCACAGGGGTTTGTGGAGGCGAGTCCGCGGCCCAACTTGGGGCGTCCAGCCACCATGCATTACAGTCACCTGTGATGCTTCGATGTCGTCCACAGGGGAAGACAGCGTACTGGGTACTGGGATGATAGCGCCTGCTAGGTACTACTGTAGGGGAAATCAAGAACTACTGGGTAGGTCCTGCCCCGAAATCAAGCAAGCAAGCACACCGCCGGGTAATTGGCCAGGCCGGAGAGCCGCGTTTGTCGGCAAGGCGGTCTGGAATGCATCCACCAAGCTGAACTAACCATGGTTTTGGGCCTTAGCAGTACTAGTTTACCGCCGCCGACGGGAAGAGCAAGACGGAAAGCTCGCCATGCTAGCTGGGATCATCGATCAGCCCGCATACGGCTTCAGTCACGTGATAAGCCAGCCGCCTATGAGCAGTTGAGCATCCTCCCTGGTGCGCCAGTCCATCCCGTCATCTGCGGCCGTTTTGGGGCTGGCACGGACTCCGGAAACAGTCGTGGGTGAATGGATGGCAGATGACACAGCAGCCTGCATTGGTTGGTGGTTCGGTGGCTTGGCCCTAGGGAGAAGGAGAGAGAACCAGGTTCATGTCCCGGCCTGTCTGTGCTCGCTCGGGTACAAGTGTGTGCGCGCAACTGCGAGCGATCTTCCTCACATAATGACGTGGCGGAACGAGGGGGCAAACAACTCCAGATAGCCCTGCTAGCCTACCTACCCTGTTCGCCGGCCGGGTTCCCCGATCTAAGGGGAGATCTGGATCCAGTGCCACACATTACCCTGCCATCGCCCTCGTTTTCCCGCCTCCTTGGATTCTTTCAGTCCGGGTCCGTTTGAGTCACGCATCTGACTTTGCACATGGGAATATCGTGTGATAAGAACCCAGAATTAGGGTGTGACACGCTGTACGAGGGGTTTGGTCGTACATCTACACTCCCCGTCAAGGCGTCTCGTCGCGTGACGCTGAAAGCGAAGGTTAGGCTCGGGAAGAGGACTTTGGTGACCGATGCCTGACCTGGTAAGGATGGCTCGTAACTACTCGACTCGCTAACGCGCCTTTTTCAACCCTCTTAGGCCCTAAGCCGTCAAGGTGGCAAAAAGAGCAGAAACACACAGGCCGCAACATTGAGATCCCCGCTAAGAGAAATAAAAGATCAGGTCTCCCTACATACCCGTCCAGTGTCTAGTGCTCACAGCCACTGGCGATCCGGACAATATCCACTTCATACTACTAGGTAGCCTAAGTCAACTCTCACTCCCTAACACATCGTTAACTGGACACTTGAAACGATGCAGAGTAACCTGAAGGTCTAGGACTAAATGGGAATACGAATGCTTCAATTCATCCCGGCGGGAAAGCGAAACCCCATCTATTTGCTGAATTCCATGGTCAGCTGGGCCTTTCTTCACCATATGCCCGATCGCAGTAATTGCTGAGCAACAGTCCTGGAAGTTCTGACGACTCTGTTAACCCAATAATTGACACCCTGGATCTACCGCAAAGTTCCGACGATACACGATACATCACATTGCTGATTCTGGGCCGTGGAGCTTATCTCCGGGCGCAGTCATTCAGCCGCGCTCAACCAACCATCACGGTTGTGCCCTCAATACCATGGCCACTGTACTATGTATGCAAGGGTGGAACAATGGCAGACGGCCCTCCTTGTTTACAATACCGCCATACCCACACACGCACTCTGTGATTTTCTTCCCTGAACGCATCGCGGAGAACCTGGTAAAAAAAAGTACATAAATCGGCAACCAAGCCCCCGAAAGCACCCCCTATATTAAGAAGCAGCTGTCCAAAAAAGCAAACATGCATCTAGACCAGCAAGCGCCCTGCACGGATCCAGGAAAAGTACGATGTATATCTTTCTATATAATTGACAAGGTCACTCTCAAATACACTTCCACATTAATAATCAAATCTCCTACGGGTATTCTACTACCTACCTACGGAGTAGATGAGATTGAAATTCTTGGTCTAGCTTTCCCCATAGATGTATCGTATGACCGGGCAATACTGCCTTTCATTTTCAATGGAGTAAATCAACCAGTCTGTTCCAGGCAGGTGCAGGAAGGGGCCGTATGATTGTGTTACACCTTCAGTCTTTGTTCGGGTTCCTGTTACCGAAAAGGGTATGACGTTTGTTTCCGCCTGCAGGAATTTGACTTTTTTTGGGCCATCGATCAACGCATGACAGGCAGATGAGTTACTAAGTACTACGGAGGGGATGAGGAGTGGTACAACTATCACCAAGATACATCCATCAGCCATTGGAAAGGGGGGCGAGGAGCGGACTCCACCGGCTGTTAGACATTTAGATAAATATACTTGAGCATATCGAGAATATCGAGGATCCAGTGCTAACTGCTAAGCGTAGCCGACGAGACACATACAAAGAGAGTTTCGAGCACGGATATCGCGCATAATCTGGCCCCACGGCGCACAATGAATGCCTGATTTCGTGTCGATTGTCTAGGCGCTTCATCCACTCAGGCAACTCCCTCAAGTCCAAGGGGGCATTGCGGTGTGGCAGCGGAGAAGGAGACGATGAAAAGAACGAATCAAGAGGGGGGTATTTGCCCTCCATTGAGGGGTAACCGAAGATCGACTATCGAGACCTGAAGAGGAAGTTGGGCGAAGCGATGGTCACTGGGTATGGATGCGCGCCTATTGAGCGGGATTGCCCCGCCAGTGGACGGGTCGAATCATTACGGATCGTCGACAAGCACAGAGTTCATGGCTTACAGGCCAGACACTATATCGAGTCCGGGAGAAGGACGGCAGTGCAATGGAACCGCAAGTGCGCAAGTGCTGACTCGACTCGGAGGGCTCCCCGTCTCGTCGGTCTCTTGAGGATTTCCTGCGCGCCCCCCCCCTTCCGGTTCCCCTCCAGGGCTTACAGTTGCCTGGACCCGAAGAGGGGATAATGCCGAAGCAGTATGGGCTTGGCTGGGGAATGACAACCTGGAGAGGGGCCATACTTACTTCAGTTCCCCCACTCTAGTCTTACAGGATGGACTGAAACAAGAAATCGCGCGTCAGCGACTTGGGCACTGATGCAGAGTGCCGATGTTTGCTTCGATGGGACGAGGGGAACCGCGACCTGGAAGAGTCAAGCCATGGACGAATTCGCGCTCGTGCAGAAGTGGATAACCTGCTGCTGCTGTTAGATGGCCAACGTCGTGGAGCTAACGGCACGTCCGACGGCCCGGCTGCGGCGCGCGGACAGCAGGCCATAGCATGCACGTCAATGATATCGTGAAGCCCGGGGACTCAAAAGTCCCGTCAGACCTGGGAACGGCCACCTTCATTGGGGGATGCGAACTGGCGGTAAGAGGATCCCGAAACTAGAGATGGAACTGGGAAGGTCCTTAGCGCAGCAAGGGAAAACAATCTGGTACCAAGTTTACAGCAAACCCGGCCAAAGGTACAACGAGCAGTCATCATTAATAGGAGACTTCTACATTCCACTCGAGGGACAGCCCCAGACAACGGTGAGGAGACGAGCACAGGTGGAACGAGAGACAAAATGGGCGGAAATGGCGTGAAAGAGAAACAGGATAGATATTATTCACAGACAGAGAGCCTCCCCTACAAACGGAAACGACGAGAATCCGTTGTTGTTCTTGAGACACCTACCCGAATATCACCTCAGGCGAGGAGTCATTCATCTGCTTCTGAGGCCGAACCGCTTTCCTCCTGGGCTGGATCGGGCATGACGACGCTATTGAGGTACGTGACCTGTCGGACGAGAATTCCTCTGGTCAGTTACGAGGCTTCCACCCAACAACGAAGGCAATTGTGGTGGGTAACAGTGCGCCCGAAGCCACACCGCTGGGGAGGCTAAGGAGGGAAAGGAAAAGGGAAAGAGGGGGCAGGGGCAAAAGGGAAAGGGCCATGTAATGATTGATACGGCAGCTAGGTAAGATCCAATAGACGCAGGCGCGGACAGGCGGAGGGGAAAGCTATGGAATCAATCAGGACGGAATGGGCTTACGAAGGGTTCCATGATCCCAATCAGAGCTGCGATCCTTTCCTGCGCATTGGGACTCAGAAGCTCCTCATCCGACAAAGGCCTGCCAATGGTGAAACTGCGAAGACGGAGCAGCTGGATATTCTCATTATCGAGATCGTAGCCCTAGGCAGAAGAGAAGCGTCTGTCAGTATCGTAATTGGACGAGGCGGAGACCCGCCGGGACGGCGGCAGATGCTGAACCATGGAAACAAGTGAGACGGTGCAGAAAACTCTTCGAGACCAAAGCACTCTGTGGGACGGCGCAGGCAATTTCCGCGCTAGAACCAAGAACCGTAGGTAGAACGAGACCTTGGGTCGCCGACAGTCTGGTAACTGGTAACTAGTAGGTAATTGAGGCAGTCTGGCAGGCAGACAGCAAGCAATCCAGCATGGGCCCCAGCTGGACCCAGGGGGAGGGCCGTTGGGGAATCTGGATTCTGGAGGGTGCAGCCCAGACCGGCAGACAGAGCGCAGACACGGTCCGGGAAGGCCCAGTCGGAGGGTCCCGTCGTCCGCGGCTGCGCTTACCCCCAAACCCAGAGCACACGGCACTCCTCCCCCATCACGACAGAATGGCACATCCATCCAGCGTCGGTGGCCATGCTTTCCCCCGATCTAAATGGCTTTCGTTTTCTCCTCTCCAATCTCAGACACCCACGGACCAAAGCTGTCTGCCCCGAGGTGGCAAAAAGGTCACAGCCCAGAACTGACCGTTAGAGCTAGCAGACAGCCATCCCCCGTCGACTGACTTCGATCGTCTAGCATCAATCCGATGTCTCCAGGATCTGCCACCCCTGTTCGTTCTCGAAAATGGATGGTATCTGCCTGACAATATCCACAGCCGTGGTGCCCACGAGAATGCAGTAGTCCCGGGAAGAACACTCCCCCCAGAGGTGTCTCAAACACATCTGGGTATCGACATATACGGCCCAAGATATGACACTGCGGGAGTATAATGGTGTGGACAGATAATGCAGGAAGGGTAAATTGCGATCATGACCATGTTGGTCCATTACCGCATGGCAGGGTGAGAGGCAGAAAGAACACAGGAAAGTTTCACATACTTTGGGCTTGGTCTTGAGCGCACTTTCCTTATTGTGGTTGACAAAAGCCGTCACAGCTATCTCTTCGTCATCTGCTATTCCGTCAAAGATCTCGCGACGTATTTCCTTCTCCCTCAGAACTGCTTTCAGGCGATGCGAGTTCCTGTCAATATCCTCTCGAAGAAGCGCAAGCTTATCGGCCTGTGGCATCCAGAGCCCCGAACCTAAATCCAGCGAGATACAATTAGCCGCTGTCTTCCTCGAAATTCCACTTGGTGGGAGAACACTATAGCTGCAGCTACAATCAGCTATCCACCTCCTTCGAGAACACAGCGATGGCTTTCATCGTGAGCACAATAGAGAGGATAGCAGCCGGGGAGAGGGTTCAGTATGACGGGGCGTTGCAAATCCAAATTATATCCCTGGTTGCTGAATGGCTCGAGGGAGAAGCGTTGGCCCAGGGGGAACTGCGACCGTGGCGAGCGGGTACTTTCGTCTTGCATAACTCACCGACAAAGCAGGATCCAGGTTGACAGTGAACGTAGTAAGCAGCGTAAGGTCCCTTTTTACCTGTGCGGGACCTGAGAAGAGGATTAGCTGACGCCGAATCTCGCATAGTATTGGGTACGAGCATACCAAGCGGCTGAAAAGTGCGTCTGATCGATCCCCATGGTTAGCCCGACAGTTGAGATATTGTCAAAACCGTACAGGGAATGAAAATGATGTTTTTAGAAGTAAATGTTGGACCATACCTTGTACGGGGTGGGATCTTTGCTGAACCTGATGTCTCTATGTATGCGAAAGACCTAGTGCAAGACGTATTGCTGTTAATGGCTCCCCCTCCCTGTCAACTTCGTTTAACGATTGCCTCTCATCCTCACTTACAAGATCTTTCACAGGTAGCTCTGGTACAGTGCCATCTTTTTCTATGATTTCCTCGGTGAGAGTCTCAACAAACGTCTCCCAGTCCTTCTTCGAGGCGCGGTAGTCCGCATCGTGCGCTGTATTCAATCTAAAATCAGCCTTGCCCAGAAGTGTGAGAACCTCGTCTGTGTTTCTGATCGATACCTTTGAGCCATTCCCTCTCATTATGCTCGTTGAGGTCTTGCAAAAAGAGCATGGTATTGGGATGCAAGGCATTCTCCTGATAGGCCACAGATCCTGGGTCCCTCGCTTTAGGCTTCGCGATGAAGATTTCTTTTCCGGGGCCCAAACCAGTCGTGACGCCTTCTCTCCATAGCTCCTTACCTCCGGTCGATGCGGCCGTGTTGGCTTTGATGCCGCCTTTTCTCCTTTGAGCTGGCTTGCTGGGCTCTTCCTCTTCCTGACTATTTTTCTGGCCCCTCTTTGGTGCTTGTTCCGGCTTCCGCGGTCTTGTCAATCCTGTCTTTGGGGGCGTTGCGTCAGATACTTCTGCGCTCGCACCGGGAGATGCGGGGAATGACGTGTCTGGGTTATCGTGACTAGCGGTTTTCGGCGCAGATGGCTTAGATTCCTCGGAGGCTTCTTCTTGGAAATATTGGCTTTTCTTTGCGGTGGATTTGGTAGCTTTCTTAGCGGTGGTGTTATCGTACTTTTGTTTCTTCGGCCCCGTTCTGGAGGCTTCGGATATTCTGTCAGACGCGCGCCTTTTTGGCGCCGACACTGGAGCTGCGGCCGACGCGGGAACGGCCCGAGACGATCGACGAGGCATGGGTATTGGGTAGGACTTGCGCACTGCGTGTTTCGTCTTTTCGTACAAGTTTAGGACGTGCCCAGGGGGGGTTACCGGCAGATAACGGTAGCTACTACGTCTTGATCCAAGATAGGGTGAATGGTAGGGAAGAGTAGGGGGGGGGGTCCGATGACGCTCAAGAGCTGTTCGGTGGCTATTAAAATTCTTTGATCCTGGGAGCGGGAACGGAGGTGCTCCGTAGCTAGCGACAGATTGACTTTCAGGCGGTTCGAAGCGGACAAAGGGACCGAAAGAGACCAGACCAGGAGGCTGGTAACTTCTGGGGCTCTTTTCGCGTGGGAAAAGGCGGGCGAGTTCTTTGCTTCCCGCACCGCTAAACTTAGTGCGTTCACTCGGGAAAGTCGACGTCAGTCTCAAGAAGGATTTGCAGGTCCACCAGCTTGCAGGCACAGTATCTACCGAAAGGCCCGCAAGGGGTATTGGATGGGAGTCGAAGCCTTCTCGACCGGCTTAATTGTCAGCTTTGCTCTTTCTTCTTCCAAGGAAGGGAGACAAAAGGAAATCGCCACTCTAGCGGCCCTTGACCCGCCAATAGTAGCCCATCTTCAACACTTGCTCCCTTCCATTTGTTCGAGAGAGGAAAAACAAAAAGCAAGATCTTAATAGTGAAAAGAAGGACGAAAGGTATCCATCCATGGACACCTCTGATAAGACCATGATTCCCGAAGTTTTCGAATCTCGCAAGCGCAAGATTCTTGCAGAATTGTCCATCCCGGACGCAGAATATACCGATCTGTCGCCGAAGGGGTCGGTTGATGAAGGGATCCGCGTGCTCATCAACGACATTAACACTTTGCCTGGGTTAGTGACCACGAGCAGCTGTGCCGGGCGAATCAGTGTATTCTTGGAGGGGAGGAAGAAGCAGCACCAGGTGCTGTCAGACGAGCAACAAAGACAGTTTGTACCTTCAGGGGGTAAAGGGGCCGGAAAATGGCTGTATGTGTCCCATGAGCCATTGAAAGAGAATGGAAAGATGCAAGACAAAGAGCGCCAGCGTTTGCATGAGTTGTTCGGAATGATTCCTGGCGATGGCAGGCCTCCGGGGCTGAACAAGAACGGCCAAGCCCCGCGTCTCGTGCGTTTTTCTTTTGAGCCTATGGTAGGTCTTTCCCTCTCAATGCCCGTTGGTCTTTCCTCTTGGGGGCCTTTTGTCTTTGTTTTCTTTCTTTCTTTCTTTAGTCTTTATTCGAGTATGATGTGTTTCAATACGTATATGCTTGGTTTATCACCTCGTATCATTGCTTTCTTCATGTTCCAGGCCACTCACCCTAGTAAAGACATGTTAGGCTGGCGTCACAGCCAGAAAAAGACAAGGTACAATGTGCAACAATGATCAGGGACTAATACAATGTTTCAACAGATCCTCCACATAATGACAGCCACCCTACACCATGCGCATCCTGTACTGTCTGCTGCTTCAACCTCTGGCTTTCGTGAGAGCGGACTGCAAAGCTTACGGTGCTTGGAGGCGGATGACAATGATGGCCCGAGTCCCATCGTCGCAGTACGCTCTGCCGGTCTCTCGTTGGAGTCTGTTATCGGATACTGCGAGGAGAATGATGACGATTATCAAGAACCCGTCATCCACAGTCTGGTTACGGAAGAATTCCTTGAGATGCTGGTTGCTATCTCGAATGAACGATTCTCCGTCAATTGTGAACGCAAGGAGAGGTTCCGCGCAAATTTGTTAGATCTTTGCTCTATAGGTCGGTCCCATGGTACGAAGACGAAAGGGAAGGCTAAGCCTCCTGGCTGGGAGGATCCAGAGAAACGAAAGGAGAGGATGAGGGCAGAAGGGCTATTGAGAAAACAGCTCATGGAGGACCAGAAAAAAGAATTGGATATTGATTTTGATTTGTCTGTTCCTGGTCTGGAGCAATGAAAGCTCTTGACGGGGATTTGATGGGTGTACAGAAAAGCAATGATTGGGCTTGAGCTTCGAGACGATCGTGAAAAGGAAAGGACCCTCCACGGTCTCCAGATAATAGCCAATGTAGCACAAAAGTATGAAAATAACCGTGGGTATGTTACAATGAGAAGATATGAAAGAAACAAAAAACATATTATGGAGGCAAAAAGCAAAACGAGATGCAAACCAGGGCAGATGAGAAGACAGAAGATCCAATGACAATGTCAGTCGGTTGTGGTCCCAAAGCACATCGCACGAAGTAAGCCGGACTCGATCTGTGCATCATTGAATCCAACCATTTGCATAAATCAAAGTATCCCGCCAGTCACGGTCGTCATTTCAGTTCTCACCAACAAAATAATTCCTCCAAGTAAGGTACGATGTTGTTACACCGAGATATGAGACCAATGACGAGAACTACCAGAATTTCAAAACCCAATTTAGGCGAGGAAGTGCATGTTCCAAGACGGGCCAGCACAGCATATCCCTGGTGGCCTTGCTCCTGCAGTTTTCAATGTCAGTGGTCTAATTCAGAAACGCAGTTGGGAGACGAATGAGTGATACGGTGAAACGGGGTCCGGAATCTGTTCTGTGGGTTGAAAAGAAGCTTTTGGCCCCAGCAGTCTTCGATGTCACCAAATGGAGCGCTGCCACTGTTCCAGCATTCGCTGGCACGGCGCGACGAGGCTTGCATGATGTCAATTCGAGACGAGTTATCAGTGCGGGGCGCGCTTTGTTCGGTTGTAGGAGAGGAGATGGTGAGGTTGCTATGGGTGCTGCCACCTGAAATTGACTTATTAACTGTGTTCATCCAGCCACTCAACACCAGGCTGGAAAGCACGGCGGTTTCGTGCTGGGCGGCGTCTTCCCAAGCAATGCGTTTTGCGACATCGATAGGCCATTCGTACCACACCCGGCCGAAGGGTGAGATGAGGTTGAAGTTGGTTACGGGAAAATTGTTCGGTAGCTCATGGCTGGCATCCTGAGCTGTACCCCTGGCAATCAATCCGGCATAGTACTATATTATTTGTTAGTAAATAGTCATAAATAATAAGAGAGTCAGGTCCCGCAAATGCGGGGATTAAGAAAAGTAGCAGCGGAAGTATGAGATAAGGAGAGCAGAAGAGCATACCATGCAAGTACCATGGTCAAAGTTTGGCAGGTGGACCAAAGTATCGAAGGGGAACCATTTGCTTGTGTCCGGTATTTTTATGATCTCGCTTTCATCATCGGAGTTGACGCAAAGGGTATACTTCTGACGCTCATTGAACGCAGGGCAGCTGAGTCCCGCATGGAGGAGCTCGCGTAGCAGGCGTTGGTCAAGTCCAACGGTGTTTGACTTTTTCATCCGAGAAACGAGAGAAATGATATGACGGTTTGCCAACTCGAATAGCTGGTTACGGTCATGCACAGTGTAAAGCTGGGTTGCGTACCAAGGAAACTACACATGATTAGCAGCATCCTACTTCCATTTGACCCAAGACTTACTTTGTAAAGCGTGCTTATAGTCGACTCATAAGTGCGTTGAGGGCACTTGGCACAAAACGGGGACTCCATAACCGTCAGTCATCGCCGTTATGATATGGAAAAGCAAAGGAACTTACACGATGAGGCATTTCAGCATGGCGAATGGCACCCACAATCTCTTCGGTCGTAAAAAATCCCGCGAAACCAGTAGAATAAGGATCCGTGTTCTGCAGGACGCTAGGCATGCCGTTTTTCCATTTGACGCATTTCGCGCGAGGAAACAAGTCTTTTAGCAGGTCATCCTGGCTACTGAACTCGACCTCTACATGTCGATTACCAAGTCGAGGTGCACGTCCGGTCTCAAAGATCCGGTTGATACGCTTTGTGGTCTCCTCAGCATCTGCAGGGGACTGTAGCTCCACGAAGCAGTCCATAGTCTTAGCAGTCGGACGCTCCATGATGATATGGACTGCGTGACCAGGGACAAGCCGCGCTTGTCTCCCCACAAATTGCAGAATCTCTTGCTTAGTGATAGAGTAAGGGATCTACCTTCATGTCAGTATCTTCCCCAAAGAGAAGAAGGTCACTTACGTTTGCAATCTTGATGACGCCCCAGGTTGGGGGTTTTATGGAGTGGACTAGACTGCCAATTGGCATCTCACTTGGCAAAGCAACTCTGTCAATGGGCTTGGGACAGTCCGCAGACTTAGGAGAGTAGCCAGGGAAATTGTGGTCAGCCCTCATCGGGGGAAGATTGGAAGGATGAAAGAAAGTAGAGGTGGCTCCCTGCCGCTGGAGTTGATATGAGTGTACAGGCACAGGAGTGAGGCAATTTGAAGCGAAGGGAATAGGTATAGTATTGTCGGGTGAGTTTGGAGGAGGTCCAAAGAAAGGATCGTAGAGTAGGTGCTTAGATGGGAGGTGGTGGCTCAACAACTCATGAGGCTTGCGAGAAGGGGCCATGGGCTTGTTGAATGGAGGCATGTTGAGCTTGCGACTCGAGTAGTCCTGTTTGATGAACGCCATCTTGAAGGCGGCAATTTGGGGGGTAGAAGTAGGATGGAAGAGGATGTGGATGTGGAACTAAGGTGAAGAAGTGGGCAAAAAAGTCGGCAAAGGAGGAAAGGTAGGTAGTGAGAAGAAGATGAGATGTAAGGAAAGGAAAGTTTGGGAACTTTGTATGTCGAGGGAGAGGGGGGGGAGGGCGACCATATTAGATCTACAGGCGCAGCCGCTTTATGATTCACTGACCATATGGGATGTGAAGGGTATGAACCTTCCAGTCTGGCGTGTTACAGAAACTTCAATGGGGGACTATAACTGGCAAGTGACCAAAGGGTGTTTCGCATGGCATTCATGAATGTCTATCACATAACAGGAGAAACCAGGCACTCTCCAAGCGGGGCTAGTATAGACCTCATTATCTGGTCCCACGTTACGTGCGGGATAACACGCAAGTCATTGACATTTCCCTACAACAATAGGCCGGGGGCCATGTGCAAGCGGGTCAACAAACACATGTCCCTGACGAGGTTCCCCGGCTAAGCTGCATGCAAGAAGCAGGTCCGGATTCTCTCGGCACTACCTGAGTGCAAAGCAAGAACAAGGGAAAAGGCTGTTCATATTCTTGCCGCTGGTTTCCACCATGATCTTTGTGGCTTTGTTGGAACTCATTCGGCATGTACAATCCCAACCATTATGAGACAAGGACAATAGACTGACCAGGTGAGATGTTCTTGCCAGTGAATCTCCTCCATCAGAATATGGTCAGGTGGGCTGTTATGGCAACCAATAGGATTAGGTGACACATCGTCCGGTGAGAAAGAACTACAGTGTCCATGACTAGGTCTTGATTATACATAATTCAATAAATAGATATTATGTTGATTGGCTTTGGGTTGCAGGAGCAGTACGCAGTGAGAAGTATGACAAGAATGTCTTATAGGACAAGAATGATCGCTATAACTTCGATTTAGGAATAGCATATGAGTGACTGCAGAAGGGAACAAGCATCGAGCTTCTGTACAATAGTTGTTCCTGGAAGAACAAAAGCCAAGGTCACGTATCGACCACGGGACGAGGGAAATCTAATCGAACTGCGGTAGTTCATCAGCAAAACTCAACTAGCAAGACCGGAGCAACTTACTGGTGTCAAGAACGACTCGGCGACGAAGCGAGCACGAGCATTCAACTATAGAATACTAGGTTAGAACCTTGTACTTCCAACAGCCAAGCAGAGACTGGGACCTACAAAGAGCTTCATTTCCGAGATTTCCTTGTCCACTTCTTCCATACTGTCAAGCGACGAAGTCGTTAGCAATCCGGTTGAAGAAGCTTGTGGGAGGGCAAAGGCCAGTACAATTGAATAATGAAGTCCACTAGTTTGTGCTTCAACATTTGTTCCGTGTGGAAGTTCGTGATGAGGAACGAGATATCGTATCCCTTTACTGGTTTCCTCCGCAGGATGAAGAAAGACTCCGCACGCTGTGTCAAGAATCTGGTGAACTTATGGACCAAGATATGTTCGATCTCATCTGCCTGTTTGATTCGGATGCTAACACGGATGCTGTTAACGCTGGGTTCGATGAGGACCTTCTCATTCTCATTCCGGGAGATTGTGAGGGGGTTGAGAAGTAGTTCGGGGGAAGTTGCGGCTTCGATCTCAGGCACGTTGCTGTCAGAACATTGGGTTAGCATCTGGATCATGGGTATTACCAGGCCCTACATACTGTCTTTCGGAGGTTTGGGAAGCGAAGTTCGATATCGCGAGTGCTGCCGTTAGAGAAGACCTGACAGCCAGGAGGTATGGACGCAATGATTGAGACTGCGACCGTTAGCTTCAATTGGATTCCAAACCCCTGGAGGGGTTGATACTCACCATATTGGGGATGTGACGTAGATGCGGTGCCCCGGATTGCTGATGCTGCTGATGAGCTTGTCAGGACTAACTCATCAAGGAGATGTGTGGTTCAGATAGCAGATAGGAGACCCGCAATTATGGCGCCTAAAATGCCCCAATTAATTCCGAATATGAACCGAGATGAGGGCGGGCGTCACTTGAGTACATAGCTGCGTCAGGAGCAACGTCCCGCCGCGGGCGGGCAATGTAGCCTGTAGTACGGCGGACTATAGCATCCTCCGGGCAAATCGCATCCGAAGTGCATGATTCTGCCGGCAGAATCAGTTTACTCATAGGAGGAAACTACTAGCCAGTTCTCTATACCCTATTGTGACTCGTACAGCCAGAACTCCTATACAAATGTCTGGTCCCCTTATGGCTAGCCTTTTTATTCAACGATCCAATTAGATTTGGTGTTTCTGTGCATAGGAAGGTCCCCGTGGTGGGGATGCATTTACAGTCATGAGGCGGTAAATGGTCTGGGGGTCATATTTGCGCGAGCGTCATAACAGCCCGCCGTAGTACAGCCGCTGTTTGCCCCACGCTCTCTCCGGGCAATGACTGACGCAGTCGTTGTTTACGCAACTGCATCCTACCGCTAGAACCTGCGAGGAGGCATCAGACACGCCCGAAAAGGTCTTCGAATCAAACTCAAAATGGCTTCTATACCGGGTATGTGGCCACAACACTACAAGGTCTACTAAACGCTATACCAGCTTTTCGGCTGACCCATGACGCAGTTATTGTAAAGCACCAGGGCAAACGTTATGAGGTCGAGCTTGATCCATCCCTGAACGGCGAAACGCTCAAGTACCAGTTATTCTCTCTTACCGGCGTCGAACCTGAGCGACAAAAGATCTTAGTTAAGGGAGGCCAACTCAAGGATGATACACCATTGTCGTCCCTCAACGCCAAAGCGGGCCAAACATTCATGATGATGGGCACGCCATCTGGAGGTCAGGGTGCTGGAGATTTGGGTAGACCAAAGGAGGTCGTGAAGTTTCTGGAGGACATGACGGAAGCTGAAGCCGCTAGAGCGGAGGGAGCGACTCCTGCTGGTCTGCAGAACCTCGGAAACACTTGCTATCTGAATTCGACATTACAGACACTGCGGAGCGTACCGGAGCTTCAGGATGCGCTACAAAGGTACCGACCCTCAGGGGGATCATCTGGAGGCTCTAGTATCTCGAACCTCAGCAGTCTTGGCCTCGGCGGCCTTGGAGCTTCCATGGATCTCACATCGTCTCTGCGGGATCTCTTCAAGCAAATGTCGGAGACGCAGGAGGGGTTTCCACCGCTCATGTTCCTCAATGCGCTGAGAAATGCTTTCCCCCAGTTTGCTCAAAGAGATCGAAACGGACACGGTTATGCCCAGCAGGATGCCGAAGAGGCATGGTCACAAATTGTGAGTCAGCTGCGGAACAAACTGGTCGTCAAGGAGGGTGAAGGGGAATCCGCCACTGAGGTGTCATTCGTGGATAAATATCTTGCTGGAAGGTTCGAATCTACTACCGAATGCGATGACATGACAGCAAGGGAGGCTGGCGAAGAAGCTACTCGGAGCTCGGACGTGTTCTACAAACTCGATTGCCATATTGGTAAGGAGACAAACCATTTGCACGATGGTATCATGGCTGGTCTCGAGGAGAAGATCGAGAAAAAATCCTCGACGCTTGACCGCGATGCCGTGTATACTAAGCGTTCACGCATAGCCCGCTTGCCAAAGTACCTAACGGTGCATTTCGTTCGATTCTTCTGGAAGCGCGAAACACAGAAGAAGGCCAAGATCATGCGGAAGGTTACCTTCCCCTTCGAACTCGACGCGGTGGACTTCTGTACCGACGAACTCAAGAAGCAGCTCGTTCCTGTCAGAGACAAGGTCCGAGAGATTCGGAAGGAGGAGGTGGATGTTGAGCGTGCTCGTAAGCGCCAGAAGCTTGCTCATCGAAAGGAGGAGGAAGGACAAAAAGAGGCTGAGTCCGTTTCAAGCAAGGAGCCAATGCAGAAGAAAGCAGCCGAGCACAAGGACCAAAGCAAAACTGTGGAGAAAGATGGAGATGCGACCATGACTGATGTCTTCAAGTCCGACGCAGACTACGAAGCCGAGAAGACCGCCTCGATCCTTGCGGCCAAGAAAGAGCTCGCGGAGCTACTTGACCCCAGCCTTGCCTCGGAGGGCGGTGTTAACAAGACGGGTCTCTACGAGCTACGCGGCGTTATCACACATCAGGGTGCTAGTGCCGACAGTGGACATTACACCGCATATGTGAAGAAGCAAGCCAATGGCGACGATGCAAGCCCGGAAGGAAAGTGGTGGTGGTTCAATGACGAGAAGGTGACCGAAGTGGAAGGGGAGAAGATTGAGATGCTTGCTGGTGGTGGTAAGTCCTCTTCATCGCTATTCTGGATCCTGGACGGTCATCTAATCTAAATCTCACAGGCGAATCCCACTCTGCACTTATTCTCCTCTACCGTGCGGTTGATGTGTCTACTACTGATTAAGCATGCTCACGGTCTCAACTACAACTCAACAGTGTCGGTGTAGAAATGGTATGCATAGATAATGAGCTTATGGCTGAATGTTAGGGTCCGGTGTTCTTCTAGTCGAAATACTACACTTAGGGTATCCAATCCGCATGCCTGTTATTCAGCGAAGTGCTTGAATAGACCATGATGATAGGCAGTCTCTAGTAGCTGTAAAGAGTGATAGTTCAATCACGTGATTCAAGAACTGTCCCCCGAGTCCCGAGGGATTCTCCTATCTTATCTAATCACCGGCGCTTCTTCGTCTAGCTCTGGAAACCGCCCTGTCGTAGATGAAACTGCGATGTGAGCACCATGTTTCCCTCTCACAGAATCTTGCAGCCACCATTGCGCCTTCTCACGAAGCAGTCGCAGCTACCATGTCGGCACATGTTTTGTACCGTGAGGCACACCAGCACTGCGGCCCATGAAACGTTACCTCAACTCTCGCGGTGGCCGCGACGCCTTGCCTACGCCGCGATTTTCAGTGGTCTTGGGATCGCTGCTGGGAAGTGGGTGGACGATAAGTTCGGAGCACCTCCATTGCCAGGTACAGAGGAAGACGTCAAAAGGCTAGAAGAGATCCACTACATCTACGAACGCGGGCTGCCCATCGTGAAGGAACTGCGAGAACACCCTGATTATATGGAAGCAGATGTTTATGGGAACTATACGGAAGAAGATAAATTGCAACGACTGAGCTCAGGTCCGTTGCGGGGAAGTCGAGGGCTAGCACTTCAGGTTCGTTCTTCGTGGTTCAACCCGATGCCTCTATATTTGCCGTGCAAGCTTAGACCTTTTACTGACTACCTGGATTTATAGAAAATATTCTATAATGACAAGGAGAAGAAGGCTATTAATGTCGCATACGTTGGGCCTGGCCTGGAAGGATGGCCGACTGTTGTCCATGGGGGTGCCTTGGGGACCGTGATCGATGAACATCTAGCCCGTCTCGCAATCAGACATCTGCCCCAACGTACCGGGGTCACCGCAAATCTCCAGCTCAAGTATCGTGCGCCTGTGTACTCCGGCAACTTCTATACCTTCCATGCTACACTGGACGAGGAACGGAGTACAGAACGCAAGGCATGGGTGAATGGCGAAGTGCGCGACCCTGTGGGACGGTTGTGTATCGAGGCTACCGGCCTCTTTGTAGTCCCAAAGACCTATAAGCTTCAAGAGGTTGGGGAGCGCTATTGACCGGGCTGCGACGGGAAATCCGAAAGACAACCCATGCTGTCGGTCTAGATGGGCCCTTTTGGAACCATCCATTCAGGGTCGTGTGGACGACGCGAATCTCTCCCTTGCTGTACTCCTGGGCTTTGTGGTTTACTTGAAGAGGTCCCATAATCTCTAATCCATGCAGGAGAAGGGTGTCTATATGACTGTTGTGTAAATACATATTATCTTTGTCTTTTTTTTTTTTTTCCTCTTTTTTCTATTCTCGCTGTTCTCTCCACGGGACAATTAAGACGTCAAAGAAATAGAGTTTCTCTGGCCCCGGAGACTCCGAGAATACGTCGTGGACGAAGGCGGGTGGAGCGAGTGACCGGCCGTCCAGACCCTTTGCTGCATCCTTCCTCCTTTTGCCCCCAGCGTTTCCCCCGCATTTTCATCTCGACCACATCCACCCACGCGGGGCATCCTCCCAAGTCGGCTATCGACGCCCCCAGTGGTCGCCCCAAAACTTGCTCAAATGCCTCGGCTGTGACTAAAAATGGCAGCAATTCCGGTCTTCCTGGTCACCCTTGCATCCTGTCGGGACTGAGAATCTGCCAGTTCCATGGGTCGTCCTTGCGATCCCGATCCACGCGCAGATACTCCTCCGCAGACACTATACCACCATCACCATCATGGACCCACCACGATCATCGGTGGCGTGGGAGATAAATAGATCATACATAGCTTGGGGTGAAAGCCATCTCCTTGATTTTGACTTGTGTCCTTGATTCTTGCCGCTGCACACCTTCAATCTTCTTCCTAAGTCACAATGGAGCTCGTGGATCAGTCCAGTCGGTCACAGTCTGATGAAAAGACCCTGGCAGAACCACCTCCATCCGGCAATGTGCAGAGAAAGTTCAGTCATCAGGAAGTCATCGCGTATGATGAAACGGGTGCACCTGGGGAAAGTCCAGTACGTATTAGATTGTTGGAGAAAGACTAGTGGTCATACACACCGGAAGCCTAACGGTCATCTTATCGATTGCTAGATGAACTTCCACCGGTTCATGGGATTTACAGCGATGGCCTTTCTCTGGACTGGAAGCCAGATCCCAGTCTACCTATTTGGTGAGCGACTACATCGAAAGCTCCTAATATGTTGACATGACATTCTGATGCCTCGTAGGGGGAATACCACCGTATGTCTACGGAGACATTGGTGGTGCGGATAGATGGGTTTGGTTTGTGAGTTTCATGAGTGCTATGGTCGTGCAGAAAGGCTGACACTTGCTCGGCTTAATGCAGGTCCTGGCCAACTTACTAGCTCTTGCTGGTGTTTGTCCTTTTGTTGGGTCCCTTTCTGACCTCATCGGCCGTCGATATGTCGCCCTCATCGGAACCTCCCTCGTGTGTCTCGGCATGATCGTCAGCAGCACAGCGCATACGATGAACATATTCATTGGTATGCATCAAATTTTCATTCTCCCCACCTACGATCTGACGCCACTCTAACAAACAAACAGCTGGGATGGCGATTTCAGGTGCGGGTGCAGGAATCAACGAGTTGACTGCACTGGCTGCGACTTCGGAAATGGCTCCAACTCGAGAAAGAGGCAAATATGTCGCAGTGTTGATTTTCACTATCCTCCCATTTTGTCCATCCGTCCTATGGGCCCAGCTTATCGCAGCACACAGCGGCTGGCGCTATGTCGGAGCGTTCTGCGGTGCATGGAATGGGTTTGGATTGCTTATCACAGCGCTCTTCTACTTCCCACCGCCACGAGTCAACTCAGAGGGATTGAGTAATTCCGAAATCGTCAGTCGTATCGACTTTGTGGGCGGCTTTTTGAGCATCTCTGGCTTAATAGTGTTTTTAGCTGGCTTGCAATGGGGCGGATACCAGGTGCGATACAAATGTCAAGTCATTGCGGGTGTCTTTCCGGTCGCTAACCTGCGAAACAGTATGATTGGACATCGGCTCACGTCCTAGTTCCTCTGATTCTTGGTTTTATGGTCATGGTTGCCTTTGCTTTCTGGGAAATATATGGTGCAAAGTATCCCATCTTCCCGAGTCGGCTAAAGCAAGAGCCACGCATCCTGGGTTTAACCTTGGTCATTACGTTCATCTCGGGTGCGAACTTCTTCTCTGTTCTCATGTTTTGGCCGACGCAGTCGTTCAACATGTATGGCCACGATCCCGTCGACGTTGGCGTTCGAAGCCTTCCCACTGGCTTCGGTATCATGGCAGGTGCATGCATCATTCTATGGCTACTCAGTGTCTTGCGCGGGCACAATAAGGAGCTGCTCATCATCAGCAGCGTTCTCATGACAGCTGGTCTGTTAATCATTCAGCGGTATGATATAATAGAGACTAACTTTGATCAGGCTGTGGTGCCATGTCGATAGCCCGCCTTGACAATCTATACCAACTTTGGGGCATTATGGTTGTCGCAGGCCTAGGCATCGGGGGCATAATCGTTCCAGCCTCAATTATCACTACGATCATATGTCCAGACGTGAGTTTCTTCCCAAGAAATGACCTCAACAGCCAACTAACCAACTCTAGGACCTAATCGCTACCATCTCAGCCCTCACCCTCTCCATCCGCGTCGCAGGTGGCGGCATTGGCTACACCATCTACTACAACATTTTCATCTCCAAATTTGTCCCCAACGCCGAGCACTACATCGGCGGGGTCATGCTCACCGAGCTCAATATCACGAACACCGCCTACATTAAAGAAGCGATCGAACTCACTGGTGCATCATTGCTAGACGAACTACACCTCATTCCCGGCATTGCGGGTAATGAAGCTGCGTATGATGCCGTCGTGACAGCAGGCCAGCTTGCCTACACTGAAAGCTATAAATGGGTGTATTATGCTAGCATTGGATTCGGGGGTGTTTCTATCATCGCAGCGTGTTTCTTGGGCAATATACGAAAGTATATGGATGATCACGTGGCGGTTGTGATGCACTGAGTCATCCCTTGAACGTGTTTGGGTCAGTGTTGGTATTTTCCATGGTCGGCGAATGTTTTTTTTGGTAATATCCAACCATCAATAGTTACCGACTACCTAATCTTCACCCAGGATATACTCCGCTCAACGCAGACGATATCCTTGCTTGACCTGAATATTCCAATTCTCGTGCTTACAACTCTACCCACATCCTACAAACGCAGTTCAGAACCTGAAATACCCCACACTAAAACGTGTCTTGATTATCTTCCCACCGCATCCTGATGCAGCCCAACATATAACAACAATCATATACCCAGCGCCGGCCACTTGATATGCAAAGAAAAAGAAAGTAAAAGGATAGAACAGGAAGGATGCTAGCTGACAATGCAGCGATACAATCACACTCGTGAGAAAAATGCCAACAATAATCGTGGACGACAGCAAGAAAAGTAACAGCAGCACTATCGTACATGCATCGGGGTATCTGCTAGCTAGAAAGGATGAGAGAGCCCCCATTTCCGCTAGACAAGGGACTTTATAGTGGGTTGTTACTTCTTCGATGCATATTTTGGTTCGTTTTTTAGCGTCTTCCCTCAGAGGGATGTTGTCGATTGAGATAGTAGAGGGTCCTTAGTGGACATGTCATGACTCCTCCTTCAGTCCGCAGATATCAGTCCCGATGATCATATCGACCATGTACCAGAATCTCCAGTAAGTATTGGATTTGTCGTAATCGAATGCCCCGTCCTCGCCTAGTTGAGGTCCATCGCCCACGATATCACCGGTGAACCAGCTGAGGATAGGGATGGACCGCAAAACACGCTCCGTCACTGTGGGTTGGGGTGGAAGGGCTTCTGTGATGGGTCGGAGTTTCGTCCGACGCATTGTCGGGATATGTGTCATGAATTCTGATTCGGGCTTGGGCTCCTGAGCGACAGTCCGCTGCTGCACGGGGCCTAGTTGCTCGACGCCCGTCGCCGTCGCGGAGCTAGCGGTGGCTGTCGACTCCTGCGACTCTTGCTCATCGGCATCAAGCACACTCGCCAGATTATTCATAGCGAATGATTTCGGCAACGTATGACGTTCCTTGTTTGTGTCCATGGACTGGAGGAAACTCGACGAATGCGACGAAGTCAACGACCGAGGCGCCGCCTTCGACTGTAAGCGAATTGCCTCCGGGGAACCCTGTAGAATCGGGGCATCCTCCGCGGGTCCCTGACCATGATACAGCTCACAAAAGACCACATGGCCATCAATCTCCTGAGGGGAGTAAAAGACCGCTCGATCCGCAGCGATCGTCGAATCAAACGTCACTTTAATCCAGTGAAACCCGCCCGCATAGCGCTTCGATTTCCGGTTCGCATCTGCCGACAGATTCGCATGAATAACAACATCCCCACCACTCAGGAGCTGCTGATATCCGTTCGGGGCATTCGGATCCGTCCGTGGATAGTCCTCGCAGATCACGCCGCGAGAAATCCGCTCGTACTTATCTATCACCTTCCACTCAGAATCTTTGCTCTTGTATCCGTATAATATGCACTCCGTTGCGACCTTTTCTGTCTGCTTCCGGGAGTTGTCGAGATTGGATGCTGAGGATGACTTGGGCAGCGTGTTGCTGCGCGCCTTCTCGTCCTCTTGTTGTTGCGCGAAGAGTCGCCCGAATTCGGCGACGTTGGGGTTCTCTCGCTTTGCGGCGGGCGTGCCGGTGCGTGTGCGAGATCGCGTATGTTCGTATCGGGCATTTCTGCGCTTGCCAAATGGGCCGCTTTCTTCGGGGGGTCGGCGGGGGTTGCGAGATTCGCTATGGGGGGAGTTATGTTAGATTGTGTTTCCTTGAGGGGTTTGGGAGGTATGTGCAGCTATGAGACGTACTCTTTGTAAACGTAGCCCCAGGGTAGGAGGTTGCCTTTCTCGTCTCTTGCGCGCTCCTCGGGAGGAACAAAGTGGTACTCCATCTTGGAGAAAGTAGTGCGGATAGGGTCCGATTAAATAGATGCAAGCAAGTAAGGGACTGCTGGAGGATTGGGAGGATTTCTGTGTTGCGAAGAAGAGTATAAGTGATGTCAGAGAGAAGAAGCGGCGATGTTGGAAGTTGTACAGTTGGGTGAGGCTGGCTCGGTCCAAAACTTTTGGGTGCAATAAACAGAAGTGTTAGCCCGGATACCGTCACGTGAGTGGGTGCGGTATGTCAATCCGGGGAATCTTGACCGCTACATGATCTTAGCACTTTGGGATAGAAATGTTTTTATTGTATGCATGTATGCATAAGGAGGTCTTTTACTACATTCCTACGGTATGGTTGTGCCCTGATAGCTCGTACATTTAACACTTGAATGCCAAGGCCATTCAATATATACACTGGTTGGTGTTATGAGTCAATACTAGTACTTATCTGTTTCCTATTGTCGGCCAAGAGTGGATATATATTGACTCGTAGTTGACAAAGGATTTGTGAAGCCTAGAGAAACTATCACACAGTCTCAGTTCCCAAGTGAATCGGTTATGCGACAGCACCGTCAATAGAGAATACTCCCTCACAGATATTGAAGCTGGAATCGGCCAGGTTCTTCTGCTTCTGTAATCGTGTATTTCTATTGGTCTTGCTTTTGCCGAAGGAATGTGATTCTTCCAACATCATCATCCAGACCACATACGTCTCCAAACTCTCCCACTTCGATCCTCCTCCTATTCACGTGGCTAACAAACTCCTCCAGCGGACAAGACAAGCCAGGTCCAGACTTGCAGTACGGTAGCGGCACAATCTTGTCATTTATGTTGACCCGAAGGAATGTCGTGCCCATGTCAGGGACACCATCTGTTGGCGAACAGGTCATTCGTTCGAGGGTAATCCGACCGCCCATTGGCATCACAGTCGAGGTATACCAAACGCGGTCTTCTACCCTATGTGTAGTAGGGAGAAGTGGGTCGTACTTTGCGTCCCTCATAATGTCCAACGCAGTTAGGAAGGGAGCTATATCTCCGTCATGGACACTAGAACAAGTCTTAATCTTTGCTCTTTGGCCCCGAATTTTGCCTTGCTTTGCTATAATGCCGAGTCACCCACAAACTAAAGAACGTAGCACCCGCTCGAGGGCCCTCTTGCAAGAGGTTCGTCGTAGCATTTAGCCAGAGCCAGCCCATTGCGCCAGCATAAGGGTTTCCCGGCCCCCCACGATAGTAGTGAACCAAATCGCGGCCATATTCGAAATTCTCCCAGTCTTCACGTGTAAAGACATCATACCAGGGACTCGACCCTCGTAGAATGGTTTCAAAGCCGCACATTTCTTGCATGCTGAAGACCTCCCAGTTAGTGAACGTCTCAAGGGCTGAGTTACCTTGCTCGACGATCAGTCGCTCCGTAATAGCAGGAATATATGCTTGTTGAAACGAAGTGAGCATATTCTTTCCGTTGTCATGGCCCTGATCCTTGTCCTCTATATACCTTAGGCACGTATCTCCCGGTGTGAGTGTATCCGCGCGTCGATCAAACGACTCCGGAATGACCTCCAAGGTGGCTTTTCCTGCTTTCTCCCAGTCGGGACCAAACAACCCGAAAGCGAAGTAGTGGGCTGTCTTGATGACGCGCTCGGAATCGCTTGCCCAGAATGTAGTCTTGGAATCATCCGCTTTAAGGTGTCCGTATTGAGCTAAAACGCTCATGCCGGCGCTGAAGGCTCTAGCGGTGCCAGCGTAAGGACCGGTTGTAGTGAGTTGATCGAAATCATGCTGTGGACTGCTAGTGAGATAGGTCCAGTTATTCAAGAAAGATAAGGAGCCATTCAGTGAAACTCCTGTTTTGAAGATCCTGTTCAGAAGGGCAATATGGCCTATAGCCATTATTCAATGCCTCGTCAATATCTTTCATAGATCCTGGTAATGACGAATGACGTACAGCTTCCAGCAGACTTGGTTGGATATCTCTCTGCATGGCGCGACATCTAGTCTTCAATCAACATCAGAGGTCATTGACGTAGGAAGAATGGAAGGAAATATTCTAAGTAGAAGGAAGGAACTAGAAGGAAGGAACTACCATGTGTATCTGATTGATTGTGCATCCGTCCAATAGTGGATCGATCTCGTGTGGTTCAGGTTTCCCGATAAGCTTCGAGACCCAAGGCCCATATCCCCCGAGATGATGGTGAAGATTCCAGTCGTCATCCTTCTCTATGCATGGGCTCGGACTGGAACCCAACCAGATCTTCCAGTTGGCGAAACGGGGTGAAGGAACTTCAGGCTGGTGGCAAAGTGGACTGTACGACAGACTAGAATTATAATAGAGGACGCCTGCGATTGCAGCCAAAAGAGAGAATATCAAAGAGGTGAGTGAATACATGTGGACCATAACCAGCAGAGGGGCGCTGTGGAAGATGCTTGCGAAATGCACTGGAATATGAAAAAGATAAAGCGAAGACTAATCTGAAGATCGCCAGACGGCTTCTCAATAACGCCAAGAAGCAAGCCAGATAGCAACTCCGAGGATGAGCAGCGCATCATGTACTATATTCAAAACGAGGGCTTCTGTCTCCCATTTCCTCGATCTCTTCTTCTGTCATCCCCGCAACTTTATCATCCTCAAGTCCATGTTCTCTGCGCTTGTTCTTTGCATGATAGTACCACCACATAAGACCATAGACAACTCCCGCAAACCCGACCAGTGATAAAGTCACGGCATTGCCCCGAACATAGCGCGGTGCCTCATTGGTTTTGTACAAGAAAGGAGACATGACCCCGCTGACGTTTCCGAAGGTCAACTGCAAACCTGTAGCAAACGTACGCTTTCCATAGCGAGGAAGATTAGTTGGCAGCCATGCAAGAGGTAATCCGACTGTCACGTATAATCCCAGGGCGATAAGTAAGGCGCCGAAGTAGTGTACTCCAGAGGAAGAATCTGATATGAGAATCCCGTATCCCACCACGGATATTACGGCAAAGATGCAAATGAACACTCCGCGACGCTGAGTTCTGTCGCTAACCCAAGCAACGATTAGGTACGCAATCGCCCCCAGTGCGTAGCAAGGTATAGTAAGAGCTTGCACCTCAGGGGTCGACCATGACCCCATTCCCTTGATGATTGTTGGAAGGAAGGTGCTGTATCCGTAAAGCATGGTATCAACACCGAATTGGCCAATGCAGAAGACATAGATTCTCCAGTCCAGTGAGCCTTCTTTGACATCTGCCCAATGAAACTTTTGCGCGGACAATGTTTGGCCCACGTCGCGACGACGGAGACGGACTACTAGAGCCTTCTCCTCATCGTCGAGATAATAAGCCGTATCGGGGTCATCCGCAAGGAAGAACCAAGCCAGAACTCCTAATATGACGGTCGGAGTTCCTTCAATGATCATAATCCATCTCCAACCCCGTAACCCAGCGATACCATCCATATAGCCGATCCCGTAGGCTAAAAGACCACCAAATGCGCCGGCGATGGCTGCACTGCTAAATAAATATCCTGTGCGAAGGGCTATCTCACGCTTGCTGTAGAAAAGGGTAAGGTACGTTATCATTCCAGGAAATAGCCCGGCTTCCACGACGCCTATGATAGTCAGGACAGGCTCGTTGCTCAGGTCAGTGGCTTTTACTAACCTAGGAGAATGCGACAAGCAATGAGGCCGCCATAACTCTGGGTTATACCAGTTAGGATTGCTATGATACCCCATATGGCTGAGATCGACGCAATATAACGCGATGGGGTGAGCTTTTTGATCACCAGGTTTGACGGTACTTCGAAGAGCTATCCAACATTAGATGCTCCTTCATCTCTGCGCTAGATGTAAATCGAACATACACAGTAAGTCACAAACAGAATAGACACTGCGACTTGGTATTGATCTCCAACCAGGCCCAGGTCTTCTTCCATTCCGTATAAGCGCGCATTGCCAATGTTCACTGGGACTTGTCAGCAGCTATTCTATAGTCACTCGAGTGCAACGAGACCCAAAGATGAAGAGGCGACAACTGAAACACATACCTCTATCGAGAAAGCTGAACAGGTAAAGAAGAATGACAAAGGGGATAATATGCAAGTCAATTTTCTGGATGAGGTGCTTCTCCCTCTTTCCATCCAGCCCCGTGGCGACAGAAGCGTTGCTCTCATCGTCGTCCACCGTGTTGCCGAATGGCGGAGGAGATCTGAGCTCGGGCTTTGGTTCTTCTTGGTACTCCATGTTTGCCATCGACCTCGACGTTTTTAGCTTCGAAAGATGCTCCTTCCCACCCGACAAGATTCAAAGAACGTCCCTGTGGGGAACCTGCTACAGATCGATCGCTCAAAGTCTGACAAAGTCCATGGTGCGCGTGATATTAAAGGAACGCCTCGTACCCCGTCGGATCTTATCTAAAGCGAGGGATAAATTGTGAGCAGAAGTTGTGGAATTTGAGTGTGGCCAAGGTTCGCCAAGGTTCCAGACTGACCGGTTGGTTCTGTTTGTTTGTTTTTCACATCCCTATCGAGGTACACTCAGCAATATTTCATTTCAGGTAGGAATCTAGAATCTAGAATCTGGAGAATGTCAGGATTCCAGTTGATTGCGATTCTAATTGTCGGTTACTCAAAAAGTACGTATCTGGCTCTGATGATGCAGTTACTCAATTGCGGATCATATTCTTGGCAAGGCAAGGAGATCACTCGACAGTCTACGGTACTGCGTAACCTTCACGCAAAACCAAAGCAGCTCTGTAGAAATTTACACTGGCCTATAGTTAAAGGACAGATACTCCGATATGAGCCTATATTTGACATCTGACTGAGTCAACAGAATGTGGTTCTGATAAGTGGTAGCCGAGATCACGTTGGTATATAAGTAAATTTCTTCGCAGAAGTATCAAGCTTACTATACATAATCCGGCATACAGCTCGATGGGTGATGTGTAGCGCATGGCACAATGAGGTCGAAAAAAGAGAAAGTGGATTTATATCAGCCGTCATGTATGGCACCAGGGCCAGCTGGTCGATCGAGCACCAGCAAGGGAAAATTGGAATCCAAAGGTCAAGAGTTGCCTTGGGATAGAGCAGTATACTCTGACCACATCGTGCTTGCTGGCCCGGGCGCGAAAGGGCCTGATGCTCAGATCAGTATCGGTGCTCCCTGAAGACATTGCGATTGTTCCGTCTTGAGGTAAGGTATCATGGTTCGTTCCAGCAGCCGAAGGATACGGCATCTTCCATCGGGGGGTGACCTGTAATATCGGTTCCATCCAGCATTCCGAAGTCTTATGAGGTGATATGTCATTGGTGTTGGTAAGTTGCTCCACACAGTTGCAGCCCCATCTCTAACATAAAGTGCCGAGGGATATCATATGGGATCTGCCGAAATAGCGCTCATTCGAGACTCAAAGTACCACTGAATTGGTAGAATGTCTCTAAAAAGATTTCTTTTCTGGACGGCATGCTGGGAATTCTTAAGCAATAAAGCTAAACGTCAGCAGATTATTCTCATGTTGCATTTTTTTTTACCGAATGTCTGATACTCCTAGCACATTCATGTTACTATGTAGATAGAAGGGTGAGTGGAGAGGACGATCGGTAGGCATGACGTCAAGGAATAAGTCCCCGGTTCCCGAGGCATGACTGCTTCACGTGCTGACTGCGTGGGGGCCAACTCAGTCCGCGACGTATCTACCTGCCTCCTGCATTGATTCACGGGTAACTGTCTTGAGATAACATAGAGAATACGTTAACTAAGCTTTAAGCAATATGTCAGGCAACTATGGCGACTATCAGTCAGAGATCTATGGCCGAGGCGCAATGACGGGCATTCTGCCCAGCGTCACTACTGACCCTCGTCTACTCGAAGAACAAGCAGAGAAGGCTTTAGGGGCTCGTAGCTTCAACTACGTTGCTGGTGGAGCTGGAGAGAAAGCTACTATGGACAGCAATCGGCTGGCGTTTCGCCAATGGAAGTTGTGAGTTCTCGTCTATTATCCTTACGTAGAACGGGCAAAAACTGATGCACGTAATGCTTGAAGGATTCCGAGAATGCTGAAGCAGGTCAGTAAATAGTTGGTTCTTCCGGTCTCAGAGCTGACCATTGAATCGACCCAGATAGATGAATGATCAAAATATTTCAGTAACCCTCTTCGGCCAAGACTATCCGACCCCACTTCTCATGGCACCTGTCGGAGTCCAGTCTATTTTTCATGACGACAAGGAGACTGGCCTGGCAGAAGCATGTGGAAATATGGGGATCCCTTATATCCTCAGCACGGCGAGTAGCAGCTCAATCGAGGAGGTCGCACAGGCGAACCGGGACGGCAAAAGATGGTTCCAACTATACTGGCCGCAGGACGATGAGATCACTTTGTCATTATTGAAACGCGCCAAAGACAATGGGTTTTCTGTCCTGGTCGTTACTCTGGATACTTGGTCTCTGGCCTGGCGACCAGCGGACCTAGACAATGGCTACGTCCCATTCATTCAGGGAGTCGGCAACAAGCTCGGCTTTACAGATCCTGTGTTCCGCGCAAAGCACGAAAAAGCGTCCGGCTCAAAGGTAGAAGAGGACATCGTTAGCGCGTCCAGATCGTGGATCTCCCAGATATTTTTCGGCCAACCGCATGTGTGGGAGCAAATTTCCTTTCTGCGAAAGAATTGGGATGGCCCACTTGTATTGAAGGGCATCCAGCATGTGGATGACGCCAAGCTTGCGCTTGAAGCAGGATGCGATGGTATCGTGGTTTCAAATCATGGAGGTATGTACCGGGTACCAGTGGCCCTATCTTCCGGCAGAAAAGAACGTCTCCAACAATGTGCATACAGGTCGCCAGGTCGATGGTGCTATCGGCTCACTCGAAGTTCTTCCCGAGATAGTCGATGCGGTCGGAGACAAACTGACGGTTCTTTTTGATTCCGGTGTCCGCACTGGGGTAGATGTGATCAAGGCGCTCTGTCTGGGGGCCAAAGGAGTCTTGGTTGGCAGGCCCGTGATCTATGGGTTAGCGATCGGTGGAAAGCACGGGGCAGAAGCCGTGATGAAGGGACTATTGGCAGATCTCTGGCAGAGTATGAAACTGTCAGGGATGCGCACCGTGACCGAATGCAACCGAGAAATGATCAGGAAAGTTGTGTATCCAGGTGATGGAAAGGCTATGTGGTGACATGTAGCATTTTATTGGCCGTCGATGGGGATCGGCCCAATCAAGGAAGGATCTGATGATGGAGTTTGGGGAGAATGAGGGGGAAAACTGGAGCCTGTGGGGTAAACACCGGTTTTTTTGAAACAGGTCACGTGTTTCTCAGCGTCAAATTGGAGGTGCGACCCATGCAGGGGCGTAAGTAGCTAGATACATGGGGGTTTCTCTTATTTGGTAGCGTGTACTCTGTAGAAGAGGTGGTGGAAATGCCTGACGATGATCGCCTGCCCGAAGTTTGTTGGGGAGAACCCGCAAAATCACATGCCGACCTTCTCAACCGCCGCCCCTAATGAGTGGTTTGCGATTCGTCGCCACCGGCTGTTGCTGATCTACAATTCTGCGCAGTGGTCAACCAGGAACCAGTCTATGGCCGCAACGTTTGACTGCTGATTTGGCCGGGCATCCCCCATCGATCAGTACCTATCTCTCCACACTTGCGACTGCGCGTCTATTTCCGTCTCTCACTCGAGGTTCGTGCCCATGGCTGCACACCATCTGTCTAATGGAAAGAAAGACAATTTCAACCAATACCTGAGGCTCCGAGATGTCTAGACTCTTTGGTCTCGGAAGAGCGAGGAAACGGGATGTCGCTAGGCAATCACGAATAGACGCCATCCATGATGATGACGCCAGTCACGTTCCTGCCACTTCGGGCTTGCCTCTTCTTCCACGGCCACTGGCGTCTATGGTGTCGTTCATGGCCCAGTCGACTTCCCTGTCTCTTCGCCTGGGGACCTTTGTCGGCGGGATTGCCCTTGATGGAGCGAAAGCCACCACGCTGACGGGGCTCGAGCTTAGTAGAGCAGTAATCGAAGGAATATTAACACGAGCTGGGCGGGATGTTGCCATTCGGACCCGCGGAGAGCATGGGAAGGCAGAAGCAGAGTCGCTGTTAGAACGAAGCGTAAGTCCCCACTTCATGGCTGGCTTCTCATCTTCACAATGTTGATTTCCGATTTAGCTGGCCACTTTGCACAAGACAGTCACGTCTGCATCATTCTTTGCGGCTGCGTCGTTTCATTTTTCTTCAACCACGCTTTCATCTGCTGCCAACATGTCACAGTCTCTCTTATCTACCCTTGACGCTATACTTGGCTCCACAGAGTCTTCGAGGGCGATTGCGGCCATCATTACCCTCATTCGAAGGGAGTTCAGGAGCCCAAACGCCGACATTGGAGCCGATAATATAGGCGTTGGCGATCTTTTGGTTGGCTGTGTTGGGTTTGCCCTACTGCAACGCTGGGGAAGGAGAAACACACAGCTTCATATACGCGCGAATAATGGGGAAGAAACCGTGTGGGATGTTGTTATCTTGGATAGTGGGCTGAGGGCAGATGTTGTTGGTTCTCACCAGCTTGAAGTGGCGACTATTTCCCATGATCCGTCGCGCGAGAAGACAAATCGCTCGTCCTTCATATCCCCTGGGAACGATGAAGAGGTTTTCGATGCTGTGCAGCGACCGGCAAGTGCCGTTGATCCCAACGAGTACCCATACCTGTCGCTTCCCCTGGAAGATCAGCACCCGGTATCAGACGAAGATATTCGCTTGTACATCATGAAGCAACTTCCCCAGGGCTGTCGTGCCTCTATCCGTACAGATTTGGTTACGGCACGTACTATCACAGTGGAAGTATACGACCACGACATTGCAGAGATTTCCCCTCCACCAGGCACAATGATGATCGAGGAAACTTTCAATGATGAACTTGATCACAGACAAGCAACCGGCTCTCATCTTCCCAGACACACAGTAGTATTCCGGACAGCTTTCAACAAAACTCAAAGCTTGGATGTGAGACCTTCACAAGATTATGATACGGTAGTATCCCAGGTCGGCACTGGGTCAGGAGACCCAAGCAGTCGCCAAGCTCTCGGAGAAGCCGGGGATGAGGCGGTAACAGAGAATAGGGCATCTCAGAGCAAGCTTGCCTCAGAGAGACACGTTGAAGTTGAACCTAATGTGAGGGCAACACAAATTGTCACCCCGAAGAAGCAGATTCGTGGCGACTTCAGCCGGCAGCCTATGAATGAAGCGGGGGTAGCACCTAGAAATTCTCACGAGAAGGCTAAGTCTTCGCAGAGAATGAAGCCCGTAAGCTCGAACAAGAAAGATGCTGGTAAATCTACTGGGTCAATTATCGAGAACCCAAGTACTCCATCCTCGTCTGAGAACCAGCCTCACCGAGGCACATCAAAAAAAGGTTCTAACTCCACGAAAAAGTCCGACAATCTGTCAATATCGCATAATCGCGGGCCCTTAACATCTGTGGCAAATAGAGGCTTACCGAGGACACCATTGCAAGGACACCGAATAAGATCCGCTCCTATTCCAACAACACGTCAATTCGAATCACGCGAAGCCAATCATGGAAGGAATCCAAGGACGGAACGTTATGCGGTACATGAGAAAAATAACGAGACATATGTGGCGCAGACGGATGCTTATACTCGACAGTCTCTGGACTTACGACCAGGAACGCCAACATCACGGAGGGCTCATGTGCGTAGCAGCAGCTCGATGTCGTTGACTAGATCGGAAAGCGATGTGACGATATCCATCAATGACGAATCTCGACCAAGCTCCCCCGTCTTCTACCGACAGTCAGGATCTTTTTCTCCCAGTCTATATTCACTGGCAACCGCGGGCTCCGAAACATCCCTCATCCTGGCTCATCGTGCCCGAAAAAGCGCATATGATGAGATAGAAACGATCCAAGCACTTAACCGAGACGGCACTGTTCCTGGGATTTTCCCGGAAAAACACTTTGTGCATAACATCAGACGGTTTTGTCGCTTCTCCTCGGCTTCTTATGGCTCGAACGCACTCAAGGTCATGGGCATCCCGCGGACCATGCAGGGGCTTCCTTATCAAGAATCCCACAGTCCTCAACATAGCGAATTCTCGGATCATGCTGGCCTACCAGCTTCTACCATCCTCCTGTCTTCTTATGTAGACCCTGCAGGTGGGACTAATGCTGCCGGGGAGACGGAGAGCGGCTTCCCCTTAGTCCATTACCTCTTCTTGGACCATGAGTCCAAGGCGGTTGTTCTGACTCTGAGAGGGACGTGGGGGTTTGAAGATATTCTGACTGACATGACATGCGACTACGACGATCTTGAATGGCAAGGTAGAAGTTGGAAAGTTCACAAGGGTATGCATGCCTCCGCGAAACGGCTTTTGATGGGAGGAGGCAGCAGAGTCATGGTCACGATTCGAGCTGCCTTGGAAGAATTCCCGGATTATGGCGTCGTGTTCTGCGGCCACTCTTTGGGTGGAGGAGTCGCTGCACTCCTAGCAACAATGATCTCAGAACCCAACAATGAATGTTCCGGGACATCATTTACAACTGCTTCCTATCAGTCTGCCAAGGGCAATTTGCCTCTGGCTGGAGGCAATAAGGGTGACAGCAGCGCTGCATTTTTCCTGCCGCCAGGAAGACCAATCCATGTTTATGCGTATGGGCCTCCTTCGACTATGTCCCCTTTTCTGCGTCGTGCAACACGGGGCTTGATAACAACAGTTGTGAATGGTCAAGATGTGGTTCCTAGTCTCTCATTGGGTATCTTGCATGATATGCATACAGCGTCCCTTGCGTTCAAGAGTGATGTCTCCAATGCCAAATCTCATGTACGGTTCCGCGTCTGGGAAGGTTTGCGGCAAAGCATAATAAACAAATTCTATGTCAATGAACCGCCTATTCTTACGCACTCCGGAGACGGTGTTGGTGAGGACGCTTGGGCCTGGAACACTTTGAAGTTGCTTAGAGACGAGATGTACGCCCCGAAACTGATGCCACCGGGAGAGGTATTCGTGGTTGAGACAATGCGTGTTCTGCAGCGTAACGCCTTTACATCTGATTTGGATAAAGATGGCTATCCGTTGCTAGGTCGGCCTGCAACAAGAGTACAGCTGAAATTCATCCGTGACGTCGAAGCGTTATTTGGAGAACTCAGATTCGGTTCAGGTATGTTCAGTGATCATAACCCAGCAAGATATGAAGCCAGTCTTGCTGCGCTTGCGCGAGGTATCTTGGATGGTTGATTTATCGCTTTCATTTCATGCTCATTAGATTAAGCGATGTATATATTGGACCTAGCGCACTTTAATGATATATAAGGATGATTTTGTAATTTCTGTCGGCCTTGTTCAAGCCCGCCTTCGACCGGTTGCTCTGTGTATTGGTGACACTGATCCGCCGTATCTAATAATGAAGATATCGAGCCCGGAGATAAGATCGTAAACCTTGAGATGATTATAAGCTAGGAGTATTGCTCGCCCGAAACCCATAGGTCTGCTGGGGCCGGTGTCTAGATTATTAGAGTTCACTCGGTATGTAGTACCAACGAACCCGGTATCCGACGGAGATGACTTCTGACGTAGTATCACAAAGCTTGATTGCGAGCAATATAGCCATTTAACTTGTAGTCAACCGGTCTCAAACAATTTTTCCTGCATAGCCCTTCGCGAGAAATGCCGCCTGCCTCATGAAAGGCATTCGCATATCCGACTTCTGGAGAAAGCAAGCTCACACACTCGTCAGTCCCCGCGACGTGGGGATGACGGCCAGCCTTTGGGCTTAATCCATCAGCTGGCGTGTATGTCACCGGCATGAATGAGTAAAGTCGGCGCAGATGAATGGAGTGTGGCTTTCCAATCGATCATGTCTGGCGACAAGGAAGCAATTGCAGACTGCGTCGTTCTCCACCGCACCGATATGAGCACTCAGGGTATCCTCGGAGTCATAGCTGAGCGCTCACTTCTTTGACCTGAAAGATACAAATCGATCCCACTCGTTACCTATGATGCGGTGGCTCTTGCTTGGGCCCGTCGAGATTCTTGAGCTTCCTTTCCTCAATTCTGGTCTCCAGGTCGTTGAGTTGCCTCTCCACGAGCTCTTTCTTCGACATCAAATTCTGTCGCATGCCCCGAAGACTGTTGATTCGCTCGTCGATTGTGACATCTCTGGATTTTTGGGCTTGCTATATATAACGCAGTTCGGAGTCAGCACAGTGAAATTTCGGATGATAAACGTGGTCCCAGGAGTATTGATTTGTTATTACCTGAGTAACTTGTTGCCCGGTTTTGATTCCAGCACCATAAAGCGATCCGGCGATGGTAATTACCGTGACGGCGCCTGTAAGGACAAGCCGTTTCACATTCTGGGGAGAAGGCATGTTATCAAAATGCGCCCGTTTCTCTGACTAAAATGCTGAATTGCGATTGCTTTGTCGCGGCCCTGAATAAAGTTAAGTAGATAATGAAGAAGCTCCGAGGCTCCGGCCGGGGATGGACATGAAACTGCCACCGGTGCCCGCCTAACCCGAAAGAGGCTAGATTGGATGGCTCTTTGTCTCCATCGCGTCGCGTGAGCCGCGTTTCCATGATATCGTTATTCCTTTATCTACCAGCCCACCTCTATCAGGTCAAAGAGGTTATCCCTCTTTTCCCAATGCACTGGTGATCTCCACGAGCTCTGCGGCTCTATTCAAAATGACTTCTAGAGGGTCGAACCCTCGCCGACGACCCCGATCGGAGGCGGACGATGGTCGCAGTGATGATGCGTCCTCCCGATCTATAAGAAATTCCCGCTCGACGTCGCATCGCTCGAGCTCTAGCAAACGTCCCCGGCTGGATATTGATGAACGGGTTGTGGAGGGGCAAGGTGTGAAGGTGGAGCAGGTGGACGAACAGGACGTGGAGTACGAAGATAAGGGCGAAGAAGAAGAGGTTGAAGGGGAAGAGAGTGAAGAAGGCGAAGGGGAAGAGTCAGAAGAGTCAGAAGAGGACGAAGAGGAGGTTGAAGAGGAGGAGGGGCAGGCTGATGAGGTGGTGAAGGATGAGCAAGAGGAGGAGGACCAAGATATGGAGGGCCAGGAGGAACAGGAGGATAGCGAAAGCAATCAAGGCGATGATGCGAATCCCGGGAGAAGTGCTCCGATTTACTCAGAGGCTGAGGCAATCGACGATTATGATACCCAAGATGTGGCCCCCCAGTCGGCAGTATCGCAAAATGACGAACAGAATGAGGTTGATCAGGAGCAAAGCGACCAAGAGAACCCCGAAAGCAACCAGGGCGACGATGTTAAGGATCTTGAACACATTCCCACGAAGTCAGCAGGGTCTGAGGTCTCCAACAAAAGTAACACCCAAGTTGCAACCACAGAACCAGCCGTATCGCCCAGTGGCGTGCAGCACGGACAGGAGGGGGAGGGTCATGACCTCACAGGAAGTCAAGACGACGAGGCCGAAGAGTCTGAGAACACAGAACATGACGCTGAGGACTACATCCCCTCAAAGTCGGTAGGATCTAGGGTCACGAACAGAAGTGGCAACCGAGTTACAAGTACAGAGCCAGCATTATCGCAACATAGTCCGCAAAACGAAGTTATTCAAGAGGAGGGTAATCAGGAAGACCTCGAAGGCAGCCAAGACAATGAGGCTGAAGAATCCAAGAACTCAGAAGATGATGCAGATGAGTATATTGCCTCGAAGTCGACAGCGTCCGATACTACGAATAGCAATAACAACCAAGCTGCGACCACAGAGCGGGTGTTATCGCAAAATGGCCTGCGGGATGGAGCTAAGCAGGAGGTGTTCAAGCCCGGTGCTATCGTGCGCATTAGAGTGACGGATTTCGTAACATATACGTCTGCGGAATTCTTCCCTGGCCCAAAGTTGAATATGGTAATCGGACCCAATGGTACTGGAAAAAGTACGCTTGTCTGTGCGATATGCCTGGGTTTAGGCTGGGGCCCACAGGTATGAACGGTCCCCTCTCATCGTCTTAAGTAGTGCATGCGATATTCTGACATATATGCCCATCTAGCATTTGGGCCGGGCAAAAGACGCCGGAGAGTTCGTCAAGCACGGCTGTAGAGAAGCTACGATTGAGATTGAGCTTGAGGGAGGTCCTGGCTCTCGTCGGAACCCCGTGGTTTCTAGAACAATCAAGCGCGACGGGAATAAGAGCACCTTCACGATCAATGGAAAACAGGCCTCTCGCTCCCAAGTGCTGAAGCTAGCGCAATCGTTCGCTATCCAGATCGATAATCTTTGCCAATTTCTTCCCCAGGACAAGGTTAGCGAATTCGCTGCCCTTACGCCGATTGAACTCCTCAATTCAACACAGAGAGCCGCTGCTGGGGAGGAAATGATTCAATGGCACGAGAATCTGAAGCGTCTCAGAGCAGAACAGAAGAAGTTGCAAACGGACAACCAAGGGGACCGAGATTTGCTGACGAACCTTGAAGATCGGCAAGAGATGCAGAGAGCCGATGTTGAGCGGATGCGCCAAAGGGCGCAGATCAAGAGAAACATCGAATTGTTGAACATGATCCGTCCAGTCTTGCAGTTCAAAGCGGGTCATGCCAAGTACAACGATATGAAGAAAGAAGTTAGAAGAATCGAGACCGAACTGGAGCGGCTCAAGGCGGAGCTTGAACCCGCGTTGAGATCTGTCAATGCAAAGCAACAGTACTGTCTCCAAACGGATGAGGTGATCACTTACAAAGCGCATCAGCTTGACGAGGCTGAGCGTGCAGCCGGCAAAGCCGGCAAGGCAATTGAGCGAGAGGACCAGGCGATGAAGGAATTTGACTCTCAAATTGACGCCGAGAAGAAAAGCGGACAGAGCTACAGACAAGAAGCAAATAAAATCCAGCAAGCAATTAACAAGCTCACGCGCCAGTTGAATGATGAACCGGTGGAATTGGATGTGAATTGGTACAACGAGAATATAGTAGGTATATTCGGATGTTGTTGGCGATGCTGGCTAATCCACAGCACAGCGCGAAAAACGACGCGAAGTCAGGGAAATCACGGAGAAAGCGAATCAGATTAAGGCCGATCGACAGCCCTTATTCGAGTCACTGCAAGAAAAGAATGACCAGATCAAGCAGGCGGAACGCCAGTTACAGAACCTCGATTCTGCGACCGGACAGCAGGAAAATAAGCTCAAACGAATGTCCGCCGATTCTTGGCGGGCTTACCACTGGATCCAGGGCAATCAGGATCAGTTCGAAAAAGAAGTCTTTGGCCCTCCGATGGTTACTTGTTCAGTGAAAGACCCGAAGTACGCCGATGCCGTGGAAGCTGTACTGCAGCGCACGGATCTAATGGCCTTTACAACCCAGACTCGGAACGACTTCAGGAAGTTGCAGAAAGCCCTCAGTATCGACCAGAAGTTGTCTGATATCGCTATTCGAACGTGTTCCGATCCGCTAGCAAGTCGGCGGCGCCTGATTTCGGACGATGAGATGCGGGCACATGGATTCGAGTGCTTGGCGAAAGATTGCCTCAGTGGGCCCGAAGTCGTCATTTCTATGCTTTGTAACGATACCCGGCTGGGCAAGACACCTATTCGTCAGGCAGGGATCTCAGAAGCTGAGCTCAATCGGCTTAAAGCCAGCCGAATAGACTCCTGGGTGGCTGGAGATGGAATCTACAACATCACTCGGCGAAAAGAATACGGCCCCAGAGCAAGCAACACCAGGCATGTGATTATGAATCCGGCAAGAGTGTGGACATCTCAACCGGTGGACGCATCTGAGAGGCAACAACTGGCGCAGAGAGTCCGCGCACTGAAAGGCGAAATGCAGGAGGTGCAGGAACAAATTGATAGCGAAAAGACCAAGCTACAACAATTAGGGGATGCACATACGCAACTTAAGCAAGAACTGGTATGCCGAAGCCATTCTGCTATGGTTTTTTAATATGCTAATATGAGACTCCTGTGCAGAGCGAGCTCGAGCGGGAGAAGGCCGATAAACAGACAGCTTTGACAAATTATCGAGCTATTCCGGAAAGAATCCGTAAGTGATACAATGCCCTCTTTTCGAGTAAGTTGCTCTGACACTCTAGCAGGCCAGCAAGAAGTCAAACAGAGAGACAACCAGAGAATATTTGAAGAGATGAGAACGAGAGTAGGCAATCTCCGCAGCGAACAGGACCAGGTGTCGATTCGCAAGGCTGAGGCCGCCATTGAATATGCTGTACGTATTCCTAGAGATGGGGATCATGATCGGGGCTATCACTAACAGGAGACAGAATGCGGTTGAAAAATTCCAAAAGCTACACGAGGAAGTCATCAAACTCAAAGTACGGCACCTCGAAGGTCTCTCCGACCTAGAGGTTCTGAAAGCTCGAAATATCGAACACCGGCAGACTCTGGAAGCCAAACATGAAGAATTGAAGGCGGCGAATCTAGAGATTAGGGACATGAGCAAATCACTCAAGAAGATGCAAGAAGAGACTAGGAAGGTCGCTGACCTTACCAGAGAACACCCTGATTTGGCAGAACTATTACAAAAGGTCAAGGATCAGACCCTGGACCAGCTCGAGGCCGACATCGACTCGGAGAAAGCCCGTCTGGAACTCACCCACGGCGGCAACAGCAATCTGATCAAGGAGTTCGAAGAACGCAGTCGCCAAATCGACAAGCTGCGCGACAAGCTCTCCGACTTCCAGAAAAAGCTCGACGACTACAATCACGCCATCAACGAGATTCGCGGCCGATGGGAGCCCAAGCTCGACTCTATCATCAAAAAAATCAGCGACGCCTTCTCCGACTCGTTCGCCCGCATCGGCTGCGCCGGCCAAGTCACCCTCGACAAGGCCGAAGAGCCCGGCCCCAATGGCGAACCCGGCGACAGCGACTTCGATCAATGGTCGATTCAAATTCACGTCAAATTCCGCGAGCACGAAAACCTCTCCCTCCTGGACTCTCACCGCCAATCCGGTGGCGAACGTGCCGTCAGCACCATCTTCTACCTCATGGCTCTCCAATCCCTCTCCGCATCCCCTTTCCGCGTCGTCGACGAAATCAACCAGGGTATGGACCCCCGCAACGAACGCATGGTCCACGGCCGTCTGGTCGACATCGCCTGTGCGCCGTCAGAATCCGGCGGCGGCGGTCAGTACTTCCTAATCACGCCCAAACTTCTCAGCGGACTATCCTACAAACCAGGCATGCGCGTCCTCTGCATCTACAGCGGCGAACACATGCCCGACGACCACAACCTGATTGATTTCAAGGGAGCCATTGCGAAGAGGAAAGCCGTGACGGCGGCAGCTGGACCGGGAACTGGAAGAGGTATAAGGGCCGCTGCTAGTAATGGCAGCGTAAGTGTTCATGGATAACACCCACACCAGGAACAATAATAACCCCAACAACGATGATGATAATTACGGCCATGATGAGCTGTCCGAAGGACTTCTTTTCTTTCTTCTTCCCCATTTCTTCTTCCTTCCTTCCTTTCTTGCCAATATTCGTGTATCCGCTTCTGATATCATTCCTTTTCTTTTTTGGGGAGTGCTGGAATAAGTATCATGATACCTTCTATTTTATTTATTGATGATTGGTTGCGGGGGTCTGGAGAACCGTACTTACTATGTGGCTATGAAAAGCAAAAAGCAAATCGGGAACTAGTTGAAGGCGAGTGGATAGGTTAGTTGGTTGGTGGCTTCTAACAGGATATCATACATAGATTGCGATGGCTTGGATTTTCATTGTATATGAATTGGTGTTTTTGCTGGATGGTTTACATGGACTGGGATAGGATGGGGTGTACTGTAGTACTATGGCATGGTATTTACGACAAGATGTAGTATGTATGTATTGTCTGAACTATATGGTTAGAGGGGGAAGAAGGGAAGAGAGGGGTGAAGGGGGGGGGAAGGGTAATGATGATCCTTTACTTTGGGTCTAAGTCTAGCCATCTATCTCTACATCGGAATTTATGAATAGGAGGAGAAAAGTCAAGTTATGTTCATCAAGTTTATGATTTTTTTTCACATCAACTGAAATACAACACAGCTGTATGCGTTTGTTATATCGTATATAAGAACATGTCTTGTTCACAGGGTCATGTCACATCATCACAAAGGAAATGATGACACAAGGAGATAAAAAAAAATAGGAAACAGAGAAAAGAAAATAAAACATAATCCAACCAGAGTTGAGACTCCAATAATCCCATAACCCTTGATTCTCCCCCTCTCTTGTAATGCTTTGCATTCCCAGACCGAAAACCAGCGACGCCTGCTCCTTTTCACATGGACAATAAAAAATGGAAAAGCATCCAAATATACACAGGTGGAAGAAGTGAAGAAATGCTGGGTTCATCACGATACACCTAGCCCTGGATTCCCGGGTGCGTGAAGATAGAAGAAAAGAATACATAACATGCACAAAAGGGTATCATTCAAAGAAGAAAGCAGAGCAGATGGTCGCTGGGTTCAGGGAGGTTGGTTTGATTGGCCCATGGCCTTTTTGTTTCGCCTCGACTGCCTTCAAGGCGCATCAAGGGACCCGACGTGGGGATTTTATACCATGGCGGTTGCGACAGGGCGACCACTGTGGCAGCCACGCTCATGACGCTTCATGTTGCTTCGCACGCTGAAGGCCTTCCCACAGCCAGCGTGGGTGCAGCGGAACGGCTTCTCGCCCGTGTGGCTGTGCGAGTGGATGCGCAGGCTGGACGGTCTCGAGAAGGCCTTGTGGCAGGTGCGGCAGATGTAGCGGTCATGGTTTTGCTGGAATGGCGTGGTGCTGGAGGGAGGGAAGTAGTGGTGATGTTGCCAGGCGGGGGTCACGGGAGAGATGATTTGTTGGGGTGCCGGCGTTGGGAGAGGAGCGGCGGTGGTGGATGCCGTGCGTTGGTAGAACATGGCGGACGAAGCCGAAGGCTCAATGGGGGAGGAGTAAGACGCAACGCTGGGGGCAGGCGAAGCGTAAGGAGCGCCCTGCACGGAACCCTGGCTGGAGATGGACGACCGCTCTGTGGGGCTAGGCAGAGCCACCGGCACCTGCGAGTAAGAATCGGAGCGCTTGAGGGCATTGCCTTCGCTGGCAGCCGAGATGGAGGAGGCGGGGGAGTGGCTGGCGCTGTGGAAGCCCGAGCCCGGACGCAATGGGGGCGTTGGTGGCAAGGCGATTTGGGGGCCGTTGGATTTGAAGTCATATGCTTGTGACGGCGGGCGGGAGTCGACCTCGCGCTGCAAAGGAGGGGTCATTCGAGTCCGCTCTGCAGTTCTATAGTCAGCACTGGCTCCTTGGTCTAGATGGGCCGTTTGTTAGGTGTTGGGGGCCATACTCGCTGCATGAATGGATGCGCCGTCTGCGCCCTCAAGGAGAGTGGAGATGGAAGGAAGAGAGCACTTGGGCGAGTGTTCCTCGACAGGAGGAGAGAGAGGAGGCTGTGGGGAGCGCGTGTAGGAGATCGCGACGGAGGGGAAGTATGAGTCCGAGGTTTGTTCGATCGACCGCTTGTACGAGCCCATGGGAGGACTGTACGAGGCGCGGGACTTGTAGGTCGAGAAGGGATCTGGTCCCGGGTGGGAGATGAGGCTGGCGAGATCCATGGTGATGTGATGTGTGATGGAGGTGATGGAGGTGAGGTGAGGTGAGGTGAGGTGGTGGTCAGGTGTGTGAGTGAGGAAGAGAAGTAAATGATGGATAAGAGAAAGGTAGTAGAGAGGAGGCTACCGAAGGAGCATATATAAGAGCAGAGGAAGATGGATGAAACGGGGTATAAGAGATCCAATGGAGGCGAGGTACCAAAGACAAGTGGGGGTGGGTTTATGAGAACAGGGGGGGGGAGAGGAGGAGAGAGAACGGGGTTTATAGACAAGGCGCGTGGATGGCAGAGGGGAAAGAAAGGAAGCAGTCGAAGAGTGGAACAGTGGATAGTGGATAATGGATAATGGGAGTGGGGAGCAAGGTTGACAGTCAGTCCAGAAGGATAAAAATCAAAATAATTAAATCAGGAGGATCAATCGAATGTTAATTATAGCTGCATGGAGTATACTCCGGCGGTAGTGTGCTAAACGACGACGCAGTGGAGAAAAAAAGTAAAGCAAGCAAGCCAGAAAGCAAGAAGGCGGGCGAGTCCGCCGCGAACCTCCCCCATTTGAGGGCGGATTAACGCTGCCAGTATGAGTACGTACGGTGTTAGCTGTTAGTAGTAGTAGTAGTGAGGGACGTTCCAAGTAGGTACCTGCCCGCCTGCCAGTCCACCAGACAGGTACCTGGTTACCGCCAGCGTATTGAATATTCCCGAGCCCGCAGTGGCCACTTTTCTCGATTCGCTTCCACAAGGGCTGATACCTCCGTCCCAAAGCTTAATTAATGACCACTGGCCCGGTACTCTGTTTTTCCTTTTTTTTTTATTTTTCCTGTTTCGGTTTTTTCTTATGTTTTGGGAACACTTCCCGAAGGAGATGAAATAATAGAAAAAGGAAATTTCAGAAAATTTAAAAAAAAATAAATAAATAAATAAATAAAAAAAAAGAAAAAAAGAAAAAAAAGGGAATGGAACCCAGCCCCGAAACCTCCATCCCCCCTCCCTCCTCCTCCTCCTCCCCTCCCAGACCCAAAGAGTCCCAAACACTTAGCCGGGATGATTTGCCATTAGTTATGATCCTTTTAGGTAGGCTCAACGAGAGCTAAAACAACGTGCGCCTCCTCCGCTGTCCACCGTCCACACCTGAACTAACCACCCTCCCCTCTCCCTCTCCTCCCCAGACCACCTTAACCCTGGAAGGCTGGATGGTTACCGTGGGCGGCGAAAGGAATGAAGTAAGATACTGGCAGATCAGGATGAGACTGGGTAAAACAAGCGAGACAGCCAGTCGATCATCTTCAGGGCTATACATAGATCCTACCGGGAGGAATAAAGATGACGAGTAATGTTCATCTTCGTTTTTTTTCTGCCCTTCCCGCGGCTCTAGACCAGCGGCATCAATCACGAACAAGAACAATGAACCACCGACGGAAAAGCAAAAGCAAAGGCAAAGGCCATCGCAACGTACGTAACTGCGTCGTACGAAGGCACACGCTCTCTCAGTCTCAGATCGGCCGATGGAGCATCCAACGGTACTTTCGGGGCTCGGCTACAGTAAGTCTGGCGCTAGTGCAGATCCACGGACACCTTTCCTTTCTCCATCATACGCCCATTTGATCATGGAGTCCGTCCGTCGGCCGGATTATTATTATGATGATGATTATTATTATGATGGTGGTGGTAGTATCATCGCTCTCACACACTGAGTTACGCCAGCAGCCGATCTTTCTCGGGGTGGAACCAAGGTTGGCTCCGTCCTGGTTTTACCTGTCACAACGATCCAAGGCCCCATAAACGGCTGATCGTTGCCGCACGATCACACACCTGCGCTCGCCGCTGAGAACCTGATCTCATCTTCCAGCTTTCCCCCCCCTCTACCCCTCTACCCCCCCTCTATCCTCCCCCCATAGACCTGTAGATCCTGGCAAATGGCTGCCTAAGGTACCTATCCTCCCCTTGGGCTGGTTCCCTTTGGATCCCTCCCGGGACTTGTCCGTGATCCCAACCCCAACCCTGGCCCGGCATGGCTCAGATCACCGGTTTGAGGGGAGGGGGCTCCCAATCTCCCAAGATCTCAACCCTGGTTGGTCTTCCTTTCCATCTCCGTTCTTCCGGATTCTAGCGGTCGATTAAACATCCCTTTCTGGAAAACAATCGGGGTCACGGTATTGGCACCCGGAGATCTTTTGCTGGACTCTGGGACCAGCGTGCGTGGTCGGCAACACAGACCAGCACATAAGAATAGTATCTACACACTACACAATACACTACGACACCGGACGGAGGAGGTCTCCGTAGATAGTGTCCCATCCCCCTAGACTAGATCATGAGGCATGACTCGCTGGGTTGCTGGGATGGGAAATGTCTCCGTGATGACCATCCCTCGCGCGACCAAGCCCTTGGGGCCGGCTGACGGAGTCGCGGCACGATGCGCGGATGGCAGCTCCTGGTCGACGCGGTGCTAGCCAGACACAGGCTAGCCCCAGTCTCCAGGAAGGGAATCTCTGAACGATTTCCAGCCTGGCCTGTCTTCAGTCGGGGGGCCAAGGGATTTAGTGCGATGAGGGAGCCGGAGATTATCGTGGCGCTGACAGCCAACAAGAAGCCCAGAAGGAAAAAAAAGCCCAGGAAAAGCAAAGGATGCCGCTGACTAACCCCAAGTCAGCTAGTTCCATCCGGCCAGCAGCCTCACTCCATTCACATGATTATTCTTATGCTGTTTCTTCCGGAGTCGGGTGGTTACGATCGATCCTGCTGGCCGCCGCGATGCTAGTTCAAGGGTACAGTATCCGGAGATGAGAGGTCTGGAGATGTATGGACCATGTTTCTTTTTTCTGGGCAGTTTAGATTTGTTGGGCAGTGACTGGCCTTTGCAGTACGGAGAAACAACTGGCCAACGGGAGGGCCAGAAATAGCGATGGGGAATTGCATCGTCAATGCATCCTACTGGCAAGTGCATGCATGCGATATCTGACTGGCCCAGGCTCTCCCTAAGGGCAGGAAAAACTCCCCTGATTGATCACCCATGCTGCGGATGCTGCAGATTGCATGCAGTACGGCTCTGGATATTGTGACTGGTCAGTGACGTCGACCCAGGGCGTTTGCTGGAGATGGTGCCTAAGGACAAAGTGACAATTGACTTTGTCTGAAAACCGGATACTGCCTGCTCCCAGCGCTTTTGCTTCTTCCTCCTCCTCCTCCTCCTCCTCCTCCTCCTCCTCCTCCACCACCACATACGGGCCGCATCAGTAGTGGACACACACTGCAGGGCGCATCATCGTCATCATCATCATCCGCCGCCGCCGTCGCCGCCAGCGCTGATGGGCAAGTCACCACCGAAGTCAACTGCCGAGAGGGAAGTCAAAGAAGGCGCACTAAGCTTGGGATACCCTGCCAATTTCCTTTCCATTAGGATCGACCGTCAGATCATGGGTCCTTGACGGCTGATGTGAAACTAAAAAGCTTCCATAGACGAGGCGAGACGAGAGTTTGATTCTCGGGCGGTCCTCGTAGGCTTGGAGCCGGGTTCCTGTGCACGAGACGAGATGCCTCGGCCGGGAGTGGCACACGAAGCCCGAAAGGGTTATGGAGACGACCTAGTTGGTGATCATCAGTGCATTTCCAGTGTGCATTGGGGAGATCCGAGATCAGTCATCAGTCCTCCATCCGTCGGAAGCGACTCATCCGAATTTGAGCATAAATGGGGTTTCACAGCCTCGTGGGGGATGCTGTAGGTACGGTGGTGTCTGTTTTTAATTTTGAGGCCTCTGACAAACTTCACGCCTTTCTGCTTTCGCCGTGTGTTGAGTTTTGCTTTTTGATGGTCTACAATACTAGTCTGAATAATAATGCCAGGCTCTTTGTTATTCTTCCGAGACGATCGGCAGAATAGCGGCGGGACACACCGCCCAGCCGATTACCGGAAGCGTGCCTGACCTTGCCGAAATTGAACAAAATTGCCAAAATAGTCAAAATGGTCAAAATTGCCAACGCGAGCTGGCCGTAGCCGAAAGCGGTAATGCGCCCGGGGGAAAACCAGCCTAACAATGGATGATCAACCTGCCAGACTTGCCAGTGCCAACTGTCGGCGACGCCGGATTACATCATCCTTAGTCAATTTGCCCACGCTCTCCAAGACATCGGGTGCTGCAAGATAAATTAAATGATCGGCTGGCAACTGGGACGGACTCGGTCGTAGTAACGTAACTCGCAACGGGATCCCTACCCTAGTCCACTGGGGGCATCAGTTCTCCTCCAAGGAGAAAGCTGAAAGGTCCAGGAGGGCCACCGCGTAGGCGCCAATAATCAAACTTGACCCAATTCCATGTGCGATTCCCCAGTGGTCCCAAACTTTAATAAACGAGACGGCTAAGATGTCTCGTGGAAGCGAAGCTCTCCATCTTAAACCCCTCCCCCTCCTCCACCAATCAGAGGGGCCCTAGGCCCCCTCTCCCGTCGGCTCCTGCGCAGAAGGATGAGCCCTGTGGCCTTGGTCTTAGTCACTGGCGTGGCTGGTCAGCATCCTGGCCATGTAGCCTATTTCTATTAGATTGCCTCCCATAGCATATTAGATTGCCTGGTCACTGTCCGGTCCAGGCAGCTGGGTTTTCGCCACGGTCCCAGGTTCACATGGCCACATCTCCCATGGATTCGCGCGGCTCTAGTAGTTCCAGATTGCGAACCCTAGTATCATCTAGACACCATCTAATCTCAGTCGATAGTTCCTGCGCATCCATTCCACGGTCGAAGCTGTAGGCACTAGACCTTGTAGATGGGCAGTGCTTCGGAACAAACTGGAACTGTCTCTGATTCTGACTCGAGAGGGATTGGTGTTGCGTGTTCCAAACTGCCGAGTCTTGCCCGGCGACGACGAGGAGGAGGAACAACAACAGCCCAACGCAACCTTTGAGACATTCCCCCGCCATGGCCACCGATTGAGTTTCAGCTAATCCGATGGAAAGCTCATCATGAAACCCAGGAAGGTACGATGGCAGCGACTTTACACCATCAAGCCAGCAACTTTAGAGTCACTTAGGTAATAATGGGAGCTTTTGACGGGACCCTCGCCGATACATGGTAGCTAATTGGTATACGAGAGGGGTACTATGCCACGGCCATGACTCGATCCACTCCCTCGGAAGTACCGCGAGACAGGACGGCGATCACCCCTCGGAAGGTGCGGATCAGGCATTTTGCGTGGGAGGTTCCAGAACGACCCCGAACCGACCCGGGAAACAAAGAGTGGGCGAGCATACGTGTTGCACTGTTGAGGTCTTGACCTGCCCTGGACCAGATGTTTTGATCACCTAAGGGATGGTTTGGCTTCAAAGCATGGACTCCATATTATGGGGGCGCATACGACAGCCAGCTAGTCCGGATGGGATGATGATCGATGAGTGTCGGCAGTGGCAACTGCATCACATCTCGGGGGGATGGTACATAGTAGATAGCCTTCGCGTAGGCGCGCGCTGTCGGGAAAATCGCCCGAGCTTAGAAGAGCACATCATAGCCGGAAAGGGAGATTTCGACGAACGAAACCCCTGTTTGTGCTGGGAATGGAGGAGGTTAAGGTTGATTCCATCCGACGGTAACTGGGGAGGAGGGGGGCGCCTGGGGAAAATGGTCGGTCGCATTCTTGAGTTACAGTGCAGGCTGTGCAGCCCGCCAATGTCTTGTTGTGGTGGTGTCGCATTCTTTGACTTCACAAGCTGGATGGATGCATACACTTCGTTTGTTTTTACTTTTTCGAGGGGGCTTCCACGACGTGGTGATAGACTGACTTCCTGCGCCCAAAAAATTAGTTTTGATGGGCTTCGTATAGGTACAACAGGAAAGTATGATTAAACAAGTGTTCATGCAGACCAAGGGATGTCATAAAAATAATACTAATTATAATAATGATAATAAATCATGATCATATCGTACTTGTCGAGTCGATAGTATGGGAATGGAATAATAATGAATTCCTGGCGGTCGCCCCCTAGCGTTCATAAGACATAATGCCGGCGGGGGATAAATAGTCTGAGTAATAGTGCAACCAACCCAGCCAGTAAGCAAAGTAAGCAAATAAAGCAACCCAGGCAGGGCGACCCAGCGGTCCAGCTCGGCAAAGCAATGTGCCGACATGGACGACGGGGAGATTCCGAGATAAACTCTCGAATCTTGATAAAGATTGACAATGATGCGCGCGCCGATCATCCAACGCTCTCCAACGCTCCAGCTTTGACCGCCCCAATAGTCGTCGGGCATCCTACCGCAAGTCGCTTAGTCGCGGGTATCAACAAGAATCGGGGCTCCCCCCTGGACCACATTCGATATTAATAATAAGTGAATAATAATAGCATCCGGCCGGAGCATGCCGTCGGAGTCGGACACTGAATGAATCTCTGATTATTAGGATCAGGTACTATGGGTATGATTGTTCTCGAAACTATTGATTCCGAATAGGGTTGTGTCGGAGCCTATGCCATTCCTGACCCACCGGTTGCTATTTCGGTTTCTTATCTCCTGCCGATACTATGTACTACTACTACCACTACTGTGTATAGTCCTCCGTCCATTCCACCGAGTCGTCATGGTTTGCCTTCTCGCGGGATGGATACGTAACCTACACCGACGTGCCAAACAACCATGGCATCAGAAAGTCAAGGTGCGCCTCGCATGTCGATCCATCTTGTCCCCCAGAAGCAAACATGGACAGGCGGCACCACCCGCCCAGCCACTAACCACCAACTCGTCTGTTTCATTTGTCGCGGTCGAGGTCACAGTTGCAGTGCCGAAGGATAGGCGGGCGGCAAGAGTGACGGTCGTCGATCAAACTAAGGAAACGAAACCTTGTGCCGGTTTCAACGAGCCACGAGTGGGAGGATCGTCATCTGTGCCTGAGGCTTCTTTTGCTGCTACTGCTGCTACTGCTGCTGCTGCTGACACTGTCATTCATTCATTCCTTGCGTTTTGCTTTTGGCTGGGCTTTCTTTTCTTTTCGTCGTATCTTCGTATTCATTACCCCCCGGTCGGGGTTGCACACGACAGGATGGCTGTGCTTGACCAAGACGGTTGATCGCCAGCATCTGCAGACCGGCTGCTTTGTGCCAACTTCCAAGACTCTGACGCATGGACGCCATCATGCAGGACCATCTCATCCCGCGCCCAGGAGAGCTATCTGGGAATCAGCCCATACACAGTACTGGGCCCAACCCCGGCCCCGCCGTCCTACATTCCACGTCGCCGCGCCGTCGCGCCGTCGGCCGTCCAGCGATCGCACTCCCCTGCTGAAAAAGGTAAGATCTAGAACCCGGCAGTTGATGGAGGTGACAGATGTCACTATTGGGGTCGCCAGAGCTTGTGATTGGAGAGGAAGCTACTTTCTCTCAAGCCGCCGGCACAACAACGGGTATCAACTTGTCTAGAACCAGCATCTTCCCCGAACGCCACGTTGGTTAGTCCAGGCGTCGAGCGCAGATCGTCATCAGGGAACTAAACTAGGGACGCCGTGGGTTCGTGGGGAACGAACAGTCGCAGACCAGGCAGCCAGGCAGCCAGGGGTCAATCGTGCCTCATGGCAGTGGGACAGGTCACGGAGTTAGAAAATAGACATACCGGACCCCGATCTGGAGATTTTGGATCGGAAAGAAGCGCCATTCTTTCTGTTTGCCTTTCCTTGTTGCTGACTTGCTGCAGGGTTGGCGCCTCATGAGTACGTATGTAGGGATTCGTGGGTGCGTGACTTTCAGGTGGGCGGGTGATGCTGGCGAGCTGGAAAGCCCTCGGCCGCGTTGGGCTTAGCCCGTCGGCCCCTGAACAAGATGCCGACCGACCGACCCCCTTTCGCTAAGAACTGCTGGAGCGGGCGTCGGACACTCCAAACCACATTGGGGCTAGAGGCGGTCCTAGCGGCCTCCCTGGAGTCTGGACCCTGGTCATTTCACGTGGCAGACGTCGGCTCCGCCTGCAGCTGCGGTCGGCCCTTCCCGAGTTTGGCACCAAAGCCGATGCACTATCGTGACGCTTGCTGATGACAAGCCGCTTGGTATCTTACTAGCGTGACGCCGTGCTCCGTACAGTCCCCATACGGTGTTACCGAGGATGCTTCTGCCGCTCACCAGTCAAAAAAGGTGGAATGATGTGTTTGAGTTAGAGTTAGCGGTTTTACCACGGCCAGGAGATATTTTCCTTTTGCTCTAGAGGCTGGATTGCGTACGCGCTGGGGGTGATTTTCACATGACAGTGACGCACCAAAGTCAAACGCAAAAGTGGCTGGGCGGCAGGCGGCGCAATCCGCCCGTCTGTAATTCTCGGGTACTTTTCATACCCATCTGTCGGGGCGATCATTTATACATAGCAACAATGGCACCCCAGCTGATTCGAGGCAGCGTCATGGCCCTGATCACTTGACGTGCTTTGCTTCTGAGGGAAAAAGCAACCGCATTGCACAGTACACTGTACAGACTACAGAGTGCAGTGAAGACAGACCACTGTGGACACCAACTGAACAGACGGTCAGCGTTGGAGACATGTGAACGGGTCCCTAGATCGTTGGTTCCCACCGATTAAATTAATACATCTGCCTAGTATAACTTATGAGGCCACTCGGGAGTGCTATGGGAGGCGAACCAACCCACGGTGGCCGAGTCATGGCATGCTTAGCCGAGTTTGAACCATCAGAATCCTGGTCAATATAGCGAGTCGGTCTGGGTAGTGGCACTGACTGACACATGGGGAGGAGACTTTCTTCGCCGTTGGAGACGTACCACCACCATACATGAGTTGGTTACTACGGCATGACTCGCATCCACCTCGTGTCGACCTTCCAAAACCTAACTGCCTACATGATACACCTACCTACATTATGACCTACATGCATTCATCCAGTACCTACCTACCTACCTACCTTCTCACCATCCTACCCACGTCGTAATCACTCAAAAGAGTAAGTGGGTGAGCAACGAACAGGCAGAACCTCGGTACATCTCACCCGTCACCCAAGCCTCACACACCGGAGATTAGACACCCGAGGGAATTCCCCACTTGTATAGACGGTCCCCACTACGCATCCGGACTCGGTCGGCGGCGGCGGGGCCCCCTGCCTGCCATGTCCATGCCATGCCATGCTCGGCTTTCCGCCCAGCTTCATTCATATTAACTCATAGGTACTAGATACCTAACTGCCATGCCATGCCATGGCTAGGGCTGGGTGGGCACGGCGCGTAGTGGGGCGAGCGCGTGGAAGCCCATCAGACCTCCTCCCCGGTACGAGGCTTGCGCAATATGGATGAGACTCTTGGGAGAAACTAGCCACAGTCCTGGGTTATATTGATTTGGGATGGAACTAGACTGTGTAAGGAGGAGAGACCGAGGAAAGGAGGAATCGGAGCTGAAGCTGGAGTTGTTGGAGATAGATGGTGGGATGTTTATTTTTGTGTGGTGGTGATGGAGGGAAGGGGAGTTCGGAGATGAGATCTGGTGGTGGTTGCGTTGGATGATTGAACTATAGGTTTGAGGGAGGGAGATATATTACTTGGAGGTTTGTTCGATGGGTTCTAGAACGGGTGGGAGAGGGAGATTATTGCCGAGGTTGATGCTTGTGCTTTTGCTTGTGCTTGTGCTTGTGTGAGTGGAATGAGTATATGGTTGTTTTTATGTAGTGTATAGGGTTGGAAGTGAAGTGGGTGTTGGTGTTCTTCTCAGCTTATGCTCTGAGCACGAGAGCAAATCCCCCTGTCAGAGACAAAGACTTTTTGCTCGATTGTTGTCGGTAGCAAGTCAACCAGAGTCAAAGCTTAGCTCGGTTCAAGATGCTTGTCATGGCCTCTTACTATTGTACGGATCGCTTTGGAACATAGCCTCAGCTACCGATCCTCGATCTTGTAGTCTCGGTGAAAGACTGCACTTCTTCCTTCTTCTTCCAAGTTCATCCTTCGTCGTCTAGCATATCAGGCGTACCTCGACCTCGTATTCAAAGCCCTTGTTCCTAGGATTCCCTCGCCTCCGTTGTGGCGAACAACAGTGGAACTTGCCCCATGCAGTATTTCTCTTCATTGGATAGTCAACTCGGCCACCGAGCCAGTCAGTGTGATTTACGGATTACGTGGTGGCACAAAGCCACGGGGCAATCTCTTGCCACCTGAGTCCGATGAGAAGGATTGAGGATCCTGAGGACTTCTTTTGAGGATTGCCAGGATCGACGAGTATTCCTGGGGGTATCAGTTTGGTTATGCGTAACAAAGCTTGATTATCTGGAATCATGTCATTGAATATGGAAGTATGGAAGTGTATCTCGTTTATATATACATCCTATATCGTAGTACGCAGCGTGTATATATCCAGATCCAACACTTTAGTTTCATTGAATGGATGGATGCAACGGGTTTGCTACATATGGAGATACATATAGCCAACCATTTTAGTCGATCAAGGAATGTCTACTCGATAAAAGAACCGAGATCTATCCTGATACTCGATGCTCAAAGTGAAGTGGTTTGGTCTCTGTGCGACTAGGACTAAGTACGCTATAAAATATATATCTCATCACTTAGCAAATACATAACATAACTGAGCTTCCTCCACCTAGGAATCAAAGCCAAACATGATATTCCCAAACTATTACTCTCTCCTTCACCTATCTCATTACCTACCGCCATCTACTACCATACATTACTCTCCAGTTAATAACACCCAGTACCTCTCTTCACATGCTACACCTACACATCCCATCACCCATCCAACAGTCACACCAACTCAAGCCTTAAAAATGGACCTACATGCATCAATCCCACAATACCATTCTCACTCCACCCAGTGACAGCCATCGAACACGTCAATCAAACCTAAATCCCAACGGCGGGAACATCTCATTGGTTTCCCCGAAATAACTTTTCTAGTTGCGGTCTTCGCGAATGCTGATTTGATGCTGGATGGGTAGGTACATATGGATCCACGTCGTGCATGTAGGAGTCTGGTGATATTACGGTAGCTGGTATCCTCTAGATGACATTGTAGCCATAACTACGTTGTGCCGTGAGTAGATAGACCAACTAAAAGAAGATGGTATAGATTGTAAAGACATACCGAGGTATCTCAACAGCACGTGCATACATCTACCTATCCATCTAATATACATCTGGTTAGTTCGTATGAGCTACAAAGACCGAAAAGGATGAGGATACAATCTATCTGGTTCTTTGTCTGCAACATAGATACTCCGTAGGATGTACAACTAACTACCTACTATAGGCTGTCTTTTCCGATCAGCCTGACTAACTTACTCCATACTCCGTAAAGCCACCCACGTGTATTCCATATAGCCTGGACCATGGTTAGTAAGATTGCATCCTGTTCCTTCTTCCTCCATCCTCCATCCTCCATCCTTCTTCCTTTCATCCTGATACCTTTCCAGAAAATTCCATCTTATGCTCTCCAAGCCACCCTCTAACCCCCAAAACAAAAGAAACCCAACCAACCTACACAGTATACCCCAACCAACAACATCCTACCTAACAGATACCTCTCTATAATCCTCCACCCCAAATACACCCAACCCCCAAAAAAAAACAAAAGAGAAAAAGAAAATACACCCCAATACCACCCCAACCCCACTCCCATCCAGATCTCCGGCGTGGCAGGCCCAAACCATTCCTGAGGGAGTCTAGTCCCGCCCCTAGAAGACCCAGAACCACACCAGAACAAGTGCTATGGCCGCGCGCTAAGGCCATTAGTGTTGGAGATAAGTGGGGCTACCGTACCGTAGTCCGTATTGTTGTATGGTTGCCGAAGGATCGACAGTGTCAATTTATTGCTCTCTTTCTTTCTTTTTTTTTCCTTAATGGGTGGTGTTATGCGTCGGGGGTTGTTGGATGGGATTTGGGAACTCGGGGTCTGATTATTGTGGTTTTGTATCAGATTTTTTTTATCTACTGATAAATGGATTGATGGGATGGCTCAATTATGAGAAGAGAGGGAGGGTAATGATGCAAGCATGTTCGGAATGTCACCGAAGTGGTTCGGTTCCGTGGGTTGGGATGGGGATCGGAAGGGAATGAACTTAGTTGGACTTGGGGAGTTGGTTAGTAGTGCAGCATTAGGTACTACTATCTACTCTTACTCATAGTAGTAGTAGTAATGAGTATGTGTCTAGGGACCGTTAGACGTATACTGACTATATTTACATGAATCTCATACTACTATCATAAACAACCCCCTCCACTCCATGCCTACTGCCTAGATATGTACCTGTCTACAAAACCCACCCACCCACCCACCAACAAACAATGCCCGCCCTACTGTACTATCTGACCCATCACCAACCCAATCTCCCCCCAGGCAGGCACAGCACGCCTTAAGCGCCATGATATCATCCAACACATCACACATCACAAGACTCCAGTACCGGATGTCATCTGACAATCGCCTTCATCCAATAACATCCCCGACAACAGCGCGCGCCTGCAGAACCTCACCATAATAGATAGATGGGATTACACGGGCGGGCCAGCGCCAAATGACTCATGGTTAGTCTGGATGCAGTTGGTTTCAGCCTCTTTTTGTATTCATTTATTTTCAATTTTTGGGGGGGGAGGGGGGTTTGACCGCTGGTTTACCGTTTTTTTGGGGCCTGCAGATGCGGATTGTGATTGCTTGCTATGCTTATGTACCTATTTGCTAGTATGGAGGCGATGATTTAGTAGCCGGGCGATCTTTGGACCCCGCAGATGGGGATGAATGGCTGGCTGGCTGGAGGTGATAGATGGATTGGATTGGATTGGATTGGTGTGGATTGGATTGGTGTGGAGTAGACTCCGTAGACTTACTCTGGAGATGATACTATGGGTGGATTGTTACTTGTTAGATGTAGGTACGACCTACTTGGACAACAGCGCAGGTACACACACGGCTATAATCGGTTATTTCTGGTTACTGTTTCTCTGCATGAAATCACGCTGTCCTTGATCGACCGGGTTTCCTGCATTGGTTCAGGGTCCGTGTTGCCTAATTGTCGGATAGATAGAAGGCATACATACTCTGTACGGAGTACAGGTACAGACTACACATGACAGACAGTCACGATAGTAACGGTGTCATCACCGCTCAACACCGAGCCATGATTGCTTACGCGCGTCTCTGCTCCAGGTCAGCCCGTGCCTGATAGTGCCGGAGCAGTGTACCAAGATGGACAACAATCTATCTATCGGCCCCGATGATGGAATGCTCGGCTCCGCCGTTTCCCCCCCCTCCTCCTCCTCCCCTCGTGCTGAATCCTTCGCTTATCGATCGATGGGCTTGGGGGCCGTTGGGACTTGGATAACCTTGTCTTGATGGCCCTCTTGGAGTCCCCGTGTGGCAATTCGATGCTATACTAGGAGGTGTGGACTATCCCAAAGAGGGAATTCATTTGCCATACTATGTAGTAAACAGAATAGTGGTCCATCCTAGACGAAACTTGGACCCGGGAATCCGGGAATCACTCCAGTCCAGTCCCAGGGAATGGGATCCAGGTGGCGCCATGGTGGTCATCGTGAAACCCCTGGGAGGGGTTTGGCTGGTTCGAAGGAACGGAGGAAGGGATTAGGGCTTTCACAACGTAGCCGATCAGCATGCCACGACAGATCATCCGCCGTCAGCGCGACATGATGGCTTGGATTGGAAACCTGGAGGTTGGTTTGGAGGGTGGAGGGAGGCGGGTGGCCACGTTTGCTTGGATACTACTGTGGCAGTGAGTGGCCTCATGATTATTGATGATTTGAGGATTGAATGATTTACCATACAGAAGAGCTAACGTTGGCGTGGTGGATGGATGATGAGGATGGATCACTCTGACTCCTGATCCATCCTATCATCCTCCGGGGAGGGAGTACTGTGTATCTACACCGTATCCCGAGTGGGAGGATGGATGAGGCCTCCACTTGGTTTGGGCCCTGGCTCTCCGGCGTCTCCGTCTATTACATACTATCTAGGTATAGTACGGAGTACATAGTATTGTTTCCAATTCAAGGGGGTCTTTGTCTCTTGTCTGTTGTTTCTTTGTCAGTGAACCATGAAATCATGCAAATGAAATCATCATACTGGAAAAAACTGGCAGCAAGTTCAACGGCGCGCTCAGCTCGCCGAATAATGCACCAATCAGTGAGATATCCCCGCACACCCGATCGAGGCCATGGCCATGTCGATCGACTTCCATACAACAATTATACATAGTAGTAGTAGTAGTAGTACTGATGGTCGTGGCAAATAAAAAAAAAAAAAAAAAAAAAAAAAAAACCACATGCGGGTTGGAATGGACGCATCTGCAATCCTCCTGCAGACCCTCAAACTTTGCACCTCGCACTTCGCACTTCTGGCCTCCCATCGCTTGACGCCCAACCTACTACTTACTCATGCAAGCTGCAACCAAATGGACAGGATCGGAACCCTGATGACGACCGATTGGCAGGGAAAACCCCCGATCCGCCACGGAAATGCCCGACCGTCGAAAAGCACCAGGAGAAAAAAGAAGGGCTCGGATCACCAATCAGTCCGGCCGATCCTCTTTGCCATGATTCCATCTCGCGTTGGTCGATTTTCCACCTGCAGCTTCGTCGCTGAATGGTCACTTCGGCTGCGCTTGGGGCCTTAGTTTATCTAGTACCTACTGTTTAACTCTTACCATACATAGCCTGTCTGTCTCTGCCTATAGGACATAGGTAAATAGCCCATAGTAATGTAATGCACCGTCAGTCATCATCATCATCCCTCCCCCGAGTCCCGCCCCAGGCCAAATCCCATCCATACATCCATCCATCCATACATCCAAGTATTAAGTATACGGGGTCCAACCACACCCTCCTTCCCCCAACCAGTCACAAAACCACGCAAGGACCCATCCAACCTGCGTGGGATGCGGGAGATCACGATGATCTCCCTCTTGCCATGCAGCTTGTGTTCACCGAGAATCCTTCCGTCCGTTTTTTTTTTTTTTTTTACACACCCCGTCCTCCATCCCGGCATTCCAAATGCCGCAGGGAAAAAAAAAAGGAACTGCACTGGGATGACTGGACCATCCACACAGGTTTTTGCAAGTGCCGAATCAAGTACACATCCCATATGCAAATCCCGTCACATTTTTTGGAGGTCTTTTACCGAGAGTTATAGCATCGCGTCTTATACCTAGATGCCTTGGATTGCCAATAACTAAGTAGGTACTGTGTGAATATGGGGGCGGTTCGGAGATGTGATTGACTGCCTCTACACTTGCGTCTTGGATGGGTAGGTAGGTAGGTAGATAGGTAGTAGGATCTATGTTTGGCGCCAACCCCCAGATAAAAAAAAAGAAAAGAAACCGGGCTTAGAAAAATCCTCGAATGACAATTACTCATCTACCTCAGTCCAGAAGAGTCTGTCTGCTACTACTAAGGTGCCTGCCTACTAGTAGTAGGTACAAGGTGTATCCCAGTCCATCGGGTCCGGTCCGCGGTTTGTTCAATCACTGGGGCAGTCGGGATTGAAACCCCTCTCCTCTCCTCTTCTTACACATACACACATACACATACATGATATGTATGTAAGTTTTCAGAATCAATCACGTCTATCTCTCCACCCTCTCATTTCCCATTCTTACTTTTTTTTTTTTTTTTTTTCTTTCTGTAATTCTCGCATTACAATCTGGACCAATCCAACCCCGTACGTAACCCCCCCGTAACTTTTGGTAAAAGTAAAAATGGCAGAGCACAGACATCTAGCCTCGAAGTTTGTAACCTGTCTGGCACTAAGGAACTTTGGATGGAGTCTTTCCCGGACTTGGTAGGTGATGCTGCGGCTCGGTGGCAGTGGCAGTGGCAGTGGTAATGGTGGGTTTGTGTACCGGGCCCAATGTACTGGTGGCGTGGTGTGACAGGGAGGATTGACATCCTGGTTATGTATCTACCCACGCGCTGGGTCGGGGGCTTGTCTGGCGGGTGGATGGATGGACGGACGGATGGTACCGTACCATGCTGTGCACCGCGGTCTCCCCCTAGTACCTAGTGACTAGTATGTGTCTAGACGAACGGCGCATAACTTTATTTGAGATTGTCGGGTGGTGAAATGAGAGGATGGAGGGGTGGTATTCCTAGTTGCCTTGTCTAGGAGGATAGGTTGCGTGGTGTGATGTTTGCTTGGATGGTAGCTGGGGATAGGGGCGGTGGTCTCTCAATGCAGGCACCCGGTAGCAGCGTTTGCGTGAGAATTGTTCATATTGATTCAAGGCGAAATAGACTGTTAGTCATGTCCGTAGGTCTAACATGGCTGTTCACCCTATCTGTATATACTCCGTAGTCCAATGATATATATCCTGTATGTCGTCAATCGTCAACGCGCCTAGCCAGCCAAGCTCTAGGCATCCAGATTCAAGTTCTCAAGAATCCGGTCCAGCTTGTCCATCAGGATCTGGTAGTTCAGCGCATCTTGGTCAAACTCGTCAACCACGATTTCGCCGTCCAAGGTTCGGATGACCGCCTGCTCCGGTCCCTTCGAAGCTGCCTGCCCTGACGGCACAGAGCTTTCGGTCGAAAGCTGCATCGTCTCCACTCCCTCCGTGACCGTGTCAACATCGCTGTTGGCCTCGACACCAGCAGCCGGCTGCGTGGCATCCTCCATCATTTCCTCGATACCGGCATCGTCAAACCGCAGCCTGAACCGCTCACCCAGGTAGAACCGGATATCATCCAGCAGCTCAATCGAGTCAGTCTCCTGTCTGGATTTAATCCGAGACGCCGACTCTTGGATCAGCTCAGCAAATTCCGACGAGTCGATGTGAGCCTCCAGCCGATATGCAAGGTATCGAGCAGCAAACTCCTCCAGTCGTTGCACGCGTGTCAACCATGCAGCCCGGATGATCGCGTAAATGTCCAAGTCATCTTCTTCCTTGGTGCCGCGGGTCCTTGCAGCTTCCGCCTGCGACATGTTGCCACTGCCGAGTGTGCTGATCACAATGGCCGCCTTCGTCTTGAGCTTTTCGATAAACAGCATATCCGACGCGAAGAGAACATCGACCGCAATGTCGAGCGGGAAATCGGCCCGCTCCGTATAAAGGAAGGTGAGCACGATCTCCAGAACGTCCGGGGAACAGTCCACATTGATAACGTTCAGATGGTCCTTCATGTGGGCTTCACGGAACGAGGAGGAAAACATGGTTTGGAAGAACTCCGACCGCAGAAGCATCGCTCGATGGCAAGGGAAGAGTATTGACATCGGTTCACGCTGGTCGCCAGAATCGGTCCCGTCAGCCTGCTCAGCCTCGACGTCTTCCGGGAGTTCGTCCGCCTGAAGCAAAACGTCTGCGAATATTGCATTGTCCCTGTCCCACTTGACTTCATCGGCCTTCGAGGTCTCCACCATCACCTTATGCTTGAGCACATTCGCTCGGAACCACTGCTCCAATTGGTCTCTGCCCTTGGCAACTTCCATCGTGCGCCTTTGTCTGGCGAGCCTCCTATCCCCGCTGTCAAGGATACTGTCCACGAGAGTGTTGATTTCCAGATGCTTGGCGATTTTATCGATGCCCGCGAACACTTCTGACTCAGTAAATCCAGTGCCAGGTCCGCTCCGCAGATCGCGAGGGGCTTCTCCAAAGTACAAATATTTGATTGCGGTCCCAAACGCCTCGGGAGGAATTGTGTTGGGAAGCCGCCATGTTGACGTCTCCGGGGCAGGTTCCAGTTTGCTGCGGAAGTACGGCGACCGTGCAGCCAAAATGAACTTGTGGAGATACAGGGACTCATCAGACGCCGTAACAACAATGTCCTCGGTCCTCGGGTTTTCACGAGTAAGCAGTGAGGTTATATGCGCTGCAAGAGGCTGGAGCGGATCCGTTGATTTCGAATAATCGTACTCTAGTAGCAGGTTCCGTATACGGTCGTTCAATGCATTATATAAACACCTATGATCACCCATCAGTGAGTAAACGCATTAAGATAATGCATGAGCAATTGGAGTGATGGCATACCTCTCACCCTGGAATGTGTCACGCTCACATAAAGCACCAGACTCGAGCAGCAGCTGCACCACTTCGTAATGACCACAGAGACTCGCCTGTTGTTGAACCCCCAGTCACCAATGCAGCCCAACACCACGCTTTCCACAATGGGACACTTACCAGAATCAAGGGGGTGTAGTCATAGGGATCACGGGCGTTAATATTGACTCCTTCTGTGATCTTCTCTTGACAAACTTTGAGATCCCCCTTACGACAGGCATTGCAGAGCTCGCGGAACGGCTCACTCAGGTCCAGGGGGTTGTCATCTTTGATTGCCCCCTCCTTGATGAGCTTCTTCTCATTGTGCAAGCTGACCTCGAGCTGGTCCTTCCGGAGGACCTTCGGTTCTTCAATCATTCTGAGGGTGCTGTAAATGTCCTGAGGCAAACGTTGACAGAAGCCGGAAGTCCGAATGGCGGGACCACCGCCGATGCCATCCGCTTATCGATAAGCTGAGATCACGTGGGGCTGAGCTTGCCACGCCAGGAAAGGAGCCTCCCTTGGAGAGGGGACCAAACATCATCGTCCATCAAATAATCTCACTCCTTGCAGATCCATCATCAAGCATCGGACTCGGGTTTTCACGGACGGTGCCTGTCTGACACCCCATGCAGGCTCAGCCATGCATCCCAGTGAAGCGATTGCACCAACCATCCAGTTATCCGGTAGAGGAGTGATGCAACCCCTGCTCACCGCCTACACTCCGACCGCCTGCTGCATGCAGGAAAGGGCTATGGCAAGATGCGTTGCTCAGCAACAGTGCCGCACCTAAACATCCAGCGCTTCCATCCTCTTGCATGCCTACATTCTTGAAATCTACAACTCAACTACATGTGCCACTCCACCACCGTCGTCTACTAACCCAGCAGGTCTCCGCCACACAGCCTCGGTCCATAAATGCAATAGCCTACTCCTCATATCCTCTTCTCTCATCTCCTTCATTCTTTACCTCCATCCTTTACCTCGTCAGTGGCCGACTCATCCAACAGCCACAATGGCAATTGCATTGGCGGAGGCAGACAAGTATGAGGTGCTAGAGAAGATTGGTAATACATGTTTTCCTGGATAACTATCTTCTGCCATCACCCTTCAGGCTAACCAACCATGCGCAGGTTGCGGTTCCTTCGGGATTATTCGCAAAGTTCGACGAAAGGCAGATGGCTTCGTAAGATTGGGAACCCCTTTTGCATCACGAAGTCATGCTTATGACCATGATCATATAGATATTATGTCGGAAGGAAATCAACTACATCAAGATGTCCCAGAAGGAAAGAGAGCAACTCACAGCCGAGTTCAATATCCTGAGCTCCCTCCGACACCCGAACATCGTCGCCTACTACCATCGTGAACACCTCAAGGCTAGCCAGGACTTGTATCTCTACATGGAGTACTGCGGTGGTGGCGACTTGAGCATGGTCATCAAGAATCTGAAGAAGACGAACAAATACGCCGAAGAGGAGTTCGTCTGGCGCATCTTGTCACAGTTGGTGACAGCTTTGTACCGTTGTCACTATGGTGCGGATGCGGTTGATGTTGGGTCAAACATACTTGGACCTGCACCCAAGGCATCTGGGCTCAAAGGGAAACAAGCACAGATGACCATCCTTCACCGTGACCTCAAGCCCGAGAATATCTTCCTCGGCAGCGACAACACCGTCAAACTCGGCGACTTCGGCCTCTCGAAACTGATGAACTCCCACGATTTCGCCTCGACTTATGTTGGTACTCCATTCTACATGTCCCCCGAGATATGCGCAGCGGAGAAGTACACCTTGCGCTCCGACATCTGGGCCGTCGGCTGCATCATGTACGAACTTTGTCAGCGGGAGCCGCCCTTCAATGCTAGGACCCATATTCAACTCGTGCAAAGAATTCGCGAAGGGAAATTCGCTCCTTTGCCCGACTTCTATTCGCCTGAGCTCAAGAATGTCATCGCAAACTGCCTGCGTGTTAACCCGGACCACCGTCCGGATACTGCTGCTTTGATCAACTTGCCTATCATTCGCTTGATGCGCAAGGAGAAGGAGGTTACCGACCTGACCAAGTCTCTTCGCAAGCGTGAAGAAAACACCTTGGCCAAGGCTCGTGATGTCGAGCAAGCGTACGCGAAGCTCGAAAAGGAGAAGCAGCTAATGAAAACCGAGATTGAGAACACCGTGCGCCGCGAGTGGGAGGTGAAAGCCAGACTGGAAATTGATCGCCAGGTGCAGAATGAGCTAGAGAAGCTCCGCAAGAGATTTGAGTATGAGGTCCAGGACCGGGTTGCGCTGGAGCTTGAGAAGCAAAAACGAAGTGCCAACCTCCGGGAGGACTCTGGTTCACGGTCAAGCAGCGATGACTCTCGGCTCTCAATGAGCAACGACGACACTGATCAGCCTTCCAGCACCGACATCAGTCAGCTGTCACTAGAATCACCTGCAGCAAGCAAGGCGCCACGGAAGGATGCCACCCGAACCCCCTTCAACCGTTCGAAAACCGTGGTCGAGTCGCCTATGGATGTTCAGATGGCCGAGCCCTCCCCGATTTCGATTGCATCACTTTCGCTGTCCCCTCGTCGTACCTCGGGGACTCATTCCGGAAAGAACATCTTCGCGGAGGCAGAAAAACACCGGTCAAAGTGGGAGCCGACCCTGGCTTACTCCGACGACGAAGATGACATCCCTGACTTGCCTTCCCCCACTCGCCCCAAGGTCAAGCCCGACCCCTTCAAGGCGCCGCCTAGGCCACTTCTCCGCCAGAACACGGCTGCCTTCATGCAAAAACTGAGCACCCAACCCCCGATCTTCCCCACCAACGGATCGAGACTGCCCCAGATGTCAGTGGGTGATCATCCGAGGGATGCCAAGTCTCGTTCGCCTCACCGACGTTTGTCCAAGATCCAGTCATCAGCAAACCTGGCTGCCGACGCTGGCTCGCCCACCCGCAAGACAGGCATCAAGCAGCTCGCCTCGAAGGCAAACGGCGGTGGAGAGGAAATGTACAAGGCTGTGATGCAACGCAATATGGGTGGTCGGACCTTGGTCGAGTTAGCACAGGCGCGTGCCGGTGGCCGTCCTATTGACGAGGTCAAGCGGTGTTCCAGTGACTCTCGTACAAGTTTGAAACAGACCGAGCGAGAACCTCCAGCGGTGTGGGATCCCGAGAGAGACGATATGCCCAGTCCCTTCTTGGCCCGCGGCAGAAAGGTTATCCGCAACCTGAGGTAACCCAGACCATCCTCCTCTCCTGTCTGACCTTTGTATCATGCCACTATCCCTCATACACCCCGCGGCTGCGGGCATCTTTCGCTGGTTGATCCGCGGAAGTAGCTGCAGCAGGCTTTTGGGTACTTCCGATTGACGACTCAACATATCTATTAATAGTCGAAACATATTTTGGAGTTACGGCTGGGTGGTTCGATTTTAAGACCAACGTTGGCCATGCCAGTCATGGGACTTGGATGCATTTTATTGCGCCGCATCGTCGTTAATCTTCTCTCTTCGAGACCCTCTCTTTCTTTTGTTCTCTAATGTCGTGATGCCCTTGTTGTTTGCTTTTACTTCTCTTCCGTTAAACTGTACAGATATTGCATTTGATATCTCCTGCTTGGATTACTCACTGCTGCCGCTTACCTTGAGTACTTACTCCGGAGCACTTTGATACTACTTGGATGATTTGCGCCTTTTGACATGGCCTTTGCCTAAATATCCCTTGCCACACTCGTTTGAAAGCCACATTTCCTTCCCCGTTCGATGGTGTTTTACGGTTGGTGTTCATTTGGTGACTCCTGGGCTACATGTGGAATAGGAAGGGTTCACGTGTACTTGTTTGTACATACCGATTTTGATTTTTCTACAATGGCAGACTCTGGTCTTTGCTATCTCATTCCAAATCTTTCACATTCGTGCATATCCCCGAGGCGGACTCGTGACTAAATATGGATGGTTTGGAAATTCTACCGTGGACGGATGGTATTAAAATGGAAACCCCGATTTGTGCTACATTGTTCTGAGGCCGCCTCGTAAGAATCATGCTTCCTCATCTTCGACTTCTTCGATCTGGACAGACCGAAGCTCATGGTTGAACCGCCGCTCCTCCTCTTCCAATAATCTTTGAGCTTCCTCATCGCCAGCTGTACCAAGGGATTCTTTCCACTCAGCTTCGGCAGGTCCGGCGTTATACCCTGCTTTTTCTAACCGGTCCATCTCCTCCGGTTCCAGGAGCTTGCCTTGCCCACGTATGGATTCTTGTTTGGCCCTGACGGCTGCAGGAACAAACTTGCTGATAGCCTCTTGCCGGAGATTCCTGATTTCCGGCTTGGCCTCGTACACGGTCTTCGACTCCACGACGGGCGGCCTCGACGGAAGAGGGTGCGGGCCCCGAGCCCCCGCAGCCTGATGGCTGTCTGGTCCCTTCCGGGGCTGTCGCGGGGTAGGCGGAGGCGTATCCCTCGGCATGGGTATCCTTCTCACCTCCTCATCTGTCTCGTCGCTACTCTCACTATCCTGCCCGAATCGGCCGCCGCCATCTCGCCTTCGCTTGCCCAGGACTGCAGCATCCCCGCGCCCACGCTGACCGCCGCCCTGTCTAGACTCGAAGCTTCCGAACTTGGGTGCCTTATCGCCCAACGCCTCTCTGGCCTTCTGCACGGCACGCAGCTCACGCTCGAAAGCTTCCAGAAGCTCCTTCTCGCGGGGTCGTAGTTTCTGCCCGGATTCCTCGAGGGATTTGAGGTCATTGATCTGTCGTTGGATGCGCTCCGGGTTGCGACGGGCTAGTTTCTCATTCCGACGGGCCTGCGCCTCTGCCTTGCCTTTTTTGAGACTCTTTTGTTTGTCTAGTTTCCGTTGTGCCGCGGCGGGGTTTAGGCTGCGTTCCTTGTCCTTGGGCATGGTGTAGGTTATGAGGCGTTCCGTATGGGTGTGAGGTGGATATGATATCGATTACTCGGGGATTTTATTCGGTCTGCTGGGGCAACTATGTGGGGACTGGATATATTACTTGTCAGCCAGTCTCATTCCACCTCCGATATCAACAGGATGCTAATATATCTTGGAATTCCGGCGTGGGAGGGGCAGGGTATGACGAGCTCGGGGTGGTGCATGGCCATCACAAAGCTCCTGCAGCGCACTAGACGATGAAGAGGAGAATGGAGAATTGCTTACAGGCTGATAGCTAAACAAGCTGCATGAGAAGCCACCCACGGGCGCAGCGGATTCGCGAAGCCGGCTGTAGCTGCGGAACCTTGGCCAAGACCAATAATATGGAGGTCACGACGACCTAGGGCGCAAGGCTCTAGCCTCACGGGTTGGGCAGCGCAATGGTACTTCTCTGTCGAATAACGAGGAGGCCTGGTCCGCCTGAGTCTGGGGGGCCGTGGATGACTGGCGTCTTCGATGGCGGTTGAAGAAGCGCTTGGTGCGGCAATTCGGGGATGCTGGTTGGCGACGTTCTTTTGTCAGCTGCTCGGATGGGAGGTACAGATGGGGCTGGGGGAAGAATTGATTGGAGAACGAGAGTCGCCTGGGCTGGAGGATCTGGGAGGATGTATGGAGAAGAGAACAGAGTGATTGGGTGGTGGGAAAGAAGAATGCTGGGGAGGCAGAAGAGCGTCGGAGAAGACGCGATCAAGTCGAAATTGCGGGCGGAGAGGATGCTGGGCTCGTTTGGGTAGTTCCGCGGGCAGTCACGCTCCCTCCAGACGGGCCTTCGTCCAACAATCTTATGATCCATCTTGATTGGAGTCCTCAAGTCTATCCGGTATTCACCGTCCATGGCATTCTTTCAATTGTAGGTGGCCAGGATCCCATCAGCCAACGACCCGCGTCCGCCAGGATATTGTCGGTATAGACCACCTCCGGCCTGAATAGTCTCTCCTCTCCCACCACGCACGACCTCCAGAAGACACACAAACCATCACATTGAGGCACGGTGCAAAAAGAAATCCCCCCCACGACCTGCTTTGCTTGTTTCTCCAGGAAATGGCAAGCCTCTCCTGATCTTATCATCAGCTCATTGCTTCTTCTGCTCTCCGTGTTTCTTCCCCTCCGACGGGGTTCCTTCACCACCAGATATCTACAACGACATCTGCCGCTTCGCATTCGCCTCGACCTCCTCGCTGCCTTCTCCTCGTTTCCCCTCCGCTCTCCAGCCGTCTTCCGAGGCTGACCCCTGATCCGCCTGCCTTGGATTCCTCGTGCCAGACTCCCTTCTGAGGGATCGGATCGATACCATCGTCGCCGTCAGTGTAACCCCGACCGACTCACGGGGGCCGCTTTCTTCATTCCTTTTTCTCTGCCGCCAACTATCCAATCGTCGAGCCTCGTCCCCTCTCTGGCCTTCCTCATCTGGCTTCCAATGATACCTTAATTCGCTCAAGGGGATTTGCATCCATTTCGGGGAACTGACAGACTCCGCCATTGACCGGATCTCGACTTAGTTCCCCCCCTCCATCCCACGGGGGGTGTCTATCCTTGACTGTTTCCCCCCCTACTAATACATCTCTCTCCTTCCCTCTTTCTGTCTGGTTTCTCTTATACTCCCTCTCTCAGACGCTCGCTCACGAGATCTCCCGCCTGCTCACATCGGTACTCATCATGAACTTCGGTCCATTCTATCTCCACACCACGAGATCGACCGGCGCTTCCTAGACTCCTGTCGCGGTAGGAGCATGTCTCTACCGGGACCAAATGTCCGTATCAGCCTCGATTCCCGACACTTCGCTTGGCCTCACCTCCTCCGAGATTCAGATCCTGAGGCAACAACAACAGATCGCTCTGCAGGGCGGCCACGGTGCCAATGGTGTTTCCAGAGGCAGAGGGACCGGCCGAACCAGCAACTCCAGTTCGCGCGCCGCCAGTGCCGCCAGCAGTCACGGTCGTTTAATACTGGATCCGATGAGTTTACGAGCGCTTTCGCATCAGTTGGATGGGTTGCAGCAACAGATTCGAAATCGTCTTGATGATGTAGGTCATACTTTTCTTTCTTGTTTTCTACATTTTGCGAATCTATCGATTCTTTGCTCGGCCGTTTCTCTTCGATAACCACTCCCTCGCCATCTTGCATTCAGCTGGGTCTCTTAGCCCGTTGCTGGTTGCGCTGATTCCTTGACCCACCCTCGATAATCGCCTGGTCATTTCGAGCTCTAACGTACAACAGCTAGAAGAGCAAATGCAACTTTCCATCCAAAATAGTTACGATCGCGCAGGCAACGTTATTTGCAATGCTGATGCTGAAATCGCCCGGACTCGTTCCATTCTCACCTCAATTGATGACCTCGAAACCGAGCTTGCGAAGATCGGACATATTAGAGAAATCGTGAAAGCATATCGTGGCCGTATAGAAGGCCTCGATCAACGCCTGGATCAAGCCATCCGGCGGAGACACTGACATACCACCTTTACCCTATACTCCTATTTACACATCTCGAGTTCCAGGCCTCTCTACCCTGGATCTTTCTCTCTTCGACTTCCCCCTACTATCATTGCATTTTTCTTCTGCCCCGGAGGCTCTTGCGTTCGAATCCCTTCTGTTGATGACCAGACGACCTGCTTTATACGCCTTATATCACTCACATACCCCTCTACGACAACCCGGGAGGCTGATAATGGTCACTGCGAGATTTGAACCATTTTAAAAAGGGAGAACGAGCAACAAGTTGCTCAGAAAGACAAACAAAATACGTGTTGATAAATGGGTTGTGTCCTCGCGGACCTTGTGTTATTATGACCTTGTGTTGTCTAATGTCCTACATGCTTTTAGTTCTCGTCGCGGTCACGCAAGGAGCTATATGGTTTTGCTTTTGCTTCCCCTTCGTCCGTGTATTTGGAGAGGACTGCTGTTTAAAGACCGGGATATCTGCCTCGCGGCTATTTTTTTTTGGCTTCTGAATCAATCCTTAAAACTGACAGGGTCGCACGGTGTTGATAGCGTTGGAGTACCTGTTATGTCTATTGTCTACTCGGAGCGCGGCTCCCTTTCATGATTCACGTGTTTCACTCTACGAAGTTGATGACGCAGCTGTTTTTCTGCCATGTTGCGATTCCCCGACAAGCGTCCATCTTTGATCTTTTCTTTGACTGAGCGGAAATTCATTTGCAGTGATATGACCCCTGTTTGTTTTTGTCCCACCATGAGACTTCATATTGCATGTCATCTGACGAAAATGACCTGTGCCTGTTCGCTAGGCAGCCTCAGACCATGCACCTTATTGATGCGTCATCAACTCATGAAATCAGAAATCTGGAGGCTTTGATCGAATATGTTGCCTGTAAATATATCGAGTGTCTTTCGTTGGCTGTCTTCACGCATCTTTGTGACCTATAAGGCCGTTGTCAATTTATTTGTGGGTATCTCATCCCCTGCGCCAGATACCCTTGGGCCCGAATTTTACGCGCTGGATAGCACTTGTTCTTCCCGGGTTATCTGCCTAGTTATAGCAGGATAGGCAGAAGTTTCTTCAGTCTCCGAGTAGAAGCCTCTGGCATCAGATCCACTTCGATGATTTCTTGCTTGGCTGTATTAGGGTCGATGCCCGTTCTGAATGCTCGACTTCAAAGGTGAGCCATGCCGCAGACTGCGGTTTTAGAAATGGGCCCCTCGGAGGCGACGCGGAGAAAATGTAACGTAAAATCATGGGCGTTCTATGCTAGGTAATCAAGCGCCCACAGTTGGCTCTTCTCTCGGATGCTGCGATATGTCTTTCCGACGTTCAGACAACTTTCTGCTTCGCTTCTCTGCTTGGGGAAAGCGCTTCTCTGTTCCACATGTAGAGCAACAGACCACCAAAACGTCGGCCCACGGCTTTTTGCGGCCACGGCTAGCGTTTCGGATCTCCTGCATACAAGTCACACCAGGAATAAGGCGCGTATCGCAGCGTTTGCAGAACGACCTTTTCACATCAACGGGTAGTCGAAGCTGCGTTTTCAGAGAGACGCCACGCATTTGCGACATATAGACCCGAGAAAGTTGAGGCAAGTGCTCGGTGGTCGCTTGAGTGCTCGGGCCAGCGGGTGCCTTCTCCAACACTGTTTCGGAATTTGCCAACTGGGGCACTATACGCGCTGATGCTTGCATCACGGTGTCGTTCTCCTTTTGGCCCGTCTTGTCGATTTGCTGTTGCGCAGGAGGTGTCGCTACTGATTGCAAGAAGGTGGCAGCATTGTAGAGATAATTGATTCGTGCACGGATGTGGCTGTGCGCACCTCCGGCGGAGTCTTTCTTGCCCTTTACTTTAGTCTTGGCCATGGTGGAGAGTAATCAGGAGATCAGACTGGAGGAAGCATATGGAGAAGACGCAACGACGAAACGACGAGCGCGGGGAGTCTAAGCTTCACGACGGCGCTAACCCCAAACGGCGGTGACTAATGGATTTGATCATGTGATGTTGGGGTCGGAGGCTCAGCCGCTCCATCCCTTCGCGCGTCGACAATCTTCTCTTCATCTCCATCACCTTCCTTCGCGCTTCGGCCTTTTCCCATCCTCAATTCATCTCACAACAATCAAGAGGTGGGCTTCGCATCGTCTTCGACTTAGATTCACCGTTTGCATTAGCTTTTCGCCCCCGTTTCTTTCTCGACGAACATCCACCCTGGGCTCCGCTGCCTTGGGAAACGACGCGCCAGCAACAGAGTTTTCTTAAACACCGTTTATTCCAGCCTTTCTGCCAATATGTCTCACGAAGAGGATCTCATCGACTACTCCGACGAGGAGCTCCAGACCACTGACGCTGCGGCCACCACCGCTGCTCCCGCCTCCAATGGAGAGGCCAAGAAGGGCGACTTGACGGTTTCTGGCGGCCGTCCGGACAAGAAGGGAAGCTATGTCGGTATCCACTCGACTGGTTTCCGCGACTTTTTGCTCAAAGAGGAACTCCTACGTGCCATCACCGATTGCGGTTTCGAACATCCATCGGAGGGTTAGTCTATCACGTATTCTTTCCCAAAGCTCCCTCCATTGCTCCATGTTCCAACGTCCGTCCATCTCCGCGGGGAAATTCTATAGTCGCTCTGGGGCACCTGTCTCGCATCAGCATGCGGGCGGCATGAGGATGTCTGTTCACGTCATTCACAAGACGAGTCGTCCTGCGGTAGTAGTGCATCTACAGCCTTTGCTTGTTTGCTTCACTTTACTCTGGTGAATTCCGGCAACACCGTGTTCAGGGGATACCCCAGATGGGTCCGCCTGTAGAGATTCCGGGCGAATTTATGGCGTGCTTCCGAAGAACACGGGTCGGACGCTTTGCCACCGTTCTCTGAACGGCATTCGTCCTCTTGCCGCCTGCGGGAGAGCTCTGAACAAGACCTCTTACTGCAGATGATTCAACAGCCGACTTTGTGCAACTTGACTAGACTTTTGTCGTTGGTGGATTAAAGTACGGACTTACAATGCATACTTGGAACCGACACCTCGGGGATGGACGGACACTGCGACGCGGATTGCTTTTTTTCTTTCTACAAACTTATGGGTCGAGTACAAGTCTAACATACGGTTCCGCCTCACTACAGTCCAGCAAGTTTGCATTCCCACCGCCATCCTAAACGTCGATGTTCTTTGCCAGGCAAAGTCCGGTCTCGGAAAGACCGCGGTCTTCGTTTTGACCACGCTGCACCAGCTAGAGCCGGTCCCCGGAGAGGCCTCTATCCTGGTCATGTGCCACACGCGTGAATTGGCATACCAGATCAAGAACGAGTATGCTCGTTTCAGCAAGTACCTGCCCGACGTGAAGACTGCTGTCTTCTACGGTGGTACCCCTATCCAGAAGGACGTGGAGTTGCTGTCCAACAAGGAGTCCTACCCCAACATCGTTGTTGGTACTCCCGGTCGTCTGAATGCCTTGGTCCGCGAGAAGAAGCTCTCGCTGCGCAATGTCAAGGCTTTCGTCCTGGACGAATGTGACAAGATGCTGGATCAGATTGGTGAGTCCGCTCATGTCCTGCATTGTTACGCTGCACTTGCTGACCGTTGCAGATATGCGTCGTGATGTCCAGGAGATCTTCCGCGCCACCCCCGCCGATAAGCAGGTCATGATGTTCAGTGCCACGCTTTCCCAGGAGATTCGCCCCGTTTGCAAGAAGTTTATGAGAAACCCGCTCGAGGTTTACGTTGATGACGACACCAAGCTCACTCTGCACGGTCTGCAGCAGTACTACATCAAGCTCAGCGAAGCGGAGAAGAACCGCAAGCTGAACGAGCTTCTGGATAGCCTCGAGTTCAACCAGGTTATCATCTTTGTCAAGAGTACTCTCCGTGCCAATGAGCTCGACAAGCTGCTGCGCGAGTGCAATTTCCCTAGTATCGCGGTCCACTCTGGCGTGAGCCAGGAGGAGCGGTAAGAGTTCCGATCATCCGCGCATTTGCTCGGCCCTCACTAACGCCTGGCAGTATCAAACGCTACAAGGAGTTCAAGGAGTTCAACAAGCGTATCTGTGTCGCAACTGACGTGTTCGGACGTGGTATCGATATTGAGCGTATCAACCTTGCTATCAACTACGATCTGCCTGCGGATGCCGACTCCTACCTGCACCGTGTCGGTCGTGCGGGTCGTTTCGGTACTAAGGGTCTGTCGATCTCATTCGTCAGCACCGATGAAGACGAGAAGGTTCTCAAGGAAATTGAGAAGCGGTTCGAGGTTGCCCTTCCGTAAGTCGCACCTGTGTGATATGTCTTCTGTGCACAACTAACGAGTTTCAGTGAATACCCCGAGGGCGGCGTCGACTCTAGCACTTACATGGCCTAGACGGATAGCTGGGTTGTGCTCGGTGGAACAAGTATGTAACTGGGAATATGAGTTGAATTTTATCACTGGCTTTCGTCTTCGTTTTCCGCGTTTCCTTTGGCGTGATGGTTCGGTTGCTATTTGACTCGTCGCTTTTGGGGGCACTGGTTGGCAAGCGCTGGGAAGGGATCGGGACATCTGGGAAAAAGCGTACTGAATGATAAGGTTAATACTAGATGCCTGGGATGTCTCTTGGGCCAGTGCCTCTTAGCATGACAGCTGTATTATCAAGTGTTGAGTATTTGAATTAGGATAGCTTGTTACGACATCACCTATCTACCGCTACACCGAAAGTCTTGGTCCTCATAGCAAACAGGACCTAGGAATCGGCTGGCATCCACTTCGTAGCAAGCATCCGCAAGCATCCAGATGCTTGCTATCACATGATAGATCTCCCAGCCCAGATAAGCAGCAACCGTCAGCAAGCGACGCTTGAATAGTGCTACTATAGTACATGCACTACTAAATCGATATAGTATAACCATGTAAGGCATACATACATCAACAGCCACCAATCCTCGTATAGATCTAATCTCCAAGTACTAAAATTCCCATACAAAACCCATACCCACCACCCCTAACCCACCCACCGAGTATCGATAAGGACACCCGGACCAACAACCTAACCTAACCTAGCCTATGACGCAACCAACCAACCCTTCCCTTCCCTTCTCTTCCTTCTCCATCCGGTGCCCGTCCCCGCCGCTGACCAGCACCAACTAACTGAATCCCACTCCCTCCGTTTGTCACCACCTCATTCTACAAGCAAAAATAGAAAAGCCCCAACCGGCCAAAGAAAACAGACACAAAAGACAGGGAAAATGACCCCCCGGTGCTTCATCATCCGCCACGGCGAAACCGAATGGTCGCTGAATGGTCGACACACCGGCACCACGGACTTACCCCTCACTTCCAACGGGGAGAAACGGATAAAGGCGACGGGGAAAGCACTTGTTGGGAATGATCGGTTGATTGTGCCGAAGAAATTGGTGCATGTGTATGTCTTCCTTTCTTTATATATAGAGTTGTGTACTTGGGGTTTTTGATAAGGGAGGTTGGACTGGGTTTGCTAATGGAGGGGATGATAGGTATGTGTCGCCGCGGGCACGAGCACAACGTACGCTGGAATTACTTGAGATTGGATGTCGGGAGAGATTGCCCTGGTCTGGGGAGAGGAAGTCCGAGGAGGAGGAGCCGATTCGGACGGAGGCTCGTGTGGAAGTTACAGAGGCGGTGCGGGAATGGGATTATGGTGAGTATGAGGGGTTGACGAGTCGTCAGATTCGGGAGTTGAGGGCAGAGAGGGGGGAAGGGGCATGGGATATTTGGAGGGATGGGTGTCCTGGGGGAGAGTATGCGATCCTTTCTTTGATTTCGTTGCTTCATTATGATGATGGTTTTGAGGTGATGGTTTTATTGGAACGACTAGCTGATGCGATGTAGATCCCCCGAAGACGTGATTAAGCGGCTGGATGCCCTGATCGCAGAGATCAGACAGAAGTACCACGGCCCGTGTTTCGACGGGTCCGACGACTCGGGCAAAGGCGATGTTCTCGTCGTCGCTCACGGCCATATCCTTCGTGCGTTTGCGATGCGATGGACAGGAAGGCCGTTGACGGAGACGGCGCTAATCCTGGAAGCGGGTGGTGTGGGCACACTGAGGTGAGAGATTCCAGGGGAAGTTCCTCATACTCCGCATGTTGCTGACCGTACACGTCCAGTTACGAGCACCATAGCATCGACGAACCGGCGATCATTCTCGGTGGAGGATTCGTCGTTGACAATTGAGATGAACTGAGCTGGAGTTGGGATATCAGTTCCCCTTCATAACACCTGCACTAAAACACCAATATCAGCAACATAAACAATAGATAGATAGACAACAGTCCATAAATATCTGCATAGAAGAGTACTTACCCACCGCATGGCATAGCACATTCCACACAGTAAACCCAAAATAGAACCCTCTAGCAGCAGGAAGGAGCTTCACGCCTCACTGCTCTTATCCTGGCCACTTTCTCCCTCCGTATCATTCTTGACCCCTTCCTCGCCCAGCACCTTCGCAGATCCCATAAACAGGGCGCCGACATAGCCACCCAGGAACCGCATATCTTCTGCCTGGACTGCCGTCATACGAAGTAGGTTCTCCGTATCCCGCAGATTGGCGTTTAGTTGCGCCAGTTGGGTGTGCAGATTGGTGTACTGACGGGTCTTAGCCATCGACATGGAAGAGGCGCCGCCCATGGACGGTGTGGCAGTTGAGGCCGGGAGAACGGAATGGCGAGGGAGAGATTGGGAGTGGCTGTATTGGTGGGATGGCGGCATGATATCGGTTCGACCGGGGATCTCTTTTGAGTCCAAGAGATCTAGAATGCAGCGGGGTGAGTTGGTTGGTGTTTCGAAGCTGCAAGAGAAGAAGATCGGAGTGGGATTTGTTTACCCCCGCAGCATTGGCGCGGATCACGTGAAGCGCACCTCCCGGGGTAACCGGCAGCCTACAGGACGATCTGCAAGCTGCACCCATGCTCCAGGTTACCACACTCTTACAATACGCCCAGAATGCGATCTTTAAGTCATCCGATTAAGTCTCGTTTATTGTCAACGACATGTTCTAATCAATGGAGCAGTTGCCGCGCCGATGATACGACCCGGTTCCTCTCTCAAACACCCTGGAGGAACATGAACCCAGCCAAATCAAATCAATCAATCAACCGAATAAATCAACCCCCTGCTCTTTTTGTGCGCCAGAAACCAGACCATGAATGAGATAATCACAGGGCCGCGGAATGTTCGCGCCAGAGCCCAAACAGAACAGCACAGAGCAGCTATGGAAGGAGACGGCAAAGGAAAAATCAAAGGAGGGCATGCATGTCAACAAAGCAGCGGAGATGGTAGGGAGTAGACAATAGGATGATGCGCCGAGTTAGGTAGTATACAACACGTGGTCTCGCAGAAACAGGGATGCATGGTTGGTGTCTGGCAATGAACGTCGGTGGTATAGCTGTGAAAAGTCAAAAAACGTATTTATCTGATGGAGCTTCATGCTCATGCTCATTAAGTTCGAGAATGCCGTGGAACTGGGAAAAGAAAGGCAAATCACCACATGCAACACACATGCACGCACGCACGCACACGCTCGCCCGACCACTCCATAGTGAAATCATCAAACGAGAAAATGAGAAAGTGAGAGCCCCTATGTCCCGTGTGTATATGTAAGAAAAACTGCAACAACAATGACATGGAGTCTGCTCCCGCCCTCCTTGCCAAAGCATCTCATTAAAAGTATATCCTTTATAAGAAGCAAAAAGCATTGCCGAAGGGGTTCCCGATGGACGGCGAACACCAGCCGACGGAAAAGGAAATGTGGAGACACGAAGAAACCAGGCGAGTAAGCAGCGGGCAGAGCCAAGGCAAGTGCTCAGCCGCTTCGGGAGAGGGACGAAGGAGAGGCCGGCTTCGTAATTCAACGAACGGGGGCCGCAGCTTGCTGCGCTCCGAGGCTGATCTGGCTGCTATGGGCAGAGTTCTCGGAATCGAGGTTGGCACTAGCCCCGCTATCACCACTCTCCGCGCTGGCGCTCGCACTTCCGGTCAGACTTCTATGCTTGGGAGTGCCCTTGGCGGGATACGGTTTGCTCACCCCAATGTGTTGTTCAACTTGCTGCGGGCCTACCGCATTGCCATGCCCGGGGGGATGCCGAGGGACTGGCGCTCGCATTTGTCCCGGAGGCGACGGGTGGCCGCCGTTCGGGGGCCCATGAGGTGGGCCGAAATTCTGGTCTTGGGCAGTCGCTGGGCGGCCCATTCGCGGACCAGGAGGACCACCATAAGGAGCTGCAGGAGAATGGCTGTTCCTCCTGCTCTGCGGGTACGAATGAGGAGGGTAGTCGCCCATTCGACTCGTGGTCATCGAGTTTGTTCGAGAGCCCGCAGCCATTTGGTTTCTGTCAACGGACCCGTACCGGTTTGAAGAGTAAGCCATCATAGGGTTGTCTAGAAGAGAATCATGAAGGCCAGGGATTTCCTGCATGATACGGTCGCTCGCCCGCTTCCTGTTGCCTCCAAAATAGCGACTGAACGTCCCAGACCTGCCGCCGCCGCCGCCACCACCACCGCCGGTGTTCGAAAGGAGTTCGGGGTTTTTGCGGATCTGACTAGCACTGGGTATTTTCTTCGTCCTCCGGGATGTGATACTCAGCATATCGACATTATCGGGGTCGATTTGCGGGACCAGGCTAGTATCCATGGGATCGAAAAAGTCGTCTTCATCCTCTTCGTCGAAAGCTGACGGCGCCTTGGATGGTGGAGGTCTGCGAGGACCACGCCGCATGTGCATCTCTTGTTCACGAAGCTGCAGCTCCCGCTGTCGAAGCGCCAGCTCGCGTTCTCTCAAGGCCAAGCCCGCGGATGCTGGTCCAGGGCCTGATGGGCCGTCTGGGTAGCCATTGGCGCCATTTGCAGGTACACCTCCCTCGCCCGCATCGTCGTAAACAACAAGATGACTGAACTCCTCAAGGCCTTCGAGAGACGGTTCACGAGGCACCCTGGGCGCCGCAGACGGGGGCTGGGCGCTTGGTGGTCGTGACATTCCGGGCATCGGGGGCCCGCGTCTTGAGGGTGGCATCATCATTGCAGAACTTGACCTTCCAGGGGGTGGGCGCATAGGACCACTTCTAGGAGGCGGGGGGACCGAGGACATCCGGGGCGGAGGCTGGGCCAATGCAGGTGGGGGGGATTCACGAGGCTTGCTCAGATTGGTGGCATTGAGATGATGAAGCACTGCATAAAGGGTTTCGATGCGTGGGAGTTTGACATTGGACTCCGTGGCCAATTTGATGGGGGAACCAAGATAGGTCTCAATCTCCATGGGACGCCGAGCCTGGAAATCTTGGTACATGCTATTCGGGGTTTGACTCGATGTCATCTTCTCCATTGTCTTCTGGTTGAAGTCACTGGGGAAGGAGCAACCGTGTGCTTTCGCCAGTCCGAGAAGTTCGTCGATCACATCCGATATCAACTGACGCACTCCGACCTTTTCTAGAAGTTGCTGTACATTTCCGGTATCAAACATAACGCTTGCGGGGTAAAAGGCGATCGGTCTGAGAACAGTCTGGTTAGCACACGCTCAACGGGAGTATGAAGTTTCTGTTGCACATATTCACCCTATAATACGTTCAAATTGTTCTTGTCTGATATTCTTCGATACTTTGCAATCCACCTGGCCTGAGCTCAGTGTCATCGCTAAGGCCGCGGCCATATCGTTCTGGATCGTGGAGGGGACATTCGTGTTCTGATTCGTGGCACCAACCCATATATCCGATGAGTTCAGGTGCTCAAACTCGCTGGCTCCGATCTGGGTGATCTCCACGCCCGAAACGAGCGACAGGACGACGTTCGTGGGAAACCGTTGTTCCAAATGCGATTCGACGCCGAGGGTGTTGGTCGTGTTCACCAAGATGCATGTATGCTGGGGGGTAACAACGGACTCTATTACGGCTGCCAGGTCGTACACATCTGGCAGAGCCTTGATGCAGAGGATCACGTAGTCGTAGGCATTCTCTCGTGAGGCGGCTTCTTCGGGCGTACGGACGACTATGGAGAGGCTCTTATTAGCACAGGAGCGACAGAAGTATAGCAGGGCTCAGAACTTACCATGACGTGGCTTGAACCGTTCGTTTCCAAACGCTTTCGACCTAGTTCAGACCCCGTCAGATCTTTCCATTATAAGAGATAAAGCGACCATCCATACTTAAAAGACACGCCGTATTGAGAAACTGCCTCGAAGCCCGATTTCCAAACCAGTGTAACGTCGCAGGAGGTTGTCGCCTGGAGCCTCCAGGAGAGGAACGCCGAGATGGCATTGCTGCCCACTAAACAGACCCGCGTTAGAAGACGGCCCATTTTGACTGGGTTATGAGGCGAAGGGGAAATCGCTTGAATGGCACCAAGGAGGTGGACAAGAAAACATCGAGGGAAAAGGGTTGTCGGAAATTGAAATTGATGATAAGTGGTTTTCCGGCAGCGGCCGAGAACTAACCTGACAGAATGCGCAAGCGCGGCGGAGGAGCCATGGTCGTCGATCAAAACTGGAAAGAAGCGATCCGAGCAGCCAGTACGAGAGAGTGGAAAAAGCAATGGACCGTTAGACTGGATTAAGTGTCTCCTGAACCACGACTAAAGGCGCGATTGACGCTGCCTAACCACGGAACGAAGGGACGCAATCCGACAACTGTAGCCAGGGTGATGCCGGGATCGATTAATAAAGGTACACGCAAAAGGCGCGAAGGGCAAAGATAACGAAAGTAAGGGGAATCACAAAAGGAAGACTGGACGACGAAAAGGAAGATGAAATAAAGACAAACGAAAGGAGGTGGTTCAGCCGTAGTAGGGAGGGAACAAGAAGAGAGTGGCAGTAAGAGGGAGAGGGAGGGAGGGAGAGGAGGGAGGAGGAGGAGGGGGGGGGAGGGGAACCAGGTGAAAGGGGAACAGAACAGCAGCAGCAGTAGTAGAATGGGATGGGATGGTGGATGGCGGATGGCGGATGGTTGGAGTAAGAAGCAAGATGGAAGCCGGTCAGCTTTGGGCGGAAAGGCAGCCCGAATGGGAGTTATGGAGCCGTGCGTATCTTTTTCTGTAATTTTGTTCTCTCTCTCTCTCTTTTCTTCTCTTTTTTTTAGCTTTCACGGATTAGTACCTTTTTTTTTTTTTGCTTTCTGTCTTCCAAAGTCTCTAACGGCCGTGGATCCCCCACCAGGGCTCAATCCGGAAACGGAGGCAGGAAAACTGAAAGAGGCGGACTGAGCAACAACTGTCAACGGAGAGGGGAAGGGAAGGACGGGCTGCAAGCGAAAACAGATTGAAGGTCCGAAAGAATGTCCCAAGACAAATCAAGTCCCGAGACGGGATGCAGAGGGAGAGCAGAGACCGCGCGACCAGAAAAAGTCCAATAATGATGATGGTTAATCGGCCACCGAGGGATACTAACGATCGGAAATGGAGAGAAACCACACCGTGTGTGATGGCAATGACTAGGATAGATAGAATTATTATTAGTAGTAAGACTAGGAATTATGTCTAGATAGGTATTATTATTATTTTGGGTAGTGTATGATAGATTTCCCCTCCCCCCCCAAACAAACCATCAGCTTTATCATTCGTACCATGATACCATGATAGTGCTAAGAATGGATAATAATGCATGGCGGACACTGACGAGGTACCTACGGCTGCGTCGCCTGTAGCTAGAGATTCCCTGTACCTGGCCAGTCGGTTTGGGCGCTGAACTAGCCCGTTCCGAGTATCGTCCACGCTACATCCTATCGCGCCAGGTGAAACCGGTTTTTCCAGTTGGTCATTACTCTTTCCCATCTTTACCAAGTAATAATACCGTGATAATGATCATCTGGATTTTCATCAAATCCTGCGAATAATAATTTCATCTATTCATCTATACATAGGTAGCTACATAAAGACTAGAGATGCTGGCTTTCCATTCTGCAGGACCATCTTGCACACTTTCCCCATTTCGGAGATTCACAATTGACGTCTCTGATATAGAGACGAGGTGCAGCCGACTGCTTGCCCCTGAGCATGGCGAGTCCACACGCCGACATCAGCAATCATCAATGGTTGCTGCCACCACGACGACGATGATGACGACGAGACGATTGACCAGACGACCAACTAAAGATCCTGATTGTGTGGATGGATTGATGAGACACGACAGCCCAGCCCACTTGGGCTGGACGAGCCAACCATGCAGCGGCCAAGACCCAATCGGCCACCGCTGCACATCCTCCCGTCACCCAACCCACCCGAGCCCACTTCGTCTGTGGTCGAGGTCAGGCCGGGATTCGCCCGCTGCAATCGGACTCGGGCAGATTGGCCAGTCTGCCTCTGATGCTGCAACCGATATGGAGCTGGAGCGCACCACCGTACGAATAAGCGGGTACTCCGGCCTGGTCGCAGATGGAACTTCTCCTGTACGGAACTTATTTTCAGGCTCATCGCAAGCACTAGCTGGTTATGGTAACTAGCTAGAAACAAGGTCAAACAGGGGAGGATCAATGAATATCCATCTTGCCCTGGGTTCTCCGAGTCTTCTATCACGTTCGAACACCGTGGGGGTCCGCTCCTGCTGGAGCCAGAGCCACCCTACTGTAGGAGGAGAGAGGAATTGGTAAATCAACTAACCCGCAAGATACGGGGTAGACCATTTAGTACTGTACTAAGTACTTGTGAACTGGTTGAACCAACTCAGCTCCCTGGACTCAACCCTTCCAGGTGGGTGTGACCACGGGGTCTTCGACCAGCCAATGCTCATTCTTAGCTTCTAGCTAAGACCCCAGGTAGGCGTCTAGTCTAGTGCTCAAAGAAACTGGATGGGTTGTACGAACAACAGCATCGAGGTGTATTATTCCAGTGCCTTCCTCTCCTATTCGTTTCTTTTTATACCAGGTCCATAAAGAAAGGGCTTTTGTTGGTTTCTTTGCTTTTTCTCTTCTATAGATTGATGCCCCCAACCATCCATCATACCTTAGTAGGCCAGCCATCTATCACCATCACACTGACATGCTGTCGATGCATTTCTTCTCTTGCATTAGTGTCACCTGGAGAATTCCGCCTTGGGACAATCGGGAAGGGGGAGGCGGTGTTATGGTCCAACCCGGCATGCCACACGCTCTTCCGAAGCAAGGATCGACACTCATACCAGGATATCTGCTGTTTGCAGAGGGATGGATGGCGGGTGTCAGGGATGCAGTCGATGGCTGCCTTAGTAACCATGGGGTATCTTGCTGCTTACGGATCATGTAAATATGTAATGCCCCTCCGCTTGCTGCATGTCGCAACTTGGTACTCGGTATAGTCCTCCCCCCTCGCCACTGTTCGTCATTGACATCAGTCTTCAAAGCGTGGCCTGAAGAGCGGCTAACTTGGTTATTAATAAAGTTCCAGATATGCTTATGTGAGTTCCAGAATATCCCGGCTAGGTTCCAGATTATCCAGGAGGGACTATCTCCTGGGAACTGAAACCTTCGGCCCCGGTGGCTTGACTTGTAGTATGTTTGACATAGATAAATTGAAACATAATGGCAATGTAAAGACTGATGAGGCTGAGGATTTTCCACACCTCAATCAGATACACCTCATGGGAAACTGTTCTCACTTCTCAGGGTGGATTGGAAGTGGATTCCCTTACCCCAACATGAGACATTGAGCACTAACTAGTCAAGGGTAAGACTAGTAGTTCTCCGTAGTGTATCGACTTCCTTACGATCACAATTCGATCGCAATAGTATTATAAATCCATGGAGCAGCTGCTAGGTATATCGATTGCCCTTCTGGCGAGCGAGAGAAAAAAAAACCCACCTGGTCCAGGCCCTAGGGGGTGGGTGATGCGCCGGATTGACCAAAACAATCCCGGTGGAGCATTACACCAAGCAGGCTAGCCGGCATCTAGCTCCTGCTAGCTCAGCACCTAGGACGAATCATATTGTGCAATTATTAGTTGCTGTTACTATCTATGGTACCAGCCGGTGGGTCAGGTACTTATCAAATCTTACCGAAACAGGGCAATTTTTCTCGTCCCTGGAACATCGATCAGCCGCCGTCGAGTTAACTTAACTTTTTTTTTCTCCTGCCTTGGTAGTTGGTACAGGTCCTTTTGGCTCTATTCGCTGTCAGTGGATAGAAATTGTAGTCCTGTGCAAGACTGTCAGTAGGATGACTGGATCGGACTGCTTCAAACTCTGATTGTTCACGGACGAGACATTACATTTTCTTCATACCAGCCGAGCTTAAAGTTCGTCAGAAGGTGATCGGTATGCATTCAGCAGGAGGCATTGACTCTTTAGGAATTTGATCATCGGGGCCTAGATCGCTTCGCTGGACTATGCGCGCAATCCGCCGAACCAACAATATATCTACCTACCTAGATGTCTGTAGCGGTTCTGCATAATCTTGAGTATATTCGACATAGACTTCAACGTACATACCAACAGACTGTCTAGATTGATCATCACCTTGCATCCCGCCATGATAGGTATGGCTGGACCGCGAGTTTTCGCATAACAAGCCTGCAAGCATCTCGCCCCAACAGATTTGATCCAGAAATGTCTCACCGGCTGTCTTACCCCGCTATTGTCAATTTTCAGTCGAGTCGCCTGGGGTTCGATCGTTCCGGCATCGCCTGTCAGGCAGTCCTATGGAGATTTTGGTCGTTGATATTGCTGCACGATATGTTTGAGGCTTCAGGTACTCTGTACACCAAGTAGTTCGCAATCACTACAAGTCAGTATAGAATTAGCCGTGTAGCTAGGACTCCCAACCAACATTTCGTGAAAGAAGCACAGCGCACAATGCACGACCAACAGGGTCAAAAGACCTATGAGCTTTACCCAACGGCAAGATGTAACCATGTGAGGAGCCACCGCCCCCTCATCTTGCGAAGTCGACCGGAAACAGCCACCTCGGCACTCCCGAGCCCATACGCGGGGCCTGTTTCAACCTTGCGTCCGCGATCTCACGAGTCACCACAAGTGCATTGTGAACGCGACTGCTCACGGTACCATTAGATGCGGATGGTCCCATTTTTAATGCGGAGTCATACTAAAGCTTCCGACCATTGGGACTTCTCCCACTTCTGACACTGCTCATCCTTCTATTTAGCTTCAAAGATTCGCCAGGCTGTCGCCTATGATATGGCTAGTCCCAGACGGTCGATCGCTTAGTGAAAATTCTCCCGCAGCTGCTGGAGTGAAATCTAGCTATTTATTTGCTGTGCCGCTATAATTTCTCTGGTGACTAGGTTGAGAGCAGTGGTTCGTTGGGCATAACAAGCTAATGTATATGACTGGTTAGTGTGGTGGTGTGTGTTCCTTCTTCTCCATTCACGCTCTGGGGACTTTCTTTTTGCGGCGATCCGCTTTGATCTGTCACGTTATCTGCACCAGCAAACACGAACAGCTCGAAATGTCCAGAGTAATGACAAGCATAGTATGGCAGACTCGAACCCACCAATCTGAAGAACTTTCGTGTCTAAGCCAGAGGTCCCAAGCCCCCGCGGACGCTTTTCTGACCGCAGTACAAAAACAGGGCCGTTTGGAGAGATGCATGATGGACAGAGAACATTGACAATTTCAGCCTGTCATCCAGATCCTTCGCGCACGAAAAGGGGGGGGGGGAAGAAGAGGCAAAGGCAATCATGAGATAACGATGGTAGCCTGATAAATAGATAGGTAGTGCCTATTGCCTCGAGTCTAGTCAGCTAGTGCGAACATGTAAACGTCATGGCTGTGTCAATCTTTGTCGGGACCCCGCAAGATACGAAGTACGCGATGATCGTCGGTCTCTGCACGAAGCTTGGCCAGTTTCTGAAAAGATTCCTCGACACATGGCGTACGTTGGACAGAATTGATTTGGGGCCTTGAATGGGCCTACAGTATACAGCAATTCTACATGCACGGTAGAACGGTAGAACCTCGTGCTAGCTTCAGGTTCGGAGATAGATGTCGGACCCGACCTCGACCATGGAAATAGTAGGCTCTCAGGGGTCGAAGACGTCTGCGACCTGCATCCATCGATCCTAGATTAAGAATAATGAGTCAAGGTAAATGAATAAAGGCAATCAATCCGAGGGACTCTAAGGGACGAATAATATGCGTGAGCCGTGATTGCAATAATACTGATGCGGGTGGAGCCTCGATGCAAACAGCACCGGCTTGTCCACTAGCTGACTGACTCAGCGGCTGATCGCAAAAGGCAAACCGATGCCTGCATTATTTTATTTCCGGATGCTCCACGGCCGCTCATACGAGGGTTTATCAATAACTCAATCGGCGGTTCTCACACTATGCACGCCGTACCTACATAGTACATGCAGACACGAGGAGCCAAAAAGAAGACGACCGGAGAATAAAAAGAAAAGTTGAGCGGGAGATATGATGGACTCAAACTCCGCAAGATACGGAGCGTTATCTGCCCATCATCGGGTCAGCAGGCCCCCAAATGCCAGTGATCGTCTTCGAGCAAACTTAACCCAAGTCGGTCATGTCTTACATTAAGCTGCATCCAATCTGTCGACCATGTCCCTGCCCCAGCATGGGAGGCGTCCAATAAAGGATAGAGATAGGACAGAAATTGAGTCAGACCCCCGAACTAGGCAAAGGAGGGAAACTTCTTCCTTCCTACGGGTATTGTCGGATGCTTTTGGCGTTCGAGATCCCCAAGGTCCTTTTTCAGACCCCTTCTAACCCATAGTGTCAGTGTCTCATGATTCCCTATCCCGACGGAGTACGGAAGTATACAGATGGTCACATGACTATAAGGTATCTGCGTGATGACTCAGCTTTAATGCATTGTTGGCGTTCCTGGAGGGGTTTGTGTATTCATGTATACACTATAGAGGGGCATCTCCTGGTGCCTAGAGAAGATAGTCATCTTCACCTCGACGTCTGTATGAATTAACACTCGCACTGTCCGACCCCAAGGTCTGTGCTATTCTCCCCGCAATGAATCGATATACGAATGACTAATCGGAGACCAATGGCAGAATTCTCCAGCAATGAATATCGATCTTAGTGACAGAAACGAGTTCTTCTAGAATGGTGGAGAGGCCACCAAATTGAAAGTGCACATAGATTTCAAAACCTGTGTATGTGCCGAGGAGCTTCTGCTCGTGATTCACTCAACGATACGATCATAGCCATATATTCCACTACACTCCCAAGAAAATGACTGGGAATAAAAGAACGAATCCGAGGGATGTCACCCGTCTCTCTGGTAAACCACTTGCTGAGACACTCGAGCCTTCTTCGGTTTTGGAGAGCACCACAGACGCATGGGTCACTTCGCAAGACTTGACTGAATATGGCCTCTCATTCAAACCAGAGGTCATTTTAGATATGACTCTGTTTCTTCTGGCCAACCCCAATATGAGCTCAAGCCATCTATACCGAGCCGATATCCTCTTCGATAGCTTAGGTGTATTAAAAACGCCACAGCAGAAAGAACAGTCATTCGCTCAGGCTGGAAACAGCAACCTTGAGACCACCGTGGCTGCTGATGAGATCGTGGAACCTATCGTCCCAAGAGAACTTCCCGGTTTCACTCTGGTTAGGACGGTAGTGAGGAGACTGGTTCCCAGGAATCCGAACCTAGACCGGGTCATGGACCAGACCTGCCATTTCTATGAGGCGAACATACCCCCTCAATGCACAAATGAGTCTATAGACGGAGATGGGCCATCTATCAACCGGTCTCTTGTCGTCTACACACCACACATTACCTCCAAGGAGGACATGCCCTTCTACCACCCTCTCCTCCGTTCACTAGCCTTTTTATACGACTTCAATCCCAACACACCAGAAACTTCCCCAGGTCCTGGCACAATGTCAATCCACTTCCTCCTGTTCCCGGACGAACCCATCCAAAACCGTCTGGAACGCACTCTTCAAGCCCTCCTCACCATCCAAATCCGCCTCGCTCGCGGCACCCGCTTAACCGGTAAACCAGAAGGCGGCAGTCAGAACCCAGTGAAAGACAACGTGATCCCTCAACACCTCGTCCAAAACACTTACACGCGCCTGAAAGCCAAGTACGCCTCCGAGCTCTGCCAGAAATGGGTCGAAAGCACCGAACCTTCCAAGCACGTCTTTGAGGACCTTTCCATCACCGCATTCCTCATCGAACTCTGGAGAAGCATGTACGGCGCCGTCCCAGCCGACGAGCAGAACAACGACACCACCACCAACCAGGACCCCCCGAAATGCCCCTTCCCGGGCTTCGTCGATGTCGCCTGCGGCAACGGCGTCCTCGTCTACGTCCTACTCATGGAAGGCTACACAGGCTGGGGCTTCGACGCCCGCCGTCGCAAAACCTGGAGCATATTCCCGGAGTCTGTACAATCCCGCCTCCATGAAGAAATCTACATCCCCCAGCCCTTCGCAACAACCGCTCCCACCCTCCTCGACCAACTAACCATCAAATCCCACACCGGCACCTTCCCCAAAGACACCTTCATCATTTCCAACCACGCAGACGAACTCACCGTCTGGACTCCCCTCATGGCCACGCTTCTTTGTCCGGAATCTCCATCCCCATTCATCGCCATCCCATGCTGCTCACATTCCCTCTCCGGGGCCAGATTCCGCTATCCGCCTCCCAAGGCCCCCAAAGCCACCGACAAGAAACAGGGCCCCTGCTCGTCGGCAGAACATACTGAATCCGAAAACCCTGCATCGGGGGATCTCAAATCCCTTAGGAAAGAAAAACAGGATGCGCAGCAAACGGAAGCAGGGTTCCTCAAGTCCATGTATGGTTCTTTGACTGCGAAGACGATGAGCGTGGCTGAGGAAATCGGGTATGATGTGGAAAGGACTCTGTTAAGAATTCCTAGTACAAGGAATATGGCTGTTATTGGTGGACGGAAGCGGATAACGCAGGAATGGAAGGATAAGAGCCAGGGGGTGGATGCTGATGGGGACGGGGATGGTGAAGCGGTCCTGGAACGGGTGATGGGTGCTGTGCGGCGTGAATGTTCGCGCGAGGGAGGCCTCGAGGAGGCCGCGAAGATTTGGATTGAAAGGGCCAAGGGGTTGAATAAGGGGTCCGGAATGGGGAAGCAAGGTGGTCATTGAGTTAGTTGATTTAAATTTTTATGCAAGATACGGAGAGGATGTGAGATGAGATACCCGAAAAGCAGTCGAGTACATATGATAGATGATAAATAGATACATGGAGGGGAGGAAAGATTGAAATAAGGGTTAGATAAAATGATGTAAATGTACATACATGTGCGCAGGCGTCACATCTATCGTCTATGGACAAATTACAGAGCCGACTTCGGCTCCCTAGAAACAGACCTATGAGTGAGATGGGTGGTATGCTAGAACTAGATACAGTCACTCCCTGTAGATTGGGAGGACAGCACTAGCGGAAATCAGTCCAAACAAAAGACGAAGCAAATCAAATCCACTGGCCAAACTCCTACCATGCGGTTCTATAGATTCTAGCAAATGACCATCGTGTCTGGGACCCCCGAGCAGTCCTTGTTCATAGTAGCTTCAATGGTAATGGGCAAGATCGTATCAGGTAAAGCTGCGTGGGGAATATCATGATCAGACATAAGATGGGATAATGTTCTTTGCAGAGCTTCCACGGGTGTATTAGGATTGCTCTGGTTCTCTGGCTCCGTCCCCTGATGGCTTCGGAGGCACACTGGCGGTCTTGAGGGTAGCAGTCCGGGCGGCGGCTGCAGTTGTATTATCCCTGATGCGCTTAATCCGGTCCACACGCCCTTCGCCGGGGAGACTGCCCCAGACAGGCTCGATGGTATCTGCTCGCCAATTTGGCCGATGGCCGGTGCGTGCGCAACTTGTGGGTAGGGAAACCATGGGTGAGCTGCCGACGCCGGATTCGCCCCACATCCGGACACGCTGAAGCTTGCGCAGCTTGGCAAGCCCGTAAACACAGACGACGATCGTGATGGCAAAGCATGTCACGGATACTGCGCCAAAGCCCAGGTCCGATTCTTCGATGAAGTTTTTCAAGTTCATTCCGTAAAGTGCGGAGAACAGGGTTCCCGTTGCGAGTCCGAGCGTTCCGATACTGAATTTGAGGTCTAATAGCATGAGAGAGTTACGGTTGGCGTCAAGGATCGCCTTGACACTGTGCAAAAGTCAGTATCCTACCCTGGGGAACGTATAAAAGACACTGTGGACTACTTACACTTCCTCCGTATTGCGAATTCCAGTCACCAAGTTGCCGCTTGCCTGAACAATTTCGTCGCATACCTTATGGTATGACTCGAGCAACATCTCCACTTCTTGATGATCATCTTCCTCGCGTTGAATACCCTTGGCACCCTCTGTGAGGTACATTGCAGCCAGGTCGTCGTCCGCCTCCAACAGATCGTCAATGGCATCACGCACAAGACGAGCCTTTTGTTCGAACGTACCCAGCTTCTTGGAGTAGATAAGGAGATGTCTAAGTTTGTCGCGATCAATATCTTCCTCCAGAGCCCTGAGCACGCTCACAACCGGATCTCTAACACCGTTAAATTCCTCCTCTAGGCCACTTGTAACACTGATCAAGACAGCTTCTAGAGCCCGTAATTCGTAAGGCAAAGCACCCGCACCCGGCGACTGCTTCTGTCGTAGCTTTCCCTCAAGATCGTACACGAATAACGACTGCATGTAAGAATCCGTTGATCCATATGCATCAAACACAAGGACGCGATCGGCCTTGATCAGAACCCGCAGGTGTAGTAGGTTGATAAGGATAGCTCTCGGTCGTACAAGGATATGAGGCAACGTGGACGAGTCGATTTTGCGCAAGTCTCGAGGGAGAAGACCATACTATACTTTGATTTAGTCTTGTGCCCTATTCCGGGATGAAGCGAATTGTAGAGCCACCCATACTGACCTTGGCAATCAGCTCGCTTTTCTTGAATTCACCGTTGACCAGAGTCACATCCCCGTTGCTGTCAAATTCCGTACACCGCAGACGCGGTTCATTCGAGGCCCTGGCTACTAATCCGCGACCAATGTTGAAGCTTCCCTCTGTACCTTCACTGATCAGTGCAGGCGGATGACGGACGTAGTGTTTGGACTCAGCAGCCTTGTTCCTTTTGAAGTCAAAAAGCCTGCGCCATAGGCTCCTACTCTTTGTGGATGAAGCGCGCGAAGACTGCGCATTCGGGAGACAGAATGGGCTTGTCGAAGAGCGCTGGGCCAGCGACGCCCGGCATCGTGCAATACCGCGAGATCTGGCGGAAAGGCTTGGGAAAGATATCAGACTTGCTTCCAAAGTCGCCCGGCATGGCGCAGGATTGATATGTGTCCAGTTTGACGTCCTGCTTAGCGGAAAGGCATGTGGCTGATGGTGACTTTGGGCGTCATTGAGAGACCGTCCGGAAGTGGTTGGGTTGGCTGTGAAAAAGAAGGAATCGGACTGTGAACGTAAAAACCGGAGGAGAGACGCTGACGGAGCTGAAGACTTCATGGACGATGAAGACAGCATTTCTGTCTTGTACAACAACTTCACCGACCAAGAAGACGACCACCACTCATCCAGGCCCAAGCAATAGTCTCATCATCCATCTTTTTTCCCGCATCCAAGTTGCGCCGCCCGGACCAACTATGATCCGGCCATGCTCCGGGGATGCCCTTTTTGGATCATTAATATTAACTTCAGTGACGGTTCAGTTCCAAATAACACACAAGCAAGTCGAAATTTCGCATTTCTTCTCTCTGGGCACTATCAGTCTCTCAAATAGTTTCCTTGGTATGATAGATTATCATAAAGAGCACTACCATGTGGTCTTTGAAAGAAACTGCTAAGCAAGCCTTCAACGCTAACAGTTAATATAGTTTGTTTAGAACATGAGATATCCGATCTAAGGACTTCCCTGCCGAGCAAAAAATTACGAGCACCTTGGTGCCTGCCTTTTTGGTTCGAGTAGGTGAGCAACGGTGCCCTGAGCTCGCACGACTGGCGTGACAGGGCGGATGATGGGGGTGAGGGTCCCCCGAAGGTGGGGCACTGTACCAGCTACATATCTATTATCTACATATCTACATATCGCCATCACACGCGAGAGATTACTTATCCATTCACTTTTGCTAATGAGATTAATCTCTGGATAGTATCTGCTCATTCTAATTCACAATTTGCTTTTGATCCAAACGATCGCGATGCGTCTTCAAGTGTAGATGCATTTTCGGATCTCCCGGTTTCATGGCCTTCTAGAATTTCCTATTATCCTCCTTCAAGCATTCCTCGTGGAAACTATCCGTTCCATCGACGTACTCTACCACATAAGTCAACATTGTCATCCGATAAGGCTCGCGGGGGCTGTCGTGGTCTCGACAAAGTCGAAGAACAACAGCTTCGCAATACCGGACGGGGCTGGGAACTCAGACAACAGAAAGGTCTGGAGGTAAGCGCCCTTGGCCGCACCCGAGACGTGCTGGTGAAAGTTGGATGTTAGATGCCGACGTGATATCTGCACTGTTAGTAGCAATGTTGAAATCAGGAAAATCCCAAAGCATGTCAGACTTCCTATACAGCGATATCACAAGCTCATCGTTGATGTGTAGGTGTGCAACAGTTGACATACCCTGGGACGCGATTGAATATGGGCATTTAAGACCTTGTGTGCATGCGAGGAACCCCGCATGGGAGGAAGTAGAGAAATCCGTCTCAGTTAGTGCATCAGGTACAATAGAAGAAACTCCCTGGCACAGGACTAGAAGTCATTCGACTGATAACACATATAAGAGACAACATTGGCGTCAACAATGGCGGGGACTCCATAGACAGTCAGCAGATAGTTCACCCAGAGTAAGTTTGGGACGCCAGCATCATTTAGAATAGAGGATATCAAATTAACGAGATTGTTACTTAGATCCTGACCATTAAAGCGAAAAGTAGACATTACAGCTACCTCCTTCAAGATATTAGACGTGCAGGAATACAAATGAGCAAAGGCAGAACGCGGGAGCTGGTAGTCGTAGGCTCACAGAAAAATTGCAGGACGTTTTCTGGTAGTATCTTTCACCGCCCAAGGTATAGTAAACACGTGCCTTTCAAGTAGTGTCACTATTTTCTTGGACCTTGATCAGTTCCGGGATGCTTCAAGGCAATTTACGAGAATTAAAGACTAGCGCTGAGATGCTGTCCATGTAGCTTTTTCCAAACACATTGGAATTCTTTGGTATAGAGAATCTGGCATCTCTCAGATTTCGTTGCTACTTTTTCAGGCGAGCAAAAGATCATTAAGTCATGATGTGGCATAAACCTTACACCATCAGGATGCAATTCAACCACCTTCATCTGTTCATATGCAAGAATGCCAGCGCCAAGAATCCATCGAAACTGTCGTCCCTTAGAGCTTACCTAATCGAACTTATTTTTGGCGGCCCCACCAAATCGGCCGGATCGGAAATACAAGGCTTGATACCATTGGCTGTCTTCTTTGAGCCGCGGGTTTAGCCCCACCAGACATTGCATTAGCAAGGTACCAACCATACTACATACTACTACTTCTTTGAATTTTATCTCTATGGTTTTGCCCACCCCTAGTAATTCCTGGGAGTCACCCAGTACAGCGAGCTATGCTAGAGAAATATTGGCATGCATGATGCATCCTCCTAAAGTTACGATCTGATTTTGCCAGACTTGACTTCTGGTCTCTGGGAATTCCCGGGTACAAACATTGCGTTTCCATTCTTGAGGATAGGAAATGAGTCCGCTGCCAGACAGCCTCAATCTCCAGGACATACTTTTTTATCGCTTGCAGGAAATGCTGAGTAGAAAGGAAGACCCGACATTCACCTCCACGCACCGGATGGGAATATGCTAAAACGAAAAAGGATATCGAGGCTGCAAGACGGAGGTATCACACAAAATCCGACAAGTCTAAACCACCGCAGCAATAGGAATGTCCAAAAAAGGCGAAACATAACTAAGCAGAGCTCACCAATCGTCGTCATCCTCCTTTTCGTCATCTATAACCAATGTTAGCATGCGTACCATTGCCCCCATGGAGATGTATACTTACCGCTACCGCTAACCTTCTGCTTTCTCTTCGCCAACGCGTCTTGCAAAGCCCCTGCCAAGCCTCCTTGAGGAGCGCCTCCACTTGGAGTCGGCGCAGAGGATTCGCTGGCTGATCCGGGTACGAGTGCTGCACTCCGATCGCGCTTATCGGAATCCCTGACCTTCCGCAGACCACCGCCTCCCTTTCCTCCCGATGCCCTGATGGCAGCCAGGAGATCACCTCTTCCACCTTCGGCTTGGGGTAGAGGCGGAGCAGCTCCACCCGGAGGAGGCGGAGGCGGCGCACCAACTCCAGGAGGTGGGGGAGGGGGTGGGACTGAGGCTATTGGTGGTGGAGGCGGTGGAGGTGCAGGAGGGCCGGTGCTTGTCGGAGGCGGAGGCGGTGGGGGAGGTGGGACCGAGCTTGTTGGTGCTGGTGGCGGAGGCGGAGGAGGCGCAGGAGGCCCTGCACTAGGTGAAGGATATGAGGGTGGCGGTGGTGGCGGAGGAGGAACACTTGAAGATGGAGGTGGTCGAGGTGGCGGGGGAACGTTCGCCGTGGGAGGCGGGGTGGGGGAGGCGGCACGCTCGACGTAGGCGGAGGAGGGATAGGCCGGGAGGCGGCAGGTACGGGTGGGGGCGGAGGTTGCAAAGGACTTCTGGGCGGCGGAGGCGGAGGCCCTGGTGCAGACACATTGGGAACTTTAGGAGGTAGCTGCGGTGGTGGCGCAGGGCTCATGGTGCGTGGAGGAGGCAGCGGGGGCCCTGAAGGCACCGGCCGATTGGGTGGTGCAGGCGGAGCAGACACCTTGCGCTCGCCCTGGAACGGTGGGGGGACACCAAACCGGGACTGAGGTTCATCCATTGGGGTCTTCGGAGGCCGTGGGGGAGGTGGAGGACCAGGAGTAGCACTTGACAAAGCTCGCTGGCGAGTGGGCGGCAAAGGACCCGGAGCATGCGCGAACTTACCGGCGTCTGCAATTGGAGGCGGTGCACGGAACCGGTTCCTTGGGGGGGATGGCTCACGCTTCGAGGCAGGTTCCTCTTCCGCCGCGTCAATCCGAGTTCTCCGTGTCGGGGGCGGAGGCGGTGGGGCGCCTCGTCGGCTGCCAGTGCTATTGCCGGTGTTTTGTGGGCTAATGTTGGCCACCTTCGGGCCAGGCGGCGCAGATGGAGGAGGCGGAGGGGGAGCTTTCCCTCTCCTCTGATCATCGGCAGGAGGGGGAGTAGGCGCCGTGCTTTGTTTCTGTTCGATATATGACTTGATGAAGTCGAAGTTCTCCGCAATCAAGTCTTCGGTGATGCCCATTTGTAGAAGCTCGTCCAGTATACCCTTGAATGCCGGGTCATTGGTGTCGAAAGGCAGTTCCTTGCGTGGTGGGCTGGATGCAGGTGGGGGCGGTGGAGCAACCTGGATTGACGGGGCAGGGGGCAATTCTGCAGGTGTTACCGGCGGTGGTCCATGGGATGCTGATGATGAGCGATGGCCGAGTAAGCTGCCAAATAGCGATCGTCCAACCCCAGATTTGCCGTTCACCACCGGGGCAGGACCCTGGCCTCGGGTAGATGCAAAGGGAGTCTGCCGTGTCTCTTTACTCGCATGCTTTTCTCGCTCAACGACCTTCTTGATGAATGTCTTAGCCTCTTTCTCATCGGCAAAGGATAGTCCGGCGGGGCAATCTTCTAATTCAAAAGAATGGAAGAACGTGCGATCTTGGTTGTATGCGAAGTTCTCGTAGATCTCTTGGTCCCAGATAACGCCCCTATTGGCAGGCTATAGCCCCAAAAAGGGATTCGTTCAGTCAGCCGTCTCAAGACAAGATTGACCATAGCGTGCTCACCGATACGTCCACCAACTTCAGCCAAAAGGTGCGCCCGACCAGGTCATTTGCCAGCACTGCAGCTCCCTGTAGACCAGTGTACGTCCATCTTTGGGTGTCTGGGTGAGCCACATAGAGTCGCGCAACGGCCACCGCAAAGATCTTATTGTCAGGCTTTGGGACAGCTCTCCTGACCGTCTCCTTGTCGTTATCGTTCAGAATTGAAGGCATGACGATGTACCGACAAAGCAACGGGCTGATGGGTTAGGAATTGCAACCAGTGAAGTAAGAGCAGTCAATTCGCCTCCCGGAGGCGCATTGCAGGATGCTGGGTGTAATTCGTGTGAGTCCGAACCACCGAAGTGTGCTTGCTCCTCAGGCACGGATAAGAGCTGATACGGCGCGGCACCAACGGATCCGTCTAGGACAAAGGGGGGGTGGAATTCCCAGGGTTCCGTGGGGTAGGTGGTGGCTGGTCCGCGACCGTAAGAACACGAAAGGAGGGTGTGGAGTTCAGTTATGGGCTATACGGGATTGAAGGCCCTTGAGAGAGTGGGATTGGTGGTCGAGGAAACCTGCCTTTAAGGAGGGGAGAAGAGAGAAGAGGTCAAGTAGCCGGAAGAAGAGGAGTGTTGGAGGGAGGGAGAGAGCGACGGAGAGCCACTAAAGTCCACTAACGCCGCGGTGGGGATCCGGACGCCTCTGGAATCGACTGGCGCTCACTCAGCCGAACCCAGTCGCTTGCGCTGGTAGATGGTTCAATGGGTATGGACTTGGATATAATGCGCCCCAACACCCGATGTTGCTTGACTCAGACAATGCGACATCTTCAGCTGGAAGCCTGGTAGTTTCCGATCGTCCGCACTGGTCTCGTGCAGCATCCAAAATTGATCCAAAGAAGTCTGTCTGCCTCCAACCCGTATAATAACACCATAACCACAAAGGTGGATTAGGCAGACATGCAAGATCCAAGAAAACTGCCTCTGTCAGTGTCTCATTCGCTGGTCTCACTGGATCGAAGAACTGCATTGCCTCAATGGTAGTGACATCTTCCTGCTGCAGTAGTAGTATCGGAGCCCAACCGACGTCATCGCATCTGCTGCAACTATAGAAAGCTAACCTTCTCGTATCACCGTCCTTGCTACTACTACCCTCCTCTTTAACTCCCTAACATACATAGTGAATTGCTTCTCATACTTGTCACCTTCCACTACGGATTCATCATCCATCACGATGCCTGTCATCCCCCAAGGCTCCGACTTCCCGGCTGAACAAGGCAGCAACAATAACAACTCCTCCACAACTCAGGAGCAAAGAAATTCCAGCCAAGGAACCCAAAAAGCCTCGATGCTTGACCACTTGTCCAAGGGTCCTCAAATTCCTGACAGTAAGTTTGCATTGCGCTTTGCCCCTCGCGAACATTCCGCGGGTAGCAGTTCACTGATGGCCATAGACATGCCACCCAAGGTTTCAAGGGAAGAGATCGAGGCACGCAAGAAGGAGCTGAACAAGTAATTAAAACACCATGAGGATATGATAGTTGTTGTGATTCGTGATTCTCTTGTATCAGTTCTGACCTAGTACATTGTAATTTCCATCCGGATAAAGCAGTTAGTATATATGTTTGTTCACTTCTATGCTACAGTAGACTCGCCCAAAAATCTATTCCAACGGCACCTTTACTAAATGTATATATTCCATCAATTACACAATTCGGCCCTTTGGCATACGAGATACAAGTTACTGCTGGCGCCCAGCGTCATTACATCATAGACCACGTGACTCCGCGTTCGCTTTGGTCCTCACTTCGCGAAGGAAGATGATTTCCTCGCGTCAACAGGCTCCTCATGCCACCTGAACGCCCCAATATACCGGTGAAGCTGTCCTTGCCTTTGGTGTGTACTACGAATCTTCATGCGGCCTGTTAGAGACACTCCTGGGATTGCTGACAGGATAAATCCAGCAATACCAGCAGGACATCTTCACCGAACTGCGCTCGGAGGATGAGCTGGTCATTCTTGCTCGAGGCCTAGGGCTCCTGCGCTTGGTGACAAATCTACTACATTTTCATGATGCTGCAGGGAACAATTTGGTGCTGGTTGTTGGTGCGGACGATCGGGAAAATGAATGGATCGGAGAAGGTATGCTGCTGCTAGGACAGGTTACTGGTAGGCTATGTTGGACCGATCCAATGCTGACCTTTTGCAAGCATTGGCTGAGCACTATGCTATTAGCAAAACCCCTCTGGCCAGGGGTCTTAAAGTGATCAACACTGATAGGGCCACGGTCCCAATGCGGTACGTCCCTTGTGCAGGATTCATGACACTCAATACTAATGTTGATCCAGTGAGAAGATCTACGCAGAGGGCGGTATTCTGAGTGTAACATCCAGGATACTAATAGTGGACTTTCTATCAAGTCAGTGAGATGAACTGTTGCCTGTCTTGCGAGTTCCCCCCTCTGACCTGCCATCTAGAACTGCTCGACCCCGAGAAGGTCACCGGCATGATTGTGCTCCATGCTGACAAGTAATAAATCATGTCCTCGCTCCTGAGTAGAGTATACTAATTACACATAGGATTGTGGCAACGTCTATTGAAGCCTTTATCATCCGTGTCTATCGAGAAAACAACAAGCGTGGATTTCTAAAGGCGTTTTCCGACTCACCGGAGCCATTCACGACAGGATTTGCTCCCTTAGCCAATTCCATGCGCAACCTTTTCCTTCGAAAAACCTCTCTCTGGCCTCGCTTCCATGTCACTGTTGCAGAAGCCCTTGAAGGTCACAGAAAGGCAGAAGTGATCGAACTTGAAGTTCCGATGAGTGATAAGATGCGCGAAATCCAAAATGCCGTTCTTGAGTGTGTGGAGATCTGTATAGGGGAACTGAAGAAAGCAAATGCTGGGCTTGATATGGCAGACTGGACCTTGGATAGTGCCTTGCACCGGTCCTTCGACGTTGCGATCAGGCGCCAGCTTGATCCCATATGGCATCGTGTGAGCTTCCGAACCAGACAGATTGTCAGTGACTTGTCGGATCTTCGGGCGATTCTACAGTGCGGCTACCTCTTTCCTTCTGTAATTCCTCAATCCCTCATCAACTAACTGTATCCTAGTGCTTTGTTGACTTACGATGCTGTCTCCTTCCTCAAATTTCTCGACACAATTGTCACAGCACATACTCCACCTCCTGGGTCCACAAAACATAACTACTCGCCATGGCTTTTTCTTGATGCGGCTGATGTGCTATTTCAGACTGCAAGATCAAGAGTATACCAGGGACGAATTAGCAAAGAGGTGGCTCAGTCATCATCGACATCATTCCCTACCACGCTTCAACCTATACTGGAAGAGCAACCCAAATGGGAAGTCATGGTGGAGATACTAGAAGAGATCGAGACAGACGCATACCTCAACCCAGTCAACGTTGACGAGTCGAATAGCACTGTGTTGATTATGTGCAGCGATCAACGGACCTGCCGGCAACTTCGCGAGTACCTGGGCACGATGCATGCCAATGTGGATAGTAAAAAGCAGGAGACAATGGATCCGGGTGATGTCATCAGTGAGAAAAAAGGATCTGCTGAAGTGATGCTGCGCAGAAGGCTGCGGGAATACCTTGATTGGAAGACTTCTTTGACCAATGTCAGCAAGAACCTTTCATCGAAACCACCCGATGAGGGGTTGCAAACATCGATGGGAAAGAACACCTCCGGGTCTTTGAATCAAGGACGAGCCCCATTGAACAAGCGGCGCCGAGTTCGCGGAGGAGGCACATCAGCCGTTCCAGTACGCGTGCCGAACAGCAGTGTACAGGTAGAGATCGAACCACCGGCCCAGGTGTCGGCACTCCTAGACGAGATTCAGCCAACAGAGGTCGAAGAGATCCAGAAGGAGGAAATAACAATCGATCATTTTGAGGATATGGATGATTACTACGAATTGTGCGATATGGATGACTTGGTCATGATACACCCCTACGACGGGGATATGGATGAGCATATCCTCGAGGAAGTCCGGCCACGTTATATCGTCATGTACGAACCAGACCCTGCGTTCATCCGACGAGTAGAGGTTTACCGCAGCTCTCATGTTGGAAGGGATGTGCGGGTCTATTTCGTCTACTATGGGGGATCCGTTGAAGAACAGCGCTATTTGAGCGCTGTACGGCGTGAGAAAGATTCGTTCACGAAACTCATCAAAGAGAAAGGCGTAAGCACCTTCCCCGTCATCCTGCAAGCGACTATTCACTAACTCGATATACCAACCAGAGCATGGCTGTCACCATCACACATGACAAGAGCCTTGAAGACCCTCAGGAACAGTTCCTTCGAACCGTGAACACCCGTATCGCTGGAGGAGGCCGACTCGCCGCAACAGCATCGCCCCCTCGAGTAGTGGTAGATGTCCGGGAGTTCAGAAGTGCTCTCCCCTCTCTACTGCATGGCAATAATATGGCTGTCGTCCCATGCCAACTCACAGTCGGTGATTACATCCTCACGCCCAACATCTGTGTAGAGCGCAAATCAGTCCGTGATCTGATCACCTCATTACGGAATGGCCGCCTCTACAACCAAGCAGAGACAATGCTTCAACACTACAAGAACCCGCTCCTCCTCATCGAATTCGACCAAAACAAGTCCTTCACCTTCGATGCTTTCGCATCTGCAACGACCCCGGGCACTACGTTCCTCACCGACTTCGGATTTTCATCCTTCGGAACAAGCACCCTATCCTCGAATAGCTCCCTCGTCAACCCATCCAGCCCTAAGTCCGCCCAACACCTCCTTGTCCTCCTTACCCTCACCTTCCCCCGGCTCAAAATCATATGGTCTTCGTCCCCATATCAGACGGCAGAGATCTTTGCCGAGCTCAAGAAAAACAACCCGGAGCCAGACCCCATCCGGGCCGTCCAGACTGGGCTGGATATAGACATTGCGGCGGCGTCCCACCCGGGTGATATTATGGCTGCGGCTGGGATCGAGCACCGGGTTTTCAATCTCGTGCCGCAGGACATGCTCCGGGCTGTTCCGGGCGTGAACCCCAATGTCCTCGAGCGGCTGTTAGTGGAGACGGGGAGTATCCACGAAGTTGCGAACATGGATGTTGAACAGCTGGATCCTCTGGTAGGGATCGAGGCAGCACGGAAGATAGTTGGCTTCTTCCGCAAAAGTGTATTCGAGGAAGGTTAATGGTTATATATATACGTTCCATGTCGCCTGGATACACGGGGACACCAATTGGTTTGCAATATTTAAAATTCGTAATTCTTTCATAACTCTATCATCCAGGTTTTTCAAAAACAAAGGAGCGAAATGAAAAGAAATAACGAATAAGCAGGGAGCAAACACAAAGATCACCCACACGCCACAGGCCATACACAGTGCGGCCTCCTTGTACGCATTAAGCCATCCTTCCGTAGCTAACTCGAGAACGCCCTCACGATGGAACATGATTTATGTCCAGCAAACGGATATACCCCCATCATGAAGAAAATCCCAAGTGTACCCCTGTCCCTGATCCATACCCTGAACTATGAGGAGCCGCACTGGGCGCAGTAAAGGCAAGCGCTTACGCGAAGCGGGGAGGCGCTGCCGCCTGATTCCTTGTCTCGAGACCTTCATGTTGAAACCCCAACTAGCACAGCTTGCACCAGCCGCCCGATTACCTCCTCTCAAAGCACGTAACAGCTTTTCGGAAGGACACTCGGCAGGGTTCCCACGGTGAAGGTTGAAGAGGCTTGACGAGTCGAGGAAAACAGAACCGAACCAAGTCGCTCCGGCAGGGGTATGAGATCGAAGCCCAAAAGGGCATTTAGAGCTCGTCGACATCGATCTCCTTCTCTTCTTCGCTCTCGCGGTCCTCGTCGAACTCGACGTTGTCCTCGAAGCCCTCGTGGCCGTAGGTGTCGGTCTCGTTGATCTTGGCGTGCTCGGGCAACTCGCCGTAGGCCTTGAGACTTCTGGCCTCATCGGCGGTGTACTTCATGATGACGTCGCCCTTTTCGTCTTGGTAGTCACGCAGCGAGAGAAGGATAATATCACCCTGGTTGATCCAGACCTTCTTACGAAGCTTGCCACGGATGTGAGCCAGACGCTTCTCACCGTCGAAGCAGAGAGCCTCAAGACGGCCGTTACCAAGCATCTTCACGACCTGCGCGTACTCCTGGCCTTCCTCCTTGAAAACGAGCTCACGCTTCTCATTGTCGTTCTCGTTCTTTCCACGACGACGGTTCTTACCGCCCTATTTGTTGCATAGATGTTAGCAAACTATCCTTGTGGCATGCGTTATTTTCATCTGGCGATGTCCTGAGCTGTTCTTGATGCCTCCATATCCGCGTTCCTGGCTGTGGGGGCCGTTGGAGGGGGACATGGTGGCAAGAGCGCCCAGGGCAGCCTGAAAGCGAAAATCTGTAAAGCGGGGTTCCCGGGCGGGATGCACAACATACCTTTCCCTTGTTCTTGGGCATATTGAAATCTCGCTAACCGCGGTGGTCTTTCACTCGATGCGATAGCAGATGTTCGGGGGCAAGAAGCTGTTAAATAGATGTCCCTAGGGACCAGAGGAGGTGGAAGTGGGGGGAAAGACGAGGAGGCGGAGGCAAGCGAGGGCCCGGCGGGTGTTTTCGAGGCTTTTCATCCGATTATGTCAGCCACAGTGGGTGGCGGCCTGATGGCCTTGTTCACGCCTGAGGCTGGAAACAAGGGACCCGCCAATCACCGGCGGCAAAAATGACCGCCTGGCGGCAGAATTCGGGACCGCCGAAGCATCCCCGACAGGCCGGGATTCTTTTCTGGATCGCCAGGTTGATTGCGCCCTCTCTTGGTTCGTATCCCACCTCTAATGGCTTTTTGATCCCACTTGCGCATTTCATTGACTGCTCAAGGTCTGCTGCTATAGATATCAGCCCCTTCTTGTCAGAAGAGCTGGCTTTCCCCTGTGCCGACCAGGCGATGACCGTATGATACTACTACTAAGTGCTAATACTTGAAGCCTGTCATTATTCTTCTCTCCACAGAACCAATTGTCTTGACTACAATTCTCTCCACATACGCCCATCATGGTGGTTTTAAAAAACACCAAGTCCTTGGTGCTACGCTATTCCCCCGTCAACAAACCATCTCACGTCGCCATGCGGTACTTAAGCGCCGAAGTCCACCCCCTCCGGCCTAAGATCGCACACATGTATGCAACCCGCGACAAGGACACGCTATGGTGGATGGTAAATCCATCCTATCTGATGTCCTCGAAAATGAAACGCCTGGTTCGATCATGGTGTAGCCGACGAGCCCGGACGGCCTTCCGGCAAGCGCTGAAAGAGCACGGCTTTGACACGGACGGTCGAAGAATCAGAGATGAACCACTGGACTCTAGAGATAGAGGAAAGGATCTGAAGGGCAATGTTGAATTGTTGCTTCATGCGGAGATCATGCGGATGCGATTCGAGGACATACGGAAGGAGATGAGTGCTGGAGTGGGTGCTTTGGTAGATAGAATGGAGAAAAAGAATGCGCCGCTGAAATCGGGGAAAAAGCAAAAGAAAACAGAGGCGGATGCAGACGATTAACAGGATGAGATATCATGATCCTATCGGCAAAATACCCGTAGTAAAGGAGTTGTGGATATTGACTCGATTCTACTGTATATTTGTATAGCAAGTTGGGGGAAATATACTTACTAACCCCCTTGCGATGTGCTGCGTAGGACATGCAGCGCTTTTACTGTCAGTCAAGCATACTACTATCCAAGAGTCTAAGACATGAATGATATCTGGTGTCAATCGAGTATGTCCGTCGAGACTGGGAATGATCGAGGCATATCATTTCAAACAATCCTCGCCGGCGAGAGACCACGCGGCCGAGCCTCCTTGGCGCCTGTCGCTACCGGCCGATCTCCATTCAGCCTGAAGACAACAACAACATCTCTCCTCTTGCGACTCCCTCTTCCGTCCCTCCCAATCCCCAGCTGTCCTCCACGCGACTCGACGCTCCCGGGCATCTCAGGCTGGTACCCTCTTTGATGCGCCATCCCTGATTATCCGCCACCTGCCTCCAAGATGTTGGTCTCCTTGACAGTCGGCAAGGTAGACGCAGGAGTCGCCGTACTCTTGACTCAGGACAACAGACTCGTGAGTCCCATCCCAACCCCCACGCTCTTGCGGCGAGCAATTGACGCACGAGCCTGCACGACATCCCCCTCTAAACCACTCCACCCCCTTTCAAAGGAGTCTCGACACCCACTAACCGAACCCAGATCGAGTTCCCCTCCGTCCTCCTCCCCAACAACATCACCTCCGGCAGCATCGTCGACATCACCGTCGCGCGCAACCACACTGCCGAATCAGCCAGCGCTGCCAACTTCCAGACGCTCCAAAAACGCATCCTCAACACCTACGGCATCAAGACCCCCACACCCCCCGTCCTCCGCCTCCGCAACGCAACCCAAACTTCCCTCGTCTTGGAATGGGACCCTATCGACCTAGCCACCGCATCCCTGAAATCCCTCTCCCTGTACCGCAATGGCTCCAAAGCCGGTTCCATCCCCCGTCCGCTCGAAACCCGGAGCACCAAAATTAGCGGCCTGGCCATCCACACCGAATACACCTTCCATCTCGTCCTGCGCACCACCGCCGGCACCTACCAGTCGGAGAAGCTGACCTGTCGCACACACAAGATGACGGATCTCTCCGGTATCACCGTGACGGCAGGCGTGCTGCCCCCGCAACAGAAGGATGCTCTGGCGGCTGCATTGGACCGAATCGGCGGAAAGCTGATTGATGCGGTCCGCATCGATACCACCCACTTCGTCTGCACGGAGGGGCGGGGTCCGCTCTGGGAGAAGGCCGTCGAGATGAACATCCCCGTCGTTGTGCCGGAGTGGGTGGATGCTTGTGAGGCAGAGGGCACGATCGTTAGTGTCCGTGGGTATTATCTGAATGCGGATCCCAAGGCAAGACAGCTGGGCCCGATTCACAGTTCCACGCAGCATCAGCGAACGGTTTCCACAGCCACCTCGTTGGCGCCCCCTGCTGTGCAGGTTCATACTCCGGCGCGGCAGTCGGAGCAGGACAGCGAGCAGAATGTCGAGCCCCCGGTTACGCCGTTCCCGGGTGCCGAGATGACCGGCCGTCCCATCGCGGAAGAGAAGGAGGTTGACTCGGACGAGGGGACAGAGTCGCCGCCCCCTCCCCCTCCGAAGGATGAGGAAGACGAGGCAGATGAGCAGAATGACACGCCGCCATCTCCGCCAGAGAAGGACGAGGACGTGAACGAGGACGTGAAACCCCAGGAGAACACGCTAGACCAGGAAGAGGAAGACCAGGACTCTTCATCAAGTCCTGATGATGCGAAAGAGGGCAAATCGAAAGAGGGAGGAGGCGAAGGAGATTTTAACGAGGTCCCTCTGTAATAACGTGTCTCCCTGCGTCCCCCGCTGCCCACCTCTTTTCATTCTACATCCACGATTCAAGTTGACTAGCGTCATGAGTGTATATCCGATGCATTAGCCCCCCTCCGCCTCTTCCTTCGCATGAGTTGTTTGTTCTTTTTCTACCTGAGCGGAAAGATGATGTCACTGGGGCTGGTGTATCTTACGTTTGCCTTTTTTATCTTATTTTCTTTGAGCTTATGCCCCCGTCCGATGTTTTTACTTTCTAATAGATTAGGTAGCCTTGTATAGTAAGTGGCGTCTGCACTCGGCCTTTGCAAGCCGATCAATTCTAAGTAGTAGGTCTATCTTGAATATCTAGTGCTAGCCCCAAACTATCTGTACATCATCTCGTATACGTTTCCTCGTGATTCTATATGGGGGTTTTATGTGGTGCGTTGAAGCGTGTAATGGTTGTATATATGTCGGGTGAAATAGGTGAGTGGTAGCGAGGAGTTAAATCTCTCGCTCCGAGGTGTGGGGGCTTCCTTGCCATGTGCGTTTATTTGACGTTGCGGACGACGTAGTCGATGGCCTCCGCCACATAGGCGACGTTCTTCTGGCTCACTGAGATGGGGTGTTAGTAAGATTGTGCAGAGGAAATGCTAGGGTGGGTAAGCTTACAGCCGCTGATGGAGGCCCGGCCAGATTTGATGAGGTAGACGTGGAACTTCTCTTTCAGAGCCAGCACCTGGGTGGTGGTGAGGCCGGTGTAGGAAAACATACCGTTCTAGTGATATGTTAGCATGGTACCAAGGATCCGAAGGGGAAGGGCCGGTATTTACCTGCTCGACGATGTGCTTCCATGTTCCAGGAGTCTGAAGTCTCACGAGCTCATCGTAGAGAGCAGCCCGCATGGCCTTGATGCGCGAGCTCATAACCTTCAGATCGTCGTGCCATTGCGTGCTCAGCGCGTCGTTGGTCAGGACCTTTTTGACGATCGAGCAGCCACCGGTAGGGCCCATGGAGAACTCGCCCCTGATGAAGTGGCAGAGGTTGTTGACCACGAGATCGCGCAAGTTTTGAGACCCCTCACCAAGTACGTAGTGGAAGGCGCCGACACGCTGGCCGTAGAGACCGAAGTTCTTGGAGAAACTCTGCGCGACACACATCTCCATGTGCGGCTTCTCGTGGAGGAAGTAGCGCACCGCCCAGGCGTCCTCGTCCGCAGATCCGGAAGCGAAGCCCTGGTATGCCGAGTCGAAGAAGGGGAAGATCTTCTTGCGCTCGCAAAGATCGGCAATGGCCTTCCACTGCTCCTTGCTCGGGTCCAAACCAGTTGGGTTGTGTGCGCAGGCGTGCAGAAGGATCACATCACCTTCCTGGGCATCAGACTCAAGGGTGGACATCATGCCCTCGAAGTCGAAGGAGCGAGTCTCGGCCTTGTAGTAGGGGTAGGTCTTGCGGGGGACGCCCACGAGGTCCCAGATGGTGACGTGGTTGGCCCAAGAGGGGTCGGACAGCCAGACAGTCTTGGGGTTCATCTTGTGGGCCAGGAACAGAGCGCCCAGGTGGTTGGCACCAGTGCCTGCCACAGCCTGAACGGAGCCAATTCGGCCCTTCAGCGCCTTTTGTTCCTCGCAGAGGTTTTTGGCGTCGAAACCGAACATCAGGTCTCGAGCCAGCTCGAGAAAGGGGATGTCGCCCTCAATGGCAGTGTATTCATGTCGGAAGAGGTTGTCCTCGGCGAGCAATTGCTGCTCAGCCTTGCGCACAGCGGGCAAAGGCCAGGGCTTGCCATCGTCAGTGCGGTAGACACCGACTCCGAGGCTGACCTTCTGGGGGAAGGTGTCATTGGCGTATTCGCGGTTCAGAGCGAAGATCTCGTCAGCCGGCAACGGAACCAAATTGAGGACAGTCATGGTGCAGATTGGGGAAAGTATGTATCGAAAGGTGGATTAAGGGATGGTTCGGTTCTCGAGAAGGTCTGGGTAGTAAATATATAAGCTGGAGGGGCAATCCGGTAAGATTTTCCGGAGCAAACGGTAGGATTCGGCCGTGCTCAAGGTGGAGCAGAGCAGACAGGAAGCGATCCAAGGGCAAGGAGGGTATAGTAGCAGTCGTCCCGAAGAGCGTATATGTACAGCAGGCGAATGACGGGTCGTTAAATTCGGTAGGGAGAACGGTGGATCAGCGCATGAGTCAAGCGTAGTGCGGAACTGAAGCCATGGGAGATGGCCGATATCGCCCACCGCGGCGAAGCTGGCCATGCGGGCTAGTAGTCCTCCTAAATACCCGCGGTGTGTCCCCCATCTTCGCTATTATGATTGCCTTTCGAAGATTTTTTGCTTCTTCTCGCCACTGATGGGGGCAAACGAACCGACGGAAAAGTGCGCTTAGTGAAGGTTCCTGAGAGGGCGAGTCGGTGGGTCGACCCAGACAATGGGAAACCACCATTCCCGGGTCGTGCCTGGAGGAGGTCGTGACGGAGGAAGTTGAATAGCATCTCGTGTCATCCTGCTTCAGCCCCGAGGCCGATCCCATTTCAATGCCGCCCAGCTCGGGGCCTCTCCCTTGTTCCTCCCTTTCGTAGTTCGTAATTGTCACCTGCGGGATTGGAGTCAGATGAAATGTAGTCAGACATTGACGTCGCTCCTTCAAGGGCCCCTTGACGCTAAATCTGTCCGCGGGAGTCAGCTGCCGCGTGTGGTCGAAAGTCAACTATGATATTACACTAGATCCAAGATAGCAGTCGATGAGCTAACCACTAGATAGATACCATCCAGGTATGACAGATGGCGGGGGGCCTGCAAAGGGCGGCTATAGCCGGACGAGAGCTTTTGATCCGGCAGTAACCGAGCGGATATTCACTCGGAATGTTGATTGACACCATCATCATAAGACTCGCCGGTACTGTGTATAATTAGCAGTCCCTTGCTGGCCGACAATCGGCGATCAGGATGTTCTCCAGTTGATACTCGTAGATGGTCCTCGGCAATGGTCATAAGGTTGCACCCAAGGGTCGCTTGCTGATAACGGGTCGAGGCCGAACATGAGGGGTCGGGAGGGGTTATCACCCATCCAAGGCATGACTAGGTCGAGTCTCATCCGGACATCCTGATGTTCGTCCTGGAGCCACTTTCTCAGATCCCTAGAGTTGGAAGCGCTAACATCAGTATGGCCGCCCTCAATGACGAGAAAACCTTGAATGAGCTACGGCCCAAGGCCCTTTTCCAACCACTTCATAACAGTATACCCCCGGAGTTGCTACCTCGCTTCGACCCGGTCTACGTGGAACACTACAACAAGTAAAATGCTGGCAGGCTGCATACGCACGAGGTCCCCATTGAGGAATTCCGCAAGAACCCAGCCAAGTACGCCATCAGCTACGGACGTGCTCAGGGCCCCGATGTCTACCGTATCACGGAGCAGAAATGCCCCGTGCAGGGAGGAGAGATCACAGTACGCATGTTCGAACCTGCTCCCATCGTGGACGAGAATGGCAAGGCTAAGAAGAGGGCCGCATATGTCAACTTCCATGGAAGAGGCTGGGTGTTCGGTGATCTTTCAACGGACCACGACTTCTGTAAGAGAGTCGTCGATGGTCTGGACGGCCACCTGGTCGCGTTCGATGTCGACTACCGATTAGCACCTGAGCATAAGTATCCAATCCCCGTCGACGATTGTTGGTCAGCCTTCAACTGGGTCAGCTATGATTGCCTACCCTTCCCGCCCTGTATGATCGCTGCGGACTGACAGCGCGTGCAGATCCGCTCCCTAAAAGCAGAGGAGTTCAATTTTGACCCGGATCGAATGGCTATCGGAGGAGTTTCGGCGGGAGGTCACCTGTCAGCCGTGGTCGCGCATCTCTGTCGTAATGCCAGCATCCCGTTGCGCCTACAGGTGCTGAATGTGCCCGTGTGCGATTTACTTAGCGGCTTCACCACGGATGGCGAATTCGATCGGGAAAACTGTCCCTATGAGTCTTATCAAGAGATGGAGTTCACGGCAGCGCTTCCCTTGGGTCGGATGGCCTACTTCCACAAGCATTTCCTGGGGGTTCCCCGGCCAGTAAGTTCAGAGGAGGTGAGTGACCATGCTTGCTGGCAGTCATAGCTGCGCGCAACTGCAGGTTACTGATATGAGTATTAGGACTGGAAGATTTCTCCTATGATCGCCCCCGACTTTTCTGGGCTGGCACCAGCATTGGTGTTCACCGCTGAAATGGATCCTCTGCGGGACGAAGGCGAGGTTTACGCTGCCAAATTGAAAGCCGCCGGCTGTCAAGTGGAGTTGATGCGTATGGCCGAAGCACCCCACACATTTTCCATGTTGGACGGTATCTTGGAGAGCGGACGTGTATACAATGAGAAAGTTATTGAGACGATGAGGAAGGAGCTGGTGGTCTAGATGCTAGGAGAATCGGCCAAAAGGATGTGGATGGAAGGGACGGAGCAGTATGGACTATGGAGAAACAATCAATGCATTGACATCCCGTTGGAGATGCGGAGAGGCAGACAGGATCATGGTTTATCCGGCGATAATCTTTACCGTACCGTACCCGGCGCCTGTCCCTGGATGCTGGGATGGCGGTCAAGGACGGGTAACCGGCGTCATGGCTGTACCGGGCCGGGAGATTTCGGCAGGCGGTCTCGGAAACGGTTGGGCTGGATTAAATATGCGCGGCTGTTGCTGCTCTTCTTCTTCCTTTCTTTTCTGCGTGGTTGTACTGTCCCCCAGGTTTTGGGTAGAATTGAATATTTATAGACCGCTCTCCATCTTTATCCCCTCCTTTTAGAAGTATATCTGCCCCAGATCCCCCGACCATGTTTTCTCCAATGGCTCCTTCATTGGCCACACAGACCCTGTCTAACGCGCGTGATGATGAGCAGGTCAAAAGCCGGTCGTCGCCATGTTGACACCTGCTCACTCGTCCCGAGCCGCGGTGCGCTCGATGGCCTCTCTGACACATGCTGCATCTCGAGTATCGGCCAGCACCCCCGCAGTTGCCCGCACTGCTGTGGCTTTCACCCCCGCCTCTCTCGGTTGCCGTCGCCTTTTGAGCTCCAATAGCCGATCCCTTCAACAATTCCCCCGCCTCCAGTCCTTGAACTCTACCTCCAGCAAGAGAGCCTTCAGCACCACCATCAGAATGGTATGCTCACCTTCACCTTCGCGAAAAACCACTGGCACTCGGTTCCACGGCGAATCGCTTCGCCATTGGCAAACTGTCGTGTTGGAGACGTTGCTGATCGGTTTAACGCTCTAGTCTTCGGCTACCCGCACTGAAACCGATGCCTTCGGTGAAATCCAGGTACGCACAACACTCGTGGACACGATTCGCGCAATGCAATTTTTACTGAGCCCAATATCCAGGTCCCCGCGGACAAGTACTGGGGTGCCCAGACCCAGCGGTAAGATCCCGATCTCGAGAAATCGTTGCTATACCGAGAGCTGCACTTGCGACCGGACAGAGGAATGAGAGGAGGCTGACTAGTGCGACAATAGCTCTCTGGGTAACTTCGACATCAACCAGCCCCAGGACCGCATGCCCGAGCCCGTCGTCAAGGCTTTCGGTATCCTCAAGGGTGCTGCTGCTACCGTGAACATGAAGTTCGGCCTTGGTAAGCCGCCTTCGAACCGGAGGAGACGGCGCCAGTCAAGCTGACTTGCGAATAGACCCTAAGATCGGTGCGGCTATCCAGCAGGCTGCCGCTGAGGTTGCGGAGGGCAAGCTCCTGGACCACTTCCCTCTCGTTGTCTGGCAGACCGGCTCCGGCACCCAGTCCAACATGAACTCCAACGAGGTCATCTCCAACCGTGCCATTGAGATCCTGGGCGGCGAGAAGGGCTCCAAGAAGCCCGTCCACCCTAACGACCACGTTAACATGTCCGCCTCCTCCAACGACTCGTTCCCGACCGCTATGCACATTGCTGCCGTCCTGGAGCTCGAGAACACCCTGCTGCCTTCTCTGCAGAGCCTGCGTGATGCCCTCCAGGTCAAGGTTGAGAACTTCGAGAAGATCATCAAGATCGGTCGTACTCATTTGCAGGATGCCACCCCTCTTACTCTCGGCCAGGAGTTCTCCGGCTACGTTGCTCAGCTCGACCGCAACATTGAGCGCGTTCAGTACACCCTCCCCCACCTCCGCTACTTGGCCCAGGGTGGTACCGCCGTCGGCACTGGCCTGAACACCTTCAAGGGCTTCGACGAGGCTATTGCCGCCGAGGTCACTAAGATGACCGGCACCGAGTTCAAGACCGCTCCCAACAAGTTTGAGGTCCTCGCCGCCCACGACGCCATTGTTGAGGCCTCCGGTGCCTTGAACACCCTGGCCTGCTCTCTGTTCAAGATCGCCCAGGATATCCGTTACCTCGGATCCGGTCCCCGTTGCGGTCTTGGTGAACTGGTTCTCCCCGAGAACGAGCCCGGTTCCTCCATCATGCCCGGAAAGGTCAACCCCACCCAGTGCGAGTCCCTTACCATGGTCTGCTCCCAGGTCATGGGTAACCACGTCGCTGCCACCATCGGCGGCATGAACGGTCAGTTCGAGCTCAACGTGTTCAAGCCCGTCATGATCCGCAACCTGCTGCACAGCGTGCGCATCCTTGCCGATGGCATGAAGAGCTTCGAGAAGAACCTGGTCCACGGACTTGAGGCCAACGAGCCCAGAATCAACGCTCTCCTCCACGAGAGGTATGTATCCCGTGTGACGTTGCGAATTCCGCGCTAACCCGCCATCCAGTCTGATGCTTGTTACCTGCCTGAACCCCGTCATTGGTTACGATATGGCCTCCAAGGTCGCCAAGAACGCCCACAAGAAGGGCCTCACTCTCAAGCAGAGTGCGATGGAGCTGAAGGCTCTGAGCGAGGAGGACTTCGACAAGCACGTCCGCCCGGAGCTGATGCTGAGCCCCAAGGAGAAGAAATAGATGTATAGTCGGAGTGTTGGATGGTGGCGACCCGTGGGGAGATGTTTTGGCTTAGCTTGGAGGAAGCAATCTAGCGACGACTAGCTTTTGCCTTTTCACATCTATGTATACTCAGGAATACTACTGTACTATTCTTATTGTCCAGCCTTGATCGTGCATTTATCCTGGGATCATGTGTCTTCGCAGACATGGGGGCAGCTTCTCGAATTTTTTCGGGGATAACCTTGGTCTGATCTCGGGGCTGATTCCGTAGTGCTATTTTTGGCCGGTAGCGGTCCCACCCCGCGATCTAACATAGTAGGATGTACGGCTAGTCACCACTGGCGAAAAGGAATTTGACCAGCCGCAGGGCTTAGAAAGTTAGAAGGGAGCAACATGACCAGTTGACCTGTCGATGCGGGAGTAGTCAGGGGGCGGACCCATGGGCCTCGGCGGTGCCTTTCGGCCTTGTTTATTACTTCCGCCTCGCCCTCGCTGACCCTCCAGGACTTGTTCTTTTTCATCATCCCTTTCTCTGCCTCCATTCAACCACTTTCGTTGCAAAGTCTCTGTCTCTCGTTCCAGACACCTGGTTGTTCCATCTTTCACGTCCCTCGTTGCACGTCGTATTTCGGTCCTTCCGACCCAACTCAACCTCCAATTGACCCCGCCACTAACCAGGGGCGGCCTTCTTTCAACGAACTTCTCCGCACACCGTCTCAAGAACCTCCCTCTCCCCTACTATACAATCCACTACAGTCAAAATGACCAACACCGCAACCGTCACCCCTACCCCTGTCAAGGCCGTCCCATCCACCGACGATGCCCCTCTCTTCCCCGCCTCCCTTATCTCCCCCGAAGTCGCCGCTATCCTGCCCGAAAACTACAAAATCCGCCCCGTCCGTCGCTCCGACTACCAGCGCGGATATCTCGACGTCCTCCGTGTCCTGACCACTGTCGGCGACATCACCGAGGAGCAATGGAACCAGCGCTACGACTGGATCTCTTCCCGCAACGACGAGTACTACCTCCTTGTCGTCTGTGACGGTGAGGACCGCATCGTGGGCACCGGTAGTTTGATCGTCGAGCGCAAGTTCATCCACTCTCTGGGCATGGTCGGTCATATCGAGGATATTGCGGTCGAGAAGAACCAGCAGGGCAAGAAGCTGGGGTTGAGGATTATCCAGGCCCTGGATTTCGTGGCCGCCAAGGTCGGATGTTATAAGGTATGCAACCTCCCCTACCCCTCCTTCGTCCTTCTAGTTGCTTTCGCGGGAAGTTAGTGTGTACAGCGTGACTTACATTCATCGATTTACAGAGTATCCTCGATTGCTCCGAGACCAACGAGGGCTTCTACCTCAAGTGTGGGTTCAAGCGTGCCGGTTTGGAAATGGCGCACTACTATTAGATATCTGGGGATGTAAGAAGTATTCTTTTTCGGGCTTTGTATCATGATTTTCCTAATCAAGAGTTGTTTCCCTTTGGCGTTTTCCTTATATACATAGATCTGGGTCGAGGTTATATTGTGGATGGTATTGATTGATTGTATGAAGTAATTAGACTTTTACAGAGTATACAAGCTTGCAAGTAACTACTTGTTATTTTGGGTGATTCCTCCTTGATCATTACATAGAGTATCTTCATTACTATTCGACGACTACCTTGCACACCAAAAGAGCATAGCATACATCGAGCCCCGTCTTTCTATCTCTTTACCAACAAACATAATCCCCATCTGCGAAACCACTCAAGAATTTGAACGCTGATAGTTGTCATGGTTTCCCCGGCATGCAACAGTCCCTTGGTGCCTGAGGCAGGAATACTAAGTACTGTTATGCACATAACTTGTAGTTAGAAGGGGGGTAAGTAATGAATTCCGGAAACGGTTAGTGTAGGTCTGAGCCCTACGGGTAAGGTCGCATTGCACGTGATGAATGGGCCCCGGCATATCCGGGTTGGAGGATCTCGAACAGCCAGGCTAGGCCTGCTAGGCCAAGGGGCATGATGAGATCATACGGGGCGCGTGCTTTTCACTACTTCAGTACTACAGTAGCTGTACCGGGCGGGAAATCGGGGGGCGCATTTACTGGGTGCAGAATGCAAGGAAAACCAAAGGGCCATCATATCACATCCATTTTCCATTTTCCTGGGTAGTATAGTAAGATACCATAGGGGGGAGGAGGAGAGGGAGGGCGCAAAAATGATAGAAGAAAGTCCTATCCGAGGGAGGGAATTCATCTGCAAGGAATTCCCCGACCCATCGCTCATACGCCGAAAGAAATTCGTTTGTTTAAATAGAAACTTTGTGAGGCAAAAAACGCTCCTGGGGGATGAAACCTCCCAAATTCCCTATGTCCACACATTTCCCATTGTGTTTTCTTCCTTACTCCCCAGCCCAAGCCAGTGCCGCCTCAATTCCGTTTTAACGCGACTTGGCAGCGACCTTGGGGGCAGAGCCCTTAGCACCCTGCTTGCTCTGGATGCGCTGGGCGGGAGCAGCGGCGTTCTTGGCCTTCTCGGCGCGCTTGCGGCTCTCGTTGGCGGCCTTCTTCTCCTTGGCATCCTTGATGGCCTGCTGGCGGGCGGCGGCACGGGCCTCAGGGCGCTGGCTGCGGCGCTCCTTGATCACATCGAGGGAGGCACCGACGATAGCACGCTGGCTCTTGACGGCACGGCGGGTACGCTTCTTGGCAACTTCCTGTATTCACGTAGGGTCCCGTCAGCATGTGTCCCCCACATAGGCTCCTCCAAGCAGTTGCTGTTGCATCGTGTCCCAGGTTGTATCCATCCATTCGATCCCGCACTGGTCATCCCCCATGACGCATGGTCATCAAGTTCGTGTCGTAATCCGATCCATCAATCCACCTCTTCAACCCGTATAGTAACACAACAAAACAAACACAATTAATCCAAAGGGAGAAATGGCGGTACTGACTTCAGAGATACCCTTCTTGTGCTGGCGACGGTAGAGGACAGTCCAGGCGATGCGACGGGGGTTCTTGCGCTGGAGGAAAAGGGACTCGGACTTTCCATTCTGGAAGCGGAAGATCTTGCTGTCGCCACGGACGTACAGCTTACCCTATATATTGAACAAAAAACCGTCAACTGAGTATTCTTTGCATGCCTTGGTGCAAGGCGTAGATGTAGTTTCGTGGTGGAATCGAGGTCGGTCGGTTTTGCAGTTCTGTCTGGCGGAAAGGGACACAAAACGCACCTTTCCAGGGTAGATCTTCTGACCGCTGAAAGAATCGTCGTAGGTACGCATCTTGAACGTCTGAGATGCGCAGCCGGTCGAGACGAGATGTTGTCGGTTGGCGTTGGGTGGTTGAGTCGAAGCGGTCTCTGCGGCGAGCTGTTCGTGAGACTGACACAATTGTGGTGCGGTGCGGAGCCTCGCTAAGCGGTGCCACGTGACCGCTCCTGCCCTTGGCTGTTGGCTTCCGCCTCAACTTCTCCAGATATCGGGGATCGGGGTGTTTGCGGTCGATGAGTTTGTTTTAGGCACGGACTTCTTGGAGGGGTCTGACAGTTGTTTGTTCAAAGTCAAAGTACAACTGTTCATCTGATGGCGCACTCGGATCGGAATCACTTCCATAGATATTTGCCCTCAGCAATGCAGATTAATGCCTCAAATATGAATGACGAAACCAGAACTGACATCTACTATATACTATCTAATTTCCACCAGTAAGGCCAAAAAATTAACCAAGTCAACCAACAAACTATCAAAGATAGAGGAGTCATCACTTCGTCACTTCATGATCATGCCTTATCGTTTTACTACGCGGCGCACCGTTGGCCGCTCGTGCCAGTCGCATTTAGCCCGGGGATCTGCCTTGCACTCCTGAGCAAACACGACTGTAAGCCTGATTGCCTGTCCCGATTGAAAGAAAGAGACATCAGTCGTTGCTCACCTTACATTGCATATATTGGCACCAATCATCCGGGCACGTCCCACTACAGGATGGGCAGACATGCCTTTCGCAGCCCCCATGCGCCAGCACAACGAGAAGGTGCTTGCGTCCTTGACGTAGGCTCCAACGACCTCTATGAGCCTCATCGTTTGCCCTCGGTCTCGCGACACGAGATGGTCAGATCCCTCATCGGAGATCGCGCGCCGGAGTTCCTCGTACACGCAGCAGGAGGTATCGCAGATAGGGCACTCGGCGTAGCATTTGGTACACCAGATGTTCCTGTAGTCCCAAACCCTGGTGTCGTTCTCTCTCTAGCGTGACTGGGGTTTGCTGAGATCGCGCGTTTTCGCTTCGCAGGCGGTGCTCTGGCGGATGTACTCGACCTTTAACTCTGTTAGCAGCCTTGGACCAGAGGCTGTAAAGTTGGAATAACCAGTTACCGAATCATTGAAAGAGCTCTTGCTAACTATGGGAAAGCGCTCATCATACTTGTTGCCCGATTTGTCTCTGCTTTTCCCATTTCCCTTGCCACTTCCACCACTGGCGCACAGGTCTTCCGGGATGACTTGTGTCCATTGCTTCAAGCTTCGGTCGGGTTTATGACTGTCCAGGGATGGGAAGCTTGGATAAGCACGATACTAGGCGTCCATGTTATTCATTTTCTACCTGAGCTCTGGCTCAACGGTCACTATGTTGAACAAAAACATCTGGGCGCCAGATCACCCACCATAAGCTGATCTGTACTGCTTCACTATTTTCGTGGGTGTTATCGCGAATCTGACTTTCTTGGACGTTTTGCTTTTGTGCTTTTTCAAGATTCCGCCCAGACCGCGCCCGGTCTTAATTGTATCGTTGATGTTGAGCGAATCAGGATGATGCGAGGGAGACAGGGTCTTATGAAATCTTTTAGGGGTGGGGGATGAAGATTGAAATGTTTGGGAGTCGGCTGGGAAAGAGCTGGGATGTGAGCCATCCAGAGACATTACATCACTCTCTCCTTCTATTTGTTGAGAAGGATCCTCATTCACGGCAGATAAAAGAAGCGGGTCATCCTGGTCATCAGTGATGCGAAACATGCTTGCCAGCTGGGTGGTGATGTCGTCAGTTTGTAGGTCAAGCTCAGACAGCACCAGATTGCTGCTGTCTGGCTGGGAAGCGTGTGATTCGCTCCCAGAAGCGTGGCTGTCAGACAAGTTGACAGAACTACAGACACTTTAGCTAATTCAAGCCAGTGAAATGCAGCTGCAAGAAATTGTACCTAGTGTCCTTAGGGTAGCTTCTACCGCTCTTCTTCCCATTCTTATTCTTGTTTTTCCTCCATCTCAGCATCTTGGCCGATAGGCTTCTAAATATGTTAAAGTGCTCAGAACGTGGGTAGTCTGTTATTTATTAGATACCACTGATAGTAACAATAGTCAGCACCGAGCTGATAAAGAGAGTGATGAAATTTGAAGAAGAAATAGATGGGGGTAATTTCAATAGTACAGGTGAGTTTCACTCCGACTATTGCTGAGAGCAGGAGCAAAGTGAATCTTGCCGGGTATGGCAGGTGACCATGCCCATAGGAAGGCACACTCCAGAACCATTTTCAAAGAAGAAGTTCTGCAATAATAATATATATTATCAGGTATGTTGTTAAATTGAATCCTATTAAGGTGTCTGATATGCAAGTAAAGCGCAGGCAGGATACGTAGTCACCATTGTCTGTTTCCTAGCTGGTGTCTAAAATTAGATGCCAAGTACTTATTGTTCTTGGAAGTTTACTATATGCCTGGTATACGAGCATCGCTGGCTGCATAGCCGGCTGTAGTCGATATCCAAAGCTTCCTATAGGTAGATGCTGAGGCCTGCATTCCACATCCGGAGTTACCCTGGAAATATTAAGCCAGTAGATGCCAACGCGGAAAAGAACGATCTGTTACAGGTATATTGCAATTCTATTGAAGCTTAACACTCTAAAATCGGAACAACTAGATCGTAGCCTGAAGAAAGCAAGCATATGCCTATACCACACAATTTGGAATGAGCCATAGCTCTTTCGCCATACAAGAGCGCTTCTGGGGAAACGAACCGGAGTCGATGAATGGAGAATGCCTGTTCCGCCATATGGGAGAGATGACAGGTCCCAGAGAATTGAGACCTAGCCTAGAAAGATGCCAGGGAGGCAAAATGCAATACTTTTGCTCATGGTCACATCACAGCATGGCCGCTCTTACAGCAGGTTGTATCCTTACTGCCCATTTTATCTAGGTCATGGCATGGGTTCTAGTCCACTCCTTCGCCGTCTGTATAGCTGTTGGCTCGTCTTCCTTCCAGCGTTGAGCAACGTCATTTGCAAGCGGGTCATCCGGATTCGGGGCTCCCAGCAACGCCTGGATTGAGAGCAGAATGGTACGGATTTGGAGAGCAGGAGACCAGTTGTCTAGTAATACGTTAGCCACCGGACTCTTTCCAGTAATTGTCCATAGAAATGCATACTCTTCAACACATCTAAGCAAATCCGCCCCAGGCGGTCAATATTGGGGTGGTAGATCTTCGTCAGGAAGCGAATCTTGGGCGGAGTCATCGGGTAATCTTCAGGCAAAAACAGTTCGAGGCGAAAGATGCCACCTTCAGAGCAATCAACGGCCATCCGAACAACCCAGAGAGAATGGTTGTTATTTACCTTCGTACGGCGACTGCGCCGGTCCATGGATGGAGACATCGAAGTAACGTAGGTTGTCTTCATGGGGTACAGCGTTGATGCCAGGAACTCTGTGGACATGTATGCGTCAACAATCGCTACTGTGGCGGCACCCGGCTAAATGAGAGAACTACTTACGGCTCTGCCATAAGACGCTCGGTCTCCTTTATGATTCTCTTTGGCAACGCCATCTTGAGCCTGTCGAATAGTAACGTTTAATGCACTGTGCACCCCCGCGATTCACGTTTATAAGGTGGGGCTTACGGCTCTGCTCCTGCAGTTTGTGACCGTCGAAAAGCAGCGGATGACTTTTCCACAAACTGCTAAAATAGGAGGATTAGGCACTAGCCTCAAGCAGGTGGTCGGGGGTGAGATTCGACAGCGGCCACCTGGGGATATTCCTATCACTGGTGTTCGATATGGAACGACGTAACCGACAGAGGGGCTACGCTCCTTGGCTAAATCGCCTACCGTAATGAATACGGGAGACGGGAGCGACCAAGGATGTAAGATCCTGTGTCCGATTGGGAGGATCGGAGGCACCGGCCGGGAGCAACTCGCCAACCCCAGACTTGCGGAGTGGCTGGCGCTGATTGAGGCCCTTGGTTCGGATGCTTTCCCCCTAGGCAAGATTCCAATTGACTTGTGTACTGTTTCTTCATCTCCATTCCTAACCGAGGTTTAATAGAGTTCTGTCATTGGTTCAACGAAGCTACGGTACATGCATCTCTAGAATTCCAATTCCAAGTTCGACCGCCCCATGAAGACCTGCGCAATGCGCGCAGCCAATTCCTCATATCTGCGCACCCTCCTCAACTGATGGAGAACCCCCGAAGATTCCGGCCGATATGAGAGCGCTGTTTATGATTACATATATACTTCCCACCAATGTGCTTCCTGATTCCTTGACTCCGACATTCCCCCAAGGTGTGGGCAGCAGCCGATAGGTAGCACAGAAATCAAGGACCTTTCTAAGGCTGGAGTTGGCGACGAAATCATGGTGGACCTCAACGAGCCTAGGCCACCCTCATCGGCCTTTGACAGCCCAACATTTGGCGAGGATAGCTCGTTCCATGTGGAGCAGCCTGTCGGTTCGATGTCAATATCGCCCTGTGGACGGGATGTGGTCTTAGCTTCAAAGGAGGGTCTCCACGTCATTGATCTGGACTCGCCATACTCGCCGCCCAGATATCTTCCGCATCACACACCATGGGAGGTCGCAGATGTTCAGTGGTCTCCGTTTGCTTCCCGAGACTATTGGGTTGTTAGCACGTCAAACCAAAAGGCGCTGGTATGGAACCTGGGCATGACGGGCTCGCAAAGCCCTATTGAACATGTTTTACATGCCCATACTCGAGCCATAACAGACATCAACTTCTCTGCATACCATGCAGACATGCTCGCGACCTGTGCTGTTGACAGCTTCGTCCACTGTTGGGACCTCCGGACTCCCTCCCGTCCCGCCATCTCGTTCTCGGACTGGCTTGCCGGAGCTACCCAGGTCAAGTGGAACCGACAGGACCCCAATGTCATTGCCAGTTCCCACGACAAGTTTTTGCGGATATGGGACAAGCGGATGGGCGCGTATCCAATTAAGTCCATCGAGGCACACAGTACCAAGATTTATGGGTTAGACTGGAATCGGGTGCGGCCCGGAGCTCTTGTGACCTGCTCCCTGGATAAGACCATCAAATTTTGGGATTACACCGTGGATACCGAGGTACCAGAGAAGGTGATCAAGACACCGTTTCCAGTATGGCGGGCGAGAAATACCCCTTTTGGATGGGGTGTCTTAGCCATGCCGCAAAGAGGCAACAGTGATCTTCATTTGTATAGTCGCAGAGCTGGAGACGGCTCTACGTCCAATGATGACCTCCCTCTTGTGCATAGCTTTCCAGGGCACAAGGGCCAAGTGAAGGAGTTCCTCTGGAGAGCCCGCGGCGGAGTTGTGGATGGCATCGATAACAGAGAGTTCCAGCTAGTGTCTTGGGGCACGGATCGGGAGCTCCGCTTACACAGAGTAGATCCGGATATTATGCAAAGGGTTGGCTTCGAAAAAGGAAAGTCTTACATGTCGAATCTACACCTCACGCGCAAGGGCGCCCTGTATCGGTCGTACCGCGACACGAATGTTGAACAAGATGACGAAGATACGGACTCCTTGTCACCCACTACTCGACAAAGCTCTACACCTCAGACTTCTCGTAACCCGGGGATGAATACAATATCGGTTCCATATGCTCGAGCGTGGACGCAGGGAGGAGGAAACACGGAATCTAGGATTGGGATGCAGGGCCGGACAAACATTCGAACCGACACCAATCCTATTTCTTGGATGCGTGGCGTGAAAATATCCGGCTGGGATATTGAAACGCTCGGGGACGAGATAACCCATGTGGGCGAAAAGTTCACCAAGGTTGCCTTTGAATCAGTAGATGTCAGGCAACGAAAGGCAACCATTTCCCTTCTTGGACCGTGGGGCGCAGACGGTGACACCCTTTTCCTGAAAGTCGACATCAAATTCCCCGTTGATTATCCTCGGGCTGCCCTGCCGGCGTTTAGTGTGCAGAAAACCGCGGCTGTCACCGATCAACTCGCCGAAAAGATCATCGCCGAACTTCGCACAATTGCCGAAACTTTCCTTGCTCACAAAAGAGGATGTCTTGAAGGAGTTGTTCGCTATCTTTTGGGCGAGAGCACTCTGGAGGAAAGCATAGCATGGATCCTCGGGGAAACCGCGGACACAGTCAAGTCGCCCGTCAACGGTCAGCTAGGCGGCGAGGAGTCCAGTGATGAAGACGAAGTCGGGCTGTCTCAAAGCCAAGATCTAGGCATGAGCTCCGAACTGCTTCGTCCGGTCAATGCCAACGTAATGGTCCCCGTGGCCAAGGGATGCGGTGCACTCTGGGCCAATGACGGCCGGTTGGTGTGCTTTTTCCCGTCCAAGAAGGATAAATCGAACTGGCTGGAAAACCTCGGGTTCAAGGAAATGACCCGGCTATCGAGAGCAGACAAGGTCTTTGAAGGATTCGGTCGTATCCAGACTAATTCACCTGGACCTCGAACATCTGTCACGATGGCCAGTACTGACGATGGCGCCTCTGAATATTCAGACGATTCGGATGCTGAATCGTCCAGCTCGTCCGGGTCCTCTGGTATATTGTCTGGACTGCAACACCGGTTCCCGACGCCCCAGACTTGGCGGAGTGGTGGCAGTCTTGGACTCTACCGGCCGCGCTCTACGGACAACTCCCAGAGATCAACGATCGGTGCGATGACGGCGAAGTCGTCTGAGAGTTCACAGAATGTCATATCGATCCACGACTTCAGTGATCTGCTCCCAGCGAAGCGGGATCTAGCTGGTAAGTACCGCATTTGCGGCAAAGTTACAGACGTCTGCGCACATAACTCAGCAGTGGCTTTGGACCACGGCTACCATGAGCTGGCCCGAATCTGGGGACTTGTTCGGCTTATCCTGCACAACAGCAAAACCTCGATGTTTTCATCCGGGTTTGATACCCTGGACCGGCCATACATCCAGAGGAAAGATAGTGCTGTGGATCTGAGTTACGACGCGGGGAGCCAGGACCCGCGTTCCAAAGAGTCTGCGAATGCCGTGATCCAATGGGGCGATCATCCGTTCGGTGGTCACTGGCTGATCCCTGCCCTCTTCGAGCACTTTGAGCAGATCGGCGATGTACAGATGATTGCAATGCTGTCCTGTGTTTTGCATGAGCCCAACAGCGACGAGACCTCAAAGGAACAACCCCACCATAATAGGGCCGTGTCCAAGCGAATGGAGGAGCACGCATTCTCATTTGATCTATATTCCCCGAACTCGGTCATGCAGAACAAACCGCAGGCGGTCGTGCCATTTGCCCCTACGCCGAAGGACAGCCATGCAACGCCCGTCACACATAGCTCTGGGCGGTCCTCGTCTGAAATTTGGCGCCCAGATTCTACCCCTCCGTATTCTACAGGCACAACCCCCCCTCTGGCTTCTCGAGCCGGGCCTTTGACAGCAGATAGGAAGACCTGGACCCAGAATATAGCAATAGCTGCATCCCCCGATCAACAATCCCAACCGCGCAGTGGTTCTGGCCTTGGCTCTGTCCTAGCTTCTTCTCTCTCGCGGTCCCTTACGTTTGGGCCTTCGTCGGCGTCTCCTCCAGCAACCGCCCTGTCCAGAAAGGTTCTCAACCCCAATGGCAGTCCTAATACAATCGGTGGACCGGGTGTGTGGGTGACAAGTGCATTTGCTGTTAAACCTGCCTCAGCAGTCCCCGATTACCTGACCACATCCACCGCGCTCACTTCACATACCCACTCTGATACGGAGAGTGAGAGGCCTCCCCCTGCCAAGCCATCTACCAAGGTTCGAGCAGTCTTGAAAAACCAGGCTGCATTCGAGAACAACGGGCCGTCCCAGCACAGCTTTTTGGACCCCAAGAAAGAGTGGATGTACCGCTCATATCGCGCAGTATACGCTCACCTGCTCTCCATTTGGGGCCTGCCAGTGCAACGTAGCGAAGTGCTCAAGATCGGCGGCAACCCAAACCCAACCAAGGAGACACCATCACACCGTCGCCACCGAAGCCACCATGATTCATTTTCACTGCCAACCTCCAAGCGCAGAAGCTCCACAGTAGCGGCTGCCGACACCGATAACCAAGGTCTGGAGATCCATCGCCACTGCAGTAGCTGCGGCCAGGCTCTGCAGCATTCCATCTTTGCCACAAAAGCTCTAACCGACGTGGCCCCCAAGAGCCACATAAAGAGCATAGCTACATCGCCCATCACATGTCCCCACTGCAAACCAAAGCAGCCACTCCCCCTCAAAATACCCTGCGTTATTTGCGGCGAAGTCGTCGAAGGAATGCTCATCCCCTGCCTCGGTTGCGGTCACGTAAGCTGCTTCGATTGCCATCGCGGCTGGTTCTCGATGGCTTCATCGGACCCCCAGCGTGATCTGCACGACACCGAGCAGGACGAATACCAGTTCTGCCCCAGCGGCTGCGGCTGCAAATGCGCCGATTACATAGACACCGACATACCAACCACCCCATGGAAACTGAACCCGACCTCCCCGAGCACGCACGGCAGCGAGGGCTCTCTCTACCGTCATCGAGCCAAGCTATCCGATGGTTCTGGGTCCTCCAAACACGGCAGCGATGCCGTGGCTAATGTTGGTCAACACGAAGACGACCTGGACCAATGGCAGGCTGCGTCTCCATTTGCGTCGCTTGCCCGGGGCCTAGGCGGCGGCTTGAGCAGAGGGCTGCGCGTCAAGGATGAAAGAAGGAAATCCAAGCCAACCACCGCTCCGTTTGTGCCGAAGAAGTCTTCAATGAACCAGGTGGAGAGCAGATGAGATTGTTGCGGTCCTATCACGATTCTTGATGTATACCAATACCCATGTTGTTCAGCGGTTGCTATATCTTTTGTTGAAGATTGAGTTGCTTTACTAGCTATAAGTTACTAGTATCTACCATCTGAGTTAATCAGACTTTCTCGGTCTACCTCGTCGAGCCCTTCGACCGAGTCAATACTACAATGTCAGTGACAAGGGAATACCAACCCTTCCGCCATCAACACAACCCCCATTCCACAAATCACTCATCCAAACCACCAAGTGATATTTCCAAAGCTCTCCAACTCCAAGAAAGACCAAGTTCCCCCAAAACCATCCCGCACCCGACCCCTAAATCACAAGAATCACCCAACCCCAAAATCCATAAAAGAAAAAAAAAAATTCATATTTTATTGATTCAATACTATCCTCTCTCAAATCAACCTAAGATATCACAAACACAAAACAAAACTCCGCCAGCGCAACAAGAGCACAAGCCGTGGTTTCATTCGTGGTCCCGGACACACACATATCATTCGCATGGTGGATGTAGATCAGATCGTTTACTCAACGTTGCTCTCGAAGTTCTCGCCCTCAACAAGGTCGGGGATGTCGTCCTCGTCGTCGTTCTTGCCGTCAGCGCCGGCCTGGTTCTTCTGCATGTTCTGGTAGCTCTCGGCGAGCTTGCGGAGGGAGGCAAGGCTGTCGGGGCCAAGCTGGTTCAGGATACCGGGGACCAGCTCGGTGAGTTCCTTCTCCTCGCCGTTACCGTAGAGGGCGAAGGTGTTGGAGGGGACGGAGGCGTGGACTAGATCACAGATCATAGCAGTGTTAGCAGTTTGAGAGAATGTATAATTTGGGTAGGGAGGTATTGGGAGGGAGGAATTACCCTTGGGAGCACCGAAGTGGATGACGTTTCCGTCCTCCTTGAACATGTTGACCTCCTCGATGGCCTGGATGGGCTGGACGTTCATCTTCTTGAGGGTGGCCTGGAGCTTCTTGTCATCGGCACCGGAGGACTTGTGGACCTTCTTGACCTTGCGGCGGGGAGTACCCTTGCCTCTGGGTTTTGTCAGTTTTCTGGTGGGATGCGTGGAGGAGTTCGAGGGTGGTGTGTGGTGTGGTGTGTGGTGTGGTATATTATACGTACCCTATAAAGTTGAGAATAGAGGTTAGCTTTAGCTGTCTTTAACCGTACACGCAAATCGATCAATCAACCAATCCATTGTGACGTGATGGAACAGGATAGGCTAGCTATCCTAGCTATGTCTTGCAGAAACCGGTCCCATTCCATCACGTACACCGAGAGTATTCTCCTCTCTTATGGAGATGATTATAAATCGAGGCAGAAAAAAAAAATCCAAAGACGAGAAAAGAAAGAGGAAAAAACATACCAATCCGCACGCTAGCCTGCATCTTAGCCAACTTTGCCTGATCCATTTTGATGGTGTGATATTGAACTGATTCCGTTCAAACCTAAAAAGCGGAGTTGTCAGATCTCGTCGGTTGAGGTTTGTTGAGTGTGGAACTTTTGCACACAGAGAGAGGCTCGGTAAGGAATGGCGTGTGAGAGAGTGTTGGGGGGTGGGAAGAATCCGAATCGCGACCGACCGAGGAGAGGGTTTCGGAGAGATGCTTTTCGTGTAGCCGGAAAGGGAACCTCGATTTCCAGGGACAAAAAGAGGGGCAGTGTATATACGTACCTAGATTGATGATGGGGTGGTGCTGGAGGGGAAGGAGGAGAGCAAGTGGAAGTGGGAGGATGAGATGAAGTTCGATGATGCGCCGGCGGGTTTGTGTGGGGAGCAGCGCCGACTGCGTCCACTCCCAGTGCTGCGCTCGCTAATATTCGTGATTCTGCTACGCTACGGGCGAGGGTCTCATCAACTACATGGGTTCTATGCTACGGACTACATTCTCTGGAGGAGTGGGATCGGCTGTTCCTTCATTGGGGACATCTGGATGGACGTGCTGGTGAGTGGTGACTGGTTGTGGGCGAAACGAGGGACTGCCTTCCAGAGGCTCCTCGGCTAAACCCTAACGATCGCCCGCCGCGGACTATCTATCTAGATGTCGCCGTCGGTCGAGATCATCCGCTCAGGCACCACGGACAGAGAGGCAATCCGTCCAGGACTGGGCTATCCTTTGTTTCCCATAGGTGTGGCATTTCTTCTCGTAGAGCCTTCACCAATTTGCGACGGTGGTGCCGCCCATTGCGACCGGACTGAAGCTCACCACCCGCACCCCGGCATCTCATGCCTAATCCGGTAATCTGCGAGACTACCCGACTCCCGCTATCCGGCCCATCCTGCACGCCATCCGACGTTCATTATGCCATGATATATGTATCAACTACGGAAATATGTACATGTTATTTCCCAAATAGCTAGACGGGCGTACTCAGAAGCCGTCCAACGCCTCCGCTGAACTGATGCAAAGGCAGCCCATATGACGATGGCTGTAAGAAGATCAAGACCTCTCAGCAATCTGCTTCTCAGTCCACTCCCACAGCCTTCGGGCCATATCAGTATCAATCGCATACCGGTTGCCCGCAGCGTGCACTCCAATGGGGACATAATAAGCCCCATTGGCTAACAGCTCTCTCTTTGCTCCGGCGGCCCAGAGCTGGTTGAAGGCTCCGGTACGTATACTCCGGCTGAAAGCCAAGATGGTGGCTATGCTATACTTGGCCATGACACTTATCTTGCTCGTATGATCCCAGAGCTCACTCACGACGGAGCCGGGGTGGACTGCGACGGAAAGAATCTCCGGATGGCGACGAGCCAGCTCCGACGCAAAGAGGATATTCGCCGCCTTAGATGCACCGTACCGGGTCAGTGTGTGACTGGCTAAAAGCGCCGACGTAGAAGTCATGATCTCGAAGGGTGGCGCGCTAACGTTCGCGGCAGAGGCTAACGTCACTACTCGGACATCCGACGACAGAGCAACGGTTTGCTGCAGCGTAGGAAATAGCAGCTCAGTAAGTAGGAAATGCCCGATATGGTTTGTTCCGAATTGGATCTCGAAACCGTCCTCCGTTAGCGCAGGCGGGGTGTTCATGATACCTGCGTTGAGAATCAAGATATCCAAGCGATCGCATTCCGATGTGAACTGCTTTGCGGCGGCACGAATGGACTTGAACGATGTTAGGTCCAGGTATATGTGTCGTATATCAGCGGATGGAACTCGTTCACGGATCGAAGCGATGGCATCTTCGGCTTTGGCTGCACTCCGCGCACCGAGATATATACGGGATGGATGGTGTCGGGCAAGTTGGAGGATCGTTTCCTTTCCTAGTCCGGCGTTCCCTGTGAACCGACAAAAGGAATTAGTCTCCTGTGTCAGACAACCCAAGGAAAAAGACAATTACCTCCGGTGACGAAGACCACCTTCCCTGACAGATCATTGATATCAACCTCCGGCTTGAAGGAATAGCCCAGCAAACCTAGGGTGAGTTCGTTCACCGTCGGACCAAAGCTGCAATAGGACTCCACAGGGCGGAAGAGAACATTCGAAAAGAAATCGACGATAGAAGCCATTGATGTAGTGATCAGCCTGAGCTGTCAAGATGCCGTAGACAGGAGTGACGCAGAACCCCTGATGCCCCCTGGCGGAAGGGCAGTAAAGAGAACCAGATCTCCAGGGCGGCACGGGGCCCGGCTTCGGTGCCGGAGACCAAACCGTCCAGGAGAAACTCCGCAGGGTGGGACATTTTCACATGGGGACGGAGGTGGGTAGGACCAGAATTGGTCGCAAAAGTAGGGATGGTCGGGTCCGGCAGGATCGCGATGAAGGCAGAGAAAGAGAATCGGCAAGGAATGTTGCTAGGCCGAGAGTGGCTTGCAGAAAGGCAAGATCTTACGTTAGTGTTTAGTGGCAGCCGTGCTTGGGCTGACGGTCGGAGGAGGGGTTCTTGGTCTCGTCAACTTTCTTTCGTCCTCTTCCTTCTTGATCATCCATTAATTATCTTCGCGGATCAGACCTGTCACACCTATATTTCCCGAAGGACAATCGCATTCAAGATGCGGTTCCTCTGTCTCCATGGCGCAGGTACCAACGCTGAAGTATGCCACCGCCGACTCTTATCTCCGTTTCCCCGCCATGAACTCTGACACCATCAATAGATCTTCGAGATCCAGTCCGGTAATTGAACATCGATTCCAATGGTCACGGGCACAAAAGCACCGGTCCAGATAGACCATCACCGTCAATTTCAAGTCACATTCTATTCTAACCACGCGATCAGGTGGAATCAGCTATGACCTTGCCAAAAAAGGCCATACATTCAAGTACTACAACGGTTGTATGGAAGGCGAAGTTGAACCCCGTACATCACCCCGCCCCCGCGGATCCGGGATGAACGTGTCGCTGACCGTCTGCAGAGCTAAAGGGCCTTTTCCCTGGCCCTTTCTACAACCACTATCCTCGCGATCAGGCCCCGGGTGAGAATCTCGCTACCGCCATGAAGCACGTTTACCAGATTATCGAGCGCGATGGACCCTTCGACGCTGTTATGGGATTCTCCCAAGGCGCTGCGCTCGCGTGTGCCATGGTCGCGCACCACGCGAAAACGCATCAAGAGCCCCTGTTCAAGCTCGCGGTGTTCATCTGTGGTGCATTGCCGTATGACAGCACCGGGAACGAGGTCATTGCTGTGCCTCCTCCCGGGGGCGAGTATCCGGTCCAGATCCCCACGACAAATATTGTGGGGAAGCAGGATGAGCTGTATTCCTCCAGTATGCATCTGTACGGGGTGTGTGACCCTGCAAAGTCCAAATTCTACGATCATGGGTCAAGGCATTTGGTGCCCTTTGATGTGGAGAACACGGAGGCGATGGTGGCTGCTATCGAAGCATCTGTTCAGCGGGCTTTGACCGGGCAATAGATTCGTATCAAGTGTTAGAGAGGTGAAGATTAGATGGCTACTAGATCCCATCAACACATGGATATTGATCTATCGCTTAGACATCTCAAAGAAACCAAAAGCAAATGTATGTTCAATCCTGCTTCATCGGTGCAGCTCGTTTCTCTCTCGAGCCGAACCTCGACATCAAAACCGCAATTACCAATACAACAATGCCCAGAAAGATTCCATATGTGACGGGGGTAGCCGATGATGGCCCGGCCAGTGCCCCGCTGTCATGACCAAGTCATAACCCAGAGGCAGCCTCCTCCGGAGGAATGACCTTGCCCAGGAACTTTTCCAGATCCTCAATCTCAGCCGGGTCCGCAGAGTGGCCGAGGCCACTACCCACGAGTTAGCAACCATGATAGCGTGAAATGTAAGAAGGGAAACTCACGGGTACGAATGGAACTTGACATCCTCCAATCCAAGGTCCTCCAGCATCTTCGCCGACTGCTTTCCGAAATCATGCTTGACCATCTCGTCTTCCGTGCCGTGACCCATAAAGAACGGCGTCTTCTTGTTCGGATGGTCCTCGGGAATATAGTTCTTGACCCGATCATGGAGCAACAAGTAGCAAGAGAGACCAAACACTCCGCCCAATTTCTCCTTGCTCGTGAGACCCGTGAAGAGGGACATCGCTCCACCCTGCGAGAATCCTCCGAGGACGATCCGGGAGGGCTTGATGCCTTGATCGATCTGCTCCTTGATGAGGGTGTTGAAGTAATCGCGGGAGCGAAGGGCGCCCGGCTCATCTTGGTGGCGGATGGCTTCCTCGAAGTCCAACTATACAACCGTCAGTCCTCTCTACCGACATAGATCAGGCTGCATTGCTCACATCACGACCCAGCTTGGAAATGTCGTACCATCCCGGCATGCTCATTCCATAGTTCTATATCCGCTATCTTAGTCCGGGTTCTTCAAGTCTCATTTGACCAAGTGCCAGTCATCGCATACCACAGTGATGGGAATCATGGGCGCATTCGGGAAAATGAAAGCCACTTCGTCGAACATGCCGCGACGGCGCCAGTTCTGGGCGAGAGCCATCCTATTGCCCATCCGATTGATAAGTCTCTGCTAAGGGAGGGGTATTCGGTAGCCGTGGGAGAAATATAGGGAAAACGTACCATCCAGCACCACTATATGCAGGAAACCGTCAGCGAAAGGTAAATCCGGGATGCGATACGCTAGAAACCAACCTATCGCCCAATCCGTGGGCCATGATCACCGTCGCGGTGTGCTTCTTGAGCGCCGGCACAATATAAGGGGCGCGGGGAGGCATTTTGATATCGGTTGCCTTAATCAGGCGAGAAACTGTAGACGATGGATCGATTTCGACAGATGGAAACAATGATGGAAGGGGCCTTTCCCCGCGATTCTGCCGAGGAACCAGACCTACCGCCTTGGCGCGATCACCGGACTCCGGAGGCCGCTCCGCCGCGGAGATCATCCATCACTCACAATAAAGCTCATTCATTACACATTATGCAGGTCTATACAATCCACTATAGATAACATGGAGCCAAAATGGCATCCCAAATACATGGCACATTCGGATCATTGGGCAGCATTGTGCAGCTCCTTTACCAGCGTGTCGATAACAGCATCAAACAGCTCCGGCTCTGCAACGCCTTTCTGCCATGTGATGCCCAGGATTAAAAAGCCATCTCCGCCTGTGATGGAAGACACCGCCAGAGCAGCACTAGAGGCACTGGGCGTCTGGGAGAACATCACTCGTCCAATCTGCGGCCGCGACGGGTCTTCTGTCTGCTTGGGATTCAAGACTCCGACATTTGACACTTCAAAGCTCTCACCTCGATCCTTGCCTAGCTTACCCTGCATGAATTCCTGAAAATTGTCCACGTATTTGAGCAAGCCCACACCGGTATTCTTACCTCGGCGACTCAGGGTCCGTTCAATGGTTGCGCGGGATTTTCTCGCATCGCCCCATGGGAAGGCGTCAGGGTATTTATTCACCTGCTTTCGAACAAAAGATTCACCAAAGTCCATAACCCAGACACCCATCGATTGATCTGTGATTCCCTCCTTCAGCCACCTTCGGGCTGAGATAGCTCCGGTCAGGGTAACTTTGGTGTACTTCTCCGGTAGATGGGTGAATAAAGCGCGCGCAATGGCTGCCTGCAGGCCAGAGGTAACACTAGCACTATTTTGGCGACAGTTCTTCCTAAATCCTGCAGACACAGCCGCTGGGATGACAATTTGGCGTAATTGTGTGTCAATCGGGATGAAGATCTTCGCCCCTGTCCAAAGACCTGGGTCGCGATAGGACCATACTTTGGCCCTGAACAGAGTATTAAGAATGAAAGAGAAGGTTGAAGTACATGGATGGACTGCTTCCAGGTTAGGCAGCAAGGGTGTCTTCGGCGATGGGATAATCTTCTTGGCTTCTCCCGGGTTCAAGGAAGCAGCAGCGTGTAACGCATCCAGAAACGTTTCATGGAATGCTTTCCCCGACGTCCCATCTCCAAGCGCATGGTGGAACACGTAAACCGCCGTGAAGCGCCGCTGATTCGCATCATCCGTCAAGATAAATAGCCTCCAGTATGGCAACGGCGCCGTAAACCCGGTGCTATGTTGTACTTGCAGCAACTCGCACAATTCAAAATCAGACTCATCCCCCTCAGGAAAGTCACGAGAGCGCTTCTGGAACGACACCGGCTGGCTTAGGTCCACTTCTGGGAGACGCACGAACCAAGGGTCATTGGACTCTTCGTTGTCTGGAATGGCAGAGAGAATAGGGTGCTGGTCGATCAATGTTTCACATGCCTTGTATACATAGTCCTTTATGGGCAGAGTGAAGAAATCGGGAAGGGTGTAGTTTGCCGACACCGCCACATTGAAATAGAACTTGAGCGGGAGGCGCACGATGGAGTATTTCTCCAACGATCCTGTCGGATGTCAGTCACTCGGCACTTTTTCCCGACTAAAGCACAGCACTTGTCACATACCGGCTGGACGTAATCTCTCGAACTTATCCATTTATGTGTGCCTAATTATAGTCGATTAAATTCTGACTACAGCCAAAATCCAAACGAAAGCACATTATTTTTGTTGCAACAAAACGGGGTTCCCCTGAGCAACCACGTGATGGCGGAGAACAATAGGCAGACAAACGACAATATCAAGCGTTCCAAATGCCGACGGGTCGCGCCGCCACTACTATATATTTCGGGGCCGTGCTCGCGAAGAACTTCCTTTAGAGGAGAACTTTGCGACCACGCTCATGCTATCCAGGCAGCACTGGATCCATCCTCAAAGAGCTAGATCATCATATTAACCATCGCAATCAAATTAGGTTTTCATATCAAATGAAGACTAGCTTGTCTCGGCGGCCACCTAAATGTCTACTGAACAGAGACAGGCATTGGACGCGAAATTACGCGTGGCTGGCTTATCTGGAATCTCACTGCACATGAACACGGGACGCCTAACAGCTGCTTCTAGGCAACGCTATTATTACTCCGTGGCGCTGCTGTTGAGCTCTATTACGATAGAAGTTAAGGTGAAACCCCCCCGCTTGCTGGCATTGTAAGGCGTCCAGGTGTTAGAGCCGACCAATAAAACAGGTCTTTGTTTGGGTTTCTATACCAGCAATCCTGATACCATGAAAACACGACTGATATGATCACTTGCTTCTGGGAAATATAGCAGTCATTATATTTCCATAAGGCCAATTACTTTGACCTCAAGGGAGGTTGACAGTCATTGCATTGATCTCGTTCCAGATTCTATTCCATTAAGACAGCGACTCCCGTATGGGGAAAATCTACTTTGGGTTATTCAACCGGGGTTATGCATTGGAGGCCATTCTGACCTCTCGTTCATCACATATGGAACTCCGTATCTGGATTATCGTAAGGCTGGGTAGCCGTGATCATGGACAAGAAACCGGCCGGTTCATATTTGCGCTCTCTCTTGTTTCAGAATCATGTGGTACCTGGATTGAGGGCTGTTTCCAGTCGAATTGACGCTGCATGGTATACTGTTTGAGATGAGCGTATTCCATAGCAAGTATCAACACCTGATTGCGCGTGATCTTTGTAGAGGATGCTTGATGCCATCTCAAGATCTTGGGCAGGCTTGTTCGAGGAATAATATAAAATTGGCTGGACCATTCCCAGCACTTGTCCCTGAAAATTGAGGTTTGTCATATTCAGGCATAACGTTCCGTTTGTAGGTGCATGGGCAGTGGCTATTTTCCCGTCCGTCAATTTGGATGAGACAGGCTCGAACTACGGACCTAATTGAGAAGAAAAAATTTTCTGTGAATAGTAGTCAATATTGTACTTTGGTCTTATTGTCTATTATATAGTGGAGAATTATATCTCAAATAGTGCGTATTCCACATCCAGTCTTATCAAATGAGGACCGGGGAAGGTCTGGGGAGGTGTCCTCAAGATTGTCATCCAGAAGACGTCGCAAGCCCAAGTGCACGACTTGGAACTCGACATACGCTTTACCGATGTTGGGGTCTCGATAGTAGGGTTGATCTTATCGTCAAACAGAAGAGCTTGAGATCGCCGCATGGGCGATGATTTAGAGCTCTAAACAGATGATATTGGTTCTTCCATTTCCGTAGAGCTTGGGACTTGAGAGGATAAATGCGTGAAAGTCACTGGGACACTCTTCCACTACATATAGGTAAAAGAGGGGAATGGTAGAAAAGGCGTCTCCCGGAGTCGTAACCAGATAGCCTTATGCACCGTAAAAGATTAGTCGCGATACCTGGCCACCATATTGGATGCCAGAACCACAAGTTCATAACCTAGCTCTTACAGAAGAGCCATTCCACCAACAACCGCAGCACCCAGCATTCCCCATGCAGCGGTCTCCAATGCAACAGCACCACCGGTGGAGGTAGCGGTGCTTGAGCCGCTCGAGGTGGTAGAGGACGAGGAAGAGCTGTCCTGGGCTCCTCCGGTGGAAGTGGACTCATTGGCGTTGCGCTGTGCTGCAGCTCCGGTGAAAGCAATGGCAGTGACGCCGGTGTTGTTTTTGCAGGATGATGGTTCTTCGTATTCGACGGTGGACGAAAATTGGATGTCAGCGCACTGGGAGAAGTTAGTATATCTTCAAACCCAATATGGACAAAAAGCATACAGCATAGAGACCTCCGGTAGGGTCGCCATTGCTCTGAACTTGGACAGTGGCGTTCATTCCATCGGTGATATTAGTACCAAGAATGGATTCGTCGAACAGCACGTGTGGGAGACAGAAGGCTCCCAATCCCTCAATCTCAAAGGTCTGATGAAGGGTGATGTTGTAGTTGGTACCGGGATCGGTTCCCAGAGCCAGAAGAACCTCCACGGCGCTTTGCGAATGGCCCATGGACAATGCCACAGGGAATGAACCGGAGGAAATTGACACCTGCGTGCGGTTGGTTGACTGGGCAGCTCCGCCGCAGGGGAACTGGGTCATCGTGTCTTCACTTCCATCACGGCTAGTTGGGTACTTGAGCTCGAAGTGGGCGGCGACCAAGGGCGCAAGAGACGCCAGGTAGAGGATAGGAAGTTGCATACTGGTGCTGAAGGGGCGGGAAAGTCCTTGAGAATAGAGTTTTGTAGGAAAGCGTTACACAGGCGTCTGGGATGTGTTTATATGCAAGAAAGCGGGCAAGGGTAGGCGAGCTCGGACTTGAACTTGGCAATACAGGGGTTAAGCGAAGTTAGTAAGTTACAGGATGTGAGTTGGATTCATGCAGAAGGGACCAGGTCCAACTATGGACCTGATACTAGCTCCAGTGGAAGGTCGGATCGGATGTTGTTGGTGACACCGGAAACCGACCAGACCCTGCAGAGCCAGACCCGATGGTTTTGGCATCTCCATTGGCCAATTCTCTGGACATGGCTGCACTAGGGCTGTTTGGGTTAGGAAATGTGCTCATTTCTTCTCAACACTGGCAAATCCGATGATGTTCCCCGGTACGAGCCCGCCCATGTGGGGGATTGCCAAGCCTAGTCATGACTGCTGAGTCGGAGGGCCTCAGGTCTTGGAGAAGGGAAACTGAAGTTGGACCACGGAAAAGTTTAGAATCTCGGATATATTTGATGAATTAGAACCGAGGGGAAAAGCCGGAATGTGGCTGTGTTCTATTGCAGTTCTGTGTTGGATGGATGGTTGCCAAGCCGGTCCGCTCAAGAGTGACATATCCGTGTGTGTATGGTAGAGTTCAAGGTCGCATGCAAATCATTCAGCCCAATGTGCCTTACTATCTATGTTGCAGGCATTGATACTGTTGAGGGGCGTCAAGTATACATACATTGATCTTTGTTACGGATGATTCTGTACCTATTAGGCGAGTCTCTACCCCGGCATCTTATAAACTGATATGCACTGGACGCCTCTTGGAAGTTTATACTTGATTCATCCATCTTGTATCTAGGTTCTAGTAAGCATGCTAGGGTTGTAGTGGAGTTAGAGATTTACAAACAACGGTAGTATATATCCGCCGCCATAATTAAATCTACCTCATTCTAACCGGACCGAGGTCATATTATTGAGAATGGACAAAGTCACTACGGAGTACACACGATCCCAAGCAAAGCAGACAAACAGACTGATGCAATGATCCGGAAGTGACCCGTCTGGCGATTTCCGGGCCACTCAACCCTTCGCGTCATACCCATGACATACCCCCCCCCCCCCCCCCCCCATCTCACCTTCGCCCCGCCTACTTGTCATGTCAGGCAACCTCGCAGGATCCTGATCTTCATTAAGCATTCAGTATGCTTTTCTTCGACTTCGCCAAAAGGGCTTATCAAGCGGCAGTCAGTCCGCCGACCCCAGCCAAGAGGGATGACGCTATCAGAATCGGATTGCTTGGGGCCTCCAACATAGCGTAAGCTTTACGCACGTTGACGCATATGCTACTTACATTGCTCTAGTCCGTTCGCCTTGATCACTCCCGCAAAGTCACACCCAGAGGTCATTGTTGCAGCAGTTGCTGCTCGAGATCGCGAGCGAGCCCGCCAGTATGCCAAAAAATACAACATTCCTATCGTCCATGATACCTATCAGGGTGAGCATTCTCCAACGGTAGTGTAGCTAAAGTCTGAATGATGGTGCTTTCCAGATATCCTGAACGACCCGTCAATTAATGCAATCTACATTGCCCTGCCAAATTCCCTACACTATGAGTGGGCTCTGCGGTCCATCCGAGCTGGAAAGCACGTCCTCCTTGAGAAGCCATCCTGCTCCAATGCAGAAGAAGCGCTCAGGCTCTTTAGACATCCCATGGTGACTAGCCCAAATGCCCCTGTCCTCCTTGAGGCTTTCCACTATCAGTTCCATCCAGCCTGGCAGACGTTCCTCTCATTGGTTCGCAAGGTTCCATGGGACGGGACCGTGGAGCACGTTTACTCCCAGCAGCACCTTCCCAAGGGATACCTCTCCATGGATGATATTCGTTTCCAGTACGCGTTGTCGGGTGGCTGCCTCATGGACCTCGCCACGTATCCTCTTTCATGCGTACGGCAGGTCCTAGGTAAAGGAGAGCATCTCCGACCAATCGAAGTTCAATATCGCCCCATGCCTCCTGCACCAGACGGATCTGCGATCGAGCCACAAATTGATGTGGGAATATCAGCTACCTATGTCACTGACAGTGGGAAGTCTGCAACCATCGAGGGGGATCTGATGTATGCAGGAGAGTGGTCTTTCCTACCTGCTTCATGGTTCAAAACTTTACCCAAATTGAAATGGCCCATGACTGAAGCAATCCTAGCAGAGGCACTGGTCGAGCAACGAGGCGATGGATTACACCATCATATTCAACGGAAGGTGACTCTGTGGAATCATCTTATGCCAACACTCTATCACCGGATCGATGTTTGTGACAAGCATTTCCTTCGCCGAGAAGGTGAAAACGTCGACACGTGGGATGAAACCAACCATATCAAGGCATACAACTGGCCGAAGGGTGATGACCGTTCCAACACCTATCAGGAATGGTGGACGACCTGGCGCTGCCAGCTGGAGGAGTTTGTGAATCGGATTAAGGGTCGGGCAGGGTCCGGGGTGTGGATTGATGGGGACGAAAGCATTGCCCAGATGGAGGCGATTGACGAGACGTACGATCAGGCGGGATTAATGCCTCGACCGACCAGTGCTTACCAGGTTTAGTTTTGTGGTGATTGCCGTGTTCTAATGGCTGGGCTTTATGAGATTGACTGATTGCGATCAAACCTGCATTACCTACGTCTTATCATTACCTAGTGGCTGGTCAGCGTTACAGATTGATTTCCAATGCACTATTGTCAAGGATCTTTAGGCTCGCATTGAATCCCAGCGTATCTATTTCCATTCCTGGTTAGTGGCACTGGGTCACTGCGCGCGCCTGGGTCGACCCAATTCCGCACCAATCGGAGTTGGACAACCTACTGACGATCACGCCATGGCTGTCGGCTCCCGCGAGCTTTTCATCCGGCCCCGACGATAGTCGCACCTGAACCTGGAAGGCAGTTGGATTAACGAGGTACGCTCCTTGCAGACATGGCAGGATATATCACATATTACTTATTCCAGTGTGAATTTCTTCATCGTGCCAAGACGAAACTATGTACAGGCACTATTCTGGTTTGGACCAGAACCTCAAGCCCAATGGTATCACTAATAAACAAACCCGATGATCAGAGAGGGTATCTAACGACAGACAACCCGCAATGCAGATGACACGCTACCCTTAATGCAATGCAACGCCAATCCCAAACACCATGCAACACAAGATATTCCAAAATCTAAGAGCACTTAATGGTCATGCTCATTCCACTGAACGAACCGGCCCACGGCCAGCTCGCCCAAGAAGGCCCCTGCGAGAACAGAGCAGAAATACCCCACATTCATTGTCATGACCGCTAACATCCTGCGTTCAGGTTAGCAACTGCATCCTCAATGCGCAAGGGTCGATCGACATACAGTAGATAAGAAACACCCGTGATGAAGAGATACATGATGGCACGGGGAAGATCCACACTGAAGCGCCACGGGAGCGGTTGATGCGACAATTTCCGCACAACCTTGACTTTCTCCTCGACACCCTGAGCCGTGACGAGACTGGCGGCTTTGGCGTCGGGATCGGCTTCGATGCGCCCCGCTTCGGTGGACTTTCCGGCGATGGCGACGTAGCGACGGTTGAGGTGGGCGTCGAGCCAGCGGCGCTCTAGGAGGGCTTTGAATGCGACGAGACAGCGGCCGATGATGGCGAGGATGATGAGGAAGATGCAGGTGCCGGCGTAGGTACCACTGGAGGAGGGAGCCCACTGGGAGGAGAAGAGGGGGGTGGTGTGGGAGTTGGTGAAAACCATGGACATGGACATGCTGGACATGCTAGACATGGACATCGACGAGGAGGTGGACATGGGCATGGACATTGAGGAGATTGAGGAGGTGGCCATGGCCATGGTCATCGAGGCAGATGTAGAGGTGGCCATGGACATGCCGGACATGGTGGAGGTAGTGCCCATATCCATGGTGGTGGTTCCCATATCCATTGTAGGGGGTTGTTTCGGGAAGAGTGGATGAACAAAGGGCGTCCGGAATTGGGAACAAGGAGGGGGTCTGCGTTCGAAGCGAAGCCCAGCCCTGCAGGTCAATTGACGGGATCGGAAGAGGAAAGGAATGTGGACGAACACATGGATGCGGGCCTGCTGTCATTGACGGTGACACTGGCATCTTTAAAGCCTTCTTCGGCGCGGACCCGCCAAGCCGTCCCGGACGGCGCTAGAGCATATTTTGGCCCAATTTGAGCACATTTTGGCCTCGGGAGCCAATCAGCGGGCGGAGGAGACAGGCCGTCCGAAAGCATCGTCGGAGGAGGGTGTGGGGATGAGCAGATTATTACTACGCCTTCCCGATTCACCCCCATCGTCCCATCAACTTTTCTTCCTATCGCGTCCTCGTGGTCCCTCGCGCTCCCCGCCATCAACTCAGGGCGCATTCCTCCATGTGTAACCCCCATCTCCTGTTTCTGCACCACTCTCTCGAGATGCCTTGAAGTGGCAGAGACCATATCCATCACGATATTCCGATTTTCAATACACGCCCCAGATCGGAACTATATCCTACCCCGCAAGATGGACATGAACATGTCGGGCATGGGCTCCATGTCCATGGGAAATGGGGTGCCCGGCCTGTTCTACCTCCAGAAGATGTACTGGGCTGTCATAGGCAGTGCCATTGCCGCTGGGACGGTCATCAATCTTCTGAACCGTTTCCTCGCCTGCCAAAGGTAAGCCATCAACTGCCATTGCATCGACTCATACTCACACTGTCAGGCTCCGGGATTCATCTTTGACCCCCTCTAAGCCCAAATCCATCTTCTTTGGCACATATGCCACGTTGACGGCCTTGGTCCGCGAAGCCAGCTACGCGACCTTGCCTCCGTTGACTATCCGTGGCCACAGCTATCACTTTGCGCCGCTGGGCCCGCTGGCTATCATCCTGGCCAACCTGATCGTCGTGCTCGTCTTTTGCTTCTACAAGCTGGACACGGCCGACCAGTGGAAATGGGAGGATGTGGGCTACCGCACCGGTTTCGTCGCCATATGCCAGCTGCCATTGATCTTTCTGCTGGCGGGAAGACAGAATCTCATTGGCATCCTCGTGGGCATGAGTTATGAGCGTTTGAACTGGTATCACCGGTGGATCGCCCGGACTCTGTGGTTGACAGCAACTATCCACATGTGCTTTTGGTTTCGTGACTGGGGTCGTTACAACTATATCCTGTACGAGCTGAAGCACTACCCCCTGGCAACGAGAGGGTTCGCCGCATGGTGTATATTGACCTTTATTGTGATTACCTCCGCGGCGCCAATCCGACGGTTTGGGTACGAGATCTTCGTTCTACAGCATTTGGTGACCTTTGTTGGGTTCATCGCTGCCGTGTGGCTCCATGCACCAGCTGAGGTCAAGGTATGGGTGTGGATTCCAATCGGCTTTCTCATCTTCGACCGGGTGGCACGCTACCTGTGGGCAACCTACGCGAACTTGTCTATCTTCCACCGTTCGAAGAACCCAACGCATGCCCTCTGGGCCAATCGCGCAACATTCACCCCGTTGCCAGGCAATGTAACCCTGATAGCCATCGAGAACCCCGGAATCCGGTGGAAGCCAGGTCAGCACGTCTTCCTCACATGCCATTCGATCGTGCCCCTGCAAAGTCACCCTTTTACCATCTCGTCTATTCCAGGAGACAACAGTCTGGTGATGTACGTGCGCGCAGAGAAAGGCGGTACCAGGCGCTTCTTCCGGTATGCATCGAAGAACCACCACGTGCTAAGGGGCAGTGATACGTCCCCAGCAAAAGAAGCACGAGCAGCCTTTGTGGAGGGACCTTACGGGTGCATGCGACCCCTTCAGCAGTTTGACAGCGTGATCCTACTGGCTGGTGGCATGGGAGCGACATTCACCGTGCCATGTCTGCGGGATATAGTCGCTAGATGGAGAACCGAGAGCACACAAGGCCAGTCATCGAAGCTCACTCGACTGGCAGCGACGAAGCGAATCCGGTTCGTCTGGGTGATTAAGTCGCGCACGCAGTTGAGCTGGTTTGAAAGCCAGCTGCAGTCAGTCCTGACTGACGTCCAAGAGTGCCAACTAGCAAACCCAGACATCATCCGAGAGATCGAGATGAGCATCTACATCACCTGTGATGAGAAGCTGGAGCCAGCGCAGAGTACACTGTGCGCGCAGGCATCACAATTCCAGCCGCAGACAACCGCAGTACCGGAGAAGACCGTCGAGAAATTCTCCGAGAAAGCCACGACGGAGGAGAAGGACAACATCTCTGTGGACTCCGTTGGACAGTCCGGGTGTAAACCGGGTGGAGGATGCTGCTGCACTGCCTCTATTGAAGACGAAGAAGAGATCACTGAAACGAAATGTACGTGTTCCGGACACGCCGCGCCGCTGTCAACGGACATCAACCCACCAGCACCCGAAGCAGACACCAAACCAGAGATACCGATTTCCAGGCCCCACGACCTGACGATCCTCTCCGGCCGACCACATGCCCGGACGATCATCCGCAAGGTCCTCGAAAAGGCAGAGGGCGAGAGCGCGGTGGTGGTCTGCGGGCCACGGGGGCTGTCAGATGATGTGCGGCGGAGCGTGGTATATCTGAGTGACGAGCGGGCGGTACATAAAGGGACAGGGGCGCAGGGAATATATCTGCATGTAGAGCAATTCGGCTGGTGATACTCCATAGATTAGATACCCATATACTTTTTCAAGCTCACCTATGAGCAGTTACTCATCTACTTCAATGATTGTCCTAATACCTCCTAAGCATAAACTCAGTAGCCATCCGGACACCTCATAACTTACCAGCTACTCATACACAACACTCAATAACCATACCCGCCCCAGAGCCCTCCTTCCATAGAAGTAAAAGTCGGGCTCCCAAACGGGATAGTCAACAGATGAGTCAAAATCCCAATGACGTAATCACCACCAACCAACCACCTCCGACTCCAACCACCGACACCGACACCGACCCGGCCCGACCAGACAGACCCCTGCTTGCTGTCTATCAACCCGACACAACCTTAACCACGACCTACCTACCTCAATCCATCCCCAACCAAACAACCAAACAACCGCAATCATGGTCTTCCGCTTCGTACGCCCCTCCCCAACCCCCCATCATCCCCCCAACCCAACTAACCCACCACTAACCCACCCACCCCCAAACCAGGCCAAAACCCTCGACCCAATAACCCTCTTCCACACCCCCAGCTCCACGCCCAGCAAAACCGCCTACAAGATCCTCCAATCCGCATCCACAGCCGCGCAATCGCCCTCCGCGCCCGCCAACACCCGCGGCGAATTCCAACTCGAGATCACCACCGGCCCTCCAACCACCGATCAACTCCGCAATATCCTGGACTATGTTACGGGGAATCCGGCGGGCGCGGGAGCTCCGGATAAAGGGGCGAGATATACGGTGGGGGAGGTGGTGAGGGGTGCGAGGGATGCGGAGGATGCGATTAAGAGGTTTAAGGCGGATCCTGAAGGGAGTTTTGTGAGGCCGATTGTGAGTGACATCTTTTTTTTTGTGGTTGGAGGATGGGGAGGGGAGGGGTAGGGATTGAGAAATGTACTAATGTGTGGGTGTGTAGACTGTCGATTGGACGAATGGGCAGGCTGTCGTTGGGGATAATGAGTCGGAGATTTTGAAGATGGTGCAGCAGCTCAATGAGTAGGAGGATATCTTTATCTTCTGCTCAGGATCTACATCACGACTGTTTGGGTAAGGGAATCTGCAGGATGTAGTCTGAATAAGAGGCTACAACTGCATTTTCTGCATTTGTATTCTACGATATGCTGTATCATACAACTCCATCGTCACATCCATCATACCATTAAACCATACTCGCTTAAAAACTCGAGTCCAGCTCGCCCGAATAGAACTCCGTGATACTTGCGCCTAAAACATCGTCCCGAAGGATCCGTCCGTCGCGATCGGCTTGCGCGGCGAGCTGCGTCCCAGTCCGTCCATCGCTGGCTTTCGGTGTCTGTTCTCGTTAGCAGATGCTACCCATTTACAACAAAGTGGACGTACCGGAAAGTAAATCCAACGAACAAGCCCTTGCTCATCTTATCGTCCCTTTCGGCCATCTCTTCCAACGCTCGCTGCTTGTCATGGACCTCCTTGTACTTGGCCATGTCCGCTTCGTTGGTAAAGTCGTCAAAGTAGCCCGCGTCTGTCTCCGAATCCAGCTCGGGCACAAACGGCGCACGCTGCTCGCGCAGATGGTTGAAGTCCACCTCGCTGAAGTAGTCATGCGCGTGGATCTCCTGGATGTTCTTGAATCGCTTCTCCTTCGACGCAACCAGCTTGGTGATCAAGTCCCACGTGCGCCGCGACAGGAAGTAGTTGGGATCCTCGTACACCGGCTTGCGCAGCACCTTCTGCCAGCACTTGAGGTTCTGCCACGTCTCGTCCACTGTCGATCCCGCAAACGGAGGATACCCGGCCAGTGCCTCAAAGAGCATGCACCCCAAGCTCCAGTAGTCCACCGTGAAATCGTACTGCTCACCCTTCAACACCTCCGGCGCCATGTAGTCGGGCGATCCCACAATCGACTTGGCGTAGTTGACCTGGCGCTCACGCAGCGTCCGATATCCCTGGCGACGCTCAGCCACCGTACGCTGTTCCATGGGTCGACCAAAGGGCACGGGCGTGTTGCCGACCTCCTCCAGTTTCACCCGCATCGATTCAATCTTGCCCGGATTCAGCATACCGGCCGCCAAGCCAAAGTCCGTCAGCTTCACATGACCAGTTGAGTCGATCAGAAAGTTCTCGGGCTTCAGATCGCGATGAATGTACCCCAAAGCGTGCAAAGCATCGATGCAGCTGAACATCTCCGCAATGTAGAAACGAGCATGGCGATTGTGCAAGACGCCGGTGTTATTCAGCAGCGTGCGGAAATCACCTCCGGGAACATACTCCATCGCCAGGTAGATCTGGTCCTCATCCTGGAAAGCATAAAGAAGCTTGACCAACCAGTCGCTCTTGGCCGCCGTCAGAATATCGCGCTCGGTGAGGATATGGCGAATCTCGTCCAACTTGAACAGTAACTTCTTGCTCATGACTTTCAACGCACACACCTCCCGTGTGTCCTTCTTTTGCGCCAAATAGACCTGTCCATAGCCACCCTGGCCCACCTGTGTGAGAATCTGGAAGTCATGCTGACGGAGTCGGGTGCGGCGTTTGCGGAGATGGGCCCGTTCCCGACCCAGGTATTTCAGCAGAGCGGGTTCATAGTCCTCCATCGGAGTCACGGGCGGTTCGGGGTAGGCGGTGCGGAATTGCGAGTAGCGGTTCTGGCGGTTATGGACATAGCTCAATAGGTCAAAATAATGATCGAGGAAATCTGGCTGGTTAGCAAGACACACTGCAAAGGAGTCGCTATCACCTACAAAGTTGCGTAACATTAACCAGTCGCTTGACCCGGGGATTCTGCAGCTTCTCCAACTCCTCCGGTGTCAGCCCACGCATGGGGACCTGACGGCGCTGAATGCTTTCCAGATCTCGTTGCTGGTATGGCTCATGGCGGGAGATAGCGGCAGCGGCGGGGTTGGGACCAAGGTCCTTGGTGAGACGGGTGGAGTTGGGAGGGGTGTTTTCTTTGTTGGATTTGCGTGTGGGACTGCCCGGTGGCTGACGGATAACGCTCTCGGTAAAGTCCTCACTGTTTCGGGGGGGCGCGAACATGGGGTGATTGTAGTGGTTGTAGGTGCCTTTGGTCGGCGAAGTGGGGTTCAGCTTCAGCGCCTTTTCGAACACGTTGGGAAGGTCGATTGCACCGGGGGGCATTCTGTTTTTGCTGGGACTGCCCTGAGGGGTTTGCACGGGGCTGGTGAATTCAGTCTGGGCGGGTGTTGAGGGGCGATCCAGGGAATCATTTCCGGTACGCGTATGGAGGAGAGGCGGCGGGTTGGGCAGTCGGAATGCCGGGCGATCTGAAGTGTCAAGATTGAGCGCCATCTTGGGCTCGGAAAAGTCTTTTGCGACTGTTCTCAAGTGAGCAGAGGCGTGAATGGGTGCGCACACAACAGTCTTGACCCAGGTGCGATTCCACCGACAGCGACTGAAGGAGTCGGGGCGGGGAAAAAGGAACGAGGGATAGGAGATTAAAGCACGAGTAGGGACTCGGGATTCGAGAGGAAAAAGAAACGCAATGCAAAACAGAGCGAAAAAGCAAAAAAAGAGGGCCGTAAAAAGCAACGAGAAAAAGACAGCCACGAGGACGGCGAGCTGGAGCAAGAAAGAGGGGGAGAGAAGAAGGACGAGGAGGAGGAGGAAGGACTTGGTTCGGGCAGGAATGGTGAGAAGCAAGGACAACGGCAACCCGACGAGTGGCTTTTGAGAGAGGGGAAGGGGGGGTTGTGCCCGACGGAGGGGAATTTGGTGCAGAGTAGAACCGCTGAAGAGGAGGACGCCGAGTAGAAGAAGTATGTCAAAGGCCGTGAAGATTGACAGCCGGCGTGCAGCAGTCAACTAACTACGAGTTGGAGAAAGATGGAGCCGCAGCTGAGCCAGCCACTTTGTAGCCACTTGAAGGTCGACCCTCGCAAGCCAACGAGATGCCTCCGATCCATCTCGGCGGCGCCCCTCCCTCTCGAGCGCCGCTACGTTGCTGGGGTAACTCCCTTGTTCCGGTCCAATCTGCGCGGCCTGTTCCTGTTGCAATGCCAGGGCAGCCCGAGTCGATCTTGTTCCTGACGCGCTTCGCCTGGTGATTGGGAGATCCCGAGGCTGAGGATGCGATGGCGCCGATGGAGTCGCTTCCCACCACCAGTCAGAGTCTCTGCACGTTATTTCCACAAGGCGAGGGTGAGAACTAGCGACCAGGATTCTTGCTAGCTAAAGGTAGATATCGGGAACTTTGTCGTGAGATCGTCTCCGATCCCATGGGGCAGATCTAGTATCTAGCTAGCTGCCCTGATCCCGGGGAGTTGTCGGTGGTGGGCGATTTCAATCTATTCCCGGTCTCGCCATCGGTTGTCTACAGCTCTTACAGTCGCACGGCATAGCTTTCAGTCCAGACAAAAACAATCGCATTCGCAACGGATTCAATATCCATCCATAATGATCTCTATATTCGGGCTCCCTAGCCACCATCGTCATCAATGGCGGTGACACCGACCTTGTTGTTTACCTCCCGTAAACAACCAAGGAACCCCCAAATCCAGTGGAGATCCAGGCCGATGGACCATGGTTCATCGCTTCTGCCCCCCTCCTTCACCACCAAACCGCACACACATTCTTTTCAGCGGTCAGCCAAGGCTGGACCCTAACAGCAAGGAATCCATTCCCCCTCAATCGAGTTTAATTACATCATTGCCGTTTCCCGCCTTAAGCAGCGCCCTTGGCCCGTTGTCCCGTCTACCGTCCCACAATCAGTCAGCCTCGTTTTCCCACTTCACCCAGGCACAGCAGGGAACTCACGTAGAAAGCCAATCCGTACGACGGCGTTGTGAAAGTGACCTTGGTTCCCTTGGGGAAATGAAACACGTCGCCAGGGATAGCAGTAACCTTCTGCCCGGTCTCGTCCGAGATCTCGAATTTCCCTTCCAGGATGATCTTCATCTCATCGTAGGTGTATTCGTAAACGAGCGGGGTGCCCTTCTCGAGACGGTAGAACCCGGCCGACATGGGCTTCTCGGGGTTGTAGCTGTCGCTAGAGCAGGATCCATGTTAGTTTTGAAACGTATACGCACACACATAGGAGCAAGGGTATGTACCTCGAGTCAACATCACCAAGAAAAGCATTCTCGTTGGCGATGAGAGGAGGCTCAAAGGTGGATTGCGCACGGGCATGGTACTTGAAGGGAACAGCCATGGTTGCTATGTGTTGGGTTTAATGCCAAAAAAGTTGACTAAATGATCACTGTTAACAAATTCAAGACATGACCGGTCTTCATGGGCGCTTTATACCAGCGACTTCCTGCCGGGGACGGTTCATTCACACCTATCTGCTCCTATTCCTACAACGGAGATAATCTGGTGCGGAGGATTCTAGGATGCCATCGCGGATCCGACTTCTGTAGTGGGATAACAGGCCTCACGCAAACAGCAGCCGCAGCACATCCCAGCTAGGGAGTCTCCAACTGAGGGGAAGATAGATGAGGGGAAGTCCGCTGTGCATCCGGCAAGATATCAGATCGAGGAGGGCGATATCGACCTCACCCTCCAGGCTGTACATAGTATACTGACGGGGCGTGGCATCCGTACTGGATACTTTTCCCCGGATGGGTTAGCACTTCCGTCCTCGTGGATGCGGGTAACAGTACGAGATACGGCGTACCGTATTCTGTGCGGGTATTTACGGTTCCATCCGACAGGCCCTCCAATCTCCATGGCCTCGCCCAAACCTTTCTTTTCTTTTCTCTGCTTCTCTTCTCTTCCTCCTTCTATCATTCAAATCTCACCCGGCTGATTCTAGTCAACACGAAGGCCAGTCCACTGGACATGATCGACATCACTAACGATTCGACTGCCCCATCCGAGATCTCTAAGCGAGCCCAAGGGAAGATCCCAGACCCCGTGGAGAAGTTCACATGCAGCGCCTGAGCGATCGCCCACCTGCCCGGTTGAGTAAAGCCCGTAGTAGTTGCTGGCCTTCCAGATGGCAGATTCCGTCGCCCACAACCCCACCTGGGAATCTTCGCCTGTTTCTGCCTCTTATCGGGCTCCAGGCAGACTGTCCGCAGGTTTCTCGCTGCAGTCGATGCCAACCAGCCGTCGTCATCCTGCAATATCCGAATCACACCATTGATGATTCCTCCAGCTGAACTAAGCCCGTAGCCCACCGGGTGGGTGGATCTTTCGTCTTAAATGCTCGCACTCCCACCCGGCTCCCCCTTCCCCCTCTTGTAGTTGGTGCAGAGAGAAGAAAAAAAAAAGAAACCGACTCGCTAGCAGAACCACGCGGATCACAGCCCAAGCAGCAAGCGACCACCACCATCGCGTCACCCAATGCAGATCTCGATCATTGTCATCCCCGCGCAGAGACCCCTCAACGTTCAAGGCGGTACCATCGACTTGTCCTGATCGCGTACGTCCGGCTGTTCCTCTAGTAGACAGTTGTATACGACCGAGTACTCTACTGTCCACAGCGACTCCTAAACCCGCCATCCTTCACACCATCTGATCCATCTCCGAACGGCCACTGCCCGGGCCAAGTGCTGTCGTTTGTCCTATGCGCCAACCTGCCTGCCAGTAATCCCAGGAACATTCCCTAGCGACTCATACGATCATACTGCGGCACCTCCTAAGTCAAAATAATTCATCACAAAGATACCCCGGGACCTCCCCCAAAGCGCGAGTCAGTCCCGTATAGAATGTGATTATTCGTTACACTGAACACCGAACGCCATGCTGATTTCAAGGTCCAGATTGTAAGACAGTCGGTCTGAACAAGACCCAGTGAACATCCCACAAGCATATACTCCGTCACGCCGTCAACCACCCACTCGTACCAAAAATTCCGTGGTACAGCCCCTCGCAACAATGGCAACCGTGTCCATGACGAGCGATTTGGAACCTTACCTGGCATCGCTCCGATCGTATCTGGCCCAGAACAAGCCTTCGGCAGAAAATTCAGCTGAAGAGCCCACCAATGCGGTCCACAACCATGACGATCGGGATGCTCAGCGAGATCAGCCGTATCCGAAAGCAGGAAAAGACAACAATCGTGTTGGCCATACGCGCCCTGTCATGAAGAACCGCCCCTGCCGAACACACTAAAAAACGTGCCATTCAACCAAGGAACACTATATAAATGAGCCCGCGTTTCCTTAAGTGCGAATATAAAAGCAAACCCTGAATAAAACAAAAAGATTCAAAAAGTTCAATCATACCTTGCCAGCCCCATTCTTCCATCACGTTAATCCAGTGCAACCCGCCCCGCACCGTCTTTTCAAACTCGATATTCTCCAGAGGGGACAACGCGGAGCTCCGTCGGGGTCTCCAATGCTCTTTAGCGTAAATGCTACCGGCACTTCGCTCACCCGATCTAAGACTAGCGTAAGATAGTCTATCGCCCCCAAAAATTTCCATGGCTGCGCTGGTAGCGCGTCCAGAAGCTCCACGCAACTGTCTTCGGTGCTTTTCGCTCTCAAAAGCATCCCGGCGATCCCAGACCGCGCGGACTATATCAATGCAGCGATCAATTGAGCCCAGCATCAGGCGGGTTTGGATGGCTTTCCACCGGCTCAGTACCCACTGACGGTCCTCCTCTTGCTCCGCTTCGCACCCTGCCGCCAGAAGCGGGAACATTTGAATAATAAGGGTTCGAGAACTGGGAGGAACGGTTGCCAGCAGTATTAGCACACGTTTGGCAAGCTCTGACGTCGGCTCCGAGGGCATCTCGGGGACGGCCTGGTGAAGATACAGAAGCGTCGCCCAGCGATAAGCATGGGCTGTCTGGATACTATGCTGTACTTCCGATGATGGATCCTCTGGGGGCTCGAACAACTGGGGAGGCTCCCATTGCTCAACAAGGCGTTTGAGCTCTATCGCTTGCGAAATAAGGGAGATGGAATTCGATTCCGTAGTGCGGACTCGCTGGATCAATCGAGCCACCTGGTTGATCAGCGGAAAGAGAGTCGTTGCGCAGCCCATTAGAGGATCAATCTCCTGCACGGCATCTTTTTGACGTTGCAACGACGAAACATCCACCTCCGCATCGCTCAGCTCTTCACGAGAGGTCAGACGAGCAATTACGTCCATGTACAGCCAGGTGTTGCAAAGGAACCGAACCCTATCCAGGTCATCTCCACACACCCCGCCTTTCAAGCTGAAATTGAGAGCTTGCTGGATGAGCACCTTGGCTCCTGATAAATGATGAAGATTGGTCTGGGTGTGTTGGTCCCAAGTCTCGGCAAATGCGAGTGCCAGACTCGTGGCTAATGCTGCATCAAGTCTCATCTTCGCCATATCTTGCACCAAGTATCTGATGCTCTTGCGCATGTGATCCATACCCGGTACTCTCAGGGCGGGAAGCTCTTTACTCCAATGAAAGGCAGCGAGAGAAAAGACAGCATGATACAGAGCCGGAGTCTCTTTGGCCAATGGCCAAATCAAGGTCCGCCATGGATTCTCATGGACACCGTCTTTGACAGATAATATCCCACAAGTGACCCTGTCGAACTGCAGAACTAGCATCTCTGGACTTGCAATGCCAAATAGGGGCTCTCTAAAGATGTTGGATAGCCCTTGGGTGTCTTGCGAGAATGGGGTCATGCTGATCTCTGCCAGGTCAAGAAGTCCGGAGTCCATGCTTTGATCGGAATTCCGTACAATTTCCTCGATGTCCTCACTCTCTCCTTCCATCAAGGCCTCAAAACTGAAACTATCATGCCTTTGGAAACCAGATCGAACAGGGACCTGTTTTGGAACCTGCTCCGACCCTGACTGTTGTTCTACGGCAGCCGGTGATACATCAGATGGCCATGAAGGATGACCAAAGGGTGAGATCTCAGCCAGCGACGACCCGAAGATGTCTTCATCAAAGCTCACTGGTGTCAGTTGACCTACAAGCCCATCTGAGGAGCGAAACAGATCCTTGTCACTCAACGAGAGGCTGTTCGCGTGCCTTGGAGGAGATGCGCCCTTCGAGGAAAGGTCAGAAGAGTCCATGAAGCCCCTCGAGCCTAGCGAAGGTAGACTCGATGCAACATGCTGGATTTTGGGCCCTTTGGATGGGCGCAGTGAGATGGGGGACGTCGAAAGGTCTCTAGCTGGTTTTTCATCGGATTGGTACGAGGTACCTGCAAGAAAGCAGAAGTCAGCTTTACAGAACTGAAATTGCTTAGAGCTATTTACGCACCTTTCTTGATTTTGGCACTGGCAGTTTTGCCACCAATATTAGTCTCTTCGAACGGGCGCCATTTGAAATCCTTTTTGTATCCTCCACAGTCCACATTCCGCTTCTTACATTGGAGACAAGTTGGTTTGGACTCGTCACACTTTAGTCGCTTTGCCTTGCAAGTAATGCAGCCTGGATAATGAAAACCATGAGAACGTCAGCGCGCTGCGCATTATAGAGCGTTCGTGCTCTTGTCTCTCTGCCCATGCCTCTTCCATTCCTGGCATCTTTCCCTCTTTCACCCCCGTGCTCCTAAGGCTAGTAAAGAAGTAATGATACCGTACCGTTACGGCTCTTGGACTGCTTAGGCTTGCTCTGGTCTCTGGCTGTACCAGGCTGACCTACAGTCGGCTTCTGGGGAGAAACAGACGACCTGGAAAGCCCACCAGCCGATGTGGAGGGACGGTGGGTGCCTAGGATGGCAGACGGCGAAGGGATGTTGATTTCCTCCATACCCAAATAGGAAACAATGATGACATGAACCGCGCCAGGGAGCAAGCGGTAGTAGAGAGTGTGAGGGAGAGGCAGGAGGCGGTAATCTGAGGCAAGAGAGAGAGGGACCAGACCGTCAACTGGGAGTTGGGAAGGGGAGAGGGAGGGAAGGGCGATCGGATAGTTTCCTTGGAGATTTCAAACCGAGATAAGACCCTTAAGTCAGGTCCGATGACAGGGAAAACAGAAGAGATAGGAACGAGCTGGGTGAGCGATAGATAACTCAATGCCCCGAGACGGCCCCAGATGGCGAGGAGGCAGCGCCATCAGGGTGATAAGAGTTGCACTAGAGCAGCAGATTGCGGAGACAGCTGGTGCGAGTTGTGCAACGCGGATTCGTCGATCCGAGGCTGGAGCTCAGACAAAAGCCGGGTCCCCATTGGAGCCATGGCGATTGGAGCTAGAACACTTCCCTTTCATGCAAGTTTCGATGACAATGGATGGAGGAGGGGGGGGGGGGGGGAAGAGGCAAACACCCTCCGGTTTAGCGAGGGTAGTAAATCCGCCTTGGACCAGTGAGCGGATTTGATTTCCAGTCCCTTTGCTTTCCCCGGAGAAAACACGAAGACAGACGGCAGCGGTGTGGAGGAGGCCGTGTTCTTCACACTGGGGAACACCACAGGGCAAGGTTGAAACAGAGCTATCAGGCGGTGATAGGCAGACGGACGCCACCAGGGAGCAGGACGAGGACGAGAGCCTGGGAGGAATCGGGGCGGTTCAGCCGGTGTAGGCGAAGGTGGTGGAGAGAGCAAATCCCCGTGATCCTATTCGGCGGTGCCGCCTTGTCACCTGCCGGCTTACCCTCGACCTTTCCAGCCACGGAGGGACAGAGCAGTAGGTACAGACAGCCCGTAGGCAGCACACACCAGGTTCTTCCTCGTACTTTCTACTCCATTCGCTACCGACGGACTCTGAAATACGACCTTATTTTACCTCGTTCTGTAGGTACAGCACCACCCGACACCCCCCCCAAACCCCAGTCCGGACTGACGGTTGGTCGCTCACGAGGGGGTAGGACAAGCAGCCAGCAGCACCGGACTTTCGACGAGCTTTTCGTCTGGAGAACCACCAATCCCTTACGCGACTGCCATCTGCAATGGAACCATCCAGCCGACATGGCTGCCTCCAAGAGGGCATGGGGTCAGTCGACCACCCGCTCTGCCAATCTCCGAGAAAATTCAATTGCAATGGCATGGTTCTAGACCTGCTATACAGGGTTCTCGCCTGCTCCCGGATGTCGGACAATGTCTTCAGCCCTCGGATAGATCCACGAGTAAGAATTCAAACTGGTCCCCGGGATGACTGTCGGCCTCGTGTTTGTTCCAATCCCCGGGGACACCCATCCTCACTCGAATAACAATGGTCGGCGACCGGATGCATCCCGGCGGTATGCGCAACGCCTAGTTGCACAATAACATCAGGTGCAACACCTAAGCTTTGCCTGCTTTGAAAGATAACAATTCAGACGGGAGGATTGCATGTTCGCACTGCGTTTCGATCCTGTGGGCTAGTTGGAATTCCCGCGTGGAGAGGAATGCGCGGAAACAGTCGCATCATGTCCCACCTAAACCCACTGTCGATGTGAATCCAGACAATAGAGGGCGGGATGGTGACGTATACCCCCGATTCCCGAGGCTAGAGGCTGTCATCACTCATCAGGGACTTGCCTGATGTCGCTTGTGTTTTCCTTATCGACGACCGATTTCGGCTTTGATCTGAGACAGACGGCGGGCGGGCGGAGATAACGCGCCCGGCTGGTGAGGGGATGCTGCTCCGCACGCTATCTCGAGCGGAGTAGGAGCTCCAATGTAAATGCTAGATGGCTGGTTGGTCCCAGTCTTCCCGGTCCCTAGCTCGGGAGGATTGCTGCGGCATTAATATCAGGATTCCCAGCTGGCTAGCGGCGCTGGGATCTTCGTTGTGAGGCCAAGAATTGGCCCATGCAGCGTTGAGCAGTATAGACAGCCCCGCCTCCGGCATCTCCACCCGTAGTACCATGGAACCAAAATATTTCAAGCAGGGTCGATCACTTCACCATCCCATATATCGTCACCCCTCTTCCAGACAGGGAGTTCCTAATTCCACCTACCACCATGCCTCCTCTACGAACAAAAGCTCTCATCAACGTCGACCTTGGCGAAGGCTACGGAAACTTCAAATGCGGCCCCGACGATGAACTGATACCCCTCATCGACCAGGCCAACGTGGCCTGCGGTTTCCAGTAAGTACCACCATCCGATCTCATACACTTGGAACCCTCCCTCGAACCATAAGGCTTGAACATGCAAATCTCACACCGCAAAACGCCTCTAGTGCCGGCGACCCCCTCATTATGATGGAAACCGTTGCCATGTGCAAGAAGCACGGAATTACCGTTGGCGCACACCCTGGTCTCCCAGACGTCCAAGGATTTGGCCGGAGGGAGATGAAGCTCACACCTGAGGAGCACACCGCCAACATTATCTATCAAGTCGGTGCACTTCAAGCCTTCCTGGCTCGCGAAGACGTCCCGTTACACCACGTCAAGCCGCATGGTGTTCTGTATGGCATGATGTGTCGGGACTTGGAAGTCGCACGGGCTGTCATAAAGGGAATTCCTCCAGGCGTGCCTGTAGTAGGTCTTGGAGGAACATACATGGAGCAGGCTGCTCAGGAGCTAGGGGTTCCGTTCTGGGCCGAGCTGTTCGGAGATGTCAAGTACCGGGCAGATGGGACGCTGGTCATTGATCGGAAGAAGAAGCCCTGGAAAATTGAGGACGTGAAGGCTCATGTGCGACAGCAGGTCGAGGAATCTTCAGCTACGGCAATTGATGGGACGATTGTTCCGATGGGGGTGAAGGATTACCCTGTTACGATCTGCTGTCATTCAGATTCCCCTGGGTGCTTGGAGATTGTCAAGGCTACGAGGGAGGTGGTTGATGAGTTCAATAAGGCCCACGGATTTGCTTGAGATCGAGGGCATGCTATATCCAGATATGTTTTATGACGTGGCATGTGTACTCTGCTATATCAGTCAAACAATAAAGAAGTATGATCACTTTCCAATGTAGAATCATTGTCAAAGCGTTAGTACAAGTGACCCCTAGATACCCGAACTACTCATGTTACCGAGAAATCAAGCGGGCCTAGACACCCCTACTGTAGTATTCCCATAATGTTTATATTACGGAAAATATGATACCAGAAACCCTCAATCCTCCTACATTCTTCCATACTGGCATTCACATATTCCTCCCGTAGTTCCCCCCCTCTCAATATCCACAGCACGATTCCCCCTCTCCCCTCTCCCCAACATCCCACAACATCCCACAGCCACCGCCATAGAGTACAAACTCAACGCCCATGCCATACTCACCCCCAAGGCTAACCCAGCCTACATGACACGGCAGAAGCCTTGCCTGTCATACCAACTACCCAAAGCCCAAAGCACAGGGCCAATCCTTTGTGAATGACCAGACTAATCCAGATGATCACTTGATAGAAACTATCTGAATGAGACACTGTCACCCGAGAATTGTCACGTTCTTTGACTGCAGTCTACCACCAATTGGATACAGGGTGGGTGATGTTACAGCCTGACAATCATGGCAAGGCTGAATTACATTCACATGGGGTTTGGGTGAGTAAATCTCACTTGAACAGGATTCCAGCTCAGCGACGAATCACTAACTAATAGAGACTCATCACATCGTGGTGGATCAGCACACTATTGTAGTAATACAAGACTCATTTCCCAAAACAATCGGGTCTAGCCATTCTGAGCCTGGCATCCCCCAATGCAACCAGTTTCAAGCAATAGCGGCACTGATGAAAAGAAACTTGTCATTATAGACAGACTAAGGGTGGTCCTATGGAAAGAAGAAAAAAAGAAAAAGAAAATTCAAAGATTTGATTCGCAGGGAAACTGCTTTTGCTTTTTTATTTCTCAACGTTCCCACAACAGAGTGATATCTCAGATACGGAGTAGGTACCTAATCTCCAATTCCGAATGGATAGTATGTATGTTCTCTACCCCCTTGCATAAGGCCAATAAATCTACATCGAAGTCCCCACAGACAATGGAAATATAAAAAGTAAATGAGCTAAAGGAGAACATGCTGTCTTTCTAGCGTGAAGAAAAAGGGAACCCCCAGCTGTTGGGTAAATAAATTGACTCTTACATATTTCTTTTTTTTGTCTATACAACCCACATGCCCGACCCAGGCTTGACTCCAGTCTCGTTATAAACATAGCTTGTAACAAGACATCTCCACTCGCATGTTCTCTCTATATACTTCCCATAAATTGATATTGACATCAATATGACTTCCTCTAAGCCTCACCCACTACTAAACCTAACAGGCAAGTGGGTGCTTGTCAGTTCTCTTCTCCGCCCCCCCAAAAAAGCCTCACAAAAACCAACAATCCACAGGAAAAAAATCTATCCACAGAGTTCGACCCATTATTAAAGCTGGTAGGATATTCAAAACTTCCCCAATCCGACTTTACGCTGCAATGAACTTACCCAAGGGAATTAACCCCGCAGCAATGCATAAACTGGCTCATCCGACAAGCCGTCCGCTGCGTATCAGTTACATTCACATTCAATGAATACGCCAGCATCGCGACAGATGGCTCACTACTAGCCTTGCATCTAGACGTCACACATACACCGACTGGTGGCTTTGTCGGTACAACCGAGAAGCGGACGCTGGATTGGAACCCCCATATCCAGAGAGATTATGTTTTTGGGACGCTTAGTGTCCGGAGTCGACTTGTTGGGGGAGTGGAGGATGGGGATGGGGATGGATGTATTCGACCTGCGCTGGAGTTGGATACACCAGATCTAGATGAGAAGGTGATTGATTTTCTGAGGGGAAAAGTCTCTGCTAAGGGGGGGGGGGACGAGGAAGGGTTCTTGGTGGAGGAGTGTGGAGGAGGGAGTCGGGGATGTTGGGTGCATACTGTGTCGCGGAATGAAGAGAAGGGGTGGGCTATGGAACAGGTCAGTAAGAGAGAGAGGGTTTGATGTTTTGAGATGGTTATTGACGGTTGAGACTTAGGTATGGGGCTTTGAAAGGATCTGCGATCAACGATATCATACGCGTCGGGTGGTGGTTGTTAACAAGGCGGGGGATTACGCTCTGGCTCGCGTTGTTTATAGACTGCAGGGTTAAGGCCGAGTAGAGTGGCTTCGGGGTTCTGGATGCAAAGTACTATTAATATGGAAGTGGGTTTAGTGGCTTATAGGACATTATTTGGTTTGGGTTTGGGTTGCAGCATGTTGTTTCAGATACAACTGTTGGACTGTCTGTTCTAATTAGGTTTCGGAGGACGGAAATATTTGGATAGGCGAAAAACAACATTTAGAGTCTCTCATCGACCAGTCCATAATTATAATGCTTCACATTTACATTAGTAGTCGTGCCATATCCATCTTGTCTCGACCCACCAAGAGTGCAAGTAAAGTGGCAAGACCCGAGAGTGCCACTACCAACACAAAGACATCCTTTAATCCAAAAAAATAAGCCGTGAGAAAGCCCCTACTCGACTCCATGTCAATATTCTTGCTAGTCAATAGTCCACCCGCAAGGATTTGGTTTGCGCTCACATCGGCCAGCGATGACATGGTTAGTAATTCTCGCTTGACCTTGTCGAGAAAAATGGTCTGTCCTGCTTGCATAAAGACCGATGCCCCTAAGCACTTAAAGAACAAGGTCATGGACGTCATCGTCGACATATCCGATGCCTCCACCATAGCCTGGTTCATAATAATCGGGACTTGTAGTGAAGCTCCGATTCCGATGCCAGCCAGGATCTGATACGGAATCCAGAATCTCGGCTGCGTTGCGAGATCCAGCGTGTACAGCAGCCCGCCTCCCACACTGATGAGTATCCCACCGACCAACAAAAATGGAGCTGGGTAGCCAGTCACCCCGAAGCCAATTGCCCCTATCACTGCGGTAACGCCGGCTGACAACACAAGGGGTAGAGTTCGTATCCCTGAGTCGGCAGCCGAGTCACCCTTTACTGCCTGGAAGTAAATAGGCATGTAATAGAGAAGCAGGAAAAATGCGCCCCCCACCAGGAAAGTGAAGGCGATATTGACAGCCACACTCTGTTTCAGAAGTAATCGACGAGGGATCATTGCTCGGCTATCCCAGAAGAACTCGTTCGCAATGAACAGTCCCATGAGGAGAGGAAATCCGACCAGACACCCGATGACATCCCTGTTATGCCAGGAATTGCTGACCCCCCATTCTAGACCGAGTAGGAGGCAAAGCAATGCGCCTGTTAGAGTGGCAATACCGACCAGATCGAGTTGGAATATGATCTCTTTCCACGATGCTTTCATGTGCGCAGTCACAGATGGTGTCCGGAAAAAGCAGAGGACGATAGCAAAGGTAGCTCCTCCAATTGGTAGATTCACCCAGAAACACCACCTCCACGAGACTTTAGTAGTAAATACTCCGCCAACCATGGGACCGGCAATGCTGGCGAGTAAGAACGCCAATCCAGTGATGCCAACCAGCACCGGACGTCTCCGTGGTGGGGCGCAGACGCCGATGATCGTATAGATCCCCGATCCGATCCCAGATGCCCCTACCCCTGCAATGGCTCTACCGACGATAAACGCAGCTGATGTGTGGGAGAGAGCACAGAGCAAAGATCCCAGCTCGAACGTGAGCAGGCAGATGAGGTAGGTCCATTTGAGATTGAAAAATCCGTAGAGTTTCCCCCACGGTGCCTGAGTTACGGCACTGCCGAGAAGAAATGCAGAACCATACCACCCAACATCAGCTGTGGAGCTGAACTCATCAGTGATTTGGGGAATCGCCGTTGAGATTATGGTCGTGTCCAGCGAAACGAGGAACATGGCCACGGATAGGCAAAGCATGATTACATGCAGCAACACTCCATCCATGTAATCCTCCGTTGAGGTAGGAGACAGATCGGTGTCTGCCTGGAGGGCTTCCTTGCTCTCATTCCAGCCATTATCGCTTTCGCTTTGCGATGTCGCGGTAGTAGGTGGAATTGGCGCGTCTGTGATAGTTGGACATGGAGACATCTGGTGGTTTTGTCCAATATGAAGGCAAGAAAGGGCAAGCCAAAAAAAAAGAAAAAGAAAAAGAAAAAAGAGGCTAAATGTGAAGCAATATGGACGTTCACTTAGCACAGAAGTAGCAAAACTATCAGAACAGCAGGCATAATAATATGCTTCACGATATCTAATCTCCTGGAATAAGTCCTTCCACCCGGGGAATGTAAGAGCCAAGAAAGACCTTGGCAAAGAATCAATGAAATCAATAACAATAAAAGATCTACATCTTAACTCCCATGACCCACAAATTATACATTCGATCCCTTCCAGTGGCTAAAACCTATCCCCTGCTTGGGAAACAGACTAGATATGATTAGGTTGGCTCTAGCGTAATTAGCTACTATGAATCCGATCAAGACACTATGGTCAATGTACTGTGATATCAATGATGCTCGACAATGCCTGGAGAGATTCTCAGTTGCCAACATGTATGTGTTTTCACTGTGCCAAGGGAGGGTGTATCTTGGAATAAATGGGTTGGGTATCTAAGAATAGAAAAAGGGCATGTCAGATAAAGTTTAGGTCAAGTTTCCCAATGATCGAATGATTACTTGCAGCTTCTAGTTTTAATGGAGGCTTATATGGATCAGATGGAGTAAAATTTCCCCAGCTTGAAGTTATAGATAACGCATATTATACAGTAGCAGGCAGCGCTCAAACTGACCTATGTTGATGTTGAAGGCCTATTGTGAGCTCAAACATACGGATGTCTAACCAGTCACAATTGAATGCCCGAACGACTTGACTTGCTTCTGACGAGATGCGGCCCATATATGCAGGCCAGTGGGTCGCATTACGGTGTTACACAAATTGCCTTCTGCCGAATCTTCAAGGGAGAAGGATGTACTCTCATCTAGTAGCGTATCTGTAGCCTTGTTATTAAAGATCGACTTTGACGATAGGTCACATAAGTCTACAGCAGGATTGCCTTGTGGCTTTGTGTTGGTATTATAAGACGAAATCGGTCGCTCCTTTAGATAGGTTAGAGTAGATTCCGCTGTGAATTAATTCAAATTCATGCCAAGGAGGAGAAAACAACCACCCCTTTCCAACACTGAGTATGTAAAATAAGGAATCTTCCCTTGCATTGACACATGCTAATCTTCAGTGGCTTAAAAGGGAGATATCTCTTCAGCTAGCCACAATGCTCATGTTCTAGCTTTGACCCAAGTGGATGAGAGTCTCGAAAGATTTGATTGAGTTCCTGAGACATTTAATAAGCGAGACCTTTCGTCCAAATGTCACCTCGACAACCTTCAGATACCGAGGTACATGCCATTCTTTTCTCCCATCGCTTCCATGGACTTACACCATGAGGCATGCGATGCCACCAAGCGCGCTGGTGCCTACGCTTTCCGCCAGGTGCGAGAGGACGGGCACTGGTATGGTGAAATGAAATCCAACGCAACCATCACCGCCGAATATGTCTTCCTCGCACAAGCCCTGGGATTCAGCATCGAGTCTGACCGAGATGACCTCGTGAAGTATTTCTTATCCAAGCAAGATCAGGAAGGGTCATGGAGCCTTGCCTTTGATTACCCAGGAGATGTCTCCACAACTGCAGAAGCATATTTCGCCCTGCGTCTGCTGGGCCTGGACCGAAACCACAAAGCATTGCGTCCAGCACGGCAGTTTATCCTAGCTCAAGGCGGCATAGCGAAGGTGCGCGTCTTCACCCGCATTTTTTTCGCGTGTTTTGGCCTTTTCCCCTGGTCTGCCGTGCCCGAGCTGCCAGCCGAGTTAGTCTTGCTTCCTGCAGCCGCGCCTCTGAGCATTTATCGATTGGCAAGCTGGGCAAGAGCTACTGTGATACCCATGCTGGTAATTCGACATCATTGTCCCATATATGCTTTGCCGAACGGAAGATCGGCGTCGAATGATTACTTGGACGAGCTATGGGACGATCCCTCGGATAAGATGGTTCCATATGCCCCGTCTGCATGGTCATTGTGGCATGAGGACCTCACCGCGTTTGCATTCACAGTGATAGACCGTATACTTAAAGCCCTGGGTGGTCTACGGTGGTTACCTTTGAGAAAGATCGCACTTCGACAATGTATCGCTTGGATCCTTGAACGTCAGGAGCCCGAAGGAGATATCGGCGGTATTTTCCCTCCTTTGCATGCTGCGTTGTTTGCCTTGACACTTGAGGGATATGGCCTCGAGTCAAGTCCTGTTCGGCGAGGCATCGAAGCTCTCCAAAATACGTACGCCTGGAGAGACGGCAGCGGGTTACGAATGCAAGGGTGTATTTCACCGATCTGGGACACTATCCTTATGACCATTGGTCTGATTGATTCCGGGTTGCCGACTGCAAGCCCCTATGTTACAAAATCAACACAATATCTAAAAGCTCGGCAACAGCTAGGTCCAGAGGGGGACTGGCGGGTATATAATCAGAATGTTGCACCCGGAGGATTTAGCTTCGAGTACTTCAACTCGTGGTATCCTGATATTGACGACACCGCCGCCGCAATCTTAGCCCTGGTGAAGCAGGATCCAAACCTGCTAGACCCAAACCCCATACTATCCGCGATTCAATGGATCCTCGGATTGCAGAACAGTGACGGTGGATGGGCAGCTTTCGATCGCGAAAACAACTACCTGTTCCTGAACAAAATCCCCTTCAGTGATATGGACAGTTTCTGTGACCCATCTACAGCCGACGTGACAGGCCGTGTGCTTGAATGTTTTGGTCTGTTCACAAAGCGTGCCGCCCTGTCCACAAAGGGCAATAATCCAATCCCCAAGGAGTTCATCGACAGAATATCTTCAGCAACCGAGCGGGCCATCAACTTCATTGCTACGGAGCAAGAGCCAAACGGGTCATGGTACGGTCGCTGGGGCTCCAATTATATCTACGGAACCAGCACCGTACTATGTGGATTATCTTACTACCATCTCGAAAACCACGATGCCACATATCCCGCCATGAAGACGACCCACAAATTCGACGTTCATGCTGCCTTGGAATGGTTCCTGAAGGTGCAGAACCCCGATGGCGGGTGGGGCGAGCGCCTAGAAACGTATTCCGATCCCACTCTCGCTGCCCATGGGCCATCCACCCCATCTCAGACGGCCTGGGCCTTGATGGGGTTGCTTGCATATCTACCCCCTACCAATGCATCCATCACTCGTGGCATTCAATATCTTACGCAAACGCAGGTCAAAGAGGGGGATCTTTCCGGGTCATGGAAGGAGGATCACTTCACCGGTACCGGCTTTCCGAACCATTTCTACCTGTGTTATACTCTCTACTCCCAATACTTTCCCATGATGGCTTTGGGGCGGTATACTAATCTTTCTGGGCATAGGCCCCTGGAAGACCTGGGTAATTCGAGGACTTGCTTGGGACCGACGGTGCCCGAATAGGGTGGGTGTTCGGGAGATCATCTCACGGGTAAAATCTCACTGTAGTCCACAATGTGGTGAGTCTTCTGATAACCATGTGCATAACCGGCTAGACATATCCATAGACAAGTTCATATTGGAAGAAACATGGATGTTGTTTCTAATTCATAATCGGAAAAAAGTAGGGGTGCGCTACAAGCAACCTTGCCTTCTGCTACCGCCTGCTAGACACAGAAAGATGACTAGTCACATTATTTAGTTGAACGTATTCATATTAACTCGAATTAGGAGAAGACATGCTCGCAATTGGTTTCTTTCAGGCATAATGTCATAACGTCATTTCCATTACCATATGAATATTCGTGATTTCAAACTGACCCTCCGCCTAAGTCCCAGGCTCACCAACGGCAAATCAACAGTCACGTCAGTCTCCAGAGTGTAATTACAGCCGGCTCCTAATCACCACACTCCCATTATCCTCAAAGACAGGCAAGGGCTTCTGAGGATCTTCCGCCGTCTTTACCCCGAACCGTTTTCCAAGAACGACCAATTGAGCCACCATTAGCGTATTCTTGAAGGACAACGTATCATGGTCTCGGAAAGCTCTCACAAAACCGTCCTGCACTCTATGCCAGTCCAAGAACCCGAGTACTTGAACGTTTGCCTCTGTCACCAGCTTTTTCAAGATCTTGTATACCGGCCCTTTCCTTTTGTACTTTGTCGGGCCGACGTAAGGTTGCTTGGTGCGATTATAAACTTCCTCGGTGATGAAGGGCTTCATTGCCTCACGGAGAATATGTTTCTCCCGGAAGGTCCTTTTCACCGGATCGTACTTGATTTTCAGACTAGGAGGAATTCTGTTCACGTATTCGGTGAGGTGATGGTCGAGAAAGGGGGGCCGCGACTCGATTTGATACACCATATCGATGTTGTCACCCAGGTATCGAAGAATGTAGTTGGCCAACATACATTTAGTCCACTGGTACTGTGAGGAATTGAGCGGATGCCATTTTGTCGCCATATCAGCAAGGACATTGTCGCTGAGACTTTCGGCAAATGACATCTCCGGGCGGTTATGACTGTACTTGTATACCCATTGTTGGAAGGGTGGCTGGAACACCGCGTCAAGTCTGGGAAACACTGAGCTTTTGTTAAGCTTCTGTGCAGCCTCCGCATCGGTGGACCGGGGAAGTGCCCCAAGAAATCCGTTTGCAATCAACTCATCGGCTACCTTCCGCATCTTTTTTGGTTCGGCCATAATGTTTGAGGACGAGGCCCACGCGTGGTCTGGCTCAAGGAGATAACTCCACAAAAAGTCCGCATATCCTGAGAAGTGCTCATCAGACCCTTCACCCGTAAGTATAACTCTTTTCCCTGCCGCATGGGCCGCGTCTGCAAGAGCCAGTCGCCCCATTCCGTTTACATCAGGGATGGGTGTTTCTGTATGCCACACCGTATCTTCTAATCTGGCAGCAATAGTCTCTTCATCTAGAAGTACTGGATGAAAATCCACTCCTAGCCATTCCGCCGTGCGTCGTGCGATGTCTGAGTTCTGTTAGAGGCCCGTGAGACACAGAGATATAGATGAAGTAGGTACCTGATTCATCCAAGCCACTGTCCTTTTCAAACTGAACTGTGAAACAGCTTAAATTGGAGATTTTACCACTTGCATCGTTTCCTAGACTCTTTCCTTGTCGGATAACATGTGCGGTCATGCCCGCAATGGCTGAGGAGTCTAGACCTCCACTCAAGAACACGCCAACACCAACGTCAGCACGGAGTCGATGTTGCAGCGATTCAAGTAAGAGCTCTCGGACTCTAGCCACTGTCTCGGCCTCTGAGTTCAGATAGACGCGGTGCTATGTAAACATTGATCAGCTCTGCCACGTCATCTAGTGCGAATTGCTCACTTTATCGGGGTAGCTGAGATCCCAGTACGTCTTCACCTGAGCTCCTTTGAAACCTTGGCTCATGAGATATTGACCAGGCCCAACCTGATAGCATGGTCAGTTAACCTGTCAGGTGCGATGGACTTTTTTGATTCTGATACTCACTCTATACACGCCTTTGAAGTACATCTGGGGCCCATAGGTCCAACCCTTCTCCCTGAGATTTACGACGTCCCATTCAGGCTTCCATCCAAAGGGCAGAAAACACTTCATTTCCGTCGAAACCAGTAATCGTCCACCCACAACCGTATAATAGAGAGATTTGATTCCATATCGGTCTCTGGCAGCAATGAACAACTGCCGCTTGGCATCCCAGAGTACTAGAGCAAACTCGCCCCGCAAATGCGAAAGGAACGACTCGCCGTAATGTCTGTAAAGTGCAATGACGACCTCACAGTCGCTTTTACTTTTGAAGTCGTATTCATCGGCCAACTCAGCCTTGATACGTTCATAATCGTAAAGCTCGCCATTCACGACAGCATGGATATTGTCGTCGCTGTCGTGGAATGGCTGGTTCCCTGCAGGACTGAGGTCGATGATTGAAAGACGAACATGTCCAAGGCCTTCCAGGCATGTTAGATCATCTGTAAATGCTTTACTGGGGTTGCAGCTTACCAACTCGATAGTCGGAACTGAACCATTGCCCTCGCGCATCGGGACCTCGATGTTTAATCAGGTCCAAGCTGTCATTTACCTTCCTCCCCAAGTCTTGGGCGCCCGTCATCTCTTCATCTTGGTAGCTAGGGCTCCCGCAAAGAGCGACGAAAGCTGTTAGTCCACACATGGCTGACTTATGGTGTACTATTCTCTGCTTGGCCTGGTCTGGCTGGAATCTGGGTGCTGAGGGGTTTGGGTCTTATATGTATGTGAGAACCAGCCAGCGTAAGGCTGGCCAGGAAGATAACGCAGGTGGCAACGAGTAAGAACGAAATGAGACCTTGCTCTGACACACTATCAGTTGACTATGCACAGTTAGTCTGTCTAAACTCAAAGCATCTCTGGCTGAGATCGGGCATGTGGATGCCCATGTCAGAGTGGGAGTGAGCATTAGTAACATTACTAGTAGACGGCCGCCATGCCCCTTCCCTATAGGTGCAGAGCTGTATTTACCAGTGGGTTTGCGATGCTCCTTGCAGGAAGGACCGAAGAGCAACCTAGTAGTAATGCCCGGTGACTCCGCCGGCAGCTGTCTCGGTTTCCATCCCAGCAACAGGCCCAAGGCTAACACGTCACTGTCACAACCAGCGTTCCAACCAATGCATACGAAGCTTGGTGGCCCATGATCTGCAAAGTCAAATATGCAACTCACTCAACTAAGAATGTAGGACGATGGATTTAGCGAGAATATACGCTTTGGAGGCGCGGTCTTTGGCGAGATCACTGGTGAGTCTGCACTGCTGCTAGTTGCTTGCGGCTATCTGAGAAAATGGGACTGACAGATGCCCATCATCCCATCCGACTCAACCGTGGATCTTAGGAACCATATCCTGCGCCTCTGGCAGTCTGGAAACCTCCTTGGGGTCTTGATCTGATTGGGATAAGAACCAGTTCCCCTCCATGCGCCACCATGGGTTACAGACAAAGAAGATTCCATGGCAGACTGTGCTCAGTCACCCAGCTTTCGCCGACTCGGCCAGTATAGGAATGAGCACTTGAGAAGCCTCACTTTCGCCAAATTGAACAAAGAAAGCACATCACCAGACAGCATGCAAGTGATGAGGTGGAGTGGCGACAAACAGGTTTACACGATATCTCCCCGGTGATAATGAATCATCCGAAAGCTTCCCCGAGCACTCTCCCAAGCTTTGCTATCGAGACCGACCATGTTTATGGAGGTTGGGGTCGGGCTAGGACCGGTTTCGAAAGCCAGCCAGTAATCCATCGGTCACTAGTCTACCCGGGGCACCTCATCTCACGGTCTCAGGCATTTTCCCCACTCCTCCGATCCGATCTCGAGCAGTTGCTGACGTTCATCTCTTGTGTAACAGTGTTCCAAGACACGCGCGCACACCGAAACAGATCTTGTACAGATCTTCTCAGACGTCGCCCCCATCGAGCCCGATTCAGCGATACTGTCCGACGAAGGGTCCAATAGGGATTCGATGATAATAGAGAGGGGGGGACATTCTATACTAGTAGATACTCTGCGATCGCAACATGTCCTAGTGGCTGTCTAGGCAGAAACACGACAGTCTTCCGTCGAGTGATTTGTTGGGTCACCTCTAGTGTATAACTTAATTATAACCCGCAAGAAAGATCACCCTTCAAGAACCAAGCAGCGACGGCTCAAGGTAAGGTGAGGCGGTGCAAGGGATATGATCATGAGGATCGTGATGGAGATCGTCATCAGACCCGACCTGAGAAGTATATCGAAGCGCCCGGATTATCAATCGATCACAGGCCCCGGGCTCCTTGATTGATATGAATTCAACAAGAACCCAGGATTCATATTCCACCTGCTGGCAATTGGTTGTTCAAACTCCGATGCCAATAGCCCCTTCTTGGCAGTGCATTATGCTTCACCGCCACAGCGACTGAAAATCAAGGAACGCCGTTCCTTACGTTGGGTCTGCTCGATGTACTTGGGTGCGTCCTAATTCTAGCAGATACTCACGGGAATTTGGAGCCCGATGTGCTTGAATGTGCCGACAGAATTTGCGCGGGCAGACTGCGTTGAATTTCAATCGGCCGGATCCACCCCACCCATCCACGATTGTGGCTGCTATCTACGATCTACGTGGCTTGTTTAGCAGCTTGTTAATACCAAGCTGGTCACCAAAATATACTTACTTCCTATCCAGTATTACCGCTCTATCCGGGTTGTGGCGCGTCGCCCAAAGGTCCACGGTGACCTGCCGGACAGCTTGAAGAGGCACTTTGCAGGTATAACTGCGCAAGGAGCTTTCCATGGGTCTCGCGTGGACCTGATATGATTGGCGGGCCATTTTTACCTGGGGTCTGATAAATGCACTTTATTCTAAGAATAAGAGCTGCTTGAACGGGTGCGGCTTTTCTTTAAGGTCATTCTTCACGGAAGGAAACCCCCGTCGCCTCCTTGCATCAGTTTCGGCGAGATCGGGTTCATGGAAGGAGGAATCCCGCTCGATGACCAGCTTCGCTCGATCATAATGGGGACATAATAGTGTGCTTGGCAGTCTTTCTCACACATCGTCTGGAAGCATTCGGATCTTTATACATGGCTGTTTCCTTACGGCTGAGGATATGGGATGGTAGTATAGGCTTAGAATACTACATACTCAGCAAAATGCATGATGAGTTATTTCATCATATAACGTAGCCCTAGCGGTAGCCATTGCATCCTATCGTGAGCCTCACCATCTACTTGCGTCCCTCTAGAGCCTTACCTCTCCACCCCCTTGATAGGATGCTTCACTTATCCGTACCACTTCTGTTCCGAATACAATAGGCTATTTCAAGGCTGCTATGAGAAAAAAAAAGATAAGAAAAACAAACAAAAGGACGACTGTTACTCCGGCAATACCAAAGCCTCGAATGTGCAAGTCCTTAATCACTTTCCTGACCAGGTCTGCTCGAGCAAGGGGACTACATCCAATTATATAGTCGAATAAAGACACCCAAGGAAGGACATTATCTATATCCAGAGACTCCAGACATCATTCGACTTTTCTCGAGGCCCAACATGCCCCTAAACAATGTTCTAGCTCGCAAGGTCGCTAATTCCATTTCCTCAGGTGGTCATAGGCCACTATTCTACAATATATCTCATCATCGAGATCTTATGGTATAGGTTCATTCAGCATCTCATGTGAGGTCCTAGTTAGAATCGACCTCTTCGGGATTTGCTGTGGGCTTGATTGGGTATTGGCTGAAGTTTTTAAATGGTTTTCCATCTTGGTAGGTCGATCTCCGATGGATAGCCGGCTCTGTGGACTGTGTTTGTGGATTAGGAGATTGAGGTAGATGAATCTCAGTGTATCTGCTGGCTTGAAGGGGCTGGATGTATGAGTAGAGTCGCGAGGGTGGTTTGGAGAGGAAGGAGTAGAATTGTGGGGGTGAGCGTTGGCTGTTGGAGAAAGATGAGGAGACGTTAATAGGTGGTTGCAGCCGTATTGCTCTTAGGGGGTATGTGTTGTTGACCATTTCCGGAATCTGGGCTTTCAAATTGGATGGTTACTATATCTGAAGTAAGTGTCAGTCAGGCATGGTAATGAGAAGCGATTGTCATTACGTACATTTGGAATTCTGCGGCATCCAATGGGTCTTGAAGTATTGTCGCAGGATTTTGATCTCCCTATTAGCTAGTCCTAATGCTTGAAGCTTTATGCAAGTGGTGCTGGTCGCAAGTTGATAATCCTCAAGCGCCATGGGCTATTCGCGTTGGAGATGAAGAGAGTTATGGAAGCTAGACTTCTTGAATACAATTCTCAGTCAGTATAGATCACTTATGGAGCATAGGAATGATGGGATAGGTTACCAAATCTTGTTTACTTTTGTCCCTGTCATTTCTAAGTGGTGAGTGGCACTCAGGATAACATCCTGCTGGGAGCGAAGTGAATGTGTTTGCTGCCTTGTCAAACCACACACCCACTAATGTGTGGAGCAAATGCAAAATCTCTCATATTGGATACAGTAATACGCGTCTCTCGTTTTCTCTTTTCTAAACCAGTGTGCCCAAGGGTGAAAGTGTCCGCCGAGCTTGCAACACACTGTTAGTGACAGCCCGCCGAGATGTCGCGTAACTACGTCTCATTTGCAGACAAAGAGGCGTTTCCTGACTTCTCAGCTCTTCCCTGTGACTACACCTGCCCTCTTGCTCGCCGCGGTGTGAACGGATGTCTTCTTCTTGAGATTGTCAGTATTGAGCGATCCACGCGACTTGTGCTGCGAACCTATGACAGGGCCAAGTTTCCCGTCACTGTAGCTCTCTATACCAAAGATCGGGGAAAGGCCATCGCAGAATCTCCAGATCTAAAGCCCGGAAATACACTTATTTTCATGTTTCCCAGACAGCATTTCTTCATCGATGGATCTGTGGGTATCCGGCAAGAGGAGTATCGGTCCATCAAGGTATGTATGACAATGGACGAGTAATTTAGAAGTTTTTAAAGAGTAATTGCTGACTCAATAATTAACAGATCTTTTCTGCGTCTATAGCTGAGCTCTTCCAACTGAGCAAGGATATGGCAACTTGGCCTGCCAATTTTGCTATGCATCAGGAGTGCCATGGATGTGGAAAGAAGGACATTCCCTTGTTGAAGTGTGCTAAATGTGAAGTATTTGCATACTGTGGCAGGGTGAGGACTTGATATGCCCTTTGGAAGTGTGTACTATATTCTCAGGTTGCTAATACTTCATCTTGATAGGAGTGCCAGAAAGCTGGATGGGAGGAGAAAGGTCACAAGAAATTATGCAAGATTCTTGCTGACAAACAATTTCGAGCCTTGATGAGATTGCTGTCATAAAGCTTTCATCATGGTCTCGTTCCGCACAAGAAGGTGGGATTAGCTTCAATGGTGGAGGACTAGTGTGATCCTAGCAGTAACCGTGGCGATATGTAATTATGGATGGAGGATTTGTTTCCCGCCGGGTTTTCGGGACCGAGGAACTATGTTGAAAGGTGGTACATAATGGGGCTGATCACAAATTGATGTTTTTGCTGAATGAAATTCAATCGTTGTCTTCTACGCCATCTGGATCAATTCATCTCACTCACTCACCCACTCACTCACTCAGATATCTACTATTTTACAGCAGCATCACCAGCCACCACCCACTATGCCAAGCACGGACAAGCGGGGAGGGCCGCAGTAGCCGCCCCCAGACCGAGGTTGGCGATCGCCCGACCGAGAAATGGTCCGTCCCCCAACACAACGTCGTCTCCGTCCCTCCCTCTCCCCTCCCCTCAGCGCCAGGCTAATCTTCATCTGCGTGGCCTTGTATTTGAATGATGTTGCGATCAGTTCCTCGTCGTCTTTCCCGACGATTCCCCCCCCTCACATCGACTGCCGGCAACCCATCTCGTGTCGCCCTGCGTTCGTTCACATGCGGTTATCCGCGGATGTCGGCATCGACGCTACCCCCCGTCGAGCCCCCCGTGTCATCCGCACTACCAGGCGATTCATACCAACTTTTATCGACCGTCGAAAAGTCTGGCGCTGCCGAAGACGCCTTGTACGAGCAACAGATCAAAGATGTGGAAGCATGGTGGAACTCACCCCGGTTCGAGGGTATTAAGCGTCCCTACTCTGCCGCAGATGTGGTTAGCAAACGGGGTTCTTTGCAACAAACATACCCGAGCTCGTTGATGGCAAGAAAGTTGTTCAACTTGCTGAATGAGAGAGCAGCTGAGGGGAAGCCGGTTCACACGAGTATGTCACTGTATAGCTCTACCTCAATCGTTGTATATACTAATCAGTCAATCCACTCACAGTGGGCGCCATTGACCCAGTACAGATGACCCAGCAGGCAGCGAACCAGGAAGTTTTGTATATTTCCGGCTGGGCATGCTCATCTTTATTGACCACTACGAACGAAGTCTCCGCCGATTTCGGTGACTATCCTTACAACACCGTTCCAAACCAAGTCCAGCGATTGTTTAAAGCGCAACAGTTACACGATCGGAAACAGTGGGATACCAGACGGAAGTTGACTTCTGAGCAGCGGAAGGCCACACCGTATGTTGATTACTTGCGTCCGATCGTGGCGGACGGTGATACTGGGTACGTCCCGCCCCTTGAGAACTAAGGGTCGGCTGGCTGATGTTTGTAGACATGGAGGGTTATCCGCTGTGCTGAAGCTGGCTAAGCTCTTTGCTGAGAATGGTGCTGCTGCTGTCCACTTTGAAGATCAACTTCATGGTGGAAAGAAATGCGGTCATCTCGCAGGAAAAGTCCTTGTGCCTATGGGAGACCACATCAACAGGCTTGTTGCGGCACGTTTCCAATGGGATTTGATGGGAACAGAGAACCTAGTCATCGCTCGTACCGACTCGGAGAGTGGACGCTTAATCAGCAGTGCTATTGATGTGCGCGATCACGAGTTCATTCTCGGAGTTGCAGAGGACGTGGAGCCTCTCGCAGAGACCTTACAGGCCATGGAGCGGGAGGGAGCTGCTCCCTCGGAAATTGATGCATACGAGATGGACTGGGTTAAGAGACATAAGCTTGTCACTTTCGATGAGGGTATGGTCCTTAAGCAATGTGTACAAGTGTCAGGCTAACCACATACTCCTCCAACAGCTGTCGACGCGCATCTTGAGGCGGAGGGCGCATCTCAGTCCGCTCGGGACGCATACAAAAAGCGTGTTCAAGAGAACCCTGACCTATCGTTCTCTCGTCGGAGAGCACTGGCCGATGACTACACCCAGATACCCGTCGTTTGGTCGTGTGATAGCCCCCGTACCCGGGAGGGATTTTACCATTACCGCGCCGGCTTTGCAGCAGCCACTAAGCGAGCAAAGGAATTCGCACCTTACGCGGACCTCCTCTGGGTCGAGACAGGTGATCCGGACGTTTCCAAGGCTGCGACGCTGGCGAGTGAGGTGCGCAGCGCGCACCCGGGCAAGAAGTTGGTCTACAACCTGAGCCCGTCATTCAACTGGATGGGCCAAGGTTTCGATGAGGCTTCTCTCAAGTCTTTCATCTGGGACCTAGCACAGCACGGGTATGTGATTACCACTGAAATGATGACGATGATAGCTAACCAGCGTAGGTTTGTTCTGCAATTGATCTCTCTCGCCGGATTGCACACAAACGCAACCATCACGACAGAACTCTCGCGCGCCTTCAAGGACGAAGGAATGCTTGCCTACGTACGTATGGTCCAGGCGCGGGAAAAGGAACTCGGCGTGGAGGTTCTCACCCATCAGAAATGGAGTGGTGCACCCTACATGGATGGCATTCTCGGGGCCATTCAGAGCGGCAGCAGTAGCAGCAAGAGTATGGGTGAGGGGAACACCGAGAAGGGTAAGTCTCAAGAGTTTCATTACACCAAAACTGTGCTAATCATTTCGGTAGGCTTTTAACGATAATTTCGATGTAAATAACCGACTACGATACTGGTATCGAATGTAGCGATGTAGACAAGTATGATCTATACTGAAGTATTATTTACTCCTAGCATATTCGAGCGCACGACGCAATTATCGCCTTTGCTGGTATGAGGGCAGAGTCCACAGGTACTGTACGAGATAACCGACGAAGAGTATTTACTGTGTACTGGTTTACTGTGTACTGGATGTATTGGCTTAACCTCTACCCCAGACTGTATGATACAGGACGAGATCTCCTCCCCGAACTGATTAATCGATCATACGTCATGTCCCCACCCCAGCATCCCTGCCGGTACCGGATCGTATCCGTCAAAGATCACGGCATCCAGCGGATGGAAGTTTGGAACGTAACATAGTAGTCTGATGGATCAGCTTTACATAGGCCCCATTATCGCATGTAGATATTTGCCACAAGGCTCACATCACTCGAAAGTCCGGAGCGTGTCCTGGATAGATGACTATAGGCAAACTGTATCCCAACTAACCCAACGACGCGTATCATTTTGGACTCTCGAGCCATCGACCTGACTTGCAGCCACTCATTATCTGACTCCGCTTTCGATGATTTGGCGGGACGTCGATAGATGCAGCCCTATGGGCGTGGTTTATTTAACCAATCGATAGCCCAGTTGAGGCCATGGAAGATAGCGTACAGGCCGTCACATACGGGAGAACGGGTGGTCTGTTCTTCGCGTGCTTTCCAATTTGGAGCTAACTGCACGTAATGACACAAGCCATTACCGCGATTCCGTTTTAATGAAGTTGTCCATGACGTGGAACCAGGGTTTGGTGTTGTTATCGCGAAAGCGATCCAAGCTGATCAGTCGCCAATCAGACACGCGTCGGAGGTGCAGGGGGGGTGGCATGCAGCTCATCAGATCACCATATTACTCTATGCCGGCACTATGAAGCGAAACTTCATGGAAACTCTTGTAACTTCCAACTCAGTGGACCGGGATTCATTGGTAGGACCCTGAACCGCCAAGAGAGCATAAAATACAGGGTCCTCATAAAGTACTGCACAAGGCGGTATCATTCCCCGTATCTGCTGGAACATCAGTAATGGGTATAGGACCAGAAAAGTACTTTGTACCAGAACACCCGATACCTCGATGTAATTACCAGTTGCAATAGTTTGGAATCCCCTCTCTGATGGTTGTTCCTTTGACTATCTTTTTCTCCGTCATCTCACCATTCTTATCCTGAACCCACCAAGGCTCCAAGCTAAGAACCACTGCAGCCTGGTTCAGCTCGGCTAAAATGGAACCTAGACTGAGAATAAAATCTTCGTTTGCCTGTTCCTTCACCTACTCACCATCCTGACCCCCTTCATCCGCTCATTGACGAGATGAATCGCCTTCCAGACGAGATTCTCCTCCTTATCGTTGACAATATATACCTGCACAGAGACAAACGCAATTTTCTCCTGGTTTGTCGCCGCTGGCGCTCGGTCCTTTACAAATCAGTCAACCGCAATGTTTGGATCAACGGAGGATGCATTCGCCCTCTTGTGCTGGCAATTCATGACAATCCTGCCTTAGGATCCGCTATCCAAAGTTTGAGGCTGCATTGGTGGTCTTCCTACACGAGGAAGGCGGAGAACCACGACATAACCCCTGTCATACCACTTGTGGCGCAGATAAGCCAATCTGAGGAGGAAACCAAAGAATGGGAGGAAGCACTGAAGGAGGGTAACCAAGACGCATGGCTTGGTTTACTTCTGTTATCCCTGGAGAACCTCATCGAGTTGGACATGCATTATACATGGAACCCAATTTTCCTCCGCCGAGTCATATCACGCGCCGCAATGCGCGAGTATCCACTGGACACCAAGCCAGTTTTGCAACGACTAGAGGCCTTTTATGTCGATGCCAGCGATGACAATAAGGCCTACTTTCCCAGCGTCGAATTTCTTCCTTTCTTCCGTCTTCCGTCTATGCGGACTGTATCGCTGGACTCGGTGGTCGAGTCCTTACATAGGGAAATCGACCATCCGGCTTTCAAAGCTTCCAGGGGCACCTCTCCAATCGTCTCTCTGGCATTCGATAGACATTCGAACGGCAGCAAAGGCATGGCGGAGTTCATCACATCCTGTGCGAATCTTGAGCAATTCGAATACTCGCACTCAAATCAGGCGATCTGGGGAGAGCAATACATTAGCTTCCGCCCTAGGGCGTTTTACACGGCACTTTGCTCGCAGAAGCACAGTTTACAGGTAATTCACTTGGATGACACAGATGAACTCACAGGAGCCGAATCTGACGAGGAAGACCCTAACGACCTTCCTGATAACTGGCTTGGGTCATTCGCGGATTTCAATAAGCTCTGGGATCTTCAAGTTTCGGTGGCCAATCTTTTGAATTTCCACAAGAGTGATCAGGTGCCGAGAGTTTCATCGCTCAAGGAGATCCTGCCGCGCAGTCTGAAACGACTTCACTTGGGAAGGTTCCAAATTTCCCAGTTGGATCTGGTTCGTTCTAATCTGCTGGAGGTGGTGGCCTGTCGGGAGGAGTTTCCGCACCTTGAGCAGCTGGAATTAGAGACAGGATTTAAGCAGCTTATCCAGCAGGAATCGGGTCCTCCGTTGACTATCAAACAAGCACTTGCGCCACTTATAGATGCTTGTGAGGATGTTGGCATCAAGATGACCATCGTCCGCTGGTGATCATAGAGATATAATGTATCATACACGTTTTCGAACTTTCTGTTCAAGCCATTCATACCATGATTCATGTTCGCACAAAACCATATCTTCAATTTACATGTCACCGGTAATACCACTACATGTCTAATACCTGTGACGCATTTACCCCAAGAGTTCAAATCCTAAAGCACTACCATGCCTTCAACCCAGACCCCATAGAACAACCCTCTTCAACCCATCTTCTCTTTTCAGCCGAGATATTGATCTCGCACTTTCTTCCAAAAAGCGTGGAGCACAAAAATGTCATAATTAAGTTCACCACACGCCCAACACTTTCAATCGAATCTATGTAGTAGGTACCTATAGCCCCCAAACACGAATCCAGCTCCCTACCCCACCAAACCCCTAGCGTCCCCATGCTCCCCACCCAAGGCAACCAAACCGGCCTTAGGCCACTGATGCCTAGCTAGATCCAGGCAACAGCAGCAACAATTCCTTACATTCTTCCCTCTCCCACCCCTTCTAGATAGCAACCCATACATAATAGATAGATATACCAACGAATAGAACCCCAAGCCTGCCTGCATAATAATTCCCCATTTGTGCATAATCGACGTATCCATTTTCATAGATAGATACCCAACAGACTACCAACTACTTATGAATCCTCGCCCCACCACCACCCACCCACCAATAACATACATACATACAAACCAAACCACTACACTACACTACCTACACACCATAATCGAACACAGAACAAATGCCTACACCACAGGAAAACTAATCACCTAGATAGAGTGTAATATATCCCCTGTATTGGAGTAATACATACCCCTATAATACAATCTGATTGGGTAGGTGGTTTTGTATCATAGTACTGCCCGGTAAGTATAGTAATTGTTATTTTGTATGGTATACTAACACACCACTATTAGATTTGGTATGGGGATACTAGTATGTATAGGTAGTGTATTTTGAGATACGGAATTTAGATAGATAGATAGATATGATAGTTGTGGAATTGACGGTAAAAAGTTGTATGATGAGAGAGGTATGTAAGCATATAGAAGATTGATATGTCGATAATCGCGAATGTATTTCCCGAGACTGATTATTCTACTACTGTTTCTTCTACGTACGTCCTCGTATCAAGCAGGTAAGTGATCGATATCCATTCTGAAATAGAGATACATAATGTGTCCTCAATGCTTGACGTATTAGGGTCGACTAGGCGACGGGGAAAGAAAAGAAAAGAAACAAATCGAGTTGAGACTCATGACAATCTTGCTCTGCTCCTAGGAAATGGGAGAGGGAAAAAAAAAAGAGAAGTAGGAAAAGAACAGGTACCTTACAAGTGGAGTCTGATAGAAGGAAACCAAGCAAGTCATAATAGAACATTCGAATGTGCTCGAACGAACGCATCAAGTGGACTCGTGACTGTGACGGAGTGATGACGAGGTAGGTATCCCTAGAGGTATAACCCACGCAGATAAGGAGATAGATACACAAGCCACACTTCAGAAGAGAGGAACTCAATCAAAGGTGGATAGAAAACAACCAAGACGCGATTTTCCCCATGAAACAATTGCTACTCGCTCAATAACGGACAAAACAGGTGCAATATGATGGCAGATTAGTTGACGCGGAATGCATCAAATATGACTAGACATGGGTTAGCAATCGAGGTTGGCAAATTGATTGGTGGTTTGCTGACCTTCATGGCCCCTGCGGCAGCCACTGCCGATCCACATCAGGGTGTTCAAAAACGCGTAACGCTCGTCGCCGGTTTCCATGTACAGGTTGATGCGATATTTGTATGTGTTGGGATTGATTCCGTCGGCCATGCCGGGGTCGTTGACCTTGTCCAGGATATCCTTGGCACCGGTCAACCAACCGTTGGTTTTGACGACAATATACGCGGGAGGATCGTCGGCGGTCTGAAGCATGTAGCTGGCGCGGAGACTTGTCGATGATTCCTTGGTCACAACCTGCGAGTCCTGTCCTCCAGGCTATACACATCGTAAGCATGTTGCTAGGATAACAATTGACTGTAGAAAACACTCACCAAAACAATGCCTTTTCCCCACCGACCGGCCCATTGACCACCAACAAATGTTACCCAGTCACGCTGACCCCAGATACTCTCACCCACGGACACCTTCGGGTTCATTTTGATACTCATGCGGAAGTCCAGCTCCAGGGTGGGGGCGGGGATTTGCAGGGAACGGGCCACATCACCTTCGGGGAAGGTATGGAGGAGATTGTTGGCTGGTATGGAATCTTTCATGACACTGAGATAGGTAGGGCATTCCAGCAAGTGTTGACGTTGGCGACTGGTATTCTTTGCGCGGACCTGTTGGCAGTAGATGCATTGGACGGACAGACACTGGTCGGTTTCTGTCAGAAATAGGGTCCCTTCTGACAACATATGGGCCATATCCTCGCTCACCTTATCTTCCTCCTTGGCACGGAACTCAACGAAAGCGGCATGGACGTCGTCAAGAGGCGGGGCGGGCAGGTTGGAGCTCGAGCTCTTGGGCTTGGACTTGGGAGTGGCACGAGGGGCCTGCTGGGCGGCCGAGGCCGTAGAAGCGGTTCCGGCAGGGCCTGAAGTCGGGAGAGAGGCGCGACCCTGCATGTTCTGCAGCGGCGTCTGCATCGGGGTAGCATGTGGGTTGACGCCGTTGGACATCATGGGTCCGTTGGGAGTCGCGAGAGCACCGGGACCAGGGCCAGGGCCCGGGGCGGTGGGCGCGGCGCCATTGGGGGTGGGAGTATAGCCATTAGCAGCGGTGATGCCATTCGGGGCGGACTGGGTGGACTGGGCCTGGGCCTGGGGGTTGGTGTGGCCGCGGAGACCGGGGCACTCGAGCAGGTGCTGCTTCTGGCGCGAGGTGTTCTTTGCGCGAATCTGCTGGCAGTAGATACACTGGACGGAAAGACACTGCGAAAGCAAACACGCCGGTCGTCATGTCAGTGACGCTGGTGTTGGGCGGCGGGTTGAAATATTACGGGAAATACAGGAGTCACGCACCTTATCGTCTTCCTTGGCGCGGAACTCGACGAACGCCGCGTGAACTTCCTGGTCGACGGTCCGACCCATGTTCACGACGAAGGGGCTGAATAAATCGATGGTGGGTGGATTGAACGGGGGAACCGGCTAGAAAAGGGATGATGAGGGCGCCGCCGGGGATGGGGATGGGGTCGAGGTCGAGGAGCAGGATGAGGACGAGGACGAAGCAGCGAAGACGACTCGGGGGAGCGAGAGTGAAAAGGAAGAGTGTTTGACGGCCAGGGAGAACGAACGAGACGAGACAAGACGGGGACAAGACAAGACCGAGACGGTGGCGGTTAACTTACGCGAGCCTGTCAGGACGAGACCTTACCACCCGCGTAATTTTGATCCCGAGGGGTTTCAACCCACACTTGACCCATACAAATCCATTGCTGACCATTACTACTACGACGATGATTTTCACTTCTGCCTCTTTATTCATCCATCTATCCATCCATCATTTATCATTCATCATCTTTCTTTGTCACTGTGACAAAAGCAGTCAATAACCCCTCCTCCCCCCCCAGCAGGTGCAACTTGGTCTTGGGTGCCTCAGACCCCCCCTAAAGTCAAATTCCGTCACGCGGTAGGCTGACCAAGCCGACCACGTTCCCAAAATAAGCGGACGCCTGAAGGCCTATCAGCGGGGGCCATTTAATCCCCCAGGCCCGGGAATGGGAATAAATTCGAAATGCAGCCCAAGTCGATCATCAGGGAAAGTACCTGTAGTTCTGTGTAGTGTGTATAGTTAGACATCCTTATAGATGCGTTCGTTCCCCCGATACCCATACCCAGTATCCCACTACTAGGTACTGGTACCGGTGTAAGGGTATGGAACGATCGGCACATTTACAGTTTCGATATACCGCGTCTCACCACCAACTTGTCGCCGGTCCGCGCGGATGTCTGCTGTGTTGTCCTCCCATACTTCGTATTTCGTATACTTGAATAGCAGACATAAATTCGAACCCTGAGACACTCAAGATGTCTTGAGATCAAAATACTAATCCATGGTATCTAGCCTCGCCATCACTACAGCGTACTCTCTCGGACAACGTATGCGGTGTAAGGAACGCGGCACAGCCACCGCCAACCTCGCGTGTTTTCCGTGTCTTGGAGGCCCCTGGACGTTATCACTGCGGAACGGAGAATTTGGGTGGTGAATACGAAGTGCAAGATTTCCCAAATCTTTCTTCGTCGTGGATGTCAAGGACCGTCTTGAGACGAATACTTGAATCTGATCTGGTAAATAATGCCGTACTTTGTAGAACTAGACGCATTTATCGATGGAGGTGTATTACTGCGTATACCGTACCTGGTATGGATCTAATCAGGACCGTTGTTTTTACACCCGAAGAAAATGACGACGATGCCCTTTCGACAACTTAGAAATGGAACTGCTGTGTTTGATGAAGGCGTTTGACAGCTTGCCATATTACCAACCGATGTGGTCTAGACTGGGATGGTTCTCCTCATCAGGCTCGTTATGAGATCACCGGCCCACCAATCGGCCGAGACCAATCGCGAGCGTTCCTCTTCGCCCTGTCGCTTCATTCCGTTGGGCTCGTATGGTGTCATCTTGGTTCCGGACATCTTTGTCGGGATCTATACTCGCCGTCCACATTGAAACATCGGTTAAGGGGGTTGTTACGATTCCACCTGCCAAAGCGTGCTTAACTCTGTCAGACATGGGTTTTGAGCCCATGGCATGTTCACTCATAGCAAGTGATGCTAAAGTATTGGCACACGGCATCAGGGAACTGGGCTAGAAGTCTTGATTATTGAATTCGGGGATAAGACACACTTTATGGACATCAAATTAGATGGACCAGCCATCTCTGGAATTAAATCGGGAAGGGTACCTCAAGGGTCGCGTAAGAGATGATTGGCAGATTAGGATTAGAAGTATCTGTAGATAGAGAGAAACATAGCAAAAGGAAAATCGAGAACTCGATACAGACAAATGACTTGTCGTCCACAGAGCTGGAAACACATGACTGACCCTCTGCTGCAAGAGACCGTCTACAGTCCTGGTATGCACAAGTGGATTTCACCATACTTGTATCGCACACCGTACTCTTCGCTGCTTTGGTCTTCGTAGTCTTCTTGGTGTACGGTAAGAACACCTTTGGTGGCAAGTGTGAGCACATGCATAAGGCCTTGGGTAGCCACAATGCGAGAGGTCTTCTGTGGAGGAAGAAGCATGGAGAATGACATTTTCTTAACTTCCTCGGTTGGGAGATGTGGCTGTAGACCAGCAGCCCATTCTTCTCCACCATGTCTGGTTGTCAACTTGGTAGTTAAATACTCAAAAAAGTTCAAGCTTTCCTGGTCTAGAGTTGACTTTTGTGAATCATCATTGAACGCTTGCAGGCTCTGAAAAGTACGGATACGCCCTGGCCCATTTTCGTTTTTCGGGTGTTCATTAAGCCCTCCAGCATTATCAGTTTCAAGTTCAGTGTGCAGGTACTGGCTTATATCAAAGTCATCAAGGTTATTCAACTCGTCACCTTCGTTGCCGGGAATCGAAAGACTGTTGAGGCCTTCGATATCGAAAGGAAAACCACGACCTGCAAGAGGACTCGCGCTCGTGAGACGGCTCCGTGGTCTTCCAAGGCCAGTATCAGAGATACCATGAGAAGAAAAGTCACTAGCGCTGCCAAATCCGCGGAAAATGTTCGCAGCAGAGGAGCCCTGTCGAGAACTCTGGACAGAAGCTGTGACATTCCATGGCATTTGAATAGAGTTATCATCGCGAATATCTGGCGGGGCATTGCGACCAATTTCAACATCCTGTGTGAAAGGTCAGCTGCGGACTTTCGGATGGAGGAAACATGTTGACGTATACAAACCTCATGCCAGAAGCCATCATCGTTGAAGCGGCCGATCTGGTCTTCGTCCCCCATCCTTGGGCGTACACGTCGTGCATCGAATTCGGGATCCTCTTCCTCAATCGAAGGATTGATACGTTTCTTCCCTTCATTGTTAAGCTCAGGATTGAGCGCTTCATACAGCTGCTCGCCCGAAAATGAATGCAATGGATGCAAGACACGAGATGATCCCACACCAACGCCGACAGACCCAATGCCTTGACCGACGACCCAGAAGGCGGCGTTCTTTTTGGCGAGGGTTGGAATCTTATTCCGTTGCTTCTGTTTTGAGACAACTGCCATATTCTGCACATAGTTGTCATTCAGATGGGCCAGTTCAGTATTTCGGAGTGCAATCTGGTCGTCCAACCCAATGACTTTGGGAGCTCTCTGTCTCTGTTGCATTGCTGCCTTCGACTCCACAATGACTTCATCTTCTCCTAGCTGGTCAAATATGGAAGGGCGGTTGCCGGTGGCCTTTGGTGTTTTAGTTGACCTCGCTTCCTGCTCTTTCCCGGGTGCTATCTCCAATCCTTCATCAATCAAATCTTGCTAATGCGGCCTCGTGTCAGTCATAGAACTATCGACTTATCAGTGGGGCACTACCTGATCCTCCATAACGATGTCTTCGATACCCTCCCCCTGGTCTTCTGCAGCTTTCTCTTCAATCGCCGGTGATGTGATCCCTTGTGGTCTTGCCTCAGCTTGATGCGAGCCACCAAGCTCTATAATGTTCCCATCTTCGTCAAACTCAAAGTCTGGCTGAAGGATCACTCCTGATTCATCGTTAAGAGCAAATGGTTCGATACCGGCGAAATCAATTCCTTTCCTGCCATATTGGGTGACATTGGTATCTGAGCTGAACCCACCTACATCCCTCAAAATAATATCATCAGAAGATAAGTCCAGTCGCAGGCTGGAAGACTGTGAGAGGGCTGATTGGCTGAGATCCGGGGTCTTTGGCCACATGAGACTAGATTGTTGACTCAGATCCATGTCAATTGGCAAGCTGAGTTTCGAAAGGTCGAGTCCCAAACCCGGCAGGTTGTTTTCCGGGAGGAAGCTCGGATCATAGGGTAGAATAAGCTGTTCAGGCCTATACTGAGCGTAAGCACAGGGCACAAACAGGAATGTCTACATGTAGAACGTAACGGGGCAAATGGAAAACAGACCTAGCCTTTCCTGCTGATGGGTCCAATCCACCTCCCGGCATAACTTTGAGCACCGCCCTCATTCTATCATGCATCGCCTGGACGTCTGTGAGTGTATACCCGCATTGTTGACTGTAGACTCTTGACACGCCATATCTATGTTGAGCCATCACTGAATCAGAAAGTATACGCAAGCTCTTGGTATTTTGGTCTCACAGCAAATTCCCTTGAAGCCTCAGCGCCATCGGTGCCGCCGGGTCCCTAATGACACCACACGCTTTGGGAACATCGACATCCAATATGGCCTTTCTGTTCAATCTTCGAGTGATGGATCTCGAGCCTAGAGTGGCGACCAGCCTGCATGCATCACAATATCAGCAAATTAAGCATTTACCTCAAGTCATACCGCGTAGGGGATAGAAGTCGCTGACCAGACCGTAGCAACGCCATGCTCAGGAGAAGTAAGAACTGCCAGGTGTAGAGTATCATAAGCACCATCCGTCTCAAACCGGCGTTCAATGCCCTGACACGCTCAACTTGAACCAACTTACTCTCATGACTATAGAACATCCCGACTTCCCTTCTTTATCCGCCCAGAAGAACGCGCCCTGACGCGTCCCTCGAGCTGATACCCACCTTCCAGTATCAGAAGTGACCTCAGACGCGTGAAAAACTTCGAATCGTGTTCGCGTCTAGCAGAGTACTGCGCAAAGGCAGACGCGAATGTCTCGTTGGCGGAGTCAGGTGAGCAGGTAAGTGCGTCTAGCTGGAAAACGACCTAACCGTGTCGCGTGCAAAGATTCTAGGTTAGACAGATAGTGTAAGTTTCAAGTTCTAGGCCATATGAATGATAGACAGATATCTTTACGGAAGGTTGGAGGGGTAAGATCATGACTTACAGCAGTGGCTGTTTACTGTGAGGGGCCTAGCAAGACGAACGTTAAGGGGGGAAGGTGAAATCAGTCTAAGGAGAATGCAGACGTTAGAATTTCACACTGTTAGTGAATTGATAGTATACTGTAGGATAGTAAGTGAGAGTGTAGGTGGAGTTTGTGAGTGTGGAAGGAACGGAGGCATGGGTGGAATCAGTCGGGAGTGAGCAAGTGAGTATACATACATCAGAGTAGGACACTCGAGCTGGAACTTCCTTCGCTAGTTGTGAGCAGGACAGGAGTGGAAGGGAACAGGATCTCACTGGCTATTCTCCTGAATACTATGGCACTTGCACGTCATTTTTCTTCGATTTACTGAGTGGGACAGTTGCTTACGTGCCAGACTCTCTGAGCAACGAACAGCAGTATCCAAGTGAGCGTCTGCTGCGACGAGAATTGAATGATTACTATAAGATCAGACTGAGCTTTTCCGTTTCCCTTCTATATTGCTGTACTGCACCAGCGCCGATAAGACCACAGAGACACCACACAGACAGAGGATTTGCTTTTCAGTGCCCATTGAGACTAGGAAAGACGACACAAGACAACCAGGGAGGTCAGGACTCTATTAAAACGAAGGAACAGAGAAAGGAGAAAAATGGGCAGAAGGAAATTAAGTTGACTATGGCAGATGAAGAAAGAGGTAAAGAGTCCTACAATTATCTCCAACCCATAGCAACCCAGGAAGATGCACGTGGGGTATGAGACATGCGAGAAAGAGCAAACCAGAAACTAGACACGAAAAATTGTTTTTTTCTCGATTCCCAAAAAAATGAATGTCCCGGATTAGATGAATTCTATACCTACCCTCGGACCAGATCAATGTTACATGAGGCGTATTTAACAGATAGGAGACACCTAGTCAAGGGGGATGCCCTGGTATTCGCCGTAGCCAAGGGCAAGGTTCATGTTCTCTGTAGCAATCATGTTAGCTGTTATTCCATCTGTTGAACTCAAGGAGAACAGTTAAACTGTGGTACTCACGCAGGCACTGGGTGGCGGCACCCTTGAGCAGGTTGTCAATGGTAGCACACACGACGACGCGCTTGCCACTGGAGTGGACGGCAAAGCCACCGACCTCAACGCCATGGCGGCCAGCGATGGCCTTGACGGAGGGAGGCTCGCCAACGATCTTCACAAGCTTCTCACCAGCGTAACGGTCCTGGTAGATGTTGCGAATGTCGCGAGAGCTCATCTCCTCCTTCAGGGGAATGCTGATGGTGTGCTAAACAAAAGTCAGTCTCGACTGAGGACGAAATGCGATAGAGCAAAGATCAAGGAGGATCGGAACATACATGGATGCCCTGGAACCAGACAGCAACGTGGGGAATGAACGCAACGCTGGTGCCAAGCTGTGCGCTGATCTCCTTCTCGTGGATATGATCAGTCAGGCTGTAGGGGATGATGTTGTTGGTAAGGTTGTCCACGTCGTTCTTGGGGCTTGGCTTAGTGCCAGCTCCAGAATATCCCGAAACACCGAAGACGGTGGGCTGACCGCCGAGGAACGGGACAAGAGGAGCAATTCCGATCTGAGCGGCGGTGGCGTAGCATCCAGGGTTGGCGATACGGGTGGCCTGGGCGATCTTGGAACGGCTGACCAACTCAGGAAGACCGTAAGTCCACTTGCTGTCGAACCGGTAATCGGCACTCAGGTCAACGATGACGTTACCCGTCTCGGAACCCTGGTCGACGGCATCAACGAATGGCTTGCAAACACCATTGGGCAGAGCCATGACCCAGCAGTCCACATCTCCGTTCGCGGACATGCGCTTAACATCATCGGGGCTGAGGTTCTCATAGATGATCTCACGCTTGTCATAGCCCTGCAACTTCTTGCCAACCAGCTCGCGCGATGAGACGTGGCGCAGATCCATGTGAGGGTGGGCGTTAATCAGGTTGATCAGAGCCTGGCCAGTATAGCCACGGGCTCCAATGAGAGCAACCTTAGAGGGGCGGGCATTGGACATGTTCTTCTCACCCAGGGGCGGGTTAGGGTTCGTCGTGGCGTAGGTCCTAACAGATCTCACAGGAACCATCGGACGTGCTGAACGAGCAGCCCGCAGAGCATTGCTCGTAGAGGAGAAGGCACGCTTCTGCTCAGCAGAAGCACCGCTAGCGCCGAATCCCTTGCCAATGTTGGTGGCCGCTTGGGCGGCGCGGTGCAGCCTGGACTCCAGGTTGATATCTCCAAACATCTGGCGACCGTGCTGGTTGAACTCCTGGACCAGCTGCTTCACCTCCTCGCCGCTCTCGATACCGTACCAGAAGAGGACCTCTCCGTCACGGCTGAGGCTGCCATCAGCCTTGTCAAAGAACCAGGTGAGGTTCTCATCATCCTCCTTGACTGTCCAGACGAGCTTGGGGTAGTCCTTCTTGATGGAAGCAAAGACGTTGTCAGCAACGTTCGTCAACCATCCGGACTTGGTGATGGTGAAGGTAGCCAGGTGAGCCAAGGGAGAAGTAGCATCCTGCTGAGGGGGCAAGACAACGGCCAGCGCTTCCATGGGCTCATCGTAGTAGACCTTGAAATCACGCTCCTTCAAGCCCTCAACATAACGGTCAACAGTGGCGCGAGCATCCAGGCCCTCGCGATCACGAACCAGGACCTCCTTGAGCTTGTCCAGATCTTCAAACTCGGAGAAAGAAGTCTTGGTGTGGACCTTGTTGCCTCTGCGGATCAAAGTACCAGCTCCCGAGTCGGTGAAGAGTTCCTTCTGCAGATCGGCCGGGTGGATGATAGCAACGCTGGAGGTACGAGGAAGATCGCTGAGCAGATCCTTCATCTCCTTGATCTTCAAACGAGTACCGTGACGCACCCACCACTGAGTCATCAGGTGGTCGTACTCCTCGTCGAGGTTGATGGCAGAGATCTTCTCGCCGGTGTCGCCGTTGAACAAGCCACCCTTTTCGGCAAGGTAGACGATCTTGAGCGGCTGGAGCGCACGCGCCAGCTCACCAGCAGCAACATCAGCGTTGACATTGAGAACCTGGCCATCAGGAGTCTCCGCCATGGAAGTAAGGATAGGGAGGCAGCCAGCTTCAATAGCAGACTCAATTGGCTTCTTGTTCACGCCATTGATCTTGCCAACCAGGTTATACTTGTCCTTGTCAAGGTAATCGGCGGTGAAGACACCCGCGTTCAGAGGACGCGCCCTCACACCCATGCGCTCCAACTCCTCGATCAGCTTAAGGTTCTCCTCCAGGAAAAGCTTCCTGGCCAGAGCCAGTGTCTTTCCATCGGTGACTCGGATTCCGTCTTCGAATTGAGGCTCCACACCGGCGTCCTCCAGCATGCGATTGAGCTGAGGACCAGCGCCATGGACGACGATCGGATAGAGGCCAACATGGTTCAGGAAGGCAAGGGCGGAGGAGAGAGTCTGGAGGTGTTCCGTGATGATGGCACCGCCGACCTTGATGACAGCGAACTGCTGGGAGGAAACGGAGGTGAAATGGGAAAGATACTGCTGCACCTCGCGCTTGGAACCGATGTTGCTCAGCAGCTGGACAACGGTAGACCGGGTGGAGGAAAGCTGGGGGTCAGTGGCCCGGGAGTAGTGGCGACCCTGCAACAAGGGGACGGCGGAAGCCTTCAGGGAGTGACGGGCAGAGCCGAGTCTGGCAGAAGAAACGGCATGCTGTGCGGAGAACGCGCGGAGGGGCTTGCTGGTGGAAGCTCTCCGCACGGCGGTGCGAAGGGAGAACATATTGCCAGCCAGCATGCGGCAGCTTTGGGGCGTAGTCGGGCAGAAGGTCGAGGGGGGAGATCTGGAGGGTGAGGCGCTGTTAGAGGCGTTAAGTAGGTGAGGAGAGGAGTGACAAGGAGGAGGAGGGAAAAAAGGTTGTGCGGAGGTGGTGCGGGTTCATCAGGGAATTTGCCGCAACCCCCAAAGAGTTTGATCGTCCAGATTGATTATTATCGGCCACTCCTCGGAGCGGACGTCCTTCTTTGGGGGGGGGGGGGGGAAGGAATTATTACTCACTAGCTCCGACCCAATGACTGGCCGCAATCGCCCTTCTTGCGTGTGGGCTTTTCGGCCGTGAACTCGACTACTAGTAGATACTACTACTAACTACTACCTACTACAGAGGTGGTCGGTCGCAATTATTATACCTCCCATGCTCCCACACCCGCCTCGTTTTTAGGCTGCTTGCAAGGGAACCCAAGCCGGCTGCCACCGTAGTTGAGCGAATTGAACCGACCACTGAGATAAATTGCGCAGGTTCCAGCTGGAAACGTCGACTTGAGGGATAAATGCCAGTCCGCACAAGTGCCCGAAGTAACGCTGGCTTGGCTGCGACTTTCGGAGCCGGGTATCGAACACTGACACGGGCATGACTCACCACATTATTCAAGCCGGGCCCATTCTAGTTTCGCGGTTTCCTCGGTTTCCTCGGTTGCTTTACTTGCTCCCATCTCGACTGGCTTCCCTTTTCGCGTCTACACACGTAATGAAAACCAAGCAATGGACCCCGTCGATCCTCTTTGATCCTCTCTAATCAATTTCCATCATTCAATAATAACTCCTGGCGCTCGTTATCTGATCTCGCTAACTGCCGAGAGCCAGGTCGCCAGCGAATGACAGCTTGTCGCGCTCCCGAGTCGCTGGAGTCGTGCTCCATTGCGACTCAGACCACAGGTGTCAAAGCCGTCAGTGCTGAGTGCAGATGGACCCCCCCCCCTTCGTTATCTGATCCTCTCCTTACCTGACACGTTACCCTGGTTGTCCAGATTCGATATTAACGCGGTCCACATCTCATCTCCTCATCTCCTCAGCATCCCACCGCTTCCAGTCTGCGTGGGGTGGAGATTTGCCTACCGCTCGGGTCCATCATAAGAGACCCAACCCAAGTGTGCTTGGCATATGATTGCCATAATCCTTCTTCTGAACACGTCTCTTTATACAAAAGTAAATGTACTCTCAACATACGAGCCGGGTAACCGGTATAAGGCTTGAGTGTGGTTGAAAGTGAGTCCATTAAAGGCTAAAGAAAGACACAAAGGAAACACATAAGAAACAAAGCAAACATAGGAAACCAAACCAGCAAACAGCACTCATAGTTGAACACAAGGAAGCACCGGAGTATCATTTACATCTTCACCGTCGATGGAATCATGTGGCATAGCCTCAATCCCCAAATCGGCACATAGCGTCAATGGCGTAGAGAGACAACAATACTTTATTCGTGAGAACGAGTAGGTTGACGCCCGAGAAAAAAGCAGGAGGTATTAATAGCTGGAAACAAAGGCTTCACGGTCTCAACACAGATAAACCAGGGCCAGGTGAAAGCAAAACGTCATCCATTCCCAAGATAATCATTAATTTTTGAGTTTGACAACTAGAAGGAGGATATGTTAGCGCCTTCGGGACCTTTTACAGAGTCGCAATGTTCTGGGGGGAGAGCGCAGATCTTACCCGTAGGAACGATAATCACTACAAGCAGAATAATGATACAGACAATCAGGCACACGCGCATCTTCATGTCCTTCCACCACATTTGCTTCCGCACGCGGTTGGCGCCTCTGCGGAATCCCTGGGCTGATGTGGCCAGATTGTCCGTCTTATCTTGAAGAGAGTCTAGACGTTCACCACGTTCCGAAACTTTGAAGATGTTTGAGCGCATTGTATCGACCGTTTCTTGGATTTTCTAGTGAAAGAGAGAGACAAGGCGTTAGTTAGAACTTTGCGACACATATCACCATAAATATAAGCCAAATAACATCCCCAAGCCCTGGGGTGCCCTCATATCCAGATGAAATCGAAAAAGAAGCCCCCAGGAGAGCACCGAAGTGCGTCACCTCCAATGCAACTTGGGCGATACAACCTGGTGGTACAATGAAGTTGGCAGCGAGGCGTATCGGCCACTTACTTTGTCGATTTCCCTTGTCCTGGGGTCGCCATTCTGCGCAGCACTGGCACTGGCCCCGTTGGATCCAGAGGGGATGTAGGGATCGTAAGGCTGCTCGGACATGATAGTAGTGCGCGACGGACTCCGTGTATTCGTTATTCGGGTTGTAGGACCTGGCAAGTCACCAGACTACCGAGCTGGAGGTGACGGGCTGTTGCCTGTTCCTTTTCGTAGGGGATGAGGCGGGAAATCGCAACGACAGACTCGACGGCTGGGAGTGCGGTGAAAAGCGAGAAGGAGTAGGGTCGGAGTGCGGCTGGAAGGTGGCGGGATGATGGAATGCAGGAGGGAAAGTAGGATGCGTTGTTGGAGGGAAGCTGACAAGGTGTGATGAATCGCCGCCCGCCTTCTGGAGATTACAGGCGTTTCGGTTCGGTCGGGGCGGTGCACGTGATCCGTAGTCTATTGGGAAAGACAGTCCCGGCAGGCAGCTATTTTAGTGCTGAATCACGATCGGCTGAGCGACTAGAATCAAAACAAAGAGATGGCTGGCCGTTTAGGATGCTACTTTGCTGTGATCCAACTCCTGTGTACATCAGAAGGAGGAAAGAGACCCTGTACGGAGTAGAACCATTGACCTACCTGGAATGGAAATGGGGGATCTACAGCTGTCAATAGAGCCTGTGTATGTACCAGGTGCAGTAGTGAAGTACGGAGGATATCCACGCACACTGGACGGTAACAGAAATAGAAACACCAGTTGTCCGCTTATTGCCGCTTATTGGGCACCACGGTCAGAGGTATCATTGTCAATTGCCTGCCCACCCAAATTATGCGTTGCTTGAGAAACATGCCGGGCCAATGTGGCTGTGCGGCGGATATGCTGCGCCCTCCGCCACAAGCTTCACGTGGGGATTTCCCCTCTCAATGAGTCTGGACTGTGGGCCCTCTCCTCTCTGATGTAATAATATGAAGGAGGCTGACATTGACAGCAAGGGTTCCTTCAAGTAACCTTCCTCTACTTCATACCGTCTCCAGCCTTCTTCAAAGACCATTGTTTATTCTCGACTATGGACAATACATGAACCAGGAGATTGTCTGTAAATATACGGTTTTTTATTCGCTGTAGAAGCTCGTTCATGAGTTCGCCTTTGTTTCTGATTTGTATATCTATGATCCCATCGCCCTGCCCCTCCATCTTCATTATGGAATCATAAAAGTCAAAATCGAGTGATATCATCCTCAACGCCTTTCGACAACTCCTGGCCACCGATATACGCGTTCTCAAATGGAATAACTCTGTTTTCGCAATTCGCCACCAACGGGTGCCGGCAACCTTCAACAGGTAGAGGCATTCTCAATTCACAACACGCCAATCCTCACAGACTACAAGTGGCATAGCAATTGACTGCCAAGCACCAATTATATATCTACGGCCGCTCACTGCTAAGCTGTACTGCAATCCAAATTCCGGTGCGAAACAATTAACTAGGACCAAGCAGTCATCCCATAACCGATACCTGTCAGCGAGCTTACTCCTTCGAGGTCATGTCACTTTTAAGCCTGTCACCAGAGCTCCGTCTCTTGATTGCAGGTGCAGCGGAGTGCGAGAGGGATATCAACAGTCTGGCTCGTACTAGCCGCCAATGCTATCAAGACCTGAATGAGTATCTTTATGAGCACAACGTCAAGTTTGGCAAGAGCTCAGCACTCATTTGGGCAGTAAAACATGGAGTCATAACTACTGCTATGAGGATGCTAAACGCGGGGTGTGATATCAATGCCAAGGACGATTATTGCGATGGGTCGGCGCTTTGGCATGCTGCCATATGTGGACAGGAAGGCATGGTAGCCCTTTTGCTGGGAATAGATGGCATTGATATCAACTCTCAAAACGGCCATAGCCGCTCGACAGCTCTGACGGAGGCAGTAGACCTTGGACATAAAGGAGTAGTGCAGCTTCTTCTTGCAGCAGACGGCGTTCAGGTGAATCTCATGGACGGCCTCGGTCGAATACCACTTTCTACTGCAGTAAGGAAGGGTGAGTTAGAGGTGACCAAGTTACTTCTTATGACTAGGGGAGTTGATGTGAATTTAGAGGACGGAAACGGGCTGACACCTTTGATGCATGCCACATGCAATAAATGTACAAGTTCTGTTAGCCTGCTGATGGGCGTGGCTGGTGTTAATTTGAACACTCGGGATCGTTTCGGTCGTACCCACTGATGGTTTCGCTATTGTAAAATGTCCCAGAGATAAGAAAGCTGCTTCTCTCTAGCGACAAGGTGGACATAGACTTAACGGACACCCCGACAAACCTCACCGCTTTGGCATATGCTATACGGAATGGGCTCAAGGATGTGGTGGAGAGCCTTCTTGATAGAGGTGCTAACCCACATTTGCAAGATATAAATGGCATGACTCCTTTACATCTGGCTGCAACCCTGGGTAATCTGGAGATAGTAAAACTACTACTTTCCAGAAAAGATATGGATCTGGATGTGGTGCAGAATGATGGTCTCACCCCTTTAGCATATGCTGCCCAGTGTGGACACAAGAATATAGTAAGATATTTTCTTGAAGCAGGTGCCAATCCATGTTTACGAGATACAAATGGTCAGACACCTTTATATTTGGCTGCTCCACTGGGCTATAATTTGGAAGTGGTTAAGCTGCTGCTCTCTAGTGAAGATGTGGATCCAGACGTGGTGGATAACAACGGCCTTACCCTTTTGGCGCATGCTGCCTGGGTGGGGAACAAGACTATATCAAAACACCTTAAAGCAGGTGCCAGTCCGAGATCACGAGATACAATGGGCCGGACGCCTTTACATATGGCTGTAATTGGGTGGGAGCCGAAGGTAGTAAAGCTGCTGCTTTCTAGAGACGACGTGGATCCAGACATGACAGATAATGACGGTCACACCCCTTTGGCGTATGCTGTCATGTATGGAAGCAAGACGATATTGAAGTGCCTTCTTGAAGCAGGTGCCAATCCATTTTCGCACCCTATCGATAACGATCAGCGGTGTTCAGATTACCCGGAAAAGATGAAGCTGCTCAAAAGACACATGGAATCCCGTACTGTTTCTGGGCCGCGATACACTTGAACAAGAGTTCCCTATGGATGAAGGAGGCCTGGGGGATGAAGAAGAAGCGAAGCTACTCGAATGGATATGATGGTTATGTGGGTTTCCTTCCTGGTGCTTAGGATTCTGGGACAATCATACTTTCAACATTCTCTTATGTAGTACATTGTTATATCACTCATTATAGTATCGGACACGATTAACGGACTGCCTTAAGAGAAATAACATTGATCAAAATGCTTAATGGTGAATGAGAAAATCTACTCTTCTAACTAGATCACACAAACTCCTACTTGTATCTCTATATCCCTTAGATCTCCACCGCAAGAATGCAAAACTCTTTTGAGAATCTCAATCTAGTGAGAACTGCTATTGTAACATATATGCCTACCGAACAGGCTAACCAGTTTAGCAATCATGAGGAGGAGACTCCAATAGTCGCCGAGGACGTTTCGCATGGCCTAAGGGGACTCTGAGATCGTTATCACTATCATGGATTATAGAAACTAGCCTCCATAGTCTTGCTCTCCCTTGAGGGGGGCCGTGCGAGCGTTAGTATCATTCGAGCCATCTATTCAATTTGCGTGATCAATGCCCGTTTATACAAAAGGTGGTCAATGGGTGAGAAGCATAGTGGCGAATGGACTCGACATTGTCGAGCACGAATGAGTGCCAAATAGGGAAGTTGGGCATCGATGCCCGTACCATGATCCGTTACCAAATCTCGGGTATTGGATACAAATTATAGAAACATTCGTCCTTCGCGGGGTCTGGATGGGGAGTACTAAGAGAATACTACATATTCTATCTGCATGAATCGTATGGCATTATAGCCTATGTGCAATTCGTACACAGCATAAATATGTAAACATGTACAGCTTAATAGGCAGATACCAGTCGCGTGAACATTCCATTTCGATTGACCAGTTCGTATGTCTCTTGACGCATTTTCACACCCCCCTCGCCACCCAGTGATTTACCAGCCTCTAGATGGGCGTCCTATAATGAACACGGGTTCCATGCCACTGTACTATCGTAGAATGTAAGCGAAGATTTCCATTCAGTCGTTGATATATAATACAGGATAGACCTTATCCCCCGAAACTCCACATAATTGCGAGCCAAATGCTTTCCACACAACGCTTTTGGACATGTCCCCAGTAGAGGCAATGGGTATAAATACAGGGATGACGCAGAGATCGATAGTCCACATACATCCTCTTATCGATCAAGGAGGCATCGAAGGATAGGAAGATAGCATCGGCGCATTTGGTCCAATGAGAACCGATACCCTCGTGGCCGACGTAATGCGACAACTCATTTCTCGCCCAGCAACTCCTTCCTCATCTCCTCGCGTTGTACCTTGGCATCTTCCTTGGCCTGATTCCGGGTTGCCTCGACCTCCAAGCGCTTCTGCTCCTGTTGTTCCTGGGCTGCGAACCAGACTATACGATTTTGTGGCATTAGTCTAGCTGTTCATCATGGAGTACCAAAGACAAAACGGATAGGGAAGGATCGCAACGCACTATGCTTGTCAGACTTGGACCATTGTTTCAGCTTGCCGACATATTCGTCAAAGTCCCGAGCTCGGCGATCGCCCTCCTCTAGACTCCGTTTTTGAAGATCGGGGTTGTATCGCTTGAACAGTTCCTCGTCGGTGGGACGGATGTATTGGACGAACGCTGGGCCACCGACACAAATGACAATGCCGCTAATATCCGTTAGAAACCGGAGGATCACATCGAAAGGAGGGGTGTGGAAGCGCCGTACCAGCCCAGCATCTTCATCCACGTTCCTGCGCGAGACATGATGAGAGGCGAGTTCGGATTTCTGGCAACGATTGCTTGTGAATTGGCTGTCGCGGAATGATGTCAGGCAGATAAACTAACTTCTGCTAATGGATACAGTGAAGCTATTGAGGTCTCAGATCCACGGGGTATGTCCGTGTGGGTGCGTCTGTTCATCAACCGGAGCTCATCAACATCATCGTAATCGCGCAGACGGGATTCGGCAGGGCCGATCAATGTGTGGCGCAGCAGTGGAGGCTAGTGCAAGTGGCGCATGTTGTGGCCGTTGTGCCCGCCCACCAATCAGTAAAGCGAACCGGCATTCGGGCTGGCTTCCTTTTGCTGCCGAACCCAAAGGGAAAAGTTCTTCTTGCTCCACTGGCTATGTCACTAGACCAGCGCTACTTTGGATCCTTATTGCTCAAATCAGCGGCTAGTTCCCAAGGGCGACTCCTCGGAGAAAACGGCCAAGATCCCGTATTCGTTCTCTGAATGGTTCCTGTGACGTCTGAATGTCTAAGACATCGCTCCGCTCGGCATGGACGTGTCTAATTATAATCGCATTGATGCATGGGTATCGACAATAATTCTCAACCGGTGGTGAAGGGCTATTGCTCTATCGAAAGATGTGCAGTCCACTTTCATAAGACTTTGACAGTAGGTACAGCTGATCATCAACTTATTTGGAAGCCCCATTAGTCAAGTCCTAGATAATAGTAGCAAAAATCTTCCTTGTCGAAAAAATATGCATTTTTACCAAATTCGATGTCCCCCGAAGAGAAGTGCCCCATACTCACCCCAGGACTCCATCTGTTTGGGAGTAAGGCAATCTGCTGTACTTAGGTCCACATTGGTATCTCTCAATGCGGCATGACTGATATGTCGACGCGGCAGGGGTAATTTAGTGCTAGGAGTATGGTGAGAAGAGCACTTGGTCAATGAACCTACTTATCTCAAGACTAGCGTCGGACCATGAGCACTCCTTACCCCATAAGGCTCAATTAGTACTATAGTAGCTACTTAGTGCTTGGGGATGGGGTTATGTAATAATGTAAGATAGCATTATGATTGATAACTCGTCGTAACTTGACTCGGGGTGTCCATCCGCCACTATGATTCGACGCATGGGGCCCATCTATATACTCGCGAGACCAATGGGAGGCGCGCAGCCCCTGCGTTTCGAACGGAGATTGCGCTGGGGTCCAGTCTGATCCATTGACTTGAGCAAGAGTAGACTAGGGGTCCCTCAATATTAACTGCATACCTATCCATTAACACAATCACCACAAACCCCTGATGGTCGAAGCCATAACACCTTGTGGCAGTATCTTGGTGATAGGCGAAGAATCGCGTTCCGGGATATCCGGAATGTGCATCTGGGGAGTATGATGTCTCAGGGGTAGATGGATTTAGTGGTTATTGAACGTCATTGTCCCGGGGGTGCGCTGGGTAGCGCCGCGCCAAGCGGCTTCCATACTCCAACGGTTTCTGAACCTGAAGGTGGACTGGGATATCCACTGCGGCCGAAGCAGTCGTGTAGTCGGGTACAGCAGATTAGACGGTGCATGGTGCCACAGATGCCTCTGGTCCGCTAGACTGAAAGGGGTCGGCACGGAGGAGGAGATCCGTTTTGTACCGGCGACAAAGTGGACACCAAACATCTAACTCTGACCAGCGACTGTATCCCGGCGGGACGGGCGTGGGTCAGCCCAGAAGAACCGTTCCCAAGTGTCAGTCTAAGTCAGTCAGACTCAGTCAGACTCAGTCACTTGCCGACCAGTGTGAGGGTCCGGAGGGAGAGTGCCATGCATCCCAAGTGGATGATGCGCCAACCGACAATCATTATTATTTGGATTCGCTAGGTGAGTCGGGTTGATCAGAAACAAAGATAGATCGAGGAGCCAGAGGAAGAATCAGGCATTCATAAAGTGTTTCATCGCGGTCAATCAATCCCTTCCTCGTTTCTTTCTTGTCTCTTTCTACTTAATCACGGGTGGCTTTTCCCCCCCCTCCTTTTAGTCCGCCCCGGCCATCCAGTCAGACTGCTTCGCCAGTCAGGTACCTACCTTCAGCACTACAAGTACACCACCTACTTAGTACTACTAGTACGTCCAACATATCTACTACTAGTAGTACTTACTCCGTACCTCCACCGAAACACTACTATTACTTATCACCTTGACCTCCGTCCGCCTCCACCACCTCCACCTTCGGCGCGGTTCTAAAATTCCTCCCTCGGGGGTCACACGCTCTTTATTCTCTCATAAAGACCATCCTTCCTTTGTCGTCTTTATTGGCCTCTTGTCTGGTCCAGTCCCGCATTCCTTCATTCCTGGCGGGGGAAAACGTTATCCCTCGTGTTCTGGTGAGTTGGGCCGGTCTCGCGCCCTCGCCCTGCGATCGCGCTCTCGGCGTCCTGCAGCCCTTTGCGCCCAGGTTCTGTCCGCTGACAACATTGTTCTCCCTTTCGCCAGGAAACGGAATTCTTGCGCACGTCTTTCTTTTGAGTCGGATGGCTGCGTATTTCGTACGGGACTGTTGAAACTTGGACCTGGTGTTGCTCGTCTGCAGACCTAGCTTCCAGTAAGCCACGCGCCCCTAACTACTGCTAGGATCTTGCAGCTATTTTCTGTCTTAACTACCCGTGTCTCGTGGGCTAACCTCCTATTGGTGAATAAAGAGTGAAAACGACCTTTGAGCATTGGTTCTTGGTGACCTGATTGTTACTGCCCTCCAACCGGACAAAGAATCCGCATTCGCTTGTTCAAAACTCGCCTCAATCCCGGCCGGCGCCTTGTTCAATTTTCTAGATCACTGTTGGCGTCATGGCATACCCTCAGCATCCAGCGCAGAGAGCCCCCCCGGTGCGAAACTATGCGCCCCGCCCTCCCGCCCGAGGCGGGGGCTACCAGGGCCCGCCGCAAAATGGACATTACGATTATGGATACGACAATCAACATTACGGATATGGCGACGCTGCCCAGGATGCTCGGCATGGTTATCCCGGTGATAGTGCGGTCCCAAGGTCATATGGCCCTCCGCGAGGCGCGCCACGGCCTCCACATGGTGGCTATGGCCCCCCAAAGGAAGATCGAGGGTACGCATATCGGGGACGCCCGCCGCCGCAGGGATACGATGGTCGTCGTGGATATGGGGACAGACCTCCTCCGATGCAGGATCGTATGAGACCGCGTGAGTATAAACGAAACTACCCTTTCGGAACGCGCTATTGACCTTGTTTAGCTGCTCGTGGACCGCACTCTCCCGACAAGATGGCATTTGACAACCCATTCCCATCGTTCCCCGTAAAGGATCCGTGCGGACCGAGAGGGATTGAGAGTGGGATGGCTGCAATGAACCTCAACGGTGGCCCCGTACCCCCTTCACAGGTTCCGGACCGCCCGCATACGTCGCATGGCAGACGGCAACCTAGGCCTGGGTCTCCTGGCCGCGGCAGAGGCAACCATCCCACACCTCCTGTGAGATCGGCTAGTACAGGTCGTCCTCGTGCAGGTTCATCCGATCGATACGACCGGTCGTACACCGATCCTAGTGGCCCGCCACCCGTACCACACGTCAATCGAAGTGCTACGATGCCCGTCAACCCAGCAGTGCCACCTGCACCGTCCAAACCGCTGTACCCTGGACAGTCAACGTACCAAGACCTTAACTCTCCCCCGCAGCATGGCCAGCATGAGCATTTCGATACTGAAGCATGGTTGGACAGCTATTATAATTCGGTTCATGCTGGTGACCACGACATGCCTAACTTCGATGCCATGCCTGATCCAGCAAAGGGGGGCGTAATCGATGAGAGTTTGCCCGGCTTAGAACAGCCTAAGGCTAGAGCGCCCATTGAATCACCACCGTCGTCTCGCGGAGGATATACCGCATTCAACCCTCATGGGGCGGGTGATCCCTATCCCCAGTCACCGACTGATACCAGGGCTGCACCCGTACCAAACCAGTTTGCGAATGCAGGGTTCCAGTTCGACCTACCGAGTGAGGGACTACCGGGCCATCCTGGACAGCAACAAGACAATGCGGGATATGCTTACCACGCCAACCCTTACGAGGATCCCTACCATCAAGGACAAGGAAGCTGGGGCGCTACGATGCCACAATATCCCGAAAGTTATAGCGGCTATTCTGTTCCGGAGAACTATTCCGCTCCAGCCAACTATCCTGCTCCAGCCAACTTTCCTGTACCAGAGAACTACCCTGTCCCGGAGAGTTACCCTGCACCGGAGAGTTATTCCGCTCCAGAAAATCCTGCCCGGGGCAATGGGCCACCTCGTCCCTACAGGGCCAACCAACCTGCGCCTGTACATGAGCAGGCACAACCGCCTAGCCAACCAGAATCCCTGGATGCTCAGAATAATCCCGATGCACTCCCTCATCATCCCGTGCCTTTCCGCCCCGGCCACGATCAGGGGAGTAAACCTGCCCCAGTACGACAATATGACAATGTCAGCACTTCAGCATCCCCCCCTGCTGCACCACAAGCCGTTCCTGCCGACCCAGCACCTTCTGGACCAGTCACTCAGCAAGAACTTCAGCGCCTTCAGCAGCTAGCCAAAAGTCGACCGTCAGATAACAAGACGCAGCTCTTATTTGCGCAGAAGTTGGTTGAGGCGTCGACGGTCCTGGTTGATGCCAGCCGAATGGACCCGAAGACTAAAGCGAAGGCCCGTGAAAAGTATATTATGGACGGTAACAAGATAGTCAAAAAGTTGGCCTCCAGTGGGTATGCTGATGCGCAGTTCTTTCTTGCGGACTGTTACGGCCAAGGACAGATGGGTCTTAATGTGGATCCCAAGGAGGCTTTCAGCCTATACCATTCCGCTGCAAAGCAAGGCCATGCTCAATCTGCATATCGAGTCGCTGTATGCTGCGAAATAGGACAGGAGGAAGGTGGAGGCACCAAACGTGATCCATTCAAGGCGGTGCAGTGGTACAAACGCGCTGCATCCCTGGGTGACCCACCGGCAATGTACAAGATGGGAATGATCTTGTTCAAGGGACTTCTCGGCCAGTCAAAAAACCCACGTGAAGGGATTTCGTGGTTAAAACGCGCTGCGGACCGTGCTGATGTCGAAAACCCACATGCTCTTCATGAGCTTGCCCTCATGTATGCCAATGCGGGCAGCAATGATGTTGTCATTCAGGATGAGGCCTACGCTAGCCAGCTTTTCCACCAGGCTGCAGAGCTGGGGTACAAATTCTCACAATATCGTTTGGGCACTGCCTATGAGCATGGCTTGATGGGATGTCCTGTCGATCCCCGGCAGAGCATCATCTGGTACACCCATGCTGCAGCCCAAGGAGAGCACCAAAGTGAACTTGCTCTCAGTGGATGGTACCTTACAGGCGCGGAGGGCATCCTCCAGCAGAGTGACACGGAAGCATATCTCTGGGCGCGAAAAGCCGCGACTGCCGGCCTTGCCAAAGCCGAATATGCAATGGGATATTTCACTGAGGTTGGTATCGGCGTAGCTGCCAATTTGGACGATGCAAAGAGATGGTATTGGCGGGCAGCTGGTGAGTTATCCTGCGTCTAGAGGCCTATTCAGTCGCTAATGTCATTCCAATACAGCGCAACAATTTCCCAAAGCTCGTGAGCGTCTCGAGGAACTTAAACAGGGCGGCGCCCGGATGCAAAAGACACGACTCTCCCGATCTGCTGTCAATCAACAAAAGCAGAACGAGGGCGATTGTGTCATAATGTGAATGAGCATGATTTTTGGACGTTCAAAATTTCGGGGGATGTTCTTATGTTTCCTTTCTACCTGTTTAATACTCTTTTTGAACCTGCCGGCCGGTGCACTTCCTCGCCGCCGAGTGTTTATACCCACTAACGAGCTGGAGCTGGATTATGATGCATGCATTTCTTGCCTGGGAAGCAAGCCATTGGGAGGAAATTGGTCTGGCCGTTTTGGATTGTACCCGTCTTGATTCCCACCGTGATTTGGTTAGATTAGACACCGGATGATGCCCCATGCTGTTTCATAATATCTTAATAATGACCTTTTTATCAAACTGACAAATTCTTTACCAATACCCTCGCCATCATTCCCAGACGAATCAAATCCTCAGCTGCCCGCGGCCCAATTCCGCACTTCCGACGGATAGCCCCCCCTTTCCCGATCGGATCGTCTCTGATTACAAAAGGCAATATCGGCCTCATAATACCACCCCCATCACCACCAGCACAATATTCTAGATCATCCCTCAGATCCGATCCAACTGACCCTGCATAATAAATTAAGAATATCCGCCACGAAGGATCGATCTTCCGTACCCTTCCATGCATGCTTCCTTCCCCCCTCCCTCCTCCTTCTCTTCCTCTAAGCCCAATCTGCACACACACCCTTGTACTTAAACTCCACCGGGAAGATTCCGCCTCCCCTCTTCCCTCAGCTACATATACATCTATGTCTTCTTCCCCCATTCCGCCAACCCAGGATAATACGCACCATCACCAGAGTACAAGAAAACCATCACTGGCAGTGCTTTCTGTGATTGCGCTGCTTGTTGCGATAGTCATCGCTGCGCTGTTGGGTTATTTAGGAAGTGAATCGGACGCGAACGCCAATCTGTTCGGGTTAAGACGGTTGTTTGCCTCGTCGGGTGGTCGGAAGGCGGTTTCTACGTCTTCGGCTTCGAGGGCTCTTTCGGATAAAGTTAAGTTGGGTGCAGAGGTTGTCGGGATGGAGAGAACGCCGGTTTATTTTTTGAGTCATGGTGGGGTATGTTTTTCCTCTGTTCTCTGTTCTTCACATGGGGTTGTGGTTATGGGGTGTGGTGTGTTGACGATGTATAGCCGAATATCATGTATGATCATGAGCATCCGGCGTATCATAAGTTGGGGGAGATTGGGAAGGAGATCACCACTAAGGTGAAGCCGCGCGCGGTGGTGGTTTTCTCGGCGCATTGGCAGGCGGGTGCGGATACGGTGCAGGTTAATACGGCTGAGATTACGGATTTGATTTATGAGTATGTTGTTTGAGGTGATTTTCTGGGGTGGTCGTTGGCTGACGGTGGTTTAGCTTTTATGGGTTTCCCAGTCATTATTACAAGGAGAGGTACCCTAATGTAGGGAGTCGGGAGATTGCGAACAAGGTGCTTGATGCGTTGAGTCAGGCGGGGATCAAGGGTGAGGGGGTGAAGAGAGGTCTTGACCATGGTGTGTGGGCGAGTTTCAAGTGTGGTAGGTTTGACCGGATAGATGAATTGGAGAGGCGCTGACATCACTAGCCTTTGAGCCTGAGTCGAACCCGCTCAATGTTCCGGTTGTCCAGGTATCTCTGTTCAAGTCGGAGGACCCCATGCAGCACTACCGACTCGGACAGGCGGTGTCCAGACTCCGCGATGAGAATATCCTGATCATTGTCTCTGGTATGGCAGTGCATAATCTGCGTGATATGCAATTTACCTGGGGCGACCCGCGGCCGTTGCCGTACACCGTCAGCTTCGACGAAGCTCTTAAGGAGGCCGTCACGAAAAAAGATCCGGCGGAGAGAGAAAAGGCCATGGCGGACTTGCTGAAGCGGCCGGATGCTAGACAGGCGCATCCATCGTTCGACCACCTGCTTCCAATTCATATCGGAGCTGGAGCTGCGGGCGATGATGTCGGAAGGAGACTGTGGACCTTGAAGGAGGGAAGCATGAGCTGGGCGCAATATAGATTCGGTAGCATCGCCAACAGTACAAGTTCTCTGTAGTCGAGAACCAAGCAATAAAATCGTGTAAGATTGACTGGAGTTATGACGGCGAACGAGTCTTCAATTCATCTATAGATACAGTGTAGACAACTGGAAATGCGGTGCATGAACATATACGGGCGCGTGGTAGTATCGCTATGACGACTCCTTCACCAATTGAGTGATCTTCTCCTCGATCTGCTGGTCCGTCAGGCCTAGATACCGTTTTTAGTCAGTCGCGCGTTCATGTTTTCCGATCAAGAATCTTACCGGACAGAGCCGCCTGCTTCTCTTGGCCGAGACCTGCGCATATATTAGCCAAACCAAAGCCATGGTTCTGTAGATGGTGCATTCATATCATACCGTATCTGGCGTAGACTCTAGGCACAGTACCAGCTGCCTCGCGAATCAAGATGGGAGTGTAAGGGTTGTGCTTCTTCATGGTCGGGTATGCGCGCTGCAAGAACGAGCTATGCAATGTCAGCGATTTCTGCCGGACTCGTATCGCTCCAAATATATGTGGACTCACCGAGTAGCAGCGCTGTCCTGGGAGCTCTGGCAGAAAAGGAAGCGCAGCTCCTTCAGACCCTTGGTAAAAGCGTACTTGGACGACATTGTGGGGGATGATCGTGACAGCGGGACGACCGGGAATGGCAAGAAAGTCGACAACGGCAAATTGGCCCCGTGAGATTCAGCACCGGGTATCAATTGGGGGGCGACGGAGGGGCAAGGACCGACAAGGCGAGCTGGAAGCTGATCACAGGGAGTCTGGGGGAGAGACGACGAATTGATTCCCGCTGGAGGTTCAGAGCCGTACAGACCAATCCGGGCAAGCGTGATTGTCACCGCTTACCTCAGCCGGAAAAGAGCCGCAAGCCCAACGGAAGGCCGACCTCGGGGCCCGCCGGCGCTCTCTTCTCTCCGTCATTTCACCCAAAGATTCAATCCAAGCTCAAATTCCCTTGGCTTGTTGCCTGTGGCTGTTGTTGTGTACGGCGTCTATTGACCATCTCCCCTCTTCCCTCCATTGGACCGAACGTTGTCCATTTCTTTCCGTTCTTCCGTCTCACCGCCGTCCTTGATTCTCCGTCGCGCTCCATCCGCGCCCTATCATTCATTCACCATGTCGTCGTCCCGTATTGGTCTTCGCTTTTTCCAGAACTCCAGAGCTGCTTTCCGCAATGCATATGGCCCTTTCCGTCGGCCTGGTGGCCAGGGCTTTCGCTTCCAGAGTTCCGATGCTGCGGCCGCTGAGCAACAGAGCACTTTCCAGCGTCTATGGAACAGCCCGGTCGGTGTGAAGACGGTGCATTTCTGGTGAGTCTATGTCCGAACTATGTGCTGCTATATATGCCAGTCCCTTTTATTGTTCAACTTTTTGCTTTTTTCTCGATCTATATACTAACATTGACGATCCCTAGGGCCCCTGTTATGAAGGTACGAAATCTTACACCTTGCTGATGCCCGTGATCCGGACAAAATTTCCTCCTTGATTGCGATAAACCTCCTACTATATCTGGATGACCTCCCACTGACTTAACTAGTGGGCCCTTGTCATCGCCGGTATCTCCGACCTTAGCCGTCCCGCCGAGAAACTGTCTCTTACTCAAAATGGTGCTCTGATGGCCACTGGTGTCATTTGGACCCGCTGGTGCATGATCATCACCCCCAAGAACTACCTGTACGCATCCCCGACCCAGATTGCAGCAACGTGAAGGGAAGTGTAACTGACTAAGCTAGGCTCGCTGCCGTCAACTTCTTCCTTGGATGTGTCGGTGTTGTCCAGGTCGGCCGTATCTTCAACTACCGCCGTAGCCTGGACGGCTCGTCGACCGAGGCCGTGAAGGATATGGAACATGAGGTAGCCGACCAGGCCAAGGCTGTCGCTACCCAAGCCGAGGCCGCTATCAAGAAGTCTTCTTAAGCAATTAAGTTATCTGGAACACGGATCGTGTAAACAACAGCCTCAGCGGCAATAGATTGTCTTGAAATTTGGCATTGGTGAGTAGGCTCATAGAGCACGTTGAAGAGATTAAGATTGGTTAGAGGCGACTCTGACTTATATGTACATATTCCACTTTGAATTGCATCGACTTTTCCAATGCTTGTCGGCATCATAGATTCGTGGAGGTGCTTTGCACATTGTAACGTTCGAGATATTGTTGTGCGTCTATCACCGCCATATGGTCAGACACTGCGCTTTGGCGGTAGGGGTAAACTATAACTAATCAAGGGTCTCAGATGACTATATAGATTGACTGGTGTGAATGTAAGGGGCTTTTGAGGTGTTTAACAGATTCATAGTTGCCTAACTGTCTGCTTAATTGCCGCTGCGCAATGGATACCATAAAGCGGGGGAGATATACCGCACGGCATTTGCACTTACTGCAAGTGTCCTCGGGAATTGGCCTGCGCAATCTCCCCAGGGATCAAACAATAGCCGGATATTGTTTGCTTACTCCAATGAGGTAATGCTGCAGACAACAGCTGGGGAAAGTTTCTCTACCAAATCCCCAGACACCCTTTTTTCCCCCAATCGGAGAATCATCTCCGCCAACCCCTCCTATCACATCGCCCGTGCTTGCTCCTCCACGCAACCTCCCTCCACCACATTATGGAGCAGCTAATCAATCGCCAAGCGTGCCTGTTGATACCGGTCCAAGCCACAAGCTTAGCATGGGCCCACACTCTCCGCACATTGCTCCGTTTGGCTGACTCCGTTTCCCCGGATATGCGATTCCAAGAACTCCCCCGAGTCAAGCACATGGTGGTGTTGTCATCATGGCCAAGACTGCGGGGATCATGCGTTTGCTCGTTGCGCAGGGGTATAAATGACAGGGGAGGGAGCGTGAGTGTTTCGAACTGATCACTTCCAGGCTCTACCCAGGACACCGGAGTCGTCTCCCTCTTTTCTCACAATGAAATTCTCACACGTTCTCACACATACACTGAGCCTTGTCGCACTGGGGGCTACAGTGGAAGGCTTTTCTCGGTCCAGAAACGCGGCCTGCAGTCCACACAAGCCATTCCGGTCTCTACCTACAAGCTCGAGTAGAGACAGAACCTGCCACGTTCGCAGCCATGGTAACGGCACTGACGACTCCGATTATATTCTCTCCGCGCTGCACCAATGCAATCATGGTGGAAAAGTCGTTTTCGACGCAGATAAGGAATACATCATCGGAACGGCGCTGAATATGACCTTCTTGAAGAACATTGACCTAGGTAATTACTTCACTGGTCCATTTCATGCAACACACGAAGTTAACCTGATATGTTATGACAGAGGTCCTCGGAAAGATCCTATTCACCAATGATACAGACTACTGGCAAGCGAACGCATTCCCGCAGGGTTTTCAGAATGCAACGACCTTCTTTCAGCTCGGCGGCGAAGACGTGAACATGTACGGGGGCGGCATCTTGGACGGCAATGGACAGGTCTGGTATGATCTGTATGCAGAAGATGACCTCATCCTGCGGCCAGTTCTGATGGGCATTATCGGGCTCAAGGGTGGCACTATTGGACCGTTGAAACTGCGGTACTCGCCGCAGTATTACCATTTCGTGGCCAACTCCTCGGATGTGCTCTTTGATGGGATTGATATCTCCGGGTATAGTAAGAGTGACAATGAGGCGAAGAACACGGATGGATGGTACGCTTCCTGCTTCCTTCAAATCGTGTATATGCAAGACTGATATATCTGATAGGGACACCTACCGCTCTACCAATATCGTTATTCAAAACTCTGTCATCAACAACGGCGATGGTATGTGCAGCCCACAATTAATCCATTCCAAATAGTTTCTGACTCGGAAAGACTGCGTTTCCTTCAAGCCAAACAGCACCGAAATCCTCGTACAGAACCTTCACTGCAATGGCTCCCACGGTATCTCTGTCGGCTCTCTTGGCCAATACAAGGGTGAAGTAGACATTGTTGAGAACGTCTATGTGTACAATATCTCCATGTTCAACGCTTCGGTGAGCCATGCCGACACTATCTGATGATGTGCCCTTGCTAAGATATATTTGCAGGACATGGCCCGCATCAAGGTCTGGCCAGGTACTCCCTCCGCGTTGTCAGCCGATCTTCAAGGTGGTGGCGGTTCAGGCAGCGTAAAGAACATCACTTATGACACGGCATACGTCGATAATGTGGACTATGCTATCGAGGTCACGCAGTGCTATGGACAGAGCAATCTCACCTTGTGCAATGAGTACCCGGTGAGTATTTGCTACGCCCAATATTACTTTCGAGTATCGTTAAACCTTCGAGCAAACTAACATGCGATTAGAGCAACCTCACCATCTCGGACATTCTCTTCAAGAACTTTCGTGGAACAACATCAAAGAAATACGAACCATATGTTGGAACAATTGTCTGTTCGAGTCCAGATGTAGGCGAACTCTCATATCATGTCTTGCTACGGAAATACTGACATTCATAGACCTGCTCGGACATCAACACATCCAATATCAACGTGACCAGCCCAATTGGAACAAATGAGTTTGGTTGCGACAATGTGAGTATTGAGTCCCAAGTCCAAAGACAATGGCTAATGCTGTGCAGGTTGATGAGAGTCTGCTGGTGAGCGTTAACTGTACCGCAACTTGAATTGATGACTAGTATGCATTGATAGAGGTTGGATATAGCTTAGATGAAAATTAAATGTGTATATATCACTTCGCTAAGTTAGATTATCTATAGACGGGCATGGAATGGTCATATGTTTTGAATTCACGAGGGTCAGGTGATCAAGCTCGTCCCTGCGGTGTGTAGATAAACTTCAAGGTTCTTTCTCTCGCTCCCCGTAAGATCCATCATCAACCATTCCAAACTTTATCATCATTGCTTTTGGCATCTCCAAAATACACATGGGCTAGCAGTTATCCACCATTCTAAGATATCCACATCCTATCCACGTCACTCAACACACCGCGATGGGAACTTAGTGTCAGGGTGTATTTCCGTCTGAGGCATTGCGACCCCGAGGTTATTGCAGATCGACATACGTCAATGGGGAAGTAACTTCCGGGATGCACTGGTGACCAATGATCTTTCTTGGAAATCCATATCCTAGCAGGTTTCCACCCAAGAGCTCCTTGGGCAGATGGGAATGGATATGTATCCTGCGGTGTACTTAGTTGAGCAGCTGACAGCCATTTCCACTCGCATGCTAAAGCTCTAATCTGCACCTAGGTGGCATAGTTGGCCTCAAGTATCGGTACGTCATGCGGCAGCTGCAGAATTAGGGAGGTGGTAGAGCTAACCTGAACATGTCCCCTATGAGCCTGTTACTCAACACCCCGAACAAAAGCCTATGCCGGACAGATTGGCTCAACCGCGGCCAAAATAACTCAAGCTCACGCTAGCCATTACCCTGCTTTATCGCCACTGTCTGGACTCTGAATGATGTGACAGCTGGTAGATCAGAGTTTGGGCTCCCGAACTCACCAGCCCTACCATTGAATATATCTGGGCAATATGACATCGAAATGCCAGCAAGCCGGTTCTGACGCAGCGTTTGATGTAGAACTAGAGCGACCCATTGCTCGTCTGTCATTGTGATACATCCAACCAGGATCGGCATGCCATGTACCCTGGCCGGGTACGCCCGGTGGACGTATCACCGGCTTGTTGATTTAAAAACGAGGGTGTCGGCAAAATCTCGATTCTTTCTTCTGCCCATTTTTTCCCATGTACTGATACTTTCAGACAAGGCCAATTTTACCAAAATGCCATACGACATCAGTGATCTCTTCAACGTGCGCGGGCTAGTTGCCGTCATCACCGGCGGGAGCTCAGGTAGGTCTCATGGCCCAACCCGCATTCACTCTATCATCAATTAACCACCACCCACAGGCCTGGGCAAGACAATGGCCATTGCTCTCGCTACCAACGGCGCCAGTAGAGTCTACATTCTGGGTCGCCGCAAAGAGACCCTCGAAGACACTGCCGACATGCACCCCGGCATCATCATCCCGATCGTCGCCGATGTGGGCTCGAAAGCCTCCCTCGCCGCTGCTGCCGAAGAAATCCTAGCTGACACCGGATATATCAACCTCCTGGTCGCGAACGCAGGCATGGTTTACCTGACTGCTCCCGAGACCATCGACGACGGCCCCGGCAGTGTCAAGGTCGGGCGATCACTAAAGGAGAACCCCACCCCGGCCGACCTGGAGTCATTCCTCATGGAGACGCCAGACGAGGAGTTCCTGGATACGTTTCGGGTGAACACGGCGGGGGTGTTCTATACTATTGCGGCATTTGTGTCGTTGTTGGACAAGGGGAATCAGCAAGGCAATGTTTCCCAGAAGAGCCAGGTGATTGCAGTGAGCAGTGTGGCGGCACACAACCGGAGGGTGACAGGGGGCTGTGCATATGGGATGAGCAAGGCAGCAGTGGTGCATCTGATGAAGCAGATGATGACGTTTTTGATTCCCCAAGGAATAAGAGCGAATACAATTTCTCCGGGGCGTAAGTAATCCACTAGTCTGGTCTGTGCATGGGTGCTAAGCTAACGTGGACAGTCTTCCCGAGTAATTTGGTCGGGGGTCCGTCGAATCATGAGATATCGGTGGAGGGAGCATTCGATAGAGAGTTTATTCCGCTGCGGCGAGCGGGAAGATGCGATGAGATTGCGGGCGCTATCTTGTACCTGGCGAGTAAGGCCGGGGGATACGTCAATGGTGATTTACATCTGATCGATGGGGGGATGGCAGGGTGTCCTAATTGATTTTTTGATGTTTCTTGTCTGGCGTCGGGGGATCTTGTGCTTGTTATGGTTGCATTATCCAGATGGCATGATAATTTGCATAGCCGGGCGGGATCTTGAAGGAACAGCTGGAATTGGTGTATGAACTCTATTTAGATTAATATAAACCTTGAGCATAGCATAGTTTGAGCGATTAATTGGGTACCTTCCAAAGACCATGGCACTTGGCCAGTGGCTGGATTCTCACTTCGCATTTCATGTGCCACGAGCCCAGATGAATGACGGTGATACAATTGTTTGCCTTTCTGTCAATTTCCCCGAGTGTCCGAGTCGACTCGATCACCTAAAAATAAATTAAAACTCGATGTCTCCACTCCGCCTCGATTAGGATGTTGCGCGACAACCACCAAATTGTGTGCCACCTGCCAAGTAATACTATCGGTATCTCTGCCATGATCGACGGTTTCACCAAGCCTCCATGCAACCTGGCTTATGAATCTCTAGCTCTCTCCAGGCAAGCTCGAAACCTGGAGTGGAGAAGTGGCGAGGATTGTGGCTGTTCACATATATTTAGAATGTGGCTGATGCTGTCCATCATTGTCGGTCTAGAACTCAATTCAGGTGACGCGTCTTATAGCTGCCTCAGGTACATCCGCAGCAGCAGATTACAGTCTACTATCAAGCATTAATTGAGATTTCCGATATACTCGATCCTTAATCCAGGGACCATACCATCCGGGGGAAAGTTACATACGTATTGCTACTTGCTAGTCACGCGCCGCCGGCCCACCGAATCCCTGTGCGGATCATCCAGGCCCGATCCTTCCACCGGCACTGCACTCGGGCGGACCCGAACCATCCCAGCTCATGATTCCCTCTACTTTCAATGAGGTGGAACTATACGAACTACGAATACTCTGGAAGGTATCTACTCCCTCCCGGAGATCATCCTGGACCAACCACCAAGGGAAGGATGACTCCTGCTGCCTGGGCTGCTGTGAATCCGAGCCCCACCACCCCTCTTTCTGGTGGCCCCACCCAGAGCTGGTGAGGTCATTCGGCAGCCGTCCCCCCTCAGGGTCCATCCATCCAGGAGGCGTAGGGCAGCAATGCCTCTCCAGTCGGTATATAAACCTTCTTCTTCCTCTTCTCTCCTTTCCTCTTTCTTTCCATCAATCTTCTACCTATCCAACTGACATCCACCCCGCCTTACCCCTCCTTAACCAAACCCCAACCCACCCCAACAACAAGCAAAATGTCCTTCCACAACTCCTGCCAGAACATCCACCTTATCCACGAGAACGGCTCCACGCTGCTCCACGTTGAAGCCAGACGTCGTAACGGCGAGGTCGTCGCCCGCACTATCCGTCTGGACAGGCACATTGGAAACACTGATGGTATGCCCGCCTACCCCCCTTTCATACAACTCCCCTGAAAGCAAAACACATAGCTAACACGTATTCTTCATGATTGGCAGGCTGGTTCATCTGGGGCGGTTCCAACTTCACCGAATCCTCCCACGACATTCAACTCGAGCACACGGAGCGCGGACCCAAGTTGACGGCTCATCTGCGCAAGAACGATGGCGGATACCGTGAGCTGCAGGGCATTTACCTCGCGGATAAGATTGCCAATGAGGATGGACATTTGGTTTTCTTGGTGAGTTACCCCCTTTGGTTTGGGGATGAGGGGTTTAATATGGAAGGATGTGCTGACGTGGTGGGTATAGGGACCTTGAGTAACATATCGCATGGGTTTGAGGGGAGGAATTGATTGATAGGTGGTGCCAGGGGAGAAGTCGCCTCGATATTATTATCTGGGTAAATTGTAAAATTGTTATTGGTGCTTGCATAGCGAATGAATTGGATTGATTTGTTGATTTGAGTTCCGAATGTTGATGGTGGACGATCGGATAGGATAAGATTTTGAGGCACGATGTAGATATACCCGATCAGAGGGGTGTTTTGTTTCCCTTTCTGGTTTGGTGCAGGTATTAGTATGCAGATAATGTACAGGATGCAGTGGTGTGCTGGCAGGGTTTATTTGCCAATGAGATGGGGTTGAGCTGCGTAGAGGCTGGTGATCTCGGTGGGTGTCTGGTGCTTACTGAAGCTTGGTGGAGGGGTTGTCATGCTCACTACTAGTACTCCGCAGGAGGTGATTATATATCTCGAACAATCAAGCCAAGAGCTCATAACCACAATAACTATGCACTATCATGGTATTGAAAGTGATGTTGGATTTGGCTGATACCCCACATGATTGGGCTGGCCTGACCACGCGGAGCGAGCAGCAGCCATGTGGGAAATGCCTTACCCCGCATCCTGAGAATGTCACCCCAGGGTGGGTATAGCATCAGATTAACAAAAGACCAGACCAGATTATAAGTATATCCTCATTACATGCATATATACTTATTTACTTACATTTACTTACATCCATGCGTATACACAAAGGCCTTTGCTGGATGTTACCATACAATCGCCACCGGAGGTTGCGAAGTACCACTGACTGAGATGGAATAGGAATAGCTCGACTGCCTTGATACCAGCGACTACCTACTAGTAGTATCTAGTACTCCCATCTCACCCACAGAACCAGATACGACGGTCTCACATGACTAAGATCAGCCTGTAGTGTGTCGTACAGCATAAATAGCGAAACATGCGGTGGGACTGTGACTGTATTATGGGACGGGGTTCAGACGGACGGTACGTTGACTCATTGGTCGGTGGCAATCATTGAGTGGGGAGATGGGATAGATAGACGCTATGGTATGATTTTGAGGATTTCGGATGGGGGATAGTTGACTTCTCAAGCACAGCTAGATAGGTCTAGATTTAATGATGGTGCTCGTATTGCCAGGCCCATGACTTGCTCTCGGCTAAAGTGGGACGCAATGTTTGCCTCCTGGTACGGTACGACGGCGCATGCAATGGCGGGACGAGACGCCGTGCCCGCCAAGCCTCTTGGCATGACACCTTGCTTTCCGGTGAGGTGCGGACAATGTGGTGTCGGGGGCTGAATGGAGGCGACCTGTCTATTGACTCTTAGGGGAATGATCTCGGGCTCGAGTAATTGGATGGAGCAATAGAGCCACGTGTCGAGCTCAACACCCTCGGCCAGCGCCGAAGCTCTCTTCCTGGTTCCTCCTGGCCAACAAAGACCCGGAGGTCGCTTCGGACCAAGACCTGAATCCGGACTGAGAGAACCAGTTACCGTTCGACTCGCGGGCTGGGCAACCCTTCTATAGTTGCAGTGGCGTCTGGGCGTCTGTGCTCGCTAGCAGGTGTTATGATCGTACGGGTCAGACTCGGGAAGGTTACATTGGAGGCTGACATGAGGGCAGAGATTTTTGAGAGTTAGGTTAGGGAGCTGACATGAAGCCCGAGTGGAAGGCATGTGGCAGCATACCCGTGGGGAAGGGGGCAAACGGCCTGCTTCTAGGTTACCGTGAGAGACACAAGCGGTGCTTATTTCGCAATGTTGTTTGGTGATCAGGGTCCAAGAAGCCTGGCTCGTGATCAGGAACCCAAACTGACAGACGCTAAGCGGATAAGGCTAGGGCTGGTAACTGACTGTGGGGAATCCTTCCCCCAACAGAGCACGTGGTAGGTTAAAATTTCCGACCTCTGTGGAACCCTACCAATCAGAGCGGGCTGCTGGGTGTGTCGGCTTTGAACCGAGCCTCTGTTTGGTTGTTGCTGGATGCAGGTGAGCGATGTACTGGTTACTATACTGTACACATGCTTGACTCGCGTTGGGCTCGATCTGGATCTTCCCCGTAAAGACGGTGGTCCCTTCTCCCCCCCCCCCCCCCTGTGGATACTACAGGATGCCATGTTACGGTCAGCCTGGGGAAGCGGGCTGGTCTGGGGTTGTACGGAGTCCCCGGCCGGTAAAAAATTAAACTCTCCGGACATTACCTCAGCCTGATGATTGGTTTCCGTGGGCTGGAGATAGACATTCACTGGCACTTGGGGATCCTAATTCGGTCTGGTGGTATTTGAGGGGACCCTGCACATACCGTCGCTAGACCACAGCTTCACGGCAGCGTTTGTTGTGCAGCCCATCAAGCCATGGCGGGGGGCAAAAGTGACCAGGCAGGATCGTGGGCAGGGTTGGGGAACCCCGTGGGCATTCCCCCGGAACCAACCGACACTGGGCCGATTCAGAACGGGAAGTTGCAAGCCCAGTCCACAGTGAGCAGGGCATGATGCAACTTAGACCCTCGCACAGGATTATAAAACCGGCTAGTACCCCTGGTCTTGGTTTGTTGTTCTTGGTTTTTCACCGGTCCCCTTTTGTTTCCCCTCTTCTTTCCTGCAACCTTTTGTTCTGACCGACAACACCCTTTGCTTCCTTCTCACACTGACGATTGTGTCATACCTCTGGTTGTTTATCACTCTCACTGTACATCCCATCATACAGTCTAGCATTCACAGTCGCTATGGCTGATGGGTTTGTTGACGCCTCGCGCGTCGAGGCCCCAGTCACCATCAAGACGTACTTGATGTGTGCTTTTGCCGCCTTTGGTGGTATCTTCTTTGGTTATGACTCCGGTTATATTAACGGCGTTATGGGAATGAGGTACTTTATCGAGGAGTTCGAGGGCTTGGTGAGTTTTCTCTTTGGGTTTCCTGAGTTTTCTCGAGTCAGTAACTGATGTAGCTAGGATTATGCGACCACTCCTGCCGATTCCTTCGTCATCCCATCTTGGAGAAAGTCGTTGATCACATCCATCCTGTCGGCGGGAACATTCTTTGGTGCTCTTATTGCTGGTGACCTGGCAGACTGGTTTGGTCGTCGTACTACCATCATCAGTGGCTGTGTCGTCTTCATCGTCGGTGTTGTCCTGCAGACCGCTTCGACATCACTGGGATTGCTTGTCGCCGGACGTTTGATCGCGGGTTTTGGTGTTGGCTTTGTGTCTGCCATCATCATCCTGTACATGTCCGAGATTGCCCCTCGCAAGGTTCGTGGTGCCATCGTCTCGGGGTACCAGTTCTGCATCACCATCGGTCTGATGTTGGCCTCTTGCGTCGACTACGGCACCCAGAACCGCACCGACTCGGGCTCCTACCGCATCCCAATCGCTCTTCAGATTGCCTGGGCACTAATCTTGGGTACTGGTCTGTTATTCCTGCCAGAGTCTCCTCGTTTCTTCGTCCGAAAGGGCGAACTGGGCAAGGCTGCCAAAGTCCTCGGTCGTGTTCGTGGTCAGCCACATGACTCGGAATATATCAAGGATGAGCTGGCTGAGATTGTTGCGAACCACCAGTATGAGATGCAGGTGATCCCGGAGGGTGGATATTTTGTCAGCTGGATGAATTGTTTCCGTGGCAGCCTTTTCTCTCCCAACAGCAACCTCCGTCGTACTGTCCTGGGGACCTCCCTGCAGATGATGCAACAGTAAGTCTTTCCAGAAATCTCGGCATCCCATCTGTACATTGATAACGTGCTTTAGGTGGACCGGTGTCAACTTTGTCTTCTATTTCGGAACGACCTTCTTCCAGTCGGTGAGTAAACCGCTCGTAATCGAGGTGGCATGCTGACGGATACAGCTCGGAACCATCAGCGACCCCTTCCTCATTAGCATGATCACAACCATCGTCAACGTCTGCTCGACTCCTGTCTCGTTCTACACGATCGAGAAGTTTGGTCGACGCTCCCTCCTTCTGTGGGGCGCCCTTGGCATGGTCATCTGCCAGTTCATCGTCGCCATCGTCGGAACTGTAGATGGCGGTAACAATCGTGCTGTCAGCGCGGAGATCTCCTTCATCTGCATTTACATCTTCTTCTTTGCCAGCACATGGGGCCCCGGTGCCTGGGTTGTGATTGGCGAGATCTTTCCCTTGCCTATTCGGTCGCGTGGTGTGGCTCTGTCGACGGCGTCGAACTGGCTCTGGAACTGCGTAAGTGTCCTCTCTCAGATCGCTGAAACATGCTGACCATGCTTGCCATGCAGATCATCGCCGTCATCACTCCGTACATGGTGGACAAGGACAAGGGAGACCTCAAGGCGAGGGTGTTCTTCATCTGGGGATCGCTGTGTGCCTGCGCCTTTGTCTACACGTACTTCCTGATCCCGGAAACCAAGGGGCTTACCTTGGAACAGGTGGACAAGATGATGGAGGAGACCACGCCTCGAACCTCGGCCAAGTGGGTGCCGCATGGCACCTTTGCGGCCGACATGGGTCTCACCACGCAGGAGGTGACCGAGAAGGCGACGGCTGTGCACCAGGAGGTGTAATTGGAAGCTGTACTCTGTACCAACTTCTGCTTCGTTTCGACGATGATGAGTGGCACTGTTTGTCCATGGTTATGCGCAGTCGCCATGGTACTTATCTAGTTTGCCTTGTGCCTTGCTTTACTTGAATGATAGCTAATTAATGATGCATGAGAATATGACCTCGTGTTTTTGCTGTATTCTTTCTTTTGTCGGCCGACGCCCGGGCCGAACTCGGGAGGCTGCATAACTCGGGCAAAGTCCGCATGCTGCGCCAAGGAGGATGAGAAGCGTTCATATGGCTAGAGCAGACAGATCATATCACCATATTGCGTGTCACAGCTCCGCCGTAGTAATGTAGTATTGGCCATATGGATAGAAAACTAGCATATCCTTCAGGTCATTGACAGTCGCGGCATTCGGAAGCACAAAACAAAGAATGCCGGCAGGGATCCGGAGGTTCCGCCCCGCCAAGCCACGCCGCGGCGGAGGCCTACGTATGCCGCCGCTGATCGGCATCGCGAAGGCCTCCCACCTCCCCGCCGTTGCGATGCGTCGCAACGCGTCCGTTTTAGCCCGACATAATCCCACGAATCACTCCCTGCTCTTTAGTCAGGGTATCGACTGCCAAGCCGCCGGTTGTTTGTGGGTGATGAGCCTAATTGTGATGAGGTGGACGACCCCACGGCCTTGCAGGGACAGCGCTTCATGACAGGCCCTTGGTCCCTGATTCGGGGTCTTTGTCCCTTGATCGGGTGGCTTCTATCATCTGGATGGGTCAAGTGATGACGTGCTTTTGCTTCTCCGTTTTTCAGACTTGGAGGGGGGGCTATAGGGGTAGAGTGCAGGTTGATGAGCTGGGTGAGTGAGAACAATGTGAAAGATTCTGCCTAGAGTAGCGCTGATATTGAGATATCTTGATAGGAGATTTATGCCTATCGTGTGGCTAGGTAGTGATTCCGATCGACATGTTGAATGCAGTGAGCAAACTCCACGTTCGAAAACCATATTATGGGAAATGCACATTCGCTGGATGAAGTCCACGCACGCCAGATATCTTCCCCATCCAAACTAATAATACCCCAAACACCGACGAGATATTCGATACAGCATAAACATAATCGTTGATCATATCGGCCAATGAAAGATCTGTTCGAGATCTCGGGCCTTGAAACCGCGTGTCCCTACTCCTGTTTGCCAAGTCCTTGCTGGGCTGGCATCTGGATTCGGCCCCGCGGACAGCTTATGCACTATGCAGTAGGCAGAGACTTACCCCAATAACGGGTTTGGGTGGGATGGAAGTGCCGTGATGCCAAGATGCTGCAGGTCCTGCAGGTTGGATGATTAAGCGGAAGATCCACCCTGTGGAGTCGAGATCAGCCTGAACCGTGGCTGGTAGCGAGAGTTGGAGTTAGATCTGGTATTGGGTGTAGGTGCTGCAGGGGTTATTTGGCGGTTTACTGGTGGTGCATGAATCTTGTTTGTGGGATGTGGTGTGGGAAGGGCATCAATAGGCAATGCGCAGTGAAGCATCTGATTCTGCCTGAGGTCTGGGAATATCTGATATAATAGTTTTGGGGTTTTAGCTAATGACTACTGTGAGGGCAGCTAGAGAATCTAGAAGCTTCAAAGACCCATCGAGCCACTCGACTATCGAGAATCGAGATAGCCTACCCCAACCACCCTGAACTAAACCTAAAACACTACGGACCTGACAACCCCCATTTATGCATCAGTCAGTCACACCTTGCCATTCAACCAGTGCTTAGCAGTCTTTTCTCATCAAGTGGATGCCGGGCCGCGTCGCCAGCGACGATCCTGCCCTACCCATCACGGGTCTGGCCCCAGCACGATGTAAAGTTGGAAGCATTCGAGGCATCAGAGCCCTTGGCAGGAGGAGCTGAGCAATGTCCGCGGTTTCATTTGACAGCTTTCTCCATGGTTGCGTCAGCTGGATAGCATCATATTCAGTGACATGGGTATCCGAGAGAAGATATAAAGGGCCTCTGCCCGGATGAATCTTATTTTTCAACAACATTCATCAGCTCATCACTCTCCTTCCAACCAAGTCACATCTATCAAGATGGTTCAGCTTACCACCCTCATCACCGGACTTGCCGGTCTTGCCAGCGTCGTCTCGGCGCATCCCGGCCACGACCACAAGGCCGAAGCTGCTGAGCGCGCTGCCTTCCTGAAGCGTGCACCTCGCAGCCTGAGTGACTGCTCTGCTCAGCTGAAGGCCCGGGGCCTCGAGAGGCAGAACATTGCTCGTCGTGAGCAGGCTGTCAATGACCTTCGCCGGAAGAGGGGATTGCAGACCCGTATGCTCCCATCCAGACCTGAAGAATCATGAGCTGACAGATCAGACGCTCCCCTCCTGAGAGCCCGCGACCTTGATACCATCCTCAACACCACCCACCACTCGTCTCTGAACGTGGACCTCGACACTGACCCGAGCGTTCTGTTTGCCTCCAATGCCAGCTGTATTCTTGGCCCGGATGTGACCCAGGGTCCTTATTGTATGCTTCATACCCTGTATGAATTCTCAGATACTAACCAATGTGGCAGACGTAACTGGCGAGCTTATCCGCAGCGACATCACCGAGAGCCAGGAGGGCGTGCCCCTTTACCTTGATGTCCAGCTCATTGACACCAGCACTTGCGAGCCTGTCCCTGAGGTGTACATTGATATCTGGCACTGCAACGCTACTGTACGTCTCCACCTGATTCCATTACCACAATATTGAATGCTCACAATATGTAGGGTGTCTACTCTGGCGTTGCTGCCTCTGGCAATGGCGACTCCTCCGACACCTCCAACCTGGACGCAACCTTCCTCCGCGGTATCCAGCAAACCGACTCCGAGGGTGTTGCGCAATTCACCTCCATCTTCCCCGGCCACTACACCAGTCGTGCGACTCACATTCACGGTACATGCCCTCTTTCAAACTTTCTACGCTCTGTACTAACAGGAATAGTCCTCTCCCACACCCCCAACGACACCACCGTCCTCGCCAACAACACCCTCTCCGGTCTCTACACTGCCCACGCCAACCACGTCGGTCAGCTCTTCTTCGACCAGGACCTGATCAGCAAGGTCGAGGAGACCAGCCCCTACAACACCAACACCCAGGACCTGACCGAGAACGCCGACGACTCCATTCTGTCCGAGGAGGCCGACACCATTGACCCCTTCGTCGAGTATGTGCTCCTTGGTGACGACCTCAGCGACGGTATCTTCGGATGGATTGCTCTGGGAGTGGATGTGGATGAGGACAGTGAGATCACTCCTGCTGCCGAGTACACAGCCGACGGAGGTGTTGAGAATGACTCTAGTTCTGGAATGGGTGGCGGCTCTGGTGGCATGGGTGGTGGTTCCGGCCCTGGTGGTGCGGCCCTAGTGCTTCTGCTTGAGTTGCTGGTGATTGTTGATGTTGAGATATTTTGAGTTGTTTTGCCTTGTCATTTGTTGTTCGTGATTCTAGGTAGTAGTGATAGGATGTTAATCGATGCATATATTGCTCAGGTGATGATGATAGCTGATCAGAGAGATAATTAGTATCAACTTTGTTAACACTGCGTAATTCAGGAAAGAGAAAAATACACATGAGGTCTCTGGTTCTCTGTCTACTCCTTCATGACCTTGTTATGACCATCCATCTTCCACCTCACACCCCCAAAATGCCATCCTCCACAAACGCCACCAAGCCAACCCCCCTAACCAAGATCCACTACCTTCACCAATCCTCCTTCTTCACTCCCCACCTATAAACCCTAATTGTGATTGACTTGGGATATTGTTGAGGGAAACAAAGACTTGGGTAGGAGATCCCGGTTTTCAGAGCGAGTCATCCGGACAGCCGACGCATATCAAATCGAATTTGCAGGCCGGGACAACACAGAATGCTACACCTTCATATCAAATATCCTGCTACATGAGCCAGTGGGCAATGAACTGGGTAGATATACAGGGTGATACCAATTCACCCTAGTCACTTGTCTGGACTAGATCCGCACTTGAGTCTTCTCCCAGATGCATTTTCTCGCTCTCCCTATGATATCCGATCACAGGACAACATTTCAGGTTCTATCTTTGTATTATCCCCCTCTACTAGAACTGGTCTCTCTTCTTTTCACACCAGAATCGTGCAGTCATACATAGTTTGTCTGAGGAAAACGTCATTTGTGAAGAGACAATTCCCATTATTGCAGAAAAAACAACAGAATCGCCCTTTATAAACTTATCCCCCTCTCCTTTTATCCTCATCAAAACACCAACCCTAACACATCACCAAAATGGCACCCCCTCCTCCACCTATCGACCGCCCCCCAGCATCCCTCCTCACCACCCACAACTTCAACAACCTCAGCCATCTCAGCAATCTGCTCCGTCTCGTCCCCGATCCCTTCAAGCCCTATATCCTCGTCACCGACGTCCCCGAAAGCATACCCGACGCCTTGGCCGATGCCTGCTTTTATCCCCCGGGGCGAAGAAGTCAGTGGCCTAGCGTGGTGGTATTGACTGGGTATCTGGCTGAGAGAAAGTATCTTAGGAATGAGGCGCGGTGGTGGTTGAAAGAATCAAGGACTGATGTGGGTAAGGTGCTTTTGATCTGTCTGGGGAGACGTAGGATTTGGATGGAGCAGTGGACGTCGGGTGATTATGTGAAACATATGGAGGTTTTCAGAGGGGAAGACGGGGTTGATGTTCGAGGGGATCAAAGGCTGAGTTTGAGGTTCAGGGATTTGTTTCTGGAACCTAGGGCTGTGAGGTCGAGGACTAAAATAAACTTTGATGGTTCGTTTATGGTGGATATGGCTACTTGTGTTTGGAATTGTGAGTGGCCGGATGTATTGTTGGATTGATATTTTTTGCAGGGGTGATATCGGGTCCTATCGAATGGTTTCAGTATGTTTGTTGATGGAATTTAATTGTGGGTCATACTCATCTCACCATGCTTTCTGTTTTTCAATACATAGTAATACCACGTTCTTTGTATGACCAATTCTTTGATCCGGCATAGAGAAAATATTACAATGAATAAAGCATTCAACCCGGAAGATAGCCGAAACAGCCCTAAAGCTCACAGACAGCAGATGACATGAAAGGTCATCTGATAAAGAAAGTCTCCTAACATCAAAGGCTACAACCTACCACTGCTGGTGAGACTTCCCACCTTGTCTAATCGCCCGCAGGGAGACTTCTAGAAACATTGTATCCCCATCGGAGTGAACCTATATCGGCACAGTATTAAACTCGACATTGCCCTTCTACCCAAACACTCCATATAATGATGATTGTTATCCAAGCTGTAACCCTCATCTCACCCTCCTCTTCCCTTTCTACGCCCAACAATAACCCCCTAGAAGAGACCCTTCTGATGGATATATCCTCATTGACCACCCCAATAATAGAAGTCGGGAAGTATCCGACAAAGCCTTTGTCATGATCTCAACCAACCAGACCTCCGGGACACACCATTTGCTGTTATCGGACAACTCCTTACAGCAATCAATCCCGATATGTTTTCAATATGTATGATGTATCCCCTACTCCCATCCTTTAAAGATATTAAACCATACAGCCCAACTCCACGATCATCAAACGCATCAGTCAATTCATATTCATCACTTACACACCACCAACCATGCCCCCACCCCGCCCCCGCATCTACACTCTTTCCCCCAGCACCACCCACCGCCTAGGCACCCACCCCCAATCCATCGCCCCCATCATCCGTTCCGAACTCACCAAACCCACTCCATCCCCATACATCGTCTTCAGCCACGTCCCCCCCACCTTCATCGACAAATCCAAACACAACCCCCACAAACACCTCGGCACGCCCTCCACAAGAATCACCTACGACGAAGTCTCCCGCATCCTGATCGTCAAGATCCCCTCCCCGCTACACACAAGAGCCACAGCCGCGTTTACTTACCAGATCCTCGCCTCTTTAGATAATATGGGACTTTTAAGCGAAGTGAATAAACGACGAAGAACAAGAGTTACGGATATGCTGGTATCCAAGGAGCCGGATTCGAGCTTCGCGCGGAGAGATTGTTCGGATGGATGGCCAAGTGTGGTGGTCGAGTGTGGCTGGTGGGGGAGTTTGGGGCATTTGAGGAGGGATGTGGAGATGTGAATTGGGAGGTCGAGGGGGGAGGTAAAGGGGGTTGTTGTTATTGGGGTGGATGGGGAGAAAGGGAGGGAGAGGATTGTGGTGGAGAAGTGGGTGGGGGGTTTGGGGGTGATTGTTCTGTTTTGATGGTGATGGTGATGGTTGGTGGGGTTGAAGATATAGAGTATGTATGGGATCAGGTCTCTTCTGGTCGCCTGATCCAACACACAGCACTGGCCTTTTGCGAGGCGCGTTGACGCTGAGCAATATAGGTCCTGCTGCGGAAAGTCTCCAGCTCCAGGGCTTTCCATAGATTTACAGATTCTGCTTTCTTATTGGTTGTTTCAGAATGGATAGAAGAAGGCTGTAACCACCCATTCTTCTCGGAAACAAACAGTATCTGCATCCACAAATGTAAGATATCTGCGTGTCATGGTGCCGACGTGGGGTGTCGAGGTATCAGGGCGGATCTATTCCTCCATCTTCCCCTATTACTCTACACTGACAAGGATAAAGAGGCTTCAAGATTAGGTCTTAGCACTTCTATCAAATTTACATTTATCTCTAAGCCGAAGATACACGACGCAGTACCTAACAAGATGCTGATCATTCTGTAGCGTAGTTGCGAGGATATACAATCTTACCTAGTCTCTTATCCCACCACAGCCTGGCATTCTTCAGGAGAATATAACTAGCCTTGTGAAGGCAAATTTCTCGCCCGTTGTATCAATTACGGTTGTGTAGTGTAATGGTCATCACTCTGGATTCTGATTCCAGCAATCCCGGTTCGATCCCGGGCACGACCTTTTTCCTTTTTTTTTTTTTTTTACTTTCAAACGTATCGGGCTTGTAGTATAGAAGTGTAAGGCTGTCTACCATTTACCTACATGCTCATGTAAAATCATCATGGTTCCTCGCGGGTCAGTGTTGAATATCATGTTCGACGTCGGGAAGCCCCTTGATCTCAGCCAACGCAGTACATAGGTATCATACTGAGTCATAAAACCTCGCATCTCGTGGACTTTTTTTATCTATTCATGCCTGCTTACTTTTGGACTGGGGGGTCGCATCTCTTATCTACATTGGGCCCACAATGTGGCTATACCACATTCATCCCCAGCCGTGCCTATGTCTTAGCTTATAGTTTACTATATTCAAATCATTCTTCGATCACCACGTGCATTATATCTCACCCAACATAGCGATAGTAATACCAAATCACTGCCGTTTTCCATCTTGAATCCATTTTCAATGATCATCACAGACTTATTGAGATTCACCAAAATCAGAATAACCACGTACACCAAACCAGCCAAAGATAGCTATCATCTTTCAATAAGCAGAGTATATTCTGACAAATCCCCCTTTTCTTGCCTGTGTGCTGGGCTGACTGGACCTGTAGACTTGCTAGGATGAACTGGTTATGTGTTATGGTGTCTAAGTGACGGATTTCGTCTGGTTTTGCACTCCGGAACGTCCCAGTACCGCCGGTCAAAATATCCATATGCTTGGTGCAGTCCTTGTGAAGTTGCCAGAATTTTGAGGTTGGGTAGAAAAGAGAAGGGGGAGAATTGATCGGTATTTGGTTTTCTGTCGGGATCGTTGTTTCTCTCAGTTTTAATGATGGTTTATCTTGTACTGTTGTTGTAAGTAAACTTGGTACCTGACTGATGGTGCTGATTCCTTGATCTTATGACTATGTTGAAGAAACGTTAAACCCAATATATTAGAGGATGCAGGCTGAGTTGGACCATATTTATTCGAACAAACTGTGGTAGTGCTCTTCCAGTGCTGATATATTTGGCTTCGATAAATCCTCTGAAAAGTGTCCAAGTCAAATTCAACTAAGCTGTCTGTCGTCTGTGTATGATCAGATTGTCCTTACCGTTAGACACCGCGCTATGAACATGAACGAGGATAATGATAAGCCGGTAGAGAACCTATATCATTGAGATCTTCTTCACCATGAAGTCTTGGGCTATGCTAACTGTCCAATGTCAGACCCACGTCCTAACTTAACATCCTTTAGTCAAAGACGATAGAGAATAGCTTTTAGTCGTAGATTGATCAGACCTCATCCACCCAGATTCAACAACCACACTTGGCTAATTACGCTCTCAGCCAGCAGGAAGATGCTGGAGAATCCAGCTTGTATCTGGTTTCTCGCACATAACCGACTATATCAACTGCTAATCCATATGCCTTGAGATTGCCGAAATCCGTATATTCAGATAGAGACCCTTTGTTTGGATTCTTGCAATGGGGATATGGACAGGGGCTCAGTTAGATCCATTTTCTGGGATCGCAGAAAGTAAGATGTGTGTTCATTAATTCGACATCCATACTGTAGTAAATGAACTTGTTTCATCGCCAGGGAGGCCGAGCCAATGGACTGATCCGGTGTCTCTGTCTCGTGTCAATCGGGGCCGTTTTCTTCGACTGCTTAACTCTAGATATGTTCCATATCCTAACTGTTTTCTTCTGAATACTGGCTTTTTGTTGGTCGAGAGTCCTAGCATCTCTAATAGAGGGTGAAGGTATATCTGGAAGCAATGGGATATTCTGAGTGGAATTTTTGTCAGGGGGAAGTTGGGGAAGGAAGACTTTCTGGAGACGAGGATTGAGATAAATAGCCAGTTTGGGTGAAGAGAGGAAGATGGTAGGTATTTTGGTGAATCAGCAATTGGATGAATGGTGCTAGAATGAACAGTCATCATGTAAGGAGTATTTGGGTTCACTGTGTGCGGTCATAGTATCGAACACGAGTCAGTGAAGACGTGCACATGTAACTAGCACCTGGGTGAATTATAATCTGATATGTTTATTATAAAGGGACTGGCACATAGTGGTATCATGTCCCTCATGTTATTATCAATGGATGAAAGCTAACATTAAATACTACTTATATTCCTAACAAGGATGTTATGTCTAGAGCATATTCAGTACAGAGATAGTGGTGTATAGGTATCAAATATTCGACTAGAATACCATATGGCTGATAATATTCCACGAAAAGTATCTGTCCCTGGGTTAGGCGATTATCGTTCAAGGCATGAGTATGCCCACTTCCAATGAACAAGTCCATACCTGCAAGCATAGCTCAGTACGAAGGGCCTTTGGCACTTATCCATAATGCCAAACTACGGATTACTCCATCACTGTGTCCAGCACTTCAAGCAAGGTCGGATCCAAACTTGTTGATGAAAACACCTGCTTCGCCGCATCCGGTTCTGACTTTGTAAAGTCAGCTCCCCATGTCTGTATCGCATCCTGCATGGACTCGCCCTGCGACTGTAACGAATGAACTAGAGGAGAGGTTGGGTCGGAACTCATATAATACAAACCCATCTCACCGGTTGCCGTGCGCTCAGACAAAGTGGTCATGGGCGGAAGGCCCTCTAGGTCGAACCCATGAGTACGAGCAATACGATACAGAAAACGCTCGCAGGTGATGAGTGCACGGCGCGAACTGGGGCTCCGTTCGGCGATTGTATGAAGCCAGCGTATACATTTCTTGGAAATCTGGAGGATGACTTCAGGCTCTTCAGCTGTTCCGACGGCGCCTCCGCCGCTGGTTATATGGCCATTCTCGTGAGCCACGTTTATGGGACCAACGCAGAGCTGGATCAGCAAGATAACAAGCGCCTGCATCAGATAATGCACGGTAGTCCACCAATTGGTCATCCTACACATCCACTCCATATCCGGCGGATCAGGGAATAGGGAGACCATGTCCATGGCGGATTGAACGCATATCAGAGCGGTCGCATCCTGGAATAGCGAGCGAGGATAGCGGGCCCCGGTTTCTATCTGAAAGTCGGGACTGGTGATGTACGGACGGTTCAGGATGATCTGGGAGCTGTAAAATCTGAGTGCCAGTGAGATCCTTTCCGGAGATTGTTCCACAATCTGGGGCCGGCCATGAGCATCAGCAAATGTATAATCACCATGAAGGCTTGATAGCCAGGTCTCTAGCTTCCGCTGATACCGCGTGTTAATGGTACCGCTATCCCGGTGGGAGCCAGGTCGGGGATGCTGACTATAAATTGCATTGACCGCTGCATGGGTGATAATGGCCAGATCCGTTATGTAGAAGAAATATAATGCGTTTCCTGGCTCGATAGCTTGCAGCAGTTGGTTTCTTGCCTGCACATCGGATCTGCTGGTGTGAATGGTAAAGACGAGCTGTTTCTTCTGTGTAGAAGAGCCTAGCGGCATGTCGGTGAGAGGATGATCGACTTTCGAGGTTTCATATAGGGCAGGAGCCAGAACACTTGAAAATCGCCAGTCAATGCATGGATCGCGACCGGTCATGACAGAAAGAAGTTGCTCCAGTCCAAAAAGCGCCCACCACATACGAGTACGGATATCTCGCGACGCAGAGTCGACATCATTCCGGTTCTCGCAGGTATTGAGCCCCAAGGCTATCGCACAGCGAATCGACCGTCCTGCCATGTGCCATGCCCTTCATCAACGAGTCAGATGGCGTAATGAACCTGTCCAGCGCACCACAATATGGACGTACCTACTGATCTGGGAGGATGCAAGATGATAGAACGCATATAGCGCCCAAATCTGAACTTGCTGCAAATCAGCATGTTCACCCAGCAAGTTCTCATCAGCGTTAAGGGCCATTGCCCGCGACAGAAAAACACGGTCGTCGATTTCATCTGTCCAGTATTGGTTGTGTATTTGCAGATACTTGGATCCGATAGCAAAGATCAGATTCAGAATCACCAACCATTTTTTCTGAGGGGGCGTCGGGCTGCAGAAGGCATAATCATACTGGGCCCAAAAAAGGCTCTTGTCGAGAAGCGGGAATGACGAATCCACTTTTGCAAAGTAGATGTTGACGAGGTTATCACCGCGTGATCGTGGCGGGAGTGCTTGTAGGTCACCCGGGTTGATTCCGGACAAATTCATATGATCCAGGTGATAGCTGAGCGTGCTCAGTTCCTCCTTGACTCGCGGTTGGAGATTGGTACCCAGAAAGTCGAGGTCATCCACATCGGCACCTAGGTTCTGCAGCCACGCAATTTCCGAGCTCTTTCCGATATAGCCAGTTGCGCGGCGGCGCTCATTTTTATTGATATCTCCCTTGAGCGTTTCGGACTTGTCGGCGGAGCTCGTAGAGGAAGAAGAGGTGATTGACCGGAATCGGGTTTTCTGAAGGGTTGATGCGGATTTCGTCCCAGTCGATGTGAAGCCGTGGTTGCCGCGCGCAACCTGGTCTTTCGCAGTGCGGAACAAGCGATCCAGCTCTGCCCTATCCTGACTGTCGTAGGCGGCCACCATCTGCTCGAGCAACTGACAGGTGATACGCAGGTCATGCTCGATCTGCCGCAGGGCCAATTTCCGACGTCGATCGAGCTCTTCGGAAAACACACACTCGGACTTTGCTTGGATGCATTTTTTGCACGGATAAGACCCTTCACACTAGACGATCGGTCGCATCAGTCTGCTAGGCTACTACGAGCAGAGCGGAAGAGAAGACGCGGGGAAGAAGTAGGCGAGTGAGAGTGTCGAGTTCAACTCACTTTACTTTTCCGTTTCTTACAGGCTTCACACGCCGTCGATCGTTTCTTGATGTGCGGGATAGTGGCTTGTGTGGGCCGCGGGGGATCCCTTGAGGGAGCAGGTGCGAGTGGTTTCAAGTCATGCAGTTGGATCATGGTTTGTGCGGAGTGCAGAGAAAAGGTGGAAGAGAGACTGAGAGACTGAATTGAAGAGGGGGATTTTATCGGCCGGGTGGCGGGGTTGCGAACAATAATACTCCATACTAATATTAGGGAGTGGGTCTGGACCCGGCCCGGCAACTGCCAACTGCCATCTTCCCGTACACAAACTAGATAATCTTCTAGTTGGCCAACTAGTATTACACGCAGGAGTGGGAAACATGCACACAAAATCACCAATGTATTAGCCAACACTATACTATGATGAAGAAGGATGCAATCAACCCGCCGCATAGGTGCTCATTTTCCGCAACGTCTCTCCATATCGCCACAAGAACACCGGCGCCGGTACTCCCAGTCCAATGGCCACAAACGCCAAAACACTATTCCCCCATCCGTAATGCAACGCCTGGTACATGTACGGCGCAAACAACGGAAATCCAAATCCCGCCAACGACCGCATACAAGCCACCGCTGCCAATGCACTGGCTGCGAACCGCGTATACGAGTCGACAATGTACGTTTGCAGACACTGGAACGTGATGATGTTGCCCATCCCGTACATACAGGCTCCGATGTTGGGTGCAATCCAGTGGCGGTGGGTTTGCGCCGTCCAGCCGTAGATGAACAAGCCGGAAGGAATGAAAAGAGCGCCGACGTAGAGAAGGGGCACGCGGAACTCGGGTTTCCCAACACCGTTGTTCCGCGCTTTCAACCGGCGGTAGATGCGATCGTTGAGGGGAGCACAGATCTGTGAGCCGAGCCAGAAGCCCAGTCCTAGCGAGATGTAGTTCAACCCACCGATGCCGGTAGATTCGTTGTAATAGTCGGGGCTGGTCCAGAGGGAGGGAAAGGTCGACAGAACCAGGTACATCGTGCCGTAGATAAAAGCCATGTAGGCAGCCAGAGCCTGGACGATGGGCTGGGTGGCAAGAAGGCGAAAGGGACGGATAAGAGCGCTGCGCATGACCTGTCCCAGGGTCTTGTTCTGCCGCTCGAATTCGGTCTGGTAGTCGGGGTCGTTGGTCTCCTTGCGGAGCTTCTGGGCGCGTTTCTTAAGAATCACGGGAGCGTAGGTTTCCCGCAAGAAGAAAAGCCCGGCCACTTGGATGAGGCCGTCCGCAATCGAGGTCGCGTAGAACACCCAGCGCCACGTCGTGTTTTCGGCAATGAAGCCGCCAGCAATTGGCCCGACGGCCGGCCCAAGTAGAGGTGCAAGACTGTAGATGGCGACACTCTTGCCTCGCTGTTCCGGTTTGAAGCAGTCCGAGAGGACACCGCCACCAATCTGAACCGTCAGACCAAAGCCTCACCAACTACAGGATGAGTACTCACCGCCAGTGGGGCGCTACCGCCCAACCCAGCAAAGAACCGACAGACAATCATCTGCACCTTGGTTTGTGACACGCCACAGCCGATGTTGAAGACCAGGTACAGCAGGTTGGCCAGCTGCAAGACAATCACTCTACCGTAGATCTCGGACAGTGGCCCCAGGAAGAGCGGCCCGACAGCGTAAGCCAGGATGAAAACAGACAGGGTGAGCTGCGAGATGACCTCGTCGGTGATGTGGAAATCGGCGGAAATCGAACTAAGGGCGGGGGCCACCATCGAGGATGACACGGGCGAGATGAAAGTAAAGGAAGAGACCGTCAACACGGCCGCCCATTTCTTCTTCATCGGCCAGTTTTTAGGGTTCTCCGGATCATCGGGTCCGTTCCATTTGACCTAGTCGGTTAGCAGTGATAAAAGATAACGGGGAACAGGCATACCAGTTTCGGGTCTGCTCTGGACTTGTCTGACCGGGCTGTCCGCGACTTTTCCAAGCCCGGTGCAGCAGTCTCCAGATCCCGGTCACGCTCGTTCACGATGCCCCCACGCACTTCGAGCACGGGGTCGACCTTCTCCTCTTGGTCTTCCGATGAAGAGTCCAGGTCCTCCTCATGATCGCTGTGATAGACGGAATGATCGTCCAGATGTCTCCCCGAATGCACCCTATCAACTCGAGTCGTACTGTGTCTGGATCCCGACCTTGTCCGTGTCCTCAACGTCCCCAATCGATATGGTCGCTGGGTCAAGGAGTCATCATCGGAGCTGGAGCGCGACGTCGACCTCGATCTTGTGGATCCGGCTTCCGATGCCGAGTGAACCTTAGCCATAGCCGGAACGTGAATCAGGGCCGGGAAGGGGAGAGTGGAATCGGGTTTCCCACAAGCCAAGCCAAAATGCCCAGGAAAGAGACCAGGTTCCGGGCCTGGGGCAGGCCCCGGTTTATTATATCATCGCAACTGAACCCTGGCTATGGTGACGGCGATAAATGGGCGTTAAACCCGGCAGTGGGTCGCATGTTGAGAATTTGCAGCAAAGCCGGCCGTTATTGGCCATGACAGGAAGCTTGACGGCGTTCCACCAGTCAGCGCGGCTCCACGCTTATCAACCAGTTTACAGGGGTGCCCGGGGGCGGCTGGGCCCGAGTGAGAATAATGCTCGAAACAGGCAACGAGCCCAGTGATGCTGAGTGAAGATGCATTCGGGGGCGATGATTGGCACGAGGCCGGAGCCCGTTGCAAACGAGCTCCGCTCTCGGCTGCTCGGCACGCAGGGTCACGTGTGTCACGTGCAGCGGCCCTGGTCATGTCTTGCATTATTATGCTGGATGCAATGCATCCCTGCCTTGCTCAGGTCCAGCTGCCTGATCCCCAATCGGAGGTCCGCCCAGGTTTTGTGACTCATGGCGGTGATGGATTTTTTTCCGGCTACAGATCTCTCCCGTCGGACATCATACATGGTGGCTACTCGTGTATGAGGCGATGGATGCAACACCGATCGTATTATTATTGGTTCGGTTGAAAATTGACCTGTCCATGTTCTATCTCGCTACCCAGGCTTTATCGCGGCCGTCAGGCACACTTCGGACGTCCGACGGTATCGATCAAGGCACAGCGCACTACCCTGCAACTAGGGTCTACCAGTCAATAACACCCCTTGTTGGCTGGGGTTGACCGCTGGGAGGTCCTCGTATCCGATAAATTCTGGGTAGCGCCTACGGTGGGTCAGGCCGGGCTAAATGATCATCGCAAAAGTCGATTCTTGTTTGCATCAAGTCGCGGTCTGGACAGTTCTTAAACACCGCTCAAGATATTCCTCCACCCGTTTGACGTCGTCCAAGGCAGCCACCGTGCCCACGTATCCATCTGGTCGCACAACTGCCAAAGCCCCCTGGGCAATATCAACCCCGTAGATCTTGTACACGTCGTCCATCTCGTAGCCACTGTAGAAACTCATCTCGGAGTGCTTCTTGAGCTCTGCAGGTATATCACGCCAAGTAAAATCTCTGGGAAGACGAGGGTGAATCACAACCTGCTCAATCACAGAAGGGAACCGTGGTAGCACAAAAGACCCTAGCGTTCTCAATGTCCGGGCAGAGACACCTTTCGGGTCTAACAGATCGGCGGATGTGAGACAGAGGATACGGAATCGACCGGTCGAGAGAAAATCTGCTCCCTGTCAATATTCTCCGCTCTGGGGTGAATCTGCGTCCCAACATACCATCGTGCAAGTGACGTCGGTTGCCATCGGCGTGTCTCCGGTACTGGACGTTCAATAACCGCCTGCCCGGGCGGAGGATACCAGAGAGATAATCATTTCCTTCGACAGGATTCTTCTTGTCCTGACTCAGCGTTTTCTGTACAGTCGGGTTGTCGGGATACTCTATTCCACAGCCGCTAGTAAATCCATTTCCAGTGCTGAACACCTCCAGAAATTGCTCGTGCGTCAGGCTGCCGACCCCATTCTCTGCGCCACCTATCTTTCCAGAGAACATGGATGAAAAGGCACGATCAAACTCGATCAGCTCCTGAGCTATCGTGTGGCGCTCAGTGTGGTACGTATCCAGAACCGCATCGGGCTTCCCTGAGGACGAGTCGGCAGTAAGACCGTGGATTGCATACACCAGTTTCCACGCTAGATTGTAAGAATCCATCATGGATACATTCATTCCTTGACCGGCCTTTTTTCATTTAGTATGCAAAGATTACACAGGATACTTTGGATGCATACCTTGGGACTATGAGTATGGCACGCTGGCAGAGGATGAACGTCAGCGCGCATCGCGAACCAAGGGGGAATACGTACCATCTCCTACGATAAACACCCGATTGATTCCCTTCGAATCTTTTACTGTGAACTTATTCGACACTCGCTGACCGATCTGGTATGCCGCCCACCAATCGACCACACCGGCCTCCTTCGGTCGGATATAGTATGGCTTGAACGCCTCTGCCGCATGTTGGAAGATTCCATCGAGCGTGACCTGGCCCCTACGGGCTCGAGCATCCTTGAGGGTAGTACCATTCGCGGGCTTGTGATTGTCATCCGGGGTAGCCTCCTCCGGGACCTGGACATACAAGCGGGTCAAGTAGTCTCCCGTCGCAATCCGCTCGCGTGGAATCACCATCACAGAACCAGCTGGGGAGTGAATCGCACAGCGTCTTCTGATGTCAGGGAAATCCGTATCAATGACCAGATCGACCACGCCCCAGATATGATCCAACGACTCGCCCACCAAATTCAGTCCCATATCGCGTCGAACCACAGAATGAGCCCCATCTGCGCCTACCAGATGTTTCGATCGGACGGTTCGCTGTTGTCCATCCGTCTCGATTTCCGCCACAACCGGGAATTCTGCATCGCCATCTTCGTCAATTGTTACCTTCAGTAGCCTCGTATTCCGTTGCACGCCTCTTTTTGAATAACGCAGCAGATCCGTCTCAAGTATCCTCTCAATCCGACCCTGGTGAATGGTAATCTCATGACGAAACCGTGCCGGCACGGCAACATCCGGCACAATGGCTGTGCGTTCAATCACCTCATCTGGGTTGGGGGAAGGGTTCCAGAAGGCAACCTCCTCCATGTGGCATCCATCGCTGAGTATCTCATCCACCAATCCCAGTGACTTCAGGACCTCGAGTGTGCGAGGTTGGAGACCATCAGCCTGGCCGGATTTGAGCGTTTCCGGTTTCGCATCCACGCAGAGCAGAGACTCATCGGTCAGGCCATATCTTGCCAGAAGGAGGTTGAGCATGAGTCCGGCGGGACCGGCGCCGACAATGACGACCTCGTACCTCTCGGAGTGACCATCGTGTGGAAAATCCGGGGTGAAACGGGGCAGGGGAGGCGCGAAGGATGGAAGGACGCGAAGTTCGCGTGTGGAGGCCGCGCATTCGGTGAAGACAGGCATGGATTAAGGTTAAGGCGTTTCCTGGGGTAGTTCTGGAGGGCTGGCTGTGTAGTCAGGAGGGTTTATCGATGGCAAAAAACAAGGATGAGGTGAGCCAGAAAGCCGTGGTAGAAGCAGAGTAAAAAGCTTTCATTGGGATCACTACGGGAGAGCTATATAGGGGGAGTAGCACTGAGGAGTATGGAGCACAGTGTAGGATTGTTCTGCCGAGCGGGCATGTTGATTGGCCGCCAGGCGGATAGGGGAGCCTTAGTCCTAAGGAACCCGTTGCGGGGGAGCCTTAAGAGTACTACTAACTACTTGGTACTACTGAGTACTAGTAGCTTGCTGACGGCTGCTTATTTGAATCTCACCAATCGCCCGGATCGTCGCTCGTCATGTCGATCGGACCATGCTCATTGGTCATTGGTTACTGGACGCAAGGACAATGGACGGTTCGCCTACGGCTAATGACTCCGGGGTGTGCTCCAGATCCGCGGAGAAGCCAGGGTCGGCTATTGAATACTTTGGATGCAATATCGTTGGAGATGGAAACTTGGAATGACTTCCGAAAACAAGGGAACTTCCGCCTCCCACGGAACAGCCATTCCAATGACCTCACCCCCGCCACCCCGCAAAGGCTCTGCCCATCTAGACTCCAGCTATTGATCTGGATGCCCAGCAACGAGCCTCACAAACCAAGTATTCCATCCACTTTTTCAGTGGCTTCGGCCGAAAGGACAGAGTAACCACCCAAAGTTGGCCGTTAATTTGGATAAGGTCCACCTTCTGGAATTGTTAGGAGTCCCGAGTGGTGAGTCACTGAGAGGATATACTTTACGACCAATTTCAGGTACTAAGTCTACAAAGAGAATCCATCGATCGTATAGAAAATTGCGCGTCCGAGGACGACAGGAGAAGATCAAAATCGACAATGGCTGAGCAGATAGACGTAGTCAGTGCCATCAGAGGGTCATTTCCGCCCCGCTGGGCCCGCGTGAGGGGGTTCTCCGGCTTGCCCCTAGGCACTCTTAGCCAGCGTCATGGCCACACCATGGCCTTGGAATTGCCACCAAAGTATGGCAGACTAGATAGGCAGTATGGAGTAGTTAGACTCAATCTTGGCTCGAACCGCCGAATCCGTCCCGATCGAGACGGCGAGAATCGAGACGGACACGACTAGGAAGAAGATACCTCAGGTTGGGGGTTTGCCGGTTGCTGTCAGTTGTTAAATTGGTACTTATGGCCTAGCAGCTGCATCTTGCTTGTTCTGTCTGCAACCTCGCCGATCAGTCGGATCGTCCGGATATACGGACTAAAGCCAATCACACCAGCATCATTTCAGGCCACTCCATCTCGCGCAGATCCATAAGCCCCTAAGAGAACAGGTATGTGACGAATAAGAACCGATGGAAGTTTGTTAGCTGATTGGTCGTCACGTTCTTGTTGAGGCGTGCTACAGCTGCAGCTCTACTCAAGGTGATTTCATCGGTTTCAGAAGTCTCCCATCTGGTCCCGAAGGCAAGGTTTCAGTGCCATGCTACCTCGCCGGTTTTTCTGGGCCCGATCTGAAAGGATCGCCGCGACTGAGTGTTGCCCTTGAACCCAGCCTTTTAAGGTATACGAGTCTCACCCCAACGGCCGACACTCCCATCTCGTATTTTCGCATCTACCCCGCATTCGATCATCTACCAACCCCTGACTCAGTCTCAAGCAAAGCAACGCTATCAGCTTCTCAGCCAGTGATCGGGGTTTGGTTATTGCCATCGACATCCCCACACTAACCCGTCGCCTCACGGTTGATACTAAGTGGCGCTCAACTTCGCGCCGATCTTTCCAATCTGGACTCCATAGATTGACAGCCATCGATGTGCCAAGCCGGGGGTTTTCCGAGCTAGGATCAAACAGCTCTCCCAAATGGATGTCTGACCAATCGCTTCCCATCGCTTCCCATCTTGATGCGAACCATTCGAAAAGGTAGGCATAGGCGGAAAGCAGCACGCCCTTGCTCCCCGGGCACTAGTACCCCCGCTTCTATTGGGAGGCCCTAAACTCCCTATGATAGGTATGTGGTAGGGTATAACGGAGTCTCTTTGCGCTCAACCGGTGCTTTCACTAACGGTGACATCCTGTGCAGCACGAGGATCATAGACGGCCGAAAAGGCCATTTTTGTCCAACACTTTAGCAACTGCGCACCATATATAGCGCGTCCACCCCTCGCATTCGGCTTGCGCCTTTCTTTCGGACACACATTACATACATTATGAACCGCTTAGCGCAGCTGTTTGTTGCTAGCGCTGCGAAGTCCCCTGGGCAACCTGCCGACTCATGGATCGTGGAAGAGCGCTCAGTTGATGAAGCCAGGCCGTTGAGAGTGGTCATCATCGGCTCTGGAATCTCTGGTATCATCGCATCCATTCGGTTCAGGCAACGCATCCCCAACTTGGATCTTTGCGTATACGAGAAAAATGTAGACATTGGAGGGACTTGGTTGGAGAACAGATACCCCGGATGTGCATGTGGCAAGTGTTGCTTCTCGTTCTGCTCTGGTGGTACCGTGACTGACTCAGCTGGGCTATAGATATCCCTGCTCACACCTACCAGGCCACCTTTGAGCCCAACAAAGAGTGGTCCGCCTTCTATGCCACAGCCCCAGAAATCCACAGGTATTGGGGGCGCGTGGTGGACAAATACGGCTGCAATAGATATATCAAGTTCAAGCAGCAAGTGGTCGAAGCCGTGTGGAAGGAAAAGGATAGCAAATGGATACTGCAGGTCAGAAGCATCGATAAAGGCATTGAGACATAACAGCTAATCCCCCATGTCGACATGAAGGTCAAGGACCTACACAGTGGCTCGGTCTATGCAGACCAATGCGACGTGTTGATCTCCGCCACCGGCTTCTTGAATAACTGGAAATGGCCGGACATTCCGGGGCTTCATGATTTCCAAGGGATGCTGATGCACAGTGCTAGGTGGGATAAGAGTTTTGACTACAGCGTATGCCATCCGTCAAGAGAACCCCAAGCACGTAGTAACATTCAGTAGAACAAGAGGGTTGCTGTGATTGGCAACGGTTCGAGCGGAGTTCAAATTGTGCCCGGAATGCTGCCAAAAGTAGCACGCATGGACCACTATGTCAGGAATCGAACATGGATCGCACCCACCTTTGCTCGGGCTGAACTCGATAGACGTGGGGTCAAGTCGGACAATTGTAAGATTATTGAACATGGGAATATAGGGACGAGCTGATCGGATGACCGCAGTCTCATTTACCCCTGAAGAGCTCGAGACCTTCAACAAAGACCACAATGCTTACCAGAAATTCCGCAAAGGTAGGCTAACCCATTCATCATCTAGTCGCTTGCGCTCATAGAGTTAGACATCGAGTTGCAGCTGCAGTCTATTCACGGTGCAACCTTGCTAGGCACACCAGAACAGCTCGGTGCGAAAGAGGCTTTTACGCAGGATATGAGACGGCGCTTATCAAGTAAGCCGGAATTATTTGAGGAGCTTGTGCCATCATTCCCGCCCGTTTGTCGCCGGCTTACGCCCGGTCCTGGGTACCTGGAGGCCCTGACGGATGAGAAGATCGACATCATCACCAGCGAAATCGTTCGGATTGATGCAGACGGCATCATCACGGCAGATGGAACACATCATCCAACTGACGTTTTGGTCTGTGCCACCGGATTCGACACCACGTTCACCCCTCGATTCCCCATCACTGGGTGCAACGGCCTCTCGTTGGCGGAGCGGTGGAAGAAGACGCCGGAATCGTACCTCTCGATCGCAGTTGATGAATTCCCGAACTATTTTATCTGCTTTGGGCCCAACTCGGCCCTTGGCGAGGGCAATCTGTTGCTTTTGCTTGAGAGAGTAATCGACTATTTCACCTCATGTGTCCAGAAGATGCAGCGTGATAACATCCGCTCCATGTCCGTCCAGAAGGATGCCGTGGAAAGGTTCACCCGTTACTGCGACCAGTATTTCTCCCGCACAGTATACAGTGAGCAATGCCGTAGCTGGTATAAGGGAGGCGAGAAAGACGGGCGGGTGATCGGAGTGTGGCCCGGCTCGTCGCTCCACTCGCTCCGAGTGCTGTCTCAACCCCGCTGGGAGGATTTCAGGTACGAGTATGTCGGGGACAACGCGAATGGCTGGATTGGGAATGGCTGGACGGAGAATGAGAAGAACAATGATATCAATGTCGACTACCTGGATGATGACCAAGTGGACTTTCCCTGGGCGGTGTTTGAACCGTTGAAGAACTAGAGACTAGAATCAAATGAAACACGTCAACACGATGTGACTCGAGCGTAAACTAAGAATCATACAAACGGGATCCGTCGCGTCATTTGGTATTGGGTAAATAAAAGAGGATTTGTTCCTGGGCTGGAACAAAAGAGGTCGTACTGGGTACTTTCGGAAGTGACTGCCGAGTATGCATGCTGCCTCGTCTTGGGGATGCACTGGGAGGTACAGGTACCTTTAGTGATGGCCGCCCCCGCCTTCAATACCGGCGTGTATGTCGCAATACCTGGCGGTACGGAATCAAGCTGGATTTGCTGCCGCACCGTCCATGGAAGGGGTTCTCTGCCAGGAAAGCCTTTGGATTTTGAGTTCGGATTAAGATCATTAGTATTCGCTATTATTATGGAGACGATTTCTCCACATCCCAGCTGTCAATTGTCAACAGTGTGTCACCTTTTTCCCCCTCCCCCCTTTCCATTCGGTGGGATCGGTCGCGAATCACGATAACTTCACGTCTTCCCTTCCCGTGCCAACTATCCCAGCTGGAGCAGGGGCAATCCTCCTGGCCCATCTATCTGGGGTTTATTGGGGCGAGCCGATCGCGTTGCTGCTGCCTGTCGCGGCGAACCCGTTTTTAGACTAACGATAACCTGATCCTCGCCCGTTTTCCAGCCTTCTCCCCGATGCGCGTCCTCCTCCCCTGACCATGAAGGCTGCCAGCAAGCATTTCTGCTGCACCATCTGTCAGCGGGGTTTCACCCGCATTGACCATCTGAAACGACACCATCTCCGCCGTATGTTCAATGTTCCCTGCGTCTCGGCCCGCTCCTGCCTGCGGCCTGCCCCATCCTCCAATGCTGTTGTTCGCTGACATGGAAATTGTCCGTCAGACTCCGGCGTCAGACCTTACTCTTGTGTCTTCTGCAATGAATCCTTCGCCCGTTGGTCCGTCTCTTTCTTTTCCTCCTTTCTCGCCGTTGGTTTCCGACCGACCCAATGTGCAGGCCACGTTTTCCTCCCTGTAACGACAATGCTGATCCGTTCGCTCATCCTATAGTGATAACCTCCGCGATCATTACTCGGACTGCGCCAAGCGCGGGGATCAAAAGATTCCCGAGACAGGGCAGAGAGGCCGAAGGCGACATGCCTGTCAATCAGCAAGTCCACGCCATCGTCCCTACCTACAACTAGCAGCATGGTCGCTAACCAATCTGTTCATTTCCAGTGCACATCGATGAAGCTTCGGTGCGACGGGCTAAGCCCCTGCAGCTCATGCCGGAAGAGGAATTTGCACTGTAATAATGACCGCAAGAAGTCGGCTGACACCCTGGAGCTGGACTCGGGCTCGACTCCCCCTACGAAGCGTGAAGATTACGCGTCGTCGTCGTCAGATCGCGGATCGATCAAGTTTCTCCTCAACGGTGGTACCGACAGTTTTACAGAAGAGTTCCTCCTACCTCCTGGCAGCGATCGCGCCCGCGGCCGTGAGTATCAAAACCAGAAGGGGCTGCAAGAAGTCGGTCGCACGATGCTAGGCTACCGTGTGGGGAACAATCAAGCAGATTGTGCGCCAGCTTTTGTCGAATCCGACCCTGCGGCCCTTTCTTTTTTCCAAGATACGTTCCTGGATTTCTTCAATGGCCCTTTTGGGAATGTGCCCAAGATAGTCGAGACTCCATTCGCAGGTCAGCCCTACCTGTCTGCGGTCGTTCCTCCTGTACAAGACCCCAACCTCGCACTCGCTGCGCAGCAACCATATGAACCGGAGGAGCCATTCGCGACCGGGCTCTATCAGGCCATCTTGGCACGAGCATGGTCGATCCCACTCGATGCCAGGGCACAAGAACGATTGTCGACGGATCTCAGCTTTCTGCTCACGCCCTCGCGTATCCGCAAGTTTGTGTCAATGTATTTGAAATACTGGCAGCCGAGTTGCGCCATGGTCCACCTGGCTTCACTGAATTTAGACACGGTTGCCTTGCCGTTGCTTGCAGGCCTGGTATTTATGGGCGCCATGTACTCCTCTGATGAGCAGGAGACGAATGCCGCAAAACGGCTGCTGGACATTATAGAACTCTACATCTTCTCCAGCGAAACATATTCCGCTGAGACCGAAGTGGCGTCAACATTCTGCGGACGGCGGCCCTTTGATAATGGAACTAATGACTGGGTTCAGTTCCAAAACTTCCAGGCCGGCTTCATAATAGTCATAGTGCAGTACTGGTCGGGAAGCCATGGGTCGCACAATCGAGCGATGGAAAACCGCTTCAGCGAAGTCATCAAGGTATGCCTATGGAAATCAATGATAGTACATCACTGACATGATAGGTCGCACGTCGAATGGGTCTCCCAAAGTCCCGCCATCAACAGCGCCATGTGACTCCAGAGTATCAATGGATCCAGACCGAGTGTCGCATTCGGTATGTTCCACCGTTCTTGTGGCTGCTGGCTGCTGGCTGCCTGGCTGACCGTCACAGTACGATGAACATCATTCTCCTTCTTGACTGCGCGTTTTCATTCTTCCAGAACTACCCTTGTCGTCTAACCCACACTGAAGTCGAATGCGATTTCCCCTGCGCCGAGTCACTCTTCGCTCTCGAGCACCCATACACTGACCTCAGCTTCCAACCCTCACGGGGAATTACTATATCAGAAGCGTTTCATAATTTATTTGAAGACGAGCCCAAGGACACGATGCCTTCAACACCGGACTCGACAACTTCTGGCAGTATGGCAAGCATGACAGTGCTCGACATGTTTATCCTGATCCATGGTACTGGCAGCCCAATTGGTAGTACATCATCTAAACTAACCTGGCTTAGTGCTGTACACCTTCATCAACTCGCACATGACCCTTCTGGGTCCTATCATCCGCAAGGCCCAGCTCTCCCAACCTAAGCACCTCTTCAGCTTTGATCCTCCAGAGAAGGGACGCGCTCGAGCGATTCCAGAGGATTCCATGCTAGGTGGTATTCGGGCGGCGCTATCACGATGGCGCGAGCATTGGGTGACCCTGCGCAACACGGTCTCACGAAGCGAATGGGCCTCGATGGGCTTCTTCAAGAACGGCTATAATTTCTGGCTAGTGTCGCAGCTGCTTATAACGAAGAAGGAGAGTCTGGATGTGGTTATGCAGATGGAGGTCAAGTGTGAGGATAAGTTGGAAAAGTTGAAGGTTCTGCTGCTGGATGAGAACGATTGACATGTATTGCACAAACTTCTCTCCTTGATATGGATGATAATGTGACATACGGTAGGTACATATCTTTATTTCATGCCTGGTGTCTGGAGCAAGGTGTCTGGAGCAAAGTTTGAGGTGGGAAACACCCAGTGATTGTTCATAGCCCAATGTATCACACCTGCAATGTACTTATATCAGCACACAAGAGATTTATTATTCTGTTCCTATAGCCAATGTTCTAGATTCCGGGTTGATTTACATGCGAGCTGCACGCCCTCTACCTGCTTCATTAAAACCACCCTCTCCGACCTGCATAACTGACTCATCTTCTACACATCCTTCCATAATAAAATATGCAAATACCAAAAGCGGTACAATTCTGCCCATCACATGCCTCACCACCATCTGACGCTGATCTCATCGCCCGAGCTACCACACCAGCTCTCCAGTCCCCATCTCCCCGGGACCAAGCGTCCAACCCACCACCACGATGCCCGACTCGCCACCCAGGCGACGACGCTCGCGCTCGCGCTCGCGCTCCCCGCGCCGCCAACCCCCCAAAAACCAAGGCGGATTCCGATGGAAAGAAAAGCGCGCCCCGAGAGAAGACGACGCCGATCGCGCCCTCGATCGCGGGTATCGTGCTCGCTCGCCCCGACGACCCTATGATCGTGATGATCGCGACCGCGATCACGACCGCAGACCCCGCCGCGATTACTCCCCCGATAGACCCAGAGACAGGGAAAGGGACAGGTATCGCGATGGCGACAGACCCCGGGACCAAGACCGCGACCGCGCACCCAAGAAAGACACCGGCGAGATCAAAGAGAAGAAAGAGAAGAAGGAAAAGAAGTCAAAGAAGCTCCGACCCGCCAGCACAGAGGAAATGATGATTGTTACGGTTAATGATCGATTGGGGAGTAAGGCGACGGTGCCTTGTCTTCCGTCGGATACGATTGGGGATTTGAAGGTGTTGGTGGCGGCGCAGATTGGACGTGCACCGAGGGAGATTATGTTGAAACGTCAGGGGGAGAGACCGTTTAAGGATTTCATTACCTTGGGGGATTATAGTATTCAGAATGGGGTGCAGTTGGATTTGGAGATTGGGACCGGGGATTAGGGTGGTTTTTCGGGTGTTGAGATTGAGATTGGGCTTTGTGGATAAGAATTGGGATTTTCGGGTGGTTTTAGGAGGGGATCGGTTCGGTATGAGGAACTAATACTGGAATGTTATTTTGTTTTGCTTCGGTCTAGGGCAAACATTCATCTCTTCGGAGTGTCATTGCTGGTTCTTGGTTGTTATCAGGATACTGAAGTCATGGGACGATTACAGCTATGACACTTCGGACAATGCAGCACTCGTGGCATCGCAACTTGGGAAAGCTCTCAACTGCACGATGTCCCTGACACACCCAATATCATCCCAGTCCAGTCCAAATCAGCCTGGGCTATGACATGCCCACCCAGCGCCTTTGATCTTGACGATAGCAGTGTGTACTGCGCGATACTTTGAGGACTGGATTTTCATCAGCTGTGCTCACATGGGCACCATTTGTGAACACTGTGCACGTTATCACCTCCGTCATAGCCATCCAAGAACAAGTCAATCGGTCAATAATCGTGTCATGTAGACAGTCCCTTCTATCTCAAACTGGCTAAAACTCACAACCTTTTCATACACCCCACGTTCCTTATAAAGACCGTTATTTCTAGAAACTAATACGCAAAGATGCAATATTTACAGCTCCCCTCCCCGTCTTTCCCAGAAAGATACCCTCCCAAGCCCTAGCACAGCAAAGGAACCACCACCAACGCAACCACCCATCCAAAAGGCATCCAAACCCTCGAAGCCCCAGAAGTCGAAGTCGAGGTCGACTCAGACCCCGAAGAAGCCGTACTCGACGACGTCGACGTCGCACTTCCCGACGCACTACCAGACGAGCCCTTATTCCCCCCCTCATTAACCACCGTAAAAGTCTCCGAATACAACACACTACTCGGATCCTCGGTATCCACAATCGCAAACTTATAATCATTCCCAGACTTCACACTACTCGCAAGAATACACGCCACATCGCCCGAGTTAGCAATATCCGTCGTGATAGTAGTGACATTCGTTAAATCCGACGTCCCGGACCCCTCCATAAGGTAAATGCTGACATTTGTGACATTGCTGTCTACTTTCCAGGTGATGATGGTTGTTTGGCCGGTTTTGACCTCTTCGCCTTCGGTGGGGTAGTATGTTGTGGAGGCGTTGGAGGCGGAGATGGTGAATGCGGAGGATTTGTATTCTGTGCAGTCGCTGTCGGAGGAGGGCTGTAGGACGACGATGTAGTTGGTGCCGGTTGTGATGCTGGAGGGTGGGGCCCAGGAGATGGAGCCGGAGTTGGAGATGTTGGAGGCGATGGTAAAGAGGGAGGTTGAGTTGGTGGTGGTTTCGAGGAAGAAGGAAACTTTGTCGGAGTTAGGCTCGGTCGTGTTCCATTTGATGACGGTGGCTGTGCCTAGGGAGACGATGGCGCCTTGGGTGGGCTCGACGATGGAGTAGGCGGGTGTGGCGGCGTTGGCTGTGGTGGTTAGGAGGAGGGCTTTTAGGAGAGATGTTGGATGCATGGTTGAGTTGGTAGAGTAACGAGTGACGAGTGACGATGGTTATAGGAGGCTGAGGTCAATAATGAATGAATAGAGTGAGAATTGTATGTCAGAATTATTTGGTCTTCATTTTGAATCCTAGACTTATTGCATTCCTCGTGTTGCCTAGTCGTCGGCTATAGTATTATCCAGGTGGCTTTTGGCATGTACGCTTGTGTCTTTTCACCGCAAGTGGATTATTTATAGCTAGGCAGCAACCGAGATGGGGCCATTGTGTCATCTGATAGGATGTGTGAAATAAAAGGGAAAATAAAAGTCCCTGGCGTGGTGACGGTGCAATCAGGGATATCTGCGTATAGTGCCCCTGCTATATGATTATCCACTTCCGCCACGAATGCTTTCCGGTTTGGGGACAATAGGATAGAACTCCACAGGAGATGCACGGTTGAACAGCTTTGATCTGATTAAATTCCTGGATTGGTCATATAGCGAGCGCGTAGTGTTCAACAGCGGGGTGAAGTGGAAGGATAGCGGCAGCAGGACTGAAGCCATCGAGGTTATGCCATCGACACACCGAGGATCATCTTCTGCATCCAATCATGCACGTCTGCATGTAGAATGAGTATCATCGCCATTCTATGTCGATGTTTTTGACACGATGGTGAGCGTAGTCAGTACCCGTCGTTTAAACGCCCTCTTGGAGAGGTCGGAGTAATTGTCTTTTGTTTGTAAATGCCAGAGAAAATACCTTTGCTTCTAACGCCCTGCCGGTTCTGCCTATGAATTTTTGAATGTCAATTGAAGACTTATCCACAAAATGCTTTAGAATCGGAAATGTCTGAGCATCAACATGCTGGTCGACCCAGGATCTAGTAGGAAGCAGAGGCTAACTCAGCAGAAACCCACCATACTAGTTGTAGCGTACCATGTAAATGTGGGTGGAAGTATCCAAATTGAATCAGTGCTAATGGATGGTGAGTGTTGAATCATTCTTTGGACTCAAGCAATGGAAGGAGGAATATATGCAGATCAACTTGTGCACTCTAATGCAACTAAGTTATGATCGGATGACTCAGGTCAGGTGATTCTCACCTGGCAAGCATCACGGCGATTTCCGGGATTCCGAACAACTTCCGTTGGTACCCCTCGGACAGAAGCAAATCACTTCCCAAACCAAGTGGCACCTACACGGGTTGGATGGTACGAGATCACCCAAAAGACGCGGTCAGCCGCAGTCTAAGGGGTAACAAGCGTCCTGATCATGGCGATGATGGCCCCGATCAACCCAGCCCGAAACGGCAGAGCAGAGGTAGATATGTGTCCAAGGCATGGTATGCTGGTTTCAGCTCTTGAACTCTTTTTATGATTGCTAATTGATCCTTGGAATTATAGTACTCAATGTCGTCACCGGAAGGTCAAAGTGAGAAGATACCGCACCACTCGACCACCGAGCTTATTGCTAAGTGTTGGTATAGTGTGATGGCGGCCTGCCATGTGGACCATGCATTTTCAGTGGACGACGATGCTCCCAGAATGCGACTGATTTGCGTCGCCGAAGGCCTAGGGATGAGACACCTGGAAGCCATGATAGAGATTCAGCGGCCACAGAAGCGAACGATGGCATGCAAGATTCTCAGTTTGTCTCTCTGTCATCGCTGAAGGTATTCTCAAATAAAAACTGACCGATGCACACAGCGGGAGACGGGAACTGTTGACTATGTTACATCAAGTTGAGCGTCAGTTGCAGCTGCTAATCGCTTCCGTATATTCTGGCCCTGATGGACGTGAACCTGTCAATATCCAAGCAGATCCGGCTATATCAACTGGAGAAGCGTCTATTGTAAAGCCTATAATGGCAACCTCTCTAGGGAAGGCTGCACCGGCTAACTTGAACTCCTTTTCTGGCGAGACATCCATTCGACATGTCCTGGACCAGGTTGAGGGGCGCTTGGAGACGACACGAAGACGTGGCACTGCTACTGTCATGGATTCTTCAATTTCTACTCCTGCCTTGACTCCTCCGCCTCACCATGGCGGTGCGAAGGCAATACCAGACGATATATATAGTGTTCTGCAAATTTATGGCATTGAGCCAAAGCAGTCCGAGTGGGATAAACCGTTGGACGTGTTTTGCACCGAGATCCATATTTTGTATCCATTTCTCCATCTACCAACTCTGCAAGCCAAATACGACATGCTGTGGCACGGCAGGCTTACTCAATCTCATGAGCCAAATACCCCCAACCAATTGAAAAACACGGGCGTGGCCCAACTTCTTCTATGCATAGCTATCGGTAGATGTACCGAGTCACCGAGGGTACAGAGCCGGGAAGGGCGACACTCGGCTGGTTGGAGTCTGTATGGAGCAGCCTCTGAATTGCTGGGAGACCTTTTTGGCTGCTTTGGAAGCTGTTCAGATCCACTAGAGCTTCTACAAACATTAGCTTTGATGGTGGGTAGCGGTCTCTTGGATTAGAATGATCACTTACATGGGTCTCGCAGACAATCTATCTTTTTCGCCTTGATATCTTTGGGAAGGCCGAAAAGCTCCTAGCTCTCGCTATTTCTCATGGACATCATCTTGGATTACACCGATCCAGGGTTGTGATACACATGTCGTATTTTAATAGTGAGATATCTCGGCGGATATGGTGGTGTCTATACGCCTTGGATCGTCGACTAGCCATTGAGACGGGCCATCCTTTTCTGATCCAAGATGTGAACGTTGACACACCTCTACCCCAAGATATTGATGATTACTGGCTCTCCAGATTCCGAGATCGTCCCAGCCTTCAGCCAGATGCAGTCCCTCCAGCAGATTCGGGCATTCCACTCACCCCGATACCTTATTTCAGAGCCATGATAACATATTCCAAAGTCCTCGGCAAAGTTTGGGAGGGAATGTATGGTGCTACCAACTTGGAGCCAGTCCCAAATTACCCTCTCCGGGAGCACCTTGAAAGCCTGCTTCTTCGGGCCCAGAAGGATATAAGTCAGGAATTTGCTCATCCTCAGTACGGACGCGTATCACATAGCCAAGCGCCGTGGTGGCTGGTCAAGCAGCAAGCATTAATGCGGACTGTATGCCCAGCCTTGTCTGCTTTTCTTAACACCCTTTACTAATATGATTAGCGATGGTTGTCACTTCGCCTTTTGATTCGCAGGCCCATGCTTCAAGCATCAGTTTCTCCCAACACGTCTACTCTCGACACCTTCGAAAACGAAGTGACGTGCATGCAGATTGCAAATACACTGATTGAAGAATTCGCTCAGATCCCCGATGAAAAGGCTGTTTTCACTTTCCCGTTCATACACTACTTGATTGGCGCCACGATAGTCTCTCTGGGGCTGATCCTAAGGGAATCTTCATTCAAAGCTGCGTATGGCGGGGCCACGCTGCACGCGGTCCAACTATTAGAGTCTTACTGCAGCAAGACATGGGTGTCTGGAAAGTTGATACGAGTTGTGTCCAGGTTGAGACAGATAGCGTGTCAGCTATTGGAGAGTAGTGATTTGATGGGTGTGGAGCGTTCACTACACAAGCATTCCTCACAGATCTATTCCGAGAACCGCACTGCTCATCCTCGGCATACACTCACTGGTGAATTTCCATCTACATCAGATCGAATTCCCTTGTCACGACCAAGTGGCTTGTCGGTGGGAGATTACGAGTCCAGCGGGAGAGCTCATACGAATCACCATCTCGCAGACACAGCAGGTATGGCCCTAATCTCATTCCACATGTGCTACCGCGGAATCCTACTGACCCGCAATTACCTCTGCAAGACGCTAGCCTGACCAATCTAGTGATGTCCGACTTTGATTTCGAGGAGGATGTCAGAGGCGTCAACATGGGTATACTGCCTGTCCAGGGTTCACCGAGCATGCCGGCCTGGCCAAACCACCCACAAGACACAGCAGCTACCAACTATGCACGCACCAGGCCATTGGCTGCACAAGAAGGGCTGGATGTCAGCGAATCAGGGCCATCTTTCGATGCTGTTGATCTTGGAGGTGGTGCCGGAGAGATGGGGTGGTTGGAGGCTCTATTTGGCAACTATCTCAATCCGGATCTCATAATCCGGCAAGACACATAACAGCTACCAGGCAATACATGCATTCCTAGCCATCAGGTCACATTGTACACTGCTAAAGCCCTTCAATCAACTCCGTTCCACTAAACCACCGTCAAATCTCAAACAACACAGCAAACCCATCATACCAACTTCGCATGCGCAGGAAGAACCCCCGCATTCTCAAACGACCTATACGTCTCAATCCATGTCTCAAAAGTGCTATCGTGCCTCTGCCACCCATACTTCCTCGCCTTATTTATAGACGAGATCGTCAACCACGACTTTCCAGTCGCCCAGTTAAAAAACCCCCAAGTACCCCAATCAAAAGCCTCGGCCTTTCCTCCATACTTCTGCACCACCCTCTCCCACACCTCCCGCTTATCCTTTGCCCATTCCACCATATCAATCTCATTACTTAGAGTATTTGCCTGTCCGGCGGCCTTTTCAAACTTGGGTTCCGGGACCTGCATTCGTTAGCTTCCCCAAACTATATCCAGACCCTTCCTCCCCTGGGAAAGAACCCATACCTCAACGCCGAAATAGCCCGCCACATCCTGCCACATATACTTCCAAACAAAGACGTCTCCGTTAACATGATTGAACGCTTCATCCTTACAATGCTCCTTCGTTGAAGCCCACACAGTCAGATCAGCTAAACTCGGAGCGTAGGAGTTATCATCAATCGAGTTCCAGAAATATTCATTCCCGGGGAATGTAGCAGGTTGGTCAAGTTCTCGACAGATGAGCATGTAGATGGCGATGGTTAGGGCCTCGGACATTCCGTTTGCTGGTTCACAGAACAGATAAACATCAGCCAAATCCCATCCCTTTCAAGTAAAGCAAACAGAGAAAGAGGAAAGGGGTCCAACCATGCGGCGCAAACCCATTAATCGCATTCGGACGAATCACATTCCACGACCATACATTCCGTCTCCTCTGAACCACCTTCAAATAATCCTCCTGGTTATAATAGAAATTATACCCGTGATCGTCATATCGAGGGAAAGTTTCTTCAAGAGGCACTTTGACAGGTCCGAGGTGGACGCCGTAGTACTTTTTTTCCAATGTAGCATTAGCACATATCCCCTCATAATCCCCCCATTCCTATATGGTATAATAAGAAGATAGGACATACCTTCCCCCCCGTCTGCAAACAAACCCTCTCCAAGCGCGGACACGCTGCATCCACCGCATCCAGAAAATTGCGAAACAGGGGGATGTTTTTTTCCCGGAGGACACGGAAATCGTCGTCGTGGACGTATGAGGTAAAGAAGGCATGGGTTACGGGGATGCAGATCTGCTTTAGTTGGGCGATGATGGTTTTCACGGGGGAGAGGAAATCCACGGCGATGAATTCGACGCGGGGGTCAATCCAGGGGGTTGGGAGGGGGCGGCGAGAGGTGATGATTATTTTGGTCCTGGGTGGATTTACTTAGTTTCTTTGTGGTGGTGAGGATGGGAGGTAATGAGGGTACCATTCTTCTTTGGGTTGGCGGATGAGATGCTCTACGATCGAGTAGCCGCTGATGCCGTTGGCGCCGGTGACGAGGGCGACTTTTTGGGGGAGGGGGGACATGTTGGTGGATTCTGCTCTTGTGGGGTAATGGGTGATGGTGGTGGTGATGGTGGTGGTGGTGATGGTGGTGATGATGGTGGTGGAGGGGGGTTTATATAGCTGTGTGGTTTGTCTGTGTACTGTGTAGGTATAGGACAGTCGATCTTTGCCTTGTTTTGTATATCGACATAATCATCACGGATGGCACGGCATCTGAGACAATCATCCTTGTCTGGTGACTATTATGTTAGGATTTTGTAGATATCATATGTTGTTTCTCGATATCATACCCCAATGACCGTGTTGTGATCATCCAACCCGCAGTTCTATTACCACCAATGCCATACCAACATAGCAACTCCTCATTAACCCTCATACAGAGATGAACGTAGACCGACATTGAATCCCTCCCGGGTATATCGGCAAAATACCTCACTGTCGATCTTCAAGGCTGTGGATCAAACTTAAGCATAGATTTAGTCTTTGAGGGCCGTGAATGGGATGCGGCTTGTGGGTCGGTGGAGCTGAGATTCTCCCGAAATGCATTTCCGTTGAAGTTCCGGTGGAATTCCTGTATAGTTCCGTTGCATTTCCGTGATTCCGTTGGCGGGGATCCCACCATGGGCGTGGTATGATTGTCATTGTGTTTGATCCATGTGTCGGATGTTTTATTCCTAATGTAGGGACTTGAATTATGCTAGCTAGGCATTCGTTGTTGATGGTGATGATTATGTCCAATGTGCTAGGGCTCCCCACGTGATTCGTAGTCTGAGGGCATGGACTGGTTTAGGTCGCCAACATCTCGCACTTCTGATATGAGGGAAGTTTTGGCCTGAGAGCTAAGGATGAGTTCTGTAAATGAGTGGAATGTTGGTTTGCAAAAAATGGGATGAAGGGGATAGAGTTCGACAATTGAAATACAGAATTGACATCATCGGCCACTTCTGTACCCGAATATATATTGCCCGACATTGGGATTATTTCCCATTGATGGTATATGCACACCACATTCAAATATGAAATGGCGCACATATATACTTATAGATAGAAGTTAATACTCCACTGAGTCGTCAGACCCTTCATCCAGAACACCTAGTGAAGATCTAGGCACAGAAAGGTCGCACCCAAGTGACACAGCACCCTAACCCCGCCTCATATACCCAAAACCACAGACTGTATTTCAACAAATGGGGCTGTGGTTTAGTGGTATAATATTCCCTTAGCATGGGAGAGGTCCGGGGTTCGATTCCCCGCAGCTCCATTTTTTGTTTTTCTTTTCCCTTTCTTGCCCCTAAATGTCTCCATTAATCTGAGTCCTGCCTGCCATGCACTAACTAGATCAAGCTAGATACGCACTCTTTTTTGAGACATCTCCACTACCCTGCCACATCAAGCACTAAACTAGGCATCTCTCCATCAACAAGCATCATTGGTCTAGTGGTAGAATTCATCGTTGCCATCGATGAGGCCCGTGTTCGATTCACGGATGATGCACATCTTTTTGAATTTATTTTTTCTGTCTCCTCGCATACCTATCACCCCAAGGGTCGCTATTTCGTGAAACCAAGGCATAGTACTCGGAGAAAGAGGCAGTTCCATTCCTTGGTGGTCGTCGTGTTTGTTATTGAGGGAGAGGCCAGTAAGGACATGGTGACACATGTTATATGTGCTGTGAAGACTACTGAAGAGGCTACAGTGGGGTTGACGAGGAAGAGGGTGCCTATAAGCAGAGAGGGATTTGCTGTGGAGGAGGGAGGAAAGGGGAGAGCTGATGGTCGGTGAGAGGTAAGTTGGCATTTCATTGAAGACGAAGGAATTGTATTTTCAAATAGTAGAAAATAGACAGCCAGTTGATGTATAAATCCACTGCCACGAAAGCCATCTATCCGAAATAGCAAAGATCAGGTCCGTTGATCCAATCTCATCATATCAAAGAACTAAAATTCGCTTTCAGCCTTCACCAAACTGGGCGTATAAGGCTGAAAAGTCCACGCCGGTCTTGCAGGAAACCCCCAGAGGCGATGTAACTCCGAGTCCACCGGCCACCTGGAGCACCTGACCAATTCGCCCGTCATTGGATCCCGGAATTCAATATTCGATGTCAGCATTCCATCAGCTTTCAAAGCCGTTCTAGTCTCCCTCAACACATCCAACGCAAAGCCAGGAACGGTTTCTGCCTCATCCAGAAACTTAAAGTCATGGTCACGGAGATATCCCGGCACCATAGCCTGCGCGATGATAGCCCTTACCGGATGACCAATGGGCAAGACCACAGCCGAGAGAATCTGCTCACTGGTAAAGTACTGATGGTAGCAGGTCTCGACGGCGAACATCCTGCTACGCGTCAAGTCTTGAGCACAATTGCTCATAATCGTGTGCTTGATGTGTTTGGCCAAAAACCTTTCGGTCGCCTTGTGGCTGATGTTGTAAAAGTCTAGGAGACGGGCGAATTCGATGGCGGTGGAGATTTCCTCGGTGGGGGACTGTGGCATGAAGATGATTTGGTAGGTGTAGAGCCACTGGAGGAACATCTCAAAGCCGCGGATGGAGAGAACGTCTTTGATTTCCACCAGGTGGGCTTCATCGGCTTGGCCTTCTTGGAAGTGCTTCTTGAACATGTTTTCGAAGTAGCGTGATCGGCTGCAAAGGACTTCCTTGTGTACGGGGATGGAGTAGTTTTCGCCGATGTGGATGGTTACTTGGGGGCCGAAGTAGTGAGGGTAGATGCTGGGGGTTGGTAGTTGTGAATGATGATGAATGTGGAAGGTTTGTGGGGGTGTTTACGTACGATTGCACAAAGTTTGGAAATGTTACTAGCGGTTGGGTGAAGTCTCCTGCTTCGGACATGGTGTGTAATCTTTTGGATGGTTTGTAGTATGAGCTGAGACTAATGTAGGGAGGGGTGGAAGTAGAAGACGGAGCAGTTGCAATGAGGAGTAGTTTGATATGGAGAGATAGATACAGAAGAACGGAGGAGGACACGAAAGACCTATTTATTGTGTCTGCCATTCTTGGCAGGTCTCACAAAGTCGGAGATTGCCTTTTTGATAGTAGGCAGAGAAATTCTGGTAATTCGGCTGGTGCAGATAATATGACTAGGAGGAGGTCTAGACTGGGATGGCCAGGCAAGTGCCGCATTTCTCCAAGAGACACGTGATTCTGACGTGTATTTATCTGTTTCTGTGTGCTGCCAACCAGCTGAGAACCCTTGACATGTAACAAGGACATGTCCTGGCTCAACGTTCCTACTATTATTCACGTGCAATAATGCATCTCCGGCTCAACCTTCCATTCGAATCACATCCTGGATATCCGACAAAGCTCTGTACATCAAGCGACCGCCATATCAATGCCCAGTAACCAACAAATCCTCATTAGAATGAGACAACTGCAAAGTATGCAAAGCAGGCAACTCCACAGGTTCAGGAACCTGCTCAGGCTCAACCCAATCCAGGGGAGGAGGATAACCAAAATGACCTCTTCCCACTGGCTTCACTCGCATGATGTAGGATGGATCCTTGCCCCCAGGCCGTATCAGCCCAAGCTGCTGATATTCTGCCACAATATTATTCCTCGGATTCGTTACATTCGACGTCCACGGGAGATCTTTATAACTGCGCGACCAAATCACCTCATCCGTCATAATCACCAAACCGCCTTCGGCAGCAGCGCGTTCATAGACCTCGGCAAACGCATCTCCCCACACATGCACCAGCGAAATTGGGGCTTTGGGTCCCCACATCAACATCCACCGGGACAGATTCAAGTCACAACTCAGATAGTCGAAGAGAAGACCCATGCGGACACCGGCTGGGACCTCATACTCTTTCTGAACATCTTCTGATGGGGGCCAGTCGAATGAGCGGACATATTTCTCCAAATCGGAGATGCCGTTCACTGCGCCGGGAAGATTCCATACAGCGTATGTTCGATCGTATGAATTGGCCCAGAAGCGCATCACCGTGAGATGTGGCAGGGGGGGGGGGGGGGGGGGGTTGCTGAGTGAGCATTCGGCGCCAGCTGGCCTCGGGACGTAGCCAGATGTCTCATCGGAGGGAATTCCGCATGGGACCTAGAGGTGCGTAGAAGACCCTGCTCTGGAGGCGTCGTCTACGACCGGATGGCGGGATGGGGCTTGGGGTGCTGAAGAGTCTGGTGGGAAGGATCGGCCGACTGGCATGTCAAGTGGTGGATAGCAGTCCCCTGGGACTCGGAGATAGGATGGGGGGTCGTTGTTGTCGGGGAAGAAGGAAAGAAATTCCTCGCGGAGGACAGAATTATATATGGGACTCTCGCCGGTTGGTCTCGATGGGGCCAGGAAGAGGGCTTTCTGCAGGGAAGGAGAGTGTTGGATTTGGTTGGCCCATTTTCGACAGACTCGTTGCGCCAGGAGGAGGTTACGGATGTCCAGGTGCTCGAGGATTTGCACCAGGAGCTCTGGGAGGGAAAGCACCTGATTCAGTGCTGAGTGTGTCATGGTTGAAGTTGATGAGGTTGGAGAAGCAGATGCAGCGAGGAGTGCAGCGGGGAGAGCAATTAAAGGTCACGGGCGGTCATAAGCCCGACTGCACTAGCAGATGCACTAGATCCAAGGGGTGACACCCCCCGAGGTATCGGACGATGCAAGGCCTAGTCTCCGAGATTAATATTACATGCACGCAGTATCCGCTAGTCCATCATTGCCGCCTTTTAGGGCTAGCTCTTTTTTATTTCTCCTGTTTCCACTTAAGTCTAAATTTATATGATATCATTTCTACACTCATTTGCTAAGCATTAATTACTATAGACAACAGCCATCCAAGCAACCGAACTACTCTTTGACCACACCTTCAATACCGGTAATACCATTCACATGCGCCAATTCATTTCAAGAGACGCGCCAGGATTGCCATCCCTGTCTCTTATCTGTACCCAAATGGCCAAGAGAAATAGCTGGCAGGCCTGAGCACTAGCGTACCATAGCCCTGGGACCACTCAGTGACACTGATTGGATCCTGACCCGGCAATTTCTCACTCCGTTATCTCATTTAAGCATCGGACATGTTGGACGGATACACCCGACCATTTCTCCTCTCGGTGGGCCCTCAACCGGAGTAAATTGGTCATTGGTGGAGTGATCCACACACAGCTTGTGTGCAAGGCTGCTAATGTTACTGCTTAGGCGTGGTTTCCCCGCTTGTTTGTACCTTTGCTACCGATGTCAGTGAGACTGGCGGTGGATGTATTGGATGATATGTCCTGATCGCATGTGGCGCTTAATTTATGAATAATGTGTTGGCCAGTGTTGGAAATATTACCTGTTACTGCTCTGTTATTCTGTGGCTTTCTTCGATTGGTGTCAAATGACATTAGGGTTCTATTGATAGACATCATGTGAGAGAACTATGCAGGAGGCGCTCTGCACAGTTGAGTCATAACTTTGGCGTCTTTGTACATAATCCAACTCAATCCAGTCACCATCATGCCTTCTGGTATTATTGTTGGCAAGTAGATCATCTAATTAGTGCCAAATGAATGGCAAACACCTCCAACAAATAGTTGATTACCTTAACCACACCAAGGCTGCAGCATCATTCACAGCATAGGCTCATTCCTCTTAAGCGCTCCTAGTACCCCATCCAAGTCCTACCAACTACCCATCCTCCCTTTAACAACCCCATCAACAACCCCATCAACAACCCATCACCCAAACCCACCCCATGGCAACCCACTACAACCTAATCGACTACGACTCCGACGCCGAAAAAGAAAAACACCCACTCATCCCACTCTCCAACCTCATCTCCGCCGCATTATTCATCGCCCATCTCCTCGAAAAAGCCAACATCCCTTATGGATTAATGGGCGGCCTCGCCGTCTCCCTCCTGGGGAGTAACCGCACCACTCGCGACGTGGATATTGCCTTTCAAGCGCCCGGGAAAATGCGCGATCTGTGGGGTCTGGTGGAGAGGGAGGCACGGTATGTATCGTACCATACGCTGCAGAGAAGAGGGGAGTTCGTGTTTGATACTAATGGATGTGATGGTGATGGTGCGGGGTAGACTTATAATACCCAATACAAAACTTCTCAGCAATATAATGAAAGTTTTTGTCCATACTGGGCCGGGATATGATGATTGTGGGTATGCGGTGCAGGTGGAGGTGGATCTTATTGAGAGTGGTACGTACCCTCCCTCTTGCCCCCACCTTACATTTTTAAAGCTCCACTAATATGGAAAACAGGTTATCAAGGAAGTCCCCGCGACATCTTCGCCAACAGACGTCTCCTTACCGTGAATACCAGAACCGGGGTGAAGACTATCTACGGGATCGAGTTATTCTATCTCCTAAGGGGCAAAATGGCTGCGTTTGCGTCTCGAGCCAGTCCGCATGATTTGCATGATGTGCAGCATTTGTTGAGCACGTATGGGGAGGAGGTGAGGGTTTTGTGGAGAGGTTGGATCCGGATGCTGTGGGGGCGTTTTTGGATGTGGTGGCGCCGGGGAGTTTGGGGAGGTGGAGGGAGTTTTTTGGGAGGTCACCTTGATTATGGGTCTCTTTGTTGGGTGGGAATGGACGGTATGGGGTTGGCGTTGGGGTGATGCATTTCGTATTGCTTTTTGTGGTGATCTATATTGTAATTTGGAAACAGTTGGTATCGTTATCGTTACACTCCAGGTCTATAAACACTCCGTGGATCCTTGGCTCCATGTTTTCGATACCGAGTGGCATATATCTCCGGGGGATACTTCCATCCCAGACGCTTCTGCTTGTTCCGCACCATTTCCGTCCAGATCTTCCTTCGAGAAACGGGGGTGGTGTCTATCCATATGAACATCGGGTCCACCCCGTCGCCTACAAAAGCCTGGAAGCGATCTTCTAGCCATTTAGTATCCGTCTGTCCGCCGAGATCGAGTGCTTCTTCGCCCCATTCCTCGGTGAGATCCATCCCGTCAATCAATTCTTGCAATAACCCGTCATCCCTCGAGTCGATCGCACTTTGCACATATACTGCGAGCTTGGGGTATGGGAGGCCGCCTGGATGGCGTTAGGTCATATCTCCTGCTGTTTAGGGCAGATGTGAGTGGCAAACCTTTACTGAATTCTATGTTTTCTGGCTTAACGTCGAGGTGGCAGTACTCTCCCGGTACGAGGAGCCAGAAAGTCGCCCATCCGATGGCCTTGAACCGAGGATATTTGTGGTTTAGTTGCGATGGTGATCGGAGAGGATTCGGGCCACATGGGCTGAGAATGTCGCTGTGCGAGGTTAATGTTTCTACCGCTTGTTCGAATTGTTCATCTTGGATGCATAGAACTCGGTCCTGTGGTGATTAGACAGGTCTCGCTGATAGGACGATCAGTAGGTACATGCTGAACGATCGAGGATCCGTAATATATTTGTGCATATTGTTGGATGAAGCAATGATGTATCCCAGCATCGGAAAGCAAAGATAGCACGGCGGAGACTTCCTGGGGCGGTTGGGACTGCTCATCTGGTTCCCCGACCGCGAGGGGATGAAATGCTGGTGATATATCGTCATTGGCTTGGGGGATTTCCATTTTAGCGGATAGCGGTTGGGTAAACCGATTAATGACGAATGTTGTTTGACGGAAATAAGATCGAAGAGTGAAAGGATGATGAATGGCTGCCCGGAAGGAGGAGTTCCGTAAAGCGGGGATAATTCCGGGTCACATGATGCGTGGATGGAAAGTGACAGAACAAACCAACGAAATGTTTACATCTCATCCTTCGCTGTCGATATCATGTGGGTTCCTCCTGCTATTTGGCAGGAAACACCATCAATAACATCCAGCAAACGGGCAGCCGTGCTCATCTAGGCGGAAGAAATCCAATCTGCTCGATTGGCCACCGAATCCAAGCTCGATACGCCGGACTGAGCTGGTTATAGATCTGCGAGAGAAGGTGAGTGCTCCATCCCCTCATACACCACATCCACTCGAGCTGGTGAAGGACCACGCAAAAGTAACCAACAATCACCATAGCAAGCGGCTGATAGTCCTTAAGCAGGAGCAGAAACTCATGAGGTACGCGCAACAGCCAAATGAAAACATCCGCAGTCTCGAGCCTCAGGTTTCTCTCTAAGCACAAGATGAACGGTCGGTTCATCTCATCAATGACAATGTTGCAAATATTAGCCGTGTGCTCCTCTTGAACATCTGCCATAACCAAATTTCGCAAGTTCTCGAGAACTTGGTGTTGTGGGACTGGTTCAGAAATTCTATTTCGAGCTCGGGCGCTGAACATTGAAGCCAAGGGTCCGTTCTTCAATGCTTCATCGGCAAAATCGAGAATAGTTCCGGTGCCTCGGATGAGCACGAGCCAGCTGGCGATCTCGTGGTTTTCCCAAAACAGGAAATTGCCCAGTTTGAGCGGCTTCGCGCACCAGATAAAGGTCGATAGGGCGGAAAAAAGGAACAGGGGTGCTGAATTCTCCGGGGTAATGTTGGCCATCTCGGGGGTGGCGAGTTTCAATGCGGCTTCGTGATGGATGTTCGCTTGAGCGATGTATGACTGCGACCTCTCCGGACGTAGGGTGGCAAGATGCAGGGCCGACAGAGCCAAAATTGCCTGGAGAGTGTATGGCGCGGTGAACCCGATCTGGGGGACCTCGACGCGCCAAAATGATTGCAAGACAGGGTGGTGTGAGAAGGTGTAGGCGGTGGAGGTGGTGAAATGGTGAAGCAACTCCAAGTCTGCGATGGCAAGGTCCGGTGCCACTGCTGCCTGCGACTGGCCATCACTGCCAGGGGAACCGGAGACTATTGTCCTGGTATTGTCCTGGGGTGTTGGGACCTGATTACATGAGGGTGAACGGTCATGACATGAGGGGCTCTGGGCAAAGGAGCAAGTCACTCCGTGCCTCCTGCAATTGATACAACTTGGCTTCTCTTCACCACACTAGACATGATCAGCCATAGAACCCGAACAGAATACTTCTGCCAAGGTAGACTGCATACCTTCACCTTGCGCAACTTGCATTGCTGGCAACCATGTCGTGACTTCTGGTGGGACCGACGACCTCTGGTCTGCGTGCTGGCTCGCATGCTGTTTCCTACTCTTGCGAGTGAATATTAACGATATTAGTCAACTCTATCCTGACATACAAAAACCAGAAGCACAAAGTATCGAGTGGAGGGGATCGTTGATGAAGGAAATGGCAGGCAAAACGTGACCGCCTGGAAAATCGATGAAGGTGGCCAGGATCCACCAGCCAATCAGATCCCCCCACCTGCTCCACCCACCATTGCAGATCCTGAGGCACCCCATCAATGCCCGAGAACACGGCCCTGTTTGAGTTTTGACATCAAGTCCATAGGCAACCATCTTTATCTATCACGGATTAGACACCCCATTGGTGAGAGCTTAATTAGGCCCGGGCCCGTTGCGGAGGCCATCGACTAGCTTCGTGCTGCCTAAATCTTAGGTGGGGACAACGGCAGTTCTCTTGCAGCAAGAAAAGCCTCCGCCGTCAGACCTATTCTTAGATCTGCCTAGACTTAAGGCCAGAGGTCGGGTCGCAGGTCTAGATCTAATGTCCCTCATAGGTCATGTGCCCATGCCGCATGTACTAAATTGCTGCCTAAGGCATAGTATTGGAAGTTCATTCATTGGCTCCTGTATTCACCAGCTTTGTTGATACGTTGTCTGATATATGAGGACAGGGAGTGGTATGCCACTGTCCACCGCAAATTGCCTTTTTACACGCTGATCTAAAAGCATCAGAATCGGCTTGTTGGATGACACCAAGACTGATGCGGTAAATCCACGCCGAAAACGCTTATTCACAGAAAGTATATCCCGCCAATATGCGTGGATTAAAAAGTGGCGACCAAAACAATGATACCAAAATACAACGACAAATCCTAGAATTAGGTACAAATCATGCTCATCACTGTGAATCATGCTCCTCAACCCGCAGTCCCAGCTCCACCGACTCAACTCGCCGATGACCATCACCGCGAAGCACAACCGACGGATGAAACAAGTTCATCACCAGCATAACCAAAAACATCATTGCCGCATCAAACACATACAAGAACACCTCGTGAGAGATCACATAGCCACTATTTCCTTGAGCAAACTCAATCAAACGATATACTGATCTCACCAGAATCAGAAAGCTAACAAGGTAGCATGCACCGAGCAGCCCTCTCCAGTCTCGAGGCCACATTCTCTCGTCACGCTCAATGTTCTTTTCTGACTCCACGGTAGGCGATTGCTCGATTCTGAAGTGGAATGTGAGCGAGGCAATCAAGAAAGCCCCGAAGAAGACAAGCTGGACACAGAGACCGGCTACAATTACCCATTGTCCGATTTTTAAACTACTACTGAATCCACCGGACATGATGCCACCGCCTGGTTGGGTTTAGTACTGGGTAGTCGTGAGTGATGGTTAGGCTTACCGGCTCCTTGTAGGATGAAAGAGAGGATATCGCCGGAAACGAAAATCTTTGTCATCCATTTAACTGGTACCACGCTTAGATGCTGCGCGTGGAGAAAGGTGATGATTCGGCCGAGGACCATGTAGATTGAGGCTGCATATAATGTTGGTGCTAGGAGGATGAGAAGTGTTTGCAGAGCGTAGACGGTGGTTGATGTGGTGTTGAAGTGAGCGTCGGCACGGGCTCCATAGCCTATCACCTGGACTAGATACCAAATTTAGAATATACGACTTGTAAGGTTCAGACTGTAGTGACACTTACAGATCCCCCCGACGATGAAGGGGTTGAAGTATTTGGCATGAGTGCGGATGCGCTGAAAAAGATGGACAGCAGTGGTTGCTGCAAACAGGATAGCAAAGGCAACTGCACCGCCCAGACTGGGGACATAGTCATATAACACGTAGGTGGAACTAGTCATGACTGCGGTTGGGTCTTGGTTCTGTCAACGAACGCAGCAATTGAGTAGATGTGCAATGTTAATCTCGGAGCGATATAAAACCCTATGGTAAGTATTGCGCTTTGACATGTTGAACTGGGGCTTATATAGTTGATAGTTGTGACTGGAGTGAAAAGTCTTTCGCATTTGCATCGCCACCAGTCGTTCATGTCTATTCTAGGCAACCTTCATCACCAACGACATTGCATCTAGATCTTTGCGAGCCATGTTTAGGCAGTAGCTTTCTCTGGTTCATCTATTGATGATTCTATATGTGTTGTCGCTGATTAGGCTTTTGCTTTTGCACGTTGCCCGGCCGCATCCCAGCGGGGCAGATTAGGGTTGTGATGCGATCCCGAAGCCGAACACGAACCCGACGTTTCAGACCCACTGATCGTCCCAACAACCAATCTGGTTTTGGGTCGAGATACGCGGTACGAGATGCAGCCCTTTCTGTAGGCTGCAGGATCAGCGTGGGTCGCAGTTTGCGCCACGATTACTACCAGAGTTGGAAAGGAGACGTGAAGACTGCCAATTTGCGCTATGCACATGTGCAGGCAAAATCAGGGGCGCTAGCAGCATTGGATGGCGCTAAGTTCGTCCTCTCTTACCGCGTGCGAAGAAGAGAGGTTTGTTTTCCTTTTGCATCTGCACCTTCCTTTCATACCCTTTGACCAATTCAGCCTCAGAGATGACGGAGAAGCAAGAGAAATCCCTCTATGACATCCGCCATGCAACCGAGGACTTCTCTGACCCTCCTCCCGCATACTCAGCCCGGCCTTACTCGGCTGCATCTTCCGAAGCATCCTTATTGACGGTGGAGCCAGACTTTGCGCCTGATTTCACAAATGAATCGAACAAAGGAGGAAACGTTGCTAGCTTTGACGGTATGCCTCGGAATGTACATGGTTCTGGAGAGAAGGATTGACAGAAACTCTTTAAGACAAAGTAGATTTCAACACCAACGTGGGCCTGGGATCTCGCACGTCGGCGTTCATTCAGGCTTTTATGCGACCGAAGGTGCAACCACGGATGGTTAATCTCGGGTTAGGAGAGAATGACACTTCTGTCTCCGAGATTCGAGATGGCTCCGCAGCTGCGCCTATGGACATTGTCATCATGGTTGTTGGGGGTACGGAATGAGATTCCCACAACCACGGAATGAATCTTCAACTGACAATCTGGTAGAGGCCATCGAACCTTTTATCCTCATTGCAAAAAAGCTGCTTTCGGAATCACATCGGGTTCGGATCGCCGCGCATGCATCATGCGAAGCAATAGTGAGGAGTCAGGGACTTGACTTCTTCCCTATCAGTCACGATTCAATTCACCCCATGGTAACCGCATGCATCCCACAGATGTTCTGAATATTAACAAGAACAGAGCATCGTCCACAGCGGAGGCTTAGATGGTAAAGCTGAGCATCTGCGTCACCTAAGACATTCACTTTTCGAAAGCTACCACGGGAGTTGGAGGGCATGCATTGCGTCATATAGGCGCGAACCTCGACCGTTTCTGGCCGATGCGATCATCGCGACCCCGTTGGCACACGCGCATATACATTGTGCCGAGCGCCTTTCAATACCGTTGCATATCATGTCGACGGCACTGTGGAATGCAACAAAAGAATTCCCTCATCCTCTGTCTCATGTAGAGGGGTGTGAAGAGGTGGATGAGAAAACCTCGAATCTCCTCTCTTATGCACTTGTTGAGGAATCTATATGGAATGTGTGAGTTGAGTACAAGAGGGAAATGTGTGTATGTATTGTACTGACGATGAGGACACAATGCAGAATCATAGAGCCTATCAACCGGTTTCGACAACAAATCCTGGGTTTCCAGGGCATTTCTTCGGCTATTGGTGGAAGACTCGTGATCAACCAGGAGGTTCCTCAAACATACCTCTGTTCAGGAGTGGTTCTTTCTAGACCGAAGGACTGGAGCAACATAATAGGTATCCCATTAATTTTCTCACGTTTTAAGGTATCAAAATCTTACAATGACAGAAATATCCGGCTATCTGTTCGACGACGTACCAACACCTTACAACCTAGGAAAGGACCTCCAGGATTTTCTCGAGTCAGGTCCAACACCAGTATATTTTATCTTGCAAGCAGATAGTTTGGAAAGCCCTGGCGTACTAGCGAATGCCATCCAAAACGCTGTCACAAAGCAAGGCTTCCGTGTCATTCTGTCGCCAGGCTGTCGAGATGTTTGCCCTATTTTGAACCACCCCAATGTGTTCTTAGCCGAGAACATTTCTCATGGTCAGTATTAAAGACGAACTCATATTGATCTTGACTAATGTGGACACAGAGTGGCTTCTACCCAGAGTCTCCGTCGTTGTCCATCATGGAAACTCAGATGACATCGCCTTGGCATTGAGGCATGGGAAGCCGAGTGTGGTTCTCCCACACTCAGGGGAGTAAGTTTCATTCAGCGACCCTGAGATCAATAAACTAAGATATACAGCCAACTATCGCGTGGTATTGCAATCTCCAAACTCGGAGCCGCAGCAGCACCTCTTATGAGCAATATGCTCTCCTCGGATTCCCTTTCTCAAGCAGTGGCATTTGGCCTACGACCAGACGTTCAACAATCTACCCAAGCAGCCCAAAGTCGCGTCATCGAGGAGAATGGTTTGAACACTGCCATCCAGTCCTTCTACCGCTGGCTACCGTCACACGTCCAGATATGTAGCATCACACAGCAAGATCTTGCCATGTACCAAATCTGGAACAAACCATCTCTCAGGGTATCTCCTGAAGCAGCTGCAATTCTATTAGAAGAGCGACTCATAAGAAAGTCTGATATTGTTCTGTGAGTTACCTTGTCACTCTCAGCAAGTTTGCCGCTAATTACACTCTTATGGCGTCAGCATCCCTCGCAGGTCCTACAGCATCGAACTCGATAAGTTAAGCGCTCTCCAAGGAACCGCAAGAGATTACTGGGATGGTGTCAGCCACGCAGCAAAAAGCATTGCTACCTCCTCAGATTTAGTCAGTATGTTACCAGGGCTACAACTAAAGGTAAGCAGATTCCTTGATTAAGATAGATCTCTTGCTCGCCGCAGCTGACTAAACCAAACAGGCAAGCTCCTCGTCAGACGAAACGGGGAACAAGTCCAAGGAGAAGCGCAATATAGCCAAGGATGTTGGTATCGGCACGGCAAAAATTTTCGGACATATTGCCCTACTACCTTTCACAAGTAATTTCTTCCCTGCACGGCCCTTCTAGAAAGAACGCTAATTATCCACAGCCACCGCACTAGTAGTCAATTCGGTCGCATACGGAGTCAAAGCTGCCGCGGGAGATACTCCACCTCACACATCAGGTCCGTCAAAATCTCTTGCAGCAGAACAATCAACGCCCGGTCAAACTGCAAAAAACGGGCCCCCCTCTTCGCGGTCAAATGCCAGTCAGATCCAGGCTCGGGATGATGAACATGTGCAGGCAATTTGTCGTCGACATCTTGAGCGGGGATATAAGAGTCCGAAACTCAGGCATCCAGAGTTTAAGAAAATGGTTCTTGATAGATTCAATACTCTGTCTGGTGGTTATTAATTAATAAAAGACCGCTATCCAACGGAAGAGATTCGATAGGCACTAACCCATATAAACGAAACCTCAGATCAATGTACATAGTAATGCCAGTAGTAGTCAGGGGAAGGTGGACCCAGTCCCGGTGGATATCCAACCGGAATCGTTCCATTCAACTTTCTTGACGATCCGCGCAATCAAGGGCATCCTCGCTGCTATCCGAGCCCCACCCAGCGCATCCATCAAACTGATGCCGGAGCCACACGGCTATCAGTATCTAGGTCCAAGCCAGCAGTCAGTCTAAGTTGCAGCTTACTTGTCCAACCTGCCCCCAACAGACCAGGACAAAATGCGACAAAATCCTTGGCAACCCCGCAACAACCAATTTTGTACTACAGACCCTGATCTTACCTATTCCCCCTTCCCCCTACAAAACAAGCCCTCTCTTCGCCAAACACACCACCTTCTACCCAATCACACCAACAAACCCCTCTAACCCCTTATATTCCAAACCACAATGGGCCAAACCCCCTCCACCCCCAAACCCGGCACCAAACTCCAAGTCATCGGCGCGGGCCTCTCCCGCACCGGCACCGCATCCTTCAGCGCCGCCCTATCCATCCTCCTCCACGGCCCCGTCTACCACGGCGGCACACAAACCACCATCGGCCCCCCCACCGAAATCACCACCTGGATCACCATCCTCAAGCACCTACACACCTCTACGCCCTCCTCCCGCCACCAAGCCCTCACCCTCATGGCCCACCTCCTAACCGGCTACGTCGCCATCACCGACTGCCCCGGCGCGCAACTAATCCCAGAACTACTAGACCTCTACCCAGACGCCAAAGTCATCTGTACAGTGCGCGATCCTATCGCATGGGCGAAAAGCATGACCCGGGTTAGAGATCTAGTTCGGGGGAAGAGGTTTCTACGGGCTGTGTTCTTGCCCTTGCCTGGTATGAGACACTTTGTGGAGTATGTTGGCTTGATGAGGGTTCAGTGGCAGAGGGTGTATGGAGGAAGTGGGGGGTTGGGAGGGACGTATGAGAGACATGTTGAGTGGTTGAGGGAGATTGTGCCCGAGGAGAGGTTGGTGTTTGTGGATGTGAGAGATGGTTGGGAGCCGATTTGTAGGGCTTTGGGGAGGGAGGTGCCCTGCGGGGTGCCGTTTCCGAGGGTTAATGATGCGGAGGCGATTAGGGGGTTGGCGAGGTGGCATGTGTGGAGGGGGTTGGTGAGGTGGGTTGGTGTGTTGGTGGTGGTTGTGCTGTGTGTATGGTTTGTGTATGGTTTGTGGGGGTGAGAGGTTGATGTAGTTGGTATTTTGGAGAGGTGTGTTGTGTAGATGGATGGGAAGTGTTAGGTGGTTGGTAGGGTTACTTGGGGTTAATTTTGGACAGTTGGAATAAACCCTTGGAATATTAGTTTCAATCTACTTAGTGATTTATTTATGTCTATCTACTATGAAGTAGACGTGATTGGTTCAATCCAACCGAACCCGAACCCGAGCCGAACCCGAGCTTGAATCCACACAAGATCGGCAAAGAGTACGAACACCTCCCCACTACTGATTTATGCAATGGAATCCAAGCGTAACAATCTTGTGCATTATTTTTGAGTTGTATGATGAGCCCCTTTCTATATATAGGAGATGGTGACAGGCACTTGAGAGTATAGCGTCTTTGACAACTGAAATCCATTTCATACTACATTCCACTTCATCTTCACTCAGTCATCAGAAACATCCACTTATTGCCATCACAATGCAACTTCTCCCAGAAGCCACCTACTACTCCGACCCCGCTTCTCACATGAAGCACGACATCCAGACAGAACTGGTATTCCGGAAGCGCACCAAGAACCGCCATCAGATAGTCGACCTCACTACAATGACCCCCGAGGAATACGCCCCGATCGAGCAAACAAAGCAGGAAAAGCATTCCGTGCTAGTTCACGATATCAGGGGCGAGGAATACAAGTATACGCTCGATACAAATGGATTCCAATACATCCGTGACGAGGTCCTCGAGCTGAGGGGATGTTCTGACGACGAAGAGATAAAGAAGATTCTGCTTCCGGAAACAGAACATCTAGTTCAAAAGATGTAAGCATCATCAACATCCACGTCCAGATATATCAAAGCTAACAGAGCATGGCACAGAACCGGCGCCAGCCGAACAATCACATTCGCCAATCGCATCCGCTGTTTCTCCACGGATGAAAATCAAATGGCAGCGAGCCAGGCACCGGCCCGAAGTGTGCATTCTGATTTCTCTGTCGCTGGGGCATGGCATCTGCTGGAAAGCGTGATCACGGATCCGACGGAACTTGCAACCCTAAAGAAAGGTCGAGTCTTGGTGATTAATGTGTGGCGTCCGTTGAAGACCATTCGGAAAGATCCTTTGGCGGTGTGTGATTGGTCGTCGGTCGATCTACAGAATGATTGGATTTCTACCCGGATGGTTTTCCCACATGGATGGAACGAGCTCGGAAATCTTTGTTATGGGGAGCAGCAGAAGTGGTGTTATCTTAGTGGGCAGACGCCGGAGGAGCCGTTGGTTTTTAAGCAGTTTGATAGTGCGGAGAGTGGGAATGGGGGGATGATGGTGCCGCATACTGCGTTTGAGGATGGGGATACTGTTGGGTGTGAGCCGAGGGTGAGTATTGAGATTAAGATGTTTGCTTTTGTTCCGGAGAGGGGGTGATTGTACTTGTGTTTGGGTTATGGTTTTTGGTAGTTGGGATAGATTTGGTTCAGAGACGAGTTTGGAAACTTTTATCTTCTATTGTATTAGTGTTCAATGAGCAGATTTCCAATTCTCTTCATCCCCTTCCATGACAGTGAATTTGATGAATACTGTTTTTATTTTCTAGGAATTTTTCATATCTTCACATGGATTGGACCTTACAAAAGGATCAGTTTCAATAATTAGTTCTAAACCTAATCATTAAAGGAACCAGCCAAAGCCCCCAATACTATCCATGCCAGTTCCCAAAGAGCCCAGACTTGGTTTAGGGCATCAGATTTCGGCCTTTTCTAAGAAGAGGTTCGACTTCCCATCAAAACACGAAAATACGCAAGTGCAACACTCACCTCTTGGCTTGATACTGTTTGACGGGCGCCTAACTATTGACGAATCTCGGAATAGAATATGGCTAATGGCCGTTGATGAACTTCCGAGCGGGTCGGGTTCGGATCCTGAAGTGGATCTTGTAGGGTTTGCACGCCCCACCCCGTTAGACTTTGGGGCGTGTGTTGTACACCCTCATTCTCGTGCAAATTTCATGGCTGCCTGGCTGAAAATAGCACTTCCGACGCCTGGGCCTTAATCATGAGACATTATCTGTCGATCTAGTGGCCCTGTAGATCAAACGCCATGTCTATAACTTGAACATGATCTGCTATCGTGCTTTCTGTTCGTGCCAGAAGTATCACAGTCATCCGTTCTGCAGCAAGAAAAAGACAATCCCTCATTTTATCGTACATCCTCTTCGAAATTATCTGCCACAATGACCACTGCCTACTATGCATACACACCCAGCGCCATCCCAGCCATCATCGGAGTTGGGATCTACTGCACACTAGCAGCAGTGCATTCACTTCGCGTCATCTCCACCAAGGCCTGGGACGGGTCTTTTATGATATTTGGCAGTTTCTGTAAGTTACCCCAATCCTGACTACAATCAACCATCCTAATCATCACAGTTCAAGCAATGGGCTGCGGCGCACGCATCCTATCCTCCCACAACAAGTACGAAAAAGGCGCATGGGCCGCACAATACGTGCTTCTTATCTGGGGCCCAGCGCTTGTCATGTTCACCGTCAATCTAACCAGTGTGGAATTCACCAAAGCCATTGGAGCCGAAAAGAAAGTCCTCATCAAACCGCGCATCGCACGACCCCTCTACTTCACCATCAACACCATCCTCTTCCTGCTCCTAAGCATCGGAGTCGTTATGAAAGTCACCGCTGCCACCGAAAAACTCCAGATGGGAACCACTCTGACCAAAGCTGGTCTAATCATCCAGTTGCTTTTCTGGCTGTTTACCTTTATTGAGAATCTTGTGATGACGATTCGTCTGGGTCGGGATCCTAGCAAAGAGTCGCTGGAGGTAGTTCCTCAATGGAAACGATGGAATCAGTTGTTGGGTCTGGCGACTTCCATTATTGCTATGGGGCATAATGTTGTTCAGTTGACGCAGATGGGCATGGCGTCGGATGGATTTATGAATGCTACCGAGTGGCCGGCCTACGCGTTTGATATTTATCAGTTGGCGGTTGTGTTGGGGGCTTGGGGGATTTGGTATTTGCCCGGTCGGTGTCAAGCGGTGGTTCCTAAGCGGAAGGGTAATTGGGGGTTGATGGCGAGTGAATATCAGCTTACTGAGTCGCGTAATGTTGATTATCCGGATACTAGATATGGGGCTTAGGGTTGGTTTGAGGAGGTTGAGGATTGATGATGATTTTGTATCCAATTGTTTTTGTTTTCAATGTTAGTCTTTTACTCGTATCTTTACGGAGAATGATTAGACTCTTTATGATAACTCGAAGTTATGAGATTCATGGTTTACTCGCGCATTGGCTTATAGATTGGTACTGATCTCTACAGCTCAACATGTAGTGTTAGTAAAATTCTTCATGCCTAGTTGAGCCTCATTTAGGCATTGTTTAATTGCTCCAATCTTTAAAACTTTGATAGCAGACTGGGTTGACCCACTGTGGAGATCCGAACCCGAACCCGAATGCGAGCCCTGTTCCACCCGTCGATCATCTGCAACAAAATGCCGATAATTTGGTTTCATCCGAACTCTGCAACAGGCTCCCATGTTTGGACAGCCACACGAATTCAACACTTCAAATCATAGATGATGATCAGATATCATTCTCGACAACCGTTTCGTGCGACATGGAGCAGCCCGAAGGCAACAAGATTCTATGGACGTGGGGCACCATGCCCACGAGGATATAAAAGCCCCAAGCGATGCGCAGATGAATGTGATCCAGAAACTACAACTATCCTGGGAACCTGCAATGAAGTCTCTTTCACTATTCCTACATCTCTCCTCGGCTCTGGGGTCTACAACCCCCAGTCTCAATCAGCGAAGCAGAAACGACTCCTGTGCTGCCGTTAGCACCGTCCATTTACAAACCGGTGCAAAATGTGCCTGCAGCAAGCTTGCTACATCCTACCCAGACTTCATGATCTTCCCTGGGTCAGCCAACTACACCACGCAGGTCACAGACTACTGGGATGTCCGAGCCGACCTTGACCCGGCGTGCATCTTCCTCCCCACCTCAGCAGACCAAGTGGCAGATGCAGTCTCCGTGTTCACCACTTGCCAGGCCCAATTTGCCGTTCGAGGAGGCGGACACATGAACGTATGTATCCCAACCCTTCTCTTAAATCCTACTAACGAACCAGTACCCCGGATCCAACAACATCAATGGTGGTGTCCTCCTCGCCTTCAACCACATGACCGACTACCAAGTCCACAACGACACCATCGACGTCACCCCCGGAATGACCTGGTACAACGTCTACTCAGCCCTGGAGCCATACGGCCGCGCAGCCATCGGCGGTCGACTCAAGACCATCGGCGTCCCAGGCCTTACGCTCATCGGCGGCGTCTCCTACTTCATCAACAAATACGGCTTCGCCATGGACAACGTCGTCAGCTACGACGTGGTTCTGGGAAACGGAACCCAAGTCATCGCCAACGCCACCTCCAACCCAGACCTCTTCTGGGCCTTGAAAGGCGGCGCGAACAACTTCGGCACCGTCACCAAATTCACCCTGAAAACCTACTCCATGCCACACATCAGCACCACGATCCAACAATTCAACGAATCAGCCGTCTACGACTTTATCACAGCGACCTGCAATCTGGTCCTAGCGGACAGTGAGACCACCGTCGCGGGGGGTTCAGTCCTGGATATCACCTACAATGTCACGACAGGGGATGTCGCACCTTTACTACTCGGCGTTCAGGAAGGAATCAGCAATCCCCCATCCATGTTCACTAATTTCACGGCTATACCGGGAGTAAGCAAGACCAACAACGTCACGACCTCCAAGCAATGGGCTTCGAATCTGGATTCTCCGAAGCAAATGTTCCGGTATGTTTTAACCCCACATTCAACTTACCATGCCCTAACCCACAACGAAAGTGTTCTATTCGGCATGCACGCAATGTACCCCGACCCAAATGTCCTCTACACCATGTACCAGACCTGGAAATCTGCAATAGACACCATCGCCGACGTAGAAGGTCTTTATCCCACCTTCGTCTTGAACATTTCCCCCGCAAGTGCTGCCCGAGTAGCACAGACAAACGGAATCGGTAATGTCTGGGGTCTTGATGATGAACCGTTGATTTGTAAGTACCTACCCTACCCACTCCCCCAAGCAACAGAACTAATATTAGGCATGTAGGGTGGCAATTCAGCACCGGCTGGGCCAACGCCGAGGATGATCTCCGCGTCGAGGCATGCATCCATCAGCTCACCGAACACCTCCACGGCATCAATAAGCAGAACGGGCTTGCAAGAGACTTCATCTACATGGGCGATGCGGGAGAATGGCAGGATCCGTTTGCTGGGTTCCCTGCTGAGAATGTCCAGCGCATGAGGGAGATTCGGGGGAAGTATGATCCGTTGGGGACGTTTTCGAGGTTGAATTGGGGTGGATTCAAGTTGGGTGTTTAGGTCGATTTATTGGAACCTATTCATTCATCTTGGAATTGTTCCACCAGCCAAGATATCTCTTTTGATCTAGTTGGGATATTCTATCAGATTGTGTGTGATGGGTGGAGAAAGTGGTGGGACTGTACAGTTGATAGTAGGACGACATATCTGAGAAACCAAACATACATGATTAACACTACTTCACATCTACACCATATACCCCCCAACCTCTCTAAATCAAAGAAAATACCTCCGCAACAACTCCTCCGTAAACTCCCAAATCTGCGGCGTGCTAAAACTCTCCCACGTCCCCGCCGTATAATAAGTCCTCCTTACCCCCTGCAACGCATTCAACTCCCGATAAAACCCCTTCCTAATCGCCTCCCCCCCCACCGCCAAATCATACGGACTATGATCCCCCAACGCCAAAAACTCCGGCTCCGGGAACTCCACGCCAGACCTCTTCCTTATACTCTCCAAATCATGCAAAATCCCCCTCTTCACCTCCTCCTCCGACAACGCCGTGTGGCTCATATAATTCGCCACCTTCAACTCCCCATCATCCGTTGGCTTGAGCTGCAACATCCCCGGTAACCGGGGCAATAGGAACGGATCATCCGCGCCCCGGTTCATGTAACAGGTGTTTGTCGGTAGGCCTTTCACTCGGATCAAGGCTGTGTAGAAGAACGTGTAGTGGAATTGGCTGAATAGGTTCTTTTCTTGGGGACTTAGATCGAAGGCCGACATGCCGGGGATGCTGGGTTGGATTGCCACGATCAACCTTTCCCCCTTTACCGTTACCACTTCTCCGTCTGATTGCCTGAATGTGACAACCACACCTGAGGAATCATCCCTCACCACGCTCAAAACCCTAACTCCAACCATCACCCCCCCAGAACCACTCAACTGCCTCTCCGCCCTCTCATACAACAAGCTATTATCCCTCCCCTCGGGCCTCACAAACCCCTTCCTCCCCCCCTCCAACACATCCCGATTCATAAACTTCATCACATACACCGTTGGCTTATTTGGCCAGTCGCCTAACGGATCAATCTGCGCCCCTAGTTCTCTCAACGCATCTAACAGCCCATGTTCGGCCATGAATTCCCCAAACGGCTTTAACAGTTCCTCCGGGACGGGGTCGGGTAACTCCCACCCCACTTTTAGATAAGGGTATTGGGCTAGTATATCCATGTAGCGGTTCATAGCGGCAGTGGAGACGTTACTGGATGTTGGGGGGATCGGGGCTAATGTGGTGAAATCGAACATGTCGGTGGGGAAGTCGAAGGCGGAGTAGCTGAGGGGGATGTTGAAGTGGGTGAAGAAGGACCGCACGATGGAGAGGTTCTGGTAGTAAGTTACCCCGTAGTCGATGGGAAGGTGCGTGGCGGGGAGGTGGTAGGTGGTTGTTTGGCCTCCGAGGCGGGGTTTTTGTTCGAGTAGGAGGACGGAGTGGTTGGTTTGGTGGAGGCGGATGGAGGCGTAGGTGCCTGCTGGGCCGCCGCCGATTATGATTGTGTTGCGGGTTAGGGTTGGGTTGGTGGATGTGGTTTTGGGGGTGAAGAGGAGGAGGAGGGTTAGGGTTAGAGTGAGGGTTTGGAGGAGGGGTGGGTGAGGGGGCATTTTGATGGGGTATTGGATTAGGTGTGTTGTTTTTAGGGTTAGAGGGAAAGGATCCCGGGGGGGGGGATGGTTAGGACATGGATGAATGTATTAATGGTAGTGAGGGGGAAGAAAAAAGGGTAAAGGTTCACAGGGAGCACTGCATACAGTAGATATAGTTTCTACCACCAGTGAAAAAAGTACCTAATCATATGACTCAAGTAAACGCAACATCGTATTCGGACTGACCGCTGCTGACTCGGACTGGTTGAAATAATGATAGTGACTGTATATTGTTCTTGGTGTACACTAAGCTATGAATTCCTTGGTAGGATGAGATGAAAGTGGGCCGAGCTGAGATAAGCTGCAGTTGAATCACGGCGGGTTTGGAATGGTGGTACAGAGGGACGCTGAGTTACTGTCTGCAGGTGATGGTCTGATATGGTGATAGTGATCATGTCGTATGATTCTGGAGTGGTTGCTTTTTCTGGTTGGGATGGTGATGGCGATGATGGTGCGGATTGCTCCTTCTTTTGGGTTGATGATGATGATGATGATGTTGTTGTTGTTGTTGTTGTTGTTGTTGTTGCGAGTTGGAATATCTTGTGCTGAGAATCTTCATCTTGTGTTGTTTGAGTCTTATTAGTGTTGATCACAAGGATTCGTGTTGTATTCGAGGATATATTGAGAAGTGATCTTCCTGCAAAGTGAGGATATCATTTCCTGGTAGTTCAGATGGGGTTACTGTAAATGACGCAGTAGGCCATACAGGTGAGGCTCGTTCAAGCCTAATCCCCATGAGCACATGGCGATTTGATTACCACGGCACTAGGTAATTGTCATCTGGGAGAAAATGTAACCATTTTAAAGACAGAATCCAATGCATCCAGATATTTACTATCTCAGCACCAAGACAAGCGGCAGACAACCTGCTCAATTGAATACATCAGCTTTTCCCACCAATGTCTCTCATTCCGCTGCCTACTGACTGTTTCCTACATATCATCAGAATAAATGGAAGGACTGCATTCCAGATCCTTCCCCTTCCTTGTCCTGTATCCATGAACCATAGGGTTTTCGTCAGGCAGCAGTTCTGGACCTGAAGAAATGTCCTCATAGGAACCATGGTCTCCGATACCTCTGGATGCGCCCATGGGACTGCCCGAGTCGCTATCCATACTCGCCACATCTTTGTTATCATCAGAGCTACTATCATGACCCACAACCTTCGGACTGGAGCCTAGATTTGCACCGGAGTCATCGGAAATCATACCATAACTATCATCCGCACTAGGAGTGTCGGGATTCTGGGATGGAGTAAGACCCAATTCATGGGGGCTAGGACTATGTGTCCATTGAAGCGAGTCAGTCCCGGAACTGTCCCCACGACTAGAACTCCCACGAGCCCTCATTTCAGAGGCCCGGGAATCTTCCTGAATTACCAGTTTCGGGACATCGCCTGGGTGCACAGGCTGGATATCGATCGGAGTTCCGGTATTTGGCTGGAGTCCCCATTTAACTTTCATGTCATCCAGAAAAGCCTTCACCTCGGACCTATTTTGATCAACTATCGTCTTGTCGTGTACGTCGTACAATGCCATCAGGCTACATTCAAGTCCGAGTATAATTGGTCCCTCGTGAATATCCACGCCTTCCACCCTGGCCTGGTTGATGGTCTCCATCAGGATTCCGTCCAACTTTTCTATATAAAATTCGACATTGGTCCCTCTCAACACAGCCCCATACACAGGGTATTTTGCGTCTGGCTTTTCCCTTTTTTCCTGGGTTTTTATTTGTGGAGGTCTTGCGTCTGTCTCTTTTCCTTCTTGGTCTTTAAATATTGCGCGTCGAACTGGTTCCTTGTTCTTAAGTCGTTGCAAAGGTCTTGCGTCTTGCTCCTTTTTTGCTTTGGCGATTGCGCATCGGACTGCTTCCACAGACTCCTCGTTTAAAAGGCGTCTCTCGTATCCAGGGGTCTTGCCATGATCATCGCTACATATGAGAACCAGCATAGGACCCCTTTCGCTATGGGACATGATGAGGGCGCCATACGGGAGGCGCAGCGAGGATTTCCTGAGTATAATATTCACTTGGACATCCGGTTCGATGGTGTCTTTCTCTGCGCTACCGCCCTGTGACGTATCTCCTCGGAAATAGTCGATCAAACGTTCCCCCCAGCGTTCAAGGTAAATCTGATAACAAGGCATTTCGGAATGTAAAAATGGTGAATTAAATAAGAGGGTTCACAACGCCGGCTTAAAACCTGCTTTAGACTAAAGATTCGATGCAGAAAGAAAGAAGTTCGTGCGACACAAAGTCCCTTTATACCCTTCAGTCGTACTTTCCAGGTACATTCCTTGGGTTGTTCCTTCCGTCTGGAAATTGGTACCCTTGCTGCCACCCTTATATGGCAAGGGACTTGCCACTTGGCTTCAACTTTTGTGTGACATGGTGTTTCGCGGGAAGAGTGCGAATCTTTCTTATATACCCGAGTTTCAGAGGATGCAACTCTCCGATTTTGGTGGTATATGTTCGGATTTTTCGGATTTTTAGTTAAGAGAGTCTGTATGTATTCTTGGTTCGCTTGGGATTTCTGTCGATATAAGGACTGTCTAGGCAGCCATACGACTTTCTGATTAAACTGATGACTACGGCTGGGTGCTGATCAGTTCTTGATGTCAATATTTATGATGGCCTTATCGGTGAAAAACAATAAAGTAGATCTATACAGAGGTCGAGGGAATTTTTCTACAAATGGCATTTATAAGATAATAACCAATCAAATTCTATGGTTTATAGTACAGAGGCCTTTCCGATCAACGTGGCCTATCATATGTATACATCTATCTAGCCGACTTTTCGCATTTCAACATGCCCTACCGTGCAATTCGGAGAATAGAAAGACGACATGGGAGATGATAAAAAGTAAGAAGACGAATACTTTTACCCAAAGCAGAGAGACAAAAGAAGAGTGAAAGATGCACCGAAAAACAAGAAAAGTTACATCTCAAACCTACTCCCGCGTCTCAACAGAAAAAGACCCATGTAGTCTAAAATCCCTCGAACTCGCCCCAACAAACACCTTATACTCCCCAGCTGCAATACGCCATTGTTGCGAGATAACATCCCAGTAGGAGATATCGCGACGATGGAGATCAAACGTGACCGTTTTCTGTTCACCAGTGCCGAGCTTCACGCGTTCGAAACCACGGAGTTGGCGGAGAGGTTGGTCGGCGGAGTCTGGGAAGCTGAGATAGAGTTGAGGGATTTCGGCTCCGCTTAGGGACCCGGTGTTGTGGATGATTACGGAGATGCTGTTCACGGTGTGCCAGAGGTCGTTGTAGCCGCCGACGGCGAGGTGGCCGGTTGGGGCGGCGGAGAGGGTAGGGTTTTGCTTAGAGATGGTGAGGTTGGAGTAGGAAAAGGAGGTGTAGGAGAGGCCGTGGCCGAATGGGTAGCGGGTTGTGATGTTCTGGGCGTCGAAGTAGCGGTAGTCGAGGTAGACGCCTGGATGGGGTTAGTTTGGTGGGTGGGTTGAATGTGGGAATGTGTAGGGCTTACCTTCGGTGAAGTTGCATTGGGAGGTGTAGCAGAGGTTCACATTGTAATCGCTTTCGTTCTTTGGGATCGAATAGATCAAACGGCCGGAGGGATTGACGTCGCCGTAGAGGACATCCACGATTGAGTTTCCTGATTCTTGGCCGAGAAGAGATCCGTACAGTACTGCTGTCACGTTATCGTGCTCGATCCATTGATCGAGGAGTCTGGGTCCCACGGTGTTGATCACGACGATTGTGTTGTTGCAGTTGTCGGCGACGGTATTGACCATTTTGTCTTGGTCGGTGTTGTAGAGCTCCATCCGGTCCTCGCCCTCGCCGGCAAGTGCGTTCAGGAATACGATGCAGACGTCGGAGTTACTGGCGTAGGTTGAGTAGGAAGGTGAGACGGCTGTACTGCCAGCGACTGATGGGATGAGGGAGGATCCTGCAGTTGATGTGTAATTGTCCTTTAGGATCCAGTTCAGGATAGTTCCGTCTTCGGTGGCTTTGACTGTCAGAGGGACCAGGGGGGTTACTAAGTAAGGGTAAGATGCTTGTCCGGAGCCGGAGCCTGTTGCTAGATGCCCTTGATAGGTTGGACCAGAGCCATCAATGGAAAGGTCTTGATTGGGACCAGCGACATAGGCACCGGCATGAGCACCGAAGATGCTCATCCTGCGAACTGCCTTCAAAGGAAGGGCATTATTCTTGTTCTTCAGCAAGGCCATAGACTGAGCGCCGTATTTGCGGATTAGCTTGGAATGATTGCCTCTCACATCAACATAGGCACCATCGGATTGCTCGGCAGGTTGAAGACCATTGTCCAAGTTGGAGTAATAATATCCGATCATGTTTCGGATAGTCATGTCGTTGAGACGTGCCTCCGAGAGAGTACCATTCGCGAGAAGAGCTTTCATGACAGAAGTGGACCAGTAAGTGCTGTCTCCGTAATCCTCACCATTATTGACGGTCTCGGCAGTTTCAGTGCTCTGGGCCTTTGTATCAGGATACACCAGTCCTGGGAAGCCAAGCTCCGTCTTCAAGTGTTTCAGGAGTAGATCAGAGTTCTGACAAGCGAGGGTATTGTTGACTTTGGTCATCGCGCACATAACGGCACCGAGGCCGTTCTTCACCGCATCATAGAACGGCCAAAGATAGGTCTCGTGCAGGGTCTTATCGTCGGTGTTGGAGGAATACGGAAGGGGACCGGACGCCGGATTGGGACTAATACTGCCTGCATCATTGGTCCGGTTGGTCTCTTGCTCATAGAGAATAAAATGCTGTCATTAGATGTCAGTCTATCAATAGTTTCATGGACATCTAAGCGGACGACAAGCTTACCTTGGCTCCGGAGATGACGCCAGTATCAACATAGCCCTTCACAGCGAGACCAGTGGCCAACCCATTGAGATATGGATCCGGACCAAATGTTTCACCGAATCGACCTCCCCATGGCGTTCGACCGATTGGTTGAGAGGTTGGTGCGTTCAAGATCTGAATGCCTTTCTTGTAGAATTCGGTGCCCACTGCTTTGGCCTGCTCATAGTAGGCATCCTGATCCCAGGTCATTGCGATGGCAGATGCTAAGCTGAACGCTGAAACATAGTTAAAGTCTTGCAGTCCCATATCACCATCGGCAAAGACCAATGCCGAGAAGGTTTCATTTGTAGCAGATGTGACACTGCTGCCGGTGATTAGGGCCAATTTCTGCTCGGTGGTTAAGTTTCCAACAAAAGTAGAGGCCTTGTTGTACGCAGATTCCCAGTCACCAAGGGCCACTAAATTCGGTCAGCGTTATGCCGGTGTATCATCATCTTCATTCACCATAGAATGGGCTGAGAGTGCTCACCGCCATTGGCCTTGAGCAGACCCGAGGTTGAAGAGCTCGGAGAGGCTGCCGCGAGACCTAGCAAGGCCGTCGCCGTAAGAAGCGTGATATCTTTCATTCTACAGAGGCTTTGACATAACGAAAGAAAGGGAATGGATAAGAAAAAAGAAGAGGCCGACAGTGATCGGCTCAATGATCTAGTGAAAGGTAACCAATGAGGAGCCGGCCGTATTTATATTGAGTCCAGAAGAATAACTCGCATTTGTATCTAGTTCTAGGGCCATTCTTCCACGCATGTTAGCTGGTCGATCAATAGATAGCACCGGAGAAAGGATTTCCGCTTAGTTGATGAGTGACCCACCGCAGTTGTGGCCCTGTCAAGTGTTAAGAGTTTCTGGGCCTTTTGCTCCGTGTTTAGTCCGGACCCCGAACAATTCGGATAAGCCGAGCAGTTTCATCTGGGGTTGAAAAAGTTCATACCATGGAATGATGAAACACGGATGCACGGCTGGAATGACGCGTCGGAACCGCGAATTCCGAAACACGCGAATTCGGGCTCGGCACAATTGCCGAGTCGGAATGAAAGATTAGAGGTCCTGATGATTTTCGATAGGGAAACTGCATGTAATACGGTACGAAAAGCTCCACAGCAGAAACAGGGGATCCGACGGTGATAATCATCTTCCTATTGCATTGGTGATAAGCTGATGCCGAACAGTGGATCTTGCTGAGGTTAGTGGCTTCTCCACCCGTTTCAGACTTTCAGTAATGCACATGCACGGCAATGTCTAAATCATCTGCAGGGCCACCCACCTCGGATATTGAAGTGGCTTTGGCAGCCAGGGCTGAGCCCAAAGGGCATGAAGGTTCTACAAAGGCAGTAAGGATTGTCATCCATTCTCCAATCAGAAGACGAATGGCCCAAGTTCTGGCTGCATGCTCTCTCTAATCGGAGGTCCACTCAAGCAGAGTTTTGTTTTCCCCGTGCCCCAGGTGAATGGATATAAAGACAACTTACGCACCAATGCTGATACAGATCTGTTTAACCGGCAGTTGCTGCGGTGGTAGGGCTCCGCAAATCCATCACGCTCTTGAATCAAGATAAATAGAGCGCTGCGACGGTTGTACCCACCCAGCAGCAGGCGATGCTGCCAAGCGCCGCCACGGAAACAGTCCAAGACATTTCTCTGAGTACAAGCCACCCTGGACTGCTCGATATTAAGTATCCTGGAAGCCGCTGGTATATGCAGGAGTTCCAGAATACCAGACGAAGGTGGGAGTGTTGCATCGATGAAACATAATCGCTCGAGAAGTGCCCACTCCTTGTTGCGAGAGCACTTAGGGACCATGAACGAAAGGAATAAATTGGGACAGAACGGCATGTTCCGCCCTGACTTTTGATCTCTAGTACTCCTCGACGCTCTCTTACCCGACTAGCGGCGTGTCGAGGCAATTTTGCCGAGGTTGAAATGAAACCGACGCACCAGCAGCCCAGGTGCCACCAGGATGTTGCTCGAGAATGTAATCCCCTGCTCGCTCTGCTCGCGAGTACCTTCCTCTCGTTATTGGTATTGGCCGGTACCCCGAAGATGGGGCATCGTGATAAGGGAATTTGCTTACTCGATATCTTCGTGAAAGGCAAGTTAGTCAATTGCGCGCGGTAGTAACCCCCGGGCTGGTATGGCAACGTACTTAACCAACATTTCCCAGCATAGGTGGTTCGAAAGCGTTGCATAATGTTGTCAATGTCGCCCATATCGTCTCGGTAGTCACTGGATTCTTCCTATACAAATGGGTGCAGAGGTGCGACCGGGTCCCTTGATCCATCCAGAGTCGGAGCGAGTGATTGCACCTATCTAAACAGTCGCGTGGGAAGGATCCTCACCATCATTGCTCGCCTGTTTGTTATAGTAGATGGGAGATGTTGCCCAACCTGCAACTGAAACTGTGCCTAGACCTCACTGACCTCGCCGGGTTCGACTTGCACGCGCGTGGTGCGTCGTTTCCCGAGAATGATGTGCTTCTTGGTAACATCTGGTGGCATGATTAGGATTTTTTTGCGGCCATTATGAGACTGGCTAGATGGCGAAAAGATGTTCGAATCCGCGGTGGTTAACTTGGTGAAGTAATGTTATTGATTGCGACAGGTTGCGATAAGAGAACTCGCACGTGATTCCTTATCCGGAGCCGGATGAACCTAGTCCGTGAATTTCTGCCTTGCGGGTCAGGCTCTCAGTGTTCCTCCCCAGCTTCACCATTCAGCATCTGCTGCCATTGTATCATTTCTCCATCCATCGCACTGCATGCCCGGCGAATGAATATGAGAGGCCACGATGGGTTTGTAAATTCTTTGGTTACTTTAAGACCACATCACTTTTTATGGTCTGTCGCGCTGGTACTATTCCGTAGTCTCTGCCCCAGCCTTCAATACTATATTTGGGCAGGTCCAGCATGCGCGATAATCAGGATCCCCAAACACGATCAGCAAATCGGCCCAAATCATCGTCGAGGTGCTTGAATCCTCACCGGTGTCATCCTGAATTCAGCCAGGGTCCAGATCGGCTCAATACAAGATTGAAAGCTTAAAGCGAGGCCGAACCCCTCCCGCTGGTGTGTTGCCATCATATGCGCGGCGCACGCCATAGCGCCCTTGCACCAGCCATGACCCCCCAAGCTTTATCTACCGACCGGGATTATCCACCATGAATCCAAGACCCTCTATCACAGGCTGATGATTATTTTCTCGGCCGGGATATGTATAACGCCATCACGGCCAAGAACCGCGTGACAGTGACGAGCATGGCGAGCTCGAAGATCATCCCCAACCGGCAGTTGCATACATAAAGCACAGCACCGAGACTCATGGCGGTCGCATCGGCAATCCGACACTGTAGGTCTACATTTGCTGCGCGTCGCATTAGTTCAGCATGGCAGCGGTCGAATTGGTCACCCAGGGGACGGCCTATGGCCTCCTTATCGGTCTCGGAGTCCTCTTCTGCGGTGTGATTCTGGTGGCGATCAAAGTCCAGAAAGCATATCTGTCCGAGGACTCGAACACCTCGGAGATGTTCATGGTCGCAAATCGGTCGGTTGGCACGGGATTGACAGCTTCTGCCGTCTTCTCATCGTGGATGTGGATCAACGAGACAGTGCTCTCGGCCGCAATGTGCTATCGTTATGGATTGGCAGTTCCGCTGGTATGTCTTGAAAACCGCCATCTTCCTGCAGAGGCTAAGCAAGTTTATTGATAGTGGTGGGGATCCGGGCTCTGCTTTCAGATTGCCTTGATGGCTGCTTTGGGCGTCATGGCCAAGATTCGGGTGCCCTATGCACATACATCGCTGGAAATCACTCGCATGCGATATGGCTGGGTGGGACATGTCATTTACATGATCTTGAATCTGACCAACAACGTGTTTGGCTGTGCTTCCATGATCTTGACCGGCTCGCAGCTAATCCACGGTGTGTCGGGCATGAACTTTGTTGCTGCCACCATCTTGATTCCCTTGGGAGGTGAGAATCAAACTTGGCCGCACAGAGAACTCCACTAACGCTGATGGCCTAGTGGTTCTATATACGGCCGTTGGTGGGCTGAAGGCAACCTTTCTTACAGACTTTCTGCACACCACCGTTGCGTTGATCTTGATCATCTACTTCACCCTTTCCGTTCTCACACACCCTGCCATAGGTGGATTGGCCGGCCTTTACGACAAGGTCGTGGCCACCGCGAGCGAAAACTACATTCCCGGCAACTTTGACGGATCGCTGCTCACTATGAAGTCGAAGGGGGCGATTATCTGGGGTCTCATTCTGAAATTCGGCAATTTGGCTCTGGTCGTCATGGTAAGTTCCTACCCTAGTTCTGTCTAGGCAGTCAGCTTACCTGTTGGTAGGACACCGCATTCTGGCAAAAGTCCTTTGCCAGTGAAGTGAACTCCACGGTACCAGCATACAACTTGGCTGCAGTGGCCGTGTTCGGAATTCCCTGGGGCTTGGGTACTGTCATCGGCCTGTCTGCTCGAGCCTTGCACCACACGCCCATCTGGCCCACCTACCCGGTTGATATTACCTCCACAGAGGTCAGCACGGGCATGGTGATGCCCTATCTAGTCAAGGCCCTCCTTGGGGAATCCGGAATGATAGCCTTCTTCGTGCTTCTGTTCATGGCGCTGACCAGTACGGTCTCCTCGTCGATGATTGCCGTCAGCAGCATCCTCTCGTTCGACATGTACAAGACGTACGTCAACCCGGAGGCCAGTGACCGCCGACTCCTTGGGGTCAGCCACCTGGCAGTGGTATTCCATGCCATCTTCATCACGGGCATCTCTATTGCGCTCAACTATGGCGGTGCCAATATGACATGGATCGGTTACTTCCGGCCCATTCTTTCCTGCCCCGGCATCATTCCCCTAGGCTTGACCTTGTTCTGGTCGCGCCAGACCCGTCTGGCTGCCATCCTGTCGCCAGTGCTAGGATTCTTTACCGGTCTTGCTATCTGGCTCGCGACAGCCAAGTCCCTCTATGGCGCCGTCAACATGACCACCACAGGAGAAGAAATGCCTGCGCTTTATGGTGCCATCGGCTCATTCTTCTCACCCGCCTTGTATTCCGTCTTGATCTCTCTATACCGTCCATCGACCTTTGACTGGCGGGAGTTCCTCCGGATAGAACTGGTGGAAGAAACATCCGACACCAATGCTACCGTAACCAAAGAATCCAAGACCGAGGGCGTTTACATCTCCACGGACACTAGCCCGACCTCGACACCAAGTCGTCTCAGCCTGGACGACGTGCGCCACCCTTTCACGGAAGACACCTTGAAAAATCTGTATCGGTGGTCGCGGATCGCATGGATCATGTTTGTGGTCTTGGTCCTTATTACCTTTGTGGCGTGGCCAATGCCGCTTTATCGCAACTACATTTTCACCCAGTCATTCTTCTCAGGATGGACGACGGTCGCCATCATCTGGCAATTCTGTGCCTTTTTTGCCGTCGTCGTCTTCCCGCTATACGATGGACGGTTCGAGATTGCCAAAGGCGTACGGGGAGTGGTGACCTCGACGCGTGAGTTCATTGGGCAGCGGAGAGGACAATCAGGGTAATCAAACACAACCCAATCATTCAATAAATCTATTAAAGAATCTTTGTCTTAATATACAGTAATCCCCACTAGGCCTCATTACTTTTTCTCTTTTTCGGCCTCCCCAGCGAGCTTCTCCATCTGCTCCTTTCTCTTCTTCAACACCTCCTGTATCTCTTCCACGGTCTCCTTCAGAACGCTCTCGGCCTCCTTACCCTTCTTCTCCTGCAACGTCCGAAGCGACTGCAACTGGCTTAGAATGTTCGATCCCCCGGGCACCAAGTTAACCCACTTATCCAGATCAAACGACCAGCTCTGTTGGGCCTTGTCGACCTTCTCCTTCACATACTTCTCCACTTGCTCCGTCTTTCCTGAAGACGCCGACTCCTTAACCAGACCCCACAACTCACTCACATTGCCCTTCTTCAGAGCATCCGCATTATTCTCCACCAACTCCTTAACCTTAGGATTCTTATCCAGATATTGCTTGCTCTCCTCCAACCCCTTCTGCCACACCTCATCGCCCAACTTCTGCAACTTCTCCGTCTTCTCCTGAATCAACTTCCGAATCTCATCCACCGACCCAAGACTAAACCCCTTCTTCACCACCTCCACCACCTGCTCCCTCGTCTTCTCCACCTCCTCCTTCGCCTGCGGCCCATACGCATCCCCCAACTCCTTCAACTGCTCCCACCCCCCACCAACCTTCTCCTGCAACCACGGATGATTATCCAATACATCCCCGGCCGCATCACCAGACAAATCCACCAACCGTCCCAGATGTTTCTGAAGCACATGTAGTGCCTGGAACGCCGTATCGGCATTCGACCCTCCCTTCTTCCCCAACTCCTTCAAGTCCCGATACGCGTCTCGTACAACGGCATCCACTTCAGGTCCATGTCGGCTCTTGACCTTCTCAAGATCACTGAATATAACATCGATTTGTCGACTCGCGCCCGGGATAAACGCCGCATAACTCTTCAACGTATCCCGAAGCCACTCCAGCGCTTTGTCAGGCTCCGGCGCGTTCTGAATAATCCCCTGCTTGACTTGATCGGCGTAGCTCTGCGTCTGCTTCACGGTCTTGACGACAGTCCGCGCACCGGAGAAATGGTACCATGCGTACCCGACTACCAAAGCAACAGCACCGCCAGTAAGTCCACCCGTAAGGGCAGGATTACCACCGCTGGTCGACTCGGACGAGGTAGATTGGAATCTCGCATTGCGGTAACGACCTTTCGTTTGCCATTGGCGTTGCTGTCTCAGACAACAGGTCGCAACTCGGGGGGTTCTGTTCATCATGGTGGTAGATATGATCTTAGTTTGAAGAAAGTATGGAATGGTATGTAAAACGTCAAAATTAATGATCAATTCCCATCGTTGCAATAGATTGGGATATTTATAAGGTCGGGCTCTCTGACTGGTTGGAATACCCCCCGTCAAGATGACGCACGCCAAGAAACCCCGACGTTAGCCTGCTTCCGGCCAGATTAGATCAGATCCATCTCGCTGCCAAGATCTGGTTTGGGGTCGATGATCTCAACGATGGATGAATTGGAATCATGACTTTTTTGGATTCTCCTTGTTACGCTGTATGTACTTCGTAGGAGGTTTGGAGTATTCTCGTCTTCTTACTTATTGTGGTGATTAGTTAGACTGAAGTTCATAGATGAAGATCGATGGATGAGCTCATGACGACATGATCTGGATATATCGATGGCCAAGGTGTGCCTGTGTCACCGCGGACTCCACAGTATACGAAAGGGTCCTACATGACGAGAAACTTGGAAGAGAGCCAATCCCTTGGCATTGTCGCACGGCGGATATGGCTACGACATAGAGGACAAGAAATGATGTCGAGGGTAGTGCGGGAGTGTAGTCATCAGCGTACATTACTTCTCACCCCTGTGGACACTATATACCCTTGTATAGTTTACAAATAAGAAAAAGATTAGTTACCCTCATTGACAGGTTTGCTTGTATTTATGTCTTTAGAGAGGGAATCAATGGTGGAGGAAAAATAAAAAATATCCCTCGACCCGGAGTCGAACCGGGGACTCTCTGATTACAATGCGATATTACAGTCAGATGCCATAAACCAACTAGACCATCAAGGGATTTGCTGTTGACAGTGCATCACATTTATGTAATATGACTTAAAAGCTTACTCGCCTTGGAAGTGCTGCGCCCGTCTGAAACATCAACAACGTCGTTTCCGATATACTCATCTCTCTCTCCTATCCAAGCTAGCCCGCGTCGGCAACCACTTCTGAGCAACCTTTCGGACCTGACGATTTTCAATTCGAACATAGTTGACCATTTTACCCGCCAAGCTTAATGGGCCTAATTGCTCCGTATAGGGCCAGGCGAGCCTATCCAGGGGCCTCGAAAAGCGGGGGTCAAATGTATATTTAGATACTAGGTCCTGGCCAGCGGGAAGTCCGCAGCTCCAAGGCGTTTCGAATTACTACCCTATCAAGAACCATGTAATGCATTTCTAAAATTGTGTAATTATAGACATCCAATGGCATCTTTAAGCGGGGTTTAAAGGCTTTAATCTAGTGTTTTTGAAGGGCTCAACCCAGCACTTTTTAAGGAATTTAACCTAGTGTTTTTGAAGGCTCAATTCAGTGCTCCAAAGGGTTCTGTATTTAAGAATATAGTACTTGATTCAGATATAAGTCTGAATCTATGTAGAGATCTGGTCCAGATCTGTAGTCTGAATATATGTTCTGGGAGAGGTTTAAGTTAATTTTTTTTTTCTAGATTCTCCCCCCCTTTAGAAGGTGAAGCGGTCAGGGCTGGTAATATAGAAAAAAAATCATATTATAAGTCTTTACAGTAATTAATAAGAAGTCTTAAAAGTGTGTTTTAAGAACAAATTAGAAGATTTAAGCAGTGTATTATAAATTGATTAGAAGCCTTCCCGCTGCCTTTCTATTGTAAACTTTTCTTATTTGGGACCTAATCTAGTGTTTCTCAGCGCTGCGCGCTTCGAAAATCATGGAGGCATTTAGTTAGTGTCTCTTTGTAAATCGCTATCTAAGAGCAGAATATGGGCATCAGTGGTTCTTTCATGGCGATTAGGTCTCCGTAGATTTGCAGTCGAAGTTCGAGAGGCTGCCGACCTAGCTGGCCCAAAGGTGATGCCTTCATCTTGACTTCAGGGAAGTACCCTGTCTGGTGGACAGTTCAGTAAGGAGGTAGATAGTAGCTCTCACTCGCTGGGAGTAAGGTAGCATTCAAATGCGATGCAAGAACTTTGTCTGTAGAGGAGAGCGCGAGGAAATCAAGGCCAACTGTTGGGTGACTCGTTGGGGTAGTGCTTCCTGCATCATGAGGTCACTACTTTCATTAATCCTAATATATGACATAGAGTCACTCCTGTCGTCATGCAGTTGAAATACCACCCAAACCTAAGAAATTATAAGTGAGTACATCGCTGCCCACCGGCCGTGGACCTGTTCTAATGCTTTGTTTACCTCCTCGTACCTTACCTCTCACATCTCTTGCTCCACTAATTATCCTGCTGTTATCTTGCTCCATGGCCATACGTTCTTCTCACACAGACACTGATATTTCTCTACGAAGTCCACGATCATCAATAAACCATGGCTTCTGGCGAAGCGTGGTTTCTCGAAAGTTACAGGATTATGCTTTCACCGTTACGGGGATCCCTTATAAGCTTGATTCGATATTTCGCGACGAGACACTTCAATTCGCACAATAGCATGTGGACCGTCTTCGCTTCCGTGGAGGCAGAGGATTAACAGTGTGGGGCTTGAGCGCTGTCCAGACAATATCGACGGAGACGCTGAGAATCAAACCCCGGGATATAACCAGGACACAAGTGGGACAAGAGATATATGGTAAACACAGTCAAGACCTTCGGAACAATAAATCAAGATGATAGGTTTCTATCATCAACGTATGAGAAGATTAAGACTTCATGAATCGGCTGTAAAAAGTGAACTCTCCCCCCATTGAACTTCTCCACATCCGCATACCCAATGAGCACCCTTATGCGACCCACTTAGTAGAGGGATGACAATAGCTGAAAGTTCAAGGGACAAGGGGCCATTCGCCAGGGGCATGCTGGGCCTGGGCACGTCAGGCCTGTCTGTCGAAGAACCGAGTGGCAAGCCCAATAAGAAGACTCCGATCCAGCAGAATATCGTGTTCCCCGTCGTTGTCGGCGGGCCGACCAACAAACGACGAAAACTCCAACAAGATCTCATCTGTGGAAACCACTCTCCAGTTCTCTTCCAGCTTCCAGCCGTGGACTTGAGGGCCGGGTGTACTATTTGTGATTTCGATATGTTGCCGTCGTATCGCAGGGGCGTCAACGTTACCCGAAGTCAAGTCGTGCGTCCCTTTGCCTCTCTTCCAAACATCAATGACTAGATCATTGTCTGGACGGACCTTGATAGAGATACATGCCAGAACAGTGGAGCCAGGGGTATCGATCCAGCGTCTAGCGGAGGTTGCGAGGTGCGTTGTCGTCTCAGAGGCCCCGACTTCTAGAACGACAAATGGGTCGTCTTTGTTTTCGGGCAACCAGCAAGAGTCGGGCTCCTTTGTCCAGTTCCTTATTTCAACGGAGGGCGATGACTGGCAGGATACTTCATTCGCGATACTCATTGAAAACAGTTGTCGATCGATAAGAGACCTGAATAGTCCATTGAGTGATTCATGACGGTTGCTGGGCATCCTAACATGCAGGATCTCTGTGAAGGAGTTGTATGATAACCTGGCTGACTTCAGGGGTCCGGACTCTTCCAACGATAAGATACTGAATTCATCTGCACTGACTCTCAAGAACTTTAGGATCTTGACGTCCGAGTGTAGATATCTGTAGACAAGAGCAGTGTACTTGGACAGCCCTTCGTACTTGAATGTACGTACTGGGGTCGGGGTAGCCGCAGTGGCTATTCTAAGTCTGTTGATGTCTGGAAAGCCGGGGGTTGAATGTGGTTCGGACATGTTGTAAGGTTAAGAGATGATAGTCTTAGTGTGGAGGATTCATAGTTAGGAAAGTGCGAGGCCTCTCCAGGCTGTCCACAACAGGGAGGCTTTGTTTTGTGTTATTACACAAGGACTGTGACATACTCCGGAAGTGACCTCCGCTGTTTGTTAACTGTCACCTGACCTGAAGTTTCGCTAGAGTGAATTTTTTTGCCCGTATCAAAGAAGGGCCTCGATGGGAAGATGATGATTATTATTATTATCGCTTGCTCAGATACATGAAGAAGTGGGAAGAAGGATACGGGAAGTCGGTCGGCCCACGTGCCTGTCCCCTTTTGGCAGGCGCGCTCCCCTACCAAGTCGGGCAACTACCGCAACGAGCAACCGCTTCCCCACTACGTATTCCGTACATGTATAGAAATGAGTCCCGTGCCGAGGACTGGCTGTTATGGTACTGTCACAATACGGGGACACCTGAGTGAAACACTCCCACTTGGATTTGACTGCTTCTATTCAAATCTCCTTCAGTCATGGAAATCCTTCAAAACACCCGACTGCGGGCTCGCGCTTCCGTTTAGGTATGTACCAAGAGGTCGATTAAGATTATCCTGATTAAGACTAGGTACTAAGGCTTCCAATCATCTATATACAGCCCCTCCTCCTTCTTCCTCTCCTTCTCCCCCGCAGCCTTCTACTGCGTGGTCATCGGAACACAACCCCCTCAACAAAGAGATTGCGTACTCGACGAGCTATATCCAAAATACCCACGACGGCTCTCCCGTCTAGCTCCTGGCCACCGCGGCGTTGGAGGCAACAAAGGATCCTGAATCTGTTCGATCGTCACCCGCTCCTTGAAAAATCCGCTGGAGCCAGCGGAGGCCAAGGATCCACGGGCAACGTAGCTCTGGCTCTGGTACTTGCCTAGCCAGAGCATCTGCTCGTGCTCCCGGAGATAACGGTGACTAGAAAAGCTCTTGAGCACATTGTCTCGACCCTGCATACCGAATTGACGACGTTGTTCAACCTTCTCGTACATACGCTGGGAGATCTGCTTGACCTCCTCTGGCGAGGGTCGCAACCCCAGGGATGGGGGCACGTAGCCCTCCTCATCACCGGCAAACTTGCTCCATTCTCCAAGAAGTGCCATGACCCGGATTTGTGCTGAAGCCAGCGAAAAGGCATCGTTAGGTGGGACGACCTCACTGAACTTCTTGCCGGTGTCGCGGTTCATGACAACGCAGAAGGAGGCACCGACGTCGGTACACACCACCGGAACACCTGTTAGCGCGGCCTCTCCCATTGCTAAGGGTAGTCCTTCGGATGTGGACGAGTTCATGAAAAGCCACTGGAAGTCATTAGTGTGAGGTCAATGAAGGGGTTGATTCACGGGTGGATTCTTACCCCGTCCTGAAGAACGACCGATGGGTTACCCAATCCTTTGAGGACAACATGATCCCGAAGAGACTTGGAAGCAATAATCTCCTGACATTCCGATGCGTATCCAGGGGCTCTTTCCATATCGCCGTAGATATGAAGGCGGTAGTCCTTGAATCCCCATTGGTTCACGATGAGATCGGTGGCCATGATGGCCGTCTTGATGTCTTTCACGTATCTGAGACTCCAGTCAGTAAATAAATTCTGAGCACAAAGAGAAGCCCGCAAGGACTGAAGGGTTTGCGCATACCGGATATGTGACAGCATGACAACGGTGGGTGTTTCCGTCTTGATCTTCTCAATAGGCTTGTACTTCTCCATGTTTGTGATGCCGTTCACCACGGGGTCGATTTTGCGATGGAAGGCCCGGCGATGTTCCAGTACACCTTCGCAGGTGCCCAGTTCAATCTCCCAGCCCGGGTTGAAGTACTCGGCGCAGGGCAAGACGACATCCGCATGGTGCTCAATGAGGATACAGGAAAGATGCCCCAGAGAGATCAGGGTCGAGTTTACAAACGTCGAGTCGAATGACACAGCGGCAGACAAGAAGGTCGTCATCTCACGGAAACTGACACAGTGATCCCAAACATGCAGGGCACATTTGCGCTTGACCTTGCACATCACACCGTAAGTGGCGCCGGTGAAATGATGTGACACTTGGAAGACATCAGGAATTCGTTCAGGGACGGGGATGGAGAAGATGAAGAGATCTAAATAATAGGTTAGTGCATCAACACTTTCAGGAATAGGAAAGGGGACTAACAGCGATGCCACATGTCCAGCGCTGTATCCAGTTGCTGCAATGTAGGATGCTCGCAGTTCCACCATTCCGAAACAGGAATTGTGTCTTCCATGTCCTCCGTAAGCCAAAGCTCTCTCCATGCCCTTTTCACGGTGTCACTCATCCAGACATCGTTCCAGTTGCGGGTCGATTCGAAGTAGGTGTTCAAGTCACACAATGCCTTGGTGGCTTCCTCGATATGCGCCCGAGTCTTATGCATGGTCCGCGCACACCGAACGATACTGGTGAGGATGGGGATGAAGTTACGCTCGATATCCGCCACCCTTGTGTCGTGAGATTTTTGCACCACTTCAGAGTCAAGTGTGTTCTGAAACATGCCGTGGGTAGGATTCATAAAATCCAGACCCCATTGGGGTAGGACAGTCAGGGATTGAACGTTTCGTTCGATCTGGAACCGAGGCACTCCAAAGTCATTTGCTGCTTCAGCCAGGATGTGCCAACGGATCGCTTTGAGGTCATTAACCATGTCTCGTCGGCAGGCAGATACACCACCGGGTTCGTTGGGCCAAGTGCCGGTGTCCATGGCAAGGACGTGTAGCTCGGTGTCGTTGTCCTGTAGCTGGGTGGAAAGTGTTCGGGTATTAATGCGCGAATCTCCTCCTTGTCCGAAACTAGAGAGGTCACTGATTTTGAAGGCTAAGGGCGTCCAGGAGCTGACTTCAGGGTCAATGTCCACTCGGGCAAGAACTGTATCCGCCTGGGCATCAAGATAATCCGCGGCTGCCTCAAGCCGACCCATATCCCGCTTTATCCAGTATGGTCTGAGCACACGGTCGGACCGCAACATAATCTCATCGAGCCATCGGGCCGTGATTGCGTCAAATTCCTTGCTTCCTTTCCAGGACTTCCAGAGATGGGCGCGGGAACGGGAGGTGGGGATCGGGTACCGTTTGACATTCAAGCCCAGAAGCCGCGATACGAAGTTCGCCTTGATGGACGAGAAGGAGAAAAGCGGGTTATCATCCAAGAAGCTGCATTTACTAGGCTTCTGCAGCACCTTGAACCAATCTTCGTCGATCATCGCCGGGGTGGTCACAGATTCACCATTCAATGTTGTTGCAATGACCGGGTGGAACTTATGGTCATAGGTCCATTTGGCCTTATGGGTATCATCCCCCTGAATGAATGTTGCATCGGTAACCCGGGGATAAGGAATCCATTTGTCTTGTCGCTCTGGTCGATTAGGTGGAGGCATGCACCAGGCCACATGGATCTTGATATGCGGCAAGACATAGTCGGCGCGCAGGAGCTCATCTTCGAACTTGGCACCCTTCCGGTACCAAAACTTGAATTCCACCGGATTCACACCTCGCATGGCAGACCCCGAAGTCATGTAACCACGCTTGTCATATTGGACTATCTGTCCGCTCAGCTCGCCCTGGGTGCACTCCCGCTGGGTGGGCAGCTTTGATCGCCCCCTCCGGCTGTCCTGGGGGTACTCATACGTGAACTCGTTGAGCAGGGTCTCCCCACGATACTCTTGGCGCCGCGAAAGGACCAATTTGTTGGTGTACGTGTTGATAGCTATGAGTTGCTTGTAATCGCTGGGTTCATGGTCATGGCGTCCCGAGTACTGGTAAAGCTGGACAATCCCGTCTGACTCCGTTCGGAAAAACCCGGTCGAGATGCCGCTCAGGCTTTCAACAACGACACGGTCCTGGTGAACGACAGTCTTCCAGTCCTTCATGTTTCGGTAAAGAGTGGAAACCTTCTCCCGGCCATGTAACTAGGACAAGGTCAGCATATGTCACGACGGGGGAGCGATTGATCTTACCAATACCAAGGGGATGATGAGACGTTGCAGCCATTTACAGCAGATCCAAACTCCGTTCAACACGAAGTTCACGGGCCAGGCGAAGATCAAGGGCTGTCCTCGAAGCATGGAGTCCAACTCGCGTTGGTATTCCGGGTCTGCCACCAAGGAGATAACAGTGAACTTGATACACGCGTGCCAGATCTGCACAATGCGAGCAAGTGACAGTCGAAGCGCCTCAGTAAATCCAATTGTTGGGGTGTGCTCGGTGAGGGCTAGTAGATTCCGAATTGGCTTATCGTACTTGGAGTTCATGAACTCAGGTTCACCTTGGTTTTGGTGATGTGTTTCCAATGTTGTGGCGAAAGACGTCACGCTGACTGTCAACTTGACTCCCAGGTTCCAGCGGGCAACGAACTCTTCAATAGAAAGATCTTCGCCGGCGCATGCTCTGGAGCGGAGCCAAGCGAATTGTTCGGATGACACGCGGCATGGTTGACCGCAAACCCGGCGCAGGAGCAAGGATCTCGCGGCTTGGGGAAGACTGTCCCATTCCTGGTCGCAGTCCATACCGAGCAGAAGGTGGCGCAGGACAATCTGCTGCCCGTAGTTCATGACTCTGGCCCGTTCCGTCGAGCTGCTTTCTAACTGGCGCTTCATGCCCTCCGGTAAGGAGATATCCTCGCCCTGTCGATCGTTCACGACCAGAAGCTCTGCCATCATGGAGTGATCATGGGAAAGACCCAGTTTGAACTCGGCAGTAGCTTGGACCACTGCTTCAGCAATGGTCTGGCAGTTTCGGCGGATGTCGGATACCCAGTCATAGCCAACAAGATCAGGACCAATGACAATGAAAACGTGAACCCGATCCCCTGTGCGCCGACTGATGGCGCGAATCTTCTGTTCTGGTTGGATAAGGTGTGCTGCTGAAACTAGCTCTACGGTAACTTGTCCCGCTTGCCAAATCTCTGCAATGCGCCGAAGCACGTCGGCGGCGCCCGGGAATGCGGCCTGTACCAGCTGCGACTTCCGGAGCTGGCGGTCGGATCGCAGAATCTGCATGACTTCAACTCCCGGATGCTGGGCGGGATCAAGTTTGTATCGGAACTCATCTGATAGCATGAGAATGTTATCAAACATCTGATACATTGTGGTCTGTGAGAGCTGCGGGTATGGCTCGATCGTGCTGACGCTATGGAACAACGACTTCCCTTGGACATCAAGTCGACTGGATTCCTCTGTTGAGCCCTTGGAGCTTGGCAATCCAATGTCAGACCTAAAGAGGGAATAGAATGCAGCTCCCCAAGTGCCCGTAGCCAGGCCGATGACGCTGCTATATTCAAAAGCGGGAAGCACCTCATGAAGAATGATGCCGACAACCAATCCCGCAATGGCTGAGAGAGCGAGACCACCGGCCACATGAGGACCAGTGAAGATTCGGTTGTACTGATACCATAGCAGACCGCTATAGCAACCAACGTAGCACAAGTACATGATTGTGGAGGTCATGGACCCCTCGAAGGTCCACATTATAGCCATGGTGACGGCCGCACCCCAGATGTGCAGGAAGAAGAATTTCATGAGAGATCTCCAGTACAGCCTCCGACGGTCCTTGGCGTCGTTGAGGGTTACCTCACGAAGACTAGCCAGCGAAGACACGGGCTGCGGAGTGGCTTTATGGACCAGTGTCCATAGTGGTTGCGAGACGGCGTCAAGGATCACTGCTCCCAATAGATAGTACCCTAGCGCGAAGCCCACAGTGAGGCGATACTTTGCGCTGTTCGCCGCCGACAGACCGACGATAGACTCGCCTGTGATCAGTGCCGACCATTTGTCAGACAGGGCGACCACGAAGTACAGGATACCACACCAGACGTCGGAACCGGTATGGCGCCAGTGCAGAAAGGCATTGTGCATCTTCAGCCCCTTTTGCATCTCGGCCATAGTATCGACCGCCGCTTTGAGCTGCAGGTTCCATGTCGGGCTGTATGCCAGAGGCATCTTAGTTCTAGAGTAACGGCAGTACCATCCTAGAAGAAACGTGGTGGCTGAGTATCCATCGGCCATCTTGGCGACGAAGGGGTCGGTCGTCTTCTTGCTCCAGACCCACTTCTTGTTCTCCTTGTGGACGCTGGCCAGGAGGGCTTGTCGGGCATCTGCTCCGACATCCTTCACCTTCTCGGTTGCTGACCCGATATAGTTCGATCCTTGAGCTTGCATGTACCAGTTGACGACTTCCGTGTCTGTGACACAAGGGATATTTAGATACCACCGGTTCCACCGGGAGATGACACGCCGTGCACCCAGGAGCAGGTTCGCAAGGAACAGTCCGAGGATGCATAGGTAGATTACCGAGTCACGATGCACCCACAAGGTAACAATTGGCGAGATGAAGAGAATTGGGATGCATGCCATGATGGTCGATCGTCCCTGGAAATAATCAGCCAATTGCCGGGGTATCTCATTTTTGACTTTCGGTCAAAAACACCATGCAAAATTACTCACCGATTGGAACTGGTATCCTGGAAGCTGATAGACCGAAAGAGCCGAAAGGGTCATGAGATAAGTTGAAAGCATCACAAAGTAAAGGAAAAACAAGATGCCTGCCGCGAAGCCCTTCAGCACACCGACCACGATTAGTGCGATGATGCCTCCGACGAGGGCCACCGCTAGGCCAGCGATGAAGCGGGTCAGGACGAACATGCTCATTGCAGGAAACGCCATGGCATACAAGTAGTAGCTGCCGCCGGAGCTGATCCAGCTCCCAAACCCACCACAAACAAGCAGGGCTATCATCAACGCAGTAGTGGCTAGTGTCTTATCCAGATCACTCATGTATGTGGTCAGGTAGAGGCCTCGTCCGACCGTCGTCAGCATGGTGACATCGATCAAGGCCGGAACAGCGAAGATCCCGAGGAACGTCAGGCGATAGTGCCAAGGAACTGTATCCTTTGCGTCTGGATCCAGATCCACATTCATGGAGGCGTACGCGGTCGGGAGCTCTGTGAAGGCCTCTTCTCGCTGAGGTGGCTGGTATTCGTGATAGTAGGCACGGTACCAGCGCCAGATGATCTGCCCTAGGCGCTTTGGTGTCGTGTCAAAGTACATGTCTGTGCGTGCACCACAGGCATACATTTCCGCAAAGCAGGCCGCTTGGACTGGTTCAAGGTTCGGCAAAGGGTTACGGTCAAGGACTTCCAGGTAAATCTCATTCAAGGCAAGCCGACGGAAAGCGCAGAACACACTCAGAGCAATAATATCAGCCGCGGCATCGATTTCGCCTTTCTGGAGGATGGTCTGGAAGACCGTGGTAAGCTGATCCAGAAAGTCTGCTTGTCCGTCCATGAGAAGCCCTGGTAGCCGAGCATCAACCTCTCGGAATAGAGCCTCGGCAGCCGCTGGGTCCGGACACCAGCATCCCTGGTCCTTGAACCAGGCTAGGCGTGAGGCGATTAACTCCTCAGGTGAGACCTTCTCGTCAAGATACGTACTGGAGTTCAGGGCTCGGAGTTGAGCTAGAGACGGGGCCTCCAGGACCTGGTACTCTCCGCAGGCGCGTAGCTTCGCGGACATCTTCAAAGGATCGTCACGGCTCGACAAGGCCAGACGTCGGAGCCATGCAAGTGTCTCTGCCGGGGTGAGCTGTTCGACATCGTCGACCATACGCTGAGGCAAGTCCCATGTCTGCGATAGCGTTTGGTTCTCTGTGGCCAAGGCCATCTCTGCCAGAAAGCACTGAGAACGAGTGAATCCTCTGTTCGCCAGGTATGTGTGGAGAATGGTGCCGGTGCGGTCCTGCGTCTTGCCGGACAGGTAGATATTCAACACGCCCATGCCGGGTTCAAGATCGTGCAACCCCCAGATTTGCCCTCCCAAGCGAGTACGGAAACCCGAGTGCAGACCAACATAGATTCGCAGTCTATCGTTTTTGTCGCCTCTGCAAACAGTGAGAAGATCAACTAGGTCCCTGATCGACTGGAGCTCCAAGGAAATGTATGGGTATGAGCTCTGGGCCTTTAGCAAGACACGCAACGGCTCAGTGATCTGACGTAGCTCGTCGGCCTGAAGGCGTTGAAGTAGATCGAGGTCTCTAACCTGCCTCTGGCTCTCCAGAAGGTCCGCAACGTCTTTTGATGTGCAGTCGAGACCGATCTGGAAACATCCCAGTCCTGTATAGCTGGTTCCGTCGGGGGAGATCGAGAGGATGTCTGTTTGTGGGCTTTCGGTCCTTCCGGACCATTCCAAGTCATGGATTGCAGAGCCGGGACTATCAGGCCCTGGATATTTTACTGGAGGAGATAAGGAGAGTTTTGCCTTCACGCCTGGAAGGAAAGACTCCAGGGAGTCATATATTTCCTCATATCCGCGCGGTGTCTGGGAGATCTTCAAATTTGTCAGCTTGTGTGTCGATATTTTTCGTCAGTGATATCTGATCATATTCACCTTGTTATTAAACCTCCAAACATCATGCGATTCCAAAACCTCGCCGCGCTTCAACCACATCATGGCTCCCAGGGGCTCCTGGGTCACCGTCTTCGCAACGGCAATGTCTGCGTTCGTCAGCGCCGCTTGAGGCGCGATCCAGCACAGGGCGCTGTTATAATTGCACCACTTGAAACTGCGTCCAAGGACATGGTGGGAGAGCTCGACGTCATCGTCGATTGTATCCCACACGGCGATGGCTGAGTCACCAACAGCCTTTTGTGATGCCACGACTCGCATGGCAGTGCGCATCTCAGCCATCTGGAAATAGTTGCGCCTGTCGCCATCGGGCAGGATGGTGCCATTGCGGTAGACCACACCGCGGATCTGCTTCATATCAATCGCCCGACCTTGCTGCTCGCTGAGGAAGTCCGGCGGTGACAATTCCAGCCACACGGCCAGGCCGAGATGGTTCATGTACTTGACCAACTCATTCAGAACCACGGGCTGGAAATGCGCGAGACAGTCGGCCAGGAGCACACCATGAAATGGCGATGCACCACCCTGGCTGCGGCTGAGGGCAGTAGCCAGCGTCTCAACGACGACGCCCAGCGACTGAAGGACTTCATTGTTGTCGCGGCTGGCTTCGGAACGCACCAGACTCTGGACATCGAGCCGGGCGAGGATGTGCGATGACGTACAGTGGCCAGTCAACGCGTCCCGCACACCGGATTGCAGGGGATCGACGACCAGAATATCCCATTGCGCAAGGAGACTGGCCTCGGCGGGCGTCGGAGGATTGGAAAATCCGCCGAGAAAAACCCCAAATGATTTAAGCTCCTTCGCGGCTGATTTCTCCGAAGCAAGGGGCGCATTCTTTGTTTTGAGTTGATCAAAATAACGGGCAATCGCCGTTGGGACTTCGGAAAGTTGATGGCGTCCCTGAATGCTCACCGCGAGAGCCAATAGTCAGCGCATTTCAACGGCGATAATTGATGCCGAAAGGCATGACATACCTGCCAGATCTTGTAGATCTTCCGGCCGATAACGGCCAAGATATAAACCGCGCCGAGAACAATGGCCGTTAATAAACATGCTGCGATCACCTAGGCAGACTGTCAGGAGGCAATTGTGGCAGGAAGGGGGAAAGCAGGGTACCTTATCCCACCACGTCGAGACCATGCGATGCCATCCCACGGCATCCAGGCCCAGATACTCCAGTCCCATGGTGGCAGGCAGTGCGTTAATCACCCGACATGAACGCTGCCTCAGACTGCAACGGGGTACCCCGATAATTATCTATGGCGATGCTGGTCCAAGACCTGATCCCTTTCAGCCGCGAGGGGAGGCGCGCCCTCTTCAATTAATATAACTATTTATAGCAGATGCATGTATCCATGGTGCACGCCGCCGCACAGGAAATGAAGGGTCTGGCGCCAGCAATCAGAGGAGGAATTATCTTTTTCCCTCTTCGATTTTCCTCTTTCTGCTTTACTTTTTTTGGGCCACCGAACCGAGAGGCCCTCAGCAGTCACTACTAGGCTAGTGGCCACGAAAGAGGCGCTAACGTGGGGGGATATGCATGTCTGACTCGAATACGGGGCTCATGTCGCCTCTACTGGTCTGATCAGTCTCGCGCGGGCCTAAAAAGACGGTGATGGTGACTGCCTCGCCTGCCATCAGGTGTCAATCAGTCAATTCTTTGTCGTTATCGCGCCACAGGCTTAGCTGGCAGTCTTAGCATCTAATCGCTGTGGTCTAGTTCTTACAGGTGAGTCCAGCGAGCTCGTGGCCTCGCGGTCTATCGGAACCCCAGGTTTATATCACTTCGCGCGCGCTGTCTGGGTCGGAAGCCAGCGTGCTACTATACTCCGTGATCTTACTGACCTCGCCAGTTCCGGCTGGCTGCCGCATGGATGCCTCGCCCTAATCTCAAACGACCCCGAAGGCCTTGGTGTATTGCCATTGCCGTTGCCATAGCCCTGGTGGTGATTATCGTCATTGTTGTGCCATGCGCGGTCATCTTGACTCGCAAGAACCACGGCGAGAAGACCAATGTTTTGTTTCCTTTGTATATCTGGCCCACGAATGACACTACATGGGATCCCCTCTATGATTCGTATGTCCGAGTATCCCCGATTGGATTGAATTGTCACTGAAATTCCCAGGGTCACGGCGCATCCGGATCTGAACTTCACTGTTATCATTAACCCGTCAAGCGGACCCGGGTCCAGTGCCTATCCATCAGACGAGTATGCCACCCAACTGGAACGACTGAGCACGTATGCCAACGTGCGCAAGGTTGGATATGTGCGCACAGGGTATGCCACTCGCAACATCACTGCGGTGCTAGACGACATTGCCACTTACGCCGGGTGGTCGAACGAATCCCTCAATCTTGCCATGGATGGCATCTTCTTCGACGAAGCTCCATATGACTACGCAGCCGCGAAGGTCGATTATATGAAGACCATTAATGAGGCCGTCAAAAATTCCTCGGGGTTGGTCCGAGATCGCATGGTAAGCGAGACACCGATTGGGGGCGAAAATTTGAAGGCGATCGCCGTGGCTAACATTGCGGCACTGGGACAGGTGATCCACAATCCCGGCACTATCCCGGACAGTCGCTACGACACTAACACGACGGACGTCACCGTAGTGTTTGAAAGTTCCTACCAGGATTATTTTTCGCTCCGGCATAGTCTCAAGGCGATGAGCAACGATCGGACAGGGTATGCGTACATGCTGCACTCGGTGCCTGACAATCTCAGCAACAGCACACTGCGAAAATTTGTCGATCAGATGAGCCGAAAGGCCGAGTACCTGTTCCTCACCACACTGACGGAGGATTACTACGAGAGTTTCGATCCAGAGGGGGCAACCATCGCCGATGTGATGCCGACGTGAGTGATGAGTGGCAGGCCGAAGATCCTGGTAGCGGCTCCAGCCGCACCAGTCCAGTCGAGGGGCAGCAAAGTCGATAGGCGCCGTGTTATTTTAGTGTATATAGACTAGTATCTGGGACTAAGGCGAACCCCACTGGCCCAAGATGCGAGTGAGTTGGCCGCCGGCAGTGATTGGCGACAGATACACCACGCAGGGGGCAAAAGCTTGGATGGCCGGTTCTGGCCCAGTTGACTAGCGCCGGTTAGCTTAACTTTGGCTTGGTGTTTGGCTTGGTACTTTGGCCACCAATGTGCTGCTTTTATTCCACCAAACAATGCCCTAATCATTATCCATCAGCCATGCGTGCCTTGGTCCGTCCGTGGTCGGGCCGTCCGTCCCGGCTCGTCTCGTCCTACCCATCCTGCCTAGCCCATCGTGTTATGGCCCGTCGTGTCATGGCCACGTCGCTGCCGCTCTCCTAGCGACTTCATATAGATGAATAATAGTGAATCCTCGTATAAATCTCATGCCCAGAAACCTGGCCACCGCCATCTCACCCATCCCATCCCATCCCATCCCGTTCATTCTGTCCCGTCTTCCCAGTTCCATTCTAATCCAATACCCATTTCCATGAAACTCAAGGGAAAAAAACCAGGAAAATACATACCCCAACGCAATGCCAACCACGCTCCCACTCCCCAAATCTGGCGTCCTCGTACCCTTGTACATCTATCCATTAACGCCCAATACCTGGGACCCACTCTACCACGCGTAAATGCACCCCAATCCCATACCTACCTATCTCCTTCCCTGTTTGTTTGCTTCTTCCCAGCACCAGTGCTTCTAACCAACCAGCTCATGACTGTGACCTCGCAGAATAACCACAAACCCCCACCTCCCCTTCCTAATAATCATCAACCCGAACAGCGGGCCCGGAGCCCATCCCTCCCCAGACGCAAACTACGCGCGCGAACTCGCCCGCCTAATCACTTACCCTAATGTTACTACCGTCGGGTACATCCGCATTGATTACTGTCGGAAGCCATTGGCGCAGGCGTGCGAGGAGATTGATCGGTATGCGTCTTGGGCGGAGAAAGGGCTAGGTGTCGGGGGGATTATGGTGGATGAGACGCCGAATCATTATCATGGGGGGAAGGAGGAGTATCTTTTGGAGTTGAAGGATTGGGTTAAGGGGAGGGAGGGGTTGGTGGGGGAGAGATTGGTAAGTTGCTTGCTTCCTATCTAGTTCCTTGTTCTTGATGTTTCTGTACTGGTTCAGTCCTATTCCCGGGTTGGATCCTGTGAGGTATATCCGAAGTTCGGGGCGTGTCTATCCGTGTCTTGATATGACATGACAGGACAGGACAGGACAGGACAGGACAGGGTTCGCTGAAACCCGACCAATACCACACTACCAAATCATACAACGTGGTGAATGCATTCTAAACAATTGGACAGGTCGTTCATAATCCCGGCACGCCCCCCGATGTTGCAATGGCGAATACATGTCCCGATCTAATTCTCGTGTGTGAGGAGCCCTATGCCCGATATCAATCCCTGGAGGTGCAGAACCGCCTACGTGAATTGCACTATCATCGGGATCGATGCGGGTATATGGTTACGGAGGTACCGGGGGATGTAAATATGTTTGAGTTGGTACGAGATCTACGGTCTCGAGCGACGTGGATTTTTGTGACGGAGATTGTGGGGGATTTTTATGAGAGGTTTGGGCCGAGTAGTTGGGGGCGGTTGATGGAGGCGTTGTCGGTGATGGAAGTGCAGGAAGTGGAGGAGGAGGAAAGGAAAAAATGACTAAAAGGAACGAAGGAACCGCAGAAATTGAAAGGGAGAAGAAGGGGCATGAACCTGTGGAGACGTTGGGTTTGGCGGGTTGGGAATAGGAAAGTTGAGGAAGGAAATTAGGGCGCACGCAAGGGTCGCTCCGTATGGGCCAATTTCATTTTATTTTTCGAGGGAGATTAGTTAGCGCTTATCGGACAGTCGGAAGAAAGGACGGTGCCTTGTGCCTGTGCCTGTACCTGTGCCTTGATTCAGTCGGAGATTCTGGAATCGGGACAGAGTTAGCGTTTTTAGTCGCGTGGTTAGTGAGTTTAGTGTGCTTAGGGTGGTGGCTAGTGAGATGCGATGAATCAACCTGGAGCAAATCATTCTCTGCAGGTCCAGTTGCCTGATCCCGGTGCAGGTACACCTCACTCTCCTCGATACGATACGATGGCGGCAACGGATCTTTTGTTTTCTTTTTTCTTGCTGCTGAATGTGCTGGCATGCACAACTGAGACTAGGGCTTACTTGGCTGAGACCTGCATGTTGCCTGCTTTCCTCCCTCGCCGATTCGGCGGCAATCGAATGATTGTCTGGGCCCATTGCTGCATCGCTGCATCGCAACGAGGACCTGTCTAGTCTCGAGGTAGCAGCGTCTAGGCTCCGATGTTCCGCGGACCCGATCCGCTCAACTTTGCCAGTGATGAGCAACATGGGTCTAATGCAGCTAAGACCACTAGATAAGGTCTTGCAGGCCCGAACTGCCGTCATTTCCTGAGGTCGCCGACTACCTACCCTTCTCAACACTCCGTCCTAGCAATCGAGCATGTCCGCGGCTGAGACCAAGCCCTATTTTTGGCCGCCGCCGTGGTCTGAATGATTCGATGACAATAACGATCGCCAAATATTCCCAAAACAAGACAAAGGCAAACCTGTCCTGCCCTACCGTACAGTAGACCAGAGACTTTTTCGCCCTCAGCGCCTGGCAAAGCATGAACCACGCTTGTTGTCGCTAGGGGCGCGCAGGCGTCGGTCCTTTGTAGTCGGGCTGGCGAGGACTGACTCTTCGATGATGAAATCCTCGGGGTCCAGTAAATCGTGGCATAGGGGGGAAGGAGTACTTCCAGCACTGGCCTCTCCTCGCCTCGTATCGTATCTGGTAGATAGATTCTACCCTATCCACATCATCCGCGTAATCTTCACTCCGCCATCAGCAGAGCAGCACCATGTCTAGCAGTATCTTCTGTCCCTCCGAGGGGGATTCCCCCGTCCCCACGCCCCTATTCTCCGCTCCCGCAACCCCCGACACCGAACGTGACGAATACTTCGACGAGCCCTCTCTCAGTCTCGCGAGTCAGAACCCGCAATACATCCTCGTCACCGGCGGCCTAGGATACATCGGAAGCCACACATCCCTGGAACTGCTGAAAGCCGGGTACAACGTCATCGTTGTGGACGATCTAAGCAACAGCTTCCGCCATGTCTTTGACCGGATTCTCCTGGCTGCGAAACTGCACTTTGATCGCGCAGGCGGTCGCTGTCCCCGGGCCGAACTCAATTGTATCGATTTTCGAGACATTCCCGCCATGACTGCCCTCCTGGCCTCCCACACAGCAGTAGAGGGACATCGCTCCAATATCACAGGCGTGATTCACTTCGCAGCCTACAAAGAAGTCAATGACAGTCTTCGTAACCCGCTGAAGTACTACCAGAATAACTTGAGCGGATTGGTGGATCTGATTACCTTGCTTGATGAGCATAATATCAAAACCTTCATTTTTTCCTCCTCGGCCAACGTCTACGGCACGTTGGCTCAAGACCATGGCTCGCTCCGCGAAGAACACTGCGTCCATCGGAGGGAAACCTACCTCGACCCTACCACCGGCGAGGAAATCTCCACCGAACAAGGCTGCACGGGAATCACTAATCCCTATGGCCGAACTAAATTCTTCGGTGAGGCTATTCTCTCCGATGTGGCGGCCTCGGATCCCAGCTGGACGATCATCGGACTTCGGTATTTCAATCCTATCGGATGTGATCCGTCTGGTCTGTTGGGCGAGGATCCGCGTGGGGTTCCCTCGAACTTGGTTCCTGTTGTGGTGCAGGTTCTGACGGGGCAATTGACTGAGTTGGCGGTTTATGGCACCGACTGGGCGACGGCCGACGGCACGGCAATTCGGGATTTCATCCATGTTTCGGATGTGGCGAGGGGTCATACGGCTGCGTTGGCGGCTGCTTTGACGCGTCAGGTGAGGACGAACTTCCGGGCGTTCAATCTGGGGACGGGGAGTGGGCATTCGGTGGCGGAGGTGGTGAGTGCTATGGAGGGGGTGGTTGGGAAGGAGATTCCCAAACGGGTTGCGGAGAGACGGCCAGGAGATGTGGAAAGCTGTGTGGCAGTTGCGGAGAGGGCGGGGAGAGAGTTGGGCTGGATGGCAGAGAGGTCGTTGGTAGATGCGTGTAGGGATTTGTGGAATTATTTAAGGATGGGGGAGATGGAGGAGGTGTTGTGAGTCAAGCTGGGATGTTTGGCCAGCGGAGAAGGAGGGAGGATTGTTTGCACATGGAATTTGTTTTGTTTGTTAATATTTGCTTTGGTTGTATAGAGAACCGTACATAATCTACATAATGGCTCCGCGGTATGTTTTCTTCTTCCAAGGGGATATGGTGGCGCTGCACATGCTGTCAGCGGAGTCTTGGCTGGTCGCCTTCTACTTGCTTGGTTTGATCTAAATGGTGGGTAGGTTGGTTCTTTGTTGACTTCATCTGTCTGCTGAGTCTTAAGCATTAACATAAGTTTGTCGCCGTGGCAAGACTCCTTAGTATCTTCACTCACGATCCTCGGTGAATCCAACCCACAAAGAACAAAACAATGGATGACATGCTTTATAACAAGCCGTCCTCTCATAGAACACCCAAGTATAGCCTACTTGCGCGTTAATTACTACCTCCAGTAATATTAGTCCCCCACCAGTTCATCCAAGTCACTAGGTGGTTGTATATAACCCATGCAAATACCAACCATCAACAGCTCCCACACTCTCATCCAGTCTCATTCCCAACCCATCCATTCCCCTCGCAATCCCGGTCAAGACCAAGTACAAAGAACCCGCCAAGCTTGACGTCAAAACGCCCGAAACCCGCCGAGTGGCTGGCATCAAGGTTACGGAAACGCGCCGAATGCACGCGGACGGATCCTGTGATCACCAGCCGCTGCCCGAGATGCCAGATATAATTCTGCAGAGTTTAATCCAACCGGAAGGCGTGTCACGGGCTTATCTCTGGCCACTCGGCTGCGAGAATACTCCGATTCGGTGCATTTCTGGATGTAGCTGTAGTCAAGGTGCATTTTGAATCGTGCAGCTGGCAAGTCTGAATGTTTGGTTTGATCTGGGCGGTTTTAGATTCTGGGTAGATGGCAGGCTGTATAAATTGGTGTGGATCCTGGCGGAGTTCTTCTCGTGTTTTATCGGCACAGAGCAGTGTTCCCTATGAGCACGAGCATGATGAACACGGTATCTGAAGAGCAGACGACCATCACCCCGAAGTATGCCCCTGAGTGGCCCGCAACATTTGATGATGTTGGTGTCAAACAATGGGTCCACGACTACTACAGCGCGATCGATAACAAGGAGGCGTCACCCCAGGCTGTTGTCGATCTCTTCACCGACGATGCTGTGATCGAGCTGGGCAGACGGCGTATCGATCGAGCGAGTGAGTGGGCTCCATTCAGGATAAAATCAGGTCCTATCATACTATCATGCTGATTCGATTCGTCGATAGCCATGCTCCGAGCCAGTCGGTCCTCTTGGGATGACGCCGAGTCCAGACAGCATAACCCCCAGTACGCCTATCCGCTGGGAAACGACACCTATCTGATCGAGGGCAGCGCCACATATGTGTACAAGAGCGGCCGGAGTATGACGTTCGAGTGGTGTGGAAAGCTGCATCTGGTGAGAAACGACGACAAGTGGAAGATAGATTACTACAGAACATATTTTGCCACGGAGTATTGATCCGGATGTTGACTGAGAATGGTCTCATTCATCTGTGATCTTTCGGGAATCATTGGCTTTTAGCAAAGAAATTGAAACTTTTAGTAGAAGCAATGGAACTTCTGGACTCATGCGATATGGAAGAGATGCTCATGTAGACTCACCTTGTGTACATGCCGTCCTTCGGCTGGTAGCTAGGCAAAATTGCCGAGGATCCGCGCACATCCGAGTGCTGCATTAATTGCCAGGGCTGTGCAGATTAGTCAGGTATACTCGGATGTGATTCTCCATCATGAGCCAATTCTGAGCGCGTCTCCTGATGATCAACCATTATAATCCATCTGGCTCTCCCAGCAAGTCACGTCGGTAAATCACGGAGGCGTTCTCGGCAGCCTAGTCCCTGCAACATCAGCAGCATCGCCCCGATGAGACGCCGGACGCGACGCAGTGTTTTCCACCTGGCCGTCTTCGTCGGGATCCTCGGCCTCATCCTCTTCCTCAATCGACCACCTTCCCCCGGTCGGTCTTTCGCTTGGACCACCGTCTCCTATGTGACTACTTCTGCCCGCCTCCCCGAGGCTCGGGGCGTGTGTCCAGGCCTAACGGAGACGGACAAGCCCGCCCTGGTCGTGTCGCGAATCAGAAGTGATGACTCCGGGTGGCTCGCGCCACTGGCGGAACAATATCATCTCTGTGTGTACACAGCAGACGCACCATCGGACCCTCGTAGTACGCATCTGCAGATGCCCGCGAATCGGGGCCACGAGGCAATGGGGTATTTGACCTTCCTAATTGACAATTATGCCCGTCTCCCTGCCGCGGGGATGGTGTTTGTGCATGGTTCCCGTTGGGCCTGGCACAACGATGCACCAGATTACGACAACGCAGCGCTGCTCGCGGCATTGAACGTCTCTGCAGCTATGGCACCCTGGGGCTACCACAATCTCCGCTGCGACTGGAGCGTTAGCACCTGCTCTCCCAAGACGCCCGCCCAGGGCAGCTTGGAGCTATCGCTGCAGTCGGTACTCGAGCCGTGGAGCGCCCGGACGGCCTCCGATGTCGCTTTGCCGGGCGCGTTGGCCTCGCTTTTTAGCAAGGACCAGGTTAGCCTAAATTTGGAGGGTGCTCGGGTCCTCCTCGGTCGGAACGATGCGGTACGGGCACAGTGTTGCGCACAGTTCGTTGTCAGCCGAGAGAGCGTCTGGCAGCACACACGGGATGAGTATGTTGCGCTACGGCAATGGCTGCTTGATGGCAGCGACGACAGCCGACACAGTCCTTCCCCGGCGAACCGTCGAGCAGCGCCGCGGGATGACCGTATCGCGGGTCGCATTTTATCGTACGTGTGGCACATTCTGTTTATCAAGCATGAGGCCCTGCGGTCGGAGGGATCTGCGGCAATTAACCTGGACCGACTGAACACGGCTGGCTGTCCGCGGGCGGATGAATGCTACTGTCGTCTATATGGCCGGTGCAATCTGGACTGGTGCACGGCTGAGAGTTGCCATGGGCAGTATCAGTTGCCTCCAGATTTCAAGGTGCCGGCGTGGGTGACTGAGAGGGGGCAGACGTGAAGGGGGTCAAGTGGTAAAGAGATGTATAGAAGAGTAGGACAATGAATACCCTCGTTACATATTGGAAGAAAAGACCTTAGCGTTTGTAACGAATGACAGGACTGCCGGGCCTAAGGCTTGAACAATTTCCATTCTCAGGCACTAAGGACAAAATGGCTCAGGCTTCGCGGCAGCAAGACCGCCAGGCACCCAGGCAATGAACGGTTGCCCGGCAATTGTCTTTCTCTTTCTCCCTTCCATCCATGGCTCACCCAGAGCATCCCTGTTTACCCCCAGGCGTCTTTCAATCTAAACCGACGATCCGTGTCTCTCAACGACCCACTGCGGGGTATTCACGCAGGCCATCCCCATTCCTTTCTCCGCAGAAGCATCTTTCCAATCTCTTCCTGCGAACGCTAGCCAAGCCTGCAACTGGAGGACGGGCTGCATATTAGACGGTACTCAGGTGCCGAGTAAGTGAGGCGGTTCGGCATTTCGTCCTAACAACGTATACTATACTATACTAACATGTGTTCCAACCCTTTCAGATAACCATCTACGGCATTCCGTTACACGGACAACTAGACGATCTCGCGGCATCTTCTCTTGCCAAGAGTAATTGATTAAGACAGCAGTTGCATGATCGGTGGCAGGATCTTGAACGTCCATTCGAGCATGCGAAGGAGTACAACCGAGTCCGCTGTCCTTAAAAAATCTTCCAAAATATGCTATCAACCGACTGATCGGCCCAGATATCGCCGATGTATGCTCGAGGTATGATACCAAGCCAAGGACCTACCGAGGCACCTTGGCCGGCCCGCTCCCACCTGCCGTGATCTTCTGCCGGCCCAGATAAACTTTGTCACCCCTGCCCACCCCGGCTTTTCAGAGGTTTGTCTGGGGTAAAAACAACGCATGTGGACTTCCGACCAATCAACCACCGACCAGTGCATGTCTCGGAGAGAGGATTGAGGTTACGACGAGGAGGCAGCTCGTCAGGCGGATTGTAAGTGCGGGGTGAAGATCACAAGTGTTCCTCTGGAACCAATTTCGAAGCCGCCCAAAGCGTCCCGCAATGCTAATTCTGTGGATGAAGACAGTACGGAAATTCTGCTGATCATCGCCTATAAAATGGGAGAGTTCTGCTCCTTCATCTTCCGTGGTTTGTACCACAGCGCTTCATACTTCTTCTGTTGCGTCGTTCCTGTTTGGACGTACATTATGAAGGTGGCAAATCTCCTTACGCTTACGGTATTGCCTGGAGCAGCATTGGCTGGCACAGACCCCTTCCAGTCACGGTGCAACTCATTCCAGAGCGAAATCGACATCGCCAATGTCACGGTCAGATCCGTCGCGTATGTTGCTGCTGGACAGAATGTCTCCCAGGCGGAGGTTGCCCCCGTGTGTAAAGCGTCCGTCCAAGCCAGTGTCGACTTCTGTAGGGTGACGATGAACATCTCGACGTCGGACCGAAGTCACCTCTGGGCCGAGGCCTGGTTCCCAAGGAACTACACTGGTCGCTTTGTGAGCACCGGCAATGGTGGCCTAGCGGGATGTAAGTGCTCATTGCTGGATTTTCGATTTATCCGAAGCGTGAAGACGAAGAAACATGCTAATACATCGCAGGTGTCCAGGAACAGGACCTTGACTTTGCGGCCCAATTTGGCTTCGCTACCGTGGGAACCAACGCCGGACACGACGGAGACACGGCCAAATATTTTTACAACAACTCGGAGGTCCTTGCTGACTTTGCGTATCGTTCGGTGCACGTGGGGACTGTGGTTGCCAAGCAGTTGACCAAGTTGTTCTATGAAGAGGGATACAACTACTCTTACTATCTGGGTTGCTCTACCGGAGGCCGCCAGGGCTATCAGCAGGTTCAGCGGTTCCCCGATGACTATGACGGGGTGATCGCGGGCTCTGCCGCCATGAACTTTGTCAATCTTATCAACTGGGGTGCTTTTCTCTGGAAAGCTACAGGCTCCACCGATGATCCGGACTTCATCTCCCCGGCCCTCTGGTCGGTGATCCACGACGAGATCGTGCGTCAATGCGATCCGGTGGATGGGGCTATCGATGGGATCATCGAGGACCCAGATTTCTGCGCCCCGGTTATTGAAATGTTGATCTGCAACGGAACCACCAACGACACCTCCTGTATCACCGGAGCCCAAGCCGCGATGGTCAACCGTGCCCTGAGTGACTTCTATGGACCCGATGGGAAAGTGTACTACCCTCGTCTCAACTACGGGGCGGAGGCAGATTCAGCCAACGTTTACTTCACTGGTTCGATGTACAGCCGCACGGAAGAATGGTACCGCTACGTGGTCTACAACGACACGACCTGGAACTCCAGCCAATGGACGCTGGACAGTGCCAAGCTGGCCTTGGAGCAGAACCCATTCAACATCCAGGCTTTCGACCCCAACATCACCGCATTCCGGGACCGTGGTGGTAAGCTCCTATCCTATCACGGCACGCAGGATCCCATCATCAGCTCGACTGACAGCAAGCTCTACTACCGGCGGGTGGCGAATGCCTTGAATGCTGGTCCTTCAGAGCTCGATGACTTTTATCGGTTCTTCCAGATCTCCGGCATGGGCCACTGTGGTGATGGCGTTGGAGCTTCCTATATCGGACAGGCATCCGGTACATACACGTCGAAGGCGCCGCAGATCAACCTTCTTCGCACGATGGTGGACTGGGTGGAAAATGGCAAGGCCCCGGAATACATGCCGGGCAACAAACTGAGTGCGAACGGGTCGATTGAGTATATGCGCAGGCACTGTCGCTACCCCCGACACAACATCCACACGGGGCCTGGCAACTACACCGACCCGAATTCGTGGACTTGTGTGTAGATCAAACTCATCAAGTGAAGTTAGAAGTACATAAGTGTTTTCGCTGTACATGGTTGATGCCGGCTGTATGCCCTCGACATAGCGGTGTGGCTTTAGTGTGCATAGAGACGCATGTGGGCCATTGAATCCTCCATGATGAGAAAAGAAATGTAAATAAACAAAGATCATATCACGCCATGTGTTATCAGCCACCGTAAGCTGTTGCTGAGGGAGAAAATGTGGCTGCGACCGGAGCGGATCGAACCGCCGGGTGCTGTCAGCCTGAGGCCATGGTTTATCTTGCTGCCTGGACGGTCAGGCTGGGAGCCCGATTGATTGGAGATCACGTGGTGCTTGTTGCAGCAAGTGGGGCAATCGGCCCGGATTCCGCTGATTCAGCATGCCAAGACAGTCAATCATCATCAGGCTGAGCAGAAGAGTACTCGTCGCACCGCCAACCCACCCTCGGCCACAGCTCAATGAATCGGTCACTTTTGTATGTGATTCCCATATAAAACATATTTTCAGATAATCTTAATAACTCAACCACTATAGTCCGGAGCCTTGATATCTTGATATAGAAATATAGCTAGAATCTTAAACTTATATATACTAGAATATTTCTAACATTAAATCCTGAATTCTAATTCATATTAGCAAAAAACTAAAAAGTAGTCTATAAGTCAAGCACGAAATCAAGTATATCTATAATCTGATATAATTTTCTAAATTTTTTTCTGTATTTAGTAGTAAATAATATAAATATAAAATCTATATCAAAATTTGAAAACTACAGCTCTTGTAATGGTTGAGTTATTAAAGATTTTCTAATAGTATCTTTTATATGGGAATCACATATAAAAGTGACCGATTCATTGAGCCGAGGAGATTCGTCGAGCTTGAAAGGGTGGGTTGGCGGCGCGACGAGTATCCCCAGAGATTCATCCTCATTCCTCCCTCACTATGATCTATACACGCTGGCAGTCAGGAGTATCCTGGTAATATTTTCAATCAATTTTACAATGAGATCATTTCCACCGTGGACTGCAATGTATCCTGCATTTGGGTTTGGCTAAGCCACGATGAGTGCTTGTTGGGAAGCTTAGCCCGGTCGGGCATTGCCATTGGCAATGTGTCACTGGGATGATGAAATGTTCCTTGCATGCATCAAGTGCTCCCAGTCGGTTACCACGGCCTCTGCCATACTGCCACTGCTCCGACCCATCCCGATGTTGGGACCGGGTCAGCCTTGTCTGTATTGGAGGTATAAAAATAGATGTTGCTGCCAGATGAATCAGTCTTCCAGAACTCTACTAGCATTAACTATTGATATTACTGGTGGTAGTCATAGATAGTCTTCGGCTAATTATTGTCTCTAAGTGCCAGATTGTGTCTATCCACTGGAGGCAATATATATACCCGCCATCACCCCAAACGGCTACAACAACAGACTAGTGGTCATTCCTCCAAAAATAGCATCATGTATGAACTCTACAGACTGTGTTGGTACTGTACATATGTAGTATGCACAGCTCTTCTCTCTAACACAGAGACGCTCACTCCTATCAATGGATCGATATGTTGATGTCAAATGTCCGAATATGCATGAGACATGGAAGTGACGGAGCGCCACGCCCATGGGAGATCCGCCCGGAGTGGAGCCGGCCAAGTCGAACGCTGGGAACGCAGACAATCGTAGTTCGTTGCCCACCACATGGTGCATCCAGAGTAGTACTGTGTACGGAAGACAATTTATCCCATTCATTTCGTTTGGAAGGATTGCTCCATCAGTGCCAAGAATACGAACTCTACCGGGTCTTGACTGGAAATTAAAGCCAGACCGAGGAAATATAAGAAGGCAGGAAGGACAGCCTCATGGCATCCCCTGACAGGCGTCTGTGGAAGTGCCTCAGGAAGCCTGGCATCCGGTTGCTGCCTGGGGCGGGTGATGATTGGCCACTTCGCCTGACACGGACACACTAACCGGGCGGGCACAACGTTGCTGCTGCTGCTGCTGCTGCTGCTGCGCTGCTAATTGCTGACCTGACGGGGGTGACTCATGGCTGAAGATGAAACCAGTCTGCCTTGGATCTGTCACTTTCTAGCCGGGCCATCCAACAAGAAACGAAGGTGAAGTAAATCCGTCATGATGATTGATGGAATTTCCTAGTCCTCCCTCGTGGCATTGTCTTTCCACATTTCTCAGGCAGCGAGGTCTCCTTTTCTTTCCTTCTAAAAGGAGTAATAATGGACAGGAATTGCCGGAAATGGAATTTTGCGTGGGCAACTCCACTGTGGGTCCGCCAACTCCCCACTAGCTGATTGAAACCAATACAAGGTCAGCCAGCCTCGCTTGGCCGGAACATCTCTCGGGCCGGGGTCCACGGGCTGCGCGTCTTTTCGGAGAAGGACATGTCCGTCTGCTGCTTTCTCTCCCAAACTCGCATGGCGGTTCGGTCTTAACTCTTAGCTATGATAGTCGCTCGGGCTAAATCGCCGCTAGTAGGCATCCTCATTCTTGGGTCCAATGGGATGCCTCCGGCTGTCGTCATCCACTGGAGCCGATCCGGGAACCATGACAGTCCGCCGAATTTTCTCGACGCCCGGCTTCAACGCCTGCTCTGCTCCCCCTCAGCGTCGTCGTCGCCGTCGTCGTGGTCGTCGCAATCATCGTACTCTACCACCAGAGTATAGGAAAGCCCCTCTGGACCCTTTCCTTCCTCCTCCGGTCAACTTCAAGGGACACTGGGGCATGAGCCAGCTTTAAATATCGGCGGTCGACCATGGATGCCCCTCGACGGTTATCCCCCGGATAAGGATTTTTACTCCAGTGGAGCCGGCCTGCTGACGACAAAGATCTCAACGCACACGCTACTTTCTCATTTCCTGTGCACCGCCCAGCGTGGCTATAGTCCTGGGCTGCATCGTTCCTGACGGGCCAAATCCCTCCCCCCCTCTCGCGACGGACAGCCTCATCCGCGGGCTTATTCTGGTATCCCCCCGGACCGCCAGATCATATCGCACCGTAACCATGGCCGCTGTCCAAGTATCGCCACATCCCTCCCAAGGCTTAGACTTTGGTCCCCCGCCATCTCGTCTTCTTATTTGCTCTGGCCCGTAGCTACTCGACCCCCCTATATATAGTTCTTGGGCACGTATCCAATGATCCATGGGTGCTCCACTCCTCTAGCAGCTGGGCTGTCGGGTTTATCAAGGCCCTAGTCCAATCCCAAGGCGTTACCGTTGCCTGGTGCCGTTGTCGTCTCCAGCCTTTTTTCCCTTGGCCCTTTTTTTCTCCTGGGGGGCTCCTGTTTATTTTTGTGCCTCTAATTTGCGGTGTTATTTTTGGGATTCTCTTTGCCCAGCCCCAGAACCTCCCTAGAACCCTCGTCATCTTCTTTCCTTTCCCCGTGGCCTCAAAAGACCCTCTCGACGCATTCCCAGGCCATCCCATCTTCAACCTTCAAGATGGGTACGCCAAATTACTCGGCACATTCGCCCCGGGAGAGCGAGAGCAGCTACTTCTCCCATGCGTCTCCTTCTCAAGCGGTGAGTATCCGTTTAGGTGTCCGGCCGTTTGCCTGTTGCTAATCTTGATAGCATCCACCCTACCACGCGGATGAACCTGAACACGACGAGCAGGAACAATCGCTGCTGCAGCGCAACACCTCCAGTCATTATGGCACCCCTTTCGATGATCCCGCCGTCTCGACCGATTCCCTGCGGCGGTACACCTTGCACGACTCCGGGCCGTCGGTCTTTGCCGCACCCCCCTATCAAGAATCCGAAGGAGCCTCCGACATCTACAATGCTCGGAGCAATGGCGACAAAGCCTCTCGCGAGGGCAGTCGCGCGGGTGCCCTTCGCCGATATGGAACGAGAAAGATCAACCTGGTGCAGGGTTCCGTCCTGAGTGTCGATTACCCCGTGCCGAGTGCCATTCAGAACGCTATTCAACCCCAATACCGGGACGCCGAGGAGGCCTTTTCCGAGGAATTCACGCACATGAGATGTAGGTGCTGCGCGACCTGGCGACGCCCATTGACCGGCTGACCCAGGAATTTAGATACGGCCGCCACCTGTGATCCGGATGACTTTACGCTGCGCAATGGATACAATCTCCGGCCGGCGATTTACAACCGGCACACCGAGTTGCTGATTGCCATCACCTACTATAACGAAGACAAGGTGTTGACCGCGCGTACTCTGCACGGTGTGATGCAGAACATTCGCGATATCGTCAACTTGAAGAAATCCGAGTTCTGGAACAAGGGTGGCCCTGCCTGGCAGAAGATCGTCGTCTGTCTGGTCTTTGACGGTATCGAGCCTTGCGACAAAAACACGCTGGATGTGTTGGCGACCATCGGTATCTACCAGGATGGAGTGATGAAGAAGGACGTTGATGGGCGAGAAACCGTCGCCCACGTTGTAAGTGCTGTCGCGCATTGCCCTTGCATCCGAGGCCCGAGACCACGGGGTGAAGCGAATGAAGCGAGACTGACCGCCACAGTTCGAATATACCACTCAACTGTCCGTCACTCCCACGCAGCAGTTGATCCGCCCCCAGGGTACTGAGACGACCAACCTGCCCCCCGTGCAGATGATTTTTTGCTTGAAGCAGAAGAACAGCAAGAAGATCAATTCCCACCGTTGGCTGTTCAACGCCTTTGGTCGAATTCTCAACCCGGAAGTCGTCATCCTGCTGGATGCCGGTACCAAGCCCGGCCACAAGTCTCTCCTCGCTTTGTGGGAGGCCTTTTACAATGACAAAACTCTTGGTGGAGCCTGTGGTGAGATCCACGCCATGTTGGGTCAAGGCTGGCGCAAGGTCCTCAACCCTCTTGTCGCCGCTCAGAACTTCGAGTATAAGATTTCCAATATTCTCGATAAACCTCTAGAAAGTGCCTTCGGTTATGTCAGTGTCTTGCCCGGTGCATTCTCTGCCTATCGTTATCGCGCCATCATGGGTCGGCCGCTGGAGCAGTACTTCCACGGTGACCACACGCTCTCGAAACGTCTCGGAAAGAAGGGTATTGACGGCATGAATATTTTCAAAAAGAACATGTTCTTGGCCGAAGATCGTATTCTTTGCTTCGAATTGGTGGCCAAGGCCGGTTTCAAGTGGCATCTCAGTTACGTCAAGGCCTCCAAGGGTGAGACCGATGTTCCCGAGGGCGCGGCCGAATTCATCAGTCAAAGAAGACGTTGGTTAAACGGTTCGTTTGCTGCCGGTTTGTATTCCATCATGCATTTCGGTCGTATCTATCGCAGTGGCCACAGCATCATCCGCATGTTCTTCCTGCACATCCAGATGATCTACAACGTCTGCCAACTGATCATGACCTGGTTCTCCCTCGGTACGTTCCTAATCCCTTTTTGGGGCAATGACTAAACTGTGTCTAGCTTCCTACTGGCTTACTAGTTCCGTCATTATGGACCTGGTCGGTACACCTAGCAAGAGTAACAAGGAGAAAGGTTGGCCCTTTGGAAACGAGGCATCGCCCATTGTGAACAACTTTGTCAAATACGGTTATGTCTGGGTTCTTGTGCTGCAATTCATGATGGCTCTGGGTAATAGGCCGAAGGGGTAAGCGACCTGCATTGATTGATCAAATGAGATCGACTGACCATCCACAGTGTGAAAATCCCTTACCTCCTGTCTTACCTCTACTTCTCCCTGGTTCAGTTGTACGTGCTCATCCTGTCATTCTACCTGGTGGTGGGCGCCTTCAACGGTGGCATGATGGACTTCAACTTCGACGAAAGCGTGGGCACGTTCTTGGCATCCTTCTTCAGCTCCAGCGGTGGTGGTATCGTCCTGATCGCCTTGGTTTCGACCTACGGTATCTACATCATTGCCAGTGTGCTGTACATGGACCCCTGGCATATTCTGACCAGTTCCTGGGCCTACTTCTTGGGTATGACGACCTCGATCAACATTCTGATGGTGTACGCCTTCTGCAACTGGCACGATGTCTCGTGGGGTACCAAGGGATCGGACAAGGCGGAAGCGCTGCCCTCGGCACAGACCAAGAAGGACGACGACAACAAGCAGAACTTCATTGAAGAAATCGACAAGCCGCAGGCCGATATCGACAGTCAATTCGAGGCGACGGTGAAGCGCGCGTTGACGCCGTGGATCGAGCCGGAAGAAGAGGGAGGCAAGAGTCTGGACGATGCCTACCGAAACTTCCGTACCGTTTTGGTGTGCCTGTGGGTGTTTAGTAACTTGTTGGTGACGTTGTTGATTACTGCTACTGGTGTTGACAAGATGTGTTTGACTGTATGCCCCCCCTCCCCCATAAGTAACCGGGAACAGACAACTAACGGATATAGAACACTTCTACCACCCGTACCTCCTGGTACTTCGAGGTGATTCTGTGGATCACGGCCGGTCTGTCACTGTTCCGCTTCATCGGATCATTATACTTCCTGGGTCGCTCTGGTATCCTGTGCTGTGTGTCCCGGCGTTAAGCCCGTCGCCTCGCCAGCCACGTTGCATGGCTGTGTGCCGTACAACAGTGATGCATTGTCGGAGCAACCAACCTGCATGATTATGTCGTGTTATCCAGCGCCTGGTTCATGGGACTGTACATTTATGGCCAATGCTGTGTTGATTTTTTCCTTTTTCTTCTTGTTTCTTTCCTATGCAATGATAATAATAGAGCGAGTTGATATATACCTATATATATATATATATAGTCAGTGTCTGTCTGGGATCGATTTGACTGATATATTACTACTACTAGCGGAGATGAATACTAAGAACTAAATGACATGATTGATTTCTCGGACCATAAGCATAAGCATACGTAACATCACCACCCCCATACCATCTCCCTCCTAATCAATCCCCCCTCTCCCTCTTCACCTCCCCATCCAACCCCCCACCCCATTCACATTCACATTCCCATTCAACTGATCCATAACCCCCTCCCTAACCAACCCCCTCACCACCTCCCTCACCCCTCCCCCCGGATCCCTCTCCACCTGATCCCAAACCCTACTCTCGAGTTCCACACACCCCCTCACCAACCCCACCATCCGTCGTCCCAGCGCCTTCACCTCCGCATTCATCTCCATGGCCTGGGTGCGTAGCTTCTGGACCTCGAGGGCTAGTTCCATGGTTGAAATGAGGTGCGCGTCGGTGGCTTTTTCGGCGTGTTGGAGGAGGGTTATGGCTGTGGTTGTCCAGGGGGGTTGTTGGTTGGTGGTGGAGGTGGGGGTAGATTCGAGTTCGAGTTCGGTGATTAGGGATTTGAGGGTTGTGAGGAGGTGGGTTTTTGTTTGCGTGGTTGGTGAGGTGGGGGTTGTTGTGGTTGTGGTGAGGCGTTTTGGGGCCCGAGTTGGGGAGATGAGGGGGGTTGGAGAGGCGGAGCGTTTTTTGATGGTTCGAGTGGGTTTGGTGTTGGTGGTGGTAGTGGGGGAGGAATAAGGGTTGGAGACGAGGCTCATGGCGCTGGGGTAGATGGGTGAGAAGCTGGAGGGGTTGTCTTCGGTTTTCATTTTGGTGAGTGGGTTTGGTGTTGGTGGGTAGAGAAGGTGGGAAAGTGTTTGGTATGTGTTTTGGAGATGAGAGATGAGGAAGAAGAAGAAGGAAGAGAAGAGAAGAAGGAAGAGAAGAGAAGAGAAGACCTAAATTTAAATGCATGATCAAGTGAACAAAGAAACAGGCCGAGACAAAAAGTGATGTGAATTCATTCACTGCTCAATGACAGCTACCGTGCCTTTCACAGATTGGTCCCGAGTTGAAAGGGTGGTGTGAAGGAGATCTCCACCAGAATGATATTCCTCTATCTATATCTATTCCATTGAACTATCTAGCAGTGCGAGCATACTGAGAGAGCATCATGACACTGGACGTGGATCGTGTCCCCCAGCCCACCACCAGCCCACACCCCGAACCAAGTACAGATTTGGCCGTTGTTCCAGGTTGGCTTCCATCATTTCGCTTCGCCACTCAGTGGTCGTTAAATCTGGAGACAACGCTCTCCATGGCTGATCGAGTAAGCCCCAGTCTACAAGCCGGTCATGATCCCAGAACACATATCCTCGTCGGCGGAGCTGTTGCGTGTCCTCCCCTCCGACCCAGTCATATCTGGCCAGTCTTGCATGTGCCCATCGCCAGGCCTCAGCTGGACCCGAATCAAATCCAGGAGGTTCCACCTCCTGTAACCCTTGGATCTGTTCCAAGGTGAGATCGTTGTACCACAGAGCACTGCCCGGCTGGGCACCACAGATGTTTGGGAGCAATTCAGCAAGAGAGGAGATGAAGGGCTTGCCGAGAAGCTTCGGGGCGAGTAACTGATAACGTTCTGCATATGTAGGGGCCGCGAGGACTCTTCCCAGGAAGACGAGGCCGTGGGCCAGCTAGCCGCGGTCAGCATCGAACCGACAGGAGGAAACAAGGAACAACAACTCACTAGAGTTCCTATAGGAGATGGGCGATCCATGTGGCATGCCTCGCCGGAAACGTACCAGATCCCCTCGTCGGACCACTCCGTCTCACGCTCAGCTATCTCGCGAAAAGCTGGACTCAATCAGCATTCATCAGCTGACGGTACCAGAGACCGAGATAACCTACGCCTGGCAATTGTGCGGAAGAGAAAGTCACAGACGGACATCAACTGCTCCACCTCCCATACGGGATAGTGCCGGTAGTGGATGTTCCATTGCTCGGCGAGGCGAAAGTCCGGCGATGGCTTGTTGAACCCAGCTCGGGGTTCTCTCATCCGGAACAGGTGCTGGTGTATCTCGAAGCGGTAAAAAGACCTGGCCGTTCGACACTCTTCAGTGTACGAGGGAGAGACTGAGGATGGGAAGCCTATGAAGAACATCTGGGATAGCGCCGTGGAGAGAAATTCCGAGGTGAAAGCGTGCACCTGCCGGTGTAGCGTCTGCATCGAAAAAGCGGTTTTGACGGTCAGTCGGAACGAGGGGGGAATCTGGCGAGACTTGTGCTCGTCCAGGATGGAAAGCACTCGTTCGCGCGTCCATGGATCGGCCTCGATGGTGGATGCGTTAAAGGCAAGGATGGCATCCGGCAATAGCTCGGGAGGGATAGTATGCGACAGGATCTGATGCAAGATATACTCCTTGTGCTCGGTGAAAGCGGATGATAAGGCAGGATGGGCAAAGACAGTCGATTGCAGCGTCTCGAGATCCGGAAGATGGCAGAGAATGGCTTGAGTGATCTCCAAGGGCAAGGTGCACAAGAAGGGTCTGCCCATCGGATATGATCGCGGAGACGCTTAAATATATATGATAATACTTGGTATAAAGAACAATGTTGCTGGATGGGGTCAGTATACCAGTTAAGACAAGTGGGCATCGTCGTTCGATAGTCAAGTGCTTGGCAGGGGAGGTGGTACCGGCCATCTGGTCTCGAGGCAGGAGCTCCCTTCTTGCACTCTACCCATCATTATTATTACATCGGCCATGAGTTGCAAGTCGTCCATAATTATGTGCCAAGAACATATCTAGAATTGAGAGGAGCGTTTATTGGATGATGTGGAACATGCCCACGATTAGTATCATTTGCACCCTTAGGGCTAGTTGAGAGCAAAACGTAGTCCGTTCTTTACAGGATGAATCTAATCCCATACTTAGCTAGTAAGGGCTAGTCACAGTATCGGAAACTGCAGAATATCACAAGGAACCTCCCTGCATTATATCGGAGGATATCACCTCCAAGAGGCGAATTCCGATGACGCAACAGGCAGATCCGGTCTATATAAACCCCATCATTCCCTGGATCTTTAGCATTCAAACCAACTAACAAGATCACATCCTTTTGCACAGTTTATCTCCACCGCTATGCGGCGCAGCATACAGAAAGTCCAAACACACCATTTACAGACACTTAATAACAAGACCAACAACAATGTACACCCAGAAACAGGCCAGTGCCTGACCTTCATTTTCGTACATGGGTTCCCAGTCGGCTACCACTGAGGTCCTACAGCCTGAGGGCCATGTATCTACTGCCTCTCTCAGTGATGAGGATGAAGAAACACATCCTTGACCCTCTCTGCGAGAGGCTCGCACTTCTTGATTGAGACAAGTGGTATAAAGCCATTGAATCGAATACCTGAGTCTGCTATAACGAAACATGGGAAGAAGTACCACGAGACCCGCTGAAGGGAAGAGACATCTCCTTACCATAAAGTGGTGTTTGAAGAGAAAACTGACTGCTGAGGTGAAATAAAACGGTATGAACCGGACTGGTTGCTCGCAGATTTACGGACGGATTTCAATCTACTCTATCAGAAGAATTCCTACAGTCTGCACCTTTTGCATGCAATCAAACATCACAACTTCGGTTACTGCAAACGATTCATCAAAATATTATACCAAAGCACACGTACCTGGAACTAGAACACTGATAATATACATTGCGACCAAACCCATATCAACAAAGACGTCTCGTCTCAGTTTCTGACACTTAGACACTCTATCTATTGTCTTAGACTTCACCCTCTACAGAGGATGGTATCTTCCATCAAGGCCATTGAATGGTCCCCTATCTTCTTCACCGGTTAGATGGGTCATCAAGGCAACTACAAGTATGACCTGTCTGGTTCTCCACGCCGCACAACGCCGACCACGATGCCTGTTATAACAATGTCCTAACTTACAACCATTAATTTCTGAACGGGTTTCTATATCATCCCCAACGCGAAATACAACCACTGTGGAACATCACCATGACGGACATACAAAGTATCATTTCACAGCCATGTCAAATATCCACATGATATCCCAATCCACGGTCATGGTTTCTTAACAAGTGCAGCATGGAAGAAGCCATGTATCCAAGCATGGCCATACTGGAAGCGAGCTTGAACATTCGGCTTCCACGGCTGTCACCAAGCGTCATCTATGATTTATACCCGGATGCTTCGCTGCTTCGATACTTGGATGAAACGTGAATCATCCATCAAGAAGTATAATTGTGGCGAATATAGTGGCAGGTTTTGACAACCTGGTTCTACGATTTGTCACTATGAGTTACTCGTCCGGTGGACGTTACTACCCTTTTCCCGATCCAAGGACTGGACTGATCGAGAAGCTCCTCAATATCATTCCTGCCGGCGCCTCCCACTCACAGAGAAATGCGATCTTAATACTAGGAAATATCCGCCGCAGAGTTTTCCAAGAACAAGAAGAAATTCCCTTGAATATCCGATTGGAAAGACAAGATACTCCCTCAATCCCTATGGATTAATGTGATCTCATGAAGCTATTACAACCTACATGTCCCGCTCCGGACTGGTGGCAACGGATATGGGTGGGTGGTTGTTGTCCGGAGCGAAGAAGAAGAAAGGACAATATATAGTGGGAAGGGAGCGATTGAAGGGCTTAGATTCATATTTATATCATGATAGGATAGAAGACAGGAATTGATTCTATGTGGTATAAGGGGAGGAGATGAGATGGGGTTTTGGTGTGGGTTGGCGTTTCTACTATCTTGGGTTGGTGGTTGGATTGGTGGTATTTGGGAGGATATTGATTCGTCGGAGATGATAGTGGGAATTGTATGGAGGAGTCGGACAACTGGTTAAGTCATACACACAAAAAAGGATAATGTGTGATTTGTGTCTACGTTCTAAACTTAGAAGTGCTCACGCGCATAGTCCGACCGGCTGTTTAAATAACAATCCACACACCCATTCATTATAACACACCCATTCTGCCAAGTCCCTTTATAATCCGCCGAGACGCGTGAGCGGATACTGACATTGACACCGACACTGACATGACACATATAAATTTTGAATGGATTCTGGATTAAAACTGCGTACAGTACTCTCTAATCCTTTAAAAATACTTCCCGGTCGTACAGTGTACAAAAACCACCCGTGTAAAAGCCCACCGTGTGACCATCTGCCTACTCGTATTACTCAACCAGGGATAGATCGAGCTGACGTTACCAACCCAACCCAATCAGCGAATATAACAGCAACCAGCAAACAGCCACGGCGCTAATGCCAGCCAAAGTGTGGCACTGGCAGGAAGCTTGTCTGGTCCAACACGGGCGAAAAGGGGGTTGTTTCTTTGCCTCCGCCCACCCACCCACTGGATTTGCCTCGGAAGGTTCCGAGACCGGATGCTTTGTTCGTGGACGGACCGGCGTAGGCAGCCATGTTTAGGTTCTGCAGAAATGAGGATCAAGTTGAGTGGATGGCTATATTTTACGTGCAGTTTGGGTGGTGGGAGAAATACAGATGATTGCGTGGTCAGCCTTATAGGGCGCAACGGATTCCGCGGATCCCTTCCCACGGCCTACACGGCCTACACGGCCTACAGGTACAACGAGATCGATAGCTTGAAACCCGGCTGCCTACGGGTCTACTCCGTCTTCTCCATTGGTTGGTCGTTTGGGGTTACTTACATATCTTCTTCTTCCCGGTCTCCCCCATTCCCCCTCTTACCTCATCATTTGCTCCCTAGATTGAGAACAGACTTACAGTTAGTCATTCATTCCTTACGATCAGTTCAGATTCCCTCGCTGGGACCCCCATCATGCGCCTTCGCTCTCTTTGTGTGACGGGCATCTGGCTGGCCAGCTGTGCTGCCAGCCCTGTCCCGGATCATCCTGGTGACGGTACCCAGACGGCTTTGCAGACAGCGCCCGTGGTGACCGGCCATGAGATCCATATTCCTTGTGCAAAAGGCCCCGGGCCCGAGAGCAACCAGGAGGACCCATACCTGGTACGTGCGCCCCCCAGAACTCAGTCGGATTGAACGACACACTGATATACAGCTAGGCGATGAAATTCCGGACTGAAAGCAATGCCCTCTTCGCCAACGATGTCTCCATTTTCCCAGCCTCATACCCAATGCACCTGCCTGCGACCCGGCACCAGGGTCCCGGCCAGGGTGTGGAGGATGTGCTGCTGCAATATGCCGTGAATATCGATTACATTCGTCCGCATCTGGATACTTTGGTGCAAGAAGTCTACCAGGTGGAGGTCAAACTCTTCGATGTGTCTGGTCGCCCCGCCACCACCGATATTGTGACCGTTCGACTGTCCCGGCAGCAGGAGGGGGAGTTGTACATCTCCCAGATCACGGTGGACCCACTCCCTCAGTACCATGATGCTCACGGGGATGGCAACCGTCTCTGGCATGTCAAATACTGGAAGATGATCATGGCCAAGTACCAGGCCTGGCGACAGACGAAAGGGCACGGACAGTTGCAGCCCGCGATGCTATCGCACGAAGCCAAAGAAAACCAGCCAATGCCGACCGACGATAAGGCTCACACCCCGGAAGGGTCTAGTCCGGCTGATAGAGCAGAGACCGTGTCTCCGTTTCGGGTGTTTGGCGTAGACAGGTCTCCCCGACCGGCTGTGTTGCGTCCCAGTGGTCACCATCGAGACTTCTGGCGACTCGTCGTCCCTGCTATTTTCCCGGCACTTCTGGGGGCGATGGCCGGCCTGGTGGTGTGCATGACGGGCCTGGTGGTGTGGAAGATAGTTGCGTGTACATGTGTCCGGATGCAGGGTCGGAGATGTCGGAGGGCCGGGGGCTGCCAGCTGGAGAGACGCGTCTGGTCGGAGAAGCAGCGGTTGTTAGATGAGATCAGCTGATAACCTATCTACCTAGGGGTATCTATCTCAGGCCAGCCTGTTGGGGTCCGACGCGATATTAATTCGTGGGGGCTGAGCTGCTGTTCCTGGCCAGTCCGAATGTATAGCAATGATTCCTGCGACATGCCAATAATTGCAGCAATTATTTTTGATCGACCACTAGTAGGCCATAGCAGTCTGGGTGGGTAACTGTCGTGAAACCGAGGGAGTCAGGATGGGATTCTAGACCGGTTGGGGGCGGGTGAGCATCCTACGGGGGCTGAGCAGAATCCTAGTAGTAGTCTAGTCCATAATAATTAGTTCTTATCGATTTCAAAGGGAAATCAAATGGTTGAGTAGTGCACCGCCCACCATCCTTTGTAGCAACCTGAGACTGCCTAAGAGAAAGACCGAGCCGTTGCTGGCATTCCGAATTCCGAGCGAGATTGGCCAGAACACAGCAGGGGATCCGCTCAAGAGTGGTTGTTGCTGCTGCCTAGGACGTGTTGTTAGCGTAGCCACAACGCAGCAGCGCCCATCACTGCGTCATCGCTGCCCCTCAAACCGGTCCTCCGTGCATCTGTCACGGCGGCCACTGAAACCAGATACATAGTAGAACTGGTTCACATCTGTGTCGATCATGGTGAAGAAACCTGATTGGTGTTGACCACTCGTCAGTCAATGCAGGGCTGGCGATACGCCGAGACACCACAGCAAGAGGGGGAATGGAGATGGACGGGATGAAACCAGATGACCCACGGGCGGAGAGCCCGGCTACACAATGTTCCACCGGGAAGCCAACACCCAGTATCATTGGACAAGCCTTCTTGGGAAGCTTAATCAAAGCTTAGCTGACCGCCAGTGGAACCCCTCCTGGCGGCTATCCATTGGCCCTTTCGCACCGTCGAAGATGAACGGAAATTGAAGGGGCTTGGCAGTCTCTGGAAGGGGCAGGAATCGTCGGGTCCCTGAGCCACACCGCACATGCCTGATGCCACATCCACTTTGCAGGGCTGAGCCAGTGATGTCACTCCCTCTGCTTCCCGATGCAAGAATAGTAACGAGGACCACCTCCACCGCAGGTCGGCTAAAGGATGCGGCGGTGATGAGGGATGACAGCTGAGCAGGAGTGGTCCCCATCGTGGCCCAACGGTGAGGTCATCCATCGGTTGGAGTCTCCTCTAGGGCTGACGCCCTGGGCCGCCGAGACCCCAGATTTGAAGGCCAACTGATAAATACATTGCTGGGGCCCGCCCGGTGTCTGTTCTTTCTTTTGTTTCTTTCTCATTCAGATACCCGCCCACTTCCGGTCATACCATACCATCGCTTTTAACCATACCATACCACAACTACAACACATCCACATCCACATCCACATCCACATCCACATTTAAATCCACACTTCATCATGTTCGGCTGGTTCAAGTCTTCCAACCAGGAGTCCGCTCCCGTCCAGAACACCTGGAACCCCAACACCTTGACCATGCAGCAGCCCTCGGCTCCGGAGGCTCCTGTCACCGAGCAGGTCGTTACCGGTCAACCCGTACGTCACTTCCTACCACATACATCTATATCTCATTACTAATATTTCCCAGGGTCAGCAGGAAACCATGCAAATGAACCTTCGTGGTGGTGGTGAGGGTGAGGATGTCTGCTGTGGCGTGTATGTTTCCATCCTTTCCCTTTCTGTTTCCCTCTCAACTAAAACTAACCTTGAACAGTTGCGCCGGTCTCTGCTGCTTCGAGTGCTGCGAATGCTGCTGCTAGACAGACATTCAATAGATCACGACCTGCGATTGACGTCCAATGTACTGTTAATATTTTATGAGTCTGTCATGTCTTTTAGCCTGATGGTGGAATGATACACCTGGAAGGGGAACATCCATATTTTACAATTTAATCGTTATGATACCGCTCTCACTTCTTCCCGTTTTCCTGCATTTTTATTCCTTCCATTTGATATTTTCTCGTTCGCTTATTGTTTTTTTCTTTCATTTGTCTAAACTTCTGCATAGAGTCTGGTATAGACGTGACTTCCTTACCTTTGATTGAATTAGATCTTGCAGGTATCACCACATCAATCTAGAATGAAATAAAGTAGATTCTATCTACATGATCGCATCCACTACGAACCCTCACTACTTATCTATTACCTTACAATACCTAGCATCCGACAGATAGATATTTTATTCCATCCAGCCCAGTCCCAATACAATACGTAAACTACGAAATCCCCTCCCCATTCAATCAAAAGTTCACCCACCCACCTATCTACATAGTACATCTACATCCACATAGATTCATACCCCACTCCTATATCTTATAATCTATTTTCTCTATGCCGTATACCTGATACATTCCGGGAAAACTGTATATATAATAACGTGAGTATATCCAGCCCAAGTTGCTGACCAGATAGCTCCAGCCTGATTAAGTGTTCAATATAATTGACTGTGGAAAGTAAGGTAAGTATTATGAATGAAATCATTGGAAGATGGATATTCTGTAGAGAGGTGGGGTTTCAGTGAGGGAGGTTTGATACTATGAGTGGATTACTTGTCAGGTTGATACCTGTAAGGAAGTGAGTCCTTACAAGGGTCGTTGCCCACCTCCTCCCAGGGTGTACTTGAGCATATAGGGGATTCTAGGGGTCCCCAGAGTATCTGCGGGTAATGATGGCCTGATGGTCTTGTCTTGACTTTTTCCCCTAGAAGAGTTCATTACCATACCCCCCGGCTTGATTGGTTCTAGAGAATGGGATTGAAAAATGAAAGAGAAATGGATCTTTACTAGACAGATAGATAGATATATACATTGCATGATATGAGGTCTTAAGATACTGCGTGAACTGTGTGGAATATTCCTACAAACTAGATCCCTCATCTCTATGAAGACTTATAAACACACCATAATGCTACATCCTAGCACAAGGCTCCCTACCTACATATCCACCCTTTCAGCCAAGTAAGCCCTGATTGGCGATGATTGCACGCACTGCAGGTAGCTTCCGTCCTTCTCCCGGGGTCCCCGAATTGCGACCCCAAATAGGGATAAGATAGTAGTGGCTGCGTGACGGTGCCCACGTCCGATCAAACCGAGGCACTCACACCAGGCGCTTACTGCCAACTACCATCTACCTAGGAGCGATTGACTCTCGGGAGTATTGCCCCGTCTTCATGAACGGTGGTTCTCGCCCCACTCCATTCTCTAGTGCTCATAACTTCACTCCGACATGCGATAGAAATGGGACGCCTAATATATAGAATCAATTATCCGGGCGCTCCGAGAGGAGTCAGAGCAAACAGCGACAGCCCTGCAGATGGTAAACCATCTAGGCGAATTGGAACACTCATTAGCAGACAGCCTGATAAATGCATTAATTAATCCGGCGGCTAGATGGAGGGGAAGTAATTTCCCGTGCAGCACTAGTCTGACAGGTGACAATCATGTGTCCGATACTGAAGATTTGTCTTTGCCAGTTGACTTGTGGTCGACGCTAACGATCTTGAAAATATTGAGAAAAGCGACTCCAAACTGGACACAATAGTCTATATATACGATGTAGGTACTTCCCCAACCCAACATTTACCTAAGTCTGTGGCCGCTCGATGTTCCCCCTGGATAAGGTGTCTAACCGAAGGGTTACCTAGCGGGCCCAAAGCCCATTAGCTCAGCGCTACGCTGCACTAAACAACCCCGAATGCTACCATCTGAGACATGACCAATCAGCACCCCTGCACACTGTGATAGCGTTATTGGAGACCCTCGTGTTTGCGGACCCTAGTTGGCGGAATTGCTACAACAAGAGGCTCTGCGTTGATACTTCCTACGCCTTTTCGAGTCATTTCCTCTCGGTTGTAATGGATGCCCCAGGTCGGACCGAAAATGCGATAAGCTTGGGATGGGTCTAAAAGAAAGGGGCTCGCTCTTTTTCCTAGTAGCCAGGCCATCTGATCAAATTTTCTCTCTCTCTCTCACTCATCTTCTCCGTTCTCAAGGTCAAAACCAAAGAACAAATAAACGAACAGCAACAACAAAATGCGCCCCTCCATCCTCCTCACCACAGCCCTCTCCCTCCTCCTAACCACCACCCCCACCACCGCCAAAGACACCGACACCACCACCGTCCTTGGCGTCTTCAGCCCCTCCTGGGACGCCGAATACCAAAAATACGGCGGTTGGACCAGCACCGGCGCCAGCATCGCCAATCTCAACGCCGTCAAAACCACCTTCGAAGTGGGCTGTCTAAAAGACGCTCCCAAAACAGACTGCGACATGAAGAAATCCTACACTATCGTGCAAGGGCCCGAGACCGTCAGCGTGAGTCAGGTGTACACGGCCTCGACGTCAGATGCGAAGTCGAGCTACGATTTGACCCTCACCCGGTGGTATGAATGTTCCATGAAATCTTACACCGAGGATGTGACTTGCACTATGAGTGTGGATATGACGGGGAGTGCGGATGGGGCGACAGTGGCGTCGTCGACATCGGCCAAGTCGACGTATAAGACGGCTACGAGCTCGTTTTATAGTCTTGTTGTTACGGGGGGGTTGAAGTCGTTGACGGCGCCGGCGGCGACGGAGACGGCTGGGGGTGCTGGGGCTGGGCCTGTGGCGGCGATGATTACGGCTGCGCCGGTGGCGGCGGTGGCTGTTGTGGCTGCTTTGGTTTAGGAGAGAAGAGAGACTGTACGTGTTGGGAGGGATGAAGTGTGAGGGTTTGTGAGTGGGTAGGTAGTAGTAATGGTGGAGGGAGGATGCTGCTTGGAGTGGTTTTTGTGTTGTCGTTGTTGTTGTATGTTGTAATTGTGTTATATGAACCCCTAATGTCTATACCCCCTGAAGTTGATGAATGGCCCCATAGTGTATGTGATGATGATGGATGGTTTGCTTATTGAGATGCATCATAATCTGGATTGAAGTCTTCACGCGAGCAGTAGAAGAGTTGTAGCGAAACCAGAGGTACGGAGTTGAGGTAATGGGAGAGAAGAGAGATGGAGAGACGTCTATCAACTGCCTGGCTTCTCGGGAAAGGCTCGGGCAGAACCGGGACTGTGATCTGATGCCTGAGGCAGTAATATGCCTCGGATGCCGGCCGTTTCCCAAAAGGGAATGTACAGGGCGGTGCATGTGTGGCGTCTTTCAACATCATGTGGCTGAGGAGGCGATGACCTGACAGGCAAGTTTCTCAGTCGAGAGGATTACTTTGGGACATCGAATCTACCAAGGTCTATAATATGCCATTTCCACCTATCATAGCCAGCTAGGAATCTGAACCTTCGAGTCGTTGGCTCTAGCGACCGTTGGGTTCTTGCTGGACTGGATGAAGTGTAGCATCAAAATTAACTATCATTTACCGGTTGACATTATTAGCAAGACTAGTCCATCAATTCATACAGTCTGAATGATTGTATACAGGTTCATTACGCCCACTTTCCAATCAAAGCCATAATGCCCGCACCCAACAACGTGCAAAACACCATGTACAGCAACTTGGAGCGACGACGGGTTCGGCAAGGATCGAAGATAAAGTCGCGTGCCAGCAGCTCCACCAGCGCACTGTAGATCAGCACACCCGCTGACACTGCGTTGAACACACCCTGGATGATCAAGGAGGTCTTGGAGCCCGGGTTGTAGGTGGTTCGCAGTCCCAGCCCGATGGCGATGGAGATCGGAGTGGTCAATCCATATGCCAGACATAGGAAGTAGGGGAGGTAGACGCGGTGCGCGAACGGGATGGCCGAGAGTCGAGCGCCAATACCCAGACCCTCGAAGGACTGGTGGAATACGAGCACGGGGTATAGGGTCGCGAATTCGGAGCCGGTGACGCCTAGATTCAGACCGATGATGACCGAGTGGAAGATGATGCCGAATTCGAGGATCAGGAAGCCTGCGATTTGTTGCCGGAATGAGCGATCGGCCATTTCCGACGAGGTTTCTTCGGTCGTCTCGGTGGGAGTGTCTTTTTCTGCGGACCCATGGCCATCCTCGGGGTTGGAGTGGATATGGGTGGTGGTGGGATCGCCCGTGATAAAGGCGTTGGTGGCGTTTTCATCCCGGTGCATGCCGTACTTGTGCTCGACGTACACCTCCGCGGCCAGATCGAGAAGGAAGATCAGCGTGATCGAGGCGAGCACAATGGCTGCACACCAGGAGTAATCGGCCCAGTAGCCAGAGACTCCCACACAGGTCTTGGGACCGATTCGCTTGTAGGCTGGGTCTAGGAGATGGACAAAGGCCGTGGCCAGGATGACACCTGTACCGAAGTAGCGGGCAAAGATGTAGACGCTGTGAGGGATCTTCCATCCAGGCATGCGTTTAGCCACGACTGGGAAAAAGGTAAAGGCCGTGGAGACGAAGAGGATAACAAAGATGGAGGAGATGCGGGCTCCCATGTGGCCGTTGTAGTCATTTTCCGAGACGGCATAATAACACAGCACGTCCTCTTTGCTAGCAGTGTGGAGGTTCACCTCGGACGCGTTAAAGGTAGTCATGGTGACAGGAATGATGGAGGAGATGTAGGAAGGGAATGACGGTGCATGGCAGATTCTCCTGGTGATGCATGATCTTATAGTCTCTTGGTGAGGACCTTGGGTGTAGCTGAACAGTACCTGAGCCGATGGGGAGCCGACGAGGACGGAGGTTGATGGCAAACATGGCCCCTCGGTGGGTCGCAATCATTTTCTCTGGCTAGCCTGCAGGTGATGGCCATTCACCTCGAGAGCTACCTGCATGGCGAGTATCTAGCACTGTCCAGGCCCAACCGATGCCGCCATCTGCGGCTAAATCCAAGCCGGTGTCCTCCAAGGTACACAGAACTGCTGTGGAAGGCTTGAAGCGACTCAATAAGAGGGCTGATGAGATTTTCTCGCGAGATCATTCGCAACGCAGGCAGTAGGGCTGATGGGTCAGTCTCTTAGAAAGGCGCCTTATAGGGCTGAGGGGGGGTCGGGTGCACCGAGCCAATCAGTCATTGGCAGCCGACATCCCCAAGGTCCTCGCCGAGTCCACTTTGACGATTTCAGCGAATGCCACGCAGCAGGCCATTCACGTCTCCACTGGAAGAATTGCCATGCTGTGGGTGGTTCCACGCTGGGTATCCACCTCGCGTGATGTTGCTCGGGTTGCCTGTGTGGGACGGAATAGTAGAGTAGGTGCTTGGTGAGCATTTCACGGTCGGATTTGACTTTAACTTGGAAGTCGTTCCATTGATTGCCAATTTCGAGGGGATGCATATGCGTTGTACCACTGGGATACAATGGTGGTTGTCCTGTGCATCCAAATGTCATTGAACGGCTTTGTTGGTAGGTATTTCCAGCCCTGCGACACCGGGTAGTGGGTCATCTTACCTCGAAACCCCAGCACCCAGACAATTGTCAGGGGACAACAAGCCTTGTAAACCCTACCAAGCAGACCCTACCAGGGCCCAGAGGCAGAATATAAGGAGCTGACTTTCCCACAGCCCGGGTATGAGACCAAAATTATGAGAGCGGCTACTGCAGAGAATGCACGAGGCTGGCTTTCACTATCAAATGTCGCGTCAGAGGTCGGATAGGCCCAACCCATTTTCCCTCCCTGACGACAAGGCACGGAAAAAGCCGGGCTTTCCCGGATTGAGGTTGGTTACCAGGAAAGCGCAACCCCCGGTACTTTTTCCACCGGGTGACCATGTTCTGCTGCCCCTGTTTGGTATACTTCATGAGCGACACGCTCCTCTGTAGCGTTTGGGGAAATGCTGCGGTCTATTACGCGCCTAACATGTCACCCAACCAGAAGAAGCACCTTCGGATTGGCACCCAGATTGGCTACGCTGGGCAGTACATCTACGCCACATAGTGAGTGGGATCCTATCATGATTCTAGCGATTCGTGTTCTGGAATATACTGAGAACGCCAAGTCTATGGGCCCAAAAGGGCGTCGTCCTCTGTTTCATTGAGCGGCTTCTGGGCTTGCTGCCCTGGCCATACATTTGGATTCGGGTCTCCTGGGCTATCTTGATCGTTACCTTCATTGCGATCGAGCTTGTCTACTTGACCGTATGCATACCAGCGTATCTATACTGGCAGATTGAGCCTGCTCCAGGTGCGTGTTCACAGGAACCATGATGCTTCAAAAACCCAATCTTGAGCCGCGGAACCCCCGATTGCAGATTCCTGCGCCCGAGAGTTTTACCCTATCGACAATTTCCTAATAATGGACTGTATCACTGATGCTATGCTCCTTGTGCTCCCTTTTTATTGGCTCTTCAAAGTCCGACAGCCATTGGGCCAGTGAGTATCTCACGTTCGAAAGATCATTCAGCTAAACTGACTAAGTCAGACGCCTCTGGATACTCGCCCCCTTCTCCATTGGCATCTTTCTGATCGCAGTGACTTCGATCCGTCTCTGGAACTACTCCGGTCTACTCGACCCGAGCTTTCAGGTCCTGCTGAACCCGATCGAGGAGCTTTTCTCCGCCATCGTCGCCAATGTCCCAACGTTGTGGAGTCTCCGACGGGCCAGACAACCAGCTCCTCCTCCTATCCCGATGCATCCACCCCCCAAGCGAGTTCCTCGAGCGCTGAACAGTATACTTATCACCGAGACGACGGATGTGGAGCATTATGTTTTGGAGGAGCCGATGCAGTCTACCAATACGATCGAGGAGAGTTTGGGGGACGAGAGCGATGGACACTTGGTCCGAAGTAATCAGAAGGAAGGTCATTCGATGGTGTAAGAGGAGTGATGAATGCATGCATATAGAAGTAGTCGCTGTACATAGTCTATACATAACCCTGGTGCGTACAAGCAGTCCTCTACCATATCTGCCATTGAGTGACCGAAACCCTCTATAAGCATAATCATCTGTACTTTCAAACCCCCCACCCCCAATAACACACACCAACACCAACATAACCCTACTCCCCCAAAAAATGCACCCACGACCCCCTAGTCCACCCCCTCAACCTCTTCCCAAACCCCCAAACCCCAACCCCAAGCACCAACGGCCCCACCGTAACCCCCAACTGCACCAACGCCGGCGCCAGAAACCCCAACCCACTCCTCCCCGCCAACCCCGGCACCCAATAACTCATACTAAACCCACAGGTATTCCTCACCACGGTGACCACAACCATGATCTCTCCGGAAATAGGCTTATAGCAATCCACCGCATAAGCAACGGCAATACTTGCGATCGCGGCACTGAATAATCCGCTGAATCCATATCCTATTGTTAATATGATAGGCCAGGGCCAGAGATTGGTGATGGCGAATGCGCCCACGAGGACGGAGATAAGGAGGAGGAGAACGAAGGGGAGGAGGGATAGGAGGCGCATTTCGGCTTCGTAGATGTTGTTGTTTCGGGTGGTGAGGTGCATGGCTGTGAGGTCGGAGAGGGGGCCGGCGGTGATGAGACCCAGTAGGACGCCGATGACGAAGGAGAAGTTTGAGTAGCCGACTTGGGAGGCGGTGAAGTTGTAGGGTGGGGAGGCGAGGACGCTGGATTCGGTGAGGTTGTAGAGGAGGACGATGTTGCCCGGGCCGGAGGCTGTGAGGGCCGTCCAGAGGATTAGGGGGTAGAGGGTTATTCGGATGGGAGTGAGGATGGCGCGGAGGAGGAGGGATTTCCAGTTTGGGTCTGGGGTGTGGTAGAGGTGGAATTGGGGGCGGGAGGGGCGGCCGTGTTCGTGGTTGGGGTGGGGGTTGGGGATGGGGATAGGGGAGGGGGTTTTGGGGATATGCTGGGGGTGAGGTCTTTGGGGTTTAAGGGTTGGGAAGGAGGGGTGGGGAGGTTGCAGGCTTGGTGGAGTTCCCAGTCCGGGTCGTGGCGGTATTTGGTTTCTGGGTAGAGGAGGAGCACGGTGAGGAAGTTGAAGCAGGTTAGGGCCATGGAGAGCCAGAAGAAGCTGCGCCAGCCGAATCTGGGGTTGTGGGTTAGGTTTTGATATGGTAGGGGGTGGGGGGTGGGGAGGGATACCGCTGGGTGATGTTGCCGGAGATTACGGGCCCTAAGTATCCGCCTAGGGAGGTTGTGGAGCTGCCACTGTTAGTTATGTCTAGGGGAGGGGGGAGGGGGTTTGGTCAACTCACAAATATGCCATCATCCAGCGTCCTCGTTCGTGCAGGAAGAATAAATCTGCGATGATCTGTACAGGCATCGTCTCGTTGATGGCAGCCCCGAACCCATTCAACACTCGTGCCACGATCAAGCTGGTATAGGATGTCGCGCGAGCTTGCCATATATACGAGGCGATACTGATCACGGTAAAGATGAAGTAGGTCATGCGCCGGCCGAAGATGTTGGAGCACGGTACGGCGATGAAGTTGGCGTATGCGAAGGTCAAAATACACACCCCGGTGAGGAGAAGGAGCTGAGTATCGTCGAGGTGGAATTCTTGGGCGAAGTAGGGGAACATCGGACTCATGGATAAGGCGGATGCGCAGGAGACGAATGTCGCTAGGAGATGGGGGATGATCGCCATGACTGGTGCAGATGATTAGATTGATTCATCGGGAGGGGGGTTTGCTTGCGTTTCCACTTGATTGACCAGTTTAGAGGATCGTGAGGGTCTGCTGAAGGCTGCGGGACGAGGCTTTGGCTATGAGCTATGATTCCGGGATGGCTTGGATCACTCACACAAGCCCCGACTTGGATCCATGGGCGAGACGATGCTCTCCATCGCGCATTATCTCGGTGCCAGGGATATGCTCGGGCGCTTCATCTCGTGGTATTTCCATGGCGGGTAATTGCGATTGATCTCGGCTTGGAATTGACGATGCGTTCTGATAGACGGATGCAGGCCTTTAAAGAGATGCACCCAGCTGGACCGAGATGTGGAGATGATGTTGAGACAGGATCATCGATCGTGAAGCAAGGGATGCACACCGCTGGCTGGAGAATGTGGCTTCTGCTGACTGTCCTGGATTGCAGGACAGCTATCAATTCTCCGATGCTGCTGAGCTGTGTGCTTTTTTATACTAGCAATAGAACGGACTGGAAGATCAGCATAATCAGAAAAATGGAGAGAAGTGCAGATCCCTGCATGCCCTGTTGAGGGGGCAGAGAATCGCCCTCTGTGCTGACTTGATCTGTGTAACCAGACCACTTGACGATCTCTTATCGTGCTGTACCTCGACCAATCTGACTGGAGTGTATCTGCATCTGTGAGCCTAGCCAATGGTAACTTGACAAACTAGGCGCATCTAGGGATGATCTCTGGTCAAGGATGTGGCGTCTGCCGCAGCTCAACATATAACATGATTATTACATTTAATTGACAACCCACATCACAAATCAACACATCTCTATCAACATCATATCTTGCCCTCATCCAGATCTCCCATAAACTGCCGAGTGCGTGCCCCGGTCTGTCGCATCAGTTCGGATTTCTCCTGTTCAAGTCCCGGCGACGGTCTTCCACGCAAAGAATAGGTCAGCGACTTTTCCTTCCAGATACTACTGTACAACTTATCAGCAGCTTCTTGGAGGAATTCCAGCAGTTTTTTCTCCCGGCCTGTCAGGTCATCGGAATTTTGAATGGTCTCCAAATAGGCTGCGACGTCCTTTTCGACCGATTCATCGAATCCCAGTCTGGGAGCTTTGAACGCAAGCCAGTCGGCGCGCATGTAGTCTCTCTCGTTCATGTAGTTGTCGCGGCCGTCCCACCACAGTGGCATTTCTCGGATATAGATGAACTTCTTCTCGGTCGGCTCGGGGGTCCAGATGAACGACTTGGCATAGTCCCACCCTTTCTTCGCATACGAGGTTGGCCCCGGCTCGTCGGCATCAACCTCCTTTCGCCAAAATATTCCAATATATACGTCGTTCGGACGATATGGATCCACTGGATCTTTGACGCGTTCGAATCCACTCAGTGCGCTGGGCTCGTACTTTAACACTGTCTTTCCGTTCGCGTCCTGATACGCCTGACTCATGGCGTATGCCACGACGGGGTGGATGTACTCGTTCGTGGTCAATTTCCCTGTCGTCAACCGGGCCGCTGGACTGTCGTCCTTCTTCTTGGATTTATACTGTCCTGGAGTGCGAACCTCGGACCCAGCCATTTTCATGAGCCCTTCCAGGCTATCCGGTCGATAGCCCATTCCCCAGCCTCCGTAGGCCGTGGGGTTCTCGGGATCAGCAACGCCAATGGCACTTTCCTTGTCGGTCGGCCCAAAGTTATAGTGATGATGAGAGTCACCCTGCTTGAATGACCGCCGGGAGAGATCGAAAATCGTGGAGACATAGTTGTGATACAACCGCTTCAAGGCGTAATCCTCAAACTCGAGACTCGTCCATCGACGAACCTGATCGATCATCCACGCTAGCGACAAACTCGCCATGGACTCCAAATCTCCATAATGCTGCGCAGTGTGATCGCTTCCTCCTCCAACATTGATATGGTATCCCGGGAACCAGCACTGAAACAACTTAGTCTTGTCGTTCTCCTTAGGCAGATGCCACAGCGTAGGCTCAAAAGCCTTGCGATGCTCATCCAGAGCCAAAGCGTGAAAAGCATACTTGATCTGCGGGTGCACGTTCGTATCATGAAAGCCATACTCGGATTCGTTGTAGTCGGAAAAGTCAACCCAGTTATTGTTGGGCAGTCCTAGGGCACCAACGGTGTCAAACACCCCGACCACTTCGATGGGCACATTTTTCCAGAAATGGTCCTTGAATTCCACCTTTGGCTGCGCATACGCTCCAGATGTCGTGATGGCATGAAAAGTCCCCTTCCATTCATTGGTCGGAGGCATCGGTTTCTCCTCTTCCTTTACCTCCTTTCGCGTCTTATACCACTCATACATGGCCCACCAGTCGTCCATCATGTCGGGGAAGCAGATCCCCATGTTGCAGATCATCCCGGCCAGTGCCCGAGCCGTGTATGCGCCGCGCGAGAATCCAAAAATGTAGATTTCATCCCCGGGTAACCAGTTATTGACCTGCAGCGATTAGCCATCACCATTGTCTTTTTTGTAGAAGAGGAACGTTGTACTCACGATAAAATTATACCCCTCGCACACATTCTCCTCCAAACCGCGACCGAATCCACCCTCCCAGCGCTTCTGAATCCCAGCCATCACCTTGCCGGTGGTGCTGGTCGCACTGGTGCCCGTGCCAACACCAGCATCATAATACACGATCTGCTGGATGATTTCGCCATCGGGACTGACGCCATAATTTCCAATGGCACGACTGAGCTTGGCGATGTTCGAGGCGATATTCTTCTCCCCATGGTTAGACGACTGCCACGATCCGTCACAGCAGAGGACGAGTCGGCGTGGCGGACGCTTAATTTCAGGGCCAGTAAGGTCGTTCATCGTGTCCAACAAGGACAACAATATGGTCAGGTTAGAACAGTAACCCAAGCGTTGTTCACTCGAGAACAAGTCTCAACTCATCCCACCGGCGATGACCCTTCTTATATCTCCCCCTTTTCCCTCAAGGCACTCCCCATCGCCAATTCCTCCCAAAATCCACACAGACCCCAATCTAATCCAAGACATCCGATCCGAGCTGAGGATGAATCCTGGGTACGCCCATCAACCCATAGCGCACCCGCATCAATAGCGGCTACTTTACCCGACCGACCGACCACCCGCCAAGACCCGTCCGCGACTCCTGTCGTATCTCGGCCATCCCGACTCCTCCATCCATCCATCCATCCATCCATCCATCCCCTTGGCTCCAACGCCTCAAATATAAAATTCCAGACTTAACCATGACGAGCTGAAATATCCACCGACGGATTCATCACACGGGGGATGCTGTCGTGGACAGTTGAGCCGGAACCAATCAGCGAGACCGCCACATTCGATAGTCGGGGTGGGCTGGTTCGGAGAGGGGAATATCAGCCGAGGAGGGCAGTGGTGAATTAAGCTATGGCGAATTGGACAATGCCAACGAAGGCATGGGATATAGATCGGGTGATAGATTCCAGAGACGGGATCGAGATTGTATATCTAATAGAAATACGGAGTAGGTAGGTAGGTAGGTAGGTAGGTAGGTAGGTAGAGAATTGACAGATTGTGGGATTGGGATTGGGATTGACCTGTCAGGCGGGGCAAGGCAAGCGGGCGGCCGCGCCACAGGCATAGCCATTAGCCACAGGTGATGTGTCTCTGCGGCTGAATGGGGAGTATTTATTTGAGACTGTGGCTGGAATGTGAAACACGCCGAAAGGGGCAGCACTTTGGGGATTGGAGTCGGGTGTTGTTTTTTCCAGATTATGGGATTTTTTATAAACGGAGTATTAAAGCAGGGAATCTGCTGCTATAGCAACCAATTTCCTTTTCTTTTTGGTTACTATCTTTCCCTCCCCTGTAGTGAATATTGTCAGAAACCCCTACCTAGACCGGAAGAGTTCATAGATACTATGAGAATAGTTGGAAGAGTGAATAAATTGTAACAAATATACATGCTACTAATAACTTAATCTCTCTCTGTTTCATTCTATTCTTTGGTGCTTCGATTAAATACTACATAAACAACTCCCCTTGCTAATTTCCCCAAAAGTGCAAAATATTCAGATCCACGCCGCCACCACCCAAGACGCCAATAATTATCTTAACTACTACGTTACTCAATGCCAGTAAAGCACAATTCGCCAAACAATGCAACCCTTACCTCACTAAGTAGTCTATACTCGAGTCTAAGGTACATCCCTTTCCATCCTCGCCCTCGTCCTAATAAAATAATGTCCACTCTCCTCCCTCACACCCACATGCCACCTCTCGCGCAGCTTCGGCACCGCCTCTCTCCCCGTCGGAGTACCCGTCCACTGTCCACCCCCGGGGCTATTTACCGCCAGAGCAAAGAGATTCGGCGGCTCCGTGAAATCCGTCACCAGGTGTCCTCGCACCTGGAGCAGAATAAACCCCAGACAAACGATACTCGTCACGAAGACCACAGCGAGGATCACGTAAAAGACTTGTTGCCAGTCGCTTGTTCGTCCCGAGGCATAGCCAGCAGATTGGAGCGTCGCGTTGAAGACCTGTACCGCTGGGGTGGAGAGGCTTGAGGTGGTGTAGTTCCAGTACGGGACGTAAGGGGAGTCTTGGCTTCCGAGGAGGAGAGTAGTGCCGGTGAGAACGACGAGGGCTTCGCTGAGGGAGGGCATGGTGGGGTCCAGGGTGGAGGTGTTGGTGGAGGAGTCGAATGGAGGGATCATTTCCATGAGGAGACGTTCGATGCTGGCGTCATCGCCCATGATGCCTGATCCGAGGGTCACGGAATCGGCCCATTCCCAGGCGACGCTTTTCCAGTTCATGTTGTATTCGGATTCGGAGGTGTCTGGGTGGAGACGGCTGTATTGGAGGGTGTCGGCCGGGTCTTCGCAGTGGGAGGTGAGTTCGCCGCCCGAGGAGTCGACGGCGTAACGGGCGGAACAGCGGCCGGAGAGTTTGCCCCGGATGCCGCAGAGGACGTAGGGGGGGTTGTGGGAGGTCGGGGCGGTGCCGAGGACGTAAATGGAGGTGGTGTTGGGGACTTTGGGGTTGATGATGGTGTTGTAGGGTTGGGGGTAGATGGGGAAGACGGGGGCGGGGAGGGAGGAGGAGAAGCCGAAGAGGGAGTCGATGGCGGTGGTGTTGGTGGTGGAGTAGGTTGGGGCGGAGGTGTACCAGGTGGAGGCGTTGAAGGGATCATGGGTGGGCCATTCGGTGTAGATGAGGGGAGTGAGTTCGTCGTGAGTGATGCCGGCGCAGAGGATGTTGACGGCTGGGGAGGGCACCGAGGCGGAGAGGATGTATTTGCCTTCGCCGGAGAGGTCCGAGGGTTGTTGGATGCGGTTGGCGGGGTCACGGGCGGCGGCGAAGAGGCCGCCGTGGGGATAGGCCGCTGTGATGTTGTTGACCATGCGGCCGTATTGCTGGGAGACTTGGGTCATGTTGTCGGTTTCGATCCAGCGGCCTTTGACGGTGGTGTTGTCGTAGAGGAGGGCGTTGGGTTGCGGGCGATAGGCGAGAACGGAGGATGTGGAGTTTCCGTCTTCGAGGAGCTCAGCCCAGCCTTGTAGGTATTGGTAGAAGTCGTGGTATGCGCGGCCGGCCATCTCCATGGCCAGACAGGTGGAGTTCCAGTTGGTGGGGTCGATGGCGGAGGTGATGGGGGTTTGACATTCATCTTCAAGGTAGTAGGGGTTGGAGTATTGAGTGGAGACGTTGCCTTGGAGGAGTCGATGTTGGACGGGGCCCATGACTAGGTTGGGGGATACTGATGGAGTTAGCAGGAGGGAGGGAGGGAACGGGGTAGGGACGAACCTAGGGCTTCGGCGGCGGTGGTGTAGAGCATCGCGACGAGGGCTACGATGAGGGTCAGGGCTCCGAGGGTGGTCCAGCCGACATAGCGCAGTGTCTCCCATTGCATCAGCAGCGAGCCAGGCTGGGTGATCCAGGTGCGCAGGGTCATGTCTGCGATGCTGACACCCTCGGATCCATGTGCTAGGGCACGGCGGCTCAGCAGCTGCCCCAGGAACGCGACACAGACCGTGACATAAGACAGCTCGATGGTTTTGGCGATCAGGGCACTGAGCAGGGAGGCCGTGGAGGCATTCAGGCTGGCGTTGGAGCCGATAAGTCTGCCATAGAAGGGCTTGACGCAGGCAATGACGAAGAAGATGCCGGAAAAGATGGTAGTGTACACGGCCAGCACAATCAAGGTGGTAAAGACCAAAGAGCATCGACGTTTAGGTTTTGTCGTGGGCACTGGCACATCGTCGGGTTGATCGTCATGATCGACAGCTTTCGGGAGCGTGCTGGCGAGACTGCTGCGGAATGAATCGCGATTTGTGCCAAGGTCTTGCAGACAGAAGTCGCTTTTATCATCACCGGATGATATCTCAATTGAGCATGTCTCTGGCGGCTTACCCGCAGGCAGGAGACGAAGGTTATCCGAAGACTCGGCCATGGTTGGCTGAAGTCAGAGGGAGCGGTTGGGTTTTGTTTTTCGGCGACGAGAGAAGGGCGAGTGGCCAACGGGTTTTAAGGGGCGGTGCATCAGACCGAGGATTTAATCCTTGTCAAAAGACCGGGGGATGCTGCCTCGATCTAGCGGTTTGGGGGCCATCCACAACAACGATATTAATGCGTTGGGGTCCGTTGTTGATGCCTAGGGCTGTGGCGCAGCAACGATGTAGTTATTGCTGGGATGAAGCACCGATAGATTATAAAGATGGTCAAGAATTGAGTTATAGAGAAAATACTTCATGTAATGTTCTCTACAGGTCAAAAAGTCGGTACCTGCCTCCTCCAGCAGGGCATTTCCTAGATCAAGTCACGTGATGCATCTGAGCCACAGCAATCTCCCCGGTGGAGTCCCTCTCCATTCACAGCCTTCCGCTCCGGCCGCCGTCCCTCACTGCCAACTCACCAGTGGGTGCTTTTTTAACCGGTCGGTGTCCTCTCACAGCCCTTCAATCTTCTACTAATGCATCTTCCTTGTAAAGACTTATCGTTCACCAGTCACAATCCTGGCTATATATATCCAGCCTAGTGATTTGATCACTTTTTCGACAGCCTTATTCCAGCAAAGTTACCCATCTTCAATAGCACAGAAATATATAGTAAAAGACAATCCAGCAAATCACGGAAATACACTTTCTTGGTATCGATTTATTCCTTAACCAGGATCAGGATCACTATACGTGCATCCCAATATTGCTGTCATCCTGAAATAATTCAGCCGCAATCAATCCGTTCGACCGATCCGACTGGCTACTACCAGATAGCCAATCATTGTTCTACATAAAACACCAGTGCTGATATGCAACACCACAAATAGTAATAAAACCTGTCAGAGGTCTGATTAGTAGGCAAAAATGATATATCGCGTTTGTCTGGAGAATAGACCGAGAGATATGTCTAAACAACATCCACTAATCTTCCCTACATGCAACTGCATCCGACACCATCTCAGAGAACCCCGCTTAATCCCTGCCCATAACACCCTCTTCAATACCCCACTCCACCACTCGCGACAACCACCTCCCTCACCTCCCTCACCTCCCTCACCTCCCCTCACCCTTCACTATTCCTCTACACCTCGATCAACCCCCAAACATGCCTCCCACCACAACATACGACCTCCTAATCATCGGCACCGGTTTCGCCGGCTGCACCACAGCCCTCAGCTACCTCCAAGCCACGCACCACCTCCAACCACCCCCACGAATCGCCCTCCTCGAAGCCGGCAAAAATGGTGAGCGATGCGGTGGCTCCCGCTGGACCGAAGCCCTCCTCCGCCTGGACAAAAACCTCAACTTCGACCCGGGGTGGATCCATGAAATGGCCCGCGTGAGTAACGGACAAGCCGATATGGAGTATTGCAAGAAATTGGGGGAAGAGGCGAGGAAGACGGTGGAGTATATTGAGAGTTTGGGGGTGGGGTTTTTGAGACATGAGGAGAAGGATGTATGCCCCCGTTATCCCTGTTCCATGTTATTTTCTGGATTTGGAATCAGGAGGAGTGGATTGGCTAATGGAGAGTGTAGGTACTTCTTGAATTCGAAACAGAGCAACATTTCGTGATGACCCAGGGGGGCGGATGGGCGATGATCCAAGTTTTGATGAATCATATACAGCGGTTTGAGAATTGTGATGTGTTTTGGGAGACGGAGGGTCGGGAATTACTTACTAATGGGGTGGGACGGGTGAACGGAGTGAAGGTGCGGAGGGAGAATGGGATGTTTGAATCGTTTTATGCCAAGGAGGTGGTGTTGGCTTGTGGTGGGTTTGAAGGAAACCCCGAATTACTGACTCAATATGTGGGGGGTGATGTCGACAACCTCGGACTGATTGCCCCGGGGCTGCGGTATAATCGTGGTCAGGGGCTGACTATGGCATTGAGTGTTGGGGCCGCCACGGCGGGGTCGTTCGATGGAATGCATATAGAGCTGACGGATGCGAGGAGTAACAAGCCCAATGCTGCGATCTATGGTCATAGTTATGGGATTCTGGTCAATGGGGACGGAGAGAGGTTCTGTGATGAGGGGAAGAGACATTTGTTTGCGACATTTGAAGGGATTGCGGTTGAACTCTGGCGGAAACAGAAGAATAAGGGGTTTTTGGTTATCGATGGGAGTATTATCGAGAGGTTCAGACCGGGGTGGGTTTATGGAGAGACAGATCTGGAGCCGGTTTATGCGGACAGGATTGGAGAGTTGGCGGAGATGTTGAGGGTGGATGGGGGTATGCTGGAGAAGACGGTGAGGGAGTTTAATGCCGCTTGTAATGAGGAACCGTTTGACCCGATGAAGTTGGATGGAAAGGCGACGAGTGGGTTGAAGGTGAACAAGTCGAATTGGGCGAAGCCGTTGGAGAGTCCATATTATGCCTTTCCGGTCACGGCGCGGGTGGTGTTTACTTTTGGGGGGGTCAAGGTCAATACCGACTCGCAGGTCTTGGATACGAAGGGTGTTCCGATTCCGGGCTTGTGGGCTGCGGGGGAGTTGACGGGGTTGTATTATAACGGTAGGTGGTGGTGGTGGTGATTGGGTGGGTTTGGAGAACGAGAGCTGACTATTGGGTTGTGTAGGAAATCCACCGCTTACGTCGGTGTTGAGGTGTTTGACGTTTGGGCGGTTGGCGGGGACTTTGCTTGCGAAGAGATTCTATACTGGAGACTCGGGGTGAATACTACTTCTAGCTAACCACAAGTCATTTTCAGTGAATACGCCCGTAGTACCAGCGTAGTGAACAGAATACATGAGGTCATGAAGGTGTAGACATTAGTTCACCCAGATCATTCATTACAAAACATACCACGTCGCTCCTTCCCCAATGAAGCTTCCTTTCACCCGACCTCTCTTTCCTCCAGCTCATCCTCTTCCTTCAGCTCATTCTCAGCTCATCATCCTTTCTTCAGCTCATCCTATTGCCTTCGGCTCATCCTCTTTCTTCCAGCTCACCTTCTTTCCTTCAGCTCATCTTCTTTCCTTCAGCTCATCCTCTTTTCTTCAGCTCATCCTCTTTTCTTCAGCCCATCCTCTTTTTTTCAGCTCATCCTCCTTCCTTCAGCTCATGTTCTTTTTCGTTCACCCAGCTCATCCTCTTTTGCCCAGTGGGTGTTAAACTGTCTTCGAGAATGGTTCTACCTCCGATGAGTGTCGCGAAGCGACCACGCATTGAGCACTATCCGTATCCTCCTATCCCTCAGAGCAACCAAGACCGACTGAAAAATGTGGCGGGGGAGTACAACCGCCCCTTCAAACTTCGTTGGATAGAATCACTCTCCCTAAGCCAGCTGGGCATCTCTGCGGAAGTGGCCATCATGCGAGCGGAGCTGGCCACAGCCGTCACCAGGGAAAACGAAGGTCTCATACGGAGCTTCCACCCTTCACTGGCCTCCCACGAGGAGGTCTGGGTTTCAGAATCGGTTTTCGGGCCCCCTGTCTGGGTGGTTGGTGGCCCTGCGGACAAGGTCGAGGCCGCCGGGCAGCCCATCCACTTCCACCCCGCTCATTACAGCGAATACATAGGACTAAGCCCGTTGGTCTTTGTGTTTCAGTACCCACACTTTGGCCGCGACATCAATCCAAGGAGATTCTTGACCCGCGATGACCTGGATGGCATCCGGGAGTGCTTCCCAGAAGCAGTCGGCGTCGAGGTTTTAGTCGCTGGGTTTATAGTTGTGCTCTTTGAAAAACGGATTCAGATCAAAAGGGCCTATGAGCGTGCCTGGCCTATTGAACTTGGGGGGCTGCTGGCATTCTTTGAACTGGCCAACTACAGTTGTACAGCTGCTCCGATGGCAGCGGGGGTGGGTGTTAGCACCGGCAGCGGCTACGAGCATCGTCGAGCTGGATGCATGGGCCTGAGACTGCGACTGCCTGATGGATCCAGCGCCATCACCACGGTTACACATGGATTTGTCGTCAACCCGAGTTCATCCCTTCTGTCCCAGGTGGGGGCTTGGTGTCGAGGATTCTACTCCCGAATTAAGGAAGCACTCATGAGCTATCGCCCAGTCCATGTGGAGGACGAAGAAGTCCCCCCCTACCTCTCCACTCCAGACGTACTGACCAACTGCCCGATCGGCAAGCGGGTGTGGCTCGCTAATTCTCATGTCAAGGCAAGACCACGTCGATAATCCCTTACTCATTCGGTGTTTACTGATGACTCTAGATTGGGACCATCACACGAACCTTTGATCGCCCCAGTGCAGTACGACCATACCCCGCCGGCTACGCCCATGATCTGTCATTGATCACTGACGAGGCGCTCGTCGAGCTGGCAAGCCCCCCGGGGTATCCACAGGTAACTGAGTGGGGTGAATACGTTGCTGCACTGGAGCAACAGAGTGTTTATGCTGTCTGCCACCATAGTTACATCGATAAGTGGTGCTGCACAACGGGAACAGCAGACGGCACGCTCTTCAAAAGAGCCACGGTCGTCGGCAGCGGCTACACGTGGGATAAGGAGTATAGGACCCAGAACGCGTTTCTTTTATGGCATACTGGTAAGGAGATTTCGCCTGCAGATGGCTGGTCAGGGAGTCCACTGTGTCTTGGCCGCCCTCAAGACGCCACTGCCAAAGCATTGGTGTTTCAGAACCTACAGCGGGCATGCCGGCTGGGTCACTCAGGACAGGAGGTATTGATAAAAGGCGGCTTTCTTTTGCCAGCAGAAATTCGCAAGTCGGAGATTGAGAGTGCCAACGTTGATGGCTCTCGAAAGTTCCACACAAGCCCCGTACGGGAGAGGAGCTCGGTCGAATCATACCGGCGGATTGTGTCTGGGGTTTAATCATGTTAAGGTGGATACTCTCTCACTCGAGCTTTGAGGTAAAGATAGAAAAGGTTGGGATATTTCTCCCCATCTGTTTTCCAAAAAGAATTAATATATCATTATTAGTCCACTGGTGAATTCTTTTTCCAACGGTCTCCGCCAGATTGGATCAATGCAGTTCATGAGGACAGGCAAAATTTCAGACCTTTTGTGTCGCAGGAAAACTGGATGCTGGAAAGGTCAGTGGGTGCCAATCTGCGCTCTAGCCAGTATCAAATTCAAGTCCTGTGGCTTCTCGTTCAGTATAAAGCGACATTTATCCCCAAATTTGTGGCCAAAGTAGTAAGTGTATCAGGTACAGGACGCTTTCAGCAGATGGCTGATACCGTTTAAAGTTCCCGGAATACACTGAAACGGATGCACTGACCCAGCTTCGACGCTTTCCTCCACGCGTACCCAAGACGCTCAAGGAGGCAAAACATGAACTTGACCCATATGTCAACGAAGCTCGAGTATATCACCGCATTGAGACGTCGTGTCCAAGCTCCGAAAAAATCTATTTCCCTCAGTTCCATGGTGTCATCACTGACTTTGGTGTATCAAACTTCATCCCTGGTTTTATCAACCCTCGAGCTGTTGTGCTCGAAGCTGTCAGGCCAAAGCTTGCATCACGACGAATCCTAGCGACATGCAGAGAAGATAGTCATGGATTCAGGAATCAGCTCAGCGGTCTAGGATTCCTCAGTGTCTTCGAAATGGAGTACTATAATAGTCTTTTCCATGACCGTATTCGCCGTCTTTTAGCATTACACCGACTCGGGATCACTCATGGTGATGTACGAGATGATCATTTCAGACTTCCAGGAGACTTCTACGATACAGTCTTATATGACCTTTCCATTTCATACACTTTCTCTCCAGTCACACCATACTTGGTCAATTTTAGGCTACCGCGTTCTCTAAAAGATATATCAGAGAGCGAACAGGCCATGGTTGGACAGCATATATTAGAACGGTTGGTGCTAAAAGACAATTCATTAACAGAAAGCTAAGGTTTGACCAGGTCGAAAAATATAGATTTCCGTGATCATCTTATTAAGTCTACTGGGATCACTGAATCAGCGATTATGAATGCGCTCTTCCGACCTCCCAACGATGAACCATTAGAGTTGATAATCCTGCGAATAAGGTTCCGACCTGACGGTTAGTTCATTCCACTTCACTTACCGTAAGGATATTGATTATCTCATAGCCTTTTCCATGCCATCGGTGAATTCGGTCTTCCCTTTCCTTGAGGCTTTGCGCCCAAAGGATGATTACACCTGGCATATCCGTCGAGGTCGGCTGCTGGAATCCTATGAACCACTTTGGTTATGCTCTACAATGGATGATTCCGGCCAAGCTGCCATGAGCTTCGTTTCCGACATGGATTGCGTTCAAAACATGAAGGGGTCAAGGTGCAGGTACCTACTCTGCTTAATACCCAAAGAATGGGGTGTGGAAGGTGTCCGCAGTCTTCTTATGAGTATCTGCTTGTCGTTGCCGCGTGGTAGTCGGGGCTGCATTAAAACCTGGCTTGAGTTGAAGAGCTACACCTAATCATGAATCACGACCTAATCTACCTCATGAGAGGTAATTGTCTGGATACTCTACGCGGGCACATGTTGCCTATTTATCTCACTCCTCGTTTTGCATTGGGCACCTGATTTCGCAGTGCGCGTCTTCCAGTATGGGAGAATATATGGCAAATGTTGGGATACATTGATTTGTCGTGTCTCCTACCTACTAGTATTGGCACATCCTAGGCATATCGGCTAGGAGACATGGAAACAATTTTGATGGGTGATACGATTACATTACAGACACGGAGCTGAAGATGTTCCCGTCCGACAGCTAAAAGCAGTTTGGTTCGGTGCTGCCGAAAGAATCCCGGTCTTCCTGAAAGGGATGGAAACAGTAGTCTGAAGTGGTAAAATGTGTTCCCGATGCACCCGGGATCATTCCGACAAGCAGCGCATAATCATCATAACAGAAAGGGCTGTATTCGAGTACCATACTCATGCATTAATAAGCCATCTCTCCAGATTAAGCCTCCATCCATTCCATTCCACCCTCCATCATCACCCCGGACTCAACCATCATCCCTGGAATGCCCGCTACAATCGCCGAAATCCTCACACCCCTCCAGGACAACCCCGCCCTCGCGGAGCGCGTAGCCTCACGAATCACCGAACCCCCCATCACCATCTCTGCCCCCAACCCCGCATGGCCGCACAGATTCACCGAAGTCAAACAGCGCATCCAAGGCGCCCTTGGGCCATTCACCTTAGACATCGCCCATTCCGGCTCCACCAGTGTCCCCGGCCTCCCAGCCAAAGACATCATCGATGTTGATCTGACCGTGAAAGACATCGCAGACGAAGCATCCTACGTGAAGCCTCTAGAAGCAGCTGGGTTTCGGTTTCTGTTGCGCGAGCCGCAATGGCACCAGCACCGGTTCTTTGTGGAGAATTGGCCCAACGCCTACCATGTGAATCTGCACGTGTGGGGACCTGATTCGCCCGAAGTGGCCCGACATCGGATCTTTCGTGACTGGTTATTGAAAACCCCGGCGGATTTGGAGTTGTATGCTGCGGTGAAACGCGAAGCGGCGGAACAGACGGCTCGAGCGGGAGATTCCATGGTAAATTATAATCAGCGGAAAGAGAAGACCATTCGGGAGATTTTGGAAAGAGCGTTTCGCGATTTGGGGTATATTGAGTGAGACTGGACCTATCTGCTTTGTATTGTGAGCGGTGCTTGCAGTTTTAGTATGTTTCAGCGATTGTTTTGAGGTTGCGAGTGGTTGCAGTTCAAGTACTGTAGCGGTCATGGGCTACACCGCGTCTTATCATATGGAATTCTATGATTTCGAAGCTTGATACCTCTCTGGCTTCTGGAAATACAAATACTGGTCAAGGATCGACAACGGCGAGATGGTAGCCACCGAAGCATACATTGCCAGACATAGTTAAGTGCAAACTCTGCAAAAGCCGGTGGCTTCCTGGTCCGTGCGTCTCTACTGAGTATAGAGACCGCAGAATTAGGTTTCTAGAACGAGTGCAGAATTTCCTTCATGACCCACTTGAATCAAACCCTGGATGATGATCATCAAAATGGGCGACGGGGTCGGGGTAACTATACACGCTCCCCGTTGGCGTTCGGTGGCCCCACAAAGCCCACCTGATTGCGATAAGCTGCTTAACATGTTTGAACCAAATACAGAATGACAGCTTGCAGAGCAATATGATCATCTAGTTTCTATGAGCAAGGACTGTATGCAAAACAGTTGAAGATTGGGTGCTAACGATTCTGCCGATAAGGGTGAAAAGGTTTATGATCCTCTTCATTATCTTCAATGTATGCTATAACCCAGCTTTTTGTAACCTAGCCGTGAATCCAGGAACGATATACTCCGGAAAACTGGGTAATTATAATCATATTTGAATGATAATGCAATCGAATTTCTTTTCTTTGCTCGGTAGCCTGACTCGGGTTACATCGAGCATTGTTACAACTTTACAGCGAGAGGTATGTATCATACATACAATACATAATTTTTGCTCGGGCTTTGCGGACTTTGCGGATTTTGGTCATGTCCGCAAACGATGACCACGCCATTGATCGTAGCCACGTCAACAAAGTACAGTTTGGTCTTATAGTCCATCGGCTTCAACTGTACATAACAAACTACGAGCATACAGGGTGGAGTTGGGACCGGACGCAGATCAGATTCTAAAACCCGGCGAGAGTCCGCTTACTGAGAAAGAACTCAACCCTGACAAGAAATCGAAATAAATAAATACCCTGCTTGACAACAAGTATGGACTCCCATCGATATTCATTCTCCTTCGTTATATCAATTCCTTCACGATGCCCAAATACACCAACGTGATCATCTTCGGTGCTACCGGCGATGTAGGCTCTGCCGCCGCCCTCCAAGCCCACCAAGAGGGAGCCACAGTTTCGCTAGCGATGCGCAATACCTCCAAACCAATCCCCCAACTCGACCACCTCCCTTTCAAAAAATACCAAGCCGACTTAACTCAACCCAGTACCCTGAAGACCGCGGTTCGCGAGGCAAACGCACAAGCTGCGTTCATCTACGGGATCTTCTCCGGCCCAGACTACATGAGAAGCGCTCTCCGAGCTCTCAAGGAAGCCGGAGTCGAGTTCATCGTCTTCCTAAGCAGCTTCATCATCCTGACCGACATCCACGCAGTGGATCCATCCGATATAGTCCCCTGGGAGCACGCCCAGGTGGAAATCGCACTAGAGGAAGTCTACGGACGCGCTTCCTACGTCGCCGTGCGACCTGCTTTCTACGCCAGCAATATCTTGCATGAAAAGCAGGCTATTTTACAAGGAGAAGTGAAGCACCCTAATCCCGAAGCGACGTTTGACTTTATCTCTTCGGAGGATATTGGTCATGTTGCTGGGACGATTCTGGTCAATGGTGCCCAGGAACATATTGTTCGGCTTCTTGGGCCTGAGAAGATGACTTTGAGGGATGCGGTGAATATCGTGGGGAATGTTCTGGGCAAGGAGGTTCGAGTTACAAAGATCTCCAGGGAGGAAGCTGCCGCGCGTATGAAAGCAGCTGGTGTTCCTGTACTGATGGTCCAGTGGCACCTATATAATGTTCTTGATCGTGCCCGTTTGTACCTTGAGAGTCCGGAGGCCAGCACGGCGCGTGAGAACTTTTTGAGTTATGCTCATCGTCCTTTAGAGGGATTTCGGCAGTGGGTGGAGAATAATCGAGCTAGGTTTCTGGATTGATTTGTAGAGGAAGGGGGGGAATCTCTGGTCAATGGCAGATATGTTATGTGCTTCCTGCGCACAAAGCCAGTTGCTTTTGTCAAAACTATCTACATAGAGGGGAGTATATATAGAGATACGATGATGGGATACTCTGCACACATAGAGACGTGAACCCAATATGGAAAGCATACCTAGTGGAGCTGCGTCCTGTTTTACACCGGTTAAAGAAAAGCTACGGCTAGTACACGTACAAATGCCCGGTTGCCCCCAAAGATTGCACCCAGCACACAGCGGAAGCACATTGGATGAGCTTAGGAACTGCAGATTGAAGACATAACAAAAAGACATATTGTCACAATTGCAATGAGTTGTTTGATTGGAAAGGTGGCCGACTCCTTCGAGTTTTCCTTTGCTGGACTTCGATCAATACAATGTAACAGTAAGTAACAATACAAGTATTACTTACTGTTTCACCGCACGCTCGGATTTTGGAAAAAGATCGTGTCGTCATAGCCGTTTCGGTTAGGGGTGTTCTGCTTTAATATAAAAGCTCGTCTTCAAGAAATTGGACGATATACATTCAAACCTCATTACCCACCTGGCCTAATACCATTCCTAGTCATCACCATGTCAACGCATCCGGCTAGTTACCGTATCGCCCAAGCCATTGGCCTCAGCGGCGCAGCATGGCTATCAGGTACCTCACCCCACATTTCTCCCCCCATGAAACGAAGTTCCTAACTTACGCCATTACCAGGTAACATAGCGGCACTCAGTCTAATCGCCGTGCCAGCCCTGGTAGAAACCCAGAATGAGACTCCAGTGCCCACGAGTATTATCGTCAAGCTATGGCACAGTTTCTACAACAAGGGCAAGACTCAAAATCCCCCGATTGCAGCCGCCACTGCAACGGCTTTTCTGTACCTCGCGTGGTCGGTTCGCGCTGGCGGACCACTGTTTCGGCCGACCACGTATAACCTTGCTGGGTTCTATTCGACGGCTGCAGTATTAACTGTGAGCATTGTGCCATTTACAATTGCCACTATGAGGAAGACGAATAATGCTCTCATGAGCCTGGCGCAGTCGTCTAAAGATTTGAGCGCTGCGGAAGAGACTCAGAGCAGTGATCTGCTGAAGAGGTGGGTCTTTTTGAATGGTATCCGGAGTCTTCTGCCTCTTGTGGGGGCGGCGGTGGGTATGGCTGCGGCTTGGGTTTGATCTGAAGGAGGGGTGGAAAAGCAGTTGCAGTTCTTGCCCTCGAGGGTGTAACGATAAAGGCGGGGATAATGTAAGATCTATGGGGGTCTTAATGTAATATAGAATGAATCAGTCACATGATCTCACATCTCCTTGCATAAAGCCATCGGTCGACAGTCCGCCGAGTCAGGTGACTGGGGCGGTTAATGGTGTCGGTCGTATTATTTCGCCATGCCTCACTTTCCTGTTTACCCCTCAGGGAGCTCAGAGTCCGGGCAACGGATTCTTCCCACCCCGGGCAGAAGTACCGGTGAATCGCATCTTGGAATATGCATCATAACGTCCGAAGCAAGACCAGGAAGCGGAGCAGGCGAGGTAACTAAATTCATGTTGACATATAGCACCGTCAACTAACCAGTGGTTCAGGATGGTGAGCGCTGTGACTCCCAAATGAATCGATGGAGTAAATGCTGAGGTAACATGAGCATTCGCTGCAGAGCAAGTCATCACAAGTGTGACGAGCAACAGCCTCGCTGCGGTCGATGTCAGCGACTGAATCTAGAGTGTGAGCCAACCGACTTTATCGTCCCGTCCAACTGGTGCCCCTCGACCCTCAAAGCCGCAGCCGCGGAGAGTGGTGGCCCCGCATCAGCCTGGGATGTGATCGACGATGCAGCCGTGGCATCCTCAAGGCAACCAGAATCAGCCTCCCCCGTACCACCAGCTCTAGATTCCGAAAAGGTCTCGCTGGTCCAAGCATACCAAAATGGCATCGCAAAATGGATGGACCTATTCGACGACGAATCGAACTTCCAACGAGCGGTCGTAAAACGCGCCGTCGAGTCTCCATTATTGATGAATGCAATTTGTGCTTTGATCGCTCGACAGGTCGGCATAGCCGACCGAGAGGAGATCTGGAGGGCCACTGCCGCCCGATACTACGGGGAAAGTCTCCAACAGCTGATTGCCGCGTTGGAACTTCCAACGTCGTATCCGGAAGATAACCTTGCAGCGACGGTTCTGTTGAGTAGTTACGAACTCCTCGCTCTCCCAGGACTGGACCACCAGCGTCATGTGTCTGGCGCTTTGACTCTCATCCGAACTCATGCATGCGGAGCCACTTCAACCGGCATCACGGGGGCAGCGTTCTGGATCTATGCCCGTCAGGACGTCGCCATGGCGTTGGTGCATGAGTGTCCCACGATGCTTCCGCCCGAGGAATGGGGTGTTTCGTGGGATGAACACGAAACGAAAGAGGGTCGGCTGGGAAATCAAATGGTATGGTTATTGGCTAAGACGGTAGCACATACATTTCGAAAAGGATGCGTGCTATCTGTCAGGTCACTTGCCGACAACAGAGCCTGCTTGGAACGTGAACTGGATGCCTGGTTCGAGAGCTTGCCTGGCGCGTTCTACGGTATACCATACGAGCGCCCTTCACCAGAGGGCTTCCTCCTGCTCTGGTTTGCTGTTCCTTCGACAGGTGAGAAGGACCCTTGTGGCTAAACTGGCGGTATGTCAATCTAAGACACAACCATGTAGCTGCAGCGATGTGTATGTATCACCTAGCGCACCTCCTGCTGCTCACAGAAGGCTGCAACTTGCATTTGTCTACAGATTGGAGATCGAAGGTGTGTCATGCTTAAAACATGATGTGTACTATGTTAATGCGCTGATGGGATCCAGTCCAAAATTCTTGAGCACGCGCAATCGATCGCTAGCATAGCACTATCACCGATCTCCGACGCTGCCTTGGTGCAGGCAGTACAGCCACTTTTCTATGGTGAGTTGTCTCTCTGCGCACTTCTTGTGGTACATCCTCATTCATCGAAAGCTGCAAAACACATCGACTCCGTTGCAAAAAAGGCCAAGATATGGGCACTATTAGATCGAATCGAAAGTCAACTCGGGTTTTACACGAGCGACCGGATCCAAAAATTACAGCAACAGGTGAAATTGTCTTAAGAACCAGATACGATCATATCACATTCATCTCGTGCCAATTTGAGATTTAGCACGAATTGGGTTCATAGGACTTTACTTGATGACAGAATAAATCGAAATAATATTCCCCACCCATGTGATGTTGTCCAATCCTGGGCCCTCAAACATCCCTTCTCCAGATCCTCAGTGGCATTTGACTCGGCCACAGGAGGAATGCCTCATGCCAGTCCAGGGTCCAGTCCGGTGACGGTAATGCAAAAGCATATCTATGCACCAACGTGGCGATGCAGATCTGCTGCTCAATCATTGTAATGTTTCTTCCAATGCACCCACGGGCGCCTGTGCTAAATGGTATGAATGCCTCTCGCATTTGCTTGGTCTGTTCGGTGTTGTCGAGCCATCTCCCTGGGCGGTACGCATCCGGGTCTGGGAAGAGTAGTGGATCGCGGTGGGCAACGTAGGTCGGAACAGATACCGCGACATCACCAGGAATCATTTCCCCCATGATCCGCATACCTTCCGGGGGAGTTCTTCGCTCGAGACCGCGTGAAACGGGGGGTGAGAGGCGCAGTGATTCTTCGAGACATGCCTTCAAATATGGTAGATTCCTCACCTTTTCATATGATGCGATGGTGTCTCCAGACAGTGCATCATCCACCTCTTTCCTGAGCTCGGCCAGGCAGTGTGGGTGCTTAAGTAGGTAGTACAGGGCATGGGTTAGAGCTATTGCTGTTGTATCGGAGCCGGCATCGACTGTGAAGATCATCAGTACGGCTGATCACGCTTACAATTGGGTGACCATACGGAGAAGGTGTGTCTCAGCTTCAATCTCACCCCGGTCAAGGCATCGGGATTTACCCGCCTTGTCTTCAATCAGACATGCAAAGATATCACTCAGCCGGTCGCCATCCTCGTGTTTTTGCAGTCTTTTTCCTGCGAGGGCACTGGCAATCCCACCAAAAGCCTGGGCATGGTTCCATTGCTTGCGCCAATGCGGAGAAAGGAGGCTTGACAGAGTTTTGAACAGTGAGAACCAATCGGCTGCACCGAAAAAGAGGGAGGTAACGTGATTTCCCGCATGCAAGCTCTCGATATAGCTGAGGCGCCGATTCAATCCGTTAACCTGCATCATATCCGTACCGGAATCCAGCATCCCAAGCTGTTCGCTCAATGCAATGTCGGCGATGGCATCGATGGTGAAAAGATTTGACCACAGGCGGAAATTGAGAGTCAGATCGGAAGGTATGACCTGCTCGCCGACCGACAAGGGCAACGTACATCGCTGGTCTAGCTGAGTGATAAGCCTTCTGATCTTGTCGCTGATCTTGAACTCCCAGTGCTCGAGATTGCGGGTCGCAAAGGCGTGGGACAACATGCGGCGCTTCCGTGCGTGATCCTCTCGATCCAGTACATTAAGAACATGTGCATGGCTGCCTATCGTCAAGATGTACACATCGTCCTTCCGACAAGGGGTACCATGGCCATAGATATCTTTGATCGCTCTCGTATCGGCAAAGGAAAGGGTATTGGGCCCGAGACGAAGGATGGGGTGGTGTTGATGTTGGAGATGTAAGTGTCTGGTTCGGAAACTGCGCCGACGCTCCCAGACATAAGCGAGACTGGTAAACCCGGCCAGAAAGTTCACGTTTGGGTATTTACGAAGGCTTTTGGCATCATAGAGGTAGGAGACCAGCGGCCTCACCAAGAAGTAGGTGAAAAGTGTTGCGAGTATCAGTGAAAGCGCCATTTTAGTGGGTTTTGTCGAGCATGCTCGATGTTCTGGGAGATGAGTGGAATGAAGCAGAGGGAAACAGAAAGGTATGCCTTTATATGTCAGTCCTTATGGATGCATCTGCAGCTGGCATTCAGCGTTCAGATCTGTCGCCCAAAGAGGCAGGCAAAGAGCGGAATCTTTACCGTATTAGGCAAGTAACGAGCTCGGCCCTGAGTTGCCGCCTGATGCCTAATCATCTTCGTGCTATACGTCACACGATATCAAGACACTGACACCTTGCTTATGATGCGGTCACAATTGGATCGGTGAAAGAACAGGAGCATTATGGCTTCCCTCCACCCCATGACAACACAGCACAGTTGCACGGAGAGGAATCATGATGAAGCGGGGAAAGGACAAAAGTAGTTTCAAAGCCTCCTGGTACTTCCGACATTATCAAGCCATCTTAAGTATTCATCAGCCAGAGCAGGGTAGCATGAGGAAATGCCCTCACGAGCAAACCTTGTGTTGGGGATTAGTTATTCCCACACTTATACTGCCAGTCCAATGGCACAATCCCATGAAAGATGTGAGTATTGGGGAGAACAGCCGGAAGTGTTTATCAATTCACTGACGAGGTGCAATTTCTTCAACCTTCACTCTTCTTGCAACAATGCGCTCCCCTGGCTGTTTCGGTCCCAGTTGTGAGAAACACACCCTGCCTTTCTTTCTCCCGTCGAAGTTGAGACTTTGCCCTCTCCCTCTTATCCACTCCACTACAAAACCATCCTGCTCAAGAGACGTGCTCACCTAGATTTGGGATCGCACGGTTTCGTCCTGTCGGTTGGGCGTGATTTCTTGACCGTTCAGGCTGTGTCCTTGCTACGGCATCTTCGGCCGGTTAATACTGAGCGGAGATCGCCATGGCAAGTCAAGAGTATGTCAGAATACCGTCATGAGAGGCTTCGTGCTGACCGGCTCAGGATATGTCGCGAATTTGCCCGGGACGGGCAGTGCGGGTTTCGCAAATGCAAGTTTTCACACATCATTCCCAAGAAACTGAACACGAACAATAAATACAAAAGCAAACCGACAAATAAGGCTGAATTGACCGGTAGCGAGAGTGACTTTCGCATCTGGAGACAACATATTCCACTGCAGCCAGCACATGCACGCCCATTGGGAAACCAACTGGGTACCTTTCTCCAGGAAGCAAAAAGACTGGTTGATCAAGATGTGAGCAAGCTCCAAGCAGTGATCCAAGCTTCCCCGGGTGGGCGTCACAATAATGATTCCACGGACATCTGTGCTATTCGGATTTTACCGACATTCGAAGAGATATCGTCTCCGCATACCGAGTATCTGCCCGTGAGAGACCCTCAACAATGGCACCTCGATGGCGTCCCTGGTCTGCTTGACCGGAACTTTCGATTATTCAGAGAGGATACTGTCGGTCAAATGAAACATGTCATCCGCGCCCTGCTTCGGCCATCAACCAGGGGGAAAGCAAAGAACCAACTTCGAACGTATACTTATTCTAGCATGAGGATCGCTGCCTTGTCTTTCAACCGACATGTAGGTCTCGAATTCGTTGTCCAATTCCATCAATTGGATCATGTCCAACATCTGGATGTCAAGCAGCGAGAGGAGTGGTGGATTCAATCTAAGCGCCTGCAGGGAGGGGCCTTCCTATGCCTTGTAGATATGCGGGGTGATATTCTTTTTTGTACTGCAACTCAGCCCCCTAGGTGGGCGACAGGAAAGCAACGTCCGAAGCCCTGGCCCTCTCTATGGAATAAGAAGGATACCGCGACCGTGGCGTTGGAGCTCATCGACCCTAGTGGAGACAATGTGCAGTTTATCCTCGACCGCTATCGCCCGCGCGGCGCAACGTTGCAACTTACCCTCGTGGAATTTCCCGGCATTCTGTGGCCTGCATTTGGCCCGACCTTGCACGCATTGCAGAGGATGAAGAAAAGCGACGATCTGCCTTTCGCAAGTCTCTTGGCGCCGGTATCTTTTGGGAACAGCGACCAATTTATAGTGCCTCCCCCGGCCTATGCTCTTAAGCCAGGATTTAGCTTCGATCTAAGCTGCTTGATGACGGACCAAACACGCCTGCGGCTCCGTCCGGGCCAGGCGTTTGACCTCCGCAAACTTCAGGAACGCTCTGCGTTGGACAAGACCCAAGCTATGGCACTGGTCGATACGTTACAGCGTAGAATCGGTCTGATACAGGGCCCCCCAGGCACCGGAAAAAGCTATACGGGAGTTGCTCTCATTAAAGTGCTGTTGGCAAACGGAGGTAAAGCCAAGGGTAATATCGGACCGATCATCTGCGTCTGCTATACAAACCATGCCCTTGACCAATTACTTGAGGACCTTATGGACAGGGGCGTTATCACGCGGATTGTTCGGATCGGATCCCGCTCGGAATCAGAACTCGTGAGCCGATACAGCCTGCGTACATTGGTCCAAAAGAAGACTCGGACAAAGGCCGAAAGGAGCGATGCGTGGGAAATTCACAATCAGCTGGAAGATTATCAGAGGGCTTTTGTTAATCTGAAGTTGCATTCCAAGGTCTCAGAAAGCGACCTCAAACAGTTCCTCCGGAATTACAACCCTACGCATTATTCTCAGCTGCTCAATGATGATGAAGAAGGCTTTCAAAAGGCACAACACAAGCAACGCAACCTATTCCAGCAGTGGGTCAACGCAGGTCACCAATCAAAAGGAAAACCACGGTCTGTTGAGAGTCTCCGGGATGAGAGCCTCGACTCTATGAGTGCTCAAGAGCGACGGATCATTTACCAGTACTGGCTCGAAGAGTATCGGCGTCAAACACATGACAAGGCGAAGGACCTCGTAACCAAGCAGCGCAAGGCTAAGCAAAAACTGAAAGACCTGCGGACTGAGATTGATTTGCGATGTCTCCGCGAGGCAGAAGTCATAGGTGTCACGACATCCGGTCTCGCGGGGAATCTCAAAATGCTCCAACGCCTTCAGTCAAAGGTGGTGCTGTGCGAAGAAGCTGGAAAAGTGCTGGAAGCGCACCTTCTGACGGCCCTACTGCCTTCGATTGAGCATGCCATTCTCATCGGTGATCACCAGCAGCTTCGCCCACAGATTCAAGACTACAATCTATCCCGAGAGAACGACCGAGGCGGGGAGCAGTACTCCTTGGACCGATCTTTGTTTGAGAGGCTGGTAGATCCTGATGACGGGGGCATCCAGATCCCGTTTAGCACGTTGGAAACCCAGCGCCGAATGCACCCATCAATAGCTCAACTGGTTCGAGATACCTTGTACCCTTGTTTGGAAGATTCCCCGTCGGTGCTACAATATCCTGAGGTATGCGGAATGCGCCGACGGCTGTTTTGGTTCGATCATCAGCATCCCGAAGCTGATAATTCCGCCGATGAGTTAAGCACATCATATTCGAACCCGTTTGAGGTGGAGATGACGACAGCACTGGTGAGCCACCTTCTCCGACAAGGCTCATACAATGCCGGCGATATCGCCGTGCTTACTCCCTACCTTGGGCAGCTTCACCTCCTCCGTTGCAGACTGGGGGAATCCGTCTGCATTGTCCTCGGCGAAAGAGACGAAGAAGACCTGAATGCTGCGGGCGTAAATGGTGATAAGCATGTTCCTGTTTCCAGGACTACCGCACTGCAGGTTGTTCGCGCTGCGACCATTGATAATTTTCAGGGTGAGGAGGCCAAGGTGGTAGTAATTTCTCTGGTGAGAAGCAATGCACAGAGACGGTGCGGATTTTTGAGAACATCCAACCGCATCAATGTACTGCTCTCGCGTGCCAAGCACGGCATGTACATTATTGGAAACTCGGCAACCTCTGCGAATGTGGCAATGTGGCAGCAAGTGGTGGATATTTTGAAAAGCAACGGCAATTTTGGAACTCATCTCGAACTACAATGCCCTCGCCATCCGGAGTTTGCTATCGCGGTGTCAGAGGCCGATCATTTCATGCAGTATTCTCCAGAAGGTGGTTGCAACCAGCCCTGCGTGGATCGACTGCAATGCGGTCATGCGTGCAAGCAAAAGTTTCATGCAACATTGCTTCACGACGCGGTTCACTGCCAAGAGCCATGTTCCAGACCTTTGAAGGGATGTGACCATGGCTGCCCAAGATTGTGTGGTGCGAAGTGCCCTAAGAATTGCCAAGTAAAAGTTGTTGACGCCAACCGCTGCCTTAAATGCGGACATGCTGCGACCGAACTCCCCTGCTGGCAGGTACAGGATCTTTCCCTGGTGTTGTGTCCGGTGCGTGTCGAGAAGAATGTTCCTGGATGCAATCATACTGTCCGAGTGGCCTGTCATATGGATGTCGGTAAGCCTGAGTTCAAATGCCAGGCTGTGTGTGGAGCAACGTTGCCCTGCGGTCACACTTGCAAACGCGCATGTTGGAAGTGTACTGTTCCGGATGGTGAGAATAATGTCCAAAGCAGCCATGGATCATGCAAGCAGTTGTGCGATCGGAAGCGCGCGACTTGTCCGCATAATTGCCGCAAAGTCTGCCATGGCTCAGAGCCCTGTCCTCCGTGTGAGGTCCCTTGCGAGACTCGATGAGATCATTCCAAATGTCTGAAAAATGCTGTGAGCCTTGTACTCTGTGTGCTATGTGTGGCAGGGATGTATGTCTCACTTTCTGCTCGCATAGCGAATGCATCCTGAGTGCGGTGCAATTGTTCGTAGACAGTATCCCAGCCTGAGTGTGACGCGCAGAGGACTGGAATTGGGATGGAGCAATCTGCACCTGTGGTTGATAGTTTGAATGGGTGGGAGAAAAGTAATTTGTGGGCTGTTGATAATTGCCACTAATGTTCAATAACTAGTACCTAGCAAATCGGGCTTGATAATGGTGATAGCAAAGTAATAATGATGATACTCATACCTGTTGCTCGGCATCATCCTGACTCATCCCGCATCATCATGATAGTGCCCGCATTTAGGCCTCTCGATTACCTGATCGGGGAACGTCGATTACTCATACCACCAACAACCTTAGAAATACATCCAATCCCCAACCTATAAATACCTCATCCCTCCCTGCCTCACAACCTCATCCCTCATCCCACACCACCGCCACACCAACAACCCCAACAACCCCAACACCCCAACAATGTCCCACAACATCCTCCTAACCGGCACCTCCGGCTACCTCGGCGGCACCCTCCTCGCCCACCTCTCCACGCCCTCTAACCCATCCCTCCCCCCTTACAAAACCCTCTACGCCCTAACCCGCACCCCCTCCCAATCCCACTCCGTCGAACAATACGGCGCCGTGCCCCTCCCCCTAGACCTAACCGACACGCCAACCCTAATCCAAACCATCATCGACAAGAAAATCACCATTATCTATTTCCTTATCGATGCGACGAGTTCCAAAATCCAGGTTCCCATGATTGAGGCCCTGGGAAAAGTGAAGGAGATTACGGGGCAGGAGGTGCATTTTCTGCATACGACGGGAGCGAAGTTGTTTAGTGGGCATGCGGGGCATCCAACAGAGGGATCTTTTGGGGATGGAAATGGGGAAGAGGTGTATGAGATGCAGGGGCTGGCGGGGGGGAGGGTGGGGAATCCTTTTATTAAGGAGGTGGGTATTGTTTTGTGTTGATTTTGGGGTTGATACTAATGATGAGGATGTATGTAACAGGCCCTCAAAGTCAACAGCACGATTATCAATACTGCAGAGAAACACGGAGTGAAGAGCTACATTTTCATTCCTTGTATTGTATACGGTAAGGGGGAGGGGTTCGGGAATAGGATTTCTATTCAGACGGTTGCGGTGGTGAAGGCTGCGATGAGGACGAGGAGGGTGTTTAGGGTTGATGATGGTGCTGGACGTGCGGTATGTCTTTTCTCCCCACGTCTTTACTATCCAGAATATTCCATCAAGAAGTTTAAGGATTCTGATAATATTAATGTGCAGGTCTGGCCCGTCTCTCACATCCAAGATACAGTGAGCTTGTATCTTGAACTTCTCCGGAACATGCTCCAGGGAACGGATGCCCTCGGCCACGGCAAAAACGGGTACTACCTCGCCGCATCGGGGAGTGTAGCGTGGGATGATTTGTACGCGGCTATGGGGAAGCGATTGGCTGAACGCGGGGTGGTTGATGATGCGACGGTCGTGGATGCGGATGATGAGGCGTTGGAGAAGATTGGGGAGGCGTTGGGACGGCCGAAGGATTTTGTCAGGGTTGAGATGGGGGGCAGGTGAGTTCATCCTATCTATTCTTTGATACGGGTTGCGGGATGTGCTGATTATGATTTTCTAGTTGTGTGATGGAGGCGAAACATGGGTTGCAGATTGGGTGGAAGCCTAAGTATGCACCGGAACATGCATTGGAGGTTGCGGGCGAGGAGGTGGATTGGATTTTGGAGAATTTGGAGCGGGATTGATTTCATGGGTGGGAGATATTACTTGGTTTGGGGATAAGTATGTATTTGTTTGGACGTGCGATATAGAAGTGGGTTGGTGTATATAATATGAGACTGAAATGAGTGCCTCGCAGGTAAAATGTATCAAGTTAGAAATGCACCATCCGTCACATCGGCATGTATTCAACAATCTTCTACCAATGGGTACCCAGAACCAGAAACAACACTGTCTCCTTTCATACTCCTCCAACTAGGAATAACAAACCCAGTAGCAAGATATATGCACACCACGGCATATTCCATCAACAACCCCATGAGCAGAAACGGAGCAATGGGTCCAACCAAGTCATTCCAGCGAAGATCCGTTGCCTGAAATACGGAAAGAAAGAGGTAGGTAATACGAACAACAATGAATGGGAGGGCTAGAGCCAAAGCTTGGAGAATCTGTGACCGGTTAGCTCCATTGAGGGTGATTGATCAGTGGTTAGTGCTTACGGTTTGGCTTAACTGGGAAATCTCCTCACGGTGCATCCAGAAATAGGCTTGCACGGCGATTAAGCAAGCCACAAAGACCACCATACAACTATAACCCGCTTTGACGAGCTTGACACCTGTTTCGACATCGCTGGTGCTGTCGCTGCCCTCTAGACAGCCACCTGCGATTTGAAGACCAAGTCCCGCGAAGAATAGGAGACGAGAGATGAGTAACCACCGACCAATCCGCGGGTTCACCTTTGGTTCATGGACTAGTCTGGGGCGTGTCAGTGAGCTGTCTAGTCTCCGTGGGTGTAGTCTTACATGATTCGAAGGAAGCCCAAGGTGGCTGCGAGCAAGGGAGACACGCCCGCATTTAATAGAATGATCGACGCAACCATGAGTCCCGTGCGAGGTTTATGCTCATAAAGAATCACCACAATGCCAGCAGCGAGTCGAACTAGAAGTTGACGTCAGCTAAAGAGACCCGATAATGATGTTTGGTCACTCACTAGCACAGAAAAGCAGTAGAATGATCCATGATAGACGAGGTCGCTTGTGTCGGTAAAATGCATGGTAGGCGGCGAGGACAAAGGCGGGGATGTAGAACACGATGATTGCGATGCTCGTTCTTGAGTGGTCGTTGAACATGTTGATCGATAAGCAGACTGACTATGATGGGTATGAAATATATATCACAAGTATGAAGATATCTGATGCTGGTCTAAAATAGGTGCAATTAGACAAATTCTCTGCAGTTCATCTGTTCTGCTCTCATGGTGTCCAGTGCCTCTTATATAGCCCTATGGTTGATGCCCCGTCCGAGCCAGAAAATAAGCTCGCAAGATGAACACCCTTTTGGGCCTAGCGCATCGCATGTCAAGCCCCACTTCTGCACTGCGCCCCCTTCCTGATTGGCACATCGCAGGATGGGGCCGGATTGGGGTAAGATTGGGCTGCAGCTAATTCTCCAGCCGCAATCTGGATCCATTTGACTCACTCTTCACCCATGGCTATCCACATCAAAGGGTGAGAGATTAGACGACGAGATTGATCCATCTCGATTGCCATACCGACACTTCACTAGCCGCTGGTATGGTGGGGGTAGCAGGAAAATCCAAAGGCTGCAATACCTGTCGGGCGCGGAAAATTGCGGTAGGTGCTAATTCTTCTCTTGTATAGACGCCGGGCTGAGAAAATAGTGCGATCGTCGACAGCCGTGTGGCCAGTGTACGCGGTTGAACCGAGTGTGTGGTGGCTACCAGAGGGAAAGGGTCTTTGTGTTAGTCCAGCCGGATGCTGCACCCACCAAGAAACACATCTTTCTGCGATCCTCTCCCTCCGAACGGAGTTCACCTGCAGAGCTCTCCGATAATGGAGTCGAGGAGTGTCTGCCGTTGCCAGCGGCCTATCCCTTAACAGAGCGAGGGCCAGCATACGCCACGATTCAGACTCAGAATGAGTGCCACAATCTGGTTTTGAGCTTTCTCTCCAACTGTCTTCCCGCGTCACAGTCATCTTCCCTTCCGCGCTCATGGATGCCCTTGTTGGCGGAGCTGCCGACAAGAGGCAAGGCCCTGCAAATCGCAGGAGCAGCCGTCGCGGCCTCAGCCATCGGGCACCGATTTCGAGATCCGGCCCTAATCCGAGAAAGTCTCAACCTCTACACCCAGGGCCTGCGACAGCTGCAGAGTGCATTATGGAACCGCCACCTCGTCCACGATGATGGTACTCTGGCAGCCTGTATGGCCCTCAGTCTGTATGAGGCGATGGAATGCCCCAGTGCAGGTTCAGAGGGTTATTTCGGCCACTGCCAGGGCCTTCTCGCGTTGGTTCAAGCTCGCGGTATCCAGGCGCATTGTACAGGTGCGGGCCATCAATTATTTCTTGGGGTCCGAATGCCTGCGGTAAGCCTTTGATATCCTGTTTAGGTGCTAATATTCCTTTCCATCTTGCTGAGGCATTTAGATATTGTACGCGTTAGAACACCAAGCTCCAAGTTTCATGTTCGATGCGGCGTGGATGGAGCAGCCCTGGGAACTGATCCCAAAAACCTTCATGAGTAGAGTCGTGGATTGTCTCGCAAAAAGCCCCAAGATCCTGCAACGCGTGAGCGTCTTGTATTCTCTGGGTCCGGAGGACCAGGGCGACCTATATCACGAGCTGATCCACGAGTGTTGGCAAATTGACGAGGAACTGGATCTGGTCTGGGATAAAATGCAGGATGCCACGCCAGGTCCGCTGTACTGGCCTGTGCCATCCCAGATGAAGTATACCTCAACCGATTCTGCTGGCGCAGAGACCCCATTTTCAGTGGTGTTCTGTTTTCCGAGCCAGGAATGCGCCACTACCCTGATCCTCCTGTGGGCAGTGCGAGTCATGCTTTGGTCCGGCCTCTGTCATCTGTACGCTGGTCTGGCTATCCTCAACAGCTCCATGGCTTCTTCTACCGTTGCCGTTCACCCGACGCTGCCTGCTCTCGGTCATCGTCGGGACTATCTTTCCATGGCTCACCATGTCTGTCAATCAACCGAATACATCCTGCAGGATGAACAGCTCCTGGCCGGGCCGCTCGCGGTTTCCCCTGCATTGGGAATTGTGCTGGATACCCTCCGGGATCAACCTTGTTATGCTCGCGAAGTCGCATGGCTACGAACAATTCTCGGCGTAGTAAGACAAAGAGGGCTGGGTGTTTTAAAGCACAGCAGATGATGTAGCCAGGTTACATAGACCGCGTCTTGGTCGGCATGAAGTTACGATGGCCCAGACAATCGATAATGGCGACGTAGCAGGCGTCCACCGATGGGCATTGGCGTGAAGCGAAGGGATCGTGATTAATATTATATTGGTGGGTCATGATGTTATTAATGATAGTCAGTTCAGGTAGCTGTGGGTGATGCCTAGCTCTGCTCTCTTCTCATCCGGTCATAGTTGACGACTGTCTCCAGCAGAGTTTGCGTGCCGAGAGCACTATGCAGAGTCAGTACAGCATAACATCCACGAGAAAGCGACTTACCAATCGGCTGGACTGCAGTATTCCTCGGGATGATGGCTCACCCCCTCCTTGCACGGAACAAAGATCATGGCAGTGGGACAGTGTCGACTAGTGTAGACGCTGTCATGGCCTGCACCGCTGGTGATTTCAATCCACTTGTGTGCACCAACCAAGTGTGTGGCCGCGTTTTTGACGGCCGTGAGGCAGTTCTCGTCAAACTCCACTGCCGCGGAGTCGGTATCCAGTGTCCAATGGAATGACACGCCCTTGCCGTCCTCACGAGCGATGTCCGCAAACGCCTGCAGGCATTCATCCTGGACGGCATGCACGATATGATTCTGGGGATGGCGAATGTCGAGAGTAAAGGTCACACCCGACGCGACCGTGTTGGTTGACGAGCTGCGTGGCAGCTTCAAGACCCCCGTGGAAGCGAGTGCGCTGTACTTCTTCGCCACTGCGTTGGAAGCCACGATCATCTTGGACGCGGCCAGCAACGGATCCCGACGCGCCGCCAGTGGTGTCGTGCCGGTGTGGGCATCGCGACCAGCCACGGTGATGGTAAGCCAGCGGTATCCCTGGGCACCGCGCACCACCCCTACAGACTTGCCAGCCTCTTCCAAGATAGGGCCCTGTTCAATATGGAGTTCAAAGTGTGCTCCCAAGGGGTATCCGGTGGTGGGATCTAGGAGCAGGCGACCTGCCCGAAAAAGCCGTGGCGTTCGAGCTCGGAGCGCAGGGTGACAGCCGGGTTGAAGATGTCGGTCAATCCCCAGGCGCTCTCCACGGGAACGGCCCCGGCCCAGACACCCGACGAGCACATCGACTTGGGGAATCGGGCCCCTTCCTCGCTGTACACGATAGTTAGCAATCAATTCATCCTAGACACTGGAAAGACCTACTTGGTCCAGTTCACCAGCCCGATGTCATAGTTAGTGCGATATCCATGCTCTTTCATGGTTCGTAAGACCTCCAGGGCGGCGATGACACCGAGGATGCCGTCGTAGCGACCGCCCCGGGGCTGGGTGTCGAGATGGCTTCCCATGGCCGTCATAGGCGCGGGCGATCCCAAAGATCCTTGCTGTTTGGCAAACATGTTGCACATATGATCGATAGTAACCTTGCAGTCGAGCTTCTCCACTTCATCTTGCAGCCATCGTCGCACTTTGGCATCGTCGTCAGTCAGACAGAGTCACGCCATGCCCGTTTCGGTCGGGTCACTGGAATTCGGTCAGATGATGGGTCTGACAGAAGTGGAGGATTACCTACTCGCCATAGCGATGGGCGGCACCCCATTCACAAGTGCGATGAATTGTTTCCAGCAGACAATCCGAGTTGATCTGGAGTCCGGAGCCGGCCGAGGTGGATACCGACCGGCGCAAAGCCGTCGGGGAGAGCTGACGGGCAATGGTTCGTCCAAACATGGTCAATTATGATCGGAGGAACAATCTCAGTTGCGTCGTACAGCCGGCCTTTATAAAAATCATGGTCCGACCGTGATGAGGTCGAGTTTTGCCTCTGCGCCTTCCCGCGACATCGGAATGTGGAACACAAGCATGTCGGGGGAGGGCGCATCGGCAGCGCCCTTTGTGCCGATGAAATTGGAACCCGGGCACATTAAAACCGGCATACCCCCTGCAGGATTCATTCCAGCAAGTATGTCCTCCACCATGCCGGGTTCCCGCAGACCAATCTTCGTCAATCCCAACCCGACCACGACGTCGTTGGGGGGTTTGCCTCGAGTGCAGGCCTTCCACGAGCACTTCCCGGGCTACGCCGCGAGCCCGCTGGTGCCGCTGCCCGACATTGCCGACGAGCTCGGGGTGCGAGCAGTCTATGTCAAGCAGGAGAGCAATCGCTTCGGTCTGCCGTCCTTTAAAGTGCTCGGTGCCTCCTGGGCCATCTACCAGGCCGTCTTGGCAGCCTTGGGATTGCCAGATGGCACGCCCCTTGAGACCCTGATCGCCCGCGTGCAGGCCAGTGCAGCCAGTGCAGCCATTACTCTCATTGCTGCTACTGAGGGCAATCATGGCCGGGCGGTCGCTCGGGTCGCCCAGCAGATGTCGTTGCAGTGTCGCATCTACGTCCCGTGCACCATGCACGAGTACACCAAGCAGATGATCCAGTCCGAAGGGGCCGAGGTGGTCGTCGTCGAGGGGGACTACGACCGGGCCGTCCAAGCTGCTGCCGACTCGGCCGCGGAGATGGAACAACGTATCCTGATCCAGGACACGGCCTTCGAGGGATACGAGGACATTCCAGCATGGGTGGTGGAAGGCTACTCGACCTTGCTGCGCGAGGCAGACGAGCAACTGCACGCCCTCGGGCTGCTGAATACTCTGGTTGTCGCGCCAGTAGGCGTGGGCTCGTTCGGCCAAGCCGTCGCCACATACTACAAGTCGCGAGAGACCCCTGCCGCAGTCGTGGCCGTCGAGCCCGATACCGCGCCCAGCCTGACCCACAGCCTGCAACAAGGCAAATTGACGTCAGTAATCACCAGTCCTAGCATCATGGCAGGGATGAACTGTGGCACAGTGTCTAGCGTCGCCTGGCCGCTACTGCAACAGCTGGTCGATGCGAGCGTGACCGTTTCGGATTGGGAAAGTCACGGCGCCGTCCAAGACCTCACTGCCCAGTCGGTCGACGCCGGACCCTGTGGTGCCGCCAGTCTAGCTGCCATTCGTCGCCTAAAGGCTGAGCATCACGGTTCCGCCTTTTTCACACCAGAGTCAGTCATCTTACTCCTCAGCACCGAGGGCCGTCGCCCCTACGAGGTCCCGCAGGATGTCTCAACGGACGACCCGGTGAAACTGACCCAGATGCTGACGCGGATCAACTCCTCCAACCCTACCCTGTCCAAGTCTCGAGGGGCAGGAGAGACAGCCATTGTCAATTACCTGTCCGCCTGGTTTTCTCATCGTGCTATTGAGCACCACCGCATCGAAACAACACCAGGGCGCCCGTCTGTGGTGGGGATCGTGCGCGGATCTGGTAGAGGATCATCCATCATGCTCAACGGGCACGTCGATACGGTTAGCCTGACGACCTACGAGGGGGATGCGCTGACGGGACATCGGGGGGTGAAGGAGGGCAAAGAGGTAGTATTTGGGCGCGGTGTGTTGGATATGAAGGCGGGTTTGGCCGCTGGCCTATCAGCCCTTCTAGTCGCAAAGGAAAGCCCGCTGGCTGGAGATGTGATGATCGCCGCGGTGGCGGACGAGGAAGATGCATCCCAGGGGACGATAGATGTACTTGCCGCTGGATGGCGAGCTGATGCCGGGGTAGTGCTAGAGCCGACCAACCTCGCCATTGCGCACGCGCACAAAGGGTTTGCCTGGGCGGAGGTGGAGATCCTGGGACGGGCAGCTCACGGTTCCCAGCCGGCAGACGGGATAGATGCCATCATGAACATGGGACTGTTTCTCCAGGCTTTGCGCGAGACTCAGGCGCAGCTCCCCGTCGATGCGGTGTTGGGGCAGGGGTCTCTACACTGCGGCATTGTCCATGGAGGAGAGGAGGCCTCATCATATCCAGCCAGTTGCAAACTGACTGTCGAGTACCGGACAGTGCCGGTGCAGACGAACCAGGGGATCCTGGACGATCTGGGTGCCCTCTTGGACCGACTGGCCCGAGAGAATGCCGGGTTCCAGTACCGGGAGCCTCGCATCACAATGTCGCGTCCCAGCCAGCATGTTCCCCATGACCATCCTCTAGTTGAACAGTTGGTTCACATCAGTCAGGATGTTATTGGCCATCCTGCAGCAGTGCAGAGTGTCCCTTTCTGGTGCGATGCCGCATTGCTCACGGAGGCGGGGATCCCCAGCATTGTGTTCGGACCGTGCGGGGCGGGCCTGCACTCGCGGGAAGAATGGGTCGAGGTCGACAGCGTGGTGCAGCTTAGGGAGGTTCTCCGGCAACTCATCCAGCAATATTGTAAATAGATAGAGCCATACGGAGAGTACCAAATGATTGTTCTGCAAATAGAATTGATGAATGTCGATAGATGGAAAGTTGATGGTTTCGTAGTCGGCACGACAGCGACAGCGGGAGACTGGCGTCTAGTCTAACCTTGTCCAGAAGGCGGTAGTGATCTGCCGATGCCAGCTCCCCGCCTTCCGTTTCTACTCTTCCTCTTCCTCTTTCTCTTCCCCATCTTCATCTTTCCCCGCACCTATATTTCTTCTTGCTCCTTTCCCTTCGTCCGTGTTCTTTCACAATGGCTTTTCGTACATATGCGTCTCCAGAATCCTAAACTACCAGGCCGGCAACTTGGGCTTCGCCATGGAAGCCTCCTTCCCCGACAGCTCGCGAGCCTCGTTCGACGATGACTGGGCAGAATGGCTCTCCACCTCCGATTCCATCCACCCCGATACCTTCTCCTACCCTGCGGGTCCCGTTGAAAACACCTCCCTGGATCCGGTGATCCCCGGGGAAACCCGACGGGACTTCGCAGAAACCGATCCGACCAACCACTCCAGCATCCGGCCGACCGATGATTTCAGTGTCTCGCGATGGTTAGAAGGCGCCTATCGTCCTTCCGTCCCCTGCGCCCACTGCCAGCAGCACCGACTACAGTGTCTCATCATCCGCACCACCCCGGCCAATCCGAACCCAGTCTCATCCTGTTCCAGCTGTGTCGCCCTCTTTCGCGAATGTAGCCTTGCCCGCGGCGAGAAGCGCCACCCCGCCGGCTTTGAGACGTTCTTTCCCGTCTTCAATCATCTACACGGGGTTACAGAGTTGACAGACGAGGAGATGATTTCCAGGCTCGAGGCTTCAAACATGACGGGACTAGGGCACCCCCCAGGGGAGTCAGCACATCAGGTAGCACTGAGTGAGAATGATGGGCGGCACAAGCCGCGCTTTTCGAGGAAAGGAGCCAAAGTCTTGCGGGATTGGCTGTATCGCAACCAACATGCTCCGTATCCTACTGAGGAACAGAAGGCCCAGTTCGCCCAGCAAACCGGTCTCACTGAGAAACAAATATCCACCTGGTTTGCCAATGCGCGACGGCGGCACAGGGTGGCGCGGCGAACGTCTCGACCCAGTCAGATCTTTCGGAGTGGCTCCCCCATGCCTGTTTCTCGTCCTCCCACTTTGACACCGATGGAGCGCTGGCAGAGATCGCCGCCAGATCAGGAACCCGTGTCAGAATCGGCCATTCAAGATGCCATTGCCGCCGCAGGTACCGATACGGCATGGGATTGCCCGAGCGCATCCGCCGACGCTAGTCCTGGCGCCCACAACCTCGCGTCTTCCATCTCGAGCATGGATAGTGAGCCATCTCATGCCTCATCGGAAAGTGTCTCGTCGGCTTGGAGTCATCGTTCAGAAAGCTATCTGCCGTTTCCACTCTCGGACGTACCGTCCCGGTCCCAGTCACGACGGCGACGGCCCAGACGCCGGTCAGCAGCAGAAGGCCCCTTTCAGTGCACCTTTTGCGTTGACTCGTTCAAGAAGAAGCATGATTGGGCCCGGCATGAGAAGAGTGTCCACTTGTCGTTGGAATCCTGGATCTGCACCATTGGACCGGACATCTTGGATATCGCTGGCTCGGAGGCCTTACCGTGTGACTTTTGCAATGCGACACAAGGATTCCAATCCCACTTCGCTACTCATGAGTTCGACGTGTGTGTCGACCGACCCCTTTCGGAGCGATCCTTCTGTCGAAAGGATCACTTGATTCAGCATCTCCGCAAATTTCATCATTGTACCAAAGTCCCTGCGCTTCGAGTTGAGGCTTGTCGCGTAGTCACCAATGATGTCGAGAGTCGTTGTGGATTCTGCCAGCTAGTGATGTCGACATGGAGTGAGCGTGCAGACCATCTGGCAGAGCACTTCAAGAGCGGAGCGCGCATGATGGAGTGGTGTGGTGACTGGGGACTTGACACTTTGCACCAGGCGATGTTGCGGGATGCCATGCTGCCCGCGGATCGGTTTTCGTTGTCCGAAGGAGTTTCTTGACCATGGTCTAGGGAAGCTCTCTTAACATACAACAGATGCAACGGCTACAAGTCGTGCGCCTTTCGTCTCACGCACATATAATGGGGTGTGACTCCGGAATAGGCTCATTGGCCGTCAGCCACGGTTGCAGCGACCCCCTCTCTCCAGGGACGGTGAATCAGTAACTATACGCTGTCTGGGTAATTATCGGCCCTGTCTTATTTGCCCAAACTGGAAAGACAGAATCTAAAGACAGCTATGGCCGATCTTACTATGGATTGAGTACATCAGCGCGGGCCCTATCCGCTCACTTGGGGTCGTCCACACAACACAACGTTCCCGGAGCTTTGCAGTAGCCTGACAATCCCCCACATGTCTACTTTCAGCTCTGATTGGATCATGGACGTGTAATGGTTCCCGTCCCACAATCATCTGCACCGCCAAGCATAAGTAATTGATCTCGATTGACACGTTGAAGCATGGGCAGTATGGAGGCCTCGCTCTCCTAATGGGCTATCAGCGGTATATATACATCCTTTAATGCCTGTGAGGATATCGGGTGGCGTAGAGTGCGGGAATAGACGTAACAGATTTCCTTTCATTTGGTCGGTTCTGTACTAACAAACCAAACCTTTTGCATCCACCCCAGGAGACAGACCTGGAAGCTAATTCGAGAATCATTCCATACAATGTCACAAACCCCCAAACCGAACATATAGTCACCACCTATAACTGCCATCCCATCCTATCCTATACTGTAAACACATTCCCCTCCACTCCCTCACCACCCCCACCCCGATAAAGATTCGTCCACCGCTCCAACAACTCCTCAACATCATCCATATCACTCAGACCCTCCACTCCCGTACGAACAGCATCATCTCCATCAGAAACAGAATCCCCGAGCCCCATACGAGAAAATCTCACCGCTTCCTTTGCAGGATAGATCATACCTTGAGGAACCACCTCAAACCGCTCTCCAGATAGAGGTTGTATTCCTGGAACATATCCCCCACGCGAGTGCCATACCTTAGCCGGCCGCGGAGGGTATCCTCCCTGGTATGATGGTATCCCCATACCCAGGAGAGGATCGGGAATGGGTTCGAGATAGGTGGACTCGTGGGTTCGGGTGGAGCGGCGGTGGATGTAGAGACATGGACAGCAGCAGATGAATTTTAGGGATTGGTGGAATGTGGATAGGAAGTCGTGGAGGGTTTCGTTGGGTTGGGGTGGGTTGGTGGTGTGTTTGGGATGGCGGGGGGTGTGGTAGGCTGGGGTCGAGGGATGGGGTGAAGGGGGATATGGGTTGGGGGTACTGGCTCTACTGTATCCTGTGTGCGAGCGGTTGAAGTAGACATTGGCTGGTTGCTGGAATCTGTTGGATTGGGGTCTGGTGGCTGGATGGTAGTGATCTCCATATTGGATGTATCTGGGCTGCTATCCTGGGTTTGTGGTGGGTGGTCGACTGTTGGGTTGGACTTTGGATTCTCCAGATTGTCGTCTCCTTTGGCAGTCGGCGGGATTTCCCGTGCCACGTTGTCTGAGGCCGATGGCCCAGTAGCAGCACCAGGCAAGGCCGCGGTGAAGATACTAATACCGTCAATCAATATCCGCGATATGATCAAGAGAATAGATAACCCACCTCGCATCCTCCATCGCCTCGACTCGCTCATCCTCCTTCCTACTCCTCTCATAAGTATCCATAGCCTGCCTCCTTAGGGCAATAAGCTCCTCCACGAGCTGTCTCTGCCGTGGTTGATATTCACTGTACCCTGTCTCAGCATGAATCCCTAACCCTAGAATCCTCCTCCAATCAATAGAATCTAAAAGCAAATAACCAACCTCTGCACAGCCCTCACCCTCGCATAAACCACCACCTGCATCAACAACTGCAACGTCGTCTTCAACCTCTCCAAATCACTCTGCATCAAAACCACCCTCGACTCCCTGAACGGAAACAACAACCTCCCCATCCCATTGCCACTCCCCGTACTCCTCAACGCAGCCTCTATCTGCTCAAACAACCCATCACACTGTCCCACAATATCCCTCACCGTATCCAACGCATTCCGCGAAACAATCACTCTATCCGAAACCCTCTCTTCTTCCAGCACGGACCCGACTTCCTCGATACATATTGCTGTGGTGCGCACGTAGGAGGCAATCTGCTGCGCGCGCCGACTACTTCCCGATACGCCGTCGCCGTAGTCGTGGAGTTTTTGGGCGAGGGTGAGCCCGGCGCCTGCGATGCCGATGATGGAGGAGATGAGGCCGATGAGTTCGGCCATTGGGGGATGGGTTCAGCATGGGTTGGGCGGGTGGATTGGATGTCGCGGAGGGATAGGAAGGGGTGGTCAGCAAGGCATTAGTGCGTGGCATGGTTGCTTTTGCTGTCAGCCTTGTGGCGGGGTGGGGTCGTCAACTGGCAGGATTCGGGAGGGGCCTGTTGTTGGGGCTGAGGGATGAAGGTGAATGGTTGTAGGGCACTTGGTTTGAAGGAAATAGAAGAGGATGGAGCAATAAATCAAGAAGAGATATTGGAGTTGATGGTGTTGGTGGGGTACGAGTGAAGTGAGTAACTATTCCTACTACTATATAGTATCTACATTGCGGGACTCGGTGGAGAGCGCACGGATGGGGCGAGCCACGTTTCAGAACTCCCCGCTGGCTGACTGGAGTCACTCGTTGAATTTCTGGCGAAGTTGATATGGCTGATCCCAAAGCCATTGCATAGATCCATTTGGACGATGAACAGTTGTGTAATCTTATATGCAGACGAAAGACTGAAAAGGACCGATCGCTGGGTTGCAAAAATGAAAGCCCACTAACTGACCAGACTGAGTATGCCGCTGTAAAATAATGAAAATCAACCGGTTGAGGCAAATATTCGTATATACATTTGTCTACTATGAAAGATCTAGGGAAAAAATAATATATCACAAGGTCGGTCAGAAGGTACCACGGGGTATGTATACAGACCGACGGAGGAAGGTATCGTGAAAAGGTCGTCATCATGAAATTCGCATCACTTTTTTCAGCCCATGCAGAGACACGGGCTTCACCAGGTACTCATCAACCCCGGCCGCCACCGCTTGTTGCTGTCGGTCTGCCGACCCCAAGCCGGTCACGGCAATGATGCGCGAGGGGATGAGTCCATTTTTCTTCTCGTACCGACGGATTTGATCGGTCGAGACAATGCCGTCCATCACTGGCATCGAGATATCTGAACGTCACGGTCAGCAAATTCGTAAGTGACATGACATGGCGAGTGGTCTTACCCATCAAGATGAGATCGTGGCGCCGGCTGGCGGCTTTGTAGGTGTTGAGGGCAATGAGCCCGTTGGATGCAGTATCGTAGCTGCACCCGATTTTTCGGATGAAGGTGGCCAAGATCTGCCCACATCAATTAGTACTTCCACTCGCGCAGTGAGGCAATGAGAACTAACCTTCAGGTTGATGTCGTTGTCATCTACAATGAGGACATGGATGTCTTTGGGGGCTTTGCTGGGAGGGTGCGAATGGGGGGCCTCCAGCGGCGGGCATGGCGAGGCAAAGTCCATGGCCGAGTCCGGCGCAGACCGCTGGGACAGCTCGGGGGAGGCGGGTCGCGAGGGTTGCAGCGGCATCGGCGAGGGCCGCGATGGAGGACGGTTCAGTCGAGATTCCCGGTACAAAGTTTGCACCCGCTTGATCGCGTTGTCGAACTTTTGCGGACCGAATCTGCCATGCCGTTAGCTACCAACGGATAGAAAAGGGGAGGATTACTTACGGCTGAGACACTCGGACCATGTTTGGAGCGAGCATATCGACTTGCGAAGACGGCTGGTTGCTGTCAAGGACGATGAAGAACTTGAATCCTCCCTTCCTCGCCAGTTCCAATGCGGACTGGCCTCCCGGCATCGCGCTCAGATCGCTCTCCTCGATTACGGCCACGTCCCCCCTAGCATGATCGAGCGACTCGGCCAGCGTTAGCGTCCATCCCGGTTGATGGAACAGCACTGAAGTCAGCGAGCTGCGGATGGCCAGCTTGCGCTTGGCCTCTGCCGGGAGAATGCCCGTGGGAATCTCTCGCGGGTTGGGATATCCATCAAATCCGACAAGGCAGGCAACCATGGGGAGAACCGGCGAGGCCAGCTCCTCTGGGCTGCAGCGGCGAGACCCGTGCGATGCGCTGTCCGACTGGGGGTGCACGGGAATGTAGATGTCGACCTGAGTGCCCACGCCCACCTCACTCCGCACATCGATGTGACCATCCAACGAAGCGACCAGCTGGCGAACGATACTGAAACCTAGTCCCAGCCCTTCTGACAGAGTGTCTTCCTGCGTGAAGGGGGAGAACAGCTTGTGCCGGAGAAAATCCGGCGCAATGCCAGCGCCAGTGTCAGTGACCGACAGATGGGCGAGAACAGAGTGCGGGTTAGATTCCCGGCGGGCCTTGGAGAGTGATACCTCGACGAAACCGGATTTGGTCCACTTTAAGGAATTGCCCAGCAGGTTCATGACAATGCGCCGCCATGCGCCGGCCACCGACTGCACCCGCCAGGTGTTGCGCTCCTGTACACGCACCACCACCGTCAGCTCTCCGTCGGATCGTGCCGGTTGGGGGTTCGCGGGGCGCCCTGTCAGGGGAGCCACCGCTTGAGCCAGCCGTTGGCCGGTGTACTGGACATCAGTGACCTCCTCAATGAGCTCGTCCAGGTCAAAGACAGCCAGGAGGTTCGTCACACTAGGGGTGGATGGGTCAGGGCTGGAGTCTTCGGTGGTGGTCAAGTTGTTGATTTTGGCAAAATCCAGCCTACACATAATTAGCTGAAACGAAACGGTCTGAGATAATCTGTCACACTCACAAGTGGTTCAAGGTATCCAGCAGGGTCAAACCGCAACTCTTGACCATGTTCATCCAATGCGCCTGACTCGAATGCAACGGGGTAGTCTGCAACAATTCTGCACTGGCCAGGATGCCGTGCAAAGGGGACCGCAGCTCATGGCTGACGGAGGAGATGAAATCCGATTTAGATTGCTGGGTGCTAGCCCAGTCGACGCGGGCAACCTCTGAAATGATCGAGTCGCCAAACACCTTGAAATAATGTAGCTCGTCCACACCCAGCGCGCGATCACTGGCGTGGGTCCAAACGAGTGTACCCGCCAGCCAGCGCGATCGGTTCCAGTCCCACAATGGGTAAAAGAGCACACAGTAGGCGTCTGGCAAGTGCTGTCGGAGTCGACGGCCGATCTCGCGCCGGATCCCAGCTTCAGACCCTGCCGCCGGGGCCTTCGCAGCCGCCGTGAGATGAGAGGAAAACATGTCAGGGGGCTGATCTTTGTCTTCGTCGATCCACTCGTGTAGGTTGAAAAACTGGCCATGTGGAAAGGCGGCAGTCATTTGGTTGAGGAGGGCTTCGGTGACAGGCATTCCAGTGTGTGCCTCCTCCGCGGACGGCTGCTGGGCGCTCCCCAGCACCTCGCACGGCTTCTCGGAGATGTTGGACAGGGACCCCACCCCGGGGAGGTCCACCGGGCTGGGATAGGGATCGGCAAGAAATTCAGGATTCGCGGTCGTGGGCAGGGGCTCCCAAGACCCGGTCTGGCCGGGCCGTACACTGCTTGTTTTGTTAATATGCTTCCGCCAATCCTCCGGGGGTGGGCCACTCACACTCCGGCATTACATCGACTGGCGTCCAGGAACACGACTCCATCCAAGTCCATCGAGTCGCGCAGGGTGACACTGGCGCGGGTGAAGATGCGACCAAGGCTCTCAGAGCGGGCTTCGCGGTCGATGACGGACACCGAGGGAAACTCGGTGTGGTCGGACACGACGACGCTCGGCTCTCGTGTCTCGGACACATCGGCCGGTAGGGGTTCGTCGGCCGGTACGGCGGTGGTCGGGCGGGGTCCGGGCACATTGACCGAGGTGGAGGTGGCGGTGAGCTCGGAGCATGTCACAGCGGAGAACAGGGAGGCCAGATCGCCGGTCATTTCGGAGGAGGCCGAGTGCAACTGGCTAGGCGTCACCGGGAGGTTATCCTTGGCCAACGACAGGGGTTCCTGGGGCGCGGGCTGGGTGCCGGGGACCAGCATGGATCCGTTGCTGGGACTGGGCACGTCGGTCGGATCGAAGGCAGGATGGTCTTTGACGAAGCTGGTCAAGCCCTTGACAAGACTCTCGGCGCGGCGATGCGAATGGGAGATGCGGACGTGCTCGAGATGCTGGGCGACGGCATCGGCGACCTCGCGGAGGGAAGCGATTTCGCGATCCCCAAAGACGGAGCGAGGTTTATCGTCGATGACACAGAAAGAGCCAAGAACATGACCGGCAGGGCTGTACAAGGGCACCTCGGCGTAGAAGCGGAAATGGGGCCAGTCGACTACATAGGGGCGATTTTGAAAGAATTCTTCCTGGGTGAAGTCACGGACGACGAAGCGCGAGGTGTTGGCAGTGAGATTGGGGGAGTCGACCACTTTGGAGGGATCCTGGCCGGTGAACAGGGCGATGGAATGGGGGCAGACCCCCCAGATCAGGTCCAGGGTGCGGACCCCGAGATAGATACCATCGCCCGGGTCATGCTGATCCTTATCCCGTAGCGAGACGGACTTGGTGGCTTCGGCGATGAGATATTGGTTGGCGCCATCGATGATGGAGATGAAGGCGCGGCTACAGGAAAAGCGAAAGACAGCCAGCTGAGCCAGGGCCGTCAGGGTGATATCGGAGGAGAGACGGACTTCGCCCTCGGCGGCGTGGCGACTCTCCTCTGCAGCGGCTTCCAGTCGGAGGGCGGGGCGACCGACGGTGCAATAGTACCTGCAGGATTCGTGGGGACGCAGATTAGCACATGGATATACTTTGCTGGAGCTGCACAGGGACGATCCGGTTGCAGAGGATCGACTTGGGGCCTGGCTTACCGAGAAAGATCCCGAATTCTCTCTCGCTCTGCCTCGGATTGCTGTAAGGAGGCCGCCATCACTCCCGAGGCGTTACGGGCATATCGTGTGATGCGGAGAGGGGGAAAACGACGGGGGAAACGATCGAAAGCAAGAGAAAGAGAAAGAGAGAAAGCAAGGGACCGAGACAGAAGAATAAAAGAGGAAGAAAAAGCCGGCCACCCGCACGGGGATGGAGAAGAAGCAAATGGATGGCAAAGAGAGACTGTGGGGAAGCACGAGAGAGAACGGGGACGGAAGAGGAAAGAAGAAACTCGACCCAAGGCTTGACCGCTGGGCTGTCCGGCTCTGGCGCTTGTGATTTGTGGCTGTCGGTCCGGCCGGACTAATACTTAAACACTGAACGGGAAACAGAGAGTGACCAGTGGGGGAGATGGAGAGATGGAGAGTCGGAGTGCTGGTCAATTGGAGAGCCCGACTGCAAGACTAAGCGAGCCACTGGCAGCCTTCGGACGGTGCGACCTGTCACAAAACCGGCTTCGCCTGGAAATCCTCCGTGGCCATTGGCCCTCTGCCCCGCTCCCCCACCGGGCCAGACTCCCGCCGGCCCGACACTACACCCCATCGGGTATGGGAGCCGTTGAAGGTCGCTGACTCATTTGTATCTGATGGCGTCATCGTCTTCGGCCTGAGGCATCCACTCGGCCTCGCCCCGCACAAGTCGCCCTTTGATAGCAGCATTCAGCGACTTCTCTCCCCATACTAGTCCATCCACCAACACGACGCAGTACCTACCTAGTACCTATGGATCGACGGGCACTCAGGGCTAGACTTGGGGGTTTTCCGGCCCAGGCGACCGGCATCCCGACTGGCTGTCTCGGCCGCGATCATGCGCCTGATCTTATCGGCGATTAACTCGACGGGTGGGACCGATCCCCTCGTGCTTTTGGCCTTTTATCTAGACCCCCCCGGGGAGGAGTTTCGCCCTCACGGGAGGATTCCTTCTGTCCCCCATCTTTTTGTCTACATCATCTCCAGGTTGGTTCCACCGATCGTGGTCCCTTTCATTTACCTGCCTAACAAGGTCGGGATCTAGATGTCGTTCACCAGTATATCCTAGAACCATCAGTGAGCAAGCAGTATGGCGCAAATCAACCAGAACATCCAACACTCCCCAGCTGGCCGGAGACCGGTGAATCGGAAACCGAGATGTCCTTTATTGCGCGATTGATTTCTAATCCATCGAATCCGACGGTTTCTGCCCTCATCAACTCCTACCTCGTCAGCCGAAATAAATAGCCAAGCAGCAGAAACATGGTTCAAGTCTCTCGGGGTCATCTCTAATCCTTTCCTCCGCTATCAATATGCCCGCCACCCCCATCCGAACCGCCCTGATTGGGCTGTCTGCCTCTGCCATCACCTCCTGGGCAGCTGACGCCCACCTGCCTGCTATCCAGAGTCCCTCCGGTCAGGCCCTCATGCAAATCACTGCCCTCTGCAACAGCAGTGTTGCCGCAGCCGAAACCGCCATCCGCACCTACCACCTGGGCCCTGCGACCGTTAAAGCCTACGGAAACCCCGACGATCTGGCTGCCGATCCCACGGTCGATCTCGTCATCTGCACCACCCGCGTCGACAAACACTACCCGACCGTGCTGGCCAGTCTGCGTGCGGGCAAGTCAGTCTATATCGAATGGCCGATTACTAGCACGGTGGCGGAGGTGGACAAGCTTCTCTCTGTGGCTCGTGCTAGTGGTGCCACCGTTGCCGTCGGCTTACAGGCCCGCTTTGCACCCCCGATCATCAAGATCAAGGAAATCCTTCGCTCCGGTCGGCTCGGGCGGCTGCTGAGCACTGAGGTGCGCGGGTATGGAGGCACAGGCGCTCGCGATGTCTTGCCAACTGGGTTGAAGTACTTTGCCCAGAAGGAGGTGGGCGGGAACCCCATCACCATTGGATTTGGCCACAGTTCGTACTTGATCTCCGCATCTAGTTGAGTCGAAAAAAAGGTGACTGACGCGTACAGTGATTGATTATGTCCAATCCGTCGTGGGGGATGTCATTCCCGGTACCGACCAAGTGCACACCCAAATCCAGCGTCCGGAGGTCCGCATTCTAGACCCCCAAACGGGGACCTTCGTCGACACGATACAAACAGATGTGCCTGATCTCCTTAGTCTGCATGGTGAGTAATAGAGCACGACGTAAACTGCGCTTGTGGCCACCAGGGAGCTCACAATCGCCAGGCACCCTCGCAGAATCCCCTTATACCGTTCCTGGGGCCAGCTTACTGGCTTGCTTTGCCCGTAGCCAACCCTACCCAGGGGATCCGTTGCTGTCGTGGACGCTCAACTGTGAATCCGGCTCCATTCGGCTGACTGCGCCAGCGGGGATTTCACTGCATGGTCCATCCACCATCTCCGTCCATCATCATGCCTCGGACACGGTGGAGGAGATCGAGTGGACTTGGTCGAAGGAGCAATCGGAAGTGCCAGCGAAGGCGCGGTCGGTGCAGCGTTCCCTTATCAATTTTGCCGTGGGGAATCCGGAAGGCTATGTTTCACTGGAGGATGCGGCCGGTCGCGCCAGGCAGATTGCCCGCTGGTTGAACGCTTGAAGACACTGTAAATCTGATCTGCCTCTGCTATCATATCCCATCACTTTGTTGTACTCGGATCTCCTTTGGACAGTAACCCCTAATGTCCTTGCCAACAATAAAACATATTCGAAATGGAAGGGCCGAAAGGTCTGTTCTCAATGGCATCAGTGTCCCTCGACGCAGATTTGCGGGCTTGAAGCAAATCTCTTCCGGAGGAAGAATTGTCCGCGGCGGATTTCCCATGTCCGACGCTCAGGACGCACCTCATACCCATCAGGACTTTGGACCCGGTGGCTTTCCGAGGCCTGGCCTTCCTCTCTCCCATGAGACGCTGTAACAAATGGTTGAATGACCGCGTCTGAACATCTGCCTCCTCGGGTGGCAAGCTCATTGACCAACAATGGTTGATCGTGGCTATGACCACCGGGGATAGAAACCTCCGGCTGGGAATTCCATCATCAGACCTCATCACCAAGTTCACCTCAGAAACTGGTGTCTGTTCCACGTCAAGGATCTTTTGATACGTACGTGCTTATTCGGATCATACAAGTTTCATCCGTTTGGTTCGTGCCAACCATTTACAGACTGCTGCTGCAGTCGCAGGAGGAACTATCCCGCACAAAACCACAGAGGCCTAAGCTTTGTGGGTTGTTTAGCTTGTGCCATGTAGCCCCTTGCCATTGGTGTCCCAATAAGCGAGGTCGTGACGCATGATACCTCCACAGTGATCTTGTGCAAGGAAGGTGGCACGATCTCGTACTTGGTCGACCGTGTGGCTGTCTCAAGTGGAGAATAATGCGGCATTTACCCCGTTTTATGTCCCGTCTCCAGCCGTTTACCCCCGGGGATCCAGGGCCCAGGAGCTGGAAGTGGAACTGTAATGACATTCGGTCTCTTAGATTGCGGGGCCCCAGACAGAGAAGCTGGGGCAGGAATGAGCCGGCTGGGCAACGCCCCGGCCCGGGGTCTCGTATAAATCGGACATGCCAACTGCCCTTGCTGGTGCTCCATTTCTTCTTCCATTCGCAACCCTCACCCATTCTACTGCCATGGCTGGTTTCAAAGTGTCCCCCCTTGGCCTCACTGGCAAATCGTTACAACTGGCCCAAATTGTGCTTATCGTGGCCCCAGCATTCATCCTCTTCGGTTACAATCAGTCGGGCCTAGGACCACTGGCCACCCTGGAAAGCTGGGTCAATACCTTTCCGGAGATAGACACGGTCAACACCACAGGTGCACAAGCATCCCATAATTCCACCAGCAAGGGTGTAGTCATTGCATCGTTTCAGATCGGTGCCCTGATCGGGGCCTTCTCCTGCATGTTTATTGGAGACCGCCTGGGCCGCAGGAAGACAGTCTTTGTGGGCTCGGTCCTGACCATCATCGGCCAGGTCTTGCAGGTGGCTGCCTTTGGGTTGATCCAGTTTGTCATCGGCCGCATTCTTCTGGGTGTCGGTGTGGGTCAGTTCAGTATCGCCGTGCCGATCTGGCTGTCAGAGTGCTCGGAAGCCAGCCGGCGAGGCCGTCATGTTATCCTGGCGGGTATTTTCATGTGTCTGGGCTATGCCCTTTGCAACTGGCTGGACTTTGCCTTCACCTTCCTGCCCTACTCAAATCTGCAGTGGCGGATTCCGCTAGTTCTCTCCCTCGCTCCATCTCTTGTCATTTCTATATGTGTCTTTCTCGTTCCGGAATCTCCCCGCTGGCTCGTGCGAGTGAACCGTACAAGTGAGGCTTTGGCCTCCCTTGCCGCATACAAGGGCGTCCCTGAAACCGATGAGGCTGTCACGGCTGAGATTCATGGGATCCAGTCCTCCCTGGAAACCAGTGACAAACAAGTTTCTCTTGTGGATATCCTCATTCGTCGAGACGACCAGGACCGTCTGCTGTACCGGTTTTTACTTTGCATCGTTCTGCAGTTCTTCCAGCAGATGTGTGGCGGCAATCTGATCTCGGTATACGCATCCACGATCTTCGAAGACAATCTGGGCATGTCTGCCAATTTAGCGAAGATCCTAGCGGCCTGCGCCCTCACGTGGAAGTTCCTCTGTTGTTTCATTGCATTTTTCTGCATCGACCGCCTGGGTCGCCGGACCGTCTTCATCATCAGTGGCGCTGGGATGAGTCTTTGCATGGCTGCGTTGGCGGTCACCACCAACTTTGGCACCAGCAACAAAGGGGCATCTATTGCATCCGCCACGTTCATCTTTCTGTTCAACCTATTCTACCCGATCGGCTTCCTCGGAGGCAATTTTCTCTACTGTACTGAAGTGGCGCCCATCCATCTGCGTACTGCCATGAACTCGGCGTCCACCGCGAACCACTGGCTGTGGAATTTCGTGGTGGTCATGATCACGCCGGTAGCATTGGATACGATCGGATACCGCTACTACATCATCTACGCCATAATCTCGGCTGGCATCCCCATCAGCGTCTTCTTCTTCTATCCGGAGACCATGAATCGCAACCTGGAACTGCTAAACCATGTGTTCCGGGACGCTCCCACCCCGTGGAAGATCGTGTCCATGGCCCGTCGCCAGCCTCAAGGAGAGGTCACGGAGGCGGAACTCTTTCAGGGAGACCGAGAGAAGCAAGACGTCGAGTTTGAGGAGAGAGAGCATGTCTAACTGACTTGGTGTAGTCTTGGCGCCCTTCTTATATAGCTATTAAGGGCTTTTTGTGTACATAGGATATCCGGAGCAGGATTTACTTTCTGTCTGATCACTCGACATTATTGACTGACAGATCTCCGGCTTATATCAGAAGGAACGAAAATCATGTCTGCGTTTGTGCTCTAGCCCCATGCAATCATCAGAGATTGGAAGGAATCCCAATATTGCACCTACCCTAGAAGTAAAGGGAAGGCCGTGTGCTGGCAAGAATACTCGCTCTATCCGTGCTCGCCGGTTCTGCGCCGTCCTCCTGGCTGCGAGGAATACCCGGCCGTGATTCACCATCATGCTCCCCTAAGCTTCTATGGAGATGAATCCCCAGCGAATGCTGCGGAATCTGTCGTCTCAAATCCTCATTACTGGGTATCCCGGCAGTGCGGTCCTCTGAACTGCTGGACATCATTGAGCGCCCGTCGGCCGATGCCTCTGCGGAGATGGCTCCTGCGTCGGTCCTGTGCTGTCTTTGAGCTCCCAGAACAGATCCTCCCAACTCAGTTGATTGAGTGTCCTCGAGCGCCGGATCCAATTCTTTTGCTTGGGTCCTCAAGGACCCCTGTTCACAGGTATACTGGTCCTCTTTCGCCTGCCACCAACCCCGGATGTCTGCCGGATCCCGAAGTGGCAGTCGGCCCCATTCCTTCATCCGCGCATGTTTTCCCTGTTTTGCTTCGACCTCTGCCTTCAGTGATGCCTTGACGAGGCCTTTATCATTATGGCCAAGTGAGCGGAGAGTGGCCAGTGCCTCAAACAGAGCTAATTCGGTGTCTGCCAGTCGCTGTTCGAGTTGGGTCAAGTAGCCGAGCGGTAGGCCTCTATCAATTCTTATTAGATTCGTGTAGGGGAATCAACAAGGCTGGGGGGTTGTCTTGTCTAGTAAGTACCTCTTGCCACTCTCTGGATAGTTGCATTTGGATGGTTCTGCACATTGGCTGCATGAGGGCCTAGTACCATATGCCGGTATATATATTAGCCGTGGGCGTTCCCTTCCACGCTGCGTTACGAGGGATCACGAGGGGCTTACAATGTCCGATCACACTAGCATCTTGGTTAATGAGAATGTGGAAGCAGGGGACACCATCCTACCTTGCACTTTCTCTGCCGACATGGTTCGCAAGCGATTGGGCTGAGGGTGTCTTTGTCTGCCAGTGGAAGATGGCGCTCCGTTAGCCGTTTGCAGGATTTTGTTCAGATTACAATAGTGGATCCTACCTGTGCCCATGGTGTGCTACAGTGCTTTGGGGGTGAGTTTGCGGGCTCGAGTTCAGATCAATCTGATAGACATATAATAGTAACTAGTAGAGAGGAGGAAGGTTGCGATGATTCGCCAGCCCACGGGGCTTTCATTACCGGACGGTAATCTTTCCCCCGCGGGCCGACTGTCTTCCGGGGCATCTGTGACGCACGCGATTTCTGACTTCGGAGCTTCATCTTGCTTGAATTCTCCCGTTTGTCTCTGGAGTGGAGAGCCCTTGAACCTAATATCAGTGTGCCCAACTTGAGATGTTAATATCTCATTCATCCAAGTTGGGGAACCTGCCACACCTCAAGATTTAGCAGACCCACTCGCATAAAACGAGACACCCCCCGGACTTGAACACCTCCGAGGAGCGAGTCATGTGATTATTATCGCCTCAGGCAGCCATCTGACCAGGGATGAAGCTCGCTGCCGTCACGGAGAGGTCCAATCTGCCAACACAATGAATTCCATTCCCCCTGCAACAAGAGCTCCGGCAGACAATAATCACGCCTCTGATGATGGCTGTCCGCCCGCCAAACGGCACAAGCGTGCCTCCACGTCGGGGCCCAGCAGGCCATCGCCCCGCGAGCTGGGCATCATGCGCAAGGATGATACATCCGCCAGCTTCCTGGGCAGCTCCAGCGGCATTCACTTTGTCCGCACCGTTTACCAGGCCTTTTCCCGGCGGTCCGCGGACCTACGACAGGCCAGAGCCGGCCACGAAAGCCTCGTGCCCGGAGAAGACGATCACCTCCGCCCCGACCAAGGACGGGCTCGCGCCCCCCTGTGGAGGCCGCAGGAGCTCGACTTCACCAGCCCATCGCTGCCCTTTGAGGCGCTGATCCGGCTGTCGGACAATTACTTTCAGAACTGGCATCCGGTCTACCCTTTTCTGCACGCTCCGTCCATTCTCCGCATGATGGACCGGATGAGTCAAGTCGGCATCCAATTCATCCCCCGATCGGATGCGGCCATCATCCGGTCCATCTTCTCCATTTCCGCCATCGATGCCCGCCAGGTGCAAGCCACCTCGCCTGCGCTGGCAGCTATGCCGGCAGGTTTGGTGTTTCAGACGGCGCATGAAGCTATGGACGGACTACGGGACTTGCTGGACGAGTCTTCCTCCATTGCCTCGCTGCAGGCGGCCTTCGGCATTCAGTTGTTCTTGACCTCCATTCTGCATCTAAATGCAGCCTCCCGGATCGGAGGCTTTGTCACCCGGACGGCCTTCCATCTGGGCCTGCACCGCTGCCCGGCGCGGTATTCATGTTTCACTCGCGACGACGTGGCCATCCGCCGCCGCCTTTTCTGGTCAATCTACTGCCTCGAACGGTATCTGACTCAGGCGTTGGGGGTGCCACTGAGCATCCGGGATGATGATATCGACGTCTGCTATCCAGGGACGGAAAGGCATCAGACAGAGAGAGAGGACGTCATGTCATGCGCGGGTAACGGTCCTCTATATCTGACTGATCGACACCAGCTGACCCATTGCTGAATAGGCGATAGCCGTCTCCAACTTCTCGACCATTTGGCCAAGTTTGCGCGGTTGCGAGGACTCATTTCCGAACTCCGAAACAAGTCCATTATGCACAGTCGCGAGAACATGAGCGATGCGACCGAGGTCAACAGTAAACTGCTACAGTGGTGGAATGAGGTCTACGACGACGTCCACCCGCTGGAACCCGAGCCTGACTCACTACTGAAGCCGGTTCACAGGCTGCTGCTAGTCGTTTCACGACATGAGGCCATCATTGCGTTGCACCGCCCCGTCCTGGCGGCCGATAACCCCACGGCCGAGTACAAGGCAGCCTTTCAGACGTGTATCAACTCTTCCAGATCCTTGCTGACCGCACTCCATGGGTGCCTCAATCCTCGGTCGGATCTGCATGGACATAGTGATAGGCTATGCGCCCCTCTGATATCACCCTCATTTACCTGGATCGTATGGATGTCGTCTTTGATTTTGATCTACGCTGCATGGACCGGCCACTTTCCCAACCAGGGAGCTCTGCGTTACGCCAACATTGGCATTTCGGTGCTCCGCAACATTGCCATGCGAGAACGGGACTGGCCGCAGACGTGCATCGAAGCCATCCAGGATCTGTGCTCTGCTCTGGAGAAGCATGCTCAGGACGGCTGGTCGGACTCTGGCCGGCAAGGTCCATCGGTGGATTCGCCCGTACACGGACATGAAGGCCCGGGACAAGCCGTGACGCCAACCCCATCGACGGATCGATCTATGCGCCCAAGAGAATCACAGACTCTCGACCGACAAGGCTCCTTGCCCATATCGGATGAGTATGGAGTAGAATCCGCCCAGCCGGCTGGGAACGGCATAGCGAGACTGGGTCAGGCCGGAGACTCCGCGCTAAATGATCTCAGCGATTTCGAAATCTCTCCGCTCGACTTTCCCGTAGTTGGGGACCCTAATCTGCTCAACCCGGCAAGTATGGTGTTTGGGGACCAGGCGGGAAATGGCTTTTCCTACGGCATGGGCGAGGGTGTCACCCTTCCGAGCTCGAACGCCTTCTTTAATGAAGGCTGGAGTGTTGCCGATGGGCCATGGCTCATTCACGGAGACTTCTTTGTTGGGTGAAGAGTCCGTCATGCATATGCATGGGGATGCAGCATGGGCCCATTCTGCACGGATCAACCGACGGAGACCGAGTGATCGGCAGTGGCAGTGGGGATTGCCTCGGTTGCCCCTGAGCAGTGACAGCCCCCGCCGATCGCACGTGCACCACTAACGCTTCCGCTGGTCTCCAGCCAGTTGTTTTGTGAGGAATCACTTGCATGAATAAATGAAGACAGGCCTCTCCGTGGTTGACAGTTCCAAGCAGAGCTGCGGGCGGGGGCACGTTGCAAGGACATGATAACCCTATCCAGCATCGCCTCCGAGACGTCACAAGAACCGATAATGCAATGCCCCACCGTCCTCACACGTGCAGCAGATGGGCGCATTTCTTGGTCATGCTGCAGTGCGCATTCCATGGGCGATGGGTCGTCCGGAGGATCCGGACAGGTTAAATAATTCTCATCGCCCTCGTTGCTTCTCCTGGACGACCTGCGGTATCGGTCTAGCTCGCCACAGCCCCAGCTCTTCAGAATGTCCAGGCTCCTCACCTTGAGCAAGGTGCTGCCCGTCCTTGCTGCGGGCGCCCTGGCCGTTGACTATCCTACCATCCCCAAGGACCTAACCAATCCGTACCAGCAGCGTTTGGCCATCTACGGGCCCAATGGTAAGATCCCGTCTCTGTTCTCGCGGACAGCACTGACCAATTGTACCGTGCAGAGGTCTCCGTGGGTTGGAACACTTACGAGAAGCTGAACCAGAGCTGTGTCCACTATGGCACCTCGAGTGATAAGCTCGATTCAGAGGCCTGCTCAACCAAGTCAACCACTTACTCGACTTCCCGGACCTACTCCAATGTTGTGACCCTGACCGGGCTCAGCCCAGCCACAACCTACTATTACAAGATCGAGTCGGGCAACTCCAGCGTGGAGCAGTTTCTGAGCCCGCGCACACCCGGTGACACCACACCTTTCAACATGGACGTTGTAATTGACCTGGGGGTGTACGGCAAAGATGGCTACACGCTCTCCTCCCGCAAGGCCAAGAAGTCCGACATCCCTCACGTCGAACCCGACCTCAACCACACCACCATCGGCCGCCTGGCGGATACAATTAATGACTACGAGCTGGTCATCCACCCAGGTGATTTTGCGTACGCCGACGACTGGTATCTCGACATCGACAACTTGCTCTCCGGTAGTGAAGCCTACCAATCCATTCTCGAACGTTTCTACGACCAACTGGCCCCTATCGCCGGAAACAGACTTTACATGCCGGGCCCAGGAAACCACGAAGCAGACTGCACCGAAATCCCCTTCACATCCGGCCTCTGCCCCGAAGGCCAGCGCAATTTCACCGACTTTCTGCATCGCTTCGAGGGTACCGTGCCCACGGCCTTTCCCTCGCAATCCACCAACACCACTGCCCAGGCCCTCGCTGAGACGGCCCGCAGCCTCGCCGTGCCACCCTTCTGGTACTCGTTCGAGTACGGCATGGTGCATGTCGCCATGATCGATACCGAGACCGACTTCAAGGATGCCCCCGATGGCACGGATGGCTCTGCTGATCTGGACACGGGCCCGTTCGGCCGTCTCAACCAGCAGCTGCAGTTCCTCGAGGCCGATCTGGCCAGCGTGGACCGGACTGTGACGCCCTGGGTGGTAGTAGCCGGCCATCGCCCCTGGTACACGACTGGCGACGACAACGCCTGCGATGTCTGCCAGGAGGCTTTTGAGAGCCTGTTCTACAAGTACGGGGTCGACCTGGGTGTCTTTGGCCACGTCCATAACTCACAGCGGTTCCAGCCGGTGGTTAACGGCACCGCCGACCCCAACGGTCTCAACAACCCCAAGGCTCCGATGTACATTATTGCGGGTGGTGCCGGCAACATCGAGGGGTTGAGCTCCGTGGGAACGGAGCCTTCGTATACGGCTTTTGCTTATGCGGATGATTACAGTTATGCCACCCTGCGGTTTCTGAATGAGACTTCGCTGCAGGTCGACTTTATCCGCTCCACCACGGGCGAGACCCTGGACTCGAGTGTGTTGTACAAGGATCACACTACTCAGTTTGTGGTTCAGTAGATGGGTGATGGGTGGAATAGAGAGAATAGTACTATGTTGAACGTAACTCTCCATCTGTTCTGCAGATAAACGCGATATATCGTTTTCAGTCTACTGGTTAGAGCTCTGACATAAAGTGTATGCTAGATAATATGTCATAATATACCCGCTTGACAAACGTCCGTAACCCATCCTATCTCTTTGCATCTCGATCAAGACATTCAGGCCTATGCGTACGTTACCACATCAACGATCCTCCTCTCACTATCTAGAATCACCCGCAGCTGCCCCTTGCGCGCCTGCTCCTCCGCCAACAGAGACTTGAAAATCCCCGTCCGCACGGAGTCCAGATACAGCTCATATGCCGGCATATAACCCTTCACAAAAGCCAGCACCTCATCATCGGTCATTCCTTCATTCTTGGCCTGAAGCAGGGCATGTTCCTGTTGCAACCTCCAGCGATAGACATTTGCCAAATCATCTGTATCCAGGTGAAGGAGAAAGTCCAGATGGCGAGGACCCAGAAACAAGTCACAATAAGCTTTCAGATTCTCATTGATCTGGAGATGACTTGAAAGTGGATGATCCCGCAATGTCCTCGTCGACAACCGTGCATCCTCTTCCCCTGCAGGCTGATGTTGTCTCGCTTCTTCCCACTTCCTCTCGACAGTGGCTTCGTCCAGGGGCTGGAACCCGACGCACCATCCTTCCAGCACCAGCACGTCAATGCCAGAGGACTGAGAAACGTGGACGCGCTCCCAGCTCTCTCTAGGTACGCGATCGCCTTCGCCGTGGAATTGACTCTTATCAAATGCGGGGATGAGAATTTCTGAGGGTGCGTCTGTTGGTCGAGATAGGCTGTCGAGGAATTCTCGTGCCAGAACGGTATCGTGAGTCCCGGGCTGTCCGCGCATTTGGAGGAGCTTATTGTCTGCGTTTTCTTCGCGGACTCTCACTAGCCCATCGTGGGGGAGGTAGAAATCGTCGAGGGAAACATTGATGGTTCGGAAATTGTACTTGTCGTTTAACAGACGCACTAGCTCTGTCGTCCAGGTGGTTTTACCGCTGCCTTGCAGGCCGGTGAGGGCTAGGATGAATGGTGCTCGGCCGCTTTGCGCTTGACGCTGTCTGTCGACATGTTGTTGGATATGTGGTAGGGCATGGCCTAATACTCGGTCGATGTCGTGGGATGGGATCATGGTGTGTCGTCGTTGGGGCGTTGCGCTGTATTCGGACGAAGGTAAACACCGGGACATGAACTGGAACATCAATGGCGAGTCATCATCAATAACCTGGTTGCGAGTTGCCACCATATCCAGGGAGATCATAGTCCTGTTGTTGTTGACCCCGGCCGGAGGTGTCTTTGTCCGGGCAGCCACCGGGGGTTTCTTCCTCCGCCGGCGCCCTCAACCGAGGCCAGCATCGCCAATCAACACCGGCCTGAGTGGCTCCAGCGCGTCATCCCCTCCTCTTCATCGCGCGGGGGAAAGACAATCGGATCCTATATATATACTCGGAAGCACGGCGTCATTCATCTCCCTCAACACAATCACACTACAGTCTACAACAATGTCTCCATCACGCTCTTCCACCATCCCAACTTACAGCATCGCCTCCATCCCCGCCGATGGAATCGGTCCCGAGGTCATCGAGGCCGGTATCACGGCGCTGAATGCCTTGGCTGATACCCTCAACACCTTCAAGCTCGACTTCACCCACTACGACTGGAGCTCCGAGACCTTCAAGAAAACCGGCAAATACATTCCCGATGGCGGTTTGGACAAGCTGAAGAAGCACGACGCCATTCTCTTCGGCGCTGTCGGTGCACCCGGTACATATCCCATCCCACCTCCAACCCCTAATCCACAAGAACCAACTAACAGACAAACAGACGTCCCCGACCACATCTCCCTCTGGGGTTTGCGCCTCGCCATCTGCCAACCCCTCCAACAATACGCCAACGTCCGTCCCACCAAGATCTTCCGCGGTACTCAATCGCCCCTGCGCAACTGCAAGTCCGGTGATCTGGACTGGGTCATTGTTCGCGAGAACAGCGAGGGCGAGTATGCCGGCCAAGGAGGTCGCTCTCATCAAGGCCGTCCCTGGGAAATCGGCACCGAGACCGCCATCTTCTCCCGCCACGGCGTGGAACGCATCATGCGGTTCGCATTCGAGACCGCCCAGCAACGGCCCCGTAAGCTCTTGACCGTCGTCACGAAGAGTAACGCCCAGCGCAACGGCATGGTGCTCTGGGATGAAGTCGCCAAGGAGGTGTCCCAGGATTTCCCCGATGTCACTTGGGATAAGATGCTCGTGGATGCCATGACTACCCGTATGGTCTTGAAACCGGAGACTATTGACACGATTGTTGCCACCAACTTGGTATGTACCACCCCTGGCCCTGTCGTGGGTACTGGAACCATGCGGGATGCTGATTATTGCCAGCACGCCGATATCCTCTCCGATTTGGCCGCCGCTCTGGCCGGTTCGATTGGTATTGCCCCTACCTCTAACCTGGACCCTACCCGCCAACACCCCAGTATGTTCGAGCCTATTCACGGCTCTGCGTTTGATATCACTGGCATGGGCATTGCCAACCCCGTTGGGACCTTTTGGACGGCCGTCGAGATGCTGAACTGGCTGGGTGAGAAGGATGCTGCGAACACGCTGCTCGAGTGTGTGGAGAATGTCTGCGAACAGGGAGTTTTGACCAGGGATTTGGGTGGTCAGGCGAATACTAAGGAGGTTACGGCTGCAGTGGTGGCGGAAATTCAGAAGGTGGTTAGGAAATAGGTTATGGGCTTGTGTTATAGAATAGGAAATAGATGAATATACGCATTGTTTGATAATTAGTTGCTTGTTCTGTGTCACCTGCGTTTGATGTTCATGTTAGAAGAATAACGAATCACAACGTGATAAAACAAGCTATATAGAAAACAGAATACCCATGTCTTTAGACCTGGTTGATGCTGGGAGCCTAGCATCCTGATTCATGTTTACCTCCAACCGAGAAAATTAGGGCTACCCCGGTTTACTCCCTCCGGTATCCCTCACCGGCAGGAGGCCCAATCTTGAATACCTACCCCCCAGTAATAGAAGCAGAGCCCTGAAGCAATTATAGCACATCGACTCCAGGAACAATGTGGCTTATAGAATGCCCTAAAACACTATGCGAAGGAAGCACAAGGGTAGCAATGGAGGGACTGAGGTCATCGCTACTTAGTACTTAGTTATCTATGAGGAATATATGAAAAGGGGTATGAGTATAGTAGCTGGAATAGTACGGCAGTTAATAGAATTTGTTGGTATAACTCCAGCGGTGAGTGGGAAATGGGTTTTTTCCCTGTAGTATACATATTTTTTTTTGTGGCTTGGCAGCGACTTAGGAAGGGCTCCGACAAATGAGCTATATAGATTCATCCAATTAGAATAATTAAAGGCAATGATCACATCACCATCTAGACACGGTTAGTAAAATAATGATACCCCCTATCCAACATCCCCTTGGCCCTTCGGGTCTGTTCATCCAGATCCTCTACCGGTAAGCCCAAGACCTCATTATCCAATCCCACCCGATGTTCATGATCTCCATCGCCATTGGGGAAAAAACACCCTCGAATACATGGCTAGCAGAAACCCAGCCCGATCTCCATTCCTCATCATCTCCAGTCCTCTCTCGTATCGTTCCTTCGACCCTTCTTGTACTACTGTCCACTGTTCCTCATCGTCACCGGTAACCCTCTTCCAACTCTCAAACATATCTCTCTGGCTGAGCAAGAAACTGGATATATACGCCGGTTTATTCGACCACCGGCTCAGCGTCACCTCTTTATCATGCTCATTTTCGGGGAAAAGCTTCAAGCTCAGCAGCGCAGCCACTGCCCGTCCGCACTGCGTCTGCGTGCTTACATTGATCTTCGTATTCCCGTCATCGTTCAACGTGAGTTTCTTCTCCGTGAAATCGAACCCGAATCCTCCAGACCCGAGGAGAAGACTGTGTTCATACCAAAAGCCGCAGACTAGAGCTGTCCAGGTGAGGCCCTTGGATTCGATTTCGTTGAGGGCATTGCGTAGCCGTTCCCAGTGTATCCCGCTGTTGACGAACGGCTGGTGCATGACGTCGCAGCCCCAGACGTTGGGCATGACATATTTCACTCCGGCGGTGACGGCGGCTTGGATGAGTTTGGATTGTGTGTCCGGGGGTGCTTGCACGGAGAGGGTGATGATTAGGCAGTCTTGGTTGAGGAGGGCGTTGGAGAGGCTGTCGGGGGAGTTGTAGTCCACTGGGATGGAATGGACGCCGGAGGGGAGAGGGCTTTGACTGCCCGCCCGGGTTAGGGCCGTGATGGTGTGTTTGCCTGTTTGAAGGAGGGCTTGAGTGATGGGTTGTCCGACGGAGCCACCGGCCTGGGGGGGTTAGTTGGATAATGTTACTAGGAGGGGAGGGGGCGTACTCCAACAATGGCGATGCGTTGGATACGGTTGGTGAACCCGGTGGGTTGGTCTTTGGCGTACATTGGTGCCATTGTTAAAGGTAGGATTAAATTTCTCAGTAAGAGGTATGGTATATTCTCTTGGGAGCTATCTGACCCTGCTTGCTGTCATCTCGGTGTTTTTATAGCAGGAAGATCCCTCGGGGTTAGGACTGCTATCTCCGTCCTCGAGCCTGGAAATTTGCCGGAGTTAAGGCCGTCCATGGTTGGCTTGGAATCATGCTGCAGGTAATTGACGGGGTATCTAGTCGCCGTGTTTTCGTTCATTTGTCATGCAGTAGGAATCGGGGCGGTGTTCGGACTCGGAGCAGGCATTGAATGTCCGATATGCCGAGCCTTGATTAGTGGTGAGACTGAAGAAATATATGTCTCAGATTGTGACGTTGTTCCGAGCCTCTGACACTGTGAACGGGCACTCTGGGGAAGGAGGATAAGTTGGCAGTCAAATGTACGCGTTGTTCAACTTGGCACAAGGAGAGCAATTATCACAGATCATGAATCGATATACGAGTATAGCAGCTGGCGAGAAACCAGAAAGCGGGCGGCATCAGGTGACCGAGGCACGGGAGGCACGTGCCTTGGCGCCGGGTGGTCCCGGTCCGGTCTTCCCCACCATCTCTAGGCTCCCTATTCTGCCACCGCCAAATTGAACACTTTTCGACCAAAGTTTTTCAGGCCTGTACACTGTTAAATCCGCTTATTTCCGGTGTTTTTGATGCGAGGTTCTCTAGGTTCTGCCACAGGAGCGGTAGAAAAGGCGGTCGGGAGTGTATCTATTCTCTACTCCGTCCATTCGCGTCCCGTTGTATTGATGGTTCTACACATGTTGTCTCTGCATTATTCAATCCATTTCCTAGGTCTTCTAATTAGATCCCGTAGAACGGCCCTTCAAGGTCAATCGATTAATCAAGCGCAATATCCCTCCTCATGCTCTTTTTTTAAACTCAGTTTCCGGTATTCTTTGCAGTAGTAGGATGAAAAATTATTCTATCAAGACACGAACGTTTTTCGGCTCTTTACGGCCTCGAACTTTTCGCTTTCACAAGCTTGAGAAACCACAGCACGCGAGCGCTTCGACCAAATGTGTGCAACAATCAGATGTTACTGTTGATGGTGAACCTTTCCGGTACACTTCTGGAAGATGGATGTAAGTGCTTTTGACACCATCGCTTTGTTCGAAGGCTGACTTTTGGAAGCTTCAATGAACATCTCCGTCTTGCAGAACGATTCCTTGAGTTTGATGTGTCCGCCCTTCAAAATGTTATTTCTGCTGCATCTCGCCATTCGATATCCGATCTTAGAGCCTTTAGAAAACTATCAGAAGGCGGATTCAACCGCGTTTTTGAGGCCACTTTCAGCGATGGGAAACATGTCATTGCGCGACTGCCATACCCAAGTACAGTACCAGAACACTATACTGTAGCGAGCGAAGCGGCAACTTTAGACTATCTTCGTCTGCATGGTATTTTCACCCCAGAGGTGTATGCGTGGTGTTCGACGAAGGCAAATCCTGTTGGAACTGAGTATATCATTATGGAAAAGTTGGATGGTATCCCACTCGGCGACAAATGGTTCACATTGACACCAAAGGAACAACACAAGGTCATGAATCAGATAATTGAATGGGAGGCGCGATTGATGTCGCTGCAGTTTCCTGCGTCTGGAAGTCTCTACTATACTAAAGACCTTTCATCTGAGAGCAGGGTACAACTCGCTGAACCCAACGGTATGGCGTTCTGCATAGGACCGGCAGCTCACTATAGCTGGTGGCATGACAAAAGGGATCTATTGAATATCGATCGCGGCCCTTGTGAGTGGACTCGTCGAGGATTGTATCATCGACATTGCTAACGACTTAAGGGCTTTCATCAATGGAGGTTTTCCGAGCAGCTGGCGAGCGTGAACTGGCCTGGACGAAAGCCTATGCAAAGCCTCGCTTGTCTTATGACCGACTATATAGGGAAACCTATCATTTTAAACCTCTATCACCCGATAGTCACATCACAGATCTCACCAACTATCTTAAAATGATACCCTGCTTAGGGTATGCAAGCGACTCAACTTTGAATCGACCTGTCATGCGCCACCCAGACCTTCAGCCAAACAATATTCTCGTTTCCGATGCCAATGACATACTTGGAATTATAGATTGGCAGCATTGTTCTATTCTCCCTCTCGGTATTGCTGCTGGAATACCAGCTCACTTTCAGAATTATGGTGATCCCGAATCAGAGATGCTGAAACAACCTCAGCTTAGTGTACCTCCAGATTATGACTCTTTGCCTAAATACGAGCAAGCATCGTTACTAGAGACTCGGCGCAAACGAATGATACATTTTCTGTATGCTGCCTTGACCAAAAGACTAAATAAAGAGCATTATGATGCCATCTTCGATCAGTCTGTTATCCTCCGCCAACGACTCTTCAAGAACGCCGGTACGCCCTGGGAGGGAGACTCGATATCGCTGCGAGCAGAACTCATTCGCTCGATACAGAATTGGGCGACAATTACCCAGACCACCGATCCAAATCAAAGTAAGAGCGTTCCTCCGGCCACTCCAGTGGATTATTCGGAGGAGACTGTCCGGGAAACCCTTGATTTGGATGCTCGTCAAAAAGAAGCTGATATCGCAATGGAACAAATGCGAGATGCCTTAGGTGTTGATATTTTGGGTTGGGTACCCAATGATGATTATGATGCTGTTAAAGGAGTGGCCCATGACATGAAGACCAAAATGCTCCAAGCGGCTGAGACCCCAGAAGATATTATCGGAGTCCGAGATCATTTTCCTTTTGATGACTTCGATGAAGCTGCCTGAGGAATTTTTCAAATTACTTCATTATTTTTCGTCTATTCATCGACAATACTATTGTTCGTGACGGCACCAATGGCCAACATGTTCCAACCTGTCATTTTGTCATTGTGTCTCATCACATCACAAAAACCACCTCACTCCTCCTTCCCCTATCCTTCCCCCTCTACAACTCCCTCTCAAACCTCTCCCCCAACACCCGTTCAACCCATCCTTCCACCTCCCTCTCCAATTCCACGTCCGCCTTCCCAAGCACCCCCCGTCTCATAAACCGCCTCCTCCCTATATTGATATCCCGGTTTCCACATGGTAAAATCAGGGTCAACAAGCAACGAGGCGGGCTTGCGCGTGTACCTTCAAACAGTATCTAGCTAACTCTCGCGGCCACTGGCATTTACTGGACATGGTTGAGGATAGGAAAGGAGTTAAGGTATACTTGGCTTATTGAAATATAATTACAATTTCAATCAGTTTCAACCATGAATTCAATAGATTTCTAATCCGATCTGGAGCCAAATAGCCAAGGTTGGTCAGTAGATGTTTTTCCCGCATGAAAATGAAGTTGAAGACTCTTGTAAAATCACAATCTATAGCAATAATAAAGAAACAGGCTGCCGATACAATCAATTTCGAAAATAATGAATAGATAAATCAAAATAAATAAATCAACTACTCACACCTCCCTGCGTGAGTCAATGCAATCATGTACGCCTAATCTTGATAGAGTGATATATCTAAAAAGATCCTATACTCCTATTTAAGAAGCAGCCTGTATTTTCCTTTTCATGTTTTTCACCCTTTTTTTTTTTTTTTTCCCTTTTAGTCTTATCAGGAGGTTCTTCTCTGCGGAAAAAATATAGTGCGCTTTAAGATAGGATGGATCCACCAGGTGACCGGGGGTTCCAGTTTCCTTCCCCACCAACTCACTACTACCTACTACTTACTCCGTACATACGCGTCGCATTTCTCCCTTCACTCAATCGCATTGATGGTTCGATTCAAGCTATCTCTGCACACAGTCTCCCCCTCTCTTACTCAGTCTCTCGCATGGCTGCTGCCACTAGCTGCGACCCGCTCGCTGCCTGCCGGGCCAACTGCACAATGGCCGAGTCGCCCAGCAGATCGGCCGACGCGACCGTGGCCCCGACCTCCCGCTGAAACCACGCCTTCAAATCCACCGTGACCAGCGAATCCACCCCGTACGATGCCAGCGACCGTTGCGCATCAATTTCCTTCGCCGACAACGCCATGATCCGCGCCAATTTGTACACAATCGCCCGAGTCACCAATTCTACCGCGTCCTCCATCGACGTCGCCCCCCGTAGCCCCTGCGCAATCGGGGCCTCGGCTACTTCCTCGGCCGTCTGGGATGCGCCCGCGATCGCGCGCAGTGGTGAAAACAACGGGTATGCCATGAAACCTGGTAGGGGGATGGACTGGCGGTGGAAGTCCCGCGCTGATCGGACCCCGGCCACCGTGTGACATGTCCCTGGACTCTGTGCGGCGCCCCAGCTCGGATCCATGTGGTATTCCAGGATGGCAAGCAGGAGGTCCTCGGATATCGCCCCATAGGAGAGTGCAATGGGGAGCCGGTCCTGGTTCTCCGCCACCCAGCCCACGCTGAGCACGCTGCCGAGACTGATCGAGGTGGCCGGGTAGCCGCGGGACACTAGCTGAGCGGCGAAGGCATCCAAGAATGCGTTGGCAGCGGAATAGTTGGCCTGGCCGCGGTTACCAATGATTCCTGCCGAGGAGGAGAGCATGACGAAGAAATCCAAGTTGGACTTGACATTCGAGAGAGCGGAGGCGACGTGGATGGTTCCTTGGACCTTCGGGGTGATGGCGTTGAGAAACTGAGCGTGGGTCATATTCGAGAGCATGGAGTCCTGTCATTGTTAGTATCAGATCCAACTCAACCCGGGTCTGGTCTCCTACCTCAAGAACCATGGAACATTGCAGGCAGCCCCGAATCGGCGGCATCGACTTTTGACACCGTTGGAGGGCATCCTCAACGGCAATCCCATCCGTGACATCACATACAGTGTCGGACACGCCGCACCCAGCATCCAGCAGATCCGCACAAAGTTGCTTGGCGGGGACACTGCTCGCTCCGGATCGTGACAAGAAGATAAAGTTCTTGGCCCCCCGGGTCAGCATCCAGCGCACCACACTTCTTCCGATGCCTCCGAACCCGCCGATCAGGAGGTACGATGCACAGGGGTCGAATTTATAGTCGCCTAGGGGCTTCATTGCAACCTGGTCTTGGTCAGCGGACCCGCATTATCAGGGACAAAGGAAGGCCTTACAGGGATAGAGTCGTTAGCTCGCGGTTCAAGGGCCCAGGGACCGGCGTTCCCTTGCCGGATCTGGGACAAGACCGTTTGAAGTTCGGAGTATCCAGCTCGGACTGGGATAATGGGCCGAATGGCGCGACTGGTCAGGAGCTGGGAAATGGTTCGCAGGGTTCCATGTAAGGCTTTGGGCCTCGCCTGCACCAACTCTTTGATGCTCACCGTGGCGTAGGTCCGGTTCGTAGGGCCGGCGGGTCCGGCAGGGAGGGACCCTTGGCCATAGAGGTCAACAAGGCGGCCGAAAGGCGAGAGACAGGCCAGGTCTTTCTTCTGCAGGCTCTCGCGGGTGATGTTGAAGAAGACGTCCACACTTCGGGTTGCGTCCCTGTTGGCAAGCTGTTGAGCGAACGAGGCGCCGTCCAGAATGTGGCTTCGCTCCACCCCGTAGTCAATAAGGGCTTGCCTCTGGGCATCCGTCCTCACCGTAGCATAGACCGTGGCACCGAGCATGCACGCGAACTGCACCGCCGCCTGGCCAGTGGCCGTGCCAGCGTTATGAACCAGAATGATTTCTTGTGGCCCCAGCCGGGCGACGTTTACAAGGCCATGATATGCCGTCGCAAACGGCAATGGAAGCGTCGCGGCATCCGCCAGGCTGATACCCTCTGGGACCTTGGCTACCGCCGAGGAATGCGTGCGCAGGAAGGTTTGGACGGAACCACTGGGGCCGGTGCGCAGAGCCATGACCTGATCGCCGACCTGGATGTCCTGGACGGCAAGCCCGACCTCAACAACCACTCCAGCCCCCTGGCTACCGGTGCTGTCGCCCGGGATCAAGCGAGTCATGTCGTCGGCATCCGACTCATCCAAGCCGACGGCACAGATCTGGATCTTCACTTCGTCGGGAAGGAGTGGCTCGTCCACCCGTTGATCCTCGACGAAATGGAACCCATTGGGCTGATGGGGTCCGATCGAAGTCAGCTTCACCGGATGATGGACGGCCTCGAGGGCCACCTGCTTGGACCGGGGCCGAGAACTCGACGCGATGCACTCGTTGATGCCGGTGGCCGGGAACAGTCGATTGGTGAGCAGCACACTGCCTTCTAGGCGCAACTCGGCGTTCCGAGGCACGAGCTCGTGGGAGAGGAAGGCGTGGTCGCAAACCCGGATCATTTGGAAAGCCGCCGCAGACGCACTGCGAACCGGTTGGGAAATCCCCAACAGGATGAAATTGACGCCGTCGTGGTCCCGCTCCCATCGGGCAGTCCGGACCAGCCCACTGGCCATGGCCGATTTGGGGGTTTCGTCTGCGTCGCAGGTGACCCAGAGCAGTCGGTGGAATGCGGTCAGGAGAAAGCTGATTCGGTCGTACTCGTGGGCCGAGAGCTCCGACAGGTCGAGCCCCTGGTAGCCGACCAGAACGAGGCCAATGGTGTTGATGTGGTCATGGGAGACGTCGGCGAGGTCGACCAGAGACGCGGTACAGCTAGAGGGAAGGCCCCGGGCGACCTGGGACGCGAGTTCGTACTGGCCGCCATAGCTGGACAAGTAGATGATGCTGCAGACATGCTGGGTGGCAGGTGGCTCTCGCACCCGCGAAGCCACAAAGGCGGTCATTTCGTTGAGGCCCTGGTCGCTGTCGTCTATCAGAAGCCGGGGCTGGAGACCGGCATTCTGCAACTCCTGGTTCCATTGGTCCTTGGTGACGAGCGGATTGGTCTCTCGATAGGGCTCGACACTGCGCCACCAGCCTGGGAGAAGCCCGAATGCTAGAGGGGAGCACATAAGATCAGGCTGGATGTTCTCGATCACAATCAGATCTCCGCCTCTGCAATCAAGTTAGCAATCACGTCCATCCAGAGCGGCGCACACTCACTCTTTCAGCAATCCTCGGATGTGGTTCAAAGAGGTGTTCAAATCGGCCGTGGCATGGAGAACCTGTTATCTTAGCATCTGGTCATCCGACCACTCCAGGAAGACATACATGTGTTGCGATGACCAGGTCATACGATCCCATCTCGAACCCCTGGTCAGCGGGATCCAGCTCGATATTCAGCACCTTGGGACGGAGGATGTCGGCCCAATCGTGGAACCGGGCGCGGGCCTTCTCGAAGAACGCGGCCGAAATATCGGTGAAATGGTACGTGGAGACCGATGAGACCAGGCCCCCGCCATCCTGTCTCTCGGTCGGCTTCAAACTATCGAGGATTACCTTGGTCGCACTTCCAGTTCCGGCACCCACTTCAAGGACTTTGATTCCAGTCTGTGCGTGCGCCAGGCAGTGCAGGTATCCGGCCACCGACGGAGCGATCTGCCCAGGAAGACCCTCTTCGTATGTCCGATCCATGAGGTTGTCGGGACCGAACATGACTTCTAGGCAGTCGATCTTTTGCTCCAGGATGGGCACCATCTGGGTCCCGACTCGCACGAGAAGCTCCCCTCGCGCGCTCTGCTGGGCGACTCGTGCGAGAAGGTCCCGCCGACGATCGGGGCTGGCCCGGATGCCCTCCAGCAGGGCCTTGTCAAGCAGGGGTACTGTTCCATCAGCAATCGATCGGCATTCCTTCTCCATCCATTTCATAAATGCCTCGTGATGCTGCGGCAGAGAGGGGAGCCCGCTCCGAGCTATATATTCCATGGTATCAAGCAGGAAGGTCGCAGATGCCAGCTGGAATCCCTCGTGCTCGTCCAACGTTGGCAGATGCTGCGCCACGTACATGGATGCGGAATCTCGAAGCGCGTCCACCGATGTGAGAAGCTTCACGTCGGGCTTCCACTTGACGACGTAGAAGGACTCGGCATCGGAAGCGTCTTCACTCGGTGGCAACTGTACAAGATCGAGCCCCGTAATCTGAATCTGCTGACTACCGGTGTTGCCTGTGATGGTAACGTCTGATCTCCAAGTCGTCGCCGAAGCACGCTGTGTCCTGGCAGAGGCCTCAAAGCCACGAACGCCGGTATCCTGTGGGCTTAATACCAACACGTCTTCGACATACGTGGTCACCATTGGGCCTTGCGAAGATTTGCAGAGATGCAGAAGGGCATGCAGGATGCTTTCAAACGTGCATGGGTGCAGCGAATAATGGTCGTGAGCCTGACAGGGAATGGCGGGAGCCGTGATCGTGGCAGTGCAGGCGTGGCGATCAGGGGACAGCTTCATCTCTTCGATGTTTCTCAGGTATTCTCCAAAGTCCATGCCGGCGGTGGTAAAGCTGCTGTACATCTGGGTGATGTCAACCGGCTCGGTACACTTTTCTCGAAGAGCGTTCTTGGGATGTGGTTCATGCGGTCCGGTTTCGACTCGAACTGAGCCCACGCAGTGCTCGGTCCAGGTCTTCTCTGCACTGTCATACGACACAATCCGGAAGGCCGACCAATCCGTGCCGGAATTGGCATGCATCTTCATTGGGTATATGGAGAATTGGATTTCCACGCCAGTCGCGCTGTCCGGAATTGGCAAAGGTGCCAGCATCGATACATTTCCCAGCCTGACTCCGCTGATGGCTGTGTTACCGGCGCGTTGAATTGCCGCCTCGATCGCCATGAGCAGGTACGCCACACCAGGGAAGTGAATTTTGCCGCTCATCTGCGAGGGTTAGCTTGGCTCAAAGCAGACGGAAGGGAATCTCACCCTGTTCATTCGCAGCCAGGGGAGGTCGTCCGGTCTTAGAACATTGCGCCATCGCTGCTCGACGGGGTTGGTGTCTTCGACGGGCACCCCCAGGAGCTCGTGCCGTTTGTAGGTCGGGAACTTGGTCTGCTCGACCCGGCGAGATGTTCCACGCATCGATCGCGAATGATCGAAGGCGTAGCCGGGAAGACTGGTTAGTAGTCGGGGTGTTTTCTTCGATCCGGCACGACGATCGTTGATGGCGGCCAGACTGATCTCGTGTCCAGAACAGACGAGCGTACCAAAGGTGCGCAGGATGGTCGAGCCATCAGTCTCGTACCGTTTCAACAAGCTGCCGTATTGACTTGATTGAAACTCGGGAACATCTGCGAAGGTTTCCTTGATGGCAGTGCGCAGGGTCGAGTGCGGTCCGATCTCGATCAGGGCATCTTCCCGACTGCCCATTGCACTGGGATCGTCCATGGATGCCAGCAAGGCTGCGGAGAACCGCACCGGGGAGACCAGATTGTCCACCCAATACGACGGCTGCTGCGCTTCCCCGGCCGTAACTGCGCGTCCTGTCACCGAGGAGACCATCTTAATCCCAGCGTCTGTGTGGATCTTGTCGCCAAAGTCGAGGTCGCCGAGCAGATCCAAATACTCCGGCGCAGCGTCTCGCATGTAGTCGGAGTGATACGCGACTTTGACCGGTAGTAAGCGGTTAAGCGCGCCGACGTCATCTAATTCCAGCTTTGCACGCATAATATCTTCATATCGGCCGGTGAGCGTGAGATTCTTCGGACTATTGTAGCAGCCAACCTTGACAGCCGTGGACTGCCCCTTGTTGATGCGTGCGACGAGTCGCTCCAGTTGCGTGACGGGCATCGCCGCGGCCAGCATGCGCCCCTGACCATCGGTGCGGCGAGAACACACCTGGCCCCGGCAAAAGGCCACTTTCCAGGCGGCCTGGCGGGAGATCTGGCCAGCGCAATATGCCGCGGCAATCTCCCCCGAGGAGTGCCCGACTACCGTCTGTGGAGTGACGTTCCAGCTGGCTAGAAGGTCCACCAGGGCGACTTGGACCGCGACGCACGAGGACTGGGCGAAGGTGGGCTCGTCCAGTTCGCCTGATTCCGAGGCGATGCGCTCTACGGTATACTCGTTAGCTGAATCTATCAACGGAGAGGATGGTAGCATACCATATAGATCCCAGCCACTCCCGAGATATTTCATGAAGGTGGATGTCTCTTGGATTCGCCGCCGGAACAGCGGATACACCAGCAGATCAGAAGCCATACCCGCCCAATTGGCCCCCTGGCCGGTGAAGATGAAACGGACGACTTTTTCGGCCGGGGACTGACGGATGGGACGTGTGTTCTGCAGTGAGCTACGCAAGCTGTCGATGCTATCGGCCACGTGGTAGCTGCGCCAGTCGAACCGGGTTCTTTTGTCGTTCAATGTGTGGCACAGGTCATTCAGGAGCCTTTCCTCTCCATCTGAGTCTGTGATTGCCCGCATAGACTCAAGATGCGATGCCAGTGAAGCCGCATTCCGCTGGATGCCAGCCTCATCAAATGCCGAAATGATAAACAGGCGGTTCACCGATGATGCCTGGGGTGGTTGAGCCCCATTCACAGCCGGCTTCATAACTGAAGGGACCATGGCTTTTGTCGTAAATTCTGGCAGCTGCAAGGCACCCGGCAGTTGCTGGCCGAATAGATCGCTGAAGAACCCTTCCACATCTTCAAGCACGACGTGTGCATTCGTGCCGCCAAAGCCAAACGAATTGATGGATGCCCGTCGAACGTCCTCTCTCGGCCAGGGCGTTGCCTCTTTCGCAAACTTCAGATCAGGACGCTGGGGAATCCGGGGATTCAGTGTTTGTAACCCTGCCACAGGAGGGATTGTCTTCGACTCCACCGCCATGGTCGCCGATATCAACCCAGCCATTCCGGCGCCGCCTTCCAGATGCCCGACAACAGACTTTACGGATCCGACATAAAGCGGGGATTCTCGCGAAACCCCCAACGCGGCCGAAATTGCCTGTACCTCCAGGGGGTCTCCGACCGGCGTGCCGGTTCCATGGGCCTCGACGTACCCTGTACGGGATGGGTCCAAGTCGGCGGCCTTGTAGACCTCACGGATGAGTCGTTCCTGTGCGGTGGGGCTAGGGACGGTGATGCCGGGGGTGCGGCCGTCTTGGTTCGACCCGGTGTTGCGGACAATGGCCCGAATGCGGTTCCCATCGCGAAGTGCAGCGTGGAGTGGCTTGATGATTACAGTCCCGAGGCCTTCTCCTCGCCCGTATCCATTTGCTCTAGCGTCAAAGCTCATACTCCGGCCATCCGGGGAGAGGACACCCAGACTGGAGAGGTACATTGTGGGGGCGGGATGTTCCATCAAGTTGACGCCACTGATGATCGACTGCTACATGTGAGCCTTACTTCCTCGTTATACGGAATGAGAGATAAAAGGGATATCTGACCATCGCGGATTTCCCCGCCCGAACGTCCATACATCCCTGGTGGAAGGCCACCAAGCTACTCGAACAAGCCGTATCGATAGTCTGACTCGTTCCATGAAAATCGTAGAACCAACTAATCCGGTTGGCCAGAATCGACGGACTCGTCCCGGTGCCTTTGCCTTTCAATGCCAGGAGAAGATCAGAATTGGCGAGGGCCAAATGGTCATTGTTCGAGCAGCCGACGAACACGGACGTCGAGGACGAAACGGCTTCCTGTAACGGGATTCCGGCTACAGCAGTTAGGTAAGTGGTCTCTATATAGTCAACCATTGACATACCATTCTCCAGCGCATGATAGACATTCTCCAAAAGCATCTTCTGCTGCGGATCCATAGCCAGGACATCAATCTCGGAGAGTTGGAAAAACGGCGAGTCAAATGCATTCAAATCGGATTGCAGGAAATAGCCGCCCTTGGAGTAGGTTGTGCCTGTGGCCTCGGACGACGGATGGTAGTAGAACGAGGCGTCCATGCGAGTAGCTGGCATAGGTCCATGCATGGATCGAGCGGCCATGACCTGTTCGTAGAGGTCCCGGGGGGAGTTGATTCCATTGGCATATTTGCATGCTAGACCGATGATGGCGAGGGGTTCGGATTGAGGGGTGGAAGTGAGTGCCATTGTGCTGCTTGTGTTCCTGAGGGGGTTACATGGATGGATTTGGATGATGTGCATTGGTGTCTGGCTATTTAAAGTCTGCATACTACCCCCATAATACCAGTCCTTCCTATGCTGGGCTGGCACTTGGCGTGTATATCAGCCCTACACGTCAATCCCGGGATTTACACGTCACAGCCTGGCCACAGCTGCGTGGTTTATATTCCCATCCCTATCCCTATCCCTACCCCTCTCTCCGTTTCAGTCTATATAACCCCCAACCATTTCCAATCCATATTCATCATACTACTAGAGACTCAATCCACACACCACTCTCCACCCCATCCCCCAAATCCAACAAACCAACCCTCAACAATCCACACCATTAAAACAAGGAAGAGAGATTGAAAATGAACCTCAAACCCCGCGCCACCACCTTCCTCACCACGCTCGTCAACTCCCGCGAAACAGCATCCATCGAACACCTCCTCCACCCGAACATCACCCTCCAACACAACGACCTCCCACCGATGAGCAAATCCGAGCTGATTGCCTTCTGGCCGGAGGTGCTCGCCCAGAGTCCGAATTTCCGGGTCCAGGTTCGGGATGTCATCCAGGAGGGGAATAAAGTGTGGGTTTATTCTCGGGTTGAGGGGAGGTTGGGTATGGGTGTTATGGATGATGTGCATATGTTGGTTTTCGATGAGGAGGGACTGATGGTGAGGTGTAGGGGGGTGCAGAGGGTTGTTGAGGGGGAGGGGAAGCATTCTGTGGAGGAGGAATCTAAAGGAAAAGAAAGTGAGATATGTGAGGGTGGGGGGTTGATGTAAGTACGTTTGATATGGTTGGTAGTAGATCATGATATTGGGGATGTGCTGTCTGTTTCCGTTGAGTAGGTGGATACTGAGATTGTAAGAGCTGGGAATCTGTGGGAGTATGAGTTTGGATCGGATTAGTGGGATGATGGTGGTAGGAGGAGTAGTAGTAGTAGTAGTAGTAGTAGTAGTAGTAGTAGTCAACAGGACTCGAATTGTATGTTCCATTGCAGATCATGAAGATATACATACATTTTAGTAGCCCTGCAATCAATCCACTCTCATCCTCGCCAACTCACCCACCGTACACCCCAATACATCCCCCGCCGTGAAAGTAAACCCGGATTGCTTTGCCAATGAAGTCAAAGATAGGGCTGTCAGGGAGTCGCCCCCGATGTTGATGAATAGCTCGTCTATGGATATCAACGAGGGTTGTTCGTTGTCGCCATCGAGGACTTGCCGGATTAGACGTTGGAGGAGGATTTCGTTCTCACTGAGGTGCTGCTGTTCACTCTCATCATTGAATGAGCCCTGCGCGTTGTCGGATATCCCCCCGATAATGTAGGGTTTGTACCCATCCGGTGTAAGATCCCCAACCAGACTCTGCAATCGCCTTCGATCGGTCTTCCTCGACGGAGACAGGGGAATCCTCGTCACAGGGATCCAGACAGTAGGTATCATGAACGAAGGCAGTCGGCTCTCAAGTATCTGTCGAACTTGTACCAAGACCATGCGCTGTTCCGGACTCATGGGGAGAACAACCACATCAGGGCAATCATTCACCACATCCTGAACGTAAAACAAAGCCAACATAGCCCTACCCCCGGACTTGACCACATCCACCACAACCTCAAAAGTTCCATCCATAGCAACACGAGCATGATATTCAACCTCACTCAACTCAAGCCTCTGTCCACGGATCTTAACCTGCGTATCTTTGCGCGCAATATAAAGCAACGACCCATCCATCCGCGAGGAATACTGCACCAGATCCCCCGTTCTGTATACCCTTGCCGGGGCGTAATGAAATCTCTGCATCCACTCCGGAGCTTTCAAAAACGCCCCCTCCGTCAGCGCCACATTACCATGATACCCCCGGCCAACAATGGGGCCTTCGATCAACAGTTCCCCGATTGTACCCACCGGGGCGAGTCGGGTATGATCGTCCCAGTCGACAATCCAGGTGTTGCATCCTCGGGGAGTGCCGATGTCTCGGGGATCGGAGTGTAGTGATAATGTGGGTTGGAGAGTAGCCAGGACAGAGCATTCTGCTGGCCCGTACGCTTGCATTAGATGGACGTGCTGGGACCATTTCTCGATTTCGGTGCGGGTCATTGATTCGCCCATTAGGCAGAGGTGGGTGAGGGTGGGAAAGTCGGTTGGGTCTAGGGCCCGGACGACGCTAGGGGTAAGCCATGTCCAATTGGCTTTTCGGGCTGCGACTGCCTCGGGTAGTGAGGAGGTTCGTTCCTCGTCGGAGAGGATGCAGATGCATCCGCCTGCCATGAGGGTGGTTAGATGCTCGATGATGCTGGCGTCGAAGGCGTACGAGGCGAACTGGAGGACTCGGGCTGTTGGGGTGATGCATGCGGGCGTGGTGTATGCTTGCGCGCCAGTGGCGTAGGAGGAATGGTTGATGATGACTCCTTTGGGGGTTCCGGTGGAGCCGGAGGTGAAGATGGCGTATAGGGCGTCGTTGGGGTGTACGGTGGGTAGGGATGATGCAGGGGAGTGGTGGTCCATTGCATTGATGAGGAGCACGTTTCGTGATAATTGTTCAGCCAGGTGGTGGTATTTCTCTGAAGATAACACCATTGGAGCATCGAGCTGATTGCAGGTTGACTGTAGTCGTTCTGTCGGGAATGAGGGGTCTACAAGTACAAATGCACCGCCGGATTTTATCACAGCTAGCATGGCCACGGGCGTCCACTTGGACTTTTCGAGTAACAGGGGTACGAACACTCCTTGTTTGACGCCGCGGGTATGGAGCTGGAAGGCCAATTGTGAGGAGAGCTGGTCCAGAGAAGCGTATGTTAGGGTTCCATCCCACGAACAGACTGCCTCTGCCCGCGGGTGCGCAAAGGACTGCTTCTGAATAATCTCGTGGACACACATCTCGGCCTGTGTCTGGGGTACATTCCATGTGCCGAGTCGCTGTTCGTCCAGCGGACTGACCAGACTGAGATCGTTGAGTTTACAGTCAGGTACATCATTGACCTGTCGTATCGCATGGGCCAATTGTGAGAGAAGAATCTCCACATATTCCTCTTCAATCATTCCCGGATCAAAGAAAGCCTGCAAATGGATTTTGTCCGGCCCCAAGACCTCACAGGACAGTGTCAAACCATAGGAAAATAGCTCCGGCAACTGCTGATCTTCCATCAGATCCAACTTACCCCCGGAATTCGAGGCATGCACGATAAACAGGCTTTGAAAGGCGCATGCCGCTTTAGCCTCCGGTCCAATGCGCGAGATGTTCTGTAGGCCGCATTGTTCGTGCGGCAGCATCGCGGCGGCGTCTTCTTGCAGCGTTTGCAAGGAGTCTGTCACGGAGACATCCCCGTTTATCTGGACGCGCAAAGGCACTGTCGCTAGGGTCGGCCCGACCAGACTTTCGATTCCCTCTACAGGCGCACTCCGGCCGGTGGACACCGCTCCAAACACGACGTCGGAGTTGCCTGTATGTTGGGAGAGGAGCAGGGCCCAGCAAAGCCGCAGTTTCGTAGTGGCGGTGAAGTCACTTCGCGAAGCATTCAGGAGAACCGTCACGTCTTTTGATCTCGTAGGGTTAGGCAAGTATGTAGCATCAGGCAGACGGGGAAAGACCGTAGGGCTCGCATCCGCAAGCCGGTTTCTCCAGAATGCGTCACTTTCCTCGGCAGGACGAGAGCAGACATACGAAACGAAGCCTTTGAAATGTTGTAGTGCCACTGTTTGTCCGGCGTAGGCTTTTTCAACCTCCGCGAGCAGCAGGGGAGCAGACCAGCGGTCGAAGATGGAGTGGTGCACAGCTAGCAGGAGACGAGCTGGTGCGGAGTCCGGCTGCAGCAAGGCGAACCGGGCGAGTCGCGATCCCAGGCTCATGGGATTTCTTCGATTAGACTGTCGGAACTCCCCTTCGGTGTCAACATGATCCCAGGTGATGGACTCGCTCACAACCGCTTGGTGGAAGCCGCTGGGAAGGTGCACGATTCTCGTGCGGAGAATAGGCAAAGCCCTAACCACCGCTTGCCAGGCCTCCCGAAGCCGGGCCACGTCCACCATCGGAGGAATCTCGTACGCCATTGTCAGGATGTAGGAACCGGGTCTCTGCGCCGACAGCGCCATCAGACCCTCCTGCAATGTCGTGCATGGATATATGTCCTCGATATCGGATGGTCTGACGCCACACTGCCGGGCCACATCTGGCTTTAGGTGCTCGATGTCCCCTGGCGTGGTGGACGACATCTTCCAGTTATCCTCCCCGGGTCTTCCTGCATCCTTGACATGGGCTACCAAGTCCCCTAATCTCGGATAGTGAAATACATCCAACACCGTCAGGAACAGTCCGTGCTCTCTAGCCATTGGTACCAGTTGGATGGCCAGCACCGAGTCACCCCCAATGTGAAAGAAGCTATCATCGACGCCGATACTGGAACATGGTAGGCCAGTCAGCTCCGACCACAACTGCTGCATCGCGCGTTCGGGAGCACTCATTGGAGCTTCGACAACTGCCCGATCATTCGTCGCCAGCTGGACGAGTTCCGCCCTACTCATCTGTCCCGCCAGCTCACGCAAAAGGCGTCGATCGGCCTTGTTAGTTCGTGTCAGCGGGAGTCGAGATAAGGGCACAAACGCCGTGGGAATCATGGAGCTGGGCAACGAGTCTTCCAGAGCTTGCAATACCCTCGCCACTGTCCGGCGGAAGCCATCGTCCGCCCGTTGGATCACCGGGGCGTCCAATGGCTGCCTCTGTCCAGGAGACAGCATAAAGGCCATCAGCACATCGACTCGATCCCTCGTGGACACCACGTCAACCACCACGTCTACCGTCCCACAAGCCCGGCGCACATGCGACTCGATCTCGGTCAGATTAATCCGAGTGCCTCGAATCTTCGCATGGCTCTGCCTTCGTCTAACAAAGCTGATAGATCCATCCGAGTTGTAGCGCACTAGATCATTAGTTCGATATAACCTGGTCGTCTCCCCTGGTCGAAACCGGGCCATCCACGGTGGAGAAGAGGTAAACTGCGCCGCGGTACGCTCTTCATCATGAAGATATCCTCGAGCAAGAACAGGGCCCTCCACCAACAGCTCCCCCACGGCGCCAATAGGCACAAGTCGATTCGGATCATCCGGATAGGTGATCCACGCGGCAGGGATGGTGGGCTTCCCCAAGACTCTCGCATCGCTGGTAGGAGACAGGGCCGGATTCAGCAGACACCAGCCACAAGTTTCGGTGGTGCCATACGAGACAGTCAGCCGGCATTGACTGGCCCACCGGGCGACGATATCCCCAGCCAGACTCTCGCCCCCGACAGTGATGCTGCGAAGATCAGGCACTTGGCTCGGTTGCAAGCCAGCCAGAGACGTCGAAGTTAACCAGCAGAACGTCGCCCGAAAATCGCGCAACGCCCCGGCCAGATCATCCAATCGCTGGGTCTCGGATGGCAGACACACACAGCCCCCTTGGCTCATGGTGCCGAAGATATCGCACAGACTGACTGTGAAGGTGAAGGAGGTGAATTGAAATGTCCGCGTCTGGGGAGTGAATTGGCTTGCGGTCGCGTATGCCGTGATGCTGGTGAATAGGGCCGCGTGCTCGAGGATCACTCCCTTGGGAGCTCCAGTGCTTCCTGACGTCCAGAGTAGAAATGCAGCACCTGGACTAATCCTCGAGGATATCCCTACCTGAGGGATATGAGTGAATATATCCGGCGACACAACCACCACCTCAACCCCCTCTATCTGAAAGAGAGAAGCATACCCCTCGGTCACCAGAACAGTCTTAGCTTCACACGTCTTGACCATTGACTCTAATCGACTGCGCGGATTCGACGGTTCCAATGGCGAACATGCCGCCCCGGCCTTCAGAATGGCCAACATGGCCACGACAGCCCAGACGGATTTGTCCGCACACAGGGGGATAAAGCTCCCCGAGAGGCCCAGAGAGATGAGATATCCGCTCAGCTGCGTTGCATACTCATCTAGCTCCCGATAAGTTAGCTTACCATCCCAGGCATCGACAGCCACTCGGTCCGCATTTTTTTTTGCCTGTCTTTCGACAATCCCATACAGAGATCCTTCCTGCATGACCCGTGGAAACACATTCCATCCAGAAAGACACTCGATACCCTGCTCCCCGAGCATATCCATCTCCCTAACACGGACGTTGCCTCTTTGAAGTGCTGTGAGAATGGCCTCAAACGCACTAGCCACGTTGACAGCCTGTCCAGAGCTCAGGAGACATGGTCGATATGCCAGCGACAAGGATGGATCAGTCCCGTCAATGCACAAGACCAATTCAAGTTCCTGGCTATATTAGCCCTTGAAGATAACCCTACCCCAGGGGAAGGTAACATACCCTTGGAATTTGCATCCCAAGACTCACGCCCGTATTTACTTCTGAATCCACACCAAGCAGGAGAGACCCTTGTTCTTCAACCTGCAGATCCTGCCAACATGCATCATGATTTATCTCCACGCCGAGGCAACTCCATCTACCATCCCGTCCAAGCGCAAAAGTAACGGATTCATTCCCGTCATACACCGAAAGAAGAATACCCCATGCTATGGTGAGTATATGAATCTTCTCATCGACAGTCGCGTTGGATAAGAAGGGATAGTGTCCGATATCGAGGGGGATGTGTTGCAGAGTGTCATCGTTGGCTGGTTGGCCGTCAGTAAGATGGGGAAATCGAGTTGCCATGGTGAAGGGGATGGGGATGGGAAATGGGTGTCACGTTGATAATCGTGGGGAGTTTATATGTGATGCCGGAGTCATCTTTCTGAGGCTTCGGGTGATAGATAGTAATAGACTTTTTACACATCATCCTGCAGGGAGGTGGCTGGGTTACACGTCATTGCCTAATGGTTCCCTGCGGGAGGAGGGGGGCGGGATAAGGGCTTGCCAACAATTTGGCGACTACGTGATTGGATCAATTACTGCTGTGGCTGATTGAATCTGCCATTTTCTTTGTCTCGTAGTGTGCTGTTGCTGGTGATAGTCGTGGGATGGTGATGTAGGGTATCTGGCTTGAGGGTCGAATATGTTGGGATCCATATACCTTTGTAGTTGCTGCTCTGATCGGTAGATATCTATCTGTCTTGGTATGATTGGGGGCTATTGATAGGTTATACATCTCGTATTCTACTACTGTTGAGTGTCCCAAGTTTCATGATAAACAGTAACATAATAGATCCCCAGTTGCTAGTATCACCAGAAGTAGATTGCACGCAACTGTCCAACAATCCGCAGTAGATGGCACGGAAACATAGGTCGTGTAGTATATACACACCACACACACAAAACCACAAATCTGGAACCAATCTAATAACTTCATCCCTGAACCCTCCACTCTCACAGCTACACCTCCTACATGGCAGCATCTACTCTCCCCGAGCAGGCTTCAAAACCACCCGCACCCCCTTACTACCCTTTTTCGCATGCGGCAGCATCATATCACTATGCAGCTTCACATCATTTACTGTCGTATCCTGGAGCTCCATATCATATTTGCGGAACAGCGTGGCGACGGCCATATAAAGCTCCGCAAAAGCCAAACTTCGGTCGTAATCAGTATATGTCTTCTCAAGAAGGAAGTCCACTCACTTCATTCCGATACACTGTCGCGATCCTTTGCTGAACGCAACCATGTACTTGTTCAGTCTTCTCCGCTCGTTGATGTCGGTCCATCGGTCCGGGATGAACTCATGCGACTGGGGGAAAATGGTCTCGTCGTGATGGATCAGAGCAGAGGACATGCCGACGGGCGTCTATATTTATCAGCGTACGTCTTCTGGGGAGTTGGGGATGTCTACATTTGGCGGGATGACCATATCCTTGTATTTCAGTGGATCGGTGGGACTGATTCTCTGGAGACGATGGGATAGGCCGTACGAGAGGCTACTGAGTTAGTGCGGTCCATCAATGAGTTAGATTGACATACCGTAGGCCTTCGTAGATAATTCCCGTCTACACCGTCAGTTTATGCCGTTTCAGTCAAAGGAGGACCTACCAAGTATGGCAACTGTTCCAAAGTCTGTAGATCCATGGCTCCATCGGCAGGAAACTTTGCGTCAAGCTCCGCGCGCAATCGGCGCAAAATGTCCTTGTTATTCAAAATATGAAAGGTACAAACCGTCATGGTGTGAGCAGTCGTCTCCGTTCCCGCAGCCACAATGGTGATGTATTCATGCAGCACTCGCTCCTCGGTGATATCAGGCGTGGTGGAAGCCCGACTGACCAGCTCCGGGAAGAGGGCCAGCTCACTGCACTCCTGACTGGGTTCCTTGGCCGTGTCAGGATGAGTCCACATGAAGTTGACTTCCTGGATGCATTTCATGCGAAATGCTATGACCGACAACAGCTTCGGGTACACCATTTTGATACAGCGCGCGCCAGATCTCGCTAACAAAGGGAAGAACCCCGGGAGATGGCGAGCAATCATGCCAATCTCGACGAGATTGCGGACGGTCTCGCTCCAGATGGGCACCATGTCGGGTGTATCCAAGTAGCCCAGCGCGCGGTAGCTGGTGTACCCGGTGATAACATCGGCCGTGAAGCAGTTATAGGCCACATCTACCTTAAGAGGCTTGCCGCTGCGCACATATGCATCGAGCTGGTGCATGAGCTTGGTGATCTTACCTTGGATCAAAGGCTGGATGCGATCCACGCGCGCCTTTGCAAAGTAGGGGGCGATTAGGGCCCGACGCGGCCGGTGCAGCCGGTAATCGAGCGTGGAGAAGGCCGACTCGGCGACATCGAAATTGGTAGTGAACCATGGGTCCTTGTTTCGGGGGGCGCTGGTGGAGTACAGTGTTTCGTAGTATTCGGGGTCGTGGATGTGGATTTCCGTCGGACTGATGCGGACGATGGGGCCTGCTTCTGTCAGCGCCGTCAATTAGGGTTCGCCGGACGCACCGTATTTCTTATGCAACTCGGCAATCTTGAAAGTGTATCGTCCATGACAGATCACATCATAGAAGAACTCATACAGTCGGGTGCAGGCCGCCAGTTTGGGGCCGGGAATATGAGACAGAGGGGAGAGGAATAGTTCAGAGACCATGAGGGTGCAGCAGTAGATCACCCCCACGGCGAAGACCGCCCAGAGGAAGGGGTGGCTGAAAGAGGCGACAAAATCCATGTTCATGGCAAGGCAATTACTACCCAGCTGGCAACTGACGGACATTGCAGGGCCTCGGCATCCTCATTTCTAAATACGGAGTCGGTGATGATGCGTGGCAAGCCTCATTCAGCGATGACGTGTAGACCAATGCTTCCACTGGTCCGGATGATGCTGTGTGATTCAGATCACGATCTGACCACCGAAAGCCCGTGATTCATTCAAGGTCTTGGTGGCCGGAGTTCGGAGTATATAAACCTGCTCATCCGTTTCCATACCCTCAACGCCATAAAGTCCATGACGAACCACAATGAACATGGTCCATCCAATCCATCAGGGCCGAGCAGGGATCCCACCTCCCTGATTATTGCCATTCAGACCAGCAGTAAAGCTTGCTGCAATCAAGACATCCCTCCTCCGAAGCGCCGACATTGGGGTTCTGAAACCAGCCACGCTAGCGAGATGCATCAGCCAAGCTATCGCTGCAGCTACAGACGCTAATGCAGCCCTTTTGATGAGGATGCCCATTCTGCCAATCCACAAGCCAGCAGGCCCCATGGGGCAATGGTTGAGCAGCTTGCTACCAAACCCCGCGTCGCCTTCGCTTGGCTGAACTGTGTTTCTCTCGGATAGTCCCGCATAACCATCCAACCATCCATACAATGGGAAACGGGAAACAAATCCTGGATCTGCGCCAACCTGCAGGACCGGATCTACGGCGCCTACGCTACTTCTCCAGGCTTGCCTCTGGGTCCACCAGCAAGGGTTGGCGTTTGCTAGCACGTATTCATATAGCCAGGCCTTGGACAGAATGCATGGAGTCACAGCGGATTGATATATGCCTCGCCCGCATCTCAATGGAACAAACATTGATTTCTCCTGAGCTGCTCGACAGTTCGAGCTTTCTCCCACTTTCTGGCGCAGATGAGTCCCAAGGAATGGGGCCTACTCCAGGGTACGTGGATATGTGGTGGCTTAAGCCGTTCACGACGATTGATAATTTGCAGGCCTCGCATATCAAGCGTCAATGATCTCTCTATATCGCAACTCGATCACCTGGAGCAGATGCTCGGGTCGCCGACTATTGCCAATCATGTCGATTTCAGCGCAGTTTCAACGGATTTGGGATTCCTTGCCGATCCCAATATTAGCCTCTCATCCGCCGAGTTCACAGATCTGTTCTCAATCCCTTCGGACAGCGCTTCTCTGATACCGGAGCCCTCAAGTCAACCATCTCTCAAAAGCCCTGACATTCAGACCACACCTCCAGAGGGACTGAATCACGATACGGCAAATTTGAGATCAGCCCCATCCCGGACCTCCTTCGAGCAGAGCACCGACGTAAAGCAGTTACGAAAGAAATACCACGAGAAATACAAAGAACGAAACCGGTTAGCTGCAGGCAAGTCGCGCCAAAAACAGGCGGATCTGATTGAGTTGTTGCAAGCCGAGCAGCGCGAAGAGGAGCGTCGCCGAAAGGCCTTGGAGAAGGAGATTGCGCAGATGCAGAAGGACCTTGTAGACATGAAGCAGGAACTGCAGCATCACATCCGGGTTGCCAATTGCATGACGATGATGTCGCATGGGGCGCACATGCAGACCCTGGGGTTCCTGGCGCAGGATATGCTCCGGTAGATGACGATCTTGATTTCATATGCTTGGTTTCTTGAATGGCATTAGGTTATTAGCATGACATGAGCAATTCCCATATGATTACCGGATGATGTATTCAATTGCAAGGATAAACAAACTGTAGTCAATCCACTTCTCATCACGGATCAAGATATGATCTCAGCCACCTCGAGCAAGATCCAGGGATCTCCGTGTAGGGCTGAATCGACAGCCAGCGCCACTTCCTTGATCCGATCAGTACTTCCATTGACGGAGATCCCTCTCCTTCATCGCATCTCGGATAACCTTAACCGAAGGGCCATAGCCGCTTGATGTATTTGTTTCTGACAATCTTGCGTGATGGTAGCAGATCCTGCATGTCAGCATGCGCGAGCACCTCGCCCAATCCCTGTCATTCAGCCATCTACCTCTGTCAAAGGATCTCTGCAACACTCACCGAGTTGGCTACACGTCAAGTAGGAACTCTACACGTCACACCAAAACTACCAGCTGGACCATCGGCTCCAAAGGTACGATGGTATATATCTCCTTCATTACAGATTTCTACTTCCATCAACATCCAGCCCCGACCTACAGATCCTACAGATCCCTCACCCACAACAACAACCCCACCATGTCCATTCCCCAGAAAACAACCGTCCTCGTCATCGGCGGCGGACCAGGCGGCTCTTACACTGCCTCTGCTCTAGCCCGAGAGGGCATCGACACTGTTGTGCTAGAAGCGGAGGTATTTCCCCGGTAAGTCCACTTCATTGATACACACAGATAACCCCAAGATAGGGCTAATCCCACCAGCTACCACATCGGAGAAAGCCTAGTCGCATCCATCCGACCATTCCTCAAATTCATCGATCTAGACGAAACCTTTGTCAATTATGGGTTTGTTCGCAAGGTACCACCTACCATCCCCACACTCCACTCAACCCTACCCTACCCTAACAACCAAATCCCAGAACGGCGCCGCCTTCAAACTCAACAACCAAAAAGAAGCCTGTACCCGCCCCCTTACCCCTTCCCCACCCCCAATCTAATAAATCCAGACACCGACTTCATCCTCACCGCCGGCGCCGACACCTTCGCCTGGAACGTCATCCGCTCCGAATCCGACGAGCTGATGTTCAAACACGCCGCCAAAAGCGGCGCTCAAACCTTCGACGGCGTCCGAGTCACATCCATCGAATTTGCTGCCTCGGCTGAGACTGACAACGAGGGAAACCCTACCCCAGACAGACCCGTCTCAGCGACCTGGAAAACCAAAGACGGCCGCACGGGCTCCATCACCTTCGACTACCTCGTCGACGCGAGCGGTCGAGCCGGACTCACCAGCACCAAGTACCTCAAGAACCGGACCTTCAACAACTATCTCAAGAACGTGGCGAGCTGGGGATACTGGACCGGAGCGACTCCATACGGAATGGGAACGCCCGTCGAAGGACAGCCCTTTTTTGAGGCCTTGCAGGGTATCTCCCCACCCTGAACCCTAATCCACCTACTCCCCTACACAAACCTAATACACATGTATAGACGGCAGCGGCTGGGTCTGGTTCATCCCCCTGCACAACAACACCACTTCCATCGGCATCGTAATGAACCAATCCCAAAGCACTCAAAAAAAACGCCTCTCCACTGCCACCTCCACCCGAGACTTCTACCTCGAGTCCCTAATCGGCGCAAAGGGCATTTCGCGCCTCCTGGACCCAGCCAAATTAACCAGCGAAATCAAACACGCCTCCGACTGGTCCTACAACGCCTCATCCTACGGCAGTCCCTACCTCCGTATCGTCGGCGACGCAGGGGCCTTCATCGACCCGTATTTCTCCTCCGGCGTACATCTCGCCATCTCGGGGGGATTATCGGCCGCTGTGTCCATCGCTGCGTCTATCCGGGGCGATTGTGTCGAGGAGGTAGCGTGGAGGTGGCATTCGCAGGGAGTGGCGAATCGGTATGGACGGTTTTTGTTGGTGGTGCTTGGTGCGACGAAGCAGATTCGGGCGGGGGATAGGGCGGTGTTGAATTCAGAGGATGGGGAGGGGTTTGATGAGGCTTTTATGGTTATTAGGCCTGGTGAGTTTTATTTCTTGTCTCTTTCTGGGATTGGGGGGGATTGGGATGTGCTAATGTGGTTTGGGGGTAGTTATTCAGGGGATTGCGGATGTGCAGGGGAAGGTTTCGGCCAAGGATGTGTATGATGCGGTGACGTTTAGTACGAATGTGGTGGGGACGGGGGTGGAGAAGGAGAAGGGGGAGTTGGATACGGATGAGAAAGAGGTGGGCAGGGTGATGAATAGTTTGGCTAAGGCATATAAGGCGACGGATGTGTGGGAGGGGTTGATGGCGAGGCTGGAGAGGGGGAATTTGGGTTTGAGGGGGGTGGAGGAGGTTGTGTCACAGCCCTGATGTGAGGCTGTATTTGAGGACATTTGGGATATATGTGAGGATTTTATTGGGGCTTTGTTCATTGGAGGGGGTTGAAGGTATTGGACTGGTGGTGTGATTTACTATAGTTTTAGAGAATGCTGGTGTTCGCCATATAGTCTCTTGGAAGTGGTTGATCTATGAAAAGACCTAGGTTTTATGTCTATCTTGGACGATGCTCTAAAGCCATGGTGGCAATGGCTGTGCGAACCCGACTTGAAGATCTAGGCCATTCCACACGGTATAATACGCTTTCAGTAGAGGAGATCCTACCAACCACACTGCACGTCCCTGACCGGTGGGATCTTCCATGGGATCAGTTGGATTGTTGAACACAGCCTGGCAGATCCCTGGCTGTCCGGGGTACTCCCCCAAGTTGAAGAACTCGCGTGGAAGGGTAATTGGCGGACCGCCACCTCCAATACGGAAGGTTATGTCCGTTGCTATGGCATCCAGAATAGGACAGGGTGCTCCCCATGCACCGGCTGGGTCGATTTGTGTGATATATGGAGATATTTGTCTGTAGATTTCCTCTGCGGTCTGCTTATCAGGTGTCTGGAGAAAGGCAGTCCCGGTGTCGAGGGCCAGAAGGCCCGAGGCGAAAGGCGCGGGTTGGCCGCCTGGGATGCCGCTGGTGTAGTTGCTGGTAGTGAAGACCGGCCGGTCGTTGATGTAGAGCCCTAGGAAATCTAGGACGTAGGCTGAGGAGAGGATGCTCACATTTTGGTTCAGATTGGCATAGGCTATGGGACCGATGTATTTGGATGGGTCGACTCCACCTAGGGTTAGCTCGGCGTGGTGGGTTGCTCCCGGGACGAAGTAGAAGGAGAAAATTGGCTCGGCTAGTTGGCCGCTGTAGTACCAGGACCAGAAGGTGGGGGTACATTCATCGGTTGTAGGCTGAGGGGCTACTCCTAGCCCCATGATCCCGTCCATAGGGAGGTCTTTGAAGATAGAAGGGAACTGGGTGCAGAGGATGATCCATTGGTTGGATGCGGTGAGTCCGCCGAGGGTGACGGTGTCGCTGTTGATGGTGCAATTCACTAGTTCGGACGTGGAGAGGGGGACTGTTGTGGCGCCAGTGCTGAATTCGCCCACCAGGTTCATATTTGGTGTGTGAGAGAAGGATTTGGATTTGTTGGATTCGAACAGCGTGTGGCTGCCGCAGTTTATGCAGTTCTTGCCCGGGAGAACCAGCTCTGTGGAGCCTGTGTCGTACATGACCGTTCTACAAGGATTGTCAGGATGTCAATTGGAGTGACTATGGAGACACTTACAGGGTCTGTGGCGGAGTGCCGACTTGGATGGTACTGTACCACTAGCAACGGACATCAGCATGATCTAAACAAATCTGTGTAGAGGAACTCACCTGGAGATCGGTATTCACAATCCAGTCGCGCAATGACACATTCTCCCGGCCAGGATGACTGGACCGGACCCGCTGGCCCCCATGGCTTCTTAATTTGATGGTTTGGGGTGAGCGAAATGGACGGGCCTCTATTAATTGGAGTGTGAAGCCGGCGAGCCAGAAAGGCAGATATTTCATCGTGGCTAGTACCTATGGATGAATGGAAAGTTCTGCTGGTGATAGCGTAGGCACTGGGACACGTCGGATTTATAGGCCAAACCCAGTGCCATATCGGCTCACTGATTGGCAAGCAGTCGTCATGCTTGCTGCAGGGATGCAGGGAGGCTGCCTTGAACCGCGCTCCTCCGAATTCCTCGATAAACCTCGTTTCCCCCATTTTCCATCAAAGGATTGCTTGGTTTCTGACCCCAAAGCAGACACTCTAATACATTGCAGCACAGATCTGTCACTGGGGTTCCTTCGATCTGACAAGCATTCGATGCGGGACCACAATCCTCTCCCGCATCCTGGCGCTCCTTGGTGCCACTGCTTCCCCGAATCCTCGTTGCAAGAGGGTGCAAATAATATTTGGGGGCCAACCGTAGCATTTCTGTCAGAAAGAGTATCTCACAGAGGAGTCTGAAAATTGCTGCAACCTTATCAGCGCTTCATTTCTCCTGCCGGAAGACGCGGCACATCGCCCGGTGGAAACCAACAATGGGCAGTGAAGTCAATTGGATGGCACCAGACTGGCTATCTTGGTTCCAGAGGCCAACTGGCCCTCCCCACTCACTAACAGCACATCCTGGCATGTTGACCGGAGTGCTTCGGAAGAACCCCGCAGATCAGCCCAGGTGCTGTTGCAGCCTCAGGCAAAATTATGGATGCCCCAGGCAGCAATGATGCAAAGGGCGGTAAGTATTCTGCTGATGTATGGAGATTGGCTTCGAGATAGGCGGTGAGTTGGAATGTGGGGATGACCAGCATGTGGAGTAGAGATGTTGCTCTACATCAGTAATGATATCCATAAGACGTGAGATGAGGGTTATCTTCATACCTTGCTGCATGAGCCGAGGCTGTATGATAATCTAAGATCGGTGAAACAGATAAGAACGTGAAGAAAGGAAAAAGATTCCATGTGCAGAATGACATCATCTCGGCCCGCCTACGGCCTCTCTTAACCCCATCTGGTTATCTCCGGGGGATCGGGCCGGGGACGGCCACAGCCTGAGGCAAAGGAACGCGCGACAAGTCAACTCCGACCTCACTCTGTTGCATCATTGCATGATCATTCGGCCGTGAACGGGATCCTTTATTCCTCACCACGACCAGACTAAGTGCTGATTGTCATCTGCCCCGCCACCACTGGCCAATATGCGACACCACCGTCAGCCCGAATCCCCTTCCGACTCCCCGCGCCATCGCAGTAAGCGCATCGCCTGCAGACAATGCCGCCAGGCCAAGGTAACCCATGCCATTGACCCCGGTCCCACTCCGCTGACCGGCTGCTAGCTCCGATGTGAGGTATCAACCGGGGGGGCTATCCCCTGTTCTCGATGTCGACGCTTAGGGTATGACTGCAAGCTGGATACGGCCTTTCAACGCGTCAACCGGCGAGAGTGCGTCCACCACCATCCCACTGCGGTGTACGCTGACGGGTTGATAGGAGGCTGGAGGAATTGGAGAAAGAAGTCCAACATCTCCGCTCCTCCGTGTCGACCATCCCGGCCACTCAACAGCCACTTCCAAGCCTCCCAACTCCTAGCGAATCGTACAGCGCCGCTACTTCCATTGTCGACCCCGAGTCGTCCGGAGCGCCGGTGGGCCTCTTGGTTCCGCCCTTGCCCTCATTGCCTTTGCAACAGAGCGCCCCTTTGCCAACGCCCGTACAGCAACGGACACTGCCAGAGACATCATCGACATTTTCCCGGTCATTGGAGTTTCTTCACCTCCGCGGGGATCAAGTCAATACGCTATTTACCATGTAAGGAAGTCCCTCTCTCGTTAGGCGAAGCTAAGATTCAGTTTCTTCCAACGCTACCATCCCTATGTGCCTCTATTGGATCCCGCCATTACCGCGGATCAATACTATGCGCGATCTGCCCTCTTGTTCTGGGTCATCATCCTCGTGGCCTCGCGCCGGTATACCGACGAGCCAGGACTGTTTGTCACTCTAACTGCCCCAGTCAAGAGACTCCTCTGGGACACGATCGCCAATCCCCCGCACACCTGGCATGTCGTGCAATCCATTCTCCTGGTATGTCTGTGGCCATTTCCCACCTCGTCGCTTTCATCCGACATCACCTCCATCCTCGTCTCCACCGCGCAGACCATCGCCGTTCGAATGGGCCTGCACCGTCCAGAAGCCATCCAAGACTTTTCCCGAACCAAGCGACGATTAAATGTAGATGAAATGGCAGAAGTGGCTCGAACGTGGGCCACGTGCTACATAACCGCCCAAATGTAGGCCAAGCCCTTCACACCTCGTATACATCTAACCACCAATCGCAGCATCGCCACAATCGACGGACAAATCTGGGTGACATCCGACTGGATGGTCGACCGGCTGTGCGACCGCGATGGCACCGGCATGATCCCCACCTCGCTGAAGCACCAATTGCTCATCTCCCGCTTCTCCGCCCGCGTCGGCCAATTCATGTCCGGCCATCCCCAGGGGCCAACTGGCCTGCCTCGTCCAGGCGAGGTCATGTCCCTGCTAGCCCTACTCGAACGGGAATACACCGAGCTCGCCTCCACCCTCACAAGCCAAATCTCAGGTCCCTCCTATCCCTCCCCCCTTATCTAGACAAGCTCCCCACTAACCCACCCCAGAAGAAAACAAAATCCTCCTCAACTTCATCGCCCTCCAACTCTACGTCTTCTACCTACTGGAAGACACCGACTCCGACACCCGCAAACGCGGCCTTCTGCGCGCCTACACCATCGCCCTCGAAACCATCACCACCATGAACCACCTCGAAACCCTAACCGACACCATGCCCTTCGGTCCGATCTCCTACTTCCGGGCTCTTTCCATCGCCGCCATGTTCATCCTCAAACTCAGCTACTCAAATCTAGGCCCTTTTCTGGACCTAGAAACCGGAAAACGATGCTTCAATTCCGCAATCATGCTCACCCGACGCATCTCCATCGAGGATAATGATCTCCCCGGTAGGACGTCGAAAATACTAACCCAGTTATGGAGTGCCCAGGCACGTACCGGACAGAGGGACAAGGGACCCGGGTTGAGACTGAAGACCCGTTTGGCGGCGAGTCTGGTGCATGATTCGATGTGGGCGTGGAGGGAACAGTTTGGAGGGCAGATGAGTGGGGTTAATACGCCGTTGGGGGGTAGGTTTATCCCTTATGTGTGTATTGGTTTATGCTAATGTGGGAATGAATAGGGATGAGAGGACCGAATAATGTTCAGGAACCGGGGATGTCTGTCCCAAATGACGGGAGCGGAACAGAGGGTTTGTCGTTGGAGGATGTTGTCGATGCGGAACTGCTTGCTTTGTTGCCGTTTAGTTTGGAGGGGGATGATATTCTTGCTGCGCAGGGGGGGTGCTAACTTCAATTCCCTAGTTGGTTGATATAGAGGTGACTGTATACCATGAGGGTATAAATTTGCACATACTCTTCACGCTTACCATTTACAATATACACAATCCAATCACATCTAAAAACAACATATAAGATATCACTACCCAAACTATATCACATCTAGAACACCCCTCAGATCTAGAAGAACCCCCTCTACCACTCCAACCCCTTCTTCGCCCCCTCCCCCTCCCCTACCCCCTTCCCCATCCCCATCTTCCCCCCCAAATTCTTCGGTCTAGTCATCTGCTCAAACAACCTCTCCCCAAAAACCCTAAACGCCGACGCAATCCCCCCATACCTGAAAAGTTCCTTCTCCATCTGACTCAACTCAAACCCGAACCTCCGTCCATCAACATCAATCACCTTATTCTTGAAATCAATCGAAATCTGACTTCCTTCCACCGCCGCGGTATAGAATTCCTCGTCCGTGAGGGTTATTCCCAATAGCCCTAGACTCGGCATGTTGCGTTGGAAGATAAAGGCAAAGGATTTGGCGATTATGCATTGGATGCCACACCCTAGGATTTTATTAGTATAGGTTGGGGTGGTTGGGGGGGGAAAGGGGAAAAGGGGTGGGTGGTACCAAGTAACGCCATAACGGCTTGTTCTCGCGATGAACCACATCCAAAAGCCTTCCCGGCTACAACGATGTTGAAACCGTCTTTTACTCGTTGGCGGAACTCGGGGTGAGTGTGTTCGAGACAGTGTTGGCCCGCGATTTCGTTCGTTTTCATGTTGATGAGGGATTCGGCGGGGGCTAACTGTTTTTTGTTTTGGTTTGTTAGTTTGGGTTTGGGGTGTGGGAGGGGGGTGTAGGGGGGCTTACGGCATCGGTGTCGATAAAGTCGCCGAGTCGTTGCACTTTGCCGGTTAGGATATCTGTGTCTGAGTTGGTGTCTTGGGGTCTGACGTTTCGGTTTCGGTTTCGGGGTGTGAGGGTTCTGGTTCGGCGTTGTCTGGCTGGATGGTGGTGGTACTGGTGGTGGCATCAGAGCCGTTGGGCTCGACGTAGGTGAGCTGGTCCTCTGCGGGCTCGGTGGCAGACACGGAAATGCCACGAAGGCTATGCCATCTTTCTAGGTCGATGGCGGAGAGGAACTCGTGCGGATCGCGAAGCTTCATATCGAAAGAGGATGCAGCGACGGTGGCTGCCGATGCGAGGTTTCCGATGGATCCTGTACTTGGGTCAGATCTTGGATCATCATACCGCTGGCATTGTTATATACTCACCCTGTCCCATGCGATTCTCGAAATTCCGGTTCTGCGACGAAATCCACACCTCGCCCGGGGCAGCCTTATCCGCTGACATGCCCACGCAGTAACTACATCCCGGAATCCCCACCTCAAACCCAGCATCTTCATAAATCTGCGTCAGACCGAGCTCCCGCAGTCGACGCAGAATCGGCACCGAGCCCGGAACCACCTTTCTCTTTCCTTTGGTAACCGGCTTCAGGCCGCGTTGGAGGCCCTGTTCCAGAACCAGCGCGCCAAGGATCAAATCCTCCTCTGCTGTGGTGCAGGCACCGATAAAGCACCCATCGAGATGCATTCCCTCCTGCTCGGTGACGGGAACGACGTCGTCCGGGTTAGGGTATTTGGCCATAAAGGACTGGACTTGTCCGAGGTCGATTTCGTGCGTTTCAGCGTATACTGCGTCGTCGTCGGGCTTGAAGTAGATACTAGAGGCTTTGTTGCGCGGAAGACGTCGTTTCTCGACGAATTCTTTGGTGATGTGATCGGCGACGAAAACGCCGGTGATGCCGCCGAACTCGGTGGTCATGTTGCTGATAGCGAATCGGGCATCACAGGAAAGATGTTTCACGCCGGGTCCGGTGAATTCGACGATTCGCTCGGCCGCGACGGTGTTTCGTTTCAGTTGTTGCAGGATGTATAGGATGGTGTCTTTGCCGCCGATGCCGGGCTTGGGGGCGCCGACGAGACGGATGTTTACGGACTCGGGGATCTTGAACCACGTCTCGCCGGTTACCAGTGGGAGTGTTACATCGGCGGCTCCGAGGCCGATGGCTAGACATCCTAGTGCTCCTGAGGAGCAGGTGTGGGAATCGGAGCCCACTACTACCATGCCGGGCTGTGCTCGTTCGCGGTAGAATTCGGTGTGGAGGATGGTATACTAATTGAGTGAGTACATAGCTGTCAATTGCAGGAGGTAGATACGTACGTTCATTCCCTGGTAGTCGGTCATCTTGAACACCCGCTTGGCGCGCTCGCTGGCATCAATCAATGCTTGAACTTTCGGGTGTTGGTTTACCCGAGGGTCGACGATGTGATCTCCCGCCAGCCAGAATCGGTCGTTCCGATAGATGCCGGGTCTGCCGAGGCTGTCATACGTGCGCTCCATACCCTATACATTGTCAGCTGCATATTCATTACGACTGGGAGGGGGACTTACCGCCCACGACGCCTCCGAAGCAATCACCCAATCAACGTCCACCCGGATTAATTCTCCGGGAGCGACGGAGCCCCGTCGGTCTATGTCATGCTGCGCGAAGATCTTCTCGCTTAGGGTCATGCCACGACGCCCCGGGGGCCGAACCGCGAGGGGGCTGGGCGGGGCCCTAGCGCGATCGGTCGAGTTGAGAGACTCAAGCCATGCGATCACAAGGAAAGTGATTTCGGCCTCTTGCTCGAGGGTTAGGCTGTCTGTTTCGGTGAGTCCCAGACCTCCCAGCTCGGTGGGCTGACGGCTAATGACCAACACATCGGCCAGAGCATTGGCTTCCCGGGTGATGTTTTGTGCTTTGAGCAATTCAATCACCCCTGCCAGTTGGGTCAGGACATTACCCTGGGAATGAACCCCCGGTACTGCGCGAGTCAGTTCATCGCCATGCCTGCATTAGGGTTCCCGACGTACTAGCTGCATCGGAAAGAGTGACCTTCCGGGTTTGCTGGAGAGCCTGCAACAGAGGAGAAAAGGCAAATTCAGCTGCGTCGCCCATTGTAAAATATAAATGCAATTGTATTCTGTGAATTCGCATCCTGGGCGGGGTGGAATGCGATATTAATACGAGTTGGTGGGCATCCTGAGCCATCCTGCTGCCCGGAATCGGCCCGCTTGCGGCCCGGAGGATCGCAGCTAATCATATATCAGCACCGCCAGCATCCTTCGTCGCATCTCTCATAATGCCACTTGGCTACTAGCAATTGATTTCTTGCACCATGGTCGCTTCTCCTGCTGTTGCCAGACTCCGTCAGCTCTTGGCCGACGAGAGCAAAATCATTGTCTGCCCTGGGGTATACGATGGTTTCACTGCCCGAATTGCCCTCGCTGAGGGCTTCGATGCGCTGTACATGGTAGGAATTGCACATTCCATCACACTCAATTCCCTGCTAACACCAGGGATCTTCTCCAGACCGGCGCGGGTACCACCGCTTCGCGCCTCGGACAGCCCGACCTGGGGGTCGTCACGCTGAATGAAATGCGGGGTAATGCGGAGATGATTGCCGGGCTCGACCCCGCGGTGCCGCTCATAGCCGACGCGGACACTGGCTTCGGAGGTACACCCCCTTTCTACAATGTTCCACCCCATTGACTAACAGAATTGTAACAGGCTCACTCATGGTCCACCGCACCGTCACCGAATACATCCGCGCCGGAGTAGCCGCCCTCCACCTCGAGGACCAACCCACCAGCAAACGATGCGGTCATCTCAGCAACAAACAGCTCGTTCCCGAAGCCGAATACCTAGACCGGATTCGCGCAGCCATCAATGCTCGCGCGCGCTCAGGGGGGGATATCGTTCTGATTGCCCGGACAGATGCCCTGCAGTCGCTGGGATATGAGGCGGCGGTTTCTCGCCTCAAGGGGGCGATTGCCCTCGGTGCCGACGTCGCGTTCTTGGAAGGCGTCGCGTCCGCGGAGCAAGCCCGTCAAGTCTGCGAGGAGCTCAAGCCCACCCCTGTTCTGTTTAATGCAGTACCTGGAGGTGTCTCACCGGATCTGTCGGTGCAGGAGGCTCAGGAACTCGGGTTCCGGTTGATTATTTACCCGGGTCTGGCATTGGGAGCTGTGTATCAAGCGGTCCGGGAGGCGGCGCAGAAGTTGAAGGAGACAGGAACCCAGGCCGTGCGAGCGGGACAAGGCCCGAGGGATATCTTCAATGTGCTTGGGTTGCAAGAGGCGGTGGCGCTGGATTTGGCGGCCGGGGGGAGATTGTACGACAAGGGCGTCTAACGGGCTTCAGCTGGCTGGCACCGCGACGCTTGGCCGATGTATATCAGAATGGCAGATGATAGTCTAGTACTGCGAAATGGAATAAACAAATTCACATTTCTCCTGTCAATTTAAGACTCCACACTGATCCATGGGTCGGCAACCTTCGATCTGTTGGTGGATCGCCAACAGCGTGGGACGTACGTCACTTGCCGCTGAGTCAGGACTTAGTCAAGCACTTCAAGAATTGGAGCTATGCCAGACTGGGTAATTGCAGGATGCAGGTACAAAGAAAAAAATGTTGCTATTTGCTGAGAAGAACAATACAGTAGTGTTGAAACTGAGGTTTACAAAAGCACTCTTAGCAGATGGTTCTACTGTTGCAGTAGCATAGCTCCAGTGTTGTAGCACTTCATGTTTCATACTCCTCCGTCAACCAATGCCTCCCGAAAATATATATTCCCTCCTCCGCTACGCAATTCACCGCCACCCCGTATCAGAAAATGGGAAACATTAAGAGAGAAAAGAGTCTAGGATACCCTGCACTGAATGAGAATACTCTCTTATGCAAATTATCAGTGCACTCTACTACCCTGTCCTCTTGCCATACTCCGTATCATAGATCACTCCGATTACACCATATCCGCATCTAATTGGTGGACCCGGGTATTTTTAGTTCCGGCACCCGAACCCCGGTTGGTTGCTGCTGACTCCCCAACAACAACACTTCACCCAAACCACACCTGCATCACATCCATCTCAAGCATCAACCCCCAATCCCAATCCCAGTCACCAACCAATAACCATGGCCGAACATCCCTCCTTTACCCTCGCTGCTCTCCGTAAGCCCTCCCCATCCCCATCCCCATCCCCAATTCCTTCAAACCCCACCACCACCCACCCCAACTAACCCCCAAAAGTCCCGGTAGGCGGAATCGCCGGATACATGCGCACTCGCTCCGCCCCATCTCTAATCGCGGGCGTTGGATTGGGAATTTCCTACGCGTATGCCGGTACGTACCCCCTTATCCCCCAATCCTCCCCCCATGCACAACCACTAAGTATGCACGCAGGCTACCTCATCAAACAAAACAAAGACTACGGTACCGAACTGGCCCTAGGAAACAGTCTCGTGTTGCTTGTTTCGGGTGCTATTCGAACCATCAAGACCAAAGCCAGGGCTCCGATTCCGTTGGCGCTGGGAGCGACGGGTTTGTTGGCGTCGTTTTATTATCAGAAGAAGGTGAGGGAGTTTAGGTTTGGGGTTTAGATTTAGGACTAGGATTAGGGATAGGTAGGTAGGGATTGAATGTATTTTTATATTGTGTTGTGAGATGAGATGTCAGGGATGGTGTGATGTAAGAGTAAGGGGAGGTCCATAGATGAATAAACGACTCGTGGCATGAGAGCCGGATGGTCGTGATCATTGTGCCAGTATGGTTCGGAGGAGTTTGGGGGGATTTGGTTGGCTGCGGGACTGCTATCTGGGCTTGGCAGAGAAAGCTGCCCCAGGTGGGAAGAGAAGGGGGAAGGGGTATTGTTTTACCGGCAGATGGTGACTCTCGTTTTATGATGTGTTGATTGGTGGGATCTAGTCAGTCATAAGCTACGGGAGATGTCATTGGAATAAGGCAACAGGTTTTATTCAAAGCAGATAAACAGCTAAACAGTAAGAACAGTGCATCAACCATGTCCAAGGTCTTCCGCAATATCAATAGCGAACTTGATACCATGTCGGAACATCATGACTCCATCACTCATCCTCGCCGGGCCCGGCGGTACCATATGGGCAACACGCTTAGACGTACTTGACAACAACCTCGCTGTCGGTGACGGAAACAGAGGTCAGGACAGAGCTCTGCTCAATGTCGATGATGGTGGCATCGGCGGGGCCAACAGTGGAGCCGTCCTTGGTGGCAGTGGCATCGGTGAAGGTCACGGTGCCAAAGTCGGCAAAAGGAACGAGAGAGTCGTCCTCCTCAAAGTCCTCCACGATCCATTCGGCGTTGTACTCGCACAGATCACCATCGACACCACCGGAGAAGGTGTGGGTGACCGAGGTACCGGTGCTCACATTCTCGATGGTGGCGGTACCGGCAGTCTTGCTGGAGGCATCAACGGTGACCTTGATGACATTTCCGGCAGAGATGGAGATGCCGCTGAAGTCGTAGGCGTAGTCGGGGTACCACTCGTACCAGGCATCGTAGCTCACGGAGGAGCCCTGGACACAGAAGTCGACACCAGTCTGGAGAATGGCGGTGCCACAGGTGTCACCGTCAATGCCCACCCAGGCGGAGGCGCAGTACTCCTCTCTGCTCGAGCCACCAGAGGGCACAGACGGGGTGGGCACAGTGAACTCGGCGCTCACGGCCGTGTAGCCGGTGCCAATGAGGACTGCACCGGCCCAGTTGGAGCTGTACTCAACGTTCTTGGAGGTGCCGTTGAGAGTAAGAACCTCGTTGGTGCCGGGCTTGAAGGGAGGGTTGCTCTGGCGGCCAGCGGCACGCTTGGCGCGAGCAGCCTGGCGCTTGGCCGTCAAAGGAGCAGCCAGAGCAGAGGTGGCCAGGAGGCCGGCAGTCAGGAGAGCAGTGGTCTTCATTTTGATAGGGAGGATGAACGGATAAAACGGTGAGAGAGATCTGAGTCTGGAGAAGGCAGGAGGCTTGCTGTTGGATGAGATCTTTCTGGAGGGAATTGGTCCTCAATTTATACATCCAGGCCCCCCTTGAGGTCGACCTGGTGCGTTATCCATGACCCCTCGGTGTTAACACCAACAGCATAGGAGCAATACCGAGTAGATAGCGCTATCCAAATCCGTAATTGACGCATTCGCTTATCAACCTTGGAATTGAGATAGACCGACGGTGGCTGAAAGTGCCAAGGCGCGTCGGAATGGCGTTTTCCGTCAGAGTTGGAACTAATTTCGTTTAGCTCTGGCCTGAAGAAGTGAGTAGTCTTGGACAAAGCTTCAACGGCTCAAGCATTTCTGGAGGGAGCATCATGGGCGGCTTTTCAGGAACCATCTCCAGGGACCATCCGTGATCGTCGTTTTTTCACATAAGAAATGAACTGCACCTGCCTTCAACGTGGACGATCTTGGGGTGAAACAACGACCGGGTCGATGGCCTTCGAACCCCGCGGTGAGTCTGCAGAGCAGCCATGTAGCTAGTATCTGCCGGCGTGATACTCGGGAGCGCTTTCCCCCAAGCGGCAGGTTTATCAGACTGGCACCATTGCCATGCTGCCATGGCGTGATGATAACGAGGGGTGTAGGTCTATTGGTTCCTTGATGATCGTCCCGTGTGTGACACGGCGAGAGATAGACTTCGATTAGGACCAGGGATGGGGGTGGGTTGACAGCCAGATCGGCGCACGCTGGTTCGTCCTCCTTGCGGGCCTGCAGGTTCCGGCAAATTCAGTTTAATTGATTTCGTCGCCCCCGCTCTCCACCGGCAATGACAAGCAAGGAAGCAAGCAGAACGCATTGGATCGCGTGGGGGGCTTCACCAATGTTGCACACTGCGGGTTGGATTGGAGATTTGTTAACGGTAGGAAACTAATTCTTTTCCCAAAGATTCCTCTTCCAAATCCCATCGTACCTTGCTATGATGTGGGAGAGATGAAGCCCCTGACGACCCCAATTACCGGCAGAGGGGTAATGCACGGCCAAGGAGCTAACGGCCCGGAGTCCGACGGGATATCCACCCTCCCCCGGCGGCTTTCTTCAGCCCCGCCTTGGCATGTATGCCGCTTGAATTCTTATCAGCATCAGTCCAGTTCGATTCCCCTCACGTATCCTCACGCCGGAAGACTCGGTGATTAGTACGCGGATACCATGCCGAAAAGAGAGCGGGGATACCACAGGCGTTCATCGTCGGTGATGCCTGACGGCTGTAGCTCCCATTCCGTCTAGTCTCCTATTCCTGGGCAACGGAGATCGGCGTGGCAGTGGTGCAAAAAATGCCCCCAGAAAGAAGAGTGAGTGATCCAAGATAACAGCAGAGCAGAGTGGAGCCATGTGCGTATACAATCATGACGAAAGACATTGGTGGCTCGTTTGGAGCGCCGTCCGGAAGCGGGCGGGTTATACCTCGGAGGTGACGAGCGAGTGTAACCTCGGGGATGTCCTATCTATGAGCAATGGTATTTACCGCCAGCGACGATTCAGTACCCATTAGACAAATGGGTACATGCCCGATTGTACAGAGAAGGGTTGACCAATGCAACCCCAGGTTGATTGTTATATCCCAGGCAGATTAAGGTGTTATCTAGCAGATTGAGATACACCGTTAGGTCAATTCATCAATTCGGTGGCGATGCAAACATACTGTTCAGATCAAAGACGGGCCATCCCACCTTGCTCAACCCCGCAGTGGGATCGATGACAAAGGCTGCCCACGCCGCTTGCATCCGAGATGTCAGTTGGTCCTGCCCGGCAGATGCGGGGAGACCGGTGAACAATTCGGAGTTGCCATAGATCATGTTCAGATCAACTCCATGATATGCACCACTTGTGGGATACAGACGTGTGTTGTTCCAGTCAGCAAAGTAGCGGAAACGCCAGGCGGGCACGCCGAAACGCACCCGATGAGCGGCTTGGAAGTCCGTCGGGCAGGTGAAAGTGTTCTCGTTGAATGTCTGCCATTGCTCGGCAGTCAGGTTTTTGCCTTGCATGTAGACTGCGGTCTTGTAGAATCCAGCCTCGTTGTCATTGTGGCCGAGGAGATAGGGCTGGTCCAAGTTAGCGAGGGTGGCTAATGCTGTTAGGGACTTACCACGCGCGCGAATCGGCCCTTTGAGGACAGGGTCTCATAATCACTGAAGATCGTCACGTTGTCGATCGTGGCCTCAAAAGCCGGCAGTGTGCGACCCACTGTGCCGGTCGAAAAGGTGGGGATCTTGCCCGCTGCGATCAGCAACGCCGAAACTGACTGGCGCTTCATACAGGCCAGCACGTCTGGAGCCGTGTGACATCCCAGCTGCACAGTGATATTCGCCCAATTTCGCGCAGACAGGTCGAGCGTGTTGCCCCCAAAACTCAATGCCGTTCCCGAGTGTGAGATCAATCCGGCCACAATGGGATCGTCTGGCCAAGCATAGGCCCAGTAGTCCACCATGGCGCCGCCGCAGGACTGTCCCGAGATCACGATCCGGTTAGCATCGCCGCCAAAGGCCTCAATATTATCGCGAAGCCATTCGATGGCGGCACGCTGATCTAGCAGACCAAGATTGCTGGTTGACAGGGATGGGATGCCTGGGAAACCGAAGACATTCATGCGGTAGTTCACCGTCACGACAATGATGTCCTGCGTGCTTGCCAGACCCGCCCCCAAGTAGAACGGGGTATTTGCGGTACCCGAGGTGTATCCTGGACCGGAAATTGGATTAATTGCGTCGTCCTATAAAAGGATGTTGCTGACAAGGCAGATGATGAACACGTACGGCCTCCATAGAAGTGAACATAGACTGGCTTAAGAATTTGTAAAGGCAACCTCGTCCATATGTTCAATGTCAGGCAATCCTCGCTCTGGGAGTTGTTGCCCTCTGATGCAACAAATGCTTTCATGATGCGGGGAAATTGCTCCGTCTCACCGGGGTAAGTATAGAGAGAAATGCGTGCATATGGACAGTCACTACAGAGTATAGCATCAGCTCAGCTGGCGATTAGCAGAGGAGAGTATTGCAAGATCGCGACTCACTGCCCCTGCAACTTGTTAGTTTAGTTTAGAGTTGTGTGACAAGAGACATCAATGGAAACCACTCACAAAGGTGTTGGCAAGGTAGGAGTTGTTGGCATGGTATTTCTGCGGGGCTTCCCATCGCAAGTCACCGATGGGGGGCTGAGCAAAGGGGATCCCTAGAAACTCCAGTACCTCTGTGTGACTGGTGGACACATGGCCGGTGATAGCTCCATTGGCAGTCTGGATCGTGAGGCTGTCGTTGGTAAGGCTATCGTCCGTGAGGGTCAGCCTTGGACGCAACAGACCGAGCATTAGAGCAAACAGCAATGGTCGCATCCTGACTGTGTGTAGGGAGTAGGCGTAGACTCAAGTCCATGATCTTGGCAGCGTACGGTCGGAGGGGCTTTCTGCTCGACGTGCGGCTGGTGTCTGCAGTGATCTCCATTACCCCACTGGAAGACACATCGATCTCCGCAGTGGTGGACAGTGAGGAGGCAAAACTAGAAGCCCAGCGTGAAGACAGAAGACAGCCGATAAAGTTGCAAAATGAAGGTGTGGAAGATGTTGCCGAGTTCTGGGGAATCGGACTGTAACACAAGGCCAGCCTCTCAGGCTCTCAGGCTCTCAGGCTCTCAGGCTCCCAGGCTCCCAGGCTACAAAACTGCAAGGCTGCAAGGCACTCACGTCGCCGATGCAGATATCACATGATCCCGGTCTCGCTTCCTCCATACTCGTCTCACTTGTGTCATTTCATCTATCCTCATTCATTCTACTGTCTCTCACAGATCTATCCTCCATGGTCCTTTTTCAACGCTGATTCTATCTACTCGTATTGTTCAATATACTCCAGAGGTCCAGTGAGATACATTCATGAGTACCTGATACTCAGTATTGGAGGACCGACACCATATCATGCAAGAAAGTGAGTGACGAGAGATGAAGGCTGGTTCTTTTGATCTACCATGTATTTCATGTTGTCTTACTGAATCTCGATAGCTATCCTCCAGCGGCGATGAACAAGTCCCTGCGAGCCTGATTGAAGAAGAGACCCGAAACGTTGTGGCAACACCTGTTACCTCGCAAACGGACCTCCCATACCCCTGTGGACTTTAACTCAGCCATAACGCTTCAGGCGTCTTCATACTGGGAAAACACGTCCCTCTGGGCCTCAGCAAATTCGCGCATGATCACCTCCTCATGTACCTTGGACCGGGGAATCACCCGGCACGCAAAGGGACGAGGGGCCACCAGGAGACCCTCAGAGTAGCCAGTCTTCGGGTCCGTGTCGATGGGTATGAGCACCCCATCTGCATCATGTTCTGGCTCAAACCGGAACGCCCAGAGCAATTTGGCCGCGCCGAGGAACAGGCTGCGCTCGGACAGGTGAATGCCCGGGCATATGCGGCGTCCAGCTCCGTAGCCGTAGTGATCGCGAGCAGCATAATCCGCGGATGCCGCATACTCGGCCGCTAGACCCGTCCTCCCCTCATAGCGGTGAGGGTTGAACCGATCAGGATCAGGGTAGAAAGACGCATCATGGTGCAAACCCCAGATGTTGAGAAACACAGTAGTCCCCCGCGGCAGGAAATAACGCCCGTCGACCCAATCATCCTCAGCTAATGCGTGTGGAATCCCAAGTGGGGATATTGGACGCCAACGCATGGTTTCCTTTACCACCTGATTGATATATGGTAGCTTGGGGAAGTCATCCCACACGGGTGAGCACTGGTTACCACAGACTGCATCCAGTTCCGCCTGAGCATGACGCTGGACCTCCGGGTGGAGCACCATTGCCTGGATGAGCACCTGCAACGTGGCAGATCCGGTGTCCGAACCACCTTCCAGCATGACCCCCCCAAGGAAGTCGACCTGGTTGTCGGTCAAACCCAGCTTTCCCTGGTCTTCCAGAATCCCGCTAATGAAGCAGGGAGCCCGATCCGTCGTTTGCTGCCGATCGGCCACCTTGGTCCGCAAGGACTGATACAGAGACTTCATGCGGATGCCAACATCGATGGCGCGGTCCCGCCAGCATCCCAACCACTGCTGTGGGATCCAGTGCAGCCAGGGGAAAATGTCCACGGGCGGCGTCGCGCCCATCTCCATGACCTTCGACCAGCGGCTCATGAGGTCGTTGAGGAATTCCACGTGGAGAGTGTCAAAAGACGGGGTACGGATGCCGTACAGGAGACTCATGATGATGCTGTTGGTAGTGCGCGCCGGGTGCCGCATATGCTGGTCGGGGCGGACGAGGAAATCCCGCAGCATCTGCGTGTGCTCGGCCTCCAGCAGTCGCATATGGCGGGTCTCGCAGGCTGTCTCGAAGAAGTGGCGATGGACCGTCTTGCGCAATCGACGCCAGGTGTCTCCGTAATTCATCGTGAGCATCTGGTCGCCCCGGGTGATGAGGACCTGGGCCACGAACGAAGGCGGTCGGGCACTGTACAGGGCGCTTTTCTTATCTAGCAGGTCTTTGACTAGGCGACGATCCATGATGACCACGGCGGGGGCGGGTCCAATCTTGACACTGAAGATTCGGCCATATTGCTTGGACCACTCGGTAAATCTGACAGGAGAAAGGGTCAGTATGGGCAGTTTCGGAGATGGTAGTGGCTTGACCGGGGAATGGTACCGCAGATACGCCTTTTGCTTGGGAATTTGATGCAGGTTTCCCAGCCACGGCAGACGACGGGGCCCTGATTTGCCTCACTTAGTATGGTGGAACATGGTCGAGAGGAGGGACACACCTGGAGGCAGCCTCTGGTCCCGGCGGTATTGAAGGAATGCCCTTCGGACCAGGATGACGATCGCGAGGCCAATTAACACGGCCAGGCGGGTGAAATCGGCCATGATAAATAGCACAGACGATGCAAGATTCGTTATATTTCCACAGTTTCTGGGCACAAGACGCGATTACCGAAGAGGGGGATGGGGAGATCCTGTCAGCAGCTGACCCCCAGACCCTAGATAGCGCCTCGATAGTGGCATGCACGCCATCGCTCGGAGCCCCCACCCGGAGTGTAACCTGGCCAGGGTCCCAACAGCGTGCGTTATATTCTGATCGATCGCTTCCGTAGATATGAACACATCCATGACAGTAACCCATGAACCTTGATTCAACTGCACGAATTAAGGTGTGGGTGGCCGGCCACGTTGGCCGGTCGGATGGTCGATCCGGAACTCAATCGACGGGCTCCCAAGATGCAAGCGAGGAGCCCGACACCGGGGTGGAATTTCCTTGTCGAGGCTCTCCTATTACTCAATCGGAGCTCATCGGGTTCGTGTCCTGGGTTGAGTGGGGCGATTATCTCTACCTGACACCACTGAGCCCTCGATGGCAGGTTAGTCCTCAATAGCCAGAAAGGGCCTTTGAAAGGTTGTCTGTCTGATCTGGAAGAGATTAAGTTATTAGCTTTTTCCACCGACCGGATTCTTAGCGAAGCTTGACCTGTCGGTGCCGACGCGCGTCATGGCCCTCGCCTAGAGCGTGCCAAGCCCGCCCTACGGGGCGCCTTACGCATGAAGCTATTCCCACGTGTACCGCCATCTGGGATCTTAGCAACGAAAATTCCTTGGTCCTGTTCGGGAAGCGGGTTTTGATGAGATACCAAGCCACTAGGAGTCCTATTCTGGGTTTTATTTCGTTCGGGGACCGCACCCACAGCCGGACGCCATCGCCACCCTTGCAGGTGCCTGAGCTGCTAAAATGATGGCGCCGTAAAAACTCTCTCCGCCCTCCTCTCCTACCGCCGTTACAAACGCCAACTTCTATTGATAGCCAACTGCCATCATGTCGCCTGCACAAAGCGTCCGTTGTCACCACATTTCTCGGACCGGGACCGAAGTTGGCGAGTCGTAATCCGGCCCACCACCGTTCCGCCTCCAGCTGCCGGTATCAATGCTGGTAGCCGGTCAAAGAAGAACCCAAGCATGTCGAGCCAAGTATAGCTGAAACCTTGGCTTTTCTGACTACAGTCAGTGGCCATGGCTGATGTGGACCGTTCGACGTACGCTCCTCCAATGTCGACTCACCGGCCATGTCAACCTCGTGGAAGGCCTGGGAGACTTTCCCCAATCGATGCCATCGACTGCTGATCTCAATCCTCCCAGCACGGCTATTGCAGCTCCTTTAATACAGTTCTAGACTGAACGGCTCGAGGATGGGAACTATAAAGACCGTGGATTGGGCTGTGAACTTTCCTATCTCCCATTCCTTCCACTCTCGTTCATTCCCTCTTTTCTCTCGAGCAGTTTACTGCCCACGTTCGCTACTTGTGTCACTCTTTTAGATCTTCTAATTTTTCTTTCCGTCGCTTCATAAGATGAAGTTCACTTTTTTTACTGCAGCGTTGGCTCTGGCAGCCAGCACATCTGTTGCAGCATTACCACATGCATCCTCTGACCTAGACCGGCGTGACGCCACTTCTCACGACATCCCCGGGTTTTTCAGCAAGACCTGCACCAGCGAGAAGATGACCATCCGTAAGGAATGGCGCCACTTGACTAAGAAACAGCAAAGCAGCTTCCTTGATTCGGTCCAATGCTTGATGGAGAAGCCCGCCGAGTCCGGACTGACGGCGACAACCAGTCGCTTCAGCGATCTCCAGGCCCTTCACCGCGGAATGACCAACACGGCATATGCTGATATCATTCATCATGTGGTACGTTAGATGATCTATCTTTGCCCATGTCCGACTGACAGTGGGGACAGGGACAATTTCTCCCCTGGCACCGCTACTACATGCACATTTACGAGACTCTGCTCCGTGATGAATGTGGTTATAGCGGCCCTATCCCGTACGTACTCCATCCCCACTCCCCTTGGCTCTATCAAGTTTATCCCGCATGCTTATCAGTCCATTCCAGCTGGTGGGATGAACAAAAAGACGCGGACAGCGGTAACATGTGGCAATCGTCGATGTGGGGGGCAGACGCCTTTGGAGGCAATGGTACTGGATCGGACCTCTGCGTGCGCGACGGCCGGTTTTCCAACTACACTTTGCACATTGGCCCTGGGGACGAGGACACCGACTATTGCTTGCGCCGCGCATGGGACACCGAGAATGCTATTGTCAATGCCAACAGCAGCGCACTCAACATGTGCAATGCCTACAACACTTACGCTCCTTGGTGGGACTGCGTTTCTAACATCCCCCACAAAGGTGTGCACACCTATATCGGTGGCGTGGTACGTATTGCTTCCGATCAGTCCATGGCCAAGCGCTCCAACTGACTAAAATGGATGTAGATGGCCGATATCAAGTCTTCCCCCGGCGACCCCATCTTCTTCATGCACCACATGTACATTGACCGCGTCTGGTGGCTGTGGCAGAAGGAGGATCCCATCAACCGGCTGTATGACATTAGCGGCCCGACTTTGAACCACACAGCCAATGTGGAACCGGCCGGTGGATGGCAGAATGCCACGCTTCACTACGAGCTCTCATCCTTCAACATCATGCCTAATACCACCATTGGCCATGTGATGAACACCCAGGGCGGATATCTCTGCTACGGCTATGATTAGATCTGGTAGCCTGCTGGTGACGGATCTAAGGGACTTGGTTGCCATGGATTGAAAACATATAGAATTCGATAGATTGACTTATAGACCAGAGCAAGCGCTATAATATCTGTTTCAGATTCGTGTCAGTGTCTAGATAACATAGAAGATGCACCCCTTCCTATTGGTTGAAACTCCGAAACGACCCGGCGCGGGACTCTTGACTTATGGTTCCTTGCATCTGTGTAGATGGCTTCGCCAAGGATAGTAATTAAGAAGCGAGATCGGGATTGAACCGGGATGGGCCTACGAGGTACTGTTTTGTATTCCTAGTCTCTGGACATAGATTACTCCGTATGGATTCAAGAATGGGGTGAGTATAGCGTTTCTGTAAATATCTCTACAACTTAAACTTTTTTTGATGTTTCCTTATAGATAGATACTGATACGAGAGCCATGTCATAGCTAGCAATAACATTCTATAGTATAAAAAGGATATAGGGAACCGGCTCAAATCGCCGCCTTCTCAGTCTGAATACTATTTCTCGGCCTTTCTCAAATCATGCACCCTAGCGCGTTCCATAGCCAACTCAGCACTCTACAAGCCAGACTCAGAACCCAGGTTCTGCAAGCCGGCAATCATCCCGTCACGGTCGCCAGGGGGCTTATCCTGGCTCCACTTGAACCTACCGCTCAGAGAGGTGATCTCTACCTCGATTCCAATCAGGCTCTTGGTAAACAGTTCAATATACTCCTCCGGGGCATCAGACCCCTGCCAAGGGGCAAGGCTACCAAGCGTAGCTCCGTAGTCCAAAATTCCCATCCCCTCCAACCGACCGAGATCATCAAGCTGGGTGGACAGAAAACGCGCGACGTTCTCGGACTGAGTGTCATGGTAGATGCGCGCTCGGCCGTATACCTGAACGGCCGAATAGTTCCAGGTCGGGACTACCTTGCCTGTAGCGGGCTTGGTTTGCGTGTAGAATTTGGGTGTGATGTAGTGGTGGGCCGGACCGTTGAACATGATAAGTACTTCTTGCTCGAGGTATGCTGGCGAGGAGCAGGGCAGATTGAATAACAGTGCTTCGGCCTGCGGGTCCTGCCGTGTCATGTGTCCGCGGAGACGGCCTAGACGAGGGGATTTGGTGCTGTTCGCCGTCGTTGAACTATTTGCATTCTCCTCCTGCTCGTCCTCAAAGCCCAGGACCCACGGGATGTGGCTCACTTGGAGCAGTGGGTGTGGGGTGTCGGGCGTGGCGGTCGTCAGGATCCCGAGTGGGTTGTCACGAATGAATTGCCGTAGGACCGTGGGGTCTGTTTCGGCGTGGCGGGCAGGTATATGCATAGCTCTGGCTTTATGTATTTTCCGTCTGATGTCTGGGGGATGCTTCGTCAAGGTGCCGTAGGGAAACCTGAGGTGGTCTTTTGTACTCGAGGTCGGATAGGTGGAAGATGGTCGGGTCTGCTTTTGATTGGCTCGGTAGTAAATATGAGTCAAAGATAAGTGAGTCAAAGGATCAATCTAAATAGATCTTGCGGTGGCTGGCGGCGAGTTTTCCTATCATGGCTTTGCACCTCACTGTTTCTTTGCTCTAATCGGGATATTCCTGGATCAATTGCAATGATTCTCGACTGCTCTAGTTGTTCATGAGACCCCTCAGACTTCGCAGATAGTAATCAATTGGAATAGTTTCCGCAATGGATAAAGATGGATATGAGTCCAGTCAAAATAAAGCTGTCGTTATGTCTAAATCCGAGCCATTAATATTGTAGTGTGTGCCTCCTTGTCAGCTGATTGTAACACGTGGGTTTGCTCGGTTTACATGCTGTGATGGACCTGCCGCAATCGCCCTTTCCTCCGTTCCTCTCCCACATCACCTCGCTACCTGGCAGAATTCTTCATCAAAACTACCATGCGCCTTTAAGATCCTATCTAATTGGTGAGGCTTGAATGTCTTCTTCATGCTTGGTGCTATAATATCCCATCGAGACAAGTGGGCAGCTTGTGATGTTGAGAATATATCTCGATGGGGACTACTACATAAATCGGAAACCAACCCAAATCTTTTCAGTGGCACAGACAGGACTAGTACCAGATAGCTTTCTCATTCTGAATTGACTAGGAGCATGACTGACTGAGTTTCAAAACAGATACTCTCAATCTTTCTCTACCTCGGCCGATCTGCTGCCTGTCGCACGCCAAGCCGCGCCCTCCGCGATCGCGGAAAACTCGCGTATTTCGTACTCGCCTTGACGATCATGGTTCCTCCAGAAGATGTCGTGGGGTCAGACCCGAACTTCGGGCCAGAATCGTCGACAGGAGCCACACCGAATCGGTGCTAGCAATGTCCAAGATGGATATCTCCGCCTGAAGGTCGCGGATGCTCCAAGCCCGGATCTCCACCGCCGTCAGGCTGTCCACCCCGTACGCGCTGACTGGCTTCGACGCGTCGATATCCGCGACTGCCACCCCGAGTTGCTGAGCTAACCGACTTCGGAGAGTATCGGAAATGATACTCGTGGCTGACTCCAGGCTACTGGCTCCAGCAAGGCTTTCTTGGAGCTCATGCTTTGTACCGTCATCTCCGCGACCGGCTGCCCCGATTTCTCGCAAATGTCCCATTTTGGCGGCCGCGTGGTAGTATGGGGGACTGATTCCTTGGCCTGCAGCCCAGCCCCCTGTGGCAACGCCTAGAATCAACTGGGGGCATGTGGTGCCCTGGTGGTCTGCTGTTTCCCGCAGTGCCGCCTGGAGAATACAGAGGAGCTCCTCACCTTTGATCCCGATCAGACCCTGCTGCTGGACGGATCGTCTGAGCTCGGGTTTCTCGGCCATGTACCCGACATCTAATACAGGGCCCACGTCGATGGATACTCCGGGACGACCTAGCGCTCGCCGGTGATAAGCCAAGGCATCCAGGAACGTGTTACCTGAAGATATCGTCAGTGAGCGCTGGTTAAGAAAAGGGTAGTAAGGCTGACATACTTGCCGCATAATTCCCTTGGCCACGCCAGCCGATCACTCCCGACTCAGATGACAGCATCACAAAGAAATCAAGGCCCTCAGGCGCAGCGCAATGCAGGTTCCATGTTCCCAATGCTTTTGCATTGATGCCTGAATGCCATTGATGGGGAGTCATCTGTGTGAAGGTGGCATCCTAGAGGTATGTGGTCAGAGAGTGGGATCAAACTTCGCCCTTCAAGCGACACCTACCGAAAGTAGCATTGCAGCCTGCATGATACCTTTCACGGGAGGCAGTTCTACAGAGCACTGCCTGAATGCTCTCTCCACCTGCTCTCCATCACTAATGTCACATTGGTACGCTGTTGCTTGTGCGCCCTTTGCGGACAGATCTTCGAACACAACGGACGCTTGAGGATGGTGAGAACCTTGGCGGGACAAAAACAAGAAATTCCGGGCGCCATGATCGGCCATCCAGAGGGCGATATACTGTCCAATACCACCTAGGCCCCCGACAATGATATATGTGGCATCCTCCGCGAACTGAATCGGGGGTACCGACGGAGGCACAGTCATGACCATATCGCTATCAGTGGCATTCAGCACTACTTTGCCGACCACCTGTCCACTTGCCAGAAGTTGCAGTGCCCGCGAGATTTCTGGGTAACCCATCACTTGCATGGGAGAGGCTGGTTGACAGCCGTGGTCATAGTAGAATTGCAGCGCATTGTCCAGAGCCTGGGCGGCGCGAGAGACACTCTTCTGATACATCCCAGTCACGTTGATCGAGTGAAAAGAGACGCTTCGGTTAAAGGGCCGCATATCAAGGCCGGTATTCTCCACTAGACCTTCAATCAGTATGCTAGCGTTATGGTGACAGTTTAAATAAAACCTACATATGTCGCGTTTGCCCAACTCGACAAATCGTCCAAAGGGTGCAACTCGCAGCCAGGACTGTCGAAGACCCTCTCCCGCCAGCGAATTTAACACCACGTCCACGCCGCGGCCGTTGGTCAAACGGTCGATGCCAGAGGCAAAGGTCAGGTCGCGACTGTTGAAAATGTGGTCGTCGGGGATGGAGTAGGCTTGTTGTAGATGATCCCTCTTCTCTTGCGAGCCCACCGTGGCAAAGATTTCTGCGTTGAGGGCCTTGGCCATCATGATGGCTGCCTGGCCCACTCCTCCGGCAGCCCCATGAATCAATATACTCTCTCCGCATTTCAATCTTGCTGCCTCCACAAGCGCCTGGTACGCGGTAATATAGTTCAACGGGATTGACGCAGCCATCTCAAAAGTCATTTCCGCCGGAATTGGATGGACCATACATTCCGGACTACGAACAAAGGTGCTGAAACTTCCCAGCTTCAAGGTCAGCACACGATCCCCTAACTTGAACTTGCTGACGGCGCTTCCTGTCCGGCAGACAACCCCACTGCATTCCATGCCGATGGTCCGCTCTGGGACTTGATCCAACGCGACCATGGCATCCATGAAGTTGAGTCCGGAAGCCTTGACTTCGATCTCCACAGCATCATCTTCCAACAAGGTTTGGTACGATGGATCGTCTTCAAAATATATCGAGCTCAACATACCCGGAGATGCGAGAGCGACCGTCAGGCATCGATTAGGTTGCTTTAACAAACCTAGTTCCTTGCTAGGCACCCCACCTACTGCAGAGACAAGGCCGTTCAAGGACCGGTCCAACCGAAGTCGTGGAATCATCAGTCGTCCATCTCGGACCGCAAACTCGCGGTCAATATCACCACGGCTCCATCCGCTGACCACATTCACGATAGCGCAGGAGTCTGATGTCTTGTTATAATTCTTCCAATCGAGATCGATTGTTATCAGACTCAAGTCCGGTTGTTCTTGCCGAATCGTCCGTGATAGACCGGTGATCAGGGCTGCCTGCGGTCTTTCACACTCCAAGGTTGTGCCTGAAGTCACCCAGAAAACCCCTGCCGCCTCCAAGAGGAGGCGCTTGAGGATCAGGAACATCTTCGATTCAATGTCAAACAAGATTGGACGTGCCAGGTCTGCAAATACGATGCAGCACTGGCTGGTGAGATTCAGATCTTTTGTCTCGTATAAGCTGACATGCGACGTAGACACGTTTTGATTGTGGAGAATGTTTGAAACAGATGCAGATAGGTTGTGTGCCCGGAAACCCTCCCCCGGGGGATCGACAATGAGGATACTTTCGGGCATTGGGCTGTCCGGTTCTCCCATGGCGGTAGTCAACATGAATGGTATGAACGAAGATTGCTGTGCTGTATTGTCAAAGATGGAAATCTCAATCTCCCTGAAGCGGTTTCTGCGCAGTACGTTCTTCCAGTCACTTTCCGTTCTGGATGAAATGTTGCGGCATAGTATCACCAAAGTACCACGGTCTTTCAACAGACCTCTCGCTCTCGCGATTGCATCATCGTCTTCAGGATCGGCACGGTGCATGATGATGCAGTCATAATCGTGACCTGACATGGCGTGGTGCTGAGACTCCTGAGCGGGCGACAAGTCAATCGTTTTGAAATAGGAGCCCCATGCCTGGGACTTAGCGTTAAACATGGCCACCGTTGCTTCTCCAATGGTCGCGACTGTGTAGCCTTTGAACCACGGTGTCTTTTCGCCGTCAACCGGTTGCAAGGCGCCGAGGATCTGTTCCGTTATTTTGTCATCCTCTGCATTGATCTCCAAAATATTTAGATCAGGATATTTGTGCCCTAGAAACCCCATGAAAGTCACCAGTGGATTTTGCAATGTTCCATTAATTTCAGAACCTGTGCAAAATTCCTTCAGTCCCTGACCGTTGAGGTATGATATGTCTTCTTGCCAGTTCATCCAGCTCACAATCCTTCTAGCGCTGTCATTTGCGGCCTGATCATCTAGAGCATTTGAGTCCCCGGCCACTCTGGTTACCGTGATTTCTTCCATTGCCACCAGAGGCCCTTCCCAGTCATCTGTCGAGATGTGAACGTCCATTTGTGCATTTCTCAGACCGTGAGGCTTGACGTCCGAATATGCATGTAGGATGGTTCCTGGCTTGGTTGGCATAGCTTCAGAGATCCAGAGCTTGCCGATCGACGCAGGAAGTGCTAGTCCTTTTTCTTGCATATTTTCACTGAGGGTGACCATGATCATTTGCAGGAAGCTATCCAGTGTACAGGGGTGAATCAAGTGGTTGTGGGTGAATTTCATTGGCATCCACCCAGACACATCTGGAATCTTGATCGCACACACTACCTGCGTCTGATTTTTGTGGATCTCTATGTGATTCTGGAATGCCTCCCCAAGTTGTAGACCATGCTCTGCCAACCGGCCGTAGAATTGCTGCGGGAGTACGGTGGACTGACACTGATGGCTTGCCCTGTGATATGCTGTCCGATGCTTTTCGTCCCATTGGGTCTTTTCGTAAGCCATACCCGACATACTGTCGCCTCCTTTGGCTGTAAACTGAATATGCACCAGGCCCGAGCAATGGTGGGTCCAGGCCCTGTGTTTCATTCGGGAGTATATGTTAAACTCCTGCCAGGACGGCTGTTGCAAAGTTTGAGCCACAAGACCACGATGTTGCAGATGGATCATCGTCTCTGGCTGGTCTCCAGTTCGCGGTATGAGCAACGGGCTGCGGATCACCACATCACGCAGCTCATACCCATCAACGGATTGGCTGAGGTCGCCTGTCTCTCGAGCTGCTTCCAGGGCCATTACAAGCATCCCGGCGGCGGGATATAGGATTCTATCTTCCACCATGTGGTCCGCAATCCATGGGTTCTCCGACAGACGGAGAAAGTGGCGCCAGCGTTGCTGGGAAGGATTGCCCTCGTCGTCTCTAACGCCCAATAGGTCTTTCCGTGGGTGTTCCTTGAAGCGGAAATTGGTTGCAATGGCTGATTCATGCCAGTACCGGTTGCTGTGATTCCACGGGAATGGAGGAAGATCGACCAGTATCTGTAGCGGCCGGTCAAGTGTAGTATTCCGGTTGGCTTTGGCTATGTCCGCCTCGCTGCCTCGCTGGAAGAGAAGACCCACGGCATTAAGAAATGCAACCCTGGGGTCCTTTTTCCGGTGCAGGACACCAAGCACCTCGCATTTTGCCCCAGCCGCGGTTAATGTTTGCTTCATGGGGGTCTGTAGGGCTCCATGAGCACCAATCTCCACTATTGCATCGACGTAACAATAATCCGGGGTCTTTTTGGCCGATGTGCGCGGGCTATAGGAGGCCATTGCTTGGATTGCGTCGCTGAATCTGACCTGGCTAACGAGATTTCTCACCCAATACTCGGAGCCCAAATCGCAGTTGTTGATAGGTCCACCGGTCACGCTCGAAAACATCATAGGCTCCTGGCTGGCTCCGGGAAGAGGCTCGATGGAGCCGAGAAGATCACGATAGCGGCTTGCGACGATTTCCATATGTGGTGAATGATAGGCTATGTTGACCTTGAGTTCTTTTGCCACGATGCCGGCCTCCTTGAGGATATTTCCCATTTCCGCAATGGCAAATGCGTCACCCGAAATAGTGACACTGCCTGGACTATTGACGCAAGCAACTACGATGTCCCCCTTTGTGACTTTGTCAATGTAGGGAAGTATGTCTGCCTCGCTGATGTTAACTGCTAGCATCGCTCCGTGCACCTCAGGCCTGATTGTGGAGAGTATGCCAGCGAGCTTTCCGCGATGATATGCAACTGCCCACGCGGCCTCGGCCGTGATTGCTCCTTTGGCATACGCTGCCGCGGTTTCTCCGCCTGAATGACCACCAACCGCCACGGGAGAGATGCCGATGCTCCTCAAGAGGTCTACCAGGGCCACCTGTACCGCTATACACAATGGTTGGCTGTATTCAGGGTCATTCACTCTAGAAGACTGCTCGTCTCGCGCCAACTCTTCCTTAAGCGACCAGGAACACCCGAGGCTTTTGAGGTATGCGTCCGCAGCGTTGATACTGTTGCAGTATTCTTCGTAGGCCATTAGGCTGTGCCCCATTCCATGATATTGGGCGCCCTGTCCGGTGAAAATAAAGGCAAGCTTAGGGCGCCGCGAGGAGCGGATCGGGCTTGCCATTGTCGCCTTGCTAGTCACTTCCCGTGGCGAGACCACGATGAAGGACTTCCAAGGGAAACGCGTCCGACCTGCTGCAGCAGTGTGAGCAAGGCCCTCCACCAAACGGGGCCATCTCGCTATGGGGAGCTGGGACGCCTTGGTTTTCAGGTAGTTGTTCCACGAGTCAAGTATTCGCGTCAGACCGGATTCTTCGTATGCCGATAGCACAATGAGCTTTGGGGACGCACCCGACCATGTGACGCTTTCTTCAACACTAGTGCTGCTATTGTACCCAGAGTCAGGGGACTCCCTCCTTCGACTGTCTGAGACGCCTTTAGGAGACATGATCGGGAGCCCGTTGATGTTAGTGTGGTGGTGCCCTTCCAATCCATGAGTCCTCAAATAAGAGCATGCGTCTTCTAGAATCGCATGGGCATTTGCTCCAGCGAACCCGAAAGAATTAACGCTGATGCGCCGTGCCCCGTCGTACGGCCACTCCATCAGCTCCGTCGGCACGGCCAGATTCCATTCTTGAAGCTGGATACGGGGATTGAGCTTCTCGAACCAAATCTGGGGTGGAATCTTTCCGCTTTCAAGGATATATATTGCTTTTACAATGCCGGCTAGGCCACTGGCGCCTTCTAGGTGTCCGAGATTAGCCTTGACAGATCCCACCCAGAGCGGCTGTCCGGAAGGCCTGGCTTTGCCAATCGTTTCCCCAAGCACCCGCGTCTCTGTCAAGTCCCCTGCTGTGGTACCCGTGCCCTGCAGTTTGAATGAGCATATTGTCTCTAGCATACGATAACGGAATAATGCATGCAGCAAATTTTGGACTCACATGTGCCTCAAAGTACCCCGTATCCTCCAGATTCAGTCCTGCATCCTCATACACTCGGCGGATTAAGTTCTTCTGCGAGCTACGCGAGGGCTGAGTGAGCCCCGGAGTATTGCCATCTTGATTACATCCCGTGTTTCGAAGCACTGTTCGAATGACATCCCCGTCCCGAATGGCCTTATCTAGGGGCTTGAGTACTAGGCAACACGTCCCTTCGCCGCGTCCATAGCCATCGGCCTTTTCGTCGAAGGACTTGGACTTGCTGTCGGGAGAGACAAAGTGTAAGGTGGACAATGTTAGGTTGCTTTCGGGTGTCAATATTAGGTTCACCCCTCCCACCAATGCCTGGATCAATCAGAACGCATTTCGCAGGTAGAGGTGTGGTTACTGACCATATCAGACTCTCCGGTCCGCAGGGTCTGGCATGCGAGATGAAGCCCGACTAGTGAGGATGAACATGCTGTATCAATGCTCACGCTCGGCCCAATCAGGTTATAGAACCACGATACACGGTTCGCGATAGCTGCAATCCCGGTTCCTGTCCCTGCATAGAAGGGCATATCATGAGGATCTCGTTCCAAGATCTTCTGATAATCATAATTGAAAGCTCCGAAATAGCAGCACGTGTTCGTTCCAGAGACTGCGTCGAGTGTGAGTCCGGCTTCTATGGGTCAGCTGAAGTCTGGTAGAACGGTCTATTGGAGTGTTAAACTTGCCATTTTCCATGGCTTCATAGGCTACCTCTAGACACATGCGTTGCTGAGGGTCGATGGCTTTGGCCTCGTTGGGTGTGATGGAAAAGAACGGTGCATCAAAAGCATCAACAGGGCGATCCATGAAGTGGCCGCCACGGAAGTTCTGCCCGCCAGACCGTTCAGCATGGGGATGATAGAATGCATCTATGTTGAATCGGTTTTTTGGTGTTTCTGTCAGAGTACTCTCGCCATTCAGCAGAACTTCCCAGAGCTTATCAGGGTTTGATGCATTCCCTGGGAAGCGGCCACCGATGCCGGTGACGGCAATTGGCATGACTGGATCTTGGTGAGTGGCTGACATGGCTATATCCTTTCAGTCTATGGTTTGTTGAGTGTAAGGTGGTTCATCGCTTGTGGGTACTGGGCGATCCGCTGGTAACAAATGCTTTGACCGAATAGTTGGTATTCTATCTTCGTCATCGCTAGCTGCAGACCTGATGGATCGTGTCATATAAGCCCGGTATACTATTTATATGCAGTCTTCCAGAAGCATCTTACCATTACTCTGCGAAATACGTCACTACATTTACCGGGAGCGGCACGATATCTTCAAGCTGGGGAATATGTCAAACGGGTTTGAAACCGCAAAAATGGTCTGAACTCACCCATCTACTTGATATGGTTTAGCTTAAAGTCTGCTATTGGTTGACCCGTGCTTCAAAAACAGGGCACCTCGTGCATGTAACGTGTTTGCGCATTTAAGTTAAACAGCGCCGCCCCCGAGTAACAAGGTATATCAAACATCCAGGAAGCTACATTTGACTGATGATCATAGTCTGAAGCACTAACCCGTGGAAAACCCAATTCAACTATCTAATTCAATTCGCCTATCCGACGCTTGCACAAAATGCGCTTCCTTTGCCTTCATGGGAATGGGTCTAGTGCCCGCATCTTTGACACTCAGCTGTCCGCCCTGCAAAGGGCTCTGGGGTCGAGGTACGAATTTGTCTTCATTCAGGGAGAGTTTCCGTCCGACCCTGGACTAGGTAAGTGGCAAATTGCTTTACCTTTCTACGTTAATCAAGGATCTACAGGCGTGGACGGGATGTATCCTGGTCCATACTATTCTCCCTTTGACCTCCCCACCAAGGACCAGCTGAGCGACGCTCATGCCTTGATCGACGAAGCCTGGGAGTCGGACGGACCCTTTGACGGGCTTGTTGGTTTCTCGCAGGGTGGCAGTACGATGGCATCTTATTTGCTCCAGCCAGAAACTGCCAGAAAGCCGTTTAAGTGTGCCGTGTTTTTCTGCTCCAACCTGCCGTTTGATCCCATGTCGTCTCCTTGGAAATTCGTCGACAAGGATCACTTCGTGGATGCCACCACTGGGGAGGAAATCTCCGCCGATGACTTGATGCGTTCTATTCCCGAAGTGAAGCTATTTGACACCTCTCGTTACCCCACTCTGAGAGATGAGCTTCTTCTGAGACGATACACTGTTGGTCAGGGAGACACAATTCAAATTGATCTTCCCACTGTTCATGTATATGCGTCCAATGATTCTTGGTACTATGAGCAGTGCATCGCCACGGAAAAGCTCTGCCAGGAGGTAAACAGGGAAACCGTGCTACACAAAGGAGGGCACTCGGTTCCTTGGGATGCAGGAACCACGACGGAAATTGTCGATTGTATTCAAAATATGCAGCAAGCGGTGGATCTAGCATAGTGCTGTACCAATCAATGTTGCAGGGTGTCTCTTCCTACTGAAGATGTCCTAGCATCGTTCTTTGCAACCGGTCCCCCAATCGAATCACATTAGGCATGATATCTTTTGACTGAATGACGTCATTTGTTGACGGGCCTTTTACCACATGGCAGCTATATCACATTTTGCAAGCAGGGTTTACGACACCTGGTCTACCATGATTATCATTCCCCACACCCAATGCGGACAAGGTCATCCACCCAATGGCCCACCAAACAAGAGCATCCTTGTTGTGTCTACTGATATAAGCATGTCGGTAAGGATGGGTTGGTTCAGTGCTGAACAGGAATCTCGGTCCCTGAGCAACCTTATCCAGCATGTACCCGTGGTTAAGCACCACCGGGTGGAATCTCCGTCCTTAGAACACCTCCACATGGACACATCATAGACCGGTTGCCTTGTCTCGCGACAGCCTTTGACTTTGCAATTCCCAGTACCTCCAGATTCGTATTGAGGCTTCCTGCTCGTAAATCGATTGCAGGAAAACCTACTGGGAAGAACACATCTGGTCCCTGAAAGTTGTCTTTAACAATTCAGGACTGGTACAGCCACATGTTAAGCCGGGACGAACCGAATCTTCTCCGTCATAGGTCAACCTGAATCCATGAGGACCGTTTTATTATCAAGTTCATGGAGCTTCTTCAACCCTGCCCGAGGCCTTTATACCATGTTCCTGATAGGGATCTATGGTGATTTCCATCCATGGCATTGTGTTGCGTACGTCTACTGCATATCTTACTATGTGGCTATCCCCAAACATATCCATTTCATGACCTTCGAACCCAATCAAACCCACACACCATACCCAACCACCAACCATGCCTCCCTTCGGACACATCTACACATTCACCCGCGTCCCCAACCCGCGCCTCATGAAAGTCTGTCCCCCACCCCACTCCAACCCCTTCCTCACTCATCAATCCCACCCGCAGATCCAAGCAACCGCCAACCTGAACCACCTAACCCTAACCCTCCCCCCCAGCTTCACCATGCGCAAAGACAACAAATCCCCCGAATTCCTCGCCGACTTCCCCATGGGAAAGGTCCCCACCTTCCGCGGCTCCGACGGCCTCTTACTCTTCGAATCCGATGCCATCACACGCTACATAGCCGAACACGGACCCGCCAGCGCGCAACTCCTCGGCCGAACACCCACCCAACGAGCCCTCATCCAGCAATGGATCTGCTTCGCTAGTAATGAGATCATGGAGGCTGTGGTTCCCTGCGTGTTGTGGCGAATGGGTAGACGGGAGTATAATGAGACGATTGAGAGGGTTGCGTTGGAGAGGTTAGAGCGAGGGTTGAATTGTTTCGAAGAGTGTTTGAAAAGGAGGAGACGGGGACAGGAATGGATGGTGAGAGGGGAAAGGGAGGGGGATGAGGGGGAGCTTACATTGGCGGATATATCGCTCGCTTCGGCGATGTATTGGCCTTTTGCGTTTGTGGTGGATAGGGAGATGAGGAGGAAGTACCCAGGGATTGTGGAGTGGTATTTGAGGACGATTGGGATGGAGGGAGTAAGGGAGGCGTTTGGGGAGGTGAACTTTGTGGAGAAACGTAGAGTGCATGGTGATGAGGATGAGGACACGGGTACTCTTCAGGCACTGTGATTGATTCTGCTTATGTTATGAATGGGTCAAGTGAGCATTGACATGGCTGTAGGGTCTGGAGGGGTTGAAAGGATGTCGCTAGGTTAGCAGGCCAATCATTCACTATTTAATATAACATACTCACTCACACACAATCTCTATCCCTCCCGCTCTGATAGTCCACTCCATGGATTCTTTCATCACCTGTATCAATTCAACGTATCCAATGGGCTCGAATAATATTACCTACACACATCCATTCCTGATCCTAATCATATTCAAAGCCCCTCGCTCTCCCCCTCCCCAAAAAGTATTCCAATTCTGTGAATAACAACTCGTCCCACACACGAATTTCCAACCGAGTATATTCAACCCCCCACCCCAAATAAATAATGAAGAATTGGCGGGGGAGGGGTGAGGGTCAGGTCGGGAGTGTTCAAGATATGTAACACTTTACTCATCATCAACTTTATCTTCTTTTTTGTTTGCAGCTGTTTACCAATAACCCGGTTTAAACAAACGCAAGACTCCATCCTTCCCTTTTTCCTTCTCTCAAGCTTCATTATTAATGACGGACATGGTTAGCTTGGCTTGTATTTGAAATTATAAATGACCTCGCGTGATGCTCTACGTCATGTGTTTGATGAGAAGTACGAGGGGGGGGAATAAATGTAAATCGATAATGAAACCTTTCTGATCGCACTGCATCTCCCGTTTTACTATCTTTTCATTTTTTGTTTTTTCCTTCTCCCCCCCCTCCCCTTTTTTGGGGGCTTTACGCACTCATGACATTGGCATGCCGGGCTAGCCAAACAATAAAAATTTCGATATGTTTATCACTAGGTCCACTGGTGGCAGGTAGGCAGGCGTCATCGGCAAGATGATGATGATGATGAATATGACTGGGAACGTCACAACCAAAGAGCAGATATAATCTGATATCACTGGATATAATGGAAAACAGAATAGTGGTTTACGACGACGTATGCGGATAGGAATGCATTCTAGCTCTGTGTGACGTGAGATGAGTGGTATCCATGCGACGCGTTGATTCTTGTACGACGTTTTCCTCATTCCTAGTATGACCTTCCTTATATATCGAAGGTGGGGGGGTAGGGTAGGGTAAATCAGTGGGGTGTAGAATGGGATAGATATCTGTACTAGCTGTTTGTGGTATGGGCTGGGTCGTTTCGAAGGCGTCGATTTGGGACATGAGAAGGGAATAGTTTGCGTTATGTATGGGTCTGTGCATTATGATGTCTTTGGAAATGGTTACAGTGATTGCGTGGGTAGTGTTAGTGGTTTACCGACTTGGGGTATTTTCTGCCTAGGCATGCTGGAGATATGGGTTCCTTGGTGGTATGGCTTTTTGGGGGGTTGTCTAATCCGGTATGGTATATGTTCTGAGGTCTTGGTTGGGTAGGAGAGGTTGGTGTTAGTGTCAAGATGAACACGAGAGTGATTCTAGATCTCGCTTTCCCTTTCTCTCAGTTGAACTTTGAGGACACGAGATGCATTCTGTCTGTTCGGGTTGCATCTAACGATGTTGCATTCCCGTCGATCGATTGAACAGGTTGCAAGGCCAGGGTATGCTTCAGTGCATATTGAATACGGATGCTCAGCACAAGGACGAGTTAGGAAGGATATTTTGTCATGGATGACGCAGGAAACATTAATCATTGCGTGCACGTCCCTCAGACACTGACGTACAATATGGCGCGGTATGGTAGTGGATGGTTGCAGTGGTGGTCAAGATTGCACTGCGGTCGAAGGTTCAGCTGTTGAGGCTGTGGGAATGGGCCTGGATGTCTGTTTGTGGAGGCCAGGCATGCAATTTGTCTGGTTTCTTCCCCTCCTTCATCCGGTTGGTAGAGAAAGCGTGGTGTCCAATCATTCCTCGTTTGTCATAAGATGAGGGTTTTTCACTTGGTGGCAGAAGGGCGGCGTCATTAGTGTTCGTTGCAAGGCTTGCCCTATCCACAATGTGTACTTTTGTTCTCAATTCATGTAGACCACTAAAGATTGGCGTAAACGACTCGAGGGTAGGTACGTGATGCCATGAAATAAAAAGTTTAAAGACGACCGGTGCTCCACAAATGACAATTTGGAGTGCCAATAAGGCTGATAGCATGGTGCCCGAGATGGGATGGTGGTATCTTTGACCCATTCTGCTGATACCATGTCAGCGATGCGCTATAAAATCGCAATGGTCTTTGGTCTGATGGAAGTATCATCCGCATGATCATCCACTGGAATGCTAGGCAGTGGTTCCTCTTCCAGTCAATCCAACTCTCCAGGTAAATTTCACTACCCGACGGTCGCTCATGGCTTTTGCAGGCCTTGCCGCATGCACTGTGTGCTTTACTGCCTGTTCCCTATCCGGGGCACCATCTCTTTGCATCTTCACCATGCTGCCCATGGCTCTCCTTCTGGCGATCGTCGCCATGCATGACAGTTTGCGGAACGGTTCCTCGGTGGAAGGCCTGATGGAAGATGCGCCGATGGGGAGAAGACGGATGCGCAGGGGGGTTGGCCGATCGGCAGTCCCACCCAGGGATGATGCATGAGTACGTCGGTTGATCTCGCTCCACTAAGCCGTAGGACTGACCTAATTTTATGAAGGGAAGGCTCTCGGTCATGTCATGCTTCTCCGGAATTCAGTACCGAAGTGATCCGTGCCCTCTGATCCGGTTGTTCTTGGTCTATGGTTCGTGCTTAAGTGGTTTCATTGGCTTGCATATATTCTGCTCTAGTCTCTTAGTAGCTTTTTCTGCGGGTCATCGCTTGTAAGATCACAATGATACGTTGAGGGTCCCGTGTCTGTCCTGCTTACCTCGCCTTCTCGTAGCCCGATGGACCAGGTCTCGGAACATCCATCAGGATGATGGCGTGCGTGGCACAGGGGTAGATCACAGCCTTGTAAGTAGATTCAACCTCACTATAGCCGGCATCCATAGGGTGCGAGCGGTAGTATTTTCCGCCCGCGTTGATAGCTGGGCAGGGCCTGAGCGTGGGCGTGTTGGGTGGGGTTGTGGACAGAGCGCTATTCGTCTGGATGTGCCCTCGTGACAGTCTGAGCCATGATTGGGAGATGAATCCAACCTCCATAACAAAATTCGGTTAGCTTCCCGGTGCATATAATCATTTTTGTTATTCCAACTGGCTCGAAAGGCCCACCGGATTTCCTACAGTCCAGTCTCCTTCAACATCCATTTCTCGGCAGTGTGCCGACGTTGCACCCAAGTGCCATAGCTAGAGCTAATACTTGGGCCTAAGCTCCCGCTGAACTCTGTTAATTCACTCACTGTTGGTCAATGACAAAAGTATTTGTCAGTGAATCTGGTTCACAGAAATCTCTGATGAAACTTCACTGGATGAAGGATCATGGCTTTCCAGGCTGGGTTCATTCAATGAGCGTCCACCACCAGGACATGTCCTTGGTGAACCAGATTTGCAAAATTCTGAAAATCGCGCAATATCCTGATGATTGGCTCAGTAATCGAAAGTGGCAGGATGGACGCCTAGAGATGGTGAATACTCATCTCAACACGGCGAAGTTCAATCTCGGAGGGCCTGCCACTCAGCCAGCACCTTGAGTATTTAAAGACGTCTGCAAGTAGCGATCCCCAGTCAATACCAGTCTTCTTTCTTGGAGCACAGTCGAACCATCTTCCTAAGTCCTATCTGCCCCGTTGAACTTCATCTTTCTCTGATGTCTGCTTCCACCCCCTTGAACATGGAAACTGCCCTCTTCGGACCTGACCTCTACCATCCCAACGAGGGCATTGCCAGCCAGCTTTCCGAGGATATGCGTATCGTGCCGGAGTTGCGCAAAGCCTGGCGCCCCGGTATGGCACCTCGTCTGTTTCACGCCCGCAATCCTGTTGGGAGCTACGACACCCATATGCGTTCGATCATCATTCAAGAGTCCAAAGCGTGGATGCATCAGATCAACGACTTCCCCGACCCCTCACTGTTGGCAATGGATGCTCCCAGCCGTCTTGGATTGGTGCCTCGTGGCAAATTCCTTCTCCAAGCCATGAGAGAGGTGTTCCCCCTTCCGAACACTCCCTTCTGGCATGCTGTCGCGGAACAAGTGTATGGCTTTACCTGGTGCCTGTCGGATATCAACGTGCTGTGTCGCCAGTGTGTGCAAGGCACTTGTACCGTAGGCGTACTGGCGTGCTTTCCCGATTACCTCCATTTCCTGGGGGAGCTGCCTCAGATCCTGGACGTCTGCGCCCAACGCGTGACCGAGTATATCGAGCATGTGCATCAAGACCATGGAATGGGCCCGGAGCATAAAGTCATGGATGCCTGGATGATGTGCGTGCAGGCCGTGTACCTTGACGTGCTGCACCCCAAGGCCCAATCGATGAAGTTCCCAGACGATGAGCACCAAAGCATTCAATATCGACTGATCAGCTCCGCCGGACGCCCCTTGGCTCTGCACGCGCAGATGGAGCAGCCGAATCCTCTGATTGGCAACGATGACGAGGTCAATGCTGTTGCGTTTGCATCCACTATAATGCATGACATCTGCGACTTTCGCCACGACAACAGCGCCAACGAATATTATAACCTGATGACGATCGTCAGTGCCCATAGGGGGGTTCTCAGCGTGCCCATGATCCGCCGGTTCTGCATTGACGTCTGGGCCTGGGCTGTAAACAACGGAGCATTGTGGGCGATCCACCTGGCGGGACGAGAACTGGCCTGGCAGCTTTACATGGCCCGGTATCAGACGGGTCTTCTGTTGGACAAGCTTCTGCCACCTCGATCTGACAAGGAAGGGACCAAGGTGGATCCGTACGGCGATGCGGTACTGAATGGTCTGAACCCCTTGCTTACTGGGATCAACCCGGTGGGACGGTGCCTCGAGCCGGAGAACTATTCCCTGCGTGCACGTTGTCAGAATCCGAAGCGCTACGACGAGCTTCTCCAGCACTGCGTCCAGCATTTCCACGACTGTCCTGACTGCCGGGGGTTTGATGTGGCGACCTGGCAGGAGCGTGTTCCTGGCATTGGGGCTGCGTATGGTAAGAAGTATACGGACTGCAACTGTTTGAACACCATCAGTATGTACATGATTCTGACCTCGCCGGACCGGCTGTGGTGGCTGGCGGATCCGACGGCCGAGTACACGGGGCCTCAGGAGAAGTGGTCAGCGCTTCTGTGCTAGGTCACCTGGTCATGAGAAGAAATGAAAAAGATCCAGTCAAGGCTGATGTGACTTGCGGGGAGATGTGATTCATGTTTGATTGATAATATGATCCAAATTGCAATGAGATTGATACTTAGTCTAGTTTCGTGGTTCATCGGATTCAGATCCTCGCCAAGACGGACATTATTGTAGTGACCAAGGGGGATATTCCGTAGAATCGTCCATTCAATGCACTGGAAATGTATTTGTAAGAAACCAGAGACATCTCACCAGCATCCGGGTTCCTAACCCTCGGCAAGTGAGATAGAGACAAGAAGAGAAGCAGGAATGCGCGCTTTTTGCGTTGTTCGGGAGGGAAAAGGCCCGGGCCAATCATAGTATAAAGAAAGGCACATCCCGCCCGCCCTTCTCCATCATCGATTCTTCCCCCATCAGCCAGTACTAGTTCTGATTTATTACTTTCCCCCTTGGGGATCTTTGCGCACCCGCTGCTGGGATAGGATCCTCTCAATTCTTTTGCCTTAATTGCCTTGAAGTTCCTACTGGTCTCCTCTTCCTCCCTGTGCCGATTTGTTGGTACTTTCAAGGCATCGCCACCATGGCCTACGCAGCGCGATTCCTCCGCCAACCATCCCATCAACGCTGCCATGGACTATCCATCCTCTTCCGCCCCCGCATCACCGCCTACATTCCCATCCCAGCACACGCCAATGCCTTCACCACCAGCACCCCACATCAGGCATGTCCCTCACAATCCAAGCCCGCCCCCTCCCTCCTCCAACCGACGTTCTGGACCACCCCGAGCGTATGGAAACGCGCCTCCCTCAACACCCTCCGCTGTCTGGTGGGCTGCACACTAGGCGATTTCTCCATGCTTTGGTTCCTACAAGCCTACTTTCCGGCTTTGGGGATGGGCGCGATTATGGGTACTTCGAGTATGTAGATTACGATAGCATCATTCGATCCTTTGGTAATAAATTCACTAACAAGCACAGTGGCCGCGGGAATCGCCTCCTCTATCATGTTGGAGACCACTCTACTCCGTCTGGGGAAGGATCAACTCCCCTGGCGGGCGGCTTTCCGCACAGCCACGGGCATGAGTCTGATCTCGATGCTGGCTATGGAGTGTGCGGAGAGCGCCGTTGATTATCATTTGACCGGGGGTTGTGTGGCCTTGGATGATCCCCAGTTTTGGGGGGCGGCGGTGGTGTCGGTTGGTGTGGGCTTTTTGGCGGCGTTGCCGTATAATTATGCGCGGTTGAAGAAGTATGGAAGGGCGTGTCATTAATTGGGAGGGTGGGGGTGGTGTTTCAGTCAAAGCAGGAATGTGTACGATGTGGTTTGCGGTTCTCTCCGCTGGAATGTGGAGCTCATCGGTCAGATATCTAGCTGGATATAGTCGTGCAACAACCGGTGTCCAATCCAACCAGCCAGCTGCAGTCCCAGCAATAGACAAAATAGCTTGTATTGTCTCGATCAAGGTGGCTAGATATCTCGCAGAAATGGTATCCCAAAAAGAAAAGCGTGCGGCGTTCAGCTATGCAAAATCTCACAAAATCTTGGTACAGGGCATTGGTTCTGTCCCATCTCCCAGCGCTCACCGGAACTCCTCGATCTCCTCGGGAAATTCGGCGAAGTAGTCGGCGTGATCCTCCAGAATGGTGGCGTTGTCCCGCTTCGTAATGGCGATGAACTGGCGCTGCGCGAACAAACCGGTTAGCTCTCTATTTGCAAGCCCATACTGGGGATGCTGGTTGGGGGAACTACCTCATAAGTGACAACTTCTTTAGTGTTAACGCACTTTCCGGGCTGCAGGGCATAGCCAGTGCCATCGCATTTGGCCTCGGCGAAGGCCGTCAGTACATAGTCACCGGGCTGGGCCTTGAGCGATTTAAAGTCCTTGGCACTGAAACTCTCGCATGTCTTGAGGCTGCCGCTGTCAGCGGCCGTGTCGGCGGTGCCTTTGCAGTCCTTCTCAGTGTAGCCATGGATGACCCAGGCCTGAGCGGAGGCACTGAGGGCGAAAGCAAGAAAGAGGGATTTGAACTGCATGGTGAGCGATTGGAATAGACGTGGTTTCAGCGAGTGTGCGGAGTAGACTGGTGGAAGAGGAAGGAGAGTGGAAGTGGTCCAGCGGGAGGATCAGACGGCAATAGTCAACGGTCAGGAGAGAGAAGGTGATGGGCGAGGCGGCGGCGTCGGGAGTCCAGTCAGCCCGGCCTGGCCGAGCGAGTGGGTCAGGTCAGGAGAAAAGCATTCCAGTTGAAAGTTGAAACAGGAACCGAACAGCAGATTCGTGGCTGGAAGGGCTAATGGCCGCTAGCGAATCAAGCCAACCGACCGGGGCAATAATTCCAAGGATCTGAGCGGCGTGGGTGGGTTCCGATTGCCCAGCGGCAATGATTGGCGGGGGGAGGACTGTTCCGATCCACCAGATGCCGATGCAGATGCTGATGCTGATTGCGAATGCTTATGGCAGATAATGATGGATGACGATGGGGCCATGTTGAAGCTTGAAGGGGAGAAAGGGGAGGGTGAAGGCCCAGAAGATGGCCATGCAGATGGAGATGGAGATGGCGATGGCGATGGAGGGGAGCAAAGAAAGAGAAGCAAACCAGACAATCCCGGCGGTCAGGCACCCAGGCATCAACGCTAGCGCCCAGGCTGCCACATTCGATCCGCTCGCTTTCTCTTCGCTTGACTTCACTTCACATGAATGATTATTGCTGTCCCTGATGGGTTGGACAATTATGGCATTACCAAATGAAGGAACTCCTCTTGCCATGGAATGTCGATTAGAGGATATCTCTCCCCTGAGTCCCAGGAGGTATGACGGTCCATAACCGTTGCTACAATTGCCACCAAGAGTCATTCTATTTATATCCTCACTACTAGCGCGCTACATGTTACTTCGGACTTCGCAGTCGATCGGGGTTCGGCCATTGGAAATGGAAACAAGGTATCAAGCTTCCTGACATACCTAACTAAAACTGTCATTAAACCAATCAGAATAGTCCCATAGGTCCGTCCTCCAACATAACACATTCCTCTGATCGATATCAGCAATAGCAGCTAGCCACTTTCCAGATCGCCCCTCCCCTCTTCCCAACTTCCCAGCAAGATCGCCATCCCCGCCGCCCCAAACAGCCCGGCCACCAGCAGAAACGGCGCCCCCGTCCACACACCCCCCTGCGCCAATCCCCAGCCATATGCCATGGCCATCGTTGGCCCCGCCACCACTACCCCGATCCCCTGCATCACTGCTATCGCCGTATACAGCGTGCCCAGGTGATGTGCGTCGACGAGCGACGTGATGATGCGCCGCGCCAACAGGTGCATCGCTGACCCCAGTGCAAACACCACCAGCCCTAGCACTGCACCCACCGGATGGACCGAGACTGCAATCAGCAAACATCCCACGCACAAGCAAGCGCTGCTCGTCAGGGCCAGACTCGTGTCCTTGGATAGTGGGGTCATGTTCCATCGTCGCAGGAGCCATCGCGATAGGCCCGGGAGGATCACGATCAACAGGAGGAGGTTGGTGAACCCCCGGACGGAAATGAGGAAGCTGGCCTGCACCCAGTATCAGCTCAGGTCAATGCGTGACCCCCCGACAGCGTTCCGGAAACGAGGTCAATGGTGCAGCATCTTACCTGAGCGATCGTCCAATGAAACCTATTTGCTGCGAAGAGCAGCAGCACCTTCATGACTTGCCTCCCGAGATAGGCGGCGAAGAACACAAACAGAAACAATTGCACGCTGCGATGGCGCCGGATCACAGCCGTTGACCGGCGCAGTTCATCGACCCCTGCACGTACGCGGTCCGGGATGTTTCCTTTGTCCGCTTCTTCCTCACGCGACGTTCCACTAGGAGAGGAAGGCGGCGCCTGCGGCAATGTCTCCGGTAGGAGGAGGAGGAAGAGTCCGCCGCCGGCAGTCCCTACTGACGACAGTATATACGGAAGCCACACGTTCCTTGTCATGAGCAAGGTTCCCAATGGGGTGGCGAGGATCTCGCTGAGCAGAGCCGTGGCCGAGACGTAGAGGAAGGCAGTGGTCCTAGAATCTGTAAGCCCAGGCAGTCACCCATCTGTGGTGGTTGGGTCCCGTACTGGTCTTCATCGTTGAAGAGATCGGCCAGCATGACAAACATGATGGAGGTGGCCACTTGAGTGCCGCCGCCCACCACTTCGGCGATTGGGGCGAGCCAGATCAGTCGCAGCGGGAGTTGATCAGAGAACCAGCCTGGATGATCAGGGAATAGGCGAAGAGCGGTCGATTCAAAATTTGTACTCACAGACAATTTTCACCCACACATCACTCAGCGTGAAACCTACTGCGCACAGCAGCAGTACGGGCCGACGTCCAATTCGGTCCGCCAGCACACCGTAGGGCACCGCAAACAAGATGCCTGGTCAGAATTAGTCGAGCATCCTGGTGGTTCGGATAGCAGCGAGACCCACCAGGAACCTGCTCCAGCGTATCCTTCCAACCTTCCAGGAGGGCCACCTCGCTCTGCACAAGATCCATGCACCCCGATCCATCCTGCACTCCGGGACACAATTTGCGAGCGACAATTTCGATCCAGATCTCGATCTGGGGCGCCCGGGCAATATACTCGGCGAAATCCTGGACGAGAACGACGAAGCAAATCAAGGCAAGAAGCCGCCATCGTGATGATCGGTCTGGCAGCTTGGAGGGCCCCAGAAGAGGCATGTGCTCACTGGGAGAATCCATGACTGGATACGAAAGACAGGGAAGAAAAGTGAAAGAAGAACACGGATGATGCTCCGGGGAGGTCATGGCTTGCATTTCCTGGTGCCTGTCAGCTCTGCCGTCTGACGTGCTCTGACCTGTTCGAAAGCTCTGATAAGATCCCACGGCGAATCACCGGGCGTATCAAAGGCCCTAACGGCCTTCTTCCAGTCATGGCTTCGATAGGCTCCACCCCTGTCGCCGTAGTCAACCTGCCCGGGTTTCGGGTCGTACGCCCCAGTCAGCTGCCTCCCGGAGGCCCGTCAACTGGTGGCGAAGGCTTGTTGCATTGTCTTGCCAATTCAACCACCCCGGCCATTGACCAGTCTTTACATACTCATGTTTGCCACTTATCTATGCCAACCAGTGCACCGTCCCTTTTATACTCATGCCAAGGCAAAATGATTCCTCACGTGAATTGCATGGTGTGTGGTACGAATAGTCTCCGAAGGACCTACGGAGCTAAGATAGGCTTGGGATTGCTCAGTTGAATTATCCACCCCCATGGATTCATTGAGCTCACAGACCACCCGCACAAGTCCACCCGATTCTATGCCTCAATGAATCACGCGGTCCACCGCCAGTTCGGATCCTTCCACCCGCCCACCAGCGACTTGGTTGATACATCTGCCGCGGTGAGCTTCACGCCCTGCTCGCGATCGCGGCGCCGATTGTCATAGCGGAAGTACGCTCCCATGCCTAGGATCACCAACACTCCAAATAGGAGGAAGGCGCAGTTGACGATCAGCGCCGGTTTGTATCGCGGAGCCGTGTTCGCCTGGAACGCCAGGCTGGCCGGGATGCCAGCACAGTTGGCCGCGCCGACCAGGAACCCTACGGTGGCTGCGCGCTGCGACTCGTCAGTGACATTGTTGGTGTGCCAGCTGTGGAACACGGAGCTGGGCACAAAGGCGCCCGACGCCAGCAGGAAGCACGCAAAATAGGCGACTCCTTGATGTTGGGATGCGTCTATGGCAATCAGGATAATGTAGCCCACAAAGGTGATCATCAAGGAACCGGCCAGATGGAAGGAACGCTCGCGGAAATGGTCGGACGACTTGCACAGAATCCATAGCACGACGGTGCCGACACAATACGGCGCCACCGTGTAGAGGTTCGTCTTGACGGTGGAATACCCCAGCAGGGCCACCATCTGGGGCAGAAAATTGCTGACTGAGCTCTGGGCGATGCCGTAGCAGAAACAGCTAACGGCCCAGGCCAGCACGCGCCAGTCACTCAGCGCTGCCAGAGCCTCGGTGATGGAGAGCTGCTCTCCCGTCCGCACCGATCCGTCCTGGAGCAGGCGCATCTGGGCCGCGCGAGACTCAGCCTCGTTGAACCAGTGGCACTGGGCGCCGCTGGCGGGGAGCCACCAGAGCGAGAAGGAGGCGATGATGATGGTGGCGCTGCCTTCGATGAGGAAGAGGTACTTCCAGCCGGGGAGGTGGTGTTTGATCTGAAAGACGCCAAAGGAGATGAGGCCGGAGAAGGCACCTGATCATGTCAGGATGGTTCAGTCGCTGAGGAAGGCTACTCACCCGCGATGGTGACCATGCCATAGAAGATGCTCAGCCGAAAGGCAATCTCGTTGCGTTTGTAGAATTGCGTGAGGTAGAAGATGACGCCGGCTGGATGTGTGAGCAGCCGATGGCCAGCAATTGGGGCAGACGTACCAAAAAAGCCCGCTTCAAAGATCCCCATGATCAACCGGCAGACCAGCAGGCCAGCGAAATCATACACTGCGCATTGCAGCAATGTTATGGCGCCCCTACACGTTATTAGCGGACATACAAGTGGCTTTCGAAATACACACCATCCCAACATCATCGACGGCAGCATCACCTTTCCGCTGAACTTCTTCAGCATCAGGTTGGACGGGAGGTCAAACAGACAGAAGGTGACGTTGAACACTGCCAGAATCACGTTGTACTGGCTACCGACCAGATGGAGATCGGTCTCGAGGCCGTCCGTTTTGGCATTGCCAAGATTGGAGCGGTCCAGTGAGTTGAAAAAGTACATGAGCGAGAGTGCAGGCAGCAGTCTGGGAGGTGATCATGAGCATTTGGCTAGCAGCTGGAAGGGGTCAAATTACCGAAAGTCCAGCTTGCGCAGGACCGACCTCTCGGCTGCCGCATCGATGGTGAAGGAGTCTCCGATGACGACGCCGGCTTCTTCAGCGACGGCAGGGGGTGCCTTGAAGGTATCTTTCGTCGAGCTCTCTTCCATGACGGGTGTTTCCATCAGGTAGCTTCTCGTCGAATGTTTTTGGAGGGCTTGATATCTGGGAACTACACTCAGGCCGAGATCAGCTCGGATTATATGCGTACTGGTTTAAGCCGAGGATTGGGCCTCCGATGGCTCGTCGCCTTCACTATCGCCCATCGCCCCCGGTATGTAGATAAGATGCCAGACGGCCTGAGGGACGACCAGCGAATCCCTTCGGTCGAAAGGTACTTCGTATCAAGCAGGCCGTGAGGAGTCGAAGCATATCAGGCCGCAGATCGAGAAGTTATCAGGGCCCGGGGAGAAATTAACTCAAAGAGGAAGGGCCGGCGGTTCAGGCCGAAGCAACCGGGGCGATAAGCTTCAATGTGCACCAGCAGCATCGTTACCCCTCACCATCCACGTCATTTGCATCCTCCTTGGCATCATCCACATCCCAGGGAAGGTCCAGCCCCGCGTTATCACCCATGGCAGCAGAGAGTGGGGGTCCGTCGGCGTCGATTGTCTCTATCCTCCGGGCTTGGCACGGCCATCGTGTCTCGGGGTACATTGCACGACTATAAAACCGAGCTTAGTCCCTGATAAGAATTGCCTGCAACATCAGTGGCATATCGCTACACTATGGCTTCATCACCTGTCGACAAAGCCGCCCCGATCGCCATCATCGGAGCGGGAGTGTTTGGCCTCTCCAGTGCCATCCATCTGGTCAAGCGGGGATACAAGAATGTCACCGTCTTTGACCGTCAGCCCTACCACGAGACACACTACGACTTTGACCGCGGCTGCGATGCTGCCTCTGCTGGTACTCAGCCTCTCAAATCAAATGTATAATACTAACGTCCCTTAGACTGCAACAAGATTATTCGTGCCGCCTACGGTCACGAAACATGGTACCAGAACCTGACCCTCGAAGCCATCAAGGTATGGGAATCCTGGAACGACACGCTCGCCACGGGAGCCATGCTTCCCCCTGGCATGACACGCGACGAGCGCATCTATGTCAACTGCGGGAACTACCATTTCGGCGACCACGGCGACGCCGCCGGACTGAATCCCTTTGAAAAGGCGTCCGTGGAGAACATTACCAAGGCTGGTCTCGGCCACACCCAGTACCTTTTCGCATCCAAGCCGGAGGAGGCGAAGCGAGCCAAGAAGGATGGCTACGGGTATGCCGTCGATCCCTTTCACCTCTCCGGTGATGGACAGCCCTCCGGATACCTCGACATGATTGGGGGATTCGTATACGCGGACAAGGCGTGTCGTTACGCGCTGCATCTAGCGCAACAACTGGGAGTCAATCTCGTGCTCGACCGACAAGCCGGCAGCTTCGAGGGCTTTGTCGAAGACAGCACCGGCACAGTAACCGGGATCCGCACTACGGACGGCAAACAACACCCAGCTTCCCTAACCATCGTCGCCTGCGGGGGCTGGACCCCCTCTCTTCTTCCCGAAATGGACGGTCTCTGTGAAACCACGGCCGGGTCAGTGGCGATGATCCAGATCCCGTCTTCCTCTCCCCTCCGACAACGATTCTCAGCGACCAACTTCCCGGTCTTCCAATGGAACGTGCGATCCGGTGAAAACGGCAACCTGTACGGGTTTCCCCTCGACGACCGGGGGGTCCTGAAGATCGGCTACCGCGGGACAAAATACACCCACCCGCAAGTCCAATCCGACGGCCATGTGCGCAGCACACCGATCACGAAATGGACATCTCCATTCATCACCGGGTTACCGGAGAAATCTGCCACGGTGATTCAATCCTTCCTCGACCGATATATCCCCGAGCTCAAGGCCGCAGGGATCGGGATCTCGCAGACGCGACTATGCTGGTACACGGATTCATACGACAACCACTGGGTGATTGACCAAGTGCCGGATAAAAAGGGGGTGATTGTGGCGACGGGAGGGAGTGGACATGCATTCAAGTTCCTGCCAGTGTTGGGACAATTAGTGGCCGATCGGGTAGAGGGAGTACAGTCAGAGTTGCTGAAGTTGTTGCAGTGGCGGAAACTAGGGAAGGATGAGAAGGGATTGAACGAGCTAATGAGGGGATTCGAGGATCGAAACGCGCTGCAAAAGGTGAAGATGGTGGATGATATAGGGAGGGGGAGTAAACTATAGCCTCACCCCACTATACCTACACGTAACCAACAATCAACCTATAACCATGTTAACTCGAAGCAGTAACAATACCATAACTATACACACACACATATACATACATACATACATACATACATACATACATACATACATACATACCCCCCAACTCATCCTCCCATTTCACATAACCATCAATTTCTCATCTTATATCACACATTACACCAACTCACTCCACTTATATCCTCTGTACCTTCACCTATCTGGAAAGGCGTGGATGGAGGAGAGTCCCTTGCAATGAATGGCCTGCGCCACGACGAGAAGTAACAATCCTTTCATGTCTGAAGCATACCCGATTATCTATCTGATGGAGTGAGTCGTCGGGAGTAAAGCAAAGCTCAAGCTTATTCTATCTCGACAATCTCCCGTATATCTGGCATTGTAGTAACATGTCATCAACTATGTTGATAATATCGTCGACGACAGGTCGAGGGGTACGATGTGGTGGATAGTAGTGGTGTGGTTGGTGCTATAGTGTCATCATTTGGAGGATACAAGGTTTATATCAGCTCAGGTCGGACATAGCACAAAGGCTGGTGATAATTTCCTGATAGATTTTGTTACGTTCATACCAGTAGGCCAAAACGGAAATCCGCTGGCCATCTGGAGAACAGACGGAACGAAGACTCTTTGTCCCAACAAATTTTGACTAAGCCGCTATGCTATGTACTCATGCAAGATGCATACAAGATGTCGACCAATGGCAACAACAGCACAAATTCAACACGCTAACATGCGATACGATGCAATACTCTTAGATAAATCAACCCTCTAATCACCTGCAAATTACCCGATTCCCGCAACTCAATCTGTCATCAAGCGATCGTGATATTCTGACTCAAAGTTTGAAAATACGGCTCGTACAAAGCCTAGCCCGCACGTCAGCAACAAACATTCTACTCCACGAAAGTCAACAGAAACCACTCACCCCAATAAGAGTCGCATGCGCCACTCCCAGAGTCGCCGCCCCGGCAGCAGTTCCCTCCGGGATAGTCACAGTGAAGTTCTGATACTGAGGCAGGTAGTATTCATGATACACGGGCTTGAACGGGCCATTGTAAAGGACGACGCCCATGACCTCCGAGGCGGGGTAGCAGGTCGACGACGCACAGGATTGTAGGCCGATGGCGATGCTCATTTCTTCGACGTTGGTTGGGGGGGTCTGTTCACTGTATTAGGGGGGTGGCCATCACGGCAGAGTAACGCAACTTACAGGACGCTGGATCTGCACGGTCAGCTGCTGTCCTGCCTTAACTGTCTGTCCGGCGGCGGGTAGGGCGATGTCGACGTTTTGGGCCAGGGCGCTGGCGACAAAGGTGGTGGCTATGGCGAGGATGGTTCTCATTGTGGCGGTGGAATGAATATCACACTGAGTGGATGAACAAGAATGGAAGCAAGCATAGGAGAAAGTAGAGCCAGTGTGGCCTTTTATATAGACAATCGACACGACCGGATGAATCCAACGCCGTGAAGGGGAAGGATATCAAAGACCAAAATAGTAGCTTCCATCTGGAACACGGGATTGACAGGCGCGGATCTGATTGGCAGGGTTTCAGCTATGAGTGTCGATCGGTTGTCAAGGTGATGCATCGAATCGAGATGGACATCCGGGGTCTCCCAAGGGAGGAATACGGGGCCGCCCTAACGGGGTAAGTGTTGAGACAAGCAATTTAGCAGGATGGGGGCCGTGGTCCACCGATTCCCCTGACTTTATTCTGCAGGCTGCAACATTAGCGGATACTTGACGTGAAGAGAGGACAGCAGAGGGGAATGCATACCCCCTGGGTGCATAGTTGTGAATTAATGATGAGCTCAGCTTGTGCATGCACAAGTCACCTGATGTGGGGATGGGTGGCCTGGTGGCCTGACCGGCGGTCGCATGCCATGATTCATTCATTCAGTCGGCAGGATTCATGGCGGGCTGTGGCGAACGCAGATCTTGAATCATTTTTCTTATGGCTAGGAGTCAGTAGTGGAGGTGACTGGTCGGGGATAAGGCCCTCCATGATGGGATGAGTGAGTGACTCGATATATACCGCTGAGTGAGACCTGCACCACCAGCCTGCCAGCAAAAGCAATGCCCACGCCTTCTCACCTGATGGCTGATGGCTGATGCTGATCGGCAGGTATTATACCAGCACACGCCGATCTATCATACTACTAGATAATATCAGGCCATCTCACCTCAGCGGCGATCCTCGCCCTCCACCGGGGAGGAGGGGAGGGGGCTCAACCAACCAAAGTTAGCATTTTGCAAAGGATCATACTGGGTAGCACCCTTATTTGCTTGCTCCACGGAGGCAACTTGAAGAAATCCCAGTCGATAGCGTGCTCTTGGACTGGGTGCGTCGGTTCGTCCGGATAAGGATGACGTTGCAATGTGCAAGCCTCTCGAGCCCCGCGTCTTCCGTCTCTCCCCAACCTAACCAGGCTACTACCTTCCGCCACCCGGAGCTTATCTCGCCCTGAACATGGTTCGATGAGGCTTATCTCGAAAACTCTACTAGAATACGGAGTATAGATGCAAAACTTGATGTATCTGGCTAGAACAGGTATCACGCTGTGAGAAAAAAAGACCCGCTCGTGTATCAACAGGCGCTGGCGTAAATGTATTCACAATCATAAGCATGGGGACATATATATACATAAATGCAATGGGTATTTGCAGCTGGTCGGGGGATGATGCCAACCCGTGCCGGAGTTTGCGGGCTCGTGGACCCGCCCGTCCCGGTCGGACGTGGAGCAAGAATCATGATTACAGGAAGAGGCAAGAAGCAGGAGGCAAGACACCCCTTACTCCGGGGACGCGCATGAGAACACGCCGCGGACTGAGCCGTTGCGGTAGTTGATCACCTGCCAGACGATTAGCACCAGTGTTATGCAGACCACAAGCTAGGAAACTTACAATATCGTCGACACTGGCATAGGTACCAGCCCCCAGTGTCACGAGTCCAATGATCAGGCACATCAGGTTCAGCGCACCCAGCATCAGGTTCTTGGGTGTGTTCCATTTGCCCTCGCGGAGGAGCAGGAACCACATCAGCGCGGGGAAGTAGAAAGTGAAACCCGAGATGAAGAGCGAGGATGAGATGGACAGCAGATCCGAGAAGAAGGGAATCACCTCGGCAATCACAAAGGCTAGCCAGGTGATGATGGTGATCAGCACCAGCCAGGTGATCCAGCCCATCTTGGTGTTAATGAACCGGATAGGCGAGTTCTTGAAGATGCGCCCGTGCACCATACGACCCAGCACGACCGTGTTGATGGAGCCACTGATGAAGATGACAGGGAGGGCGATACCGAAGGCAACCCTCTTGACCGTGCTGCCAGCCGACAGCAAAGCCGGGCTCTGCACGTCCTGACCGACAAAGGCATAGATCACGGCGCCAGTGATGGTGTAGATGACAATTTCAATCAGACCCAGGGCCCAGATCGACTTGGTGTAGTCCTTGGGCGTGTGCATCTCGTCCATGAAGGAGAACTGGCACATGGCGAAACTGTAGGCGAAGACGATGTTGGTGACGGCAATGAAGGCGTCGGTGAAGGTGATGCCCTCCTTGGGCCAGGCCGACCAGTCCACAGCCGACAACCCACCCACCTCGTTGGAGCTGCGGACTCCCGTGGCAATCATAGTGATGAGGATAGCAACGATGATGGAGACAAAGTCGATGTAACCCAGGATAGCCATCTCAGCGAAACTGGGAGGCACAGCAAAGAGCAGCAAGATAATGGCGGACACAACGGCGAAGATGACGGAGCAGATGCCGCTGTCAGTGATGTTGATGAAGGCGATGGTACCGGTCAGACAATGAGAGCCGGTCAGGAACAGCAATTGCAGACCCAGCATAACGTAGACGATCTCGTAACCCACACGACCAAACATCAGACGACCCGCTTCGGGGTAGTGGGCAACCTCGGGGAACTTCAACTTGACCTGACCGACGACGTAACTGGTGTAGATGGCGATGAAACCCAGACCGACAGTCATGATGACACCGGCCACCATACCGAGCGTAGCGAAACTGGAGGGAATAGACAAACTACCGAGGGCGATAGCCTCGACGATGAGGACCACGGTGAGACGCTTCCAGCCCAGACGGTTGTACTTTTCGATACCGGCCTCGTAGATGTTCCGCTCACTCTCACTCATCTTGTCGACCATATCGCCGTCGAAAGGCGGCGGAGCGAACTTTTCTCCTTCCATGCCCGTGACATTACGGGACTTGTTGTCCGTCCCGATCTCGTCGGCGTAACCCATGGCGGAAAAAGGTGAAGGTGATGTGTGTAGTGGGAAAGATGGGGTGACGAGAGGCGGAAGGGTGGAGAGGGAAAGGTGGGAGGTTCACACAATGCCCTGTCACACCGGATGCCTGAGGTCGGGGTGAGGTGAGGAAGACAAAGAGGGAGGAGGCGAGTGTCGAGAGAGAGGGAAGAGAGAGGAAAGAGAGGGAAAGCCGGACGGTTTTGAATGGGGCGGGACGGAGATTCACCGCAGGCTCCAACATCGACGGGCCACTTCCTGGCAGCTCCAACGTGTGTCGGATGAATCCGGGCAAGCGCCAGTTGCTGATAAACAGGCCGCAGCAGACCACTCGTTCGCCTGCCCATCACACGATGAGGTGGAATCCATTTGGTAATGAGATTCGGTGGCGGTTGCTAAGGTTTGCAGGTTTATCAAAATCCACGTGGGGACCAAGCTCCCGCCACTGCACCTCCCAGCCAATCATTGTCCAACCAATTCTGCCCAGGCCGTGGAATCGCCCGAACCCGGACTAGCGTCCACCAGGGGTTAAGCCCCAGGGTGACGTTGGGCTGCAGCGGTACCCGCTTGAGGTTTAGCGTTGGGGTTGCGCTAGCCCCGACGCGGAGGAGAGAGGGCAGCGGTGCGCCCCCCAGGCTTAAAGGCTATTCGTCTTAGGCTCTTAGCCTTGCCCTCCCCAGACTCGCAGGATGGACTAACACCGGCGGTTGCAGTAGTCCGCCCTCTACCGTCCGCCCGATCGACGCGGTAGTAATCCCCTCGGGGTGTCCGGCACGAAGTTTATTTGCACTGGCGGCGGCCAGTACGAACTAGCTACCAAATATTAGTAGTAGTAATCAGTAATCAATAATCAGTAATCAATACTCAGGATTGAGCAACCGAGATGAAAGCCAAGAAGCAAAATACCGGGGTGTTCACCGGGGGGCTCACCCGGGTGGAGGGTCCAGGTCATGGCAAATGGCAAATGGAGGCAGTGTAAACGACGCTGACCTGCAAATGAAACACGGAGCAATGTTCTCCCTCGAATTGGGGAGAAGCCAACTCCAACATCTTCTAGAAGCCTGACGAATGCGGCAAGGGAGCGACACGGTTATCAATGTGATGACCAATTGCTATCGCTCATCGGCACGGGCGGTCGCACCGCGGTTGGAGGCGAGAGCCCCTTGCTGGTCCCGGCGCTTATCTTATCCCGTCTGACCTTCATCGCTCACCCGATGTTTATCGCTGTTATTATTCATGGACCGCTGATGGCGACCCGGCCCGAGAGATTGGCCCATCCATCGTGACCACTGTCGCTGACATCTGATGCTCTATCTATAATTTTAGAGGATGATCGGGAGCGGATGACGACGCAGTTGCGTCCTTGCATGTCCGGGCCATCCGCTGCCTCCCGGATCCCGACCGTCAGGCATCAAGGCACTCAGACCAGATGTTGTGTTGGAGCAGCCCTCAGGCATCCACCCCAACTGACTCCAACCGAGCACACCCTAAACCGGAATGGGGAAAGTCTGGTCTCGATGCCGAGTTCCGTTCCGCTCGGTCGGGGTTCGGGGCCGGTCGGTCTCCCCAGATTGCTTCCCATGGCCTGAAGGAACTCTGGATCGCTTCATTATCTCGGGCAATATGACATCTGGCGGCCCGTCAGGTAAGGGGCCGGCTCAGACATTCGACCCAGTACTTATCCAGCACATTAACCTAACCTTCTTTCAGACCCGCTGGTGCGGAGATCGATCCCGCTCCGAGCTCACACCCGCTCAGTGGGCGGAAGAAGACATTCTTGTATGGAGATGCTGTATTCCAGGCTGACTTATGCGTGAATGTCCTGGTTTGACTCCTGGTGTACCGTGTCTTTGTTACAGTGAACATCTCATTTATATCCACCGAAGTACATTCCAAAACACGTTCATCAATTCGTCGCTGTGCATATATATATAGCAGCAGGCGTAAGTAATCACCACCTACTTCATCAAAGTGTTCAATGTGTTAATGTTATGAAGCAAAAAGGAGAAACCCGACGCTTATATAAACCTTTAGATCAATAGAATCTCACTGTGCAAGAATGAAAGGCCGCAACTGGGGACCTAACTTGACCCAGTCGGTTAGATAGAATTGGCCGAGGCCAACACGCTTTACTGATCCCCTGGTGAGTCTCCACAAACATTACTGAAACATATATACAAACGAGGGCTGGATAATCGACGGCGTGATCGTAACTCTGCAAATCGGGCCACCCCTCGGGATCACGAAGCTCGTAGAGAGCCGCCCCAGTTGAGTCGCGCCACAGCCCCTCGATATTTTTATAATATGCACTGGCAGATAATGCAAGGCCCAGTGCTTCAAACTGTGTGTCTGGGTCTGTGTCGAGGGCTTCCGAAAATCGACGCAACTCGCCTTGCTTCATGTTGTTTTGCCTACCAACTTCCCGTCCATCTTCCGTCCGGAAACAGGCTACACCCTCTTGTAGCAATTGAGGGTCGACCTTCAAAATAAGCGAGCTGGTGTGCACCATGATTCTCCCAGGCTGTTGTCCAGCAAGCCTGATTAGTTCAGAAGAGATTCTTTCATGCAGATCCGGCACAGTCAGAGTATGGCGATCAATTCCAAGTGCGTCAGTGCAGAGCTCATCTATCGATGACCATCGGGCCTCAATCAACTCAACATAATGTTGCCATCTGGCATCGGGCTCGAAAACGGCTGGTAACTTGGATGGAAAGCACCCATTTCGCCAAGCAACTAAAGCAACGAGGAGCTTCATCTTGTGATCTTTGTTGCCAGGAACCGATGGCTCGGAGATGGGTGGTCGAATGAATCGTAGAGAGAGGTTGTCCGAGGCGACTGCCCAAATGGCTAGATTTGTTACAGGCATCCCATCCGGTCTCCAAAAGCTAACAGGACCCTTGATAGAGACCCAAGACCAGGACGGAAAGACTTCGCCCTTGGGCGGGATTCGAGTGTTGTACATTCCACCATCGGACTGCCACATCATGCAGGTTTCGAACTCTTCTTCAAGGGGAAATCCATATTAATGTGCCGACCCGGCTGTGTGCTGTAGGATTCCTGTAAAGCCGAAGAGAACATCTGACTCCAGAGTAAATTCTCTCTTTGTGTACTCGCAAAGTAAATTGGAGATCCGTGAGAAAGTATAATTGGTGTGAATGTTGACCCATTCAGTTTCCCGCATGTCACGATCCTCCATATGGATCTTTTCGCCATCATAGCACTCAAAGATAACTCCTTGGTCGGAGAAGAGCAGTACCCGGGAAGATAAGAAAGCCTCTTGGAATGTCCAGCCTCTGGTCGCCCATTTAGATCGGCTACAGAGAACCTGGTACTGATCATATTCCCGGAGCAGGTAAACGTCTCTTGTCTGATATGGATCCGTGGTAGTTTCTCTTGGCTTGGATACGCCAGCCAGTCCATCGTGGGCACCTTCGCCCTGGAACTGTGCAATGATGAGACAGGCATGCCCGTAAATCCTTCCCATTGCATTTATTTGGGCTCTCTTTTCTTCCATGCTGTCCTGGACGATGCACAAGCGGTCGACCCATAGAAAATGGATTCCCAAGTTGGAGCAAACCGTCATGGCATCTGTGATAGCGGTCGGAATGCCTTCATTATCAAACAAATATCCATCGCTTTCAAGTTCGTGGACGTTATCCTTGGTCGCTTGCAGATCCGAATCTTTTGTTGGTCCCCATACATAACTCAAAGTTGCATACTTGGGCACCTTGAGGAGTTTCATGACCGATCTTGATTCCAAAATTAAACCTGGTCATTCACCATATATATCACGAGAATAACTGGCCAGAACGTGTCCCACTGCAGCTGACTGGCAGGAAAACATTAGGCATCAGTTCAGCTGAGAGCGTCGCCAACAGCATGCGTTGGGCACATCGTGGACTTTCGCGCATCTGATCAATTCCGATAATCCTACCATGGAGGCCTGGAAGAAATCAACCATGAGAGTCGAGCCTGGCAACAGCATACCAAAAGTCGAACACCTGGTGGAGGTAATCACAACGTTCATAGCGAAAGGAAGGCGCCACAGCCACACTTTCCGCCTAAGGCCTACTTTTTATAACCAGCAGAATCTTCACCGCTGAGATATATTCATACCTGAGGCACTACTTCACGACTAACTCTGTTCTAGTCGTGGTTTATTATTTCTACGTGATGGCCCTCTGGAGACCCTACTTGAGATACCTGTATCAGGCCATGCGTTGAAGCCTCTGTATAAGATTATATATATATACTATATCTACCCCATTTAAGACGCTATAGAAGACACCTGTCCATGTGTTGGAGGTGAGTGAGGTAAGGGGGTGGGTGGAAGTGTGAATAAAATCTATTATGTATAAATCTCCAGTATGTAGCATTGTATTATGGCTACTAGTTAAATTGTAATGACTGGGGATGAAGCAATCTATGGCTTTGGGGTGGGAAGCGAGACCATATTGAATATATTGCTGCAAAAGACATCATCATTGATTCAAATCTCATCTTCCTCAATATACCTCAACCATATGCGAAAGATTATTTTATCCCCTAATCAATCTCCTCAAGCAAACCCCTCATATACGCCGCCGCCATCAACGCCGCATACATCTCCCACCTATCACTTGCATGAACATCCGCATAATTTGAAATCCCACGAACCACCAAGCACGGAAAGGCATCAACCAAGCCCACGGCTTCATTGTCCAGACACAAAACATCCGTCCCTCTCACAATGCAATCCCGATCAACCGCATGTTGAATCCTGTAATCACCAGATCCAATCACAACATAATGCACCGCCGAATTGGGTCGGTTATGCCTCACAATCAACCCCGACGGATCACACCCGATACAATCTGTCCCCACATGGCAGATATCACTGCGATAAAGCCGATCCGTATGAGAGGGAGGACGCATAAATCTCTCTTTAGCATCAGGACCCACATTCTTCTCCACCATTTCCGTAACAACCTTTTCCAGAGAACGCATATCATGTCTCCTCCGAAGCCTATCCAACGCTTCGCGGAGAGAACTCAGCTGATCTATGAAGCGCGGACCCTGATTCAGGAAAGCTCCACCCTTGGGAAGCCACACATAATAGATTTGAACGGCAGTCTGATTCTCACCATCGACACCGACCACGACATCACCGAGACGGATATCGTGTTGGGGACTGGGCACCCCCGAGGCCGCCCCAACCAGAAATATGATTCTCAGGTTGGGAAACGTAATCCGCATGGCTGTGGCGACTGTGGTCGTGGACGGGGTTCTACTCCCCGTGACAAAGGTAAGCGCTACATTGTGCTTGCCGATGCGACCTATCGTGTAGGCATTGTGATCGTCGTGGCTTGGGGATTTCAGAAGGCCGTGCTCTTCGTCGAGGGAGATCTGGGCGGCGGTAAAATCGGTGAATGTTGGACAGATATATCCGATGGTATATAGACGGGGGTCGGACATGTTGGGGGGATGGAAGATGGATGGATTATGTGATTAGGTTGAATGCTGAAGACCGTTTTTATAGGTGAGGGGCGCAGATCATATATGACACTCATAGGATGTCAGTGGCAGAGGAGAGGCAGGTGCTGTATGCATGATCAAAGAAACCGATTCTGGGGTCAGGTGGATATCATGGACTGCATCTGATTCTGACCGGGGAATCCCAGAGTATGCAAGATAATCAACGAGAGATGAGGATTTACCTATGTTAAGGTTGTAGAGATAAGCTTTGGTCTCGAAGATCGATGCACTTGCCGAAGACTTAATCAAGTACACGGATTAAGGCAGGGACGTACAACGGTTCTTTGTTTCCTGGACAGCGACTTGCCGGGAATAGAGAGAAAGCACGCTGACAATGCATTACCAAAACAACTGATATAGGTACGTAGATCTTGACAAGATCTCGTTTCGGGGAATGTACACCACCAGTTACGTCTTGGAAGTGGCAATAACCTTCTTACGCGGGAAATATCCAACGGGATGTTCATTGTACCTTTGTTCCTTTGTCTTTTGTTGTGATGCGGAGATACACATATTTGTATTGGTCCAGTGGATAAGACAGTTGACAATGAATTAAAATTAGAAAGAATAAGGGTTGAACCCTTCTTTCTTCACTCGACGCGGAGCCCTACCAGCATTCTACTACCTGCAAGTTGTGGTCTGCTGATAAGCGGTACTATGCATGACCCAACCATTCTGGCTACACCCATCTCTGATATGAAAGTGTTTCCAAACACCACACAGGAAAAGAAAATCGGGGGTAGTAGGGAGAAGGTAATGAGTAGTCGGGTCTTCTCGGAGAGAATAGACAACGACTTGGCTATGCTGCTTACCACTGGGAAATCTTCATTTCGCCCAAGACATCTGCAGTATGAAGTTGCTACTCGTAAGATGTAACCGATGGGGTCCGTCCTGACCCCGTCACCAGAGTTGATCACAATCTGGAACGAAACTGTTTTTTTCGAGACAGAGCAAACGTCGATCCAATGTTAAGTGGTCACCTTCTCGGACGAATAAGGATTGGCAAGGCTCCAAATGAAGTCACCTATGCGGAAATCATCTCGGATCCGTTCCGCTTCCCAAAAAGGCGTTTCGCCGGAGGAAACCTATGTTAGCTAGACAAGGTCTGCAATTCAAAGGCTGCGGGAAAAAGACTTAGCGGAGCCATTTGGCATTGATCGATTCATGGCTGATTCACCGGCTTTCGCTGGCCAACGTACGAAGAGACCCGACACTACTGCAAGCATCATCAAATACACGAGCCGGCCAATGTAGCCAACCGTTGCCTTGGATCTTATTCTCTCATGCAGTAAGCCTACCTTTAGACGTAGGTATGAGAAAGCCCAGTCAAGCTGTAGTTAGATGTCATGATGACCAAATAATGACTGTCAAAGTGGCATCCCTGGTTGATCACATTGTTTCCAGAGAGCTCGTTCAGCTCTCATCTCAACATCGTACCTCGCCATAGCGAATTCCAATCCCTCGTACCATTCTGGCATCTCAATCTGACCGAAGTGTGCTTTGGTATACTCCCAATATTCTGGATACCAGCCACCGAATTCCCAATCAATGATTGCGGAAACTTTGCCCTTGTCCACAATAATATTGCGAGGGCAGAGGTCAGCGTGAGTAAAACAACTTCGATAATGCCGGGAGTGACAATCAGTGACTTCTTCGCCAAATGTTTTCGTGCAGTTTTCAAGAATAATATGCCTTCGAAGGAAAGAGTGGAACGCTTCATGTTCATTGAAAGGACCGAAAGTTAACGGTCTAACACGATGGTCCAGACATACTTGAAGATCCGCTGAACCAACAATTCCTTTACACGGTGGATCCAAGCTCCGAAACTGGTTGACATAGCCTATAACCTCGGCAATGATGTGTTTCTTCTGATCTTGTGAGAGATGGCCGCCGAGCCAAGCTGCCTGGAGGTCCATTCCACTGACATAGGTCAGTTTAATATAGAGCCCATCGCGGTGATGATAGACATTCAGGATTTTAGGGACAGGTATAGATGTGTGCTCGGCGACATAGTTCAAGGCTGCAAGCTCTGTTATTTCGCATGGCCCTTTAATGATTTTGCGAGGGCTAATTCTGACACCTAATCTTCCCACTCGTCCATAAAGTCGCTTTCCAATCCAAAGTCGGATGGAAAGAAGATCTAATTTCGCTGGATGTGATATATCTGTCTCGTTTGCCATTTTGCTACAGCTTCAAATAGCTAGACGAGATCGTAATCGCTCAGGTCAGCTAGAAAATACGAGATGGAGACCGCATCTTCGAGAGAAGGGAGGATTGTTTAGTCCTGGAGACCGCTCACCTTGGATCCCTTATCGCATGTTTCAAATTAACTTGAAATAAAAGATGCCCATATACGCTCAGTCATGGAAGGCCCTACCCACTCCAGTAACAGTTGGATCAACTTGGGGGATTGTGGAAACATTGGAACTGATGTAAACAAAGGAGGCGCGGCGGCAACAGGATAGGATAGCATGAGGCATGCAGATTAGTCATCTATTCACCGCCCAGGGCGTGCACATCGCTAATGAAGCTAACTAGCTAGGAATAATTGATCACTGAGAGAAGTAACTCTCGCTATCTAGAACGTGTGATGCCAGTGAATAGCGGTCGACTGCACGTCTGGTCGAGGTTGGCCCTGTCGTTGGCTGGTTGGTAAAGAGCTCCTTCTATCATTACACGCAGCGTGTAGATAGATAGATAGTCTACAATCCAGGAGTGGTTCCTAGTCCCTTTCCATGGCTTGCGCAAATACCCTGTCTATCCAGGAAAATCTGCCAAGGCGAGACACATTTACGTGGTCGGCCACAGCATTGGTCTCCAAGTCTGTTCTGAGTTGTGACGTATCTTGCATCGGCCGATCAACGTGAACCGGCTATCTCCGGAGTCCGGATCCATCGGTGGCAAGTCGAAATCCTTCCTTGCAGTCGAAAAGTCAAGACAGCTAGCTAGCTGTGAGATCTGAAGAAACGAAGAGAGTAGCCGGGCCCATCATTGCAGTGCAGAATTGCTAGTTCCTTCACGCGATCACCATGGCCCCTCTGAATGGACGGCCATGGCACAACTCGCCCTCCCGCCTGGTCCAATCAAATCCCCCATCGCAGCTCGGGAACAGCTGGCATCCCCCACGGATCCTCCTGAGTGGTGTGCCCGGAATGAGTGGCAATTTAGCGAGCGGGATCGACCGGCGCGGCAGTGAGGGATCGCGATCAGGTAGGTCCATTGTTGACAATACATTGCCGCACGTGCAAGGCTTGACTTCCCCAAGCCAATAACTTTCCCTGGTCGCATCGTGACAGACTCCTTTTGGCAGCGGAACAGGAGCAGTCTACCAGGGGCGGATGGTCGGAGTTGGATCGACTGGTGGGGACGTTGTCTCATCCTTCACCGTAGGGCAGCCGACCGGCTATATAAGGTGTGACCCAGCCGGACTTTCAGGGACGCTTCCCCTGACCACTGTCCATCCCATCCATCCAATTCCACAATGTACTCCAAGCTATCCATTTCTTTTGGCCTTTTGGCCACCGCGGCGCTGGCCCTTGCCGACTCGACCGTTTACCTGATCCGCCACGGCGAAAAGCCCAGCGACGGCGCCACCGGCCTCAGCTCCGTGGGCTCGGAACGCGCCCAGTGCTTGAAAACAGTTTTTGGTCCGGATTCCGACTACAACATCGGATACATAATCGCCGAGCAACCCAAATCAGGTATGTAGACAAAAGGCACTGCAATTGCTCATTGTCAGACATTGACCGAACGATGTAGATGGCAAGCGGGATCGTCCCTATGAGACGGTCCTCCCCCTCGCCGAGGAGCTGGGACTCACCATCGATACTTCTTGCACCAAGGCCGACGCCAAGTGTGTCAAGAAATTGGTCAAGCACTACTCCGGCAGCGGCAACATCTTGATCTGCTGGGAGCACGGAGAGTTAACCAGCATTGTCGAGGAGTTGGGCGACGATAACGCGCCCACCTACCCATCTGACCGGTACGCTTGATCCCATGGAAATAAGTCCTAGAGACATGAGATTGTTCGAGAGGCTAATCCGAGATGCGCAATAGGTTCGATCTCATCTGGACCGATCCTTCGCCGTACACCGACATTACCGACATCACGAGCGAGGATTGCCCGGGCCTGGACGACTGAAAGGTTAGCGGGAGGAGAAGCAGGTGGCATGCTTCATGCAGCATGCAGGGGAACGGCTGAACCTCGTGTCACTGTAACCGACAGTTCTCCCGGCATTGGCCCCCTTTTTAAAAACGAAGTAGCACCGATTTCCATGGTCTTTTGATTAGGCTGTTGAAATGGTGGCCAATATAAGAAATCCACTGGGGCATTTGTGCGCCATGTCTTAGAATCCAGCACGTCATGGTTCGTTGGGAATACACAATGCACCGGGATGTAGGCTAGTGGCATATCAATAGAATGGCGTGCTTGCCATTTTTCCCGGTCGCAATCCACCCTCGACCACAGGGGAGGCACAAAAGGCCATTCATAGCGAGCGAACTCCATGGACCTCAGTTCTGGCCAGCTCTCTAGCAATTTCGCCGTGAACCAGGGGGCTCAGACCCAAGCCATGTGTTTGATAAGGCCACGAATGCCAAGACAGCAGGTTACAGCCTGATAGGGCCAGGAGTGTGCCTGCACCGGCGCGGAACTTTCCATCGGAGTTATTGTCTCATGGGAGGCAAAGTCTGTTGGTGATGCAGGCAAATGAGATGGCCGGGACGAAAGCTTTGCCGCGCTGGGTGGTCCCCCTGCACCACGAACGCCTGCCAGAGGCCAGCCTTGGCTCACCCGGCCCCGAGATAAGACCAGTCCAAGGCTTTTCCGGTGGCACTAAGCTTCTAGACAGCCCTTGGCAGCGGCCTTAGCCGACGGACGTGGGTGGACTCAGGTCCATCGCCCCTATCTATCCAGCTAGCCCGGATGGCTGAAAGAAGGCTAATGCGCCATTAGCTTTGTCCGGGAAATTACTCTCCGCTCCGCCATTATCGCGAGCGGTGACGGGACATTGGTTGGCCATTTCTCAGGCTCTAGGATTCCTAGGCTCTCTACGAGAGCAGGGGTGGTCAGGACGCAGACAAAGGATAGCCCTCCATTCTCACCAGCGTTGCCTTGGCAGTATCTCGCCATCCAGCTCTCGTTCGGGTCAGTGAGGTACTCATAATATCCAGATGGGCAGACGTGGAAGTCAAACCACTGATAAATCCATTGCTGCAAGCCGTGGTGCTACATCGCCAAGACCACCCCTCATGCAAGGCGTAGCAGAGTCTCCCGAAACCCCGTGAGAGAAGAGATTGATATCCTAGGAAAGGTCAAGGTCACTCGACCCACGAGCAGGGATGCGATCCGGGTTGAGAGCCTGCCTTTGATGGGCGTTGCCCACAGAGCCAAACGAATGGCATCATTGCTGATTATCTTGCCCCATACGCTTGCAGTTGCAGTTAATTTCCAGGCCGCGCTGTGGTTGGTGGGCCGCGATGGCGCAAGGACTGCGAAATCGTTATCATCGGGCGTGGGTTCGAATCAGCAGCCGCGAGTGGGACGATCCACGTCTGATAAACCTCCACTAACCCTCCATCCCGGCTAGTAGTGCATGCATGGCATCCCCCATACCCGTGGGTTACATTGCACGATATGTCCGGCGAGGGGTTCCCCCTTGCAATGGCGACTTGGGGACATCCTTGGCTATTGCTTGCACCGCCGGAGATCCGTCCGACCTGCGTGGCGTGCAGCTGGCGTAACGGTTTATAAAAGAATGGCCACTCGCTTCGGGGGATCGACAGTGCCTCTGTTCGTCTGTCCTCAGCAATTTGTTTGGCGCACTCACGCCTGACCAAGACAAGATGTGTAGGTCCCCTAACCCTGTCCCTCCCGGTCGAGGATTGATCCGATTGCTAATTCTAGCTGCTTCAGCCGACGAAACCCGCATCGCCGATGCCATCATCCCGGGTGAAGTATCCAATGAGGTGATCCATGTTCATAGCAAGTCCGATCCAGAGAAAAACGCCTACGAAGTCGACGCCCGAGCGCTGGAGAATGAGGAGTACCCCATTCCCACCGAGGAGGAAGTCAGCACCCTTCGCAAAGTCCCGGCCAATCTCCCCCTCGTCGCATATTCCCTCTGTTTGGTTGAGTTCGCCGAAAGAGCGTCCTACTACGGTGCTCAGACAGTCTTCTCCAACTTCATTGAGTTTCCTCTCCCGAAAGGTATGTCTCAGGCCAGACCGTCCCTATTTCTCGCCGTGCTGACCCGTCGGTGCAGGAGGTAATGGCGCCGGTGCGCCTCCGCGAGGGTCGCAGGAGACCGCGGGTGCGCTGGGAATGGGTCTCCAAGCCAGTGATGGATTGGTCCTGTTGTTCCAGTTCCTTGCCTATGTCATTCCCATTTTCGGAGGATGGTAAGACATACCACACTTCTGCCTATAGTCGGACACCGCTGACCCAGCATCAGGTGGGCTGACGTACACATCGGGCGATATAAAGCCATTTGTGTCGGAGTCGCCATCTGTGGTATTGCCCACATCATCCAGATCATCGGCGCTATCCCATCAGTGCTGCAGGCCGGGACGGGGCATGCGGCGCCGCCCTTCATCATCGGTCTTCTGATGTTGGCCTTTGGTGCCGGTGTCTTCAAGCCCAACATTGCACCCACCGTCCTGGACCAGCACCGCCACCACAAGCCATACACCAAGGTCTTGAAGACCGGGGAGAAGGTGATTGTGGACCCGGAATTGACCGCCACGCGGACAATGCTCATCTTCTACGGGATCATCAACGTCGGAGCCTTCTACATGCTTGCCACCACATATGCTGAGAAGTATGTCGGTTACTGGTTGGCCTTCTTGCTGGCCGGGATCATCTACTTCATCCTGCCCGTGGTGCTGGCAGCCGTCTATAAGAAGACGTACAAGACGCCCCCTAAGGGAAACTCCGATCTCGCCAAGGCGATCAAGATCACGGTGACCGCTCTGCGCGAAAACAAGTGGCAGGTTTGGCGTAAGAACTTCTTCGATGCGGCCAAGCCGAGTGTGTTGGCGGCCAAGGGAATCCAGGTCGAATGGACCGATAAGCTGGTGGATGATGTGCGCCGAACTCTCGGTCAGTGACACCCCCAGACAATGATAGTACTCTGCTGACTCGGACAACAGTTGCAACGGAAATCTTCTTCTACTTCCCCATTTACAACCTCAACGACGGCGGTATTGGGTCCGTGTCGACGAACCAGGGTGCCTCAATGGTGACCAACGGCGCCCCCAACGATCTGCTGAGCAACTTCAACGCCTTGACGATCATTGTCGCGGTGCCAATCGTGGACTTTGTGATCTATCCCCTGCTCAATCGGTATAATATTCCGTTCAAGAGAATCAGTCGGATCACGTTCGGCTTCATCCTGGCGGCGCTGTCCGGCATGTGCGGTGCCCTCATCCAGTGGCGCGTATACAAGTCCTCGCCATGTGGCTACTTTGCCTCCACGTGTGCCGAAGTCAGTCCGATCAGCATCTGGTGGCAGTTGCCAAACACCATCCTGGGGGCTCTCTCGGAGATCTTCTGTAATGTTACGGCGTACGAGTTGGCCTATGCCCGGTCGCCAGAAAGCATGAGAGGTCTGGTCATGGCCATCTTCCTCTTCATGACCGCACTTTCCAGTGCGCTGGGAGAGATTCTCTTGCCAGTCACCGAGGATCCGGACCTGATCTGGATTTGGGGTGCCCCCGCCGTTGCTCTCGGCCTCCAGACCATTCTCTTCTGGTTCCGTTTCAAGCATCTCAACAACGATGAGTTCATGACCGATGACGCGGACTATGATGACACCAATAGCGAAGCCCCTATCCAAGCGTCTGAGGATGTGAAGACTTCTCAGGAGTAGAGGGCACGAGGGTTTGAATTAAACACGCAACATAAGAGGCTCTCCATTACATTAACCACATACGAAACTAATGCCATATTACCATTTGTATATCATGATAGCTGCGTCAGGACTTGGGCAAGCCAAATCTTCACCTGTAGCTAATGTGTGCCTGCGGTAGTTTCGAGTAAGCCAACCGGATTTGGCTGCATATAAGCGGCCACCAGATCCCTAATCAGGTTGAACAGTAATACCTCGGCCGGGCTTTGGATACGTACATGCCGGATTATGGCAGAGAACGCTACGATGATGTTTTTCAGCCGGACATTGGTGCGAATGATGGCATTGACGTCTGGATTTGATGATAAGCTCCGAAGCTGACACTACCATCTCTGGCGGGAGAATCTCTCGAGGATGCTGGTGATCATCATATTCTCGGACAATATTATTATGCGGCACGAGCAGCCGTGGAGCCATCTTAAGTTTCGACTTAGATCTCATAGGCGAATGGAATGCTCTGCATGGCACCCTTCTTCTGTACACACCCTGCAGCAGCAACATTGGCCTTCTGAACTGCAGTATCGATCTGCGCATCGAAGTCTGCCAATGGAGCACCGGTGGCGACGAATTTAGCAAAGGCAGTGGCAAAGTAACCGACAAAAGTGTCTCCAGCGGCGGTAGTGTCCACCACCTTCTCCACTGCTGCGCTGGGAACGAAGCCCTGTTTGCCGGTGATGGTAGAATAATAGGCACCCTTGGCTCCCAGTGTGATCAGAACAATCTGAACTTGCGCGTGTTGGTGGAAGAGGGGAGCAAGTTCCTCGGGTTTCAGGTCCTGGGTCTGTTGTGGAAGAGTCAGAAACTCCTTGACCGTCTGCGTCATGAGCACGGCCTCGGTTTCGTTCATTGCCAGCACACTTGTACCTGCAAGTGCAGGAAGCGGGATTCCTTCCGTGAACACCGGGGCGGGGTTGAAGATCAGGTGAGAGCGGCAAGCCGGGTCATTGAAGTGCTTCATCAGCCCCAATGTGGTGGACCTTGGGATCTCGCCCTGCATCACAACAACGCCTTGCTCTAGGTGAATATCCTGGGTGGTGGCGAGTACAGCCTCGACATTGTCCATGCCAGAGTAGTTGGCACCGGGGACGAATAGAATCCGATTCTCTCCTCCTGCCCCTTCGTCCACGATGATGGTGGCCGAGCCCGTCTGGCTGTCTTTCAACTCCTGGATCCCCTTGGTGCTGACACCAGAGCCCTCCAATGTTGGTCGCAGAAGGGCCGAGTAGTAAGGATCGTCCGCCCCAACTGCTCCGATCATGGAGACGGACGCATCCTGGGTGTCTTTGGAAGCGAAGGAAGCTCGACCGCATGCGACCGCCTGGTTGGCGCCCTTTCCTCCGGCACTAATGGCGAGGGAGGAAGCCGTCAGTGTTTCGCCGGCATCGGGGCAACGCGGGGTATAGGTAACGAAGTCGATGTTTAGGGAGCCGATCACGCAGATCTGAGTAGGGGCCATATTGTTCAGTCCTGAGAGTGAAGCAGGCGAGTCAGTATGCAGTGTGGCTGGGTGGGTCGGATCACGCTGCAGGGAAGAGCCAGGTGGAAACTCACTAGTGCGCTAAAAGCGAAATACCGGGACAATCGGTAGATTCTATGGTATGAAACAGTCGCTATGCAGTAATTGAGGGGGATGATTCGTCTGCTGATATCTTGAGGGACTGTTTGGCGGCGGGGGAAGAGCCATTAGGTAAGCATATGGGTCACATGACAGTGACGTCGATGCGATAAGAACGAAGTCCTCCGAACAGGTGCCCGTTCGAGCCAACAGGAGAACTGGTGGTCTGGTGTAAATGCCATTCATGAGTGTCGTCGTATTTCCCCAAAGAGGCTGCTTCTGCAAATCTTCACCCCGACGCGCGAGCCACAAAAGACAGGGATCCGCGTCTCAGACGCGACACGCGCTCGACGGGTGATTCCATCCTTATTTCCCCAGCCAGATCCTCTGGGATAGCATTTCAAGGAAGCGTCTCGAGCAGAGAGCTAAGCAGAGAGTTCCCTGATGTTATGCTCTGCTCATTTCTATCCAAGGGGAAGCAAGACGGTGAAAGAGATTCGGATGGAGAAAGCCAGCAAGGAGCCTTCCCCATCGGGCTAGTCTGGAACACCACTATGCCTGACAATTCAGGTGTCAAGTGCCCCTGCCAATTTTGGGTGTTTATGTGAAGCATCCATCTGCCATCCTTCTGGCAAGTGGACAACTTATTACGCAGTCTGGATATCCCGCCCCTCCTGCTCCCTACTCTGTACTTAGGAAATACAGTACAGTCATCCCATCTCTCCCTCGGTCTCCAGAAACACCGTCGCATATCCCCATCCTCCGAGTCTGCACAAGTCGTCATTTTAGAAAGCCTGATGCCATCCCGCAAGTGGATCAACAATATCTTCACGCCCCTATCACCTCCCACAGCCGGCAAATCTCCGAGCAGAGCCCCGAGCCCCTGCAGAACCGGGATATGACAGCGGTGCGGAAGAACCCCTGACTCGGATGGTCCTCCGGAGGGGTTAATATCATGCCTCGCCATTGGTGGTTTGGGATATGCCGAGTCAAGTACCCCGTAGAGAGTAGGTACCTAGTTGTAGTACTCGGTGCCCCCCTAGATAGTATGTATAGTACATGTACATATCACCCCCACCACTTTATATCCAACATCCCCTCAACTCAACCACCACACCCATCCACCCAGCAAACCAAACATACCACCAATATGCAGCCCCTCTCCACCCTCCTCACCACCCTCCTCCTAGCCACCACCGCAATCGCCCACCCCTCCCAAACCCTGAACAAGCGCAGCGTGACCTGTCTCAAAGTCGGCGCCACCGCTACCGCCAGCTGGACCAACAGCGCCGGCCAGTCCTGCACTTACGTGGGCGTCGTGGGCAGTAACTACGGCGAGAATAGTGACGGAGAGGGCGAGTACGTTACATCCTATTCATTCTCTTATGTTCATAACCCTGAAGTAATAGTAGAGCTAATCACAATCTCGCAGTTACTCCTGCAACGGACGTTGCGGAACAGGATGTACCGGCTTCGCGTTGGGGAATGTGTATACCCAGGATTGTTTCTCGCATGATATGTGCTCGTATTTTAATGATGCTAGTGGGGGCGCGAGGTGAGTGGATTAAGAGGATATATGTGGTATATGTTGCTAATGAGGATGATACTAGTGATGCCAACTGCGGGGCGGCATTCAAGGCTGCCGAGGATGATTACTTGTTGGGCATCGTGGATGGTTGCTCCCAGACTAATCCGACTAATGCGGTGTCCAAGCCCTCTTCGAGTCCGGTTTGCTCTTGATGTATGATATGTTGGTCAGGTTCAAGGGCGGGGGTGTAATTAGTGCTAGGAAGGCGTATTCTGCAGAGATGCGATGTTTGCTGGCTATGTGGTGCGTGTAATCATGATAGTAGGAGAGAATTGTCAGTCCTGTACAGTGGAGATCTGAGCACGGGTATCCATGCGCAGTGATATATCATTGCTAATTGTAGCTTATCGTGGTCTGAAATACGTCAAGTGAGACATGGGTATACTAGCTAGGCCTTCGGATCAGCTCCTGCATTTCATCACTGCTGGTATATCGCCCCCCAAGCACACAGGCACAGTGTGCCTCCTCTGGTTGGGTGAGTGCACGTTCAATGTCATCCTGCAGCACGCTCAACCCAGGCTTTCGTCTCTTGCTGGACGGCGTAGAGTGGGAAGACTCCTGATCTCGGTACTCGCTGCTGCCGCTGGAGTCGCCGATCCATCGGGGTGCATGGAAGCGGAGGAATTGTTTCAGATATGGCAGACAGCCGCAGATGATTATGAAGTTCGCTTCGATAATACTATCCCTGTCAGCATGATATCATTTAACCTCGAGGAGTAACTGAACTCACACGAAGATAATCGCCACGGCTATTTTGTACGATTGGTCTTTGGACGTTACCAGGGGCATCAGAGTCGCCAGACGGAGAATACTCGTGATGATGGTTCTATGATGAATTTAATATAGGACCAAATCTTGGACAGGAACCATGCACCTCTGTCCATGGAGCGAGACCAAGCAAATTAAATCTACCTACAGACAGCCGATACCAAACATACAGCCGATCCCGAGCTTCTGGGCCAGGGGCAGTCGGAGTCGGCAGACAATCGGGATAGGGATGAGAATCAACATAACGTCGCTGATGGTGTTGGTGATTGCCGTGGCGAGATAGAATCCGGTCCGTTTGATGCAGTGGCCGGTGGTGATGCTCACATCCCAGTTTTTGGCAATGGGGCGGCAGGCGAAAATCAGAGAGAGAGTGATGGCGATGGTGTAGCCCGCAATGATAAAGGTGACAAGGTAAATGATATATTTGCAGACACGGATCATGCTGACCAGTCGATAGTAGAGCATCAGCAGGGCAAACTTGGCGGTGGCCAGGGCAGGGAGGTAGATGATCGTGCCAGCGAGGATGGTCTAGCGATGGAGGCGACGGTTCTTAGTGACTGGTATCCAGCAAGCCAGAAGCAGTCTCGTCGACATACCTTCGCATAGAGCTCGAGAACAGGGGCAGTCAGGTGCCACATGTGGACGCCATAGCCTGCATGGTTGTAACCATCTAAACGTTCGGTTAGATCCACTTCACACATGGAACAGAGAGGAAGCTCTGGACATACAGAGAATAACGGCCTGGGTTCCGACCGAAAAGACCTGTGAAGGCTCCTGTGAGTGCAGGTGGTGGATGAAAGCATCGCAGCCAACAAACCCAGGCAAGAATCAAACAGACTGCCAGCCATGTCAGCCACCATCCATCACCATCCTCCCTGTCAAGGCCCGAGCGAACGTACTATCATCCCACCAGAACTTCCCCATGATGCGGACTTTGGTATAGATTCGCATGGTGAGCAGACCGACGCAGAGGGCCATGCCAGCTGCAGCCAGCACCTGGTTGGTGGTGCGCAACCATGGATGGGCCAGATCGCCTTCCGACGCCGCGTTCACGACAGAAACACCGGTGGCCACCTCCATCCTGAAGGGCCGAAAAGGGGCGGTCGAGTCCCCCAGATACTGGCATACTTCGCGTGTTCGTCAAGGGGATGCAACGTCAACCGAAAGATGATGGCCTCCTGCCATCCCGGTCGCATTTAAGTAGCGACGATACCTGTCGGCGGGCGATTGTCGGCGGGGGGCTCAGCCCCGGCAGAGTTTCAGCCACGGCATCATTGACCACATTTTGAAGGCACCCTCTCGCGCGGGCGAATCGAATTTCCCGGAAGTACACCTCCTTCCTCCAATGCCCCGTGGGGATGGGATACCCTCGGACCCCGTGCTCTGGGCATCCAACGAGCTCGGAGCCCCGGTATACCAAGCACACGCCATTCAGCCACGGTTCCCGAGGGAGGCAAGTTACAGTTCATCCAGAGCATAACCAGGTCTGAGAAGGGATATCATTACTACAATTCGTCATCATGGGGTCGAGGAAATGGTACAAAATGACCCTCGACCCGGGTCCACGCAATTATTAAATACAGAAAACAGCCACCTGCGCAGGGCACGGCCTGAACGCAGAGATCGGCCTATGACCGCCCGGCCTGGCATCCATCAGTCCAAGGCAAAGCATCGTTCCACCGAATCCGCATTGTTCCCCCACCAGGACGGCATCGAGATCTGCTTTCCCGATCCAAAGAACAGAAAAATCAGCAGCATGTTCAGGTTGAATCCCGCATCAAAGGCCGCCGCCACCATGTAGCTGTACCGCTTCCACACCTCGAACCGGTATCGGTAGGCCCAGTACATGACCACATACCCGCCGATAAACGCCGACGTGTAACCCGTGCTGATGTTGCCGTAGAAGACCGATAGGCCGGAGAAGAAGATACTGACGTTCCACAGATCGATGCGCAGCCAGCGCGGCAGGGTGCGGTGCATAATGTACAAGATCGGAGGGAGGACCGCGCCCACCAGGAATGCGTACGGAAGAGGCCGCATCTCCGCCTCCTTGAAGAGACGACTCGGTCCGAGAACCGCGTACTGCACACCAAGCGTGTTCGAGGACTTTAATGACTGTCCAGACCACTGGTTCAGCGGATCCGTCTTCTTCCCGGACAAGTAGTCTCCTTTCGTATTCAACACCCACCGGATCACAGCGTAGTTCACCGGAATGCCAAGAATGGTGCCAAACACCTGGGAGAAGAAGACCGTGCGCGGCGGGATATGCATGTAGTGGCCGATCTTCTGGTCCTGCAACATGTACTGAGCCCGATACCAGGCATCGCCGGCAATAGACCCGTAGGTAGATGGTCCACACGGATGCCGGTGGCTTTTACCGGCGGGGGTTTCGACCATGTAGCCGTACACCAGCTCGTTGAAGGATCCAACCGCTAGCTGATAGTTGGAGATGGCGTACAAAAATCCAAACGGGACGACCAGGACGGCGGCACTCGCCAGCGCGACGAACAACGTCCAAATTGGGATCCACAGGAAGCCACAGGCAATCGTCACGATCAGGACCAGGAACCCAGCCATGAAGAGAGCCACGTACCACCAAAGCGGGATTTCCTTGTACTGCCGTTGAATAACGTTAAGACGATCGTGGTATTGATGGTTGATGCTTTCTCCTTTGGCCTGCGAGTTCTTTCCCCGGGAGCGGATAACCTTCATCAAGTTGGTTTTGATCTGCACGAAGCCGAATGTCAAGATCCACGTAATTGCGGCGGTCACTTTGGCGTAGTCGAAGAAGGTCGCCCAGAGGTTCTGCAGACCCATGTACATGTCACCGTACTCGGCGTAAGCGGTTTCATTCAGCTGATAGTCGGATGTGACAACATCGAGAGTGGGATATGTTGTCCCATTTATCGTCAATAGGGAATTCGACATCAGGCCGTGCTTATACGACCCCAGATTCCCCCACTTCGCGGCGGGAAGAAGCACCCAACAGTTGAAGGCGAAGGCCAGGAACAAGACCACCTGCGTCCACCATGGAGTCAGGAGGATGGAAGAGCCGTTCCAGTTGATGTTCGACCAGTCAAGCGACAAGTTCAACAGTCCCATGCCACCCAGTCCGGATCCAATGAAGTTGGCCACGGGGTTGCGTGGCGCGACCCAGCACAGAAACGCCAAGGAAGAGGTGAAGGGGAAGACATATTCGGGTAAGAACTGCCACAGTGTCATGCCTAGAAAGCAGAGAAAGAAGAGCTTCATCTGCCGGCGTGCCAGAGGTGACGACCTGTCCTGTTTCCGGAAGGTCTCGAACAGGGTAGTCTGCATCAGGGCCTGGGGCCAAATGAAGTTGGGGTCATACAGGAGGAGTTGGCGAGCCAACGCTGCAAACGCGTATCCAATCCAGACGATTGCAAACATGAAGAAGATGGCCACGGCAGCGTTGACCCTCTCGCCGTAGTAGAGCTCCGCCATGGCGATCGGAGTATAGCCCAGATTGTAGGTCGCTCCGGATGCCGCTGTCAAAGTGACCAGAACATGTTCTTTGATACTCCACGGTCCTGGGTTAAGGCTAAAGGACCAACTCGTGAAAGGGACACGAATCACCCAGGCGGGAAGGACTCGCGCGAGGAAGTGACCGGCGTAGTGGCACGCAATCTGCACGAAGAAGACGGAGTATGGAGCCTCGGTGGTACGGAAGTGACTCATCATGGACAAGAAGGCACCGGGCACGACGAAGATGATACAGAGGACGAAATACCGGAAGGTGATGGTGAACATGGTGGGGTCGTCGGTCAGACTGACCAACTGGCGCACCTCAATGGGCAGCGCGGCGATCTCGGGGTCTTCTTCTGCTGCTGTTTCGATGACGTCCGGTTCTTCGGTCTTCTGGCTCCTCTCCAAATCCTCCGCGGGCTGTTCTGTCACGGATGTCGTCTTGGATACGGAAGGGGGCGTCTTCTCCTCCCGGTAGCCGGTTGAGGTGGTCACGGGCGACACATCGCCGGCATCGGGCAACGCTGCATCGCGTTTCCGACGAAGGATCGTGGACAGGCCCATGGTGAGGTGCCCGAAATTAGCGATCGGGGGCGGATGTGATAACCAGAGGCATGCGCAAACAAACCATGATGGGAGTGAGGGGGGAGCAAGCCCATAGTTATAAAGCAGTGACTTGACCGGTGACGCCTCCGCCGCTCCGTATCAGGTAAGGGGGCGATGGCGCAATCGAGCAGCAGCAACACAGAATTTCGACCCCACGAGTGCCAAGTCGCTCGGCTTCGTGCCGAATGGATGGGAAGCGCAAAGTGCGCAGGTGACACTAGGGCAGAATATCGGGGGGTGAAAATTAAAAAACAGTTGGTGATGGAGAGCGGAAGTGGATGCCCGCGATTGCGTTATCGGAATACTTTCATTCGTGATGATCCTTCGATCCCCGCCCAGCATCGATTCGAAGACATGCTCTGATTCGACAGGCGCCGTCTTGCGGTGTTTTAGTTAACGACCGGTCCCTGGGCCAGCCATGGATCCGTGGCCAGGAGGAGGGAGGAAGGTGGAAGAGCCGGGCGAGGATTGGCCACCAACGTGGCGGAGGCTAAAGCGGGTGGAGCCCCCGAACCGCGTCGTGGCCTGTAGCAGCTGGCCCTCGGCCGGTTGCGCCCCAATAGGGTGCTTAAGCCGCTTAAGCTTAGATAAGAGAAATAGTCGGACGAGAATGAATGGATAATGGATAAGCGGAGCTCAGTCACCAGGCCAGGTGCGATACCACACGAAGATTACACCATCGGTCGGTTCGGAGTCAGGACTCGGGACAAGAGAAAAGAAAATGCGGGGTGGCCAAAGGCAGCTAGCTGGAATAACATACAATCACCGACGATCAATATGCATGGCAGGGCACCATCTGCGGGTTACACTGCCATCGCAGCGGCAAATTCCCGGAGCTGCCCGTGTTAGCCTGAGGCCGCCACAACAGAGTGTTCGACCTACCCATTTTGCGCCATTGATCCATTGATTCATGGATTATCAACTTTGTACTTGCATCCGACCGGTTGCTACCTCTCTCTGCTTAGGGAACGGGATGACCTCATGCCGGTTGTCTCGGTACGGCCGGAGGGATCCGTGGCCAACCATGGGTGTGCACTGCGGTCATGGAAAGCAGGGACAGGGAAAGGGAAACCTCACTGAAGGGTCGTGGAGGCCCCTACCACCAGCAATCCATATGATTGGGCTGCCTTGTGAGTTGGTCCGGATACTGTGTGAGAATACAGGATGGAACAAGGGAAGAATGACAGTGACGAGGGCGATGACGTCCGTCTCACATCAGAGTCCCGGCCCGCCAGAACCCTTCCTCACCCGCTATCTATAAACCACGAATGGAATGGCAACCCCACGACTTGCGCTGCACAATTTCTTGGGTTACTCCATTGAATTGTACTCACCTGCATCGATCTTGTTCCTCTCAACATGCCTGACTACACGCGAAAGCACAAGGTGGCCGTGGTCGGCTCCGGCAATTGGTATGCGCGATCTCTCTCTCACACGTCGCATCCGCGTTTTCTAACAAGATTTGATACAAGGGGCTCCACTATCTCCAAGATTGTCGCAGAGAACACCAAAGAACATTCCGACCTTTTCGAGCCAGAGGTGCGCATGTGGGTGTTCGAGGAGGACATCGAGATCCCCAAGTCATCCAAGCATCACAGCAAGCTGGGCGGTCAGAAGCGCAAATTAACCGAGGTCATCAATGACGTTCACGAGAATGTCAAGTATCTGCCCGGTATCACGCTCCCGGACAACGTCGTGGCCGACCCGGACGTAAAGTCGACCGTCAAGGATGCCACCTTGCTTATCTTCAACCTCCCCCATCAATTCATTGGCAAAACACTCGATGGTATTGAGGGCCATCATCTCCCCTATGCCCGGGGAATCTCCTGCATAAAAGGCGTCGATGTGTCGGACGGAACCGTGACCCTGCATTCAGAACTGATCATGGAGCGACTGGGCATCTACTGCGGTGCCTTGTCGGGCGCCAACATCGCCCCGGAAGTGGCCGCGGAGAAGTTTTGCGAGACCACCATCGGGTACGATACTCCTCCAATGGACCTGAAGCAGCCGGATGGTTCGCCCAAGGACAACCTGGTCAAGGTGGATGAGCAACGGCAGCACAAGACCAAACCAACACATGTCAAGCTGCATCCGGTACCGCAGGACCTCCCCCATGTCAATGCCGAGCTCTTCGAAAGCCTGTTCGCGCGCCCGTATTTCCATGTTCGCCACGTTCGCGATGTCTCCGGGGTAGCGTTGGGTGGTGCACTGAAAAACATCGTGGCGTTGGCGTCAGGGTTCGTTGCGGGAAAGGGCTGGGGCGAAAATGCCAAGGCAGCCATCATGCGCGTTGGCATTCTGGAGATGGTCACCTTCGGTCGGACATGGTTCCCCAAGTCTGTCGATGAACGGACCTTTACGGAGGAGAGCGCTGGTCTGGCAGATGTGATCTCCTCGTGCAGTGGGGGGCGAAACTTCCGATCGGCCTGTCATGCGGTGGAACAAGGGGTCAGCGTCAATGAAATCGAAGAGAAGGAGCTCAACGGTCAAAAATTGCAGGGGACCTCCACGGCTTACGCAGTCTATGACTTTCTTGCGAAGCACGACCAGCTGAAGCAGTTCCCGTTGTTTGTTGCGGTTCATGGTGAGCAATCCATCGTCTTCACTTTCGGTGTTACCCATACTAAACTTCTGTCAGATATTCTCGAAGGAAAGGCCACTGTCGATGATCTACCGGCGCTTCTGGATGGAAAGAAGAAGAAGAAAACGACATGAGAGAGTATGATGAGTATGGCGATGCTGTGCAGGTCTTGCAGCGTATCTAATGAGACACGATCGTACACTTGCTTGCTGTCAAGGTAGCAAAATAGGAGCCTGACAGGATCTTTGAATCCCTGAAATAGTCTGAAACATTGCATCTTTGCATCACCAGAGGTGACCTTAGATTTATTTGGATCTGTAGCAAATCTTCAATAGAAAATGTTAGTGGAAAGACTTTCAATCAAGCCCCTCGCATAGTAGAGCACCGGTCGAAACGCAGCCCAGGGGGGCATTGCGGTACTGGCTGCATAAAGTCTGTCTGCATCAGTAGACAAAAGTCCCATATATGATGTGATGACGATGAAAAGACCGAGTGCATGGACAGACTCCAATCCTTTGGTGGTCTTGGGTGCTAGAGGAATCAACATCAGATGAAACCACGACCGTTCTGACCGCTTTGGTCTCAGCTCTGAGTATGTCCGGCATTATTTTCCAGCCCCCAGAACAGTAGGCGGCGAATAGTCATGGGGGGTTGGCTTACCGGAAGCAGCTCAGCCCACCGTAGATCCTCGTCCCCACCAGATCTCCGCTATGAAGATTCCTCATGGCTGCCTCCTGCATCTTGAAAGTTCCTCACGTCCAGCCATGGATCCACCTGGGCTGATCATTGCATACTCGGTCTTCTTCGTTAGGCGGTATGCCCAAGGAGTGACACAAGGGACAAGACAGCATTCTACCTACCACTGTCTTTCGGTCTGTACGAGATATCTACTTGGTGGCATTCCTTCTCTTAGATCTCTTCACATACATGCTCACAGATAGAACTAACTGTCTCAGACGACACTATTCTAATTTCAAGTCTGCTAAGCCGAATCCAACACTTTACAACGTAGTGCAGACTACGCGCTCTGCTGTTCCAAGTTCCAACCCACAATTAATCAGCAGTGCTCAAACCTTCAGGGACGCGGAATCCGGGGATACAAGCCCCTCGCTGTCCCTCCTGCCGGAGCTGGCCATGCTTGTGGGTCTGAAGCAAGGGGCCACACCAGTGGAGCCCACGGTTGGCACCCCTATTCATCTTAATAATACCGTGCAAGAGTTAATTCAAGTTTAACCATAAACTTAGATGAGTATGGCGACAGCGACAAGCTCATCCTAGCTGTCAAATCAATGATGCAGCTGATATCAGAACTCTCACTGACCTTCGAATTGAGCCATATCTTGTGGCAAACATACGCCTTCTCGAGACTTTCACTCTTTGAATGGTCTGCGTAACGTATAACGGCCTCAATTATCCCACGTCTCGTCCAGGATTGTGGGATGGCTATCCCTTCCATAGGGCCTGCCATTCCGTCCGCGCTCCTACGGCACGCAGGCTCCAAACATCAAATGACCTTTGAGGTATTAAATCACCCATTCAGCCAGCTTGTCTACTTCTCCAACAACAAGATCACAACGCGATCACAGGAAATAACTCCCAGACCCAGAGAATATTCGCACAAACTCTTTCATTACCTTCCTAATATCACGAACAGTAAGTCTCACATCCATCTCATGATACCATACCTAACCCACTCCAGACAATCAGCCAAAATGCTTTTCACCTACCAAACTCTTACTGTCTTCATCACCTCCCTCCTTATCAACAGCGCCGCTGCCCATCCCTGCGACACCAGCGTGGCCTGGGCTGATTCCACCAACTGCCACTACTTCTTCCAATGTGCTCCTGGCGTGGAGCCCGCTCACAAGAAGTGCGGTGAGGGAACGGCATTCAACCCTGCCATCGGTACATGTGACTATGAGCAGAATGTGCCTTCTTGCTACAGGGAGCCTCATCACCCCCGCCCTCACCACGTCTAGATGATGGGTAAATCTATCTTTCTGTGAACTGGATACTGCGTACTGGCTTGTTGACGGGGTATAAAACCATGCTGTTTCGCTCAAAACAAATACTACCTGTACCATTGATTATGGGGTCGACTCATACCCTTGACGGGACTACTGGCTTGAATATATGCCCATATTTCTTCTAACGAATACTATACTCAATCATTTGCTTTCTCAGATTTCATCTATCAGACTCCGTATCTCGATTGAATCAACCAAGATACAACCTAGCTTATGAACAAGCAATCAATGCATAATCATATAAGTCTATTTCCAAGTCTTTCCAGCTAAATATTCAAAATGGTATCACCAAACAATTCCTTTACAAATGGTACTGCGATGGGCCGTTCTCCTGGAATCCCATCCGCTCCCACCACCTATCAATACCCATATCTTCTTGCGAGCTGTATAGTCCGTTAGCCCATGATCACAACCCACCCACATATATAATAGAATAGAGTACTTACTCCCATGACTCCTTAACCACCGGCTCATTCTGTCCCTCCTTCGGATTCGGGTTCCGGAACACAATGTTGTATTTCTATCCAACCATATCACATCAGCATTACTATCCAGAGGCCACCTAAGGTCTAAGTCCGGGAGACGACTTACCAATCCCAAAGTAATATGAATCGCCATCGGAAACGGCGGAAAAGCTTCCTCCGGTTTGCTTCCCTCAATCAAAGCCTGAATATTCTTCGCGACAGCCGCGGCTTGTCCGCCACCCGGTCGAGCGGCTTTGCGCAGCCCAGTATCAGCAATATCCCCCAACGCAAACAGATTCGGGTACTTTGCGTCTTGGAATTGCAGGGTGGGGCGGATACGAATGAACCCGTTCTCGGGGTTAATGAGGGAGTCGGATGAAGATGAGGGGAGATCTTTGATGAGGTCGTTGTTGGGCTTTTGGCCGGTGGCGAGGATCACGAAGTCGGTTGTGAGGGAGGTGCCGTTGTTGAGTTGCACGTTGAATGGGGTGCCGTTGTTGGGGAAGCCGTCTTCGGGGACGATGATGCGTGTGCCGGTTATGAGGCTTAAAGGTGGTTGGTTAGTGTGGGGGTTTTGAGTTGGGGGGAAGGGGTGGGTTACTTGATGCCGAGCTCTTCGAAGCGCTTCTTGACTATTTCGTGGAGACCGTGGTGGAATTGGGGCATGAGTTGGTTGCGCGATTGCACCACAGTGATTTCCTTCTCCGGGTAGAGCTCTTTCATGTCGGTGGCCATTTGTACGCCGACGGCTCCACCGCCCACGATCACGACGGACTTGGCTTTTTTGACGTCTGCTTGGTGTTTCTGGAGATAGAGTACGGAGGAAGGCTTGTCCTCGTCTTTCATGGCTGCGGGTTCGGCGAGGCGCGTGCCCGTTGCAACGACGAGGTATTCGAATGGGATCTGCTTCTGTCCTTGCCAGGCACGGTCGAGGTCCACGTGCTGCGGTTGTACGGATAGCACGCGGGCTTGGACGACTGCGTGTTGTGTGGGGTTGGGTGTGGAGGAAAAGAGGCGGGTGTAGGGGATGAAGGCTTTCTGTTCGTGGCCAGAGAGAACGGCAAATCGGGGCTGTGGTGAGCATTAGTGCATGTCTCTCAGTGGTGACTTGGTAGCAAATTGACGTACAAATGCGAACAGATGGTGGAAGTGGCTGTGGGGTTCGATCAAGAGGACCTGCAGTTGTTGAGTATATTTAAAGGTGAAACGAGCGCATTTATGGATTTACTCTATGTGTGTTGGGAATGACCCGTGCAAGCTCTTGCGCTGCTGCCTGGATTCTTTGTCAGTCATTGTTATTCATAGCGACTGATTATAGAGTGCGCAATTACCTTTCCCACATACGAACCACCCACCACAATGACATTCTTCAGCGAAGAGGCAGCCATGTTGGTAGACTGTGCGTTTCGATCTTCCGGTATACTAGGTCCAATGGATGATATGACGAGTGCTATGCTCACGGCGCAGATCAGAATCAAGGCCCACGGAAATTGAAATCGTTCTAAGGCCAGGAACATGATCAATTCGCAACCGGAGCGACCAGCCAGCTCTTATATGGGCGGGAGAAGCATTAGCCCCGGGGCAAGGTGGGGGATGTCCAGGGGCTCGGCAATTTCCTTATCTGATCTCCCGGCCTGGTATCTCCGAGCGCGGGTTTCACCTCGGAGGTGCTGGGAATAACGCCGCGTGGGCTCCGAGACATGCATCCGGATAGTATCCGGGTGGGAGTGGCGTTACTTGCTGGTATTGGACATGTGGAGTTGAGATGTGGTTCGCTATCACTCAGGAAGATATCTCGGCTTTGTAGTGAGACTGAGAATATAAAGGAGACTGAATTCTTCGTGCAAATGTCATGTCCAGAAGTTGAAGAGGACCTGCGTCTATTTGTCATAATGATTGGGCCTAATGAGGATCAGTATCAAGATCAGATAACACGACAGGATCCTGAACCTCGCCTGGCGCTGTACCGGAACACGGCCACGGAGACCCACGGCAGTTGATCACGGATGAGGCCGTCGGACGTCCGGATATTCGGATATACGGCTCAATGATGTCATTCCGGTGAACTTTCACTCCGCTGGCAGTCAGATGGCCTGAATGGATTATCTATGAAGTTTGAGATCAGTACGTGCTGCTAGTACTATCATTGAGTAAGCCTCAGGGATGATCAGGTTCATAGTGGAAATGAGTGACAATGTACTTCCTCCCCTTCAGGTATACAAGTACATCACGAATAGATCCATGAAAACAGGGACATGAGTTCTTACACGGCGAAAATGAATATTGACAGACGGGTTGGGCTGTTAAGATGACCGAGATGACCCCCTAAGCGCAGAGGCGATTGTAGTATGCTCAGAAGTAGTACTTCAAAAGAGAGCAGAGGAGTGATGCCTTGCGTCTCAGGCGTCTGCCACGTGGGGGCGACGCTAACCGCGTTGGTGCTTATGGCCTGGCAGCAACTCGCAATTAGGCTCTTTTCACCTTCTAGACTCTCCCTAGTTATGCTTAATCGACGCGCCCATTGACCCCCACAGTATGATCCCCTGCACCCCGGAGTCATCCGGTTCGGAAACGACCTCGGCCCCCGCCCGGAGGAGAGCCGCCGGCAAAAGGTCCAAGACAGGCTGTCGAACCTGTCGGTGAGTCCATTCCTGCGTAAGCAGGATAAGGCCACCTAACTAACACAACAGTGGTTGACTCAGTGCCCGTCATAAGAAATGCGACGAATCCCCAGGCGCCTGCAACAACTGCACCTCAACGGGCCGAACCTGCGATGGATATGACCTCCACCGGCTGCCCCGCGAGGGACGAAGAAAGGAACAACCGCTGGTGAAATTCACGTTACCTATCTCCCTCGCAAACGGGCTGCAGTGGGTCAAGAACTCTGATGAGCAACGCGCATTCTTCTACTTTCAGCATCATACAATACCCGCATTTGTCGGGTGGTTCGACTCGTCGCTATGGCAGAAATTGGTACTCCAGATGAGCCATGCAGAGCCCGCTGTTTACCATGCCGTCGTGGCGCTGAGTGCCATTCACCAGGATTCGGACAAGAGAGGCATGCCGCTCTCCAGAGAGAACTTGGGGAGTACCTGGCATCGATTCGCCTTGGAGCAGGCCGGGCGATCCTTTCACTTGATCAATGCGCGACCGGCATCGCAGGATCCCCGCCTGTGGGAAGTCACCCTGCTTTGTTCTTTGCTTTATGTGATCTCAGAACTCTTGAGAGGTCAATATGAGAGTGCATTCAATCACCTTCGTGGTGGTATTTGCATTCTGAAACAACTGGGTGCTCACAAACAGCTTGAGCCCGCAACCTCCAAGACAATGGTGGATCAGTCCCTCGTCGAGGCATTTGCGCACCTGGACCTCCAGTCTCCCCAGTTCGGCGTAGAAGGGCCGCTTTTGTGTATGGATGAGCAGGATCACCCTCAACCTCGAAAAGAGAAGTTTCTGGTCTTTCGGACACTCGCAGAGGCGCGTCAAGCTTTGGACCGTCTAATGAACACAGTACTAAGGTTTACTAATGGGTCTTGGGGGTCTAGCCATGACGAGATCGCATCGGACTACGGAATACGTTACAAATCGCAGCTCAGTCTTTGTATGCGGGTGGAAGAGTTTGCTCAAGCATTCAACAGCTTCCGAAATCAAGCATCCCTCACCCCAAAAGAACAAAGAGGAGCAGACTTGATCTACCTACATCAACGAACAGCAACCCTGGCCCTCCAGATTTGCCTCCTGGATGGAAACGAGCCCGTACTTGACCAATACACTCCCGAATTTGAAAACATCTTATCTCTAGCGAATAAAATCATGTACACCTTCCCAGAACGCCCCAGCGTCTGCCTGGATATGGGTATCATTCCATCCCTGTTTCTTGTGGCGACCGCCTGTCTTGACTACAAGGTACGCTGGAAGGCAATTGAAGCGCTTCGTGCCTGGCCTCACCGTGAGGGGCCGTGGGACTCCAATTTATGTGCGCAAATGGCTGTTGAGACGATGAATTTGGAGAGAACAAATAATTTCAACATGTACGGTGAGCAAACAAGATTCGGGGATCCGGAAGAGCCCTCTTTGCGGCGCGTGTTTGTGACAGTTGCTCCCGATCAGCGTCAGGCACGCTTGTCATACGTTGTGGGACATGCGGAGCATGAACAGTGGTTTGATTTGGATGTGTCTCTCTGACATGGCCTTACGTCGACAAAATGGCACCGGGAAGAAAGATAGCATCATGGGTCTGCTAGGAAACAGGCCACCTAAGATTTCAGCGGCTCAATTGATTTAACCATACATCACTGCTAATTGAGCACGGGATGTGCGACAAGATTACTGCGAATGACATCGCAGTCAACACAACTAAATCCAATGGCCTGCAAATAACCCTCCCCGCTCCCATAGGTCTGCCTGAATCGCATCAAAAACCGCCTCATAGTGTCGGAAGAAACCAAGAAATGCCTGTCAAGCGCGACTGGTGGGACCGCAGAATCAACAAGCAGCGGCAACTCGGACAACTTCAACCGTCTTCCAGGGATCATACCCTTAATTCCCTGCTCAGAAAGCTGATAATCTCGCGTAATATCTTGATCCGACGCTTCCAAAACCAGAAGAATGATAGCCATGCAAATCCCGGTTCGATCCTTTCCAAGCTCACAGTGAATCAAAACAGGACATCCTGGATGATCCCGCAAGTATGTGAAAACAGCGCGAAACGCCACCGTTGACATGGCACAAATCCAAAGATACAACTCTGCAGTGACAGCCGACGTATCATCCGTCGCGAGACCTTTCAAATAGGCCACTATCTGATCATCATCAAAATCGGCAAGCGCCGGGACATGTGTAACCGGGATGGCGGAAAGATAGCGACTCGATTCAACAATCTCACCCCCAGACCGCAAATCAAATATAGCCTGAACGCCATGACGAGTTTGCAACTTCTGAGCCCCAGACTGCGTGATATCATCGAGATTCGATGAGCGGAAAAGCATCCCCTTCCTGATAGATCCGCCACCGGCCACAGGATACCCCCCAACGTCGCGGAAGTTCGACAGACCGTCTATATCAGAGATCACGGGCAATTTGCTGTGTATAGGATATGGAAGGTCATTACTGGGGAACACTTCATAGCAAGACATTTTGAATAGAAATCAATATACGAAGCAGATATAAGTCCGACCATGACTTCCATACATCCTGCAAGGACCGGACTTACTTATATGATCCTCCCTGCAACTGAAGCAAGACCACGCAAACATCACTATCATGACAACCCAATGACATACCCATCGCACATACCACACACAAACGCCCCACAAGTCCCTCAAAAACCAACATAAACCAATCCCTCCACCATTTCATACAGGATCAAACCAGTCCTCTAACCACGCAATCCCTGTTCTTCCGCGATCAAGGTTCTCGGCCTTAGCTCGCACTCCAGGTACCGAAATAGTCCCAATACATGTATGGCAGGAAATTGAAACCGGGTTTCCCAGGGTCTAGGATCCGGGCACAAGGTTTCGGGCGGCATTGAGTTTGTGTGTAACCCGGAAGTTTGTTGTCCTTGCCTTGGAAAAGGTAGGGCCGGTTTGTGGGGCTTTACCTAGTGGCTGGTTGCAAGAGAGGGGTTGGATAGAATGAAGGATATGCTCACTCGATTGGTGGATGGTTGGCTATGAAGTCTAACTATCAGATAAGAACTCATGGAATATTGGATTCAGGAAACATGCTAAACTCTAAGCACTGACTTGAATGAGTATAATTTAAGCAGATAAAGCAATACAACACAACACAACACAACAATGTATCAATGTGATTAACTGGTGAACAAATGCTCTGCAAGTACCGCTGTCAAATCTTGAAGTATATGTCACGTTCACCAGTAGACCCAAAATGATATACCGCCGACCTCTGGAGAAAAGATGGAACGAAAGACTGTCCCAGCAAGATGTATAGATAGCAATCTATGCTAATCAGCCTGTCTAGGACTTGTCCTAGTCCACTGCCAGGCGGACGGCATCGGCCCCAGTCACCTCCTTGATGTCGTCCAAAACATCCTTGATAAAGGTAAAATGGTAACTCCCTTTGCGAACATACCCGCCAAGAATCATCCCAGCCACTTCGCCATTGTTAGTAATGAATGACCCAGCGTCTCCTGGGCCCGCAAAGTTGCGGTCTTCAAAACCTCCTAAACTATACTCGTATGTCACATCTAAAAACGTCCAACCTTTCGTGCCGGATATTTCCGACATCCGGGTCTGCAGAACACCTAATTGTCCCTCGGCAGCGCCGGTTTTCCTGCCAGAATTGAATAGTCTCTTTCCATTCCCTGGAAGAGTATTCATATCCGTCCAGAAAGGGGCGCCTCGCCCGGTCCAATCATCAGAATAGGCGAAAGGCTATATACGTAGCACATATCGTGTTAGAATATCATCGAAAAGCAAAGCGGAAACGGCGGGGGGGCTTGTCATACCTCAAGTGACCCTTGTCGCTCTTTCATAACCTCAATCAAGGCCCAATCCATGAGACAGGGCTTTTCAACTTCGTTCTCCTTACTCCCATCTGCCATACGGATCTCTCGATATCTAGTACGATGCAGACCACTTCCAGCGCAAACGTCGCCGAGATGGTAGCTCTTATCATCGAGGAACTTTTGGTGCTCGGCCCTCCTTGTCTCGTTCCCTGTGCACGCTGCACGGTTGATGGCGTCTTTTAAATCGAAGAGACCCGGCTGATCGACCTGCAAGACCTTTCTCACCAGAGGGTCATCGAAGCCAGGGGCATTCAACTTCCACCTCTCCAGGCCGTCTTGTGCGCCGGGAATCTTCTTTAATTTATCCTGCTGACTGGGCAAGGTAGGATAGATACTATGAAAGGAGGTCAGGTAGAATCGCTGCCAGTTGGAATCGCCTTTCATTTGGAGCTCCACAACTCCTCCCAGAGTCGCCGAGGTAGCAGAGCTGTCACGGATGCCGATACACATCCCCGGTAGGACCTCCTTGGAAGAGTTCCTCAAAGGGAACAGGGGAGCGGATTGGTGAGTCAAGGTGTACGGCCTAAACTCATCTTTCATGAACAGAACCGCAAAGTCTTCTTTACCGAGTCGCTTCAGGATCTGCGAGACTTTCTCCATGTCTTCGTCAAACTGCCGTTCTGAGTCCAGCTTGATATTGACAATTATGGTTGTGGGGTTATCATCCTTGAATAAACATGTGCCGTATTTCCAAAATTCCAGACCCGTCCATTCCTCGAAGTAAAACCCATCCAAAATGGCGTTTCGGATATCTGGCCATTGTTCAGCCTCTTCGTTAGTAACGGGATGAGTACACGGAGACTCAGCCAGATTCGAAGAAATTATCTCTACTGAGATCTCCGGGTCCCCTTTAACGACACGCTCATGGATCTGTTTCGCGACATCCCGCCACTTGTCAGCAGTCCCGTCATTTGCAACAACGATGATTGTTGGTACTGTCGCCGGTTCCGGATTGACTTTGGACAATCGGCCTGCTAACATGATTTCTCGAAAAGAAATGCCTGCTTTACAGAGTATATCCCCAGTCTTCTTCTTGATATCGTCCTCTTCGCGTATCAGGATCGATTCCGGATCGAGTGCTATATTTCGATCTGTTGTGGGTAGACTGCATAAGTAAGGGCCCCCAGCTCGCTGACCTGACTGCAGAAACCCATCGCTGTCGATTTCGAAGGGTTTGTTGTCGTACAGAGGAGCAAGACCAGCCCTAGACCCAGAGGGTGCTGGCGCATAGTTCAGAGCGTGGGCACGCAATCGAGGGATTGATGATGCATCTTGCATGGGCATATTTGCTCGGTGAAGACGCAGATACCTCACTCAGAACGTATAGGCAGACAGAAGGCGGAAAAGGGTTAAGTAAAAAAGATAGGTGAGCCTTTCGTAAATAGTCCGTCGATCACTGCTGATTTCCCAGGTTTGACCCATGAAAAAGATGCAATCTGGTACCGATGATACAGTTCCGACTTGAAGAGGGAGGAAGAAGGGGGAGGACGATGCACCTTTTATAGCTTTCTCTGGATCGTCTAACTCAAAAAAGATGGGAGAGTGCCTCTCACACGCAGGCAAGTCTCGTATGGAACTGCCCGGTCCTCTTGTACGATCAGCCAACGGGTCACGTCGGGGGTAGTCTGTCAAAGCAATGGGATATTCCTGTGGCTTTGGCATAAAGTACTGTAAGTTCCGATTTTCTTTGAAGTCTATTCCAACCATCAAGGCAGGCCTCTTTGTCCACCATACTGGCCATCGGACCCAAGCGAGCTTTGCATCTTTAAGTCGGCACTGCTATTTTCGTAGCCCTCATTAAGTAAGCTATTTGGTGAACGGGTGTAGAATCTGATCAAGACAGTGGATTATTTGCAAGGGATTGATGGGAAGAGTTGAAGAGTTGGAGGGGGCCCGGGTCAGGTGATTGAGCGGGGGTTTCTTTGTCCGGCCTCGTCTTTTTCTTCTTTTTCTTCTCTTTCTTCTCGCAATGCCCCCCCCCCCCCCCCCGGAATATCCATCTTATCTCACCGACAATCATCTGGCCAGTCGGGCCCAACACTTGGTTGTCTCCGATTGATTTTCTGGTGGCCACTAGTGGCTTTAGCGCGCCACTAGCAAAAGACGTTGATGTCAGTCTCATCGGACACTCGGCGCAATAATCATGATTGGCCCACACCCTTGCAGGGAATCATTCCTTCGGCGCTGACATATAAAGAGGACGACGCCAGGGCTTCAGGGTAACGCGGCTCTGCCGAGCTTATCGACCGTTGCTAGTTCCTTGTTTCTCTTCCCCCACTACTACGGAGTACAGCATCACCAATGCCCGAAAGAAAGGTTGTGCCAGCAGCTACTGGCCGACGGCACCGAGCTGCTCAAAAAAGATCCAAAACGGGCTGTCGAACCTGTCGGTAAGTCTTTGGACGCGCCGATGGGTGACGTTCATCCTTGCTAACCACCCACCAGAGCACGCCGCATCAAATGTGACGAAGGCCCTGGTTCCTGCCGGAATTGTACGTCCACTGGCCGAACCTGTGATGGATACGACCTGCACCGACTCCCCATCAAGCGGGGCCTGGGCCCCATCATAGGAGTAGGTCCTGGCCGGTGTATGACGTCCGATGAGAAACGCGGCCTTTCCTACTTCCAACATCACCTTATCCCCAATTTCGTCGTATTCTTTGACTCGCCATTATGGCAAGAGTCCATCCTTCAGTCGTGCCACGCCGATCCAGCAGTGTCTCATGCTGTCAACATGTTCAGCGCTATCCATCAAGACGCCGAAGCAACCGGCATGCCACTCGCCGGGGTCAATTGGCAAAATGCGCGGCATAGATTCGCAATGGAGCAGGCATCCCGGTCCTATGCACTGTTGAGACAACGCCGGGCCTCGGTCGATCCACAATTCCGCCATGTCATGCTGCTGTGTTGCCTGCTCTTTGTCATGTCGGAGGTATTGTTGGGACAGTATGCCAATGCCATTGCCCATCTACGAGGTGGCCTACGGTTGCTGCAAGAGTCAAAGCGCCTTGGTTTATCCGTGTGTGGAGCTTTGATCAAAACGTTCACAAGCTTAAATCTGCAGTCCATGCACGCTGGGGTCATCGAGTCGGTCCTGTATATAGATGACGGGCAGCAACACGATGACCGAGCCGCGTCAGATGTCTTCCACACTTTGGAAGAAGCACGACAGGCTCTAGGCTGCATCACAGACAAATGGACACCATTTGTTGCCAAATGCTGGCGACTATCAGAGACAGAAATCATGGCAGATTACGAGGCCCTATGGCTCGAACGACGGCAAGTACAGTCCGCATTCGAGCAATTCATGCCCCGATTTGAGCTATTCTGCGAAACCTCATACACCAAGCTCAGCCACAAGGAGCAACGAGGGACGAATCTCATCCGCATCCAATATCTCGGCATGATAATGGCGATCAAAACAAGTCTACGCGATGACCATGATCCCAACTTGCTGGTTTCCGAACAAGTCGGTCTTCTATCAGCGAACGAAGCCCTCATGGAGAACTTTTTCGACCGGCCAACTTTCTCCCTAGAACCGGGCATTATTGGCGGATTATACTCAGTAGCGTCCAAATGTCCGGATTTGCGCGTTCGTTGTCGAGCCATCGAGGCCTTGCGCTCGTGGCCGCGATACGAGGGGATGCTCAATTCCCAAAACGCAGCTACAGCCGCGGTGAAGGGCGTGAAGATGGAGCTGCACAAGTTGCAACAGTGTGGCATAGACGTGGAGTTAGATCAAAGCTTGCTTGAGGTGCTCAAGTTCTTGGAGACAGACCAGAAGACAATCAAACGTAGATGCTAGATAACTGTATGCCAGCTTGCTAATCACAGTACCACGTATGATAAGACACGTAGTTAGAATAGTGTCGTCACCCTGTCTGATATACAGTAATCTCAGGATCAGTCCCACTTTTATCCCTACTCAAAGCGGGAGCGCTACTGGCACGCCAGCTATGCTAACCACACACCTTTTCAATCTCTACTTACCACAACAGCAGGAGCTTGCTTTTCAATATACTGCCTTTAATGTATCCATGCCTGAGGCTATGTATATGCGCATCAGGCGGCTACATAGACTTCTGTAAGTCCTACTACTACTACTAAGACCCTGAACGAGCCATTGGATAGATAAAACTCTAAAATACGTGAGGCCCTGGATAAGACCAGGATAAAATACTAGATACGATCCTAGATAAGGTCCTACGCAAAGCCCTGTCTTTACAAGACCATACATAAGACTATTTTGAAATTCGATCCACAGCCTACGCAGAATCTTAAATCCTGCATCTTAAGGGGTGTTTCTACAAACCAACCTGATCAAATCCAACAATAAGACGAACGAAAATATTAAATAAAATTAACTCAAGCACTATTATTACACTACCTATATCGCGATATAAACACTAATTACATACATGACTGGCAATCTTGTGTCCTCTGATATCCATCCCTCAACGCCGTGTTACATCGTAACTAATACTACTACAATGCAGTGATGGAGAGCCGTTTGGCTCCCGCATTTCCCGTCAGCAAGGCTGACCCGCTCGACTGGCGCAAATGGTTCGAGTGCTTTGCTGCTTCTTCCACATCCAGACTGAAGCGCCGTGGCCGCTCCCACATGCCCACTGACTCGTCCTCCGTTGTCGACGTCGCTTCCAGCTTCGCTGAGGATAGTCCGAACTTGGTTGCTATCTGCTGGACTCGTTCCTGCGCTGCTGTCGCGTCGATTGCTGCACTTTGTCCTTCCTTGGCGAGCCGCGATTGCGCCCGCTGCAGGAGCTCCAGATGCTGCGTGACTGCGTCTACCGCCGCTGTCTGGTCGTCCGTCTCGTCGTTCAGCAGCTCGGCCAGCGCCGTCTCGTGTAGAGCCGCCGCGGCGAGGTTGTTGCCTGACGCCGTGTACAGTCCGGATAGCAGCTTGTTCATTTCCAGTGTGACCGGGTCCGAGTTACCCCACACCTGGCGCAGGTTGTAACAGATGTCCTTGCCGAGCGTCGTGGCGGCTGTGACATGGCCCTGGCAGAACCGAGTCTCGACGAGGCGCCGGCCAATCCAGACCACCGCTGGCAGCGTCCAGGTCTTTTGCACAATGCGGGAGGTCCAGAGGTCGGTGAGGATAGTCTGTATTGTTAAAACAGTTACCAAACAAATATGGAATCAGCATACCTCGAGATCCTCAAACATTTCGTGTTCACCTAGAACAGTCACAAGATCGTTGAGCTCCTCGAACGGAAGGTCGGAAAACTCCATCGGGCTTTCCCGCGCATTGGCCATGATCTCCTGCAGAAGGGTCTGTGACTCCAACGACATTGCCTTGGCCGTGGTGGTGTCGGTGCACTTGTTCACCTGGTAGCCATTCAGGTACAAGCACATCTTAATTGCAGTAAAGATGCTCTCCATCACGCGCAGCCCATCGGTCAGATGGATGAAAGAGTGGAACACGCCAGTCACGTCGGCAGCATCCTGGAATCTAGACTGGTTGCATAGATCCCGGACCATGCTCGTCGTCTGAGTCACAATGTTGATGTTGTAATCATCGTGCAGCGACTCGCGTCGGCACATGGAATAGAATTGATACACAACATCCTTCTTGCGGAGCGGCTGGGCAACCGACAGCGTGTTGCAGAAGTACTCGTACAGCTTGTCCTGGGTGCTCTGCGCAGCCGCGGCGCGCTTCTGCTCTGCTTGCAAGCGATGCAGCTTCTCACCCGCCGCCAGCGTGGGCATCAAGTCATGACTGGCCAGGCTCTGCTGGAAGACGCTGTACACCTGGCCCTCGCGGGACAGGTCGTCCAGGATCTGGCGAGCCGTACGCGTCCGGCCAAACACCTCTTCGAAAGCAGACACAAACGCCGCCGGCCGGTACTCGTCGAGGTTCCTCCGCTGGGCTGCTGGAGTATCATGGATGACCTGCTGGTGCAAGCTGTCGATGAGCTGCCACCCTTCAGTCGTGTAGCCACATTCTAGGTAAATTTCCGCAATTTGACGAGCACGGTCGACCAGAGCATCATGGTTGGCAGTGACATGGATCACCTCATCGGCGTGTTCATTCAGAAGCTCCGCTCCCTTCCGCTGAGACTCGGGGTTGCCTTGGAGGGAGTACATGCGGGCGATCTCTCGGAGCCACATCAGCGTAGTCGGAGCGGACAAGCCCTGCTGCTGCTTGCATAGTGCAAGCTCTTCAGTGTACAAGGCGCTAGCTTGCGGCGACGTATCTTTATTACGCATGTACAGCTGGGCCATGCGGTGCTTAATGTCCATCGGTAGCGGCTGTGTCATCTCGGACAGAGGGCGCGAGGCCTCCGAAGCAGGTACCCAGTCGTTGGTCCTCAGTACCTGCCGGTAGAGATCGATGGCCTCGGTGGTATGGCGGTCGTTGCTGGCACAGAGTGCAGCGAGATACATAGTTGCATCGCGGGTGCGACCGCTGGTAGGCCCATACAACTTCCGGCACAGCTGCTGGTGCTGCGAGGCAACCTGATGCCGCTCCGCGTAGCCTGCCTCACGAGAAGTGCTCTCCAGAATAGCCATGTACCCCGTATAAGTCTTGGGAAGCAATCCTTCCAGCAAAGCCCGATCATAACCGTCCTTCTCGTCGAAGCGCACCAGTGTCGGCCACAAATGGCGGTACACCTCGAGCGCAGAATCCCATTTCTTGTCCTGCTCATAAAGGGTCACAAGAGCCACGGCCGCACGAACACCAGACGAGGAGATCTTGCCATCGCGAATGCAAGCCGTGTAGATGTGGCAGTAGCTGTCTTCCGCCTCCATGCGCCGGTCCAGCCGCAGAGCCAAATCGGCTTCGTAGTAACGACTGTCCAGTGTATGCTTGTCATGCGCACCCAAGCGCGAGCTGAAGAAGTCACTGACTTGATGTAGGAGCACCAATGCCTTGTCAAATTGGAACGTGGTCTCATAGAACTCAACCACGGTCTTTGTCACGGAAGTGACGGCCGGGACCGCAACTTGGTCCGCGGTGATCGAGGCCTTGAATGCATTACCATACACAGTTGAAGCAGTAGCAACATCCAGGCGACGGAACAAACAGTACGCATAGTCGAGCGCAATGCTGGACATGAGTGGGGTCAGCTCGGACGAGAACTTGGCCTTGGCTTGAGGATCCTCGACGGTAGGCCAGACGTGCTTGAGCACGGCCCAGGAACAGTCGGAGCCTTGACGCCACTCCTCCTCCCGGATGCATCGCGTTGACAACTGGTGGGAAAGCATCAGGATCGACACCATGTCACGGTCACTACCGGCAGACGCCAGAGTGTCCATCCAACCGGGCAAGAGTTCGTGGTCTTCGGGCGACAACGCGGCCAATATGTACTCGGTTTCGGCAGCGGTGGCATCCTGACTCGGGATCATACCCTCGGTGAGTGATTCCGCCAGAGACACTGCCTGGGGTGAGTACTGTTGCCCAGAGGACCGGTAGTACTTCCACATCTGCAGCGCAAGTGCGCGGTCCATATCACTTAGATTCATCTCCCGCGCCTCAGCGCGCAGTTCCTCGGCCTGTTTGACCATTTCTGGGGACCTGACGCCGCCCTCAGCCTCGAGCTCGGCAGAGAGCTCGCGAAGAATAGCCGTGGCTTGGTCAGAGCGACCCTGGCGGCGCAGGAACTGCGAGTAGTAGAACGCAACTTTGGTCTTCTGGTCCCAGGCCGTGGTAGTGTCGACTTCGCGGGCTGAAAGACCCGTCCATAGTCGGGACAGCACCGTCTCTGCCTTGGACGTGTGGCCGTTCTGCTCATACAGCTGAGCCAGGTAAAGCGAGTAAGCAACCCGACGCGGATCGGTCGCATCCATCGACTGAAGCATGGTCTCATACTTGGTGCGGGCCAGTTCAAGCGCCAACTCGTCGGGAGGCGCGATCTTGAAGTGCTTTGTGAGGAAGTCGGCCGCTTGCATGGTTTCCGACGAGTGAGCCCCGTATGTTTGCACAGTCTGGCGGTAGAATGTCTTCGACACGTCGTACGCGGCATCATTCTGCTTGTTCTGCTGGTACGTGTTGACCAGTCGATCAAGATATTGAAGCCGCTGAGCGAAGCTGATGTCGGACGAGCCCCAGCCAGCCATGGCCATGTCGCGCAGGGCGTCAGTCTTCAGACCGGCTGCACGATCCGCGCGACCAGCACCTTCCGGCGTGGTGACCAGCATCTGCTCCAAATCATGAGAGATAGTACTGCTAGTACCCAGCTGGCTTCGGCTGAGCGCCCACGCCTGGTACATGTGATCGTTGGCCCAAGAAGCATGCGCCTTCTCGGCCGCACGAGCGCTGAGAATCAGACTCTGCAGGACAGCGGGGGAGTCGCTACCAAGTACGACTCGCCGAACACCGACAGACAACCGGTATAGTTCCACAATACTCGACCGGCTAAATTGCGACTCACGATTGGTGAGCTCTAGCTGTGCGAACAGCACGGTATCAGGGAAAGCGCGGCGGAAGGATGTAGGGAATGTGAGCTCGCGGTCCGACGAAGCCATTGGCGAGGCCAACATGTGGGAAAGCCAGTATCGAGCGGTGTATTCGAGCAGCACATAGGCGTCCAGATAGCGGTCGCGGACATCAACGCTCATCTTGTCCCAGGAGACGGTGACCTCGTCGGACACGGAGCGACGCACCCACGCCAGACAGCGGATCAGAAGATCATAGTGGGCGTCCGCCAGAGAAAATGGAAGCTCTTGGCGCATCTGGGCTCGCGCTTGGAGATGTTCGCGGATCATGGGGTGGCGGAACGAAACAAAGCCATCACGCACAGAGACCAGCCTATTCAAGGGCTGGAAGACATCACGCTCCACGTTCGGTGGCCGGTGTGCAACCTTGAGTGTTTTCAAGTCAACAGCCAGTAGCTGCTCAATTTCCGGAATGCGCAACGGCCGCTCACTAGCTGCCAACCAGGCCAGCAGGCTCTGCGTACCCACACGGTTCAGATTGATATTGCGCAGGTGATAGTCAATGAGGTCGCCCAGCGTGTTTGGCATCTTTCCAACAGCTGCTGTCATGTCGTTATACGTAGTCTGATAACTCACGGCCTCGGCGGCCAACTGCGCCCACACAAAGCAGCCCTGGGAGCGGTTGACAATAGATGTAGTGAGAGACTCGCGCTGGGATGGCTCCAGGCCGGAGAATGAGGAGTCCGACAGCATGATATCTGTGACGGCTTCCTGGAGATCCTGATGTGTTGTGGCGGTATTCATAGCAATCTGGTGGGTGTCGGTACTCTCACGGACGGGCAGCAGGTCGGTCGACATCGGTCGGCTGAAGATGATCAGTTTCGACGGAGTATTGGCGACGGTGTCCTGGAGCAGGCCCAGAAACGCGCTGACCGTAGTCTCTGCGTGTTTCATCTGGTCAAATCCATCAACCACGAGCATGAAGTGTAGGTTGGACTGGACCGCCGTTCGAATCGCGGTCCATAACTGGCCTTCCACCTGTGGATCAGAGGCGCCCGAGACGGCCAATTCCAGAGCGCCCGTCACAGCTACCAGAATGGCATCCTGGGTCTTGCGGCTGCTCACGCAATGGTCGAGCATCTGGATCAGGATGCACTTGAGGATACTGAGCGTTAGGGTGGAGATTGGAACATCCGATCGGATGGCAACAGGAATGACATTCCAGATGTCGTACTCCGAGGAGGCTTGGAGCCTTTCAACCGTCCATTGAGCCAAGGCACTCTTTCCTGCGCCTGGATTGCCCCGGATCATCATCATGCGTCGCCGTCCCATGGCGAACGTGGTAAGATGGGGCTCGAACCAAGAAAAGGAGCCGTCAGCTAGAGAATGGTTGTGACCTTCGAGCAACATCTGCAGCGGACGATCCTGCAGCTCTAGAAACTGGTAGATAGCAGCCAGGTCCACGGTAGTGTGTTGCTTGGCAGTGCCGGACTCTAGGACCAGGGAGAAGATACGTCGCCAATGCGTAATGAATCGATTGGTGTAGCGGAAGAACGCAGCGTCTACAGCAGAACTCATCGCCTGCCAATGCTGCGTCCGTATGCCCTGGCGATATTCCGAGGTGACATGAACAACGAGCTGCAGCAAATGGGCATATATCTCGGCAACCTGCTGCTGAAGGGGCCGGGAAACCGGGAAGAAGGTCTCTTGCTGGAGCAACAGGGAGATTCCGAGCGTGACGCGACCGTAGCGACCGAAAAGGCTTTCAAGAACATCGATATGGTCAATTCCCATCTACCCGTAATTGGTCAGTCTCAAACTGGCTTTAATTCCTACAGGAACCTTACCTCGAGCAACAGCAGATTAGTCCCCCAGACCATCTGGGTGGCTTCCTCAGCCCCGTCCATGAAGCTGTAAACCGAGTCCCGCAAGGAGCCGACGGCGACAGCGAGCCGAGAGGCGCGCCTCAGGGCACCATCAAGTCGACTCCCATCTGGAGGCATGCGCCGAAGCCGCTCCGCAGCGATGGTATCGAAGAAAACGTCCAGAGTCGGCGATTTCAATTGAATCTCTCGGGCCGTCAGCCCGAGACGGGTGGGACACTCCTGGGAGACGGTAAACACCGTCTCCCGCAAGATTGGGAGCGATGCTGTGCCCCCATTCACAGCATGGGCTCCCATATTGTGATTGGAAGACATTACTGTATCATTTGGGGTTGAATTATGGGGAGCATAGCATGGAGCAATTGGCTTCTCGTTGTACGTGGTTGTCGGACGGTATATGAATTTCCGATCCCTCCACGAGGGTCGATGATGCGAGGACAAGCATTGAAATCCGAGTCCTGAGCAATTCTGACATCATTGTATTCTCCCCTTTCGGCTCGTTGCTTGCTTCCTGCCATGGAGTCGCACTCGAGGGATAAACTGCGGCCTGACCGTGGTTCGAGGACACTAGGAGGAGTTTGTCTCGAGGGTCGATCGTGCAGGGGAGAAAGCCATTCCGGCGCGCTGCCAATAACCATCGACCGGGCCACGTGATATTGGCGTAGTCGTGGTGTCATGGGCTTCATTGTTGACTCGAAACTAAGGTTGCGGTGCGTCATGAGAAGTTGAAAGTCAATGACATCATGGAAGTCGAGGTGATAGTTTGCATGCGGGCAGGGCATTAACTGACTTTGTTGGGTGGAGATAGTCACAAGCACGAGGTTATATAAGCTGGCAAGGCCGATCATGACAGTGTGAATAGAATTGCAGACGCGGTCATGAGGGGACGGAAAAGCGAAGATGAGGTTGCGATGGAGTTGCGATGGAGCGCGCGGAAGCCGCCCGGGCGTCACGGGGGCCCCACCCCTATACATTCCACCCCCCATCCCCATCGATTAGCAGATTAAGGATGGCTGTCGAGTGATTTCATTTGTGCTATTTATACGTATACCTCTCTGCTTGTCATGCCATTGCCATTGTTTTCCCCGCCCCTGCGATCCGAAACTACCAAGCACGTACACATACACATACGTAAAAGAATCGAGTCTGTCTTCTCCCCCGACGCACAAATTGTCCGAGGCGCAGAATGATCTGGCCCACCACGATGACCCCTATCCCTGCTCGGAAATGTCCGGGAGGCTGGCCCGGCCATCATGGGTACATGGTTACCACGGTAGACCCTGGCCTAGCGAGTACTGTGATCGGGTCCAGTACCACTATGACCCCAAGCCACTGGACACATTTGGTGGTCAAGTCGGAATTCTTTGTTGTTGTCTCAAGTAGAAGCATGCATCATCCATTGAAACAAGAGTCATGTTGATCCACCCAGTTCATCCACTTACAAACCACGACACCCATGAAGTGAAACTCTGTCAATGAATTATGTCACTTCCTGTCGGAGATTGACTTCATCGCCAAGCGATCCAACGCAATCGCTCCATCCAGCCACTCCAGGAACGCTCGTTTAACCCTGGCCCTGGTTAGTAATGGCCACTGGGAATCCCGGTTACACTCACCGTAAATGAGCGCGTCAACCAATCCTTGGGACATGATGCATATCTGTGGCTCCGTTAGTGGAGCCCTAGGAAACCTCATTCTGATCACCTTTTCTAGAATGTCCAGCGCCAGTGGAGCACGCATTCCTGTTGTGCCTTGGTGGATTCGTACAACAGTGGGAATGACCCAGATTATTGCATATACTGTCGGGTATATCATCATTCGAAAAGAAACCTGAGTAGCTGGTCACTTAGCTAGAAGAAAAGGGCTTCGAGAAAATGAATAACCTTTTTCAGTGATTGTGGCGAGCGATGGAGCCGGATAGAGCTGTGGCCGATATCCAGAAGCTGCCAGTGGTGTGGATCTGTGGGGAGGGTCTCTAGGGTAACTTCGTGATCGCTTGAGATCGCTTTGTGGGACCGATAGAGGAAGAGGCCCAGACGAGTGTAGATACACATGATGACAAAGATGATTGCCCATCGTGTGATAAAGTTCGCGAGAAGGCGGACACGGTCACTGGTGAACCAGCACCCTGATACTTATCAACTGCGCGTCTCAAGCCACATATATAGGGGGGCATACAGCCACCGGTATTCCCATATCCAACGATAACGAGGCCTAGCACTGCCCACAGGAGGGAGAGACTCCATGGGACACACCAGAGGATGATTCTGTGGTTCTGCATCCAGGATGCGGCTCGAGTATGGTCCATCAGGATCAGGTAGGTGCAAACCCCAATGGAGAGAATCCAGTAGTCAGCTAGCAGTAACTAATAGTCAATACTTGTGCACCAATCACGTCTTTCTCTCTTACTTTGCACGACAAATGTCTGGGCCATGAACCCATTGAAGTTGCAGAATTGCTCCAAGGATGAGCTCCATATCTCGGAGCCTGAGACATTCAGGCCGGTCGAGATGACGACATTAAATGCTGCCAAGAATTCACTGACTCCAAGACCTGGGCTTGTCAGAGATGGCTAGTCTGTTTCTTTGATATGGATAACAGTACCAAGTATCAATTGATGGCGGAAAGTACGCAAAGTTGGCACAACCTGTCGCGCATCAGTAACTGATAAGAAAAGACATAGTATCGGGGACGTTCTCACGAGGAAGCTCAAAATAACCCATCCTGATCCTAGCATAGAAGCCGCCGAAACAATGAGAACAAATCGCGACAGGAACTCTTCGGCTCCCGTCCGCTCAGGCGCCGAGAGTGCAACGTGCTCCATTGGGTATTCGAATGGTTTGACACAGCCGTGCTTACATACTGCAGCGTTGTCTTGAGGGGAAACGAAGAATGGACTTGCCAGTACATGCGGCATTATAGCCTAGATATGATCTTGCCGGCCACCTCCTATCAAAGCTGAAGCACCCGCGGAGTTGATCACCCCACTCCCAGCAGCGCCGTGGAGATCGACACCCATGCACAAGATGGTCCGGAAAAGCAATTCCTGATCGCGTGCTTCTGGGTTGATCGTGGCGTAGACTTGGTGCAATGATTTCGGCATCTCAAATCCTTCAAGAGTCGCCTTTCGATGTGAGAGATCCAGCACCGCAAATTTCCGGACATGATGGGATTATCATGTTGCTCGTTGACATCAATGTCACGCTGTCTCATTAAAGCTGCCATACTGAGATGTATTAAGTCTCTACTGAAGAACCAAGCCTTCAGCCTTCACCAGGCCAACGGCGCGAGATGCGGCAACCAGCTGGCGACCTCTAACCCAGGAGTAGTACGGTAGTCTTTGAGCACGGATGCGCCCTTATCATGGCCTGCCTGCATAATCACCCAATCCACTTCGCGATTGTTGAGATTGCTTTTTTCCGATGAGATCGTGTTGAGGCTGAGCAGCGACCCAAGTTTGAGGCTTTTAGTCAGAATAATGCAATATAATTGGGCGGAAACGGACCTGCTGCCTGCTGCTGACGAAAACTCGTTCCCGGCAGAGTTATCAGCCACTCAATCGATCTGGGATCATGTGTCCTTTGAAACAGCACAGGCACCTGACGCTTGCTCCGAGGAGCAGCGACTGATTTGGCGAATTCTGGTCGCTCAAACTATTGGAAGTGCTATGGTATTTTAACAATGCCACCTCAGGAGGATCCTGGATGTGCGTTGATGCTCGGTGCGCAAGGGCGACCAGGACTATGCTGACCCATTAATCCTCCGACGTCTACGCTATCGATCTGTGCCCACTCATGCACCGGGTTTCTCCAGGGCGGAAATTGGAAAAGTGGCAGTTTACACTTACTTCCTTGGTCAGTCTCATTCCTGCGATATCTGATTTACTCCCTGTCCTGAATACCCTCAATTCTCCTCCACAGGCGGCTCCGGCCCATACCCAACATAGGCCGTAGTCAACTGGTGACGCACCCACTACCAATGTCAGCCTTTGCTGCAAATATACATGAGGTCTTCCAACTCACCTGGCCTGCTTTGAATGATTGCCTGCACGCAGGTCTGTCCTCCGAGATGCAATTCGGCAGCACCGACACCGTAGTCTCATAATTTACGCCAAAGAAGAACGGGATGGTATATCGTTCCTGCCCGGTAAGGTTGGTCACCCGGTGGATTGTCGATTTGAACCGCTTGTTCGTCCTACACACATCAATTGTCTATTCAAAGTTGAGGGCGCTCACCATTACCAAATGGACAAGCAATCTGAAATGTTCACGACCAAGGTCCCTGAAATGGGCGGCGCCAGGATCCATTCTTGTCGAGCGTTGAGGACCTGTAACGCTGGGACTTGGTCTTGCGACAGGATGGTAAAGCACTCATAGTCCTGGTAACATATGTCAGTCGTGTGAGCACGCGCCTAGCTCTGTCTTTGAGGGCCAGCCTACCGTATGCTCTCCTAGCCCAATTCTTACCTCATTCGCAACCGGTTGAGGCGGGTAGTGTAGCATCCTCGACGTCGCCCCGGGGTATTTGACCATCGGGTCAAAGAAGTCCTCCGGTAGTTCTAGGGCTAACGCGAAGATTCGTATCAATGCCCGGCATAGGGTCAACGCCTCGGCGAAGTATTGGAGATAGACCTCGCGGAAACCCGGGAGGACATCCTCGCCAGGCTACTGGTTGTCTCCGTATAGACCATATGTGTCGGGAGGAAGGGCGTCATGGGGACTTTTCAGGGGATCTGCTGCTGTCTCGTATCCGATGTCGAAAGATTCGGAGAAGGCTCCGGGTGAGGTGGGGTCTGGCTTGGGCGTGGAATCGAGATCCGTGCCTGTGGGTTGCTCGGAGTAGAGGGGCATGAACCCGCGATATTTCTGGTTGTGTTAGTGGATAGTCATTGATGTATATCTGAAAATATGCTATGATATACATTCGACTTTCCGATATAGTAATCCAATTTTTGCTTCTCCGAGAGCCTGAAGAACCGGTGCGCCATTGCATGGAGAGACGAGATGAGGTCTTCGGCGATCCCATGATTCTACGATCGCTGTCAACGATTTTGATTCAAGGTGGGCTCAGGAATATCTACCTTGATGTAGAAGAACCCGACCTGCGTGCAGGCATTGAAGATGTCTTTCGCCAGCTGTTGGCGCTCCTTGAGCAACGGGCTCCTTAAGGTGGAGAGGTCGATGATTGGGATCTCATCGAACTCGCCTGGTTGTGAATTGGGAGGTGGCATTCTTTATCCTTGATGGAAAGAGCAGCTTAAAGCAGGATGATTGAAATCAGGTCTCCGTCTTCTTGAGCCATGGCACGCAGGGAGTTGAAGCACCGTTCTTCCATTGTTATCTCCCGGGCGGGCTTATCACCCCGCACGGGGTCTTATCACGGCCGACATCGTATCAGGAAGGGGGAGATTCGTCAGTGTTGGAGAAGAACTATAGTAGGGTGTTGTGACATCGTGAGGAGGCAGTTGATATCGGTGCCTTTTAGAAGGGTAAGGAGAAAATAAAAACAGGAGGAAAGAGAAGTACAATGGGGAGGAAACGGAACTGAGACTGGCCAGAAAAAAATAAAAAAGAATGACCAGACTGGGGCTCGATCCCAGGACCTTATCGGTGTTAACGATACGTGATAACCAACTACACCATCCGGCCAGTTCTTGAAATACACCTCAAACTTTGAATCTATATTGCTCAAATTGCATTGTCATCTTACTTCTTCCATCATAGTTTCGGGCGCACCATCCCGGTTTGTTTTCCTCAACACCCTCACCACCCCATCACAACAATATCAGGTTGTATCATCAGAGTACATCTGGGTACTATGAAATTAGTCTTCAACCATCGAGTTGCAATGGTCGTCCAATGTTGTTTATTACATGGAGACCAATCCGGAAAGTCTCACTGATACTGGAGGTGGTGAGATATATATATGTTTTGTTCCCACCACCTCATCCCTATATTCATTCTGTCTTTGATTTCAATCAACCCATCACTACAGATGCAAATATGAGGCGAAACTGAAGCCTGACAGACTCCCTATCTCTTCAGAAACCCGAAGTGTATCCTCTGCTCCCTCTCCTGTGGACCGTGGCATGTGTGCTGACGTGAGACCGTTACCACAAGGCTCCACCCTCTTGCAAGTTTCCTCCGTGATTATTCGATCCTGCAAGAGCCTCGCGAGTCCAACAACCTATTGCTAATGGTTGGCTATCACTTGAATGAAACTGCTAATTTTCTATCGTAGATGTGATCACGCCTGTAGTATAATCGGTCATGCTAGTGCTACATGGTGCTAGATCACAGCTACTAAGATCATCTAGCTTATGTCCAACAAGACATCCTTCAGGGATGGTCTGAGCGAAATCAATGACCCATTGCGGCCAGTATTAACATACGAGAGTGATTCCAGATGAAAGATAGAGTCTCGCCCTGCTATTGGTACCTATATAGTACAAGCGGATTCTGACTGTTGGGGATGACTGACTGATGAATCACCAAGCCTCGCCCCCACACGGCTGCGAGTCGGCCACCGGCAACAACCCCTGGGCGACATCCAGTGACACCCCCTCACAACAGGGCTAGCCAGTAGCCTAGAGCTCGGGCTTGATCCTGGTCCCTCGTGGTCACAGCCAAACCGAGAGCCGCACTTGATGCTGAACTAACTTCTTTCCCTTACTTTTCCACAAACCACTCCAGATCATAGCGCTTCACGTCCTGACCAGGATGGCACAAATCCAATCAAATCTACTATCCAGCCGTAAGAAAACGAAAGGGACGAGATCTAGGACGGGTTGTCGAACTTGCCGGTAAGGGAAACACTGCTGGCAGATCAAGGAAAAACTGCAGTACTGACGAGGTCACCGCTGCCAGCATCCGACGTATCAAGTGCGATGAATCCCCAGGGCAATGCAATAATTGTATTTCTGCCAATTGGAAATGCGATGGGTATGATACACACCGGTTGCCACGAAGAACCGACTCGGGGCTGCGCGATATGGGCACCCGCACAGGCTGGTCGATGACCGCGGACGAACATCGATGCTTTTCTTACTTTCAGTTTCACTCTATTGCGAACCTGACCGGTTTTTTCGACTCGAAACTCTGGCAGCAGCTGGTCCTGCAGATGTCGCATGCCGACCCGGCTGTGTTTCATGCAGTCACCATGTTAAGCGCTGCGCACCAAGAATCTGAGGCGCATGGAATGCAGATATCCGAAGGAACGCACCATCGAAGTCGAGGGTATTATTTCTCGCTCCAGGAATCCACGCGGGCCGTAGCGCTCCTCAACAGACGCCGTACCTCACAGGATCCCCAGCTGCGCCAAACAATCCTCGTATGCTGTCTGCTCTTTGTCCTATCCGAGGTGCTCTTGGGGCATTGGGACCTCGCATTTACGCATCTTCGCAGCGGTCTGTATATCCTGAGGGAACTTGAGGCTCACAAGCAACTTGAGTCGGAGATTGAACCCTCCCTAGTGGTGGTGTTCCGGCGCTTGGATATGCAGTCTTCGCTGTATGGAGCCGGGGGTCCAATCTTGTCCCTAAAATATGACTCGTCCCGGCAACTGTTTCGGCCTTCCTTCGAGGGATTCACGAGCTTTGAGCAGATACGCAATGAACTGGCCAACTTGGTGGAGTATGGAGTACCCCTCTTCGCCGGGATCCGGTGCCTCTCCAGCCTTGACGCAGAGGCCGCAAGTGAGTCACTATATTTGGAGCAGGGACGACTACTTGGGAGCTTTGCTCAGTTTGCCGAGCACTTGAAACTCTTCTGCGAGCGGCACTATCACAAGTTAAGCGAGAAGGATCGCAAGGGGCTCGACATAATCGAATTGGTTTACTGTGGTCATATCCTGGCTCTGAAAATACTGTTTCTTGACGGCCCCGTGCCGAAGCATTTCATTCCGGATTTCCTTGTCGTGCTCCAGGCCCATGAGAGAAAGATCGACGAACTCCGTCGGCGTTCAGGCTTGGTAATGCATCATGTTATCATCGCCAACGTGTACCTGGTAGCCACGCGGTGCCCGGATCCCTGGATCCGTTTGCGGGCGATCTATCTCCTGCGATCTTGGCCGCATTTCGAGGGGCTTCACAGTTCCATCGTGGCGGCACTGATGGCATTTCAGGCGTTCAAGAGGGACTTTCCAGATTACGAGACAGCAAATTCGATGGTCCGGATGACTAAGAAAGACGAACAGTTCATGTTCGAGTCCATCAAGTCCATGAAGAAAGGCGCCATCCAGTCTGTTGTTCCGATTGTGAAGATGGCCGGACGTTTATATGGGTGTAAATGATCGAGATCAAATTCGCTGGCTCAAAAGCTATGCATTTTTTGGTTATGATATTGGCATTTGACCACTGATCATGTCTCTGGATGTTATATACCCTCTTTTTGATCCTTGATCCTGCTGATAGACATATCCGAGATGTCCGAGGTCATCTAGCAAATCCCATCCGGTTTGGCCGGCTTCAGACCTTACCGCCCAGTCGAACCTGGAGGCGTCGATGACCTGCAAGTACCGATGAGTATCATTTGATAGCGACGACATCAAGAGCATCCGTATCATGCTGCCTTATTCGCCCTGGCGGATAAATCCTGCTCCGTCGCCCCTAACGCCGAGGGGCTCGGTCTCCACCGGCACCACCGCCGAGTCGGCAGTGGGTCGCCTTGTTTGCGATTAGCTTTCCTCTCCTTATATGGGTATCATCCCCCCTCCACCTGGCACCGACATTTCGAAATCTATCTCACCACCGCCGCAATGCCTATCCCATTCTCCTTTGCCGCCCCCTGCTATGACCGGATGGTCCCTCTCGCGACAGGCGAGGTCCGCCCCGCCGGACTGGACCTCAACTTCGTCGAAGTCCAACACCCACGCGACGTGTTCGACCGGATGGTGCGCAACGCCGAATTCGACGCCTCGGAGCTCTCCAGCAGCGAATTCATCACCCGTTACGTCGCCGGCGACCGCACTTTTACTGCTGTCCCTGCTTTCCCACTCCGTACATTTCGACACGGATACATCGTTGTCAACACCGACCGAATCAAATCCCCCGCCGATCTATCAGGGAAGCGCATCGGCGTACAGCTATATACCATGACCGCTGCGGTATGGATCCGCGGGCTCCTCATGCACGAATACGGCGTCGATCTGTCGAGCATCACCTGGGTCGAAGGACGAATGGATGCGCCCGGGGCGCACGGAAAGCCGTCCGTGCTGATTCGCCGGGAGGGAGACAAGCCACTGGCAAACATCGAGAAAAACGAAAGCGGGAAATCGCTGAATCAGTTGCTAACGGACGGGGAAATCGACGCGACCATTGGAGCCGAGGTGCCGGGGTGTTTGTGGGACAACGAAAAGGCACCGCATATCCAGCGACTGTTCCCGAATTACAAGGAGGTCGAAAAGGAGTATTACCGGAAGACAGGCATCTTCCCGATCATGCATCTGGTTGCGATCCGGAGGGAAGTATACGAGAAACACAAATGGATCCCGACGAGCTTGTTCCAGGCGCTGAATGAGTCAAAGGAGCTGGTTCGGAAAAGGACATATATGCCAGGGATGATCCGGTGCATGTTGCCGTGGCTGAGGGAGGCGTTGGAGGAGACGATGGAGGTGTTTGGGGAGGACTGCTGGCCGTATGGAATCGAGAAGAACCGCAAGACCCTGGAGGCGCTGGTGCAGTATCTGTATGAGCAGGGGATGATTGAGCGGGTGGTGACGGTGGACGAGCTGTTTGCACCAGTGCAGGAGGCCCCGTTTGTTATCCATTAGTCCTGCTGATGAGACGTCTTGCCGCACTCCGAGACAGAAATCCTGGGTAGAGGAAGAAGATGAACTCGTGGATTACTATTTGCTCGGCGCTAAAACACTAGGTTAGGTCCTGACACCATGTAATGCATTCCCAAAAACATATAAAGATATTCTGGATGGCTAAACAAGGCCGTGAAATGCCCCGTGAAGGACTGACTCCATCAAGCGATTTTGAAAAACTCAGTCGAGTGTTTCGAGTGGGCTTATTTAATTACTTTGACACTGTTGCGTAAGAGTATTTTGGCTGATGGATGTGTAGTGAATAGGTAGACTGCAGGTCTCGAGGATCTTTGAAAGAAGCATTACATGGTGTGGCTTGCGCAAGGATTCAATAGAGAAGACGCTGGGGTTAGAAAAGGAGGTGTGAAAGATCTATGCGGATTCGATTATGCGGGTGTATATACGGAGGACTGGAATAGTACAATCTATTATATAAGATTATGGTCATGGAGAGGCATAGTTCGAGAGAATGCCATACGTGTCTTTAAAGTCGCACATGTATTCGACTATTTGACACGTTGGCAATTTTAGATAGCAGCGAGAGCCAGTGTTATAGATTAGAGCCATACTGGAAGCTCAATAGCCCGTACTACTTACTAGGATAACCTAGGAAGGTGAGATGGAGTGAAGATGATAGTTTTCAACTAACTAGACGTAGTGTCTGTATGTATGTATGTATGTATGTATGTATGTATAGTATCTATAATAAGGCTTTTTAGCTAGTGAGGTAAACAGTGGGAAGCCCCATCTATTATCTTATCAATCATCACTCCCCTTAATTCCAGGGAAAGGCTACTCAAAAAACCGCATGCTCTATACTGCAATACAGTGAATAACCCCACAGACCGGAGGAACCGGTACGGAAAACCTACAAATAAAAGCCCAAGCAAATACAGTAATAGCACCCCGGACTCTAGAATCCCTATAAGATAGATATAGCAAAGACAGAAGGTAACGAATCAATTAACCACAATCCTCTGTACTCCCTTTTAGAGCATCCCCCCTCTCTCTCCTCTTCCTCCTCATCATCTATATTCCTTTACTCGTCATTGTTGCCTTCCATGGCAATTTCTTTCCAACATCTAGATGTGCACTTACTGCTCAGTAACCATCCTCCACAGTTATACGATCTCCCTGCATAGCATAGGGATTCTTGAGCTTCATACGCCTTCGCTCAGTCAATCATCAGGATGTCTCACATCTTCTGCACATCCGTAAGGTTCGCGTCATCCGTGTGCTCTCCCTCAGACAGAACGCCTTCCTCTCCCATATGCGTAGCTGACTGACTGAGCGCAGGATGTCTGCTGTATTGAGATACGTAGACAATGTACCTATATGCTTGAAACCTTGCAACTCGGCTGTTTTGTGGTCTTATATTGACTGTTACTGAATGCGCTTCGCATGCTTGTTGTTACTGCTACTGGTGCTGGTATTGGTATTGGTGCTATGTTAGCCACACCATATCTCTTTGAGGCGTTGGATAGCATTGAAAGGATTTCGCAGACGTATTTGCTGTGTATTGAATACAAGATAGATGATGATCAGACAATCGATGTTTGTTTGCTGCTGTTGTCAAAGGGCTTGAACCAGAATGCTACAATACCATTTCTGGGGTTGACGATGGGATTTGTGGAGATGTTGGTATGCTAGTATGGATGCTGTCTAGTTGGAGAGTCTAGAGAAGAGGAGAGAAGGAAAGGAGAAAGGAAGATGGGGAGGTAGCGGAATAAATAGAAGAATGGAGAATATTCAATGATACGAGACGAGCTGGTCTGTAGTCATTAACTGGGTAGTATGCGTAAACTCCCCACGGAAAAGATAATCCTTTATATAGTTGCTAATATTCACAGATACAGTTTAAATACCATCGTGTTAAAGTTAATTACATTGTAGTCTGTATCATTTGTCAAATCTATATTGGGAAGGACGTGAGCTGGCTTCAAAGTAGGGCATTATCTGTCGGGTAATTGAGAGACCCTGGAAAGTGGACACATGCTGGTCTGCTGCAGAGCTTGCAGGGTTGATATCGGCACTCGGCTCAATGGAACCACTTGCCAACTCACAGTCTGCCTTATGAGTGCGGGGTACGATAGCATCACAGGTAGTGCCAACGGTCATGCGGTAGTCCAATTTTTAGTCTGCATTGTGACATCGTCAGCGGCAAGGCAAGCAGGGGTCTACTGGTTGTAAATCCGGTTCAACCACTGATGAAAGAAGGTTTACCCAGGAACTCCCACGGATGGAAGAGAATAACTATATAAAACTCTACCACTGCCAAGAATGAGAATGCAATATTTATTACAAATAGACAGACACGGCATGCGCCCGGAACATTCCGCGGACCCCCAACCTCCAAAATGTACTCCGTACAGTATACACCGTAAGGGTGCTCGAGCGCCTAATACATGGATGGTATTTGCAATACCGCAGGCAACACTATTTGGCGACCGGTGGTTGGCCGCCCGGCTCAGCCCTATAGGGGAACCCCATCCATCGGGGCCGCCCGCAACCCAATTGGGGGCGCAGCGCCGAGGACTCTATTTATGACCAATTTTAACGCAGCTAGTTCACAGCATGCCACCACCACGTCATCGCCCGGAATACCCATCGCTCCCCCAATGTAAAAGGAAGCGGTAGCGGCCGATGAAACGCCCAGCCCAGCCCCTCCCGCAACTGCATTTCCACCACCCGGCGCCAGTCCACTTGGTGGGCAAAATGAAGCGGGAAATGATGCTGACTGATCGACTTGATCGTGCAATCCATCTTGGGATGATCCTGGAGATCGACCTGCGGTTGGAGCAGAGCCGGATGGTCGCCTTCCAGGTCGAGCTCAACGCGCAAGGATCCCGTGCTAGAAAACTGGCGCACCTGCACAGCCAGATCATGGGTGCGGTTGTGAGGATCGCGGGCGTTTTTATCGTGAACAATCGTAAGATCGATTAGGGGGTGTCCTGAACTCTCGATCAGGTGGTGGTGCGAAGGATGCGGTGCCAGGTTTACCTGGAACTGGCCTTCGACGATCAGGTTCGGCGACGACGGTTTGTGGTGGACAAAAACCCGGGTAAAGCGGAGAGGAAGGTCGATCAACTCCAACGATTGGATCACCACTTTTTGGAGCGCTCCCCCATTCTCAGTGGTCGTCCGACGTGCGAGCCCGTTGTTCACATAGCGAACAACATGGTCGCAGATCCGGTCCTGGTACATGTGCCAGAACCGCTGTAAAACCCCGTTCGCCCATTCCACCGTCTCCCCACGGGAGAGTATCTTGTATGCATGGTATCGTCGGCATTCGTCGCGGAGGATGCGCTGCACTCGGGTCAGCGAAACAACCGCGTAGGTTCGACACACGGCGAGGACGAAAAGCAGCCAGGTGAGTCCGAGATCGAGACGGCCCACGATCCACGAGACCAAGCACACGGCGATGATAACGCGGGAGTCATCGTAGGTCTGCTGAACAAGTTCGACGAAGTTGAAGGGCTCGGGGGTCAAATTGGGTTTCCCCATGGTGATAGCTTGTAGACAGCAACAGTGCTGTTGAGATAGGGTGGAATGGGTGGCTTTGACTTATGTATGCTCGGTTGTAGATATATTGTAGAGTGCTGGGGTAAGATGCTCCATGGTCAGATCGACCAGCATGATGAGGTAGTGTGGAGGAAGAGCGGTGATGATGACGCGCGAGAGGCCCTTTATACCGAGGGCGCAGGGCTGCTGCCTCTGCGCATGCAGGCTGAGCCACCACAACAGGAAGGATGCACGCTACTACACTGTACACTCAGCAAAGTGATGCGTGTAATGCAAAAACCATTCATTGGTCGGCAATTGTATTAGAGCCATACCAAGGACCGGGTATCTTACGTCAGGTCAGGGGCCTTCCGCCAAGGTCCCCCTTCCCCTTCCCATCGAAATCTTCCCCTTAGAATTTTTATCATGCCCATTTTCCTATCAACGCCATAATGCCAGCCCCCAGCAAGACACACAAGAGCATCCCCAGCAGATGCGACCGTCGCTTCGTCCGGTCCGGGTCAAACAGAAAGTCGCGCGCTAACAACTCCACCAGCCCGCTGTAGATCAGAATCCCGGCTGAAATGGCATTCAATACCCCCTGCACCATGTTCGCCGTCTTGGATCCTGAATTATATGTCGTGCGCACCCCCAGCCCGATGGCAATCGAAATGGGCGTCGTGAGTCCATACGCCATGCAGAGAATCCATGGCAGCCATCGGTGTTGGCCAAAGCGAAGCGCTGACATCCGGGCCCCGATCCCAAGCCCCTCAAACGCCTGGTGGAAGACCAACACCGGGTAGAGGGTGGCAAACTCGTCGCCTGTCACTCCCAGATTGAGCCCGATGATTACTGAATGGAAGATGATACCGAATTCCAGGATCAAAAAGGCCGCGATGTCCTGGCGGAATGAGCGCTCGGACTCCACGGATAATGTCTCTTGAGACCCAGGCTGCTTGCGTCCAGAGGAGTTACCACCAACCGCATATTCATCGTCGCTCTGTATCAAACTAGCTTGAATCAGAAAACGGTCGGTCGCGTCGTGCTCTCTTTCTACGCCGTATATGCGCTCGACGTAGACTTCGGATGCCACATCCAGCAGGAAGACCATGATGACTGATGCAAGGACAATGGCAGCGCACCAGGAGTAGTCCGCCCAGTGCCCGGATACGCCAACGCAGGTAGTAGTGCCGATATTCTCGTACGCGGGGTCCAACAAGTGGATGAACGCGGTGGCGACAATGACACCCGTGCCGAAGTATCGGGCAAAGAGATAGACAGGGTAGGGAATATTCCAGCGTGGGATTCGTTTAGCCACCACAGGGAAAAGTGTGCATGCCGATGATGTGACAAGAATCACGAAAATGGATGAGATACGCGCCCCCAGCTGTCCATTGTAGTCATTCTCGGACAGCTGCAGATAACAATAGATATCCTCCACGCTGGCCGTATCTAAGTTCACGTTGGTTGGATCGAACGAAGGCATGATGTCTAGTGTCAGTGTGTCTTGACTTGACGCGGAGGATCGCCATCACGTTGATATATCCTGCTGACAGGGTACCTTGGGGAACACCAAAAAAGCTCAGCCCGGCCACAGGGTCCTCTCTAAGGCCATGATTTGGTCCTGGGATTCCCTTGCATGCTTTCCGGCCAACCAACGCACCAAGCCCCCAAGGTAGAAGCCCAGAGCCAGTGAGGCTTCCTTACTCTGCAGATGATGCTTCAAGTGAAACGTGCACAGAATTCAGACAAGACGATGCCCATATCGTCTGCTTCAGTGTCACCACAACCGCGTATCAGCATGAGAAGTTGTCTTATCATATTCTAACCACGGATAAGACTGATGACCATAGGATTCGACAGGTTTCCACACTCGAAATCTGACCCAGAATGGCACTAATTCATATGTTTGCATCGAGGTTGGGCGGATACAAAGTTTGATTGCTAAGGGGATATGGAGACTTTCATTTTCGTACCTCTATTCGGTCAATGCACTTCCTAATCCTTCTTAGAAGTAGGCTGTGGTCCAAAGGATACCGTGCCACAATGTCAAGCGGCAGCGATAGATGTCTGGGTGAGACACGGCCGAAGTTCTGGAACAGCAACGACGATCTTTTCGTCTGCACTAGGGTAAAGGTAATCGCCAATTGGCTTTCCACGCTATCGGCTCGTATAATTTAATATCGAATGCGGGTTGATATGACGGGCTGACATCGGATTGCCAGGTTTTAGATGTGGCGGAGAAGAGATTAATATGATATTCCGACCGACACATATCTCTTTACTCCATTCGAAGAAGATACCTTGTCTGATTCAAGCTGCCGAGTGTTGAAATTATGTCTTGATGGACTGATTGTGGAGCAAGCCCTCGTCACCGATCCCGCGTCGATTAATCTGGCCGATGCAGACACAAGCGGAGCGGAGCCTCCCCCCGCAGCACACGGAACGATAAAGCTATAGCACGGCATCTTCTGAAGTCATGAGCCAGTAGCAGTCCGGGCCAGCATGAATAGGAGTTCATGACGATCGGCTGGGGTTAATCAACTGTGGATCCTCATCCTGACGATCGCCGGGTCATGTTTCCCCCCCCCCCCCCAACACGTCAATTGTTGACCTCTGAGTCAAGGGTGGAATGGAGGATTGTCGATGTCTCAGACGATCTGGCGACTGTGCTTAGATATACCGTGCATGGTGGCACTTGGCCCTGGCGGACACGACTCGAACCGTTGCAAGATCGGCGGACGGGACAACAACGTCAACGAAGCAGCCTTTGAGTTTGTCCCGTCCGGGAGTTTCACCATGCGATCCGTTATCAATCTGTGACATGCTCCGCCATGATTGACATGGTCGTTTCCATCTTGGCTTCCACTTCCCGCCCATGCATGGCCGTTGCGACCGAACTGTACACGGCAAGTTCTTCGAGTCTTCAACTATATAACATCCATTGACACAATGCGATCAGGTATCATCACGACTTCAACATCACGTTCTTTCCATTCCTGCAAGTTAGCTTGATCTCATTCCTTTCGTGAGAACTGCTGGTTCAGTCATTCCTTTTGCATCTGCGACTTTGATTTCCTGGATATCCCGGTTTGAGGCTCGTCGCAATGACCCTCCTTCGTCATCTTCTGACGGCAACTGCCTTACTCGGCGCTTCTGCTCAGGCGGCGCAGGGCGTCACCGGAACACCTTTCGGTTTTGCTAGTGGCACTACGGGTGGTGGTGATGCTACCCCCGCTGCGCCCAGCGACATCAGCGAGCTGACGTCCTGGCTGTCCGATAGCACCCCTCGCGTCATCCTTATCAACAAGGAGTTCAACTTCCTTAACAGTGAGGGCAAGTGCACCGACTGCGAATGCTGCATCCCGTCCTCCAATACCTGTGGCAGCTCTGGCCAGAACGCTGTCAAGCAGAATGGCTCCGACTGGTGCGGTAGCTATCCCGCCACAACATGCACGTATGACAACGCTGCTATCGAGGGCCTGGAGGTTGCCTCCAACAAGTCCATCGTCGGTGTGGGTAGCTCTGGCGTCCTTCGTGGCAAGGGCCTGCGTTTGGTCAACGGCGTCAGCAACATCATCATTCAGAACATCCACATCACCGAGCTTAACCCCCAGTACATCTGGGGCGGTGACGCGATCACCCTAGACGGCACCAACAACGTTTGGATTGACCACGTGAAGATTAACCTCATTGGTCGCCAGATGTTTGTTGCCGGATACGAGGCCAGTATGTTTTCCACTTCTAGCAGTGCATCAAAAGAAGTGAGTATTGATGATTTGCAGGCCACCATGTGACCATCTCCAACAGCGAGTTTGATGGTCAGACCAGCTGGTCCGCAACCTGCAATGGCCACCACTACTGGACTGTGTAAGCTTTGTGCCCTTGGCGTCATGTCCAATCAGCCTGAAATTCTAACCTAGTCAGTCTCGGATACGGCCACAACGACCAAGTCACCTTTGCCAACAACTACCTTCACCACACGTCTGGTCGTTCCCCCAAGCTCGAGTTCAACAGCTTTTGGCACGCGTACAACAACTACTGGTACAACAACACCGGACACGCTTTTGATGTTGGCGAGAACACCCGTGCTCTGATTGAGGGTAATGTGATGGTCGATGTCAACATTCCTCTCCTGGCCGACAGCAACCCCGGAGCTGTTTTCGCCGTGAACTCCAGCGATGTTTCCAGCTGTACCAAGACCCTGGGCCGCACCTGTGTCCCTAACACCCTGGTCAGCTCCGGTACACTTACCGGCACCAACAGTTCCGTTCTCAGCAGCTGGCCCTCGGGCGAGTCCGATATCACCGTGATGGCTGCTAGCAAGGTTGCTTCTTACGTCCTTGCCAACGCCGGTATTGGCAAGCTCGGCAACGGGTCTGGTTCCTCCAGCACCGTCGCTGCGGTTGCCACCTCGGCTGTCGCCAAGCGTGCCGGTCCTGACGACGACGTTCCTTTCGGCGGTGCTCCTTTTGTGCCGGCCCTCTCGCAGGCTGGCCCCGGTGCCTCTGCTATCCCCAGCCAGCCCTCCTGGTCCTGGAGGAAGGTCAGCACCAACGTTCCTGCTGCCACTGGACCTCCTTCGGAGGGCTCTTCCCAGGGACTTGGCGCCCCCGCTCCTCAGGCAACTGGTGGTAAGCACCACCACCACAAGGGTCATCATGGCCATGGTTCCCAGGGTAAATTCGGTGGTGGCCTCGGCTTGTAAGCTGCCAGTGAAATGAGTTGGAGCCGCACCCCGCGTGTTCACGCTTGTAGCCTAATGTCAGTTAGGCGGGCTTTTGCGAGAGCACCTAAACCTTCATCTTCTTTGTACATCACCGATCGTTTGCCAGATATTGTTATATAGAAGCTTATTAGTCAGTATATTCCCATCCACTATGGGCTCACCTCGTTCCGGTCACAAATTTGTATATCGGCTTTTCTGACTGAGATAGATGCAGGCATGTCGATGGGTAACCCAATATGTCTGATCCTCCACATAAACTCCGTGTCTTTCTCAGAGCCACATGCATGCATGGATGTAGAATGATACTGCGTTGAATGTGACTGACAGGTTGTGAAGATGTTCTGAGTATCGAGGACGGAGACCGGCTTGGTCACCTGATAGACTAACTGTTCTGGTCTAGTCAAGTAATTATTACCGATGCGTCTTGGGTTAAAGTGTGCTTGTAGCTTTGCCGGTGTGGCTGTAGCGCTTCCCATGTTTTAATGCTGCCAATCCCAACGAGCATAGATAATAGTGGGTGCAGATGCGTGTATATTCCTATGAGAAGATAATTACAACTTGAAGCCCGATTATTATTGAGAATGTCCATATCCGACACACATACCGCTCTGCAGAGCTACCCCAGACAAATACATACAAGGATGTTTAGTTCGTGCGACTCTTCGCCGACACGGTATGACGTCATCCAATAACGACTCGAAAACGCGGCCAGACGTCCTCAGGATCCTGGAGATAGAGTTATTAACTGGCACGACTTGAACCGACCCACTATCTCAATTATCTCCATCCAAATTTACAACGCATAGCGACAAGTGGATGCCTGAAGGACCCAGCAACAATCGAAGCGTATGGGGCGGGCCCAAAATCACGTGATCACTCAACGCGTGAAAGCGTCACGTCCGGCGCGAATGAAACACGAACTGATCCGGGGAGCGCAGTTTCCCGCGACTGTCATCGTCTCTTGTGTGATACCCCCGAATGTCGAGTCGCCCTCCCTCTACTATCTAACGGACTGTATTCGTGTATCTTATGAATGGAACCGTGTTGAATTATTATTTTATGACCATTCGCCATGCCTGAAGCCGTCGCCACGCCCCAGAAGCGGGTTCTGGGTGATGCAATAAACAATAACGCCCGCGGTGTCTCGAAGGACCCAAATGCCCTCAAGAAACGCAAGCTCGACAATCCGACTCCCAGCAGTCAGCGCCGAGTTCCCGGGTCGGGCCAGCCCCAGAAAAGTCAGTTCGAGGAGGAAGTCTTGGAGAAATTAACACAGGACATCAATGGGTTGAAGAACACCAATTCCGAGAAGGATCAACAATGGGAACGACCACCCCTGGGTGAATTTAACCCTGCAAAGGATAATATCTGTTTCCAGCAGATTGATGCTGAAGACGGGTTGATCATGGGCAAGACCGCTGTTCGACTGTTTGGTGTCACGGAGGTAGACTATACGCGTTCATTCCCACCAATCTGATCATAATTTAATGCTCCTTCTAGGCAGGTCAATCCGTCCTCCTCCATGTTACCGGCTTTCAACACTACCTCTACATAGCTGCGCCCGTGAACTTCACCAAAGAAGACTGCGACCCGTACCGAAACTTTCTGGAAACCAGACTGGGGAACTTCCCGCCTATGATCCAATCCGTTCAGATAACGATGCGGGAAAACATTTATGGATTCCAGGGTAACCAGAAAAGTTATTATCTCAAGATCACGGTTACCGATCCCAAGTACATCAACAAGCTCCGGACCGCATTGGAAAGTGGTGGTGCCCAAAGTCTGAACTACAAGGGCCTGTGGAATAATACCGAACCGGGGATTCTTACATTCGACATCATCCAATATCTCCTCAGGTTCATGATCGATACGGGTATCTCGGGCATGTCTTGGGTCGAAGCCAAGGCAGGAAAGTACCGCTTGTTACAGAACCAGGAGAAAGTGTCAAATTGCCAGATTGAGGCCTGTATCGACTACCGCGATCTCATCTCACATGCACCCAACGGTGAATGGGCCAAGATGGCTCCGCTTCGCATCTTGTCTTTTGATATTGAGTGTGCCGGACGAAAGGGTATCTTCCCCGAACCGAATCAGGATCCAGTCATCCAAATTGCCAATGTCGTGACTCGATACGGAGAGTCGAAGCCATTCATTCGGAACGTTTTTGTTCTGGATACGTGCAGTCTGATTGTCAACACCCAGGTTTTGGAATTCCAGGAGGAATCGAAGATGCTCATGGCTTGGCGTGACTTCGTCGAAAAGGTGGACCCGGATGTTATCATAGGTTACAACATTGCCAATTTTGATTTCCCGTACCTCCTGGACCGCGCCAAGCATCTCAAATGCACGAACTTCCCCTACTGGACCAGATTGAAGGGCATTGCATCCCAAAGCAAAGAAACCAATTTCTCCAGCAAGCAGATGGGAAACCGTGACACCAAGTCAACCAACACTAATGGTCGGATTCAACTTGATATGCTTCAGTTGGTACAGCGAGACTACCATTTACGAAGTTATACTCTGAACTCGGTGTCGTACGAATTTCTGGGCGAACAGAAGGAGGATGTCCATCACACGATGATCACGGAGTTGTATAACGGAACACCGGATTCCAGGCGGCGTTTAGCTGTCTATTGTTTGAAGGATGCATATCTCCCACAGAGACTGATGGATAAGTTGATGTGTCTGGTCAACTACACTGAAATGGCGAGAGTGACGGGCGTGCCTTTCAACTTCTTGCTGTCACGAGGTCAGCAGGTCAAGTTCATCAGCCAGCTGTTCCGCAAGGCGCTGGAGCAACAACTAGTGATTCCAAACATGAAATCCAGTGACGAGCAAGACTACGAAGGTGCAACTGTTATCGAGCCTATCAGAGGCTACTACGGCGTACCGATTGCGACCCTCGATTTCGCATCGCTATACCCGTCAATCATTCAGGCACATAACTTGTGCTACACCACCCTGCTGAACAAGAATAGCGTGGAGAGGTTGAAGCTCAAGAAGGACGAGGATTACATTGTGACGCCCAATGGCGACATGTTCTGTACCGCCAATGTACGCAAAGGGCTGCTGTCACAGATTTTGGAGGAACTTCTGAGTGCCCGAAAACGGGCGAAGAAAGAGCTAGCCGTTGAGACAGATCCGTTCAAAAAGGCTGTCCTGAACGGAAGACAGCTTGCTTTGAAGATTAGTGCAAACAGTGTTTACGGTCTCACAGGTGCAACCGTTGGAAAACTCCCCTGCTTGCCTATCGCAAGTAGTACGACCAGTTATGGACGACAGATGATTGAGAAGACCAAACAGGAAGTAGAAGCCAGATACACCATTGCCAATGGATATTCCCATGATGCCAAGGTCATCTACGGTGATACCGACTCCGTCATGGTGAAGTTTGGTGTTACCGATCTGGAGGCGGCGATGAAGCTTGGGCAAGAGGCTTCTGAATACGTCTCGTCGAGGTTCTTGAAACCGATCAAACTCGAGTTCGAGAAGGTCTACTTTCCGTACCTTCTAATCAACAAGAAGCGATATGCCGGGTTGTATTGGACGAACCCGAAGAAATACGACAAGATGGACACCAAAGGTATTGAGACAGTTCGTCGAGACAACTGCCTGCTGGTTCAGAACGTTATCGAGACGGTCTTGCAAAGGATCCTGATTGACCGAGACATTGAGGGCGCACAAGAGTAAGTTCCTTATGTGTCTCTTAATTTCTTCATACTGACTTTCTGCAGCTATGTTAAAGACACCATTTCCGACCTGTTGCAGAACAAGATCGATATGTCGAAACTTGTGATTACCAAGGCTCTTTCCAAGGACGCATATACCGCTAAGCAGGCACACGTCGAGCTTGCCGAGCGTATGAGGAAGCGTGACGCAGGTTCGGCTCCGACGCTTGGCGACCGTGTGGCGTATGTTATCATCAAAGGTGCTGGAGGATCGAAGAACTACGAAAGGTCCGAGGATCCCATCTATGTTCTGGAGAACAACATTCCCATCGACACGAAATACTACCTCGACAACCAACTTGCGAACCCCCTTGGTCGCATTTTCGAACCCATTCTCGGTGAGAAGAAGGCCAGCCAGCTTCTCACGGGTGAACACACCCGTTCCATCTCCGTGGCCGCCCCGACCATGGGAGGACTGATGAAGTTTGCAAAGAAGACGCAAACCTGCCTCGGATGCAAGAAACCATTGTCCGGAAAAGAGGAGTCAGAAGGAGCCGTGTGCGCCTACTGCCGTCCTCGACTGGGAGAGCTCTACACCAAGTCCTTGACGAAAGTATCGGACCTGGAAGTCCGATTCGGTCGACTCTGGACGCAATGTCAACGATGCCAGGGAAGTCTGCATTGCGAAGTCATCTGTTCCTCCAGGGACTGTCCCATCTTCTACATGCGCATGAAAGCGAAGAAGGACGTGGAGGATGCACAAAAAGAACTGTCTCGATTTGATCTCGACGCCGGTGCATGGTAATGAATTGATGTCTTGGGTATGATATAGCAGCTTGTATTTGTACGTGAATGATTGGGCTTGTCCGAACGGCGCATTGCGCTATTACATAGGGTTCGATTAAATAATATCAACATTGAGCAATATCAACAGTTTTGTATAGATAATCAACAGACCTGTATGGATGGTAATCAAGCTCACTTTTCTATAAGTATACCTCATCTGAAGTGAGTGTGGGAAACGTGTCCATAATACAGAGGCAATAGACACTCCAACAGGATGACAGACAGCGAAATGATCCATAAATATCTGGATAGCAAATACATGGCAATCTCTCACCACCAGCACAAGAAACAAAAACAAGTACTACGGAGTCCTCCATACACCGTATGGAACCCAAGTGCCCGTACCTCGCCCCCACCCCCGCTCAGAGCCTCATGAAAGGAAAGGGCTGGGCTAGTGTAGAGGCAGTGCAACGTTCCATCAATGGATCAATCAGTAGGGACGGGTTATGATCCGCTGGCTGGTGGAATTACCTACCTGGTTACGGAGTGGACAGAAATACCTCGCTTCTCAACCGTTGTTAGACCACGTGGCTTATACTATAAACCAATCATCGGACGGATAGTGGATGTGTGAGCTGTCCGGGGGAGGAGGGTGAATAAATATTGGGCCAGCGGATAATCTCAGCCTCATTGAGTTCTGAGGGTTAGAGGATGATTGGATATAGATAGGTGTTGCCCTGGTTCCGCGAGGCTGAGAATAGGGATTGTAGCTGGGAACTTGGAAGGCGACCGGTCTTAGTGCTGACTGGTGGTGGTTGATTGGTTGGTCCGGTTAAACGCTGTAGAACTAAATGATAGTTTAGTGCTATGCTGCAATAGGACTAGTGAGATGTCATGCAATAATAGAGAGGCTCAAACTATCTAGTAGTATGTCACTGTTCGGATAAAGGGTGGATGGGGGCCAAATCCTGAGTATATTTAACTCAGACATGTTCCAGATGGTGGGTTGATTTTTTCGTAGACTATCAGTGGCATATCAAAGCTCGCTTCCACCGATTAAAATCTCATCTATTTCATTCACAATGACGGTCACTACTCCCCGTCGTCTGCTTCTCGTTAGCATTCCCCGTTCGGCTTCGAATCTTCTTCTGAAAATCTTGGACATTCTCAACCAGCCCAATGTTTTGACCAACAGTGAGGCAGGCTACTTCTTTTTCCCGGCATTCATTCCCGCGATGCAGGGTGGATACCTGGACAAGCCGATGGACCAGTGGACAGATGCCATGAAGCAAGAGGTGAAGGCTTCGTTCAACGGATGTGTTGAGAGGTTGGAGGAGTTCTCTGCACGCGCCGAGGAAGAGAAGAAATTCATGTTCACAAAAGAGCATGCCTACTGGTTCATCAACCCGGCAGCTTTGCACGAAATGTTCACCGGCACGGAGGACGCCAAGCTTTATGAGGCATTCCGATTGCGTGTGGCCGAGACTTATGGCCCACAAAGCTTTTCTCCAGCAAACAAGACCGTTCTGCCGGATGCGTACCTCCGCAGTTGGCAGTTGGCGTTCATCATCCGTCACCCAGCACTGGCGTGGCCATCAATGTATCGTGCTATGGCCAAAATCTCCGACATAGGGGGCATGGGCGAGAAAGAGATCAGAGGTGTATGGAGCACGAATATGACGTTGCGCTGGACCCGCATGGTGTATGACTGGGCTCTGGAACAGGGAACCACTCCGGCGATATTGGATGCTGACGATGTTACCCACAATCCGCTGGCTGTGACGAGGTTTTGTGAGCTTACCGGGTTGGATAAAGAGACACTGAAGTTTCAGTGGAGCGAGGAGGGGACCAAGGAGAGTGGTCCTAGTGTGGGCAATGAAAGTGCAGAGGCTCTCGACATGCGCTTGAAGATCAATTCCATCATGCGCTCCACCGTTGATTCCTCTTCTGGAATCATCAAGAACAAGACGCCATCAACCATCGATCTCGATGTGGAGATAAAGAGTTGGAAGGCTGAATTCGGAGAAGAGGTTGCTAAGCTTATGGAAAAGTCTGTCCTTGAGTCCATGCCAGACTATGAATATCTCAAGGCTCGACGGGTCACGGGGTAAATTCTTGTGTATAGGTATATAATTGTTGTTAGTATAACAGTAGCATTGAGTGCACAGTGACAATGAAATAGATACCCATTTCGCATAGACGATTTTACCTTAGATGTATTCTTCGGAGACCTAAAAGCCAATGCTACGATCGCCAATGATTAGTACCCCGGAAATATAGTAATAAGAGACTGGGAATGCGGACGGCGTTGGTGTCTATTCATTTGAGATGACTAGGTGGAATGCTTCGGAAAGATAGACATCGACGACGCTTATAATTTTGATGGGTAGCTTTCAACTGATTTGAAGAGCAGAGCTGGCAAGATTGCTTCACGGGTCAGGTTGGATGAAGAGCGATGCGGAGAACGGATGAAAGCCACCGGAAAGAGGCTGAATGCCATACAGAAAAGGGAATCGAGCGGGCTGTCTTGGCGCGAGGACCGCCGCGGCAGAGCCTCGGCTCTAATCCAACGTCACCTTGACATCGAATTCTGCAGCAATGCCATTAGCCGGCCACACCGCGCGAAATCCCACCGTGGAGGAAGGAGATGATGCATCGGATTGGGGCCAGACTGGTAGGGCCCCAAAGACAGATCAGTTTCAACATTCGTGGCCTGAGGTGTGTAATTGCCTGCGAAAACGGGTGGATTGTGTACCACCTTTTATCCAATCACGCCATCCCATCCTGGAGTGCAAAGTGCTCCTGTCTTTCATCATGACGAAAGTGTAGACTGACTCACCCTGGCTATTAATATCAGATCTGTGCTCAGCATGACACCATCTTGTCGTCGCATCTCGAGATGCTGCAGCAGGTGAAAAATCAAACCCGGCCAGACGGACAGGCCTACAAGCTAGTATCAAACATGCTTGAGAAGACAAGTAGGTTAGTCACTCAGTTCAATGTTCTCAAGCGCCAGATAGTAAGTTGTAGCAGCCCCACATGTGGTTGTGTCGTGGTTGACAGTCTTGGCAGGTCCCTGGTTCACAATCAATGTCGACCTCAAGCGACCAATCACAGCCACCTAAAGCAGGGCTGAAGCGCGCAATCATGAGCGATGCCGAGTCAGAAGAGGAAGCAGCAGCGGGAAAATCCGGGACTCGACCAGTAGCTGAGCCCTATACGCGCTTCCATAAACGGAAACGGCTCGACAAACCCATCCCGGGAGCTGATGAAGACGTAAGAAATGCGACGTCTGTCGAGACCGAGGATATCTCAGAGGAAGTGCAGCGACGACTAAAAATTAAGGAAGAACAACGCAAGAAACGCGGCACTTCCAAAGCAGACAAACGCAAGAGGGATAGTATGACATCCAATGGAAGCGCCTCTTCGCCCGGATCCATGACGATACAACCTAGGAAGAAGGCCAAAATCGGGACGAAACGGGATCGTTAATGCTACTGCTACCTCCGGGGGTCTGGTTCTGGTGACTCGATGCTTGGATCATGATTTCGAATCGGGAATTCTTGGGGGAAGCGCTACAGCCACACCGGCCAGGTTACTACCAGACTTATTGCTAGGACGAAAAGTGGAGCTACCCCAGACTTCGGTGACAGATCGATCCGGTAATGCCCTGACTCACAACATACTAGTAGTACTTGCATAGTCCTACAAGTAGCCAACGAGGAGGCAGGCCAGAGTTAGGGCTGGCTCTGACTCCTTGTCCGTCCGTGGAAACGTCTTCCGATCTATAGCAGATTTCTGTCATTTTATTGGCCAGTCTATGTACAGCTAAAACCTTATCCATAACTACATGCTAGGAACAGTCATAGTAGAGTTCTGTATCCCGATTTAGCCCGTTCAGCGTAATGACCGTAGTAGTATATAGAGTCCGCCCACCCCCCAAAGCCTTTCGAAAACCAGCTTTCCAAAAAAAAGGGAGCTCACTTACGAAGTAACGAATTTCCTTGTGTTAAAACCTGATCAAACCTTCTATCCTGAATACCTCCATACTCAAGAGATCCGTAAACATCTCTTCAATACCTATACTTCACTCCGCAAGACCTCATTGTCTCAAGAGATACTAAAACATCTCTTCAATACCTAATACTTCACTCCGCAAAACCCTCATCATCTAGGAGATTCGAAAAATCCTCTTCAATACCTAATACTTCATATCCGCATACCCCCTTCCTCAAGAGATCCTATTTATCTCTTCAATACCTACAACATCAAAATCCGAAAAAAACCTCACTCCTTGAGAGGTCCGAACCACCTCTCCGGTCGATCACATCTGAGCAATCCGACCACCCACACCACGAGAGACATCAAACCTCTCACCGAACCCTCCAAGCAGTCATACGATATGGCTGCACACGCTTCCAACCAATTCTACCACCTCAACAATGGCCCCCGGCCTCACCCTCACCCTCACCGTGCCCCGTTCAAGAACGGGTACAAGAACAACAAAAACAACCGAACCACCACCTCCTCCTCCATCAAAGGCGATCAATCCGTTGACGTCTTCCTCCGGCCTCAAAACAAAAAGAGGCAAAACCAACATCCTCCCACCTACCGAGTCCCTAATGGACAACGCAAACCTCCATACAACAAACCTCCTCAGCCTCATGATGGAGACATCATCATGAGAGACTCCAACCCTCCTCAACCTCAACCTCAATACCCAAAGAGGTCAAACAACCCTCCATACAATACCCGTCCTTACAACAACAACCGACCTTACAACTCCCACGTTGGGCAGAGAAAGCCCTTCTACTACCGAACCGACCGCGATGGGGACGTGCTTATGAAAGACGTCTTCATCAAACCCTCCTCCAAACAGCCGATCAAACCTCGTGCTCCTCAAACAAACAACCGAACCAACCAACGCGGGCAACAAATGCCTAGCAACTACAATCAAGATATCGAAATGATCGATACTCCTATCGATCAAGATGGTGACACCATCATGGTGGATGTCTAACTGTGAGTATGACTGCTTCCTACGATGTGTATAGAGACTGACTGATCTTAGGGCATCCATCAACCAACCAACCAAACAAACCAACCAAACCAACCAAACCCTCCTACCGATCAACCAATCAAACCAACCAACCGATCAACCAAGGCAAACAGCGGAGGAAAAGAAATCAGGGAAAAATTGGGCTTCATGTGTTGTGCGAACTTCATGTTTTATGGTATCATTGTGGAGGAAAACAAAGGAAAAATTGGACTTCATGTGTTGTGTGTGACTGTTTGTGGTATCATTGTGGAGGAAAAACAAGGAAAATTGGGGGGTTCATGTTCATTTTCATGTGGTGTGTGATTGTTTTGTACAGACTCACCCTGGTCAGGTTTTTTACCTTGAACGGAAAGACAAAAGACCGTCAAGGAGTTTCCCTGGCTTCATCAACTACCCAAATGGGGGGGGTGTGGTCGAAGAAGAAGAAAGAAAAGAAAGAAATGGAAAAAAATTCCAAAGATCAATATTTGTTCGTTCTTAGTATGTAGAGTTGTAGAGTTGTACAGCTTGGGGTGGTGGAGTAGATAGGGTATCGGTCCTTCGTCACTCTTAGAGTGAGTGTACTCCGACTCTAGCAAAGTATATCTTCGAACACATCTGACCGTCAACAGCAACATGCCTCCACTGACCCGGTTTCTACAGAGTTTCTGCACGCAGATTAAATATACTTCTACACCCCAACTATAGCAGCACCAACAGCATCGACCACGCCGACAACAAGCCCTCCAACATCGTCCTCTCCAGCTCCAGCGACACCAATCCCACTTTCGCTTTATCCTCCAACTTCGGCCAGAGTCTTCATTGAAGATAGAAAGGACCCGGATACAGAAGCAGTTAGCTGACTACGGTTTTTCCAGTCCTCATACTGAATATGAAGCCAATTTTAGTACCACTAGTACCAACAATGACAGTCAGGGATGGCAAGCCCAAACGATACAGTGTTTACTTCGATGGGATATTCTCACGTTCTTTCTTGAGATAGATATTGAGAATTATGTCTTTGACTTGGACTTGTACAAATCTTTCTCTTGGACGGGGCCCTCTATTCTGCATACCCTGTTCAGGCTTGTACCTACTACAAAAATTTAAAGACTGTATAGAGTGTTTGAATATCCAAGGAGGGAAGAGGTTGCATAAAGGCAGACTTTCTTTTTGGCAATCATCTTTTCCTGTGCTTTATATTGCTTTTTTGAGAAGCTGTTGGATTGGCCATCTTAAGCGATCATCCGAAAAAGACATAGAATTCTGTGCTACTTGCATGCATATCTCTAGATTGAACCTCATTTTGAAAAGTAGTATGTCCAAGTAGATTTTCACGACGACTCCGTTCCTAGCTAGCTAGAAAATGTAGCTGTTTCCTTGCAATAGAACTTGTTAATTGGAATTACCAGGCCAGAGACATAAATACTTTTAACAACAAACCCAAAACATACTATACATAGAATATAATTAACCGTACAAAACCCAACCCAAACCAGACCGTCAACGCCACCTTTAGATATACATCAATGCATGCTAGAGATACCCATCCCATCAACACCAACCCCCTCAATTCTTCCCACCCTTCTCCTCCTCTCCATCTTCCTCTCCTCCCTCCTTCTGTCCCCAAGTCCACACATCCCAAATATGCTCCTTAATCAAATCCCCATATCCCTTCCCCTCATCCAACGCCTCCTGTTCCTTCCTCAATCTCCTCTCCTTCCACCCCTCCGTCTCCCCACCCATCCAAACCCTCTCCAGAGCCGGCTTCTCCTGCGCTTGTCTCGCCTTCAATTTCTCCAATTCCTCCCCAACCGCCGTCTGGATCTGTGCCTCCCTCGCCGCCCGCAACTTCGCCTGGATCTCCAACGCCCGCTGACTGGGTAACTCCGAGATAGCTGAGATAGGGTTCCTGGAGATTCGCGCCTCGATGCGATCTACGATACTTCGCCCCGTGTATTCGCGGGTGACGTGGTTTGCGGAAATGCAGAATGCGCTGGTGAGGAGGACGGTCAGGTTGTCGAGTTTTCGGGGTGGAAGGGCGATTAGGATCGGGGAAGCGACGAGGAATGTGTATGCGGTGAGGGTTTTGAAGCGTTCGAAGTCGGCTTCGCGACGGGAGTGGAGGGAGTCCGCGGTGGGGTTGGGTTGGGTGGTCATTGTTTGTTGGTTTGTGGGGCTCTGCGGGGATTCGGAGGAAGGGTTTGCTGGCGTCAGGAGATGAGAGTGAGATTTGTTATGGGTTTGAGATTATTGACAATGCGATTGTAGGATCGGAGGAAGTGGAAGCATCGCGGAGAGGAAATTTACGGCGCGCGGTCCGGACCGCTCGTGCAGTTGGTTGGTTGGGTCGGGTCAGGTGACTTGGTTGTTGCCCTAGTGGCTGTATGGCGCTTGTTCTTCTTTCTTGGATGTTTTATGATCTCTGTGAGGGTAGGAATCTAAGAAATGGGTCTGTGTAGGATTGTTTTGTTAGGATCATTGTGGGAGTGCTGGTGATTGATTGCCGTGGTATTTGGCCGCCTAAGCGCGGACCCTGAACCGGACTATATCGTCTGATCTATATCTGTGAATCTAGGTGTATATGAGAGCCAGAGCATTATCCTTCTCCAGGACTGTCTCGCAGGTATTAATGTCGCAAGCTAATAGAGCCTTGGTCTCTGTTTATCACCTGCACTAGAGCACTGGAGAAGTAGCAGCGGCATTGGAGACTTTCCTGCTTTTTATGGCTCCGGAGAGGGATGGGTCTTTTTTCGCTCTCTTTTCTTCTGATCCGCTTTTTTAACCTCTACCTAGTAGAACACGGAGGCATATACCACCTGCATCATGAGAAATTCCACAGGGTATTGGTCCAGTATATCAGGCACAAGTTCAAGCCAGTCCGGTTTGAACCTACATGCAATTGTAGCGTTGCAGAAATCCCAGAATTCTGGATACCACCCAGCGCTTTCCCAGTCTAGTAGAGTGATCTTGAATTCCAGGCCTCCGCCGCAATCTTCGAGCCTTTCAACCATAATATTTTTCGGTTGAAGGTCACCGTGAGTGAAAACAATGCGATGGCCGTTCAGAGTCCGATTAACCATATGATCTGATTATGTTTGGCGAAGTTTCTCCAGAATGGCAAGATTCATTTCTTCCTGATTTTTGAAGGGACCCGATATTTTAGGATCTAGACCCTTAGTCCAGAACACCCCGTCAAGATAAGGCTGGCGATTCAACATCCCGAAGTAATCTGGCGGTGGTATACTGCGTAATTCTGTTATCGCGTTCTTAATGAGTTTACATATTATAGATTTCTCAGCCAGCTCAAGGGATGGCAATATGGTTTGAAGGGTATCGCCAGGGAGATATTGCATCACATTATAAGTCTTCTTGGTGTCGGGGTCCCGAAAGGCGGCGTAGACTTTTGGGACTGGAACTTTGCTGTTTGCTGCAAGAAACCTCATATTTTCGGCCTCGATGAGTGTTACGCCGTGACCCATTTTCACTGCGAAATGCTCATTCACCCGGACCACTTTGTCGGATGCGTCTGGCGTGCTTATGAGTCCCGTCGCAGCCTCAATCTCGGCGACGGTCGGAAGGCGAATGGCCGCCAAACCAGTTTCTCTTGACATCCAGTAGCAAGACTTGGTTCTATATATAGGTCTTGAAAGATAACAGGATTATGACAGAGGTTGAAGTGGGCGGGCGCTTTGTTGATGTTGGTGTTGATGTGTCGGGGTTTACTGCCCTCCAGCACCGCCTGCCTATGATATACGGAGTATAGTAAGCTAATAGCAGAAAAATCATAATCAATTAATGTCGCGGATGGTTTCTAGACGTTAATTTTTTATAAGGTTCACAGATTTTACCTCGGTTTACATCTACACTAGTATGCAGGACGAAGGACAATATTTTGGCACCTGTCTCCACTAGGCAGCTTGGGCATCCTTGGTAGAGTTCACAATTGACAGGCCGATTCAACCCCACGGATCGCTCTCCAGACATAACCCAGTCATCCCAGCATCTATGACAACAAGGGCAGATAATTGACAGCACTGCAGCATATCAGATTGGGGTAGTGCAACGAATGCCTTCGTGCTTATTAAGCAGCCGCCGCAAACGGACTAATCCGGAAAGGGGCTAAAGCGGAAGCTGCCCGATGCAGCCATCACGTGCACACGCCGGGGAAAATTCTTCCGCCGTTCCAGAAAGCGGCGGACGATCGACAAAGTCAATCGCTACAGTTCGCCACGCAATCAGGGACAGAGAGAATTGGCCGTTCATGGCCTGAGAGTTATGAGATCAGACTTTAGCATGTCTTCCCCAGAAGGATCACAACCCCATGCCTCGCCCAATGGCCAAGAAGCCAGCTCATCCGGTTTGTGCGGAGCTGCAGGCTTTGGTGATTTGATCACATCATTCTGTGACTAATTGCCATCTCCAAGGCCCCAAACCGTCTGTATCCCGTCGTGGAAGTGGAGTCTGTCGCCGCGTGTCCCACCAAGGAAAATGCGCAACACAAGTGGGGAACCGAGAGGAGAAGTGAAAAGTGGAATGGTGCGAACGTGGTTCCCGATGTCGCGATGCAGGTACCAGCGGCGAATGAAACAATTTTCTCCGCGCGTGGCCGTGTGTGGCGACTGGCGAGCTGTCCAGTCACCCTACAAGACTCCGGGGTCGTCCTGTCTTCTCCAGTGTCTCCCTGTCACTCTTGCAACCTCTGCATCACTCCGCCAAGATGCACCAGCCCTCCGTCACCATGGAGGACGAGAAGATCCGTCAGTACGGATATGGTGGTCCTCAGGTGGTCAATTACGACGATGAGGCTCCTCCGATCAAAGGAGAGTTGGAGCTCAACGTTGGTGGCCGTGGTGCCACGCAACGGCGGCTGAAGAACTATCAGGTCAGCATGATCGGGTTCTGTGGTGGAATTGGCACAGGTCTCTTTGTGGGAACAGGCTCTGCGTATGCGGACGCTGGCCCCGCTGGATTGCTGTTGGCGTACATCGTCATCGGTTTTATCCTGTGGTGCGTGATGCAGAGTATCGCAGAGTTGGCTACCCTTCTGCCCACAGCTGGATCTTTCCCTCACTGGGCGACTCGGTTTATCGATCCCGCCGTCGGTTTCTCCCTCGCTATCACATATGGTTATTGTTATACAATTGCGATCGCTTCCGAGGTTTCCGCTGCAGCAGTCATTGTGAGCTACTGGTCTGACATAACACCGGCCGTGGTCATCACGGTTGGACTGGTGGCGATTCTTGGCATCAACCTGATGAGCGTAAGCTTTTATGGTCACAGTGAGGTCTTATCCGGTGCCATCAAGGTGCTCTGTTTTGTTGGATTGGTTATTGTCGCCATTGTCATCACCGCAGGAGGCGGGCCGAACCACGAAACCATCGGTTTCCGCTACTGGCACCACGGCGGAGCCTGGACGAACTACAACGGCATCACTGGCCCGACAGGACACTTTCTCGGGTTTTTGTCCGCCTTTGTCAACGCCTCGTTCAGTTTCGTCGGTGTTGAGACTGTCGTTATTACCGCCGCCGAATCGGTCGACCCTCACTATTCCATCCCCAAGGCTGCCCGCCGCGTGACCTACCGCATCGCCTTCTTCTATATCCTTGGCGCACTGCTCATCGGAATGATTGTGAGCCCGACCAACCCAAACCTTGTCTCCGGGTCCGGCAATGCCAACAGCTCCCCGTGGGTCATTGCCATCAAGCAGGCAGGCATCAGCGCCCTTCCGTCTATCGTCAATGTGTGCGTCCTCATATCAGCCTGGTCTGCGGGAAATTCCTATTGCTGGGTTGGATCGCGCATGATTGTGGCCATGACGACCGACCGCCAGTTGCCGCAGGTGTTTGGGCGGGTGAACAAGATGGGTGTGCCGTGGGTTGCCGTCATCGCCTCGTGGCTGTTCGGTCCGTTGGCCTATCTGAGTAAGTGATCTCATAACAGAATTGCTTATCATTTCTTAACTAACAACTCGATAGGTCTCGGCTCTGGTGGTCCGTCGCAGGCTTTCACCTGGCTCCTGAACCTGAGCACTATCGCTGGGTTGATCGCGTGGGCGACACTTTCCTACTGCTACATCCGCTTCCATGCCGCCATGAAAGCACAAGGCGTCAGCCGTGACACTATCCCCTGGAAATCGCCCTTCCAACCGTACACCGCGTGGGTTGGTTTCATTGGATCGACCATCATCACTCTGGTGGCTGGTTTCCCTGTCTTCCTCAAGGGTAACTGGTCAACGTCGGACTTCTTTGCCTCGTATGTTGGCATTCCGATCTTCATCGTGCCGATTATCCTCTGGAAGGTTTTCAAGCGCACGAAGGTTAGTCTAGACTTCCTTCACCTTCTTCCATATGACTTTGCTGACGATGACCTAGTTTGTTCGGCTCTCCGAAATAGACCTGTGGTCTGGCCGGTTGCAGGAAGGAGAGATCATCATCAAGGAGGGCGGTCCCAAGACGCGGCTGAGACGCTTCGTGGAGTGGTTCTTTTAATTCTGGGCTGGTCTCTTATCTTAATTCAACTTTGTTATGTTTATGATGCATGCTTGAGCGGTGATACCCAAGATGTTTTGCAATTTCAACAATTTGCAACCTTCACAGAATAGATTAATGCATATACAATATATTTTGTGTCGATTACTCTGATTGGAACTGTTCCCGTAGCCTCTTAATATCATTGAACGAGGCCTTACAGCACCCGCCAACGAGGACGGAACTGAACTGACCACCCTTGCGAGCATCATTGACCACATCCGCCAATTGCACCTCCCAAGGTCGCTAACCCAGTCAGCACACACTATATCCAACCAACAAAACCCACCCAACAAAGAATCACATACCGTATCAGCCCCTCCACTCTTATCCTGCACCTTCTCCCACATCTGCGTCGTCGTATTATACACCTCCCCCTGCGTCCCATCCGGATACAACACCAACGCAGGCCGCTCCCCAATTCTCCCCTTCTCCAACAACCCCTCCACAACCTCCCCAAACTTCCTCACCAACCCAGACAACTTATGCAACTTCGTACAATTAATCCCAATCCCCCACGGCGTCGCCCCATCCTCCACCGGCACCAACGCCGCCTCAACCACCTCCTCAACCGCACTCCCATCAGGCAGCGTATCCCGCCCCTCAAGCGGAAACACACACGCAATCCAAAACGGAATCCCCGAACCAGATTCCCGCATCGCTCTCCGAACCGCCCTCACCTCATCCAACCGCGGCAATGTCTCCATCGCAATATACTTAACCCGGGTACTCAGTTTCCCCTCCGTCGCCTCATTAAACAATCCCAGTCTGTCCGAGTGCCATTTATACAACGCCTCTTCGTTCGCGTGCTCCGCGTCATAAGTACCGCTGTATTCCTGTCCGGGGATCATGCATGCGCCGTAGGGCCCGAGACTCAGTGCCACGCTGGAAGAGGAATTGGCTTGCACGGCTTGGTCGGCGACGTTTAGGGCGGTGCGGAGGTAGGGTGCGATGGCGTCGCGGGGGATGCCATTGGGGTGGGAGGGGGTTTTGGTTCGTTGGAAGCCTTCCGGGGAGACTTGGTAAGTGGCTGTTAGGAGGACGTCGACGCCGGAGGTCGCGGTGAAGTCGCGTTGGCAGGAGAGGAGGGTGGCGGGGTCGGAGATGATCAGGTGCGAGGACCAGAGGGGCGTGCTGGTGGAGTCGAAGGTAACGTTGTAGTGGTCTTGGAGGGAGGTGCCGAGACCGCCGTCGAGGATTTGGACGGGGGTCATTGTGGTGTTTGGTTGTGTTTTGTTTAGTTGGGTGAAGATTGTAGGGGGAGAAGTTGTGGGATGGAGGAGTTGCGATGAGGAATATTTCTGGCGGGTTGCGATGTTCGGCTGCTGCCCCGCAATGTGGGGTTGGTTGCGTATGTTGCAATTGGAAGGCGACTTTTATCGGTGCTGGGGGTTTTTTATCATTGCTATTGTTGATTGAAATGTAATTGCAGCTGGATTGCTTCTAAAGTATCTCGTTAGGGGTGGTGTCTTTGTAGTCTTTTCGCACATTCACTTGATACAGCATAGAAAGCTAAATTTGACAGAACAGGACATGCGCAAGTCATTCGATTCATAGTTTTCATGGTAGTTTTCATGGTAGAAGCTTGAAGTTTGTCTACCATGTCCAATCCTAATTGACTTCTCAATTATACAGAAGTTCTCCTTGCGATGCCCAAGCGGTGTTTTATCCCCGCTAGTCATCCTAACAACCAACAGCACCTCCACAGAAACTTGTCGCACTTATTACACGGTATACAAGAAGGACTCTTTAATGCCAACAAAGACAACCTGGGATGAAAATATTGTTATCATGCTGATCACAAACTATAAACCGAGCGGTGTGCAGTCTTGCGATAGACACTTGTCTCTCCATTTATCTCACGCGCTCAACGAACAGCCCAGGCACCACCATTATCAATGATGAGCTCTACCAATTACCAACATCAAATGACCCTGCTTTTGTGACCAGGCACTTCCAGACCCCGCAGAAAGATCATCCGTGAGACATATCCCATTCACGAATCAGACCGCCGTCTGACAAGCACGATAGGCAGAGCCGTTTCTCCAATATAGCCCCAGAAGCTAAACGGCTGGCAACCTAATAATACCAGCTAGTATTGCTGTGACCGTAAGACATCCATGTCGATCTGAACGGTTCCTGTCTGTGGCTTTGATTGATATCAGCGGTCCATATTAAGTACGTAGGACCCCGAAACACAGCCCCAGCCACAGTGTTCCAATTAAAGCCCTTTATTAGATTAACTGCATGGGGTCATGGAGTTAATTTAGCAGCTGGACTAGCACCCTGATGGCGGCTACTGAGCGATTGATAACGATGCGCAATCTACAGTGGTAACTTAGAGTAACAAACACTTTTAAAAGATACCCCCCCCCCCAACCCCCCCGGGGTATTCACTATTCATATCCGGACTGGCTAGATATCTACGTTACAGTATTCCCTCAAACCCATGCAAGGGACCACGGGACAGCTGTCCACAACAGAAGGCCGACAACTGCCGTAGTATCATTATCCCGGTCCCGGTAATTGTGTCCGGTAACTGAAGTCAGGTAACGAAGAGAAATGAGGCTGCCTAGGACCCTTCAGGCGATAGTGCTAAGAATAGTGCCGCACAACACAGCCCCCATTGGCCCAGCTTGGAAACAAAGCTTAGGTAAAGCTTAGTGGTATTGAATTCGTATTGGTCATTCCGTAATCCGGCTGACGAAAATTGTTACGCAGGCGTTTTACCAAAATTGAGTCTGGTAGCCTAAGAAGTGAGCAGCAATTCAATTCATGCCGATCTCCGGTACTTTTCATTCAAAGTTTTGACGAGACATCAAATTTATGCACTATCGAGGCATGCGACCCATCAAACGGGTGGGAGGGTAACATAGATAGGTCGTCCTCCATCAGTACAGGCACCCAGCCCAAACGACCACGGGTATAGTCATCCACCCTCCTCACCTGGTTCACTGCATGAACCGCGCGTCTATACCAACCCCCAAAATATACCTGCTACCCAAGAGGGGCATATCAGCCGTCCATGGTGACAATTCCACCTACCCAACCAGCCACGGGAATCCCGGCAGGGAAAATCGTCCATCTCCACGAATCCGCAGGCAGAAAGCGACCAGTGCCAAGATGCTAGCCGGCAGGGCTGAGCGGGTTGACGTGGACCTTTTCGTGGCTGTGAGTGGCTGTTAAACCCAGCCTTCCCCCCGCTTTGGCTCAGTTGTTTCCCGCAGTCCCACCCGTAACGATACGAATACGTGACCCACGCGGAATCGCCTGGACCCCTGATCCTGATCCATTCCATCCATCCATCCATCATCGCGACATAAATACCACGGCTGTCCTCCGTCCATCGTCTCATCTCACCTCATCTCATCTTTGCAATTTAAGCCTAGACGCATCTACCATCTTTTTCTCCACCAAACAATACATACAACCTATACATCCAAAATGTTCAACTTCTTCAAGTCCAACAAGGAGGCTACCCAACAACAACAACCCGCCTGGGACCCAAACACTATGACCATGCAGCAGCCCTCTAGCCCTGAGGTTCCGACCACCGACCGTGTCGTCACTGAGCAGCCTGTATGACTTCACTTTCCACCCTCCATCTACCCCTACATTCATCACCCATTATCCATTCATTGTATAGCTAACCATTCCCAGAACTACCAGGAGGAGATGAAGATGAACTTGCGTGGTGGTGGTGCCGGTGATGTGTGCTGTGGAGTGTATGTTCCCATCCCTTCCATCTCAACTCCCCATCGAACAAACAACTAACAACCAACCAGCTGCGCCGGTCTTCTCTGCTTCGAATGCTGCGAAGAGTGCTGCTAGACACCTACCCTACCATACCCTACACTACAGTACACTCTCGACTAGCCCACCAACCGTATACTACCTACAAAAGAGAAACGGAAACTTGAAGAAGAGAAATGTGTGCGATATGAGCTATGAAGATGAGAGATGAACCCGACGTTGATGCTGGATTGGACTGGTTGTTGGGTTGATGAATCGATGGATGGATGGATGGATGGATTGTTTTTGATTTCGATGAAGGGCTGCTTGATTGGCTTGATCGCTTATACCCGGTGTATCTACACGATTTTTATATTTGGTTTGGTTTGATTATGAATGGATAAGATGATTCTTGATATTATGAGTTTGGATGTGGTTTGTAGTCTGGCGCTTACAAAAGTTCAAGGTTGTAGTATCTAGGTAAATTGATTTGGCTGATAGTATAATGATAATTAGAAACAGGATTTTTGTGTAGCTGTTGACAAGGCTCGCGACTAAATCACCGGATTTTATACATTAAATGATTGTCTTGAGTTGAAGAAAGGTGATCACAGATGGTTAATAGGACAGAGGGAAAAGAAAAGAAAATAAAGAAATGCAGAGAGAACCACCTCCTACCATTCCATCATGTCCTGACTTTTCTCCGTGATACCGGTCTTTTTCGATTCCAAGTCACCGGCTGCGTACTCGACAGTCCCATCTCTCAGCCCAACTGCCTTGACCAGCCCGCCACTGACATCCTTTATAATCTGACTGAAGCGGAGTCCGGTGTTTACACTACAATGAGTGCTGGCAGATTCACAGTGCGCGACTAGAGCGGCGGCAGTCTTGAATATTCGAAGGCAACCTGGACACCTATACGGCACGGTGAGTCTGCTGAATTTCTGATGTGGTAGTGTACAAGCCCTTCAGCAACAGAACTTACTGCACGCTCCTCTTCCCACTAGTCTTCTCTATGACATGGGTCTCGAATGTCTTCGACGTCGAGAACTCGTCGTCACAGGGACAGACAAATTTTGCCCGGAACGGGTCAAAGAAGTTCATGGGATCCCAGGTTTTGTCGAGCGCGCGAAGGGTATGTCCAATGTCGATTTGAGCCACCCCGAAAGGATCGGAATTATCCTCTTTTGACGGCCTGGCAGCCGACTTGGCCTTCTCCTTACTGTTATCCGAAACACCAGATTTGAGCGAGAGATTCTTCATCATAGACAGAGGATCTTTGGCAGTTGTGCTCTGGCCAGCGGCCCCCTTTTTATCATCAATATCAAACACGGAAGACAAAGACGAGATACGATCGGGCTTGCGTTTCAAGGCTGGCGACGATATCTCAGCGTTCTCATTCTCCATGTCCAGGATGCTAGTAGAACCGTCGAGCTTGACACCCCCGTCGACATCGTCAGCGCCGTCGGGGTCCGGGAAGGGCAAACCGTCTCCTTCACCAGTTTTGAGCGCTTCTCTAATAAGGAGCCTCTTAGATTGTTCATGGAGAAATCGTGTCATCGGAATTTCGTCACACTCGTCGTCCTCCACATGACGCACCAAGGCCCCCGCTTGTTTGAACTTCTTCCCACAACCAGTACAGACCAGGTTTTGCTTGGGACGGTGATACTGTAGGGAACCAACCAAGTCGTTAGTAAGCTTCTATTACGCTTGCATTTCGAAGCAGGCTGGTACTTACCTGGCGTATATGAGCATCCCGCCCACCCTCGCTACGAAACTCCCTACCACAGAACGCACAAACGATATGTTTGTCGCTTTTGATCTTATGGAGCAGCAAGCACTCCTCATCAATGAAATCCTCATCACATCTGCTGCAATAGTCGTGATCGATCAGCTTGTGCTGATTCATGGCAGGATGGGAGATGAAGTGACGTTTGCAGTCCTTGTATGTGCACTGCACTCGGGTGGAGGAGGATGCCGCAGACATCTCGAGAGTTGTGAATTGATCAGGTTCGAAGGTGCAGAGGTGATGAAGAGTTGAGTGAGGTAGAGTAATTGTTGGCGGTAAGGATGGCAGAGTGAAATCTCAAGAAGTGTGGTGGGGTATGAGTGAATTCACAGCACAAAGAGCAGTGAAGGGAAGATGCTGGTGGCGCCCTGTAAAATAGGCAGCTACTAGAACAACAGTGGACCAGGAACCCGAGAATTCGCACAAAGACAAAGTAACGAGCACTCGGAGTTAGGAATCCGAAAAAGCTTGCAAGTCACCTGGACTAGGCGGTTGCTATCGCCGCTTCTTTGGCCACCTGACAGTATTTGAATGCGAGTTGGAAGGACTTGATGCGACGAAAGTGAGAGACGCAGGAACGCGTTTGGCCCAAATGGCTTAATGCCGGATCCTACCGTAAAATAGAAATGGGATGCCACCGAAGAAGGTTTAATTAACATGATTTACAAAAAGCTATTTACCCACTCATCCTACCTTAATCTAGCGACTTATCTGCTTAGAACCTCGAGAACGGCAACCTACAAACGTCAGCGTAACTTCATCAACGACCAACCACAGACAACTCACCACTTTCCACGCAGAGTGATCACAGCCCAGTTGTTTCCATCCTGATCTGTCTCCTTCTCCACCTTCGTCGAGAACGAGATAGCGCTCATGATACCATCTCCGAACTTTTCATTCAGCACCGCCTTGTACGCATACCCATAGTTCTGTACGATCTCGTACAACCGGTAGATCAGCGGCTCCTTGGGAGGCATCTCGACGGTGCGACCACGGTCGGGGAAACCACTGAGCTTTTCTTCGAGCAGGTCGTGAGGAATGTCAAGGAGCGACGCGAGCTTCTCAATATCTTCGGGGGAGGCCTTGGCCTGGCCGTAGAAGATGGCGGCCGCGGCCACTTCATTGCGGCCAATGTGTTGGGCAATTTGCTCAAAACTCAATTTTTTGGTGGCTTTTGCGTGGAAGAGAGTCTCCGATGCGGACGGGAGGTAGGGGTGCTGTGTAACCTAATCGTTTCAGAAGATGGTGAGCGGCTGATCCTGGTTTATGTGGTGTCACGATAAGTGGGAGTGAACTTACGTCAAGGGTTGCAAGAGACATGGTGGCGAGAAGTGTACTTAGACAGGAGCTTCAATTGAGATGTGTAGGAAATATATATTCAAAGACAGGAAATAGGATTGATGCGAGGAAATCCTCAGATGGAGCGATGTCATTCTTAAATAAGTGGTGGTGGTCCGCTTCTCCAACTCTAGTGCGGGGTACTTGCCGTCACTCACAACCGCGCGACTGCGGGGCTTATGGTGAGGGGAGCATTGGTAGGATGTTTACATCTTTCAAAAATCTCTTCCACCATAGTTCATAATACTGTCTAGTTCCTCAGTAAAACTGGCAACAAGTCTTCTGATCACTGATGGTACGACATCATCAAAGTTACGGTGGTATTGCTGGTTATCTGCATCCTAGCAATGTCGACGCCCCAAGATAACCTGTTGCGGGGCATCATCCGAGCTCGGATCTTCAAAGATACCACTTCCCAACAATAGTTATGTTCGTGTTCTTTGTGACCCGACTGGTTAATACAATAAAACAATGTGACGATAATCGTTCTAGGTAGACTAATTTCTCCATAATTCCTGGAAATCTGCTGCCAAATCTTCTAGAATCTCAAGACATTTGTTCGGGTCATTAGTAGTCAAGGTATCAGTAACGCCAGTTGCGATCGTGAAAGCTAAAGCTACTGGGAAAAACAAGGCAAACGGTACCGCATTCAGTGGAAACCTCAAGAGTCAGGCATCAGCGACCAGAGTTTATCACGTGTCCATTGCGGATGTGGGGTTTGTCCGCTTCTCCGCAAGTCCACCGGTTCAACCGAGCGATCACAATCCCCGCGTATCAGTATAGTTGGAAGCTCTATACAACGTTGAGAATGAAGCGCGCCTCTGACTTTGCGCAAGACACAAGCAGCTTCCGAACCCGCCCTTGTCCCGCCTGCAATAAGACTTTCTCAAAGGCTGAGCATCTCACTCGACATCTCCGCAGTCACACCAAGGAAAGACCGTATGCTTGTACTACCTGCGACAAGGTGTACTCACGAAGGTTGCTGCTGTCCCATGAGAGACATTGTAACTCGACTAATAATTACCAGTGACGTGTTGCGACGACACGAGAAGAGCCACGAGAAAACCCATCAGAATGCTCCATCACAGCCCCGATCGATGTCAAGAACGCCGTTTCAGACAACGCCAGAAGTCCCGGAGATACTTGCCACGTCGTCCCATGGGGATTTACGGGCACAGAAAGACCTAGATGATGCATCACTGCTCATTCCGACCGTACCAGACCCGATAACGAGCAGCAGCGAGCCATCCGAGTCCCGACCAGCGGCAGGTATGAGTCTGCACGATTCCATGCTGCAGGTAGATCCCAATACATGGTTTTTGGGGGCAGACTTTGATGTGAATGTTCTGGATTTTTCAATCTCATCTGCGATATCGGAATGGGCACAGCTGCCTCCCACACCAAATATGGTGGGCCCTGCTGGCTTAGCAGAAGAGTCACGGCGCGTACTGGATGAAGATGAATCACACCCAGCAGACATCGTGAGGAGGAGGTGGTTTACATGCTTATCTCCCCCTGATCTAAATCGTTTTACATATCGCGACAATGGTAGACTTAATGACTCGCCTCACCAGGGAAGGATCGATGCCGACGATAATTATAGGGCTGGTCTCTCCCAGAGGTTAAAGCCTCGTATTCACGACGAAGCACTTCCGTCTGTCGAACAGCTGAATCTTTTTGCGAAGCTCTTCTTTAGCCGGTTTCATTCTCTATTTCCTGTCATACATGCCCCAACCTTTCGTCCGACCGCAGAAAACTCGTTATTGTTCTTGTCTATTTGTTCGATAGGCAGCCTCTTTGTTGGATCATCGTATGCTGTGGCACAAGGGCTCCGAATATTTGAGAGGCTGAACAAAGCAATCCTAGCCTCTTGGGAGTCCATACTGGCCCATAGTCGACCAGATGCCTTGTCGATGGTTCAAGCGGCTATTTTGGGTCAGACATATGGAATACTTTCAGGAAGGCCCAAGGATCTGGTTTTGGCTGATGTTCTTCATGGCACCGTCATGGGATGGACGCGAGAATCGAATAAGCATGGTACCCCTGGATTCAGTCAGGCTATCGATATACATCTCGACAACCAAGAAGTAAATGAACAGTGGCGCCGATGGGCAGAAGTGGAACAAAGAAGGCGAGTGGAGATCGCCTTGAACATCCATGATGCTGAGCTCGCTAGTCTGATGCACCATGAACCAATTCGCAAGCATCGATTCGCCCAATATCCACTGCTCGCCTCTGAAGCTCTGTTCATGGCTCCGACAGCCGCCAGATGGGCTGATCTATACAAGCAGACGTCATATACCACGCCTAGAATCAGTCCTGACCTCCACTTCTATAACGCTGGGCATTATTCAAGATTTGCCGTGTATAGCGTCCTGGAAAGTATCAATGCACACGTTATTGAAGCTCGTCTATCGAACAGCTTGAGCCAATACAGGTCAGATGAGCTATCTCGTTTGTTAGTGCATTGGTGGCGCAGGTATAGCCCGCACTCTAGTCAGTACGAAGAAGAGGATCCCTTCAGCCTTCCGGTGCTGTGGCACTCGATATATATGTCTCTTTACACCGATATGGACCTACTGGAGCGAGCAATTGGTCGTAATGGTCATGCAGCTGCCCTGAAGTCTCATGACGCTGTCTACGTGTGGGCAGGCTCCCTGGATGCCAGCAAATGCTTGGTACATGCGCTACTAATCCAACGTTACCTCGAGAGGATGCGAATTTCTTCCGAGCCTGCAATACACGTTCCTGGGGCTCTCTTCTCTGCCGCTCTTGCATGGCTCTGCTTTACGAGAATTGGGCTACGGCAATCCATTGATCTGAAAGCCTTCGAAGCCCCAGAAATTCAGCTCTTGGGCAGCGAGACCGCTCTGCAGGAGGCCCAAGGACAGGCCTTTGGAGACTCCGCCTTTGCCGATGTGAACCACCTACACCGCCTAATTGACCTGCTTCACCGATTTGGGCGGTGGACAATCTCGAAAACCTTCGCAACAGTTCTGTGCACGGCTCTCGAGGAAGTTCGAGAAGAATGACAGGTGTCAAATACATTGTTGAAAGATATGCATGCTATTGTGAAGAACAGGAAATTAGACGTGGCGACTGAAGGATCCTCTTCCACCCCGTTGGGGCGGTATCCCCGCAAAAATGTGGGATATTGCGGGGTGGCGGGGTGACTCAATAGATTGACCGCACAGAACGGAATCCCTTACACAAGCATTATGAGAGCACTTTTTGGGCTGGCCCGCATATGCATGTTATCTAATTGGCGCGCTATACGCCCCAATCTTTTACGATACCCCGTTTTCCACTTAGTTGGCGTGATCGCCCCTAAGACATTCCCCATACGTGCGCAGTAATGCAGGACTTCAAGCGTCACTCGCTGAGAGGTACCTTCTACGTCGGTGGGGTTCAAGTCAAGCCAAGTCATATTCCATTAGCCTATCTGTGGGGTTCCTGCCTGATACCGCGGTCGATTGCGAGTCAATCTGTGATCCATTACCTACAATATAAATCTCTGTGCACCCCGGCTGAGTCGCGCTGAACCAAGCAAGTCGAGTCGCGCAATCAAGATGCCGGTATTCACAGAATTCTCCTCCAAGTCACGAGACCTCCGAGTTCTCCCTTCCTTTGCTCTTCCTTTGCCTCGTCTTACCCCACCCTTTCAGCCCACAGGAAATGATGGAGTTGAAAGATACGAAGTAGTTGTTGTTGGGGTGAGCAAATCCATCTCACGAACTATACGAACAAGGCATTGCTGATATCGGATAGGCCGGACCCGCAGGGCTCATGACACAGCTTTTGTTGGCCAGATATGGGTTGAGCGACGATTCACTATTATGTATTGACTCGAAAGCAAACACTCTGAAATCCGGTCAGGCAGATGGCGTTCAACCCCGAACGTTGGAAGTATTCAAGACTCTGGGCATTTCGGACGAGATTGAAAATGAGGCCTGCCAGATGTGGCAGTTCGCCTTCTGGAATACTTCCACGGACACGTCCAAGACCATTGAACGCAAATCCGTTGTTTCTAACGTGATACCCCCGGCCCGCTTTTGCTACGAGGCTACTATGCATCAGGGCCGAATTGAACGGATCATGGAAACTGATCTACTGCGGTACTCCAAAAGAGGAGTGCAAAGAGACACCAAACTGCTCCATGTACAGATTGACGAGAATGACCCGGAATTCCCGGTTTTGGCTGCAATCGAGACTCGTGATGTCAGAAGAGTGATTCGTACGAAACATCTCGTTGGTGCGGATGGGGCACACTCCACGGTGCGCAAGTGTATGGGGTTAAGGTTAGAGGGTCAGTCGCTGGACCATATCTGGGGCGTTGTGGACATGGTCGTGGACACAAACTTCCCGGATATTCGAAGACGGTGTGCCATCCATTCTCCGGCTGGCTCAGTAATGGTCATCCCGAGAGAGCGGATAGTGACGGGTGAGCACCTCACTCGACTCTACGTTCAGGTACCAGGACTAGCAAAGCCAGAAAGCGACGTGACTCCGGGGGGAGCTCCGCCAGAATTGAATGTTGAAGATGCCAGAATACGCAGAGGGCAGGTGACCCTGGAAGGTATCCTCAAGCAAGCTTCGGACGCGTTCGAGCCATATCACTTGAGACCGAAAAACGGATTGATCGATTGGTGGGCAGCGTATCAGATTGGCCAGCGGGTCTCGCCCGACTTCATCGCAAAAGACTCTGCTGGAGTTCCCAGAGTATTTATTGTCGGAGATGGTATGTTCTCAGCCGTCAGGAGCAAGTCCGACCGCTAATGTCTATAGCCTGCCATACTCATAGTCCCAAGGTATTGCCCATGACTTATACTCGGGACTAGACTGATCGTTATTTAGGCTGGTCAAGGAATGAATGTGTCCATGATGGACTCTTACAATCTTGCCTGGAAGCTGGCTTACCACATTCATGGACTCAGCGCGGCTTCTGTCGAGCAAGGGACACCGGATCCCCTTCTCGACACATACCATCTAGAACGGCATGCCAACGCGCAGCAGCTGATTGACTTTGACCGGCAGTTTTCCACCATCTTTTCCGGTCAGCTAGATACGGGGGAGTCCGGGATGTCTCATGCGCAGTTTGTGGAAACGTTCAATACGGGCAACGGCTTCACCAGCGGCTGCGGGGTGGAATATCCCGAGAATATGATCGTTGTCAGGGAGCCATCAGCAAGCCCCGTTCATGGCGACGACTACTTGTCTGGTATACTACGACCAGGCAGACGATTGCTCAATGTGAAATTGAGGCGACACGCGGACGGACGGCACCGGGACATCCAAGATGGTCAGTATCAACTCTCCGCTGCCGCTGCGTTTGCTAACTATGGTATATCTCAGACCTGGCATCAAACGGCCGATTCCGTGTTCTGACGCTTACCTCGGATGATCTCCTTAACGCTCAAGGCGTGTCTGCGCGGGCATTGCACAATGTGGCCGCATTGTTGGGAGAGTTCCCGGCCGAGGTCATCGAGCAGATCGTCGTGCACCCGAGACTCCCGAGTGACTTTGAATGGAACAACATTCCTGCGTGTGTAAAAGAACAGGCGGAGATGCGCTTCTACAACGGACACGACCTGGAGGACACATACGCGATCTACGGGGTGGACCCTGGTCAGGGGGCGCTGGTGGTGGTACGGCCGGACGGGTATGTTGGGATGGTCGCGCAGCTGTGTAATGTGGGCCACGTCAAGGAGTACCTAAGTCGGTGTATAAAAACGATCTAGGAAGGTCAGCGATCTGGAACAGCATGTTGACCGAGAATTGAGGCACACGGCACCATAACCGTGGAATTCCGAGGTAGTCCCGTGGGACCAGCTGTCGATTCACGAGGACTGGCCGTTGCTGGGAGGGGCGTGGTGGCTGAGGCTGCCAGCCGAGGGATCCGCATGAGCCACACGCATCCCCCATGCATTAGGGGCCTGTTCGACGTCATGTGTCAGTTGCAGCACCACCACCGGGACGGAGTTAGAGCCCACAGAAAGGGGGAATCAATTTAATATGACTGTGATGATTTTAATATGGGCTTGACCGCGTATTCGGCCAGAGTGAAACCAAACGACTCGACGAGACACTTGGCATGGCTGCACCGCCACCCGGCGGCATCTCGACAATCCCCACCTGCCCGGCAGCCTGCATCCAGATCCAATTTATCTACAAGATGGATCGGAGACCACTAGTAGATAGACCTAGGGAGAATGTCGGATCAGGCTGGACGGAGGCCAGCCTTACCACCGTAGTATTTCCATGCGAATGATGAGACTCGTGAATGTACCGATCGGGATTTATGGCAGCCTAAAAGTGGATTCGCTGCGCAGCTGGTCTGGTCTGGTCTTGTCTTGGGAGAGGCGGGGCACGTCGTCAGACGGGGTCTCCCTGTGTCCCTCACCACTCGCTCTCTCCACCTGGGCTGATCTCAGCGCTCCTTTTCCCCCAACATACTACTACTAATACCATCGCTTCCCTCCCCTCCCCTCCCCTCCCCGGTTACAGCTGGCACCTTTCTGATCCTCTGCGAGGACTCCCCTTTCTTTCTTACCCTCTTCCTGTCTCGCATCCTTCGATTCTCTTCTCTCTACCTTCGTCTCCATGACCCGCCCGGAGGACGACCTGGCCTATGGCCAGTACCACCCAGACTCCACTCGTGGAGCCTCCACCGACACCGCCAGAGGATTTGTCGGTGACACCTTCAAGAAGCTGAAGCAGTCTTACAAGCCCCAGGCTCAACAGGGCTCTTCCCAGCCGTCTCAGCAATCCCAGCAATACGGGGTAAGTCGCCTGATGGTTCCCCGATCATTGGATCCCGGTACTAACCGAACCGTTCCCAGGCTCAGAACCAGACCTACCAGTCCCAAGGTCCCTCCCAGTCCCAGCAATACCCCGCGAATCCTACACCACAACAGCAAAATCAGAAACCGCAGAAGCAGGACAAATTCTCGGGATTGTTTGGCAAGCTCGAGGAGCTCGGCAACGAGGTTGCACAGAAAATCGGCACGGCTCTCGATCCCCAGGCCTATGCTGAGTATGGCGCACCGAAGCCGCAGGCGGAGAACCGGTTCGGGAGCTTTGCTCCCCCGCGTCAGGGCAACGAGGTGAAGTGGCACGTGGACGGTTGCGCGTACTTTTATGCCGTCTCTAAGGCGTTGGAGAGTGCAAAGGAATATATCTGGATTCTGGACTGTAGGTATCCGAGGTGGAATGAGAAGGTTTCTGGGTATGAGGCTGACTGTACCACCAGGGTGGCTCTCGCCAGAACTTTACCTGAGACGCCCCCCGGCGAAGAATGAACAGTACCGGTTGGATCGGATGCTGCTCGCAGCGGCGCAGCGGGGAGTTCGGGTCAACATCATTGTCTATAAGGAGGTGACTCAGGCATTGACCCGTATGTTTCGCGACCCTCGCTTGCGTGAGATGACAAACTGACTTATTCACAGTCTCCTCTCACCACACAAAACACCACCTGGAAGACATGCATCCCAACATTGCGGTGTTCCGTCACCCCGACCATCTCCCTGACCGCCAGGAATTGGCGGCATCCATACACACATCCCTCCAGACCATGTCGCTCGATGGCGGAAACCTTGCTAAGATGTCTGAAGATGCTATCAAGGGTCTCTATGGCATGCGCGAGGACGTGATCCTGTACTGGGCACACCACGAGAAGCTTTGCCTCATTGACGGCCGCGTCGCATTCATGGGTGGCTTGGACTTGTGCTTTGGCCGCTGGGATACGAACCAGCATGAGCTTGCCGATGTGCATGGCCAGGACCTGAATGAGATTGTATTCCCGGGTCAGGATTACAACAACGCCAGAGTGAGTGACTTCCACGACGTTGCCCACTGGGAGCAGAACCAGCTGGATCGGAAGAAGACTTCTCGCATGGGCTGGTCCGATATCTCGGTCAGTTTGCACGGCCAGGTCGTGGAAGATCTCCGGAAGCACTTTGTCCAGCGGTGGAACTTCATCTATGACTTGAAGTATCAGTCGCGCAACAACTCGAGGTACTCGAGATTGGCATTGTACGGTCGGCCTACCTCGAGTGCCCAGCAACAGGGCCAGCAGCAGGGTGGGCAGGCCCAGAAGCCGCCATCATCGCCCCAGCTTGGTGCGAGCGCTGCTCCTGCGGCACCAAGCTGGCAACAGCAAGCAGCATCCCCGCAGCCTGGGGCGAACCCTGGGCCTCCCACTCCCAGCTGGCAGCAGCAGGCAGCCCCGTCCCAGCCTAGCGGTCAGCCTTCGAACCCTGCCAGTCCTGCTGCACCCACCTGGCAGCAGCACTCGGCGTCACCCCAACAGAGTGGCTATCCCGCCCCTAACACGGGCAGTCAGGAAAAGCCCAGCTGGCAACAACAGGAAACGCCATCGCAACCCAGCGGCTACAACCCCCAGACGCCTAACGCGGCCGCACCCAGCTGGCAGCATGCAGCGTCACCCCAGCAGCAAGGTGGCTATCCAGCCAGCTCCGCTCCTAACATGGGCAGTCAGGAGAATCCCAACTGGCAGCAACAGGCAGCGCCATCGCAATCCAGCGGCTACAACCCCCAGACGCCTAACACGGGCGGCTCGGCTGCACCTAACTGGCAGCATGCAGCGTCACCCCAGCAGCAGGGTGGATATTCCGCCAGCCCGACCCCCAACACGCAGGAGAAGCCAAATTGGCAACAGCAGAGCTCTGAGCCTCCCGCGTACTCGGCCCAAGGCGCCACACAGCACTATAGTTATACTGGCGATTCGTTCCCCCCGCCGCCTTCTGGTCCTCCTCCCGCCCAGACTTCTGCTCAAGCCCAGTACCAGCCCCAGCAGCAGGCTCAGACCCAGAGTCAGAACCAAGCGCCCTACTACCCGCCTCCCCCGGCTCAAGGGCTGCAGCACTCGCAAACACGCGGAGTCCATGATGCCCACCATGGCGGATATGCTGACTCCGAGAGAGGCTTTGGCCGTCTGCGTGAGAACTTCATGGGCTATAGCAACACTCTCCGTGGTGAATTGGCAGGTCAGATCCACCAGTACCAGGATCGATTCTCTGGCCACGCACGTCAAACCAGCCAGCCCCGGGGTGGTATGACTTGCCAGATCGTCCGCAGCTGCTCGAAATGGAGCAACGGAACCCCGACCGAGCACTCCATTCAGGATGCGTATGCTGCGATCATTCGCAACAGTCAGCACTTCATCTACATCGAAAACCAGTTCTTCATCACGGCCACCAGTGACGCGCAGAAGCCTGTGCAGAACAAGATCGGCGCTGCGATTGTGGAGCGTATCCTCCGTGCTGCCCGGGCTGGTGAGAAGTTCAAGATTGTGGTCGTTATCCCGTCTGTCCCCTGCTTTGCTGGTGACCTGAGCGACGAGTCCACCCTGGGCACCCGCGCGATCATGGAGTTCCAGTACAACTGCATCAACCGCGGAGGCAGCAGCATCATGGAGCTGATTGCCAAGGAGGGATTCAACCCGATGGATTACATCCGGTTCTACAACCTGCGCAACTACGATCGCATCAATGTCAGCGGCCCCTTGATGGAGGCTGAGCAGAGAAGCGGCGTCAATTACGAGGATGCCCGGAAGCAACAGGATGTGACGACTGGTGGCCCTGGCGGTTATGGCCCAGGTGCTCCTCGGGCGGCTTTCGACACCACCGCTCCTTATCAGCAGTACCAGCAAGCTGCCCAGCAAGTTGCGAGTGGCAAGTCTGCTCCTGGCAAGTGGGACAGTGTGAGCAGCTGCTACATGCTTAATGGCGAGGACATCCGCAATGTTCCTTGGGAGGGACCTGCGGAGGCTGAGATCGATGCGTTCGTCACCGAGGAACTCTATGTTCACTCCAAGGTATGTTGAACAGTCGACGACATTATTGCAGGAACTAACGAGACACAGGTCATGATCGCTGACGACCGTGTTGCCATTGTCGGATCGGCCAACCTGAACGATCGTTCTCAACTGGGAACCCACGACTCGGAAATTGCCATCATCGTCGAGGACTACACGCCTGTGCACTCCCGCATGAACGGCCAGCCGTGGACTGCCAGTCGTTTTGCTGCATCCCTCCGTCGCCAGCTCTTCCGCAAGCACCTTGGCCTGTTGCCACCCCAGGACCCGGAGCAACCGGATAACAACTATGAGCCGGTGGGAGTTCCGAACACCCTTGACTTTGAGTCGCCAGAAAGTCAGATTGTGGCCGATCCGCTAGCGGATACTGTGAACAGTATGTGGAACACGCGGGCTCGGACGAACACCGAGGTGTTCCGTAAGGTCTTCCACTCGGTTCCAGATGACACGGTGCGCAACTGGGCTACGTACAAGGAGTTTTACGGATACTACTTCCACAACGCCGACAAGCAGGCATACGGTGAAGACGAATCCAAGCCTGCTCGGTACGGATATGGACATGTGGTCCGGGACGACTTCCCTCCGGGCCCGGAGGGTGTCAGACAAGTCAAAGAACTGCTCAGCCAGGTCAAGGGCACCTTGGTGGAGATGCCTTTGATGTTCCTGATCGAGGAGGATGTGGCAAAGGAGGGGCTGACGTTGAACGAGTTGACGGAGCCGATTTACACTTGATTGGTGCTGTCTAGTTACGAATTTCTTTCAGGATGAATTATCTAGGAAATGAAATTGATTCTTGATGATAAGTTCCGGTCGTAGGGGTAGTTCTTAATATTGTTCTCAAGAAAAATACTAAGCCTCGGGTGTTGATTGGGTACCCGCAATGTGGCGTTGTGTGACTTTTTCCATTGGCCGCACTGTACCAACGTGGGTTATCCAAAGCTTTGTATGTCAGAACTCTGATATCTTCTAGATGATCCAGACCGACAGCCAATGCATTGCATCTGCATTGATTATGAACATGATCAGACGCCGAGACTACGCTCATTTGCAGATGCAAATCCGGTAGCTATCGTATTCATCGTTCCCAGTTCTGGTTCCATCCCCAGGAACAATATGAAGGACCGGAATCATTCGTCCCATTCGACAGTGGCTTCGAGAATCCTCGTCAAGCTCAGACAATCTTTGGCATGTTCTCCAATGGCATGCCACTCTCTCCTTTGTCGAGTACCTCGTGCCACGCATGAATGGACTCATCAAACCTACACACTGTAGATTCAATGCATCGACAGGATTTTCCCTATTGCCTCCATGAATGCAAACCCTGTCTATCATCCTCCATTGCAAAGGAATCCGAGCAGAACATGCCATCCCCGAAAGTTATATAAACGACCTCGAATCCCCCTGATCCTGGTTTTTTTCTTCATCACAAAACAAGCATTCAAAAAGAAAACTTTTTGCAACGCAATCAATCAATCATCATGTCTCCCTACGAAGTTGCTAAGGACTCTGTCTCTTGCGGTATGCATTCCCCCTTCCAACACACACACATACACACAATCTCATCCCATCTCAGTCCCCTTATCCACTCAGACCATCCAACCCAAAACTAACACATGATAACTCTAGCCGGCTCCCCCGGTGGCGGCTGCGTGATCATGTAAATGACCACTGCATAACACCGAGATAAAACCCCGACTTCCCCCTTCCTCTTTTTTTGTTTCAACTCCGCAACCAACCAACCAACAACCATCTCAACCACTATCAATCCCGTTGTTACTCGAACATTTCTTCAACCTCCCATGACATTTATCTCGACAAAGCACCACCTTTCTCCTCCTCGTGTCTGCTTTTCGATCCCAAAAAACACCAAAAAATCCTGTGGGGAGATGTGCCCGCTGCGTTGCACGTGGCATCGATCTATTTTTTCCCTTTTACTTGTCTACGAACCCGTCCCATCCGTCAATTTACTTTCGCTCATTTGATATGAACTGAGGTTGTTGTTTCTGTTCGGGCTGGATTGATTGAGTGGTTTGGCTATTTATTTGGTTGGTTTGGTTAGAATTAGGGGATGGGGAAACTGTTGGGGTCGTCATGGATTGGTTTTGGATGGGATTCTTGGGGGATTAGTAGCTATATATATAAGTTTTAGAGTCAATATATTTATATTGGGTTCTATAGCTTCTTTTTCTTCTATTTCTCTCTATCACACTTTCTGTGTGTATCTCTTTTTGTCTTTCTCTTCTCCTCTCTTTTATGAGGGTAGAATGTAGAATGGGTTGAATACCTATCTACACTACCCTACTCCGCGAATAAATACTATATGATCACCAACTTACCAGTTGCCACTTACTTAACTCACGAATTCTCAACATAGACAATACGGCGCTGTGGGATGTATCCATACTATGTACTAGATGTAGCCCAGTGTTAATACTTTCCCCATCATCCAGCGTATATATCATTCCTTGACTTGCTAGTATATCCAATATCAATAGATCGTAAATCACGCCTGAGGTGATGATTACTGATCGATAACAAAGCCTGACAATCCCATGATACCATCACCAGGCGGTGAAGTCCCTAGTAAATCAATTTTCACGGATCAGTGTAAGATAAGACCGTGAGGACTTACCTATGTATTATTTCCGGCACTATTGGGTAATAATTGTATGATTGTCAAAAAGTAATAGAAGATAAGATGTACATGAATCATTGGGAATGTGACACTGGTTGGATGCTCTTAGTTCACGTCTGAGATATACACACATATCTGTATTTATATAGCTCTTCTTACGCCCCCACTACTAACCTATACCAACTCCACCCATTCGCAACCTCCAATAACTTCAATAACTAAAAATAACCATGAACCTCCTCACCGTGATCAACACTCTCGCTCTCACCTTATCTTTTACTGCCACCGTTCATGCCAGAGACTGTGGAGGGGGGATGTTGTTTGGTTGATGGGAGGGATGGGGGCCGGGGGGGTTGATATAATACTCCACATTGGTGCTAGATGGTGATCGGCTATTACGTGCTTTCAGCGCGAGAAGAATATACATGGATAGGATAATCTCGATAATCACATTCTGGGTACGAAACTACGAAGATGATACTCGAAGCTCAATCTATTCATCCCCTCCACTCATCAAGATATCCACCGATGAAATCAAGCAGCTTTGGCATTATCATCCAGCGGAACAGGAGGCTTGATGTCATAGACAATCCCCCAGACTGGGGCGCCCTTATAAATCACCTCAGTAATCACGGTAATCCCGAGGGCCTTGGATTTGGAATAGATCTTGGCAGGCACAGTAATCTTGCTCTGGGTAACAGTCGCCTCAACAGTCGTGGTTGTACGCGGTGGCGCCGAGACAGTAACCGACGATCCGACGGTATGCTCGATAGTCTTGCTCTGTCCGAAAGTGAACGAGTCCACAATGCTCATCTCGGTGGTGATCTCACCGTCCATGACGCCCGGGATGCCGAAGCTGGCGGTCATGCCCTCTGTCAGGGTGATGCCGCTGGTGTGCTCAAAGGAGATGGTCTCAGACACAGTCTCCTCCATGTTGAGTTCCAGAGAGTCATCGGGTCGTTAGTCTCGTTGACGGCCTGAGCTACCCAGGTACGGGAACGCCCTCGCCGATGGTCGCCCCCAGGTCAATGTCGTACTCGACGTAATCGAACACCAGGTCCTCGAACAGAAAGGAGAAGTATTGGTCGTCGTACTTTTCCTTGTCGGCTGGGTAGTTGCCCACCCCGTTGGACCGGCCGTTGGAAGTGATGACCCGGTTTGTCGCGGGCGCGAGAAGCCGGAACAGGCCCCGGAACTCGCCCTCGCCAGGGTCCAGTCGGAAATGCTGGTCTTCGTAGTCGGTGCGGTAGAGTCCTACTTCGTACGCTCCTGCGCGGCAGAAGATCACTTTGTTGTTGTTGCGGTTGTACGTGCTGCGGATGAAGTAGGTGTCACTTGAGCCGGGTACCTCGGCCAGCGTGAACCACTGGTCGTCGTACACTTCGCCTCCATCGTAGTCAGTGAGTGTATTATTGGTGTTGCCCACGAGGACGCATCCGCTGCGCTTGCCTTGGAGGCGGAAGCGAACACCGCAGGGGGGATATAGAGTTCGTCGCTCATGATGGACTGCATATTGTGAAAAGCTCAGAAGGGTGATGGTTTATGGTGCCACGATATTTCACATCGCAGGCTTTATACCTTGGACATTTCTGTGGCAGACGAACATGTATGACGAGGTTGGTCATCGATGCAGACTGACATATGTGTGCGTAATGAGATGACAGATAGGAGGATATCTTGAGTCGAGATCGCAATGAGGTCAAAGGACACGTGTAACGTCAGTAAAGTGGTGAGATATGCTCCGAACTTGGAAGATGCAGGGATCTAAATGTTGACACGAAGAAAGTAGGGGGAAAGAGGGCGTTTGAATCAGATCTGGTAGGGTGATTGAGTCGGGCATTGCAGTATGTCGCTTGTGTAACCTTCCGGAACAGACTGCTCTAGGAGCCAAGGCTCTCAGAAAAGGAGTATATATGCATATCGTGAGACATGCGTCGAGTGGTCAGATTAGAAAGAATGATGATATCTCAGCAGATGGGAGGTGCAGAAAGATGAAGTCGTACAGGAAGGCCGCTAGGCAGAAGTCAGGTGATCGGACTCTACAGTGAGTGGTGAATTTAGTTGGAGTGGATAGTAACGTGCTTGATATCGGCCAAATTGCGGTATTTGCTCTACCGAGCCCTCTTCATACAATTGACGTGACCTACAGCAGCATCACCTCATGGGTTATTCTCACCGTGGTGCTATGACCTCAGGCTCCTTGATGCCGGAGATTCCAGGTATCAATCGGAACAGCAATGCAATGAGCCTACATTTGCCACTTGCAGTCTGTTGTCCCATACGCTTACCGATCGGATCAAAGAAGATAGTTATTCCGCTTCATGGAGACAGCCTCCTTGTACGGACAATCTTCCACATCAGCACATATCATAAAAGACAGAAATAGCATTCTCCCATTAAAAAGAAAGAAGCATTCCCTACCCAATGGAGTGAGTTGCATGATGGTTATTCTGATCAGGTTTAGTGGACGGGCTTTTCCGCCGCTAAACCCCAATAGGTAAAAGACCAAGATGAATGCTTGCTTCTGATCATTGAGAGTTGATCCAGTGCTTCCAATTGTGTAGGTCAGTAGAGATGATCTGCACACATGTTGACAATAGTTAAGATGATACACTGACACATGATAAGAAAAGGAAATACTCTGACCCGTAAGAGTTCAAAATTAGGTAAATTGTCCTCAACCGTGTAGTGAGACAGATCGACATGGACTACTGAGTAGTGCCCTAGTAACGTGGGGCAGCTGAGATATACCTAGTAGCCTACTCCATAGTAAGGTAGATTATTTTGCTACCTGCATGATTCACCCAAGCTCATTTTACTCAAGAGTCAAGATAAGCAATTCAGCGTGTGGGGTATACTCGGCTAAAGATCCAGGCTGAGGATTTGAAGTGTCGATCGTTCAGCCCCAAAGAAGAAAACATGAACCCTTCATCCAGAATAGTACGGCAGTCGGTAAATTCATTACCCCGGTTGCCATTGGTGAGTTGGAAAAGCTTCGGGGCTTGATGTACATGCTAATTCAGTGTCTCAGTGTCTCAAATCCCAATGGATGAGACCGGAGTCATGTAAGGCCGTGATAGCTATCTGCATCGGTAGCAAGCTCCGATGCTAAGGAGTCGACTATTGGGCAGTAGTAGGAACATCATGCACGGTACAGAGTAGAGTACATGAACGTGAAGATAATGCTACCTTGGTCCCCGCACAGGTATCGAAAACATGCAGTCTGCAGATGTTCCCCGACGTCCCCGACAAATCATTTGAATTGGCGATTAGTGCGCTATGATCTGTTAGTAGTCTGATAGGTTAGTGCTTATGCTTCAGTGCTTTTCCGTGAAACCTGCCGCCTGAGAAAGACCTTTCCCCGCACAGACGGATCATGCATGCTGTAGTGGCCAGCCAAGTTACTCCGGATCATCTGGTCAAGTGGGGAGGGGGGTGAGGTCATACAGATCGGCCTAAGTGTCCAATGTGATCATGATGATCAGCCGTGATAGATCTTCTCGGATGAGACCGACCCTGAAGGATTCGATTGTACAAGCAAAACAAATACCTGCAGTCTAAAGGTTTGGCCATTCAGTAGTTTGCTTGTGGGGGTTAGGAGGCCCCAGTTAGCAGTCAACAGCAATGTGGATGATTATAGCCAGGCGCTATTATAATAATATGGTTGGATGAATGGGATGAGACGCGAAGGAGGTATACTGAGATGGTTGTTGAGATGGATACCTCATTTAATAGAGTAGGTCAGTTCAAGGGCGAGATCCCATATGCAAGTAAAGAGTGAAGAACCATGGCTTGCGAGAACGTGGTAGATCCCTGCGCGAATGTGATCTGAGCTGCATCCAAGTTGCCACTCCGGTCAATGTTGCATCATGACAAAACAATGGAGCTCCCCATTGGGATTCAACCACTCGGTCTATTGAGTCGTTAGCTCAAATCTGAAGTATATAAGTCCCTAGGATTCACCCCGAGATTCATCAACTCACTCACCATCGCAATCAACTCTCTCCACTTGTCTCAAACATACCATCCCATTCCACTTAAAGCCTCAAGCCTTACTTTCCAACAACAACCATGAAGCTCCTCTCCACCATCGTCGCCAGTGCCCTGGCCCTCGCCGTATCTGTCCAGGCCAACGACTGCACCGCTGGCATGAGCTACTGTGCTGGAGTCCTTGATGACGTCGGTACGTGAGATTTCCTCCTGATATCATTTGGGCACCCCTGCTAAATCGTCGGACGCTTCTAGACGGAGCCAAATATAACCCGATGATGTGGGCCCAAATCAACGCCAAGTACGGCAAGGACTGGAACTATTATATCTATAGCCCGTCTGACTTCGTGTGGCACTGCGGAGCCGGAGGAACCATCACCATGGGCGACAGATGTGGCTGGGGGTGTGTCAATGCGGGTGCTGGAAACAGTGATTACTGCAGATGGGAGTGAACGTGTCTCGCATGGATCGTGGACTTATCTCGTGAATGAGAAGAAACTGTTGGTATCAGGCTACTGCGCCTTCCTTTTTGGTAGTCAGGTTGCATACAGCAAAGATATTTACGCCCCGAACAATTCCTTGGCTGCGTAGATTTGGAATAAAGAGGGTATATGTACCACAAAGGATGGAAATGTAACACTTGTGAGATGCAACAACAGGAACATCTTTGTGCTCTCCGCCTACCTCTTGAAGACTCTGCCCAAGTAGGGGATGCTGGATGGGGAATGCGGATTTACTAGAACTGGCTACAGTAAAAAAAGCATACAATTGCAATGACTGAAGACTCCGCATCGCTTGATCAGTGACTATTCAAACATACTCATATACAAGGTCAACAACTCGAGTTCAATCTAGCATCCCAGACCATCCCTCAATTCGGCAATGAGGAAACGAATCGACGGGTTCATCTCGCCAGTCAACTTCTCCAAATTCATCACCTCCTTCTCAATACTGTTCTCTGTCTCGCGGAGGAACTCCCGTGTTGCCCTCAAGGCTCCGCAATCATTGAGAAGAATAATCAGACAACTGTAGCTCACGTCGTAGCCGCACGCGTCACTCTTTGGTTCCTTGGGGCACTGGCAGTGACTGTTCTTCGCTTCCTTGCGCTCAAACAGGAACCTCGAGACTTGGGCCCGAGAGTCGGGTCTCGCATTGGCGAGTCGAATGATGGGATAGGAAAATGCATGATCATTTCCAGAAGATCCCGAAGATCCCGATATCTTGCTCTCCCGGGTACTGAATGAGAGATAGTCCTCCTTAACACGAACATAACGTGCCAGAAGCGTCGCCAGGGGTACAAGGTCTGGCTGACAGCGGCCAGGCACGCAGCTCTCGACTTGCAGGAGCTTTACCAGTAAGCTATACAGGGATCCCGTGGTCTCATCAATAACGGAAAGGTACTCGGCCTCGGAAGGAACATACGAGTTGAACTTCCAGTTCAACTCCCGGCTCTGTCCAGTATACAGACGGTTGAATCCGCCCAAAAGGATATCAATCGCGAGGCCCGGGTTGCTCAGGGTGCGTGCATCCGTCATCGATTGAATAAAGGTGTAGTAGGCACTATTGGTAGCTTGGGAAGTACCAAAGATTGTATGCGCTGCACGTTGGTTGTGTCGCTGGGAGTTATCGGCGTTGATATCCGACAAGATAGTGGTTGCGTTGTGTATGGATGTGACAAGAGACGAAATACATTTGACGGTTGGAGCTGATGCACGTGTCCAGGTGTTCAGGGCAGACGGAGCCTGGTTGAGGATCTGGACTGAGGGCGAAGGCGGCAGAGAGCTCATGTAGGTGGTTGGAGCGGTTAGGGTCGCGGATCCCTCCCTATCAACGTAGCTGCCCGAGAAGGTCTGCATGGACGATAGGGAGCTGCTGGATGCTCGCCTATCAAGACGTGTCCACTCCGTTGTAGACCATGAACAGGAACTGGTTGAAGAGGACGACGAAGCACGCCAGTAGTTGTAGCTTGCCATCACAACCCCAGCAGCTTCGATCCAGCGCCGCAGACGCATCGACTCAGCAGGATATTTCCAGTAGAGCTCCGCTCGGAGAGAGAGATAGCGCGTCTCCAGCGCGACAATCTTGCTTCTGAGACAGTCTCTTTCTGTATCAATAGAGAGACCTCTCATCCGGCTGCCAAAGTCTGTTTGGCACATTCCCGCGCCATTCGCATTCCAATACTCATCATTCAGAATCAAGCATTCATCCACCACATTCCGGATGTCTTGAAGAAAGATACGATCCGTATCGCTTAGTCTAAGAGCGATGGAAAACTCGAGGATGGGCCACAAGGTCCTACAAGTGATGTCAGAAAACAGGGAATCATTGATATGCGGGCCGTGCGAGGTCTTACCTGAACGGAGAACTCTTCCTGCACCCAAAAGACATTGGTTCCGTTGCAAAGTTCCTCCTGAAGAGGTCGAAAACTAGCATGCCATGCTCACGATCGACCTGAACGATCTCAGCGAACGCCTCTGAAGCCAATGTTCGCAGCTGAGCCTGTTTGCCCCCCGGCTCCTTACTGCACGCACCAGAACACGAGCAGGAGGAGGCAATGGAGCATGGATCGAGGCATCGGGACAGCATATCGTAGATTTCCGCTCTGCTCTGGGGGCCGAATTGATCGCAGTAGGCTACTCCATTAGCAACATAATCAATTATGGACAAAGATGCATACCATCACACAACTGGCCCAGTTGAACCAGTCTAACTGCTGTAGCCATTCTATCTGGCAATGCCTCAGCGAGGGCATAGGCGACTAGGTTGACTCTAGAATTGCCTGCAAGAGATACAAGGTTGCTGCTGCGCATACCCACGCTGGAACCCCAGCTACAACCGAGCTTTTGTGTTGCATTGTTGGCGATGTCGTTGTATTTACTGATCCTCACCGGGAGGGTCGTAAAAGCGCCGAACCTGCGGACTTCGATTTCATCAACAGTAGTCGAGTGGATCCAGGTTGTTTGAAACTCCATGATGGGCAATTGAGTGCAATCGAGTAAGCGATGGTTGAGGATTGGAGGATTGCAAATGTGCGAGCAGCCGAGCCTTATATATTTGGGTGATCGGGGTTCCAAAACGTAGAGGCAACAATGGTTGTGGCTTTAAGATGCAGGATTCATCATCTCTTCGTCGGTGTATGCACGATTCTGACCCAATGATCTGACTGTTCACCGAATCTGCAGAGTGAATGCAATATCCGATGAGGCGCATTCCGCTGGGGCGGATACTCCGCAGACAGATCAGATCCCGTATCATTCCTTGCGTGCTATCATGGTCTCTGCATATGATATCCGATTTCCGTGAACACTGTTTCTATTAAGAGAGATCGGTACTCCGTAGTCTTGGAGCATATTAGTAACATGGCCATGTCTTGTATGATGGAATAATAAATGACTTCGGATTATTTCTCATGCTCGTGTTGCTTCTCCGCCTAGCAAGAGTTCGTGATAGTTCCTCGTAGAATTCATTTTCGTGATGAAGAACTACGTTGGACAAGGAATTGAAGAATCGAGGAGATCGTAGGAAGCTCAAAAGGGAAGAGTTCCACGGCCGAGGCAGAGGGATGGATCTCACTGCATGAATCGCTTCGCACAGTTTGGACCCTGTCCCACATTCTCTGCTGGTTGAAGCGCGAACTTCTCCATAAGATGCTGGGTGTAGGCCATGGGACGGTGTGCTCAGCCTCCATTTTAATTCCCGATTCGTCAAGCCACAGCATCGGAAGCCAGCCACCGTTGAAGACACATCTCGACTTTGGTTGTAGTACCATATGCACATCTTAAATAGCTCGAATGAGAGTTGAGCCACGGCGGTGAGATCATAAGAGCATGTGGTTTGCCTTGCTGCATCACAATGGAGCATGCGGGCTTTGTTATGCTTCGACAGATCCTGGAAAGCAGTAGCTCGTCTTGCAGTTTTTTCCATCGTCTCTTTTGTTGTCCATTTTACCTTGTGGGTTCTTGGTCGACGCGATGTCTTCGCTCTGTGCAAGTTTTATTGAGTAGAAGAACAGCCACAGGTGCTTGTTTTCTGGCCCTTGATTCTTGGCAAATTACCCCACAGTGATTGGAAGGCCAAATCTGTATACATAGGCCTGTATCCCCAGAGAGTCAGTTACTTGTAGAAAGAAGTTGTCGCCCTTTATCAAAGGTCCCTAAGGACAAAAGCGATCGTCGGTTTGCTAAGTTCGTACCTAAATGCGAGCTTGAAGGATTAGTCTACCCGGCAGTGATCCAAACGCTTCTCTGTCGATGCACCTGCAGACAAGTTTCCACTAATCTCCCTGTGCTGTGGCGCTCGCTGAAGTGAGGTCATAGAATGAATATTCTGTATGATCTTACCGGCTTGTGTAATCTGTCATCAGTAGAGTAAAAGCACGGGGTCATCTGATAGAGTGGTCATTGTGTGATCAATTTCTTCGTGGCTGGCCGGCCTAGATTGACCGAGTTGCAAGCTCTAATCAACTAGAGAGAGCCGAAGAGGATGAAGTGAAAGCTCGGGCTCGAGAGCCAAAGGCGGAGGGCTGGGGAGCCTCAGGCTGGTCATGTCAGATGTAGTATCACCATTCTGGTCGCAACCCGTTCATATGAAGGTGCATTCCATTGGGAAATTGATGACAGGGCCAGTTTACACTCTCTGCCACACTCTTTTAGCCATGGTGCAGATGGTAGGATAGATAACCCATACAATCCATATAATCCAGATCAACTCCGCGTCCGGAGACACATCCCGGAGTGGCCAATCAGACTGGCCGGTCGGCGTCCAAGGTCCTCTCCGAGCGGGTTTAAATATGGGGCTTGACATCATCCCTTCCCATCCACAATCTACATAGTACTTCTTAGTATCCACCATCGCCAGAATGACAACCACCATCGGTTGGTTTGGTCTTTCCCTCCTGGCTGCCTCGTGTGTCGTGGCCCATGACCAATATGTGATGGGGGTGGCACCCACCACCACCACCGAGCCGGACTGGTTCAAGACACGACCACAGAGTTTTCAAGGTATATGGCCTCCCAGGTCCTCTCGACTGCCGTCCTAAACCGCGCAGGATACACAGCTACCGGGGCCGCGCCGTTTCTGGCGCAGACCAATCCAGCTCCCTTTGGCGATGCGGCCACCTACACGGTCAACGATCCGCTGGAAACATCGCAGCCCATCCACGGAGCCAAGAATCGCAACTTCTTCCACCACATGGGAAACTTGAGGTGAATACCGTCCTCCTTTACCTTCAAGCATTCAGCTAAATAGCGTCTAGTCCTTACTACCCCCGAGCCGACGGTTTCGGCGTGGACGAATACGCCCGTCCCAAAGGCTCCAACATCACACAAATGCATCTTCTTCATCGACACGGTTCCCGCTATCCCAGCAAGGAAGAAACTGACCGGCTCGCCAATTGGGCTAAGAATATCGCCGACGCAATTGCCCACGGCGCCGTTTTCAAAGACGAACTGTCATTCCTACACGACTGGTCCTACACCCTGGGTGCCGCGATCCTAACCACCAGAGGACGACAAGACCTGTTCGACAGCGGCGTGCTTAACTTCTTCAACTACGGTCACCTCTACACCGAGGGGACCAAGATCGTCGCGCGCACCACTACCCAAGACCGCATGCTCAAGAGCGCCGAGAACTTCCTCTCCGGCTTCTTCCACCTCGACTGGGACCAGCACGTCAACCTCCTCGCCATGATTGAAGAAAAGAACTACAACACCTCCCTTCAGGCCATTAACGCTTGTCCCAATGCCATAAACATGTCCTTTGGCGATTACGTCGACACCCCCCTCAAGAAGTGGAAGAGCCACTACCTCTCCCACCGCACTAAGCGACTCAACAATATCTCCCACAAACGCACCTGGACCATCAACGACAGCTTCAACGCGCAGGCCCTCTGCGCCTACGAAACTGTCGCCCTCGGCTACAGTCCCTTCTGCGACCTCTTCAGCTTCACTGAATGGGAAGGCTTCTCTTACGCTTTCGACATCACCTTTGCCGGCTACTCCGGATTCCAGTGCCCGATCGGCCGCGCATCCGGCATCACTTGGGTCGAGGAGTTTCTCGCACGAGTCGAGAACCGCGAATTCTCTACCCCGGGGTCCTCCACCTCCGCCAACCTCACCCTAAACACCAACCCAGTCACCTTTCCCACCAACCAAACCCTCTACTTCGACTTTGCACACGACAATATCCTCACATCAGTCCTCACAGCCTTTGGCTTCCGCCAGTTCGCCGACCTCCCTCTCCCAGACTTCCTCACCACCAACCCCTCATCCCAATCCCAGTCCCAGTCCCAGTCCCAATCCGAACCCCAATTCCGTCCCCCACCGGATCGAAGCTTCCAAACCTCCAAACTCATCCCCTTCGCCGCCCGTCTCAACATCGAAATCATTGACGCTCCGCACAAAATCACCCGGAACCGAACCCACACCAACCAAGACCCCTACCTCAAAGACACACCCGAAACGAGATACATCCATTTTCTCGTCAACCAGCGCACAGTTCCCCTCCACAAGAGCTTTCCTGAGGACTGTCCATATCGAAGCGACGGATGGTGCGAGCTAGAAGCGTTCCTGGAGGTCCAGAGACAGAGTCTGGATAAAGCCAAGTATGACTACTCTTGTATTGGGGATTGGAAACTCGGGGACTTTGGAGAGGTGCAGGATGGGGTTCCGCTTGATTCTTGGGGGGTATAATTCATTTAGCTGTGTATGTGCAATGTATGAATTAAAAGTTCGTTCATGGTAGGCGAAAAGACCACCCTAACATTCAATTTCCATGGCTGCTTTAATAGCGTGATAGGTGAGTCAGCTGATTAGCCCATTAGCTTAACCATCTCGAGGGATGCTTATACCCCTCCATCTGTCACCAACACCTCCCTCTGACCTACAGTAACAATGGCATCGGAAGATCTCCCCCAGATCAAAGATCAATCGATCCAAGACTATCTCAAGAAACGGGAGGCGCTTATCGAGGAGGAGAAACGACAACGACATGGTATCTACTCTCTGACCCCACCACCTATCCCTCCTTGCTGACGATCTCCAGACTTCCATCTCCGCCAGTCACTCTCCCCCCTCGCCCAGCAAGCTTGCAACATCGTATCGCGCATTCGACAGCGCGAGCTGACACGCGTCTGGTCTAAAGAACTAGATGATCCCGTAGCCGCCCACGAAGCCGACGAGATCCTCTACCCAGGCGTCATGTTCCACCTAGCCAAGGGTCGGATGGAAAGCACCGATCTATGGCGGATCGTGCACCGCATGCCCAAGGGCTCGCTACTCCATGCCCATCTCGACGCCATGTTCGATGTCGATTTCCTCATCGACCAAGCCCTTGCCACCCCCGGCATGCACCTATCAGCGACCGCCCCGCTGTGCACCACGCAGGCCCTCACCGAAGAACCCATCCTATTCCAATACTCAAAGACTCCACGCGCCCAGTCCGAGCAAAACCCCAAACCCTGGCACCCATCCTACCAGCCAAACTCCCTCGTCGATGTGACCGTCGCGGCATCCTCATTCCCCGCCGGCGGCGAGCAAGGCTTCCGCGCATGGCTGCGCAACCGATGCTTGATCGCCCCCGAGCACTCCTTCCAGCACCACCACGGCGTCGACGCCATCTGGGCCATCTTCCAGCGCGTTTTCCCCGTCCTAGACAGCATTCTACTCTATGAGCCCATCTTCCGCGCCGGCCTCCGCCGCCTACTCTCCCAACTCTCCGCCGACGGCATCCGATTCGTCGAATTCCGTCTCGGATTCTCAACCATGTTCCGGCGCGAAGGCCACGAGGAAGCCGAGCCAGACTTGCTCATCCCCAGCCAAATCTTCCAAGAAGAAGTCGCCCGATTCCAAACCACCGAAGCCGGCCACACCTTCCACGGCGCCCGAATCATCCACTCAATCATCCGCCGCTGGAATAACGAACAAATCATCTCCAGCATGCAAAAATGCATCGCAGCCAAAAAATCCTTTCCCAATGTAATCAGCGGAATCGACTTCGTCGGCCAAGAAGACCAAGGCCGACCCCTGGTCGACCTCCTCCCCATCCTCTTCTGGTTCCGCGACCAATGCATCAAAGAAAACGTCAACATCCCTTTCTTCTTCCACGCCGGCGAATGTCTCGGCGACGGCGACTCCACCGACCAGAACCTTTTCGACGCTATCCTCCTCGGCACTCGACGCATCGGCCACGGCTTCTCCCTCTTCAAACACCCCCTCTTAATCGACCAAGTTAAAGAAAAGAACATCCTCATCGAATGCTGTCCCATCTCGAACGAGATCCTCCGTCTCGCCAGCTCTATCAAAGCACACCCCTTACCGGCACTCCTGGCCCGCGGCGTCGCCGTATCCCTCTGCAACGACGATCCCGCTATCCTAGGCCATGGGAAGAACGGCCTCACGCACGACTTCTGGCAGTCGTTGCAGGGATTGGAGAATTTGGGGCTCGAGGGGCTGGCCATGATGGTTGAGAATTCTATTCGTTGGAGTTGTTATGAGGATCAGTCTACTGAGGATTGGGAGGTTGGGGTGCGTGATGGTGTCCAGGGCGGGGGAGTCAAGGCTGAAAGACTGAGGGAATGGTATGCTGATTTTGAGGCCTTTTGTGGGTGGATTGTGCAAGAATACGGTGATAGTGAGTGTGAGGGTCAGTGATTGATGGTTGATTGAGTAATTGATTGATCAGTGTTGCATACACCCTCAACGCGTCGGTTTTAAGGTCTGGTCAGTAGACTAGGGGTGTCTAGACGCATCTCAACATGCAGTCCTTCTGGAAAGGTTGTTATAGTTCGGTTTAGTTTTGTTAGTTTGGTATCATTCTAGTAGAACCACTTTTTACTCTTTAGGTTCATCTATGTCCATACGTTAATTAGAGAGATACTAGGATTTCCTATATATGGGTAATAGTTGAATGGCGGCACAACGAGTCTAGAATTACCGTGTACTTCATTTGTGTTAGTCCAATACAGCAGATAGCATACAGATCGACAAAAATATTACCCACTCCAGCTCATAAAAGTCATTCGCAGAGGTATCAATAGGCCTGCACATTGAACACTCAGGCCGTGGCATTTCTATTTACAGTTGAGTTTAAGGGGACGTCTCCATCCGGATCATGTCCACTCGTGCGATGTCATCTGCGCTCGGCTCCGGCAGCTCCGAGTCTTGCAACACAAAAGCCTCACCGACCGCGTCTTCGACCTGCTCTAGCATGTACGACACTAGGCCGACTGATCGCGCCATCCCGACCTGGCTCAGACTCTCGCCGACCGCGCCTTCGATCTTGCCATCGCCGCCGTTCCGCACCAAGTCCGCTTCGAACGCATGGCAGAGGGACTTGAGCGGCTCTAGGAACCGGTTGCGGAAGTAGACATACGTCTTTTCGAGCTGGAGCTGCTTGCGCAGGTTCGACGATGACACGAGGGTGTAGTATAGGCTGAGGGCCGCGTGGATAGATGGAGAGAGAGTCTGCGAGAACTTGATCCATGAAGCCACAAGGTCGGAGGACACGTTCATGAGTAACTCGGAGGAGTTGAAGAGCGATGGGAACAGCACCGAGAGGTAGTGCGGGTTGAGAAAGATGCTGGGCTCCGACGGAGTGCCCCGTTCGGATGAATTTGCTGCCTCGAGAATCCCCGTCTTTAGCCATCCAATTGCACTGTCCTTGACCGACTGGAAGCGATCGTCTTCCAAGACGGTTCGGATCAGTTTGAATTGTGAGACCTGCGACGGGTGTTTCTGGATGATTGTTCCGGGAATCCGTCGCACGGAGCTGTAGTTCTGGCGCGCCGTGCAAGCGGTCAAAGTCAGAACAAATTTGATAAACTCTTTTTCGCTGGGGATTGGGTCGTTCGTTTGTTGCATGGAAAAGACAGTCAGAGTAAGCAGCGAGTCCAGCAGCACTTGGGGCTGTCCGAATGCCACATCGTCCGGCGAGTTATACCCTCCGACGAAGTTTTGGAAGATTCGTGTCAGGTTGGGGTAAATGGCGATAGGAGTGACTTGGCCAGACGAGAACAGCTCTGCAGTGGCCGCCCGGGCCGCGAGCAGAAGCAGAGATCCATGTCGTTCTAATGGAATCTCATCCGCCTTTCGGGGGGGCTCTTCAAAGTCAAGAGGGAGAGGCTGGTCACCCGGAGACTGGAGGACAATCTCAAGAAGCTTCTTATCATTGAGACCAAAATCTCGAGATAGGGCCTGCGACGGTTAGTAGATCGCGAGGGCAAGCTGGGCGGTGACCTTACCGTGATTTTTGCAATGATCATGTCCCTCTCTTTCAGCTCCTTGTGAGTTGCGAAGAGATCACTCTGAGTTTCCTGTTTGATCAATCGCATCCCGGGCTGGAGCTTCTCTTGCAACCTGATAGCCCAAGACATTCCCGGGTCCGAGGGACCAGAGAAGCTCAACAGGTATGATTTGAGCACCTCAATCAGGCCAAATTGCAAGAATTTCTGGACCAGCACTGGCTCCTGGTCACTTGCTGGAGACGGCGACTGAACCTCTGCTTCCGGGTCGGGTGCTGCTGCTTCCGCCAGACGCAGTACGCTCGACTCACTGGGCACTCTAGGAGGCGGTGCTGGTCTCTTTGACGGCGACACAGTTCTGAAGAACTCTAGCAGCGCAATTGTTGTCTCACTCGTGGGCATGAGGGTATAAGCTTCTAGTACGGCTTGCAGCGACGTCGCAAGAAACCGACTGGGAGATTTGGTTTGGATGCGGGAGTGAAGAACCGACAGCATGGCGACCAGCGTATTGAACTGTACGACATGGCGCGGCAAAGCGGATGGACTATCTCCACTGCCCGTAGCATTCTGTGACGCCTCCCCCGATTGACCAGAACTCCCTGGCCCAGCAGGCTCAGCACTATCATCCTCACTGTCCTCGTCCTCGTCCTCATCCACGGGTTGTAGCTGCATGAGCGCATCCGAAACTCGCAAAATCACCTCCCTCGGGTTTCCCAATCGGGCGATATCGTGTAGGCAATCGATGGATTGAGGCAGCATGGGCAGCAACAGCTGCACCAGGTCCCAGCCAATGTTGGTTGTGAGCACCTCATCCTGGAGGAGCTTGTGGAGGGTGGGTAGGCGGGCGGGGGTGAGCTGGTACTCGAGGAGGGTGAGGTAGGTGAGGTAGTCGGTCGCAGGAGGCAGAGCCTGGATGAGGGGATCTTCTTCCTGGGCCATTGCAACGTAAGAAAGGATCGATGGACCAGGCAAAAGGGATGGGGACGAGATGGTAGGTAGCGAAAGAGACAGCCAGCAAGCCAGACGGAGAAAGAGAGAGAGAGAGAGAGAGGGTCGAGGCGGGACGGCCGAAACACTGCGAGCGACCGGTACTCCGTAAGGTAATGCGTAATGCACCGCCCCGGAGGCGCATGATGTCACCCATTCATGTCGCTTCATTTCAAACTCTCCATTTTATCTTGTTTCATCCCACTCGGCTCGGCCCAGGAACTGGTTCAACCCCTGATCCTGGTTCAGGATGCTGTTTCGCGGTCCAGATCGCGATGATGACCAAATGTCTGCGAAAGCCAAGAGGGAAGTCTGCCAAATAGCAATCAACATCTTTGAGCGACAAATCCCTGACACATAATCCGGGTGAATGTGAGACGTCCAACTGCATTATTGGCGATGGGCGAAACGAGCTTGAGGCATATCTACCGGGCGGGCAGAGAATTCTCGGGTAGCCAAGACACTGACAGATGTCCAGACTCCAGAAGCTCTTCATAGTTCATCCATTACCGATGGTCGAGACGCTATCTCGTGGCCCCGCTCGCCGTCCATCATCTTAATCTCCCTTATCTATCTCCCACGGCCACCCCACCGGTTGGAGCAATTCCAAGACACCCACATGCTAGCATAGCACATCTCACCCTCATGGATTTGGCCATCCCAAGTCCCCGGGTTTCGGTGGCCTGTGAGGCCTGTCGCAAACGGAAGCGCAAGGTATCATGTCCTCACCTCAGGAAGATCTTCATGAGTCATGAGTAGACTGGATTGACCGGTATATCTCTTCCAGTGTGATGGCTTGCGGCCAACCTGCTCGTTCTGCCTGGCCAAGAGTAGGGATTGCCAGTATAATCCCGAGAGGCGCACTAAGTCTGCTCCCTGACCGTCTCGACCCGCAAATGAGCTACCGATTAACCCACATTAGGCGCAAACTCGATCCAGACTATGCGAGTGGCCTGGAAGATCAGATCATGATGCTCCGGGAGGAGGTGCGCCGCTTAGAGAACCTCAACGCCTTCGTCCCCATCCTAGATGAGGATAACCCGCTCGGTCAACAACAAAGCCATGCACGCTCAGATGATGCTGCTGCTATCCCGCCTAATATGGCCACTGCCATCGAAGACGTAAGCGCCCTCATGTGGCGGCTGAGCATTGGAAGTAGTGGAGAGGAGTCGTTCATTGGGCCGTCGGGCAATTTCTGTTTCCCTATCGCTTATTGTGATGATCCAGACGTTCGTGTCGAGAAGACCACCGCAACGAGTTCCCCTGGTCTGGCCCCAGGCATGGAACTGCTATGGTCTGATCAGGCTAACATGTCAAGTGTGATCCACCATTTGCTTGATAGATTTTCACAACTTATCAACCCTATTCATCAGTTTCTCGACGGCGAGACCCTAGATCAAATCCACGGCAATAATCTTAGCCCGGGCCTCAGACTTGTCAAGACCGCCGTCGTGGCCGCTGGAGCTCTTTTCTCGGATGATGCTAATGGCAAGGCGTTTGGTGACGAGGCGGCAGCCGTCGTGGATGCAGTGGCCTTGCAACTCTGTCGACAGTCTCCCAGCATCTCAACCATTCAAACTCTATCCATCATGTGCTGGCGGGAGTTAGGCTTGGAGCAACACAATATGGCATGGATGTATAATTGTATGTGCTCTATATCCGATTTGGCAGATGCCAGAATTATCTCTGAATGTGGGCCTAACCTTCCTCACGGTTCGAAGCGATGTGTGCCAGTCTGGCTCTACACCTAGGCCTACCAGTGAGCGCATCTGAGGATATAGGGCTATCCAGCCCTGAGCACGACACTCTGTTCCGGGAGTCAAGAGTTCGTGATGTCCGACTAAGGTCTCTTTGGTCTTCAGTGTTCATGGACCGGTCCGTCAATCCCAATGCGTGTCGGTTGCATATAATGGCTGCATCAAGCTGAAATATCAAGACAGAATCGCAACCTCTCTCCTGGGCAGGACTTGCATGCTTCCATGGAAGCGTATCAAGGCACATTCCTTTATCAGCTCCATCGGACCTTCGCCATCTTTAGATGAACTGGCCTTTGACCATCAATGCCGGTTATGGTTCATCCATGATCAATATATGGATAGGATGTATGTTTACTACCATGTCCCGGTAACTATTCAGCCTCAGCTCACTCCACTTTAGCTACTCGTTCGACTTTTCAGAATTGAGCAATACCGATAAATCACGCATTCTTCTTGATGCGCGTGATCAATTGTACTCTTTTCGCCGGCAGCTGCACCCTCAGGTCCAACTGGACCGAAACAGCATTAATCCCTCCATGATTTACTTGCACATGTCATACCATATGTCCCATATTTTAATCCATCGGCCCTATCTCAAGGGAGCTGCTCAGAGCGATATGTACAAGCTTTGCGTTTGGTCAATGTCATCCGCAGCGTCGTCTATAGTTCGGCTACTTCGCGAGTACAGGAAAGTCGCACCGTTGGATCAAATTTCGCCATTCGCCGTCCACAGTGTGCTTACTGCTGCCGTGACACACCTTTGCAATGCAACCTCCACACACCAAACCTTGCGCAGCCAATCAATCGCCTGGTTTCGAGTCTGCTTCGATGCCTTGCGTGCTATGCAGCAGAGATGGATCAAAGCCAAGCGGGGTATTCGTCTCTTGCAAGAGCTGGCACGCAGATGGCAGGTCATGGTGGCCTTGCCCTTACAACACGGTTTCCCTCCCCTTTCGGATCCGGCTTGGGAAACGCTAGAGGAAATGCCAGAACTGGAGTTACCCCCGAATGCTGGATATGATGGCAATGAAACAGGGATCCCCGTCATTTTTCCAGACATCTTCAATCAGGCCAGTATGGACCCTTTCGATATGGCGTTTTACCAGGAGAATCTATTTAGCGAAGCATGTTAGTTTTCTCGAGACCCGCTGGGGATCTTCCCGATTCCTCCCAGGTGTAAAAAGTATGGAGAACATCGATCAATGAACGATACCAAGCCTAGTGACATTGAATTATGCACGGCAGTGTATCATATCTCTGCTTTATCTTGCTATCTTCATTCATTATCTCCTCCTGACGTTGATGACCCTTCGGCCGAGAATGGTTAGCGGCGGAAGGTGAAGTTCCGCCGTGATAGAGTTCCATCAATGAGGCTACTATAAAATCAACTCGAACCTCTGGAGTCCCTACATCACTGAAAAGGACAATCATTCCACAATGAGCACAGCATCTATCTCGTCGGTCCGTGTTGCCGTCACCCAGGCAGAGCCCGTGTGGCTGGATCTCGAGGCAACGGTCACCAAAACATGTACCCTCATCGCAGAGGCTGCCCGGAACGGTGCTCAGTTGGTGACCTTTCCCGAGTGTTGGATTCCAGGATATCCTGCTTGGATCTGGTAGGTGATTCTATTTTGCCCTGCCAGCGCTCAGCCCTGGCTAGCCAGCTCTAGCCCGACACCTTGAATGCACCCAGACTGACCAAAGTCCATGTATCTGCAAAGGTCCCGCCCAGTCGATATGGACTTGACGTCTCTCTACATGCAGAATTCCTTAAAGGTAGATTCACCGCAGATGGCGACCATCCAACAATGCGCAGCGGAGAACAACATCGTCGTGGTTCTCGGATTCTCAGAGAACATCCACAACTCCCTCTATATCGCCCAGGCGATCATCGGCTGTGACGGCCAGATCCTCACTCTCCGCAAAAAGATCAAGGCCACTCATATGGAACGAACTATCTTCGGCGATTCCTTCGGCGATTGTCTGAATAGTGTCGTCGACACTTCCGCTGGTCGAGTCGGTGCTTTATCCTGTTGGGAGCACATCCAGCCCCTCCTCAAGTACCACACGTACTCGCAGCGCGAACAAATCCACGTTGCCGCCTGGCCACCTCTTTTCGACGATGACCGGAAGGACTGTCTATTCTCCATGTCCCGTGAAGGTATCACCACCAGCCAGCCAGCCAACAGTTATCACACAAACGCTAACAATAAACCCCTTTCCACCAAACCCTAGGCACCATCGCTATCGCCCAGACATATGCCATTGAATCCCAGTCCTTCGTTCTCCACACCACTGCGGTGATTAGCCAAGAGGGAATCGACAAAATGAAGACCGCCACAGGATCCATCATGAATACCCCCGGGGGTGGTAGTTCCACTATCTTTGGCCCCGACGGTCGTCTTCTTTCACAGCCGATCCCCGCCACAGAAGAAGGCATCGTCTATGCCGATCTCGATCTCACTCAAATCCAAAGGGCCAGAGCCTTTGTCGATCTTTGCGGACATTATAGCCGGCCTGATCTGCTCTGGCTGGGCGTGGACGCTCGTGAGAAGCGCCACGTGCGGGAATGGAATACCACTGAGTCTAGATCATAGCTGTGTAGCTGTATGCGGCGGGGGGGGGGGGGTTGTATATACCATGCCATGGTCAGACATCAGACCTTTCAGTGAAATAAATACGTATTTCTGGAGTAAATACGATTACCTTCCTCGACCATACGCTGGATTTGCAGATGGCTAGTATTTCTGTACCCTCACTAGTAATAACCAGATGCTAGTAAGAATCAAGTATCATGTAAAATCTTAGATATCTAACTTCCCGAGGTAGAATTTTCATTATATGCAGTTATGGAGATATCCTACCGTATAAGACTAAAAAATGAGAATGAGAACTATGTACAATACTACATCCCATTACTCGATTCATAACCTTCAGAGACAATCAACTATTCATTGGTTCATTGGATCAATGATAGGAATTTAGATTCCGTGTCCTGCGCCTCCTGTCAGTCAGACTCTTGTTCAATTGATAACCAGAGCCTCGGATCCTAAAAGTTTCATGGGTTACAGAGGCAAGAGATAGTACTCCCTCCAATAGGCCTCGACAAGGACCTGTGACCAACAATATCGAAGATGGGCTCTTGATAACGGACCATTTTAGCGGCGGAAGAGTTGTAGCCGCCTAGATAAACACGCATCGTATCGACCTTATCCTTATCATACAAAAAGCATTCCCCACGGGGCGTGCATGACCATGTAGATATATGGCCCAGTCCTCCTTCGTTCCTAGCACATCACAAACACGATCACCATCCATTTCATCCATTTTCTATATCAGTTGTCACAAGATGCTGATGTCTCATACTTCGGGTTCCTCGCTCAATCCGTGTCACTGGGCCCCGGTTCGTAAGGAACTGCTTTTTGCTACAATCATTTTGGGCTCTTGCGCTACCGGTTCCCTGGGGCCGTTGCTCGTTCCAGGCTTTGTCTTGGTAGCAGCAGATCTCCAGGTGGATCTAACCAGCGTCACACTCTTGAATGGTAGTCTGGTAATGGCGCTGGGTGTGAGCGCCTATGTCTGCTCCTGTTTCGCCACATGTTTCGGCAAGCGACCAGTGTATCTGTCCACGGCGATGCTTGTGCTAGTCTCCTGCTGCTGGGCTGCGGCTTCGAAGTCGTATTCCTCGCTAATTGCATCTCGTGTGTTTCAAGGTATGGTGCACTCCATGTGGTTGTGGTCGTTGTGGCTGTGGCTGTGGTTGTTGTGCTTGTCGCTGTTGTTGTCATCGCTGTGGTTGTGGCTGTGGTTGTGGTGATTGTCGTCGTTGGAGTGGTTGTGGTGAATGTGGTAGTTGGGGTAGTTGTGGTGGTTGTCGTTGTTGTTGTTGTTGTTGTTAATATTGTCATTGTTGTTTATTGTCATTGTCGCCAGCATACTGATTCATCGAGCTCTCTTATTTAGGGTTGGGTATGGGTGGTTTCTTTGCCCTGGCCGGCACTTCCTCTATCAACGATGTCTTTCTCGTGCATGAACGCGGCCTGCGTGTTGGTCTCTGGAATTTCGCCGTTATTACCTCCGTGAACGTCACCCCTGTCATCAGTGGTTATGTCATTTCGAGTCTGTCTTGGCGATGGTGCTTTTGGCTCGAGGCAATTCTCTTTGGCGTGCTTCTCGCGGCCGTGATCTTCTGTTTTCCCGAGACCACTGTTTTCCACGATGACCATGTGAGTCCTGCTGTGGACGGCACACCTGACAACGAATCTCTCAGCCAAAAGGAAATGTCTCCAGTCGGATCATCCCACGAAGTAGGTGGTCTGACAACATCACAATTCTCGGACGAAAAGGAGAAATGCTCCTTCCCCATCCCCCGTCAGCGACAGCAGACCAACCTCCTAATCGCCCTAGTGGAACCCCTTATCCTAATCATCCACCCGATCATAGCCTGGGGTTGTATCATGTGGGCCGTGACCTTCACCTGGACAATTCTTCTTGGAGCAGTGGCGTCACAGGTCTTCACCGCAGCGCCCTTCAACATGACCACTGTTGCGGTGGGCAATCTCACTGGAATCGCCCCCCTGATCGGGTCAGCTCTAGGAACGGTCCTGGGGGGATGGCTTTGCGATTGGAGTAGCCGAGTCTTGTCGGCACGGAACAACAACATCTATGAGCCCGAATTTCGTCTTCCGGTGATCCTGATCGCCACGGTGGCCATGGCAGCTGGCGCCTTTGGCCTCGCTGCTGCAACCACGCATGGCTCATCCATCATCATCTGCGGTGTTACCATGGCCATTCTGAACTTTGCCGTCGGTATGGGCTGTACTGGGATTGTGGCGTATACAAACGATGTCTGTGGCGACAGAGCCGGTGATGGATTTGGATTAGCCATGGTACGTGTCCATGTACGCGAATACATATGTGCATGCAAATTTTACTCACCAGTCCCATCTAGATTGTCAAAAGCGCCTTTGCTTTCGGTCTCAGTTTTGTTTACAATCAGTTTCTTACTCGAAGTGGTCCGATGGTGTTGTTTTCCACCTTTGGTGCTGTCAGTCTTGGTGTCATGTTGACCACCATCCCGCTATATTTTTATGGAAAGAGAATCCGCGCTTGGTCGGAGACTCATGATCTTCTTCATCGCGGAAGATAGTCACCGGTTAAATCATATTATAGTCAAGTTTGATCTCGCGAATGTGGAAGGTTGTGGAGTGCGGAAGTAGAGCACAGAAAGCGTGTAGAAGCCAAGACGTCATGCAAACAAGCCAAATTCCCTGCAGGCTGGAGGATGCCGTCGATGGAGCATGTAAAAGAGAGATAAAGACGAGATAACACATAACAAGAGAGACAGTCAGCATGCCAGACGGCCTCATCAAAGGTCTCGTTATTGGTCCAGCCATCTCTCTTTACAAGCCCTTCGATTCTGTCGAAGACATCCTGGACCTCGTTCCATCCTTCCGCATCTCGAAAGTGATTCCTCAAATCATCTTCAGTAAAATGGATTGGACAATCTTCTTCGATCCCTAATTCTTTCCAATACCTAACTTCCATTAGCTACCAGTTTCTAGTTCGGGAGTAGTCAACCACCTTTCAACGTTGATAAGAGCCTCCCGGAAGGACACAATATCATCATCCCACGTATCATCGGCATGTTCTACTGGCAGACGTCTTGTTTTCCCGTGGTCTAGGTGGAAGGCCTTCGCCAGAGTTGGGTTCTTCTCCTCCGTTTCAATCAAGTAGAGTTGGAACAGTGTTGACTTGAAAATTCGCTGCTTGATTTCGGCTTTATGCTCATCAAGGTCATCGAAGTTGTCCGGACGCTTGAGGAGTATACTACCTTGGTAATCCACGAGTTGAGTAGACCCATATTCAATGGAACAAGTCTACTCGGCACTGGCATGAGCCTACAAACCGAAACGACCATGGATGGATCGTCTGTACGGGGCCCATACGCATATTCGTATGACATTATAACATGCCTGGCGAACGAAGGGTTGATAGTACAATCCATTCGCTGCAATGAGTGCCAGCACTGCCAGAAGCGATGGGCGCGAAGAAGATGAGCAAATACAGACACATGATGAGCTGCTCAGGCGCTAAGCAAATTCGCAAGCCGTGATCACCAATTCACCATGAATCTGGCACCGCCAGCTTTCCGTCCGTGTCTGTAACAACGATCAACGGCAGTGCTGAGTTTGTGCGCGACGTCTCCAAACACAGTTCAGTTGTACTGACTGATACCTTCCCATCGCTTGGTTGGTAGACTGCTCACGATTTGCTTCTATCAGGTCAATCATGAGTTGGTTGAAATGCCATCCCCTGTCTTCCCTGGGCACTGCTTCAGAGGCCGAGTCGGATAGTGATGACAAAATCAATGAATCTAGAGACTGCTCAGATACCGAGTCCATATACAGCAACGAAAGAGCGTCTAATGGTGGATATGGCACGGATAATACTCTTGCTGTTACTCGAGTATTGGAACAGCATGGTATCCCTTGCTGTCTGGTTGGTATATCTGCCCTTGTTTTCTACGGCGCTGGCAGAGTTCGTGAGCTAAGTCACTCAGGAGCTCTATCTCCCAACTTCTTCAACAGAAACTGATATAATATACTATCTCATGTTGCAGGACTGGGAAATTTGTGTTCCAACAGAGCTTGTGGACCAGGCAGCAGAGTTACTACAATCAGAACCATACACAACACAGTATCGCCTAGTCAAACCATGGCCCTATTACAGTCCCTGCTCCCTTATCCATACATACCACCGGTTTAAAAGCAGAGGGATTAATCATTACTTCTTCATTGTTCCTTCAATTGACATGCATATTGACTGTCACCCTTCCAACTTCACACGCAGCCCCAAAGGGTTACCGTATCCCAAGCTGGATGTCTTTATTCAAAGCTGTTTAGACACCTGTGACATATTACAGCTTTGCGATGTTATTGACGGAAGCAATGTTTCAGAAGAATGGGGTGAGAATAATCTTAATCTTAAGGGTACTAACGATGTAGAATGGGCCAAAGAAAAGAATAAAAGAGGAAAAGAGTTTGGCGGCAAGTGGGCTGATTCTGTATTTGCCTGGGAAGGACCGAAAGATAAACGGGAAATGTGGCTGTCATTAGTGCGTACCAAGGAAAACAGGTTGGACTGGACAAAACCTAAGGATGTCTTTATAACTCAATATCGTGTTAAAGGGTCGCCGGATCCCTGGACAGAGCTATCTGACATGTCTTAATTGTTTATTATTCCGGGAACATAACAAGTGTGAGCTGGAAAAAAAAACATTTTAATAAAGTAAACTTAAGATAATTTATGTAAAAAAGTTATCACTACCATTATTTTCTTAATCACGTATCAGTGCCCGGACCTTAGAAAACTTGCATCTTATATATACTAGAGTTTATTCAAAAAAATATGATTATAGATATACTGATTTTGTATAAGTCAAAGTTATCAAGCAGCCTGAGTCGCAGTCCTAGATTTCACGGGTCTAGCTGTGTACACTCGCATGGCTTGAGCGCATATGTCGAATGGAATAAACATGAATGGCTGCTGTTCGTGTGGCTTCGGTAGTATAATCGCTAACTGATCATTGTGGCCGTCCTCCACGGCTCTTACGACAGCTTCTGCAAAGGTCTTCAGGGAGAGTCAGTGGGAGAACTAGCGGGCCTTGGCGAAGGACGCCATTAGTCTTGAAAGTTGGAACACTACAAACGCTCTGCTGAATGAGAGTGGAGGCCGTACCTTGGTCGACCTTGATGGAGACTGTCTGCTCAATTTCCCCTGCCTGAGTCTCCTACTGTGTGCGTGGGGATGCACCGGCTTGTCCTTCCAAGCCCGCTATGAAAGTTATGAAAGTTAGGGGAAACCTTCAATTTCAACATTCAACAAAACTCGAGAACTCACATTCTAGGGTAGGTACGAGAGAATTCCTGGAGCCAGCTTCAACTTGAGGGACGCAGAAAGTTATTGCCAGAGAGGAAAGCGCTGGAGAGTCCAACGAGCCAGCCTGGGAGGCAATATAATCAATGAGAATTGTTCTGCGCTCGGCATTAAGCTGAACGACCCTGTCTTTCCCAAGACTAGCGGAAGATAACATAACCATAGAACTCCCAGCTGCACGTAGTACATCGTATAGAAATTCTTGATACACTTTGAATGGGCGTTGAGATTGTGGCGTGGTCATCACACGAACTGCGGAAGATACGAGCTTCGACCTCTTGTTGTCTAGTCGTCCAAGGATCTTGATATCCTTGGAGACTTTGAGAATTCTCTCACAAACTTCTCGTATTTCCGACAGCATAAGTGCGCAGAGGAGGTGAATTGTTCGGGGGCTTTTATGAGGTCTTAATGATAACTTCATGATCAGTTTCCCCAAGGCCAGTGTTGGTGCGGGGTAAGTACTGCCATCGAGTAGCCCAGGTCCCCAGCCAGGTCAACCACTCAGTGGCTGATCTGATAAGTATAAGTACTGTTTCATGAAATCGCGTTCGTTATGTGGGCCATGCAGCGATATTTTCAAGGCCTTAACGTCCACTTAAGATAGCTTTGTGGCTATTTAATGAATATAAATGTACAATCCAATACAAGCTGGAATGCATGATTGCCCAGTGGTCGGCCAATGCAAGAGCTACAGTACTCTTGAAGGAAGGAACTCCAATTCCACCAAGTAACTCTGCCAGAGATTGTGAGATGGACTGAGCTTTGAAGCGACATAGACTTCTTGACCTGGAAGGGCCGAAAAATCCAGGCCAAATAATCGAGTAGACTTGCAAAATACCAACAAACGCTGGACTTCTAATTTGTTGACTCTAACTTGGATTTGAGGGAACAAATTGTTTCCAGAAATGCGTCATCCATCACATAGTTACTGTCTGGTGTATGAAAGTAGGTCAGAGTCTGGAATCATGTGCAGAAGTCAAGATGGAGATTCCATTCTAGGACATCGTGCAAATACGCCAAAGCCCCTGCAGGCCCCATCAATCAATCTCTGCCCAGGGCATCGACCTGCACTCGTGCTTCTAACGGGCTTTCTCCGATATCCCCCTGGTGCTTGACGCTCTCTCGAACAATAGTAGATAGTAGCTAGAACCCAGAGTTTCTCCGATCCGACTTCCAGCAACCAGAGTTACACAAGGTTTGTGACACCGGAATTGCTTTTAGAGTTGGTCGTTCGACTTACCGGGGCCCTCTTTTTCTTCCTAGTCAATAGTCACATTGAACGTCAAACCTGCATCGCTACCATCGCTAGGCAGATAGATATCTATGAAGGAGCCATCCTCCTGGCCGGGAAGTCTCCACCTCGACGGGTTATCGCAGCCGCTTACCTCACCGACGAAGGGGACGTGCGCCGGTCATAAGGCGTTATGAACCTTATGCAAGGAACTGGCAATCCTGGACAATCACAATATGAAGTTATGAACCCCTCGTGGACACCGACCGCTTCTATCGTACGAGAGATATGCTAGGGGGAATTATGGATTCTTCGGTGGAAAATCCGGGGCAAGAGGTTAGACTCCATCGGGATGATGTCTTTCCCGAAAAACAGGGAACAGAGAGAAATGCTAATTTGTGAGGAAAGGGAAAAAAAATACGAGAAAAAAATAAGAAAAAAATCCAGTCCAAAATAAAAACAACGACCAGGACCAGCGGGTGATGCCGATAGAGCCGAGCTCCAGCAGATGACTTTCCGGCAGCCGTTTGCAGCCAATGACGAGGTCGCGCCCGACACTGTCGCATTGCAAATTAATTTCATGACGATGATCCAGCACTCTGCAGTCTGCATTTCCCAGGAACTTGAGTCATCGGCGCGTGCTTAGCTCGAATGAATTCTTGGCCAGGACGCCCTGGAGATGGGACTAGGTGGACTATTGCCTGAGCAGACGGTCGACCTTCCAATCATCCTTCAAGGCGGCTTTTTCTCGATCCGCGCCCTACCGATTTTCTTCTCAGCAATTCCCAACTCTCATTTCTACCTCCCCTGGTGCATTATTAGTAGTCTGGCTCTACTCCCTCTTCTTCCTTTCTCGGCTACTCTGTATTCCTTCTCGAATTGACCCCGCATCGTATCCTCCAGCGACTGTCAATCTCGTTTAATTTCCTCCCAATCCCGAGTCCCGACTAGTCCTCGCGTCGGTCCTCGATCTCCTTCCATAGCCACCTCGAGAAATACTTAATTGTCATTATCGAGAGACGGAGACCTTCCAGATTGACGGGGCCTTTTCAGGTAGCTGTACGGAAGAAGAAACAAGCGGTCACCTACGTGCCTTTCAGTCTATCGCCAAAGGAGGGAGTTCTTCAGGAAGGTATTCAACCGAGGAAAGCGCTGCGGAACCATAGGTATAGCGCAAGGAAGCGACGGCCCTCCACTTGTGATTCTACAAGATCGGTCAGCAATGGCAACGGAAATGCAGTCGTTTTACACCCCCGCGACCACACATATCTCCTCCCACGCGCCGGCTGCAGTGGACGAACTGATCACCAAATACTCTTCTACCATAGCAACTTCGACCTCACCCGGTGCAAGTCATTTGCCCATGAAGAACCCCCGCCGCAACATCTTGCAGCGGTTTGCCGACCGTATCCTTTTGGAATACTATCGCTACGAGGTCACGTTCGGACTCTATGTGATGACACCAGGGGAGAAGCTGGTGGCTAACACTTTTGTGATTGTCGTCCTGTCCCTCTTGTTCTGGGCCCTGCTCGTTTATTTCCCCGCGCTGCTCTACCAGAAGCTTAGCCGTCTCGTGTGGCTTTTGACCGGCCACAGCAGCGAGGAGATGAGTGCTGCCTTGGGGATACTCGACTCCCACGTGAACTCGATATCCACGCCCTCTAGCTGAGCCAGACGCTTGAAACCGGGCCGAGGAGGTTGCATGAACCACATCATGACTATATTATTTCACTCCTTTTGGTTTGAATTGCTTTTTGGTATAAACAACAGGGTTTGTTGTGATGGTAAGCGCAGTTGACTTATTAGCTGGGGCATGGGGTGCTGACGCGCGAGGGCTCTGACAGATCCTCGTTGTATATTCGATTTCTTTGATGGCGTTGCAAGGCGTTCCGGGACTATGATCGACATTAGCGCGTGTCGCGCACAGACTTAATGAACTGAACGGAAGACATCGATTTTAATGCGAACACGCGGACCATGCGTGTAGGACAAGAACTATGTTGTGTTCCAATCCGATAGAGATGGAAATACCCGCCCTTCGGACGAGCTGGGGACTCGCGTTTTGGCTTCTTTTCTCATGGTTGGCTGGTGGGTGGTATAGTCTGCCGTTGGAGCAGCCGGTTGGGATGGGATGGATTCCACACGCGAATCGATGTACAGAGGAAACTCGTGCGGGTTAGTGAATGGTATTGTTAAATGTCTCGTAATGCTTAATGTCAAATATGAAGTGCGTCTGACTGCTCTGCATGCGCACCCGACCTATCAGTAAGGGGTCTGTGTTTCCCCAGCATGTGTACGAAGCATGCGTAGACACGAGTGTTTGATCATGTTGATGGCGGGGGACATGAGGGCCAGGCTGGCAAGGGTCGTCACGACAACACGAGTTGGTGGAGAGGAGAGCGCGCCAAGTACCAACGAGGGCCCCAGCCACAGCGCGCCCACCGCGTGCCCACAGCGCAGCCTACCTTAATATTGATTGTTGTGTATTGTGATGGGACACCGCCATGATGCTGTCATGGGAATGATGGCCGCGGGCGTGCGTGGCCTGCGGGACGAATGCTCAGTCATCGGGGAGAATCCGTCCGAACTCGCAGCTTACGACGAGGCGTTTGGAGATCGGCGCCCAAAAATAGTGGCCCGCCGAGACTGAAAACCGCCTGCCTAAACCTCATCCTGCGTCCCCTGCTCCATCTCAAATTCCATATCTGACGACACACCGGCGTTTCGTTCATTTGTCCCTCATATTCCTCGGTGGATTTGGTGGAAGCCCACGTTTCTCCCCCAAATTGCTCGAATCCTTTCAGTCGTTGGATCGTTGGGGGCCATTGCTTTGAACTCGATCCTGTCAGGGGCATTCTTTGCTCGTGTTAATTGGTTTCAGCCCTGCTCGCTCTCCGCGCCAAACGTGCCGTCATCTCAGTTGGTCGACCCCTGCCAACCAACCTTCGCAGAAGAAATATCCCATTCCACGTCTATTCCACTCTGATCGGTCTGGAAATCTCGGCCTGGCAATCGCACGCGTCCAGTCATCGCATTGATTGGTAAACGAGCGTCCCTTTTGTGCCTTTCGCCGGCCTGGCTGTCAATTCAATATGGCGGCGAATAGTTACTACCACGGCGCATACAGCAGCAATCCGCCCTCCTACGAACAAGCCAATCCTCAGATCGATCGCATATCGACCCCAGGTCATCCCGACTTCAGCACACATCCTTACCAGCCTACGACCTCCGATCCCCAACTCCATAACAGTCAGCAATCTTTCGGTTCCGACCAAGCATATGCGACCGGCGGGAGGCTGAGCGACAATGATCGATATGCGGAGAATATCCCTCTGAAGAGCAATCAGTACGCCAACGGGTCCCCGCCGCCCAACTGGATGCACCAACCTACGCATTATTCGCCCACGCCCGAGGAGATCGAACCGCCGGTCGCTCCAACAGCGCGAAGGAAGAAGAAGGGTTTTTTCAACAAGAAGATCGCTTGGGTGACATATACGTTTACGTTGGTTCAGATCATTGTGTTTATCGTGGAATTGGTGAAGAATGGTATGTGAGCAAATCCGATTGGTACCCCGAAATTGAGCTGACGTCTCTGCAGCTCAACTCACAGGCTCTCCTATCGAGACGAAACCCTCGTTCAACGTGATGATCGGGCCCTCCCCGTATGTGCAGATCTACATGGGATCGCGGTACACGCCGTGTATGAAGAACGTCCCTGGCATCCAGAATGCGAATGAAACGATTCTATTTCCTTGCCCGAATGCGACCACGTCGACGGCCGCCTGCACGCTGTCCGAGTCGTGTGGCTTCAATGGTGTCCCGAACCCTCACCCGGGGGGCTCTCTTGACGACCGACCGGAGCCCAACCAATGGTTCCGCTTCATTATTCCCATGTTCATCCACACGGGATTCGTTCATATCGGCTTCAACTTAATTGTGCAGTTAACCATGGGGGTCGACATGGAGCGGATGATTGGCTGGTGGCGGTATTTCCTGGTTTATGTGGCCAGTGGTATTTGGGGCTTCGTGCTTGGAGGCAACTATGCCGGGCAGGGCGAAGCGTCGTGCGGCTGCTCCGGTGCGCTCTTTGGCGTCCTCGCTCTTTTTATTTTGGATCTCCTCTATACGTGGAAGGACCGCCCTTCGCCCTGGGTCGAATTGATCATCATGATCTTGGGTATCGCTGTCTCATTTGTGTTGGGACTTTTGCCGGGGTTGGATAACTTTGCCCACATTGGAGGATTCATCATGGGATTGGCTCTGGGTTTGTGCCTTCTTCGCTCTCCCAACGCGCTCCGGGAGCGGATTGGCCTTGCGCGGAACCCGTATGTGGCCATGAGCGGCGGTGCTGGCACGCCCACGGCAGAGGACACCCAGAAGGTGGCGTCGGGACCTAGCCTGGTCGACTTTCTGAAAGGACGGCGCACGCGCACGGGTGCGGGCGCCAACAACAAAATGAACCCGGTGAACTTCTTCCGAGGGCGCAAGCCACTGTGGTGGGCATGGTGGTTGGTGCGCCTAGCAGCGTTGGTCGCGGTGCTGATCGGCTTCATCCTGCTGATCATCGACTTTTACAAGTATCCCAAGTCCAACTGCTCGTGGTGCTACCGTCTGAGCTGTCTGGTGAGTCATTTGCTTCCTTTCTATTGACTATCTACTAACTGTGTCTAGCCTGTCAATGGATGGTGTAAAGATAGCGAATTAACGACGACAAAAACTTCTTGAGGATGCTTGGGCTTGGATCTAGCTATTTCGTCACTGTTTTATATTGGACTGGCATATGGTTTTGGTTCTGGATATCCCTTGCAAATTCGATATTACATATCGAGGCTTCAGTACATCAAGCGGCGTTTGGAGAGGTCTGCTGTAGCTTATGCCAGCGTCATGTTTATACTAGGTAGGGATGGCCGTCCCATGAAATGCATTATGAATCGACTTTTTGCTCGACTGTTTGATAGCAACGTAGCCGCCAAGCCACGATCTAAATATAGACATGTGATCTGCATCGTGGCGGTGCTGTCCCGTACGGTAATGCAATACCGCTGGTGCCTCAGATCTCCCCGAGATCCATCCATCCTCCGCCTCCCTCCTCACCTGGTGAATTCTCATTCCGCTCGCTGTGATTCTAGATCTTTGCTACTAGATTCCTTGCTTGTATTCTGTATATTGTTTTGTTCATCTCGTGCCCGTCGTTGACGTCTCCACCACCCTGTATTCACTTGCTATCGCCATGATTTGAAATCGTCGGTCAGCAACGTGGATGTCCTCTAGCCATCGACGCCTTTATACCAGCACCAATTGACATGGCAACGCTGGCAACCTCACCTCCATCATCGCCCTCGTGGCCTAAACGACGACCCCGAGCATGGGCCCTTCGCATTGAACGCTATTGCTGCACCGCAGCGTCTTTCTTCCCCCTGGCCTTTGTCTACAGTTTGACGACATGGGCTGTCTGGGTCGAGGCCAGTGTGGGCTTCAAGCCTTGCGACAGTGCTTGGATTGGTCAGTCTTACTTTTGTCATTTTCTACCTTTCGTTCTTTACTTACCGGTCACGGGTAATAGGCCTGCCCAGTTCATTCCTCGGAATCTTCCTTTACATCTGCCTTAATGTATCCTACAGTGTCGCCGTTTTCACCGATCCCGGATCTCCCCTCAACCCCAGCGGCCGTGGTCAACATGAATACAGCGCGCTTCCTGTGACCGAGTTACCGCAATATACCGCCTACACGGTGAGTTCGACGGGCGGGTCCCGGTTCTGCAAGAAATGCCAGTGCCCGAAACCGGACCGGGCGCACCACTGCTCGACGTGCAAGCGTTGCGTGCTGAAGATGGACCACCACTGCCCGTGGCTGGCGACCTGCGTCGGACTGTACAACTACAAGGCGTTCCTGCTGTTTCTGATATATACGTCGATCTTTTGCTGGGTGGATTTCATCGTGGCGGCGCTGTGGATATGGACGGAGATGCTGGACGACAGTAAATACATCGATGTTGATAAGATGCTGCCGATTAATGTGGTGCTGTTGGCGGTTCTGGGTGGCATCATCGGGCTGGTGCTGTCCGGATTTACTGTCTGGCATATCAGCCTGGCGCTGCGGGGCATCACGACGATCGAGTGCCTGGAGAAGACGCGATATGTATCGCCGTTGCGGAAAGCGCTGGATCGCCACCGCTACGACCAGCTGCTAGGGAGCGAGGGAGGCGACCGGGAGGGGTTGAGCCACCGTCTACAGGACTACGGGGGACAGATCCTCGATGCCCATGCGAACGCGATCCCGGGTGTGACGCGGGCTGAAGAAGGGGAGGAAGAGGTTCCGTCCGGTGGATCCGAGACTCGGATGACGCCGGCTCAACAGGCGCTGTCGCGGTCGTATGCGGAGATGGAGCGGCAGCGCGAGCACGAGCGGTACCAAAACTACCTAGACGAGGAGGACAGCGAAAAGATGCCGCACGCGTTCGACCTGGGATGGCGACGCAACTTGCGGCATTTGTTCGGTGATCGTCCGCTGTTGTGGCCGGTGCCGGTGTGTACGACCTCTGGCGATGGCTGGCACTGGGAACCGAGTGTGAAGTTCATGGAGGCCCGCGATCGGGTGCGCCAGCGACGCGAGGAAGATGCGGCGCAACAACAGCAATACCACCGGGATCTGTACCAGCGCAACATGAACAACAGCCAGGCATGGATGGGAACGGACCGGGCAGCGACCTGGACGCCGAGCCAGCCGCTGGACGTGGTACGCGACCCGGAGCGCCCGGACACGGGGGTGTCGATGAAGACGCTGCCTCCGATGTCACCGCGACCGCGGCCGGGCGAGGAAGTGAGCGACGAGGAGGATACCCGAGGACAGGGGGAGGATGAATGGCGAAACTGGGATTAATAGAGCCAGACAGGGTACGGAGTATATATGTACATGTATAGTTAGCACGGAGTAAGGTGTTGATAATTGATGACGATAATGATGCGAAGGCATGTATGCCTGAATCGACAGGCAACAACCACATCAAAGGCCAACTGGCCTATCCTTCCCCCTCTCCCATATACATTCATTCACCTCCACCTCCACCTCCCCTCATTCCTACTACTCCATCAACACTTCCCACCCCAACCACCCCACCCCAACCCAAACCACCAAATCCCACCAAAGAAAAAAAGAATGACAACCTCAACAAAACGCCTCCTCCGCGAAGCCACCGAACTCTCCACCCACCCCTCACCCTACTTCCACGCCGCCCCGATCTCCGACACCAACCTGCACGACTGGCACTTCACAATCCAAGGCCCCCCGTCTCCCTCCCCCTACGCCAACGGTCTCTACCACGGCCGAATCGTCCTTCCACCAACCTATCCCCTCCGTCCACCTTCCTTCCGCTTCCTGACTCCCTCCGGCCGCTTCGAAGTCAACCGCGAAATCTGTCTCAGTATCTCGGGCCACCATGAGGAAACATGGCAGCCGGCTTGGGGGATCCGGACGGCGTTGATTGCCCTGAGGAGCTTTATGGATGGGGATGCGAGGGGCCAGGTGGGCGGGTTGGATGTCGGGGCGGAGGTGAGAAGGAGGTATGCGGTTGAGAGTCGGGCGTGGAGGTGTGACGGGTGTGAGTTTGTGGGGGGGAGGGAGTTGGGCGGGGTTATGGCGGAGTGGAGGGGGGTTTGTAGGGAGAGGGGGGTTGAGGTTGGGGTGGAGGAAGAGGAGGGGGTGGAGAAGGAGAGTGATGAGGGGATGAGGGGGGAGAAAGAGGAGGAGAAGGAGAAGGAGAAGGAGGATGAACCCTCGGTGCTGGTCGCGGAGGGGGATGGATCTGCTGAGACTGGAGTTGGGGATGGGGATGGGGATGCGAATGCGAATACAACTGCAGATGCACCTATATCTATGGCTAGAGGTACAGCTACCTCTGCACCTTCACCACAGACAGAGACACAGACAGAACCACAACCACAGCCACAAACTGTCACACCAACACCTACACCTACTACAACAACTACACCACAACCACAACACCAACCTATACCCACACCAACAGCAGCACCAACAGCACCATCCCAAGAAACCCCCTGGCTCGACCGCGCCATCATCGGGGTACTCATCGCCCTGGCAGTAATGATTCTCCGCCGTCTCGCTCGCGAAGACATGGAGTAACCCTCCTATCTACCTGCCTACATATTTTCCTTTTCACATTCCACAACCACAAAGGGGTTCATCTTTTATCATACTCGATCATCTGAAATGAGCGAGCGAGCGGGCAAATGGTGTTTAGGTTGGCGTTATGTTTCGGGAGGGGGGGAGTATGTACTGTATCTTGTACTTTTATTAGGGATTAAAATAGGTGGAATTTCAATTCGGTTTTATGTTTATTATTATGTTTGTGATGGTGAGTGGGAGGTGGGAGGTGGGAGGTGGGGGTGTAGTGTAGTGTAATGTTAAATGGGTGGTGGTTGGGTTTGGAATGAGATGAGAGATAAAAGGGTTAACGAGTTGGATCTTGTGGATTTATTTTGAAGTACTATGTGGAGGTGATATAACTGACATTTGGTACTTCCGGTTGGATCCCAGATGGAGGGAGTCGAGTGGATACTATAGAACACCAATGGCTGAATTACATTCGCTGTATAGTTCAGGCATCCTACTGTGTCATTACACCAGTGCTATGTACTCTCATAATGAATAATTACAGTTCATCCCAAGACCATCCACCACCATTCTTGAACCATCCATCCTGCTTGGTCCTCTGTTCGCTCCTGCTCCCCTTGCTTTTGCTCTCCCTCCAATCGTGCCACTCCAACCCCCTCCAACCACTCCAACAGTAACTGCACCTCCCATCCGCCCATCGTCGGCTTCACCATCCCCGCGATCGCGCTCGCGCTGATCCCCGGCCGCGTTGCCACGCATCCGACCACCGCCGCCACTGCCATGTCCCACAGCACCCGCACAAACTCCCCATGGATGTCGTACCACAGCGGTACCTTCGCCGGCAGCTGCGTGGCTGCGTCGATGCCCTCCGGTGGACGCGGAGCTGTAAGGTGGCTGGTCTTCTCCTGGATAGGGTTCCCGTACACGTACGAATTGGCGGGCCGCACCTCCACGGGAAACCGCAGTTTGCCCTTGTCGATCTGCCGCGTCAGGTATCCCCCATCTGTCAGTCCGTACTTCTCGCGCGGTGCATCACGCGGTTGTAACACCACCCGCCCCGCAGCAAACAGGTTGATCACAACGAGCATGTCTCCGTCATCCGCGTTGTAATCAATGTCCAAGTACCCCTGCCCGAGAAAGGCCGGGTCCAAAATCTCCGTTTTGAATCGCTGCGCGCGTCGCAGCTCCGTACTTTCGATCACACGCCGCTTTCCTAGCGTCAACAGGAAGTGCTCTGTCACGTCGTAGTTCCGGCCAGGGGTGATGCGTCCCCGATTACCCATGGAAAGGGCGCGTTCCGTCACCAATGACTGCAACGCTTGCTGCACAACATGTTCTCCAAAGCCCTCCAGAGCCTGTCGCGCGTCGCCGGGGCGATATGTCTCTTCCGGGGTCACGACGTTGGCCCGCACCCATGTCTTCGCAACGTCCAGGCGCGACAGCTCATCTCGGCGCGGTTGAGGCCGGGGCAAATGATCGGACAAGGGCGCAGCGAATGGAACACTGGCGATGAGCGCCCGCTTACGGCTCAACGTGACTGATTGAGTGGCCTGGTATAGTTCATCCAGTGGCACACCCGGTTCCTGTCGCAAATCAAAAACGCTGTCAAACTGCTCCCGCGTTGCTGGCAGGTCTGGCAGCTTCTCAAACCTGGGTGCATCCAGTTGCGTGTTCGCCCACTCAACCACCCCCTCCCAGTCATACGCTTCGAGGTCGTCGTAGTCAATCGGGGGTACCTGGTCATTGGCATAGGCTTCGATGAATCGCTCCTGGAAATCACCCTGCAGCTTGGCGATCTGCAGCCGGTATTTGTTAAGAACCCCCTTCGCTCGGCCAATGACAAAGGCTGGGTCCAGATCGGGAAAGCAGCAACAAAGAAGGGACCAATCGATCAAACGAGCATCAGCACCCCCGGCTAAACTGCGCACGGCGACAATCGCCGCGATGAACTGCTGGACGAGGGTCTGCGGCATTTGCGCAACAAGGCGGCTACGACGGGCTGGCTGGCGCGGCCCGGCTTGGGCTGAAGCATACCGATTCTCGTCGGTAGCCAGGCTCTCGTTCAACTTGGCAAGACGACGGTGCTTTGGCTCCATAGAAGGTTCAGAGCGTCGACGCCGAGGTTGGGTGACCTGGTGTTCAACGCGCGCTTTCTGTCGTGTCATGGGGATCCGCGGTATCGCCATCCTCCCGGTTTGCTCGTCCACGTCGAACCGGATGTCACCGTCGATACCTGGAGTCTCCATGTCCTGAACGGTCTGGTTGATATACAGTAGGTCTGAGCTCTTCCGACGGAGCAGATCTTCATTGTTGAGCTCCCACTTGAGAATGACATTGTTGTCCCGGAAGAACCGACGTGACCGCGGGTCGGATTTCCCAGTATAATCCATGGTACGTCTCCGCGTCTGGCTGAAGATATCATCGAGAGAATGCGGCAACTCCGAAGGCATATGATGACCTTTCTTTCTGGCGGCCGCTTTCGCACGCTCTTTGGCAGCCTGCAGAGCCGGAATCCCGGCTTCCGTACCGAAGGTTCCAGTGGTGGGGTGGAAAGTAGATTTCGTATTCATCAGCATTGTGTACGGTGCGATGGAGGACCAAAGACGCCTCATCTTGCGAAGAGAAGCCAGGCCTGCCTCGGCCCGCCGTCTTTGCCCTTGCCGAGTCCCATCCCCCATGCGCTCTGGTCGGGAAATTGATGTTACTCCGTGTGCATTGTCTTTGGTCGAGCGGCGACGGAACGTCATCAGTCGGACGATTTCAGATCCATCTGCTGCATCAAGGTCATAGTCATCTCCCATACTCAGCCGCTGCAACAGTTCGGTTCGCAACATGTTGTGTCGGCGTCTTTCCACGGCTCGGACCACTGCTGGCTTCTGGTGTAGCTGGACCGTCACACTGCGTTCAACAGGGAGCTGAGAAAGTTGTTTCATGTCCTTGCGTGGGGTGCTCCGATTGCCATTTTTCGAAATCTCAGGGTCGATTTCAACATTGGGCGGGAAGTAGTATCGACTCGCGGCCAGCATCTTCTTCTGCATGTCCAGGATCAAAGGGTCATCGGGCTGCATATCAGCTTTGTACATGATGCTTTTGGTCACCATCACCCCCTTGCTGTCTCTACCACTAAAGGTCAACTGGCGGACCTTGCCACTATCGATCATCGTTTTCACGACTGTCCTGATTGTGCGCAGATCGGGGATTTCTTTATGACGTTTCTTCTGCCATGCTGTCATGAATGGATACCAGACTTCTGTACCCATAGGATATGCGCCACCAGCTTGCTCTAGAATATCCATTACGATTGACCTCCGGAGGACAGCGACTGATCCACCCTTCTCTGCAAAGATCCGTCGCTTTTTGGTCGACGTTTCCGGTGTTCCTGTGGTTTCAATCATTTTCTCGGGCGCCGTTTCGGAAGGGGGCACAGAAGGGCCGGGGTGGCTTTCAGCCAGGTTTTGGCGTTGAGCCGCGTCTGTTTTGGCGACATCTGAAGCTGCATTGGCCACGGGAATGTTATCGAGAAGCCCTTCTGCCGTCGTTGATGCAGGATGGCTGTCTGCTTCAGTTGCGATTGGGCCAACCGGTATACCCTTGCCACCCCGCAAGCCTCGTCCGGAGCGTGTTCTCTTCGATGGCGTTTCGATGTCGGCCCCAGTGCGAATGGCAGGCTCATCGTTGCCGCCTTGTGTCAAAGCTTCGGTCGAAGGAACATCATGCGTAGCACGATCATTCGTAGGAGTGTAATTCTGTTCTCGGAGCTGCGGTGATATAACCCTTTTCCTTTTCGTTCTCCTGGGTGAGACCTGCATACTTTCAGGTTCGCGTTCATGTGCCTCGGCAACCGGCAGGGTATCTTGCGAATCACCATTGACTTCCTCGACACGACGCTGCTTTGAAGCACTTCCGGGTCCAAGCAATGTATCTGAGCCAAGATGCCGCAGCCTTCTTTTAGACCCCCGGACGGGACTACCTAGCGAGGTTAGTGGCTCGGGGCTATCCCCATCAATTGCAGGCATGGATGGAGGCTGTGCGCTGTCCCGGAGAGGGGACTCTCTCGCAGAGACGAAATCACTGTCGGAACCAGCTGCCTCTTTCTGGAACCAAGGAAGTGAAGCCAGCCTTGGTGTCCTGAATACAGCAATCCGGCTGACCGCTGGACGTCCCTGCCTTTTACCAGCCGGTCGCCGTCGTCCACGCGGGGTGATGTACACCCCTGGGCCGGTGCGTTCAAGAAGCAGGACGCTATACTCCGTCCACGTTGCGTCCAATCCGAGAGCCTCGAGCTTCTCTTTTTCAGACATGCCTCGGAAAGCGTCGGGATCTTGCTTCAACTTCCTTGGGCGCCCTTTCGGTTTAACACTAGGCGCATCGCCCATCTCAGTATCGGATGCATCCCGGCGTTCGTTTTTCATCCTAACCGGCGTAGCACCAGGGTGTGCTGGGGGATTGTCTGAACCTCGGATGCGTTGGTGTATTGTGTATGTTCCATCCTTCAGGCGTGCCGCTACAGCATCGCTGCTTGAAAATATGTAATTTGGCGGTTTCACCACCGTTATACACTCCAGAAGAGTGGCATGACCGTTCTTCAAAACCTCTTTTCTAGGGATAGCGAGGGGCAGTCCGTACTCATCAAGTTCAGGGACAGCATCTACAGGGGGAATACGGACACTGTTCGACTTGATCTTTTTCGGGGCAAATTCAACCGCCTCCCACACTGCTTCTCCGGAGTCGACGATCTGCTTGAAGTTCGTTGCGGTATAATGGACATAGTGAGTGATAGTCCGCTGAAGTGCCGTATCTCTGACGATAGCGAGATGGCGCAGATGCAGAGGCTGAGATAGCTGCCAGCATTCCACAAGACGGCTCACTGCATTCTCCAAAGGTCGTCGGAAGTAGCTGCCAAAACAGGCCCTCAAAATCCCCTTTATATTTCAATCAATGTCTGTTCTGCTCTTTCTAGTTATCTGACAGACGCTTACCTGGTTGGTAATCCCGCTAGTCCCTGTTTGATCAACAGTTTCAATGATCAGATTATGGATGTTCCTATCTGCAGTCCAAGAGGGAAGAATTCGGCCAGCCTCTTCTACTGCATCACTCTTCACAGGGCCAAGTGAGCCACCATACTCCGGCTGCAACGCGCCTGGTGATGTGCCATCCTGCTCAAGATCATCCTCGATGTCGACATTGTCTTCCTGCTCCAGATTAGAGAATATGCCTCGACTAAATTCGTTGAAGAGCTCAAAGTCTCTTTCCGTTGGCTCACGAATGAGCATGACACAAGGGTGGAACTTCTTTATAGTTTGCGCATATTGGGACAATGCTCGGACACGCTTCAGGACTCCTATGCGCTCGAATTTCCGTAGCGCCCGAGATAGGATCCTCCAGCGCCAATGATCTGCAAACCCGAGCTTCTCCTTGAGATCATTGCGGGAAATAATCTGGTACTCCTGGAGGATCTCGAAGAGCCGGTCGGTGAACTCCCTGAAATCAATCATGTTATCACCCCGTACTGTCGTCTCTGAATCCTGGCCAGCTTGTCTGTCCTTGAGGTGCTCCGGTGACAAAAACTTGCGCAGGGTACAAAGGCTCGTCCGGGTGGACTTGACTTGGATCGCCCGTTTCTCGATGTAGCCCTTTTTCTGCAGAAGATCCGTTCGCTTGGGAACCGAACGTTTGTCCTGGCCACTAACTTTGACAAGCTCTGTTTGGGCAATGCCTTTGTGCTTTCGCGATGCAATGATAGAGAGCAGGGCAAATTCAGTCGGAAAGACCTTGGTTTCATCCGGTCCATGACCGGTGACTGCGAGCCAGGTTCGCTCTTCGGATACGAAGACCCGGGTGGGATCTGCCTCCGCATCTTGGAGGCTGAGATGGTTCCCTTCTCTATCTTTGCCAACGGAGACTTCCGGGTTCCTCATCAACCAGGACCAGACCTTCTCCTGGAACCGACGGTCCACGGCGTGAGCGCGGGTTGCATCTTGCGCAGCCTTGGCATAGAAGGTCTCGATGAAGGTTAGTATATCAGCCGGAGTCGCACCTGATGTACGTTAGTTGGGTGATGGGATGCTTCTAAGGCCAATCGCATGACAGGTCGATTGAGTTCATGCAGGTATCCAGCGGCAACGTTTGCTGTGGAAAGAACGAGAGCTGATGTTCGCGGGGTCCAATCAGACGGAGGCCGGATGCAGGGGTGGGATAGCTAGTGTCGACCGGAGAAAAAAAAAGGGCGACTGACCTTGATCACCGCAGAGAGCAATCTCCGCGAGGAGAAAATCAATCAGTTCTCGTAGACTAGGGGCCATCTTCACCCGCGTCGGCGTCGACTCCGTGCATGCAAAAATTCGTCCCACGGGGTTCGACGTCAATCCATCACCTAGACAACGGATAGACGAGCAGGGTGAGCCGAGGAAATGAAGGGGATGATTCAAAGACAGAGCGCGATTCGAACCAGCGTCGCGGAGGAAAAACGAAGTCGAGGCCGAAGGCGGCGGGGGTGGCGGGGCCGTCACGTGGTGGCCAGAATCCTCCAGGATCTATCACGTGTTGCGCCGGTCTGCACTTCCCCCATTCCCACAATAATTTTATAGAGCGATAGCTTCCTAGACATTGGCATGGACAATGCTGCTAACTGCATACAGTACGAGAATAGTAAGGAGGGACAAAGTCGGTTAGTAGCGACAACCCGTCAATGGCAAGCCTATGCCTGCAATTGCATCAAGTAGTCTGGTGCCCAGTTTAGGTCAGCATAGGCATTTGGTATCACAGTCGCCAACAAAATTGAAGTATTCGGATACAGGTTATTCGAATGGGAGAGAAAGATAAATAATAATGAGTGAATATGGTTTCGTCATTATCAAGGTAGTAACCATTCTTCAAGTCCGTATCTACGTGGGAGCTAATCACGCAGGAATATCTTCGACAGCGGAAGAGTCACCTATTGCGTATGTGAGATTGCGAAGCATATTAACTCACATATAAATCACTTGCCGTGTCGTGCTTTCTTGACAAGCACCGGTTCATTGGTTGCTGTGGCCGGCCTCTTCTTACCCTTGGTTTTCTCTTCAGCCGTGGGAGATGTGGAAAGGTTATGCGAAAGTTTCTTTCTTTGATTTGCCGCTTTGAAAAAGTTATCCCGCTGCTCTTTGGCCCAGTCACGAGCATTTCGGAATGCGGTGACCCCTTGTCTGTATGATTCAAGGCCATCAGCCAGGTAAAAAGAATGGACTTGTGTCATGATATATTTCGGTTGGCCGCCATTTGCAGACTCAATCCAATGATGGACGTATATTTAAAGCCTTCCATTAAAGAAGATCGCGCTTAATGTATAGGCATTGTGATCATGTACCGGATTCTCTCGTTGGGCGGTTTGAAGTGTTCAGATTGCGCGGGCTCCCAGAGCACCTTCATAGCATGCTTTGAGCTTGGCCATTGGATATTTCCATGGACTTTGGAGCTCGAAGAAGAGTCAAGAAATCAGAAATGGATAAGCAACGTACTCCTCGTACTCTGGGAAGATCAGGGGCTCCGTGTCGAGCAAGCCTTTTAAGTCTCTAAAGGCAGTCCGGTTCACAGGTAAATAGAAGTCTGGAACAGACTGGCAGGGTATAGTCTGAGAGGATCTAAAACGCTGGTTAGCTTGCATCCTCCATCATTTGTTGTTCTGACTACAAACAAAGAAGCAGAACCGGTCTGGATCGCGGGATCGACAGCAACGCCGCACTAACCGGGAGCAGTAAGACCGCATGACATCACCTGCCGGCTACGTCAGGCATCACGGCCGCAAACCGAATCCGCCGATGGCAAAATCGCCAGCGACTGACTGACTGAAACCTTTACGAGGGCTGCCGTCCTTTCCGGCTTTTGGCTTATCGCTCGCCTGTCATTTTTACTTCATATAATCCCCGGTTCTGCTTATTGGCGCCATCCATCCATCCTGTTCCTTTCTCCCCATCCCTAGTCCCGTCATGTATCCCTCCGTCCCTCGAGCAATCTAGACCCCGTCAATCGCAGACCGTGTGACTGACCGATTAGACTTTGCGCCCGTCACTAAATCTCACCATATCGATGGACGAAGAAGCGAGGCCCGCTGCTTGTCCAGAGCCTCCGCCGCTCCCCTATTCTTTGCGCACGAGAAAAAAGTCCATCGCCATCTTCTGGACGGTATTTGTTGTCGATACTCTGGCCCAGCCGCTCGTCCTATACTGGGCGCTCTGGTATGCCACCGATCTTTCGCACAACGTGGGTATGTGATGTCGCACCCTTTCATATTCCATCGGGCACTGATTTACTGTCCTACAGTCTTTAGTATCGTGACGGCTTCGTTGGGAGGTGTTTCAGTATTCGAATACTTCTATCGTCTCTACAACCTGTTCCGAAAAGACTCGCGAGCCCGGCCATTGAATGCTAGGAAGGGATGGCTAGATTTCTTCCATATCAACTTCACCATCGTCTGGCTGATCCTGGCGGTCGAGCTGATTGTGTAGGTGATCCTACTGACAGAGCCATGGATTATACTAATACGATCACAGTGGTACCGTTCCGGAAGAACCATATGGTAAGACCCATCGTATAGCCTTGGTTATTTGATCTCCTGACTCACTGACTCAACAGTTCGTTTGATCGGCATGATCCTTCCGACAGTAATGTTCTATTTCGGTAGCGTGTTCCTGGCCCTCGACATTCTCCGTGCCTGCGGTGTCAAAGCACCCTTTCGGATATCCTCAACACCCAAAGGCTCGACAATGCCCACGGCCCTATACGTTGTCATCGAAGATGTGGTGGCGGTTGACGGAGGCGGTGGTCAGATCTACCGATATGCTCTTCGCACCAGGTACCTGTCCAGTCCGTACTTCCGACGGATGCTATTCCAGATGAATTGTTTTTGGGCTGGAGGATCTATCGTGGTCGCTGCCGCCATCACAGCGATCGTATTTACGGTCTCAGAGCCAGTGGCGTACACTGTAAGTTGCACTCCCAATTCTTCTACGAATGACACCGATGCTAATGATGCCTCAGCTGGGATGGACGTTACCGTTTGCCTGGGCTGGACTTTGGACATTAATCACGATACCGTGGGTCCAAAGCGATCTCCGTCGCGAAAAAGAGTGCTGGAAGGAAAACCGAGGCCAAGGAGGCATTCCGTATACCGATGATCCCGATGCGCCCAGTGGTGCTCGGACCAGACTCGAAGCTATTGAGGATCACCTGCCAAGCTTCATGCCCTGGTTCCGAGAGAAGCAGGCTCCTCCGTCTACTCCGTCGAGCTGAGCACGTCTATCGTGTCGGTAATATTTTGAACCCACTATCACCCTGTCGACACCTCGATCACGGCAGTATATCGAAACCCACTAGCTCCAAGTCATCCGAGTGGATCTCTTATATGCCAAGACGATATAGGGGTGGCAACCTCCACGTTCATCGCATGATGATGAAACACAAAAACTTGTTATGATGGAATGTTTAACGGCTAGTGCCAGCTGTACTATACACTGATACCCTTATTTCTGCTTCCCACTGGTTTCCTTACTTCTTTCTCATCTGGTGGTTTCTCGCTTCTCTTGTCCCATACACGTTTGACTGTCGATTGCATCATAACTGGGGCTGTGATCTTGGCATTGACATCATTTGTTGCACTAGCATAGATAGATTCGTTTGGGTAGATGCTTGCTGTACCTATCAATCATCTTCATTTCGTCATGCATCTGACTGTTGAATCTCCGACGAGCCCTTTCGACGGTATCTGGAAATCTCATCCAGATGACGGCACAACAACAGTTCTCCTGACTGTCTCAAAGCCCCGTACGTAAGTCGGAGCAGCGAAGTCTTGCTGCATGGGGCCCGATGTTCCTGCAGAGCCTGGTACTGCTTGACCCTTAAGACGGCCAAAGCATGGTAATCGTCCGGAAACAACCAGACACGAAGCATCTGCAGCCCAGCATAGATCTCAGACGAGCGATCTGCTAGAAGACACCGCGACACACACACCCTCGCATAGTAATCTCATAACCCAACCATAACCACCCTCAAGTCAAAGGTCTCAAGGCATAAAACCTCACCGGCAAGAGCTTAAAATTCTTCGGAAACCCCAACTGCAACTCCGACGCGACAACCGCCAACCCCGCCTCCTGGAACAAAAGCCTCAGCTTCTCATCAGTCCGCGTCACACTACTATCCTCATCATCATACATATCCAACCCAAACGGATCCGTAGACTGATTCTCCTTGACGACCATCACCCCAGTCTCCGTCAACGCCTCCCGACACCGACCAAAGTACTCTCTCAACTGCACATCCGTAAGATGTCCCACGCAGAACTGCGTCCAGATCAAATCATACTTCTTCTCAGGGAACCAATTCTCCAACCCCGTCGTATAGATATCCACCACCACGCCCGTCCGCTTCAACTCCGACTGACGAATCACCTCGACGAACTTGTCGACCGGTTCGACGGCATCCACCGTCTCGCAAACGTGGCTGAGCAACCCCTCCGTAACCCGACCGACCCCGGCCCCGCAGTCTGCGCCCAGCGTGAGCTTCCCCTCCGTCGGACAATTGGGGATCATTCGACGGACCTTGGCCAGGAAGGTCTTCGACCCGCGGAGGTCGATGCGCGTGTACCAGGGATAGCTGCCGAGCATGCCCAGCATGGTTTTGGGGTTGGCGGCCACGCTGTTCCAGTACCGGAGGGAGGCGGCATGGTCGATGTGGGAGTCGGGGGGAGCGTCGGTTGTGGACATCTCGTGTGTGTCGGCCATGGTGATTGACTAGGCCAGTTGCAGGAAGCTGTCGGATGCAACTTGCAAGGGAGTTTCGACGCGCGGTTGTCGATTGCGGGATAAAATTTCCCTTAACGTATTCGGTAAGCGAGCTGCGCATGTAAGCGAGCTGCGCACCTCACGCGTCTTAGCTCCAGTCAAAAACCTCACTCAATTCAACCACCAGCCATGCCTCCAAAAGCGCGTCAAAATGCTAGAAATCAAGCTGAGTAGGAAGGGAGGATTCTATTAGCAATTTCAGCTATTACGAATAAAGATTGTCCATCTATTTATCAAGCAGCACGATCTTATACTATGTCAAACCCTAGGATCGCTTCTCCCTGTTCCTGTTAGCTTAGCTCCCGTTCCAATACGTACCTTCAAACTGAATCGAGATAAGTCAGACTAATGACTATCTAAAAGGTGACTGGTCCTAAACAAGAGAAGAAAAGTAAGGCCAGATAGTGCCGCGCAGCTATCCGTAAGTGAGTGCGGACAAGTGTTGTCGCTAAGCTTTATTAAACATATAGTACTTAAAGATAATGTGAATTGAGCACGAAGAACAGAACTAGTTAAGTATATAAAAAAGTGTCCTTTTATCCTATCCTTCGTCATGGCATCGCCATATCATATCATATCACTAAATATATTATTTTATAGCGCCGCCATGTCCTGTTATAGCACCGCCATGTCCTGTTGTAGCACCGCCATGTCCTGTTATAGCGCTGCCATGTTCTGTTGTAGCGCCGCCATGTCCTGTCGTAATACTGACATGTTATAGCTTGTCAGTGATATATCCGTCATGGTCACGTGCTGTATAACGGCTCCGGTTGTTGATTACTCAGATCAGGATTCTACTCAATAAGAGTCCTTATCTGTCCAGGCGTAGCCTTCTGCCTGATATGTCCGCCTTACTAGTCATTCAGCTAGCAGGGATCTGTAACACCACTCTCCCTTTTTAAGGTTTCTTGTTCTCAAGGAATATAAATCAGCAGCGTCCCCCTGTGAGGTAAGTATCTAGTACTGTTTTCAAATTTTTTATCTAAATCATTAATTATATCGTCCAGTACTTCCGTGCGTAAGAAGAGTCTTTACTAACAAATTAAAGATAAGGGTTTTCTTGCAATCTTTTCTTATAAATGCTGTATTTATCTATATAAGATATATATCAAGTCCAAGAGTTCTGATCACTGTAATAAGTATATAAAGGTAAACAGTGTCTATTATAAAATATCTGATCCTTCCTTTTCTAATGCCAAGTGGAAGCGTTTAGTCAAGGCCTAAAATTCTATCAAAGAAGAAGAGAAAGTCATTCTGGCGAAACTTCTTTGATTGCGAAAACAAAAGCAGTTATTATAAAGACAAGCTAGTGATTTTATAGCTTGTGATATTAAGGAGATTGAGGAGCTAGAAGAGCTTAAGAAGCAAGAATAAAAGGAATGTAAAGTGCAAAAAAGATTATATGCTCAAGAGACTGCGACATCCGAGGCTGAGACTAGCACTATCACAAGTAGTGGTGTTAAACTAGCCGCCGTGTCTGAGCCTGATCTTAGTTTATCTCAACTGGTTGGCTCTCCTTCTTTCTAGATGAATTTTAACTTGTCTGTTAGTAATACTGCTTCACAAGCTGGTAACAGCCTGTTAAATTCTTGATAGATTCCCACGTGTTTTCTGAGATATTATATTCTACTCATTTTACTAGATATTGTGATCTGCTGCTAATCTTCTTGTGGTTTAGGATCCTTTTAACTTTATATTCTTCTTTTATATTGTTATCAATCTCCACGTTTTCTGCGATTCTAGCGTTCTTTGGTGCAGGTTCTAATAATAAGATATAAAACACTGAATGAATTTTGCTTATCGATTTTGGCAATCTTAACTTGTAGTTAACCAGTCCTTTCTTATTCTTAATGATAAATGGTCCTAGCTTGTAATGGTTAAGTTTCTGACTTGATTATTTTATTTTAATGTTTTTGTAGAATAGGAACACTTTTTTCCCTCTTTTTAAATCAGATTTCTTTCTGTATTTGTGGTTGTAGTATATCTTGCTATATAAGTTTATGAACTTGATATCTTGAAATAACTGGAGATATATGTTTCCCGTGAACGCAATAATATTTTTAGCTATATTAATAACTAATTAATTTCCTAATAATGTTTCCAGAAACCTGGGGTGGTAACTATAATTAGTATAGAATAATGAAACTCCAATGATTAAGTAACTGGTTGTCAAACCCTAGGATCGCTTCTCCCTGTTCCTGTTAGCTTAGCTCCCGTTCGTTACGTACCTTGTGAACTGAATCAAAGGTCGTCAGGTCGTTGACTATCTAAAGATGACTTGATCTGAACAAGAGAAGAGAAGTAAGGCCAGATAGTGCTGCGCAGCTATCCGTAAGTAAGTGCGGACGAGTGTTGTCGCTAAGCTTTACCAAAACATATGGTTACTTAAAGACAATTAGATTGAGCACGAAGAACAGAACTAGCTAAATACATGAAAGAGTATTCTTATATCCTATTCTTTGTATACTATTTCATATACCATTCAGGGTAGATCGAGGGTCAATCCAATCATGTTCCTGGATTCTGTATACCATATCGTATACTCTTGATAATAGATCTGATAATAGATAGTCATATAATATAATGTTACCTCAGGTGTTATCCTAACCGGGATCTTACTTAATAAGAGTTACTGGCTGCCCGAGTCTTTCCTGGTCGTTATCTTTCTGCCTGATGAGTCTGCTTCTGCTAGTAACCTGGCTAGTAGGAGTCTATAACATCACTCCTCCTTCTTCAAGGTTTCTTGTCCTTAAGAGATATAAAGATACGTGTCCCTCCTGTGTTAGTTAAGTTTTCTCAATTTCTCTTTTTTCTATGATAGTCCATCATGTCTCGTCATTATATTAATCGCGATCGGGTGAAGAAACATATCTATCAGTCTAATAAGATTTATAATAACGGTTTTATTATTAAAAGTTCCTGCGAATATTGTTTCCTGAGAGATATTCCTTATATCATGGATTTAAAAAGCCGAAATTGTGCTGCCTGCACTTGTCGTGGTCGAAAATGTGAAAAATAATTTTACAGTAATAGGGAGTGGAATAAATTAAAATGTAATTAATCAGATATGTAAAACAAACTTGCTGAGGCCCTTGCTGAACAGGCCCGTATTACTGCCAAAGTGGCTCGTTTATTTAAGCAACAGTAGTTCCTAAAAGATCATGGCGAGCGGATGTTGGATCACGACTCGACTGTGTTGGAGCGGTTGGATGAGGAGGATCCCCCAAGCGCTGAGGATCTCCGAGAGCTAGAGCGTCTGGCTGATGAACATGACGCTGCTCAACTTGCCGCTATGTCAGACACTCCTAGTCTGACTCAGTTGGTTGGTTCCCCTTCGTTCTGGGCAAACTTCGACCTGTCTATCAGTGGTACTGCTCCACAAGCTGGTAACAGCCTGTCAAATTCTTGATAAGTTCCCACGTGTTTTCTGAGATATCATATTCTTTCTATTTCACTAAATACTTTAATCTGCTGCTAATCTTCTTGTAGTCTAGAATCTTTTTAACTTTATATTCTTATTTTATATTATCATTAATCTCTATATTTTCTGCGATTCTAGCGTTCTTTGGTACGGGTTTTAACAATAAGATATAAAATACTGGATATATTCTATTTATTGATTTTAATAATCTTAACTTGTAGTTAACCGGTCTCTTCTTGTCTTTGATAACAAATAATCCTAGCTTGTGATAGTCAAGCTTCTGACTTGGTTATTTTATCTTGATATTTCTGTGGAGTAAGAACACTTTCTCTCCTTTTTTTAGATCAGGTTCTCTTTTATATTTATGATTATAGTATATCTTACTATATAAGTTTATAAACTTAATTTCTCAGAATAATTATAAATACATGTTTTTTATAAATATAATAATATTCTCAGTTATATCAGTAACTTATTACTGTCAAACCCTAGGATCGCTTCTCCCTGTTCCTGTTAGCTTAGCTCCCGTTCCAATACGTACCTTGTGAACTGAATCAAAGGTAGTCAGGTTGTTGACTATCTAAAGGTGACTTGATCTGAACAAGAGAAGAGAAGTAAGGCCAGATAGTGCCGCGCAGCTATCCGTAAGTAAGTGCGGACGAGTGTTGTCGCTAAGCTCTACCAAAACATAGGTTACTTAAAGACAATGTGAATTGAGCACGAAGAACAGAACTAGCTAAGTACATGAAAGAGTGTCCTTATATCCTATCCTTCGTCATGGCGTCGCCATGTTATGTCATGTCGCCGATATGTTATGTCGTAGCGCTGCCATGTCCTGTCGTAGCGCTGCCATGTTATAGCGTGTCGGTGACATGTCCGTCGTGGTCACGTGTTGTGTAACCGTCCCGGTTTGTAGGTTGCTCTGATCGGGATTCTACTTGATAAGAGTCCTTGCCCTCCGGACGTGGCCTTCTGCCTAACGTGTCCGCCTTACTAGTTCGTTCAGCTAGCAGGGTGTTACGGACCCCTGCTAGCTAAAGGGACTAGTGAGGCGGTTACGTCAGGCAGAAGGGCTGTACTCGGAAGGATGCAACTCTTATCAGGAAGAAACCGAGCTGAGCCGCTACGTGTCATGAGTCACGTGACTGCGGGTATATGAAAAGGTATATGGTCAGGTATATGATATATGCCTATGATATACAGGATGATATATAGAACAGTATATAAGAGATAGATATATAAGGACACTTCTTCATATACTTAGCTAGTTCTGTTCTTCATGCTTAATTCCAATTATCTTTAAGTAATCATATGTTTTGATAAAGCTTAATAATAATACTCATCTGTACTTACTTACAGATAGCTGCGTGGCACTATCTGGCCTTACTTCTCTTCTTCTGTTTAAGATCAAGTCATCTTTAGATAGTTAACAGCCTGACTATCTTTGATTCAGTTCATAAGGTACGTATTGGAACGGGAGCTAAGCTAACAGAAACAGGGA